CATGACACTGTGCAATCCTGTCAGTACACCTATGACACCTGGAGTAACCTTGCAGAAGGCTACACGTCCCCCAACGAGTGAAGAAGCGGACGCCATTGCGTCGATCCCATATCGCCGAACTATCGGTGAACTCAACTATGCTATGCGAACCACTCGCCCCGACATCGCTTACCCAGTTTCATGCCTCTCCCGATACATGGAGAACCCCAGTATCGACCATCATCGTCAACTCAAACATCTTCTCCGGTACATTCGTGGAACTACGGATTTAGTACTCATCTTCGGCTCGTCGAACGAGGGACTCGTTGGACACTCGGATTCGGACTATGCTGCAGATCGAGACGATAGCAAGTCCACCAGTGCTTATGTCTATCAACTGTTCGGAGGGCCCATTAGTTGGAAGTCTCAGAAGCAATCTGTGGTCGCTACCTCGACCACGGAGGCCGAATATATAGGTCTATCGAATGCTTCACGCGAAGCATTATATCTAATCCAGCTTCTACACGACTTCCGCCTTGACCCCGAACTCTACGATCCCGCACTCCTATATGGAGACAACCAGTCCAGTATTGCGCTCTCGAAGAATCCAAGATTCCATGAAAGAGCCAAACATATTCGCGTCCACTACCATCTCATCCGCAACCTCGTCGACACGAACAAGATCGAACTCCAGTACAAATCCACCTCGGAGATGATTGCTGATAGTCTAACGAAGGCATTACCTCGCCCAGCTGGGATCCAGCATCGGGAAAACATGGGACTACGTCGTCAAGACCTGCCAGGCGCTCTGACGAGTGGGAGTGTTGAGAGGTGATCCGTCAGAGCACCGAGCCGGTTCCAGATAAATATATCTAACTGTTCCAGTTCTATGTACCTTAGCTGCCAGTGTCACTGGACGTCATCCACCCTAGTTACTGACCATTTTCTCTTTTCTATTTAAGGATGGCTAGACGCTATACTCGCACCTCAGTCTTTCTACCATTGACTGAGGTGCGCATACCATTCATATTATACTATACATGATACTTACTAGCGGTCCTACAGACTCACGCTACCTTAGGTTAGTTTACACGAATAGAGTCTTTCTACCATTGACTGAGACTCACGCTACCTTAGTTCTCGCTCTTTAACAGGATATATGGCTAGCCGCTAGACATACAATTGCTTGTGAATGCGCGAGCTGAAAGCGATTGGTTATTGTTCGCAGATACAACTGTTTTTGATTAACTGGGCACTTATGATGTTTTACGGCGCACCAATGATATCTGAGGTCGGGAGAGATTGACTTGTAAGTTAGTTGTACATGTCTGCATGTTATGTGAAGGCTATCGAGACGACATTTGTTGCTGCGACTTCGAGCTCTGAGGACTGCACACGTGACTTTGGAATCTGAGTGCCTACTATGATAGTGCCTGGATGAACATCGACGGTCTCTCTTAATTTCTTCAACCTCGACGGTCCATCGAACCGCTGCGACGATATCTGAGGTGAGCGAGACACGTCAAACGACGACAGTTTGGTTGGCCGGGGGCCCACCCGAATACTTGGCGTTTCACGGTAGCGCGTCGAGCTAGCCTGAATGTACAAACCGTGATGGATAACATCATCGTCGATGATCGGCGGACTTACTTTCTCCAAATAAGTCTTCCGTATCGGAAGAATCTCACCACAGGGAACAAGAACAACGACATCCGTATCGGGGGAATCTCACCTGGCACAGGAAACGAGGACGAGAACTCGGCTCATAATGCAATGAGTGGCGGCCTCCACAGTCTCGGACTTACTGTACGTGAATTTCCCCTTCGGATGATTGGTATGGACGTTCTCGATCGGTCGCAATTTTAGCGACAACTGGGCAGTTTATCCCTTATGGGCCCTTTATTCATAGTTATTGCCTTCCAAGATTCCATGTCAATTATCGGTTTCATCACTATATTTGGTCATCCCGCAGGCACCTACGTTTCCCGGGGTTTAAACTTTCAAAAGTCGCGGGCTTTTGTTATAACGCTGAGTAGCTGCCAAGAAAATTATAATTACATCTACCTCCGCTAACCATGCAACATATAGCGCGTTCTAGTCATCGTAATATCAATGCGTAAAGGTAGCACATAGGTCGCAACTTCTATCATTCAAAATCACCAAAGCCCAGCAATTTGTCATCGTCTGCCGCAGCGTAGTCAAGAACGCGTCGTAGATAAGTAAGGTGCTCAATTGAGAATAGTAAACCCCTCGGCCTCTAACAGTTGGATAGTTCTCTGAGCAGCTGCCTCCTTTGCAGCCCTCTTGTTCGTCCCCGTCCCATGACCGTATGTCATATCGTCGACTAGATGTACGTAGTAAGCAAAAACACACCTGAGCATTCATTAAGACAAAACCACGCACTTAAATAAGTGCCAGTCCACACAGTGTTGTTCTGTGGGCCGCTACTTGTTTCCTCGTAGGTGAAGTGAGCGGCGGCCTTCGCGCCGTACCGACCCTGGAGGAAGTTGTTGAGACGCATAGTGAAGTCTGTTAATTATGGACGGTCAGCAAGATGCAGGGAGCAGCATTGCTGCCTCGGATTAAAGGGTGACGCACGGTCCATTATGAACGGCTTGAGGGTTGGACTTGTAAGTGATACTGCGGAGGATTTATCGTTCAGGTGAGACTAGCTTTCTGCTGGTCAAAAGCATCAGGTAGCATGGCTCATATAAATCCCCTCGTGAACTTGTAGCTGTGTCTGCCCGAGAAACAGTCTCCGTTCAAGGGTGACAAATCTCTGAACACATCCAACGAGTAAAACGTACAGCACGGCTTTGAGTTATCCATTACTCACCAACTTTTGCTAGCCCAAATTGCAGAAGCTCCATGCATCATGGGTGACGGAACAGAATTTGAAAATCAAACTTACTCGATCGGACCCGGATAAACCACAGGGTTGGACTAGAAAACGGAGCGGAACCCTTGAATATATGGCATAGCAGACTCTGGCGTGTCACGTTGACAGAACCTACGATATGGGGCACCGATGGGCTTACATGAGAAGCCCCGAGGTCCGACAGGCTGTGAGTTTGTTTCTCATCGCTGGTGGAGCAGAGATAAGACCTTCTGTGGCTGCTGCGCGACTAACCCGTTCTTGACCGGGGACGCGAGTATCTGGCAGATAGTAAGAATACAGTGGTGCTGCAGATGTTTCGGTATCCTAAGAGCACAACGCGGGGTCGACAGATGCGCGTGTGGGGTATGACAGCAGATACAGAAAGGAATGACAAACAGAAACGTTGAGTGTCACTTCACAAACCGATCGACAATGGTTTGGGTTGATGCGTGTCTATGTATCCATGTGATGATAGGCGCCACTGCAAACCACGCTGGACCATTGAGCCAAAGCTTCGGTCCCTAACTTCGAGGAAAGTGAGGTATGATGCAGGATGCCGTCAGGGTACTTACACAGCGGTGACAAAATAACAAGAACCCCAAGTGTGGTACGCAGGGTGAAGACTGCACTATTCTATTAAAGACGGTGCAAGCTGTATTTTTAGCAGGTGTCGTTGTCAATTACCCCAAGCAAGCGCACACACGGACCACACGAAGAACAGATAGGCTATTCGCGTGCTCAATGCCACAAGTCAGGAGACAGTAGCGATGACAAGTCCATATGCGGAAGAAAATCTTCTTCGAAAATTTGAGGACTGTGTCAAAGATAAAAGTTAACCGTATGGCGGTATGATGTACATCAATTTGTTCGTCCCATTTCCGCAATGACAGGAGCGGAGGACAGATACGACCGATAATTCGTCTGTTCAATGTAACTAGGAGCATTTACTAATCAAATAGGCTCTGCCTCGAGAAACACACACGAGGCAGTGGGAAATCGAGAAGATCGTAAGGCCATGCACGTCCACGCTCACGAGCCTGCACTGGTACTTTGTGTTTTTCACAACGTAAACCTGAAAGTGCTAAGCCTGGGGGACAGTCAACAAGTTGTCCGAAGCAGTTCTATGATCCGAATTCCAACGCGCCAGAGTCATTGTAACTCCAGAGATTGAATCTTATCGCATATTACAAGTTGCCGACCAGTTTGCAATTCCGAAATGCGTGCTCTGCGCCGCTGCGGTGCACATTGACTTGAGAGTCAGTGATGTCCTTACATCGTTGACTGCGTCTACTCGCGCTGTATGATTATATCTGACCTTCAATGGGATATCTTCAAGCTGGTCCATGACGCTTTTACTATCAAGCGCCGGACGTTCCTATTAAATTTCTAAGCGAAAATGAAACGAATATATAAGTAATATTAATAAGTACATCATAGAGGTGGCTGTGTAACCAATCTCCTGCCTGAATATTATTGTGCAACCACAAGTATGGAGGCCGAAAGTGCTGAGGATCAACGTGACATTTCCTCACGTCAAGGTGCCCACAGCGGAAGCGGTGCTTCTCCCGTGCTGCCTGCATCTACTCGCTGTATAATCATATCTAAGCCTCGGTGGAAAATATTCATGGAGATTCGGACATTTGATAGGAGACAGTCACTCCTGGCGCTTGCCTTGACGCGCTTGTCATTCACTGAACCTGCACTAGACCTTTTGTGGCGAGACCTGGATGGGCTTGAACCACTTATCAGATGTGTCTCCCACAAAGCCTATGGAAACGGGATGGAACACAGCTAGTCAGTCACTGGGCTCTGGCTCATGGTCGAGAGTACACCAATTCACTCCATTTGACAGGAACTTCAAAGACCCATGACTTCCCATGACTGGTCTATTTTTCGCAAATATAACCACCGTGTCTGTTCATTGCTCTATTAATGTTCTGAGCCGTACATGGGAAGTGGCACCGATATTTGCCGCGCTCTCAGTTGTCCTCCCTTCCCCCTTCCCTTGCTCCCCAACTTGACGTCCCTTACCTGGACTGAGGCTACCAGAGAGACATTCCCATATATCCAGCTGTTCTTGACTCCAAAATCGACGAATCTCAAAATTCACGCAGGCTGGTTAACCACCTTTGGACCATCCGAATAGTCTATCTTGTTGTCTATCCAAAAGTCGTGCCTTCCTGTCTCAGATTTTAATTTCAAGTTCGATCAATCCATCCCATTGTCCGTGGGCAGGGGTGGAGAATGATGCAGAATAGAGGTGGGGATGTGAGTGGAGAGGGGTTCGGGAGGATAGCAGAAGTGAGAGCGGATATTCATTTTGACTAAGTCTCGTCAGACGTTGAGGAGGAAGAATTTTTTAAACAGTACATCTTGAATTCTCTTTGATGCTTTGCGCTCGTTCCCCTTGCTCAAGTGTTTTCTCAATCAGGCCACTCCTGATTCGAGTCCCTCAAGGAATCTCTTTGGCGCATCCACGACCCACAAATCGGCAGCAGGTGTACGTATGTTGTATCATAATCCTGACATGCTATCAAGGACAGTATATGTACAAGCAATCCGCTCTCCTGCGGACGTACGGTGTGTAAATATGTTGCAGAACAGGGTGCAGTCGATGTGCGAGTGGATTCTTCTTTTCTTCGTTTGCAGAGCAAATAAATATTATACACAATGGGGCGGTTTCACAAAAGAATCCCCGTAACTTCGGCTGCGTTGGATTGTGCACAAGCCTACGGTTTAGGCCCGGTGCACCGTACTGGCAGCGCACCAACGTACATATATAGGCAAGACTCAATGCACTGGACTTGATCAAAAGAATGTATTGACTCCTTGTGGTATGAGTCCCACAGGGATGAACGGCCAACTGAAGGTCAATATTACCGGTGGTCAACATGGGCTGAACTGCACACATGGAATTGCCTCCGCAGAACCAAGCGTTCCGTACTTGGTACTCGAATCTCAGATACCACTATGACGCTGGTTTTGAACGCTGAAATTGATTACGAAGAGCGACCGTTTACAATAATAATGGCAGTGCATACATTTTACTTCCCCGAGCCAAAGTAGGCAAACGACGAACAAAAATCAATACTGGTAGTGGTAGCGGTCGGCATGCATGATCTTTGCCCCGCCCCCTCGTATCAGGAAAGCTTTCGCTCACCCAAGAACCGTCACAACGCAACTATTTACGTTTCTTGACGGCGCTTTCATCCTTCTTCTCGCCTCCTGCAGGTGCAACAGGTGTACTATCGGCCTTTTGTTTGTCATCGGGGGTAGAGGTGTCCGTCTTCTTTGCCTGTGATGATGTAATTCAGTAAGGGAAGCCAAGGAAAAATATGGTACAAACCTTAGCCACAGGCTTCTGCTGCGAGCCGACGAGACCGAATACAACACCAAGCATACCGAAAAGAGTGAAGACGACACCAGCGAGACCAAGACCAGTCTCCGGGTGGGCTTTAATTGCTGATATGGGGTCCTCCCGAGCAGCGTCAAGGAACTGAGCAATTTTACCGCGGACATGGGAAACAGGGTCCTCCAACAAGGGCGGGATGTAGTAGTCGCTGTCATCATCGACGGACTTAGGAGAGAGAGACGACTCGATGAGCTTCTTGACCTCGTAGGTCTCGGCGGCCAGAGCCTTAGCGTCGTCAAAGGAGTGCCCGACGTAGATGTTGTTGAACAGAATGTCCTCAGTCATGGTCCAGAGTTCGATACCGACACCACCCTGAATGCACGAGGTAAGAAGCTAATACAAAAGGGATGAAGCAGAAACACGAACGATCTTGTTGAGGTGCTTGACTGGCTCTAGATCTTCAAAGTAGTTGGGGTTGGGGATCTGGCGTGGGGACCACTCGCCGATGTAGGCAGGGTTATCAATCATGGGCGCATACCACTTGCCCTTGTACTCGGGGTTGGCCTTGAAGGGGCGTTTCCATTCACCACATCCAGGAGCCTCATCACAAGCCGGGTTGCGGACCGTGGGCGCAAACCAGTCACCATCTTCCTCGTCATCCCACTCTTCGGGCTTCTCAGCATCTGGGTCAGGAATGTGCTCGGGTGCATCATCCAACCAACCCTCGGGCTTCACAGCCTCCTCATCAGGGATCTCGTAGGGCTCAGTCTCGTCCCAGTCCTCAGGCTACGCAGTAACATGAACGACTTAGCTCAACATTACGCTGGATGAACGTACCTTCACGGCGTCAGGATCACGAATCCTCTTCTCGTCGACCCAGTCTTCAGGCTTCTTGTCTTCAGGGTCATCGATCTCCTTCGGAGGGTTGACAGCAGGAGTGAAGTCCTCAAGAAGATTGCCCGAGCGCTGACTTTCTCCATTGAAAAGTACATCGTACGTGTTGTCGGGGCTGAAACACGCGTAAGTTGCGGGCCAGGTACATATCATGAAAGAAACTTACTTGACAATGAGGGTGTAAAGGTTGGTGTCCTTTCCAAAGGTGGGCTTTGGAGGGACAGAAAGGTGCTTCTCCTCGAACTCGCCAGTAATTGGGTTCTTGTGGCGGAAGATGAAGTGGAGCTGCACAAAAGAACTTGTCAGAGAAAAATTACAAATGAATAGTTATTGCTTTCACCTTAGTGCCGGGGCAAGTGTTGTCAGGTCCGAACATCACAACCCAAGGGGTGGTATCCGAGAACTCCTTCCCGCTGGTCTGGAAACCATCCTCAAGGAGTTTGATGTAACCACCACCACAGTTGCCGCCCTTCTGGTACTTGACTTCGTACTGAATGACGAGGGGTTGGTCTTTGAAGTCGACAGGGGCGGCGAATGGTGCAGAGATAGCGTGGTGAGCAGCCTTGGACTTGGCAACGAGACCCTTCTCGCCCTCAATGAGGGGCGTCTCGGGTTCCTCGACCTCCCATTTACCGACATAAGAGAAGATTTCGCCACCAACTGGTGTCTTCTTCGTTGCCTCTGAAGGCGTCCAACGTTCAGAATAATCATCGGTGAATTGCTCAATGAAGGGAGCTTTAATCTCTGTTGGCTACGAATGAAGGGTCAATTACGAGTTCAGACAAGCGGGTCGCATGTATGGCATGGACACGTATGCAACAAATGCAAACGAACCTTGAATACAGGTTTGGAGTCCTCTGACGCCAACGCGCCTGCAGCAGCTGCCGCGAGGATGACAGAAAGCGCTACGCTTCGCATGTTAAGAACACGAAGGACCAGAGACGGTAAAAAAGACAAGAAGACGTTTAAGGAGCGAGGACAATATGCGTATCAAAGTACAAACCACCAGCGCGCTCTTATGCTTTCCCGGCTAACTCCTGCCACGTATACTCTCCCACGCCCGACGTCATTCCTTAACCTTCTAGATACTTACTCGCGTTTAACTCGCGTCTGCGCTGCAGTTCATTTTTACTCAAAAATGCACAACAAGAGCGATCATATACTAGCTACGTTACATACATGCGCGACACCGGCCCCTTACCCAAGTAGATCAGCATGTCCAGATGCAGACAGAGCCAGCTATTTCTGTCCGTCAGCGCACAGAAATTTCAGTATCGCAACGAGTGACACTCACCACGAACTCATCGTCCAAGTACTTGGATACGGCAATCTGATCACCCAGACCCTTGCGCCGCCGCGTTTTCAACACGAGATCCCGAGCCAATGCTTGTCCTGATGCAGGTTCTAATGGCCGCAGTTTGATGCTCGTGTCCGTAGGGTCACCTACACGCAATTGATTTGGCCGCATTGATAGGGGAATGTGCACCGTTGCACTTACCAGGAACTATTGACCAGTGATCGAACACCTGCAAGCAGAATGCCTGACCTTGCGTGGCAGTCCGAAGGTCGGCCTCGAACCCATTTGCATCTATTACAGGAATTAAGGCTTTGACCGTATATAACGGTGAGCCGGCTTTGGGAATGTCTTGTGTGACATGCCCTCGGCGCCGAGCCAGAACGGTGTACACAGCTGATATACAGTCAGCTGGCGCCTGTACTTCGACATAGTATATGGGCTCCATGAGGCGTGGCGTAGCCTAATAGTCCATTAATAACCACAGTAATGTAAATGATGCGTAGCCTCACCATCAAAAACGAAGAGTAGCACACGCGGCGCGCTGTAGGAACAATCTGTCCACCACCGCGGAAAATTGGCTCTTGTGCTAGACTTGCATCCAGTATCCGGAACTTTACATTACGCATAGCTGTCATCATAAGCATCGAGAGCAAGATAAAGTCATGTCATAACTGATACGTACGTTCATCGCACAAAGGACCTTCCCGGGCTCCCCACTGGAAGCCTTGCTTGATATGCTCCTTCACAGTGCCAAGCAATTTTTTGTCAACCTGCACTCCAACGATAAGTAAAATGGCGTAATGTGAGGCCAGCAGACCTTACCTGAGAAGGCAAGGTATCATCGAGCAAGATATTCGGCCCACTCTCGTCGGGGCCGAACGCCCATATTGACCTTGACGCCAACAAATCCCACTGGTATTTCTCCTGGAAGAATGTACCGCGCTCCTTCGGGGTCATCCGCATGGTAACCCTCCCCCGTTCAATGTCTTCAGCAATACCTCTTTCCAAAGGCTCCGCGATCATGGTAAGTTTGTTCCTGTAGTCCATTAGAGAGGGGATAAGCGATGTATACTGATGATACCTACTTCTTATTCGGCGTATCCGCATAGCACTTCAGCGCACTCGTCTCCAAAACAGTTTCGCAGAACTTGGTCACTGGATCTGACACCTTGATCTCGATCTCAGCAAATAACCTCCGAAGGTCATGCATGACACAGTCCAGATACAATTCGCCTGTACCAATGAGCACATGTTCACCGCTTTCCTCGACCTTCGTGGCAGCGAGAGGGTAGCTCTTGTTGATGCTTCGCAGCCCAGACAGCATCTTGGGCAGCTCAGACGGGGCTATAGGTTCAATGGCAATTTTAAGCACTGACTCTGTCATGTGCTTAATGGGCCGGAAGATGTAGAGATCGTCGGAGATCGATGGGTCGGCAAGAGTGGCGGTCTTGGAAATGGATGCGTCGACTCCTGCAATGAGGACAAGGTTACCTACAGGGACCTCGTCTGCAGGGATAAAATATCTAAGAGGAAGAGGCTTACTCAATTGAAGCAATCGAATGCAAAGAGCTTACCGAGCTTCGCTCATCCAGATGTCTTCCACGGTAGCCTTGGCCATGTCTTCTTCGTCTTCTGGTGAGTAGCCCTCACCAAGTACTTTGACTGGTGTGCCCTTCCTAAGGGTGCCACTCATGACACGACCGAAGGCTCTGAATGACTGGGCGTCTGTTGTATGATACAACTTCGTGATTTGGACCATCACGGGCGCTTCAGGATCGCAAGCTCTCATTGCGACAGCGGCCTCAGAAGTTTGTGGGCCAGTGTATGTCCGCTCAACCTATACCAGACTCAATTCGATTCATCAATAGCACTGGAAGGCCCGTACCTTGCTGGCTGCTCCTTCCACAGGTGACGGGATATGTTCCACAATCATGTCAATTAGTCCAGTGGCAGGACCAAAGAACTGGTCCAAAATAGCCTTCAACAGAGGCCTGACGTCCATCTTGTACATGACTGGTTTTAGAGAGATGTTCAGCGATGCAAGAGTAGTTTTCAGGTCTTCAGTGTCCTCGCTCAATACATGACTGTAGAGCTTATATAGGGGATCGAGGATGAAGTGCACGAATGTGCGTGATTGCTCGGGGTCTGTAGCTTTCCTGGTGAATTTCCGAGTCTCGCCATTAAAGTATATGTCGCCCCAAAGACGGTCGGCGAACGCTGTGACATCGAGGGAACCAAAGGTGTCGGCATACATCTTGGCGAAAGAACGAAGAGTGAAGCACCAGCTCATGTCGGTGCTGGCGAACACAACATTTCCGTTTTCAGGACTGAGTCGTAGTTCCGGGTCTGGATCAATTCCACTGCAGAGACTTCTGGTCAACGAGAATGTACAAAAAATATGTAGTGCAAACCTGATGAAGGTGTTGATTTCTTCAATTGTATGCTTGATTTTGTAGTAGGCGTCTGCAGGCTTGATACGTAATTCGAGTATAAGTCTGTCGATTTTGTTCACGACAAGGGTGATTTTGATGCCCTCTTGTAGGGCATGTCGAATGACTGCTTCGGTATTGACCATCATCTATTCCAGCAGTTCAACTCACAGTGACGGTGAGTAGAAAAATCTGCTGACCCCTTCAACAACATCTACGACCAGCAATATTCCATCAACAAGACGCATTGCCGAAGCAACTTCGTCGACAAAATTCACGTGTCCCGGAGTATCAATAAGGTGTACCAGATGTGACTTGCCACTCGTCGTTGACAAGATGAGAGACATGGGCGAAGACTTGATAGAGATTTCCCGCTCACGCGACAGAATATGTGTATCCGTATATCTTGTCTGGAATCGACGAAACATAAGCCGTGGCAACCTAGATAAGTCAACTCACAAACCGGTCTATCCGCATCCCAGGCAAGTTTATGCGTCTCAAAAACCAGCATATCCATGAGTGCGGTCTTTCCGTGATGCAAGTGGCCCACCACAGCAACATTGCGAATCATCTCGGGAAAGGACATCATATTTAACAGATAACTGCATCTCTGTTGAGTGTAAGTCGTTTAAGTTCTCAAGAGGTGCGCACCCCTTGTCGAAGCGCGTCTGTGGCATATCCTTCTCCTCTACCGTCCATTTTCGCACTTTGATTGGTGCGACGATGGGCTCCGAAAGGGGCTGAGCATCTTCTTCCTGGACGAGAGTCTCTACGTCGGGACCGTAAACATCCTCTGCTGATGGATAGTATTGCTTGTCCTCATGCAGAATAACAGCATTATGGACGGGCTCTGGGAAGTTTTATGAGATACATACAGAGAATACGCATCGTCACAGACCATCGATCTCCATCAGTGCACCCTCCGCTGGCGGCATAGGCTCGTCATCATATCCTTCCAGTGTTGCAGGTTGCTGTTGGGGTATCTGACGAAAGTCCTGCTGCAGAACCTCCTCTTCCTCTTCATCTGAACCCAAATCCGCGCCTATGTAGTTTCCGAACTCATCGTAATCCTCGAAGGAAGCCATGGTGGAGGAGCGACTTAAATGTCAAGGACGGGGTCGACGTTGGACGCTGTTCAATGGACGCGTTCGAGTTGAGAATAAATTTTGAACTCCGGTCCAGCTCTAACTTCCTTACTTGAAATAGCCGTTGACGATCATGGAGCATTGAACTAGCACCGTCAAGTACTGCCAAAATGTCTGCCCTGCCGGACGACACACTACGAAAGGTGCGCATACAATTGCCATTCTTCGCGGTATTCTCGTATATTGACCCGTCATTTGGTAGATCTTGGTCCAAATTCAACAGACCGCCGTCCAGTCACAACGTGCTCTCAATATTTCTAGACAGCAATCTGCCTCAAAAGATCGCGAGCGAAGGATACTCCAGCTCACTATTGATGAGATCCAAGGTATTGAAGGAGATGTCAACTTGTACAAGGGTGTTGGCAAAATGTGCGTTTAGATGGCTCGTACGACAGAACCACTTATCAACTTGTCGTTATAGGTTTATGATGGTCCCCCGGAAAACGATGGAGCAAGAACTCAAAACCCAGGAAAAGGAGCTGACGGATGACATTAATAGCTTGAACAAGAAGGTAAAGTGCTGAATCTTTGTGCAAATATTGTGTTGACGCTGTGATCTGTCAGGCAAAATATCTTGAAAAGCAATTCAACGACGCACAATCTCAGCTGCGGGACATTGTACGTCTCATTATTTATTCGATCATCACATCAGTATTCATGTGTTATTTCGTATTCAGTTCCACCATAGCCCGAAGCAATGAGGCCTAATTTAACAGTTATTCAGCACGCACTACTGTAATATCAACAGATCACACTGTACAAGATCACACATGACATAAGCCCCGCAAGAACCTGTATTTGAGCGCTCGATAGTTGCGTTTCATGTACTGGCACTACAGATATTCAGAGCTCAAGTTCCTTCCCACACCAGTCTCCCCTGGGCAGACATAGACGAAGGAAGTCAGTCGTTCCTCCTTATTCACACAGCTGGAGAGCGAGGTGCTCTCCAAGGGCAACTTGGACGTGAACGTCTGAACATTAAGATCTAAGGGAAGAGGTCTTCAGAATATGCACAAAAAGCTGCGCTTTTGAGTACTTCGAGTTTCAGAACTGGAATGCTGGACTTTCCTATTAGATCCTACGTTTCGATCCGCGGATGACAATTCCAGGAAATTTCGGAACTCACTGAGCGGTGCGGCCTGGCGTGGCACGCCACGTATCACCTACTGATCCTCACGCCATCGCCAGCTGGACTGACGGCACCCCACATACCCATTATTAGGGTCCTTGGCCTATTTTCGCGTTTGACCTTAGCTTATCTTGATGCTCTTGACTGGTCTGTTCATACAATGGTCCTCAAGTGGTTGCTGAACAGACTTCACCCGTTCTCATCTCATCATGAGACGAGCGACGAAGAGGAATTCAAGCTTCCGAACATGGCGTCCCTGGTCATCATGATCGTAATGAATTTCCTTCTTCAAGTAAGACATCTACTGCCTGGGACGTTGCAAAGGTCACTCACATAATCTTCTCCGTCCCTCAGATATCATTTTTCATCGTCGTTTCATCATCGAACAAGTATACAGAGCACTTGGGAGGAAATGCCACTTTCTCCGGTATCATCATCGGTATTCCAACAGCCTTCGCTGGCCTTGCTTTGATTCCTTTGACGCAGTATGATAGAGGTGCGGTCGGGTGTCTTCCTCTCGTTAGACGATATTTCAACCTTCATTGTTAGGGATGTACAAAATGCCCCTTCATGTCAGCTGCTGCTTTTCCATTCTAGGTCAAATTGCCTACGCTCTTGCGTTTCCGGTCAACTTCTTGTATTTGATTCTGATCGGCCGTTGCCTCACCGGTGTTGCATTTTCCATGTTCATGTACTGCAAACGGTACTGCACGGACCCTCAAATTGTTGGAATAAGACGAAGGACGACACTTGCGAGTTGGTTGGTCGTCTGTCAAGGTCTGGGCTTGAGCCTTGGCCCATTCCTCGGTGGCTTGCTGTACAAGATTGGGTTCTCCAACTCAATTTTCAACGGTTATACAAGCCCAGGATGGATCATGGCTGGTATTTACGCTGGCTTCTGGGTCCTGGTGACAAAATATTTTGAGGACGTTCCTCAACCACCAACCAAGACGAAGTTGTCTCTCCCCATAGCAAAAGGTTTCGAGACCAAGCCTTATTCATTAGCGCCTGCCACATACCCTCCGTCGCCCATTGACGAATCGCTCGGAACACAACTCTCACTGATCACACTGCCTCAGTGGGGCGTCATTGTATGCATGTGCTGGTTCTCGATGGTCTGCTTTTTCATCCTAGGCTCTTGGGAAGCCAACTTACCTGTGTTTGGTGCTGCCACTACAAACCTTCGCTGGTCTCCGTTTGACGCAGGAAATTTCATCGCTCTCGGTGGGATAACATGTTTCCCGTTCCTCCTCGTCAATCTCCTAGCTGTACGTCGTACGCAAGATCGCAAACTCCTTGCTTTCGGGACGATGATCGGCCTTGCAGGCCTTCTCATCTTTCTTTCCATCCTTCATATGGACAAGGTCAATTATGGCTCATTGTTCGCATGTTGGTGGACCGTGGCGCTTGGGTTTAATATTGCGACTACCGTAACCCTTAGTTTACTCAGCAAGCAACTCCCGCCCAAGTGGAACGGACGCACTTCAATCGCAATTCAATGCAGTAATTTTACCGGTCGCGTGACTGGCGCAATCTGGGGTGGTTCGGGCGTTTTAGTTGGCATGCAGAACTTTGTAGGATTGGAGATTGCTATGGTTGGTATCGGGGCTGTTCTGTTTACAATATTGTGGAGGGAGCTGAAGACGAAGACAGGATGACAGCATTGTCTGGTACTTTGCATTCCGGCTCATGAATTTAGAGGCTTTCAAAGTTTTGCAATCCTATGTATATAACTAGTCGTAACGGGATAGTATTTGTGGGTAAATAACAGGCTCCCTCCGGCTGAGGAGCTTATTCAACTTGAGGTGGGCAGCCACTACAGTCATGTTCACCCTTATCTCCTGTCCATATGAAACAGGGCTTAGGTTGACAATGATGGTGTAAATTTCGTTAGATCATGATGCATGATGCCTCACTCTTTCGTCGTCGTAAAATTTATTCCCTAGCACTCGGCTTCATGAACGCCACCCTATGGGATCGGAGTAGCCACTTCCTTGACAACTCGCCCTTTTCTAGCGTTGCGTGTTTCTCGAACCGACATTGGGCTTAACGATAATTACTATAAAGGACATCTTCTGTTTGTTATCTCGCCCTGGGTCATCACTGAACGAAGGTAGGCAAATGTTGCACGTTGAACCCCCATTGCGTCCAGAAGGGGATGCTCTCTACGTCCATACATTTTCGGAGCTCGACGATCGGGAATTCAGGCGCCCGCCAGTCGCTGTGCCTCACCTCCAGCATCAAATGGAAGAATCTAGTTACCTTACCTTCTGTCGTTCGGTCTCGGATGACTACGAGTGAATCCTCCAAGAAACGCAACGGATGATCGCTCGTCAGGTGGCAGCAATCCCGTGAAGGACGAATGGGATACGTGGAGTGGTTTGTTACAGAGCATCGGAATGAACGAAACGGTTACTTTTTCGAATACCTGCGACCACGGAGTTTCGACTTGTCTGCTGCCAAACCACCACCCATTTATCAAGATTTACTACTGTATAAGCAGTAAGCTGCCTCTGCTTAGTGGGCTTCGTTACCCTCACACGTCCCAGACTTACTGCAGACTACTCATGGATGGGTGTCACCGCTACTGTGACCTGGGCTTTGAAGTTAGTCACAAGAATATAATGCAATGCCCACGAGTCCTGACGGAAGGTTGGCTTTCAGTCTTATTGCGCACATAAGGCTCGACGAAGCAGCCTCCTTCTACCGGATCCTTCCTTTGATGGGAATTTACGGACCTTCAACGAAAATCTCAAGGTATATGCTCTAAAGCTCTGGTCGACGAAGATTCCCTTTGACGGAGACTCCCCAGTTGTCGACCAAACAGAAGAGGAGCCGGATTGGGGTGATAAGTTCTATGTCGAGCACGACCTTCTCCCGCACTACACGCCTCCTGTGCCCGCGTTGTCCTTCAGAGTCATTGCCTTTGATCTCTTCGGTACCATCATCGTGGGTTTTAATATTCGAATCTGCTCACCTTGCTCACCCGCTATCAGGACGGTGACGGTGTTGTAAATGACGTTATGTTTCTGCTATTACCAACGCATCCCGGCAGACCCCGACTATCCGAACTGTATCTTAAATTCGAACTTATGAGACAGAGAAAACGCTGAAGCACCTTATACCGACATGGTGCAGCATGTTTTGGAGGATGTCCGCACTTTTGTAGGAGCGCCGCTCAGTAGAGCTGTACTCCGGGAAGCTGTCCGGACCATCCTGCATCCTGGTTTATATGCAGATGCAGAAGCAGCTGTGAAGACGCTCCTGGATCAGGGTTATATACTAGTCTGTCTTCCAGTTCCGGATGCGAAATCATCTTCACTTCCCCAACTTCCATTTGATCTCACTGCGAACGATCAACCTGCGCCCCTTTCGGACCTCTTTGGCCAAATCTCCTCTATGTTTTCAGACATCTGGGGGCGCTGTCACTTGGCGTGCAGTAACGTTAAAAGCACCCAAATTCTTGTAGTGACGTCTAGTCATTACCGAGTGATGGAACCAGCGAACATGGCGGATTTCCCAACGGTTCTAGTTCAACGTCCTGGGGGCCTAGGATCGGGAGTCAACCTCAGGACATGTGACCCAACCTTAGCGATCGACGGATTACGGGCTCTACCAACGAAGCTACACGAGGTGTTGTCCGACCTTGGTCCTTCACTGCTGACGCGGGCCATGATTTCTGAAACCCAATACCGCGTCTACGGCATGTATCAGGTGACCAAATTACTTGGAATGGGAAGCTTTGGTCTGTTCACATGTATTCTTTTCTGTCTGAAATTCGCTGATATGCTTTGACCTGACAGGAAATGTATCGAGTGCTTTCCACGTTCTCACCGGCTCGGAGGCTGCAATCAAATTGTAGATTGCGTGGGATGCACTAGACACACCCTGCACGCTGCCTTACGAAGCTCTGGTGTATAACCTCCTGCGCGGATACATAGGCATTTCATCGTGCAAATGGAGCGGAAAGGGTCGAGGATCACATATCGTGATTCTCGATAAACTAGACGCGAATCTCGAACAACTACGACTATGCAGGGGCAAGTTCTCTTTGAAGAAGTTGGTTATGCTCGGATTTCAAATGGTTAGTGTGTTGAACACCCGCGCCGTGTCTCGTATTGATCTGCGTGCATTTTCTCAGTTGGATAGAATCGAGTTCGCGCATTCGCGAGGAGTTGTCCTGCGGGACGTCAAGCCTGACAATTTTGCGATGGGCGATGGAGAGGATTCTATTTATTCGACTTTGGCTTAGTGGAGCTTTACGTCGACCCATCGACTGGAGCACATATACCGTTCTGTGAAGTCCGTAGTATGCGAGCTATAATGTACATTTTGGACGAGGTTTGTGAACACCAATCTAATTTATGCTCAGCGCTAACGAGTCAGGAACAGAACATGGACGGTGAGACGGTCTTGAAGCATTGGGCAACGTCCTTCTATATCTTTTGCATGGTCGTCTGCCTTGGCAAGGCATTTACTCACCAAGCGAAGAGGCCAAGTTATTTCGGATTGGCGAGATGAAAGGTGGTTTAGCGTTCCGTGACCTACTTGCGCGCTCACCTCCGGAATTCACGACATACTCGATCACTGCCGTGGTTTGAAGTTCGAAGCAAAGCCGAACTACGCATTGTTGAGACAGCTCTTCAGCCGGATAGTAGACAGGGAAAGATTCACGGAAGACACCAAGTTTGACCGGGTTGGATGACAGTTCCTTCAAAGGTACACTGGTGCCTGAAGAGTATAATTTGGATGTCCGATTCACAGAGGGAGATTTGACCACGCTACGAGCATACGCCCTCGCTTTCTTCAATCCCTAAGACAGACATAAATTCCGCTAACCGGTTCAACAAAATCCAGGCGTATAGACTACCCAGCGACATGATTGATAGTGCACTGTACAAGTAGAACATTTTCTTTGATGGTAGACGTAGTACGTGTTCACTCTTATCAGCAAAGCTGCGCAGATTCTCGCTCGCATGATTGACTAAGCTTCCTCCGAGGAGCTTACTTGGGCGATTCGACAAGTGCCTGTTACCTGAGAGTTGCTGACTAGTCTTTGTGGAAGCTAAGACACAATACACGCTCAGTGTTTGAAGACAACGACTGAGGTAAGCGATGCGTATTATATATGCGAATGTATGTGATAATTAGAAAAAGGAAATTGTACTATATAGTATACGACGACGACGATCCAACAGTCTTGACTAGTCCACGTGACCTAAAATTGTCATAACAAACTAATTCTTAGTGATCATGTGTTGATCATGCAGTGGGCGCCGGGAACCCATGGTGTATTTTTGCGCGTGTTGTCTTCAACGTGCTCTCGACTGGCGGCATATTCGTGCAGATGACGGTCCTCAAACACCTATTGAATAAAATTTACCCGTTTTCGTCTCGCCATGAGACGAGCGACGTCGATGAAGAGGAATTCAAGCTTCCGAACATGGCGTCCCTGGTCATCATGATTGCAATGAATTTTCTTCTTCAGGTAAAACATAGCTGTCGATTGCGAGGACGTTGCAACGATCACTCACATAGTATGCTGCGGTCCTCGCAGGTATCTTTTTTCATCGTCGTTTCATCGTCAAACAAGTATGCAGAGTACTTGGGAGGAAGTGCCACTTTTTCTGGTATTATCATCGGCATTCCAACAGCTTTCGCTGGACTTGCTTTGATTCCTTTGACACGGTACGACAAAGGTACGTTCAGATATCTTCCTCTCGTTGTACGGTATTTCAATCTCTGTCATTTCATCCTAGGGATGTACAAAATGCCCCTTCATGTCAGTTGCTGCTTTGCCATTCTAGGTCACATCGCCTACGCTCTTGCTTACCGGGCCAACTTCTTATATCTGATCCTGATTGGCCGCTGCCTCAACGGTGTCGCGTTCTCCGTGTTCATGTACTGCAAACGGTACTGCACGGATCCTCGAATTGTTGGAATCAGACGAAGGACGACACTTGCTAGCTGGTTGGTCATTTGTCAAGGTCTGGGCATGAGCCTTGGCCCATTCCTTGGTGGCGTGTTGTACAATATCGGTTTCTCAAATTCAATTTTCAACGGTTATACAAGCCCAGGATGGGTCATGGCTGGCGTTTACGCTGGCTTCTGGGTCTTGGTAACGAAATATTTTGAGGACATCCCTCAACCACAAACCATGATTGAGTTGCAGTCAGCAACCAATTCAAATGCTCCCTCCGTCTTGGCCGCAGAAGCGAATGGTCGAGAGACGGAGTCTTCTCCTAACTATTCATCAGCACCTGCCACACGCCCTGCCTCACCCACTGACGTATCATTCAGAGCACAGCTCTCGCTGATCACACGGTCCCAATGGGGTGTCATTGCATGCATGTGTTGGTTCTCAATGCTCTGCTTTTTCATCCTGGGCTCTTGGGAAGCGAACTTGCCTGTATTTGGTGCTGCTGCTGGAAACCTTAACTGGTCTCCCTTTGCCGCAGGAAATTTCATCGCTCTAGGTGGAATAACATGTTTCCCTTTCCTCCTCGCGAACCTCCTAGCTGCGCGTCGCACACAAGATCGCAAACTCCTAGCTTTCGGTACGATGATTGGCCTTGCAGGCCTTCTCATCTTTCTTTCCATCCTTCGCACTGGCAAAGTCAATTACGGCTCACTATTCGCATGTTGGTGGGCCGTGGCGCTCGGGTTTAACCTTGCGACTACGGTGACCCTTAGTCTACTCAGCAAGCAGCTCCCACCTGAGTGGAACGGACGCACGTCAATGGCAATTCAATACAGTAATTATACTGGTCGTGTGACGGGCGCAATCTGGGGTGGTTCGGGTGTTTCAGTTGGAATGTTGAACTATGTGGGATTGGAGATTGCTATGGTTGGTATTGGAGCTGTTCTGTTTACAACTTTGTGGAGGGATCTAAAGACGAAGACGGGATGACCTGCTCAGGGGAAGAGAATTTTTCTGCTATCTTGCACTCGGGCTCTATAGAGGCTTTTCCAGTTTATTGTCATCACAACTTGTTAGCATGTATCAGTTAACTTAGAAGTAACAGAATTTACGGGGTCCAAATGACGGGAGGTGTTTGGGGTCTTGTCACTACGCTGATGCATATTGCAACTTGAAGTTGTGTCACTTGTCAAAGGTCCACCTACCATGAAAGTCTTGACCGCACTTTCCATTCATATTCTTTTCGTGTCGCTCGTCTCAGCACACGGCGGCCATGAAGACCCAGAAGAGAGCGCAAAACTTGCCAATGCAGGCTACGCCGTTCGACACGTATGGGAGACCCACACATTGGTCCTGACCAGTGCTAATCCTTCATTGTTAATAGATGGCTTCAGAACACCATATGTGCGCAACTCAAAGATGTCGCAACGTTCAGTTCTGATGAAAGTTGATACAGTGATTCCTTCGACCTGGAGAGTTTCTTCCAACTTCATGATTTGAACAGGTAATGAAACTACAGCCCAGTCGGGAGGATATTCAACCCGTACTTTGCTTTAGAGATGGTGTATGGGACCGGGAAGAAATTGAAGCGATATACGGCGTCCATCATGTGTACTCGCAGAAAAAGTCGAAGGTCCGGTAGCTGCACTGCCCTCACTTGTCGCGTGTTAACGTCATTATAGGACGACATTGAACATCAGAAGAAGGCCGATCACGTTGCCGATACTGTACTCAAGCTCTTGGACAAAGACGGAGACGGAAAGGTCACGCCAGAGGAGTTTTCTGCTGTTGGGACAAATGGCCTTCCCAATTTTGACGATATAGGCGCAGAGGGACATCATTACGACGTAGAAAGCGGTGAGTACTTCTACTAATTCACCTTTCACGACATAATTACTGAGCTCGCAACAAGAATTTTTCTTACACCACGAAGGTTCGTTTGACGCATAGTGCACGTTGATTTGTAGCTCAAAACATACACCAGAACAACATCACTCGACACCTGAGACGCAAACCGACGAATCATATACCCACCCCGAAGACGTTGAACACTTTGCCCAGCACGAAGCCATCGAACTTCAAGAAGTAGAGCGAGAGGCAAAATTCCAAGGGATCACAGTTGAGGAAGCTCTCCGTGCACATGACGAACCCCCCACACGCCCTGCTGACAGCACGCCGAAGCCTAAAATCACTCGTGGTGTCCCGCCAGAGAAGCAAGATCCGGTGGTCAAGTACAAAGATATCGGCAAGGAGCGTAACAGCCAGTCAGATTGGGGGACCGGAGAACAAGGATACAAGCAACCTAACACACCGGTAGAGAAAATGAGGTCAGTTTCACGCTTAACTTCGATATCTGCATCCTAACCAGATTCATTCCTGCGTTGCAGGAAGAACCTCCCATACAAGGTACGCGCTGAGCCTTCTCAACAGCTACAAGTAGAACCGCTAACTCATAGGAACGTATGCAGTATAAATTCCGACGGAATTGGGGAGACTTCTGACGAGACATCTACTTATATTCGTTCACTGCTCTCATTAGGATTCGCTCGCATCTATAGATATCCATATGCTTTGCGTATAGAACGGCGAATAGAATCTATGTATATCGTAGAGAGAACAAAAAAAACGGTTCACCCCTCTCACCGGCCATCAAACATATCGTCCAAAATTCCCTGCTCGACCGCCTCCCAATCGATGTTCCCTCCGCTTGCATACACGCTCTCGTAAGACGTGATACTCACATGGGAGAAGAACGGAATGAGGTCCCTGATCGAGTCAATCTGGCGAATCGACCTTAGCATGGGTTTCCGCAAAGCACGATCAGAATGGGCAGGGAAAGCAAGGGAGGTCGATGTTGGCAGTGGTAGCCCAATGCTGTGTTGTTCCTAGCAGGATTTAAATGGCCACAAGTTCAGAAAGTCAGGAAAAGACAACGTACTCGTGGTTCAGGAATAGGCAAACTGCCTACCACTTCAGCGAGCTGGTCGAACATCGACTCTGGGCACCAATTGTCAGGGCGAAACACGGCATCCACGGTATCGGTGATAAATATCCACTGATGTCTGAGTATGTTGTCAATAGCCATATGCATGTCGAGAGCAAGGGGACCTTACATCTGAAACTCTTCTGTTTGGAGGGTAAGCAGCAAATCGAGACATTTGCTGGCCGAAAGGATGAGTTGTAGATCTTCCGAGCCATCTGAGGGTATCGAATCGATTATTAGCTCGAATATTCGATACTAGAATTCATGTCAGATGTTGAGCAAGATATCGAGTATGTTCATCTTACTAGTTCAGTGAGAATCACGGGCCAAAAGCTCGTCATGCTATGTGCAGCCAGGCGGCACAGCAACACTCGTATGCAAAGGTAGACTTCACATTGAACAATCGGAGATGGAACATTGCGCAGGATATCCACCAATTTCTCTTGTACAGCTGGAAGCTGGGTTAAGAAATGATTCTTCTCCCCTGTGAAGAGGACTAATGCAAGTCGTCGCAAGTTGAGTGATCGCAGGAGCATCTCATGCTTCTCGGTTGGTAAAAATATTGGCTGAGGGCGACGTGGCAACACGGCCTAAACATAATGATCAGTAATGTCAGGTGGATATATATGATGCGTATTTACTAAGCAGATCAGGGAAAGAAGTTTTATCGGCATCAAATAGTGCTTTGATGATGGGTTTCCACTTCGTAGCAACGCTGGAGTTCGAGTTAAAGATGCGGTGATCGTAAAGGACGTCGATCACTGCCCCTCGCCAAACCTTCATGGCAGGAGGGATTTTGATCATCTCCCGAAAGATGTCGACCACAACCGCATCAGCATCAAAAGGCCTTTTATTGGGTTGTGAGAGTGTGACATACAAGGTCGAGTACAAAGCTCACCTAGCTTTCATTTTGATGCCCGGGCTCACGATGTAATATACGATGTTGCTACAAGCACTCGCTACCTTGTCGTTGTCCATTAAAAACCTGCGCAGGTCTGGAACAGCTGTTGACGCTATGAATGCGGTGATCTAACAGATGGTCTCAACTCGCAAGATCTCCGGGAGTTGACAAGCAACTTACCTGAGAGGGCAACTCTGCTCCCCAAGTTGGCTTGGCATTGTCTGAAGGCACAACAGAGCTAGAATCGGCCTTCTCATCCAGCTTCACATCTGAGGCTGAAGACTCATCAGATGCCAGAGAAAGTAGACACAGGGTAAACCACTAACCACCACGAAGAGCAGGGGAGGATCGACCATTGACCAATGACTCCTTTGTGGTACGTCTGATCCAATTTGGTTGATCCGTCGATCTACCCACGAAAGTAACGCATGCATCAAGGAGCTTTCCAAACGTCTCCTAAGTACCGAATTTATCAGAGCTCAACTCATAGAACAACTTTAAAAAGTACCGGACCTGGAGGTCTTTCTTAATGCGCTTGTCGTCAATGGCAGTGGTCTGAGTAACTTTGTCGCCTAGAACACATAAGCACCTAAGAAATCGTGAGCGGCGAAGGATGGTTTTAAGAAATTCATACTTCAATGCCAAGAAGACCTGAACTTTGAAATCTCGACTTGACGCCAGATCTTTGGCAAGTTGCATAAATCGACCCCATACTTGAAGTGCCAGGGGCCCTTCAAGCCGTCGCAAATATTGCTCCAAAAAGTTGAAAAGGACGACATCGGATCTATCAAGTAACAGCAACTCGTTTAATAAGCCACTCGTCGGCTGGGAAGGATAACTCACAGATTCGCATTTGCGGGTCTCCTACTGCGCTCCGAGGTGTTGGAGAGACGTACTGATATACTGTCGCAGATCATATGCACCGCACTTTGTGCGTTAGCGATTAAGACATCGACCAAGTCGAAGACGCCTGTAGCAGACTGATTAGAGCCCTTGGAACGTAACAATGCATCATGATCCCAGCATTCGATAACGGATTCCAACACTTCCGTTGGGTGAGCGCGGAACAAGTGCTCCAGAACTCTTCGACAGCGAGCATGTGTCCGATTATAAATCATAGACAGCGAATCCGCCTCTGGCCGCAGGCCGGTGGTATCATGCCAGACCATGTTGACCCATATCGCAAGCAACACACGGATGCCATCATGGAGAGACTTATAACCAGGCGAGTGTGACTGTTTAGCTGTCAGCTGTGGTAAACTAGACATCAGACGTCACCAAGTCACTCACTGTCAGCTGATCTTCGACAGTAGAAGATGCATTGTCTGTAGTGAAGACATTTGAGACATATCCTAGGATACCTCCCGACTCGGCCCCAGGTTTGTCCTGAACTGGTGTGTCGTCCTCTTGTAAATTGGCATCTGACTTTTGAGTCAAGCCAAGTACAAGTAACCGCTCGAGCGCATTGAGGAGCATGACGAACTCAGCATCAGTCGCAACTCGAGGATATCTCTCGTTCTCTCTCGGCTGGCTCGCCTTAAGCGCATCCGAGAGGAGCAAGCGTAGTTGTCGACAAAGGCAATCAGCAATAGGAGAAATAACGCCCTGAAGGGCAGGCTGGAACTGGGGAACCGCCATCAGCACAAAATCTAACCAGTGCTGCATCACAGGACGATTGCGCGGGACTGCAATACCGTCTATGATAGTTTGTGTCAGCAGTGAGTTGACACTGTAACCTCTTTTTCCGGATTCCTGCGAGCCTTCTGCGCTTCGATCCTCGGGAGGCGGGTTTCCGTTGTAGGCATAAGATGTCGAGGCAGATATGATGGAGTGGAGGAACCGCAGCAACTTGTTTTGCAAGTCCAAGCAATGTAAATGGACGCAGAGGAAAAGCTTGCCAATAACGGCTGGTTCGAGTATTTCAACAGCGAGCATTTCAATTTCCCCACGAGCGACGATGGTTTGGAGGAGGTCTATGGCAGAGGATTGTATGACCGTGTTCAGCGGCTGCATGACCGGAGCAACTTGATCTTTGGGTTCGGACTGAAGGAACCTGTACGAGAATGAAGCGTAATGAAGGATAAGGGTGTGTGTGACTTACCTTGACAACACTTCGATGAGTGCATCGAGGTAACTCGTCTCGGCATCTATCCCGGCTGGTGGAAAATTGTTAAATTACAACCACAGCAAAACTGCATCAATAACCAATACCTGAGCTAAGCCTCTGGAGAAGCACATGGTCGAATGAACGCCTAAAGAATGTGCCGCGCGCAGACTTGGAAAACCCTTGACCGCCGAACTGGACGATCGAAAGTAGAATCTCAAGAAGGTGAGCGACATATCGTTGGTCAAAGGACTTCTCGTAAACGTAGCCCCCGATTTCCTTTGCCGCTCACTCTGCTAACTTTGGGTATTCGACGGATAGAGGGGTCCAGAAGATCGCGCAGGATAGGTTCCAAGACCCTTTTCGATCCATGTGAGCCTTCCACCGGCCAAGAGATCAAAAAGTAGCGTTACCTGATATACGACCTCAGATTGCATCGCATCCACGTTTCTCCAACGCGTCGTAGACTTGGATCATCGTGCTTCAAGGTCTCTAAAACTATCATCAACGGCACTTTTAAGCGCACTCCCGGAAGCGAGTCATCCTCTAAGAAAATTCAGTCAGCAAAATAATGACATAGCAAGCGTTTACTCACCTGACAGTCGCCAAAGCACTCCAAAGGCCTCATGCGCCTCGTAAACGTTTCTCGACTCGGGAGAACACATGCTCTGCGCTATTATCGACTCGACTTCATGAGGCCGCGACAATGATTCTATCGACCATATGAGGTTGACAGCTCGCGCATGACAAGTTGCCAGGTCTTGGTGGAGGTATCTGAAAAGCTACGAAGCCAAGCTTTATTGGATTGGCTGCGAATGTAGTCAAACATGCAAACCTTCTTTACCATGCGACTAACGACGGGTCTCCTATCCATCGATAACTTCGGGCTAAGCTTCTGCGAACCGTGCAAAGACAATATCAAAGACACCGCCTGGTCTACCAGTGTGAAATTGACAGTCTGAAGATATATCAGTTTCCTACCTAACAGCCAGGGAGCATTACGTGACATACCTCCAGGTCAAGACAATCGAGCATAGAATGCAGCCATTCAGAAGGGTCCCACGACATCCCGAGCGTCGCATCACAACTTCTGCCCACCGCACGCACAATGTTCGACAAGACCCGTAACACCTGTGAGAATGCCGCTCGAAGTTCTATTGAGCCGCCATGCTGAGTCGAGAGCGATCGAGACAGTGCTTGACTAGTGGAGAACATATGTTCCAAAACAGCCACCAAAGGATTGACCACTCGACTGCTCGGTCTCGATTCGGTGAAATCGAGTCCGTAAAATGCATAGGAGAACGCGAGTGAGCTGAGTGACGAAGCCGATGTTTGAAGTGCTGCATTCAGCCCAGGCCGCTGACTGAGAGATTCCAGGGGTATATGTTTGAATATCTCCTCTTGAAGAGCTAAACATTCTCGAACGGAAGCTTCGGCAGCCTTGGACGGGTCGTTGTTGATTTCGCGCTGTATCGTGGGTCAGCTTCTGCACCACGTGCCCTAAACAACGATCGTACCTGCAGCCTGTCCGTTATGGCGGCAAAAATGACTGGTAAGTGAATGCTGCGAACTTCGTCATCTTGCAGAGGGAGTGAACGCAGGAGGAACAAGGTCAAGTCGATTGCCTGAAAATGATGTTAGCATGAACTACCCGAGTCGTAGTTGCAGCAAAGCCCACCCCAGTTTTCTTGTCTTCGGTTAAGTCTTTCATTATTGCTGCCAATAACTGCTTCCAAAGAATACTGGGCTCGACAGCATCATATAAAGTACTGGCGGTCATAGAAATCTGGAAAGATATATTCAAGTTGCTCACACCTTTAAAGCACGAAGAAAACAGGACCTACATCCTCATTACGCTCCTCCGCATCCCGCTGCATGAGAAATCGGATCGCCTTAAGAGCATCCAATACAAGAACATCCGTCAAAGCTGATCCTATCTCCCACTTATCCAGCAGCGAAATAAAGATCTTGAACGGTCTAGATTCAGAGTACTCCCCTGAAGGCGCAAACATTTCATCCTAATGACAATCATTAAAGTCTCGCGACTATCTAAATTGCAACCTACCTTGAGTGTGGTGTTCAATAACTCGAGAGCATGCTGTCGCAGATACACGATTTGGTTCTCGCTCTTTTCGTCCGGTCCCAGTAGCCAGGTATAAAGCCGACGATTGAGTGATAGATCTCGGCGGAGGACTACACCGGTCGCAGCTCTCATAAGGATGACGGAGTCTTCTGAATGCGCTCGTTTGATAGCGGCGCTATCGATCCGCATCGACTGCAATAGAATATCGAGGGCGCCTCTGCGAACCAACAGATTGTCGTCTTCGAGCGCAGCTGCGAATGCACGGATCATAAGCCCTATGTCTCTACCTACTATCTGAGTGATGTCTAAAGAATACTGAGTGGTGGAATATACTACTTAGAAAATTCTTACCTTCGTCTGCATGTAATCGAGGTAGTCGGCGAGAGAGGAAGTTCAATGCGGTTCCCCGTGCGGAAGACATCGTTATCATGATGAGCCATATGTTCTGGATAAAGAATACAGGGGATACGGTTCCCGACAATCGATCGAGTAGATTTAGCACCTATAACAATTGAATTAACACACTCATCTGTGACATGTAACAGCGACATACCTTTTCGAAGAACTCGCCAGTCTCCTCTTCAAGACCCGGAAGCAAGGCAAGAATGAACGACTTCATCACGGGGCGCAGACCAGCTTGTAAAGGCAAGTAATGCGTGTCATATATGGTTAGCAGTATCGGCTGTCTCAATCAGTACTGGATGAAGCGGATCACGGGTGAGGATCATACCTTGACTGATGTAGCAGCATACTCGAAGAACGGGAATAGGCCGGAGGACCATAATGGTAGGTCCCGTTTTAGACCTTCGGTCTGGTATCGCAGACCACATCAGAGGTTACCATATGATGATCACGTTGCACTCACTCCAAGTACAGAAAGTATATGCGTATAAACATCAAGGGCGCGCTGGTGCACGCCAGTTGGTAGAGCGGGATTCAAGCACTGAGACAACCGTTTGGCAACAATTAGCTTATACGGGATCTCCTTGAATTGCATGTAGGATTGAAATGTCTGTAAATGCGCAACCACGCTTTATCAATACTCCCAGCCAAGCATGTAAGAAAAGTACCTTCAACAACTGCTTCAGAAACGCGATACAGTCCGCCCACTCATGCACATTATCGAATGCATTGAGACACTTCTCCACTTGTTGTGTGTACTTCTTGTACTTCGGATCAGAAGCATATGTTTGATGCACTGCAGTGACCCAAGTCAGCCATTTAAAATTAGACCATCAGAACCTGTATTAGAGCGTACATTTATCTCTGGTACTCGATTTCGTGGGGTCTACCGCAGCCGCATTCGCGCCTGAGTTTCCACCAGTGCTGGTCTGCGGTATAGCAGGGCTTTTACTCGACATGGTTGGTTGAGACGCGGCCGGTAGATGGTTGTATGCCCTGACCCTGCAAATGACCTACTGCGAAGCACTACGGGCCGCGAATTCGAGTAGAGAGCGCGTTCAGAGAGGCTGGATGTTGCAAGCTACGTATTAGTGTGTACCAAATTGGATCGAAGTCATGGTCACAGCTTCGTCACATGAGTAGCCCGTCACACACCCCTCAGTCATGCGCATTGCGCTGTCATCAGTGCATGCTGCAAACCAATAATAATAGAACGATACACCGAGGGTATAGTATGTAATTAATGCAAGATACAAACATAATTAGACGATAAACCACCTATGACTCCATCTTCTCTGGCGTGTTCTGTACGAGAGGGTCATTGCCCTCCGCTTCAGACGCCGGCCCAGCGACAATATTGCGCATCTTCGAAGGAGCCTTCACAGGGTGATGATCAGGAATAATAGACCCTGCTCGTGAAGGCGCAGCTGATATGCCGGACGCAGCACGGGAGGCTTTGGATTTGCTAGACCCCTTTCCGAGCAACGGCGCAGATATTGAACCACCGCCTTTTGGCATCGCAATCTTGTCTGCGTCGCCGTTCTTATGAGTTGCGGCTGTTGCATTGGCAAATTCAGACTCTTTGTCGCCAACCCATGATCTAGCGAACCATCGCCCGCCTGCGATGCCCCGTATTTCACGGTTTGCGGTTCTCCAACGACGTACTTTGGTTCCGCTTCGATCGAGGGGCAACATGGGTGCGAAGCCTGTTCCAATCTTTGGGGGAGGTTGGACGGGGAACGGCTTGGACGGTAGAGGGTAGACAGGAAGGGGCGCAATTTCTGCTATGCCCTCGGCTGGAGGAGGAGCAGGCGCATGCTCCATGTCCTCATGCTCAGAACCGCCCTCACGAGCAAGAGGAAGTGGTGATGACGGTGCAGTACCGGCGTATGCTGATGCAGAACGAGTTAATCTGAAGCCTATGTGAAGCGAGATAGTACTTACACTCACTCAGTGCTCCATCATCCAACGGAGGCACTGCCAAAGTCTTTACCGCCCTGAGAGCCATTGAATGGTTGAAATAATCTTGATTCTGATACACGTACTTTGGAGGGGCCTTTGCTCTGGAACGTTGAGTAGCAGCAGGCCTACGGGGTGCTGCCCTCTTCTTCGGTGGTGGTTTATCAGCAACCGCGGATATACTGACATCCTGAGCATCAGGTTGCTCGCCTTGTTCTACTAAGTTATACTGTTTAATAGACCTTGGTTGAGTAGGAAGAGGGGCTAACCATGCGGCTTTTTGTCGATATCCTTGTCCTGCTTTTCACTCTTCCTTGGCTTTGGCTTCCTCGCTGGCGCCTTCCGCTTCGTACCACCGGTTGAGACAGTAACTGCAGGGGTAGCAGCAGACTGTTGCAATTCGTCTTCGTCATCAATGAGCTGATCCTCCTCGTCCTCCTCTTCGACGTCATCATCACTTTGGGGTCGTGTCTGCGGGGCAGGCGGTGGTGGTGGGGGAACGGGTGGTTGTGGAGCAACCTTCTTGTTGCTAGCTGGTACACTAGGTGAGGACGACTTTCCCTTGCCTTTTTTCTCTGTTACCAGCAACTTTACACGGAATTTTGAAGTTCGAGAAGGCGGAGGAGTGTTCTCTTCCCTGAGAGTTGAAATCTGAGGAGCATCCATATCCACATCCTCGTCCATGTTTTTTTTGACAGTAGTATCCTTGAGAAGCTTGTCAAATGTGTCGCAAGCGCTGGCGTGGAGGTCAACAGATGAGGGAAGAGAAAGTTCAAGCTACTTATGCATTGGCCAGTTGTGAACTGTGGGTAGTCTGTAGGTTGGACCGGGCTACTCGGAGCGCCGGGAACTGCAACTTCCACTTGCTCGTCATTTTGAACAATGAGGTCAATTTCACGACAAGGTATCTAGTCCAATCTTTCTGATTTCGATTCATATCCCTCCCATTTACTCAAACTGTCATTGACATCCAGCATCCGCGTTCCATAGAAAATATGAGCAGTTGGCTTCGCAATATCCCACCCAACAATCTTCCTTTCCTCATTTCTACCCAAGGTTGCGCCCCATATGCTAACGCGGTTGGTGTGAGAGTTGTACGACGCAATCCCAACGCCGCAGGTTTTGCACCTGAATCGTCGCTTGTACGGCTTGAGGGGATTGTCGTAGAAGTCTAACTGAGACTCGTGTGGTTCTGGATGTGTCCATGTGAACGCAGAAACGTCGAAATGCACAGTGTGAATGAATGGACACGCTGGGATCGAGAATTATTATTCGTGACCAAAATCAACGTGGTCCCATCTCACAAGTCAATCTCTGGCAGTTCGAACAGTGACAATACGCGCTCAAAACCGGAGGGGTAGAGATGGCGTATGAAACAGCCTGGCAGAAACAACTGCCCTGTAAGAGCGGGACGTGGTCCGTCATAAGTTACTGCAGGTCTTCAGGATGATCAAGTGCGCCGTTCCGGAAGACATGAGATTACGTCAGCGGCAAACGCCGACTTGCTCCGCTAGGTTGGTCGGGAAGAACGAAACTTGCAGAGTAGCTTTTCTATAAGCACAACTAGGCAGGTCCGTCTTCCGTTACTTGCATCTGCTCGCTCCGCTGACGTTCGAAGTGCACTCTTTTCTTTTAGAAGTTCCCGGTCGAAAGTCCAAAAAAAGGTCAAATAATGTCCACCACACTTAACGTGCGCCGTTCTTCGCATTTACAGTCTGTTAAACTCAAGCGTCTGCATGTGGTTTCGTTCTAGGTTGCTCGTTACAGCGCTCTCCTGTCGGGTGTTTTCTATGGCATCTACCACCGCCGGTCGCTGCAAAAAGCCCATGACTCAGACAAGGAACACCACGCTATACATCAACGTGAACAGTTGATAGCGCAAGCAAAGGATGCATGGAGATACAAGCAGGAGAATGCAGAGGGGTCGAACGGCGGTGAGTCCTAGCTTTCATTTTACACCCATGATTTTTCCCTGTGTCAAATTTCGCCCTTGGGTCTTGTACTCATGTTTCGCACTCCCATCCGCGTTTCCTATTGTTCGAATTCGTGTGTACTAATCCTAACTTTGCGCTGTAGTCATCACAAACCCAGAAGACCCACAGTTCGACCTCGAGAAGCTCGTTGCTAAATGGGAGAAAGAACTATAATGGTCTTGTCGCCCTGCTTTCGTCCGACAACTCCTTATATACCTATAGACCACCCAGAGTCCCAAACTGCTATTTCACTCTTGGTGCAGACGTGAATTCGGAATATGAGAATATCTCACCTGAACTACAGCGGTTTGAACTGCCCCTCAAAACGCGTTCAATCCGAGCCTTTATAGGCACGATGTTGAATGAACATAGCGCCGGATAGCAGTTGAAATGAAGTTTGGGAGTACACAATCTTTTGTTAGACCGTTCTCGGACCCGGGTCCGTGTCCGGACAGAAATCGACCGTTTCACCCGGGTTCGGGTCCTGATATCAAACGTCAAATGTGGTGGTCCACCCATATCGCCAGTCCGGACATCACTGCGCGTGAGGAGGGTATGCTGGGTACAATCCGGACATTGGGCCTGGGAGGGTATGATATCAGAAGATGATGTAGTGTAATACTAAGGTTGTCGTCTAAGCGGATGTAAAATTTCAAATGTTAAAGAGATCTTGCACGACAAGAGAAATATAAAGTATCAGTGAACATTTTGTTACTGTCTGAACATCAATGATAATAAGAAATATAAATATATCTTTAATGCTGGCATAAACTTCGAAATGAAACTTCACATTTAAGACTCGAAAAAACTTCAACTATCGCACGTGACTGAATATCTGCTCATGTATGAAGTTTAGACCGTCGCTTAGACGGGCGTTAAAATTCAAAATACCCCCTGACAATAAAACGTAAAATAAATCATCAAGTTTTATCTCCAGATAAAACCGATCGCCTGACGATTGCCCACTCACGGCTGAATCATCGCCCACTTACAATGTCATCACCCACTTAAGTTTGAGATGCAAAATATTACGGGACTAGACAATGAGTTATATACATGTACGTGAATCTATGTAGTAGAGTGAAACTGAAAATCAATCCTGTTTGACAGTAGTCAGACACCGGTGATTTCGGGAGGTGAATGAATGTACTCACGTGAGATAGAGATAATATGACTACCATATCACTTGAAACTGCCCATCGAGCAAAGTGACCAACAACCCAGGATACCTTGACATTTTCCAAATGACTACTTGAGCTTGACAAGTACATTTTAGTGGGAAAACGAGGATACATAGCAAATGGATCAATGGTCTGATCATGACGCGGGAGGAGCTTGTGGACAGCAAACACCAGTTCACCTGTGGGCATAGCATAGATATGTTGGATACTGCCAGGGACAGGAGACGATGACTGGTCACCCTGAGGATAAAAAAAACTTGACTATTCCTGACGTGAGTAGAGGCTCTGCCGTAGACAATCCCGTTGAATTCTAGTTGTGTGTGTAATATTGCTGTGCGTTGTTTTATAAGCGCAAACAAGTCTTCAGGAACAGCCACAGCTACAGCGGAGGAAGGAGCCTGTAAACTGTCGTCCAAAGGATCTTCAGCAAGTTCTTCACTGAGAGTTGAAGCGCTCTTGGGAGCATACGTGCTGTCAAACAGAAATTTGCACTCTTGAATAGCTGGTGGACAATCAAGTTGACTAAGCCAATGGTGAAGTTTTGAAGTTTTGATAAACAAGTATAACATGGTAGTTTCCAACTCGCCTTGAAAAGTCAGTCCCGCTATTACACACTGGTGTTCTGTAAAGACTCACCAGTCTTATAGTTTACTGGAAGATGCTGAAGTATTCCAATCAAACGTTCGAAAGGAAAGCACCACCAAGAGGCCAAATAGAAGTAGATAGTCGTATATATGGAAGGCAGCATGGTGATTTGGACACAGAGCGAAGGTAGGGTATATCTTCTTCAAATTTCCAACATAATGCGCAATGTGAGAGTGATACACATGTGCTCTCTCTGCAGTCGTTGTTCGGGCGCACATGAGATACATGGCACTTAACGAGGGAGAGAGAGCGAACCTTGCAGTGGAGCCCATCTTTGAGGCCACAGAGTCAGATTTTGTGGATGAAGATGTGGTAACTCACTGGCAGGAGTTTGCTCTAGCAGCCGCAGAAGTGGAACCAACCCTGAGCCAGGCGTTGAATGGTCCAGACGCAGTAGAATGGCAGGAGGCGATAGACTACAAAATAAGTCAACTTGAGAAACTGGGAACGTGGGAAGTCGCTGACAAACCATCAAACACTAACATCATCCCATGCCACTTTGTACTAGCTACTAAGCGAGGCCCTGACGGCCAGAAGCTGAAGCTTCATGCTAGGCTCGTCGCGAATGGGCAGCGCCAGCAATACGGCCATGACTACTTCGAGACTTTCGCACCAACTTCCAACATGTCTACCATAAGGACTGTCCTCACCATGGCCGCTCAGCAAGACTGGGAGATTCATCAAGTAGACATCAAGAGCACCTACCTTTATGTGGAGATCAAGGAGACCATCTATATGAGGGCGCTGCCTGGATACTTGAAGAGGGGAGATGAGGACAAGGTGCTGAGACTGCTGAGGAGTTTGCCCAGGTTGAAGCAAGCTGGTTTTGAATGGTCAGAGGAGTTGGCTGGCACATTTAGAAAGATGAGATTCTCTAGGTCCCAGGTGGATGTCATTGATGCTATATCCATGGTGGTAATTGGTGTTGCACTCTGTCACAAGCACCTCAATATGAGGGCAATGATCACACACTAGATAGTAGAACATACCTGCACAATAGAGGTGGATAGAGTATATAGCAATTGGGCCATCGTCCAATGTATATAGAACGATCTGTCATTGCTCGGCTTTCTTGAGGACAGAAGCCTTCGCATGAGCGGGACAGCCTTCGGTCAGGCACATCTGGTGAGGAGGATAAAGTGCTCATGGTGCTATCGATGCTCTCAGTAGTTATCCCTGTACAAAATGATAATATGCACTGATTCCATATTGTCACCCATGATTTGCAAACAAGGGGAACATGTCCTCGATACCAAATATATCTCCATTGCTATGCCACACAACATCCTTGAGAACCTTCCAGTACACATCTACATCACTTTCGCTGAGATCACAACAGGCTGCCAAGAACAAATTGATGGCAGGAGAGATAAAGTCGGGAGCAGTATTGGAGGGGTGTGATACAGCTTGGACGAGTAAGATGTCGTTCCTAAGTGTCGATGCCAGGGTTATGAACCTGAAAAGGCTACTAAATGTCAATGGCGAGCCAGGGGAGAGTTCGGCCTGTAGTGTTTGCAGTACTGCAAGCGCTGGCTGGGTAGCAGCCATGGTCACCATGTCAGCCAACATGCACAACCCATTTGCATCATGGCTGTGGGTCACGTGGTATGTTGTGACTGTGAGATTTGCATTATGCAGGCAAGTGGGACGGATGGGTTGGATATCCCAGATGTCCCGGATATTCTGGGATTGAGATGTCCTCAACATAGGTGAATACACTGTGGGAAGTAGAACAAATGAATTTCAGTAGGTTAGCCACTGAACCGATTAACTTCAAGCATAACACTGAATCGACCAGCAAGTGTATTCATTAGGGGAGTTCAAAGTTGATTTCGGAGGCCGATTTGGACATCAATTTGGACTTGGATGCTCAAAAACGTCGAAATCTGATTTCAACTTTGACATCCCTCAATTTCGACCTGATTTTGACAGATTTGACACCACCATTTTCACTTTGCTGTGTCGGAGTTTAATTTATTGTTGTTCGACATTTGTGGTAGAATGCATCAAAAACCTTTGTAAAAACATCATGCCCTTCCTGACTGAACGCCAAAAAGCTGCAGAATCCATGCTTGAGGCATATCTTGCAGCACTTGTAGCAGAATCCCAAGTCCTTGTCGATCCTACCTCTTCTAGTTCTGATTTGAGTTCTTCAGGAAGTTCTGACAGCTCAGAGTCAGATGATGACTGGCTGATGCCTACAACCAGTGATGTTTTACTTGGTGTGGTAGGCTCATTATACTCTCGGAGATACCTTGTAGACAGGGAGCCAATTGTCAAGACTGGCAAAAATTTGTGCCTTCTCCTTGTGGAGTGGAAATTTACACAACCTGAGATTTTCAGAGCCTATGTTCGGGTAACCCCTGATTGCTTTGATGTGCTTGTCTCTGCCCTGCAGGATGATCCAGTGTTCCATAGCCACATCAGCAAAACCCTGATTTGGCTACAGCGCCACAGCCACACAGTGTGTCACAGGTCACACAGAGTTTTTTGTAAAGGCTCTGCAGCATCACACAGGTACTGATTCTATGTAAAAATGAGTGTAATCTAGTCACAAACATATATATAACAAGATGGTATGCTAACAATTATGTTTTATTGAGAAATTGTGTAGTGTGCAACACTGTGCAGCGCTGTACATGGGGGGACCTCGCTGTGACACTGTGATTGCTGTGCAGTGTTGCACAATGCTGCACATAGGGTTAGGGTTTTGCTGATGCAGACCAATGTCCCACAGATGCCTATTGAAGCACAGGTAGCAATTGCTTTATATCATTTTGGCCATTATGGCAATGCAATCAGCACTCAATTAGTAGCTCTGTGGGCTGGTGTTGGTTATGGCACTGTTCACCTCATCATGCAGCATGTTATGAAGGCCATCTGTAGTGATTGCTTTCGCCACTCTGCCCTTTACTGGCCAATGTCACATCAGCAAAACACTTTTTTTCCCACCACCAAAAAATGGCTGGCCACAGCTTGGTCCCTTCTGTACAGAGCTGTACAGAGCCCACAGAGGCAAAGTGATTTGCTGATGCAGATGAGAAAGAGGAGGCAAAGATATGGGTGGAGGAGAACTCCTGTCCTGCTTGGCAGGATGGTTGGGTGATGGTCGATGGCACATTGGTTCCACTATATGCTTGACCTGCTTTTTATGGGAACACTTGGTATGACCGGAAGTCTAATTATTCTCTTAATGTGCAGGTATTTGCATCTCTGATACCTTGATAGTGCAAATATCTAATGTTGGCAGTAGATTGTTTTGACTCCTGACTTGTGCACCATTGATTATTCAGTTGGCCTCCCTGGTAGCCAGCATGATGCAACTACATGTGGTGAGTAATTATATCGCAGGCCTTTGGGGATGTTCTAAAGAACAAGTATACTAATGACTCATTAGCTGCGTTCTAATCAATATGTAGAGACTATCAACTCACATCTCAGTCTCTTGGAAAAGGCTGAGATGTGCTCATGCTACTAGTGGCATTCTTATAGTAAGCTATGTAGAAATGAAAAATATATCAAATGAATAAGTAACATATTGCAGGACACGAGCCGACATCAACACGTCGCTCGTCAATGTCCGTTTTGGCTTGGGCTCGGACCACCTGTCACTCTCCCTCCTCAACCATCTCGGATTGGTCTGTTTTCTTTGTCTCTGATTGTTCTGATCGTTTGGACTCCAACACTCCCCCTTGAGCACAAGCCAGGGACATTTGCCCTCGTAGCTTTTGCAGGCGCGGCCAAGGTAGGGCCTTGGTGAATGCATCGGCGACATTATGGTCAGTCGGGCAGTAGAACAGTTGGAAAGTCTTGTTCTTAACGTGGGAACGGATGAAGTGATACCGTAAGTTGATGTGCTTGGTTCAGGATTGGAATTTTCCATTTGACGCAAGCGCTATTGCTGCTTGATTGTTGCAGAAAATGGGGGTAGGGAGTGGGGTTGGTTCATAGAGCTCTCCAATGAGGTACTGAAGGTAAAGTACTTCTCTTGCAACACTAGTCAGGGTGATGTACTCAGCCTCTGCAGTAGACAACACGATCAGCAGCTACTTTTGTGCACTCCAAGTGACGGGGCCGCCGTTTAGCATGACAATATATCCAGACATCAAATGTCTGTGGGGTTGCGATGCCCAGTCAGCATCGATGAATGCCTCAATACCTCCGTCCATGGAACCAAGGGTAAGTTCAAAATCCACAGTACCCTTCAGGTAACGCAATGCGCACTTGGTGGCTTCCCAGTGGGTCCTACCAGGGTTGCGCATAAACTGCAACAGGGTGGCAACGGCAAATGTGATGTCAGGTCATGTGCTGGTGGCTGTGTACATGAGGGATCTGATTGCTCGTTGATATGGTACATCGCACATCGCCTCTAGCTGCGCTGCTGTACCAGGAGACTGATCAATGGATAGGATAGCACCTGGTTCCATTGGTGTTAACGTGTTCTTCGCATCCCCTAGGTAAAACTGCTCGACTATGGTGTCCACGTAGGCTTTCTGGGATAGAGTCAAGGTGCGCGCTTCATGGTCTCTTGTTACCTTAAGTCCTAACAACCGGTTAAGCTCCCCTAGATCCGATATCTCGAAGAATTCGAGCAGCTGCACTTTAAAGTGCTTGATGTGGGAGATATGGTTGGCGGTGACGGCCATATCATCGACTGATACAGTGATGACGATATGTTCCTTATTGCCGCATTTGAAGTAGACTGCCTGGTCGACCTTCGATCGCGTGAAGCCCAGCTTTGCAAAAACGCCCGCTAACTCTTCTGCCCACTCGAAGCCTGCTTGCTTCAGCCCAGGTAAGCTTCTCAGCAACCTTAACACCTTTCCTTGCTGCCCATCCTTCAGATAGCCAGGCAGTGCCCTCATATATATCTCCTCCTGGATACTGGCATAGAGGTATGCACTTTTGATGTCGACTTGATGTATCTCCCAGTCTCTCTGCACAGCCATCATCAGAACCGTTCGAATGGTGTGCTCATGTTGGCGGTGGGCACGAACATGTCGAAGTAACTGACTCTGTACTGTTGCCTCTGACCATTCGCGATGAGATGGGCCTGGAGTTTGAGTTTTTTTGCCATTGGGACTGCGTTTGGTGGCCAAGACGAAGTGACATGGTATCAGATTTGCATCATGAGGTGCGTCTACTATCTCCCATGTCCCTAGCTTCTCGAGCTGACTGATTTTGTAGTCTACAGCTTCCTGCCACTCAACTCTGTCGGGGCCGTTCAGGGCTTGCTGCAGGGTTGGTTCTGGCTTGGCGGCTGCTAAGGCAAGGTGGATATGGGGCTCCTCATCCAGTAAGTCCAATTCTGACACTTCTAGCAAGGATTCGATCGCGACTGATGCCGTCTGTCCTTCCTGCAGTCTTGCATAGTACCCAGGAAGAGGTCTGTTTCGCGTGACGTGTGGCACTGGCGGTGGGGTGACTTGCTTGGCGGTTGGTCTGGGCGGTGTAGAGGGTGCCTGAGGGATGGTCTGGATGCCTTCTGCATTGCCAGGGTTGTTTGGTAGGTTGTTGGGTGCGTCGCTCGCAGTGGCGGAACCACTTGGCTCCCCCTCGTCCATGACATCCTCTGGTACCAGTACCTCTGTGGGCGTGAAAGTGACGCTGCACTCCATGGAAATGCGATGTTTCATCGGCCAGTAGACCCTATATCCCTTGCTTTCTACATCCACTCCAACGAAGATAGCTTCTTCTGCCCTTGCCTCCAACTTACCCTTGTCCTGAATTCATGCACTTGCGCCAGGCTTGGCTTCATATTACAAATGAGTTCGTAGGGTGTAGTGGTGGGGGTCACATGGGAGGGAAGTCTGTTCTTCAACCAGGTTGTGTAGCTCACTGCTTCGGCCCACAGGAACTTTGGTAAGTCCTTTGCGATAAGCATTGCGCGCGTGCGCTCCACTAACGTTCAATTAAGATGTTGTCATGAATGTTACCAACTGCATCTAAATTTCGATTATCGAACCCTAAGTCACCTTATCCGATAAGATTAGATTAGATAGATCCCTGATAAGATAAGATGGATAACCGGCTAACGACCACTATCTTTACATCACATCTATACTACATCGACGTCATCCATCCTTATCCGTAACCATAGACATACGAACTCATCACATCCTTAGAAGTCCTACGATTAGGCAACGGGTTACATCATAAGCATCTACATGCCTCTATGATCGAACCATAACCGAGAGTACTTTACGGGTTATCTCTCGAAGAGTCATCATCCCTTCACATCGCAGACCTTCACATCTTCACACATGACATGTTAAGAGTTACCTCTGTCATTTACCGAACCCCTTACATTAGAACCTGTTGCACAGTCACAGCAAGAACCCCGAACCCCTATCACAGAAGCATCGCTCATAGAGAAGCATGTTCATTACCGAAGACTCTGGAGAACCCTTAGATCCGATCATACTCAATACATCTCCAGATCCAGATCCTATCTAGATCCTCAGATCTAGATCCCAAGATCCATCTCTTATCGAGATCCTTAATTACCGCTCGAGACTTCTTATCACAGAACTCTCTCACACCCTTCTTAATCTTCGTCCACCCTGAATAGAAGCAGTCCCTGAGAACCCTGCTTAATTACTGATACCCTTGGCCCTATGAACCCTTTACCCTTCTCTTCTTGTAGTTGATTGGTTGATAAGACGCCCTATACCTTAGGTGCAATGTTATGACCGTATATAGTTATATCACATACCTTTCATACTCAGATAGCTCCGCCCCAATAGTAGTATATAGTCTAGGTAGTAGTCAGTAGTACTCCTTAGACTTAACCTCCTCGTTTCTACGTTATCGTAGGGCCTAGACGTTCCCTCTCAATCCTACCCTTGTTTTATCCTCTTCAGACTGAGTCCTGTGGTGTGATTCCAACTCCAGACACCTACTAGTTAGGTTAAGGGACGTGGGTCATAACAGATGTTCTGCCACGCCGTTCTGCTGGGGTGAGTCATGTACTGTCAATTGACACAAGTAGTCATCGAAATCAGCACTCAGATATTCTCCCCCTCGGTCCGAACGGACTTTAGCCAAATGAACACCAGGAGATTGACGCGCTAGCCATGCCTCATATGCCTTGAATGCGGTGAGTGCCTCACTTTTGAGCTTCAAAAATTGAAGTTTCGTCTGACGACTATAGTCGTCAGTAAAGCTGATATAGTATAGGCACCCGCCTAAACTCGCGGTCTGCGCTGGCCCCCAGAGATTGATATGTACCAACTCTCCATATCTGAGTGTGCGTCTTGTACTTTCATCTGGGAATGGCTTTCTGGCTGACTTCGCTTTGACACAGATATCGCAGAATTCTGGTTTCAAGTTAGGGTCTATTTCAACGCCTGAGATGAGGCCCTTCTTCACCGCGTCTATGACAGCGGTTTGAGAGATGTGTCTGAGGATGTGATGCACCTCATTAACGGTAAGCTTCATGGTTGCAACCTTAGTGTGATGTCTCTGACGACTCACTACCACACTATATAGACCCTCTACTTGAGGAATTTCTGCGATGACGCGGTGCGGTGGCCCTTTCAACAATATCTTGCACATGCAGCCTTCAAAAAGGACAGCTAGGCCCCCTGCCATGATGCGATTGGTGGAAATGAGGGTAAAAGCCATGGTAGGTGCATATAGCGCATTCTTCAGTGTCACCGTTGTGTGCTTCTCACCGAGGGGTAGGTCAATCTGTACATCTCCTCATCTGATCGTGCTAAGAGTCGAACCGTCTGCAGTATGCACATCTTGGGGAGGAATGGTAACGAAATTGGTGAACTTTGAGCAATCGAGGCAGAAATGTGACGTTGCTCCTGAGTCGACAATTGCACCTCTCTTCTTGATGGGTAAGCCCAGGTCTTTCGCTACACTCGCTAAGTCTGACATGACGAAAGTGTATTGATCTTGGGAGTCGGCCTCAGCTGCAGAATTTGCCGCTTGCTTCTGAGTCTTTTCCCCTCTCTTCCTCTGCTGGTTCGGACCTTGTCCTTCCTTCCTCCCTCCAGGTCTCCAACAGTCTGTTTTGTAATGACCCTTTCGGTCACAGTCAAAACAGGTAACATCGGGGTTAGTCTTGTTGGTGGAGGATGGTGAAGTCCGCCCTTTGCCTTTTGCCTCTTTTATGGCAAGAGAGCTGCGCTAGCTCCCTTCTTGCTGGGGCGTCATTCGGTAAGCTGTCTGTGCTCGTACTCTTCAGTTATGATGGTGACCAGTTCATAGGATGTGACAGGAGTTTTCATGATCTTCGAGGCTGCTGTGATGGACGACAGGAGTGGTCTATAGGACTCAGGGAGGGAACCCAGGATGATCGCATGAAAATCTGGGTTGGTGATCGCAATGCCCATGCCTGCAAGCAGTTCACGGAGCCTCATGAGCTCTGCAAAGTGAGATCTGACGTCTCCTCCCTCATCACACTTCGTCTCTTGCATCTGACGATGTAAGTCTATCTGGACCAGCTCTGTCTTCCCCTCATGGATCTGACATATCTCTTCCCAGATCTTTGATGCATCCTTCAGCTTCAACTAGACGTGCAGTAATAGCTGATTGGTAATTGTGCTAAATATCTGCTGTTTTACCAGTGAGTTTTCTGGTGGTACTTGTCCATACATTTATCAAGTTCATCGTAATCCGCCTGCGTAGGCGTTGTCCCATCCAGCTTCACGATAGCCTTCATCTTCGGGTCAACCACGAAGGGTTTCGGCTCACTTGCTCGACCATCAGTATACCACATCAGACCTCTAGCGCCAATGGCTGTTAACGTCCGTTCCTTATAGGTTATCCAGTTCGAGCTGTCTTCGGCAAGCTTCGGGATGTTAAGCAGGGTGGTGTTGGAGCTGGGGAGCGAAGTATTCATGGTCGAGACAGGGCTCATAACCTGTGGTGAGTAATTATATTGCGGGCCTTCAGGGACGTTCTAAAGAACAAGTATAATCTCAGTCTCTTGGAAAGGGCTTGTGCAACTAGCTAAGTACCTAAAGAACAAGTATACTAATGACTCATTAGCTGCGTTCTAATCAATACGTAGAGACTATCAACTCACATCTCAGTCTCTTGGAAAAGGCTGAGATGCGCTCGTGCTACTAGTGGCGTTCTTATAGTAAGCTGTGTAGAAATGAAAAATATATCAAATGAATAAGTAACATATTGCAGGACATGAGCCGACTGTTACAGGGACTCTCAGACCCCTATCGTCTCCGCCAAACATCGCTGTCACAACCGTGTCACAACACGTGACAGATGATGTCACCGGCACGTGACTAAACTGCAGAGCACAGCATGACAGCTGTTGGAGCAAGACAGCTCTGGAACCGACCTAGACCGGGATCAATAGAAGCCGCGCGCTTCTCCCTTATCACCCCTACCAATACACCGGTACTGACTATCGTTTATCCTATCACTTATCATGACAGATAGCATTATCTGACTTGGACACCTACCACTGCGCTGGTACCATACCCTGGACCCTTACCGTTGAACCGGCACCCTTATCTCTGAGTCCTTATGACTCACATAGATGCTTACCTAGTTGGGACGCTTTCTGGCTACCCAAGCCTACCCTGAACTCATAGGACGATACCTATATATACCACAGTAGTTAGACCATGTATTCTCTAACTTGATCTTCACTTGTGATATACGACTCTAGCTTCTTCTTTGAACCTTTAGTCAGTCATTCTGGATGGACAGCCTCCATTCAGTCTTCCATCGTCCTGGTGCTCCATGAAGCAGACACGGGATTGACCCTATCAAGTGCACTGTTGGAAAGCCGGGCTTTCCCGTAACACCGACGTCAACACATCGCTCGTCAATGTCCGTTTTGGCTTGGGCTCGGACCACCTATCACTCTCCCTCCTCAACCATCTCAGATCGGTCGGTTTTCTTTGTCTCTGATCGTTCAGATCGTTCGGACTCCAACACTACATTCTCTGAAACATGTGTGTTCAAGGAACATGATGTGTTGCTTGATGAAGGAGAGTGGATTTTTGCAGACACAGCATACCCACTCCATTCCTGGTGTCAGGCGCCATACAAAAAGTAAGTGGTTAGTGATCAGTATAAAATTAATTTCTTGTTGATATCGTAACACAGACCTGAGAGTGACATTGAGGAGAATTCCACTTTTAACTATCATGTTTCAAAAATTTGTATTCATTCAGAGCATGCCATGGGCTACCATGATGGTCCCCCTTCTTTTGCTTTCCTGCCACTTTCAGCACACTTATTATTGAATGAGAAATTGCTTTGCATGCAAAAAAGGAAAACAAGTGAAATAACAAGTAGAAATCCAGACAACGAGTGGCCTTTTTCAACTGGCTGTCTACTTATTTTCACCCTTGCTTATTTTTGCTTGTTGCACAAGAAAAGCTATAAAGAGATTAATCGAGCGGCTGCGACGAAGAGGGAGCTGGAAAGACAAATATATATCTCAGACTCTAGGAAAGATTTCTGTACGAGTATAGTACCCGGAAAGACAAATATATCTAATGGTATGTTAGCTCTATAGTTTAGCGTAGAAATGAATAAAAACATACATCTCAGACTCTAGGAAAGATCTGAGATGTTCGGTCGACGCGACTCGTTCTTTATAGTACGGTTAGCATAGATAAGTAAATTAGTGTAACGTAGGAATAGACATCTCAATATTGACGAGCCTCGGCCGACGTCAATGTGTCACCTCGTCATACCTGGACGTTGTGCTCGTATGGTTTCACTTTCATCTCTCTGGTCCGTTCTCCTCCGACTCTCCCATTTCGACTGACTCCAACAAGCTAAACATAAGTAAGGTAAGGAACTGGGTGTTTTACTGATGTGGGGAAGACTGTGACTACGAGTTGGGAATTTTCATGCTCTTCAAATGCTCGAATGGGTGTGATGCTTGGAGCAGTGGATAGCATAGCTTCTTCTGCCATTGAGGTGATGTTGGAAATTGTCATACTGGCTGCCTTGTTGTAGGACTCTTGGTGTCTTCCTTTAAGCTGTACAGGTGCTTGCACTTACCATTTTGATAACCTGCTGTACAGCATTTTGAGACTATGTATGAGGGAACAATTGCCCCCAATGCAGACCATGGATCAATGAAGAATTTATTTGGAGATTGTTCCCCCATGTACATGGGAGATGCAATGCTCCAAGTTACAGCTGTTACTTCCTGGACTATCATAGGGTCTGGCAGTCAACTTCTGTTGAATCATTCAACATTAGTGCTGCAATCTACCTATGTCGAGGTGCCACATCACCATTATCTGACATTATCCCCACTGATATCTTCTCTTTCACGGAGCTGAGATGCATTTTTTTGGACTGCCCCGCATCGTGAAAGACTTCTCGCAGGTTGCTCGACAATAATTCGATCCCGAGGGCTTATCTGCCACATGGCACAGGACGGATATGATTATAGACCATAAATTTGCACAGCGTCTCCGCAGATCTGATCTAACAAGTACCCGAGTAGTTCATTAAACCTGTGCAGGATCATGCAGAATCTTGCCTGTGTCTGGGGTCTTGATTCCAGTCTAAGGCTTGGGAATTCACGCTAACGTTGCACTGCCATGATAGCGTCGACGTTCGACCCTGTGCACATCGATTAGCATCAGTGCACGAGAGTAATTGGGGAGGCATGCAAACATTAGGATGAGCATTATTAAAGCAGGAAATGACACGCACGCGGCTATATTTTCCGGGTGAACGAGAGGCCAGCATACAATATCAGTATATTCAGCATAGCTTCACGATTAAATGTACCAGTGTACCTGGCCGCGGTGCACCACGCATTCGCAGTGTGCCTAACGACTTTCGCTCGCCTCACGTGTAATCATGTGCACACATAGTTTAATTTCATAGCGGTCCTATTGTAAAGTTCCGATGGATAATTGGGAGCTCGACCGAGGTTCGGTCAACACGTAACAGGAATAGTCTGTCACGACAACGATAAGCACTACGCCAAGAAATGATAGATCAGACACGCAGCTGCATGGATATATAAATGTCGTCAAATTATGGTAAGGGAATCACATCCAATGGTCATCTTTGCGCTCGCATTTAAATCTCCGGGGTACCAATGTACTGTCCGGGACGCAATTGTTGGGAGAAGACATGAGAGGGTATCGATGGGTTTGCGTAGATGTTAGATGGGGTGATTAAGACGGTAGGGGAGGGAGGAGAAGTTGGGAAAGTGGTCGGGTCGGCGGGATCCTGTGCAGGAGATGAGTTAATGCATTACAAAATCATTAGAAACATACGTAGAGACGCGGTTGCTGCGTCATTTGGGATTGCATTGGGAACGGATGAGAATTAGCGGAGTAAGCACTTTGAGTATAACCCGGACCTCCGCCAATGGCGCTGAACACGGTCAATGGCGCTTTGGAGGAGCGACGGCGTTTGACAAAGAACCACGCCGCAAGGCCTACGATGGCTGCAAGTCCGACGATTCCACCGATAACACCCCCAGCTATAGCTCTAACGTTCGAACTAGATGACGATGACGATGACGATGACGATGATGTAGCTGAAGATCCTGTGGCGGTGGTCGGATAAATGGTCAAAGAAGCAAACAAAGTGGTCGAATGAGTGACTGTGACAGTGGATTGTGCTGCGATCGCGGATGATTCAGGAGAATCTATAAGAGAAAATGAGTGAAAGTGCATCTACAACGGAAAAGGTATGCCCGAATGTTAACCTCCATTGGTTTGCGCCAGGGTGGCGTCGAAGGTGCCACTCCCACTGGTCACCTTCAGAGAAGACTTAGATTATGAGAATTCAATAAAAACACGTGTACTGACGTTCAGGTAAGCCCAATTCGGAACCAGAGTGCCACTTGGAATGTTATACGGATATCTGCGTGTCAAGGGGTAAACAAACTTGGAGAATATAAAGAACCTTTTAGACTGACGTTGTGATGCGTACCGGGGTACCGGCGGCTGAGCAATTGTAGCTCCAGGCATTCCAGCTGCAAGGAAATAAGCGTTCCGTGAAGTCGAGCATATTCGATACGATTCACCTCAGGAACGTTTGGTTCTGACAAGCGCCGCAAGCACTGATCAGTGAGTAGACTACGGTACTACATGCGCAAGCTTTGGCTTCGATGACATCAGGAGCTGCATAAAGGGTACCGGCAAGTAAAGGACCGATCGTGTATTCTGCACCAAACCTAGTTATCCCAGGCTAAGGCATACTAAGAAACGAAAAAGACGTACCGCCACCCCAGCAGACACTCTGGAGGTAGGCAGCAACCGTGCAAGGGTTCTGCTGGAGAGTGTTGTTCATCTGCAGATCACCCAATCATGCATTAGACCTAAATCTTTATGCTAAATAAAATTAAAAAATTCACCCAACCAAAGCCGGAGACGCAAGTCACAGTGGATGTCTGCGCAAAAGCACCTCTGGGTACAATCGCAGCAGTAGCTAGGACCACTATTAACGACCATGCCTTGGTAAGTGGGGACATGATGGGGAAAAGGACGGGGATGAGGACATGGACATGGACGGAACTTGAGCCTCAGAAATATGGATATTATATTCATCATGCAGATGACTTTCAGGGTATGTTCGAATTCGTTGTCGACGCACAATCCGCCAGCCTGAGTGCATTCACACGTTGCAGATGAGCGGCTCTTCCTTTAGGCGACCTCCAAATCCATCAGCAAAATGCTAGTCTCCCCTAGTCAGAAGGAAGACAGTCAGTCGTTCCTATATTATGGCAAAATGCGGTGGATTTTGTCATACCGAAATTTTGTCAAATACGTTTTTCACGCCAATCAGTTGGCTGGAGTTGCCGTTCATGCTACGAATCCCTGTGCAAAGTGCCTGGTCGAAGACCTGACCCATTGATTTGGCGGTTGCACAAAATAGGCGGTGACTAAGTGAACTTCACCTATGGATAGTAGACGCGCACATAACCGACGCGTGTTATCTTCCTCCTTGCTGCCATCGTGTTCTTCGCTGACCCAAACCCGCTACAGCATTAATATTATTTGTTTGTCTTTCTAGTTCAACCTAATAATATTGGAGATGAAGCCCACCGTTCAAGACGAGGATATGGAAGACGATCTCGCGGCTGAGGAAGAAAACAAATTGATAAACGAGGTCAGTTAACAATCTGCTTCCTCGAAATTTCATCCAATTTAGCAGGACGATCGTTTTCCAGGAGTACAAAACATGGTACATAATCCTACTCTGTTGAATGAGAAAGCTTTTTTAAACCGTAACACCTCTACAGGAAAAAGAACGCACCATACCTGTATGACCTGGTCATCACGCACGCACTCGATTGGCCAAGTTTAACGTGTCAATGGTTCCCCGACAAAGAAACGTAAGTATTCCACTATCCTTCTTCTCCCCGACCTCCGTCTGAGCTAGTACAGACCAGCTAACAAACCCTACACCACCCACCGCCTCCTCCTTGGTACTCACACCTCCAACCAAGCCCAAGACTACCTCCAAATCGCAACTGTCCAAATACCCACACGCGACGGCCCTACCGCCGAGAAACTCGACCGCGACAACTACGACGAGCAACGGGGCGAACTTGGTGGACACACCATTCCTCCCCAACCGCGCATCCAAATCATTCAGAAAATCAACCACGATGGCGAGGTTAACCGCGCGCGCTATATGCCGCAGAACCCAGATTTGATCGCGACGAAGGCTATCTCGGGTCAGGTGCTCATTTTTGATCGCACGAAGCATTCGAGCGAGCCTGAGAGGGGTGGTGTTTGTAAGCCTGATATCAGATTGGTTGGGCAGACGAAGGAGGGGTAGGTGGTTTGTTTGACTGAACTGGATGTGTGGCTTAATACGAGCAGTTTCGGCTTGGCCTGGAGCCCAGCGAAGGAGGGACATATTCTGGGTGCTTCAGAAGATATGACTGTGTGCCACTGGTGAGAGGAATGCTTTTGGGCAAGTTTTGATTGTTGATGTTCTCCAGGGATGTGAACTCTTATACAAAGGGCAAAGCTACCATTGAGCCGACAACTGTTTTCAAGGGTCACAACTCTGTTGTTGGGGTTCGTACCATCATTCCCGTTCGCACAGAAGCTACCAACTAATTTGTTGAAAAGGACGTGGATTGGCATGCGACCAAAGAAAACGTATTCGCTAGTGTGGGAGACGACAAGATGCTTCTGCTGTGAGCGACTTCGATGCCTTTTCGTTCAATTGGTCTCATGGCTTCCTTAGCTGGGACACCCGAGCTCCAACTGAAGCTACAACAAAAATACAAGCACACGACAGAGAAATTTTGTCGTGCGCATTCAGCCCAGGATGCGAACATCTCATCATCACTGGCAGTGCAGACAAGGTACGCATACACCCCAACCATTCGTCTGGGTGGAGTTTAGTTCTGCGTTTTCCAGACTATTGTGTTACACGATATCAGAGCACCTACTAAAAAGTTGCACACTTTTGAGTCACACACGGACGAAGTGCTCCACCTCGCATGGTCTCCCCACTCCAAATCAGTCTTTGCATCTGCTTCAGGAGATCGAAGGATCAATATCTGGGACCTTTCTCAGATTGGCGTGGAGCAGACACCAGATGATCAGGAAGATGGACCTCCGGAGCTTATGTTCATTCACGGAGGTATGTCAGACTTATATGTATACCTACTCAGATCGTTGATACTTGGTTCCAGGTCACACCGCACGGCCTACAGACTTCTGCTGGGCGCCAGGAGAAGCCGAGAACTGGACTGCATCTACCACTTCCGAAGATAACGTGGTGATGGTCTGGCAACCCACTATGCGCATTTGGGCCGGCGACGAAGTAAAGATCGACGAAAAGGAACTCGAAGGCGACGCTATGGAAGGCGTCGAAATCACTCCTGAAGCCGGTCCTTCCAAGGCGGTGGGAGTTAGCGGAGCTACCAGTGCGCGTAGCCAAAGTATGAGTATCAGCGCGAGCGTTAGTAATTCTGGTGTGGATGTGGAGGCGGACGGTAGTTGAGTATTCGGTGTAGAAGGAAACGAACGATGGAATCCAAAAACTGATCATGAATACAATATCTGTAACGTATGCCCTCGAAATCCTAGCTGCGGACGTCATGGGGTGGATGGTGGTAGTGTATTTTATATTCCCTCCTCTGAGTGACCGCGTATCACAGGAATACCAACCTGGCTAGCTCAAATATCACTGTAGCGTTGTCAAATTCTGAATCAGAGTTTACCGAGATAGGTCGTACTCACCGCCACCTACAACGACAAACAGGACGATGCCCAGAGCCCAAAGGCTGAGTGGACTTCTTTTTGACAATCTCTCCTGGTGTGAAGGTTTCACTGCTTTCTTGCCCGACCGGACTGCATTAGCGAATTGAGCATTCTTCCTTCGCAGGTCAAACTCGGTGGGCTAGATAGGCGCGTTTTGTCAGGTAGATCAATATAAGCTTTGTATTAGACATACCATTGTCTCAAACGTCAAACAAGTCGAAAGAGTGGTGTAGAGGATGAAAAGTATGAACAGCTTGTATGAGTGACGTTGACAAGAACAAATTAAGTACGTGTCAATCCCAAAATGGGAGTGGTTGTTTGGCAAAAGCTTTGAATCCAAACAACCGTCGCTTCCATTTTCAATCATACCACGCGTCTGGTCAAAAATATCATGGGACACAAAAAGAAAACATCTTTAAAAGCAACGCTGCAATCCCAGCAGACTCGGCTCAAGAACAAAGAGAAAGCAGCGCATGCCGCTGAAGCTGCGGATATCAAGCTCAAGGGAAAGCGCAAAGGCAAGGGGAAAGCACTGCCTCTCCGACCTACCATCCCGTTCAAGCCTACAGATAAAATACTCTTGATCGGCGAGGGCAATTTCTCGTTCGCGCATGCGCTGGTAGTAGATCCTCCTTCATCGCTGGAACATCTCCCACCTTCAAATATCACAGCTACTTCTTATGATTCTGAAGAGGAATGCTATGATAAATATCCGGATGCTAGAAGTATGGTGGATGTTCTCCGGAAGCGGGGCGTAGAGGTTTTCTTCGGTGTGGATGGAACCAGACTCGAAAAAAACGGTGCTTTGAAAGCCAGGCGTTTCGATCGCGTGGTTTGGAACTTTCCTCATGCAGGTACGTATCATTTATTGAGATCTAAGTGAAAAGGCTAAGGAGACGTCAAGGAAAGGGTATAACAGACCAAGACAGAAATATATTATCTAACCAGATGCTTATCCTGGGGTTCCTCCGTTCTGTTGTTGGCCGCCTTGCAGAAGGCCCCATTCCGACGTCCCTGCCACGAAAACGAAACAAGCCCTCAGACGATGACGACGATGACGTGGTTAACGATGCAGATCAGGAAGAGGATGCCCCATCGCCCTCTACGCCGGGCGCAAGGGGAACGGTGACTCATCACCCTGCGCAACGTCCCGCCATACAGCATCTGGCGAGTGCATCTATCATATCATTGTTTGGCTGCTGCTTATGTTCACCTGTAGGGATGTGCCAAAACTAGCAAAGACGCCTCCAAAACCTACATCATTAGGGACTCCACCGAACCCCCAATATAAGCTTCTGCGGTCGTTTGTATTTCATAGGAACATGTGGAAGGGATATGAACACCGCATGACAAAGGGCGAGAGAGCTCATGGTCGAGGTACAACAGGTGAAGGAGGGGAGGATAGAACATGGGAGTTTTGCCTCAAAGATTGATATTAACCATTCTTCTGTGGCGCGCGTGAACTATGTAAGGCCAGTCGACACAGGTGCAATGATGAAGTAGATGCTATGATGAAGCTTCCGCACTCTGACTTTCTTCCAATCCCTTCTTCAAGCCCTCCAGTGTCCTCGCAAGCTTCCCTCCACTTGCCTCGCTGAGAATTGCAGCCAACTGTACAGCTGGTGAGCTCAGCAACCCAACTATCTGCGCCCGCAGAGTGTCTAGTGTTGGGAGTTTCGACACGTCCCGTACACCCTCCATTCCAAATACCCGTCTCTCGATGAGAGCACCCATCACTGTCAGCTCTGGGGTCAAGACAGGTTTCACCCTCTGCATCTTTCTTCCAGGAATAAAATTCGGATCATCATGAGGCTTCGTCGGTTGTGGTTGTTCCGCCTCTGGTTTCTTCAGAGGCACTGAGCGATCAAGTGCACGTAGGATGGCATCAAGTTGGGGAGGGTTGAATGATGGCAGTGTCATGACAGCAAGACCGTTTTTGACCAATCCAGCAATTTGAGATGCCTGGTCCGCGTCTAAAGGCGCAAAGTCTCGTAATGCGACACCAAAAAGCGAAGTCCGCATCACTGCTAGCGTTGGAGCATCGATTTCAACTGGAGTAGGTGTTGGAGAGGATAACGAGACAGAGAATTTGGTGTTTGCATCGGCGATATCCCGCCTCAGCTTCTGTAGCCGCTGAGCCGTGAAATTTGTATGTTGGAGGAATATTATGGGGGAATTATCGCTAGCTTCGAGCATGCGGGTATATTGGTTGTATAGGAATGTTTTCTGTATACCATAGCGACGCGGTGTCGGTTTGCCCTCGTACACGCGGGGAAGCTTCACGGACACGACATATCCTCGAGCCGTTCGCGGTACAGCAACAGGTCTCCGGCGAAAAAGCGAATTCATGGCTAGTTTGAGCAGAAGCAAGCCAATAATTTTGTTAGACCTCAATGTCACGTGGTATAGGCACACCAAGTCACGTCAGTTTGTCACAAAGTCACGCATAATAGTGGTTCTCTTTGACCCCGAAGGTCGTTAACATTTTGGGCGGACTGAACCTTTTTGAAAGGTTGCAAAAATCGTTGCAATGTTAGTTCATCCCATGAGGCTGCAAGAGAATAATTAACATGTACCTCGCTAGGGACGACGACGATGCATTCCTGTATGGCGAGCCCAGCCAGGCGGACACACCAAAGGCAGAGTTGGCAACTTCTGGTAAGAACAGCTCAAATACATGGTAGGAGACTCTTCTAAGAGTCTCTACTTGCTGTATTTTGTTTGCCTAATATCATGCAACGTGAACTTATCCTTTGTCGTCTGATGTGCGATCAGTGGTGCAAGCGTAAGTCGTTAAATATGCGTGAAACGGTCGTTGTTGAATCCTTGTTTGCAGAATATCGTTTGAGGTCGTGAAGGCAGTTTCGAATGGTGTACTCAAGGACTTCGAAGCCAAAGCTGAAGAAGAAGAAGAACCGCCCTTTGGTTTGGGTGCTGATGAGTCCGAAGCCGGGGATGATAATGCTGCTGGAGATGAAGAGTCGAGCGACGAAGATGTAAGTGAAGCATGAATCTGCCTAGTTCCAACAACTAACGGCCTTTCAGGACATTGAAATTATCATGGATCAGCCCTCACGGTCTATAGACAACCGGTGAGCTCTATGTTGAGTTGAGTTGCTTCACCCTCAACTTGTTTCAGGCCACATGTTCCTCCTCGACCTGCTTTAAGCCGTTCCACAGGCGGTCCACAGTCTACTCCAAGTAGACGTTCGTTTATTCCAATTCTTTTCTCTCTCAGGAAAGCTGACACCTCCCAAAGCTCCCCCCACACAATCACAGCTAACCACCGAGTATACACCCCGCGATAGGAATGTACCACCTTCAAAACCGCCCCTTGCTCATACAGGAGGTACACCCCAAACGCCCTCCGTGCCCCGAGAATCAGTATCTGTTGCACCAGAACAGCCCGTGTTTCTCGAAGGTCTGGACCCATCAACACTTCCTCCTGCCATCGCACCACCTTCACATCCTTCTATAAATCTGGATATACCTGGCATTCTTGATGGTCACTCTATACTTGAAGTTGACATCGGTGCAATGGCAGAGAAGCCATGGCGCCTTCCTGGGTCTGATATCAGCGACTATTTCAACTATGGATTCGACGAAATTTCTTGGGAAGCATACTGCTACAGACGGCGCGACTTGGGCGACCTTGCAAATGTCCTCAAAACCAACGTGCTCGTACGTTAGATAGTGAATTATTTGATCTGTAGTCCTCACTTTTCTCCTAGAATTTCGCAGCTATGCCAGAAGACCAGCTGATAGCCTTACCTCCGGAACTCCGTACGATGGTCGTGACGGGCGCCAACGCCATGATGAACACTGCCAGTCAGGGCATGATGGGACCCAACGTCGGGATGAACCCCATGATGGAAATGCCCGGTATGGGCCCTATGAACATGGGACCAATGGGCATGGGCATGAATGGCGATATGAGCATGCAGATGCAGCCGGGGGGCCCGTTGATGCAAGATGGCCCCGTCCCCGGCCAGGGTCCGGTAGGGCAGAACGGCACGCCGGAGCAGGGTGTGCAGATGGGCATGCAGGACGGCTTCGGGCCGGGGATGATGGGCATGGGCGGCGACTTTGGTATGCAGGTATGGAATAACCCTTCTTACTCTAGATACGTACAGCAAATGATATGAACATCGCATGAATGTGTTTTTCTAAGCAGGAGCAAGGGCCGATGGGGCAGCCTATGTATCCCAGCATGGAGGGCAGTGCAACGCCAGTGCCAGTCCCTGTGCAGACCCCAGTGCCTACGCCAGCTCCTGTTGCGCCTGCGCATATGGGTCGCGGGGCACCCCCGGCGCAATTCAGAGGACGTGCAATGGCTCAAGGCCTTCGCGGAAGAGGCGGTTTCGCTGGACGGGGACGAGGATATGGCGGAGGTGGGATTTGTCCGATATGGTTGTCTACTGTGTTATAATTAACCCATCATTGCAGCTCCAGCAGGACCTGTTCGCCCAGCTTCACCGTTACCGCCCGGCGTGCCAACTGGTCCCCGCAATCAGAACAGGTACAAAGATAGAGATAACAACGCGCCTGCTGTCGAAGGTCTCGACTACGGAGGCACGGTAAAGGACGGCGGAGGAAGGACGCCGTCAGGGGAGCCAGAAGATCGTCTCGGCCGGTGAGATGAGTTATATTCATCCATTACCTCAACGCTCACACTTCTTATAGGAAGCGACGAATTTCACCAGGCTTGGATGACACCCGGGGATCTAAAAGGCGCTGAGATGCGCGCGCATATGTATACGCTCTCATTATTGTATCTCACTCTTGACACTGTCCATGCTGTTGATGCTGACGCGAAGTTTGTCTGCTGATCTAAGTCAATGACGGAAGGCGAGTGATTCTAGTAGCAAATCATTAAGCATCTTGTTTATAGTAGTACAAGTCGTGGAACGGGGCCTTGAGCATCTACTCTTTCATCTCATGCATGGCACCGCACATTGGTAGTACGATCTCTCCAGATTTCCATCGTTGGTCGGATGAATACCTGTAAGTCATGTTCATTCACGCATTCAAGTTCGAGATCAGAGTCTGATTTTACGGTGAGGCAAACAGACCTAGTCTCCCCTAGCCAGCCCTATATATACGAAGGAAGATAGTCGTTCCTTCTAATAAGAAAACAGACCATAATCTTGCGCAAGTTGTGCCAGTCGGCGTTAGAGCCCAACAAAGAGGCGGTAAAGGCTAGGAGAAATTGTACAGTTGTATTTGGTGCATATTTTGAGGCTCTCTTGTGTCATAATCATCAATGTAATAATGTAAGTACTACCACCCGCCGACTTACTAGTACATGCACACCTGCCGACTGGTTCGGAGTCTGGGACAACTATTGATATTGAGTTACTAAAAACCAGGTGCATGGGTGATTCGATCACCCTTGGGCCTTCATCTGCTCGCCATCAGTCTTGTGGGCCGGCAGGTCATGCGAGCCTCCTTCCACTGGCAGCTTCATAGTGGAACAAAGTGATCCGTTTTCCACCAGCTAAGATTTAGTAACTAATATCAATGGATGTTGACAGATATCGAACGAAAAATGGCTGTCCTAGCCTTCACCAAGTTCTGCCCACAATGCCCTGGCCCCCACGAAGATCACGCTATCTCAGGCCAACACAGCCCATTTTTCTGACAAAAAAACTTGGTTGACATCTCCCTATAAGCTCCGATGAGATCCATCTTTCACCGTGAGTCTGTGGTTCACAAATAGCTCAAACGACACTTTGGCAGTGTCAAGGTCCTTGCCGAGGGCACTGCGCAACGTCAGCAGACTCAGCACGATACTTAAACGCCTCCCTCCTCATCTCCCTCCTTATACTACAGCCATCATGCTTTTCGTTATGATATTTATGCTAGGGTCCTTGGGCTTGTTACAGGCAATCTTGATGCCACTGTATGGCGCATTGGTGCGCTTCAGGGCGCACTACAACCCGATGGGTCTACAACTCGACTCTGAGTCTGAGGGCGATGTGCAGCCCCGTACTGGCCCAGTCATCTCATCCTTCTTTGCGATGCTGAGAAGGGTTCACAAAATCGAGGTAGGCATTCCCGCATCATTCAGATGATCATCGCTCTGACTGTGCAACATTCTCAGGGTTGGTCAGGACTATACAAGGGATTGAGTATGTTCCAAATAATAATCATACCATCATGCGACATCTGACATGTGTCGCCCAGTGCCCTTGTTGCTGTCACAGAGTCTCAGCTTCAGCTTCTTCTTCTTGATGATTTTTTTGAGCAACAGTAATCTTCTCCACGTAGCATCATACGTCGACACGCTGATCTACAATATTTTTGCCATGCTTGTATCTCTTCCGCTGGTAGTCATCACGAACCGGTTGGTTTATTTTATTTCGTCTGATGACCTTTGCACTCAGTTTATGAACTCGGTTTAGTGCAATGACCACACCTCATAAGCTGCCGTACTGGAACGCAATTCCACTCACTCCGTGTTCTGCTAACACCCACTGAGCGCCAGAAACCTTGGACTCTCTATCTCACTCCTGGTTTCCTTGTCGCCAAAGTTGCGCACATCGCCTACGTTCTCGGTCTGCGGTCCATCCGGCAGCTCGTTCTCCCAGAACTCGCCAATCCACACTTTAACATCCGATATATTTCTCTCATCAAGGCCATTTTCTTGGCCATCACGCTTCTGAGCACAGGAGTCATTCTCACCCCTTTGGAAGTCATTGCCATCAGACTTTCTATTCAACGCAACCATGCAGCTTCTGAATTCAACTCCATCTCACAGGAGGGCGGCACCGAGGAAGCAATGGAGTACGCCGGTGCTGATGAGGATGTCATTAAGTATGTAACATCATCTTTTTACTTCGAGTTCCCTGAGTTAATGTTTCACAAATATAGCCTGAGAACCGAAAGGGAGCCATATGTCGGCTTCGTTGATTGTGCGAAGAGGATTATCGAAGAGGAAGGCTGGAGCACGCTATATCGTGCATGGTGGTTGACGATATTGGCAGCCTGCGGCGGTCCCTTATAAAGATTCTTATTTTTCTGGTCCATGACAACTTTCCATGATGCAGATTCCCGAAGACGATGTTCGAATCGGGAACGTACTATGTATTAACGTCGTACTTGGCCGCCCGTTAATTCATCTGACAGCTGCCTGTATCATCTAATGTACGTACTTTGTGTGTTAGATGCCCAAGTGCGTCATCGTCCGATTGATCTCTTCCGCAACTCTTGCGTACGGGACTGTCCACTGAGTCCGAGTTAGGACTGCGATCGATGCGATCGAGGATCCATTTGGATTGACAATTGGTGAACGTGTTGTTGGATTTCGACTTCAATATCGACGTGGTTCTCCGTATTCAGTGTGCGCCTGCTGTCGAGGGTCTCGACTACGGAGGCACAGTAAAGGACGGCGGAGGAAGGACGCCATCAGGGGAGCCAGAAGACCGCCTCGGCTGGCGAGTGATTACGTAAACGCTCACACTTCTTATAGGAAGCGGCGCATTTCACCAGGCTGGGATGACACTCGGGGATCTAAAAGGCGCTGAGATATGCGCGTATATGTATATGCTCTCGTTATTGTATCTCACTCTTGAGATCGTCCATGCTATTAATGCTGTGTTAGCGCACAAGACGTGCACGTGACGACGCGACCCAGAGTGCAGATGCAGCAGAATGCAGAATGCCAACCACGGACTATTATATATATTGGTTCACGTTCAAGTTTCCCTTTCCCCCCAGTCCGTTACACACGACTAGGGACTAATTGTGTCTAGATTTTACTTCCTGACACGAAGTTTGTCTGCTGACATTGGTTGTAAGTCAAAGACGGAAGACGAGTTATTCTAGTAGCAAAGCATTACAGCCGTTTGCATATGTAGTGGTAAGTACAGTGGTAAGTACAGCTGGCACCTCGATGTAAAATGAAAGATGACATAGACCGAAAAAGGACTTGGCGTAAATTTTACAAGACTTGCATACCACAATCACCATTGATCAATATCATGCGCAACAGAAAGATCTCGTCCGATTTGAAGCTCGCAGCTATTCGCCTGCATGAACAAGGAATTCTTAGACTCAGCGAGATCCTCGACCGTGTTGGCTTCTCCCGCATGACATTCTATAGAATCTAGAAGCTCTACAACGAGACTGGCAATGTTGTCAAGCCAAGGAGCCAATATACTGGTCGTCCACGCGTTTTCAATCTCGAAGACCTTCATTTTGCCCCCCATCCAAATGCTGTTGAGCTATCGGAATCGGAAGATGTTGATGAGATATCAAGGACGCTGCCGTCGTCATCCGAGCTATCGGAGTCATTGATTTTTGAAAGTCTTCGGGCCACAACCCATGTCGCAGTAGATTCAGAAGCTGAGATTTGAGATCTGAGACGTCACGGACTCACGCTACTACAACTCGAGCCTTCAAAATATCACCAAGTCCTTTTGTGGTCCATGTTATCATTTGTTGTACATCGAGGTGCCAGTACCGTTACATTTGCAAATGGCTATAAGTATCTTTATAGTAGTATGAAGCTGCCAGCGAGCATGAGTGTCTATAGAACCTATAACCACTCTTTATTTCCTTTGTGTGAGATGAATGCGCCTGTGTCGTTGACCGTGATTCGGTTGATGACCTCGAGTTGCATTTGGACAGAGGTCTGTGGTGTAATCGGCCCCGTGAAATCGGGGTAGACCTTTCTGAAATTTCCAATCATTTCCGTGACTTTTTCGAGCTCCTCTTCAGTGGCTAGGTGAGCGGTCATCAGCTGTGGGTGACCCAGAGGATAATTGCGAAAACATACGGGCCCTGGTACTAGTGTCCACAAGTCCTGGACTAAGCGCCAAGAAGATGAAGCCCTCTGGCTTGTATTGGGCAGCATACTTGGCGTTGACCATGTTGACAGCAGCTTTCGAGATCGAGTACGGTGCGGAGGCGGCGTTTTCAAAGGCTAGTGTCGCATCGAGGTCTCCCAATCCGGTGCTGATCGTGACAACCGTCTTCGCCTTCCCGTTCTTGAGCAGGGGGAGGAAGATGTTGATGGTATGAATGACGGCGACGACATTGACATTGAACTACGGCGCGTTAGCTTTTGACATTACATGTAAAGGAATGCTTAGGCTGCATACCGAATCAAGGAGATCCTTGGTGAGCAACTCTTCTGAGGAGCTAATCGCGACTCAGTGCCATATCGAGAACGCAAAGCAGGTAATCTTACTATGAATCGAGAGTCAATCCATCTCTTTCTGGCTCCACGAAAGCAGCGTTGTTGATCAAGTAATCAAGCGAGTTGCCTGTGACCGTAGCAATTTCTGCAGCAGCGAGCTACACACCACATCAATTCAGCCCCTATCCGAAATGGTCACTGTCAAATACCCACATGCAGGGCGTTGGTGTTTGTGATATCGGCCTCGATGATGTAAACATTGGGCCTTCCTAGACCCGCAAGCTTGGTCGCAGTGGCCTTACTGCGTACAATGGCGAACACGGTGTTCCCAGAATCAGCGGAGAGTTGATTAACAAATTCAAACTGGTCAAAATCAAAGTCGTCAGAGATGTGGATAGCCGGTAAAGAGACAGGCACGTACGCCAATTCCCCGAGCTGCACCTGTTACAGCGTATGATGTCATTGTTGCTGGTTTGAATTAGTGACTAGAGAAATTTGAGATGAGTGGAAGGGATACAATGTATATCCTTCGTAGCGAGCGTGTTTATAATTATCCTCGAAGTGCCAATTAGGGAACTGCACGAGTAAACCTGCGGGTATCAACATAACGGACCTGGGGTATTACCCCCTACTCGCTCGCCCGCTGAGCTAGCTAATAGCGAGACCACCGGGATTTATCAAAGCTTCGTCATCCAACGCAACTGTCAGCAGCTGAGTAAGATGACTACGCGTCCAGTTTGCGAGTTTCTTTGTATGATGGAAGACGCGATCTCTCGGGAAATTAGGATATACGCTGGATATACCATTTAACTGTCGCGATCGCAACTTTACAATCACTGAGTTTGTTCAACTAGTGCAGAAAGTAACGCTTAGAAAGGAAGGCATAGACGCCAGAAAATGATGGTTCACCGCGTCACCTCCATAGCCTTATCTGGGTCCCTGAGTTGCGTTAAGTTGTTCGATCCTGGAGCTAATTATAGACAGCAATCGTAAATGAACATGCCAGGGGTGAGGTGATAGATCACTGGTAGAAAAACAAACCAAAAGATGCTATCCGTTGTTAGCAGCTCTGGCTCCCGACCGCGTACCACCACCTCCGCCCGAACGCTTTTTGTTACCCCTTGCTCCACGTTTCGCATTCTTCTTCTGCCTGCAAGCTTCGCAGAACCACGTTCCATCTGGAGGCACTGTAAGTCCGATGCATGCAAGATGGAACTGCAAAGTTCGTGAATACACCGTATCAGGACAAAGAGAAACGTGACGTACCCATTCTCTCTCGCAATTCACGTCGTCACATGCAATCATTTCTCCATAGCTTATACCCTCGCAGAAGCAGTAGGTCCTATCATCACCTTCTCCATCACCTTCGCCAACTTCGGTAGCCGTGTCTCCCGCGGCATTAGCAGCTTGGGTTTCACTAGGAGATATGAGCGGCAGGCTAGGGGTTATGACGGGGGCAGCACTGATCGATAGCCCGGAGTGTGTGTTCCGTGCCACGGGCATGCCTGGACCTTCTAGTTGCCCATGCGGAAGTCCTCCCCAATCATTGGCCAGCGTGTGAGCACCAGGCAAATCATAGGGATGTAATCCGTTCGACCCATAAGGTATAGGTAAAGAAGGGTGAGAGACTGATGATGAAGGGGGTGCGGGGAAGATGTCGCGTCGGCCATTGACAGATCCGTTGAGATGCGGCTCGTCATAGGTGTTGAGATTTGGCTTAGAACGCCTATTCGATGGGTTAGTGACGCGACTTGATGAGCCACCAGCTCGTGAGCTTCCAGCATAGGCTTGTGACACTGGTGCTACAGTGTGCGAGATGACGGAGAGGACAGATTCTGTGGGAGAGACAGCACGTTCTTGTCTGAGGTAGCATGTTAACATGATGAATGTATACCGTGAAAAATGACTCACTTTCGTGAACGAGCACCATTTCGAGCTCGCTGCATAGTACCATCCCCAATCCTCTCCTTGCGTGGCGACTTCCCGCCTCCGACGTCCAAGTCATCTTCTCTCGTGGCCCGTTTCCGTTTAGAAGGGCTGGAATCATGCGCAGTAGTCATGATCGATCCGTAGTTGCCTCTTCTGCGACGCGAGTTCTCTATGGTTGGCATGTATGACCGAACGGCAACATGGGGGTAGGTTGTCTTGCGGTTCAAGGCGGCCACATCGAATGATGGCAAGAGAGTGAGGAGAGTTTTCATATGGGATGTATGGCTTTTGAGGTTGTCAGCGGCTTGACACGCTACACGAATCTTGTCTTCGCCGCCAAGTTTCAAACGCGCAGCCTCCTCTGCGATATCTGTGAGCAAGAAAAGACGTTCCTGCTTTCCCATCGTGCCATCTTCAATCATCTGAGTTAGGTTTTGTATTTTTGCGGTGATGGATGTCATGGACGACGATAAAACTGCGTCGAGCTCGCGGAGGTCTGCGAAGTTGCGAGAGAGGTCAAGTGGGAGGGAGTCGAGTGTGTGAGTGTACTCGGAAAGTAAGGATAACGCGAATACGTTGTTAACATTAGTTTCTTGTGATATCGGTGCTCTTGAAGGTGCCATGATTGTAATAGGCGTCGAAGTCACTAACGAGTACTACTTGAAGTTCTGCCAAGCGATCTGCTCTGCTTTGACCCGTTGACGGCGTTTGCCGGTCCGGTATTCAAAATGCCGCTTAAGTTGCCGGCTTCTGGTTTAGTACGCACACATGATGCAGTGACATTAGCAGCAAGATGAAAAGAGCTTGGCTGATGCGAGTTCCATCCAGGCGAGCGGTGAATTCGTATCAGCCAGGTTGCACCTCACCGTATACCAAGTTCGTTGTACTAGTCCAGGTTCCATAGGGGAAGTGTCGCGAAAACATCAATTGGAGGAACAATCTCCACCGATGAGCTTCGAAGACTCCAGTCTGTTTTTCCTTATAATATCTCCCCTGGAATAACTGCATCCTTAATTTTTTTTAGCTTTCTGACATTTCATATAAAGGCCGTGCTAGTACATGAAGAGGCTCAGGTGGTGCACGCAACCTTCGCGGATGGTCCCAACTCCCGAGCACATCAAGGGTATGAGTGCAGAAGTTGCTCTCACTGGGGACCAAGGAGAGATTTAGGCCGTGTTCGAAGATGAGAAAATACCGGTGCATCAGCCATCTGGTGCTCCTTGCTGCAGACAAGTCGAGCTTTATCACACGTAAGTGCTTTACACTGATTGTCCAGTTTTGACAACCTCGCCCCAGAGGAAAATGCCGCGGTCCTCGCTGACCTTGTATAAGGAAGGTAGCAAGAGTTCCCTTTTCTTCCACAGACCCCACCCGAAGACAAGTTTCCGAAGCGGTGCAAAGTTTTCGACGATGCTACAGCGGAGGAGAGCGATGACGACGGTAAGGCATAATTTAGTCATCACCCCAGCCTCTGATCTACGCACGACACAGGAAGTTCAAAGGATCAGGTAAGATTGTATGGGATGATCTGGGTGAAGGGTATGAGGTTTTCTTTCGAACTTGCCATGTTGGAGGACCCGGACTGCGCACTTGATGCTTTCGAACTTCATGCGTTAGTATTTCAAGATTCGACCTTGTAATATCTTCAAATGTTGCTTTTTAATTTCGATATTGTTTGGCGTACACATCAATTGTAGTATGTACATTTGTCCTGCACAATTATCTCCATCGATGCCATAATTCCTGTCAACTTTAGAATGATGAGGGCGAAATGCATAGCATGAAACAATAGAAATAATACAGTAGGTGCGTTCTAGTATGGACACAGGTGTTTGGAGGAGAAGTGAGAAGTATGTAATCGAACGAAGTCGTGAATAAGATGTCCTGCACCCCTCATTCATCATGTGTTTTGGTGCGCTCCACCTCCCACGTCCTCATCTCCCTATCCACAAAACAATAACCGCTCCGCTTCAGTCCTCCAGTGCTATCGATACAGTGGGTTCGGCTACATGTGACACGTCGTGATGTATACAGTTGGCGATCAGGATGATGGACGCAGGATTACTTCCTGTAGAGCTTCGTCAATGGGTTTGAGCTCCCGCCGCCGCTCTGTCTGCGCTGGCTGCCCGATTGGAAGCCCATGGATGAGCTCAACGCCGAGTACATGGCGTGCGAATCACGCGGATTCCCATGCATAGCGGGGAACGCATGCGGGGCAGAGGGTGCAGTGGGGAAGAAACCGAAGGTGGGGGATCTCGGGGGAGAAGTGTAGTTGTTGTAGTGAGACATTATATGCGTGAATTAGTGACGATGTGATGTGATGTGATGTGATGTGATATTAGAGGATGTGTTGCGCGCAAAGACAAATATGATGATTGGTCTGCTCGTGAGGACGCTCGTAAGCGGATGGTTATGCCCGCTAGAACTGTTCTGTGAAGATGTTACGGTGTGCAGATGGTAGAGCCTTGGTCGTTCAGAGACGTATACGTCGAACAATAGTTGCTGGAGTAGCAGAAGAACGACTTCTTGCAGGGGTTGCGAAGGCTATTGGACCAAACTGGTCGTGCTGATGGAAATAGGAACTCATACATAGCTATTATATACCAAAGGAGGGATGTTGAAGGAAAAGGAGACCCATACCTGGATAGACGTAAGAGTACAAGGCAGCAACCGTAATAGGCTATGGTATTGTCCCCATTCGGAAGATACCAGCAGGTCGGTTGCAATCGGTTGCTCCCAGACTCTCAGACAGTGCATGTGATCCGGTATGGGAGGGTATGGCGGGAAAACTGCCTATCGCGGCACAAAGGAATAGACACATCCAGTACAAAACTCCCGCTTAGCAAGTAGCACGAGCGGGATGTTAGCACACTACAGGGGAGCAATGAAGTGACATGGCTTTCTTCTCTTTCTGGCACTCTGGAATGGAGAAAATCAAGACGCGACCCAGGATTTGGCAAGTCCTTATGATTCGACCGACTAAGCTTGTACTAAGCTGGTGCTAGGTGGTCAGAACACTGTAAGATATCGGTAATGAATTAGTTCGTTGAGCTTCGTTGTACCTTGAGGACAACTTACTATCCTATCAGAACAGGGATGTCTTCTCCACCAGCATTGGGACCTCGAATAGCGATGAAGGAATTAAGGTTGGATTCAGGGCAGCGTCCCGCAACCTAGATTGAAACAAAGTACGAGATATCGTAATCGTATTTAGCTTCAAACGCGACTATCTGCGCTCTTATTGAAAATTTTGTGAGTTTCTGGAGTCGGGAAGAGATGTTCAGTTAGCTACTTGACAGTTTATGTAGTATGTAGGTCAGTGTACGATGGAAAGATTCGTAGAAGAGGAAGCAAACCCTAACCTTAGCTAGGCATAGTCGTTCCTTCTATACGAACATCAAATTCTGCAATCCTGAGTAAGTAACTTACCTTCATTCACGACGCGCGCTATGGTGAACACAGTCGGAGCCGTGATCGGTTTCGATAAAAATCCATCCTGCTCACAAGGCTGAAATGCTCTCAGGCTTTATCACCACTCCTAGTGTTGAACGGGACCCAACCAAACGCCGAAAGTCAATATTACGCAGTGCGTAAAGGATGTACGCCGTGAATTCACGCCATTAAATACTCGTCTTGTACCCAGCTTCCTGACTCGAAAAGAATTCGAAGCGCAAGTCACTTTCTTGTTGCTGTCGAGAAGCTCCGAGACCACCGGCACGGAGGCCCGTGCACTTATCGACAGGAGGGTATATTACTTAATTTCAGGCTCTGAGACGTCATCCTCACAAGCAATAACGTAATCAGGCCAAGATCAGGCGTATACAAACCGCTTTCTTGATGTCGACCAACTCGCCAATCTGCATCAAGTAATTGACCCGAAAATGATAAAATCTTAGAAAGCTCTATCTGCTATAAAATTTGCATAAAATTTATCAAAATTGTACTCCACATGGGAAAGCTTTGAATACCCGGACTAAGTTGGATGAAACCCGCCAAATGTACCATTGTGACGGTCTGGTCACAATTACCTGTAGCTAATCCCCGAGATGGCAAATATTGCAACACCTACCAGCTGTGGCAGCGGAAGATTAAGTTGTTGAGAGTGTCCGTCGTCGCCAAGTTGAATACCAGTGGCAATATACTGCAATTCTGGTCGTGGCATGTAACTTTTGACTGATTTTACCTCTTCCACAATCTCCAACCAGATGACAGTCTTAGATAAAGGCATATATGGCCGGACTCCTTTGGAGTAAAACCGGCTACGCCCCAAGGGTTCTGAGTGTCCACAATGCGGTACCCATCTATTTCAACACGGTTGTCTTTTGCAAGCTGAGTTTGTCATTGTGCCCTTGATAAGAATTCCTGTGGGGCTGATGTTAGGTATGTGGTTGCGACTCTAGCCTTGATTTCTCAGATCTACTAAGTATACAATGTGTATGACGAGCGGCAGTGTATTATCATCCTGCACAACCTCGATGAGGTATGGTCACCGAATACAGAGTTAGTGAGTCCTTTTATCACCCGCCAACTCTCCCTAGATGCCGGGGTCAGCTAATGTCTTCCAATGGCAGATTGTTTTGGATGAGGGCTGCCTTTAGTCTAAGGGCGCGGAACAATGACAGTGCAATTACCTCCGTCAGCAGGTTACTGAAGTATGGTCATCATATACAAGTGTGCGACTGAATTTGTTCTCAAGAAAATCTCCCTGAATGCCATAGCTGGACAGCAGTCCCAAATACCAGACTCCATTATAGACAGCTACAAAAGCTACCACAGCATTAATCATCGGTAAAGTAGTTTCTTCCGTTGTCATACAGTCGAGGTAGGATCACCACATTCAATTTCAGCTTGTTATTTTCAATCACGCAAGCACAAGCGGGATGTTAGCCGCAGGTCTTGTGTTGCGGGGCCTGCTCATATGGATAATTACTGCAAATGAGAACAATATGGCAACTTGTTATCATTTCACAGCAGAATTTCAGGGTTTGCCTTGTGACCACTCTAGCTGGCACACTTGCTTGTGAGAGTCAAAAACGGGGTATTATCTTGAAATTGTATATATTACATATGCTCGAATGAATGCTACAAAGAGGCTATGTTCGGATTCGAAGATTGTTTCACAGCAAGGCGTTTCTGTCGGATATTTGACAACGCGCTGTTAATGCTGAGAGGTCGCTTGGCAGCAGAGGAAGTAGGAAATACTTGGCTAGGTACACGGCAATGTATGAGCCTCGGCAACATGATAAGAGCAATGACAATACCGATTCCACCATGTCAGCAGTTCCTCAACTTCCTCAGATTTGTCAGGATCTTCCAGTAGGTCAAGGAGGCTATGGTAGAATGTCTCCGAGTCTGTGGTCGTGTCGGTCCTTGAGAACACCGAGGAGGAACTTAAAGCGAATCGGACCTTTGGTCAATGTTACAACCATCTACGTACAGAAATATGGTGCACGACGAACCTGGGTTGCAATATAAGCTATGGAAGCAATGGTGACAGACTTCATGCCATGGAGGCGAGCATTACTGGATCGTGTGGCTTTTGGTTCCTTGTCAACCGAACTTGGAGATGTGAAAATGTGCTTGTAAGCCTGATGGATACAATTTAGTAAAGGGGCTTCGTGATGACGCTTGTTACCCACACATACAAGTAAACGGCTCCTAAGGAGACCACACCACGGATCTTCGGGGTTGTAAGTATGGTGGGAATACAAAAAAACTGGCCATTGGTCTCCACAGACCAACAGTTCGCCACTTCTGAGGTTTTCTTTGGTCCTGTTGAGAAATAAGTGCAGGAAGACGTTGTGAGGACTGTGGATACCAGTAAAACCAAAACATACTGTGAGTCATTCCAGTCTAATCCAGCGGGACAAAGTAGGGATCCTGTAAGCTCATGGTTAAATCCACGGTCAACCTTTGAGTTTCTGTGTAAAGGAGGCTGGATCGCCTCTCCTCTCAGGGAAATCCAATCAAGTATTGCAGACTTTAATGTTTTTGTGTCGTCACCTCTCGCCCCTGCAGCTCCCTTGCCAATCTGTAAATTGTAAGCTAAAACTCTGACTGTGCGTGTAGAGAATGGTGCACCAGTTCTCCAATGTGAAGGATATTCTCTTCAGACCCATCTCACCATCGCTCAAGAAGGCCAGGATAAGAGTCTAAGAGCTGGTCGAAGACCCGATGTTCTCGCCGCTCTCTGTGTAACGCATCAGTCAGTGAATGAATAGAAAGATAAATGACCTTCACTCAGCAGAAAAATCCTCCAGTGGAGTATCTTCCATCTGTTCCAGTCTCAAGATACCGTTGGTGAGCAAGGAAGGGTAGTTGCATAGCGCAAATACTGTTCGACCAAAGTGGCGTCTGTGAGAGACAAGTGGATCAGATGAGGAGCTGGGTGATAGGATGAGATTGCAAAATCTGTGGCCAATATTGGAGTCGCTTACATTTTTTTTCAGGGCCCCATTTGGAGGGCTGACGAGCCACGCTTGCTCGGAATACTGGAAGTGGAGTTGTCGATGGTCATGAGAGTTGGAGAAGAAGAAAGCGTACACTTTGCAGATGTTGGAATCCAGCTTTTATGAGCTGCATTATGCTATGTTATATAAACGGTGACCCTGACTCTCATGGCGGCCAGCGCCCAGTCACAGTGACTGGCGGCCAAGTAGCGCCTAAGAGATTGGTGATGCGACAACCAGCCCAGCCTGGTCCCCAATTGGTTGCATACCAAAATATTTCGAACACCATAAGCTTGAATGGGGAAGGCTAGAAGAAAGCGCAGCATCATGAGGGATAAAAGGTCTCTGGACACAAACCATCTTGCTATAACTTGCTAACAGAGAATACATCTGCCAATATGCCACAATCCTCGTGTCAGCCCTTCAAACAGCAAGGACATATTATAAACTTAAGCTTGCGGTAAACCTGATTACTCACTACCCCTGCAGTGGCCCTGCTGACTTGAATGTCTCTCATTAGGATCGAGTTAGTGTGCAGCACTAATCAAAGGGGTGAGGAGCTCACCAGTCACGGTATAAGGTCCGTCAATGCCATCTGAAGTCACTTCCAAGACTCATTGTATACTAGTGAGGTGGATGTTCATAACGGCTGTCCCTCAGTGGGGAACAATGAGACTCACATTCTGCCAGTGGAAAGCCACAAACCAGGCGAGATGGAGTCCATAGCCAACCTCAAAGAGCGACTGCAACTTGCAGAATTAAGCTGTTCAAGGCTTAAAGAGGCTCAAGAGCTGTACCAAAAGTACAGACTTCGTTGGTTAGAGGAAAGCTATCGTGCAAGGGTGTTAGAAGGATACGCACCACACGGGATCAATACTTACTCTCCCCGTCAGATCACATGGGACGCTCCTTCTCCCATTCAAAGTACGTCTGACGCGCCTCCTTGTAACAAACTGACTGTTTTGTCCAGGCGATGACGATGACAAAGTTGAGTAAATACATATCGCAGCATCATGCAAAATTGTGGCAGTATATACAGATTGAGGGATGCGGAGAAAATGGGGGCAGTTGAGGGGGGCATGCACACAAGATGATTAGCTGATGTTATGACCAACGTCCCTTAACCTAACTAGTAGGTGTTTGGAGATCAATCACACCACAGGACTCAGTCTGATGAAGGGTAAAGCAAGATGGATTTGAGAGGGAACGTCTAGGCCCTACGATAACGTAGAAACGAGGAGGTTAAGTCTAAGGAGTACTACTGACTACTACCTAGACTATATACTACTATTGAGGCGGAGCTTTCTGAGTATGAAAGGTATGTGATATAACTATATACGGTCATAACATTGCACCTGGGTATAGGGCGTCTTATCAACCAATCAACTACAAGGAGAAAAGGGGAAAGGGTTCATAGGGCCAAGGGTATCGGTAATTAAGCAGGGTTCTCAGGGACTGCTTCTATTCAGGGTAGATGGAGATCAAGAAGGGTGTAAGAGAGTTCTGTGACAAGAAGTCTCGAGCGGTAATTAAGGATCTCGATTAGAGATAGGATCTTGGATCTAGATCTGAGGATCTAGATAGAATCTGGAGATGTATCGGGTATGATCGGATCTAAGGGTTCTCCAGGGTCTTCGGTAATGAGCATGCTTCTCTATGAGCGGTGCTTCTCTATGAGCGGTGCTTCTGTGATAGGGGTTCAGGGTTTAGCTGTGACTGTGCAACAGGTTCTAATGTAAGGGATTCGGTGAATGACAGAGGTAACTCTTAACATGTCATGAGAAGTGAAGGTGTGCGATATGAAGAGGTGATGACTTCTTCGAGAGATAACTCGTAAGGGACTCTCGGTTATGGTTTGATCATAGAGGCACGTAGATGCTTATGATGTAACCCGTTGCCTAATCGTAGGACTTCTAAGGATGTGATGAGTTCGTATGTCTAGGGTTACAGATATAGATGGATGACGTCGATGTAGTATAGATATGATGTAAAGATAGTGATCGTTAATCGGTTATCCATCTTATCTTATCAGGGATCTATCTAATCTAATCTTATCGGATAGGGTGACTTAGGTTCGATAATCGAAATTTAGATGCAGTTGGTAACATTCATGACAGCTGATGTGTGTGTAAACAAAGCTTATCGGGCAGACCTGTACAGTTTTGTCCAATGTCCAGCTGTGTACCAACTCGAGCGAACTGACTAGCACGCACATCTAAGACAGAAGTTACCCACAATCTCAGTCAGCCAAATTTTGATGGGAGAATCAATCATCAGCGTCGGGAATGCGCTCGCGGCAAAGTGATTTCTGTCCGGAATAGAATAGGACGATTCTACATCAGCCAAAGCAGTTGGGGGATCGTTTACCATCATGAGGTCCATGGAGACTGCAAATGCATACCCAATAATCCCAACAACTAGAAATTGTTGAATGAATTTGCGAATAAGGGATCTCTGCCTTCAGAATGAGATATGTATATGACTTGCTGACTGGGAGTTGCAGAGAAAGAAGCGTGACATATCCATATTGTCACGCACTCGCCTGCCATGTTAGGGCAATACGTTCAAGTAACATTTTCGAAAAGGTCGACCACCCGTAGCCATACGAGCGATCAGAATGCAGGCATACAAGTGCGAATGTAATTAGGGTACATAGAAATGGAGAGTTTCCGCCTTATGTAGATTGGTTGCGTGCTACAAAAAATAGTGACACTAGTAGCTATGCCGCATTTATGGCTTACGTGGGTAGTAATAACTTGTCCAAATTGTGTCGCTCATTGTCGTGCTCTAAATTTTGGGACAGCGACAATTCCTCATCGCCGGATCAGTCCAGGACCAAGACTAGCGACCGCCAATGGAATTACAAGGCCCATCCCTACAATGAGGCTTAGCCCGCATGCAATCCTTGCGGACAAGGGTAGCCCGTATTCAACTGTGAAAATGCCTGGGAGAAATCCAACGATGGAAAAAACCAAACTGTAGTATCCCTGTGAGTGACCCCAGTGGTTGTGATTGAAAGTCGAGTTACCTCATGAGATACAAGTAACTTGGTATACTTGCAAGGATCACAAGACTTACCATCCTCCCTTGCAGGTAATACGTCTATTCATTTATTCATGTCAGGCTCAGCGGGCGTAAATATGAAGATAACTGAACCGCAAAGTCGAGTGATCTCATTCTGTGCCCAAAGTATTGTGCTATTGTGCATGCGATAATGCAGCTGACGCTGAAAATGAAGGAGATGGAGCACAGCATCTTTGTAGCAAGTTGTGAGCCTAAAATTGGGATGGCAAGGATGCTGGCGTTGACCGCCATGATGACACTTGCCTGTTAGAACAGATTAAGTGGTAAGTGTTCTCATTTGGGTCTACGACATAGCACTTACTACGGTAGTTTGAGCTTTGGCCTGGGCGCTGAAATCGTCCATGAAGTTCCTCATGTCCACCCCGTTGATGAGACCATCAACGTAAATATTTCTGATGCGTCTGAGCATTATTGTTGGAATGTAAAGCATAGCGAATGCAACGCTAGTCATGAAAGGAGAGGTTTCCAGGTCTGTGCGCCTTTCGCCCAGTGAATGTGTTCGCATCAAGTGAGCTTTGGGTTGACTGTGGTGGTTCAGGTATTTGTGATGACCTTCTTGACAACTCAATCAACGATGTCTGATATAAGAAAGCGGTATCATACGGAGCACATGCAATAACTTGCCTGTTGGGAAGTAAAGAGATAAGTTTATAACCGCTCGTTTTTTCTAGGGCTCATGCACCGCAGATTGCGATACCCTGCTCCTTCATGGTCCCATCAGGTTCTGCAAGTTCTTCTGATCTTTGGTCATCGACTTGAAAATGCAGATTCAGGCCAAGGTGCGTACCGGCGACGGCTAGCTCAGCGACCATTTCCTTCATTTGGTCCAAAGTCTAGAATATTGAAGCCGCAGTAGATTGTTCCAACACTAATGCTTCTGTTTCTTGCTCAGGTCATCTGATCCAGTGCTACAATGTCAAAGAACTTACCAATGCGGTACCAGTTCATTTGAATCCGCAAAGCTCTCACTTCTGAGACACGTATTTCGATCCCGCATGGAAAGTATTCAACGTGTTTCCTTGACAAGCAATGAGAAACGTTTAGATCGGGCCAGGATGACGTCCTTAGTCAATCGCTCACCAAAATTGGGCTTCAAGTTCGAGTCCTGCATAATTAAGGTCAAGAAATGAAGCATGAAAAAGTCACGTACTTTTGTGATTCCAGTGCCATACCGCCGTACATTCTTGGAAAAGAAGGTAGCCATCCAGCGGTTCTAGCCAGGTAATAATGCGTTTCTCTGGGACCACATAATAATATGGATAGATCTCCTCCCCTCCCACCAACACCGGCTCAACGACCAGCAACCATTCTTGTCCATTTAATTTGGTCCTTGATACATTGATCCAAGACTTGAGCCTGTGGACCTGTTCATCCGAACAATTCCTGATGTTCATTTCGGTGTATGTTTTCTATGATCTCAGAAAGTGAGATGTAATGCCAAGATACCAGCTGGTACTCACCATTTTTGCATTGTAGCTATACGTAGCTCCCGGCGGGTGAATGAACTCTTCCCAACCATCACGCCCTTCAAGCCTATCGATGCTACAGTTAAATCAGCACTGTCAGAAATGAATAACAAACCCAATGATAGGGTCGGTTTTCATCGTCGGCACGTTATAGTCACGACCTAGAGATTGCCTACATTCATTGTTTGAATCAAGTCAGTACTCAGTGGATAAGGTCGTGATGCATGCTCACGGAAATGATTCGGTGTACCGCCGAAGCTGCATTGGCCAGATAGGGACACTGCGCTTAAGCAACTCCGTCACCTGCTGGTCAATGTGGGTCTTGCATGTCAGACCTGAGCATACAGCTTCAATGTGATTCGCGATTGGATTGAACGTACCATCGTGGCGATGTTCACACGATGATGAATTTTTTTTGATATGTACTCATCATAATTGCCCCCGGGCCGCTAGGGAACCAACCCTGAGCCATGGATATAATTAGCATGCGTGCGCCTCAATATCATGCAGGATATAGTACAGCATTGCAGATAGCATGGCACTGCAGTATATATGCATATGTAGTCAATCGGGTATTTTATTGATGTGCTGTATGTACTATGTAGAAGGAGGAACCAGACGAGGCTAGGATGGACTTTAATGTATATAGTGCTGGTCTGTAGTAAGTTGAATATCATGATACAGTGGTAGATGTGATGAAATCATAGTACAATGGTGAGTTACTCAAATCTATAGCTAGAAGTGTTCTTGAGTGACACTTAGAGTTAAATAAAAATCACAACACACCTGAAACACTGATTTCGCTTTGTTTATGGCGCGTAGGATTCGATCTTTGATTGCTGCAGTCAGACTGCGCGAGGGCGTCATGGGCGACACTGCGGCCGCTGTGACTGATTCGACTCGCTGGACATGTTAGGTAAAGCCACCGGCTGTAGCATTAGCCTAGCGGACTTACTGATGCCATCCAGATCTCTATTTGAGTCTGTTGTTTAAATTTAGCTACTTACAATCAATGATGACAATGGCTTACCATAACTTGGTTTCTGCCGTTCGTGAGAAGCGGTCCCATTGAAGCAGTTTGCATTGTACGAGCCATGTTTGAAATGTATGACATATATCAGATATGGTCAGAAAGGGGCTTTCTTGCTGTAAGATCACCCGGAGGCAATTGTGACTTGTGTGATTGGATGGTTGTTGGTTTGGTATATCAAATTACAATGTTGAGCGAATGCAACAAACAATGACAAACTATGCACATTGAAATATTATTATTATTAATATTCTCTTCCTATGTTTCACCTACAAGCGTTAGACCGAGGCCATCTGGCCCACATGCGAGAGCTTCTGCTCCTGAAATTCGGGACCAACGTGATGTGCAGTAAAGGCCTTCTGGCCGTTGATTGAGGGTCTCCTCGCTTAATACACCAGGATGTGGGTTGAGGCCATCTGGCCCTGTATGAGGTTCTCCTCTTAGATCTCATGTCCAACTTTGCGTGGTTAGGCCTTCTGGCCGTCGAGCTGAGGATCTCCCCACTCCTATCTTCACCAGTTCATGTGTTGAGGCCATCTGGCCCACATGCAAGAGCTTCTGCTCTTAAAACTCATGATCAACGTGACACGCGATAAAGGCCTTCTGGTTGTCAAGTTGAGGATCTCAGCTCGCTCAGGATTGACGCCATCAGGCCTTGTGTGAGGTTCTGCCCTTAGATCTGATGTTCAATATGTGGTCGGGCCTTCTGGTCCTCGAGCTGAGGATCTTCTCACTCCCATCTACATCAGTTCGTGTGTTGAGCTTATCTGGCCTGCATGCAAGAGCTTCTGCTCTTGAAACTCATGACCAACATGACACGTGGTAAAGGCCTTCTGGTTGTCAAATTGAGGATCTCACTCTGTACACAAGGATGTGGGTTAAGGTCATCTGTAATGCCCTGCAGGGCTTCTGCTCTTGAGTCTTATGTTCAACTTTGCGTGGTTATGCCTTCTCAAAATCTCGCATTGCATATTAACCATATTCTGCATCAAAGTACATCATCGAAGCATGAATCATCCACCTGCTGCCAAATTCTTTGTGAATGCAAAGATGTGAATACCGCATTAGGAAGACTGGAACCATTGACAACCACCTGGATGATAGGTGTAAGATCACTCAGACATTTTGGTTGCCTCTTTTGCAGGCACGTCTTTGGACAGAGGTTTTTTGTGTCCATCGGAAACACATTCGCGGCGCTGAACATGTATATGAATCATCACTAAGCTAAGAGTCATGGGGACACTAACCTTAAGAAAGGCAACATCTTGATTGCCTCTGTGAACCTGACAAACTGGGTTGGGTTGGCGTACATCCATGTGAGTGCGAGCATAATGTCATGAAACACGATATTCAGGTCGCGGCCCGGCTTTTTCGGCGTGCACCAATTATGAAATGTATGGAATATCTGATAGATCAATACGGGATTTGTTATTGCAATAAGCAACAACGAAGAAAACTTACGATGGTTAGTAATGTCCCCACTACACCCTTCTGTAATAGACCATTGGGCCCTCGGATTTCTTCAGGAAAGAGGTCTGCGATTCTCCTGTCGCGATTGCCCTTGCACAAGCCATTCATCGGTTGAAAAAGGGCTATCCAAAGAAGTTCTTTGAATAATTGGAGCTCCACAATTTCTGTAATAGCCTGCTGAACCTACATCATAATGAGTCATGAAGTCGAATGGTGTGGTGTCGAGTTTCTTACTCTTTCTCGATGAGTTGACAAGAGAAGTGTAAAAAAGTAATCAACTCTCACATTCTGCTCCTCCATTGTGGAACCTGAAAATCCCGTGGGTGTTAATATGCAGGCCTGGACGGCTTTACGCATCTCTGAAGTTCTGTTCTCAATGTGATTACAGAACTGCCCACAATGCTTAGGAGTGAACGAAGGCCCATACAAAGCAAGAAAAGCGTACAGTTAGACGAAGCGTGTTCCATCTGATGGGTGAGGTTTCCTGACCCTTCATGATCACTGACCATACTCTTAGATAGTGACATGTAGAAATAAAAGAAGGCGCTCACCCGGGTTGTCTTCCAGATATTGTAATGTGGTGCAATCAAGATCTATTGCCATGAGCAAGCAAGTGCTAATCAGCTGCCTTCCTGCTGGTTCGGAAAGATTGAATGGGTTTGCTACTTCGACCCATAGAGAACCGAGGTAAAGGCACTTCGTCAAGAATAATACGTGATTCCAGAGGTATTTTCCCAGTGCAGCGGAAATAGCCACCCGGAGGTCAGATTCCAACTTGACATCCACGCCTTTCCAGATCAACGCCTGGTGAAACACCACCTGTGGAAGCTGTTCAGCAAGGATGTCATTGGTATCGAAGTAAACCATCGGATCCTCGACGGAACCAGCTGGCACAGCAGTAACGAGTGGGTGATCACTCGAGTTCTCGGTGTAGCCATTAAACGAGGTAATGGATGGATAATATGATGTGTATACAGACTGTTCGTTAATCGACGGAGGGGCGGAAGATATATGAGGAAGAGGTGCCGCCTCGATGGCAGCGAGAGGGGCAAATGGCATGGGTCCATAAGGAAACACTTCGTCAGTCGAAGGAAGGACTGAAGCCTGTGACATGTGCGGATGAGGAGCCGCCTCGGCGGCAATGAGGGGGGCAGGTGCCATGGGTTCATAAGGAAATACTTCGTCAGTTGAAGGAAGGGCTGGGGCCTGTGACACGTGCAGAAGAGGCGCTGTGGCAGTGAGAGGGGCAGGTAGTATGGATCCATCAGGAACCACTTCATCAAGTTCAGTTGAAGGAAGGTGTGATATGTGCAGAACAGGTGCAGGTGGTGAGTATCCGTAGGGAAACGGTGCTGCATTGAATATGATTGAATGGTGCGACAACAATGTGACCTATGAATGGGCAAAATCAATCTGCAGCACATTGTGCTGAAAGCAATACTCACAGGCCACAAGGCACTGCCAAGCCCTCTGAAGTTTGGGCTGCAAAACGCGGTGTTCACGTTCCGAAGAAAATCACTGTCACCAGCCTATGTTCATCCTTTCAAATATGAAACTTCTGAAGCGATGGAACTCTCACCTCTTTTTCAAATACAGTGTGAAATACTACATCCCCCTGCTGTGTGATGGCCAACACCCCTACAGTTGGCAAAACAAGGTCTGGTGCGAACTCTGTGCACTACAAACCAATATGATGAGATGAGATGTCTGATTTTGCGATTTACTCACGTAAAGTGGTGAAATCTGTCAGTAGATGTGCGCAAGATATCCTACGAGGAAAAGGTGCTCAGTGAATCCAACGAACAGCTGCTGAGATAGCAAGTTAGAGGAAAACGATGGGTGATAAACAAGAACAAACTGTAGTATTCTGGAGTAAAATCATCAGTGAACGATACACAAATAGTAGAGTCTACATACAGGTAGCTGGACAAGTTTGAAGGCCTGCTTCCGTTTTGACACGTAAATCGGAGCAGGGGGAAGAGCTATTCTCGGTCAAGTTATCAATGAGATAGCATTGATTCAGATCGTGTTAACTCACCCTGCATGGTGATCAAAGAACTTGGAGGCGGCACAAAATTGGAGGGACCGATAAATGAAACTGTGATAATAAATAGCTATATGGTAGGGACGCTAACCCATTACTTGCAATGGCCAGTGATTGGCGAAGGTCAGGAATCATCAAATCATGGCCAGTGGTGATGGCTAGGGATTGAGCATACCATGGCCAGTGGTGATGGCCAGGGATTGAGCATACCGTGGCCAGTGGTGATGGCCAGGGATCGGTAAATTGGCCACCAGAAACGAGTAATTGGCCGCTGTAAACAAGTGAATTGACTGCTGGAAATGAGTGAATAGTTTTCTAGGAACAAGTGCATTGGTCATCAGTAATATGTAAACTGCTCACCAGTAATTAATATGTCATTCACCGATGGGGCTTGCAAGAAGCAACCGCAAGTCATATTGGTGCCCAGCGCTGTCAGATGGGGTATACAGTATGTAACACTAATTTTCATAGTCAAACACATGGTCAGTGAACATCTTGTCTAGTGCCTCGACGAGTGACTCCGAGCTGCCATTTCGTTCCTGCTCAAAGAAATCCAGTTCTTCGACTCCAACGTGATCTTCCTCTTCGTCCCCTTCATCGTCATTGTCAGCAGGAGCTTGCCGGTTAGAGGTCTCCACGAGGGTTTCGTCCCTTTCTGAACGTTCGCTTGACTGTGGTGTGGTCTGTGGGACAGGGTGAGGTGCCTCTTGCGCCGAACAAGGGCATTCTGGGATTCGAGCCTCATGAGAGTACACATGCCCTACTCCAAGGCCGTAATGGAAGCGCATGATGGTGTCTCGATCGACAAAGCTATGCAATTGTATCAGTAAGTATAGCCAAAATGAGTAGGAATACTTACCTGTTAATGTAATACTTGTGCCAGTCATGTTCATCTCCCGCAACAGTGGAAATCCCGCATTCACTGGGATTGCACTGACCTCGCAAGAATGCCAGTATGATATGACATGCCCTGAGAACGACTGCTGGATCCACAAAACCGAATGCATGCCGATTTGCCAGAGGCATGAAATGAACGCGACCTAATCTGCGTGTTCCCCATGAGTGACTTTGGGAAGATTCATACCATCGAACGAAAAGAAATTCTAATCGGCGGGATTCGTACATGTTCCCTATGCGAACAACATTAACATGGTGTATGCCAAGGACTTTGGCATAATGGTAGTGGCCCTCATCATCATGATCGTCATGATGTTTGAGTAACATGATGTTGCAATGAGGCGTCTTGGGATTTATGACATCTTGAGCCCTTCGAACATCATAGGTGGTATAGTTAAATTGTGCGAGGTTGTGGTGATATATTCGGTTTCGCTTGAAGAGAATCGAGTCACGATCTTGGTCAAGACTGGCCGATTTCTCCCCTGGCTTGAGTCGATCTAGAATATGGTCTTTCAATTGAGGCAGGAAGTCCTGAGCCGCATCTCAGAACGAGGATGATCAAATAAGATATTGCTCACCTTCATAGTGGGATCTTTCGCATGGCTGCGGAGGTAGTGGCCAATCTCATCATAAATCTTCTCGCTTCGACCAATGTGATGGTGTAGTTGGGGATCGCTCACTGTTTCGTTCACCTCTGTACGATGGGCTGAATGTTGTTGCCATTGCTTGATGTGGCATAGACGCGTTTGACGACGCTCGATCTGAGTCAGCTGGCTAACAAATGTCCTTTGATTAGTGCGATGGTATCTGCCTTTCGGCGTACGATGCTCTAATTCTCCCTGATAGAAATTGAGGTGTGGCAGGGGTGAGCAGCGCAATACAACTTACTGGTTCAGTGCTATATGAATCCGTTGTTCCAAAGTGACGGATGCAGGCCACATAATCCCCAAGCGCATGAAACTTGTAAGTTTGAAAATTGAACGGCTTACTCCTCCGCAACTGCTCCGGACTCGCAGGCTCTTTCCCTTTGGCGTTAGCACCTGCTCTAGGTTGTGGAGCCGCAGTCCCTCGCACAGCATCATTTGCCTTGCCTTTCCCTGCCCACTTAGCTGCCTCCTTTGCCTGTTGGCAAGACCACGCGTCGGCTTCGCAGTCGAGTTCCTGGGTGTGGTATGCAGTGCACACTTTTGTCTTGAACTTACGAAACTGTTTGCCCAGATCAGTCGTTTGTTGGTCGAGTATATCTAAAGTCAGGTCTGAATGCATACGGAGCTTCGCAAGTCTGTGCCAGTGTGCCATGGTGAACAGGAGATCCAAAATGATTTCATTGTGATTGCTGGGGAGAAGGCCATCGAAGACCGGGATAGAACACTTTCATAAAATTAGTCCACGAAGACCTATGTCAATTGTTTTGGAGACATACTTGTAAGAGATCTTCGAAGTTTCGTGCTGCCATGTTCAACATTTTGGAAGTGTTTGCAGAGAATCGCCTAATGGTCGCTGGTCCGAATGGGGGCACCTGCCTGAACCTGTAAAGTTCACGGATTTTTAGCCAACCCAGCCATCATCAGATAAATATTAGGCAGACCTCTTGTCAAGCTCATGGATGAGGTCCTTATTCAGGGCACAAAGAATTCTCAATAAGTGAACTAAAAGTATGCGCCATACCCCAAGCTCAAACTCATGTAGAAGATCGACAACGAGTGCAATGAACACATCGAATCCAAATGGACCAAGGCGGTCCGAGAACGTGTTCTAATCAAGAATTAACAAAAGCAAGAAAAGAAACTGATGGTCTACTCACGGATGTTGGTACCCATGAATTTGGCTTGAGCAGGGACTCAACAGCCGTACTGTCTACACCATAGTTCTTCTTGTAGATAAACCCACGTGCTGTAGCAACCAGCTGACTCCTCGAGGCATCGGAGCGTGCAAGAGTCATACATTGTTGCCTATCACGACTCATTCCTAGATTGTGAACTTGTTCCGTTGGTATAAGACATCGTGGACAAGGACAGCCTCCCAGCTGCCGGATCACCACAATAAGAACCCTGGTTTTCGTGAGTTGAGATATCTTACAGATAATGTTGACTCACTTCTCAGGATAGTCAGCAGAATAGGTAAATATTCGCAGGTAAAACCTGCATTTGACGCCATCACAACATGGAATCACAATCCCATGTTCATATGCCTCTAAAAACTCAGGATCAAGCAAAACACTCCATTGAGCTTGGAATAATTCACGGTGGCAATGTGTTGTGCATTCGCGGCCAACTCCTTTGCCTTGGGTGTAAGTACCTGCGAAGTCTTTGAACGAGTCCAGAAGCTGCCAGGAAGCTTCAATACAGAGTTGGAGAATGCATCATGATGACCATCGTACCTTTTGAAAGTACACTACATGATTACCCAGATTGCAGGATGGTTTACACCGGCGGTACTTTGATTCGTTCCCAAAGTACATGTATACCGGCCATAGTTTCATATTACCGAAAGTTGTCAAATGGGTAGCATCTGACCAGAACATGAGTGCGACGACCACATGGGGTAAATCACATGCTGGCTCTCTAGGAGACTCCTGCAGTTCACGGTGCGCATCCAAAAAGGCTGGTGATGTGTATAACTCGCCCTGAATATTCACTTCATGTAGAAGATGCGGGGCGCTCCATCGCAGCTGGTAAGGCTCGTAATGGAAGAGTTCATCGTCCTGAGCGTTTGAGAGCTTTTCCCGAATAACAGAAATGAGAGGTTGATGGTAAAGATCTGCTGCAATGTAAGGTCGAGCCCCCGGCTGAGCTGTGGTCCAGGAAAAAGGAACGTCGATCATCACTTGCATTTTGAGCCAACCTGCATCATCATCCTCCCATTCGTCTCTTTCTTCATTCAGAACGCTCGCTCCCAATTGCGAGTTGATCTTGTTCCACTGCATACTTCGCACATCGTCAGGATCGAAATTTGGATGTCCAACGATGTCGATCAGTTCCTTAAAGCTTTGATGGGACTTCTGCACACTGCCATTCCAGTACCAATGACCGAGCTCAAAAGAGGATTGGTTGGGGTATGGATGAAACGAAATATTGTGGGGCTCTGCGGGGATATCTGGTTCTTCTGGAGTAACAACTGGGATAGAACTGATATCTCGGAGAGTTACGACCTCTTCCGGGTCGTGAGAGGGGGGAGCCGATGAGAAGAACTGGCGCACTAGGCCGAAAACATTCCTCGCTGTGTGGAAAGGAGGAGCTCAGAACAATGTAGGAGGCATAGTAGATGTATCGCTGGAATTTGCAGGTAGGTTCAACTCAGGTTGTTGGGCAGTATGACTGGGGGGAACACTCGGGGGAGGCTCCGGAAGTACATCATCATGCTGTCTATAGCGCAGCGGCATGAGGATGCCAACACGTTGGCTCCTCCGCTGTGCCAGCGATAACCTCTCTTCATCCATTTCCATGGACACTGTGCTGAGAACGATATCAGGTGCTGAATTGGATCCATTGTGCAATGAAGGACCTGCACATGATGCTTCCTGCATCACTGACGGGGTTGAGATGTTGGAAGACTCTGCATTAAATGTCTCGCCAGATGACGACAATGGTACTCATAGAGGGTGAGTCAGAGTACTCGAGAATTGCCTATCACTGTTATTAGCCACTCAGAAACGTTTTACAGAGCCTAGGAGATCTTTTGCTCTGGACAACGCAGAGAACAAGCGTTTCTTGCCTTTCACGCACGAGCGCTGATGTTTGGTGTAAGCGCTCTCCTGTGTAAACTCCCGAGCACAGGTGCATCTGAAAGGGCTTGGACCTGACACTGAATCCACCAGGTCCATGAAGAGCTATGGAATGTTGGAATGATGATAAGCTATGCTCAATGCCCAAAGATCGGATGAAATAACTCACCACTTTAGGCAACATAGAACATATAGGTAACCATAAATTTCCACAGTTAAACAGGCTTATCAGCCGCCAGCACCAGCCGCCAGCAGGATTACCCGAATTGCCATTGCAGCGCCAAGTTCACAAGCCAAGACTTGAAGAACCTCTGGCAGCAAGGCTGGCACACTTTATAACGCCAAGAAAGGCTAGACGAGTCAGTGGTTAAAAGCCTCAGATTCATTAACAAAGGGGAGAGGACGAATCCCCGTACTAAGTCACTGAATGGAACCGCCATCATCACCCTCTTCTACCATCACTAACCCACCCTGCTATCATGAAACTGCTCAAAGGTTAGCAAAATTGATTGCGGAAGCTATGACTTGCCGCCTCACCCTCCTACACTATGACAGTGTCTCAAAATCGATGGTTGAATGGTGTTGGTAAGCTGCCACTTGGACGTTGTGTGAATCCTAAGGAATGACACTGCTCCAAAAAACGTAGGCCTGCTGATGGTGAGGGAAGGAAGATTCCACCGTCCGACCTAGAGAAGTACTGCAAAGAATATGATATTAGATACCCATGCTGCCTATGCACTGATGGCGGTGGAAGAGGTGCGTATGTAGAGGGCGGCAGTGTACTGTTGGTGGAATACTACCACGAGGAAGACTTATTGGATCGCGAGATGTGCCTCTAATAGGTGCGGATACCAAGGTTAGCTTCATTCTTCATATTCAAAAGGATCAAATACTGATGGTCACCTAGTAAAGATAGACAAGTACTTCCAACTGGCACCTATGGCCGCCTTCCAGTACCGGCGAAGAGGTATGAACACGCTTCGTTGTAATACTACTTTTTCATTGATGTGTGATAAAGAACACCAAATCCCACCTGTTCAACTCGAGTGGACATTCCGGGAGCAAACGGAGTTGTTGAACAAGCTCGACTCATCTGTTGGTGATGGGATTGCTGCGAAGGAGTTTCATGTTTTGTTTAAACACTGCAAAAAATGCAAGCGAGTAGGAGCGAGACCAGCGATGAACCACCATGTCTGTTCAGGCCGGGTGCAAAAGCGATGAGGACAATTGTTATTGCTTTGACCGACATCAGTGACGTGAGGTCATGCAATGTGTTACTTACCTACTGGATATTCACATACACTTTCATGTCCACATAACCTTGACACACCAATAAGTTTGAGTCCAACACCGCCCGCTTTTGAACTCAGCAAGAAAAGAACTTTCCATCACATGAGGTCAGATTGGTGCGCTCATACTAAGTGAGCAACCTATGGTGGCTGTGTTGAGATGATTCATGAGACGCGTTGACGCATTCCTGCCTTTTCCCTGCTGGTGTCTGCCTAAGGCGGATTGGTGTAAGATAAGAAATGCTACAATTATTAACAATATAATATACCCATCCAGCCGGAAGTAAGTATAAGACTTCTTGCAGAAGGCTTCAATAAAATTGAGAGTTCATGTGCAGTACGAAACAATGATGCATCTTTCCTGGGTGCGCTATACTAAGTCCCCCCTCACTGTAGGATGTCTATAGGACTTCTATGGTTGATTATATGATGTCCAGGACAGTATATTTCGCCTCCTCCCCTCTCTTGGCCCTATTTCCTCCCTCAGAACACCTCCCAGCACCTTAGGTGATTTTATTTTGCATTTTTACTTCATGGGAATTTTCTTGCAGTTGATTGGAGTGTTTTCAACTGGGGAGCGACGCTCTGGGGCCCATAGATGAAGGTGGAGGAGCTATAGTACCTCTGCAGCACCTATACATTCATATAGACTTATTTTATTGTCATCAGGCTTTTAAAAAGCGAAATAGATGTTATTGAATGTGTGACTACATAGGGTAGTGAAGAAAGTATGAAAAAATACGTTGAAATCATGGTATACTTGAGTTCGCTGTGTGCAACAGCGAGCACGAAGGTTTCAGCAATGCGCGAAGTGTTGTCTGCAGTGTACTGCATCAAAGCCTCATTAGGCTGGGAGAGACGTGTGTTCACCCAGCCTAATAAAGCTTACTTGTCGGGAAACCCAGCCTGCAGGTGTTGTTCTTCCGCGTATAGTAACTCAGACTAGTCACACTCATGTCACATCACGTGACATTGGTTGGATTTACATGTCGTCTACCAAGTTCCTATTTCTCTCCCAAACCTCCCAACAATCTTGGTATTGCACTGGCCTTCTGGCTGTCTTCGCAATGGCTTTCTGGCCGTCTTCGCACTAGCATTCAGGCAAGATACATAACGAGTACTCTCAAATCCGAGAGGAGACCTCTTCCTATGCAATACTGTCCAACTGCTGCTGGCGATCGGTGATGATGATATCAATACTCGAGTCTCGAGTCCTTCCGCCGGATGGCAGAATGGTCAGAATTGAGAAGTCTGGAGTGAGTATGCGGTTTCAAGGTCTGGAATCTGAACATCGCCGACATGTTGTTGTGATGCGCTGACTTGAAATAAATATACAATTACTGATACTCATGAACGTGTGAGCTGAATCGACGGTTATTATTTTCAGACTCGAGCACTGATAGAATCTAAGAACTGAAAACTTATGATGCCTTGCAGGGCACCGATGAGAATTGAATCTAAAGACCGAGTGACATTTGAGTTGGCTGCTCTTCCCTTATTATTTGTTTACAAGTTGTGTAAGTCTCGTACGTGTGCGAGAACTTAGGAAAGCAACAATATTATGTCCGGCAGCATTCCTTATCAAAAGAGGAGAGCTGACGAAAGCTTGAAGAACAGCCGACTTTGCATATTCGGCCACATCCGGAGATACGTTAAGGAGTAGACACGTGCTGTTCTTCAACAGATACCCCGCTATCGTGCGGATTCGGTCGTCCTCTTGGGGGAGTGCGGTCAAGATGTATGCCAGATATGCAATATAATCTGGTACACGTGTAAAGGTGTTCAATTTCTGATTAAGTCAACGCGCAGCAGATCATCAAAAGGAAAATTCACACATGGGTGATGGCTCGCTGTACATTGCCTTGTGTATCAGTTGAGTTGTGTATAGTCTGTAGGATCTCAGAAAATGATAAAGCGAGAATTCAATACTAACTGAATATAAGGGTACATGGTCTACGTACTCAACTAATTGGAATGTGGGAAATTTGCACAGCTTTCTGCAAGGTTTTTGGGCGATGGGAATCTGTTTGAAGCCCTCCTCTAGTAACGTAGGAGTCGGGGAAGTTGTGCGTTTGTAATTGTAACTTTACCATCAGTACTTTATGCTTTGCCTCCATTGCAACACATTGGCTCACTAGATATAAAGGAAATGGCAGTGGCCATCCACTTCACCTTTCCCATCGACATACGGACAACATTCAGTCGCGCCATGCCAGCCAGCCTCACAATAGTAAGTTGACGCACAACAGGTTCTTCATGTACTACTCACTCCGTCACATACTAATGTACTAGTTCATTCTGTTACCTCAATAGCCGTGGGGCTGCTGTTGTCAGTGACCTCCACAATACAGAAGGAACGACTGCCTACGGGCCCGGGCACACTTCTCACAATATTAATCTCAAGGGCTCAAAAGTGACGTCCTGCGAAGTTACCATTCTACAAACCTATTTGTGATGGGCATTAGGCGTGCAAAATCCGCTGGAAATGTTCATTTTATTATCATGTTTGCATCAAGAAAGTCCCCCGAGGTTGGTGGGTGCTCTTTTGCTGATCGGGGTGTTGTCACGCTTCGAACGATTGCACGGAGTGTATCACGGAGTCGAAAACGTATACTGCAAGTCTTTCATTGAAGTAGCCAATGTCGCGCTGATTAGTCTTGAAGGTATCAACGTCGACCAAAATTCCGAATGTGTTGCTACTACACAACGTGGAAATTAACCAGAGTGATATACCTATGTAGTATGTTCCAAACCCAGAGAGATGTACTCGAGTTCGAGAGAGATAGTTCGTCCCCCTCCTTTGTTAAGGATGTTTCACTCACAACTATCAGGAGCTTCACTTATGAGTCTGCTCCATGTATAAATTCTCAGTCGATTTCTATCAGCGACAGGCTGGTCTTCGTTTTCTGTTGATCCGGCTAATCGCGATTCACTGCTCAGTTAAAAGGTGATGGGCACGGGCACTTTTAGGCATGAGTTTCATGCATGGCCTTCAGCAAGCAAAGCTTCTGTGAACGTAGTCGGATTGATACCCTCTATGAGTCCCGAGACCTGCCCATCAAAAGTGAACTTCAAACACTTTGATGGCCAGTTCACTTTTTGATGGCCAGTCAGAAGTAGAGTACTTGGTAAGGAAAGTAGTATGTTTTAGGGATTCAGTCGCCGCTATAAATAGTATAAGGGCACAGTACGGAGTATATACTCCCACATCCCTTGTCAACAATTAGTGTTCTCGATGTCAACGTGCCTCTCACCTTCGGAGCTGTTTGACAATTCAGCTGCTCATACAAACATTCTTCAATTCTCAAACTTACTAGGTACTGGATTGCTGGATGCCTACATAGGACTCATAGCAAATGTCAAGGCCAGTCCATAATTTCGCGTCATCTCGTATATCCTGATTTTTTTTTTTTGCAATACAGCTCCAGACTGAATTGAAGATTTTGTCATTCTTGCTAAAAGACCGAGTCTCTCCTGGCAATCTTTGGGAAATTGTTGGGGAGCGCACTATTGAAGCGAAACAGGAGGGAATATTGCGCCAACACCAAAGCAATTACTTTGCTGAATTTCAGGGACAAAGGCATGTAATCGTAGAGCATATTCTTATGGAGGAAAGGAAGAAAAGAAGTCAGATGGAGGTGTCCTTGTACCGTCAGGCTATTGAACATGTGCAGCAGCACCGGATGTGTGAGCTTCTTCAACTTTGGCACACAAATGAGTAGTCTGAACCCTGTTGCTATAAAGCAGTCCATCGTTTTGCATGTCCAGTCAAGCGTGACATCAGGTCTCCCTCGACATGCTCAGCCTGTCCGACAGTTACGCGAGAGAAATGTGAAGCTTGGTTAGGGGGACGATACGCCCACCCCCTCTCAGATGCCCCACCTCTGATGGGACATTACTGTTTTTTGCATGCTTCCACTCATTCAACATCTGGTTTCATCCCTGCACACAACGACAAATGGACATCCGTCATTCTAAATGTCAGTACCATAATTGATCTGCTCGGCTGCTCTCATTGTCTCTCTGAAGTGTGTCGGCGCTTCATTATCCCTGTTGAGCACATGTGTAGCTGTCGACGTCCAAGAAGCCTTCTATGATGCATTCCATGCAGAACAAGCCTGCCAGGCAGGATTAATGACACAGTCTTTTACTGTTAATGGCGACCTATATCATCGCGACATCGGGTTGGAGCTACTTATCTTGCAGGCAAAAATGCGCTGCGCCCAAGCAGAGATAGACCTCTATATGGTGGCCACCAAAAATGCTCGTGAATTCGACTCTTGTGACAACATTAGTGGGCATGCTCGTCATGTTTTCTTCAATTGCTGATATCTTTCCAGGCGTGTCGTCATCTTCTGGTGGTTCTAATCCTCCGCCTCTGCCTCGACCAGACAAATTGTACTACTATGACATAGACCGTGATGATGTGACGGATGACTTTGATAATTTCCAATTTGAGTAATGTCATCAGGCCTTGCCTGTTGGATGGATCATCACAACTTGGTGACTTCAGTCTTAATATCTAATATTCACATGAACCGTTGTGCTGACAATCTAGAGTAGTATGTACTACAAATGTACTACATACTTATGCTGTGGGTGCTTTTCACGAGCTTAATGTACATTGCACAGCCCACCTTGAGTTTGGTGCTGTTTCCAACCACATGACTTCATGCTACTACTTCCAAAATGATGACCTATGCAAATTTATCAATGTACCTTCTTGGCTCAGATTCTGAATCAATTGCTGCAGAAGGTGAGTGTTTGACGATGCATTACGCTTGTTGCTATTTCACTTTGTCCTACAGGTTATAATTATCGGGAGTCCTCAACTTCTCGCTGGCCGATGATACTGGCAGCAGCTAACGACAACTTGAATGCCGTGAACAAGATTATCTTGTGGACATGCCACAAGGAACCCTGGACGAAAACTACGAGTTGGAGCAAAAGGAGTTGGAGGATATTGCTAATCCCATCATCCAGAACCTCTACAGCGGCCCTCATATTCCATCGTCACCGTGTCAGAACTGTGTCCATTATACCAGTGACGGGCGTTGGTTAAGGAAACATGGTTGAATAAAGAAAGCCCCTCTCTGACCATATCTGATATACGTCATACATTTCAAACATGGCTCGTACAATGCAAACTGCTTCAATGGGACCGCTTCTCACGAACGGCAGAAACCAAGTTATGGTAAGCCATTGTCATCATTGATTGTAAGTAGCTAAATTTAAACAACAGACTCAAATAGAGATCTGGATGGCATCAGTAAGTCCGCTAGGCTAATGCTACAGCCGGCGGCTTTACCTAACGTGTCCAGCAAGTCGAATCAGTCACAGCGGCCGCAGTGTCGCCCATGATGCCCTCGCGCAGTCTGACTGCAGCGATCAAAGATCGAATCCTACGCGCCATAAACAAAGCAAAATCAGTGTTTCAGGTGTGTTGTGATTTTTATTTAACTCTAAGTGTCACTCAAGAACACTTCTAGCTATAGATTTGAGTAACTCACCATTGTACTATGATTTCATCACATCTACCACTGTATCATGATATTCAACTTACTATGGACCAGCACTATATACATTAAAGTCCATCCTAGCCTCGTCTGGTTCCTCCTTCTACATAGTACATACAGCACATCAATAAAATACCCGATTGACTACATATGCATATATACTGCAGTGCCATGCTATCTGCAATGCTGTACTATATCCTGCATGATATTGAGGCGTGCGCGTGCTAATTATATCCGTGGCTCAGGGTTGGTTCCCTAGCGGCCCGGGGGCAATTATGATGAGTACATATCAAAAAAAATTCATCATCGTGTGAACCAGCAGGCATCTTGAACATTGCCACAATGGTACGTTCAATCCAATCGCGAATTGTGTTGAAGCTGTATGCTCAGGTCATGCAAGACCCACATCAATCAGCAGGTGATGGAGTTGTAATTAACAAATGTTACAAATCGACCATGAATTATTCACCGAGCCCTACTGAGGGATCAGTGAGACCCCACGTCTGCTTGGGTATGTCTCATGTGACTAATCAACACGTCACGTGTCATGTGTCTCTCTACGCCACGTTAATATTGGCCGACCAGATATAAACCCTACTCAATAACAGTTTATTTCACCAGTTTATTTGCTGCTCAAACAATAAGTGGTGGGAAATAAACTGACAGCGTTATTGAATGGCAGTTTATTTGCCAGTTTATTTCATATGCGAAGTTGTCGGAGTGAACTGAGAGTGATTGTGATGCCGAGCAGCCGAAGTACAATTGATGAGGAGCAAAAGTATACCAGCATCGAGTATGAGTGACTACTGGAGCGAAGACGGACAACAGAAGCTCGCACTCGAGCTTGCTTCATGGGACCACATCTCTCTTTTGCAAACCCCCAATTTTTCCGATCAGCTCTCTGCACCCGCTGAACTCAACTATGCTGTTGACCCGATAACTGGGATTCATCATTCTCCGCGCAAGCATTGAGATCAGCACCAACACTCACAAAACTATTCGCTGATCCGTTGGTGCTGACATCAATGTCGTTGTCGATGCACTGAGCTATCACACGCCATGAGTGTTCGTTTGCAGAGTCTCTCGGCAAGTCGGTCGGCGGCTCCTATTTCACTCTCCGCAACACGAATGCACGTCAAACCTTACTTGACAGTTTATTCCAGTTTATTTCGTCCTGCTCGCTCAAAAAAATAAACTGGTGAAATAAACTGTTATTGAGTAGGGTTATAAGGGAAGCAGAACCAATACTTGGTCAATCTTTCTGTCTTTCCCACTTCAGTAGCTGTGCGATAACAACTAAGTACTTGTCATGTCACCTGGTGGCGCACAACCGAGCCAGCCAAACTCATCATCTACTCCGCCACACCCCAATGTACCAGCTCAAGCTGTGAGCTCAATAAAAACTACCCCAAACAGTCGCGGGGCTGCTACTGTCAGTGAACACATTGGCCTGGTTGGTACTCGGTGAGATTCGTTCCTTTTGTGTCTGGCTGGCACCTAACATTCATGCAGGGTTAATCAAGTCCGCCCATGGGTTCAGCGTGACATCGAGAAGGCTGAGAGATGCCACATAGATAAGATGCTAGAAGTCCTCTTGCAGCGCGCTTCTCTCGATCCGAAGACTGAACAGCCTGACCTCCTGGGAAGGTGTCTCCAGGCCATTCTATCAGTTTGCAATTGGACTGCAACACCCGCTGGTAAAGCCCCTGATAAAGACTTTCATTCTTCTTGCATCAAGGACGCCCTTGACAAATAGTAAGTACTCTTTCAGTGATCGGGTGTCATCACGCTCATAACGATTGCAAGTGTGTTGAAAGGAGTCGAAGAGGACTACTATGAGCCTTTCATCACAGCCACCAACATTGCGCTGGCTTGTCTTGACAATATCAAGATCGAAGGAATGCGTGCTACTTCGGGCAAGCCAGATATTGTCTTGCAGATGAATGATATCGAAATGACCCAATCCCACCAGAACACAACATTGCAACAGCGGCCCGATGTCGTCATACTTCCTTTGCAAAGCTCACTCGACGCCTTCCAAGATGGTGATATATTTGGAGATGCAGAGCACATCCTCAAGAATACAATCAAGGAACCGAAAGCAAAACTCCTTTGGAAAAATGTGCTGGCATTGATCGAGTTCAAGAGAAAGATGAAGAAGTATCTTCGTGTCCCCTCTTCGTATGACGTGAAGAGTTATGTCCCTACAAAGCCAGAATATCTGGGAGTAGAAACTCCTGCCACCGACGCCCCCAAGACCCCAGCGTCAGGCCCTTTGCAGACCCAAGCAGAACAACCTAAAGCTGCCCCTCCAAGTAAGTAATCAATCCGAGTTCCAGAGATCAAACTAAATCAGCCCAGCTATATGCCGTTCGAACTGTCTTATTGCACAGTCCCCGGCCACGACCAGTAACTCCAGTTCCAAGCGCAAGGCAGAGGAACCTTTGCAATGCACTGGCAAGCGAACCAAGACCGGCGAGACAGAGCCCAAGTTAGATGTGACTGTCCAAACAGGACTATATGCTGCCGAAATGTTCGCAGCAAATATTGCAGTCAAACATCTCCTTAATCTTATTATCATCGGTCAGTTTATTTGTCTTCGTTCGTCCAATGTCTGTACACTTACCATACCTTTCGTAGATGCTATTATCTGGGTCTGGTACTATGATCGACAGGGCACTATTCAATGCTCGGGCATCAACTTCATTGACGATCTTCCATGATACATGGTGCTGTTATATGTGCTACAACAATTCAACTTTGAGGATTGGGGTTGAAACCCGAACTTTGAAGAAGTTGAGCAAGGAGGTTCACACACGTTGAAATCGGACGACAAGGAAGGAAGTTCTCAAATGTTGGAAGTCGACGGTGTGGATCTTCTCTTCCACACCAGCGACAAAGCAAGAGTCACTCACTACAGACTGAAAGGACGGGCCACAAATGTGGTCCCGGTTACCAGTGAATACCTAGCTAAGAAATACCCTGAGGTACAGAAAGATGGAATGGTGGCCAAAATATTCTGGGCAGAGGAGGGACGGACTAGCGAGCCAGAGATCTTGAAAAAGGTTGAAGAGATCGCCAAGACGAAGAAGGTCGTGGAAGGCCATACACCTCACCTGCTTTGGCACCACGAGTTCAAAAATCCTACCTCCGCAATCCAAGAAGCACTTGGTGTTCCAGAATACAAGAAGGGTAGCCGCATGCTCTACGTTCTCGTTTTCCGCAGACTCCAACCCATCACAAACCTCGAAGGCGAACGTCTTTTCGATGTGTGGCATCAATGCATCTTGTGTATGTGGTTCGTTTCGTTTATGTGGATCTCCATTGACACTATGTACAGGCCATCTTGCTCTCTGGAAAGGAGGAGTTCATCACCGAGATGTCAGCCCTCCTAACATGATGTTTTACGAGACCGATAAAGGCATCCTTATGGGTGTCTTAAACAACTTTGATCTATCATTGTTGGCGACCACAAAGGGGCCTCTAGGCAATGAGCGCACAGGCACAGTGCCATTCATGGCGCTCAATCTTCTCACCGAAGAAGGTCTACGAGGCGAAGTCGAGCACTTGTATCATCACGATCTTGAGTCCTTCATGTGGGTTCTCGTCTGGGTCTGCTTGCATTACAGGAAGGGAGTCCTCTTACCCCCCAAAACTCGCCCTTTGGATGCATGGGCAACTACAGAGGCTAAGGCATGTGGCAAGAAGAAGTACTATTTTATAGGTCGTATTTCGCGTTACCGAACCGTGGACATTGACTCGCGTATGTGGGATTTGGTGTTGGACTGTCTCAATATTCTTGACATGGACACCTACAATCGACAACAACAATTGAGATTAGGGGTAGACAATGCCCAGGAATCAGAAGCAGATATGGATGAGTTTCTACACAGATTTACATCTACCAAAAGCTGGATTAGCCTCACCGAGGATTTACCGTAATTTTCTTTACTCATTTAGACGGACACAATTCCATCTTCTATTCTTTTTCGTAAACCACCCCGACTCATTAGTCCTAAGACCTGGATCTGTTTTCATTGCAACCCAGCACGTGACCTACAACGCATGCAATTTCCTTTTTGGTGCGCAATGTTTTCTATCTCTCTTTCTCTTTTGCCTTTGCAACTCTGTGCAGGTATGTATGGCTCATGTGTTTGTACTTATGTTTCTTGCTAAAGTCGTATGTTTTGATAGTTGTTGTGGTTGCCGTCTAGCGCCTTGGACCTTCATCTTTCTCTCCAATACAACTCCCTCTCGCCCCATTGACTAGATATGGCTCACACCAGGCGGACCAAAATAAAGTCTACCGGAGGGCCTGCGAAACATGGTGTACTACCTGGTTCCCTCAGGCATGTCCCTGTTCACAATGGCAAAGTGCTCATCGAAAGTGTATATCCCAACATGTTACCGAGTGGGTTGTCAAAGACAATAACGAGTGGGATTAAAGGCCCACTGAAGCCTCAACATTGGAACATCGTAAGCGCAGCTGACTCCCCCCGTGTACAACACTGACTTTCGACAGTGGTGCTTGTTGTGCCGCGATGGCGCTCCACAGATGTATGAGTGCTCATTTTGCCCACGCACCATATGCGAACGCTGTCTTGCCATCCCGGAAGAGTCATGGGAGTATATCAACAGCGACGATATTTTTTTCAGATGCCCAGGTTGCCACGAAGTTCGCAATAAATGGGATAGGAAGGGCATCATTACACTGTACTCTGTAAGTGGGTTGTGCTTATCGATCCTCAGTCTTACACCCTGTTGTACCACAATTAGGGTTTTGAGGACGCTGAAGGGAAGCCCGCGCTGGCGAGGCCTGTCACTATCCATGGCCACATTGAGCTGACCAGTCGGTCAGAGGTATGCACCATGCCGGTTCTGGTTCTCATTCTCAACTTTGTCCTCGATGGTGTTGATGTCCTTGGGTCACCTGCACACATCATGCGAGATGCACTGCATCCATACGTTGCTGCAGATTACCATGAAATCATCTTCGACGTCAGAACAGTTTCCAAGGCCAAGAACCACGCTAAGTTAATGACGAAGCTCGCAAATGAACTAGGATCATGTTGTTATGATCGTGTCAAGGTCTTTGTCCACTCTCACTCAGAGACCACACGAGGTGACCTTTGGGGAGGGTTCAAGAACAGCAAGAACAAAGGTGAGCGAGGGGAACCTGTCGCCTATGCAATCAACGACGTGAGTCAGCCCTCGTTTCTATTTATTGATTTCACTCATTCTTCGCAGTTTTTTGCGCTAGTCTTCGTCAACGGCATGGAAAACTTTCTGCAGGGAAGCACGCTGTGGATGTTGGTGTGCAGCCATATGGTACGCAAAGTTGACGCCTTTGACAATTTCAAAGCTTGTACCAAAAGGTGCGTATTTTGGTTGTTACGCCTTGGTTGCCCCAGCGCTGAGATAATTCCATACAGTTATGAAGTCCAACACGCTTTTGCATTCGGTGCTGAGCACTTTCATGCATGCCTTATCACGGCGTTCAACATCGCTTATGTCAGTCGTGTTCTCGTTGAAGGCTTCGAGGTACAGGACACCATGCAGGATCTTCTGGTAGCGTCCTTTCAACTCGGCATGCACAGTTCCGTAATACATGTCCATATCACAAATGCTTTCCGTCGTCGCCCACCTACTGTCTCCGAATACAACAAAGGGGCCCTGTATGTCGACGAAAAGGCCTCCATGATCACATCGATGTACACATACTTCAACGAGAACCAGCGTCCTTGGGGAAACCCTCTACCATATCAATGTTCGGACTGCAACTGTGTTCGTCCTTGGAACCGCAGCACTCGCTCTATGTCCGATGATGTCAAGTTCTCTTGCAAGAACTGCAGTTTCATCCTTACCTATACGAAACCCGACCAGACAAAAATCATCCTATTCACCGATGGTTATCAGGGAACTAGCAATGCCAGTGGGAAGCTAACGAAAAAAGGCTGCGGCACCGGTTGTGGGTGGCTGGTGCTTGTAGCAAACGAGCCTGGTGTGCCAGCTGTTGCTCAATCAAGAACCCATGCCGCTGCGGACCATTGATTGACCATTTACTTTGTTTTTTGTTTGTATATCTTAATGTGAATTTATTGATTGAATGTCTCTCAACTTTTCCAATCTTGTGGTCTGAGTTAGCGCAAACATGAGCCAGAATGGAAGCTATAACTAGTGAAGCTTTGAAGGCTGAGAGATGCTCCACTATCACATCCCACAGACTTTATGAGCAGCAAATTCCACTGAGGCAGCGGGTGATCAATTTGGTGGAAGGCTACTAGCAATTTGACTAGGCATTACCTTGGACGCATCATAACTGTGAGTGATGATCATTTTTGTGAGGATCTTGTAGCTCTTGCTTCACCGACTGGTTGACATTGCAAATAATCATCGTGAAGTCGAACTCGGGCAGCACATAACAATTCTAGTGGAAAGCTACTTACAATTGACAAGGCATTACCTTGGACACGTCATAACTGCAAGTGATGCCCATTTTGCATCAATATTATGAGGATCTTGTAGCTCTTGCTTCACTGACTGGCTGACATTGCAGATAATCATCATGGGGGCAAGCTCAGGCAGCACATGACCACTATTTTGGAGAGATGCAGGACTCCTTCAATGGTCTATCTACTAACTATCATAGTTACGGAAACATACAAAACTTCATCAGGATTAGAGTTTTCTTGTCCTTGGATGCCATTATGCTTACACTTATATATCACTTTGTCTTTGGATATAATCTATGGATATTTGATTTGATTTTGCCAAATATATCTACAAAAAACATCTCCTCGCCGATTTCCTGATGTGAATCATCTCTTAGACTGACCTCTCTTACCCCACGGGTCTTCTTCTGCCCGTGACATCGGATTGCTTCCATCAGGTTCTATCGCTCGTAATTGGCCATTGGCGATAGTTAGAACGTGGCACATGTTCAACGCAGCCCATGTTCAACGCAGCCCATGTTCAACGCAGCACATGTTCAACGTCTCGCGAAGTAGAGTGCTACCTTCTCAAGCATGTGGACACCCAATGGCTTGCTGGTGAAATGCATCGAAAACAATTCCAATTTGCCGCATTCATGGTCATGACATATACTTCTTTCCTACACCTTTCCTATATATTCTCATGCGTTCAAAAGACTAGATCACCTTGCGCCAAAGGGCTTCGTAGGTAATGACCACTTCTCCAAATCAATCGAATCGGGACCCTCAAATTGGGAGTGGAAACACGTCACCAGAAAAACACTGGACAGGACGTCTGCAGCATCTAGGATGGGCGGTATGTCATCACGCACAGAACTATACAGGCGTAGGAATTGTGTGTTCCGTTGCATACTTTGACCCGTAAGTGTCAATCTTTGATGGCAATCACGTTCTCAATCTGAAGCTACATCGAAGGGGGAGTTGGGGAGTCGATCTTCAGGCAGGATCTCAATACGGCTATAAGCTACTCTTCGTCGTTGTTTTGGCAGGTTTATTCGCTGCATTTCTTCAAGTAAGTAGGATGTATGAGTTGTTGGCTGAGTGCCTTAACGCACAATTCCCAGGTTCTTGCATGTCGACTCGGTGTGGTCACTGGGCTTGGTAAATCCAGCTTCCCTAACAGATCTACATGTCAGTTGACCCATCTTTTGCAGACCTCGCATCCCACTGTCGCATTCTCTTTCATGGTCGACCACATCATACGAAACTTTGGCGATGGGCAGTCCTTTACCCACTTTACGTGCTCTCAGAGGTAGCCATCGTCAGTACCGATCTTACTGAGCTCCTAGGCTCTGCAATAGCCCTCTGTCTTCTTTTTCCAGCTCTTCCACTCTGGGCTGGTGTTCTGATAACCGGAGCCGATGTCTTATTGATACTGGCACTGGGCAACCCTCTTCGCGCTAGACCAGTGAGGATTTTCGAATGGATCATCGCTGCACTTGTAAGTTCCCAACCACTTGCAGTCTTCGTTTTGTTTCAATGGGGATCTAGGTGTTTGCTGTGCTCATCTGCATTGCAATCATTATTGCGAGGGTCACTGTCGTCTGGGGTCAAGCCTTCGATGGACTCGTTCCTTCTCAGGCACTTTTTGCCAATGGCGCTCTTTATACATGTATGTCTGTATGTGGAATGCAAGAATGCAGACATCCGCTGACATACCTTTGTTTTTTAGCCGTCGGAATTCTGGGCGCGACGGTGATGCCCCACAGTCTGTTCTTGGGTTCGCATCTCGCGACCCAAGATCGGTTATCCAAAGAATTAGTCGCCCCAGTCTCCCAGCTTTCGGATAATGCTCATGAACGAGAGTCGCGAGAGGTAGGATCAAGGCGCGAGCCCTTGCTATGCTTTAGACGGGTGATCCGGCGAAATTGCCGGTCCTTGTTCATAGTATCTCGTGTCGAGTTAGGTGCCCGTCCGAAGTCTCATGAACATAGAGAGAATAATACCTTGGAGTTCGTACAATCACATCTGTACCACGGCATGATCGATGTCGTGACCAGCCTGCTAGGCTTCGCCGTCATCATTAATGCACTGCAAGTCTAATCATCTGGCATTCTTTACTACCACTGAGGCTGACAACTCTCTCTTTCAAGGATTCTAATACTCGCCAGTGCCGTCTTTTATTATGGATCAGGGGCGTATGGCTCTGAATCTTCAGCTAGCTTGTTTGATACGCACACTCTCATCAACAACACGATTGGCAAAGGTATGACGTCCTTCGGGTTCTGTAATCTTCTCAAATCTTGTGACAACAGCTGCTGCATTGTTATTTGCGCTCGCCCTGCTTGCATCAGGCCAAAGTGCTTCTATTATCGCCACTGTAGCAGGGCAAAGCGTCTCTGAAGGATTCCTGAACTGGAAAGTTTCGGTCAGCTCTACCCGTAATCCTTCGTTTCGATGAAACTCATCGCTCACTTATGACAGCCCATTGTGCGGCGCCTCGTGACGCGCCTGCTAGGTTTGATACCATCTATGACTATTGCCATTGTCCTTGGAGCAAACGGCATCAACTTTTTGCTTGTCGCAAGTCAGGTCATCTTGTCGATAGTCCTCCCATTCATCACGTTTCCGCTGATATACCTCACCTCATCGTCGCGCATTATGCGAGTGCGTAAACCATCCCCGGGCAGTAAGAGTATCAATCCACTCGACAGTTTGGAAGCTTCCTCCCCGCCTGCAATCAAATCAGTAGATTCCGACCCGGAGATGCTTCAGACACAGGACTTCGTGGACTTCAGTAGCGGGAAGTTCATGACGTCGCTTGGGTGCCTGATATGGCTTGTGATTGTGGTAGCTAATGTGTATGTGCTTGTAACTCTGGGAATGGGACAAGGTGGGTGAGCTTAGTGCAACTCATATATCGATTCTTCATTTCATCATTATTATCATGTCATCATGACTCGGTGTTTTGTTCCGTACGTCCTTGTCGTGCACTTCAAACGGTTTCAGTATATTCATCCATTTCATGGGTATTATCGGAATGGCTCTGCGCGCTCTGTATATCAGTATGTATAAGTAATCACCTACCAGAATCAGCACAAAGATTCATATATCTCATCCTGCGAGTTTTGTGTGATTTTTGACACGGACATTCAAGTTATCGGCAATATGAAAAGGTAAAACAAACCCTAACCCTAGTCTAGGTGCAACACCAAAACGCGTCCAGCGCGCTTCCAGCCACGATGACGGTTCAATCTGGGTTCAATCAATTCCCCAATCCTGGCTAAGATCTTTCCATTCAGAGCGTGGGTTATCGCGAATCCATCGTGCGCAATTGGCCCGTCGTCTTCGATAAAAGCCAACGTTCTGCTTGCAAGACCGAGATCGTTTACTACCAGCTCCCAGTCTTGCAACAGCTTCCAAACCAACGGTATGCCTAAAGCGATTCAGAAGAAAGCATATTATGCTGTGCGCAAAGGGCATATGCCGGGGATTTACTCGACGTGGTCAGTAGACTGCACGATAGGCTCGTCTTTTACTCAGTTTCCTTCCTCAAGGGAAGAATGCGAGGCCCAAGTGAAAAACTTTCATGGTGCTATCTTCAAGAAACTTAACACCGAGACGGAGGCTCTCGCATTCATCGCCAGAGAGTCGTCGTTCAAGCCGCCCTCTTCGGGAGCGTCCTCGTCTACAGTATTGCCTGCTATCAAAAGCCCTCCGTGGGTCGCCTCCACGAGCGTGCCGTCAACATCGTCGAACTCAGGCGCATCCCACACTTCGGCTGCTGTAAGTGTCGACGAAGATGAGCCTGGGTACGATGTAGTTTATAGTGATGGTGCATGCAAAGGAAATGGACAAGTTGGTTCGGTTGCAGGTGTGGGTGTGTGGTGGGGCTGGAACGATTCCAGGCGAGAAATCTCATCCTGAGCGTTCATTTCGCGTAACATGACACTTATCATTACTTCAGAAATATCGCTGAACGATGTCCTGGAGATCAGACCAATAATAGGGCAGAACTTATTGTGAGTTTTGCATTCCTGTTCGATAACATACTAAGCTCATACTCCCACCGCTTTTGCAGGCAATCGTTCGGGTATTGGAGACCGCACCATTCTCCCAGCAACCACTCATGATCAAAACGGACTCAAGCTATTCCATACAATGTAGGGTGCCTTGATCTGTGATGAATTCCTCTCATCCTGTGCAGGCTTCGAATCCTGGTTGCCAAAGTGGAGCGTAAACGGTTTTCGAACGGCCAATGGCCAACCTGTTAAGAATGCTGAACTTATCAGGTACTTGGCGGCATTGCTGTATGCCCGTGAAAGAGCAGGACCGAAAGTCAGGTTCAAGCATGTCAGAGGTCATGTTGGAATCGAAGGTAATGAGTGCGCCGACCGATTGGCCAATGATGGCACTCTCAAACCAGAGCTGCCGGAGCGGGATTGGGTGCAGCTAACTCGTGACTTGGAAAACAAGTCAACGATATCGAGGGTGATACCTGAGTCAGTCAAGGTAACTGACCAACTAGTCCCGTATTATGACATGGCTAAGCCAATTCCATCGAAGTTGAACGCAGCTTCATCGCGACAAATCGCTAGTATATCTGCTAGCGGTTCCTCTAGCAGTACTAGGCTTCCACAACCATCCGTCACAACGCGTGTTTCGTACCCTCCAAGGGACCCCACACCTAAACCGGCGACTCTGAGCCAAGCAGAATTAGATGTCAGTGATCACAATGTCAGGCTCTCATCATACTCACGAGCAATAACGTGGTCAGGCCTATGCAAGTTGCCTTCTTGACGTCGACCAGTTCACCAATCTGGAGGTGGATGATTTGGAATCTGACTTCTAGACTGATCTCTTTCACATCGGAGTTCCTCTTATGCCCGTGACATGGGATAAGTGCTATCGCCTGACAGTAGGTCAACGCAACTATGAATAAATACATCGAGGATGTCTATCGCTACAGTACACGAGGTTTCCCAAGCGTTTGAGCAGCCAATAGTTGAATCGTGAAATTTAACGACGACCATTTCGATTTTACCACGCATACAGTGGCCATATATACTCTATCTTTTCATCCACCTTTCGTGACCGCTGCGCATCTAGAAAGACTCGATCATCCTGTGCCAAAGGGTGTCCTAGTCCATTACTTTGGCTTGATGACCACTTCTCTGAATCAAGCGGATCAGGACCCTCAACTCGGGGGCGAAACCACTGCGTCCCCAGAAAAGCATTGGATAGATCGTCTGCATCATGCAGGATGGAGAATATTTCATCACGCACAGAAGCATACAGGCGTAGGCGTTGTGTGCTCCGTCGCATACTTTGACCCGTAAGTGATCATCTGCCAACCGATGGTAGCTACATTCTCAATCCGAAGCTGCATCAAAGTGGGAATTGGGGTGTCGATCTTCAGGCAGGATCTCAATACGGTTATAAACTCCTCTTCGTCGTTCTTTTGGCAGGCTTGTTCGCTGCATTTCTTCAAGTGAGGAGGATCTGTGATATACGAAGTGGTGACTGTCGGAGTGACTTAACGCAAAATTACACAGGTTCTTGCCTGTCGGCTTGGAGTAGTCACTGGCCTTGGTAAATGTCAGCTTCTCTGGCAGATTTACGTGACTATTGACGCGTCTGTTGCAGACCTTGCCTCACACTGCCGCATTCTCTTTCATGACCGACCACATCATACGAAACTTTGGCGATGGGCAGTCCTTTACCCACTTTACGCGCTCTCCGAAATAGCCATCGTCAGTACCGATCTTGCTGAGCTCCTTGGCTCCGCAATAGCACTCTGTCTTCTCTTTCCAGCACTTCCACTCTGGGGTGGTGTTCTGATAACCGGAGCCGATGTCTTATTGATACTCGCCCTCGGTAACCCTCTTCACAGTAGACCAGTGAAGCTCTTTGAGTGGATCATCGCTGCACTTGTAAGTTCGTAACCACTCGCGTACTTGACTTTGTATCGATGACGTGAGTCTAGGTGCTCGCTGTACTCATCTGCATGACAATAATTATCACGAAGATCAGTGTCGCCTGGGGTCAAGCCTTCGATGGATTCGTTCCCTCTCAAGCCCTTTTTGCCAGCGGTGCTCTTTATACATGTACGTGATAAAATGCAAGAATGGAGACAAGCGTTGACATAACCCTGTTGTAGCCGTTGGAATCCTGGGTGCTACTGTCATGCCCCACAGTCTATTCTTGGGTTCGCATCTCGCAACCCAAGACAGGGTATCAAAAAAACCACTTCCTCCTGTCTCCTCGCTTTCCGACAAGGTTCGAGAAAGAGAGTCAACAGGGGTCGCATCAAGGCGCGAGCGCCTACGATGCTTAGGACGAGCGATCTGGCAAAATTTCCGGTCCTTGTTCGTAGTATCTCGTGTCGAGTTAGAAGAGCTGAATGCCCGTCCGAAGTCTTATGAACAGAGAGAGAATAATCCCTTAGAGTTCGTACAATCCCATATGTACCACGGCATGTTCGATATGGTCGCCAGCCTGCTAGGCTTCGCCGTCATAATCAATGCCCTGTAAGCTTCTAGCATTCCTTACCAGGCTATTGATGCTAACAACTCCTTCGAAGTATCCTAATACTCGCCAGTGCCGTCTTCTATTATGGATCAGGGGCGTATGGCTCTGAATCTCCAGCTAGCTTGTTCGATGCCCACACTCTCATCAACAACTCGATTGGCACAGGTATGTCATATCCTTCAGGTGCTGTAAGCTCGTCAAATCCTTGGCCATAGGTGCTGCGTTACTGTTCGCCCTCGCTTTGCTCGCAGCGGGCCAAAGTGCTTCCATCGTCGCCACTGTAGCAGGGCAAAGCGTCTCTGAAGGATTCCTGAACTGGAAAGTTTCGGTAAGTTCCATCATTTGTTTCAATGAAAGTCGTTGCTCACTGATATCACAGCCTGTTGTACGGCGCCTCGTGACGCGCTCGATAGGTCTGATACCTTCTATGGCTGTCGCCATCGTAGTCGGACGAAACGGTATCAATACCTTGCTTGTCGCAAGTCAGGTCATCTTGTCGATAGTCCTCCCATTCGTCACGTTTCCCTTGATATACCTCACTTCATCGTCGCGCATCATGCGAGTGCGCAAAAACACTCCAGCCCACGCAGTTACAAGTTCTGGCTTAGAAAAGCCTGCAATCACATCAGTAGATACCGACCCTGAAATCCTTCAGACAGAGGACTTTGTTGACTTCAGTAGCGGGAAGCTCATGACGTCGGTTGGGTGGTTGATATGGCTTGTAATTGTGATAGCTAATCTCTACGTAATTGTAACTCTAGGTATGGGGCAAGGTGGGTGAGCTTAGCGGTAACAATGCATTGGTTTGCTTCATTTCATCACTAGATATGTTTGCTGTACTTTCTAGTCATGTATTTCAAACATTCAGCATACTCGTTCGTTGGCATGTGTAATCAGATTTTAGGACATTAAGGTTATCCTGCGAGTTGATGAGACTTGTGATGCGGAAGATTATCATCAGCAACACGGCCAAGGGGCCAACTACGATCAGACAATGTCTTCGGACCACGCGAGATGGGTCTTGCCATGACAGCCAAGAAAGTGGCGCATGATGGCAGTAGTATACCACTTAGCTGAGATGAAAAGGTCCATTGAAGGTGGTACAGCATATTTGTCCTTGCTGAGAGACAATCACTAAATCAGATGAAGTAGACCATAACAACCTCTTGTAAACCTTTGTAAACATACCAGGCAACAGCAAAAAATACCCGGAGATGTTCACGGTAGTGAGAATCAGAACCGAGGTCAAAATCGTTGATAAGCACCTAAGAGATATCTTCTAATGGCATGAAGTTACTCACTTCCGACACTGCAGTGGTGACTACATTGTTCGGTGACAGGATGTGCCTGTTCATGCTCCAAGACCTATTGATCTCGTCGGCTTCATCAACAACGTTGCACCTTGGTGATCTGATCCGACTGCACTTCTTCGTGAAGCAGCTCGCCATGTTCCGGGGGCGCAAGTGAGCGCGATCGAGACAGTTGTGCAAACAACGGCCGAAGTTACGGTCAGAGTGAATATATAGAACGTATCACTGGCAGTACTAAATGGCATTTAAATCAGTAACTATTTGTGACCACATTCTACTCACCAGGTTGGTCGTATTGTGGTGGTAATGAAGCTGGTCGATGAGGCACTGGGAAACGGCCGAGATAGTCTTGTCGTATGTTCTCAATTGCGAATTGCTATATTGCATGAATGAGGCTCTGGAGATCGGTCACTTGCGAAATAGAGAGGGATTGACTTGCGTTCCCAATGCGCACCTCACATAAATGACAGTAATAGATAGCGGGGAGTTGTAGTCCCAGCAGGAGCGACGATCGAGGACCTGCATTCAAGATGTCAGCACAAGTCTTCTGAAACGCTAATGTCTTGAATATACCCATCGAAGGAGATGTCAAGTAGCGCTGAGTTTAGACTTGTATGTACTATGTATTAGCATCGAATCGGCTGCTTTAGAGCGTCATACATGCCAGGGACCAGGAACACGTAGAGGATCAAATAACTAGGTAGCATCCCGTGATGCCGGGTTCGTCGTCTTCAGCGCCACTGAGCGCTGAGGAACGATCATCTGCATGTACATGACATAACACGTATCTATATGGCATATTACGACAAGTGCAACAAGGAAAGTCGACCGCTGAAAGAAATAAATGACGCAGAAAAAAATAGTAAGTAAAGCACAAGAACAAACGAGCAAGGGTTCAAAAAGTTATCATTTTCACAAGTTAGGACCTTTTCTGTGAAGCCTGATGCTAAGTAGTCAGGATAAGCGCATGTAAGGAGGTCATACAGACTCACAAGTATGGCCATTAGTTGCTGGTAATTCGGAGTTCCAGGCTGGGGGGCACCAGGTGGCATGCTAGACATAGGAGGTGGAGACATCATGGACTGAGGTGGCGGCATGGACTGAGGTAGCGGAGGAGGCATTCCATATTGCGATTGCATCTGCTGTGGGGCAGTGCCTTGACCCTGCTGACCTTGTGACTGTTGTAACAATGCAAGGATATTTGGTGGTAAGCCAGGCATTCCAGGGTGGATCTGCCCTGGCTGAGGAGTGGGTGTCTGAGAAGGCATCTGAGCATAGGGGTTAGCACTGGGGCCAGGCGGAGGATAGGGCGGCGCGGACTGCTGAACGGGAGGTGGCGCATAGTATGGGCTTTGAGGTGGAGGGGGCATTCCAAGTGTGCTCGGGGGAGGTGGTCCTGGTGGTGGCGGTCCCTGTTGCATCGTGGGAGGCGGTGCGGTGTTATTCTGGGGTTGTTTCAGTGCCGCAAGGAGCTGTTGAACCTTGCGAGCCTGCTCTAACCGATCCCCTGTACCCTGATGGACTATCAGCAGAGTGGAACATCGATGAGGATCAAGTACGTACAGTTTGAGTGACCGATAGTGGGGGCTGGTGGTACTGAGTGGCTACTGGCAGGGGCTGGTTATACTGAGTGGCTGCAGGCTGCTGCTGGTTATACTGAGTGGCTGCTGGTGGGGGCTGGTTATACTGAGTGGCTGCTGGCGGAGGCTGGTTATACTGGGTGATCGCTGGCGGGGGCTGGTTATATGGAGGGACGTTCGACACCTCATTATACGAACCAGAGCCCGAACCAAGCCCACTCGAGAGAGAACCACGGGAATCAAATCTGTCTCCATAACCACCCCGGCCGCCACCGCGTCCACCCCTGTTGTAATCATCTTCAAAGCGCCCGCGATCACGATCCCTGCCGAAGTCATCACGCCTGTCCCAATCCTCATAAGAGCCGCCGCGACCTCGGCCTCCGCCACCGCGGCCCCTGCCTCGACCTCGGCCTCGAAATCCACGCCCACTATCTTCCCAGTCCCGCCCACCGCCGAATCCCTGCTCACGACTGCCGTAGCATGTTAGAAAGAATGATAAGTGTATGTGACGACACATACCGCTGAGTAGGAGGACCAGAAATTTCAGACTCTTCCCATGCATAGACAATGTCCATGGTTCCATCTTGCAACCCTTGGTGACGGAGACGGTCGAACGCTTCGTCGCATGCCTGCAGGGGGGTGAATATTACGTTATCCCAACTTACACCAACACTAACCCTGATATCATAGAATTCAACATAACGCTGACTGCACAGGCTCATCAGTAATCAATGCGATTGGATAGAGATCCAACACACTCAGCACGATCGCCGACAGGCGTGACAGATTTAACGTCTCCGAACTGTTGGAATTTACGTCGGACCTCATTATCATCGATAGGTTGGACAGAATCCTTAAGTGTGACGATTAGGTTGCCCTGAAATTGCTGCACAAGAGTTCAGTTGTCATTCGTAAGATAAGCGCAATATTACCAACCTGATTCTTGTCGCGATCGCCACCTTGCTTTTGGTCATCACGAGGAAGAGAATAATGAACATCGATCTGAAGAAAGGACGGCTCCATTGATGATTATCGCGGCGGGGTGTATCAAAACTTACGGGTCTTCCACTTATCTCAGAACCCTGCAGACGATCCCTAGCGCGCTCAGCTGCACGAATATCGTACTAAACCGGAGCCTTAGTGATGGTGGAGTGGGTTCCATTTAACACTTACGAAGGTCACAAAAACCATTCCCCGCGTTGCAATGAGATCGAAAAAGGTCTTGATATCTCCGTGCTCTTCGAATGAACGACGGACGTCATCACTATTGGTCTCATACTACAAAGGTAGCTCAATATTAGCAAATCAAATCCGTACCAGAACACGTGGAGCTGCCTCCAACTCATTGACTCGCCTTAATGTTGCGTATAAACAAAGTACGACAGGGACGCTCGCGTTGGATTCGCTCTTCAATTATTGAATCGTGGACTTTGTCATCCCGTTCTCGACGTACAGTTCGCCTCTGAGGTCGCATACCAAATCCACCATCTTCATAGTTGGCGTCGGAACCGTCTGACAAAGAATAGGATACCAGTGAGATCAGGTCCTTTCAATGTACCAGAAAACCAAGCTGAGGGTAAGGCAGAACAAAGAGACGTAGCGCAGCATATTAGGGGAGGTGGCGATGACCCCAACTCAACCGAAACATATAAGCTCCCAATCGTGAAATTCGGACGAGCATATTCCCTGAGCGATCTCAGATTCCATCGTCTGTAGTCTTTCTTCCGACTTCACTGCTCTCGCTAAAGAATAGCTTAAGCTCGCGAGTACGTCTTAATGTCTGAGATGCCTCCATGAAAGGTTTCGCCGTTGGCAACATGTCCCTGTCAATTTTCGTCGCTATAATTTGCATCCCATGCGAAGCTGCGCCGCCAAAGTTCTGCCTGTATTCGCTCATTTTCAGTCTTAGTTTCAAGCGCACCTTCGTAGTTACCATAGCCCTGGGTATAACCATCTGACTGGGGTTGGGCATCGAACTGAGCGGGGGGCATTCCACTACCATAATTACCACTGCCGTTTTGGTAGAATGGGTCTTGTGAGCCAGAGTCGTAATTATTGTAGAGGCCCATATCGCCTTGAGGCGGCCCTTGATCATATGTGTTGGAGGCACCGCCATCGTAATTGCCAAAGTGGCCGCTACCTTGACCACCTTGGCCGCCTCCGCCTCGGCCACGACCGAATCCTCTTCCACGGGGTGCCCCACCACCTCTGTGATGGTAAGATCTATCCGGCCCAGACCCTGCTAGTGAGCCGCCCCTTCTGTTGGCGGGATTATCGTAAACTCCTCCATAGGGATGATGACGGTTCATTTTCTTTTACTGGGGGTGTAGGGTGAGGCGAGCTGATATGTGAACGCTTAAAGATCCGGTGGAACACGTGTACGGGAAGGTAGAGAAAACCGCTGAAGAATAACTCTGAATGAACTTCTGAAAGTATGACTCAACTCAAGAGGGATACGCTGAAAGCGAAAACCAACAGAGGAGCTGTCTGATGATGGTGGTGGTTCGGGTCAAAGTCGTCGTCAACGTCGACAAAATTTTCTGGCTCGGGTGAGAAAATACACGTAATCATGTCTCCCAAATGCGGATCATCGACATTCCTTGCTCGCAGCAGTCGTAGTGCTACTTACCCCTTCACGATGTCGAAGCAGTTTCAGTTCAAACTCGTTCTTCTAGGTAACTAAATGCTCTCTAGCAACTAGGAAATTTCAGCTTATTCTTCTTTCTAAGGCGAGTCCGCCGTAGGCAAATCCAGGTAATGCAGTGCAACATTGAGATCTCGTGCGCAAGTCTCCAGCTCACTCGCAACAGCTTGGTCCTAAGGTTCGTGAAAGACCAGTTTGACGACTACCGGGAAAGTACGATTGGTGGTATGTATCCTGTAAAGACCTGTTTCCTTCTACTGAGCTTGCCACACAGCGGCGTTCTTGACACAGACAGTTACCCTAGAGGACCAGACAACTGTCAAGTTTGAAATATGGTAATTCGTGTAGATTTCTGATGTTTGCATACGCTAAAATACGGTCTAGGGATACAGCGGGTCAAGAGCGATACAAGGCACGTATTCAATATATATCGTGCATCGTGAAATTAACAGTGCCTTTTAGTCTCTCGTACGTTTCATGCCTTTACGTGGGCTTTATGTTTGATTTAGAAGGGCTCAGGCTCCAATGTACTATCGCAACGCAAATTGTGCAGTTGTCGTGTATGATATCACCCAATCTGCCTCCTTGGAGAAGGCGAAGACATGGATTCGAGAACTACAACGCCAGGCAGACCCATCGATAGTAATAGCCCTGTGCGGCAACAAACTGGATCTCTCTGCACGGAGACAAGTCACCGAAGAGGAAGCTAGTAAATATGCTGACGAAGAAGGTCTTCTGTGGAGCGAGACTAGTGCGAAGACAGGAGACGGCGTAAATGCTATCTTCAATGCTATTGGTGCGTTTATTCTTCCCTAAGATCTTTTCGCACTAACCCGTCTGTTGCACAGCCAAGAAGCTTCCATTGATTGCACCACCCTCGGCCCGTGGTGCTCGTGTCGCGGCACCCGGTACCACGCGGCAAAGTGTAGACCTTAACAGGCGACCAACAGCTCAGGATGGCGAAGCTTGCAATTGCTAGATTTTATGTATAATCCCACACATGCCGCATGGAAATCCTCCTTACCTTTATCTGACTTAGTCTTTCCCTGCCCTTCACTAGCCATAATCATGACCTGCTTCAACGCTGAACTTTCTAAGATACATATTCATCGTGACCACTATAGGGCCAGAAGTTACAGAGTCGGCTCTTGAGCCACATCGGGATGATGCTTCTATACTATAAATCAGTTTCGATGGATGCAACCTGTGCACTACACGTAAAATGTAATTATGCTACAATGGTCCAGGTCAAAAAAAATACAAGCCACTCGAGATCATGTTCCTGAATACAGCCGTGAAGAGGAGGTAGGGGCGTATGGGTATCATAGAATAGGCTCAACTTCCCATGCACCTCCTGTTAAATGCGTCAAATGTCTCTTTCACTTGCGAACTGTCGATGGCATGGAAAGCGATCGAATGATCCTGGTCGATGATAGCAGATAGGCGCGATAAGGATTCGCGGTCATTAACAAGCACCGCAAGACGGCGGGGACGGCGGGGATAAGGCGACGATGGAAGTGAACGTCCTGAATCAATACTGAATGATGAAAATTGCAGGTCTAGCTTGCCGAGCGGTTGAATCGGAACTTCGAACACTGAACTGGGCAAAGTGACAGGGGGTTGTGACACGCTGTAGGAAGGAGAAGGGGAGGGGCGGGTTAAACCGTGTGGTGACGGCTCATCATCAGATAAGCTAAAGAAAGAGTCATGAATATCGCTGCTCCTTCGTGAATCTTCACACGCCAACTGGTTACTGGGTAGGAACAGGGACTGAAACAAGTTTCAGCCATCGTGACATAATGATCAGAAAACACTTGCCGACTTACCTTCGCCACATCGGACACAGAGCTCAGTATTTTCTCGAATTCTATACATTCTGGATCAATCTCTGATTCAGAGTCTCTCGCGTTGTTCCCTTCATGGTCATGGATCCGGGTGTGGACATCCCCCTTATCCAGCTCTCTTATAGCCGTTTCTGTGAGACGCTCTACGAAAGAGCTCGGAATCCACCCGAGACGGTCCCCCTTTGGACGCATAGCAGCCCACCAACCCGACTCTTCCATCTTCACGACGGTGAGAATCTCATTGCGGGTGAAGGGGAGATGATCTGGATCGTCTGACTCAAAGTCAAACATACATATCACGTTGCAGATGGACCACTCCAGGTCGCCTGTGCTGGGCGTTACCCCCAATGCAGTTAAACTGTATTCGGATGTGGGAGAAGAATCAGGTTCAGGGGAGGTCAAACTATGAGCCTGAGGAAGCGAGGAGTCTATCAACACTCGAAGAGGCTGCCGTTGTGGTCGTGAAAATGAGCCCAGCATCGTAGCAGGTGCTGCGGGTTTCGAGGAGATTGAAATCCGGGATTATGGGGTGTGGGCCGTTCTATGTATGAGTGGGTCCTTCACAATGGGAAACCATATTTTCATAAGGGAAAGAGGTGCCTGCGTCACTGCCGAGATTTCAAAAGTATAAAGAGATACGATCAAATGCAACCATCATGACGTTAAATAATTCCCACTGGTACTTACAGCTGACACAGTCACTTTAGTTGCGATTATTTGAGGACACCAGTTCACACTCTTGGGTAGAGTAGCCCAGTAATCATCGATCAACATGCCTGCGCATGCGAACCTGAGGAGTCCTATCACCGAGACAACCGTCACTGGCAATAGTTATAAGCATATGTATATAAAGTAACCATGTGCTTACTTTGCCCGTCATGATCGCAGTGATAACTTATGGAGTGACTTCAGGGTCTGACTCTGAGCCAGGTTTATTGTGGATACACTGATGGGCGCGAGCGCGAATGGGCGCCAGAGCAGTAGATCATGGCAGCTGTATCTATACAATTGCGGACCTAAACCTCAAATCAGTGCATAGCCTATCAGGTAAGTCTATACGTAGTAACTACATAGTGGTTGCAAGCACTCCTTGACTTTTTGTTTGGTCGTGTATTGCAAGCCTAATCTCCATTAGCCAAATATAGACCGGTTCCCCTGCCCCAGACAGATTGCGTACTGTCGCCGCTCTACAATTCACAATGCCCCCGTCAACCTGGAACTCGGCCAAGGCAAAGGTGCAGGGATTGTCAATAATGATCTACGCTTTTTCTGAGTTTCGCCTGCATAGGTGCAACTTCGGTATCCACGATCTCACAATAATCTCCCGCTACTGCTTATTACGTTCTCACATACTTCAGACTCTCGGTACAACGGCTTCGCATAGCGCAGCAGAAGAAGGAGGCACAAGCTAAGAGTTCCCGCAGAGATATCGCTCTTCTCCTAGAGAAGGGAAAAGCGGAGAGCGCACGAGTTAAGGTAGAGGCTGGTAGGTCTCCTCTGCCCGGCTACGACTGCGGTTGTTCAAATCTTTGGTTTACTCTTGCGTCATTCTTGGTCGCCAGTCATCAATGAAGATGTAAACCTTGAATTATACGAGCTTCTCGAACTTTACTGCGAGCTGCTCATTGCACGCTTCGGCCTTCTTGACCAAAAGTACGGATATTTATTGATTTATCGAGATTGTTGACACATCCACTGGCAGTACTCGTGACCCTGATCCCGGAATCAGCGAAGGTGTATGTAGCATCATATATGCAGCTCCAAGAACCGAAGTGAAAGGTGGATCCACTCCGTCACATAAATCATAATGCTCATTGATTTTCCGCCCCAGAATTACACATTCTACGTGACATACTCATGCACAAGTATGGGCGCGACTTCTCCGCGGCTGCGATGGAAAATCGTTGTGGCTGTGTGAGTGAACGTGTAAGTACGTCGCCCGCGGCTGGAACCCGAGCTTACGCCTTTTGCTGCCGTGCCAGATCATTAGGAAACTAGTGATCGAAACACCCTCGGAACAACTTGTTGACGCGTATCTTGGCGAGATCGCCAAAGCTTATAGCGTGAAGTGGGCCCCTGCTTCATCGACCACTGCTGCGGTACAAGGGAGCGTTGTGGTTCGTTGAACAGTTTGAAATCGGGATGTGAATTTCACCCCAATTTTCCAACAAGGATGGCACATCAAGCAGCGACACACCAGCTCTTCCGTTGTATTCCAGGGAAATTTCTGATAAGTTACCAGATATCCCTCCAACCGAAGACGAAACCGAGAAACCCAAGGCATCAGCGGAAGAAACATCTCACCAGATGGATCCTTCGAAAGGAGAAGCTGAGGATGAGTTCGCCGCTCTGGCACGACGCTTTCAGGAATTAAAGAAGCGCTGACTAGGTGTAGTGTACAATACTCTGCGTGACGCGGCTTATCTGCTTTTGTGTATATCCGAACCTTCAAAGATTCTCCAACCTCTTATGAAGCTATACGATCACGATTCACGCACCTTAGTGAGACATCCGGAGATTTTTATTACCCCCGGGCTGTACGTATCAGCTTAATTATGCCAAGTCAGGCGCGTGAATTGATTGTACTAGAGGCGCCAACCTTTGTGTCGTTACTTATGTCCGCCGAATCTCATGGAAGGGTGGACATTCCGCAACACTTAGGGATTACACAGGCCAGACCACTCCTGGTCAGGTCGGATACGCCCAATGACTGAGTGACGGCTAGTATGAACCTGCAATCGCGTTGAACCAGGCTTCTCATTTATGTGAGTCACAATATAGCGAGTCCGAGTTAGTCACTGGCTTGTACTGATGGAAAATTCCGCCCAGGTTTGATCATGCAGGCAGACGAAAATTAGTAACACCTGCGAGTAGCTGGTGGCTTATCACAACGAGGCCAGACTTTTCCCAGGTTAAAATATGCACTTGAACATACGCAACTCGTATTGGCGGAGTCTCACGCCCTTTACAGATTTTGAAATTTACAACACTGATTTACTGGACTTCGGGACTCAAGCTCGACGAAATGTTTGAGCGGACGCGCTCGACTTTATCTACGTGGCGGTCGAGTTCTTGACGGCTCGAAAACTCATAGCACCGCATTCGATGGTTCCTAATCGAGCACATCTGTCTCACCACGGGCGAGCCTTTGGCAAACAGGAGAGCGCACATATTATTCACGCGGACCTTTCGAATGGGCGATAATTTTTGCTTTATTCTGCAGGGATGTGCCCCCGCAGTAATGACATTATAAATCGGCGGAACGGGCATTCATACCAGATCCGAATCATGGACGCAGAGCCACCACACAAACGGACCGATCGGTGGCGGTCTGACCAGTGGAAAAAGAGTCTCTCTTTAGAAGGTCCAGCGCAAACAATGCGACCGGTCGCATGATGGCATGGCATATCCAGAGTTACGATTTTCAAGAGATGGGCGACTAAAAAAATATAGTATATTATGATTACATACCTGCAAACAATGATCCGCTGAGCAACTGATATGAAAGCTTGTCTGCAGAGCGCGGCGGAACGTGCCATCAGGTCAGACCGCGGAGCCAATTTTAGGGGCCTCCAGAGCTTGTCCGAGCTAGGGTTCACAAATGTTGATGCATACCTCTTTTAAGTAAGTACCAAGGCAGGTGTATTACCGAAAGCTAGACCACATGGAGTTTCAACTTTCAACCGTCGTGAACCCTTGAGAAGTTTATTATTCGATCATGAAAGAGAAGTGTTTTGTGGAAAAAGTGATTGTTCGGAATGAGTCGGACTAGACGGGAAATGGGAAGACCGGTAGTCGCCGGACGGTCCTCGGGCACGTGGAAGGGTTCAAATCATTCACGCGATTGCAACGGCTATGAGAGGTGGGCCAGAATCTGTCAGAATGCGGAGCAATTATCATGTCTCCGCCGGGAAGTTTATGTCTGACAATAATACATCAATCCTTCTACTATACTTATTATAAATAATACCTGATCTTGTGGGCGTTTCATCCATGTCGATCTCTACCATGTCCGATTACCCATTCCCCCCTGCAATGAGATCTGAGGACACTGACAGCGACGTCGATTCCGAGTCTGACAGATACACAGATATGTCTCTTGACGCGTTTGCGCCCAGCGTCGCAAGCTCAAAGACATCTATGGACGCCTCTATGCGTTCTCAATCACCAGCTCCATCAGTATTCTCCGTAACAAGCTCTTTGCGAGCCCAAGCATATAGGCAAGAATACGGACGAGGCCTGAACAACTATTCCGAAGTATATCGGTTACCAGCGGACGATGAAGAACTTGACCGGTTGGGTATGCTTGAAGTCACCTCTTTCATATCTTTTGGTCTGATACTCGTTCAGACAGACAGCATGACATGTTTTGCAAAGCCATTGGCAAATACCCACCACCATTTCCTGAAATCATGGCAGATGATGAGTTCGAGGTCAAAGCCGTCCTCGACCTCGGCTGTGGCAGTGGCAGCTGGTGAGACCCTTCTTTCGAAAAATTCTCTATAGGCTCACGTGTGCAGGATAATGGACATTGCGAGAGAATTCCCAAACGCAGGTGCGGTAGCTGTAGATCTCGTTCCCATGCAGTCAACGTATGTGCTTGTGTCAACCCCTGTTTCATTTAACCTTTCCTGAGCTAACTCCTTGGCAGATCTATGCCACCAAACTGCAGGTGAGAAAGATAGCTGAGATTACCCGGTGCTACCTTTCTTAGCTAGATTCCCTTACTTGATTTAGAAGTGAGGTTGACGACATCAATCTCGGCCTAGAGCACTTTTATGGTGATTTCAACGTCGTCCATGTTCAACTAATTTCTTCTGGAGTCAGTATATTCAATACCTGTACATGAATATTTTTTTGAGGTACTGACGTTACTTGCCTTCATTTTTTCCGTACTAGATTCGGGATTACCATGGGCTCATCAACCACATTGCCCATGTCCTCCGACCGGGTGGTTTAATAGACCTCACTGAATTTCCATTCAACTTTTCCGGCATTGAGAAAAAGCCTATTTGTCCGCCAGCAGGCACATTTGAACCTCCATGGACACCCCTATGGATGTCTTACGCGAACAGGGCTGTTCGCCAACGGGGTGGTGATGCGGATGCTTCCGTGCACATGCATGGATGGGTGTCCAATCACCCTGCATTTGAGGACGTCGTGTACCGCGAATTCTGGATACCATGTTCGCCGTGGCTGAAAGGCAACGACCCCAATAGTATCTGGTGGAATGGTATTGGGGCGACTATGCGGGATGACCTTAAAGTAAGCTGACCGAATATGACGTGAAGCTTCCTGTCTTAATTGCGCTTACAGGCATTTATGAAATCCGGTCGCCCTTTGCTCCTCGGCAGTGGGCTATCGGAGGACTTTGTGGATCAACTGGAAAATAACGCAGTGGCGGAATTGGATGGGGCAGTCACTCCTGTTTACGTGTGCATACAAAACGTCTATGCCCGCAAGAAACTTTGATTCTGATTGGCGCCTCGGTCCTATTTATTCATCTGTTTTACCCTTTTGCATGTCTGGACTCACGTGGGCATTACATTGGACTACATACTGTATCGAGAGTTTCTTCCCCATCCTCACTACCATTCAATACCTCTACTGACCGCGCTTTCTTCGAATTTTCATGGCATCCCATTCGTCTGTCACGACACAAGATATATATTTGACGTAGATGATTACATATCAATTCTAATCTAAGCACCCAGAGGAAATAAAAAAAAGGACGTATCCATGCCCCTACATATGTGAACAATAAGAACTAACTGGGTCAGTCTCGGTACTGGGGTGGAGGAGAAGAGGGGTTTCTTTCGGGTACGTCAATACGCGAAGCTATAATTTCCAGTATTCTATCCACTTCTGAGTCTGGTATCTGCATAGGCGGCTCCAGCCCTGATGGCCTCGGAGAACGGTGCATCTCCTGTAGAGAATGTGCAGTAGATGAAATGTTATCAGGTGGAGGTGGCAAAGGGCGCCGCCGACCACGCGCACTGGGAGAAGACAGAGAACCACTCGTATTATTTCTGGGTCCGCTGTATGGGCCTAGAGAGCTTGTGACGGATCCAGGACCACGTGCAATTTCTCTCTCGCGGTGACGCAGCGAATCATCAGTACTAGTGTTTCCGCCGATAGGCGCTAATGGGAATTTTTCCGCATGTACTCTGCCAGTGGTGCTGAAAATAGTGTACGGCGCGGACAATGCGGGGAAGTGCGTAGCACGAGCCCCAGGAGTCATTTCGTTTGTCAGTACTTCGAGATCTCGTCCTGGAATTACTGTTTTGGGGCGCCATGGGCGTCCCCAGAAGAGGAAACCGACGACAAAGGCAAGCAAGATGACCACTCCTACAGCCGAGCCAGCTATTTCACCTATTTTTGAGGGCTTCGATGATGACGGCCTTATCCAGGAGGCCGCTTCAGTTCCGGATCTTAAGCACTTTTGATTAGAGAACTTACAGTGCAGTAGCCTGCGGCTGGTAGAGTTTCATGGAGTTTATCGCAAGCTTGTTGCCGTCTTCACTTGTGTCGGTAATGTTCAAAACATACGTTTGTCCTGGATCTAGGCCCCCTTGATAAAATAAGGTAGTGTCCGGAATGAACCAGAAGCTGCTTGCATTCAGTACAGACTGGGTACCATTTAAAGACTGATGAGCTCATAATTAGCTCCCAAGTTTTGAAATGAGGCGTGCGATGCGTACCACTGTATATTGCCAATTACCCCAGTTTACAATGCCTTGTACAACCACCGCCGATGAACCTCCAAATGAAGTAGATACGCTCGAACCCATCTCTTCCGTAAAATGGAAGGCACCTCCAGGTATGTGTGCGTCCGTGCCCACAGTCCAGTTTCCGGCATAGTTTAAAAACGTGGTGTTTGTATTACTGAATAATTCAGTTTGGGGGACTGCTTGACTGATCATAGAAGGTTCAGGCGCTGCCGAAACAAAGTGCGCTAGCAATTGACGTACTCAATATAAATTACAGCATTTTCAAATGCAAGTTGCTGCCCAGAAGTCGGGTGGGCAGTTAGGGTGAGTGCATGGACTCCTTCCGATAACGTTTGCTTAGAATACAGGACATCGCTGGTGGTGGTGAGGGCTGAGGAGAAAATGTTGTCTACCGTGACATCGAACGTGCAATTAGCCGTTCCATAGAGTTCTATCCCCGTGCCTTGTATGGGCAGTAACCAGGTCAGGATGGCAAATGGGGATCCATATGATTGCTGAACATACCATAAAATGAAAAAGTAACATTAGCACCTGTCAGCGAGGTTCTATGCGCTGATATGCCATTTCCTGCATTCGCAGGGACCGTATTATACCCAGTCTCCGAGTACCAGACTTGCCAGCCGTTGCCCAAACCAAAACCATCATCTGTAAATGAGTCAAGTTAATCAACTAATAATCATTTATAAATGAACGGCATGAAACGGCTCACAGTAAGGATAATACGTGAATACTGGGCTTGTATCATTCAGAGTGATGTTCCACGAAGTCGCCATGCGAGTAAACAGTGACCAGACACCTAGAAGCTGCGTACAGTATACTGTGTTTTTCGACTGGAATTGTCGCACTTGCTTGACAGACGTTGAGGAATGTTTCAGGCTAGGAGATCATTTCCGGGTATATGCGCCAGCACAGGTAGTTTTTTGATGGTGTGACATGGTAGGGTCTCCAAGAACAATGCGGCAGTGCCTTCATGAGTGGTTGCGTATCATTCATTCGGCAATCTGTGGATGCGGCTATTTCAGTATTGTCGCTGATCACGCAGGGCTGTGCAGTCAGAAATATTTGTGCCGACGGGAATTCACACCACACCCTTGATCATTCTACTGTGGGTGCCAGGGACTGGCCAGGGAGACCGAAGTTCCGTCAAGGAACATAGCGACGGTGTTCACAAGTGAACTGGAGTACATGGGAGCGCATGAGAGACTACGAGACAATTTTAGCGTACACTCACGGCAAGTTTTCGTCAGAATAACCTATTTAGTTCTTGAGTAGTGCTTTCTATAATCGTTAACTCACCTGCGAGCAGATTTACTCGAATTCCGGGCTTTGCAAATCTAGCAGCATAATGCACTGTGGTTTACATTCCAGGCATGAGAAAATGATGCAGATCATCATTAACCATTTTGTCTACGCTCAGCCTCCGCAACGTCATGATGTCGTAGACGAGATCCCCTGCACGTGCGCAGGCACATAGGCCTTTTAGGCCATTTCGGGGCAGCGTTGGCAGCGTTTACGGTATGATAGGCATTGGTACATACAGACCGCTCATCTCGACCTTAATGGCGGCCATCAACGATGCGTCAACTGTCGCTCGCTGCCTCCCGGTGATGAGTGACGTGGGTTTTTAGCACCTGCGAAGCGCAGCCACGTGCAAGACGAAGAGGTATGAAAGGTGACGAGAAGCTGTTACTTGATAACAACCTGTACTATACTAAGAGAGCACGGTGGTTGTGGCGGATAAAGCACTCCTATTAAAACAGCATAGAATTACCTAAAAGATCAAGATATACTGACCATGAGTCACGACCGAGAAGGGAAGCACCCCGTGCTTGAAGTCCTGGGTCAACGTTCACTGCTGGTCTGATTAAAGCAGAATGTATGCCATTGGGGAAGGTGCAGACAGAGGTGCCTATTTTCTCGTCGTGCTGGTGATAAGCGTGAAATAGTGAGACTAGTGCAGGTACAGCTCACTACTGGTCAGGTAGGCTTCGCGTCATGCGGCCGATCTCACCAGTCATGGAGTTTAAATTGTATCTGGTGACTTGATGAACTTCAAGTTAAAATTCGTCAAATCGAAATCTTGAACTTGAACTTGAGTGTATTGAAGCAGTTGACCAAACAATGACCAAACAAATAATCCACCTTGACCACGTCGTGTATATCGCAATCGGCCCTTTGATCGCTGTTAGCCATGGCTTACGCCTCGAAAAAGGAGGACGAGAGTGGTCTTAGTTCTTACTATAATAACAAGACAACAATCATCCAGGAAGCCCGTGTTTTCAACGATTCTCCAATTAGCCCGAGGAAATGCAGAGCCCTCCTCACTCGCATTGTCTACCTGCTTTACATTGGCGAGACCTTTAGCGCGCAGGAGGCTACAACGTTGTTCTTTGGAACGACGAAGCTCTTCCAACATAAGGATGTATGTCCCTGTTCTCTTCTTATTCTCATGTAATGTTCTGCTTATGTCTTGTGAAGAGTGCCTTGAGGCAGATGGTGTATCTTGCCATCAAGGAACTTGCAACCACTGCCGAAGATGTTATCATGGTCACAAGCAGTATTATGAAGGACATGCAACCAAACTCCGAGGTCATTTACCGGCCAAATGCAATCCGTGCACTTTGCCGAATCATTGACGTGCGTCTGACCGAATTATAGAGTCTCATGCGCTCATTGCTGTGTAGCCCTCCATGGCTCAAGGTGTAGAACGCTTCTTCAAAGCCGCAATTGTAGACCGGACGCCTTCTATCTCATCCGCGGCACTCGTGTCTTCATATCATTTATTCCCTCTCGCCAAAGACGTGGTCAAACGTTGGGTAAACGAGGCTCAAGAAGCGGTCAATGCAAAGTCTTCATCATCCTTCTTCCCCGGATCATCAAGTGGTGGTTATCTCAATTTTGGCTCGTCCGGAAGTTCCAACAGCGGTTACCAGCCTATCCCATCAACAAGCTACATCACTCAATATCATGCACTTGGTCTTCTGTACTTGATTCGCCAGCAGGACCGTATGGCCGTGACTAAAATGATACAGCAGCTTGGTGGGGGCAAGTCTGGCGCAGGCACGACGCTTAAAAATGCCATGGCTCTTTGCATGCTTATTCGGTATGCCGCGAAAGTAATGGAGGAAGATCCAAAGTACGTTCTTGCACGCGGTATGCAATTGGCTTCTTATTTTGGCACTAGTGTGCAAAAGCAGATCCTCGATCTTTTGGAAGGGTGGCTACGTCACAAGAGTGACATGGTCAATTTTGAGGCAGCACGTGCTATTTGCGAGATGAAGAACGTCAATGCTTCGCAACTTGTTAAACCAATAGCGGGTGCGTAATTCTTGGACTTCGTTTATTGCTATCTGACCTGTCCACAGTGCTGCAGCTCTTCCTTTCTTCTCCAAAACCTGTTTTGAAATTTTCTGCAACCCGGACACTGGCTACTCTCGCTTTATCTCATCCTGCTGCTGTGGCGTCATGCAACGTCGATCTTGAGAATCTTATTGCTGACCAAAACAGGAGCGTGGCAACATATGCCATCACTACCCTGCTCAAGGTAGACATGAACTTCAGATAATACTACACTCACTAACTGTTCCATAGACCGGAAATGAAGCATCCGTTGACCGCCTCATGAAGCAGATCACTGGATTCATGTCTGAAATTAGCGATGAATTTAAAGTCATCATCGTCGACGCCATCCGCTCACTATGTATCAAGTTCCCGACGAAGCACGTTTCTATGCTCGCTTTCCTTTCGGGGGTGCTCCGTGATGAGGGCGGATACGACTTCAAACGCGCCGTCGTCGAGGCTATGTTCGACATGATCAAGTTCATCAAAGACTGCAAAGAGCAGGCGCTTTCGCATCTGTGCGAGTTCATCGAGGACTGCGAATTCACGAAATTGTCCGTGCGGATACTACACCTCCTCGGCCTCGAAGGTCCCAAAGCCCCTCAGCCGACGAAGTACATCCGGTTCATCTACAACCGTGTCGTACTTGAAAATGCCACTGTACGAGCAGCAGCTGTTACAAGTTTGGCCAAGTTTGGTGTGAATGCAGTGGACGATGGTCTACGAAGAAGCATCGGCGTTCTGTTGAACAGGTCGACCTTCTTTTTCCAGCATTGGAAAAAAGACTGATCGAAATTTCTCAGGTGTTTGGATGACGTCGACGATGAAGTTCGTGATCGCGCTGCAATGTACTTGAAAGTCATGAAGGAGGCGTCCCTTGCAGATGCTTATGTGAAAGAAGGTATGTTTAACTTTTGAGGGCTCGCATTGCGTCTTATGATTTTATAGAATCTGTATTCTCACTTGCCGCGCTCGAATCCAAACTCGTCGCGTATGTCAATGATGCCGATGCCAGCGCACAACCATTCGACGCTTCATCGATACCAAAGATTAGTCGAGCTCAACTGGCTGCTGAGTCGACTCGTCAGCATATTTATTTTTTCCTATCCTAAATTCTGACGCGTTTTCAGGTCCAAGCACCTTGGACATTATTGCTGCGCCCTCGACGAAAAGAGCTTCGGCGTCTCCGCCACCTCCAACTGCCGCGGAGACGCAATCTGCATATGTGCAGCAATTTGCAGATATACCACACTTTGCAGAGTATGGAACTATTCTCAACAGCAGCGCAAAGCCTGTACAGCTCACGGAATCCGAGACCGAGTACCAAGTTACATGTGTCAAGCATATATTCAAAGAGCATATCGTGTTCCAGGTCAGGAAACTGCACACACTTCACGTTGTTACATCTGATTCGTTTCCTAGTACAATGTATCAAATACCCTCCCAGATACTGTACTGGAGCAGGTGGTTGTGGTAATGCAACCGCAGGCCGATTCTGGTCTGACGGAGGACGTTGTCTTCCAAATCGACTCTCTCAGTTGTTCTAATGATCCTGGCATTGTTTATGTCTCCTTCAAGCGGGACAACCCGCGGGAGTATACCACCACGTCCTTCCAATGTATCCTGAAGTTCATTTCCAAAGAGCTGGATCCCTCGACGGGTCGACCGGAGGAAGAGGGTTACGAGGACGAATACCAATTGGAGGAGGTCGAACTTTCAGCCGGTGGGGATTATATCATTCCCAGTTACGCCTCATTTTCCTCCGAGTGGGATCGTCTACGGTCCGGTGCGACTGCCACAGAAACATTCTCACTTGGTGCCATGGAAAGTATCAAGGGTACGTTTCACTCTTTCTGTACCCGTCCCCAATCTTCCACGGCTGATGCGAGTCACGCTCCCTCTTCACAGCTGCCTGCGACTCGATCATTGAGCTGCTCAATATGGAGCCTTTGGGCGGTACAGAAGTGCCCAGTTCGCCGTCTGTACACACACTTCAACTTTCGGGTTTGGTGACTGGGGGAGGAGGCAAGGTGCTTGTGAGGTGTCGGATGACGTTCTCGCGGGGTCAGGGTGTTACGCTGGAACTTGGGGTGCGTGCAGAGCAGGAGAGTGTATGTGCCTTGGTCGTGTCTGTTGTCGGAGGTTAGAGGATCTGGATTGGCTGTTGAGGTCCGGTCGACCTTGAATATCAACGTGAGGCGTTTCGTTGTATTCATATGGTGTTCCCACTAGTCGGACAATCGATACTGGATAGATTCTGCCATGTTCACACGTAGACTGGGAGGGGTCAATGCCTTGACAGCAATAACGTGGCAATGATTCCCATAAGCAGCAGTTCCAACTTCCGGTAAAGGCGGTTCCCGAACAACGAATCTATTAATTGCAGTTTCAAGAAAACGGATGACATGAGTTTTGGATGATTCAAGGAGTAACGTTCGTACGATCTCGCTAGCTGTCGTACCACTTTCGAGCTTTTAACTCACACATATTTCTAGTGATATATCTGCGAACCGCTTCGTGTTTGTTTCCTTAACCTTGCTCGGAGCGCAGTGACCGAGTGTCATTCGAATCCGCGATGCACGCCCCCCTCCCAGCACCGTCGCTGCCCACACCCAAGGCTATCCGTGTTAATACTAGAGGGGCAGTTATACTCGCAGAGGAGTCGCACGAGGTATGCAGGGTCATCTGTTGAAGCTATGCGTCACCTTGACTCCGTCATATCTTAGACTCGAGACAGTCGAGGAATATACCTCCCAAACTACATTGAGCCAGTCTCACACATCGCCCTCGACGTAAGTACAAGTGTCTGTCATCCTGGTTCCTGATCTCAGGGTCATCGTAGATCGGTGGATCTCTAGCGAAGGTCGTCTATTTTACCCGCTCTCCTCACGCCCCTTCGTCCCCATCTGTATTAGCTACGCAGGGCAGTAGCTCCAGCTTCTCAACCCCCAACGGTTCTCCATCTACGTCCCCACCGTTCGTCACTTCTCCTATCCCCTCCAGCTCTTCACATCCACGAAACGGGACTCTAACACCTCTTGTCCTTGAATCCCATTACAACGGAAATGGACACAGCAACGGTCACCATTCCCCAAACACCTTAGATTCCCTCGACACCGACCTGCTGCGCTCTACCATCCTGAAACGCACAACCGAAGTCCGACACATCCCCGGCGGCTCCATCAACTTTGAGCGATTCGAAACATCCAACATTTCCGCACTTATCGCTTTCATATCGGAGCTCATAACTCGGTCTGCAGCTGCAAATGGCGTCTCTATTGAGGAGATGCGCCGTGGGGTCAAGATCATGGCTACCGGAGGCGGCGCACACAGGTTTGGCAAACTGTTCGAGGGCGAACTCGAGGTGGAGGTGCAGAGAGAGGACGAGATGGAGTGTCTGATCGAGGGGATGAAGTTTATGGTGACGATCCCAGAGGAGGTCTATTACTTCTCGGATGAACTCATCCAGGAAGTATCGCACCGCGACGCATCGAAGGGCTTCCAGAGCCAGATCCTGATGGATGGTCCTGTGTCGAGCGGGAATGCGACGCCCAGCACGAGTGCCGAGCCCGTTCTGGAGCGGCCATCACCGGACCCACCGCGGTATGCCGTGACGTTTGAAACCAGTGAACCGTCTGCGCATCTTCCTTGTTTGCTTGTCAATATCGGCTCTGGTGTATCTATCATAAAGGTGGATGCTGATGGGTCATTCGAGCGTGTGAGTGGAACCAGCCTTGGTGGGGGGACCTTATGGGGACTACTCAGCCTGTTGACGCCCGCCCGGACATTCGACGGTGAGTTAAAGACTTGATGATTTGATCGGAGTCTTATTCTGGGCACAGAAATGCTAGATCTGTCCGAAAAGGGCGATAATGCTAGTGTAGACATGCTCGTCGGTGATATCTATGGTACAGACTACAGCAAGCTCGGACTTAAATCCACCATGATCGCAAGTTCATTCGGCAAGGTTTTTAAAAACCGTGGTGAGGGGAAAGAAGAAGGTGAACGCGGAACGTTCCGAGCGGAGGACATTAGTAGAAGTTTGCTCTACGCTGTGTCGAACAACATTGGGCAAATTGCGTGAGTTATCCAGATCAAGCACTGGAATGTACCCCCTTGAGTATCGGCTGACAGCACGGTCAGGTACATGAACGCAGAAAAGTATGGTCTAGACAGGATCTACTTTGGTGGTTGCTTCATACGTGGTGCGTCCATCTCCTTATATCTCTAATCATCATGGGTCAATGCAGTGCTTAATTTACAGGACATGCAGCGACGATAGCTACATTGTCATATGCTATACGATTCTGGAGCAAGGGAACGAAGCGCGCACTATTTTTCCGGCATGAGGGATTCCTGTAAGTTGACCGGTTGTGTTTACATTGAGTATTCTAAATGAAAGTTGCTCTTGTAGGGGCTCGATCGGAGCCTGGATCAAGAATATTGACGTGGAAGAAAACCAGACATCGCATCTGCCGTCATAGTTATTGTAATAGTCCTGAATCGGACATTCAGGTGTATGACTCTGTGCACCAACCCCTCTGTTCTCATGTGCACTATTTATACCGCTCATTCATAACACTGTTTATATAGCTTCAGATACGTATCCTATGTACAATGGAAAGAAGCCAGCGAGGATGGAAACATGGAGTCTATCATGGAGCTGTTACCGATTGTAATCAGTTTGGAATTTGCAATCACTGGATTTATGGACATGGCTTGCGTCTTATGCCCAAGGTAGGTCGGCGAGTTTACCGGGCCGCCGGGGGTTACCAGTATCTGAGTTGGAGTTTCAAAGTTTCAAAAATGCGCTGCACTAAACCACAAAGTGGTCTAAATGGAAGGCGGTGTGTGAGCTGGCCTATCGGATGATGAAAGCTTAGCTGTCCGACATCCAGGCCTTGCCCAGACGAGCTTAGGATTAGAGATATCTGTTCATGTACATGCTGTATCTATTTCAAGATCGACTATAACGCTTCCCCGTGTGCAGGTAAATGTCAAGGAAGTTGTAACGTTAACTGCGTTAACTTCTGCTAGCGAAGATGAGCGTTTTGAGAAAATCATGACAGTGTAAGCGGAGATAACCACGTGGACAGTCGAAACCCTGTGAATCGTTTCCTACCTCTACCCCTCGTCACGATTCAATGCCTAGATAAACGTTCTATGTATTACAAGGTTAATCCATTGAAGCTTAAGGGTTCGGTATCAAACAAAAGGCTGGAGCGAGATGAGTTGTTGTCTCGCAATTAGTACCCCTCAGTGACGACAAGTAGCACCCGTGGGAATATTGATCATTATAGCAGAGCAAAAAAAGGTTGCAATATCAGCAGTTCCATATACAAGCCTTTGTCATGTCTCTCCCTTGAAAGCTGTCCCCCATCAGCCGCCATGGAATTAACCATGGACAACATCCCAAACTTCCCCCTTCATCGTTCACAAACTAATAACCACAATATATCTGCTTCTTCATCAGTCCTTGGCGACATCGACGCCGACGACCAGAGCACTATTTCAACTCATATAACACCACAGGACGATGAAAAGCCCAACAAAAAGTTGAACGATCCTGACAGCAATGACAAGGGGTCATCAGGCAAGAAGCCTCGTCATCGTCATAGTCCAACTCAGCTCGCTGCTCTCAATGAACTCTATGAGAAAACTGAGCATCCCAGCCTCGACGACAGGACAGAACTAGCTGAGAAGCTTGGAATGTAAGTTCCCCTTTTAGGCACTCTCATGATTTTATTCATTTGGTCGACGGGCGTCTTTTGCATTCATGTTCATTCAACAAACTTATCATCCTTGACTAGGGAAACGAAGACTGTTAATGCCTGGTTTCAAAACAAGAGAGCTTCTACTAAGAAGCGCAATAAACCAGCTGCATCTGCTTCCACTGACGCACCGCCCCAAAAAAGTCCATCATCAACGCTTCCATCAATAGCAAACCTTTTAAACTCCTCACCACCGCCACCCTCACGTCATCCTTCATCCCGCTCCCATCCTTCATCATCATCACGTAAGAAACAGAAAGATCATTTACACCTCCAGGACCCGCATATCAATGAACCGCAGTACAACCATGACAGAGCAGTCTTTTGCCCCCGAATTCTTGCCACAAGATCGGTTTGTTCCTGAGAACCAAACTCGAGATAGCGATCGGCAGCATGCCGTGTATGCCGAGAGGGGCCACTTTGTACCCGACGCGGATAGCCGCTTTGTATCCGAGAATGACGGCGCCAGTGATGGTGTTACGTCTCGAAAGGGCAGAGGCGAACCAGCTCGCAATAGAACAACCCCTGAGCAAGCTGACGAGCTTCGTCGTGCATATGCATCAAATGCACATCCAACCAAGGAAGACCGAAGAGAACTCGCTGAGCGAATTGGCATGTCAGTGGTGTTTTATCAAGATCATCATCGTATCATCATACTGATATTGCATCGATAGGCGCCTTCAAAGCGTGACAAATTGGTTCCAGAACCAGCGGACCCAGGCCAGGAAACATAAAGAAGACCACCATCCCTTCACGTCTTCTTCATCGACAACTGCAGATGGATCGTCCTCTGTCCCATCTCACCCATCCTCTGTTATCGATGATGATCACGGAGTTCCATTGGCTCATCTGAGCTTTCCTCCAAGAGCACCTCATCCATCCCTTGTCCCCGATCGTCACCTACCTCTTCCATCGCTTCCCTTTCTCAAGTTATCTCCACCCGAATTCGATGAAGTGAAGGTACCGCGGAGCCGAATGTCTTTGCCACCATCTTCGAACCCTCGTCTTACTTCGCCTCGCTCGCGAAGAAGCGTCACCCCATACACAAGGGACCGCGAGGAGGTGCCGCAGACTAATGAGGGAATTAAAGGCGAGGACACGCATGCTCGTCCTCGCCGCTCTCGCCCTGAGCCATACCAGCTGGAGGCGCTCAAAAAACTGTTGCATCGTACGTCGACGCCAAGTATTGAGCAAAGGAATGCGCTTGCGCTCGAAGTTGGAATGTACGTCAACTGTAACTTATCGTGTCCTATACTCACCTCTCCTCAGGGATATCGGTAAAGTCACAAACTGGTTCCGCAATATTCGCCAGACCGCGCGCAAGCGAGCTAAACGGGCTGGTGTTCCACTTCCTCGCGCCCCCAGGGGCCGCGGATATCAATATAATTTCTCTCGCGAAACTTCTTCGGGCTCATCTTCCCAAGAGGAAGATGAAGACGACGCAATGGATCTGGATGACGAGGACACGATGGATTTTGATGTGGACGAGCGCAGCGAGGAAGACTTCCAGGAGGCGGTGACACCTGGCATGTCACCTTCTCCCCCTCCGCAAAAACGCATTCGGACACATGTCCCACTCCCGATGCCTCGTGGCGTGGGCAGCATGGGTGTCGAGAGCATGGGCGTGGGACTCATTGAGCCCGCCGCATTTCAAGAGCTTGGGATGGCTGTGGGAATGTCTGCAGGACCTAGCGAGTATGTCGATGCAGAGGGGGTGCACGCTACATCGTTTCCCGGTGTGAAGATCGAAGATGCCTTGCTATTATTGAGCTTTCATCAGCATGTTGTGCATTAGGTATGTGGGTATATCGAATCTCAGAAGCAGGCTCTCACGCATTTCATGTAGATTACTGATTACCGTTCAGAGTTATTTATGTCAGCAACACAAAGTGTTTCAAGTCCTGCCCACCAAGTGTATCGACTACCATTATCCATTTCGCGTGTTTCAGTTTTCCGCAGTCGATCTTCGCTTCTTCATCACCATCATCCCATGATATTGCATACCGCATGGATGCGTCCATATCCATTATTGTTGCTTAATTGCCTATATTTTTGGTTTCTTGCCATCATTTTCAAAGCGCATCCCACCTCAATGCGTACAAGATTCGATCTTATCTCTCTGTACTGGCACAATTTGTACGTTTTCCTATTTAAACAAATATGTTGCGGTGCATAAGTATCTAGTTGATATTTGTATGTTCGTTTGTCGTAGATAATTATTTCATCAATGCCGACAATTGTATGTAGAGCTACAGCGAACACGCGAGGGGACGTTGGGACTGCTACACTGAATTGCGTCTTGCGCTTCTCCCCTTCTTACTAACTTTGTTCTTATCTGCACCATAACCGTTGATGTTCGGAACGGGCAGCTTCCCCTCCTCTTCCCACTTGTCAAGGATCTCGATGGCAGCAAGATACCCTTTCTTCCGGATCTCATCGAACTTGTTGAATTGGAGAGTGCCGTACTGCATGAGTGTGAGTATCATACATGAAGGCATGACAGCAGCCGTACCTCCTGAACCGGCACCTGCATGTATAGACAGTTCCGTGCGACTTTCGCTGCCTCTAGAGTGCGCACACTTGACACGCTGCAAACAAGTCAAAAAAAACCCAAACCGATTGTATGATAAGGAGGACTTACTAGGCCAGTCGACTTTGGATCTCGGTGATCGCAGGCACGCTTCGAGCGCTCGAGAAGGGGTTCCATCGGTTAACTACAAGCCACCACCCTGAAACAGAGTCCCCAAAGTTTCGAGGGGAATTGTCGTCAATCTGGGTTATGGAGCGTAAGAAATGGAGGTAGAGGTTACAAATTTCAAAAACTTACCGAACCGACATCCGCAGCAAGTACAACACTTGCTCCCATCGAGAACATTGTTGACACCTGATATCATATTTTAGGGGTCATCCTGAACTAACGGTGTTCCGCTACTCACGGGTAGGTTATCAACTGCGGACGGCAAACTGGTCAGCAATGAGACACGGGATTGAACGAAGAGGCGCACTATATCCACCGTCAACCAGCATGCTACCATTGTCACACAATGGGGGTAGAAGTCCGACCAGAGTCATGGAAGCACCTGCATCATTCGTGAGTCCATATCAAGGAAATGGGTTCGACGACCTTACGGATGAACCTCCAGGCATAGCCACTTTCATGAATCTCCATACGGGATGTGTTGATGTTCGTGGTGTTACAGAAGTACGGTAGCCACATGTCTTCGATGTGAAGATCGTAGAAAGCCTGACAAAGGTGTTAAAATCGCAGGTCTATGCTACATTCTCGAACACTTACTTTGTATATAGTTCTGTTAAACTCGTGTCCCTGAGGCGAGACGTGAATAGGTGGGGTGATGCAACGTGCGATCAGACTTACAGTGGTATAAGCAACAATGGGATATGTGACATCTGAAAGCATCCTCCAAATATTCCCCATTCTTCCGCTGAACTGCTTGGCACGACTGGTGCTCATGATGATGTCGCACTCGCGTGCGTAAAGACCGCCTATAAACGCGCCAATACTAGTGCCTGCAATGTAGTCGATCGGAATTCCACGCTCCTCGAGCGCACGCAAGACGCCCTGTTATCTGGTCAGCGGATACCCACAGTTGCACGGAGATACACTGACGAGATGCGAGATACCACGAGCCCCTCCACCGCCGAGAACAACTCCGACAGACTTTGCACACAATCTCCTGGCCAGACGAGAGAAATCATTGATCATGGGATGTGGTTGTGGTCTTGCATTGCCAGATCTCCCCCTGTATTTCTGAATGCCACTCTGCACTCTATCCTTTAGATTCTTGAACGCGATAACAACATCTGGGTCCTGTATCTGGGTGGTTTTCACGATCGGAACTGCAATACCCTATCGTCCACGTTAAGCGATGCGATGGTCGAGGTCTATGCGTACATACCGGAAGCTCGACGTGAATATGTTGGTGCACCCAAGGTCGATTCTGCGTCTAAATGAGATCAACCATCCATAAAGTTATGCTCATAACGCACTTTCAACCACTCGCGTGTCGACCCAGGGGTCACAGAGCGTTCGGGATGGAGTAGCACAAGCTCTTTCCGTGCTGTGGTCTTCATTGAAAGTAGCAACCGTTCGTATTCTCCACTGCTCGGATCATCACCCATCCCAACCACCATCACAAAGTCTGCCTACCAAGAAGGGTTGAAGCGACCGACACTTTGTGAGCGATAAATCACTTACTTGCCGGATACAAGTCTGCGTCCAGGGGCTGTTGACAGGCGAGTCAGCGACATAAAGCACTGTTCTATATCTTTGCTCTTGGTCTGCAAGCCAAGCTGCAGCCTTGAGTTTGCCCATACGAGAGAATGCGTGACGTCCAAGATGACCCGACACAGAGGCTTGATTCAGGTACGAGGTCTTCGCGCCCATCTCTTCCAACGCAGTCTTCAGTTTCCGGGCAAAGGCGTCTATAGGAACATTGCGAGAGACCGGGAGAATGGCCACAGTCTTTAGGTTAGTATTGTTCCGTCCCAGTTCGAATGCAGTATTGCGTGTCTGGATATCAGTTGACGCATCCATCTCGTCACGTACGCGAGAGGCGATCGTCCGCAGCAACCTAGACTTGATTAAAGACTAGCCTGACATCAAAGATAGCACTTACTGTGCAGTTGTCTGAGGATTTCTGAGCACGACATGAGCAGACAGGCCTAGAGCATGGCGGTCGCATGCTTACCTTGAAGAAATGGCGTTGAAAAGCGTCTGCGGCATTCTAATCAGCTCAGAGTCACGGATTGCATGCATCGTAGTTCTGCGAGCTGAACTGGTGATGACGTCTAATTCTCCAACGGTATCGCCTTGTCCATATTCGCCAGTAATTACGACTTTACCACCTTCCCCCTCGGTAATCGCTCGTAGTCGTCCATTAATGACAATATAGAAACTATCGCTGATGTCTTCAGGGCGCCAAAGAACTTGACCTGCATTGACTTGCATCCAGTCAAGAGAAGCGTCGATTTGCAGGACTGATACATTATCAGCATGTTACAAAGGATGGTTGAAGATAGTGCTAACCTAGCGGTGACAGCAGTGAAAGGAGACGCTTTGCCAATGTAAGCTGCACGATAGGTCGTTTCTCCACCAGACGTTCGAGAGAGTGAGCGGGTAGAAATCCAACGTACGTATCGGTCTTAGCTTGAATGTCGACATATGAAGGCGTTCCGCAGAGAGACGCTTCGAATATCGTCAGTACATGCGAGAGCCGTCTGATATAAGCCTACCGAGATAACCTGCAATTCCTCCTGGTTTCACTGTAAACAACAGCTTGCGGCTCTGAGCTTTCTCGGGTTCTTGTTTGTGATCGGATGCGTAAAGTGAGTCAGTGTCCGAGCTCGTCGATCTCGCCGCATAGGGCGCATTGTTCGGCCGGGACTCGTCAGCGGGTAGGAGAATATCCAGAAAACCTTCAACGACATAGTAAAGACCTTGTTTGTGTGGTCAATTGATCGTCCATATTCGAGTGACAGGGTTTTTACCAGTATTCCGTTCTCCGGCCTTCACGAGCGTTGATCCCGCAGAGAAGAAGAGGATCTCGACTTCGTTGTCCAAACCGCTCATGTAACCGGTCGTGGTACTAGTTGATGTCCCCGTTATACTCGAAGCGCCATCATCCGCAGTATCCAAGAGCGACAGGGAGCCAAAGGGAGATGGAAACATGCCGTTCGCGGAGCGCGGGTGGTCGGAAGGGGGGAGAGCTGGTGAATCCTCGATGGATTCATTCCCACTCATGGGTGGCTGGAGTAGACCAATGGACTTGGCGATGCATGACATGACTTCCTCACGCAGGTCAAACTCGTCGCCAGCCACACGGGTCTGGAAGGGGTCACTTTTCGGCAGTCGAGGGGTGTCCAGGATACTGAACGAACGCGCAAGTTTATACCCGTCACTTCCTTGCCCAGTCGAGGTATGCAAGTCTCCAGCCTGTACCTGATTGCGAGGAGTACGAATCGGGAGCCCGCGCAAAGCAAGCGGACTATCTGTCAGTCTTTCTCGCGATACAACTGCAGATGTATGGCCACTGGCCAGACTCGGAGATGGGGCGAGACCGAAGTGATCGCTTTCAGATTCGGACCCCTGAATTGCGACGTCGTCGAAACGTTGTCGTAGGTATTGTAGGCCCCCACCCTCATAGAATGATGCCGGAAGAGGGTGACATGCAATCTCATTAATCGCCTTCTCAGTTCGAAGGACCTCTGTCGTTAGCCCCAAATATCTGTGTGCTGCACTGAACGTAACACGTGAAAAGCGCGTCAGAATTACTGTAATTGTTGATGAGCAAAGTCAGAACTCAATTTTGCGGAAATTGTACCTTGTACTATGTGACTGGTTGCTTTCGGAAACTTCTTCGTGACTCTGCGAAATGCTTCTGCAGGGATTACGGCCAATGTGCTGTCCTCTGTTGCCCTGGCCACGATGCCATGGTGGAGCTGAGTTGAAGGGCTAGAGTCTGATCGGGAGTGGGAAGCACGATGTGTTGCCGACCTCGAAGAGTCTCTGATGTGAGACGGGGACGTCGGACCAACGGGAGGGGAAGTCATATCTGCAGGATGAGCAGTGGAACCAGACGACGAGATAGATGTTGCACGAGAACGCCGAGAAGCCATCGATATGTGATCAAGGTTAAGGCGAGACACGTCCGAATCCGCGCGGACAGTACGCGATCGAGGTGGTCCTCCTACTTGACTTGCAGAATTTCTTTCAAGAGCATCCGAGTCGGGGTGACCTTCTTCTTGCCAGCTTATCTTTATGTCCTCAGTGAACAAGCTGAGAATGCTAAATAAACTAGACAAGGTTCCACCGCTTCCAACTTCATTGATAAGCTGGTATCCGTTCATATCTTCCTCGTCCCATGACCCATTTTGGCAATTATTCTGGCCTGTTCGAGCGTATACCTGGACCACGCCATCGACGACGCAATAGAAGCTCCTGTCCTGGTCTAAAGAGATACTATCCCCAGCAATCAAACGTCTCGTTTGAAGATGCCTTGCCAACTCATGGAATACCTGTTGAAATATGATGAATTGAATGATGCAGACAACGCGTATTACTCACCGGCTTCTCGAGAAATCCGAAGACACGGACAGCTTGCAGAAAATCATCCAAGTAATTGTGAAATGCTGGCGGAGGCTCTGTTGTATTCACATCTGGGTGAAGTGCATTCACGTCAGGCTTCACCAAGGGTGGCTCCTTCAGTCGGGAGTAAGTGTTAAGATATCGAAAGCGTATCCAATAATTCAGGGCAGCTGCTGAAGCGCAAAACATGATAGCAAATGACCAGAAATTCAGCTAGGGGTGAGTGTGAGCGATCAATATTTCAAATTATGATCTTGGAAACCACTAACTGTCAATGTCATGGAATAGGACAGAGCGAAGTAGATGAAACGGGGGATAGTGATGGTGGCAAACGCTATCAAAGCTTTTGTCCATGATAACAGCCATACTGCCGACGGAGTGCCATGAGCTTCGTCATATAATCAAATACAGCGGCGTACGTATCACCCAGAAGAAGGCAGAGATGAGGGAGAGCAGAGGATGTCTCCCGTCATACTCCGGTGGATTGGAGGCATGCTCCATCTTGGACAGTCCGAGTCAGTGTTCGTGCTATATTCACGCCAGTACTGCAATTCAGCTTGTTAGTCGTTCAAGATCAGGGAGGGATTGTAATAAACTTTTCTCGTACTTCAATCCTGAGGTTGCCAATTGGGGTGGAAGAATTGCGGAAGAAGTTCAAGAACTGAGGAATGCATGTCACGGGTGGCTGTGCTGCATGTTCTTCAAGTCATGATGGCAGCTGTGTCCGCATCAGCCTCTGACGCACAGACCTCATTCGGGACAGAGCGAGATAATGAGCCTAGGTTAGACGTAGAGTTGCTCAAGGAAACAGCGAGAAAGGCCTTGATCGACACTTTAAATGCGGTACGCCTTTTGGTTCCCATTCATCTACTTTGCACTGAAGTTCTGGTGCTCTGTATAGGTAAATGGCGCGAAGACGCTCGTGCTTGATCCCACTCTTGCGGGGCCTTTGGGACTGGTCACCGAAGTTGCACTTCTGAAGGTATATCCTTGCACTATCGCGATGTCGACAGCGTGATCTCATTCATTCAAAGCACCATGGCGTGGACAAGATGTTCTGGCTTGAGCCAGGCCCATTAACCCCGGCTACAACAAATGTCGTATATCTTTGTCGCCCACTAATCAAGTACGTCAAGATTATTGCAGGTCTGAGTTTCCACTTTGTCTATGGTCATGTTGTAGACTCAGTGTATGCAGAGCAGGTCAAAGCCCACATTCGAGAGTCGCAAAAGCACAGATATACACTCTTCCTTGTACCTCGTACCTCCACCCTAGTATCAAGGATACTTGAAGAAGAGGGTATCCTCGGCGATATTACCATATCTTCTTACAACTTGCAGTTCATTCCAATTGCGGATGATGTCATTTCGCTCGAGAACGACAATGCATTCAAGGAGTTATGGGTGGTATGCATATCGTCCACGTATTAACAGTATAATATAGCTCAGTCCTTTTAGGACGGCGACGAAACCGTGATCTATAACTCCGCGTTAGCACTCAACTCGTTGCAGAAGGTGTACGGTCGCTTCCCTCGCATGTTAGGAAAGGGAGACTATGCTTCGGTAGGCGCTTTCATACTCCTGTGTCGCTCGAGATAAGATGATTCTGCATAGCGGCTGGCAACCCTCCTTACGAAATCACTACCTGAGCAACCTTCTCCCTCGTCAGACACCTCAATAACTTCTGCACCGTTCGACTCGCTCATCATTATTGACCGCACTGTCGATATGATCACGCCGCTTCTGACCCAACTAACCTATGAAGGCCTGATTGACGAATTTATTGGTATCAAGAACTGTAAGCAGCTAACCACTAGATGCTAGGACGTGCCAGTATTGATATATTCGCAGCTCATGTTGAACTACCAGTTAGCATCCTCACTCCCCCCAGTGCACCTAACCCTTCGAATCCAAACGCCGCCCCATCAGGATCTGCGTCCGTCACTCCACTTATCAATGAAAAAACTAAGAAGCACCACCTCTCGGCCGCCACTGACCCGCTATTGGCTGAGCTCCGGGACTTGAACTTTTCATCAGTAGGGAGAAGACTTAGCAGAGTGGCACACCGATTAGATGAAGATTACAAAGTGCGCACTTCTATAATTTGCCCGCGATATAGTTTTTGACAAACAAAAGGCTCGACTGCAAGCAAAGACCGTCGCGCAGCTTCGCGACTTTGTCGGCAAGCTTGGTGGTCTTCAAAGTGAACACCAGGCCCTTAGACTTCGTAAGGGCGATCTCATCGGGTTTCAGGGAATAATCTCATTTCTTTGCAAAGATACTAGCTTATCGGAGATGCTCTCTCCCAAGACACGCACAGATTTATTCAACAAATCGCTCGAAGTGCAGCAGAGTAAGCCCATTTCCTCATAAAAACCTTTCGAACTTCATGTCCAAAAATAGATCTTCTTGCATCGTATGAGGTCTCGGCTCAGATCAGGGCAATCGAAGATATGATCGCACACGGTGCAAGCATGCAGACTGTCGTGCGACTGTTATGCCTCGCTAGTATTACTGGTGGTGGAATCAAGGCCAAAGCCCTGGACAGTGTAAAACGCGAGGTTCTCCAAGTAATATCTTTCTCGGTTTCGCATTTTTATCATAGCTAAAGATCCAATTCACAGGCTTACGGATACAACTACCTCCCCCTGCTTCTCTCGCTAGCCGCGCCCCCTTTGACTGTTTTGCTGCCCAATCCCCTTCCAGTTTCCACTCCTCCCGCTGTTGCAGCAAGCAAATACCCTTTCATAACCCTGCGCAAATCGCTTCGTCTTCTCATAGACGACAACCCTGAAGCACTGGAGGAGGTGGAAAATGACATCAGTTATACATACTCTGGATATGCGCCTATTAGTGTGCGGCTGGTGCAATGCGTCGCCCAGAAGAACGGGGTCATCAGTAACCCTGCAGAGAGGAGCACTGCAGATGACATAGATGGCAAGGGCAAAGGGTCGAGCACCAGAAAACTCCACGCGCATCCGATCGTAGGCTGGAAAGGCTTCGAGGACGTGTTAGGTACGATCCCGGGCAAGACATTTGACATTGCGCAGAAGGTGCCTGCATCCACCAACTCCACTGCGTCTTCTGTTGCTTCCTTGCGTAAGTCTCCATGTTGGTACCGCTCATAGGCACTCACATGGGCACCTAAACAGTGCGCTCCTCCGAGCAAACGACAACAACTGCGGTATTTTTCCTTGGTGGATGTACGTATACAGAGATTGCTGCCCTTCGTTGGGTGAGCCGACAAAACAAAGGTACCGATTTATTGCACTCCAACGTAGAGATGACGTTGACTTTCGAAAGGTCGTAAATTCCTCATTGTGACGACAGGGATTGTGAGTGGGAATAGCTTAATCGATAGCATTGCGAACGCTGGGAAGAATCTTTCTGCGACTAAGGACGTGAACACCTAGTGTGCGACGGCGCGGATACTGTCGCACTGGTAGAGCGCATACACACGGCCGTAAATATTGGTCTAGTGCTAAATAGATCATCATGATATCCACCGTTTGCCACGCTGCTGATCGATGTTGGAAGAATCCCAGAATTGAATCTAAAAAGAAGATCCTCAGGGAAGCGAGCTTGGAGAGAACGTTGGTTACTTTGTAGCATGGATACGAGTCTGATATGTCTAAGATCAACGTTCAACACGGACGCGACGCGTTTGTTTGCTTGACTTTGATTACCGGACCCCTGGTACTTGGTGGAGTCCGTACGGAAGTCGTTTACACTATGTACACAGGACCTAGGTCCTACTGAGCAGCCGAATTGCGACGTCATAGCCCAACTCTAATCTTAGTTCTAGGATACAACGTGTACGTTTACCCCTGCAAAATGACAGTTGACGACACGGTCGCCCAAAGAACTGCTCTTGCTGAATTCCTCAATGGGCAAGTGCACCTTGATGGAACGAAGGCCAAGGGTCGCTGGGGCAATGAACATTCTTCCGACAAATAACTTTTTCGATATTTTGGTTATTACGTTAACTGCAGGTTTGGCTGGTGACTGGGGTCCGTCTAACGCGGGTCCTCAACAAGCCGTCAACAACTTACGAAGAAAAAGGTCCGCCAAACTCGAGCCAATATGAACCTTTCCTCTCTTCAGCAGACCACACCCACATCCCCTTTCCACACATCTTCCAACTTTCGCCGATCTCAACCGTACGTCGAACCGATTATTTTCCTTTTTACTAACTCATTAATCATGCTTTCTAGTTAGCTTGCGGGTCGAACCGTGCACTGCCCCTTTTTTTTATCAGCGTCCTCGACGAGTGCGCACCAACCGCGTTTCTCGCTTATACTCCCAAATTACTCGCTCTTAGCTTGAACTATGGCCCCTCGCACAGAGTCGAAGACCGCGGCTGAGAAGCCCGCAAAAAAGACCAGTATGTCCTGTCGCCGTCAAATACGTAGTTGATCGCTTACTCGTTTACTTTCTCTTTTAGAGTCATCTGGCGGTGGAAGGAAGAAACTCAGCGCATTCAATAAATTCATGCAAACTGAGATGGCCCGTTTGAAGGAGGAGGAACCCGATATGTCTCACCAAGACAGGTAAACTAATTATTTCACCTCCACGTACCGTCTGCTGATCCACCAAATCTATAGATTCAAATTAGCAACGTCTAACTGGAAGACAGCTAAAGAGAACCCTAGGGCTGCTGCCTGAATTTTATATCACCTCATCGCTATGATCGATTACCGCTTTGCGCTCTCGTTCCTTTGCCGCCTGTTAGTTTAGCTCGCTTCTGTCATGCTATATCCACAAATTGACTGTTAAGTTGCGCATTCCTTGCCGAGTATTATTCATATCGCCTATCGTTCTTTCTGTAGTGCTCTTTCCGCAATATTTCTGTTTCGGGTTTTGCTGTCCATGGCGTCTGCTTAGTGTTGCTACTAATTTCATCGTATTCACGCTGCTAGTTGACTTTTGCATTGCAATCATTTTGTTGCTGTCTTGCGTCCTGCGTCGAGTGCTTATGTCCGCTGCAATAATTATGTTACCAAGGAGTAACAGCTGGAGTATTTCGGGATGGGGTGGGGACTGCCGGGTTAAAAAGCTTTCCTAGATCATGACGCCACCGATTCACATGGACTTGAAGCCAAATACACTCTAAGTTAATAAAGGTGACCATTGCATAATTGGGGCGCCATGTCAAGATTAGGGTCAACCAGGGGGTGCTGAAACAGGCTGTCTCGGAGATTCTGCTAGAGATTATCAAACATAGGAACGCGGAGCCTCTGAATGCTCAGGTGAGTTCAATTTCATTAATGTAAATGGGCAAGTCGTCGAGACGAACGGTGGATGAGCGCTGATGAGCGAACGTTGTCGTCGTACACGACGTTGTTGATCGTGGAAATGACGTACTTGTTATGGCGAGCAAGGAAGGTTAGCCCCTAAGACATGGTCCGATCAACTCCGCACCATGCCATTGCACTCATCGCCCTATCAAGTTTGCTGGCGTCCTGTAACGCGTTTTCCCGCTTTTCTTTTTCTCTCTCTGTCATCTCTCTTATCTCTCTCTCCATCTACTCTCACAGGTTGCATCTCTTTATCACTTCCAATTGTATCCATCTCAGATCATGGAGAAAGCGCCCTGCGTCGATAATGAGGATGCGCTGTTCCACTTCGACCCTTATGAGCTCCCCTCGAGCCCCAGCGATCAAGGTCCGTTTCCTTCTTCACCTCGTGTTATTGTCCTGCATCAACCTCCACCCACAAAGTAGACGTCCTATCCAATCCTGACATCATCCAGCGTGATCTGCCCATGGAGTCAGATGGACAGCACGATTTGGAGCCTGATGACATTCTGGGCAAGGGCAAAAGTTCCTCGTTTCCCATGGCCATCCCAGCAGCAGCTTCCGGTCGTAATTCCACTCTAACGTCTCTAGCTTTATCGCCTACCATCGAGTCACCTCTCGAGGGTCCTTCGTCATCTCGGCCTACCATATGTTTCCATTACAGGGGGAAATAATACAATATCGGTATCACCAGATAAGATTAACGTTTTGGAGGCAGAAGGCCGCAATATTCAACTCACCGAATCATCGAGTAATGATGATTATAACTTTATGAATGCCTCGTTGCCCGGCAAAGGCAAGGCAAAGGATCTAGCTCACACGTTGCCTCCTCTCTTATTCTCTACAAGCGACTTGGAATATCGTACCATTGACTGGCCATCCGGTGATATCGGTTCTCCAACAGCAGGACCTTCCTCGTACGGTTCAGCTCACACCTCGCCTCCCCGCACATCCTCTAGTCTTTCTCATCCGAGCTCCCAGGCCCCTCAGAATAGTATACAACAGCACCCAGCACTGACAAGAGTGCCCTCCCGAAGGCGATCATTGTCCAACCTATCAATTCACTCCACACGTTCCTTAGCTGCTCGATCCATGTCAAGGATTAAAGTTAAACTGGGCTCATCGTCAAAGGGCCCGAGTAACTTTGCCCGCAGATTATTGTTCAAGAATAAGGCCAGTGCAGCTGCGACATCAGTAGATCTCAACACTGCCGGCTGTGTGTCGGATCCTTTCTTGGGGGACCTCGTAACAGTAGGGCAAGGTAATTGCCCTCACATCAGTGGAAAAACCCCGATTTCCAGCCCTGTCCGGACCTCGAGTTTCCATCGGATACACGAACACATGTTCAGCAGAGCACCGATACCAGTCTCGAAAGCCTCAGTAGCATCAAATGCAAAGGCCGTTCATATTCCTCTCCACTTCCCCAGTCTGTCTTTGACATCATCCCTCGTGGCAATAGTGATGTCTTTGTCCCCGTGCCCTTAGCCCTTCAAAATCTCTTCGATGAGGCTTTGCCAAGAGAGCTGAAGCTGCAAGTCTTGTCAGCCTTAATTTCCCTGCACGAAGACGAATTTCAGCTGTGGAAGTCGTCGGGGCGGTGGACTACCTCAAGGGCATCCTCATCCAAGTATCGCTGGGTTGGCAGAGATCGTGGGATGCGCGAACTCGTGAAGTTGAGCAGGGTAAGTCTGATGCGCATGGCTTGCAGTATCTGCAATAACACATCACATGTGTCAGGTGTCAAAGGCGTGGCGCTCACTTGTCTTTGATGGTCAGCTGTGGGTGGATGTCGACCTCAAGGCATTCCCAAACCTTCCAGTGCCTTTCCTTCTGCGTCTCGCAGAGTCGCTTGGGCCATTTATCAAGAACATGGATCTCACTGGACATGTACAACTTGATCGCAGCACTCTGGGACAGGTCACGACCAGTCTTTGTGTACGCTCCGCGCCAACCATCGACTTCGCCTATACACAACTCCTGGACATAAACCTGACAGGTTGCAATGCGCTGACTACGCAATCATTACACAACCTCGTCATCCACTCGCCGTTTTTGCGCAGCCTTTGCGTTAAAGGGTTGAAGGCCGTCGATAACACCACTTTCGACGTTCTCGCGCTCTGCCCCCACCTGACGTCCCTGAACATGAGTCGTTGTTCCAATATTAACGGAGATGGCCTCCGCAGATATGCAAATGCAGTGCTAGAGCGCCACGGCCAGCTTGCACTGAAAGAGCTCAAGCTATGCGGATTGGGGGGTATGTACGACGAGGTTCTGGGAGTGTTGGGCAGAGCGGCGCCCTCGCTGGAAATCCTCGACCTGAGCTATTCTCGCACTCTGCACAACTCGGCGTTGGAGGCTTTTGTCGCGTGTGCGGAAGAAGATGAGGGGGTGGAGAGTGTGGTGCTGACTGCACGTGAGGTGGGGCGGGACGTGCGTGATAACGGACGCTACCGGAGGCGGATTACGAAGCTCAGACATCTGTCGCTCTCGAACTGCAAGCTGCTCACGGACATAGCATGTTCCAATTTAGCGCATGCAGTGCCGCGTCTAGAGCTGTTGGAACTGGCGAGCATCGGGACGGAGATGAAAGATGAGGGGATCGTGAGGCTTTTGGGGACGACTCCACTTCTCCGAAAGCTGGATCTCGAGGACGACCCGGATATCAGCGACGCCGTCCTGAGCGCACTGACCCCTAGTCCCCCAGAGGACTCCACATCAGGGTCAACACAACCCCTGCAGACAGGGCAGGCGCTGGAGCACCTGGTTGTGTCGAATGCTATCAACATCGGCAACGAGGCTTTCCTTTCTCTCATGCGTAATTGCCCCCGCCTGAGGGTGCTGGAGGCAGACAGCACGTGCATATCTGGGACTGTCCTCAAAGAGTTCGTGCGGCAGGCGCAAGAACGGGATCTGTCCGATGCTACCCTGATTGTTATTGACTGCCGTGCTGTGGGTGAGGGTTGCGTCAAGGACGTTGCCGCGATGACCCGCCCCCGCAAGGGCTGGTGTGCCTGGGACGCACGGAAGCTCGCGTACCTGGATGGTCGGGACAAGGAGGAACTGAAAGTGGGGCAAGATGAGTGCGACGAGAAGCGCATCGTACTCAAATCATTTTTTAATTGGCAAACTGTGGATGCTGTTCGGGTTGCGCGGGAGCGGCGTCGGCGAAATTCCCGTCGTGCAAGCAACGGATCATCAGATAATCTTGAGGATGTTGCCCAGGTTTCGGGACGTATGCGGTGGTGGTCTCCGACCGGGAGACGTTCGCTTGGTACCAACACCCCAGATGGGGCGGTCAGCGATCGAGAGGGATGTGTCATGACCTAAGATTCTTTCACTTGTACGCTTTAGTATCTCTTTGATCTGTTTGCAAAGCTGACTGTACACTTTACCCACGTAACGAGCGTTCTTCGATGTATTACTGACATTTCCCTGTTGTTCACGAGTAGGTTAACTGTATTATTCCAGATTATGACGTATAATGGGAGAAGCGGAGATCGTGGCTGGTGTTAACTTAGCAGCTTCTTCTCCTTTCGTCTGACTTTCTTTGCTGCTTTTCTTTGTTGCCCTTCGTCGGGTGCCGATAGAGTACTTTGTCCTGACTGATCTGGTGTCTGAGCAGCCGAGGTGGTGCTAGATAAGGCAGATGATGCGGGTGACTTCTTTTTCTGTTTCTCGGACTTTGAAGAATTGACATCCCCATATCCTGTGGATGGGTGAGTTTTGGACTACAAAAGAGGAAAACATCAAGACTACCTGTGAAAGGATCTATCCGTGGTCGTTTGCGCCTACCACCTAGCTGTTCTCCACGTTCTGGGACTTCGTTTTCAACCATTCGTGATTTCCCCTTGTCCTGGGGCGATAGCACCTCGTCTTCCATCGCGTCCTCGTCACGTTCCACCTCAGCCTCATCAAATACTTCGAGGTCCTCTTCTTCTTCACTGCCCAATTCCTCCAAGTTCTTCTCATACTCTGCGCGCTCCGCCATTTTGCTGGTGATTTTGACTGGAACGCGCTCGCTGGTAGTAGCAGGTCCAGGTGATGCATTATTACTTGATTCTTCCACCGGTTTTACGAGCTTTGCTTGGGCGATGGCGTGTTTAATAAACCTGCCAGCGGCTGCTTTGTCGATACCGAGCCTCTCTAAATACGAGTTAGAATGTTTAGCATTAAAAACAAGTCTAGGCGCAAAGAATACTTGCTTTTCTCTTCAGATTCTTCTGCATGTTTTATTTTGTCAAAGTATTGGCGGACGCGGTCCTGTGAAGAACATCAGGTTGGATTAGAACTACACTGTAAGGAGCGGGCGCACCAGTTCAGCGATGACAGGGTGAGTCCTGGGATCGATTCCACGTGTTTTCAGGTATACTATGTGTGCGATTAGCAAAATTAGACGATATAGCTAGTTAGTGTTCTGTCACACGTACCGAATACAAGATCATATAGTACATACGGCAGAACCACTTGCAATTTGGCCTGCTGAATGGTTTCGAGGGCCACAAGGGTCTCGGCAAGGCTCTTGGTGAATAGCGGTTCAAGTTGCATCTCGAGCTCATCGAGAGACGCGTTGAGGTTGGCCACTTTAGCTCGTAATCTGTCCTCGTCGGAAGCCATGCTTTGATATGAGCCGCGAGTGTTTCTGCAGAACGTGAAGTCATCCATCTACAAGGCACGTGGACATATCTCCAGTAAATCACGTGGTAGGATAATAAATTAAATATGTAATATCAAAATATCAAAATTAACTCCTTTCTCCCAACGGTCATGGTGAGTTTTGTCAGTGTCATAATCTGATCGTTCTGACGGGCGCGTATTTGTAGTCGTCTGAACTTAGATACACTGCAAATACGCAGCTGGAGCACCGTGAGTGCTATCTTTCGTGCATCCTAATATATCGCTGACGCTTCTTTCCTTCAGTACATGCGCGTTACACAGGAACTGGTGCTTTCGCTTTTTTGGTTCGTTGGTCATTTCTGATTTTCCTTATCGTTCAGGTCACGCCGACCTGACAAAATAGTGTGCCAACCATTTGAATTTGCATTACCTATACTGAGCATGTACCAGTGACTGGATTACACATCAGCACAGAGATACGCTGTCTTCTATCATAGGACACCCGCCCTTGCTTTCGTACCTGGCTATCGCAGATGGACAAGCTATTGGCCGAGCTAAATTTGAGATGACCGAAGTAAGTCAGCCCACCTTAAGAACTTGGATCATGTGTTGAAATAAACCCATTAGCGGATGCTGCAGCCCTGCGGGCCCCCTCCAAAGAAAGATGAAGATTGAACTTACTTCTAGTCCTCCTTGCACTGTACCTCAGCTAGGTACAGGGATGGTATTCATGGGAACCTGTTTGCGTCACAAGTTATGTATCCTGCATTAGTGCCCACGGCCTGACGACATCCAAACCCTCTAGTTTGTAAAACATCCTGATAGTCGTGGTGTCTGTGTTCGATCGAGAGCCACCTCCGTTCCGCTCCGCTGTCAAGGATATCTCCTTGCGCTTATAGTGAACCCTGGCATTAATAAACAGTATGGAGCCGTAAATTGAAGTCGATCGAAGTAACAGAAGAACCCTCAACATGACATTGCTATGGAGAGCGATTGCGTGCCGAGCGCGTTATGCTACTGGTAGGAGAAGCCCAAACATCATATGATGACGCATGAAGCCTCAGAGAATTAATGCTAAGTTTCTCGGCAAGTTCAATTCAGGACAGGAACTTGTGGCGCAAAACGCAGTTGACAAGTTACGATTCGTGATTAGCTGCCACGAAGAGACATGAGAATGCCAGCACACTGAGGAAGTGGGTGTGTCCATACCATCCATGTACTAATTGCACTCACTTCGACTCCTTGGACTGTGAGTTGGCAGTCTCGTGATAACTAATCTTGTGGGTACTGGAAGATCACTTTCTCTAGGCCTTAGTAAATCATGGGGGAAAGGGTCCCCTTGGCTTACATGTACATACACGGTTTAGCACGTCTTTCCCTACCAAGTTCCCATTGAGGCGTCGCCTCCATGTCACTTTGATCTAAAAGGGGAAACACCATGATCGCTGGGCGGTAAAATCTGCCGTCATGGGCGGACCGCGCGAGTAGTCTATTGCTGTACTCTTACTGACAGGCAGCGCATATGGGAAATTAGCTAGACTACGTTGGGACAATTCTGAATAGCTTTCTGAAATTTGTGCGGTTTTACGGACGAGGAGGGAGCTGCGAATTGCAAAGTAGTTGCTGGCTGTTCAGCGTGTTCGAAGTACTTTGTCCTTGTTCTTGTTTCGGGAATTTTCAATAAAATGAACCGGCGGAAGCTGAGATCTGAGCTTAGGAAACTTCTATAAATGGAGATAAGCTTGTTCATCAGGTTCACTGCCATTGTTCCCTGATATGATGTCGTGTTCCAGATTCTACTGAAATACCCTTTGTTTGCCGCGCTTGTCTAGATCATGAACAAGGTACGAATTCTGTGATAATATTATCCTCATCCCGAGACTTGATCCTTACAATTCCCCCCACCATCAATCTAGCTGTGCTTCATTCAGTTGTGACGCCAAGGACCACTATCCTGTCCTCGAACGACCACCACACCTGATTTGATCCACTGGTCTTTAAACAAGGGTGGACTAATACGCTTTACCCTCTAGACCTGATTCCCTTTGTCTTTAGTGCTTAGTTTGGTGGACATAGGCGTCCACAAAGACCCCACCGTCGCTTAGACTGGCCACAACTGTGTATTATTCTACTCGGGCACATACATGATGGCACTGGCAATTTCAACGCAACCTTTCACTTACATTCATCCCCTCGGCGAGTGCTCCTCGTCCGATAGCATAATTCTCACTCCACGACCGTCATTCCTACAACCCGACAACTTCTTACATACCATCCCGACTCTCCCAGTCGCCCCAACTCTTTCAGTAGTATCGACTCTGGCTACGCCAGCACCATGGGGCCACGATCAGATTCAGATTCCATGCGAAAGTCCAGATTCGGGGGAAAACTCCTCGCCCCTCCCGATGCAGACATGTCTCGACCTCTCACACCTAGCAATCACTTCTCTGGCAGTTTCGTTAAAGCCAAAGAGTCTGTTGAGGAGAAAGAAGTCCCCAAGTGACGTACCCTCAGATACCTTTCCCACGACTTCATGGCATGGTACGAGTACACCCCAGGAAGAAGCAGATTTATCGAGTGAGGGTGACGAAGATGTCGAAGCTATGCAGCGTGTGCACCCCCCTGCCAAAGCATTCCAGGCGAAGAATCACTTCGCCACAAGGAGAGGCATGATCCATCACCCGTACCCTCCTGATCAAGCACCTTACATGCAAGCATACGATCGCACACTTCTTGACAAGTGAATCGCTACCGCATCATTATTTTATTCCACGCTGACAAACACCGTTACAGCGACCGTTTCTCAGATATTCTCTTGCAACGTTTGAGCACCAATGGGACGCCATCATTTCTCACATTCAACGGTAACCCACCCACTACTATTCTTGACGTGGGATGCGGTGCGGGACATTGGGCTGTTCGGGCTGCAAGACATTGGCCAAAAGCAAGGATAATCGGCATTGACCTGATTGCTCCCTCAAGCTTAAATGACGGAAACGCCACCCCACTGAACGTGGAATGGAGGCAAATGAACTTGTGAGTACGCGCGTCTTGCGTGTTATCACTATTTGACCACAACGGTCGCTCAGCATTGGACACCGATTGGGATTCCCAAGCGACACGTTCGACCTTGTGCGCATGGCGAACCTATCACTGTGCATCCCTGTTGAGAACTGGGACGGTGTTCTCAAGGAAGTCAAGAGAGTTTTGGCGCCCGGTGGGCGCCTAGAACTGATCGATGATCAAGCATTATTTCCCACTGTGAAGCCTTTGGAAAACCCTCCACCTTCGCCAGCCGCCACGAGTGTTTTCCCTTCCCGGTGTCATTCGTACATTGAGTTTGACGACGACGAATCTGACGACGAAAATGGGGAGGACGACGACTTCAAGAGCTCAAAGAGCTCTCCATCCATTCACAGCCTGGACGAAGACTCAACGCCGCCATACGATGCTACTTCTGAATGGACGAGAAATGAGGCCAATGCGAAACACCTCGAGGGTCTGTTCACGGATATGCTCTGGAGCAAATACCAGATTCGCACAGACCAACGAAGAAATATGGAAGAAGTTCTAGATAATGTTTTTGGCCGATACAACTCCCAGAGAGTTGCAGCAATGACCCTTGCCATCGCACCTCCTGCATCCAATTCAGACTCAGATCCTGACCAAGCGTCAATATCAAGTGGAGAGAGCAAGATCCTGAAGAAGAAGAAAGGGGAAGCCTTCAAGCAGTGGATCGCTGTTGAATGGGACAAGATTGAGAACAAGGGCAAGAAGGGCGACCGTTCCAGTGGGGAGAGTGTCCTGACACCTATACCGCAAGTCATCAGTCCTAAAGCAGCAGGCCGCCTAGGTATCTCCTCACCTACTGCCACTGCTTCCCCTGCTCCACGATCTCCCCGGCATTCAGTAAATCTTCCGCCCTCACGTCCCGCCCAATCTCCTGGGTTGGTCCTGTGGCCTAATACGTTAATTGAACTGGGGTCTTTTGAGCTCGAGATGCACGCATGCAAGCACATGCAGAGTCTACTCGGGTGCAAAGCTGCGCTACATGAGTATGCGCAGGAATTGTACCGAGACGCCGACGGCAATTCCCTTTTGGATGACGCAGTGTTCGATGATCTAATTTGGGACTACGAATGGTGAGTACCTTTAACTGAATATTTTCCTTCGGAGCCTTAAATCCCCCTGCTTTCAAGCTTCCGCCGCAAGCGTTTCAACTGGCCATCAGTAGCCTCTGAAACGAGAAAGTCAGCTCATAACGAGCCCTCCGTCACTCCCAATTTCCGACTTTCAGCCGACGCGAGTATTCGGTCACGTCCCCGAGGGGGCTCAGACGCCAGCACGGAGTCGTCCCGCTATGTGAAAGACGAGCTCACTTTCGTGCGCTCCATCTACGTGTATACTGCCAGCAAAATCGCCACCGATGATATTATTTTGTCGTAGCAACGCTACGTAACGAACACATTCGCTGTAGCATAACTTTTGTTATTTTGTCTTTATCCGACGTCCTCGATCCGGATCCCAACTGTCCTTCGTCTTCCTCTGCTATTTCGCTATTGATTATTGCTATTTGCTGTATCACCGCTGTAGCCTATTGCATTCATTATTGCATTCAGACGCCCCCATTCATTATTGTAATATGATTGTCACACATAGATTTGCGCTGTAATATCCGGTACCTTATATTGCATTCTTTTCTTTACGCCGCACAGGGTGGGCTGGGTCAGTCCTTTATATTGTATATATCCAGCATTTATAGAAATTGGTGTATGCCAAAGTCAATGATACATTGTTCATTTGATTCGCAGCATCCATCATAACGCCTCAAACGTGATGATCTCAGCACTCTCTTCATCCTTGATCGTCTGCATCTCATCACCTTTCATCAACTCTTCATGGATGGTATCCAGGCGAGCGGTTTCTAGGCTCACGCCTGCGAAACGTATTGATCCGGGGCCCCCTGCGATCATGATCGGTTCTGAGCTGAAACGGCGATTACAGTGTTCCTTGAAGTTGATGACCATGCGACTACCGATCACGGTCTCGACGAGCATGACGAATGGGATAGATATATTTGCGTGCATTTCCTGAAGGCATCAATCAATATAACATCACAAAAAAAATGAAAAAAATTATCTCACAGCGGCATTGCGCCACAGGCCCATGAGGATAGCGCACATTGCCAGGTTTCTAGACGGGTTGCTTATTAGCTTTGATTAGGGACGTACGAAAAGATCATGCTCACATGAAAAAATACAAGATGCTATCTCGTAAGAGTATGCTCATGAATGAGTCTACGCACAAGATGGAAGCGCCAGGGAGTCTCCTCTTGTCTCTGATATTGTTTAGGGAAACTCTGATAGCAAGGGAGAAGAGCAAGATTTCAAAGCAGAAGACGGGTATGAACAAGTAAGTGAAGTTGGTGTTAATTCCGGAGAAGGAGCACAAGTGCTTTCCAGGATATGCCTCATTGGTGACTGGTGAATTAGAGTGAACAAGTGTGGCACCAAGTCTCTTTGAAGTACACACCGACAAATTTACTTGTTGGACCAATGGTTTTCCAGATGATTACAACAACAGCGAAGACCTCGCCGAAAAAAGCAAGAACTAGTAGCACGAGTATCCGTCTGGACCGCCGGTACATGGCATATATTCGGAGTTGCATGATGCCTGTGTGGGTGATGTAAGTGTCGAATTATACACACAGAGATATGATTTACATTGAGTCAGCCATGAAATCAGAAGAGTACCCCAAGCTCGGACCTGGAAAAGTCGAAAGCCTTGGATATAGTTGGATATTGATCAATTGGGATACGAAGTCATTACTTACATCTGAAAAATGCGTAGAATGCGCACTATCAACGAGAAGTACGAATAAAGCACGTTATAGATCTTACACCTATAAACAAAATTTCATAAGAATTTTTTGTGACGTTTAGACAAACAAGCTTACTTCTGTCGAAGCATCCTCAGTGAGGCAAACTAATGCGTACTATGAGAAAGACGAATTTTAACGTGAATACTGACATACGATAAGCGCCGACGCTAGGAATATATCAGACTACCGACGAGAGCCAGACATAAGGGCTTACATCACAATGATATCGCCCAAGTAGCGGTCCTGCAAAGAAATGAAGACTAGACCAATCGATACCACGCGCACATACCAACAGATACAAGGCGGTCACTAATGAAGGCGACCTCCGCTGAACACCAGTGATATCAGCATATGACGAGCGGACTCCATTTCGATTTTTAACGCACCCATATATAATCTATCTGAGAATCAATCGACGTCATCAAGTTTTGCTCGTTGATGGATTGGTCAAACAAATACTCACTTCACTGCTGAAGGTCAATACTGAATATGCGATACCTGAGTGTACGGTCATAAAACTTGGTGGATTCTATACATACCGTGATCATACAAAACAGCTACGGCCACGGCAACTGGAAAAATGACGGGTTTTGGATAAAATCAGATTGGACGTCGAGCACATCCCAAGAACTAACCTTGCACGTAAGCGAACGAACGAATGTTATATGCTGCTGTGACGGTGGAGATCATGTGAAGCAATTTGCTCAGCTGCTTTCAATGGCAGAAGAACTCTAGGGCAAAAGCTCATCAGAATCGGAGGACGACGGAAACGGCGGCTCCATAATCGCATGAGGCTTATATGTAAGGCTTTGGGTCAGGATCCAGAAGCACATGTGTTTAGGGTCCTTCCGATCTAAGGCTCGATAATGCTGGAAGGTTACGTGAGCGCTAAAACCTTGATTGCAACAAAGACTTCAAGTTGACAAGATTTTACGTTAAATTAACTTCGGGAGCCTCACTATCAGAGTCGAGGCTCCAGAACATGACGGAACGCCCACGATGACCCAAAAGGTGACCGAAAAAATTTCCGCGACTGGAGATTTAGCCAGCTGGCGGCCTTTAGAACCTGAGCAGTGAGGAAAGTATCGAGGGACACATCATTTATGGGCGGGGCGAAGTTATTAAGTATTGAGTTAATACCGCTCATTGACAATTGTGCCAAGACATGCTTGTCCCAGGGAGCCTCAGGTACTTTGATCAGAGATTGCAGCAGGTCGCTGATAGCCATGGAGTGTCATGTAAGTACAATGAGTATGTATATACAGTCGGGCGTAAGTACGTTCCCCTGCTTAAGCGCTGACTAAGCAACATTATGTGGCGCAGCTGTACTGACCCATTCTCTTCAGCCACTCCGAGATACATGTTGCAAACTTTCGTGAAATCGTTCACTCACTTGAAAGATCGTCCACATGCAGATCGAGCCTTGCCCATGCTTCAACGGGTAGCGACCCTAGTAAAGCCGATCATGAGGAAACATGGCTGGATGTTGCCATTATTGTCTGAATTTTTCCCTGAGAGCCCCAATCTAGTTGGTAAGTTCCTCCCAGCGTCAATCGAAGCTTCTTCATTGTGTCACTTATCATACAGGGTTGAGTGAGCGTCGGACACATTATCTGTTCATTGCGTTTTCTGACATACTTTCAGATGTAAACGGAGGGGAGCAGATACTTCTGAGATTGCGCCCTTCATGGGCTCCCGACACCTTTTATGAGGAAGATCAGGTTGTTCGAGTCATGCTCCATGAGGCAAAGAAACCTTTGTCTCTTCTAATGTGTTCATACTCACTGATAATTCTTCGATAGCTTACCCATAATGTCCATGGCCCTCACGATGAAAGTTTTTACAAGTTTCTAGCTGCGCTCGAGGACGAATATGATGCGCTAGTGCGTTCTGGCTACGCTGGAGAAGGCTTCTTTTCTCCTGGGCACCGGCTGGGTGCAGGGATATCACACGATCTTCCGCTACATTTAGCTAGACTCAAAGCTCTTGAAGCTGCCGATAAGAGGCGCCACACAAATGGCATGCTCGGTGGTGGCGGCAGGTTAGGAGGCAGAATTACTGCGCTACAAGGCATGAATCCCCGTGAACTGGCCGCCCAGGTCCTTCTTGCCCGTTTTCCGTTGCCTGAAAATATATATTAATACTATCTTCGCAGGCTGCCGAGCGCAGAAAGCGCGATGAAATTGAGTGTGGATCGGGTACACTTGCCCAACGCGAAGCCGAGAGAGCGGCGAAAGAAAGCATCGAAGACATCATCGACCTTACCGATGATTCCCCTCTAGAGCCGTGGTCTTGTCCTGCGTGCACACTTCACAATGAGCCGATCGTGCTGCAGTGCGCAGCATGCTTCACTGTGCGTCCCCATAACTCGCCTAGGACCGCGAGTCAACCACATGTTGCTGGACCATCGAGGATACAGCGTAATGCTTCCGGATCAACGTCTGATGCACGAGGACGGTCCAGAGTCACTTCGGATAAGCAGCCAAGCAATACCAAGGTATCTAGTCACCCTACACCTTATCCTCGCAAACCAGCCAAGACATCCGCTGACGGTGGACAATGGACTTGTGCGGTCTGCACACTCGTCAACGACCAAGAAGCAAACCAATGCACCTTATGTTTGACAGGGCGTCCCCGAGATCCCTCTATGGGGTGGACATGTACAACATGTGGTGGGGCAGACATGCCCCACCAGTTTTGGTCATGTCGATTTTGTGGCGCGATCAAGACGGAGAGCACGTACGGCTGAATGTCTCCTGAAGTGATTTCACCCAAGGGATTCCAGTGCTTTACGTTACTATATCTCATAATACCTTGACTGTGACGTTTGACATGGTACCTCGACTTCGATGCGCAGTTTTTCCCTCTGGTATGTTGTCCTCTTGCCCTATGTAGATAGTACATGTCGCACGATGGAATAATAATTCTGGATAAAATGATCTTTGGCTCGCACTTGTGCTGTGTCACAGTCCCGAAGGCCTGACGGTTTCAGCATGCAGAAGCCAACCAGCTCGGTCATGTATCGGGGATGTGTGTGATAATCTTTTGTTCAGCGTCCGAATCGTGGGTTTAAAGTTCCTGTTCAATCATATCATTTCGCATCGTTCGAATCAACGAATAAATCCTTGTTGATCGATGACATTCGAACGAGGACATGCAACGTTCATACAAGAGTTGTCATTAATCATCACCGAATATAACTTTCAGATTCTCGAGGCTCTCGGGGTCTGCCTTCCCCGATTGATCGCTTCCCCGGAACGCCTCTTTCACGATGGCGGTCTTACGTTTTTGGATCTGGAGTATCCGGCCTTCGATCGTATGATCAACCTCGAAGCAGTGTCAACGGATATGATGGAGAAAGTTCAAGGTGACCTCACTATAAAGTGTTTGACTATAGACAGTTTTCTCTTGGCCTATTCGATGTACGCGGTCGATGGCTATTGCGAAGATCAGTACAATCAACCACAGACGGATATACCCGGACGCCGACCTTGATTTTCCGTGGCGGCGTTCCACCAACAGTCCATCTGAGTAATATTAATTAGCATGACAGGGGAACAAGGTTTGAGAGGACTAACCATGAAGACGTGGTTGGCGCTCGTCAGCTATCGTAGAAGTAACGTTCAGTAAATTCGAGAGGTAGGAAGCTTGCGCTTACGTTCAGACCAACGCCGCCTGCTTTCAAGCTGACAATGAGAACCTTGGGCTTCCGCTCGTTCTGCTTGAACTCTGATATGGCAGCATTGCGCTTCTTGATGTCCATCGATCCGTCAAAACGGTACCATGATAGGCGTTCACGGTCCAGTGCAACAGAGATAAGTGAAAGGAAGGACGTAAACTGCGAGAAGACAACAGCACGGAAGTATGGATCTTGATCTCGAAGTCGTCCTGAAAGCGGCTTAGCTCACAGGGGAGCGGAACAAACTAATGCAGAGTAGCACCCACTGAGGTTTTGTACTAGAGCATCCAGTTTCGTGGACGACCTAAAATCATTTCGGCGCAGGAAGACTCCTGATGTCAACGTCCCTTCATTTTCGCCCCCTGTGGACTCCTGGAGTAGGCTATTTTGACCAGACGGTCGGAGCACCTCAACGAGGTCTTGTTCCTTGACCGGTCCTTGTGAGCATGTCGGGCATCGTGGCACCTCTCCCTTGTCCGTGCACGTCGCAAGATATGACACAATACATTCTTTGCAACTATGGCGTACCGTCAGCATGAGTAGATGAAATGGGCAGCGTCAGGCGCACCATTGATGCATACAGAGGGGGATGATGGACGGCGTTTGCATCACATCAAGGCAGATTGGGCATTCTGCATCACTGGACGTGTCAATGCTAGCTAGGACGCTCTCAGCATAGGCCACTTTCGAGCCACTCGACAAATCATTCTTTGAGATGTCCTTCATAAGGGTATCCACATCGATCGCTCCATCTTTGGAGTCTCCAGCGGGTTTGGTCTCCGTTCCATCGCTAGCATCAGCGACAAGGTCTGGGTGAAGCACTGCCCGACGAAGTCTTAAAAGTGCGGTAAGAATTAGGATACGCCAGACGTCGCAAATCCCACCTCATAATCATAGCCAGAATATGCGTGTAGTTCTTGCCCACTAGTCCTTTCGCATTGAGCTGATCGAAGTTCCGCTTTGCCGCATTGTAAATGGAGTCGTACATCTTTTGTTCTGCAGGTGTAAAGTGCAGTGTATCAACAGTGATCTCCTTCGCAGGTAACTCGACGATGCGTTTTCCAGAGTTATCACGCATGTTCTTCTCGCGTCGGAGAAGGACGCTCTCGAGGATCACTTGCACTATTTCTATTGCTTTCGGGTCACGGGCGAGGAATGGCACAGTAATGAAGCTGACAAACAGCTTCAGCCTTAGCAATATCGAAAATTGATAAGAGCGGTAGACACATACGAGCGGAAGAATGAGTACGATGACCATGGTGTATACTCCAGGAATTGCCTGACACGAAGTCAGTCAAACTGTAGTATAGAGCACTATTTTTACTCACAGGAGCGAATGAAGGTCCTCAAGTTTATTGACAATTGGAGTCCCTAGTCGTGATTCAGCATCTAGGTTATTGTAAATGCCGGTATCGTCACCTGTCACGGCCCATCTACGTCTGGCACGAAGAGCATATACAGCTCGCGCGGTCTTGCTTGTCCTCGACTTACAATGATGGGCTTCGTCCAAGATGACTCGTAGCCACTCCACTTCACAAGCAGTCAATCGAGGAATTCTGGTTGATCCCCAGAACATACCTTGGAAGATGGAGGATTGGCCACCAGACTTGAGTAGTTTGGAGTGTTCGGAGGCGAGTACGCCGTAGGATGTAACAATCACGGTGATAGGCGCATCGTCATCCGAATCATCTTCTATACCGTCCAAGTCCAGCCTATTTTGCCCATGCCAGACAGTGACTTTAATGGTCCCGGGTACACTTGATCGCTCGAGTTCATCGTGCCACTGAGATAGCAGTGAGGTAGGAGCAACTATTAGTGTTGCAGAAGGGCCTTTGGTACGCTTCTTCCTCTGTCCGAGGGCCCTTGACCGGAATGCGTTGTCAAGTTTCTGCTGACGAGCGCGTGCAAGATCCCTGGAGGTATCATCAGGAAGGATGGGTTCTGGATCTCGGTTTGTGTGGATGAGAGCGGATAACATGATGGTTTTCCCCATTCCCACTAAGATAATGAATCAGCTCCGACCTCTACACAAAGGTCGCATGGACGTACTCTCTGCGTGGTGTGCCAGATTCAAAGATTTTGGTTATGAGCTTGGTAACATCGGACGAGAAATGCACTTTACCATCACTAAACAAGGCATAAGTATTTATCAATCGACGAATTCTTGCTACTTACGCAAGGATCCCTCCTTTGAGTTTGCGCTCGGCTTTAGGAAAGTCAAGACTGAGTTCCCCAGAGTAAGGGTTGAAGTAGAACGGTTTCTCGTTTTCAGTTAGGTCTATTATACCATCCCGGGGTTCGGCAGGGAAAATATACCTATAAGAACAGTTGACTGCTGCTCCTATAGCATGGTTGTGGGACTTACTCGCTCCACAGAGGGTGCATAGACACAGCTTCTCTCGCAGATATTTCGCCCGATTCCTTTAGATGCATCCACCTTGTATGAGTCAGTAGGGCAGAGATTCGGCGGTAATCTGGCCCACATAAGTGCTTGTTTCTGGTACCCCCTCAGTGTTAATGTAAACGTGTCAGGAGGATCCATCTCAGCCATTGATCGATCGTTCTTCTGGGCTCTGAAAGACTGTCAACACGATGGCTGATGTCACGAATTAATACCTACTTCTTGTAGATCACATCCAGCTCGTTGTCAGACAGTTCCTCACCTTCTTCTACTTCGACCTCCTCGCCGTCACCAACGATTTCAATTTTCTTCTTCTTGGAACCTCCGGCATGTTGCGTTAGTTGTTTGCTCATACCATCAGATTCATTCTCTGTGCCATTATCTTGGACACGTGCCCCCTTACAAGGGCGGAGGTTAACAGCTTCGAAGAGAGATAGTAGCGCAGTTTTGCGTTCTCTAAGAGTTTGTTCATCTTGTGTTTCTTGACTCTGATTGAACATCGTTTTCGGTGGCTTCTCCGCGGAAGTACTTGGTGGCTTGAATGCAGATGTACGGATATATACAGACAACGAGACTATCAAGTCTGCACCAGAATGCAGAGTGGCTGGACAGTCCACCATTGTGCTGCCTTCGAAGTCGACGATCCCTAGATGCTGCGGTAAATGCAAGGCTAATTCACTTTGAAGATGAAGTACCAAAATCAAGGAGCCTCGAAACCCAAGATGAAACATGCTGCGGAAGACGACCAAACTCTGGTTGAAATGTGAGAGCATCCTTACATCCTTTGCATAAGAGCTCACCGAAACCGCGATCATTCGTAAGCCGAACTACCGTATCAGCTTTCTTTGTCGTCTTGGGTGGCTGCGATTTCAGCATAGCGCCGAGGGTGAGTTGCTTCTTTTTGCCTTTATCGGGAAGGGCTTTTTTCTTTCCTTTCGCTGAGACTGATGGGCCAGACCTTGAATCATCAGGATCATCCCTTTCTATGCGAATGATGTCGCCTGGTTTGATATAACCTTTGCCTTTGACAGTACTCCAGGCGTTCCCGACAAGAAATGATCCAATATATGCAGGATGATCCGATGATGCTTTGCCCGTATGCGCCTGAACCTTGGAAGACTGTGAGAGTCGCCTCTTCTTGACGGGTCGTTCTTCACCAGAGGGATCTGGCACCGGCGAAGACGTTCTGAGAGAAGGCCCTGAAGACATACTACTGACACTGGAAGCTCGAGGGACCTCTTCAAAAGAAGGTATCTCCAAGTCGCTTTCACTGTCATCACCATTCATAACTAATGACGGATTAATCGCAATTGGCCTTGGAGTTTGAAAGCGTGGAATATCTTCATCGTCACTGTCGGCAAAGAAAAGACGCTTCTCGCGTGAGGGGTAAGGTAGTCCGGATGGTGGAGCTAGTTGTGAAGATGCTGGCCCGGGGATTGATACGCCAATCTGAGCCGTTGTCGAATTCGTATCCTCATCCTCATCGTCAGAACCCGCAAAAAAGAGACCATCACGAGGTTGGAAGTCTTGGGTCATAGTCAAAATCCTTTGTCTACGAGGAAACGAGAATGGTGGTGCTCGGAGACGATAGATGCTGACGCGCCAAGTTCCAACGCGAGTTAAATGAGACGCGTTGGAGTTGTTTAACCGTGTTAGGATCCAAGCCTCTGACTTCCAAATCGCCTTAGAATTCAGAGTTCTGAGTCTTGAACAAATCCGGCTCGAATCCAACTTTCCTCAAGAGCTCCAAATATTTGTTTGCAAGTTTTAAACCATTTTCCATCAACTTAAGTCTACTTTGTCCTATTCATCACTTCCTGAACTTCTTACCAAGCTGCTGACTCGCCCAGACGTTCAGCGGCTGCGGGAATAAAGGCATCGTATCTTCTTTGCATTTCTCCTGCAGTCTATCTGCTTCATGAGCCAGCACCACAACAACGTTGGCCATATGGTTCATCTCTGTGAGCTTCGTGACTGTCACCTTGGCTATATCCCACTGTTGGTGGTTCAGCGAAGATATCTCCCTCACCGAGCCAGAGGAGGATGGAACATAGCACTGGCGACTGTGGCAGGTGTCGGCCGCAAGGAGGACAAACGCGTCACTTGCGATGCGCGCCAGAGCAGCCACATGTCCGCTCATGTGTCCGGGTGCATCGATGAGGTAGAGTGAACCATCGCCAAACAAGTCAATGGCGCGTTCAAATGATCCAATTGGTTTAATGAGTCTCGCGTGGGGGATACCTCGCGCTGGAGATGCATCCGCAGTGAAATCAAGGAGGCAAACTCGCTGACCAGCCGGCAAGGCATTGTAACTGCTTCGTGGATCATCAGGGTAGGGATTCCTTATGAAAATTTCAGATTCTTGACCCATCACGAGCGTTGCACGGGAAAATGGTGTGAGATCCCCAACGTGGTCAAAATGTAGGTGACTGTAATTCGGCATGAAATGCAGTGATCGAGATCGTATCGGAATTGTTTACCTATAAATCACGAAGTTTATGTCCTGAGGTTTGATAGGAGATTCTGCCTTCGCAATGATGTCCACGATGTCTTCATTGCATTCTGGTTTGAATGTAGGAAATGCGTCTTCCATCACCGAAGGGGGATAACCTTCTCCGTTCTTGGATGACAGTCGGTGACGGAATGATCAAAGCTCGAAAGATTGCACACCTTTCTCAATCCAAGATCGAACAAGAGTTTCCCTTCCTTCGGGTGTTGTATCAAGAATGCGAAGGTGGGGACTCTGGTCCCTTCCGGAGTATCATCAGACTCGGATTCACCGATACAGTCCTGGAAGACCTCTTCATGAGGAAGGAAGAGAGTACCGGCAACGATTGCAGATACAGTTACATAGACTTGGTGCTCGTCGTCCGCTGGGAGGTGGATGGTGGCCATCGTTGAGGGCATGACTTTGGGATGACTCGAACGATATGCCTGTACAAGTCTGTAATAATATGATCACTAAGCTGGGGATTTTCGAAACTCGTCAGAGAATTGCGTGTAGCTCCTCCAGCACATCACATTTTCGCGCCGTTTTTTCGACAGGTCGGCACAATTTTCTATACTCTATTATGATTCAGTGGGAACTCGGATGTGCTGTTGTTGGAGCTTTACTAAGTATGTGGTGATATATTCGGACTTAGCGACGACGAACGCGTTAGCCAAACAAGAGTAAACTGCAGATGCAATATTAACTGACTATTCTTGCCATCGTCTTGCGCGATCCACTAGCACAAAATGCAGCGCGGTCTACCAATGGTGAGTTCTTTCCGTGTCTACTTTTCATCATAACCGATCCTTGATTTTAGCAACCCACTGTCGTGCTCCTTCGGGAGGGCACAGACACGTCTCAAGGAAACCCCCAGCTTTTATCTAACATATCCGCGTGCCTTGCCATATCACAGACGCTCTCCAGCACACTTGGACCACGTGGAATGGACAAGCTTATCGTGAATGAACGTGGCGAAGCACAGATCACCAATGACGGCGCGACGATCTTGAAGCTTCTTGACATTGTTCATCCGGCTGCAAGGACCCTAGTCGATATCGCGCGTGCCCAGGATGCAGAAGTTGGTGATGGTACTACCAGTGTGGTACTTTTGGCTGCCCAGCTTCTCAAAGAAGTTCGTGGATACATCGAGGAGGGTGTCAGCCCGCACATAATCATGAAGGGGTTCAGGAAGGCATCACAACTGGTACGTATCATATGTTGTTCAGCGATTTTGTTCGAGAATCATAATATCAACGATAATCAGGCTACCGAGCGCATCAAGGCAATCCAGATTAGTGTTGACAAGTCCGATCCTGAGTACGCCCCGAACTTTTTTGAACGCTAGTCCCTAACGCTTCCACAGGCAATTCCGATCTCTTCTACTCAAATGCGCATCGACGTCAATGTCATCAAAATTGATCCATTCGGAAAAACCATTCTTCTCAAACATGGTTGTTGACGCTGTTCAGAGCCTGGATCCAAATGACTTGGACGAGTCACTCATCGGGGTGAAAAAAATCCCAGGAGGCGGCATGCAAGACTCTCAGTTGATCCGTGGCGTTGCTTTTAAAAAAACTTTCACGTATGCTGGTGCTGAGCAACAACCGAAGTCCTTCCGGAATCCGCTTATCCTCAGCTTGAACGTAGAGCTTGAGTTGAAAGCTGAGAAAGACAATGCGGAGGTTCGAGTTGAGGCAGTGAAGGACTACCAGGCGATCGTCGATGCAGAGTGGGAGATCATCTACAGAAAGTTGGAGGCGATCGAAAAGACTGGTGCCAAGGTGGTGTTAAGCAAATTGCCAATCGGTGATCTGGCCACTCAGTGGTTCGCCGACCGGGACATCTTCTGTGCTGGTCGGGTGCCAGCTGCTGATCTTCGTAGAGTATGTCAAGCAGTGGGAGGCTCGGTACAGTCAACGTGCTCAGACATAGCCCACGAGCATCTCGGAACTTGCGGTCGGTTCGAAGAGCGTCAGGTTGGTGGCGAACGATACAACATCTTCGAGGAGTGCCCCAAAGCCCAGACATGCACACTACTTCTTCGCGGTGGCGCAGAACAGTTCATCGAAGAAGTGGAACGCAGTCTACATGACGCCGTCATGGTCGTTAAGCGAGCGATTCGCAATGGTGAGGTGGTAGCCGGAGGTGGAGCTGTCGAGGTAAGTCATGCCCTATCGCTCTTTCTCCTCCCTAACTCGGTGTGTGAATCAGATGGATTTATCCGCGCACATCCGGAAGCATGCGCTATCTATTCCCGGGAAGCAGCAATTGATTTTGACTGCTTTCGCAAAAGCACTAGAAATCATTCCTCGGCAAATTTGCGACAATGCCGGTCTGGACTCTACTGACATTCTTAACAAACTGCGCATGCGACATGCCGCTGGCCACAAATGGTTCGGAGTAGACGTTGACGGTCCAGAAGGTGTTCGCGATAATATGGAGGCATTCGTTTGGGAGCCTCCGCTCGTCAAGTTGAACGCAATTAGCAGTGCAACCGAGGCTGCATGTCTCATCCTCAGTGTTGACGAGACCGTGAGAAATCCACAAAGCGAAGCAGTACGTGGGCTCTTCTATTTCTCTTTGCAAGAACTGAGTGAACGGAAACGTCCTGTAGCAAAACCCGGGGCCAAAAGCACCACCTGGTGCAGCAGCTCGTGCTCTTAGGGGCAGGGGCAGGGGCATGCCCAGACGGTGAAGGAGACGGCGCCATCAGATTAAAGGGAGAATCGTGACCGTCATAATGAAGCCTATCGTACCAGTTGTTCTCAGCAATAAAGTGCCAATCATGGTATTTGTATTGACATAAACCTGGTTCCTCACCAAAATAGAAGCTTCCTCAGGGAAAGGAACTCCTCATCCCGACCATTGCGCCATCATGTGGCAGAATGAGACACCTTGTCACGAGGGCGTCATTTCTGAGCTTCGTTTTCTCATTCTTCATCTAATCTCTGATGTATAATTCACAGGGATACTACAGGCTACAGCTTTAGCCTCCTGATCCTTCAGTTCAAAAGGGCAAGGGTGAGACTTCCAATGAGGTAGGAACCATGCATCCCAAGTCAAGCTCCGAGTCGGCTAAGTCGAGCTCCGAGTCTCCCACTGCCTTCGAGAAACCTTCTCTAGGTGATTGTCATAGTGATCATCAGGGTCCTCGCAGCTTCAGGCATCTCTTTCGAAGACACCGTATTGATCTTGATAGCATTGCAACCCAGCCCTCTGTCTTTGATGACCCCCTGACCTTGGAGGTACATCGGCCCCCTCCCCAATATGAGAATACTCACAGGTTCGATCCCGACGCAAGGTGGACTTGGAGGGAAGAGAAGGTAAGTGTAGCGAAATCAGGACTTTCGTGTGCTAATGGCTTGCCTGTGATGGCAGAAAGTTGTTCGCAAGATTGACCTCCGCATCATGATCTGGGCCGGCGTCATGTTCTTTGCGCTGGACCTCGACCGAACGAATATTTCTCAGGCCAATACCGACAACTTCCTGCAAGACCTGCATCTCACCACGAACGATTTTAACCTTGGAAATACGCTGTATAGGTTGTCCTTCTTGATAGCCGAACTTCCATCGCAGTTGATTTCGAAGAGGGTTGGGCCAGATGTTTGGGTACCGATACAGGTACCTCCCTTCGCACCGTTTCTGTGCAATTGAACAAAACATGACTTGCTAGATCTCTCTGTGGAGCATGGTTGCGCTTTCGCAATTTTGGCTCTCTGATAGAAAATCCTTCCTTGCAACAAGGTATGCTATGTTTGATCATCATTTTGAGCGTTTCACATATTGGACTCAGGTTTCTCCTCGGGTTCTTAGAAGGAGGATTTATTCCCGATATTGTACTCTACCTATCCTACTTTTACACAAAGAGAGAACGTGAGACTTTATCCTCTTATATTGTTCGTGCACCTAATCTTTTGAGTAGTGCCGATTCGCCTTGCCTGGTTTTGGGTTTCAAACTACATAACCGTGATGTTCAGCGCTTTTTTGGCCACTGGCATCCTTTCTCTTCGCTCAGGGAACCGCGCTGGCTGGCGGTATCTCTTTCTGATAGAGGGCTTGATCACTCTTTCCGTTGGCATAATTTCGTACTTCTTGATGCCTCCCGGACCGACGCAAACGAAGGCTTGGTTTAGGCCAAAAGGTTGGTTCACGGAGCGCGAGGAGGTCATCATGGTTAATAGGTCAGTTGACAATGTCTGTTTTTGGTGCTTCTTATCTCACTCTGACGGACCATGGTGTAGGGTTCTGCGAGATGACCCAACCAAATCAGACATGCACAATCGAGAGGGCTTAACGGTCGGGATGATCTGGAATGCCATTTGTGACTGGCGAATGTGGCCTATATATGTCCTTGGTATTACACATATGAGTTTGTGTTCATTGTCTCACTCCGATTTTAATGACTTATGTTGTTCTCGTAGTTCCCGTCGGACCGCCGCAGACGTACCTGACACTTTCGTTGAGGAACCTTGGATTCACAACTACTCAGTCCAACCTCCTGACGTTACCTAGCACCGCGTGCGGTTTGCTCACACTGTTACTTACTTCCTACCTGGCAGAATTTGTGCACTCACGAGTCGGCGCCTGCTTAGTACTTCAGATATGGGCATTGCCATTGCTCGTCGCGCTTCGAAGCTTTGGGCCCAGCACTGACCAGTGGGACTACTTTACGGTGGTCACACTGATCACTGGGTTCCCGTATGTCCACCCGATCCAGGTAGCCTGGGCCTCAAGAAATTCTGGCAGCGTACGAACACGCACGATATCGGCCAGTGTATATAATATGTTTGTTCAGGCAGGAGTGATTGTTTATGTGAGTACGATCGGAACCGTCTGGAGGACTCATGTTTACAGTTTTCAGGCGAATATATATCGCGCGGATGATGCTGTGAGTGGTTTTGACCTCGTCCGATTCAATGAAGTGCTCATCAATCGATTTACCGCATGCAATAAGCCTCTATGTGCGTTGTCTAGTCCCCTTCGCGCCTTACATTCTGACAAGATTTGCAGACAAGCGGGGAAATCTCATTTTGATCATTATCTGCAGCGCAAACTTCATGATATACATCTTGACGTACTTCTTCTATCGTGGTATAAACCGCCACAGAGAGGAACAGTGGAATACGATGACCGTCACGGTTTGTCCAAGATACTTCTGGAAAATGATGGATCGGACCTGACACCTTCAACAGGAACGAGATACGTACTTAGAGACAACAAAAGATCAAGGAAATAAGAGGCTGGATTTTAGATTTGCATATTAGTGGGAAAACTAATGCATATCTTTGATTCTGCTTCGTGTACATGAAGTGGAAGTAAATCCAGCACCAGGCGACTTTGCATGATCAATCATGAGTTGGCTGCGGAATGATCGATCGAGCATGGGACTACGTCTGCAGATTTCCAGACCAGAGAAGTAATTTTGGGTGCTACTTATCTGTGGGAGCCCTTAAAAATGGCCCAGGGCTGGTCTGCAAAACCCACGAGTCTAAAAGCTTGATAGCTGCATACTCGAATTCATTGTCTCTGGAAAAACCCTTTTCCTAAGTGTTGTATTGGCAGTATAGTACAAGTAGGGTGTGTATCAAAGGGATAGATCGACTCAAAGCAGGTTCGAGTGGTTTAAGCAGCGATCGTATGGTACAATGATAGCATAAAACGATGTACAAGTTGAAAGAGAGCCGACAATATGACCAATATGACCGAAATGAGCAGATGTCGGACCAGTACCCTTACGTAAGGTAATGGCTCATGCACAACCAACCAACATCACATGACCAACAGTGACTTTTGCGTGACTTTGGAGTGTACAGCTAATAGCCGTCGTAAATGTCATTTTTTGGCGAAAAGAATTCCGCAGTCTTCTTCGTATTTGTATTTAGAACAACTCTGTGGGGCTGGATTTTAAAAAAATTGAGAATTGCGAGTGCCATTAGAAAAATGAGTCTTATGGGCTAGGAAATGAAATCTTTGTGTGTGACAATTAGGGGGTAACACTACGAAAAAGGTAAACCTTCACCTCCGCGTCCGCGTCCTCAGACTACTGCACCGCAGGCTGTGCATAATGCCGAAGCGTGCACTGTGTAACCTGAAGGATCTTGGTGAATATGCTACAAGGAAGACCAAGAGAACCAGGCTCAACCAGGCACGAGCAAAAAAGAAGAAAAATGTGCAGGTAAGCTTCAGACTTAGATATGCACGCCGTTCTCACAGATTCATGGATGCTTATAAAAAAGGGGCCTAACGGGAAAACAAGCGGCGTGGGCAAGCAAAAAATACAGAGGTCATCCAGTCCTCCCTTATTCTATTCTTGCTGAGCTCGAGAAAGCTGGGCTTTAATACTTAGTATCATTCACCTATCATTTCATATAATCTATTGTACCTGGCATATACAACATCTCCCAGTTCATTAATTAGATGCAACTTCATAGCAGTTGATATGATACATATGATACACACTTACTTACTACTTACCCGAGTTGTTCTTTCAGGTCACATGGCATCACAAGGTGTCACAGGTTGGTTGGTTGTGCATGAGCCCTACCTTAGGTGGTTGAAATAGAAGACAGTCTGATTTATCAGTGTCGAATCCTGGCACCTGCACGGCTACGGAGAACTACTTCGGTTTCAAAGATAGCTTCCTGGCCAACGGCACCGCTAGATCCTGATGACAGTGACACGTGAGATTGAGCCAACGCAGTCAAGCGAGGGTAGCAAACGTGCGATCATTAAAGTTGTCAAGCTCAGACACCTGACTGCGAGGTTGGGCGCCCACCTCGGTAATTTCAATAGCCTCCTGCAGATTCACGGCATGGGGATGCTGCCCCTCGGGGAGTTCAGGCTGCGTGTTAGAACTAAGGAAGGCTACAAGACGATGTGAAGAAAATGCACATGAGAATGAGAACCACCAGTCCAGCGGGGTCATTGTACTGGCTGCTGAGACGATCATCTATAGTAACAAGATGTGTCAAAAATAGCTGCTTATCATCATCTCACACTGGCTCAACTTTACTCTCAGTAAGGGTGGAAGTGAAGCAAACAAGAAGTTCTGTAGCCAGGGCAAGCTCATGTACTTGTCGAATTGAGGCTTAGAACAAGCCAGCAGAGGGTGAAAGCGAAAATTAAATTAAATTAAATTTCCACTGTACCGATCTACCAGAGTACAACTTCCTCTTGGTCCTTGCAAGGTGTGTAACCACACTTGCGAGTTCATTTACTGGCAAGGATTTCAAGTTCTAAATATCACGCCGCAGCAACAATCCTCTTCTTGTGGAATAATCACGGTTTCAGTTCGCAAATCCACATTGTCCTTACTTGCCTCATCGAATTATCACTGCAACCTGAAGCCCCTCATACACCACCATCACAGAATTTATAAATGCTACCACCAGATACAGTTCCATTCATTTGTCATACCTCAGGAGCTGATTATAGCATGGGGGATTTGAAACTAGGCCACACTGCTGTTCTCGCTGATTTGGGAAGGTATCTGCGGGTTCCATTCAATTGCCTAGTGAAATGTGTTGGTGCCATGCCCTCCCTGCAGGATCTGCAGCGGATATGCAACAACTTGACAGAGAGCAAGATTCTCACCGACGACGAGAGTGGCTTGCGATGGATGGACTTTACCCCACCTGCCACATTGAAAGGGTCTGAAGAGAATGTGTTTGAGCCCCTCGGTTGCATCATTGCTGACATTTTGGCAGAAGTCCCAAATCACGGAGTGTCCTTCCTAGCAAACTCAAACAGAACGCCCCTCTCGCAGCGCAACAATACTTTCAGGCCTGATGGATTCCTTGTACTTAACAACGAAAAAACCCAGCGCAAGATACATTGGTTCGATATTGCTGTGCCATTCGAGTTCAAGAAGACATGGATAGAGAGTCTCTCTGAGATGTAAGTTGTTACAGATCTTGTTGGTGTCCACTCACTAAGCCTGCTTTAGGGCAAAGAGAAGATAGTCTGGAGCCTTCGCAGTATCATGCGCGAGGATCTTCTTCGTCGTTTTGCGTTCAGTATCACAATGGAGGACATGCAAGTGAGACTGTGGCTCAGCAATCGTGCGTTCCTTGCAGTTACTGAACCTATCGACTTCTTCCAGGTACGCAAAGGTATTGCGCTGTGTATCAGGGTGCTGACAGGCATGGTACATCTAGAACATCGATGGTGTTATTTTGCTCTTTTATGCTCTTGGATCTGCATCTGCGTCTTCTGCTATGAAAGAGCTCGGATGGGACCCCACCGTCGAGCGGATCTGTGATGGGGAGGGTTTCCAATACAAGTTCACTATTGGGGACGAAGTGTTCACCATGACACATGAAATTGCAACCTATAGCGCAGACTCTATGGTTGGGCGTGGAACTCATGTGAATGAAGCTACGGATGCCGAGGGAAACAAGGTTGTCGTCAAAGATTCATGGAGAGATGCTGGACATCAATCAGAGGGCGAGATCCTGGAAAACATCTTGGCTTCCTGTGCAGAGAAGCTGCGAGCAGAGGAGTTGGCGGACGCCAGGAGGCACTTCATTGGAGTCCGGCTCTGGAAGGATGTCATAATCGACGATACTTTAGATGAGACACTAGACCTGATGGTTGCAGAAGAGCATGATCATACCTGGAAGTGGGTGTCCATCAACCACAATCGCACCCTCTCAGCAACATCACATTTACCTAGCACAGGCGACATACCCAACTCTGGTCGGCTGTCTACCTTTCTTCCCACATAATTGGGCAGTATTGCGTGAAAAGACACTGGCATCCCATGCAGAGTCCATACTCGCACTATCTTCCATGATGTTGGAGTAGCTCTCAAGGATATCACCACTTTGGTCGACATCCTGGGTTGCATGTCCGGTGCACTTCTGGGTGAGCGAACCACTATCACTCTCCTTTCCTCAGTCGCTCATTCAACTTAGCCTTGTATTATATGCACAAAGCAGGCTGGGTCCATTGTGATTTCAGCGTTGGGAACACAATTTGGGTCGGGGGTGTGGGGAAGTTGGGTGACTTCAAGTATGTGAAAAAGATAGATTCAAACACTTCTAATGATGTTTGAACGGTAAGATTTTTTTGAAGATGATCTCTTTCGCTGTTAATTCATTGACAGGGAACAATGCATTTCATGGCAGTGGAAGTAGAAACTCAAGGCTACCTTTTCTTCCCACCTGGTGCATGCCTCCTGGACGAACCTTCATTTCGCATGAATTTCCTGCACGACATTGAATCTGCATGGTGGGCTTTTACCTGGATTTTCTTTTATCACACAGACATGGATGCGGCGAACGTCGACCATTCCTTTGATGCTCAGTGGAAAGAATACCAAGTGGCCTTCCCTGGTTTCATCGGCCGGACATCATGCCAGGACTGCTTCCTCCGCACTGGACGACTCAGAAAGAAGCTTGACCATCATCTCCTTACAAAGACATGCTTTGATGTTTGCAAGTATATCATTCCTGGTTTCGCAACAGCTCTCCAAAATGGATATCGAAAGGTGGAGGCAAATTATCCCTCACTAGCGCTTTACGACACTCTTCTGGAAGATGTGCACAAACAAGCTGCAGAACATCTCAATGATGCACAACAACATGCTAGCAGTATAGAACTTTATCCACTCTGCAACCTCCTGAAGCAGAAGAGGCCCAGATCAGGGGATGAAACATCACTTCTGCCACAAAATCAAGGGAAGAAGGCTCAATATGCTTGATTTTTCATTGTGTGTACAAGAAAGAACCAGGAGATGGTAGCTTGGTGTCTCATAGCTGTTATCCTGTAATTACCAACAATAAGAATGTTCATAGTACGCAATCACATTTGAATTTCTGAGGGGGATTAACTGGAAATTAGCAAATGCTGTTAAGAGGTGATTCAACTGTGTGTCATTGCACCCAATATCGTCAGCCCACCAAGACGGCCATGTGTCTGGGTGGCCCAAATGTTTCATATGAGCACATGCTCATGTTCCGTCGTCAACACCGACAGTGTTGGCCTAGCGAATGATGCAGTCAGATCTCACGAACACAATGGAATTGTTGAATATACAACTCCGCTCGCCAATTCAAGCCACAGTTTTGTAGCCTCCTTTAATGAACTCGTTCGCCGCTTCAAACAATCGAAGGGGCCCATCGGTTTTTCCCCTTGAAAGGTTCTAAGTGAGAAGTTGCTGCTCGCATCCAGCTTCCATCACACCTCCTACACAACTTCAAATAAATTGAAGAGATCAGCACGGCATTTGAACTTTGTCAGGACTACTTACCTTACAGATTTTTCTGGCTTCTCCTTCACCTATGTAACAGTGTTTGGAACCTTTGTCGAGTTGGCCCACATTTCAAACTTGGACGAGTCAGTGCTCTGTCCCTTTTTTCTTCTTTGTATGTGGTGATCTTCAATGATGCTATCACTCTTGATTTAAATTGAAGGCTGCAGCAATAGCCCAAGTATTGGAATGGTCACTCGGGATCGCTTGGGTTGGTTGGTTGTTTTTCCTCATTGTAGGTCGTGAATGGGCAATCGAGTACGGGTCGAGCTGATAGGGCTGCCAGAACCTTCGACACACATGAATATCATTTTCCAGGTTCCTGTCAGTATATCAAGAAAGCACAAGATCCATAGAGCGGCTGGCTACTTTGTTCGGGTAGACAAACACGAAGTATCAGGTGAGTGTGTCGTTTGGTCTTGAAACTCATGATGCTCAACCTTCCGGAGCAGGTGAGGTTTTAACATGATATATCTCGGAAGGTCAGGACATGGGGTTCATGAAGGCCCCAATCAGCAACTCTCTACTGTGTGGTTGCTGCTATGATGCATCTGCCCTAGGACAATAGTTTGAGTGCCCAGGGCTTTCTGGTCCCTCGTCGGTTTAGATCCCACTGAACAACTCTGCTAGTTTCTCCGGAAGCAAGTCATATAGTAAGCACATCTTACTGGCATTCGGAGTCGACTGATGGTTGCCAGTCGTTCTTCAGGCCGTATGCCTTGGTGGGCAATGAAGTGGCTCGAATAATTCCAAATTTTCCTTGTGAGGTCTGTGGCATGCTTATATGCTGCTTATACACGCTACCAAAGAGATTCCTGCTTTGTTGCAAGATGTGATGCCTAATTTCCACGACCACCGGTGCATTCAGGGCAACTGTACAGATACTTCCGGCTGTTTTGAAATGCATCCTCCCAGACTGCCACCATGTTCAGCCTGCCTGGCACCTCCGGTTGGTTCGCCTAAGCGCTCAATATTTATTCAATGCCATGGTCATGTTTAGATGTAATAAATCAATCAACCAACCAACCGCATGCTGCCTTACTTTGGTCGTGGAATTGCGGAAGGTTATTCCATGCCAAGTTTTTCAAGAAGTTCACCGACGTACGCGATTGCTCACACAAATATGATGACCACACCTCGAGATCTCTGTGCACGCACTTGTGTTTCACTCAGTGCCCGAGTTCTGTAGTAACCTTCAAGTAAGAACAGTGAGACTTCATGACGGGCCACTGCCCATCAGCCCTCTCAGTGTCATCTCGCGTGTTCGGTGCAGTAGATGGCATTGGGGCAGCCTTGATGCAGCCTTGGATTCCACTGTTTGGTTCTCGATCATCGGTATGAACGCCACTCAAGTACATTTCTTCCAAGTTCCATATTATCGGACGCAGCAATCCGGAAAATACCCATATCCAGGACACTGATACTATCTCCAAAATGACTACCGGCGAGATCGCAAAATCTCTCATCGAAAGCATAAACTTGGCGGCATAGAAGGATCGCTTTGTGGTCTGCCTGTGTACGGGAGTCTGGCTAAAGTTTAGTAGCTGCTTTCTCGAATTCATCGATAAGGTTGAGAAGATATCTCTCCACTAGATGTATTGATGGTGTGATATAGCACAAGTATGCGTGTATGTGAGAGCGGGGGAATGATAGATCGATATAGTGCAAATTTGAATAGTTTAATGAGGGATCGTATGGTACAATGAATGATAGCGTGTGTGATATACGGGTGGAAGGAGAGCCAATAGCATGACCGGAATTAGTAGATAGGTGGCTTGTTGAAGTATAAGGATTTTTCTCAATATCGTGTGGTTTTCAAAGGTAGCTTCCTCACTACTAAGATTGCAAGGTCCTGCCGAAGTAACGTATAAGAGTGAGCCGACGAAATCAACCAAGGGTAGCAAACGTACAATGATCAGAGTCGTCAAGCTCAGACGCCTGACGCGAGGTTGAGCGCCTACCTCGGCATCTTTGATGGCTTCCTGCAGATTCACGGCATTGGGATGCTGCTCCTCAGGGAGGTCAAGCTAAAATTGAGGACTAAGCAAGGCTACAAGACAATGTGAAGAAAACGCGTACGAAAATGAGAATCGCTGGTCCAGCGTTGTCGTCGTCTTCAACAACGTCGTACTCGCTGCTGAGACGATCATCTATAGTTTGCTTCACAACAAAGAAGTGTCAAAAATAGCGCTGGGATGAGGGTCGCGTGGCTCACCATCATCTCACGCTGGCTCAACTTTACTCTCGGGTAAGGGTGGAAGCGAAGCAAATAGGAAGTCCTGTAGCTGGGCAACCTCATCTCGCTCGTCAAATACTGGCTTAACACAAGTGAAAATGAGGGAAAAGGAATGTCGTTAAACCTGCGTGGAGGCATTGGGTTTTAAATACCAGCAGAGGCTTGAGGGAAGGAAAGCGAAAATAAATAAATTGAGAAGGCGGGGACTAGACTCGGAAGTCTAGAACTCAAATCCGCAATTCCGACAGGGCTGAGGTAGCGCTGAATGCCTGTTCCAGCATGACACCTGTGAATCTTCGAAGAAATTTGCTTCCACGGAACCAATTCCCTAAGCATCTTCATGGGCGACCTCAACCCAGAACCATCAATAGCACGAGCCCTCAGCCAAACGAGAGGCACAATATGGGGCAGGAGGAACATCAATGGGCACCAGGTTGCTCCCATCAGACCTCCATTGCAGAACCTGTACGTTCAAGCTCCACGATACGCACCACCGGCCTAGACGAACTGTTCAACCTCTTGCTTATGTGCTGCTTAGAACATCATAAGAATGCCACATGGGTACTTCACATCTGGTCCCTGGCTGGCAAGGAAGAATCAGTATCAAGTTCAAGTGCATGCACTCTATTATAGAGAGCTGTCAGTTGTATGGTACATAATATATCTGCAATGCGCTGATAAACCATCCTGAGCAATTGCATCCTCTCGAAATGCCAGAAAAAAACACCCAATGCCTGAGTCACTGACTCACTCCCTCTGCGAAGACAGCGTGACACAATGGTGTGACGCATTGCATGACCCAAAAAGGGGCATCATGTCACTTCGTGCGCACGAGCCAGGCAAGTTCCAAACCACCATCATGAAACATGAAAACAACTCAGCAATGTGCTATCAAGCCCTCAAGATGTCTAAAGCAGTATTGGTGTGAGTCAAGATAGTCACTATGTCTGCATCAAGACCGCCCCCCCAAATCTCAACTGGCGCAACCACCCTCATCAACACCAACAAGCGGCGACCATTTCCACTCCAGTAGTGATATGCCCCAGCAAAAAAAAAGGTTTGAGTGAACAAGACACTCACCAGTGGCTATGATCCGGCTCAGTCCCCCTCCAAGCATTGTAAACTGCCTCAACTTCTCCAAAAATTTCCGCGCATCCAGATGTGGAGATCGTGGAACCGAATGATCCAACATAAGAAGAAATGCCTTCAATATGCAGAAAACACGAAGACCTCTAGCTCCATTGCTGACGAAAAAACTGCAATTTTTCACCGTCGCGGTGTCCAGTTCTTGCTGTTGTCAATGCAGTTGGCGATGCTAAGCTGTGGCCAATCTAACTTGAAGTGCGATGCTGTCTTGCATGTCCTCGCGGGGGCGCGATACATAGTAGGTGACTCTCATCTGCGAGGGATCCATGGGTACGTGAAGGGGTATCGAAGCTTCTCGAGCCTCTCATCGTTCTTCAAGATCAGCGATTGAAGAAATCGGTTGCAAAAGCCCCCTTGCGTTATGTTTGAGCGGTTGAAGTTGAGCTAGTCTTATTTTGCAGCACGACAGCGGTTCTTGAATAGTTTGTGGGCGTCAGGCTGGTGTTGAGTCCACAGCTTAAAATCAAGTGGTCACAACTCCGCTTGCCAATTCAAGCCAAAGTTTCTGCAGCCTCCCTTGGTTTCTTGGTCTAACAAATCTATTGAGAAACTTCATCGGAGTTCTCGTCTCACCTAAATCAAAGCTCTGGAAGACTGTCTGACAACAGTTGGAAAGGCGGTGTTTTAGTGTGGCACTTGGAGTCTTGGGCCTCGTACATCTCGCCAAATCACAGCCGTGCCAATGTAATCGGGCAGTCCGCAGAGGCAGTCGGACGCGTAATATTTTCAGTGGTTTCAACCTGGGTTCTGAAGCTTGAAGCACCACTGTCTTGATCTCGCCCCTGGGATTGCCGAGGCAATGACAAGTTACTGCTCGAACGCAACTGGATCTTGTGTCGTTGCCACCTCCAAGCCAGCGAGGCAAGTCTTCTTTCCCTGTGTACGGCGCTCGCTTAATTTCGCTTTCAGGATGAGTCCGTACATCCTCAAGCCTTCGGTCTGTCTTCCCCCACAACACGTAATGCCTGACATGTACTACATTTGTACGTGGTGAATTCATGCCATACGCACTATACCTACATGAGCTGTCGTCCCAAGTCACCATCATGTCTCCTGCGCAGCATCAAGAGATTGAGGATAGCAACATTCATTGACACGGCATCTAAGGTCATAACCGCCAACCTTTTTTGGCATCTCCTTCACCTATCTCAGAGCTGCGATCCTTGGCCATTGAGCGAACTGTGACTTACTGTGCTTTTTGTGTGTTTTAGACTAGGAAGTCAATACCCCGCCCATTTTACCTTCGATGATGCTATTGTTCTTGATTTGAATTGCAGGGCGCAGTAATCGTCCTATTGAAATGATTGGGATCGCATAGGTCAGTTTTTCCCCCGCACTGTGGGTTACGAACGAGCAACTGATTGGTCTGGCTGATAGTGACAAAACGTTTGGTGTCTGCCACTACAGGAATATAATGTTTTCTCAATACACCAGAAACGCAATATCCACAGAATGCCCGGCTACTATGTCCGGGTAGACGCACGAAGTATGGACCGATCAAGGTGAGTACGTCGTTTCTTCCTGGGACCCAAGATATCAAGCATTCCGGAAAAGGGAATTCAGGGTTCTTGAATTGTTGTGGACACGTACGATTGGTGACGTCCTTTATGCTCAGGACAATCAACAGGATGAAAGCGAAACAAGACCGAGCGCGTTTAATATTTTGTGCGTCTAATCAGGAGAATAGTTTCCCTCCTAGCATCCTCGTCAAGATCACAATGGTATCCTTTGTGCCATACTGTAGTGTATGTTAGCTGACGTTGGCCCCAAGAAACGCAATCTCTCGTTAACTAGAGACGCTTCACGGTTTTCCGCTCCATCGGTAGGGTCGGATGTCTTGGTGACGATCGATCGCGACTTCAGAGGACTTCAGCGAGGACTAGGGGCCGGAGGGAGTGTGCGCAGTGTTCGTATGCTTAGTGGTGTCAATTCTCATTGCAGGCTAATCCATCTTTGGTTCCACAGTCGCATCGCGTGAATGAAGTTTGTCGAGTGTATACTGCGCTGGCAGAAGACATGCATGGCTCCTTTCCAATTTGCCGGGGAGGGTCAACACGAGCGAAATGCATGCGAAAGATAATCATTGCTACATCCATCAATATCTCCGATCTCGTCCTCATATAGAATTTGACATCTTCACTGATCTGGGGCAAATTAGAGGTCAGGTCTTCAGATAGGAGTAGCTACACTGGTACTGTAGTACCGACGCATTTGGCGTCATCCAAGTCAATCGAACGTGCCTTCATGCAGCTTCTTTGGCCTGACCGTCGGGTCCGACGATAGATGCAGTTGTTCTCTGCACCACTTCTTCAAGGATTTGTCTGTAAATCCTGAGATGAGCGCTATCTCATAGTCGCGAGCCGGTTAGATCTTTGAAACGTCTTTCGAAGTCCTATCTCCAACAAGATAAGTGATGCTTGCACTCCAGTTTTTCCCTCTTCCAATTAATGGAAAAAAACATGTTGCCAATGGTAGAATACAGCATCCCTGGACGCTATGATGCAACAGAAAAAGTGGTGTGAGACTTGGAGATACTGGCGTGGCAATACCAGGTGTTGTGTGTCATTATTTGCCAATAGCTTGTCATCCTAACAACCTCAAATAGCCCCTGGATTTGAACATCTGTTCGGAACATCGCGATTAACATTGTTTGTACAGGTGTCTCTGCCCTCCCACAGATCTGTAACCTCCCGATACAAGCCACCTGCGGAATTACCACAGGAACAACATCATGTTCATGATGTTACAGAAAGTGACTTCCAGCGCTATCAGAGATTTTACATGATTGAGAACCGCTTCGCTAAGCCACCGTCGGAAAGCCAGTAACCGAGGACATTGAATGCGTCGCAGTAACCAACAGGGTGTTGCTATGTGATTAGTGCTAATTGAAATCATTCACGGAGCTTATGGATCTGCTCTCATCGAGGCCCTTCCTGTGGACAACTCATAAGCGCCGTTCTGGACGCCAAACTACCGCCTGTGGAACCATTCCGAAAGAGTACGAACCACCGCGAAAGCAGATGGCCAGTCATGCCATCCACGATTCCTACCCGCATGCATTTCAAGTTCGGCCGTGTTATGGAAGCGACATGCGGCAGGACACAGGATGGCAAGATATACTCAATCTCCGGCGCTCCGATTACCGTCGAAATAATTATTTCTTACTCCACAGGTCCCTTCTGGCACTGGAGCTCGATCAGAGTGCTTGCCAGACGCTACTCTTCACAATCTTGCCATACTGCTAGCTTTCCGATATAAAAGTCGAGGGGATAACAATGATTCTCCCCATATTCTTTGCTGACTTCCTCTGGCCCCTTCAAAATATTACCAATGACAAACGTAGAACGTACGTGATGCTCTGGAGCAACTTGCCACAACTGACTGTTTTATGTTTACAATAGTAGAAAATAGATTGGGTTTGAACAACCTCTTGCAACAACGATATGGCGCAAGTGCTGCTACTCACTTGCGATGGAAAAGTGTCAGAAATGGCACTGACCATAGTCCTACTTGGATTGTTATTGCCTATAGTATGTGCTCAGTTTTCAAGCTAGCTAGGTTCTTTTTCACGGTTCGATATACTTAGTCGACGATATTGAGTACGGGCAGGGGTCCGGTGGCAACAAAGGGACTGCGAAGGAGATGGCTGCAGGAGTTGCCCTTAGGCAGCTTCGAAGGCAGTGGGCTCATCTGCTGCACTAGTTGTGTGCCACAAATACGTCGTTCTCTTCTTTAGTTAGTTTCTTTCAATATTGTACCCCATCCAACTTGCCCTCCTGTAATTTTGATCACGGAGCGAGAGACATCCCGTCGTGTACTTGACAACATGCAGTTCTACTACTTCTACTTCCAAATCAAGTCCTATGCATTCTGTGCTCGAAGTTCATTTAAACTTTGATCGGAAGAAAAATTGGTATATGCTGTCCGTGAAGTATGTCAAGAGATTTGTTAAGAGATTGTGAACTTCCCGTGATTTTCAACCCGATATCAAGCGTCGCAGTGTTCACTTTCAAATTCGCATCTCAGTACGAGTAACTTACGACTTAAGGCCTAGGCTTTGTAACCAACACAGACAAACAAGCCATTAATTAATTCCATCCACCACGCGTCTTCCAGTATGCAGCACATACACCCACACACGCCCACGAACTCGTCGGATTTTAATCATGATGAAGATCCAAAGACTAACGCATTTGTGCGATGACCGAGCCTTATTTTTTCATAACAATCAGGCTGCGAGGAGCCACTAGCCAGCCACGATCATTGACAGACTATCACCACTCTGTCATGTTTCAGATTTAATCGCTCTGCTAGATTTAATAAATATTGCCATCCCTCAGGCCTCAGTTTTCTCCTTCCATGGATAAATCCAATGTCACGACTCGCGTTGCCTCATCCAGATATCAAGGCGTATTTTTATGCGTCACACGCGTTCATATACCTGCCATTAGACAAATCCGCCTGCGGGTTGGCAATCGGTATTTGATGGTTTGCGAGGAACCGTTGCAACTTTTCCACAAGGCCTTCCAAAACCCCTGAATAGACATAGAGAAGCCAGTGCGTCTTTTTTTTTTTTTTCATTTATACAGCTTGCCAAGTTGGCGTGTATTCTAGTGCCTATATACGCAATCCCGCAGGCGTAACAGGTCAGCATTGGCCAGTGTCTGCCCATCATGACAGGCGGTCCTCCAGATCCGTCTTTGTTACCTGAAGGTAATTGGTGTATCAAACACACATCTTGGCGATATTTCATTTCTCCACCGTCACTTCCCGTCGTCGCCGGCTCCGGGAACATCATGTACGTGGCGCAATCTACATGCCAACGACCCAATCCGTCTGGTTTTCAGTTATCCTTATTTGCCTTTACAGCACCAGCTTGGTGAGCTATGCGTGTTTTACAGATATAAAGGAGGATAGCGTGATTCTCCTCACTATCTAAGAGCTCCTACTGATATTCTCTCATCTAAACTCTAATTCACAATGTCTACTAGGCCTGACCGTACGTCTTCCATTCGACACGTATGATCTGTTCGCTCATTGCCCTCCAGACCCCCGCACCAATTTGAACAATCTCTTGCAGGCCGTTTACGGTCCTGCGGCCCCTGACCATGTCCAATGGGACGTCTCTTCGAAAGGCCCTCCCAACTGTCCAACATGGTCTGCGACCATCTACGGTACGTTTGACTACTGGAAAATTCAAGGATGCGCATTCTAACGAATACGACAGTCGACGATATGAAGTACGGCTACGCCCAAGCACGCACCAGAGGCGCTGCTCAGGACTCGGCTGCGCAGCAGGCTTGTGATCACTTGAGACGCGAAAGGTTGACCTGACGCGACCCGTCCATCAGCCACGACGACTTCATCTAAGATACTCCCATTTTCATCATGAAGCTCTTTCGACGTCTACATAGTTCAATTGCTCATACTTTTACAAGCATCATACAGTCGTAATAGAGCGTTGTCCATACTGGTGGTACGCTTGTTTGTAGGTTATGTAGATCACCTTTTCTTCCTTGATGCGTTGATTTCCTTAAGTGCGGTGGTGGATAGAGCACAGCCATAATATGACATAATGACACAAGCTGTAGTATTTGCTCTGCAAACAAAGCAAAACAAAAAAGATGGTCAACGTAGTGTATTCCTGTTTTACGCCGTTACACACCACACGTCCGAAGGCGAACGGATTACTTGTAGTAAGGAAGATAATTGTTTCTCTCGGGACACGCGACCTCGGTGACGGCGTGCGACTTTCCGTACTTCACAAGTTCAAACCACTACCGTACTGTCAGTACTGAGTACTGAGTACGGCCCTCACTACCTCACGGTAAGTACTCCACACGGTCATAACATCCTGCGACGACAAGTTGAATGGCAAGCGTGGAATTAAATTGTTCAGAGGCTCTCTCAGGTCTGGGCACGACCTCCTTAAAATACATCAGGGTATTCTTGCTTTGTTTTCACATTGTCAAAGGGCGGGTAAAAACTCTTGATATCAGGATGATAATAATCACTTCTGTTGCAATGTAAGGGAAACTCTATTTTGAGCTCCCACTGCAGTAGCGTGCCATCATGAGCACCGCCTCTCGTGAGCGAAACGTCGTGCCCATCGGCAATCCCTTGGAATACATAAGAAGATCTCCTGCTTAATTCTTCCTTCTCCACGACTTCTTCAGCCAGGTCGACCCTGATGGTTGATTATGAAAATATCGAGGTTGAATCAATATTGATTCACTCTACAGACCTCGCCTTCGCCTCAGCGACTCTAATTGTCTACGACCATGCAATAACATTTGATCAGGAGGTCAGTGTCGTGCTCCTTGTAGCACAGGAGGATATTGATTGACGACACATGCAGGTGAATCTGTTTTGGACTGGTCCATGGGATACTTCAAGGTTTCTCTATCTTAGCGTAGTCTACATCCCAATCCGTAGCGCAACATCTCCCTGATTGTTGAATCCGCAGATACGATATCTAGGATTAACTCAAGCAATGTGAGCGCTGAGCGTCTGATGACTTCGTTTGGTCACTTATCATCATCTCTCAGTGTTGCAATCTACCGTAAGGAAGGCTTTTGTGGCACAGGCGGTCGCTGATTTCATGTCGTCTCAGAGCACTTTCGTGTCTCCGAACCTACCGTAAGTGATTATTGACGAGATGTATTGGGGCGTGGCAGTCGCTCAGACCAGTTCGCAGGAGTGAGCCTTGCTAGCTCACATCTTCGCCCAAGGCTCCACGCTGATTCATGACCAAGCTTCAAGGCATTGCTTATTACGGATGTCGTATTGATGACTGTGGGCGTTGCGCTGTGTCAAGGTACGCAACTTGAAGTTCTTTGATGCATTTTCCAACCGCCTTTAAAGCTGTCATCGCTCTGCGTGTTTGGTACCTCTTCTCGAGGAACAAGCTAATACGAAGATTTTCTGCGTTGCTCTACATCGTGTGCATATCTTCGACTTGGGTGTCAACCGGCGTTCTCTTTGATCGATACCTTCAGGAAGTTGAGCAACCAAATTTTACCAGGAACCCGTCTATATTCGCCTTCGTCTACGCCCCTGCCTTGGTAAACCATAGTGTACTTTTTGCCCTCACGACATATAAGTATATGGCGAGCGACCGATTTCAGAGAGGCTCTTCGCTTCTAGGTGGGTTTCTGAAAGAGTACGTCCTTCACTATGCAGCTACTGGTATTACCTACTCACTGTATGCATTCTCAGGGGCTTAATCATGTATACATGCGCAATGGGTAAGCGCTTAAGTTTGATGTTGGCTTTTAGCATCTGTCATGTTATCACGCAGGATCGCTTCTGTACACGATCATCACTATTTCATCATTCACCAATGTTTCACACCTGGATGTGAGTAGTGCCAACCCGTGTCCTACATAGCTTATGTTTCTCTAGGTTTACTACACAGGCTTACAAGGGGGGTGGGTCGCTCTCGTAGCTCACTGGCATAAAATCATAAACTCACGATTTGCTCAGATTCGTCGTCGGTGCAACCCTCGTATCCGTCTGTCACGCGTTACTTAGCATTCGATCTATATCTGCGACACTTCACGTAGATCCAGCATGGCTTCTCAATCACGCGGAACTCAGTCGCGTCCAGTGGACCAAAGGGGACCATGAAGGCGAGATTTTCGTCGAGCTAAATGGTCCCAGCGATATAGAACTCCCCATGATGAATCTTAGTCACACGGACATTGCAGATGCGGTGCAATCTTTGAGTGATAGTGATGGTTTCGGAGTTCTAGGCACTCCCATAAAAAGCTACTGAGTGCTGTATGTAGATTATTATATATATTTAGATCTTCAAGTGCGCAAGCGAATGCCGCTCAGTGTGATCTAACTCTGAACAACGATGAAAAGAGAACAATTTCCCACTACGTTAATTGGCCATCTGTTGACGCTCTTTTCTTCTTGCTCGAACCTTCGCCCTGCGCTCGCCTTCCTTAACACGACGCTCCTGGTCCTTGACATTTAAGAACATGTTACCGACGTCAATGAATTTGATTGCTGGGCGTCCAGGACGCTCGACAATGTTCATTTGTGTCTTGTTCTCGGAAGTAGAGGTGACAGACTTTGTGGCAGCGTCCAGAATCCCTGGCATGACTGGGTCCTAGTGGATAAGTCAGTCCACTGGTACGTCAAAAGAAAGAGTTAACAAACCTTGCCCTCAGGCACTGTCTCCCAAAACATCCGTTGATACCTTTGTCGCGCCCAGTCAAAGCCACCGGCTTCGTCATCCTCTCGGTCGGCTTCCGTTACATCGTATCTATCGCTCTGTATTTTTGCCATCTGCTGGTTGGTATCGTACTGCACGGGTACAGGCTTCGAATCATCAAGGGTGGTAAAAACCTTGGCTTGATGCACGCCAAGGAGACGTTCCATGCCTTGCACAAAACCTGTCTGGATATTTTTACCCTGCTAAGCGTATGAGCGCTCGTGTCACAAGAGGAACAATGCATAGGTTCAGAAGGAGTCGAAATGTGTAACCAGTCCCACACGATGCAACACGCCTGGACGTCTTCCAAAGACAGGAAGGGAAATGATACTCACATCCTGCATGAAATATCCGAATTCCGGGGCGGAGTTAGTGGATATTTCCTTATTGTGAGACGTTGCAATTTACCTGCGAAATATGAAAGGATTAGTATACTTGAACATCAAGTGGTAGTAGAAGATGCAGATCAGTAAGGTGCGTAGATTTAACCATGTATGCGTCTATAAGACTAATCGAATTCACGTTGCTCATCACGTTCTCGAGAGAAAGAACTTGGAGGAATGAGCGATTTCTCACCTTCTTCCACGATTCTTCTAAACCTTTCAATCGTAGAATGGCATCGACACGTTTGATGCTGAGATGATGTCTGACAGCCAAAGCGCGCACAGAATTAGCTTCGGGATTAGCCATGTAAGACCTATAGATGTAAGTGCGTAAAGTGTCCGAGACAGGTGGAGGCGGACGGAATGATTGGTTAAGAGGAAAAGGCTGAAGAGGAGTGAGCATAATCATCATTGCGGTACTAGCTAACTGAGCATACCGTTCCAGAGCCAAGCCAATTCCGTGGTGCGGGGTCACGGTACTTGCGTCCAGCACCTGCTATCCACTTCTCGTATGTCGGAGTCCGTGGGGCATCGGCATCCTGGGGTATGCTGAGACCCTCTAGGATAGCTTGGCCAAGGGCATCATCTTCCTCATCTGCCTCGAAAAATTCATCCTTTCTCGCGACGAAAGACTGGAAAAATGTTCTACGCTGACATCTATTAGCAGATGGCAGATGTAGGGTGCGCTGGGATGATGAAGCCGATATACGCAAACGAGTGAACATTTGAGCACCAGAACGCGCAAAAAATTTGAGGCATTTCTGGTCGTCATCACGTGAACAGTCTAGGGCAGGCTTCATATACTTGCAAGTAGGTCTGGCACGACAACATGAAGATCTAGGCAGCATGTCATTCACCAGTGATGTATGCTATCATGATGGGAATGACAACGGACTATTGGCTTTACTGAAGGGATATTCTGCGTTGATTCCCCCATTTCACCTTAAATTTCCTCTCCGTTGTTCATTTACTGACATGCACGCTTTTCTTTTGCACCAAGTTTTGCTCGACCCGCACTTGGAGCAGTATGCGCCTTCTGGGAGATACCAGCAAGCATTTTGGAAGTGGGCAATTGAACACTTGGAACAAATGGACAAAGACGACGAGGTTAGCTATAGTATCACCCGAGAACCTGACTCATTCACAATTGCACATAAAGGACGGCGAGATCGACTCACGAATTTATGATCGTTATTTGTCGCTTATGTCGGGTTCGATGTAGGTTCATTTGCCACGGGAAGATACCTGTAATAATCTCCATTTTGTATCCACGCTGCACAGCGATCCTAGCGGTCCCCCACCCGACTCGTACATGACATATTACTGGAAGCCTCCAAGCCCACTTGCACTTGGATCTGCTGATCGAAACAGTCACGAGACCATCACATTGCTCGAGTCTCGTACCACCATCGAGAGCGGGACGACAGGACTGAGGACCTGGCGCGCAAGTTTTGTCCTTGCCAGTTATCTCATTGCAAATGCCGGTACGGTGACGTACCATGTCATTAGTACCTTGACTAGCCTTCATATCTCCCAGAAATGATTCGTGATCAAACGATCCTCGAACTTGGCTGTGGGACCGGTTTTCTTGGGATTGTCGTGGCGACATTGCAACACAAATTTAACGAGTCACATCGTCAACCATTACCTGCGGTAGTGTTGACAGATGTTAATGCCGGAGTACTTTCAAGATGTCGCGACAATGTCCAACTTCGTTGCAGTGAGTGATCTCGGTTCATCCTCGCAGCCCTTTCGAATGTTTCGGTAGATCGGTTCGATGTACTCCGCCTTACACCCCAGCAATCTTAACTGTGCTCTGTCTCGTTGATCTTGATCGACTCAAACCGTATTCATCTACGTGTTGTCCTTGCTCACTATCGCATAGATTTGTCCTCAAACCACCCAAATATCTACTTCTCCACTCTTGACTGGTTCGATGCCCTTTCCCAACCGCTAAGCGAGAACGCGATGACAACATTTTTATCCAAGGCGAGCGTGGGTGTTGTGATTGGTGCTGATATAGTAAGAGTCAAATTCGCCCCGCCGACTGCCACTAACCTGTGCAGGTATTTGACCCGAGTCTAGTCTCGCCTCTGGTCGCGACTTTGCGCCTTGCGCTTTCCTTCGAGAGTACTCGAATGGCACTGGTGGCACTGACAGTGAGAAACGAGCGAACCCTTGCGTGTTTTTTGACAGAGGCTGGTGAGCAACCCTCGACCTGTGCAGTGCGGCGAATCTGATATTCAAGTTACCTAGTAAAAGAACTGTGTGTGGAGGAAGTTCCGCATGCTTTCGCCTCAGCTACAAATTTTGATCTGGATACCGCTGGAGTGGATATCGGTCTCGATGTAAAGATATTCAAATTCACACCCCGCAATTAGGCGTCATAATCGAATGTGTGTTGCATTTCTACAACTGTTTCTACTCGAGAATTAGGCAAAGGGAAAGCAAGGGACGCAGAAGGATACCGCATAGTGCGACGTGAAGCTGGATAAATAAGGGGCGCTTAGCGCAGTGGTAGCGCGTATGCTTTGCATTAGCATCCGATTTGTATAAGGTCCAGGGTTCAATCCCCTGAGCGTCCAATTTTTTTTGGTCTGATTTCTTTCGAACGGGAACCACTCCACAACTCCCTCCTTGGTTAAATGTTTCGTTTGCAGTATATAATCATATGTAAGGTCACGCATCCCACCAAATAGTGAGGCGGCACTACTAAGGTGGCGTGTTCGAGAGCAGGAGTCCGCGGTCGATGATCGATCGTCAAAATCCCGAAGTTCAATGAACGCGTAGGTATAGCTCGACTACCTTCGGTGATACTATCCATAAATATTGAGCAACTAATGTTGAGATGTACAATTATCTCCGTTGTGACTGACATCTTGCAAAGCAGTGAGTACAGTGCAGCTACGTGGCATGAACATTAGGGAGCTTAGTGATCCGGAGTTTTATATCTGACCGACGATGATTTTCAATCTTATTTTATTGATGAAGATCAGATTCCAGATCTTGAAACGTCATAGGTGCATAACTTCCTAACACTATGTCAATGTGACTTCCAGCTTTACATACAGCATGCGGGGTGCCACCGCAGTCCACATACATGGTATTACTGCAACAGCACAGCCAGTTCAAGTCGTCAAAGGAGAACAGTCACAGAATGTGTTTGGTTGGTAAAACCACCGCTCCCAGACATATTCTATGACATAAATCGGAGGACTGTGGGAGAAGAGACTTACACATCCATCACCCAGTCGCGCAATGGCCAGAAGATTCTCCGCGCATCATTTGTATTTGCCGCGGAGTTGCATGGTCTACGGGAGAGAAGGGGCGAAGCATAGGTCCCATAGGAATGTTGAATTTATCAGTATGCCTGGGCATCTAATGAGTCGGCACAAATTTCAACCTACCCCCGAGGAACTAGCATAGACGTTCCTGTATGCCGCATTCACAACCCTTGGGGTTGGTTTTCACAGCAAGGTCTCCTTTATGGGCTTCGATCACAATCGAAGCTTCTGGATGCGCCAGAAAGCTATGCTGCGAAAGACTTAATCCGCAACGCCACCTCTCATCAACCCCCATATCAAAGTCCGACAACCGTGTGCGTCCTGCAGGGATCATATCAGCACGAAAAACAAAAGATATGGACCACGCACCCCCCGCAACAAATTCTACGCCCAATTACTGTGCAATGCGCAGGCGTTTCTGGAACATCCTGATGCGTAGACAAGCAACGAACATGTTCTTGCACAGCCCGTTCCTCTCATCATACACCTGAACCTTACCTGGCGGACAACCCAAAAGGTGTCTCAAAGCCTACTCGTATTTGGCTGATTGGTACCTAATAAAGTAGTTAACGCTCTCTTGCCGGGTGGGCATACTATACACTTACGATTGATATTATCTCCCAAATTCAGCTGCGCAGACAAAGCGTGTCGTTAGTTGCCATGCACGTCAGCGCAAAGAGACGAAATTTGAGAAATGAATCCAGCAGACGCCGAAAAAGCTATCTCGCCGTTCATTCACAATTGCCCAATACAGCGCTGTGTGATTCTCGATATCGCATGTTTGCTTTGGAAGAGGTTGGAGAACTCTGCAGCTGAGAAGGCAGTAACGCAAGCGTTAACATTTTGGGTGTCATAGGAAGTGGAATCGGGAGCGCAGACGATATCACGGACGCGAGATAGAACGGGGATAGGTGTCGTCGGCTTGATCCATAAAAAGGACGGTGCAGATGAACGTGCGCATTGGAAGCATATTGGAATATTAATCTGCAGACGTAGAAATTATGCCGTACGCGGGGAGGACGGTCTCGTTATCGTCAGACTTCGGACTTGGTATAGCCATCATGGTGGCGCAAGTTAGGGGTTATCTAAACAATATACTATAGATCTATAAGCCGCCGGCACGTATTAATACGTCTGGCAATAGGGCGACTGTCTGCAACAATCGACCCCAATAGAAAGGTGATCGATTACAGGAGTACCTATTCGGGGTTATCACAGTTGACAGGTGTTTTTCAGACGTTAAAACTTTTCTCGACTACAGGGCAATAGACGAGGAAAGACGCCCCGCCAACGCTACTGTGACTAGGCAAATCTATTGTCTATCACAAGTACAGGTAAGGGCATGCATGTTAACTACGGTCCATATAGCGTACAGAGAGTGGATGATCATATGTGTTAATGTACTGCAACGAATCTAATGAATACATCGCATCGAGTCGATCGCGGTAAAGACGGAGGAGGACGGTCTTCTGGGAGTTGCAAGAATATGATCTCCAAAGCAGAAAATGGTATTACGTTCCTGGAGAGGCCGGATGTGGAAGTATGCGCGGAAATGGAATATGCGAGTGTGCGGAGGTCAATACGACCAGGCAGCCAGACTGCCATAACTGATACTGAATAGCACGCAGGCCAGGCCCACACCGCATAAGAGCGAGATGTATCTAGAAGCGGCATTCGAATCTGAATCTAGACATTAATCAGCATCCTAGAAAACAGGAACGAAGTGGTGCCCTTACCAGAGGAATGGGATATTAAGGGGAGTGAGAACTTCATGTTCCTCGGATGAAGATTTGAACGTGATGAGAAATCGCGGTGCCGGTCAACCTCCAAGCTGAGCTGCAGCGTGCATAATATCTCATCCTCAGAGCGGTCGTTAGACCGACCTTCAGAGACCGGAATGATGCAAAGCTCGTCTTCCAGATTCCATGCCCTGGTTTTTGAGGGAGGGATGTAGCAATGAAACTGCCGCAGCACCCTCGAGACTAAGGCGTCAATCTCCCTGGCACCTGCATGCGACGTTACCACCCCCTCTATTTCACGCATATAAGGAGAGGGTGAGGTTGTCGATAGATAGGTTACGGCAATGTGACGGAGGTGAAAAGTGAAGTAGGGCGGCGGATCGGAGTCAGCCATTGGAGAGCGGATTTTGGCATCGACGCATACGTCGGAATTACACCGATCACGAGCGATCTCTGGCCGCAGGTGCACGCCAATTTTAGCACACCAGCAACCCCCAGTGACCCTGATTTCAGGCCACTCTGACATGTTTTCACCGTAGACCTGGAGATTGTAGGCTCTGCAACTATCACAAATGTCGTCGAGGGCGTTCTGTAGGCTGCGGCTGAGCGATTCCATCAAGGAGGCCGAAAGCGTGAGATGCAGATAGGTAAGAATACGAAGGCGGATCTCGGTGGGCAATGCGAGAGGGAGACATGACATCACGTTGAATTCAGGTGAAATGTATGCGAGGACAGCGTGGATGAGTGCTAGTCGAGTGACTCGCAAGCAAGGGGTGGGGGACTCCATGGGCGATGAATCGAGTGAGAACGGCTGAATATAAACCCAGGGGAACAATCGCCCTTCAAATGCGGCGTTCAGTATGCGGATATAAAGCCTCGAGGAAGGGACACGAGGTGGTTTGTATAGACAGAAAACAATTATACAACGAAAGCATCATATCTCCTTCTTCGAGACGGACATCGCAGAAGCCGCCACGCATGCGTCACAAGACAGTGCATGCGAAGTTCCCACCCGACGGTGTTTTGACTCGACACTTAATGTGCCAGTCAGAGGGAGAGTAAGGAGGAATCACCCGCGACATACTTCGGGCGAAAGGGATTCGAAGACACTGATCATCAACTACCTATGATGGCTTCTCTATCACATTGTCTCTATCATGATGGTCCATGTGAACCTTTGATTGGAGGAAGCCTGACGACCACCAACTCGGAGGACTCAGCCTACATAGAGAAAGGCACAAAAGCACTTTTGGGACGCTTTTAGACCAACTTTTCTAGATTGGCACGGCGAGTCATCAGTCATTCTGGGAGGGAAACAGCTTCTGTTCTGGTGAGTCAGTTGTCTAGTAAGGTGATAGAAGTTCTTTCACAGAAGAGATATCCGAGAATAACTTCAGTTGCGCTGACCCTCAAACCTGGATCCCCATTGGTAACCCTAATATATAACCCTAACCTCAATCTAGGTTTTGGCGCTTGAGGCCCTTTTCTCTGGCCTTGTCTCCAGCTTCTCTCTCTCTGTTTAACCAAACCAACCACGGCAGTGTGGATCTGTGAGGAACGGAGGTCGGAGGCAATCGAAGGATGTTGGAAGGTGAAGGAATTTGCGATAACGTCCGATAGGGTTTGACAGGGTACAGGGTACAGGGCAAGGAGCTTCACGGTAATTGTTCTGTGTATTCAAGGGTAGTAGCAAGTGAGGAATCAAAGAATACGATTTTATTAAAATACCACTATCACCATTAGTGGTACAGCCTATCATGAAAAGAGCGCTCTGGTCAAATACGGATTTGACCGACTGTAGTCACTGGATAGTGCATAAAGCGAGTAGAAGGAGAGAAGCCGACTGACAGTGTGCCTAGGCATGTAGTCTAGCTCGTCGATGCGTAAGTGATCAAAACCCTGTCTCGACTGTTGAATTCAACATGCGTCGTGGCAGGGCCGCCTAACGGGTGCCTAGCCGAGCAAGTGCTTAGCCGAGTAACGAGTCTAGTTTAACGGTTGTGCCGTGCCATTTTTTCCATACCGACAGAGCCTTGCCACTGAATGTTGCGAGGTAATACCGGGCCATCATCAGGCTGTCTGCTGGCACAATGATGGGCGGCAGGTGTGAAAGTGGGCGGCGGCGAGGAGGTAGAAACGACAGGATATCGATGTCAGGAGAGGAACCAAGAAGCAAAGAAGCAAGTAGTTTGCAACCGGTAAATCCCAAAAATTTAATTATGACACTCCTAGTGTATGCTTGTCCCGTCAGCGCGTCAGGACCGAACTCAGTGAATTAGACTTGAGAATCCCAGGCACCGATTTTAGCCGAACGGTGTTGAATTGAACGGAACGTGACCATCTCCCGTTGTCGGGTTTTCGGAGCTAAGCTAAACCGAGCCGGGACCAGTTTATCCTCTCTGGCCACAGTTACTAGGCTATCACTCCTGGAGTTCTGCAACATTTTTTGTAACTCCTCAACCACATCATATTTCCTTCTACGGATTTGCACCATTATAGATTCGTAGCTGCTCTATATGAACCCGATTTTAAGGATTTTGTGGTGGAGTGTCGGATAAAGGCCGAGAAAATTCAAGGTCTGACTGGTAAAACATGGTCACGTCGTGTCACACATCGGCACAGTAGCGGCACCGCCAACTTTCACTCTCCGAAGACTCTGAGCTCTGTCGACGTTGCGCGTCGAATCTCGATGTTGTGCGAAGCTTTGAAAATGAATACCATTGAGGATCGTGGCTCATATACTGATTATCGTGATTATAATGGTACTGTTGATAGAGTCCTGACTCGTACAGCTGACGGCCTGCATTACCAGAGCCCCCGATGTCATACAAGAGGAGATTGAATTTCTTACACACTCTCCTATCTGCTGTCACGCTTTCATACGATACACTCGTCAATCCTCTGTCTATAGCATCTTAAAATAAGAGAATGACCTCTATCAAAATTGTGTTCTGACACCCTGACAAGGTGTTTGATATGCTCCTTTTTGAATATCTCTAGGATCTATGGATCTGGATCATTTATGATTATACAAGGTTGCAAATCACCACTATTCCGTCTCTCGCAGCTGCAACTACTGAAGAAATTTTTATTCCACTTGGACAGTACATCATCTCTAAGTAGCCTACATGCACCTGAATTTTTTCGAGGTGATTCAAGCAGCGTATTGAGGTGTTTTGAACATTTTGCATATTACATGTCAGTTGCAGATTCCCGGGAGTGATATGTATCACAAGCCTCTTCGGCTTCTCACAGTACTAAGTACTTCAGGTGTGTTCAACGAATGCTCTCACGGCACACCATCCTTTGCAATGATTCCATCGACAGGCAAAGTACTTAGACTCTGGAGTACGACACGTTCAATGTCGAGCTCGGCCGTTCCTTCACTACCACTCCACCCGCCATCGTTAGCAGAGCAAAGCGCTACTTTCCGTGCTCGCGTTCAGGACCTTTCTGCTTTCTTTTCCTCGAATCGCTTCGCGTCTATTACCCGTCCCTATACCGCTCATGATGTAGCACTAAAGCAGGGTTCCGCCCCCGTTCTTCCCCTTCCATCTACATTGGTTTCTAACAAGCTATTTGCCTTGTTCACTGAGGCAGCGGCTAATAACCAACCTATACATACCCTCGGTGCTATTGACCCAGTTCAAATGACCCAAATGGCAAGCCATCAACAAGTCGTTTACGTCTCTGGTTGGGCCGCAAGCTCTCTCTTAACTACTGGAAATAACGAAGTTGGTCCTGATTTCGGGTAATCACCTACTGGATCATATCCATAATCAACCTTTTCTCATCTACCTGTCCCAGAGATTACCCTTATACAACTGTACCAAACCAAGTTCACCGTCTATTCCGTGCACAGCAACTTCATGACCGAAAACATTACGATGAACGTATGTCCGCATTGCTTCAACAACGTCCAGACATTCCGTACATCGACTACTTACGACCCATAATTGCCGACGGTGATACTGGGTAAGGACCCCACTTACTTGATATTCATATTCAACTCACAATATCTTAGCCATGGAGGCACATCTGCTGTCATGAAACTCACCAAACTATTTGCTGAGTCAGGTGCCTCAGCCGTGCATCTCGAGGATCAACTTCACGGCGGAAAGAAATGTGGTCACCTTGCAGGGAAGGTCCTTGTACCCCCGAGCACCCATATCTCCCGCCTCGTAGCCGCTCGTTTTCAGCTTGACATGCTTCTTTCTCCGATGTTACTCATTGCTCGCACTGATGCTCAAAGCGGTAAACTTCTTTCCACTAGCATTGACCCTATCGATCACCCGTGAGTCTTAATTTGGTGCTTGATATTAGTCTGAAATACGCCACCTTAGATATATCCTCGGTACTACGACTCAAGGAAAGCCTCTCAGTGAAGTTCTCGCCCGAGCTACAAGCAGTACAGATGCAGCCAGAATCGAGGAAGAATGGGATTCCATGAACGAGTTGCTCACTTTCGATCAAGGCACGCCTTCACTCGCATCTTCTGTTCAACCACATTGAGTATGCGACATAGCTGTTGAACGAGTGTTATTGTCTAGCAGTGTTTCAAACCCACAAGGCCTGTTTGAGCAGTACAAGAAATCAGTGGTCGGTAAATCGAACTTCGATGCACGTCAAATTGCTCGGGAGGTTGTTGGCCATGATGTTTACTGGGACTGGGACTGTGAGTACGACTGTCAACACTTTGAGGTCTTCACTCATTTTTTGCAGTCCCTCGCACTCCTGAAGGTTTCTATCGAACTACTGGTGGCATTCAGGCAGCTGTTGACCGTGCCCTTGCGTATGCGCCGTATGCAGACCTGTTGTGGCTAGAGACAGGGACGCCAGACTTGGAGGAGGCCAGGAGTTTTGCGAGAAAGATAAGGGAGAAGTACCCCGGCAAATGGTTTGTGTACAACTTGAGCCCCAGCTTTAACTGGGGGAAGGCAGGCTTCAGCGGTAGGTCACTCCCGAATAGTAGCGTTCTTCGGCTGAGCGCGCGACCGGCTTGAGCAGATGCAAATCTCAAGGACTTCATATGGAATCTTGCAAAGGAAGGGTACGATATGAGCATTTTACTGCAAAGGAGACTAGCTTATCCACGAACCTAGGTTTGTTTTCCAACTAGTCTCCCTGGCTGGGCTGCACAGCAATGCAGCTGCTACTGGTGCGTTTCCTCTTGGATATTAAGACTTGTCGTTTACCGATGTCCACCCAGCTGAGCTCGCTGCACGGTTCAAAGATGACGGTATGCTCGCATACGTAGAACTCGTACAACGCAAAGAGAAAGAAATAGGCTGCGACGTCCTCACCCATCAAAAGTGGTTCGTCCTTTCCCAACTCGCTTCCATATGTTGTCGACCTTTATCTTCATAATACAGGAGTGGCGCCAACTATATCGATTCGATAATCCAGACCGTGTCTGCGGGATCGTCAAGCACGTCTGCTATTGGGAAGGACTCGACAGAACATGATTTTTGACCGTCAAATTGATGGTCAAGTTTAGTATTGAGCATACCCGTACTCTAGTTCGAATTGAATCTCACGACGATGTTTGGATGACTTATGCTGGTGCATTCGCCAGCGAGTGGCGGTTTCGAGATCTTTCAGTAGGCGTGTGAGCGCTTGGGTCGTTTGTGTATTTTCTGCATAATACATGAAAGGCTCAAGCGCTTACACGCCTAGTCTCCCCAAGCCAGAACTTGAAAGAAGGAAGATAGTAATTCCTTCTTTTTCAAGTCACACCAGCGACTATCTTATTCTTGCGGTGCTATGCGTGAAGGCGGAGAACTTCAGTTAGGTTCGTGTTTAAAAACTTCTCGAACCAAGACTGTTCTTTTCTTGACAACTTCTTGTCTTGAACGATATCATGATTCTTGGGCCAGTGATATACTTCTTGGATCACTAATGCATACTTCACTAGCGGCCACAGCGACTTGCGAGCGCCCAATCATCAGGGTGCATACAGGGATCCACAACCATCGACTAATTGACATACTTGTGATGCGCTACTTTCAAGTATGCCGCCTAGCCGATGGCCGAAAGTTGAAACACAGGCTTTTAACTTGTTTAGCGACGACTGTTCCAAGGGGCCATGCATATCGAGTGACGGTATATTTGGACGTAAGCCTTGTTCCGTCAAACAGTCTCAGAGTACTTATTCACGAACTAGGACGAAGGAATGACTATCGTGTTCTCGATGGGGAGCCTATCGCAAACAAGACCTTCCAATGGGCACGAAAATTAGAGAGTGTGTATACCCCAGATCTCATTTACAGATACGAGGTTGTCAGCTGGCTCTGACTGAGTGCCTATGAAAATGGCAAACATTACATAGGCGGCCTCCCTCGTTGCGTCTGCTGGTTCAAGTGCATCCGTCGCTTAGGTAGTAAGCTCCGCCTGGACCGTATCCATGCTGAACATTAATATTGCCGATGGGCTGTTCGCATTACAATTAGTCTCCTCCAACCAGACCGTAAAAGAAGGACGACAGTTCCTTCTTGATTATGCCAGCGCATGGCAGCTTCGGGATCGTTTAGATGCCGACAGCTGATGCCTGATCCTACAATACGGGAAAGGCTGACACATCTTCATTCTTGTGGTGCTATGCGTAACTGAAGGTCAGGTTCGTGTTTAAAATTGGAATGTTTCGGAGATCGTTCTTGTTTCCGCGAGGCTTGCAAAGTTCTATGTATTGGCCCACGCATGCTTGTGTCATCGCAGGCAAAGGCTTCCACGTACTGATTTGATATTTAATGCTTACTGCTAGCCTTGTAGTTTTTGAGAGATATCAGAATTCTCCGGTATGTTGTTGAGTTATACTTCTTAATACAGACTTCACCTAGCGACCACAGCGAGTACTCACATCAGGGTACATACAAAGATCCTCGGCCATCGTTGGCATACTTGAAACACGTTTTAAGTTGTTTGTGACTGTTCTAAACGGCCATGCATGATCTACTTGAACGTAAGTTTTCCCCCATCAAACAGAGTACTCACGAATAAGACCTTCCAGTGGGTATCCCGAAGTGGCTCGTACACGAAAACACAACGATACAAGATTGGCAGTTGGGTCCGACTGAGCGGCTAGCATTTCCGTTACTTCCACCATCCGTTCATGTGGGCTAGCTGGTGCATGTGGTGTGTTTTGGTGTTTACGCTTCATTCGCCACACAGATCGTAACTGCAGTACACCATCGGTGGGCGGGAATGCCAATATTGGCTCTATATCGGTAGGCAACCAACAATGTTTCACCTTGATTCAACATAGTTGCTCTGTACCTCGCATCTCCTTCAGTGGTCTGGTTGCACTTCAATCCTCCCCAGTCGGAGGGCCTGATAAAAGGATATCTTGTCACCAGAAGCTTGAGTATAAAGATGATGGTTCAAGATGACTCGGAGACATTCTCTAAACACATCCGAAAATGCCCTCCGGAGTCTACCAACTTCCAGACATGCTCTCTGTATGTCCTAAGAGGACAGGACCTGCCATCAGTCCTGGCTTCAAAAAAGCAAAGGACGGTTACGAACAATGGGTCAGAGATACTATTGGCTATTTTGTCTCAAAAGTAAGTTTCGCTATCGTACAGACGCAAGGGTGTACTGACTAGACTTGCGAAGGGAGTTGCCAATGCAGAGATGCCTCTACTTGCGGCACTTGCGTGGCCTGAGGCCAGCTCCAAAGAATTAAGAGCAATCCTCGATTACATGACAATGTCGTTTATGCTTGAAGAACTCACGTGAGCTGCAGGATGTCACTGGTGTCTTGACTCTGTGCTGACTGCATGATACAGCGATCGATGTTCGAGCGAAGTGGCTCAGAAGATTTCTGAACTGTGGGTGGATGTCCTCAAAGACCCTCAAGCTGGCAAGGGACACCGTCACCCGTTCATCAAACTCATGTCTAAGTAGCTTGACAACTCTATGTTTATACCGTTCTGACGAACTGTTCCAGGACAAATGGTAGCACGCTTGAAAGATGCTGTAGATCCATACCACTGGCCCGAATTCATACAGTCTAATGCTGAATTCGCAAAGAATACCATACAAGAAGCGCTCGATCGTGAAGCATCAAAGGACATCGCAGCGACCCGCTGCATCGCTTCGTACATGATCATGCGAAGAGAGACCGTCGGTACTCGGCCTTGCTTTGTTTTGATACGGTCTACTCGTCGGCTATATTTGCCAGAGCATGTCCTGCAACATCCTGTTGTGGCAGACATGGAGAATAGTGCCCTCGATATGGTGTACCTCGCCAATGTTTGTCTCCCCAGATATCTCGACGCGTTGCTGATGCTAACCGATTTAATGATTGCTTCAGGACATTTATTCGTTTAAAAAGGAACGTGGCGATAACGGAGCTCTGAATAATATCATTACCGTTATTCAGAAGGACCCGACTACTCAGCATCTCGATCTTCAAGACAGATTTGATCACGCAGGCAAGCTATTTCAGGTTGCCTTGGATCGTTTCAACGCCTGCAGAGATGCGCTCCCAAGCTTTGGTGACGAAGGAGGAGATAAGCAAGTTGCAGCATTCGCAGATGGTCTGGTAGATTGGATTAGGGGCAGCATTGAATGGAGCATGGTCAACCATCGCTACAGGGTCTTTGTGAATGATGATGACAGACGAGAAAACATCCTCAGACTGGATGACCGTTGGTCTATGTCTGCGGTGTTTCAGCTTCTACTGCTCTTCACAAGCATTGTGGTTGCTTGCATTTCATTGAAGTTCTTGATCGTGTAGATACCTCCCTAGAGCTATGCTTAGCATGTACCTATGTCAGACTGCCAAGTTCTTGATTCTGCCCCAGTGAAGTTTATGATGCAACGAAAGCAATAAAATATGATAATGAAGCAAAGCAACAATATGTTTGTAATGTAAGGATGCGACGTTGACTCGAAAGCGAATAAGAACCAAGCAACGACTGACGATCAATCGATCACAGTAACTGTGACCCTATCTGTCAAGAACGAAGGCTAATCTTGATCAAGTGTCTGATAGGGATAAGACAAGTTTGGGTATACTCTGGGCGGGGTTATTAACTCGTACTGTGCCGTTTCAAAACTACCATCTACTTGGGAATAGCGAGAAGTAGCAGACTGCAGGGAGCGAGCAGGAGATGGAGGTTGCATAGACGATGATGTCCTTGAGAAGGCAACATCTTGAGATGACGTCGAAAAGTTCGATGAAGGTCCCATCTTAGAACGTCCAGCAGACTTCCTTCGCTCAAAAATACCACTACCACTGCCCGTTCGGGCGTGATTGGAATGCAGGTAATGTTCAGCGAGTTTCGGGGTTGGCGGTACCCCAGCGTCCAAGATGCTCGGTCTTCGAGGCTTTATAGTCTCGTTAGACACAGGTCTTTCAGTATCCCGTTTCGGTTCTGAAGGAGTACTAGAAGATGCAGTGGCACCTGATACCGATTTCCAGGTCTTGAGAATGGATTTACGAACGCTTGTCTTCTCTGACGAAGGAGTTGTCGGAGACGGTGTACGTGTTAATGATGGTCGTGACATAGCCGTCGCAGGCACAGGTGGTAATACTCTTTGCGGCGGTGGAGGCGGCCCGGTTTGATCATGCAACGGGAGAACTGGCGGCGCGGATACCTGGAACGAAGTCCGTCCAGCACTTGGCGTGGGAGGTTGTGAAACGGACGTGGACTTGCTTCTACGCCAAAGTTTCTTGAAGGTCTTGACGCTGACAAGAGGAGAAGTTTTTGCAGTGTTTACTGCAGCATCCATTGAAAAACTCGCTGAGTCAGCAGAGAACCGACTGGAGGGTGTTGTGGAAGCAACAGAGCCCTCATCCACAGATGGTCTAGATTCAGCAGGAATACTAGTGAATTGTCCGGTTGCAGGATCCCAATATGTTGGGGTAGATTGTGACTCTGACTCGGGATAAGAGGGGTACCGCCCAAAGGGATCAGGAGACAACGGTATGGGGGAGTCAGACGACATGTCCGATTGCCTTCCAAATGAAGGGAGCAAGGGTGGCGGGTAAATGGACGACTCCAAATCTCGTTTGCGGATCTTGGTCTCTGTGGAGAAAGAATTGGGTGAGGCTGATCGCGAGGGTGGAGCGAACGATTTTGGGGCACCCGTCGACACACCATTGACAGCGAGCCGAGGTGGTGACGGAGGGAGATCGGCAGGCCGATGTGATTGCAAGCTTGGGGATTGCGATACCTTGTTAGCGATAAATGAGTAGGAGACAGCAGGCCACGATTTCTCGCTTGCATCGACGCGCCCATTAATATTGGAGTTTCTGGGGCTTGCTTGAGCCGAAAAAATTTAATGAGAGCTGTGATTGGACTCACCCTCTCGCCGGGATGTCGCGAATATGGTCAGTTGATAATTTCGGAATTACTCCCGCATGAAGTGCGAGGAGTGACTTAGATCGGGCATGGGTTATCGTGATATCTTCGTCGTCTAAGTCGTCGGTTTTCAGCTGTCTCGGAGAAAATTGTGCTAAAGTCTAGTTTCCTAGATGTTAGAATCACGAGATGAGCATGTACATTACTGGCATACCCGCTCAATCTCATCAAGTTTGGCTCTCATGAGATACTGGCTTCTACGTCGATCGTTCGGATCATTTTCGTCGTACTACGAACAGATTCCAGTCAGGACGCATGGGACTGATAGCGGAAACGCACCTCTTCGTCTTCATCTCCAAGATCTAAACCAAGATTGAGGTCCTCAAAAACCGCGCCACCGCGCTTTTCTTCGGTAGGACTCCGTGATCGCATATATTCTTGCTCCATGGCCAGGGAGAGTCCATCATCGTTACCCGTTTCATCCGTAATCGGCATTCCTCTTGGAGTCGCACAAGGCAGACTCGTGCTGTCACGCCCACTGGAAGATGATAGCATTGGGCTCGGTCCAATATGCAGCAGGAGGTCATTACTTGCTTCCTTAGGAGCAAAGACTAAAGGAGGGGGGACCGACTTCTTAGCATTTGTCGTGGTGGGCAATGATATCTGCTGCGACTTCGGTGAGGAGGGTGTCGATGATATTTGCTGCGAGCCTGGTAAGGGTGGTATCGACAGGGTCAATGGGGGCTTTGACATCCTGCGCATGATGTCCAAAACCTCTTCCGCATCATCCACCTCATCTCCCGATACTTCATGTTCAGATAAAGCAGTAAGTGCGGATGCATCCAACGCAAGCTCGACTACATTGGGATTGACCTCGCGCTGATTTTCCGGCGATTCAGCGCGCATGTCAGCCCAGGCGTCTGCATCGGTGCCGAAGACGTCTACCAGAGGATCGCGGTGAGAGACGTCAGTCACATGTGTTGCCGTGTCCTCGTCTACTAGAGGATCGTGATGAGAGACATCAGTCACATATGTTGACGTGTCCTCGTCTACCAGAGGATCGTGATGAGAGACATCAGTTACACGTGTTGCCGTGTCCTCGTCTACCAGCGGGTCATGATGACAGACATCAGTCACATGTGTTGCAGCGTCCTCTCCAACTGCTTCGTCCGTGGAATCTGACAGAGGAGTATACCCGCCAGTGCCGCCTTCCTCCCTCGAAGACTGTGACGCAGTAAAGCTGAGTACAGAACTTGCATTCTGCATCCTCTCCACTAGTCTTAGGTCGAACGGCATACGCTTCCCATCTCCATCTCCTTCCGCACGTGATTGAGAGCGTGCTCGATTACTTTGACGACTCTCGGCACGTTTAGCATGCGTCATTCGACGACCACGCAGCCATGGCTCGTACCACACTGCTCTCCGTCGGTCAATATCGAACTCCACTTTCGCGAGTATAGGTATAATAGAAGCTGAATTAAGACCTGGCAGGTCAATCCCAGTTATTTCGTGATCGGACTGAACGTGAGGTATCAGGGGTATCTGGTTCGGAGGGTGTAATTGATGACGACGATAGAGCTGCAGATTTAGAGTGAGATCGAATATCGGACACTGAAGAAGCGGTGGACGAAGGAGTAATTGGATATGCGAGAGGTTGCGGTTGCGGCGTTTCCGTCCGCAAGGGGGTGAGCAGGGGGCGTAAGTTGGAATGGCCCGAGGAATCTAACCCTAGACCTAGACCAGTAAGGACTGGGGGTTGGTCCCCGTGAAAGTACGAGAGCTTCGTCGCGCTCAGTTTTTAGAACTCGGCCCCAAATATGTTTCCAGATTTCTTCGGAGAGACGGGGACCTGGTTCTTCTGCATCCTCATTTCCCGAAGCAGGGGTCGCAAAAGGCATCGGACTACTCTGACGGCTCTGCGGGGAAATTGTGATAAGGTAAAGGATGAGGCCAATTGTGCTAGGTAAAGCATATTCTTTAGCAATGGCAATAAGTTGCGCTTGCAACGAAGGCTGTAGAGCTACGAGAGTACCGCGTCGAAACTGCGTGTGATATCCTGACGCAGTAGAAGGAGGAAGCGCATGCTCCGAGGGGTCAGATGCATCGAAGTCGTGAAGGAGGTGAAGAGGTGGAATGACATGAAGCAGGAACTTGGACTGAGATGAAGACGCAAAAGATCCGATATTATGAGTAGATGCAATAGACGGGGTCGTGACACGCCAGGGTAGATCAGCATTACTTGCGGAGGGGGATCCGCCGGAGAAGGAAGGAGACAAGTATGGAGTAGACGAATTAGGCGTAGCAGGAGAAGGCATAGAGACTCCAAGGGCATTAGCTATCTTTGCAAGACGATGCGGGGGTAAAGGTGAACGAGGCGGGGCCCATCCCGGCTGAATACTAGATGGGCTTCCTGAGACACGGGAATCCCGTTCTGTGGGCGTGACTTTTGACATGACACGGAGTAGAATAAACTGGATACACCTGTTGGCAACTCAACAAAAGCGAGTAAAGCGAAATAGTGCTGGAGCTCCACACTGAGCGGTGTTAGAAGCAGTAGCCTAGGTGATAAAATGAAATGGTCTGCATGCATCATGGTACACAGGGTCAGCAAGGCGACCATACATGTGAAGTCAAACATATGAACGAACATTGGGGCGCCTATTCTGGGAAAATCATGAAATAACCGCTCGTCGTCGTCGTGGCCGTCGCCGTCGCCAGTATCACCTCGCTGGAGATAAAGGTTAAGTCGTACCTTAAGACTTGTGAGGCACTTTCAAGCTTGCTTCAAACTTTCCCTCAACAACTGTGGGAAACGATTTCTACTCCTAGACGTATCTTTGTCCGTGTCGCGGCTCGCCGTGCTCGACGACTACAATAACATCTAAGAATTGAGGCCGCACGGCAACCAGGATATCTTTTGTCCCCTCCCAGTCGTACCTGAATTCCCCCCCATTTCTTGAAATACCTAAGAGAGGCTCTCACTTACCTTCCCCGAGCTCAATTGTGGACTACATGCTAATAATAATCTATTCAAACACAGATCATTTCGCGTGTCAGCATCAATTAGCAACGGTCATTTGTGAGTTTAATTATCGTTGAAACTGATGTGGTCACAGTGAACAGCACGCGCCCACAACTTACGCCCCATCTTCAATGTCGCACGACATTGGTAATGCCGACGCACCAGTAAACGACGCTGTTTCGGAGACAGATGACGTACATGGCAGCCGCGGTAGAATTTTTCATACCCGTTCTACTGAATTGTGACAGATGAGAATGGTCGGGACGTCTTTCAGATCACAAATCTCACGTTCACAGCCATCCGTATGTTTGTGTCGCGTACGCCCACGCTAACATAGGAAAAGAACTGCGTATGGAGTTGTCATTGCTTCTATGCAATAATCTTCCGCCGCCGCCACCTCATCCCTGGCCCCTGAGTCATCGGCGTCCCTAACCACTTTACATTTGACTACTCTTCTGGAAGGGAGATTCGTTTCCCCGTGGACTTGACCGGTGGTATTAAGGTTCTCATTTCGTTGGTGCTGATGCTCTCGGACGCTCTTGACCGCGGGATGCCCGGTTGGAACAGCGAAGCGTACATTTACTTGGTTCTGCTACGCCGGGCCAAGAGTACGCCTAAATAGGGTCCTAATGGTTTGGTAGTGGGCCACGTTCTTGGCGATAGGATATCAATCCACGTATACAAGAAAGCCCGCATCGAATTCAAAACACACTTCGCTCGGGGCGAGGCGGGTGCGATATGCAATGGACATTCAGCATATCATCCGTTACGGTGCTCGAACTTGCAAAAACCACGCGATTCAACTACGAAGTCTAACCATCCCCATCGCGGAACGTGCGCAGAGTAGTGGAAGAAACTATCAATCGAGCTTCAGATATGGTGACATAGAGCTTCCAGGTAATCGTATTCTTAAGACAGTGATTTCCCATGGCTGCCCTTCAGATACGGGAGAATAGTCATTCAGTTCCCCATTTGCAATTGTTTACTACCGATATTATGGTAAGCATCCGCAATAATCATGAGGTAGAAAACAATTCGTCACTTGACTGGCTTCAGACTTTATCGATCAAGTTGGCGCATTTTGACCTCTAGTGAGCCGAACATCTCCGTTCCAATTTTTTGGAGTATTTGACATCCGACATGATTCCGACGTAGAATCTGGAAGGCTGACAACTCCTCGTTGACGCTAAAGAACCGTCAGAACCTTGATGTGTTTAGCAGGTGACCCAGTCCACGACCATATAACTCCATACGACCGGAAATGAAATGTCGGCGGAAGTTGCACCTTTGGAGTGTCTATCAATTCATTATCGACTGCTCTCTATCGATAGGAACGATCGGAGGCTCGGCAGCCGTAGTTTTTTTTTCTTCCATTCAATCGAGTCATCCGAAGAGTTGATGAATCAAAAAAACATTCTGAAATTCGTTCTTCAACATCGTAGAAGTTCATAGTGGTCTCAGCTGATGTGCAATCGTAGTTGGGTGCAGCACGTTCATCTTTAGATCGTGCCAGTGGTAGAACATATACGCACACACGGCAGCCTCGAGGCATCAGAGAATGGGTAAAAATACCTAACGGTCCCGCCGGCTTGGATTAAGCCGAGTGGTGTTTAGGTGAAGTCCAGGTACAATGGGGAGCACAAGAGAAGGTTGTTTGGTTGAGGAGACGACCTGAACGATTTTTTTTTCTATAGTGTATTGTTGCTAGAGGTAGACAAATAAAGAGGGAAGAATAAGCGCCCTTGTAAATATTGTGAACGGTTTGGTTTGAAGAACGCCCGTCTGGAGACTTTGGGGGTGACCATTGTTACTTGATTCTTTGCTTCATCTTTTCTTCTTTCAATTTCATTTTTTTGAAGCCTTTTTTTTTGCCATTTAGTTCACGATATATTCCTTACGCGCTCCAGGATTCATTTTAACACCACGACCCATCCACGACTTTCACTGCAGCCCAATGGATCAGCACCAACACCAGCACCAGCAGCACATAACCGATGATCACAACCAAAATCTCGGACATGCAAGTCCTTATGGATTCTACCCAGCCGAGCAAGAATCATCGTACAGCCTTGCGTATAACCACCACGCGATGCAGCACCAGCAGTCTTTTCCTGTCGTGCAGCATCCTAACCCACATCATCCTCGTGGGTACCTTTTCCTCGAGGCCATTAACTCACCTAAAACACATGTTGATCTGATAATGTACTCATGTTCAATTCTTTGTAGGCCATCTATCCGCGCCAGACCTGCATCAAGGCCTGCAGTTCCATAATCTTAGCCTCATGCCCACGCATCAAACGCATCAATATCCGCCACCCGTGTATACCTCATCGCCACAACATGTGTCAATGAATCTGCCTGCTGGCTCACCCCCTCCGCCCTCCCCTCACATGTACGATCCTTTGTCCCCACCCATTTCAGGATCTGACACATCAGCGGACGGCCTTTACCACCACCATTCGAGAAACAGCAGCGGGACAGGATCCCCGTCGTCATCACGAGGACCTAGTTTAGTTCATCGCCAATCTCTTCGTTACAACCCCACCCCTTCCCCTACCACTAGCTCTTCCGGGCGACGTGGCCGTGCTCGTTCCTTAAACGACTCAGACGACGAAGACAACATGGGCGCTACATACGTAGAAAACCTGGCTCACACCAGAAAGGAGGCAACACGCAGACAGCGAATTGAGGCTGAGCAAAGGCGCAGAGACGAATTACGCGATGGCTATGCCAAATTGAAGGACGTTTTACCAGTTTCTAACCAGAAGAGTAGCAAGGTGTCGCTACTCGAACGAGGTAAGACGATCAATCATAATCTCTTCCACAATAGATGGTTGACGATGTGGCGTTCAGCAACGAATCACATCATCTTACTGGACAAGCAGACACAGGAGATGCAGGCTCGTCTCCTTTTGTTGGAACAGGAGGTACAGCGCCTTCGTGCAGTCAACGAGAAAATCTCGCTTGGCACTAGCAACTCCCCCTCGCCTGGCAATATTCATGGTGTCGATGCTCGACCCTTGTCACCTCCTCCTGAACCTGGGATGCCCGCTCATTCTCTCGCTCATGTTCAAGGTCAACTACCTCCGCGAGAGGATTCGCGCAGTCCTGCTGCCTCAGATTACTGAGGTGCTGTGGCTCACACCATTTCCAACGGACGCTGCTTTCATCCATTTTCATTTTCCGCATCTTATTTCACTGCACATCCTGTATTTCTTATTCATGTTTTGCGGCTCAGCGGTGGGAGTTGTTGAGAGGTATCTAGCTTTGGACGTTGCAGGTCGAGCCATAGGCGCTGGGGACGTGTTCGGCGCTATGCGCTGTCTTATCGTCAATTCGCCCTTCGTTTGACCTCCCACACAACTTGATGTCGCAGGATCGATCCGAATTCTCGCCCTGTTGATCCGAGGAAGCGCTTGATTACTCCAATCGTGCTTCGTCTCGTTGATCGATAGGCGCTTGAGATATTGGCTCGCCCCACATCACCTCGTAACGTCCCAGTCCCAAGTGGACCGTCGAAGCTAAACCTCAAACCGCCAAGTATGCGGGCCCACTCATCCCATTCTATCACTAACATGTATTCTCTTCTCACGACTGCATCTAAACATCTATTCATCCATCCATCATCTATCACGTGACGCGTACATCCACCGTTATACGCTATAGGTGCGGTTTGCTACGACCGCAGGCTACGAAACCCCCCACGACTGAACGAACTCATTCTTGACGAATACTGCACGAACTCACTCAACGGGAACCGACGGAAAGAGTTCACCAAATTATATTACCCACTCGCTGAAGCACATTTCGACCGGATGGTCGGCTGTCTCTTCAGTTGAGGCAGACGGATTGGCTTTCTTGATGAAAGCTGTTGTTGCCGCGGGTGCCCTCTCTAGGAGAGGGCTGGATACAAAGGTGCCTACCGAAGGAAGTTGTGGAACAGCCCCCGAAGATATGATCTATCATCTGTAGTCAGTACAGTAGTTTGTTCAACACCTCGCGCTTTTCTGGTTTCTATATCATTCTATTGTCCTCATTCCTGTACGAAGGCTAGACCTTGACCAAGGGCAAAACCAAGTAGCATGTGTGATCGACCGATCTCATACTTGATCGTTCGACGTCCAGACAATCATGTAGTGCACGGTCGTCGGGACACCGGTAGCGAAATGCCTCGCTGCAACCCTCGGATTTTGACCCACTCAGCCCAGACGAGCTACAACGACAGCATATACGGCGGGAAATAAGCAAGATGCCCTCTGGCTTCGCTTACTTCTAGTGACTCACGATTGGCTGCACAGAAAAGAAGATGATCCCCGGGGAGCCGGGGCTCCGGGCTCTGACATCCATGTCAATTAGACTCTTGAGTCCTCGGATAAGGTATAGTCAGAATTGGGCACTCTGGGTTCATATTCTTAGCATAGAGGTGGAGCTCTTCTCCACTGATGCGGATATGATTTTAAGCAATGGCTCCACGTCTCAGAAACTAGACAGCGGGTAGTATTAGTGGTGCGCGGAGGGCAAGTAAAGTTGTTACCAAAACATCCTATGAGGGCTAGGCCTCTGCCCGCAGAATGTACCTGACGAAATGCAGTCCTCAACGCCAAACGTCGAGCTTTACCGGTCCCGAACCATAAATCTAGACATTCATCGCCGATGGAAGAAGCACTACCAAAATAGTAGGTGCTAGCTCCTTCCAGAATGGGCCGCCACTCTCGATAAGTTCAGCGGAGATGAATCTTGGATAGCGAAGAAGTGCCATTGGCAGTTCCATCGCAGAGAGAACGGGTGTTTTTTCATAGACGTGAAAGGGTGACGAAAGACATCCTGATCCGTGCAAAGCGTTTCATAGTCAAGAGATGTCGTCCATATCGACAAGGAGATGATCAGGAACCTCTGGGCACTACTGACTAGATCAATGACCATCGTCCGTGTACCGGGGCCTACGGCCTTCCCGGAGGGATCACAAGAATTGCCGCACAGCGGACAATTGAGTGATTTAGGAGCTGTGTGAACACTGAAACGAGTCTTTGCTTCGACTATTGTGACAGGATGAGCTTAAAATGCGCGCTCATTACAAAGTTCAGCAAGTAGAGCTTCGAACACGCCGTCATGCGAGGCATTGGATCGTGCGCGTGAGACCGAGTGCTTTTAACGAGATGGGGGGACTAGGTTGACCTAAGTGACTAGCTAGCGGTGAAGATTGAGGCCGCATCACGTACCCATGCGCAGGGCGGATATCACCTTTCCTGCTAGGGAGATCAGGTCAGATCCCCTCGTGTTCGTAAATATTCCTGGCTTGAAATCGGAAAGGCGATCTCTCGAGCTGAAAGTGACGCGGGGGCATTGCGGGGGGCAAGGCAAGATTCTGTGTTACACGTGTGACGAGAAGGCGTGACACGCTTACTATCACACTTGCCTTTTCAGTCTCTTTCCAGTTGAGTTTTTTCTAACCGAACACTTGCTCCACAGGTCCTGCGAAACGGAATACAGTTGCTCTTCCACCACTTCATTGATTCGCTATGAACACAGCGAGGAGCTGTTTTGAAGCGGCTCTTACTTGTGACTCGACTCCCTCGAGACTGCGCTCAATCTGCGATATAGTAAATGTCCGATCTAGGGGCTTACTACTTCATATCGCCATTGTTTGTTCTATGCTTCCAGAATGGAACAGAACCACTTGTGGTCTGATACTCACGATAAGTCACCACTCATGAAACTAATCGCTTACTTTTTTCCGTGCACTAGAATCAACAATTTTAACCGTCGATCTTACATGGGTTTCGTTCAGTCAAAACGAGGCTGCTGATAGGCTGACAGTCAGTCTTATCGACTGGGCCTCGCAGCTGATGCGCTTTGCTTACGTCGTACCTATCTTCGCTTCGACTTTGCCTGCTTCTTGCTTGCATGATACGCGGCGGGGTCTATGTAGTACGCGGGCGAAGCTGTTTGTAGATCACCGGCGAGCGAAACCTCTCACAATCCTCCGATCCGAGGATAGGCTAGATGCTTATGGAGCGATGCAGTGCATTCTCAGTGGATTGCGTGACCAGTTTTGCGCTTCTTTCCTGCTACAAAGTGGTCATATTGAACTTTGCTTGTTCTTGTTGGACTCATCCGGCCGTCTTTTCGTTCACCCGGAATATCCATGTACACCCACATGCTTCCTACCTTTGTGGCTGTGATCCTGTGATCAGGGGAAAGGTTTCTCACCCGTCCATTCCACAACGGTAGAGGTTTGTGCAGGGCTCAGCATCTACTGGGATATGAATGACGCATAACGGAATTCTTCTATCGGTATGGTCCGCAGCATACGACTCTAGTCGTGTCCCATAGGTCTGTGCGAGACACTCGGACTAGCTGATAGCTGTGTAGTCAAGCGGGCATCGCCTCTGGTGCGTGTTTTTCCTTAAAGTCTAATTACGTTTTCTCACTAACGTCATCTGATGTGATTGATCAACCGCCCTTCTCAAGTCATGCACGCATCAGTTCACTTGAAGTCAAACTCACTCGTATGATCAGATGCGAGCTTTCATTGGCGGAAAGGACTCTGTCGTGACCAGACATGGCATGTTTTTTGGACTATCCCCAAAAGAACGCGCGCTCAGACCCACCGTGGCTATGGATGAGGTATTCGATTACATAGACCGGCGGACCAAACACGGACCCACGGCGTAACATAATTCGAGTATAATAACTGCGCCTCGTTATGGACATGAAAGGGGTAATTATTCTGTGGTGTCATGTTATAATGAAGTTCTCTGACTTACCGCCGCGATATTGTCAGGGAAGGTTGAAATCACGGCATTGCTCATCGCGTTTAGCAACGCCTTAAGCCCTTGGGAGAATAATAGATTTCAACGAATAATAAGTTTCAGCGGTGCGTTTACATCGGCTGGGTGATCATAATTGCACAGCAGGCATTCCGAGGCTCATGTGATCAGTCTGAGTATGGCCAAGTAGGTGAAATACTAGCTCTGGGTGACAGGACATATTAAATTATACCAATAGTTGCCGAGAAAGACGGTGCTTGATCGGAGCATAGTATGGATCTCAATTTATAAAGTTAGCGCGAGTAGCGGGGGGATGAACGAAAACGTTGTGAGGTTTGTGATCCTCGTGTCAAGAAAAAAACGTTGATTGAGCCGAAGTAGAGGACCAGACTGGAACAAACAGCAGAGATGCGTCTGATAGCAGGGGCGGCTACTGGGGTCACCGAAAGGCTCCTTCCTTGGCCAGCCGGATCTAGATAACAATAATACCGGTCTAACAAGAAAATAATATTGGCCGAATCCGCGGCACAGCGGGCAAGATAATGATGCAATGCGTCAGGGTTGAGAACGAGACGATCGGGATTTGGAGTTCTGGGGGGACTAGGGGGAACCCGAAGGAAGGACGAAGCGACATGAAATAAGTGAATAGGGTAGCGAATGGGCTAGACGATCAGAGAAAAAAAAAGTTAGCTTAGGGTGAGTTTGACTGACGCTCGGGGGGAAGGGTTGGGTAACGGGCAAGAAGTGAAAGAATGGAGAATGACAATTTACCAATAGACCAATGGAGGGAAATGGATGCTACAAATTACATGCAAGAGCCTGAGCGGGTTGATGCTGATTTGGAATTGATCTGATGGCAAGTGGGGGGCTAGCCTTGAATTAGGATTGGCTCAGGAAAGGATCCGGACAACGAGGCAAAAATTTCTAAACTAAGGAGGCAAGAGTGGGAAGAGATGCTTGTCAATGAAAGCCCCGTTTGTGAAAAGATAGGAACCGCTCTACAGAGAAGAATACAGGGACTAGAAATACCGAAATCATTTTTGGCCATGAAGGGTTGAAGGCACAAACACGAGGCATAGCGGGAATACCACAACTTCCAAATTTAGTAACGTGTGATTTACATTCTAAATCAAGTTCTACCAAGCAATTTACGCCAGGGATATTTAGACGGAATCAAAACTTAACAAGTCCTCCATTCCCTTCTTCTTCAAATCCTCGAATCCGACTACCTTCCCTATTCCTCCTCCCCGACCTTTTTTTTTCTTACTCGCTCTGTTGTCCTATTGTGCAGTCGGCTCAAGGGTCTTTTGTTCTGCATCTCACGTAAGTCAGCAATTCTTTGTGCGCCTTTTTGTCTTTGGTCGTTCAATCTAACGAAAAGTAACAGGATCCCAGCGTATTTCAGTGCCAGCTTATTTTGACGATCATCTCCACCTAGCTGCAGTGCAAGCACCCGCCTTCCGTACACCGACACACTTTTTTTTTTCTTTACCCAAGCCTACTTTTGTCATGGAATCAACTCTCCTCGAGCACCCCCGTAGCCCCTTCATGGACGGACCCTTTGCATATGACTCGATTGCCAACCTCGAGCCGTACTTGCAGTACCCTCAGTCCCCCTATGGTGTTTCTACGATGTCCCGTTAGTATAATATGACTCATACATCACACGAATACAATAATTAACCGTGTTCTATTTTTAGTTCCTGGACCTTCGTCATCGTCTCCTCGTCTGGATTTCAACTCCTTGAATCTCACCAACTCCATTGGCGAGTATTCTTACTCATCCAGCACGTCATACACAACTGCTTCGCCAGGGCGCCCCTACACGCCCCCCGACAATGGCATCTCGCCTCCCGCTGTGTACTCCCTCAGTGGTGGCGAGCTGTCGTCAGATGGCCTGACTTCTGGCAGGCGCAGTCGCGGAAGCGGGACTCACTCCCCTTCCTCTGTCCACTCTGTTCCTTACTCCGCTGCCGTGCCGCGGTCGCACCGCTTCAACCCAATTGCGGCGCCTACCACGCGCTCTGCTACCAAGGCTACGCGGAGAAAGTCAAGGAACGACGACTCTGATGACGAAGATGACGATTTCCAGCCCTCCATCCCTGCTAACGCTAGCACTGACATGCGCCGCGAGACAATTCGTCGTCAACGCATCGAGTCAGAGCAGAGGCGTCGGGATGAGCTTCGGGACGGCTACCGCAGACTCAAGGATGCTCTTCCGGTCTCCAACCAGAAGTCTAGCAAGGTCTCGCTCCTAGACCGCGCTACGACTCACGTCAAGTACCTCGAGATGACCGCTCAGCAGCTCCAGACGAGACTCCAACAGGCTGAGGCCGAAGTACAGCGACTTCGCTCGTAAGCTTATCCTCAACTGCTGCAACTGCAACACAAGCTGACCTTGTACCTAGCGTCAATGAGGCATTGATGCTTGGCACCGCCGAGCAACGTCACGCCGCTGCTGCTGCCGCCGTTGCAGCAGTATCCCAGCAATCACAGTCAAATTTCTGATTGCTGCGCTGACACGGAGAAGCTCGAAAATCCGCAAAGAAAAGCACCGTCGGTTTACATTATCAGCATTGTTTATTCGCATGATCACACACGACACTGGAATGCCTGTCGCTGGACTACAGGTTTCACGCATACACAATGGACACTTAGCACGCATTTTTTATTTCATGAACTTCTTACGCATCGTTATGTCTTCCTGCGTCGCATGGATGGTGCTTGAGCGTCAGTGACGTTCTCTCCATTTTGGACAGGTTTCTAGGATCGCCTAGTGGCGCTTGCGCCGCTTGTTCGTCGACTGCTATGCATCGATGGACCTTGACGATGAAGATCGGATACCGACTGGATACGGATGATGTGTGGAGGACACGATACTGACACAAGACCGCAGGGCAGCTTGAGGCTCTTGGACACACCCTTCTGCGAGTGGTGTGCATGCTTCGCCGCCTCTGCGTGCGCTTCTTGTTATCACCATCATCCTCTGTTCTCCCCCTTCCGTCCCCATTCATCCTTCTCGCACTGAGACGAACGACCACTTCATTGTGGTACGTGCCTCGTGCGCGCCGATACACAGGCACATCATCATTGGCAACATTCTTACGATCCTATGCCTTTCTGGAATGTTACGTTATCATTCATCTCCGTCCTATGAAGATTATACCGCATCTAGCACGCTCGGCATGTTTTATTATCATCCTATTATCACCTTTTGTCATGATCCGGGCGACTGATCACCGCTTTTCATGATTCCTCTCCTGTTCGCGAGATCATCCAGCTATCTCGCGGATAACGCATGGTGACCACAGCATTGCATGTCTGTGGTGCAGCAATTGTCGGTTACCGCCCACTTGGGTTGGCATAGCGAGGGTCTTGTTTTCGAAGGGTGTTTACGAACAACGACTACATTTTCCACATCAACGTTTCCACGTTTCTGAGCAGCTCGTCATCTCTGTACCTCATTTGCTAGTCAAATGCAGCGTGCGCTGAGGAGACTTGAGCGCCGGAAGCATACGGCGATATTGGAGTTGGTCACTGTTGCAGTTCTTGACGTTCCGTCCACTCTCGCTTGCGGGTACTGGATCCATTGGTCGTCGACATTCCTGACACTTCGATTATCCTCACGCTCTGGTTCATACTGCCACTGGTCTGCTGCACATCACTTGCACTACTCGATTTGATATCATGTCTCATTGCCGCTTCATTTCCACACGCATTCTCTTTGTCGATTCTTCATCAAGCTCTTGTAGGTATCAGTTGTACTTGTCTTGTACTGGCGAGCGCGTGCTGTACTGCATCTGTAGAATTGTCATACTATATCTCAAGCAATGAATCGACTCTTCCGCCTTCCGAACAGAATTTCTGGAGTGATACTGAGATTATGCGGTCAACATGCATTTGCGAATGATTCGATCGATTATTTGCCACTCAATCGATTGTTTAATCCTAAGGACATGCATGTGGATTTGAATCAAGGGTCCTTGGAGCGGCGGAAGAGCCACTATGACCTTATCGATGAGGTCGATCCAGATGCAGCGGATCGATAAGATAGTTCAAATTCACGACGCTTGAAAGGCAAAGACCATCTTGCCACTTCTATTAATCACTATTATGTCGAATAAGCCAGCCGTTCACCGCCAGCTGAACATTAAGTCGGGCGTGGCGAAAAGGTGAGAATAGCGACTCAATGGTCGAAGCGCTAACACGACTTCTCAGGCTGTTAAAAGAACATATTCTGTATGCAAAAGAAGCAGAAGAACAACAGCGGAAAGTTGATAAGCTTATCGCGGATAATGCTGAACAGTGGGATGTTAGAAGTGCCGTGCGTGACAAGGTCATTTTACATTCATGAGAGGCTGAAGCTCATGTTACGACAATACGCCGATCAGAGAAGGATCTTGGAAGAGTCACACAGAATGATCAAGGATTCTGATAACCGACTGGGCAAGGCGGTACAAGATCTACGTGAACTCGTTGTGCGTATTTCCGTCTTTTCTATCTATCGCCAGCCCTGTTTATGTGCGCGTCTTTTGGAAGCTGCGGGTAAAGTCTCAAACTGAGTTTGCGGAAGATGTCGAGCTGCTGCATGCCGAGGAAGCACTTGAGGAGGCGAGCGTGTAAGTTTCGGCTCTCACCGCGCTATCCTCGCTTTTGACGCGATAACACGACCTTGACTTACGATTGCGTTATAATAGACACTTGGATTCGAAGGCCTCGGCATAAAACGTGTAGCTCACTGTAGTTTAGGTTTAGTTTGGACTCATGTATCCATTGCATGGCTTGAGGAAGTCTGTAGTCGTTCGTGCTCTTGTGTTGCTTTGAGGCGTGTCAGAGCGTCAAGGATGCCCACCCATGCGTCTCGGTCGACGCGCTCTTCTTGCAAACCTCGACTGGTCCCGTCAGCTCGTGGGAGACCGACACCAAGTGAAGGGGGAACAAAACCGAGTTGGGGGGCTGTGATTGCGGATGGGGCAATTCGTGACTGGCGGATGTGAGCCAGTGAAGAGCGAATGGCGACTTGTATTGACTGTGGAGATTGAGTTGAGATTTGTAGTACGCCGGAGGATTGGACTTACGTCTAGTCGCTCAAAGTACTCGCTCACTTCTAGAACGAATTGCTCTGAGCGCTCTTCTCCTTGAGGGTAGTTATCCTCGGGCTCATCCGTCTGCGGGAGAGTGAGCAGGGAGACGGATGATGCTGCAAGGAATAGGAGACGGGTAATGTCCTAAACCTGGACTGTGAGCAGCGTGCGGCGTGCCAGGCGGTGTATGTTACGGCTTACTTTTTCGACTTCACCTAGAGCGTATATCTGACGTGCTGTACGGCTTGATGTCCATATAGGATCGATCTCAGACGGATCGTGGTCCATAGGCGGTTCTTGGTGTGACATGAGGAGGAAGAACTTAGTCAAATTGCAATTGTAGTGATGGGCCACTAATAGCGCAGTCAGGCGAAGTAAGTAAATATTATTTGTGTCTCATTTTTACGGCGTATCATTAGATTTTAAAGTTCGTCTTCATCTATATTCTCCTTGTCAATTCGTTAGTTACAGCGTATCTGCAAGAAGAGGCGAGGACCCGCGGTCCTTTGAAAGACGCCTATCATATCCGCCAGGGACATGTAAAGGCCACTTCGAGTCGAGTCGAGTCGTTGTCGACCCTGAAGGTGAGAGCGTCTACAGCATGCAGTCATATTCTCGCGCTCGTAAATGCTTCTGTCAGAATCTGTCATGAGTTATAATAGGTTATTGATGACTGCGGGACTGACGCGAATTGGGGTAGTCAGATTGCGCTGGTGAACTTGTCATGTTCCAGCATCTGGGGACAGGAACACCGCAATATAAGCATGTCCCTGATCTGAGGATAGGGACACTGCAATATGAGATCCGGGGTGTCTTGAAGGATATTTCCCGTCCGTCACCTTTAATCGTAGATGTGTGTTAACTTCTTGCAGCGTACATAATTATATGGAAACGTGGGGTTTAAAATCTTCTGGTAGATGCTGCAAACGTCCTTGGACATGAACGTTGAACGATTGCTAGACGTGTATATATATTAGAGTAAGCAGCGCAGCGGGTGTAAGAGTAAAAGCGCATAATGATTGATTTGGTAATTGAACTACCTAAGAAGGCAGTCACTACTGCATTGACCAAGAACCAGCATGCACGTCCGATAGTGGGCAGCCAAAGACAGCAAAGGCACTTCATTGTAGACAGCCAGCTATCGATAATCTAGCTTGGGATACCGAGCTACTCCCGGCTCTCAAATGGAATCACCACTAACCTATTCTCCCGTACAGAGTACTCATTCGGGTCTTCCGTCGAGGTCGCGGAGCAGCACAAAACTTGGGGACGATGTCACCTCTTTGACTTCCTTCAATCCGTTCTCAGAAGAGGATGAAAACGATCATTCTTCATATGCCCTCGTAACCTCTTTATTCTCCCGAATGAAGAATAGCTTCGCTGCGCCCTTGACTTCTTCGACTTTCATACCGCCCCCCAATGGTACCTTTGGAGTCCTTCCAGGCGAACAGAGGCGCCCATCTACGGTCTCTGTAAACAATACCTCCGCCTTTTCCTCTCGCTCCTCTGCGCCTGAGCGCCCGTTGTCACTAACTGTCGTGCCATCAAGGACCGCTCCACCCCTCGTATCCTTGACACCAGTTGTATCAGATCCGCCATCTTTTGGTGTAGAACTAGACCGCTCGCCTTCACGTAGTGGTCAATATACTCCTGTATACGAGACTCAAGACGGTGGTCTCTTTGGAACTGCCATCCCTGGTTTCCCCATCCAGGATGATGCTCGTAGCATACGCACTTCCGCTTCATTGAATCGGTCTGCCTCTGTATCCAAGGTCATACGCCGCATTCGTGGTGAAGGTAAATATACTGACATTTTCTTACACTGTTTCTAATCCTGCCGAAGGTCTTTCTCGCGATTATTGGATGGAAGACTCCAACGCAAGGGAGTGTTATGATTGCAAAAGCGTCTTCACAACATGGCGACGCAAACACCATTGTCGTATATGTGGTGCGCATCCTAACTTTCGAATCAAGACTTGTCATTCATCCAAGAGCAGGTCAAATATTCTGTTCGCGTTGTGCATCTAATATTATCAAGGGTTCGAGATTTGGTCACGACGGTATGGTTCGAGTGTGTAATCTCTGTCTCGAGAAACTCGCAAAGGTCGAAGACGAAGATGATGACGATAGGCGTTCTGTCGTCTCTTCCATGGCCTCTCCATTCCCTGCCCACCAGTTTGGCGGCGACTCGTTCGGGCTCAGTCTTGGTCACCATCCCCAATCCCCATTCGCAGCCTCCCAGCTGTTCGGAAGGACGGACGAACCGTTCAATCTGTACTCCATCGCTGAGACAAAGAGACCAGCATCCGACAACGATTCTATACATGATTGGGAGCCCATCCGCGAGAGTGCACCATTTCGGCGGAACCTTTCAGAAGACGAGAAAGATCCACTCGCAATATCCAACTTCAGCAAAAATACTGCACAAACCGCTATGGTTCCTCGGTCAAAGACCCCAGTTGACTTTCCGGTCACTGTGCCAGTCAATGTCGAGGGCACCATGAGCACAATCCAATTTCCCTTGAGCTCTCCAGAGCAACACGGGCCAGAGAGTCCAGGAAATTATAATTCCATACGCTCCAGATTCAATAGCTTCGGAGACTTTGATATTGCCACGCCCTTTATCAGGAGCCGAGCACAGAGTCGACTCGATAACTTACCTACCATTGAAGGTTGGCGCACGAGGCGCGACTCCACCGCGTGAGTTTTTATTTAATATGTGTCATCCTGCATGATCTCATGCTACGGGCTTAGCTATGCTCAGGAGCTTAACCTAATTTCCATGTTCCATCTTCGCGTCATGTTGCGGCAAATGCTCACGACCGAGCAGATTCCAAATATCAAGGAATGGGAAGAAACTCTGCTCAAACTTGCCCTTCGCGTTGCTCGAGAACTCACTTTCACTGCCCTTCCGTACCACCAAGGCGAGGACATGGATGTCCGGCGATATGTCAAGATCAAGAAAATCCCTGGTGGCGCACCAAGCGATTCCGAGTACGTTGATGGCGCAGTCATTACGAAGAACGTTGCCCACAAGCAAATGTCACGCATGCAACGTAATCCCCGCGTCATGCTTGTGACTTTCCCACTCGAGTTTCACCGAGTTGAGGGTCAATACGTCCATTTTGGCCAGATTCTCAGGCAGGAAAAGGAGTATCTCGGAAACTTGGCGAGCAGGATTGCTGCGCTCAGGCCGCATGTAGTATTGGTGGAGAAGTCAGTGAGTAGGATTGCACTCGAAGCGCTCGCGCAGCACAATATCGCCGTCGCTCGTGCTGTAAAGCCCACCGCGATCCAATTCGTGGCCCGAATGATTCAGGGAGATGTCTTTTCGTCCATGGACAAGCTCGCTCTAGAACCTCGATTAGGTCATTGCGCACGGTTCCGTGTACAGACTTTCGACCACCCCCTAATTCCTGGGCGACGGAAGACGTATATGCGGTTTGAGGGATGTAGCCGTGAATTGGGGTGCACCATCGTTCTGAGAGGAGGAGATGTAGATACGCTCAAGAGGGTGAAGAAAGTGACGAGATTCTTGATGTTTGTCGTGAGGAACTTGAAACTGGAGACCCACCTGTGGAAGGACTCTGTGATCACGCTCCCTAGCTTGAGCGCAGAGGCCGTACCGGCAGGTATTGCTATGAAGCGCCATGCAGAAGGATCTGGCACGGCTTCGAACGCTGGTGCTCTTGTGCCTGCATCGGTATCTCTGGTGCATCTTGTGACTCCAGAGGATAAGGAGCGGCAACAGGCAGAGGAGGCGGAGATCAAAGAAGCTGAAGATGATCTTCCTGATGCTGATGCCGAGCGCATTCGTCTTTCGAAGCGTATTCAGCAGTCGTTGGAGCCGTACACCAAGACGTTCATATCCGTTTCCGCCACATTGCGTTTCCCTCCTCCCCAGCCTATCAGGAGGATGAAGGAGTTGGATGACGAGCTTACCCGTGCACAACGCGCTTGGGAGGACGAGATTGTGCGGAGAGAGGAGAAGGGCCCAGTTAAAAATGAGAGTAAGGCCCCCTCGGGCACGCCCACGCCTGCCAGTGAAGCAGCGGCTACTATCTCCGGAATTGAACCAGATGTGGATGATGTAAAAGCCCAGATTGAAGCACTTCCACTCCCTGATCTTCCGAAGACGCCAACTTCCGGTCTGTCTGACCTTGGCGAGGAACCCGCTGGTTACTTCGAACCTCAGCCAAGCTCCTTATTGCATGTCCTCGGAGGGTCGTCGTTCTTCCATTCGCCTCGCCTTATCGTTCCCGGCGAGAAAGAGAACACGATTCCCCTGAAGACCGCTGCCGACATTGCCTTGGAGAGCCAGCTCGGTATGGTCAAGTATCGCCACGAAGAACAGCGACGTATTTGGGAATGGTACCTCCGCAAGAACGCTGACGATTTCGTGATCGACCAGTACCAATGCATCAGCCTTTGGGAATACACCATCCCGATCGAAGAATTTGGTCTTCATCGCGCCTGTTTCGCTCCTGGATTGAAGTACATCAAGTTCTATGGCGAGAATGATTGCACGCTGGGTCAGTTCATTGAGAAGAGCGTTAATGAGACGCTGGTTCAGTTCCTCGACCCGAAAGCGAACTGCACTGGGAAAGGATGTAACCAACCGCTCGCAAGGCATTGCAAGGTCTTTGTGCATAACGAGACCAGGCTTGCAGTTGCTGTTGAGCAGTGGGATGGGCAGATCAAGGCCAAGGGTCCATATCTCTATCCTTCCCCAGAGACGATCACGACCTGGAGCGCTTGTCGGGTATGTGGCTCAGCGACGCCATTTATTCCCATATCCGAAGAGATGCAGCGGTACTCCTTTGCCAAGTTTTTGGAATTGCACTTCTATCCCGCAGACGTACAGCTTGTCCAAGGCGCTGGCTGCCAACACAACATCTACCAGCACCACATTCGGTACTTTGCCACGAAGGGAATGACGGTGCGGTTCCAGGCAGATCCTGTCGTCGTCCATGAGGTTGTTTACCCCGCTATGCGTATTCGCATCCGTCCGGAGTCGCAGCTGGAGCTCAAGAATGCAGATTACGAACGGCTGCACCGTCGGAACACTATGTGGTACACTGCCCTCGTCGATGATCTCAAACTCATCAGCATTGATGCAGCTACTGGTGATGAAGAGCAGGATGCGAAACTCACGGCCGACATCAACAACTTGATTACACGCGCTGAAGATGAGAGAGAGGAGATCGCTCAGTTGATCAACAAGATTTACAAAGAGTCGACCCCGATTGATACGCTAGCTTTGAACCAAGTTCGATCGTTCCGACAGGACAAGATTGTAGCATGGCAACAGGACTTTGACAAACTCCCGAAGCCGAGAGGCACTCTGACTCTGGACAGGAACACGCGGAGGGTATCTGCTGCCCTTGGGTCTGTGAGGGCGATGTGGCCGAAGAAACCCGATGTTGCAAGTCCTGGCGAATCTCATCAGCCTTTTTCCAGTGTGTCAGAGGCGGAAGAGGGAGCGTCGAGTCGGAGGCGGATTACCGGAGAGTCCTTTGTATCGTCTGCGTCAGAGGCTTCGGAGCCTGAGCTTGAAACTGTTGCAGAGAAGACAACGATGGCCACTTCTGATACAGAGGCTCCCCGTCCTTCAGTTATTGAACCCGAAGTGGCTATCAAACGCAAATCGGACCCTGACAGTGACTCGACTATTGGTGCATCTAAAGACGACGGGGCATTGTCAGACCAAGATGCATCATCGACGACACGAGTAAGTGTATCCAATCTTCTTTGGACATCCCCAGTTTACCGTATTATCAAGGCGGAGCAAACTGAGGCTCGTGTTGTTACAAGAGCCTCGAGGCTGCCTCGACGGCCGCAGGCCCACCCTAGTGTTGCAGAACTAGTGGCTCGGTACCAGGAGTACCTGCCCCCACAGGGTGTTGAGGAACTTGCCAAGACCGCCCTCGCTCCATTTCCTCCTGTGTCCGAAAGCGAAGCAGAATATCCCGCACAACCACCGCCTCAACGGTCTACCATACGCAGGAACAGACATGAACCCGTCAAGAAGCCCTCGGTCTCCGATTTCGAGTCTAGCTATGCCGCGAATGTAGCCTCGAGGTACCTCAACCGTCGCTCCCTCGGCACTCAAAATTCACGCATACCTGGAACAGTTGGGTCCTCCTTCGAGTCTTCAACGGCATCTCGACGGCCGTCGCCAGATAAACGTGGGGTAAGACCTCTCCACACTGACCCGGTGCCATCATCACCGCCCACCACATCCAAACCGCTTCCCGCGGGTGGTCGCACCCTGCGGCGGAAGGCATCTGCCCGAACCCTCCAAAAAGACAAAGCACCCTCTCGTCCTACCTCAGTCGTGCCTAGTGCAAAGCCTCCGTTCAGACGACCCCCTCAAGGTGCTGGAAGCAAGGTGTCTAATATTGCACGGCATTTTGAGCGCATAACTCGGGATAACGAGCGAGCAAATAGACGTTATGCGGTCATCAGGGGTCGTAAGGCACGGCCAGTTGCGTCTGCTCGTGCTACGGTTGAGGTTTTGGATAGCATCAAAGATGCGATACAGGACGAGTCGGAGAGTTCTGATAGCTCTAGTGAAGCAGACGATGAGGGTGGTGACGAGGATGAAGCACGAAAACCGGCAGATAAAACCACGATGGAGTCGTCGCCAGAACAATCTGTCACACTTCCTACCGTCACTGTGCAGGACGCTGTAGATATTGCATCAGTTCCTGTGCCTGCAGACGAGCCTTCCTCAGTTCCTCCATCATCGACACCGCCACTTCCGCCGCCAGCTCAACAGCTCGGGTCAGTACAATCATTTCCGCCATCTCCTTTCCTTAAACCCGAGACCCCGGGAGCGAATATCCCACCAACCCCGCCTCCGATTTTGCTCGACGAACCCGGGAGAAACTCGATATTCAAGCAGGCTTTCCAGGGACTATCCCAAGGATTGTTCTCGTCTCAGATCCCACCGCGCAAACCAGATCCAGAGGCTGACGATCCGTTGAATGATCCGGAGCACATTTTCCGTGATTCTTCAATGGTCGTGAGGACGGATGAGCCCACATCTATCATTGCATTGGCGTTGAAGTAGGTCATTTCTGATCAGTCATCTTGCTTATCACTGATTACTTGCAGTTCTCCCCAATACCGAGAAATATTGGCCAAGTCGCGGATCGAGAAACGCACTGCTCGAGAGCCAAAGCTGACTGATGGAGGGGAAGCGTTCATGCCCGACGATCATTCTGTCGCGGAGTCGTCCTCGACATGGGGAGTAGTCAACGTCGAGACTGCAGAATCCGGTAACCCCGCGGAGGAGCTCAAATCTGCGTCAACGAAGATGCCTTGGGTGATTAGTGAGTGTATTGTACTTGAGCCAGTGTGCAATGTGTTGACTTCATTTTAGCGTTTGAAAGTGGTGGTTTAACAATCAGTTGTACCGTATTGTATCCAGAACAGTTCGATGCTTTGCGCAGAACATATGATTGTGAGAAGAGTATGGTTGAGTCGTTGGCAAGGTGTGTCAAGTGGGACGCCAATGGAGGCAAGTCTGGCTCGGCGTTCTTGAAGACAAGAGGTCTGTATTGGATTTCTAGCCCCAGTGTTAATGTTACTGAACCTTCCACAAGACGATCGTTTCATTGCGAAAGAGCTCTCGAAGGCAGAGCTTCAGACGATGGAGACGTTCGGTCCGGCATACTTTGACTACATGGCATCTGCGATCTCTGGCAACGTAAGCTGTTTCTTTGTTATGCTGCAAGTGTTCTAAACGATTTTCGTCAGCGTCCCACTTTACTCGCCAAGGTGTTTGGGTGCTACAAATTGACGTTCAAGAAGACGAGAGACAAGGGTTCGAGCAAGGCCAAACTGACACATATGAACCTGCTTGTGATGGAGAACCTCTTTTACGATCGTCGGTTTTCTACTGTGCGACATTTGCCTGCGATATAGACAGTTGCTGACGACCTGTTTAGATCTATGATCTGAAGGGATCAACCCGCAATCGTCACGTGCGCTCCACTGGAAGGGAAAACGAAGTACTGCTGGATGAAAACCTCGTCGAAAGTGGGTAACCTATCTTCGAGACGATGAAGTTACTGAACGTCACTTCCGCAGCTGCTCATCTCTCACCGTTTTATCTCCGTGAACACTCGAAGCGCATACTGAGAGGAGCATTATACAGTGATACCAAGTTTCTGGACGACATCAATGTCATGGATTATTCACTTCTCGTCGGTATTGATGCTCAGACCCATGAATTGGTGGTGGGTATTGTTGGTAAGTTGTAATTCGTTCCTGTCTCTGGCGATGTATTCACTTCGTGCTAGACTACATTCGCACCTACACCTGGGACAAGAAGCTCGAGAGCTGGGTGAAGGAGTCTGCCTTCCTTGGCGGGGCTGGTAGAGGAGAACCCACCATCGTTACACCCAAGCAGTATAGACAACGGTTCATTAGCGCTATGGACAGATATTTCCCACTAGTGAGTGGACACAAGGTTTTTTTCGCATGAGTTTAATGACCTTTTGTTCTAGGTCCCTGATCGATGGATGAAGCAGAAAGACATTCCAGAAGAAGACCCGTACAGTTTGAACAGTCTGGCTGAACTTTGGCCAGACTGGTGAAGCATATCACGTCCATTCATTCAACACACATGCATCATGTCCGTTCCACTGTAACCCTACCATACGATACGTGCCTAGTACATACTCGATGATCTAAATCCTGTACATTACACCATTTTGTTATAGAGCGACCTGTATACTACAGTTTTCTTGTTCTAGTACTCTGAGCCTTGTTTGCAAGGCCCTGTGCTTGGTGCTTCATTTCGGCGGAGAACTGCTCCTGTGTCGCCTTTTTCTCTACACGACGAACTTGACGTTCGGCCTTGACAGCTTGTTTGCGAGCTTTTTTGTCTTCCTTAGATTCGTCGCGCGGGCGAGATATGGTTTGCTTGACCACTAGTCGGTGGAACGTTAGCGAAACATCATTCGCGTAATCGGAAAGATGTGTACCTCGGGACTCTTCTTCCCCTTCGGCAACAAAATGCAACTCATGATGACGTTCTTGCGTCTCCACGACTTGAGGATCCAGAAAAGGAAGACCAGTCTTGGGGTCAAGTTTGATTTTCGGAACTGGCTTCGATGCTCGCGCTCGGATGACGCGGGGATGATTCTCTAGGTTGGAATACGTTGCTATTCTGCTTTAGATTCAACTTTGCGTGAACGAGATGACCCAACTCACTCAGTACAGTCTCACAGTCCCATCTATCCTCTTTCTCCGTGGCATCATATCCGACGAAAAGTCGGTCGTCATCCAACTCCTCATCGTCATCATCATCTGCCGACCTTATCCGTACCCGCTCATCCTGGCCCATTGCCCGACGCAAGGTGTCCAGTTTCTCCGGGCCTGTGTCCCCCGGAAGCACTGGCTTTAGTTTTCTGCCAAGCAACTCATAGTTGTCCATGAAGTCGTCCATCATGGCCTCGAAATCTTCTCGCGAGGTGATGAGCTCAGGAGCTTCATCTGAAAGTTCAGACGAAAAGTCATCATTCTCTTCCTCGACCTCTTCTCCTTCATCAGAGCCATACTCTTTCTCCATCAGCTGCAAGTGATCAAAGAAAATAGCCTGACAAAATCGGTCACAATTACCTGATCGAAGCGCTCATCTAATGTCATTAACGTTTCCGTGCGGTGCATTGACGAGCTGCTCATGCTGTACCCAGAGGCATCGGAAGTGCCTTTGCGCCTGCGCTTTCCACCGATGACAGGTAACTTCGGTAAATTTCCTATGGTGTCCCCTCCTTCTGAGTGGAGTTCGTCATCGGAATCGCTGGGTGGAGGTGCTTCCTTTTGATCTTTCTTGAACTTGGCGAAGGCCGCTTCCCAGCTGTCAGGGTCCCCGTGATCCTCCGTAGAAGGGGCATCCTGTGGGGTATCACTGTCCTCATAGAACTGGTACCCAAATTCCTCATTGTCATCTCGCTCTCCATCTGCTACCAGATCGCCGAAAAAGTCATCCTCTATACCATCATCTACGAACGCATCATCCTCCAATGCCTCAAGAACTTGTCGGAGATGGGGGTCCATGTCCGGCTGAAAACCTGCGATCGATGAGGGAACGGCTTCCTGCGACTCATAGTTCCTGGGCATCTCAGATGCCGATGGTAGTGCCTCTGCCGGCAGATCGCGCAAGGATATCGGATCCTTTGATTTGCCTTTGCCTTTCGATTTGTGAGAGGTAGTAGGTGCTTCAATGAGTATGCTTTCTACGCCCTCTTCCTCTGCACCAGCCGTACGTAGATGCTGCATGTAGTCATACTCTGTGTCGTCGAAATAAATTCCATATGATGCCGCTTCGCCGACACGAGCGTCATGGGCAATATCATCGGGAGAAAGGAGGGACTCAAGATCGGCACGAGTCTTTCCCTAGGAGCGGGGATTGAATGAGCAGCGAGGAAAAATACGTATCGACATAGTTGCGCACCTTCTTGTCATTCGCTCGTACAAATGCCTTCAGGACATGCTGACTGGCGTCAGGATCGTGAATAAGCGGATCTCTCTGAGATCGGTGCACAAGCTGGAAGTGCTGTGCTCCCGGTTGTCTAAAAATTGATTTTTGGGGCATATTGCAACCAAACGACAATGACCTGTTTCTTTTGATTAGTGCTGAAAGGAAGAGTGATCAATGTGAGATTACTTGTCCTCGAGGTAGCACAAATTATACACAGCCACCGCGTCTCAACAGGTTATTACGTAATCGCGTCGGTTGTCCCTGCGCCGTCACCAATCCCACCCGTGAAGACCTTAACCAACGGTCTTCACCTTCAGCCGTCCATTTCGCCTTTACCTCTTGCATTCATCTTCGTGCAGCCCATTGAAGACTTCTCGAATACAAGCCCAATTTCTCGGGTCATTGCCCTTATTCGACTGGCAGTCAATCATGCAGCGCGAGCACAGTCGTCGTGGCTTCTCTATATACGTGTTTTCGTTTTCGCCCGCGTTTCTCCAGTACTGACACCTTTTTTTTCGTATATACTAGTCATCAGAAAGTTGTTCTGGAGATTGACTTCTCCGGCTCTCTCTGGGTACGTTGTAACATAGGCCACTCATGCAGGCGCTCACACAACAGCATTCTTGAACAGGGTTACACAGAAATCACGCTTATTCCAACCAATCCCAACCTGAGAACTATTCATTTACACTCCAGGCAATGCAGTATGTGCTGCGTTTGAATTCTGAATATCCTATTTGACGTGTTTTCCGCAGCGATTCATTCGGTTTCTGTCGCGTCACACCCAGCGGATTTCGTTCACCATGATCCGCTCGCTCAGATCAATATCTCAAACCCTCAGGACTGTCATACTTATCCAGAGTTGAAGCGGAAAATATATTCTGCACTGGCCGAAGGCGATGAGGGTGAACTGTCGATTACGATCCCAAAGGAAGTTTCGCTTCGACAAACTGGTCATGCAAATCACTCGCTTGCGAACGGTCATCTCAGTGAAGGTAAATTTCAGTGTTCGAGGGTTATATGGGATGTATTTAAACTGTTTACCGGATAAGCTGCCACACCTGAGCCTCAGACCCCTGGCCCCTTCCATACCCCCGCACCCAGTCCAGAATTCATGCCTATAGTGGTCCACATTGACTACAGCCTGAGAAACCCAGTGGATGGCATCCAATTTGTACTGCCCACCGACTCCTACCCATATGTGAGCAACTTCCATGTTCATGATTAAGAAGTTCTTATGTCTTTCAGCGCGTACCGCATGTATACACGACACCGTCGTCTCCTGACGCTGCGAGATGTTGGGTTCCATCCATTGACAATTTGTGGGAGAAGTGCACTTGGGAGTTCGAATTTGTTGTTCCTCGGTATCTCGAAGAGCCTGATCCCGGTCAGCGCGGAGAGAATGGTGACTTCGAAGAGTCCCAGGAGTCTATACCAACAGTAGTTGTCTGCAGTGGCGACCTCGTGGAACAGGCATGTGATCCGCATCTTTCCCATTCGGCGAGCTAACAACGGTCGCACAGGTTGCGCATCCCAACAACTCGAACAAAACCATATTCTTGTTTTCTCAAACAGTTTTGACGTCTGTGCAGCATGTCGCTTTTGCTGCTGGCCCATTTCATGTGCATCTTATCCCGACGGAGCTTACATCAGAAGATACGTCTGGCATATCACAGCCTCTTATGCATGCGTTTTGCTTGCCCGGTCATGAAGCTATGCTTCATTCGTCGATTTCATTCCTGCGTTCGGCGATGAACTTCTACAGCACAGAATTCGGTTCCTACCCGTTTGGGTCATACAAAGTGGTGGCGGTCGACGAAATGCCTGTTCAGCGCTTCGACAGCTCGACACTTTCCTTGATCACTGTGGATCTTCTTCATGGCGAGGACGCGATTGAGCAGGTCTTGGAAACGCGGCAAGCACTTAGCCATGCGCTGGCTTGTCAGTGGATGGGAATTAACATCCAACAGAAGACATGGTCAGATACCTGGCTCGTCAACGGCCTTGCCTTGTATATCACCGGCCTATTCATCCGCAAGCTACTGGGAAATAACGAGTATCGATACAGACTCAAGCGGGACATGCAACGAGTCGTCGAGTGGGACAACGGATCAATGCCGCCCATCTGCCAGCCTCAGCATCATGATCCTCCAGATTCCATGACGTTACCTTTTGTCAACTTGAAGGCGCCCCTCGTGTTGCACATTTTGGACCGCCGTCTCGGCAAGTCTGGTACCTCTCTTGGTCTTCCTCGTGTTCTGCCGAAGATTTTTTTGTCTGCAATGAGCGGAGAGCTGCAAAACAATGCTCTATCGACGCACTCGTTCCTGCGTACCTGCAGGAAGGTCAGCGGAATTGATCTTCGGTCATTCGCTGAGCAGTGGATATACGGTAGCGGTTGTCCGGCATTCGGATTCTCTGCTTCATTCAACAGGAAGAAGATGGCAGTGGAAATTACGATGCGACAGGATTCACCTGCGTATAAGGCACTTGAGCACAATGAGGTGTCGAAACTGTTGAACAAGCCCGTTCCATTCTTTGAGGTACGTTTACGAGCGGTTACATCCTGTTTAACCCCCTCATCAGCCTCTCAAGGGCCAAATGACTGTTCGGATCCATGAGGCGGACGGTACTCCTTATGAGCACGTTCTAGACATTCGCTCGCCCTTCAAGCGCTTTGAAGTTCCTTTCAACACGAAATACAAACGTATTCGACGAAATACTAAGCGATATCTTGCACGACAAGCGGCTGCTCAGGCTGCAGCAGAAGGTGATGCCGAAGCTGCTGAAGCCATGGGTCTAATCGACATGGGTTTTGGACTCGAGATCTGGGAAAAGGAGAAGGAACGAGAAAACTGGAAGGTGGCTGACTGGACAGAGGAGGATGAGCAGGTGATGTCGGGTGCGACGTACGAATGGATCCGCATGGACGCCGATTTTGAATGGATCGCTGCTATCGCTTTCGAACAGCCCGACTTCATGTGGGTGTCGCAGTTACAGCGAGATCGTGATGTCGTCGCGCAACTGGAAGTAAGTTATTTGTCGGCAATATATTTTCCTGGCTTAAACTTTCATAGGCTGTTAATGCTCTTGCAAAGCAATCCACCGCCATCGTTTCGAGTACGTTCACCAAGACAGTGCTCGTCTCCAATTACTACTATCGCATACGATGTGAGGCCGCGATGGCCCTAGTGCATGTTAGTGTGTTTATATTTCTTACTTGTTGTCTCTGACGTGAAAACATCAGTGCGCTATTCGGAGACTTGACTTCTTAGGACTATTTCATCTGTTCAAGTTATTCCTTCGCTACTGCTACGACCCAGAAGACCCCAACCAAGATTTGTTTGCTCATACTTATGTCCCAAAGCCTAATGACTTCTCTGACCTGGCGGAATACTTTGTTCGAAAGGTATGTTTTCACAATGCTACTTCTATTCACGACTCACAAATTTTCAGAGCCTCGTTCATGCAATATCTCAAGTGCGCTTTGAGAACGGCAAGACGCCCTCAGTAGTTCGTCAGTTCCTCATCGACCAGCTTCGCTACAACGACAACACGGCCAACCCGGTGAGTACAACTCCGTCACAAATAGTTACCGGTCTAAATGTTCTTTAGTGCTCTGACGCGTTCTATATATGCACTCTCATTTCCGCCGTTGCTTGTGCTACTATCTCGACTGCTCCTCCAGAACGTGGCGAGCTCCTTCGCGAAGAAATTCGGTCGGAGCATACCACCGAGGATGCAAGCTTAATGAAGCAGGCGATCGACGAGGTCAGTAGGTATCGGAGCATGGACAGACTCATCCCGTCACCGAAGAATGTTGTCACCACTGCAGTGTTGGAAGTGAGTAGCTTCATGCATGTGAGGGCATCTCCCATTAACGACTTTGACCTCAGTTCTACTTGATTCTCACTACCGCGAACCTCATCCCGAACGATCTCAGGGTCTTTTTCCCTCTTACCCGGTATGTTATAATGGCTGTATATTCTACTTCGTCTGATTGTCTCTCAGTGAGGGTAATTATACCCAAGTTCGTCTCGCCGCCTTCGATGGCCTTTTCATGTCCAAGTGGTACACTCCCGCCATCATGCGCTACGTATTGGCTGTCATGGCGAATGACCCGTCTCGCGTGGTCCGGAGACATGTGGCCCGTAGCGCATGCCAAAGTTTAGCTCTCTTGGTGTCCATGGGGGAGATGAAGAATACCGTCAAGGATACAGAGTCTCTACTCATCGAGGAAGATGGCACTCTGCCAGAAAAGTCGAAAGAAGCGAAGAAGAGTGAGGTCGACTTGATGATCAAGGTTCTCAGGAAAGACAGAGAAATCGGCAAGAACGAGGTGTTGCGAGAGTTTTTGATGTCCATTGCTCTGTGAGTTCTGAGATATTTTTCGTGACTATCCGCTCATGCAATCATTTGACATCAAGTGCACCTGATATCGACCAGGAGGTGCGCTGGGGTATCATCAAGCTAGCTGACATTGTCCTTCGGGGAGTGGAAGAGACTCCGCCAAAGGTCACTATTCACCTGCCCCCTACGCCTGTGGCTGAAGTGCCGCCCCCGTTACCGGTGGTGAAGGCGCTGCCGAAAGCCTCTCGGCCTCTCAAGACCGGGGGTCCACCTGCTCGAGCGCCCGCTGTTCCATCTGCTCCCCCTAAGCTCAAAATCATGCCTGGCGGTGCTCAAGCCCGAAGCAACACTTTATCTGCTACTACATCCGTTGCTGCAACGCCTCCAGCCCGCACAGGCACCATGGCTCCGCCCCCAGCTCCTGCAAAAGCCAAAGGCAAACCTAAACCCAAGCTTGTGAATGGTGTCAGGCCCCCTCATCTCCCGAAGGCACAGTCAGCTGGAATGAGCTTGAACGATTTGCGTGCATCCCGCAATGCGCTTAAGAAACTCAAGATGCATAAGAGCGCGTTGCTTTTCATGCAACCCGTGGATCCCGTTCGAGACCATGCTCCAAAGTTTGTATCTTGATGATGACCTTCTACTTTCTCTTACGCTGTGATATAGCTATTATGAGGTCATCAAGAATCCTATGGATCTCAGTACCATGGGCGCTAAAATCGAGGCGGGCATGTACAAGGACCGTTTTGCCTTCGAGGGAGACTTCCGTCTTATGATAGCAAATGCGAAGCAGTACAACCCGTCTGGAACATACGCCCATACCGAGGCGATTTTCTTGGAGACATTCTTTGAAAAACGTGAGTTCAATAGCACAGAAACATTGCTTTCCCTTACCTCTGGCTAGTTTGGAACCGCATTCAGAAGACTCTCGAAGCTGCTAGCAAGAATGCAGAGCCTGTACCTGTGGAGAACTTGCCCACCATCATAGTGAAGAAACAACCCACAGCTACTTCGTCAAAGCCTCCTGCAGTCTCAGCCCCGCCGCCACCTCCGCAAGCAGAGGCTCCAGCACGTCCAGTTATCAAGCTCAAGGTTGGTGGTTCGCAAGCTAAAGCACCGCAACCAGAGCCCTCAAAGAAGGCGGCGGAGCCCAAGGCTTTGCAGAAACCCAAAGCGCGCAAGCCCAAAGCCGTTGACGATGCACCTCCGCCTTACGTTGATGATGGATCCCATGACTTGTTGCAAGAAGTCATCGCTATTGAGCGAGAAAAGGATGAGGAGAAGCGTACCCGAAAGACCAAAGATCCTGTTCGGGAATCACCCCCTGCAAGAGCTTCGGGCAGTGGACCACCTGGGAAACGCAGGAAGACGAGTGGTGACGACGATGATAGCGAGATACTGATGTTAGCCCCATCCCTTTCCAGGAAGGAAAAGCCTGGCGCTCCCAGCACGCCAGCCGTAGAGCCGTCCGTTACGCCTACTCCGAGAGTGTCTGTTAGCAAGCCAAAGAAAGATAAACCTGCAAATCTTCGCGATTCAGAATCTGCCTCCGAACCCCCGCGCACCTCTATCAAGGGCAAAGAGAAAGAGAAAGAGAAAGAAGTTGTGCCTAACAATACACCGACGCCATCGAAGGCTCGCAAGATGCAGGCGACCGCTCCACTCAATGAGAAGAAGTGTCGGGAAATTCTGAAGGTCATTTTGAAGGTGCCAGAGTGCGTTATATTCGCTCAGCCTGTAGATCCTGAGAGAGACGGTTGTCCTACGTAAGCGACATCTTGCACTATCACGACTAACCCTGAAACTGGTATAGGTACTATGAGGAGATCAAACGCCCGATGGACTTTGGTACTATGACCCAGCGTTTGAACGAGGGAAAGTACTCGACCATGGAGGACTTCCAAAAAGACGTCGAACTGGTGTTCAGTAACTGTCGAAAATTCAACCCACCCACTACGTACCCTGTCAACTGTGCGGATGTGGTGGAGAAAGTCTTCAGGAAAGAATGGGCAAAGGTGATAGAGAAGAAGATTTCTTGGACGGAGAAGAGGACCTTACAAGCACTGATGACCCAACTGGTGAAGGAGGACGTGTAAGGTTTTTTTTCGTCTATGGTGGTTCAAGCGCGCTAACTTTACCGTAGTTCTTGGGTATTTCGAGAACCTGTCGACCCTGTCATGTTGGGTATCCCGACGTATTTTGACGTCATACCGAAGAGGGATGCAAGAGACCTGAGGACGATCCGCCAGAAGTTGGACGCTGACAAGTACGACTCGGTGGAAGGATTTGAGGCAGACATCGACCTCATGATCCGAAACGCCATCACCTTCAATGGTGCGGACTCTGAAGTCGGGCATATCGCGGTGGCCGTGCGTGACCGGGTCAAGGAGCTGTTCGGCGGAGTCAAGGCGAGTGTAGGGACCAAGAAACGCAAGGACGGCGAGAAAGGGACACCTCAGCCGTCGAAGAAGGTGAAGCTCGTCTGAGGATCGTATGTTAAATTACTGCAATAATCCATTTGTATCTATTACTACTCGCTATTCTTTGCTATGTAATTGCTCTCGCGGTAGCCACATCGAACTCTCATCACAAGCAACTCCGCCGCAGCTGCCGTGACGAATTCATTTTTGGTGAGCGCTATATAGTGGTCCTTACTAATCGATCACAGATGCTCGATAAAAGGTACCAATGCCCAAAAGGCGCCTGTATCGGAGAGGTTGCGGAGCCGTAGTGACAGTTCAAAATTCAGGGGCTGTTTGAATGGCAAGCTGTTGTCAAATAGTGACGAACAACGCCTCAGATCGCGACTCCCCCGAACTTATGACCGCTATTCAATACTCAAGGTTGAGCAGCTTTGCTGGATTGCACACGTCGTTTGGTAGCCTTTTTCTGAACGAATCCTACCCACAGTAAATCACTGCTCACATACTGCACGAGCTGCGTGGTTAGCGACCGCTAAGACTGAGGTACGCTCTTCGCCAGATGTGGATGAAGAGGACACGTAGCACCGACTGAGAGCGAACGACGTCCGAGGCGAGTATTACGTATCTCATTGGAGATATGGAGATACTCGAGCTCTAGCTGAGGGTGGGATGGTGCTCATCCCGTACTACAGAAAAATCCTTTGAAACAAGGGAAGTGGTGCGGGGAAACCTGTACCTTTCGTCGGACTGGATGGTCAGGCTAACTCGAAAGCAGCTGCGTGACGGCAAGTTCATTGTTTTGGATGATACAGTAAAACCCGTCGATGATAGCGCCTCCTGACCTTTAATTTGCGCCAGATGACGATTCGATGCCATTCTACATGCCGGCGACATCGAAGATGCGGCGGTGTATGTCTCATAAGGCAGTTTTTCGCATGTAGTTGGCTCATGTTGACCTTACCAGCAACCTCCGACTCCTCCTGTGGTGAAAGACGCCACATCTTCCACCCTTCTAAGGATTCTGAAATGACTGCAATCAAGGACAGATCAGGTGAGCTGCAGCAAGAATTCACGCCCCTAAGCATACTGTCATTACGCAAACCCCTATACAGTGGAATGGTGCAACTACCTCTGAAAGTGTGCAGACATTTTATTGATCGAACATGTCTTTGTTGACCACGGGCAGCTGTTCTATTGAATCCAACAAGCAGAGGATGACATCAGCGGTGGCCAGAGCGTGACAATGGCGTCCCCTTACCTAGTTCTGGCGACCTCGTCAATATGTCCCAAACCTGTCACCGATCGGCCGGAGCCTGCAAGGCTAGGTGACCGGCATTGTAATCTGCCAGTATTCTCTGCATCTCTGTCCTCCCTACGATTCACCATCTCCAAATGCCCGCTCGCCCACACCTCACTGAGTCATGGCCGCCGAGACACTAATTTTTCGGCGTCTCAGCCACATGTGCTCCTCTCGGTCGCTACTGTGTAGGACAGAAGGGTTCATTCGTTCGTTCACCTTCTCTACCTTCCACTGTTGATCGGTTCCGCAACCCCTGTATGTCTCGCCACCGCAGAAAACTAGCATCATACATCAATATAACGACAGATCCTCGCTGCGTCAACAACAGGGACGATCGCAACACAGCCCGCAAGTACCTGCCACAGCCGCATTCGCAAGTGGAGCTCTTTCACGTCCGGATGGAACTCGCTGATTGCTTGCCGGGGCATCATGAATCACCCGGAATCGGGCTCATATTAGGTGGAGCGAAATATCACCTTTGCCTCGAAGAACACCGAATCGACAACTTCCACCTAGTGATGGGTGAGTTAGGTATACAGATTGCGTACCGTAGAGCACCCTCCGGTACGCAATCTGTGTATCAAAGGACGCATGTTTCTTCTACTAGTACTTGGCGATGGGTGCAATTGGAACGTGAGCAACTGGGCGCTGCCTAAGTCTAGAATGTTCTATTAGCCTCGACTCATAGTAAGTAGAAGAAGGAAGGAGCACTTCTCGTAACGTCACCTGTTGGCGCCTAACTCCGTCGGAGTCCCATCATTCTCCAGATCTGCAGAGTCATTATTTAAATTCGCCATCGTGATGCCACGTCTCGCATCCCCGCAATGCTTCCTGTAGCTGTCATATCGGATTGGTGGTATCTCGGTGTCGTCTACATTATTGAGCGCGAGTGGAGGGGGGTTGGAATGAGCTGCGTCGTTCGACTTCCTAAACCTAGAATTATGTACTGTCCCAATCGAATTTCAATGACATATTCACCTTTACCTCGAAGAACACTGAATCAATAACTTCCACTTACTAGTAGTAGTGATGGATGAGTTAGTTAGGTTATCAGGTATAGTAGTCTCCTCTATCAGACCTGTAGAAGAACTTGAAGGAAGAACTCCTCGCGTATCATCTTATCATCATATGTATCATCGGAGTCCCCGGTGAAAATCGGACAGTGCGAGTAGTACTAGCTGCGAGTATGTCTCGCCAGTATCATATCATACCGTCTTGATTCTATATTATAAGTGTCTCAGTGGTCTATGTAGTTGCAAGATGTTTCGGCTATACTTATCGGTAAGTTACTTTATTCGAATTGATATTGCTTGGGTATGACGATCAGTGTTTCAGTGTCGTCTATTGCTACGACCTAGCTGGACTCATAACTGGTATGGAGAACATTGACCTGGAAGAGTTCGTCTTTGACCGCGTTCTGGATGAAAGTACGTATGTATCGGCCCAGCTACTTGACGGGCCAACAATTTTCGTGTTCTTGCATTAGACACGCTCGCACATACTGTCGCTGTTCTGGGCACACTGCCATCCCCATCGACTTCCTCCGCGCCCCTCCGTGCCATAATTCGCTTCGAGCGCACGGCACTACCATCTACACTCGCCTCTCAGCTTTCATCTGGCATTCTCGAATCCAAAAAGCAGATCGGAAGCACCGACATTGCACGTCCCTCCTTTTCCCTGCCAACCAAACGCTGATCAATCCGTCCGATGCCATTTAGTATTCATGGTTCTTAGCCTGGCTTCACAAGCGCGATGACATCCCCGACATGAAGATATATGTCATCTGCCCTGCCACAGACGTCCACATTCGCAAGGTTCGTCTTATTCATTCATTTTTCATCATTCACGTTGATTGCCATGCGCTAGTATACAAAGCAGGACGTGCTCATGGTGCACGAGACACCTGCTCTCTACCAGTCCATCGTCCAACCCTACATACTCGCCTTCGACCCCGCACGCACACAATGGTACTCCCTGTCCCTGTCCCTATCCCTGTCCACAAGCTGACACTACCACAGGGTTCAGGACATCCTCGCAGGCACCGCCGAAGCATCTAGTATCCTCAACGCCTCTCCGGACTTCCTCATCCTTCCCGATATGAAATGGGACAGGACCTAATGTCTCCACCCTCTACCTCCTTGCACTCTATACGCACTCTGACGTATCATGTATGCGTGATCTCCGTAAGAAGCACCACTTGGGCATGCTCAAGACCCTCAGGAGAGATGCTCGGAGAGTTGTGCAGGATAAGTGGGGCATTGGCCGTGGTAGCCGTCAGGATGTACGTGCATTATCAGCCGAGTTATTGTAAGTTGTTCCTCGGTGGTCAAGAATCAATGTGAATCTATTGCGCAGACCACTTCCACGTGCATATCGTCCACACTGGTCCATGTTGGGCTGAACGGGATGGCGGTGGGGCAAGCCCACCTACTGGATGATATCATTTCGTTGGTACGTCATGTTTCCCTACCTTTGTCCTACAATCTCATGCTGATGTATGTTATTCATTGCCTCCAAAGCTCGAACTAGACCCTGACGATGGCCCTTCCATCCTCGAGCACATGACGTTCACTTATGGACTCGGCACTGAACATGGGTTGTACAAGCCCATGGCCGCAGCACTTGCAGAGATGCATGACGATGTGGATTAGATGGCGATGAGAACGGACGACAGGGGACTAGGAGACCGTGAAAGGATATCCATATAAAGGTCTGAGACCAGCAGGAAGTACTAACAGTGTAACACTATGCACGAGAAAAATCCCCCGCAGAGATTCGAGTACTGTGTCCGTCGTAGAGCGCAATACCCCCGTTTGTAGCTGGGATCGGCGCCCCACTGCGGAAATACATGATATCGATGAGTAGGCTCTAGACTAGCCTGACTGTACTACCACGGATGCTCGAAATCCTCAACATCTCAAAAATGAGAGATCGCTGTATCTGTATTGTTGTGGTGGCACGCACACTTTTCAAAAATGCCACCGGAGGCATCTTTGCAAGCAGCTGATTGGTGCACAATCTGCTGTTCTGAACTTGAACGATTTCAACTTTAACTGATCTCGTTGCTGTCGAAGTCTTTCCAACCGGCACTCAAAATCAGATAGTCAAAAAGCATGATGTCGAGCTTCCAGAGTGATCTTCGTAGCTTAAGGGAACATTTATCCCAGCACTATTTTTGAAAATATTTTGACTTGGGTGAAAGAGCAATATTAATGTCAGTTCGATCTCTAGAGGACACCGTGACGACTAGGTATCAACTGTCCACAGTTCTTCAAAGAAATGCCCTGCTTCAGACAGGTTGAAGCGAGCGTTGCGGATAATAAACAGGAGGACAATGAGATACGTTATTATCAAGGATACAACAAGCTTTGCAGGGCGCATTTAATTGAGAAGAAACAACCTGCAAATCGAAAAAATGAAGCCTTGAGCTCATTAGAGCACCGAGTAGACTGTAATATGGCACCAAGGTACCGTCGTGATCCTGACGACGATACAGAGAATTCCAGTGGGGTATGGAGCGAACCGACCTCCAACGGTCGTACAATAGACAACGAGCGACCGAGCTCACTATACGGAGATGTCAACTTTTGGATTCGACAGTAGGGGCATCACGAAAGCTAAGAATTGAAGAAAATATATGGGAGGAAAGTGCATGAGGCGCGTGTTGAAAGTTAAGCGCGATCGATCATGTATTCGCTTTTCTTCGTGCTTGACGCTTCATGAGCGAAGTCAATTGACAACCCATCGTCCAAAGACACCTCGACCAGAGCCTCCCCTGCTCCAAAAAGCTGAGCATCTTGGATTCCGGAACAGACAAAAAAAACTCACATTGATCGATATATGCTTAATGTGTATACCTAGAAACCAGCACTCTATGGAGCTCGTGCTTCCTTGGTACACTGACAGAAGATTATATTCCAGCGGTCGCAGGCATCGAAGAGCTATTAGCTCAAACTTTAAAAAGTCACCCGTGATAACCTACAATGCGGGAAATCAACCAACCTACGCGATCCCAATCATTCCGACTGATTGCTGCCTACGATTCATCAGCGAAGGTCGTCCAGTACAAAAAAGGGATGGACACTGACTGGTTCAAATCTGAAACACAAAATAGAGTACATTTGTCAAAGGACCAGACGCTGTGAGATAGGCAACAGAAATTTTGCAAGGATTAAGATCTGCAAGTAGGTTTTACTGAGGTTCACATTCCGTGCCGATGAACCTTGCTTTCCTCAATGACTTGACGCTGCGCGGGAGATATGGCAATGGCTTGCGACGACAACCTGTGCATGTATTATATGTGTAGCATGTTCATCGTGTAGGAACCGTGGTGCGAGAGAATACATATGAACTAGAAGCTTGAGGATGTATAGACTCGTTCTGAAAGTGAAACTCAGCGTGCGCCATTCAGAGGAGATGGAGACTTGCCCGTTGGCTGCAGAAAAGTCTCAGTCTTCGACTTTTCGCGTTGGCTGAGATGTGGCAACGATATACGATCCGGTTGAGTTCTAACAACGATATCTCGGTAATCCCAGTGGCGAGATCAGGACCCAGGTGGCAGTTGAAACCGCAGGAAAATAATATTGTGCCCAAAAGTATGTACCGCTGTAATTTGGCGAGTAATGTGCGACATCCAAGACTCCAGGTGCCACACTATCGCCTTTCCATTGGGGTCAAATGTTATCAGACAGTCGTCCTATTGCCAGAGTTTTCATGGAGGTCCAATATATAAAGTTTCTCGCTTGTGGGGGGAAGCCGATCAATAGGTTTCTGAATCTTAGACCCGAGAATCCAAGGGAGGCTGCAGAAACTTTAGCTTGAATTGGCAAGCGGAGTTGACCACCAGGGTCCAAAGTCACTTCGATTTCCAGCTGTGGACCTAACGCAAACCTGACGCCCATAAACTATTCACGATCCGCTGTCGTCCTGCAAAACTTGGCTCAGCTTCAACCGCTCAGATGGCTTTTCGCTACCGAATTTCTTGAATTGCTGATCTTGAAGAACGACGAGAGGCTCGAGCAGCTTCGATACCCCTTCACGCACCCATGGACCCCGCAAATGCGAGTCGCCTACGATGTATTGTGCCTCCCCACGAGGGTATGCAAGACGGCGTTGCACTTCAAGTTAGATTGGCCACAGCTCAGCATCGCCAACCGCATTGATAACAGCAAGAACTGGACACCGCGACGGTGAAAAATCGCAGTTTTTTCATCAGCAACGGAGCTGGAGTTCTTCATGGTTTCTGCATCTTGACGGTATTTCTTCTTATGTTGGATCATTCGGTTCGACATTCTTCACATCTGGATGCGCGGAAATTTTTGGAGAAGTTGAGGCAGCTTACAATGCTTGGGGGGCACTGAGCCGGATCATAGTCACTGGTGAGTGTCTTGTTCACTCAAACTATGTTGTGTTTTTGGGGCATATCACTACTGGAGTGGCAATGGGCGCCACTCGTTGATGTTGATGAGGGCGGTTGCGCCAGTTGAGACTTGGGGATCCAGTCTTGATGCAGTCATAGTGACTATCTTGACTCACGCCAATGCGGCTTGAGACATTTTGAGGGCTTGAGGGCACACGCTGAGTTGTTTCCATGTTTCATGATGGCGGTTGGGAACTTGCCTGGCTCGTGCGCACAAAGTAGCGTGACACCCCTTTTTGGGTCACGCAACGCGTCACACCATTGTGTCACGATGTCCTCGCAGAGGGAGTGACTGGGCATTGCGTATTCTGGCATTTCGAGGGGATGCAGTCGCTCAGCATGGTTTATCAGCATATTGCAGATATGTTGTGTATCATACAACTGAGAGTTCTCCATAATAGAGTCTCCACGCACTTGAGCTTGACACTGACTCTCTTTGCCAGCCAGGGATCAGACGGGACGTAATCCTTATGATGCTCTAAGCAACACATAAGAAAGAGGTTGAACGGTTCGTCGAGGCCGGTGCTGTGTATTGTGGAGCTTGAATGTGCAGGTCCTACGACGGTGGTCCGTAGGTTTGATCAGAGCAACCAGACTGGTGCCCACGATGGTCATGCTGTCCCTCCTGCCCCGTCTTGTGCCTCTCGTTCAACTTGCGCTATCGATGGCTGGTTCTGGATAGAGGTCGCCCATGACGATGCTTAAAGGATTGGTTCCGCGGAAGCAAATTTTGTACCAATATTTGATGATCCACAAGTGCCACATCGGAACAGGCGCCCACCAGGCATTCGGTACTAGCTCAGCCCTGTCGGAATTGCGAATTTGGGTTCTAGTCCCCGCCTTCTCAATTTACTTATTTTCGCTTTGACCCTCCGCTTGTATTTAATCCCCAATGCCTCCACGCAGGTTAAACGACATTCCTTTTCCTTCCTTTTCACTTGTGTTAAGTCAGTATTCGACAAACAAGATGAGGCTACCGAGCTACAGGAATTCCTATTTACTGCGTTTCCACCCTTACCCGAGAGTAAAGTTGAGCCAGCGTGAGATGATGGTGAGCCACGCGAACCTGATCCTAGCGCTTTTTCTGACACTTGTTGCAAAGCAAACTATAGATGATCGTCTCAGCAGCGAGTACGACGCTGTTGAAGATGATGACAGTGCTGGGCCCGCGCTTCTCATCTTTGTATGCGTTTTCTTTAAATTGTCTTGCAGCCTTGCTTAGTCCTCATTTGTAGCCTGACCTCCCTGAGGAGCAGCATCCCAATGCCGTGAATCTGGAGGAAGCCATGAAAGATGCCGAGGCAGGCGCCCAACCTCTCGTCAGGCGTCTAAGCTTGACCACTCTGATCATCGTACGTTGGCTAGCCTTGCTTGATCGCGTAGCCTCACACGTTACGTCGACAGGACCTTGCATCACTAGTAGCGAGGACGCTAACTTTGAAAACCAAGTAGCCGCACAGGCGTTACTCGACGCTAAAATTTATGCTTTAATAAGCTGGTACCCATCTACTAATTCCGGTCATGCTGTTGACTCTCCTTCAACTTGTATATCGCCCACGCTGTCATTGTACCATACGATCGCTCGTTAAAACCACTCAAATTTGCACTATTCGATCTATCCCTCCCTTGCTCTCTATATCATCTTACATACACGCATACCTGTGCCATATCATCCCGTCAATACATCTAGTGGAAAGGTTTCTTGCAACCTGGTCAGTGAATTCGAGAAAGCAGCAGCTAAGCTTTACACTCTGGTACATAGGCAGACCATAGGAGAGTCGATACTTAGTGCCGCCAACCTTATTGTGCTTCCGATCACAAATGTCCGCTAGCCAGCGCTCATTTAAAAATTTAGGGAGCTTATTGTGTTCTAGTCTCCTAGATATGGACATCGCAAGCTGTGTTTGAGGACAGGGAAAGAAGCGTACCTGTGAGATTGAAAGCTATCTGCAGACATAGACTTGTTCTCGGAACCTTATTAGGCTCGAATGAAACCACATGACTTCTCCCTCTGATATGCTTCTCAGGCCTAGACTATGCCGTGGCGCGCTCGGATGCAATACATTAAGTACGGCATGCGGGGTGACCATTTGGAGTCTCAGTCATGATATCGTGCGACCGGATGCGAGCGATAAGAATCCAGAACCTTGAAAGACATTAAGCCAAGACTCTTAAGCAAAGAATGTAACCACCCTGAACGTCTTGATATGATAGAGTTCATGAGGAACCACTGTGCAAAAACTTTGATAACAGCTGCGCCGACACTTCATAACATCACTACCATGGACGGACATGAAATGTGTTGTTGTAGAAAAGCATCAGGAACGTATATTGCGGACAGAAAGTACTAGTAGTAATGATGCGAGTTCTCTTTACTCGCATGCACTCATCAAAGGAGTAATGCAACGGACGAGTTTTCTACTAGTGCGCAGTCGGACGGCAGTCCATCCTCGCCTAAATCTTCATCAGGAAACCCACTGCCGAGCGAAGTGACTTGTAGCAGCTTGTAGCACAGCGCTTCTTTTGAATCGACTGTAGCAGCTTGTAGCAGCCAGTAGTAGCTGAAAGGACTAAAGCCTCCATACTGGCTCCGGGACTTGTTCCGTCAAAATTATAGTTTTAACTTCAAATGGTTTAGTTTGATTTGCTATGACGTGCTACCCGAGCTCCTGTAGCATTCGACTACTACTGTAGCAGGGCTTTGCTACTGCGCTTCGGCTTGCTACGTAGAACTATATAGTTCGAAATATCCCACTGATGTTGATTCTGTTAGTTGATCTCGTCAAGAAAACGCTACAGATGCAAACCTGTCTAATGATGTTTAATGTCCTAACGATAGAAAAAAACACGCACCGCGTTACATACCGTGCGATTTGACCAAATGAAGTCCCGCCCAGATACTCAGAGAAGGGCAGTGTGTGCGGAGGGTCCCGCAGAGGTCCCAGTATCTTGAGTTTCGGGATCAAAAGTAGAAACTTCTCAGTTAGAGACCCGAGTGGCGTTGATACTGATGAACGAGATTCGAAAGTGTCCATTAAGGAGGTTCCGGCGCCAAGGGCCACAAAGGTTGCACCGATGTCGTCTTATGCATCATGACAGAACGCGCGGCTGCATCGTAGCGCTGACGGGCAATGTTAATGACCCACCATGAAGCTTCGCTATCCTCACTCGGAGGCTAGCACAGAACCAGGACGCCGAGTGAAATCCGAGCGCACGGATGTTGAGATCTCGAGGTAAGGTCGTTATGTCTGTACGAGCAATCGCGTACGTCGGTGAACTTCCTGAAAAATAATCGTCTTAAAATGGAACGACCTTCCGCGAGTTCATGACCAACATGTGGTGGGCTGCTTTGTTGATTATTTGTTGCACCCAAAGTTGACCACGGCGTCGAACGGGCCGCCAGGCAGGCAGAAACGAAGTGGCAGCCTGGGATGATTAGAACGGCTGGGAGCATCTGAGTGAATGCACTGGGGATCGTGTAAATTAAGTGTCACATCTTGCAGCAGAGCAAGAATCTGTTTGGTTGTGTGTATAAACAGCATCAAGCCACGGAAAAGCATGCCATAGACATCACAAGGAAAATAATAATAGTAGTAAATGCGATTATTCGATCCACTTCAATACATACTCAGGTACCCTATGGCCTGAAGAGCGACTGGCGACCATCAGCCAACTCCGAATGCAAGAAGGACGGGCTTACTGCACGGCTTGCTTCCGGGGAAGACCAGCGGAGTTTTTCACTGGGATCTGAACCAACGGAGAACCAGAAAGCATTCGACAGTCGAACTATTGCATGTACGTTGTAGCAGCAACCGCACAGTAGGTAGTTGCTAGTTGGGGCCTTCATAAAACCTGTGTCTTGACCTTGCGACCCTTTGAGCTTGACCTGGGAGCGCAGCGACAATTGCAATACTGAGACAGTCACGAACGCAAGTGTCAGTTCAAAGTCCAGCATATAATTAAACACAATCAGTCTTGCCTTGGGTTCATCTTCAGTTCGCATGGACGCTTCATGAGTATGCAGAACGTCCGTCCTACGCGTTCACAGCAATTCCATCGTCCAAGATATATCATGCTAAAACCGAACCTGCTCCGGAAGGTTGAGCATCTTGAGTTTTAAGAACAAACGACGCACTCACCTGATACTTCGTGTTTGTCTACTCGAACAAAGTAGCCCGCCGCTCTATGGATCTTGTGCTTTCTTGGTATACTGACAGGAACCTGGAAAATGATATTCATGTGTGTCGAAGGTTCTGGCAGCACTATCAGCTCGACCCGTACTTGATCGCTCATTCACGACCTACAATGAGGAAAAACAACCGACCAACTAACCCAAGCGATCCTGAGTGGGCTATTGCTGAGGCCTTTAATTTAAATCAAGAGCGATAGCATCAGTGAAGGTCGTCACATACGAAAAAGGGACAGAGCACTGACTTGTCCAAGTTTGAAACGCGAGCCAACTCGATAAAGGGCCAAACGTTGTCACATAGGTGAAGGAGAAGCCAGAAAATCTGTAAGGTAGGGTAGTCCTGACGAAGTTCAAATGCCGTGCCGATGAATTTTGTTCTCGTCAATTTATTTGAAGTTGTGTAGGAGACGCGATAGTGGCTGCACGCGAGCAGCGACTTTTCACTTATAAACTTTCAAGGGGAAAAATCGATGGATTTCTTAGACTCCAAGAATCGATGGCTTCAAGCTTCGGTTGTTTGAGGCGGTAGATGAGTTCATTCAAGGAGGCTACAAAACTGTGGCTTGAATTGTCGAGCGGAGTTGTGGATTTAGAACCACTGGGATCCGAAGCCCACTTCAATTTCAGGGTCAGTATGATACTGAACCAAATGGAAACCTGACGCCCACGTCGACGAGCCACAATATTCGTCCTGCAAAACAACACTTCGCTTAGCATCAAACCACTCAAGCTTACCGCAGACGGGCAACTCGCAACTGATTTTTTTTGGATCGCTGATTGAAGAATGACTCGCATACGAGCGACCTCGATGTACGCCGACGCGAGCCACAATATTAATCCAATCGTCCTGCAAAACAATACTCGACTTAGCTTCAAACCTCACAAGCCGTATCGCAGAGGGGCGACTCGCAACTGTTTTTTTTGCTTTTTTGTTTTTGTTTTTGTTTTGGAAACGCTGATCTTGAAGGATGTCTTGGACGCGAGCGATTACAATACCCCTTCCTCACGCATCCATGGACCTCGGAGTCGCCTAAAAGATTTGTTCACGAGGACATGCAATACTTGGTCGCATGTCGAGTGAGGTGATCACAGCTCAACATCGCCAACTGCGTCGACAACAGCAAGAACCGAACAGTCGACTGCATGACGGTGAAAAATTGCGGGTTTTTCTTCACCAACGGAACTGGGGGTCTTCATGGCTTCTGCACCTCGATGACATTTGTTCTCATGTTCAATCATCGGACTGGAACATTTTTTTCCGCCTGGATACGCGGGAATTCATGGCAAGGCTGAGGCAGTTTACGATGCATGGGGGGCGCTGAGCCGGATCATAGTCATTGTGAGTGTCTTGTTCACTCCAACCATGTTTGTTTCTGGCATATCACTACTGGAGTGGCAATGGTTGCCACCTGTTGATGTTGATGAGGGCGGTTGCACCAGTTGAGACTTGGAGGGCGATCTTGATGCAGCCATAGTGAATATCTTCACACCAATGCTGCTTGAAATATCTTGCGGGCTTGATGGCACACTGTTGAGTTTCCTTCATGCTATGATGGCGGTTGCGGACTTGCCTGGCTCGTGCGAGCGTGCGCGTAAAGTAGCGTGACGCCCCTTTTTGGGTCACATGGCACGTCACAATGCTATGGTGTCACGCTGCTCTTTGTCTTCAATGCACAGTTCGACGTGGGGCATGTCGAGGGTCTCAGGGTAGGTTTCCAGCGAGTTGCAGAATGAGTTATCAGTGTATTGCGGATATATCGTGTACCAACACACCGACATCTTTTCATAAAGGAGTCCATGCACTCGAACCTCGTGTACTGACTTTTCTTTTCAGCCAGGGATCAGATGAGGCGTCTACCCGTACAGCATCCTTATGATGCCGCACTGGACCTAAGAGGTTGAAACAGGTCATCGAGGTCTATGGTGTGTTGTGGAGCTTGCACGTCCAGGTCCTGCAATGTTGGTCTGTAGTTCGATGGGACAACCTACATCTGTTTGACCGCACGAAAAGCAAGTAATGTTTGGTAATGGAGGCGCAGGTTGTGATTGACGCTACTTCTTTGATGGAGGTGGAGCTGGCTGTCCGCTTTGTTGCGCAGAGCCTGCGTTTTGAGGCGGGGGTTGGGGCTGGGGCTGTCGTGCTGTCCCAGTGCCTCTCGTTTCGCATTATCAAGGGCTGGCTCTGGATGGACGTCGTCGTCGTTTATGGTCAGTCAACGATCAGGTCTGGAAATTGGTCCCGCGGCAGCTAATTTTGTACTGTTGAAGATCCACGAGTGTCAAAACTGGACCAGACGCCCACTTACAGACGTGCTGTCCCTCCTACACCCAGTCTTGTGCCTCTTGTTTGGCCCCATCGACGGCGAATTCTGGATTCGGACATTGTCGATGATTATCCCTTGAAGATTGATCCCACGGAAACAAATTTCGATATTTGGGTATGCGCCAGCCACACTGGAACAGGCGCCCACCAGTTATTTGGCACTAAAGCTCAGCCCTGTCGGAACTGCGAATTTAGGGTTCTAGTGCCCTCTCAATTCAATTATTTTTTTCCGCTTTCCTGGTATTTAAACCCGAATGCCTCGACCCAGAACAAACGACATTTCTTTCCTTGATTTCACTTGTTCTAAGTCTCTGTTTGACTAGTAACATGAGGTTGCCAAGTTATAGGTCATCATATATGATTCGGTATCACCCTTATCCCAGGGTGAAGTTAAGCACACGGGAAATGTTGATGGTGGGTTATGTGAACTTCTGTTGAGCGCTATTTTTGATGCTTCTTGTCACGGTCAGGCAACTAGCCAAGATGATCACATCTTGATGATGGTGAGCTACGCGAACCTCATTTAATTACTGTATTTTTGATGCATTCATTACGAAGCAAACTCGACTCAGCCAGGACGACGCTGAACCAGAACAGGACGGCACTGAATCAGAACAAGACGACGCTGAACCCAATATTCTCGTTTTTGTAGGTTCTCTGTTCACATCCACTTAGTTTTCAACCTGAACTTCCTGAGGAGCAGCAGGACGCACATGCTGCAGATCTGCCAGAAGCTGTCAATGTCGCGGAAGGAGGCGGTGAACCTCGCGTTAGGCCTTTGAGCTTGACGACGTTAATCGTCGTATGTTAGCTAGCATTGTTTCATTTGCGTTTACTCACTCGCACGTTACGTCGCCAGGTCCTTACGTTGTTGATAGCAAAGCTGGCTTTCGCAACCGGTTGGTTCGCATAGCCGCGCAGGTCAGGCCTTTTCGTTAAAACGGGCGAACGGATCCGCTTTCGCAAGTCACACCCGGTTCACATTCTTCTTCACCATTTGTTGATTCTCTGTCAACTTTTTCGCATCATGCTATCAATGTACCCACTCGCTTCTTAAAATGCTTTACGTCGTTTGCTCTCGATGCTACTTATCATCTTAATACACTTGTACCATACCATATACTCGTACCATATCGTCAATATTGAAAAGAGATCAAGCTTGTGTTTCCTTCAAAATGTGCAAATCGGGGGAATGAATGGTTGATCTGACACGCGAGCTATTTCCCCGCTTGTCACTACCTTGTATTTGGGTTGCAATTTTTTTGGTCAAAGACAGCCTGAAGCACGGTCCAACTTATGGAAGCTGTTCAGCATGGTGACACTGCATTGATGGACGAAAGAAATCTCAGTGACGTATGTTAGGCGTCTCGCCTGCATAACGTGTCACATCCAAACGCTAAGTTGGACCTTTGTTGCTAGATATTTGGCTAGACAACGCGCAGGATATTGCACACTTCTTGTTGAAAGGCTTCGAGAAACATCGGAAAATGCAATCATAAGTCACGACACAACGTTAGGAGGACTGCCACAAGGTATCGATTAGAACCCCCCCGCCGTCACAAAGTCAGAGGGGTATCGTTCAGGTGGCATGCCCATCATCGGCTCTCCTCTTGCTGCTGCAGCAGTCTTCGCTACCACAGTAGCATGCAAGCCCTCGAGTGCTTCTGTCCACTTCTCAAGTGCGGCATAACGCTTCTTCTCCAGTGCGTGGCTGTGTTTAAGTCAGCATGGGGCCGTGTAAGACAGAACGGTAGAGGTTTGTTCACCTTTGATCCAGTTCAAGGCGCATGCCGACTTGGTCGATCCGGCCATCAACCTTTCCCTCGAGGATAAGCCCAATAAGGAGCTCCTCGACCTCGGCAATTTCGACGTTAAGTTGCTAAACGACTGTGAGCGTCAAAGATAGTTACAAACGATCGAAACAATCACTTTGGCGAGGAACGAGAGCTCAAGTCTCGTGTAGGGTTTGATGAGGTCAATCAAGTAGGACGTGCGCAGACTGCGTAGAAGTTCGCCGATATACGATCTGATAAATAGATCATCCATAATTGTTGACCGGTTATCTGCCGCCGCGTTGAGCACCGTGCATTGGATAAATGAAGGGCCCAACCTCGTAAGATCTTCTCAGCTAGGTGAACTTCTCTACGTTGATAGGCGTCTACAAGATCTGTCATGGCTTTGATCTGTGAGTCATTCTTGTACGGCTTTGTCTCCTGGGAGTCGAATGGGTTGACCTCAGATCCGGTGAGCATGTTCGCGAGGACAAGGTACTTGAGAACTTGGATGCGTTGCGGAGAGCCGGCTTCATCGTAGTTGCGGAAGGACTCGAAAAAGTCCTCTGAAGCACGGTTCCACTGTCCTGCATGGTAGCGTCAGACATAAGCGGAGATCAGGGGATGAACAAGAGTCACTTTCGCCCATCCACATCTTCCCTCCGCACTCCTTGATGACACCCATAATCCGCGGATGTGGAATTGCGGAGCGCACACTATTGGATGCATTATAGATTTCCTATGTTCGACATTTTGACTATGACTGAGCGGCTGAGGGAGATGCTAGAACACGTACCTTGAGCTTCTTGACGTTACGCATCTCATTGTGCATTTGAATCTCGAGTGCATAGATCTCGAGGAGCTGGGTACCCCGTTGCGACTGGTCTTCGCTATCCATGGCAGCTTTGGTCGTGGCGTGCAAGTCGCGGATGAGCTGGTTGGCAGAGGCTGTTGAGGTTATATATATGAAGAAAGATGATGGGTACCTTTGACAAACGCCCGTACTCTTTTCGATCTAGCCAAAGCTTCGCAAGTTTCAAGTTCGTCTTGACAGACAGACGCTACAGGGGATGTCAATCCAAGAGCGTTAATTCATCATCGCAGTACTCACGTCGTTTTTCGCCTCCTCAAGCGCATCTTTGGTCGCCTGATAGAATCTTTCTAGCACATCTACCTCGACCGGACCACTCTTCCCACCACCCACGTAATCAAGGATGCCATTGATGGTCTTCTCAGAGTAGTTTCGTGTGACTGCAGACTTGGTGTAGGTGAGAAGTTGAGTGTAGGTCTTCAACGCTTCTGCTGGTCTGTGCAGCTGCAGGAAGAGTAGTTTGGTGGATTGCTTCAGAGCCTTGAAGCCCCTGGGAGGTAACCATTAGCATACAGTTGGTTCATGGGCAGGGAAAATATACCAGTCCCCTTTCTCTGTTTCCTGGTCTGCTATAGCGCGAAAGTCTTTGAGTGCTTCCTCTGGATTATCTTCTTTCTTTGCTGGGAGAAGAAATGTATCAATGACTCACGCCAAACACCAGCCTGAGAATACCCACATTTTGCAGTATAGTACATGTTCTCTACATCAGCACTCCCGGATTCATTGGCTTCGTCACCATCAGAGTAGTCGAAGCCGTAATCCTGCAAAATTGTTTGGGGTCAGCACAACCGTCCAAGGGGCTGATAATGAGAGTGCGACCTCATCATCACTGCCCTGCATGTAATCGGCGTCATCGTCATCCATCGTGTGTGTGCGTTTATGCGGTTAACAACGAAGACGTTTGGCTAATATCAATGATGAAATGATGAACGCGTGCAGCCTCACGTAGGAGTTCAGTACGGTGGCGCGCCACACAACTTGAAATTCTCTCCTGTTGGATGAAGTGCACAGCATGGCAATTTGTGAATGAAACAGGCTGATATCCTAGTTCCTGGAGACAGATTCGAATTCGTTGGTTCACAGCCGTACATTCACATTCAGGGCCCATCATCACAATCTCGTGTATAATGGAATAGGCTGGTCGTAATGGGTATACTGTGGTAAAGATACGTGCAGGCATCGCGGAGAAGGTCAAATATCTATGATAGATTCAGAAACTGAAACGCTCGGAGAGACACTCATAGTATCATGAACCAGGCGCCTTGTCCAGAAAGATGACATATTTGCACTCTTCTGGAAGACGTTTGGTTCACGATGGGATAGGATAATATGGTTGGCACTTATATCGCTAGACCTTAGAAAGCTTCATAGTCACGTGGATGAAGGTGGATGAGCGGCGCATCAACAATGACATGCGATGGTCGACGCGTGTTCCCTTGAAGACCACCACATCACAGTGGGAGTGAGCGAAGAGCTTTCCCGTCAATGTCAAGGAAGCCGATTGCATCCTCAAGACATGTCTCGGCATGACTAGCAACGCGCAGATGTGAGAAGTACGTCATGATCAAGACGTTGACAGCAATCGCAAGCTTTGTGGCAACGTTCTCAAGACCTGACAAGATTGTAAGCGCGGTTGTCGGCCAATATCTAACACATTATGAGGCCTCAACAAACAAAGTCCGATTGTAGATCCTCTACGTATGCACCTCTGGATAACAATGAAACTGTGACTGCGAGATGATGCCATGAGTATCAACCTACACCAAAAGTAATGGACATACTCATGCCGATGGCCTTTGGAATGCTCTCCATTCATTAGGCCAGCCGTTCTTTGGCGGTGTATCTGTTGGTATGCGAAGTTCTCTAGGGAACAAACCCCTCACTCTGGACTCGACTGCTCGCTTCTCCGGTTCAGACATACTCTTCATAGCCTCCACCTCAGCCAAGCTCCTCGCTCTTGGATCCTCTTGCTTGTTCGCTTCCCTGAACAGCCTCGGGTCAATCTCCTCCAGTTCCTGCATTGCCTGTCTCATGCACTCGAATTTGCGCTGTAGCTCCGCCTCCCGTTTCTTGCGTAGGTGTCTTTGATGAAGGAGCCAAGCGCGCTCAATGGTCTCGTGCGCTTGCACAGAGGGAATGGCCCGCTGGAGAGCGCGTGCGACATCTGGGCGCCATGTACCAGTAGGAGATGCTTTGTTGCGGATATTCGGTGGGTACAAGTAACGGCGGATGATGTCTTTTTGTGGGTCGGAATTTGATACTTCGCCCTTGTGGGTCGAGTAAAGCCGCGCAGACAGCCCACGCATTGGCAACGGCAAGCCGTTCGGTTTCAACGCTGAGATTGACATGACCTGTAGCGACAATGAAAGTAAGCGGTGAACGGTGAGGCCTTGCAAGGTTGCCAACAAATTTCAATACCGTTATTCATTTTCCCACGGCTGCTTTACTTGAAATTCTTGAGAGCACAACTGGTGACTGAACATGTCTTCTTCCCTTGGGCTGCTCTGTCGGCAATGTTGTCGTTCAATTCTTAGTCCAGTAAGTATCTACCCGTCTGAAGCATTCTGGTCTGAATTTGTGCAGCGTCCAGCACTCGTTAGAGAGTTTTCCTCAACGTCCGTCGTAGCCCTACGGCGAACGAAAAAGATCCCTGTGCTGTCAAAGAAAGCTCTAGCAGCAAAAGCAAGAAAGCGCGCAGCGAAGGCTCGCAAGCACATATACGAAAATGAGAAGATGCCTCTTGAAAGTGCTATTGACGTGATCCGTGTATGTCCCCTCGGCCATATTACAACTCATTAACCAAATATCTCGGTAGGCGGTCGAAGTTGCTAAATCAAATGCTACCTACGAACTAGTGATCAAGACTGCCATGACCCGTGGCTCTATTATTCCAAAGGGTCGTATTGCTCTCCATCGTGAAACTAAACCTCGCCCCGAAGACCGCATCCTCATATTTGCTGAGGGCCGTCAGGCAGACGAGGCAAAGAGCGCAGGTGCACACATCGTCGGTGGAATTGAGCTGGTGGATGGTATAATCAGCGGCAAACACCAAGCAACTACCATTCTATGTTCCACGGCCCTCATCCGGACTATCACCCCCAAGCTCGGACGTATCCTCGGTCCGCGCGGTTTGATGCCTTCGGAGCGTCGAGGAACGGTTACAGACGATTTTACCGGTTACTTGCGACGTCTTTCTGGCACGGCAGAGTGGAAAGGCGACAAGAACGGCGTCATTCGGATGCCCATTGGCAAGGTCAGCATCTTTCCCTCGCTCGCCGCGATGTCCTGCCTAACATATTTATTTACCGATAGCTCCACTTCCCAATAGAAGACTTAGTTAAAAACATCAGACAATTCGTGACTGCGGTCAAACGGGTGACCGGGAACCAGAAAGATACCGAAGAGAAGGGGAAGAGCAAAAGCGTCAAGCCCGGTGAGTTCCTACCGTTTGCAGTCTTCTCCGACATTTTGACCTTTTCTGTTACCATTGCTGACTGAGCGAATAGTCAATGCCATCACCCGGGTCATGTTGAGCTCAACGCAGGCACCCAGCATTCAGATATCGGACATTTGATGGAGGCTAGAGCAGTGTTGATCGGGTACTAGGCTAGACCATGGAAGTTTCAATTTCAAATAGTCTGCTCGAGGAGCAATGCGCTACTCGTGCATTTTTGCAAAATAACCTTTACCTTGCCATTAACCATTGGAATATTGAAGTGCCTTCTTTGCTTCCATATCCTAGATGTTTCACGAAGTGGTCCCACCACCATCCTCTGTTCAGGGCTCCTTACTGGCTCTTCTCATTCCCTCGGACCGTCAACTAGGAAGCTTAGACATGCCAGAAGGTCCAAATATTAACTGACCCCTGGTACAAGTTCGCCGTAGCGCATAACACGTTGAGATGGCGTGTTTAGCACTGACTTGTACGTGATCGATAATGCTTGATTGGTCGAGAGTAGCATATATTTGTAGTAGACCACGAAACCTATATTTCACTGGTCACATCTAGGTGACGGTTCGTTAGGTTTCCCTGACTGAGTGGAGCAACACTAAGTTCGATGAGAATGATACTGGTGATACATTACTTAAATTGAAGTAGCGTAAGTAACGTGTGATTGGTGGGAGGGTGATTGGTGGGAGATGAGCAGAGCAAATGCAAGAGATCCAAACAAGAAAAATGATTTCCACTATCGCTCAGTAAGCAATGCGAAGTCTTCCTTCTGCACTGCACGATCGCGTCTGGAAGCCTTCTTCCTCTCCTTCAATGCCTCCCCCACATTTGAATAACTTTTCTCGCCTTTCGGACGGTCCCGGCCCTTTGACCTCTTCCCAATATCATCTCCCCTTGACCCACCTTCACCTTTTGCCCGTGTAGACTGGATCCTCTCCTGTGGTCGATTTTTTGGCGGATGAGGGAAAATATCACCCCAGGATGATTTCCGTGCGTCATAAAATGGTTGTTTACCTTGGGACTTCGGAATAGTGAGACGCATGATTTTGCCTGTACCACATGTGAGACTGGTTTCGAGATCAAAAATAATGATTGGCGAACAAACCTTCCGAAGTGCATGCATCAATGATGATGTGCCCGCTCTTCTTCAAAGGTGGGAAGACAAGTCGTGGCCAATGGAATGCCTCGTGTCGCAGCGCGGCTTCGACCTCCTCTGAGTTTTCAGCTGGTATAATGTCCGCAGTAGTGCGGTCAGTTGTTTCAACTTCATGTCTCGTCTCAATATGATTTGTGTCGAGCACAAGCTCCTTCGTCACCCTCTCTTCCTTTAGTCTGATCTGCTCTGCCTCCTCTCGGCCGACAGCACCAACGCGTCCTATACTGCCCATCTGCGTGGCAAGGCCTTCACCCACTGTACTTGGGCGCGGCCCGCGTTGAATCGCAACATAAGAATACTCGATGTCTTCATGACCCTCGCGTGCATGCTTCGTGAGACGAACGAAGGGTGGACGTTGCAGGCGTTGGGAGAAGCCACACACTAGGCTCACAGATGTCCCAGAATAGAGAGGACATGAACCATCGTGCGGACACTATGGCAGGAGGACGGGAACGTCAGTATAGCTCATTGGAGGGCAGTGGAGTCCAACACCCACAGGAGCAACAACATGGGCACCGCGAACAGGCCAATCTGCGGTTTCGGGGTCATTGAGTTCTTTACGCCCCATCTCAAGGAGATATTCGCGTGCTTCTGCAATGTTCTGGAACCCAGCTTTGGTCTTGTGATCAATAAGAACCTAGATTTCATTCAAGAATATTAGACGGTGACTGAGTAATGAAACAAAAACGAAAGCTCACGATGGTGTGTGCTCCACTTTCCCACAACTCTTTCACGAACTTCTTCCTCGCCAGGGGTGTCTGTAGAGTTGAAAGCATGAAAGCAGACAGGGCGAGAGTATCACGCCCTTCTGTTCGCTTAATTATATCATCTTCCCGGAAAGACTTTTGCCAGGTTGCGCTCAGGGCGCCCAAGTCTGTATCTGTTTCATTAATTTAGCGAGTGCATAGCGAGGGGCAGCATGCATACATTACCTCTCAGTAGACGTTTGCCTATTGCAACAAGTCCCTCGCGTTTATCGATACCGAGGTATATAAAGATATTGGATGTGGAGAGGCGCGGTTCCTCGGAAGTGATATTGGGCTTCTGAAAGGTATTCATCGATGCCCTGATGTTCTTCAGCAAGTGCAAGTTGCAAAAAGATAAGACGTACCATAATCCACTGCCTGTACCTGCGCCCCAGTCTATGACGCGTTGTACATTCCATTCCGGACCTAATCTGTGCTTAACTTGATGAAGCACAGCACAAATGGCAGAATAATGTGCAGGAAGAACGACCGACGCGAATGCTGTCCCGTCACGGTCGGAGTGTCGCGCCCCTTGCTTATAAGAGCGATATTTCACGTCGTACGAGTGATCCCATCCTTCGCTCTCATCAAAGAAGAGACGCGTTGCATCACTGTGCAGCTGTATCTTGTCAGAAGCTGTTGAGTGATTAGAATGTGTAGATAATCATTTCATTCGACAAACCATCTATCAGAGCAGTGATCGACTTCTGCAATTCAGTGGGCATAACAACAGCACCGATTTTTTTGCTCCCAAACCGTGCTGCAGGAGACTTGCGGTGCTCGCTACGCTCAGAGTGATCTTCAACGAAGTCCTCCGCGTCCTCAGCCTCCTCCAGGTCCTCAATCGCCACAGTTTCAAGCTCGCGTGGGGGTCTCTTTGTCATTATGTGCTTATGGCTTGTCAAAGAGATATCTATGTCTTGCAAAAGCACCTTTAGCGAGGGGTCGATGTCCAGAGCTGCGTTGGGCTGGGTTGACGCCGCAACCGCTGACGTTGAAAATGGGGGGCTAACATGACGAGTACTGTGCGCAAGGATGCGCAGAGTAGCGGATGTACCTCGAAGCATCTTAGTAGCCTTGAGGAGGTGACCCACTCAGGTCAAGGTCGAAATTCTGCGATTATGTAATTGAAGCTTTACTAGGTTCGTTCACGGACCTGGCAGACTCTACTACACAGACGCGTCCATCCCATTAATGACTAGCAGGAAACAAACTATCCCAAACCATTCTCGTAGCTTTGGTGAGCGTCCTGCCAAACGGGTCAAAGTAGATGATGAGTACCAGGCGAACATATCTTCCGCGGAACCGTCGAACAATATGGAGGATGTTACTGGACCAGCGCGACTATCAGACAATGATGAAGTAAGGTCTAGAAGACGAAGTTGAACCAGGGCCATCGAAAAATGAGCCTAGAGCGTCAGACCTTTACCTCGACACAGTGCGCCATTCAATGAAACCTATCCCGCGTTCGCTTACAAGACCTTTAGATCAATCGAGCACTGCTCGACTTTGACTTTGAGAAAGTGTGCTCCGTATCTATGTCAAACATCAATATATACGGCTGCTTAGTCTGTGGGAAGTACTTCCAAGGACGAGGTCGCAATTCGTATGCCTATGCGCACTCCATTCATGACGACCACCACGTTTTTATCAACCTTGAGACAGCAAAAGTGAGTTGAATGTTAGTTACGCGTATATGGACTCACGTCAAATAGGTGTATGTCCTTCCAGATGGTTATCTTGTCTCTGACCCATCTCTCGAAGACATCTCATTTGTCCTCAATCCATCCTTCACGAAAGCCTCCGCATCCACCCTCTCCTCACCGTCCCATCTCCTGAAACCTTCCTATGATCTCTCGTCAAAACCTTATCTGTCAGGTTATATTGGCTTAAACAACATCAAGCGCAACGACCACATGAATGTTATTATACATTCCCTCCTCCACATCCCTCCTCTACGGGACTACCTCCTCCTGTCCTCCTTTCGTGGCAAAGAATCTGAACTTGTCAAGCGATTTGCCGCTCTCGCCAAGAAAATATGGAATCCCCGACTATTCAAAAGCCAGGTTAGCCCTCACGAGTTTCTCCAGGAGGTTAATCGCGCTAGTGCGGGCAAGTTCCGACTCGAGCAACAAGGGGATCCTGTCGAATTTCTTGGCTGGTTGCTCAACCGGTTACACAAAGACATGGGTGGAACTAAGAAAAAAAACTCAAGTGCGTTGTGTGCAGATCGACTGGCCTGCTGTCTACCCGCATTCGGCCTGCGAATTGATGCATGAAATGAACAGGTATTATTTTTTCGACGTTTCAAGGAGAACTCCGCGTGGAGACACAGCAGGTTGTTGTCCGTCCGGACTCTACCGGTTCGGAGAAGCCGCAGTTCGATATTGACAGAGGTGGGCTCGACTTGGACGGTCACCTGGACCCTTATTCATGAGAGTGCATGTCAGACATCAAGGCTACTGTATCGCCGTTTCTCTTCCTAGCAGTTGATCTACCTCCACCGCCTCTTTTTCAAGATACAATCGAAAAGAACATCATTCCACAAGTTAGCATCCACTCGGTGCTCGCCAAATATGATGGTGTCACCACGCAGGCAAGTTTAACCCTTGCTTTCCGCTTCTTTTCACTAAACTGAACTGATATATTATGAATGCATGTGCATTCGTAGGAGTCTACTGGCCAATTACGCAGGTACAAGTGCCAACGCCTCCCACAGTATATCATTTTACACTACAAGCGATTCACAAAGAACGCTTTCGTCGAGGAGAAAAACCCGACGATTGTCACATTCCCACTCAGAGGAGTTGATTTCCGTGAATGTGAGCGTTTCGTAGCCGTGCTCACGCGATAATCGCCTCGGCGTAAATGATTACTGATGGTACAATTCATATATTCTAGATCTTGATGCAGCTCCAACGCATCCGCCGACCGTATACGATCTGATCGCCAATGTAACCCATGAATCAGTTGCGGGAACCACTCGGGACAAGGAGAACACGATTTGGAAAGTTCATCTCCGCGCTGCTGGTGGGGGCGGCGAGGGCGAGAAATGGTTCCAGATCCAAGACCTCATCGTCGAAGAAACACGCAAGGAGATGATCTTCCTTGGGGAGACTGTACTGCAGGTGCGCATCCATGCATGTATTATGGTTTATAGGATCTTACGCGTTCAATATTAGATATGGGAGCGGCGTGCTGCGAACGCCAACGGCAACAGCGGTAACGCGTCAACGAAAATGGATGTTGATCGACGGTGATACCGAAGTATAGGTTAGACATTAGACTGAGGAGATACCGGAGTATCGTAAATAACAATGTGTGACATCCCGGCCCCCCATAATACCGGAGATAGAAACATACATTTTACATGACATGATACACACCAGCGCATGTGAATGGAGCTCAGCGAAGCTTACGCGTTACACCGTCCAGGACAACACATGAAAATGTATGAAGTTGTTAATGCCCCTTTTTCCGGGCACAAGGAGATCGTTCGACCGTGCTCTCCGCGGTGACCAGAAACCGGCACACCTTAGGGGCGCATACCCTGTTGCACGTTACTCGATGTTGTGCTAGCGCAGTATAATGTCACTTTGCCGAAGGATGCGGCGACGGGGAAGGAGCAGGGGGTTTCCCTGGCGCCTCGGGAGGTGATGCTGTTGATGTGTTCATGGGAATCGGCTTTTGACTGATGGGTCAAAATTTAATGTCGTTGTGATACGATCGCGCAATATGCATGGCAAACTCACTTCGCAGCGGCTTCTTCGAAAAGAGGTTTGAATATGTAGACGCCCGAAATAACACCTGGTTTCACAGCGGAGATAGCATTAGCAATAGCGATTCGGTCGACCCCCTACTTCATACCTGTTAAACCTGCGAATACATATGGCATGAGCCGCCGTAACATGATGATGTCTTTGCGTGAAGCAGTCTGCAAGCCACAAACAAGCACGGCAACCTCATTTTTCAGAAAATCAAACTCAGCGAATATGAGCGCGCCGGGTTTCTCGAAAGTCCGGTCTGTCCGGTCTGTCCGTCTGTCCGGTCCGACCTACTACAACAGCCATGCATCATTCTGATAGTTATCGAGATTCGAGACTGATCAATTATTACAATTGTTGAGCTTGCAGGTTGCAAGTGTAATGCAAACACTTTCAAACATCAGTGCACTCTCACTCGAGAAACGGGCTGTCCAAGTCAAACGAGCAACCTCAACGCTCGCAAATGCGGCTTCGAATATTCAATCAGGATTCAGCTGGCTCGTTATCTCGAGCAAACTCGCTGAGCGAATCGTCCGCGCCCTCCGTTTCGTCTGTAAGGTCAGGCAACTCGAGGTTATAACGATCCCACGGACGGACGAATAACAGTAGCTGCCCAGGTTGAGTCAAGCAGGGCAGTGTAGGAGCAAGCTCCACCGTGACAACGGTGGCATCTCGATCACAGCAACGAGACCTATATATGAATCGGGCGTAAGTAATCTAGTTTGGGAACGGGAGGCTCTGAACTCAAGGGGTGTGAGGTTGACGATGCGCAATGAGCATTTTAGCTTACTTTGCCTGATAGATATTAAATTAAGTATCAATATAGCAAGGCAGGGGGCACGGGGGCACGGGGATTTCGGATGCTAAGTAGTAAGAGGGACTGCATGTTCTACGTCGTGGTGGTTGGTAACCCGGCCTAGGGTGCTATGAGCTAGGTAGTTCAATTTGCTGCAGAGCTAATTCTGGCACTGAGCGAGCCTGAGGTTTGCAGAACAGGCAGTGTGTAGTTTCAAGGTCAGTGGCAGTGAGCACGTTTGTTCCTCAATTCCTCGCGGTGCAGGATTCCCAGTCTTAAAGTTCACTTCGCGGACAAGGGTATATAGGTCGATTTAGAGATTTTTGACGAGGAACTGAGCTAACACTGATTCTGATAGACTGTTGTACATGCAAAAAGCCAGCAGTCAAGTGGTCTAATGGATGGATGGACCCCGCGAACTTTCGAGATTTCCGGTCACTTGGCGAATATGGATTCACCTTGCCCTGCCTGAGGCCTGAGGTCCGTTGCAGATCAAAGAGGCAAACAAGTAAATTTATGTTGTCAAAAATATAACATCAAGTACACCTCTCGAAAACGAACAGAGTAGGTCTTTTTCGTTGTGTTATAAACCCAGACGAATGTTCTAAGCATAGAGGCAAGCCGTTGTATGTAGCGTCAAGTAGAAACATTAATGCCCAATTTTTCACAAGCAATCTGCGCCGCTTTCTCTTTGGCGGCGGCTTTGTGGTTATCAGTGGCAGTACTGACGGTTTCGCCCGCCACTACGAATGATGACGTCTCAGACGAATTCGTTCAACCTCAAGAGATGGGCAACACGTGCCTTTACAAGTTGTTGTCCATGAGAGAGCATGCGGCGGTCCAGACGAGAACTCAACCCAACTGACAAGGTGAGTTCTTTGGCGGGATTGGTAGTCTTCACAGTCTCAGAATTAGCATCACATTGCTTTACCTGAAAAATATCTGGACTTGCAGTTATTCAGGGCAACAGTGTAACCTGGATAAATGTCAGCATCATTCAGTAATAATCCAGTCACGATAACATACGCGACATTATGTGCAGACGGCAGATTACGATCAGGTGAGGCTAGTAAAGTGAGGAAAAATCCAACGCCTGTCTCGTACTCCAACTACATGCGTATTTAAACCTGCAGTTTCAACAACATCCCACAAGGCAGCCAAAGTGAATACCGATAGCGTCTGTGTCGGCCTCGGATTCAAAATGAACGCGGTTCCGTAGCCACAACAAAATATGTCCCGTTGCATTCAATCAGAAAAACTGCGCAAGATAAACATAACTGCAATTTATTTCAGAGGCCGTAGGGGAGTACTCTTGAAGACCGATATAAACGTCACTTTTTCAAGGACGCTCATTTGTTGTCTCCACCGTAGAAGGCAGAGTGGCTGGAAGACGGAGCTGCACCAAGACTGATATGCATCAGTGTCAAACCAATAACAGCGAAATCCACGGCAGCGCCCCGGGCCAGTTTGAAACCCGGTCTGAACGCTAAGAGGCCAAGATCTATAATCTGGTTATCAAACTACATTGGGGTTACAACTGATATGCGGGCCGCACTAGGCTGCAGCGCAGCGCAATAACAATTCCTGGGCACGGCGGCTTTGTGTAGATAAGCTTGACTATCGCGTGGCCATATGACACACGAGCAAGGGTCGGAAGATACAGCGGAGATTTATGGTCGGCACTCTCGCCATAAGTCCGACAGCAGATCGATCATACTTGAGGCCAAAGTCTAGTCACCGAGATGTGACGAATCCGGGAACTGGAGGTCGATCAGGGTCGATAGGAAATCATTGGCAAAGAAGAGTTTCTCTAAACTGTGAACGTTCAAAGGTTAATTTTTGTGAGTGTCGATCCAAGACATGGAACCGCAGTGCAGCAAGTACCTTCGTTGTAGTCCATCTGAGCGACGAGTTTGATATGACATAGGAAATCAGATGAATAACCGGAAGGAGCTAAGTATCATCACCGTGATCGAAAGTCAGGATAGCGGCTTCCGGTATCTTAGTAGATCTCCAGCATGGCAGGGTCTAAAGCTAATGAATAGCTGCAAAACAACATGCTAAACTCGTCTCACGTGCTATCTGGATGAGAGACGGGGTATAGATCAGCAACAAGTGCTTTGTGGTAAGCAGGGATCTCTATGTGCCGAAAATTATCAGTAAGTAAGCGAGTGTCGTCTAACTTGGATGCATCATGCAAAAATTAAATCGCGAGTAGAAACCGAGCAAAAGAGTTGAAAACACGAGGCAAAAATAATTTCAGACCCTGATGCCTCTAATGAGACAGATTAGATAAGGCGGGTGACGTGTACTAATCGAGAACGATGCAGGTACAGGAACGTCCGTTCAAGAAAGATGTGTGATGGATGGTGATGAATGAAGATGCATAAGGATGAATGCAAAGGGGGTGCGCAACTTGTAAGAAAATAGGAAAAGTGTGAACAGATGAACATAATGCAACATGAATTTGTCAAACACAGTCTCCGCAGCGGTGACTTGTACTTCAGCTTTGATTAGACCTTAATGCAGTGAGCGCGCGACTTGCCGCCGCATTTCTAGCCTGATGCTTGTGAGTCCCCGAGCCGACTCCATATGGAATTCCAGAGACTTGAAGCGGATCAGAGACGTCTGATGAGCGGATTCAAGAAAGCAAAAAACTTACTTTTGCAAGTTGAGGTCCATACATACTGGTGCGTAAGCCCCTGTCGCGTGTCGACCCAGCTCAAAGAAGAGCCCTGTCCGATGGACTGCAGATCTAAAATACACAGTAAGTCTTTTAAATCACCAAGGAAATTGCACAAACAATTGTTGAGCTCGTTCGTAGCGTCTTTCAAACATCGTCAGCTGAGGCAGAACACCGCAAGGACTGTAACAAACCATTAGCCTGATTGCGAGACATTGCGAATGCTTGAATTGATGACCATACCTGAACTTACTGGCAGTTATTATACGACTGAAACACTACGCTTCATGAGACTGTATAAACAGAGAGACGGTATTGATTGGAGGCAATGCCCGACGGAGCTGGGAGAGTAACGCTTTCATGATCGCGGCGTTGAGGAGAATAATACGCGGTAAACCGAAATTTCCCAAGATGCATGAAATAGGGCGCGCTGCATGCAATGTCGATCGACTCAGTGAGAAGAAGCGAGGGGCTAGATGACATGTGCCCCTCATGTATCTTGGGCAGTGGATCGTTCCAAGGGCTTTAGAACCCAGCTCGGAATGAAGGATACACATTCACTCTTGGACCGGGAGAAGCTCGAGAAATACTGTGGGGCGTAGTCAATCATAAACTGGAGCAACATAGTCTATATCCCAGAGATCTAGACTGCCCTTACGAACCGGTGATAGGTCAGTTGATCCCGTTCGGCGCGACGGTGTTGGAAGACCTAACCAGGAACCTGTGCGATTGGATCTGTCGTCAAAACTCTTGCGCATTTAAGTTACGCCTGTAAGTCACAGTGAGTGCTCAGGGTGCAGTGACGAGATCAAAAAATGGCAACAGGCAGACGTGCGCTCCCTGTACTGCGGTAAGCAGACATGTGGAATACGCATTTATGTCTTTATAACGATTACACGTTGTTGCACATAAGTTTGGTACGGACACAGGAAGCGAGCCACGGCGGTGGTTCTCGACCAACCTGAAGCCGAGGAGCAGCACAGCCACACGTGTTCCATCACGGACCCCATCATATAGGTATTTCAATTCATTGTAAACTCTGATAGCACCTCGATGACTACAAGGAAACATAGCACCAGCAGGGGATTATGCTGGAAAGGAAAATACAACTATGTAAGCAAATTATCAGGCAAAGCCAGAACAGCATTGGAGATGAGAAGGGAAGATGACGGCATAGCAGCGAAAGCAATTACGATAGGAAAGCAACGATATAAATTTAATGGCCAACTCCTGGTTGCATTAGGGCGTGCAGGGCTCTCTGGCAAGCAAGTTCTGTGGCAGACGCTTTGGTTGCCCCCTCACCTCGGCCATATTCAACATTTCGGACTAAAAAATCAATTAGGTATGCATCAAGAAGCAGCTAAAAAAACTGACAGAGGACGACTACGGTCCACCGTGGCGCGTGCTCGGGACCGGTTGCTGACTTTAACAACTGGAGGTCTCGCGTAGATCTGAACCTATGTTGCAGGTAATTGTTCAACTGCATGCAGTGGTCTATGAAAAGAACATCAAAAGGCGTCATACACGGAAGATAAATGGACACACGAGCGGCAGGTTGGACTTGCCCGCTCTGTTGGCTAAGAGTGACATGCTCCTCGTGTGCATGATAGGCGTTATACCCCTCCCCTCGAACATTCCCGTGTTGTTGGCCGTTCCAGCGGCTCCCACCGTTGCGGGAATTCTGATTCTGGCCATGGGGGTAACGCGACATGGTGATCAATACTTCGGACTTGAGCTCGTAGCGAATCAATCCGCCACTTTATTCTTCTTTTTTATATCGATGGGGCATATACAGCAATTACTTACATCGCAGCCAAAGGTACTTCACAGGCAATGATCTCCGCAGTCGGAAAACCAGAGTTGCTCACTTCGAGTCTTCCGCAGGTGCAGGATCATACAAAGGAACGGCATGCATTGTATCCTGTGGAGCACTCTGAGGCGGGCTCTGTTGATCATACCTGTTCTCGGGGTTGTTATTGTTGTGACTGGCGGGTCGAGCGATGCCGGAGGAAAGCGGTAAATGGTCATTAGGCTTCCCGAGTCTTACTCTGTATCCGTGCTTCACAGCTAGCCAACGGCCAGTGTACTAGGGAATCGTTGATCATTGGGTGAAGCGGTACAGCAGGAGTACTTGGTCGTTATTACATGTGCATTGTCTGTTGGCCAGACGGTTGCTGCATAAGTGGGACTATTATTAGCAACGCAGTAGGTTACATGAAGCCCAAACCTGAGACACTGGCAGCAGATACAGGCCGCAGTTAGCCATCCCTTAGTCAAACATATGGAAGGAAGACAGTCGTCCTCGTATATGGCATGCAGTATGTGTTGTGACTTGCAACAGCATTGGCCTAGACAGAAGTACAAGACCCGACGAACGAAGAGATATTAGACGAGTTGCTGGGAACATGGACTACAATGTCGACGATCCTTGGGACGACTCGGAACACTGGTAGGCGTCCATACCGACCACACGCAAGAAAGGACAAATGGGAAAATGTGCCTTCACGTACACGGAGCGCCCCGCGATACTTGGATATCGGATTCGTAGGCGAATTTGGGTCTTTGTCGTCTTATTAGCGACTGCTGGACGAGTCTGGGCCCGCCCAATCCAAAGGTTGATGATTTCTATGGCAAGAGGTTTCATGAGCTCTCACGCATTAAAAACTTGCTTAATTGAAGCTCTCCCCGGCAGCTGAGAGTCCGAGACGGGTTTTATCTTCCCTCCATGCTGAGCGCTGAGAACATACTTCAATTAACACATCCACATGATCACTAGCGGGATACAATGATACCTAGAATTAATTCCGTGTCTGCCATTCAATCGCGCACGTACCGATCTTTCGGGTATCGTTCCTGCGAAGAGGACGTAGCTCTCGCTAGTACTGCTGCCGTGACAAGCAGTGTTCGTGACAGGGGGTGACACATACCAAGTATTGTCAGTGACTCCACGTTCATGATCAGGAGCATTATCACCATTATCGCTAAAATTTGTTCCTGATAGATTGATATCGAGGCTATGCAGGGTCAAGGGCCACTGAGCAACTGGGCAAGTTCCTACCGCTTCAATTTAATCCGAGAGCTTCAAGTCCCATATCGGACGCTTTGTGGTTCAGGCCCACTGATTTTGTTCCTGTCGAGGAAGTCGACGGACTCCGAAAAGCGAGTTGGCCAGTATAAGATTCAACCTTCGCTAGGATCCTGCCTACCTCCCACTGTCCCTACCTCCCTCTTGAGACTTTTTTCAAGATGACACTCTTCTCCGTGGTTCGTATTAGCATTTTCTGTAGGTTCTCATTTTTTTTAGTTAGAAGCTGACGTTCTAATGTGTTTATCTAGCACTCTCCATCATTTTCTCCCTCATTGAAATAGGCCTGAACGCCTACTTCATCTCGTTGACGGAGCCGCTTTATTTCATTTTCAGTGCTTTAGGCGTCGCAACCTGCGCTGTTGACGATTATTACCGTTCCAATCATGTGAGTATGCCATCGTCTAGTCACTTTCATTGGTCTCAGTTGTCCACAGGTTGATTGTTGATTTCATTGCGACGTGGGGCTTTCACCTCCATGATTGTTGTCGAACTTGTGTGGCTCTGTACGCAGTTATATTTGGAGATGATGTGTATTGGTCTAATCCTTCTGATGTGTAGTCATCCTTTGGGTTCTGTGGGTCGCCACTGCTGGCGAAGCTACCTATGCCTTTAACTATTACTTCCCTCGGGGTTGTATTTATGCAACCTACGGTGCGCAAATTTCAGACATCATTTTGTATCATGCTCAGTGATCACCAGATCCCACCTACAATACGTATTGCATGGAGGTGCAGGCAGTGCAGGCCTTCGCATTCCTCAACTTCATCATGTGTAAGTTTTTCGAGATTTAGGTCAAGCGTTTACTAAAGAATGTCATTTCAGTGCTTTTCTACACTTGCACACTGCTGGTGTTGTCCATCATTGCAGCCAATAACGGCAGGTCTGTCTGGACGTCCTCTGTCAAGGCGTCCGCGTTCTTTGCGAGTTCTGGGCCCGTTCAACAGGTTCCTTTGACCCAGTACTCGGGCGTTCCGATTCCTACCGCAGGGTACACTGGAACCCCTGTTCAACAGCCAGGCAATTATACTAGTTATAGTGGCACGCCTGCCCAATCACTCTACAAGCAGCCTCAGCAGTTCCAGCCAGTGCATGATGACCAGAAACAAGGCATTCCTGTTTAACATGCATCACGACTGTTCGTAATGTGGATGATCTGCCCAGAGGTGCTGAATCCCATTTATGTCTTCCCTATCTATCGACAGCATTGATGGATGTCATTCTTACGGATCTATATATCTATCCGAGACTAATACGCATTAAATTATGATACCCCCAAGAACATTTTGCAATCCTGGGTGATGTGATATTGCCAAGTTGTCGATGGGAATCGCGGGCGATCCCCATAATATCATACAATTGCTTTGTGGCTGTCCTAGTGAGCACAATAGCCAAACAGTACTAGTAGCTACAGTATTCCCGCTACCTGGTAGGTTATGTCTTTATGTGGTGATTTGCACGAGATCCCTCTTCGGAGAGTTGCTTAATCGTACTCCGGAATTCGGATAGAATTTGAAAATGGTTCGTCCAAGGTTCGTCTCTTGTGATTCAAATCTGTTGGAAATTTCGCTCCTCGGTTGCAACCACGTGACGTTTAGACACCTTGAGACTACCATTGAACCTGAATTTCACTCCGCATGCCGTTGAAATGACGTTGGAACCCCTTGCGACCCGCTTGAAGCAACAATTTATACCCAAAACTCTTTTATTGCAACGTACTGTCCCTTTGTGTATGCAGGGCAACCAAGGATTGCGCGTGACAGACCGCCACAGGCGCAGAGTTAGGCTCAGTTAGCAACCTCACCTGTTTGGACTGTGAGGCGTGACATGTGAACAAGTTAAGTGTTTTTCAGTGCCCATGATATGTGGAGTGCGTTGACTCAACCTTGGTTTTGCGGAGGAGCAGGATTTCAACAGAAAAAAATTGTGTTTATGTGACATTGTACACTAGCAACGCAACCAAGGCCCCTGTGACGCGTTACGGTTGCCTCCATACACAAAGGGACAGTACTTATTCAATAGCAGTTCGTCTTGAGGTTTTGCAACCCCTGTTGGAGTCCGAGACGTACGAGCCAGTGACGACCGCGGAAGAGTAGGATACGAGCGTAACCGAAAAGGGCTCGAGCGATCGACGCTTTGACTTCGGCTCCAGCTCGTCCATATTGCAATGTCTCATTTGCTACGATACGTATATTTTCATCTCTATGCTAACTTACCAAAAGACCCGGCGTTTACATTCGTACGAACGTCTCAGCTCCTTCAGAGACTGAGATGTAAGCCCCAGTTATTTTTCCTTCACTTTACATTGCTAACGAGTCGTAGATACATTGTTTTCTATCAGGTACATGACTCGTACAATGAGCTCCTTTAGAGACTGAGGTATACATTGTTTTCTATCAGCGTCCCGTCCCATCCCGCTCGTTACTATTCACCCTTGAAACCCAAATAAGAAATTTACGACATCCACGGCGAATCTTTACGCTTTGATGACGGATTTTCCGTTCGTTGTGTGATGTCGGCGCGATCTCACCACATTGTTCTGGGTCGGGACCGACTTGCTTACTGTCGGGATGCGGTCAGTCGTCAGGGTTCGACGATTCCTTTGTCGGGACTAAGGAGGTGTGTGGGCCTTTGTAATGAAGATCCCGTTTGACTGACAGCTTGGTGTAGTACAGAAGGCGACATCTTTGAATTGGTTGATTCTTCCAGTTTCCTCACCGAGGCTGATACTGAGTATTGTGATGAAGATCGAAATATCCGAATGTTTGTTCGAGATTCATTCAGTGTCGGCGGATCTACTCTGTTCGATGTCTCTGATCATTCCGATGCTCGCTCTCGTGTTTTCTAAATTCTCCTCCACTTTTTATTCGCAGGGGCGGCGTCCGTCTGAAGGCTTGTTCAAATCTCGCTGCTCTTTCATTATCTCTCAGGAGCTTGTGTCCTTCAAATATGTTCTGCTCGATGTGCCCCCGCTTGTGGCCGGCTTCCAAGTGAGTTCACTACCAAGTATGATATGATTGGTTATGCGCTTGACATGATCTTGAAAGACCATGGTCAGGCCTAGGCTTGGCAACTTACGAAACGATTACGGCACTCTTTACCTATAGAACTTGTGCAGGATCTGCCGTTGTTACATGGACTACATGAGCAGCTTTACGGTGTTATATCGTATTGGTAGTCGTGCTCTGCCAGTGACCCACTGAGCAAGTGTGACACATACAACATTTGTGCGCAAATCTGCAGGTATGCCACGACACAGTCTAGTAGCTGTATATACAGTCAGCACACCCATGTCTAAATCTTGATATGACGATCCACAGGGAGCAGAAGTCGAGGGGGTGTGTTACAGTGAGGGTCTGACAGAACGAATACAGCGGGGAGAAGGAGAAGATTGGGATGTGCTGTAGTAGGAGATTCATTTATATGTAACGTGGTCGGTATTAGTGCCACGGTGTCGTAGTAGAAGGCGTGTAATTTATAAACGTGTCCGAGTCGCGACCAAGTCTACAATTGCAATTGAGTGTACTGCGGCCAAGACACCTCAAACACGAAACGTTTCACTTTGCTTCCTTGCTTATATCGTCACTCGAGGTTGGCGACCACTGAAGTACCGACGATTGATTCAGCCTCTCACAAATGTCTGAGGATGATGATCGCGCCGCGAAGGCCGCTCGGGCAAAGGCCTTGGTTCGTATCCTCGCAATGTTACTTATTTCATCGGCTCACATTTCTTTGTAGCTCAACCGGAAGCGACAGCAGAAGAAGACTGCTGGCAGCGGCTCGTTGGCAAGTCCATCTCCGTCAAGATCATTCACTCCAGCTCCCCAGGAGTCTGCACCCTCCACGGAAGACACCAAGAATGATGTTGCTGACCTGTATGTCTACCATCTCTGACCCATTTGTCGCGTTAAAACTAATTTCATTATTCATCAGCTTCACACCGGCAGATTCTGACGTGAACTGGATAGAGTCTCTGTCCAGAGTAGACGTCCCGCACTCGGTGGCTTCCGACGCTATGCCAACAAATCCGCGTACTTCATCAGTTATTTCTGGGAAGCAAGATGAGGAGTTGCGGTCTCAGTTGACGTCCCTGCAGAAGACGGTGACCTCTGTTCAAAATGAGAATAGCAGCCTACGGAGTTCGTTAAGTCGCCTAGAAGCACTTGAGACAGGCATGCCAGTCCATTCCTTTGATGCCGGTTGGGTCTCATACGTTGTCACAGGCACTAAGGCCCAGCTAAAGAAGCTCGACGAAGAAAGGAACGCACTTCAGCTTCATCTTCAGCAGGAACAGCAGCGTGCTCAAGATGCGTTGCAGGCGTGTAGAGGCGGCTGCCCAACAGAAGCGGTTATTGGAGGACACGCACCGTTCAAGGTCAGGCAGAGCTTCTGCAATTGAAATTGCAGGCCGACGAGCTTCGACGAAGTCATGCAGAGGTTCAGGCTGAGAATGCACAAAGTACGTCGAGTCGGATGGCTCCTCATCCAACACGCTTATTTATAGTGACACAGTCAGTGAACGTCACGCAGGGGAACTCGACGATCACCGACGCATAGCGAATTCTCACAAGGAAGAGGCCAAGAAGCTTTCGGACCAGCTCAGCGCAGCGCGCGTTGAAATACAGGACCTTCACTCTAAAGAGGCGGAGTCCACTAAACGTCAGAACGAGCAGGATGAAAACCATCAGAAGACTATTTCCCTCCTTGTTTCAGAAAAGACATCATTACTGGCGTCAGTTGTTCGCCTTGAGGAGCTCGAGACCGGTATGTTGATCATTTCGATGGTTTCATTCTCGCCCAACTGATGATTTATACTAGAGACACAAGAGAAGGGTGAATTACTCCAGGCTGAACGCAATAAATCACAGTCGCTCGACGAACGCGTCCAAGAACTGGAGAGCAGTTCCTCTAAGCTCAACATGCAGCTACAAGAAGCCCTCGTACGGGAAAGAGACCTGACTGAAAAGTCCCGGGACCAAGTGAGCAATTTAGTTCTGACACGAATACCCCCTCACCTTGTATCAGGAGAGAGAACTACAGCTTCTCAATGCTTCTCTGGAGGAAGTGAGGTCTGCGTCTGAGCAGCGTCAACAGCGTGTTCGCGAACTCGAGGAGCAAATCGAAAGCGACGATCGTGCCGAACAGCTGGAGGAGTCACTCAAGAACACTCAGGATCGCGCCGAAGAGCTTGAGTTTCAGCTCGCTAAGCTCAAGCAGGTATGTAGCTGTTTACCTATCCGTCTGCTTGTGCTTACAAACAAGTAGACTCTCGCAAGTACAAAACACGAGAAGGATGAGATACAATCTCAGCTTCAGTTGCGGACTGATGCCGAAGCTGAGTGGAAGGCTAAGCACGCAGGTCTCGAGGAGCAACACTCTTCCCTCCAGGAGCATATCCACTCTGCCAACCAGGATCGTGATGCGTTGCTTGAAGAGCGCGCGTCACTCCAGTCTCAGGTCAACTTCAACCAAGGCGCGGTTAAGCAGCTTCAGCAAAAGCTTGGTGAGGTTGCGTCGGAGTTATCGTCGAGCGACCGTGCCCTCCAGAATGCTCATGGCGACCTAAGAGCTGCCATTCGGCGAGCTGAAGAAGCCGAAAGGACACAGAAAGATCTGCAGACAGAGGGTACAAGGTTGATGCAGTCTCTGGATGAGATGCGACCCAAGTTTGTGGAGCTTACTTCCACCAAAATGGAGTTGATGGAACGAATCGACAAGCTTGAGCATGAAATGAATTCACGAGATACTTTTATCTCCAAGCTCGAACTCGCGCTTAACGAGGCGATGGAGCGGGAGGCCGAGGCAGCCAAGGCTCATAAAGAGTCGGGAACGTCGCAGGAGAAGGACAAAGTCTCGCTGCAACAAGCGATCGTTGAGCTACAGCAGGGCTATGCCGAGCTGCAGGCTGAACTAGAGTCATCGCAAGCGGCAGTGCTCACTTTGGAGGGGGACCGTACGCAGCTGCGGCAAATCGAGGCACGTCAGCTAGAAATCATTGACCGCCTCTCCGTGGAATCCGACCAGCATTCGCAAGCAATGTCCCGTTTGGAGTCGGACCTTCGGTCATACAGGAACCTTGAAGAGGAACTTGAACGATCCAACTACGAAAATGAAGCTCTTCAGGCGGAGTTGAGCGCTAAAAATGATGAGATAGAGCACCTCCGAACCTCTTCATCTGACGAGGATGCTCCTCGTTCACTGGATGACGAGATGCTTGGTGCACTCAGAGTCCAACATGCTATGGATCTTTCCAATGCCCACTCCCAAATTCGTGCCTTGGAGACCACCGTCTTCGAAGCTCAGGCGAAATCTCATAATCTGCAGAAGCAAATCAACATTTTAGAAGACCAGCTCGCACAACAGCGCTCCACGTCCAGAGCAACCTCTAGAGCGTTTTCTCCTGGATTGCCGGGCAGACCCTCCAGTCGTAACCTTAATAATACGGATCTACGACGTGGGTCTTTCACCCACAAACCAAGTAATCTTGCCCCGCCATCCCCACGGACTGTTTTCGACGTCGGACTCTCAGCCGAAACTCGCCACAAGCGTCAAGTCAGCCTTGGCATGTTAAAAGCGCGTATTGATAGCGAGGTGGCGGCCTCAGCTGGTGGTTATCCTTTGTCACGACAGCTTTCTCCTGTTCCGCAAGGCAACGAAGATGCAGAGCACATACACCGGCGACCACAGTTCATGGATGAGTCTCATATATTCTGGTGTCATTCGTGTCGTGGAGATTTAGTTATTCTATGATATCCCCCCTGTTATTTCGTTTACATCTTACACATCTGGATCACAAGTTCGACTGCCAAGTGTGCACGTGTGTTGAAGATCGTCATATGCTGGCATTCGCTGCATCTGAATCTTATCTGGACCGCAAGGCGAGCGCGTGTACAAGTTCAAACTGAAGATGGTCATATGCAAGACGTGAGGACAAAGCGACATAAAAAAAACCCCGATAAGCGAGTGCAATAGTACTAAGTAGTTTCATAAAAAGCCATCCTGTCTTGTCCGAAGGTCGTGAAGCTTATGAAGCAAAGACTGGCGATGCAACAACAATTATAAGCGGATAATCTCAAAAAAAGCATGATCGAACTCACTTCAACTTCCTCGGGCCGAAGCGTCCCCCTCTTCCGTTCCTCTTCCACACCCTTTTCGATGCTCTCCAGAATATCATGAATAAGCTCGCGATAATCCACGCCAAAGAAATGCGTCAATTTAGCAGCTCTTCGCCTGCGCAACTGGAAATCAGATAATTCTGGCCTAGACGAGGGCATGGTCATCTCGTTTGCTATTGACGTCATGGATGTCCGCGCCGGTAACGAGAGTCTACGTTCAGACTTGTGTGAATATGACGAGCCGGAAATTCTACGGGAGTCTAGTAGGGGCTGTGGGTCCTCGATGGGAGATTCCAGCAGATCACCGTGGATGAACCGATGAAGCTCCGCAAGAGACGCCCTATCATCCTGTAACAATCTCAGTGTCATATTACATGACTCCAAGTCGGTTCACTCACTCGGTCGATGATGTCCGTCAGGGATGCGATAGAATGCTGATAGTTCATGTACACAGAAGACAGTGCGAGAGTATCCCGATACCCAGGCGTCTGGCGTTCTGGAGAGGTGGACGAGGACGAGGAGGAGTTGGACGGTAGTAGGAACGTAGTCGACTCTGAAGTTCCTGGGCGATGTAGTCTCTTCCCTTTCATATACGCAGACTGGTTGGGATTACGATGAGGGATACCAGTGCCAATGGGGGATAGGTAAGTCGGGGTAATAAGGGACGATACAGGAGACGTCGGTTGAGAGTGCGCCACCGTCGCAGGAGCGTGGCGAGTATGGTACAATGTTTGTGGAGGGGGCATCCCGAATAGCTGTTTGAAATGATCAGCGCTTCTAGATGACAGGCGACAAGGAACACAAACCTTTTCCATCTTCTGAGCACGTCTGACATTGAGCGCCTTCTCCTCATCATCGAGCTCTTCCTTGACACGCTCAAACGATGGAGCAGATGAACCGCTCCTTCGCCTGTACAGCCACATGTCGCGACTGTCCTCAGGCATCGACGATGGAGGCAAAGATGGACCAGCTATATGACCAATAACCAAATCCGTAGGAACGCGAGAGCCAAGAAAACGGTGGAGTTTAGCCAGTTTGTCACGCTTTCTTCTTCTCTCGGCTTCGGCTTGCTCTTCGGGTGTAAGGGTCTCCACCATAGATGGTGTCGAGGATGAATGATGGAAGATTCGGCGACCATCTGCCGTGTTCGGCATTTCCAAACTGGCCGCGTCCGAAACGTCATGTGATACATCTTCGTCAGAGAGATCAATGAAAGAAGTTGGAGAACCAAGTTTGTGCTGCGGATCCTCATGGCGGTGCGGGCCGTGATGATCGTGAGTGGCTGGTGATTCCGGCGGATCGTCAAAGTAGAATGTGAAGCTACTTGGAGTGAAGGGAGCCGAAAATCTGCGACCGCTGGGCGAAGACGGACGGTCTAGGATTTGCCATGACGATGACGGTTCCGATTTGAAACCGGGGGTCTTCACAGCGACAGAAACAGACATCGCGTGGCGATGATGTTTTTGTTTGGATGATCCCAGTAAAGCAGAGAAGGCAGGCTGTGGTAATATCTTAAATAGGCGTGGTTCCTCTACTTCCGACGTAGCCATTTCAGTCCCCGGTGTTTCTCCCAGCAGTTGCACCAACTTGCGATTTCTCCGTATGAGATCAGCTCGCTCGGTGGCATCAAGGGTATTGGTCGTCGGCGGAAGGGGTATTTTGAGACGCGGTGGTTGAGGGGAGGATGACACAGAACGTTTCTTCAAACGGACTTTGCGACCCCTTCTCTCAAACAGAGGCTTCGAAACGGTTGGAACGGGCGGTTTCAAGGTATCTATGGTATCAGGGAATGCCGGACTAGAAGGTGCAAACTCAGGAATTGCAAGCGAGGTTGCCGAAGAACACGGTGAACCTGTTCGAGCGAAAGCAGGCGACAGATATAGGCCAGAGGTAGGACTCGTGGGTGCAAATATCATTGCCGAAACGTCTGAGGACGAGGACGACGACGAAGAGCTCGGCCGCGAGTGTGCTGGGGAGTCGAGACGTTGGTGAACGGCAGAAGTAGGACTGGGTGGGGCGAAAACCATGCCAGGAAGATCATTCAAAGATGAATTACAAGAAGTTCTAGAGTATATGCTTGAAGATAATATGGCTGGTGCAGATGGACGACGAGCGGTTATGATAGATGTATCGTCCTGTATATGCTGAATAATTGGGGAAGAAGGCGAGAAGAAATCGATGAATGATTGCTGGTCATTACTTGGTCGTTTCTGCAGGGAAGGCAGAGTTGACATCTCGATCGGAGATATCGGGGGTAAATGGGGCAATGAAGATGCGTGATATGTACGTGGTGAATTAAAAGATAGGGCCGCTGCTAATGGTGAATTAGGGGAAAGGGAGCGGGTAGATGAACCCGAAGGCGAGTTGGCGATTGGGTCTGGGCGGGTCGAGAGGGGAGATTTTGTTCGCACTGGTGAGAATTGGCGCGTTTCCGTTATCAAAGATGATGCGCTAGAAACCATTGCTGTATCCACATCCCCAAGCGCGGATGGTTGCTGCGGAATTGCTCGGTATCCTGATCCTCTTCCTTGTCGCGTCTGGGGTACTACAGCCATGTTAGCGTTTCACCGCAACAAGTTCGAGGGAGGAACTGACCCGAAAGAGATGATTGATTAGCGCTTAACTCTACCAAATCTGTGCGGTGGGGCCGGGAATCAACGTGATCATCCTGTTTTGGCTTCATACTGCTGGGAATAGCAGCACTTGTGAGAATGCTCAAAGACTCGCGTCCCTTTGTGAACATTTTCTCAACCTTATGCAAAGCAGGTGAGGAGCGGGAAGACAGGACGGGTGGATCAGGTAAAGTCTTGTGGATATCTGGTTCACTCTTGCGGGCAAGAGAGTGTACGATCTCGGTAGAACTAGCACGGTCATTCTGTATTGACAGGAGTGATATCGGGCCTATTATCGTGTGAGTTGACGTGAGGTATGACCGAGAAAAGGACTTGCCTGCTTCTCTGTCGTCAAATGTATTATTAATAGTCGGTACGATGGGGGTTGGGTTGATATAAGGATTGGGCGTAGCAGATCTCGAGGAAGCGGGGCTTGAATGACCGACGGGACTATTCATTGCAGGTAGAGCGTCTGGCCAAGAATCAGAGCTGACGTTAACACTCTTCTTCCGCCGAAGTTCTTTGACGCGGTTCTCAGGGTTGAATGCCTTCTTCGCGGTATTTCTGGGTGGTGGTGGTGGAAGGCTGACAGCGAACCCCGACGAATGGGAGATGGTATGGTATAGAGTTGTTGGTGACCCGCCGCTATGACCACGGCGTGTAAGCTCGTCATGTTGGAGAAGGGCCTCGAGATTTGGAGATATCTGGAGTGAGGAGACGGGTAAAACGACTTTGAAGGATGAAGAAGAATCTTTGCGAGGGGGGAAGGCCATGATCTTTGACATGTTCGTGCTCATAAATAATGAGCTGACGGTGGTTAAGAAGGAAGGGGCTGCAAGGTCAACTGTTGGCAGTTCGAACCCAAAAAAAACAGACTAGTTCCTCCCGCCGCTTAGACTAAATACCTGTGTGTATGTGGCACCCGTACGGTACCGCGTTTGACAGGAATGTCAATTTGAAACTTGAGTTCGCAGCTCTGTTCAAGCTGAACTTGACGATGATCACAGAGCAGAGCAAAAGACCTTGGTCCAGTCTTCAGACACTGTAAAAACAATAAGTAATGAAGAAGTCAGGTCAGGGTCATATCTGGCACGCCCTCCGTTACGGTGACGGAACACCCTGACGACCACCTCTTCGGAACCTCCTGTCACGGCTTGGCGTCCCGAACCGAAGTAAAAAGTCGCGAAACACTTTATTTTACCAAATGAACCATTCCTCAAGCGTCGGCGGACACCCGCCTGCGCTAATACATAATAAGTACTGTAGAGTTGACCTAGTAGGACAAAAGTAAGTGTAATTATAGCAAGCACTGGCCCAAGTCAAATTGGACCTGGACCTGGACAGCTGGACGGCCTGAACAATTTGCTGGCGCGCAACTGCCACGTCAAATTGTCTAAGATAAATTTTCAACTAGTCAACAATTTTCACGATCTCGACTCAAAGGCAGTGAATTGTACCTGAAGAAAACTACTAAGATGACTTGAAGGTGACACATGATTGTGTCATAGGGTGCAAGTTTTTGCGGAGTGCCATCATCCAGAGCGATAGTACTAGCTAGTATGCAGATACGTGTGTTGATTATAGTGAATATGAAAACATAGTACGGAGCGAGAGATACGGACAATGCAATGCAGATCAGTGATGTACATGAAAAAAAAGTTTCAAACGACGATCTATCATGCTGGAGCTGGCACCTTGCGTGGGGGTAATGGTGGCCTGTTATCTCCTCCTTTGGCTATCACTGATTCAGGCGTGCCAACAGGTGGTGACGTTTCAACTGGCTCTGCAGATTGTACTGATGATCCCTGCACCGGCGAACCTCCTCCCATCTCTTCTGATATCGAGGGAACAGCATAATCCTTGGAAGAATCAGGCGTGCGTGCCGCCGCGACGGCAGATGATATCGTCCGCGGAGGAAGGGGGGGAGGAACGGGTCGTGGAGGTGGTGAAGCGATATCGGCAGAAAGACTGAGAGGGGCAACATCAGCATTACGTTCTTCTGTGTCTGTACGCGTAGGGGTCGACTGGTTGTCCGAGCCTTGCTGTTGACCTGTCAATATCGGACTTTTCCACAAGCGGTACATGCTTTGAATAGCAGGCCCCTTCGACTTGCTCTCCGGGGGTGATGACGATGGCGCAATGTTCCCCATTGACATAGGTTCCCCACGATGGCTCGCATGGATCCCTGGAATAGTCATCGTCCGCGCTTGCGAAGGTTGGGTATGGATGATAGATGGCCTGCGCGCCTCTTCTGTGACATCCGTGAAGTCGCGGTCTTTGAGTGGATCACTCATTGCATTTTCCGTCGTAGACCTTGACATAGAAGGTGCAACGAATTTAGAGCTCCCTTCTGATGAACCACCTTGCATCATATGCGAGGGCGATGCAGGTGCACCAGTAGATGATGTTATACGACTGCTTGATGGGCTTTTGGATCTCTTTCCGTTCCCATTAGGAATGGGAATAGGAGCAGACCCACCGTCATCCCTACGCTCCCTTCGTTCGGCAACAGCAGCACGCACTTCTGCGTAACTGGGGCGGCCATGTGGACTCTCTGTCCGGATACGAGCATCCGAAGGTCCGACGTCAGGCACGTCTTCCTGGGAGTTGGCACTATTGTCTTTCTTAAGACTACCCCAATTGACCCCCCATTTGCGCATTGTCTCCTTGGCAGAGTTGCTCAGGGCTTGCTTGTCCGCGGCCTTCGACTTGAGCGTAGAAAGGAAGGAGCTTGTTGTACTCGAACCGACGGAGTGCTGGGGACTCTTGGAGGTTGTGCCAGAGTCGGAGAGACTACTTGAGAACTCTTCACCACCGATCGAGACTGATGATGAAATAGAATCGGCTCGAGAGGACCGAGAACGTGCTTGGGAGTGTGTTGATGAAGACCGACCATGGTACTGCGGCGACAGGTATCCAGGTGTTTCTTCATCCAACTCCATCTCGACCGCGGGCTTGTCTGGTGAGTTTGCAGGAAGCTCTTGTTTTGGCGTCGAAGAGCTTGAGGCCCGGCTCTGCCGTCCACGAACGCCAGACTCATCGACTTCCTCCTCACCCACATCAGAGTCATCTCCACCAGATGAAAACCAGGACCGCCGCCTAGAGGCTTTCGTATTGCTTTCTGGGGCTTCAGCGGTTGCGGAGAGGATGATGGGCACAGTTCTAGACGATGATACTTCAACTCCCAGACCTTCGGTAGACAGTGACTGCTGTATGGTCGGTGCTGTGACCTCCTCAGAAGTAGCGGAAATGGATGGGAGGTCTGACTCAGATGCCGCAGGCTTTACGCCTTCAGCTTCTGATGAAGTCGAGGCAGGCTCTGATTCCTTGCGCCGGGCAGCGTCTGACCAAAGTCCGCCACGGTGTTCATATTGCGAGCTGTCAAAGAAGCTAATATCATCCATGTTGGGCATCACGACAGACTCTTGTATCTAATTAATACAAAAAAATCAGATTGTGATCGATTGAACAAAAACCACGCGTACTCACCACCTCAATGATTCTTGACTTGATGGTGTCAAGTATCATGCCCCACGTGATCTGACGATCGCTCACGATGGGCTCGACATCGATGACCACGCGTGGGGTCTGCGTGAACGCGTACCATATCCGACTACTAGGCGGTCGCTTGACCTTGATGAGGAGGTTTCCATCTATCTCCCGCAGAATAACCGCCAGCACCAGCTTAACGGCGTACGACTTAAACCGAGCACCGAGGTTGATAGTGGCAGTAGCTTCGACGGTCGCACGAATCTCGCCTTTATATGAAAGGCGCACCTCGAGTGACGCGTCGCCCTCTTTCGTGAGCTCCTTCAGCATCGGCTTGCTAAGCGTCGGGGCCTTGTTCCCAATTGAGAACTTGGTGACAGAAATGTCGGTCAGGAAAGTAGGGCGCTTGACTTTGGAAAGCTTCTTCATGAGACGACCGATGATATACGATTCTAAACTCTGCGTGCGATAGAAACTAAAGAATATGCGCCCGAGGAGCGCATTTAACCAACGCATGGGGATGACATCGGGTTGCTCATCAAGAGTCACGACGAGCTGGTTCATTTCTGAAGGGAGGAAGACGCTCTGGAGTGGGTCGAGAGTGGGTGTGCCAGTCGGGTTTTCAGATGCATGCACGAGTGCAAGGTACCAGTCCTCCATCTCGACGCAGGAGCGCACGAAGATGAACCACGGTGTCGAGGTGCTAAAGGCCTCTTGTCGCGCAAAGTCCCGATGTTTCTCTTCTTCGACAAGTCGTTCGCGTTCATCCGTCCGTTTCTTCAGGCTTCCACCTGCCTCCTCCATCTTCTCGTCGACGTTAATCTCTTCAAGTGTCATCTCCTTTGTCACGCTCGGCATTGCCTTTTCCTCGGAAATTTGCCTTGGGCGCAGACATATGGCATTCCGTCGCGTGTACAGCTCTCCATCCAGAAGTCCTTCCGGTGAAATGGACACCTCGTGTCCACCCAACTCCACAGCAGCTTCGCACTCCGTCATGTTCTCGTCTTCATATAGGTACAGCACCTTGCCCTTGAGGACCACATACCACATGTCCTTTGGCCGTGAGCGCTTGGGGTCCTTGGAGCGCGCATCAAGGTAGGAGCGGACGAGTGTGACGTATGAGCCGTCGAACGTGGATTCCTCAAATGTTCTGCGCATGGTAAGCCAGCCTTTGCGCGCCTTGGGCTGGTCGTTGACTTCCAGCGGTGATGCAGGCTCTTCGGTTTCTGCTTGTGGTTCAGTCGACTCGGTGTGGAGCTTAGGCTTGGCATCTTTGGCTGAGTCGATTTGAACGGGGACAGAGGTGTATATGGCGATGGCAACAAGGATAAGGATGACCAAGGGGATAAATGTCAGGCCACCCAAGACGTATGCATAGAAGAGCGCTCTGAATGACATGGTAACTTCAGTGAGTGGTCCAGGAGAGGCCACTACCATAACAGTGCTAGTGCCACTGAATTAACTTATGGTTAGCACTGAACCTAATGAAACTGGCTTTAGTAGACAGTCTGCTTGGAAGGAAAGGAGATGAAGAACAATTCAGAGAGTCTGGATGTCCGCTGGGGGAGCTGAGGAGGCCAATCATACAAGTTTCCCACGTGAAATAAACGTGTCCATTCATTTCCGTACAACATCAATCGATCACAACACGGTAAGCTTGATATCAACAACTTGGTATTGGGCGTATATGAACCAGATAACAGTGCAGGAGAATCCCAGATATGAACTACCCAAGACGGCGAATGCAACTACGGAGGACAGTAAAGTCAAATGGCGCAACACAATTCAAACGTCCGTCAAACAAGGAGGCCGTCGCCTAGAAACTACGCTCCTGGAGTATACCCCCCTCCTACACTGTTCATCCTGTGTAGGAATAATAGCACACCAATGGCCGTTGACATAATTCCAATCACAGACGTGTTTGTCGAGGATGGATGGGGCTACGAGGGGCGGAAAGGCGCTGTTTAATGGGACATACGTAGGCACTGTGAGACGTGCGCCAAAAGATGCATCCTGGTATGGCACCCAAGACGAAGTTTCACGGGGATGAAAAAGACAGGGGGAAATAATGATCGTCGGAGCAGAAGGGTGGGTGGGCTTGATGACAAGCAGTTCAACCTTCGAACAAATGTGAGCATCAATTCGCACATGACGTGGACCATGCTCACTAAAGCAGAAGATCGCCGACGCTTTCTTCTCGGTCGTTCTGACAGTGAAACATCAGGACATGGCACTGCACTCTGTGGTTGCGGTGGCACTTGTAAATTTTCAACTGTCTACAATTTTTATTCGCTTTTTAACTAGTCTGACAAAACATGCAAATGTGCGACATACCTGTTCTAGCCGTTCACCAAGGGGATCTAGCCCTGACAACAGCCTAATAACTGTGTCCAAGTCATCCTCCACAACCCTTTTCAAACCACGATACACAGGCTCGATAGCTTGCCCACACAGCCCGCGCCACGACAAGTCCAGACAAGTGAGCATATTTACGTCGACCGACTGAACGCAAAGCATCCGCCAGTTCAAACGACAACGGTAAATAGTCTTGGAATAGACTTACTATGATATCGTCATCGCCAGACAATGCGTGTTCGACGCACACCTCTACCCACTGGGCAGACTGGCGCGACAGTCGAGCAAACATACCTTCAGTTCCACTCAAAGGCCACCAAAAAGTAGGTCGCTGTGTCTCATTTTAATAAGTATCATCCTGCCATTTTAATGCCGATGGAAGTCGCCGTTACTTTTCCGAACTTCTTCGGTTGCCAGAAGCTGCATAACTTTCAAGCCCGAGCAGATATCTTTGCTCTGCGAGACCCCGAGAAGTCCTAATGCTAGGTGACATCTACCGATAATCGTTCCCTACATGCTGGTAAGCCTGTGTGACGCTCTATCAACATCTCATGCCTCAACCCAGCGCCCACCGCTCCAACAAATCCCACCCCTTCGACATCAACTGTCATGTCATATCAATACTCAGACTACATAGCCTGGAACTACTATCGCCAGGTTGCTCAGTCTAGTCTCTACACTTCCCACCCCCAGCATAGCCGCCCTTGTGGTAGATATGCTCTCTCCGAGCGAGCCCTCCAAATGGCCTACTAAGTAGTAAGTATGCGGTTTTCTCTTCCCCCTCCCTCGACTCTAAGATACTTCTCTCGACCGCAAGACGAGTGACGATGATTACAGTATACCCTCGCATTTCGCAGTAGTGGAACGTCGCCTATCACGAAGCTGGCACCTTCGGCCTGAGAGTTGGAGTCTAGACTTGTCCGCGTCTTTATCAGAATACTTAGATATCGGGCATCGCATGTATTCATTTATATAAAAACTGACCCACCGGGTAGGTATCACATTTTACTGCTCTACAGCCGCATGCAAAGTACTAATGAAATTTAAATGTGTGCCCAGTTGATTTCGAGTGGGAGGAATATGACTATAGATCGTGGATTCTGCACATCTGTTCCCTGACTCTAAACGCACCACTCTCGAGCGCAACGAGTCAGCGTATGTGCAAGGGTCATGGTGCTGACTTGGCTTAGGATATGTTCGTGTCATGACTCGAGTCGACAGATATGAGATAGACCTAAACCTAAACCGGGATGTACAGCTTGCATTATCCAATTTGTCCTGCGAGGCTAGATCAGTGTATAGAGGTGACGTGGGTTGACGAAATATCTTGTGCCGTTGTTGTTGCGGCATAATTATAAGTAGACGGGGAGGCCTTTCGAGACTGTTGGTTTGATGCTCACTAGACAGAGCACCGGACTCGAAGAGCAAACTTGAATTCGTGCCTTTAATTTCCGCACGCCGTCGTCCCCGTTAGATATTGCTGAACACGGAAGGGTGAAGTCAGCGGGGAAACGAGCAATTACGGATGAGTGACAAGGGGCTAGCCTGAGGCGCCTGTGCCAAAGGCGCAACGGGCTTAGGCTATGTTGTGAATGCTCAACATAACTCGGGGAACGAATACCTCGGTGACTCGGCTAAACGGAAGGTGAAGACAGTGCATATAAGCTAGATAATATGATAAATACATTGCAGGTAAATGCAAGATATGGTTTATGAACTGCGCAAGACGGCGAATGAAACTGCGGATGACAGTGCAAGTCACTGTCAAGTAGATAGGTAGATGACGCAACAGAAATGATTCAGACGTCCGTCCGACAAGGAGGGCGTAGCCTTGAACGCCGCCTAGATACGCTCCTGGAGTACAGCCCCCTTCTGCACTGTTCATCTTGTGTCGGGAGAATAGCACACCAATGGCCGTCGACATACATCCAATCATCGACGCGGTTGTCAAGATCGGATGGGGTTACAAGGGGCGGAAATGCGCCGTTGAATGGGGCGTACGTAGGCACTGTGAGGCGCGCGCCAAATGACGCATCTTGGTATGGTACCCAAGACGAAGTTTCACGAGCCTGGGATGGACAAGGTGAAATGATGATCGTCGGAGCAGAAGGATGGGTAGGTTTGATGACAAGCGGTTCGACCTTTGAACAAACATGAACATTAATTCGCACATGACGTGGATCATACACACTAAAGCAGAGGATCGCCGACGCTTCCTTCTCGGTCGTTCTGGCAGTGAAACGTCAGCACACGATAATGCGCTGTCCTCTGCCACATAAACTCTAGGGCCCGGCGGTAATGGAGGCTGCGGTTGCGGTGGTACTTGTACATTTTCATTCGTCTACGAATTTATTCTTCAAGTTAGTCTAATCAAATATGCAAAAGTGTGACATACCCGTTCTAGCCCCTCACCGACGGAATCTAGTTCTGACAACAACTTAACAACTGTGTTTAAGTCTTCCTCCACGACACTTTTCAAGCCACGATACACGGGCTCGATGGTTCGCCCACACAGCCCGCGCCACGACAAGTCGAGGCAGGTGAGCACGTTTACATCAATCGACTGAACGTGAGGCGTCGTTCAGGTGACAAAGGTAAATACAGTGGAATAGACTCACTATGGCATCGTCATCGCTAGATAATGCGTGTTCGACGCGCACATCTACCCACCGGGCAGACTGGCGCGACAAGCGAGCAAACATACCGTCAGTCCCACTCTAAGTCCACCAAAAAAGTTATATACGGGACACCGAGGCCCCTAATATAGCTGTGTGAGTGAAGTAGATGATGCAGAGATGTCTCTGTAGAGAGAGCGGATTTTAGAATCAGCTGAACAGACTTCAGGTGTCTCTGTAGAGGAAGCGGAAGCGGAAGACACATAGGAGCAAGCTCTGGCTATGGGCCGGGGGGAAGCACATGACACGAAGAGAAAGGACGTGCTTTTAACACCGGCAACATGAAGAAGCCGAAGCCGGCGGACAAGTACATCGTGGGAACATAGCTTGTAGTATCAGACTTTAAGGTTCTAGTCATGATTAGCATAACACCATGATAGTAGTGAACAGTACATGTATGAGCTCCCTGGATTTAACGAATACTCACGGACACAGGTATTTTCTTAGAGGAGGTTATTGTGCTACTTACACTCCACGACACGTGGCGGACAACGCATGATTCTTGAACACGTCGGGACTGCGACCCAGACCGCGGTCATGGTGGACAAGTTGTTTCCGCATGCTGTGTTTTAGACTACAGCTGTAGGTGCATTTTCTCATCCGTCGCCAGATACGATTGCATCAGACTGACCTCGCAACTTGATGGAAGTTACAACGTTGAATCTCTTTCCAGTTGGTGGATAGCGGAACTGCGATAACTGCATCATCTCACGATCAAACAGAACGTCGACAACTATCTCTGATCTGATGTATAGGATCTTCTGGACCCCGCTCAGGACTTTGGGGACCTACGGTTGTCTCTCTCGGGTCCTGCCGTATTACTTATAACTATTGGTATAGGTCGGTGATGGATTGGTGATAAACTTCATCGGGTTGTGGTATTTCGATTTCGACTGACTCCTCTACTTTATGCGCTGCTGTTTATCATGATGTAGCGATAACTCGAACCAGGTCTTCTGATCTCGAAGCTTGCGCCCATCTACTTTCGGCTCCGCATTTCACCGCCAGAAAAATCTAGAACGCGAGGAACAAGTCAGAGGAGCCTGTTCTGTGTTCTGTATTTATCTCCGGGCAAATTCTGTCCGACTGCGTCGGCAGAAGCCCTAATACATACACCGTTTCAAATCTATATCCCCCCCGATTTCGTGAAACAATACAGGCAAGGTAACGAAGGCAACTGACATTGGAGTCTTGCTGGAGTCAGGGATGGCCTTGTTAACCTGAATATCCCCTTGAATCATGTAATACATACGATACTTTTAAGCTTTCCAGTTCCATGGTCGCCTGTGTCTTGTCTATGTTTGTAATGACAAAACTTAGAACTTATCGTTCTAACCTAAAAAGGCCCCTGTGCAAGCCTCTCCTCTGACCGATATAAGTTAGCAGTGAGCGCCAGCATTGCAGCTCATGTCGTATCTTTCTGCTTCCTTGATTTTCCCTCGACGACTAGTACGGATCAGAAACCAGGAAATTAAAGAACAGGACCTGATGTATCTTCAAGAAGTTTTTACCGAGATATATGCCCATGGCATATTTACCACATCACCGAACAGCCCTTTGAGCTGTATGGTAGCTCCTTCAAGGAAACCCCGGGAAGCAAGGATTAAATCGCATTGACTCCCCAGGGCCCCTGGGGTGTTCGCGCCCGCTTCCTAGTCAAGGAATGTTGGCCCTTGGGGGACTTCCTCCGTGCATTAATGATTTCCACAACGAGGTAATGGGCTGTGGCACCTTAAACGAGCACAAAGGTTAACATTCAGGCGTCAGACTGCTGCCTTTCGTGGGCTTGGCTTTGTACAGTCCCAGAATGACGTAACGACCCGTCCTGCATACTTACATACTTTGGCCACAGTTCGGCTTTGCTCAGGCCGCCATGCTTCATATCGACGCAACCCAGAATGAGAGGCAAAAAGGCACATGATATTAGGACGCTGTGTCAAGACGCAAAAGCATTGCTTCGTTATACTAATCTAGAGAAATTGATTCGTCCGTAGTCTATGGCAATAAGCCAGATGCAGCCACGAACACCGGAAGTCTCCAAAGTGCCAGTCCGCTTCGCACAAGTTCTTGTGAGTAAGACGGCTGGAGTGCTGTGGTCGGAGAGTTGACCGTCGGTATTAGCCGTGTGAGGCGGGATAATCCAACAGGAACAGGCTGTTTTAAGTTGGTGCTCCACGCGATGATAATCAAAACGAACATATGTAGGTATATGTTGGTGGAAATTGATGGACGTTTATCAACGACCTGCGCCCGTTATAAAATCATGTGCGAACCCGAGGACGATGGCAATGAGCCATTGAGCGCGAAAAGCTTCCGTGGTTTAAGTTATTACTGGAATAAACGATGCTGTAACCATCGCAGCTTCGCGACCGATAAGCAAGCTCCACTGCCTACGCGGGAAGGTCGCGGCGCCACTATCAGCCAATGCAATAGTCATGATTGATATAAGGCTTGCAAGGTCGGCGACGCTGATACAAGGCCGGAGACGCGGATATGAGCTGTGTGTCAACCAACTTAGGTCTGAGACCAAGGGCAGATATGCCCGAACAGCCAAAAGAGGTTGAACTTGCCACATGAGATAGACTAGCAGCGCGTTGGTTCTTATATCAAAGCTGGCGCGCAGTGCTTGGACACGAGGCAACCTCGAGGCGTCCGTGCCATGGCGAGGATGCCCTAAATTGGAAAGACGATGATATCTAGGCGCCACATACATGATCTTGAGCGGGCGGTGAGGGAAGATGTGCGCCAAAAATGACGTCGTGAGATCCATAGCTAGTAGGACCGAGCTTACTGATCATACTGAGGTGGAAAACATGTTGGGCTGTTTGAATCGATCTGTTTTTATCTGAGAGATACAGACACATCAAAGTCAGTGGTGAGAGATCGATTAAGATCAGGATAAGGATCAATAGATTGATGAGATGGTAAAGCTGATAATCAGTTTACGTGGAGAATTTCGAATGTCAAGAGACGAAAATGAGGGCTGTGATGACAATTTAGTACGCATCGATGACAAGAGAAGGGATAATACGTGTAAAGGAATGCTTGGTGGTCACTGAATGAAGCCATAGGAAGGCCTTCTCGAGTTGACTTGGAAGGACCTACCCTTCTATCCGGCAATTTCATTTCATAGTACGTGGCAAATTTCTATATGTGCTGCAGGGAGGACAGATAGTTTGGGTCATCTGGAAAGACAGGGAAGGGTTAACAGTTGATTGGAGGGACGAGTAATTGAATACGAGAAACACGTGGGACGATCATAGATGACTGTTGGATAGGGAAGTTAGAACATAAGTAGGACGAGTGGTACCCGTGGGGCAGGTCCAATTGCAATGTGACGAGAGAAGGACCGAGACTGATGACACTGTGTGATACGGGAAAGTTCAGGAACGGCACGCTGTATAAATGAATATGAATACTGGGCTACTGGAGCGTGTTGGATCCCCCCAGAAAAGAGGATGTCTGACGAAGTAGCTAGCCTCGTTGCAAGGCATGGCCTTGGTGATTGATCACGAATACAAGGAGTTGGCCTTGCATGGAGTGGCAATTGGGCAATTATTGGACTGCTCACTGGTAAGAGGGTAGCCTCGAGGCATGGATAGCATAAATTTATGGGATAAAATCTGTCAAGTGTAACTAATTGGAACAAGTCAGGGCTAACGAGTCAAGGGAGACCGAACGTCGTACTTTACGAACCTACTACGGCAACATAGCCACAGTCGGGTAAATGTGATTGGAGGATACCCGACCCCCCGTGAAACTGTGGACGTTGCCGATTGACCCATTGTTCCTACAAGCCATTAAGTAGAAAATGTGAAAAAAGATTACAACATTTTCGCTTGACGTCGTGCGATACAACGGCCAGACCTACGTTGATTACTAGCACTGCCTTTCTACTCGGTAAGTTCAAGTTAACTTCCTGTGCAGATGGCACTGACAGAAGGCGTGTACTTATCTTGTAGGTTTACTTGCCTATCAAAGGCCAATTGCGTTCCAAGTCTTGGGCACTCAAGGGCCATTTCCGTTAAGTGGCCTGGGTCACTGGTTCATATCGCGAAACTTGTAGACGCTCATTTTTACTGCCTCGAGGCAACTCCCGAACGGTATCATCTCACATACGGTCATATATCAGATCCGAGATCTTCCCGTGGAACAATTCCCTTTTAACTGTCGGTCAATCCATTTCCTTTCCCTTTTTCCCCGTCCCATGCTTACTGCTTCTTTTCGCCCGCCCAGCGGTGGCTGGTATTCCCGTCCCCCCCCTCCAATGCAACGACGTGGTCGTTCACGCCAGATTTCACCCGTAGCTCTGGCCAGACAGGCATCCGAAGAACGGAGAGTACTTTTATATCTCGAGAAACAGCGAGAAGAAGATATTACTATACACCCTGACTTCTTTGTGTCACCTCCCGCCAATATCTTACTCCAGTTGGAGAAGGCGGATCCTCCATCCACGCATCCACAGGAGCAAAGTCTTACTTCAGACGCGTCATCAATAGTTCGTTCTGCCTCGCAGTCTACAGATTTCCAGATCGACTGCATGGATTCGGTCAACAGATCTCCTTCGTCTACCCGTTCTTCGTCCCCGACGCCATCAGGGTCACTAGGGTCTGCTGAATCATCAGCACCCTCTTCTGTTTCCCCTGATTCTTACGACTCCCCTCCATCGCCCCCTCGATCACTCGCAGACCAAGTCCAGGTGGCTTACGCATTGGATGATATCCGTCTCGCCAAGATTCCTGCTTCTTAAGCTCAAAGGGATCGATGTTACCTCAGATAATGATCCTCGGATCGATGAAGTACGCGACGAAGATTTTGACATGTGCTTCGTACCATCTGGTCCACTCAAACTTGAAGAACCTGAAAGGCGCGTCGTCCAAGAAACTCGCCAGAAACAGCGTGAAAAGTGGGAGGAGGCTCAGCGAAGACAACGCCTGCGCATGTGCGAAAAGGTCTGGGAGGAAGAGAAGCAACGTCTGCACACCGAGCGACTTCGCGCTATTCGCCGTCGTGAGGAGGAGATTGCTATAGAGGAAGAGCGAAGACGGGTTGCAGAGGTTCAACAGCGTGAGGAGGCAGAGCTCGCTCTCCAACAGCGTTCCACGCGGGTGGGGTTCTCGATGGCTAAACGTCAGACTGTGTCTTACGGTAAATTATCGCAGGCACGGCTCGAGAGGTGCTCGTTGAAACGTGACGAAGATGCGTTTCAGTACAGCTTCATGCGGCCCGTGAAGCTGAGTACCACCCCACCCAAGCGTGGTCTCACCTCCCCGAAGGGGCTGCGTAATGACGCCATGCTGAAACCTTCAGGTGGCCAGCAGCGTACGGTGTCGTTCAAGGAGGTCGTGTCCTCTATGGACGGTAAGCTGTTCCCCCTCGACGCAGCTGAGCGGGCGGAGGAGGCAAGGCGTATTGCTGGCATCAGTCCTGTTACCAGCCCTTCGCGACATCGCCGTCATACCTCTGCACGGTCCGAGTTACTCCACAGCCTGCTGCAGGTTGTGGAGTGGCAAGAAGGAGAGAGGCGTAAAGCGAAAGGGAAGGGTGTGGAACGGCCTGCGCAGCTTCTCGAGCAATCTCCGCTCTGCAGTACTCCCACCCCTGTACTTTCGATCCCTTCGACTGACTCGATACCCGCGATGTCGTCGTCTGTTTCCACATCTCGGTCAAACTCTTGGTTGTCTTTTGGGAGTTGGCGCTCATCTGTAACAGACATTACATCTCCTGATGCGTCTTCACCTGTCTCTGACTCTCCCAAATGCTCTACGTCCTCCTTCCAGTTGCCTACTCTCTATGAGAGTCAACGTGATCTCAGTCCGCGCTCCTCCTTTGTTCTCGTTTCCCTTGATGAGACGCCTCTCTCGCCACCCAAGGCTCAAAGACACGCTCGGGAGGTGCAATCCTCTCGACCTGCTGTAGATGTCCCCTCTCTAGCAGGTAACTCTCATGAGGTCGAGAGTGTGGGGAAAATACTGGTTCGACACGTTAGTCGTTCTGTCCACGGGATAGTTGACGCAGCGAAAGGACTTCAGTCAGCCTACATCTCTGCAACTATGTTTTCCGTTGGCGCTGCACCCTCCCACTCTTCTACGGCTTGTCCACAGCCTCGAGCAGTGCACTCCAGCAGAAGGTGTTTCCGACGCTATGGCTACCGTGCTCACCCAGCAGACGTGAAGAAGTTTACTTCTCTCACCACGCCAACTCCAACCACTACCTCTCCCGAACCCATCCACTTCATTCCTCTCGTGTCTCCTTTTCCAGCGACGCCGGGCGCTGCGCCACTTGTGCATCACTCGACGTCCTGTCACACTTTTGTCACCCCCTCACCTCTTCGCCCCCGTACTCCACCTACTACGCTTGCTTATCGCATGCGCCCTGTCGCGAACCCCGAAACCCTCCGTTTACGCGCGCTACAGAATCTCATGTATGCGCGGGGCAAAGAATGGGAAGGCCGCGGACGAGAAGGCGGGCTCGGCTGCGGCAAAGAGCGTATGCTTGGCATCGCCTTTGAAGGCCGAGGGCCGAGCGGCCTAGGGTGCGAGATGCGTTTCGTTATCGCATGAAGGTTCCTCGCCCGTTGGATCTATGTCTGTGGTGGTATCTGGACTTTATAATCAGTTTATGCGCTCTTTAATCCTAATTTTTGGAATGGGACCTTCCATTTTCCTTGTGTTGTAGGATATTGTGGGGAGGGGTGAGTGGTGATGATTTAGTAGCATCTGTTGTCTGTATCTATAGAACGTTAGCTGACGATACCCTCGCATGTCGAGCACGTACATATGTTTTCTCTTTTCTTCCTGGTACATATATATATACCTTTCGTTTTGCGTCACCCATCTATCTAGAGTACCTCATTTTCCTTGTTTTGCCAATGCGATCCCTCGATCCACCTACGTACCTCGTATCTGCTTTGCCATAGAAATCGATCTCATGTTGTCCATACTGCAATCGAGTCAAGTCCTTTTATACGAGTGTCCATGAGGTGAAACACGACTTCGGTTTCGGGTTGTCAATTCCCGGTTCCCTCGACCAGCGCTATATTCATAAATTTCAAACCGGGGAAGAGAATGTACATTTTACCGATGTGTATCGTGTAGATTTTAGACAGCTGCATTTGTTCTGGTCGTGCTGCCCCTGACCGACCAATGTGAATCTGAGCCGTCGCGATGTTGCGTTATGCCCTCTGAGCCTATCGGCTATTCGGGTCAAGTGATCAATTATTTTGGCTGTAGGTCATGCCAGCTCGTGTGTGATACCCTATTGTTCATCTGCCAGGCGGCCAAGCACAAGAGTCATATTTTTGTTTGGGCAGTAAACCCTTTGCAAAAGTAGCTGCGGCTGCTGTTCTCAAATCCAAGCAGGTACCAATCGTGCATTGCCGCTATCTGACATTTTCAAATTGCTCATTCGAACTGACGTGCGGTCACCAGGGCGTAGCGTAACAACGCAGGGCAGTTCATATGTCATCGAAGAGGCGTCGCAGTAAACCGATTCAGAGTACTGTCAAAGCAAGAAGGGTATCAAAAGGCTAGGCATACAATGCTGCAACAAAATAAACTACCGCGGTTTAATGATTAAAATCTGCTATATTCGACGAGGCCCAACGGTTGGATGGTGTTGACTGTGCCCAACTTGAACCCACGCTGGAGCTTACTGGAGGCGCAGGCCCTGGATTTGGCGAGAATAAATTTGCGGGCCGTCGCATGGTCTTGGCATATGGAAGCTGGTTGGAGTATATGGGGTCTTGCATGCGCATACCACTACCGAGTTGAGGGGGGTGTTGCGGCTGGAGACGCTGTTGGGGTTGTTGTCGTTGAGGCTGGGGTGGCGGTGGCTGGGGTTGGGGCTGGGGCTGGGGTAAAAGTTGCGACTCCCATCCACTCCAAGGGTTGGTCTCCCGTTCTGGTGGCATATCAGCGTCAAACGCCCACGGGCTCAGACGGGGACCAGAAGAAGACGATGACCCGCTGCGCTTCCGAGCTGCCGCCGAAATTGAGGTTGAGATCCGTCCACCCTCCTCCCGCTCGATATCAAGTGTGATACCCTTTTCGCTCAACGAGGCGGAGTCGATGCCCAGCATCTTACGCAGCTCCTCGTTCTCCTTTTCTAGGCGGGAAATTTCAATTTCACGCTCCAACGCCCAATCGTCCCGAATCTCGGAGTCTGCTTGTTGGTCTAACGACTGAAGGAGAGCAGGAATGTCGATCGGGGAGCCATCGTCGGTTAGTTCGGGCTCTTCGCCAGACATGGAACGATGCAATGCACGAAGAGTGTGGGCGAGGCGCTGAAGGCCGATAACGGTTTTAGTTTCGGAAGTTAGGTCTGCATACTGATTATGTGAGTCACAGGCGAGTAGTAAACCTTCATAGTGGCGGGTCAGGGTGAGTTCGTGTTGCTGAGCTGCTAACTAAAGTTGAGGCACGTCATCATCGGATGAGTTGACAATGAAGTATCAGAACGCACTGCATGATTCCTGAATTTTGACATAATGGTTTCCATAGTGCTTTCATATTCTTTGAGAAGGAGACTAAATTGCTTGTTCTCATGAAGAAGGGTTTGGTTCTCGATAATGAATTGGGCGTTCAAGCGCTCCAATTCGGAATCAAAAATTTCTGTGAACAAGGTTCAGGCCTACTTCGGACAGTGGAGGTGAATGCAAACAGACCTTTCGAGATATCGGTATTAAATCGCCTCAGAGCAAAACCTGAACCGACGTGTACAGCCTGGTCCTAGTGAAGTATTGTGAAAGGAACGGATATTACCCAAGTGATAGAACTTACTTTAAGTGAGGCTGCTTGCGAGTGTAATGTAGTTGATATTTTCTGGTTATGAGCGAGCTGGTCGCTCAACTCATGAATGAGCAGCCATGCGCGTAGAATGTCGTTATCCATGATCATGTTCAAGACGGTCGAACAATGATGTGTGCTTGTCCCAAATAGGAAGGATTGTCCAGAATGCAAAGTACACTGGTTGAACTTGAAACGTTTAGTTGAAAGCAAAGGCGATTCTACGTTGCTGCGGAATATTAGTATTGAAGATTAGCTAGAGCTCTGACACTGACCTAAAGCGAAAAAAACAACTAGGGCTGCTGCGGTATAGTTTCAGGGAGAGAGGTCGTGGGAAAGTATCTTAGGATTGAATGGGTTCAGGTTGTTCTCGTTCTCTCCTATAGTCCCGCCTCCTCCTCAGTACTTTCTGTATAACATCAATTGAAACGCTCGCTTCTTCGATAATAATCAAGGAATACTAGCGGTATTACTCCATAACTCGTTTATCGCCTTTGCATTCAGTACACGTTTTTCCTTCGGCAATTTCGACTTTACATCCTCGCTAATCATCGTTTCTTCTTTTATTCGGCTTTACTGTGACACCCAGCCTTACCACTTTTTTTTCGACTTCAGTTCATCCATATCAATTTTATTTTCCACTTTTTTTCCGATCAAACATGTCATCCGCCTCAACTTCTGGTCTATCGGCTTCCGTCACGCGTATTTTGTCTCTGACAGGCTTTCCAAAGGAGCTGAAGACAAAAGACATACAAGCTGCATTCGCGGAATGGGAGAACATTGGTGGAGGCTTCAAGATTAAATGGAGAGACGACACGAGCCTCTTGATAGTTTTCCAAGATGCATCAGTCGGTAAGTAACTGGTCCATCAGATTTACACCAACACTGTCTTAAGAGTACATTTCCACGTGGCCAACAGCAAAACGAGCATATCTCCACACGCTCGCATTCCCTCCTGCTATCCTTACTACCGGCATTCCCGCTACCATCAAACCGTATGATGGGCCTGACGCCCAGAACGTTATTCAGACAGTAAACACTCGTGGCCAGCACACCGGCAATGCTTCTCGTGGTCACAATTTGCGTGCAGCCTCTATTTCTGTTTTCCCCACTCGCAGTGCCAACAACAGTCAGAATGGCAACCTGTTACGCGGTCAGAACGGCCACGTGCTAAACACTACTATTTCGGAGCATTCCCCGAGGCTCAACGGGCGTGAGCCTTCTCCAACACTCCCTTCACTCCCTTCTCATCCCTCTCTGAATGACCTCATCAATTCCGCCGTCTCACACGAGGATCCTGCTATTCTTCACGCGGAAGGACCACCCAAGATTGGAGATCCAGGGAAGAGAATGTTGGGCGCTGCATTGGGTGTGAGGCACCCTGCACTGGGGCCGCGGGTCATTAATGGAAGTCACATCACGGGAGGTGCAGCTCCCGGTACCAGTCCCAGACTCGATTCTACCATGAGAGACATGCAGAGGGTAATGGGAGGCTTGACTGTTGCCGAGTAAATAATCCACCATGTCCGAGGATGCCTCTTCCGATTCGCGTCCTGGTGTTTGAATTGAGTGCGTGTAATCGATGTTTTCGTGACTGATACGCATCCCTTGATGCATAATTGGCGGTTCTCTGTTTCTTTGTGCTATTAGTTCCTGCAGTCCTCGTGTCACGATACAGTCCCTCGTTTTCGATGTTTTTGTACAGCCAGCCCAATTACTACACATTCTAGTGCCGCACCTAGGCCATCATCCTAATTTGTGTGATCTGTGCCAGCGAGTCTAGAATTAGTACGGGTCTATGCCCGCAGTCAATTGCCAGTGGTTCCTGAGAGTAAACTGTCGTCAACCTCCTCACGCCAAAACCTTGGAAATCACCCTATTGCCAACCTCGTTGCCTATGCATGGTTAGAAATTAGTCATGACAGGATTTTGATTTTGGCAGTGCCACTACCTGTGACGCGACAATATGGATGATGATCACTGCCAATCCCCAACTTTGGCGCTAGCACAGCTCCAGCCAGCTGTGAGTCCGGGCTAACTATTTTAGATTCTGATGAGGCTCCCGTGCTTTTTGCTGTATGATCGCGCGCAGTTTCAGCGATAACGCACCATCTGTTACGACATCACGGAGAAGCTACATGTCACCTTGGCCCATCTTGGAGTGGCAGCCGCATCATGAGGTTCATCAGATCAAGATGAAACGGAAGATTGAATTACATGGGAACAGGTAACGTTCCTTATTCGGTGCACATGATAGATGGTTCAACCTTGATTGATATTCGCAAGCGCATCTCAAGCGCATCTTGTTACGAACCTCCTACACGGGCTTGACAAATGCCCAGAGGCCGCCCTGTTCCGGGAATACTTTTCTGATCACGAGAGAAAACAAAGGGAGTAATGCCAAATGTGTGTGGTACAATGCCTTGTAGCTATTGACGGCCGCGTCAGTCAAGGTTTCATGCCGCTGTCAATAACACGAGGCTCAGGTGCGTCTTTCCCTCACAATCAGAGCTAACTCTCTAGTATTCTTTATCCGGTTCTCAAGCCAACTCCTTGTAGACATGGCCACTTCTCCTTCAAGTTACTGCCATAGCTATACATGCGGTCTTCTTCCTCGCGGGTGATTTTCCTGATATATCACATGGTTGATTACTTTGACCCTCTTTACTAGTAACGTTAGACAACAAAGGTCGCCTATTCACTTCCGTCCATTCTTGCCATCACTTAGTACAGATTTCAACGTGTTCGTAAGCCACTTTACCCCCGATTGTCTTGTTTGCAATCGGTCAATTACGGTACTGATCAATGGAAGTAGCGCAGCCCCAAGAGTTAATCATGTTCGAGACCCTATGCAATCCAACCACCGTAAGCACTTGCCTACAGCTGCCGGCTTAGCGATACGGACCTGGTTTTAAATCGCCTGTCTTCCAATTTGATTCGTTACTGGCATCCCAGCCTTTCTATTTGTGTTCTTTGACATCCAGATTTTGACGCTTCTTTACGGCTGATCTTGGGGTATATGATCTCCGAATCGATTTCCGCGCGCAGCTTTCGTCGCTGTTCCATCATACACTGAATGTGACTTGCCTCATCATTTAACTATGCAACCATACATATATTGCCATCCCAAATTCCAGTCCCCCCATACACAAATCATGAGTCCCTACATCCACTCACCTGATAGTGTCTACTCCTCCGACGACTCATACTCCCCTTCGGAACATTACCAGCCGAAGTACGGGTCTCCTGCGACCATGTCAAGGTTCAACTCATGGTCAGCCTACTAGTCATATTTCGAACCTTCTGCGTGCTCCGCACCATGTTGCCTCCATCAATCCTAAAGTCACGATTTTAACGACACAACCATCCCTATCCTCTGAGGTCAATACACCTTCATCTGCATCGACACAGTCAATACAGACACCGTCCTCTCCCTTTGTCCACGAGTATCCTGACAGTCGGGATGATATGGAGTTTGATGAATCCGACTCGGAAGATGAGGACGTTGACTCTGATATTGAGGGGATGGACGGTATCGAAGAAGAAACCATGCCGTTTTACGGTGTCGCCATACCCCAAGTGATGAAATCTACTTCTGCGCTTGAAGGAGCGCTGGGGGATGGTTCACGTTCATCCGGCCCTTGGTGGCCACAGCCATCATCGTCATATATTGTTTCGGACCGGCGAATGTCCGTGTCATGCTCCTGGATATCCTACATCATCTCACCGACCAATACCTTCCCAAGCACAACGACGGCAGGATAGCGATATGTATTCCCCAAGACCACATAATACTTCGTCACCAGCATCACCTTCATACCCTCATCACGGCTCTTCGTATACCCATGACAGTACGAGTTGCACGACTACATTATTCGCACCCACTTCCACATTGTACCAAAATTCATCATCTTCTCTAGCCGATGCAATTCCACTAGGCCTCACACCTGGAGCGACACGAAATTCATCCACTCGTCTGCCCATTTTACAACCGCAACCCATCCGCCCAATCCCCCCCATTCCTCTAGACGAATTAGCATCGTCCGCTGCCGAGGTTGATGAGTCTGTCTTTCCGGACCAAGGCATTCATAGACCTCGAGAGCGGAGTCTTTCGCCCCTTCCTCTTCTTTGCCAACCAGTCTCCGATGCCGTGAGGTATCAATTAAGCGCAACTTCTAGGATCGCTCAGGGTGACGAGGAGTCATATGATCATCAGATTACGGCGGAGCCGTCACCTAGAGCTCCCGTGATTCAAACTCATCATTTTAATCCGGCGTACCCCCGAAACTGCTCAGGAGCCGCGCACACTAAGACGTCTTCTTGTAGGAAAAGGAGTTGGCGGTGATTTTTTTAATATCCATGTCAATTGTTCGTGCTGTGATCATGAAAGGTTTCACTTGGATATTTGATCGGGCCTACTAAATAAACTATAATAATTCAACCTTGCATAGTTTATCGCATGTCTTCATTCCATTTCAGGGCTCGTTAATACTTACTTAACCTAGTGACATTGTGGAAACGTACAGGTGTAAACAAAACGTGAACAAGTCAAACCAAAAGGATGCGACGAAAAAGAGCTGAACAATAAGGCAAGTGAAGCCAAAGCGTTGGTGCTTGAGTATAACCTTGATTATTATTATCGTAAAGTCGCAAAGTACCGTAGAGAGAAAGTCATCATGGAACATATGAAACTGTCTTTAGGATCTGGGAATCCGAAAGACAGGTCGTGCGATGGTACGAGGTGACGCTGGGAATTCCGGGGTTCACGAGATTGACCGTTTTGTGCAGCCCAAGTCAAAAGTGGAACTACTGTTAAATAAACTTGAAACGTTTTCTATATCAATCCAGGGAAAGTGTCCAATGGATCACGGTATAAATCGAACTTACCGATGCCAAGCCCCATGTCGGATATCTACCATTTTCTCATATTCCCCCGCCAGCAGAAGTTGTCCGCCTTCTAGCGCTGCGGGACGTAAAGGACCTCGTACTGATCCTATCACGCTCACGTAGCTGCGACTTCGGCGGAGTGCAGGGAGCGAAGCGGGTTTGTGTGGCTAGACTCTTCCGGCTACTTCTCTGTTTGGACAATGTGAGGGCACCCGTTTCATTAACGTTCAGGTGAGGAACCCGGTTGTTGTAACGGGGGGGAGGGGCGCTTAGGGTTGACATCGACATGCTGAAGCTCAGCCGAAGGCAGTAATGGCGGAGATCCTGGGAAATCCGGATGTCCGTGGAGAGATCCTCCACGGATCTTCGACTGTAATGAGACCGAATGTTTGGGAAGGTCAGGGGCGCCCGAGTTAAGTGGGGCATCCAGAAAGGGATCCTCAGCCTCACCCCTTTCCTCGTTCGGAAAGAAATAGAAATCCAGAGGTACATAGGATTGGCGCCGAGTGCGGATAACAGGTGATTCCCTTATTGAATCATCGACGCTGGTCCTATTCAAATCAAGGATCGGAAACAACGTGTCCAGGGGGTGGGTTTCGTTATCTGTATCTGTGCCAAAGTTGGTATAAGAGGGGACTGGAGGTGCTTTCCGCCTGATCGTACTCGCGCCAAGTTTGACCGGCTTGTTCCTGGAGGCAGAAGCTTTGTCATCCGTCATGCAGAACTCTCCCGGGTTAACCCAGCGTCTATACTCGCTGCCATTGGAAGGAACCGATTGGCGATTGTCGGAAGAAGCTGGTTTTGGGTCATTGTAACGAGAGTTTTGGTAAGGCAGTGCAAGAAGTCCCTCGTAGTACAGGCGCGACCGTTCCTGCATGTAATTTCTGTATGTTCCGGCGCATTCCTGGATGTCACGATGAGTGCCAAACGCTCCAGAAAGAAGTTGATAAAGTGCCGATCGCTCAGTAGCTGACAGTGTACAGGCGTTCGATGACAAAGGGTCGGCAGAAGTCGTGCGTGGCGATAAACCTAATTCAGCCCCATCTGCTCTCAGATCTGGCATCGATTGGGACAGGGTGTGGAGTGGGCTTGTCTCAAGCGCTAGCACCGGTGGGCCACAATGCGTGTAAGAAATTTCGTCTATCGCTTGTGAAAATGAGTAAGACTCGTCAGCAGCACTGACTATCATGTCAATCTCATGGTTGTTGTTTGCATCGCTCGCAGGAAAGATGTCAGGTTGAAGGAGTGGACTGATTGCGCGAGACGATGGACAGATTACTGCGGGTGGCAGGGGGTCATCGTGAATGGATCTAACGGCGTATTTCCTTGGACGGCCAGGTTTGGCCTTTGTAACTCCACGAGGCTTCCTCACTGGAAGCCGGACCTCTTTAATTTTCGATATCAAGTTTGCAGTTGCTCTCCGCGACTCCTTCAAAGGCGCTTGGCGCAAAGTGCGGAGGTTCGGCTGAGAAAATAGACATATATCAGTCGTATTCTCAATGATCTATTCAAATGTGAGGCTCGAACCGATCGTGGCGCTGGAGCGAGATCATTTGGCACAATTGTGTTACCGTTCTTATCTTCTTTGATCACGCGCAATCCTCGGCTGTGAAAGTAATCATAGACGTGCCTCCTGTCGATATTGTAACGTTCTTGCAGCTCTTTTCGGACGGCAAAGGACGGCATTTCGATGTTTCCAGGGTGTATCAGTGCCTCAAGATCACGGACGAGATCCGGTCCTAGTCGGAGAGCGAGGCTCTCAGGATTGACTCGCCTTCTCTGAAATACAGTGCTAGCATTCTGAAGAGCGATGATCGAAGAATCTTCCGTTCCCGACGGTTGGTCAAATGACGGGTAGCCGGAACCATTGAGAAGATGCCAGGTAGGGTGTGAAGAGGCATTTTGGCGGGTGAGTCGAGAACTGCTGGCTGCATCGGTATCGCTTGTGGAGAGTGTTTCCATTCTGCTGGGAGCAGGATTGTAGTATTGTGTATGTACAGGATATGAGAAGGTTTCGCGTCAACTTCGGCCAAATCAACTTCGTCGCTATTAGGAATCTTATAATCTCAACGTTCAAGCGTTCAACTCCCGCGGAGTCTAAAAACTACATATACTGTACAGCCACCCCTGTGTTGGTTAGAAGTACAGACTGGCAGCGAAGACGACTGCAAAGTATGAGAGGCAAATAATTCCATCAATAATATTTGACTTACTGTCCCTCTTGATTTTTACTTGAGCCTCTTCCAGTTTCTTGAACAGGTCCATATCCCCAATCACCCGCGCAGCATCCCTGACTTCTCTGCAGGTCTCGTCCAATCGCGTTATAACCCTCACAATCGTACCTTCCGGAACGTCAGTCAAGGCTGTTATCTGATCAAAGGGCTTTATGAAAACCGCCGACTATAAGTTTTCAACGTGCACCGAACATTTGTTGACTCACCATGCCCTTTGCCCATTCATGTACCACTTCCATGAGACCAAATTTCAAGCTTGATCTGAGTCCTTCTGTCGAAACCTTGTGGCGGTCTTGTACACCTCCCACTCTATTACTGATCGCAAGAATTGCATCTCTGCCTTCCTCAAGTTTGATCGGCACAGCAGGTTCCACTTCTGTCTTTTCTTGAAAGACGAAGCAAGATAAAAGAGCAACCACCTCCTCTGGCTCATAGTTCGCTAGAGTATTCTCGAGTATAAGTTCAGTGACGATAAGCTCGTTTGCAGAGTTGATCTGAACTGCAGTGAGCCGACAATATAAATATGTATAGCAGGAGCGTATCTGACCTCGCAGGCCACGCGACCCTTCAGTTGAATAGTTGAATTTTCGTCAATGAACTTCAACTCCTTTAGAACCTCAATTCGTTGTTCATAGTCCGGGATAAGGTCGAGGTTCTGGTCGGAAATTGCCATCTTGAGCTTGTCGATGTTAGCGCGTAGCGTCTTCTGACCATGAAGAATGAGATACTACTCGGCCCAATCAGTTACGTGAAGACGTGAAGGCGACGTGAACTGACATGATCATCGAAGTCGCCGCACAGCGTACACGATAAACTTTGGCGACGTTTGGCAAGGTCATTTCTCCTGCGTAATGCCTCCTGGAAATCTAGTGTTCGTATGCGATCCCAAATAACCTCTGGTATGGTTCCAGCAGACCTCCAGTTTTGGACAAGGAATTGCAGCGAGTTGATGATCTCAAGCATCAAAGATTTTTTATGGTGATCGACAATTCCAGTTGCGTCGACCTGCCTCAGCTTAGCATCAAAACTCCGGGCGCAAATGCTACATACCTTCATAGTCTCGGAAGTCACCATAGAAATACTGTCGAGAGGGACACTTCTTAGGTCGTATGTCAGGTTCTCGACTTCTAATGAAGCGGGACCCAATGGCCATCTCGGCGGCAGAGCTCGATCGTCGACATCTGGAAAGTTAATGAACGGGTTTCATATGCTATCGTACATCATCAGATAGATTACCTTTGTCACCTAACTTCGTTTCTTGATCGACCATAGCCAACACGAAAAACAGTTTCCCCGCGAATGAACTTGCTTGCCGCGGATCTGGTTTAAGCAAAATACCGACATTGCCTCGTTTAAAGTGCTGGTTGTGAACGGAAGTATTATCAGTAGACACAAGGGTCGCGATTGACAGGTAACGTACGCCGTCTCTTAAGATGACAACCCTCCCTGAGCCAAACAGGTTAGCATTTGAAGGACTGGATGTCACCATAGTGCAAAGTTTGATGTTTAAGCCAACGACCTGAAGGGAAAGATCGTAATAGTGCTCAATATCGCCCAAGCAAACATCACATTCGAGTTTAGGCATTTTAGAAAGTGTCCTCTCATGCTAATAATCATCTTGCATCAATATGTCCATGAAAAGAATGAAAACAAAAATATACCTCTGCAACTTGCTTTTGATGTTCAGGAAGCAGTCTCTGCGAAGAATTTTCGGAAAAGCTCCGTTTGATCATTTCCTCGACGCGCAGTGCCTCCACACGAAGCAAATTTAGTATCATATTGTAGGTGAGCCTGAACTGCGACTGCAGTTTTCCGGGTGTGCCGAGCATCATGTTCATGAGGGATGATTGCTGTAACGCAGAGACGTTACTGATGTGTCCAAAATCGTTGATTGTGAACTCGCCTCAGGAAGCTTGTCATTTGCAACAATAATCACCGTTCCAGTAGGGTCCAGACCTCGCCGTCCAGCACGACCTGCCATTTGGGTGTATTCGCCAGGCAAAATGTCTCTAAAGCTGCGCCCATCATGCTTGCGTATGTTAGAGAATACAACGCATCTTGCGGGCATATTAACACCCTACGCTTGCCGTCAGAATTCCCTCGCCCAAAATAACACAGGATGAGAAGCGCACCATAGCGAATGTCTCTGTGGCAAACAGAATCTTGACGAGCCCACGTGCAAACAATATCTCCACAACCTGTCAGCAGTGAGTCATTCGTGATCAAAGCCATGCGTGAATTCTTCAGACCTCTTTGACGATGGGCAACAAACCACCATGATGAACACCAATTCCTCGTGACAGTAGGTCCCTCATCCTAGTGATCTGCGGGAGTTTCTTGTCCGACCCTGGGATGGGAATTAACGCAGTCAGTGAAGTGATCTACGGGCTACACTTACCCTTTAATCGTGAAAGCGCCTTTTCGACGGCGACGTGTACTTCACTCTTCTCTACGGATGTGCACAGATCTGCGTTGGTAAGTGTTGAAGCATTTTCTTCGCAACGCTTCTTTGACAAAGTAAACACGACGACAGGAAGAAGCCCCTTTTTCTGAAGATGATTTAGTAGGTGCACGTAGAGATTCTTGTCTGTTCCAGTGTGAATGATCCTAGACTGTCCGCCGCCACGCCCACGGGGTGCAGACCCATTCGGGGCTGCGCCGCGTTGACCACCGCGTGCTGGTGCTGCGCCACGCTGCACACCTCTTGCAGCGCCTCGAGCACCGACACGCTGTACAGGAGGTAGACCTGCAGCGTCTCGTTCCTTGTCCTGTTTCCTCTTGAGAGCATCGCCCGCATCTTGGTACCTGTGCTCGCAGCGTCAGGATGCCCAAATAGCCAAGCGTTTGTAATATTACCCCCGTGAAACCCATTTCCTAGAAGCATCTACGATTTTGAACATGTCCCTACCGGCGTAAAGATAATACTCAAGGGGTACAGGTCGTTGCGCCGTAGAGATCACATAGATGTCCTTCTTCTTGGTCCGCCTTGGTAAATTCGCAAGTCAAAGTCAAAAATTACGTGAGAGGGTCTCATATTTGCTCACCCTACCCAGTCAGCAAACTCTTTGCTGTTGGGAACAGTTGCCGACAGGAGGATAATGTTGACGTGATCGGGTAACATGATGATGACTTCCTCCCACACCACACCTCTCTGCCAAACTCTCTCAGACAAGCAAATTCCGGGCATAATACAGGTACCTACCTCTGCATCATTGACGTAATGCACCTCGTCAAAAATCACAAATTCGACATCGCGAATCAGATCCGCGCCCTTATACAGCATGCTTCGCAGGATTTCAGTTGTCATCACTAGACAGCTCGCTTCTGGATTGATTTGCACGTCCCCTGTAAGTATTCCGACAGATGACGACGAGAAGGTTTGCTTGAAGTCTCTGAACTTCTGGTTTGACAGCGCTTTGATCGGCGATGTGTATATGGCACTGGAAGACAACTTGAAGTGATGAGATGTTATACAAAGAGCGAGACGAACCGTGTCATATGTTTCTCAGGCGAGAGCGATAGCATATTCGGCAACGACAGTTTTCCCGGCGGAGGTATGCGCTGCGACAAAGACAGAATCTCCCATTTCGAGGTGATACACCGCTTCTTTCTGGAAAGTATCCAACTCGAAAGGATACTGCACCAGATCATGAGATTTGAGCCACGAAACAGTGATGACTGACCTTGTGTGCCATATCTGGTACCAGTTCATGAAAGTTGGTCATAGGCTTGTTGATATCAACCACATGCGCCCAGTCGCGCTTGACTACATTGGGTCTTCTCGTCCGTCGGGGAGCCTTTGATGGTCGTAGGTGTGTCCGCTGGAAGCGTGCTATTTGAGGATTGATTGATCCCGCACGACAAGGTCCTCACCGTCGTTGGCAAGAGCTCATCAATTTCTCCGAAACTGTCGCCATTGGGTAAAAAGTCTCGTTCTTCATCCATCACATGACTTTCATCAATGGGCTGTGCGATTCGTGCTGGGTAGATATATGACGCATAGATGAATGAGAAATACCTTATCCTCGTTAGCACCACCGGTATCACCGAGGGAGGCAAACGCCTCATCTTCCGGATCATCTCCCGGAAGTCGCAATCCTCTCGAAAACCCCGGTGGAATGGTCCGCAACCCTTTGATCGGCTCTGCTGTGGTCTGTTTTGCTGCCAGAATCACATCGTCAAGCCCACCAGGCTTGAAGGGAACATATCCAGATTTTCCCCTGACAAAGTTGGCAACTGGGGCAGGAGCACGGTCCATAGATGTCGATGTGAGCGCTGTCGAAACTGGTGCATTTGGTGTCTTGTACGAGTTTACAACTATCAAACGGGGAGACAACTAAGGACTCACTTCTGCATAACCGATGACGCGTCCTTCGAGACCTGCACGCAGGAATGTAAGACTTGTCGGCGGTGGCGAGGGTTCTAAGGTCAATAGTGATTGTATGGAAATCTCAGGCTGCCAGGTTCTGAGGTGGGAGAAATGAAATTTGCGAGTTTCAAAATATAGATATACGTACATCTGATACGTTGGAAGCCAGTGCTCGGGTATCCTGTCTGGTGGAAGGAGTAACTTGGCTTCAATTTCCTGATGGACCTTGTCTCGAGTAGGGAAGCCAGCAAGTTCAAGATCTTCCAGTATCTGATCTGCGTCCTCTCGCCGAGGGTGTAGTATCTGATCCATGACATGTTCGCGGATATCTGGTATGGTCTCAGCCATCTCGTTCTGTTATTATAGAGATCAAGCGCAAGGTCACATCGGAAGTGAATCTGTGGCTGTGTTGGGAATTCTATATTGTCATGACAGATACTCTCACTGGGAGTATGTACTGACTCGTCACTCCTAGACAGATCCTGGGTCAGAATGAAATTATCTTGTGCACCTACGGAACAAGTCAAGATTTGATTGACTTTGGCTATCCTTATGTTTTTTCTGATCTAACACCGTCCAACAATCGGCCTTAGGGATGATATTGCAGCTCAAACATAGAATCTGGTACAAGGCCTCAGGTCTCAGCGCTTCCACGCCGATGGAGTTGAGATACTCGATTGAGGGAAGAGCTGAAGCCTGTCAGGTGGTAATGCTATGGCAAAGACACTGCAAATGATGAATACTACAATTGAAACAATGTAGGCTTCATGTTCTACATTACACTCGTTCAGTAATAGGAAACAGAGCATTCAACGATCACTCACCATTTTACACAGTCGAGCCAGCAGACCGCCCAATTGGATAATAGTGCCCACACCCTCAAGTATGCGCATGTGCGTGAAGCCAATTTCCTGATGGTACGGTTCGTTGAAATGCTCATTTAACGTAGGGACACTTCCTCTGACCTTGATAAATTCAAGCTTCATGTACTCGGGTAGTCTAGCAGGAGAGAAATCAGCGCTAGAGATAACTCAGCAAGCTGCAACTGACTCGTCGAATGTTTTCGTTACTCTGAAGATTGTGACCACAATGTCAACAGCGCTATAGCCTTGTTGCCAGAGTTCGTTCAGTTTTTCCATCGCAGCATCGATGTCACCCTTCAAGCACAACCGTATCATGCTTTGGACAATGACAGGATGAGGCTGATCGCAAACTTTGAAAACGTTTTCGCCAGACACGAATCCAAAACCAGAGTGCGTCGATTGAAGGTTGTTGATTGCTTGACGCATGTCACCTTCGCATGTGAAAATGAGAGCAGTCAGACCATCGTCATTGTATTCGACCTAAGTCGATAGTAGGTTTGGTCAGTAAGAAACCGACATGCACAGTAATTGGATCGTCACCTTCTCCATTTCGCATATTTCCAATAGCCGTTTCAGAATTTCGGTGTCTCTCAGCTTTGCATATCGTAGGATGGCACACCGACTCTGTATTGGTTCGATGATTTTGTTAGACATGTTGCATGCCAAGCAAAAGCGAGTTGTGTTCGAGTAAATCTCCATTGTTCTCCTCAGGGCTTGCTGTGCACCAGCAGTCATACTATACAACGAAGTGAGCATCAGCCAAGACGTGCTTTTGCAAGTAATTGCACCTGTCGGCCTCGTCCAGAATCACAATTTTATGCCGCCCGGGAGGAAGGGTGACCTTCTTCTGTGCGAAGGCCTTGATTTTATTCCGTACGACATCGATTCCTCTGGAGGCAGGTCAAAGCGATCAAGGTATCGAAGACTAGAGCTGCAAACCTCTCATCAGAAGCGTTCAGTTCGAGAACACCCTCTTTGTATGCATCGCCGAGTAGTTGATGAGCTAGACAATGTATACTCGTCGTCTTTCCAATACCAGGCAGACCCTGCAATGGCATTTGCCTCAAGAAAGGTGAAACCTACGTCAAAGACGCACTGATATAATGATATGAGGACAATTTCCGTCCTTTGCAATGACCTTCAGTCTTTCAATAGTGTCAACATTTCCGACCACATCGTCCAAGCTCTGTGGCCTGTACTTCTCCACCCTACCAATTCTCAGTTGCAACAGTCGTACGGAAGGTGAAGCACATACCACGGTAGTTCATAGGCTGAACTTGCAGCAACATTAGCCGGTGCCTTTCCTTTCGCTAAGGATGAAGCCATTGTAAGTCTCGACTTGAGTATGAATACTCAAGTAGAGTCGCGACGCGTGACGCTGTGACATAGCATGCGTGACCCTACGCGTTTCTTGTACCTCTTGCCACCTTGATTCCGGCTTGACTCGGATGTCCTCTTTGTTATTACCATCGCTCGGTCACTCGTGTCAACGTCAACACTTCAATTTTCGTGTTGCAGCATGGTGAGTATAGAGCATTAATAATTGGATCAAATTTCACGGTATCTGCTCGTAGGCTCGAAAGGGTCTCGGTTTCTGTCGAAGAAGGCCTCAGAGGTGCACCCTGTGACTGCAGTCCTTCCTAAACCACGCCTCGACTACCGCGCTATCTCAGAGTCGATAGTGTACAAGTCCCACAACGCCTTTAATCGAAAGGCTCCGCTTCCGATTGGTGCATTGCAGTCAGTTGCACGTCATTATGATGAACAGAAAGAACTCTCCAGCAAGTTAGGCTTGAAGCGTCACACCCGCTCGAACTTGGGCGAAAAGATGCGAAAGATCAAAGATCCAATTGAGAAGCAGGCTAGTTCTGGAGGAAGCTAAACTTCTCAAGATAGAAGTCGCAGAGCTGGAGCAGAAACTTGTGGCAGTGGAAGACGATTTACTGGGGCTTGCATTGCAAATACCGAATGACACACATCCTGAGGTACCAATAGGTCCAGAGGAAGCTGCTGTGGTACTTTCTACTCATGGACCGGATCCCATTGCCGCCAGTGGGGATCGTGATCACATGAATGTTGGTCGCGCTCTTGGTATCCTTGACTTTGAAGCGGGAGCAACCGTTACGGGTTCATCTTGGTATTACTTGCTGGGAGAAGCGGCACTCTTGGAGATGGCTCTAACCAACTACGCCCTCTCAATTGCTCTTAAACACGGATTTCGATTCGTCACGACGCCGGACGTTGTTCGGGCAGACATTGCTTTACGATGCGGATTCCAGCCAAGAGATCAAAATGCCGATCCACCCGTTTCGCAAATGTATCATATCACTTCTTCGAATCCATCTCATCCCGAGCTCGTACTTTCTGGTACCGCAGAAATACCGCTCGGCGGTATGTTCGCGAACCAAATATATACGGAACAAGCTCTGCCTTTGAAAGTGGTCGGTCTTGGCCGCTCGTTCAGAGCTGAGGCAGGTGCTCGCGGCGCAGACACTCGCGGACTGTACCGAGTCCACCAGTTCTCGAAGCTCGAGCTTTTTGTTGTTTGTGGTGAAGATGCCAGTGAACAAGCGATGAAAGAACTTCGTATCGTGCAAAGCGAAATTTTTGCAGGCTTGAAATTTCCATTTCGGTAAGTATGATATGCTAGACCAAGGCCCTGCTCTGACATTATGAAACAAGGGTTTTGGATATGCCTACTGAGGAATTGGGCGCCAGCGCATATCGCAAATATGATATGGAAGCATGGATGCCAGGTCGCGGGAGTTGGGGAGAAATCTCCTCTACGTCTAATTGCACTGATTACCAGTCTCGTCGCCTCCATATCCGCTACCGCCGGTCGTCAGGTACCCTACCATCATCCTCATCCGCTTCAGCTCAATCAGCACCTGCAATACCATTCGCCCACACTTTGAACGGCACCGCGGCTGCCATCCCCCGTCTGATCATTGCTCTGATTGAGAATGGTGCAAGGTTCGACGAAGAAGGCAAGCCGGTAGGTATTGATCTGCCCAGCGCTTTGGAGCCCTTCTGGCACGGCACCTCTTCGATTATACGGTGGAATTAGGTTTATCGACTTCCTTGCTGTTATCAAGAATCAAGATCAAGGTACAGCACTAGGTGATATCTAATAGTATGTACTTATCAGCAATCTTGCTGGAGAAATCTGCCCTTCCAACCTTCATGGAGCAGGTTACAGGGATTATCCTATGATTACCCCATGAATCTATGATTCCACACACCAGTATCATTAGAACGTCGCCAGCGATCGTTTGATCAGCGTAAACTTCTTCCCTCGAATGACAATGACCGCCAGCATGACTTCGACATATCCTTTTGAACCAACTCCCCAGTGGACGACCGTAAACCCTAGGCCATTCCTGCCATCTCGCACGCACGGCGAAGACTTAGAAAAGCCTCCATTACCGTCCCCTGCTCGGAATGAGTTGTTCAATGACAATTATATCATTAGCACCCACCTCGTGCCTACTGCTCGTCCAAGACTAACTCCGGACATACCATTGCCCGTGGTCCCCGAATTCTCGACGAATGCCTCAGAACGGAGGCGAGAGATCCTGCAGTTTTCCGTTGAACTTATTGAGCGATACTGAGCATTTCATGCAGGGAAGGCTAAGTGGAGACAGAAGCGAGAAGCTTTTGTGGAACTGCGTTAACCGATATGCGAAGAGAGTTCAAGATGGGAGGAAGGGATTGACGTTGTTCTTCACCCATGCAAATGGTTTTCCCAAGGAGGTGCTCATTTGATTGACACAAATCATCACTCAGAATATCTGCTGAATATGATATAGATATGGGAAACAACTCTGCGATATTTATTATCATCGCCCTCAGCCTCACTGATCGACGAAGTTTGGTCTTGGGAAGCTGTTCAGCATGGTGATGCTGCATTGATCAACGAGATACATCTCAGTGGCATATGTGGGCACCTCGTCTGTATAACGCGCTTCATCCAAAGGTTAAGTTGAACCTTTGTTGCCAGATGATTGGCTAGACAACGCGCAGGATATTGCACACTTCCTGTTACACTACTTGCCGGAAGGTGCATCTTCGGAGGCTTTACCCACTCATCTACATCTTCTGCCGGAGAGTATTAGTGAATACCGGAAGACTAAAGGATTTTCATCTCGATCCCTGGTTGCTGTCGGGCATTCATTCGGGGGCCACTCTTCGTACGTTGTTATTGCCAGCATTAATACTCTGATCCAGTTTTCAACTTCAATGCAGGATACTAGCAGCTGTCAATTTCCCTGCGCTATTCTCCTCCATGGTTCTCGTGGATCCAGCAGCGGTCCAAAGTGGCACCTATCCCCCTAATTTTGTTCCGGTTAGACTGCCCGGTGCCCTTGCCAGGCGCGAACGCTGGTCGTCGCGGTAAGTCGTGATGTTGTGACTTCTAAGCGTCTAAGTAAGGGGTCATAAGTGAGGAGGCATTACGCCTATTCAAGGCGTCCCGTTATTTTGGAGGTTGGCATCCTGATGTCTTACGGCTATATGTTACATATGGGCTGTGCGAGGATTCACGAGGGGGCGTGAAGCTGAAGATGTCAGGTTTACATGAGGCCTTGGTGAACGCAGGTCGTATGGGATCGTATGAAGCATGGGAGCTGCTGGAAAGGGTAGACGAACGAATAGAATTACGTTGGGTTCTTCCAGGGAAGCCCGGAGAAAAGGGGTGCGTTATTCCCGGTGGTAATCTCAGCTCTACTGACTTTGGTCTTAGGATGGAGGGCGAACAAGCTACCGAGAGTCCGAGTGTGGCGAAGACCTGCTAATTCATCTAATGTGGTAATCCACTCTGCTGGGCATCTGGTAAGTCGTATGTCGCCTCCTGTGAAAAGCCTAACTAAGCTATGTCACTCAGATTCCACAAGAATCGCCAGAGGAGCTTGGTATGTGATATTTTGTCTTTTGAATTCATGTTCATATGATGATTTCCCTCCAGCCCGAGAAATAGCAGCTTTCTTGGAAAGCAAGTACAGGCTGCGGAGCAGAGCTCACTTGTGATTACCGGCCAGACTACGATTTTTCAGCCAAACGAATGGATTGAGTAGGAATGAGACATAATCTGACTTAACATTTTTTGCATGCGGGATTTTTTCATCAAGTCTGATCATCCAGTCCTGCGTCGCTCGGCATGTGAGAGGGGGGGGGGAAGAAATATACCTCTGGAAGGCAGGCAGGTAAGGACATGTACATTGTACTCATTTAAATCCCTTGCATATCCGACTTTGTCTGTCAACAACTTCAGATCCAAACAGGTATACAGTTTCATAGCAAGTGCATGTAATTACACAAGACACCACTCAATCAAGATGTCACTGGTCCGTCAGGCTGGCAACAAACGCTTCTAGAATCCTTAGCCCATTTTTTCTCTAATTTGTGCGCCTATAATAAGCACCCCCAGGAACTCGTCCACTCTGCCTGGAAATCTTCCAACGGCGGTCTGCTGGCGAAGTCGTAGTAAACATTGGTCAAGTTTGGTAGCAATGCATGTAGTTGACATGCCATGACGAGGGAATCGTCGATCGGAGACGTCCCAAAGAAGAGTTCGGTGATCTTCTCGTCGGGGATGAACGGCCCACTGAAGGTGTCTACCTCGTCGGCGTCAAGGTCATGTGAACTGGTCTCAAGCGCTTGCAGTATTGCATGAGGTGAACGAGTCCCATGAAAGTGATAGATGGCTGGATCAGCCAACGAGCCCCTACTTCCAAAGTAAAATTCCTCGAGCTGAGGCAAGGATTGCACTATTATCTTGAGTGATGCATCGTCGATGGCCGAAGTGCAGAGCCAATCGAGTTGTGACTTTTTTCAAGCTACTGAAAGACAGAAATGGGGCAATCACATCAAAGATATATGGTGAACGGAGATCAGCAAGTGTGGGTTCAGGAAGTTTGTTGAAGAGGGTGACAGAGAGTCGTTCGAGGGTAGGGGAGAAGTACTCGGATAAGGAGATGATGAGTTCTGGAATACCCAGTGGACCATGAGGTAGCGCTGAATGAATCTGATCGGCATTACCGATGTATAACTCTACTGATCGACAAGAGAGAAACTGGATGTTTCTGAGACAGCGAGCAAGAACGGAAGGTGACGGTGAAGAGATGTCCACTTGATCGAGTTGGGCACGAAATGTTGGAGTGGCATTGGTTTGTGTGCTGTTGTAGTTATATGTCCTGGAGTACTGACACTTCAACGAAGGTAGAGATGCCAAGTGAAGAAGTGCTCGTGGATTAAGGACCCCTGTGCGAAGATGGGAGAGCTCCCGCAAGCCACATACAGCTTCGCATATTACATCTGAGAACTCACTATCATCTCCTTGGTATACACATTCGAGTTCCCGAATGGTTGGACACCGACTCGTTCCAAGGGAAGTTAACAACGTAGATTTGGTAGAAGAGGGTGTCCACCAAGAGGCGGGTCTGAGCTTCATCAACGTAATAGGCGACACAAGGAGATAATGCGATAGCGGAAATTGGTCTTCTCCGTTATCTAACCAATGCAACCTACGAAGATTCGGCAACAGAGTTGGTGACATAGCTGAAACGAGCACATCCACAAGTGAAGCCTCTATGTATAGGTCCTGGGGAGTGATGCTCAAGGAGCGGATATGTTCTGCATATTGGCCTAAAATCCTCCACTCGCTTGCGAAGGGAGGCTCTCGAGCGTCTATTTAAAATATGCCATCCCATGTAAATCGCATTTGAAACATCTAGCTCACCAAATTTCTGTGCATCCGTCTCCTAATGTCACCTTTTCCGTACATCTTTCTCTTGGTGGCGCATTCAGGCAAACACGATATGAGTGGCTCGAGCCCATCTATGTGTTTCCAAAGTACATCAAGGGCAGGCTCCTTGAATTTCTTACTGGTCCTGGCAAGAGAAGCAAGTGTAGCACGAGAGAGTGCTTTGTCTTCATTGATAAATGTGAATATGCCAAGTAGGGTTTCTGTAGGTGAGCGGCAGATGTGCATGACAAGGAAAATGTGTTCGCCGCTACTCGGATTCGGTTGAAGGCCAAGTTGTTGATTCTGCGGGCAAAAGAGAAAATTTAAGCAAGGGCGGCAGGAGTTAAAACGAAAAACGGTGGAAATGCAAGACAATGTGTGCCAGGGGTGGCTGGGTTAAATAGCTGCGGGTTCATTGCATGACCTTGTCCGACCAATGTAAGACCCGTGTTGTGTAAAATCACATTGTCCGGACAACGTCCACAAATGCCAACTGGTTGACCTCCAATTTTGAATGTGTTTTGAATTCGACGCGCTTCGCTACGCTCGAGCGCTGACTTGCTGATCTGTGACTGATTGTAAGCATTCACAACAACGGAAGAGAGAAAAGTAACGTACCATTTTCCGTGTATATCAATCTTGTTAAGTATCCAGATAGTCGCTGTCGAGATTTGCGTACCTGCTAAGAAGGCTTGGCCGGACCTGTGCGGCGATGAATATCTAACAGGTTCCAGATGATACGGATGGTACGGACGGACATTGAAGTCATCTCACTAATATGTTCGACGCGAGCCCCAGGAAGCATAATACATGTCGATTATAGTCCAACACAAATCCTCCGAGATGCGTGTGCTACGAACTATGTCGTCTAATTTTTGAGTGAAGGGCAGGCCAGGAGCCGACCGCTCATGTTGCGAAAGGTCTTGGCCTGCAGATTAGTCGACTGACATGGACCATCAGTACAGGTGAATCGCATTTTTATCACCAATGGCTAGGTCAATGGTCAGGCTCAGGTAGAGAGATACGGACGCCGCTGAGCGGCTTGCGGGAAGGTGCAGCCGCTAGCTGTCGCAGCTCGGTAGATCCAATAATCAGATGTATTACATGCGGTTTCGGACCGACGCTCAAGTTTAACCGGACAGACAAAAGTGACAAGGGCCTGGCATAATTCTTTGCCATCATCGGCACGGTCGAACGCTCGTTAGCATGACATCATAGCGTTTGACATGCGTCCGGGAATGTCAGGCAGCCTTGATCCTAAGGGTAGACATGAGGCATCCAACGGGGATGTCGAGATAGGGTCTTCGGCGAAACAGAAGGGCGCCGCATGAGACCATATTCTCGTCGAAATGTACGAACGTTCCCTTCTTGATCAAGAAGATGAAATCCGCATCGATTTGATGCTTTGGAAAGGTCTATACGAAACCGGATCCAGTGTTGTTTCCCATGGACCTCCCCTAAACACGATAACCTGTATATATAATCCCGCAGCCCTTCTCTTCCTTTCTCTTGGGAAACTACGTGTGACCCCACTATTGCGAGACTTGAGCTTTTTGCTGGTGAGTCGAATTCCTCAACATCTTCATTACCGTACTCGCCGGTCTTACTGGCAATGTATCCTGCACAGAAGCAATACAGCACCTTGTCGAGCAGCCCCATTTCTGTCTATTAAGCAGTCTTGGGTATCATTGCCTTCTCCACTCGTCTCAAGGATGCTTGAGCTTGTGGCTGGGGTACAGGGGTTGGAGGTTCGCTTTCTCTACCGATTATCAAACATGATCTAACACGATCTCAGTCTTTCCATGTCTCTTTCCCTTGATTGAAGTTCTAGGCCTTCGAGATATTATCTCCAAGGCACCGGAGCTTATTCGGTACGTCTGTCGCTTTTGCTCCTCGTCCCTTTACTTACTTGGTTTTGTCAGACGGTTTTGATGTTAAGTTGTGCTGTCGCCAACGCCCATGATTTCTCCCGCCTGCCTGCCCGGTTTGCTGAAACGCAATTCCACTGCACGCGCGCGTTTACTTCATGGGATTGCTTGGGCCCTTCTGAATCAATCCCGTTATCGTGTCAAATTAAATAACCCAGGACCAAAGTCTCGAGTCTCGACCGAGCCTACATGTCATTTGTCAAGTTATGATATGTAGTACGTACGCATTGAAATAAGAACTGATTGAAAGATACATTGCATCTTCATGACACTCGCATCTTCATGACACGCGCATGATTCGCTCGCTGTGATCAGTGATGGAAGCTTACTGTAGAGATACAACTCGTTACGAAATTGCGAATTGCTTCAAGCGTGCTTTTCGCACCATGTGTGACAAGAATTCCACTACATCATTTACTTGGTGAGAGTGTGCTGGTAGAACGTACATATCTGAACGCAAACAAACGATTTGAACATGAATGGATTTTCATATATTCGTGCAATGTATGTCATGACTACAAACTGTCCTCTTCGCTCCTCTCCAATAAACCCAATCGTGGCGCCCTCTTCTGTCCACGCACCTCCACAAGGCTAAGGCAGTAAAGTACCAAAGTCTACATGAAGGGGCGGAAAGAAGGACAAACAAATGACGCATGACGGAAGGGGGATACGTGATAGGAAAAAGAAAGAAGAAATATGGAAGACATGCAACGAGTGTGGTACGGTCACAGGGGGGATCTATGAACGGTGGAAGAAAATGAAGAAAAAGGGTCTGCAAGTGTAACTGGCTTGGAACTGGATTAGGGCTTGGGAACATGGGGTTCAATAAGATGAGGCCAATGAGTACCATCAACGGGCGCTAAGTGGGAAGAGACGTATCAAGCGAGTAAGGAAGTAAGCGGCCGTCTTCTTCACCTCCTTGCGTACACGCAGGGAAGCTGAGAAGCGACGTGAAGAGAAATAGCGTCCGTACAATACATAAGGGGAGGCAAGTGTGATCTTCACATTGATGGTGTGTGCGGTTCGCAGTGTAATCAAAATGCGAAGCGATCGAGGAATGCAAATGACGGCGAGGTAGGGCATGAATGCAGGATGTCGGAATTGATGCGTCGCAAGGGAAGATGTGTAAGCAAACCAGCGCTCGTTGACCTGGCGTGCTCCCACCCTGACGTTTCGACCTCGTAACCCGCGAGATGACCCAACCGGACTTGCAAAACCGCGACAGACCATCTATGACACCATATCCAACAGCGACCGAGTACCTCTGCACCTTCCCTCCACCCCCATTCTCGGTCGCACCCGGGGCGTGCCCCGCACGAAACTAAACCAAGGGAACTAGGATGCATTTACCAGGCGTCTTCCCTACCACGAGGACGTTGTTGACCTACGGCGCCAGCCGTACCAGTACCAGTAGCTTGCTGCTGGCGTGTGTGAGAGCGAAGCCTGTAAGGAGAGTTAGGACCGTGATGTGGAAATAAGAAATAAGAAATGTGACGGGCACCTACATCCTGTCGCTTGCGCGGTGTTCCTCTTCCTCTTGGACGACCTTTCGCCTGCCGGTGGTGGCCTTCTGGCTGGTGCTGGCGCCATCATCTTGGGCGCCACGCTGGACAGACCAGTCGAAGACGTAGTCATACTGGAAGCCCTCACGAACGAAAAGGTCACGGAAGAGCTTGCGGAGGTAAGAATAATCAGGCTTGTCATCGAAGCGAAGAGCGCGAGTGTAGTTCAAGAATATGCCGAACTCGTTGGGGAAACCACGGCAAAGGATATCGGTGGGTGTCGTCATCTTCTTCTCCATGATCCTGTCGTACTTCTGCTTCTTAGTAGCAGCCTTGAGGCCTTGCCAAGGGAGGGCGCCACGCAAGAAGTACATGAGGACGTATGCAAGGGACTCGAGGTCATCACGACGAGCCTGCTCAACACCCAAATGAGTGTTGATTGAGGTATAGCGAGCGGTACCGGTCAAGTTCTTGTTCTCCCTATAAGGAATGTGCAAGTGGGTCTTTGGGTCACGGAATTTCTTGGCGAGACCAAAATCGATGACGTTGACCTGATTGCCGCGCTTGCCTATGCCCATGAGAAAGTTGTCAGGCTTGATATCACGATGGATGAAGTTGCGTGAGTGGATGTATTCGATACGAGAGATCTGTGGCGATACAGTGGCGGGTCAGTTGTGTAATAGGGACTGCGGTGGGATTTACTCACGAGTTGGTCTGCAAGAAGCAGAACGGTCTTGAGGGTGAACTTGCGGTTACAGAAATTGAAGAGATCCTCTAGAGAGGGACCAAGAAGATCCAAGACCATCGCATTGTAGTCGCACTCAGTGCCGAACCAGCGTACGAAAGGAACGCCGACGCCGCCGGCGAGGGTCTTGTAAACCTTGGACTCGTACTCGAGTTGGGGGTGCTTGGCCTTGACGGACTCAAGCTTGATGGCGACTTCTTCGCCGGAAATGATGTTAATTCCAAGGTAGATATCACCTGTAAAAAATGAGTGTAAAAAAAGGGCGCATATAACTAGTCGATGAACATACCGAAGGAGCCGGAGCCAATCTTCTTGCCGAGTCTGTATTTGCCACCGACTCGGAGGTCAAGTCTGTGTGCTGAGCTGTCTGCCATTATAGGATGGGAGGTATTGAGGAGAGATGGGCTGATGAAAGTAAGCCGAGTCAGTACGGGGAAACAATATAAAGAATGAGGGATTTGAAAGGGGATTAAGTAGTGATGAAGGGCAGGCTATAGTGTGTTCCGGGTCGTGGCAATTACGGTTGTAACGGACGTGGCTGACGTCCAACTTGGAAGTGCGAGAAACACATGGAAGAGGTAATCGCTTATGAAAAGGAAAGAACAGATGCTGTTCCGAGGGTTCTTGACGGCAATAGGGAGCCACACAAGCTATCCAGGCTTTTAACTCGAGCTTGGATTAATGTCAAGGCCCTCGTGGTATCCTCGAGGCGCTCGTTATAGGCCCAAGGATATAGAAAATTGCTAGTAAAGTAATAAAACGAGCTACTCACCAAGTGTTTAGCGGAATAAGGCTAGAGAATTGATTTGAGGGATAGAGGACGGGACAGAGCAAGGGTAGTTGGTGAACAAGGGGAGGAAAACAAACAAGTATTGTAGGATAGTCGTGGGAGTTCAGGTCAATCGGAGTTTTAATTTCCCCAGATAATCATTTCGAGAAGCTCAAACCGTAGTTACTACTAGTAACGTTTCGTGATAGCTCGGCTGCCTACTCTAAGTACACTACTACGTATCACAAACTAAAGTCCGAACAAGATCCATTCTGTGAAAAGTTGTTTTAGAATGGTCTGAGAATTGGATGCATGCCCTTCCTTACCCTTGACCCCCAAATGAGTAAGTGTTGTGTAAGAGCTTACCGACCTGGCAGGACTGTATATAAACAGCCAAGTCTGTCTTTATGTTCCAATTGGTTGTACTCTATATGAAGTTCCGTTTGCCCGAACCTGAGAGATGCTCTTTGATCTCGTACACAATGGCGATGATCTACATGAGTGCTCCACGTCTTCTTCCATTCTAATACAGTCCTTCATCCCACGTTCCCATTTCTCGACGTTCTGTGGGCTCATCCATTCGATCACGATGTGACGAGAACGAGACTAAATCATATATCTGTAATTAGCACTATTCAGATTTTCTCAGCAGAAGTAAGTGCCAGCCTATGCCAGCGTGATAAACAGCATCTGCCAGGGATGGGCATAGGTGTCCGTCTGGACGTGTGATTGTGCACCCCAACCAAGCGGGGAGGCATGTGCTGAAGGTGCGCTCGAGGCAGTTTTACGTAAGGGTACGGCTAATTGTTGTTTAACCAACCTCCGAAGACGTCGAGGTAAAACAGTATAGCTATAAGTACCCCCCCCCTCAATTCCCATGTCGATAGCAAGTGTAGTAACCCAGACTTTCCTTTTATGGACATTTGATTGTCGAGCGGACAACGGTTGAGACTGAGTACCTTCTCTAGCTTCAACCGCATCGACAGTCTTTTCGACAAAGATTCCTGTCTCCTACTGCAGTCGTTCCTTCTAGTCTCTAAGTTCTCTCTTTGACTCGCAACACTCGTTTTGTGCGACTTATTTCGACTTTGTTTCGCCACGTAAAACTATCACTCGTTCACACCCTCAAATATTTTAGCAGAAACATGGCATATCGCCAACAAGATCCCTACTACAATTCTGCACCGAGTCCAGCAATTATCCCAGGTTTCCCCCCTTCAGCGCCTACTAATCATGCCCAACAATACAATGAATATGATACCCAATGGGACGACAGGTCTGCCAAATCCGTACAGAGTAGCCAATTCCATGGTTCTCAGGTGGCCCTCAATCCCCAGTATGAGAAGAGTCAGGTCAACATACACACTCCTCCCGTCCCAGCAATGCCATACCATGCATACCAACAAGACTACCCTCCCGTCCAGCCACATCCTGGTATGCTCAGAGAAATGAGTACCGGTTATTCTGTAGCCAGGGAGAAGCTCATGAAACGTCGTTCTGTCCGCCATGTTGAACTTCAAAACGGTAATTTGGTTCTTGACGTCGCTGTCCCTACGCACATCGTCCCAAAGGGCATGAACGGCGCCGAGGAAATGACCAAGATGCGATACACCGCTGCTACATGCGACCCCGACGAATTCATGCGCAGGAAATATTCTCTCAGGCCCTATCTTTATGGCCGCCATACTGAACTTTTCATCGTGATGACAATGTACAATGAAGACGAGGTTCTGTTTGTCAAGACTATGAACTCGTAAGCTCCGTCCGTGCACGTCGTGACACGTACCTTATTTGTTTTCAAGGGTTATCAAGAACATCGCGCACCTCTGTGGTCGGACCAGGTCCAAAACTTGGGGCCCCGAGGGATGGAAGAAGGTCGTAGTCTGTGTTGTCTCAGACGGACGCAGCAAAGTCAACAAGCGGACGCTTCAAGTCCTCACTCTTGTGAGCTTACTGATGATGGGTTTGGTTTGCATCCCTGCCTTATATGATTTCCCTAGATGGGATGTTACCAAGAAGGGTATCGCTAAGGACTCGGTGGCAGGGAGGGATGTCACTGCTCACATCTTCGAGTGAGTGGAATCGAATGGAAGGGCGTACTATGATTAAATCCGTGATCTGCAGATATACTTCAAACGTTGTCGTCACAGAGACTGGGGAGGTCTCCACTGGTGTTTGCCCTGTTCAGATCATCTTTTGTTTGAAGGAGCAGAACAAGAAGAAGCTCAACAGCCACCGTTGGTTCTTCAATGCTTTTGGTCCCTTGATCAACCCGAATGGTAATTGCCTTCCCCACGTTCAGTTCCTGACACTGACTCTAGACCATAGTCTGTGTCCTTCTGGACGTCGGCACCAAGCCGACCGGCACTTCAATCTACGAATTGTGGAAATGTGAGTGGATATTAATCGCCTGAGATTTCGTGTGATGAGTGATGATATTTACTAGGCTTTGATAACCACTCCAACGTCGGAGGAGCCTGTGGAGAGTGCGTTAAATTCGTCATGCAGTGCTTAATTTGATTAAAATTTCCAATCAAGGATTTGTGTCGACACTGGCACAGCTTGCTCACTCCTCCTGATGAGTCCTCTAGCTGCTTCCCAGAACTTTGAGGTAATACAATTGCAGCTCTGATTTCACACATCGATTCTGACATGATGTGACAGTACAAAATGTCCAATATCCTCGATAAACCTCTCGAGGTAGGTTTTCAATTATTGGTTACGTGACCAGGGTGCTGACCTCCCGAAAGAGTGTCTTTGGTTACATCAGCGTGCTTCCTGGTGCATTTAGCGCCTACAGATACAAGGCCCTTCTGAACGGTCCTGATGGCAAGGGTCCTCTTGCCTCGTATTTCAAAGGGGAGGCTATGCATGGTGGAGGTGCTGACGGTGCTGGGCTGTTTGGTATGCGATACGCTCTCTCCCATTTCTTGTCCCACCAACGATTGTTCCAGAGCGAAACATGTACTTGGCCGAGGATCGTATCCTGTGCTTTGAAATTGTCACCAAGAAGCGGGAAGGCTGGATGTAAGTTAAATATTACCTTTAATACTGCAAGGCCCTCAACACGCCGACAGTCTTAAATACGTCAAGAGTGCCAAGGCTGCTACTGATGTCCCCACAACCGTGAGTAGAGATCAATCTACAGTGATGCTTTTTTTTTTTTTTACATATCCCCTCAGGTCCCCGAATTCATCTCTCAACGTCGCCGATGGCTGAACGGGTCCCTGTTCGCTTCTTTCCATTCGACGATCTTCTTCTACAGGATCTGGACATCTGGGCAAAATCCTATTCGTATGCTTGTCCTCCAGGTTCGTAGCGCATGGAGATCCGTTAGGGCTAGGTCACTAACAAGAGCCTCCTGTAGATTGAGTTCATCTACAACGCAGTCCAGCTCATCTTCACGTGGACGTCGCTTGCGAACTTTTACCTGGCTTTCTTCCTTGTCAGTGATGATTTACCTTCATACGTTGACGAGTCTGATGTGGGTTATCATAGTTGGTTTCATCAGCAACCACGAGCACCGATGGTGCTTTCAACTTCTTGAGCCAAGGAGCGGGTCAAGACGTATTCCAGGTCTTCTTGAAGGTAAGAAGTAAGTCGTTTGTAAACGAGGAAGGGTTCAAATTATCGTTCCAGCTCTACATCGCCCTCCTGTTCGTCGTCACCGTTTGTTCGTTAGGAAACCGGCCACAGGTATGTACCTTGACGCACGACAAACTCGCAAAGTTAATTCTCATTCTTTTCAGGGCTCCAAATGGATTTATGGGCTTTGTATGATACTCTTTGGTATTTGTAACGTGATCACCCTTTGGTGCGCCGGATGGACAGTGTACCTTGCTGTACCACATACCCTCGCTGGATGGAAGGACTTCCCCAAGTGAGGTTTCGATGCTTTAATTTAGCGCCAAAATCTCATCTTTTCAAGTCTCGTCGCTACAAACCAAGCCTTCCGGGAGATCGTCATTTCACTTGCTGCTACGTATGGCTTGTACCTCTTCTCGTCGATCATGCACTTGGAACCATGGCACATGTTCACTTCCTTCATCCAATATATGTTCTTGCTCCCGAGTTGTGAGTGTCTTGGTCGTTTTCTTAGTAGTCGGGATGCTGATATATATTGTCGTAGATGTCAATATTCTGAGTATGGGCATTTTTCATCACGTGCGGAGATGATGTTGATGTTTTTGACAGTGATGTATGCCATGTGTAACTTGCACGATGTTACTTGGTAAGAGGATTCCACAGTCTTTTGCTTTCAATCTCACGATTGTATTTAGGGGAACCAAGGGAGACAATGGTGCTGCGAAGGATCTCGGTGGAGCTAAGAAAGTGAAAGGCGAGAATGGGAAGGACATGATGGAAATCGAGATCCCTACCGCGCGCGAAGACGTCGACCGCATGTGGGCAGCTTCCCGCTCAGCACTGAAGATGAAGGCCCCTGAAGAGAAGTCGCACCGTGACGCTGAAACAAAGCAAGCCGACCACGACCGTAACAGTCGTACCAACGTTGTGCTTGCATGGGTGGGGACGAACATGTAAGCTGATCTGCATGTTTTCTTCGAGGAGGCTTTATTGATGTTTATATTTTTCAGGCTCATGATCCTTGTCTTCACTTCACAAGCCTTCTTGAATTGGGTGAACGCCCATTTTGCAACTTCTCAAGGCTCAAGTTTCAATCCATACTTGAGCTTCCTTTTCTTCGCGCTGTAAGTGAACCATTCATTAGAACTCAGTCCGTTTCTGACCGTAAAACATAGCGCTGGCCTTTCAGCAGTCCGATTCGTTGGATCCCTCCTCTACCTCATCTTCCGACTATTCGGACACTAAGAATATGTCTTGAATACCCATTCTACATCTGCCAGATCTGTACTTTTTTCGAGAGTTGATCTCTTAGTCCGATTCGAATTCGGTGTCATTCCTTTTGAAGTATTCGATTACATAGATAAGTACTTGTTGATGACTAGGGTATTTTGGATGTGCATGTAATTCTACTTTTGTCTGTTGTCTTATTGGACTTTAGTCTTTGGTGCTCTAATACGTGCATGTGTGTGGTGCCAGGTGATATGCATATATTTTGGACGTGATTTGACGTGGGGTAACTTTGCTGCTTTGATTCCGAGCGGCACTACGGACATGCTCACCAGACTCCAGCAAGGCTTACAACATATCTCCGGACAGCTCGGGACCGTAACCGCGCGGCTTTAAATCCGCTGCTTGACGAATTACATCTATGTACAGTTTGGGTCTATGTACACTAATTTACGATGACAGTGTTATCCCCGTGCAAGTCGTTGCACAGCCTGAGGCCTGAGGGCCCAACACAGGCCATCAGGAACGTTACCTCCCGGCGCCAGCCCACTCGCTCGTTCTGAGGCTGATACTACAGGATTCTTATCAAACGATGTGATGGAGTACCGGGCCGCCAAACGCCCACTGCAAGTACTGATCAAGTGATTTATAGACCATCACGAAGCAATGGCATTCTGATTGCCTGGCAACTTCAATCAATAAACCAGCGCATTCTTGTTTCCTGAGACGGTGATGTGCGACTCCGTCATCAGGACCTGTGGGATGATTGATCCCAGGTTGTATCGTGATTCGTGACCAATCCTCTTATAAGAAGTATGGTAGGAATGATCCGATATCTCGCTGTTATTTGAGGCATAGCTAAGATGGGTTCCGTAGAAAGGGGGGAAAGATATATAACAGTGCGTAGTGCACGGACGGATTTCGCCGCGTTCATAGCGCATACCACGAAATCCTCCAACGTGCAATAAATAAATTATAGGTGAGTGTTAATCGTGTTGATATATCGTGGCCACTAAAACTCCAGGTTAGACCGAGATGGAAGCTGAGCTATCCATACTGTTTAACGATGTGCGTATCCTTCAGATGGAGAGGATGTTTCAATGTAAGTATCAGCTTTTGGGTCTTATAGTAGGTAGTACTCGGCACCCTGAGAGCTAAATACCTCATTCACTGGCAGTGGCAGCAACGATCGTTGTCTTATACGACCATAGTGAGTTTTCTCGCGAAATCGGAAAGTATTTCCTCTAATCAGTGCCATCTCAAAGTAATATGCTCTCAAAAAGAGGTGAGTTTTGGCGTTAGCCCTCGACCGGGAATCATTCACATAGTTCCTGAAAAGGTGGACTCGATTTGGGTATGTCTTCTCAGAGGCTTGTAGAAGCATCGGCTCAGTGAACATGTCATGGTTCTTCAGAGGAGATCGAAGTCTCTTGTGTCATACCTTTACCTTACGGTCAGTGCGATTGTCGCTCGCTCATCGACTAGGTGTCTGATACCGCAACTCCCGTAGAACCGCTACGTTGGGGATGTCATCTCCATGTAAGTGAGATGCGGTTCTGTCGAAAAAAAACGTGACTCACCTTTCTTTCAGCCTCAGTGCAATATGTTCGACTTCCTCTTTTCGATCTTGATTTGTGTTGCTGACGACCGTACGATAGTATTTTTGAGCTCGACATTTTCAGTTGAAGTAAGTAAGACAAGCGAGACTGTCCTACACGTATAATACTGACAAGTTCCTTTAGACGTAAGTGCACACAAACCGGCCTGTATGTCTGGTCCACATTCACTTGCTGATTAAAAATAATCTTTGCATCAGCTGTACGTAATTTTCTGCATACTTTCTTGCTTCAAAGCTGATCTCGTTTGCCAGGTCGTATTTTATTTCACTTCCAATCTTATGGGCCTTTTGTGTCAGTATGGGCTACACAAAGTACACCATTTCGTTCATATCCGCAGATAAGTACTGACAGCATCTCTGTCTTACTACTAGCGATCATGCAACTGCGCATTTACGCCCTGTACCGCAAGTCCAAGAAGATTCTGGCTTTCACAGCAGTTTGCTTTGTCATGGAAATTGCAGCCATTTGCACGGTCCTGGCGATAAATTTCGACCACACCTTAACATATACCAATGAGGCCATACCCGGGCTCCTCAACATGTGCGCAACGTCAACTATCAACAGAAGCTTCACGGCCATCTACGTACCCATCTTTAGTTTCGAGCTTCTACTTTTCGTCCTTGCCATATCTGTTGCCTTCAAGCACATGAACAACATTCGTACCATTGCTGGGAAGAGACTTCACAGCACGATGGCGACGCTGATCAAGTACAACACGATCTATTTCTTTGTGTAAGTTTTATGGTGTTATCTTTGTTGTCAACTCAATTCTCTAATACATGTTAGCGAAATGGTCGGATGCGCGGTTGCCTCGGGGTTGTATCTTGGTCTTCCGGTAATGTAGCTCTTGACCATTCGACCTTTGTCGCTGAAGCTTTTCCATTTAGCCGATTTACCTGGAAATCGCAAATTCAGCCCTTATTGCAACTACGATCATCCTTGGGAGCCGGCTAGTACTCGGCACACGTAATTTCTATTCTGACCCATCAGAAGATCATTTGAACCTCAGCCATGGGAGCCATGCTCAGAGTAATAGCTTTACTTTTACCCAACCTTCACTTGGGCCATTCCACGACTCCAGTCAGATGGAGATGACAATGGTCAGTGCCAGGGGATACCGTCTGGATAAAAGTGATGACCGTGTATAAAGAGCTTGTTGCTTGATCCCTAATACTCTTGCAATTTGGGTCTGTAGACTTATCCGTTTCAACAACGTAGACCAACTTATTTCGACGATGTAACGATACGCCATGACCAATTGCTCCCTGTTTATGACAAGTATTAATGATGCACACTTTGTTAGCACTTTACTCCCTATCCTGACGTCCAGCCTGAGTATTCACGATCTTCTTTACTGCCACATTAATCCTCACCTCAAAGTCACCCTCGCCCGCAAGACCTGTGCGGCTATGTTTTGATTGATAGTATCGCCTTCACTCCACTATTTAGTGAGGAGCTAGTCCGCGGATATTATATGAACGAGTTTTCAAAAAATTGTGTACGTTCATGCATCAGATGGACGAGCCACAAGCGCCTCAAAAGATAGTTGTACCAAATGTCGAGCCAGCGATCGCGGATGTCTTACGACATTGCGAGAGAGAGAACCAGGCCGAGACTTCATAAACGAATCTGATTTGGAGATGATCCAAGTGACGGGAATGGGACTTAATAGTAAAGGGTGCGCTGATCCTGTTCAAATTTTACGTTTGTATCATGTTCCCAACCTGATCAACTTGTATTACATTTAGGATTCTTCGGAGACTTCGAAACATGCGGACAAAATACACGTCTACGTGACACTGCGATGAACAAACGAAGGGAAGTGAGACAGTGGACAGCTGGTATGTGTAGTTTAAACACCACGTACTTGCGATCATTCCTCTGGTCGACGCATCTGGAGAGGGTCCACCTCAATGATTTCATCAAACTTCTCCTGCGTGATGAGCTCTTCATCAACCATAGCCACCGGCAGCTCTCGCAACCAAACCCTACAGTTGTTGGTGATCGATGTTGTCTGAAATTTGACCTGATTAGCAAGGCGAAGAATTTGGTCCCTCTGTGCACGAGAAAATGTCCCCACTGGGATGACCTGATTTCGAATGTTGGTATCCGCGCACGTCACGACAGGCGCATAGTAGTTGTAATTGCCAGCCTGACCGTCAGCTGCACAATTTGAGTCACTGGTACGTCATCTTTCGTGCCGTTCAGCCATTGCAGGAGAACATAACGATCAGAAGGATATCTCGTATCCCGAAGCATGCAGCGTGACTTCTTTGACAGAGTTATCATCGGGGTATTCAGTATGGACGCTGCCTGAGGAAGCGAGGAGGTGTTGACATATCTGCAACAGAATGTAAAGTGAGTTGGGAAATGTCAGATTGCACGAGTCATACCTGGCTGTTTTGATCTATCGTTATTAGTAAAGGACTAAGTCCAACACTTTCTCTCGCTTAGAACTTTCCTTGCAGCAGCTTCTATGGCCAAAGCCAGGGATGATCTATAAATTTAACTCTGAAGATACCTGGTGCTCGCCTGCAAGACTCCATTCCGCGCATTCTACGCGCTCCTTCCCCCCATACATATGTGCCTGACTTACCAAGCCTATCGATATCTGAGCTGGGCCACACCATTGCCCCTAGGGCAATGTAAATGTTACTTCTAGCCAACTTCCGGCGCAGATCTCAGCGCAGTCACGGGTCACAGAGGGTGCAAACGCTGGGCTCTATGACAGGATAGTTAGGATAGCTCATACCGTATAAGTACCACATATTTTCCTGAGTAGGTCACCCCTGAGTCGCGGCGACTTCGACAACACTGCCTGGTCAGCGCCCAATTCCGAATCGATGAGTATTGGGAAATCCCATGAGGCTATTTTGCACTCCAAAATTCACGCATCTTCCCGTTACGTGGACTTCTTTTTCTCACACGACGACATATTCTCGAAACATCATTGCAGATAGCTCGACTATCACTGTAGACCGGGAATTAGCTAGTCTCCCAGCCAGACCTAGAGAAGGAACGAGATAGTCGTCCCTTAGGAATTGGCGTGATTTTATATCCGAGCCGAAACTGCACTATGGCGATCAGTGACGGAGTCCGTCTTTCTAGCACAGCGCCAGGCGATCGACGCGTTCCACCGATGGAGTCTTGACTGCCGCATCAGTTGTTTGGTAAACTCTTCTGTAGTCAGTTTAGTCTTGGGAATAAGGACCTGATAGTAGTGAGGGGGAGCAACGGTTGTCACATGTACATAGACAACGCGGAAGCTTTCACTCCATGATGCGGCTTGGCCAAATATAAGCCACATCACATATATAAGATACGAATCATAGCTATACCAAGGCTACATACACTTCCACTCATCGGCGTTCCAGCACTTGACCCATGTCAATGTCAAAAAATATCCTAGTGGTAGGTGCTACAGGCAAACAAGGTCGTGCTCTCATCCAGGCTCTTCAACCCCCCGCGGACTCGGATGATGTACCATTTCGAATGCTGGCTCTCACTAGGTCAGCTTCCAGTGCAAGCGCACAGCGCTTGGTCCAGGAAAGACATGTACGAGTAGTGGAGGGAGACCTCGACTCGCCAGAGTCCATACGGAAAGTCTACGAAGATGCAAAAAGTTCAGGTGGCATATGGGGTGTTTTCTGCGTTCTGGCATTCCCTGGGCTTGGTGCAAATGCAGATGGGGAGGAGCGACAGGGAAAGGTGCCATTTGTTTCAGACATCTTGTTGCTCATGCACACTAATATTGGAGTAAAACAGTTTATGGCGGATTTAGCTCTCGAATATGGGGTGTCAGTATACATTTATTCAACCGCCGAACGTGGTGGTGAGCAGAATGATGAGATGGAGAAGCTGTCGGGTCGTGCCAAAGTACTTGCAGAGCGGCATGTCCAGGCCCTCGGTGAGAAAGGTCTCCCATGGACGTGAGCCCTTCAAACTTGAGACGGAACCTAACTAATGGTGATGTATCAGAATAATGCGCCCAGGATTCTTCCTAGATAATTACAACGACTTCATTGGTTCTATCACCGTCGCTGTAATGACTCGCGGGCTCAAAAAGGACTCGAAACTCGGGGTGGTTGTGAGTTCTTCTATTGTATATGTCCGTATGCTGTTGTGAACTCCACCAAGGACCCAAAAGATATCGGTCATGTTGCTGCCGGTGTGTTCAAAGTAATGCATTTTCGACGGGAGAAGCAATTAACAACGACTGACAACTCAATTGAAGAATCCTGGGAAATACAAACACCAGATACTTGTGGTTATCGGAGATGTACTCACCATGTCAGAGCAACATGCATCCTACAAACGCGCAACCGGTCGAGCCCTTCCCTCCGTTCCCGGATTGTTAGCTACTATTCTGTTAGCGTTGAACAAGTCGACGCAAGAGTTGTGAGTTTTCATCTGTTGCTTGTTTGCTACTCATTGTGACATCAATATAACTCAGGGTTCAACATTTCGAAAACATTCACAATGCACGAACCACTGGGCAACACGAGCATTTTGAATCTCAACTAAACCTAGGCCGCGAAGCTTATCCTCAAATGAAGACAGTTTACGATTGGGCTGTCGAGCAGCAGAGGAGTAAAGGACAACAAGAAAATGCAGCAGATTGGAACAAGGTATCGTTATGGCGGCTCATGCTAGGAAAATCGTAATGTATTGTGGTAAACAAGTTCACTCATACACCTTTGCTCAATTATTCCCTTCTCGCTCACGACTGCTTACGCATCGTCCCAGGAGTAATCCAGCACGCACTGCCAGACTCGGATGGTAACCCAAGCATCATGAACATAACCACGCACAGGTTCGAAAGTGATCCTGTTGCCTCGGTATAATCATGGTATCTGCGAATGGAATGATAAGTTCAATTCACCGAGCATCGATGGCGTTGCTACGATCAAGTAGTTGATCTGTTGTTTTGTGTATCGCAGTGTATTCTTGCTCAGAGGTACACCGGTGCGTGTCGCGAGGTGTTACAAAACTCATAACTTACCTGCGCACAAGACTTCTTGACCATGATTAACTGTGAATGTGAACCTGGTCTTGAACGGGACGTTCTGGGAAGCGGAGTTGAAATAACACCGCTGGTTCTGGGGACCGGGAGAACCCGAAGGAGGTCCTGGTTCGAGAGATTACTCTGCGAACCAACCGCGGACAACTTAAATATACTCCTTGGCAGGTTACATCTGTAACTTAGTAAGTATTTACTTTTGCTCCAACTGACCGCCGTTGTTCCTGCGTAACTCTTCGCATATTCACAAAACTATACTTTCGGATGTACGCTAATTCTGTGTTCCTTACAGCCCAGACTGTGAATTGTCGTCCCTCCTCAGGGGTGTCGAACACTGTTGATGTGACTATCGGGCTACTATAGAACTGCCGAATGCCCACTGCAGTGCTGAGTGTGTAGACCTCACGAATCTCACTTGTTCTGATCCCGGAAACTAGTGAAGCAGCGCTTTTTTATTCCCAAGGGTAGTCTCCGACTTCGTCATCAGTACTTGTGGGATGATCATCCAAGATAATCCCCGAGCCCAGGCTGCAGAACAACGATCATGACAAGTACCATGGTAGGAAAGATACAATTTATCACTCTCGTTTGAGGCGTATAGGTGAACTCTCAGGCTCCTTCCTTCGAGTGTGAGGCCTTGAGGGGCTGACTGCGAGTGAGGAGTATTACCTAGTATTAAAAAATAAGGTTGTGCTGGGTTTTGAATTTTACACATGAATGGTTCTAATAATATCATCGATCCTCTGGTTCCTCGCAGTCCGCTCCTCACACTCGAAGCAGTGGTGGGAAGGAGCTCGGTGAATTCTATGAACAGAAGGAGAGCATATATATAACAAGGATGGATTTCGCTGCATTCATACCACACGATCCCCCGAACGTGCAGCCAAATAGGTGAGTGTTCGTCGTACTGATATATCATGATGATCATTAAGGTCGGAGATCAGGTCAACATGGAGACTGAGCTTTCCACACTGTTCAACGATATACGCATTCTTCAGATGGGGAGGATGTTTCAATGTCAGTATCAGTTTTTTTGGTCGCACTCGACGGCCCGAGTGCTCAATACCTCATTAAGTATCAGCAACAATCGTTGTCTTGTACGATCATGGTGAGTTTTTCTCCCGGTATTTGAAAAAATATTTCCTCTGACTCTGCGATGAACTTCTTGAAAGTACTATGTTCTCAAAGAGAGGTGTGTTGTGTTGGTCCTCAACCGGGAATCATTCACATATTTACGAACAGGTGGATTTGATCTGGGTATGTCTTCTCAGTGACTTGCAGAAGCCTCGCCTCTGACTCAATGAACACGGTCCTCCAGAGGAGATCGAAATCTCTTGTGTCGTTCCTTTATTTTATTGTCAGTGCCACTACAGCTCGCTGATTGACTAGGCATCTGATGCCACAGCTCCCGTAGAACCGCTACGTCGGGGATGCTATCTCCATGTAAGCAACACGTTTTGTGCAAGAAAATATCATTTACCCTTGTTTCAGCATCAACGCAATATGTTCGACTTCATCTTTTGATCTTGAGTTTATTGCTGACGACCGTACACAGTATATATAAGCTCGACATTCTCAGCTAATGTAAGACATCGGGATTGTCCTGCAACATATAATGCTGACAAGTTCCTATTAGACGTAAGTGCACACAAACCAGCTTGTGTATCTGGTGCTACGCTGTTTACATTGCTTGCTATTTAAAAACTCTTTGGATTAGCTGTGCGTAACTTTCCGCAGCCTTTTTTCGTTCAAGGCTAATATTTTGTTTTCCAGGTCGTATTTTGTTTCATTTCCAAGCCTATGGACCTTTTGTGTCAGTATGGGCTACGCAAAGTAAAATATCTCGTCCATATCCGTAGAAAAGTACTGATAACATCACTCGGCCTTGTTACTAGCAATCATGCAGCTGCGCATTTACGCCATGTATCACAAGTCCAAGAAGATTCTGGCTTTCACGGTGGTCTGCTTTATCGTACAAATTGCAGCCACTTTGACAGTCCTGGTGATGGACTTCGATCACATCTTAACATTTACCAATCAACCCATACCCGGGTTCCTCAACATGTGCACAGTGTCCAGTGTCAATAAAAGCTTCACGGCCATCTATGCGCCTCTCTTTTGTTTCGAGATTCTACTCTTCGTCCTTGCCATATCGGCTGTCTTCAAGGCACACGAGAAAGACCCATGCGGTTGCCGGGAAGAGACTTCACAGCACGATGGCGACGCTGATCAGGTATAATACGATCTACTTCCTTGTGTAAGTGTTACTACGTCATCCTTGTTGACTCGACTCTCTTATGCTTATTAGCGAAATGCTCGGATGTGCGATTGCCTCGGGATTGTATCTTGGTCTTCCGGTATATTGTGATCCTTGACCATTCAACCTTAGTCGCTGAAGCTTTTCCATTTAGCCGATTTACCTGGTGATCACGAATTCAATCCTTATTGCAACTACAATCATCCTTGGAAGCCGGCTCGTGCTTGGCACACGTAATTTCTATTCTGACCCATCGGAAGATCACCCAAACAGGCTGAGTCCACGAAACCCATGCACCAAGTCATAGCTTCACCCAACCTTCATCATTTGTGCCACTCCGCGACTCCAGTCAGATGGAGATGACAATTATTCCCACCGAGGGGTACCGTCCAGATACAAGTAATGACATTGCATATCATAGTGACTTATTTATTGCACCATGTATCAATCCATCATGGGAATTGCTGTTTGTTGATTGTTTGAAATCAAGTACGTGCTGTCCTGTCCAATTGTCACTGTTATCTTTGCTGCCAATCTCCAGCTCACAGTCATCCGGCACACATGAACGCCATGTTTTGAACATAATTCGTTCGTGTATCAACTGCAAGCGGCTCGAAAGATGATGAAGGTCGGGCCACGATCACGAATGTCTTGTGATATTGCTAGAGACTCGAGAGGACCAGGCCGTGACTCGATAAACTGAATCCGAATTGTGCATGGTTTAAGAACTGGGAATACGACCCAGTCTGACACTCGGCGTCGAAAAGCCTGTACCGTATACACTAGATGAAAAGGGGAACCAAGTAAGTATATCGACTCCGAGCTCGAGCACGTCAATCCACATCCTAGAAAAAACCGTCCGCTGCATCGTCATTGTCATCGCTGTGGTTTCGTACCAAGTGAGTGAGCTGAGAGTTCAAGTGAGCATGGGGTCAACAGAATACGTACGGCGGTGTGGTAGGTCAAGATTATTCGGTTCCGACTTCTAGAACAACTCCTACAGGCTTACTCGAATTAGACAAGATTCCTAAGCAATCGGGTCTCGTCCGAGGAGCCTTCGGAGAAATGTGGATTCGCTAGGCTTATCCGCCTGCTTCCAGAACACTGCAATCCCATGGATGCATCTCGAATACTTTGATCGCTGCTTTCTCGTAAACTTGTATTGGCGACGTCATTCTGCCGAGCGCCGTCGTTTCCATTGGAAGTTGCACCTAGGGTTCGTCAAATGTTGTAGCACGCGGGGAAATAATTGACAACTGGAGAAGCGGAACACTGAAGCGGCGAGCTTGAGGAGGTCAACATTTGGTCAACATCATCGTCGATGCACAGTTGCAAGCGAACGAGATCTGCAAGCTGCTTTGTGATCATGAAGGTTCCAGGCTATCAACAAGGGAGGTAGAGAGTCGGCGCGCCCACAAAGGACCTCCGCTGACCCAACCCCAGGTGGTTTTATGAATGCGTAGGGTCATAGCGTTCATAAAAACGGAAAGACGCCTCAAACGGTCTTGGAGGACCATAAGCGAACTCTCCTAATTTGCAGGAAATTCTGGAGCCTCAGTATAGACACCAAATATATGTTACACACGTACAATAATCATCCGATTCTTAGTCTTATCTGACGACAAGGTTGTCGAATTCTTTTAATACCGAGGCATCCAACTGCAGTAGTTCAAACTCATCTCCAAATCCGAGGCTCTTGAGTTTGCAGATGCGACACTGAAGTTATTCGTGTCCAATACATCCAGAAAATTATCAGGAATTTTATACGTTACCTGGTGAATTGACCTGCTTACGATGGCGATAGGACGTTCATCGACAGGCTATCCATTGATCACAAATGTGTACTGCATATTAAGTCCGTTGACATCGGCGCGCAAAGCCACAACGAGCGGCGGTCTGTTGGTATTATCTTCGCGCCCAACACAAGGCTCAGCGGAATTTATGCAGACAGACATGTGCATACATGACAAAACGCCCAGAATAATAGGTTTGCACACACGGGTTCGGAAAGGTATGAGAGGTACTGGAGTAGCCGGTCGACGTGTTTCAAGGCTCCTGTCCATACTGACTTTGCTTTGCAACGACTGAGCAGAAACGAACGTAATAGTTTGGATACCCGAGTAAGATGTACCAGGTCGACTGGGTGACGGTATCAGAAAATCTAGCAGGACAGGGAGTGTGAACAAGCCTAGAACACGTGAAGCGGATTCATACCTCAAAAGGGAGTCCAAAGACCGCTGATTTGCCCACCATTGTGGTGTGACACGCTTCTTGACGTGTCTACCTAGTAGCCAGACTTAGGTAAATCAAATTTGCCTCACATTCTTCAGGGAGCAGGGTCAAAGCAGGGTGGCCAAAAATGTAGAGCGGAACTTTGTGGGGCACTAACTGATGGGTTTATGTAATCACGTAATACTAACGGAAAGATCTACTCGTCGGAACTCCACCATGGCCGTCCAAGAAACACCTGTGTCGCGACGACTCAAGTCAGTCAAACATGTTATCATAGTGTGCTCGGGCAAAGGTGGTGTCGGAAAATCTTCTGTGTCTACTCAGCTTGCGCTCAGCCTCCATGCATCTTCTTCCAATGCTCGAGTCGGGATTCTCGATGTCGATCTTACCGGTCCGTCAATACCACGCATGCTTGGTCTGGATGGGCATGGTGTGCACCAGAGCAGCGATGGATGGGTCCCTGTGTACGCAGATGCGCGTGGGGATGGTGAACCCAGGCTTGCGTGCATGAGCGTCGGATTCTTATTAAAGAAGAAGGGGGATTCAGTAGTTTGGAGAGGGCCGAAGAAGAACGCCATGATAAGGCAATTCCTGAGCGATGTTAGGTGGGGAGATCTTGATTACCTCGTCGTAGACACACCTCCAGGTTAGATATCCTGTGGCGTGACGGGATCATCTCGAGCTGATATTAATATGTAGGAACATCTGACGAGCACTTGTCGCTGATCGAACATCTTGCACCGGTGCACTCACGGCTGTCCGCCATCATTGTTACCACTCCGCAGGCAGTTGCGCTACTCGATGCGATGAAATGTCTCTCGTTTACTCGAGCTGTCGCACTCCCTGTCCTTGGACTTATCGAGAACATGAGTGGATATGTATGTCCATGCTGCGGAGAGGTTAGCAATGTGTTCTCTACAGGTGGAGGTGCAGAAATGGCCAGACGAGAAGGGGTGCCATTCCTCGGCAGTATGCCTATCGACACGGAGCTGGTCACATTGTTGGATGCTGCCGAGTCGACAGATCCAGGGGCCACTGATGGAATACACGACGAAGCCAGCGAACTTCGTTCCTTTGGAGTTTTGCAACGATATCAGGAGACATCGTCCGCGAAAATTCTAAGTGTGCTTGTTGAGAAGCTCATATCGACGCTGTCATCGGTAGAGCACGCGCCGGTGAGCAACTCGGCGTAAAGAGTCTCAACAGGTATGTCACTAGACCGTCATCTCTAGTACTTCTTACGCATGTTATGCAGGCAGACACGAACTTGTATACCGTTGATGGTGTATCCTTAGAGTGTATCCCGATACTGGTCAATGTATATCAGGTCATACCTTGCGCGTGCTGACACGGCTTCCTCGGGGGAGATTGAAGTTTATCTAGATAAGTATCTGATCAGCGAGAGGTCAGCAGCAAATCATACTCATTGAACATCACTAGCACATTCTACCATCGGAACACATGACATTAATATTGCACTGTGATTCTGCATTTGCTGTGAAGCTCCTTCACACGACGAACGGCCTTGTAATGACCCTACACACCAGCCTTAAGTAGGTTGTACTATTTTCACACTGTAAATCAATCGCTTGGTTCTTCAATCTCCCGAGTGGTACCGATATCGACACACCAAGTAAAAGGTTTTGTTACCCTGAGACATGTTGGCCTCCTCGGCTCATTTCAAGCTAAAGCGAAAAAGGTAAAAATGCAGACTCGAGGACCGTAATATAAGTAGATTAATATAAGTACGTACGCTGACATATCGTCAAAAAGTAGTATACTTGTCCGACACCGACATATATAAACCGTGACCGCGGATCGGCCATAACTAGCCGTGAGGGCTCGCATCCCCCACATGCGAATGGGGAAGAACAGCCCTGCAAGTCTGTTGTTCCTTGGTATGTTTTTTTGGGACTGTACTTCGGATTCCCTGAAACTTCGGAGTCCGGGTGGAAGAACTGAAGGTTCGGTAGAGGAGTCTCGTAAGATTTGCCACGTTCCCGTTCAACAAGCCGATATGAATGTGAGCATGTTCGAGTTTTGGTCTTGGTCCTCCCGTCGTTTATCCCTTGCTTTTGTTTTATGAGTTCGACCATCTAATACCCCATCCATCGCCTCCGACCAGTTTCATTCTCGAGGCCGTCTTTAAATTTTTACCTCTTAAGCTCATCCTAACGATCTCTGTATTTTTTTTTACCCTCGAGGCCTGATTCAGATCCCATTGTAGCCACGGTCTAAGCTCAATGCAAGATCGTCCATTGTCTTTCGGCTCCGTATCGACTCCCATCCTTACATCCAGGTTCCTTACCTCCCCTCTAGCCCATGACATCGCTCAGCCGCCCGCACGCGTACGGCCGTTTACCGACTCAAGTATGTAATTTTTGCAACATATAACACGACCCGTGTCACCTTTGTTGATATTTAAGTCATCTCCATAATTCTTTCCCCTCTAGGCGATCCCCCCGAGAAGAGACCTGATTCCCAATCATCAGGCATGACTGTCCGCAGGATAAGCTCGTCTGTTCGCCCCAATGTCGGGGACGATGATGTCTTTACCACCCAGCCTCACACCCGAACCCTTCGTCGCCGCTCAAGTCGCCTGTCAAAATGGTTGGAGGATTTGCGGGTTGAATCCCCCACCGTCCAGCAGCTGGATATTTCTGCTGACACGGAAACCGTTGGAACTGAGTGTAATCCTTACTTGGCGTACCCTCATCTCAGCCCAGCTACTGTTCGTCGAAGCATGGATGATGCTAGAAGTATGCATGATTATGTCGTAGTCAATGACGGCGACGTGCAAGAATATGTCCCTCCTGAGGAGCCCACGGATGTAAAGGTGCGTCGTTCATGACACGTGTTAGATAGGTCGTCTCAAATTTCAAAGGGGTCACATGGCCCACCAACGCTTGCAGATACTATGAGTCCAAGTCACCGATCAACCATATGGCTTAATACCCCTCCATCTCAGCATCACTTCCATCAACCAGTTATATCTTCTTCCCCCGCCGTATCTTCGACGTCTCACAGTCCATCACGTGTGTCAATGTTTCAGCGCTCGCATGTCACTTCCAACTCGGAGGCGATCAATCCTTATCATCACAGTCGCTCCTTAAGCCTTCAGACGTCACATCCTGTGGCTGAAGCTCGGTCGGAGGAACGTGGTATACATTCGAACCCCTCATCGTGGCGGTGGCGACCGAGTGTGTTGGGGCACTTCGTGTCCCTCTCAGACGTCGATACACACTCCAGTACTCGTGACTCCCCAGGTAGTTCTCGCCCCAGCATGTCCTCAACAACCACGAGTTCTTCATACGCAACCCCATCCACCAACATCATGTATGAGGATGGAGCATCGTATGTGCCCCCATTAACTCCCCAAAAATCAAACTTCTTTGGATCTTTGAGGTCACGTTCCCAGAAGGCCGTGACGTCCTCACTATCCCTTTTCAAAACTGACACGAGTTCCTCATTTCCGACGTCATTCTCGTCGCCTGCATCTGAACCAGAGCTCTCCCAGCCACCAGGTTTTCCAAGCACCTTGGCACGGAAGTCAAGCACGATTCGGTTACCCTTCTCGCCAAAATCAAGGACCCCGCTGGATAGTAACCTTCCCAATATCTTTGTGGAAGCGCCAGACGGTACGCGACCGCGCATTGTGTACACCGGCAAAAGCCATGCTCCGAGAGTCTCTTTATCGTCCATAGGCAGTCAGTCGCGAAGCACCAAGAAGAAGTTGGTCATTGCTGGTATCGCGCGCAATGACGTCAAACGTCTTGAGGCCGCTCAAAAGTGGTGTCAGGTCTGACATCACATCCTCGAGTTCAATTTCTTGTGACTGACTCTTGCCCTAATTTTAGTCATTTGGCGAAGTGGATCAAATCACGAGGATGCCTAACGGCGATCTCCATGTGAACTTCCACAAGGCTGAAGTCGCAGAAACTGTAAATAACCTCCACAGTCGTCCTACTGTCGGAGGAACTAACTTTATTCTTACCAGGTGTGTCGTGTGCGTGCCAAAGTCTACATCGCGGGTGTGGGCAGCGTGCATCTTTCTTGGTTTTCCGGAAATAAACGACCTTAGCATCTGTCACCGTCGTCAAACCACACCCGTTTGTTTGTAAAAGGTGAGATCAGACGTGGATCGTCAGAACGTCCCTAATTTAACTGGTGTCATCAGTGTACGACGCTGGAATTACGTTCTACACCCGCCTAATTCGATATCTATCCATTCCTAAAGGCCTCTGGTCGCTAATTTCAATCTGACGACTTGTATCGACTCCATGATCATGTGCGTGCGTAGATGTTGCCCGTTCTGTCTGACATCTTGACATCGAACTGACACTTCCATGCAGACGACAATTTATGACCGCACACCACCCTATCTATCACCTACATATCGCATTATTTCAGCCTCATTAATGCCATCTGCCATGCATTCTCTCGTTTATATCCCTTTGCCCACGATACATACCTTTCTCATTTGAATTATCGAGACGACCCTTCGCGAACTGTTTGCTTGGACAATGCGTTGGACGAATAGTTACTCGTACTTAATGATATTTCTTCCGCCGCATCAGCGATATCATGGTTCTATTGAGTCTCCTGCCATAGCCAGACCGAATAGAAGGAAGACCGCCGTTCCTTCTTTATTGCGGGTTCTATCCGAATCCATCGTTCAGAAATGTCCGCGCTCAATTTCGACTCTTGTTGCGCCGCGCCGCGCAGTGACACTTCCGGAGAAGTGCCGGGACTAGTCTTCTTCGCGCCTGTGTTCGTTCATACACGTTGGATCAGCACAAGCTGGAGGGGCTTGTTGATCGCTGTATGGCCCGGCTAGACCCGCGATGACCCTGACCTTGGTATATTCTCGAGCGCCTTAGGTGAGGCCTGGCCAACGGGAGGATTGGTATTACACGCGGAACTCAGGTACAGTCGTACATTAGGTCCGTTATCTGATATGATGGTGCTGCCTGACCTTCGGGGATGCATGTCCTTATAAATGCGACTTCCCTGGGTCTCCCCTGTGCCAATGAAGGCAAAGAACTATGTCAGACCCTGACCCAAGCGCTTGTCCGTCTAGTACTTGGACGCTATTACAGCCTAGGCTGCTTATTGAATCTCCCGCTCTTAGCGCACGCCGTGCTGGCTATCAACTCGAGGCGCTACGCTGTGGCAGCAAGCTCTACATGGATACATGCGTTCGCAATCCGCTTCACGGCCTCTATATATCTATCGCGGTCTCAGTGCACTGCATTCACCACCGTGACCGTGCATTTAACTTGCCATTTGGCCGTTAAAGCGATAAAGAACGCGATTCTCCTGTTCTAATCATGGTCGCGTCAATAAGGCGGTCTAACAAGTCAAAGTACCTCGCAAGATGACAGTCGGAATCATCCCAGGCTGTGAGTGAGGTTTTTTGGTCCAAAAGGCGTCGTCTGACCGAGCCTATGCAAGTGGCTCATCAAGTAGTACTATCCGGAAGGATATTCCACAACCTCCTGCTTTATCAGTACCTCAGCTATCTCAACAATCTCAACGACAAAGTTTACTACCACAAGATCAAGGGTACATTATGCGCCTGATGTGGATAATGAACAGCTGATTAATCTCCAATATTAGAACACGGGAAATTCTGCTGCAAATTCTCAAGACACTACAGGACTCAAATATCGTGGAAAAAGGAGACAAGGACGTACGGTCTAGGTTCTGGGCGACATACAGCCAAGTTGCCAAAGAGCACGATGACGAATTTTTAGAGCGGAACAACAGCGACATGGACATCGTACTCATTTTCGTAAGCTACTGAATAAATTTGATGCATTCATCTGACTGAGAGGGCATCGTAGTCCGGTCTTTTCTCCGCTATTAATACCGCGTTTATCATTGCCATGCAGCCCAATTCCACGACCCCCTTATTGTTGCAGATCGTTCAAAATACCTCCCCAAATAATTCCGTCACATCTTCCACTACATCAGGTGCAAACTCGTCCAATGGCACATGGTTTCAGGGCTTGGCATATGTTGCATTGTCGTTCAGCCTTCTGGCTGCTTTCGGGGCTGTGCTCGGCAAACAATGGCTCAGCCATTATAAATCGAACAATATCCATGGTTCCCTTGAGGATCGCGGAAAGCAAAGACAACAAAAGTTAGACGGATTGGAAGCATGGCATTTTCACGCTGTGCTGCAATCATTCCCCGTCTTACTGCAGATCTCGCTCCTTTTATTTGGGGTTGCTATCTCAGCTTTCGTATGGTCTCAGCAGGGAGATCTAGCCATCGCTGTAATCGTGTCAACGGCGTTCGGTCTGGTTTTCTATTGGTTCATCATCGTCGCCTCCTTGAAATCGCTGCAGTGTCCTTTCCAAACCCCTATTTCAGCAGTTATCCGCGTGCTTTGGAAGGGCGTATATAGGCGCGTCAAAGACCGACGTATGAATGGGAGCGATGAGACGTTGTCGTCATATGACTCTGGAGAACTCGAGGAAACGCTCCCTGATGCACCATCGATGAAGTGGATATTCGAAACTTCCACAGATCCAGAGGTGATCAGTTCGGTCGCTTGGCTACTGCCCACCATCAAATGGACCCCCGAACTGCACATGCCAACTATATGCTCGCGCTTGATGAGCACTTTCAAAGCGTGCTTTCATGCTGGTGTCCAGGTCAGTTTCTCGGCACGTCAAAGAGCCCTTGCGTGCGGGAGAGCCTTGCACCACGTCATTTGCGATGAAACTATCCAGAGCCTCCTTCCCCCGACTGCCATGATGCACTTTGATTGGGATGTTTTGGAGCTGTGGTCTCATTGGCATGACCTCGGTCTTCCTTGGGGTCTTGAGTGCTGTAAAGCATCTTTCGCCCAGTACGCTACAACTCTGGATAAAGATCACGAAGACGAAGCACGCATTGCCCTTGCGCCTCGCTATCGTGACTGGCTGCCCAGGATTTTTGAAGCCAAGCGATGTTGCATTGATCTGGGACGGTGTTTTCGACTGGAACGATGCCCAGCGTACTCCGGAAGACTTTGATTGGCTCGTGGACTTCCTGGTACACTTTCGGAAGTCCAAAGCGAGGGACTTTGACGCCATGGGAGATGCGCTGCTCGCATTGAGCGCCATGCGAGGGTCTAGGAAGTCCCACCAGACGAGACAATTACCTCGACTCGATCATCTTCGCCATGGAAGCAGATAAACCATCCCGGCTTCGTCACGCTGCCCTTCGAGCCGTATTTGACGCTCGTTTGGAACTAGTCGACATAGTCGAACAACCGGAGGGAGAATTCAGGGAGAAGATATTAACGGAACTCGCGCCAGCTCTGTTCACCACAACCAAACCTATCGCACCGCAGCGATCTGATGATGAACCAGATGCTGTTTTTAATCCCGGACGTGATGACTGCTATCTGCGGCTGATCTTCACACTGGCAAAGCAAAGTGATTGGCGTGCTCATTTAGGAAAAGCCGGTCATATAGAACGATGCATATCTCTACTTGGCCACGTCATCAAGAACTGTTCCTCCGATTCGTCGACGCCTGTCAAGCATCATCCTTATTATCTTGCAGGCATATTGATACGGATGAATGCCTCGGATGACTATCAAAGCCCTGGCTTTGCGGACAATATATCTGAGCAGGAATGGTGGAGTCTACTCAAAGGAGCGTGGTCAGCAATGTATTGGAATGACCTTTACCTTGAGGATGAATCAGTGGAAGCACTGCCTGGCATTGTCACGTACACTCTCGATCTCCTGAAAACGCAGACAGCAAGATATGATGCGGCGAGCCTTGTTCGATTGGTGGATCGGATATACGAGGCGCTCAGTGATTGTAAAGCAAAGCCGGGTATCCTTTCCGCAGTGAAAAGCCTACAGGATGCGCTGGATACTAGCAATGCATAGTTCATTATATTACGCGCAAGCTGAGTATTAATTACGGTCAGACTACGTACGGTATCGCTTAGTCTCCCTTACGCAGATTAAATAGAAGGAATATGTAGTCTTTCGACTGTCGGTCCTTTATCGTGAGTTGTGATGACAAGAGCGGTCCGACCGTTTCCGGGACTAGCGGACCTAAATTCAACCTACAATTATGACGCGTCTCTCTCTAGTCCTGTTTCTTCTTGTCTGTTCTACCATTGCGGTTGTAATTTATCGCGTTCCCTTCTGCTGAACCTTCGTCAGCACTTCTCCAACAGACTTAGGGTGTTGTTGACATGAGTACATATCACTTGATATCGCTTGTGAGACGTGGATGAGTATGACTCCGAATCAACAAAAGAGACTGAAGTATAAACAATGCCCTGTATAACGCCTTGTGTATATCTTAAAAGCTGAAGAACGACATATCATGGCTCGTGCAAGTCTCACAAGGCCATATATGCTTTGGGCTCTTTTGTTGATTCGGAATAAGTAGTCAGTTTTCTCCTACCATTCCCGCTTGGCTAAGCAGCATGAGACCAAACAATGGGCTGATCAGTCCTTGTTGCAGTATTGACGCAATTCCCCGCTCCCCGTTTGAAACGGAATAAATAATGGGATGATACGCTTCATCTGCGGCTCCAATTGGGCGGTGCTTTATTCCAACTTTATTCCCAAGTCCCCATGGACCACTATGTCGTCGCGCCAGAAAACGTAAGTGGATCAAAAGCAAGGGCTGATGATCCCATACCACTAGTGATCGTGGAAGGATTCCTAGGCAGCGCAGGCGCTGCTATGGGGAGCAAGTGCGCAGAATACCTTAACAAGGGAAGTAAGAATCCCAGTCGAAGAATTTTGTTTGCCAGGTGAGTAAAGTCGAAGCGGATGTAACAGGACCGGCAGTTGATGTTTACTTCGAAGTGTCGGGCCAGTAAGTTCTTTGCATGACAGGGCATGCGAGTTATTCTACGCACTGCTCGGTGGTACAGGTAGGTCGCTTGCGTATTTCAGAGCACTCGCGATTAATATCGACTTCATTGCCATAGTTGACTACGGAGAAGACCATGCCGAAGCTTACGGTCACCAGCGGTATGGTCGGGTTGTAGAGGTCGCTCTATACCCTTCCTGGTCGCTCGATAACCCGTTGCATTTTTTGGGACATTCTATGGTAAGTCATTCATTTCGGTATTTTTCTCTTTCACGACGATTCAAATGATAACAGGGAGGGCCTACCATCGTCAAGTTGCAGTCGCTCATGGCGGCAGGCTTCTTCGGAGACCGTGGACACCCTGACATGGTGCTTTCCTTAACAGCTGGTGAGTTCCATGGCGCTACATCGCACGCCATTCCTCATTCCGTCAAGTCTCTTCGCCGTTTCGAGGAACTCAATTGGTGTACGCTCTGGGAGAACGTACCGACTCACCGCCTGCTGTCCGCCCGTTCTCAGCTGGTGATATTTTATCTAAACTTATTCATATCCTATCCTATCTGTCTCCTCTCCTTCCTGCAGCACTGGATTTGCATGCTGAATCACGCCGTCTGTCATATCGGGACGCGTCTCTTCCTTCTCTGTGGCAACAGCTCTGCAAAAGCGACTGGGCACAGAGCCGGGATGCTACTCCATACGATGCGACTTTCCAGGCAGCGGAAGAACGGGAAATGATTGGGGAAGGTCAACCCCATCAAAGGACGTTCTATAGGTCATACGCTGCTTCCTTGGTATGAGATTACTCTTATTCCATCTGCGCTCACGATGCTCATGTTACCGCAGCGCCACACAGAACGAGACAGATCTTACAGAGCTTCTATTGTGAACATTATTTCGCCTCTGTACTATTCGTCTCTCGTTGTGTCGTCGTTCAACTTTTCGGTGCTCCAACCTACTCCAGCGATAGTCGCTTCAGTGTCTAGTTCCGGTAGACGTGATACAGACTCCGGGTGTCCCAGCTCGTCCCCCGGAAATGACAGCACCGGTTGTGAGCACTTTTATTGGGAAAACGATGGCGTTGTCCCTGTATTTTCGCAGTTTCATCCATTCGGATGCAGGTGCGTACATAAAATAATAAGGCATGGACAAATATTGAATGTCTTACACCAGTACCGCATTCTGTCGGACATCATTCGAAGAGGATACATAGCGATAGGCCAGTACCCTGGCATCTGGTGTGTGTATGCATTAGAAAATGCGAGTCATTTTTCTATCGCTCCTTTTTGGTGGGGTTCTAGACGGCAGAGAGCGTTTTGGCTGGAGCTGGGAAATTGGTTGCGGGCAATTGACGACCAGTGACTAGTCTTGTAGTGGCGTTTGAATCCTCGGCGCAGACGTATTCTACATACTCGAATATCATATATTACAGGACAAATGATTCTAGTAAGGACAGTGACGACCTAAGGAGTGGGAGATGAATGAGTAACAATGAGAATATGACTGAACATGATGCGAAATCTATGGATGAATGAATGTCGTTTTAGTTGTCTAGCTGGGTGAAAAAGATGGTGGGTAAAGGAGACGAAAAAAGTATGTATATATTAGGATAATTGGCTTGAAGAAAGGAAGATAGAACGAAAATGCTTGTGTACAGAGAAGTCTAACTTGAGAAATGTCAGCTGATGTAATCACTGGCTACCCCAATGGTTCCATTCGGGACCACTCTGCACGTCTCGTTGGGAGCTGGTGAAGTGGGCAGGTCCCGGAGGGGGGCGAACGTTCATCACTGGTGCATTTGGCGGAAACGATCCGCGAGGGTAACGCCCAGGGTGTCCGCGACCTCCATTCTTGAAATTGGACTGATTATCCCTGCGATGGTGGCGCCGAGGAGGCATATTGTGCTGCTCAAACATCGGGAGCATAGGTGCACTACCGGAACCTAGAGGGACATTTAATGGGGCTTGCATGTGCTGGTTCATGCCGAATGAGGGATTAGGCATCCAACCGTGTGGACCCATCACCGGAAAAGGTCCTGGGGTTGGGTGCTGGATCCCTGGTGGTACTGGCATGCCAGGGGTGAACGCAGGCGGAAGATACGACCTCCATGAATTAGGAGGGTGAGCTGGGGGCGGGGCGAGGGCAGCCTCTGCGGAGGTCGAAGCTTGTTCACCTTGAGCGCCGGACATGTATTGGTTCAGAGCGTCTGGAGGGTAAACAGGGACAAGAATGCCCTGATCTCCGTGAATGAACCCCGTAGGTATGAGTGGCGCTTGGGTTGCGACGGGGGTCTGTCCCTGGCCTTGCTCTCGCACAGGTGTTCTAGCAGGATACGGATATGGAATGAATGGCTTGAACAGCACGTCAGCGTTGCGGCATGAGGAGCCTGAGATATAACAAACGTACAGCATACATGCCTGGGGGAACGAACGGAGCAGGTGTTCCTGAAGGTGTTCCACGAGCATCAGCTCCACTAGTCGACGAAAACGCTTGGCTCATTGGTAGCGGAAGAGGATATCCAGGGTACGTCCCCATATACTGCATTTGATAGGGAGGGAAACCAGCTACCCATCCTTGAGGATGATAGTACCCCATGGTGGGTATTGGATAGGCAACATGTTGGGAAGAGGCAGATGTCACTGAAGTCTGTGATGCAGAAGGTGTAACGGAAGCGGATTGAGGCGAGACAGTGTCATCTAAATTGACAGTCTGTTCGTCATCCGCAACTGAAGAGGAAGATTGTTGAGGTGTAGAGGGAACATCAACCTTTTCTTCTGACTGCTCGACGTCGAGCGGCGAAGCTTTTGCGGCTGTCTCGTGGACGATGCTCAACTCTTGCAGTCTATCTTGCAGGGCGATCGCAGTTGGTTGTCGAAGATTATGATCCACACGGAAATCGTCACTGGAGACGAGGGACGGTTCTGAGTCATGGCGGACGATGCTCCCCTCGAAATTTCGCCCGCGGTTACGGTTGGATCTCCAATTCGTGCGTTGCGGAGGGTTCCAGTCACGGAGTTGGACACGTATTGGGCGTCCGTCAACGATCCGGTTGTGCTTTGCAAATGGATTAGTCCGGGAATCGGAGCGGAGATGTTAGAGCGAACCTCTTCACTAACGGCACGGGCGGGAGAATCCTTGTTGCTGAACTTGACAAAGGCAAACGCGGAACGCTTGTTGACTGGAAAGATAATTATCGCTGAGGGGAGGATGTACAATAGTCGAACCTTACCTGGCCGGATGACTTTGACGTTCTCCACACCGCCATACCTTGAGAACAAGTTACGAACGCGTTCTTCGTCCCAGGCGTTCGGACCGTACATCTCCAATCCTCCAACGAAGATGGTAGTAGGATCCAATGGACCTGGGCGCTTTTCATCCCATTGCAAGACATTCTTTGTGACGAGCTCAGGTAGAGAGCAGGTCTGAAAGTCACCTAAGTAGCTTCCGGTGGTAGGAGTGCGAGGTATCAAAGACCCTGGAGTTTTCGGGGTCATAGGCGAGGTTCCAAACTCGGGGGTCGGAGGAATGCCAACGTCAAGGTCGTAGAATTCCTCCTGGTGAACCAGTGTATTGAAATGCGCTGGAGAGCTCGCAACGTCCGACACACCCATCATTGAAGGCAAGGGCGTCACGCTGTCAGAGTAAGCTGTGCTCAGTTAAAATTCGCTGCCAAGGAAAATAATAACTAGCCTCGGATTTTCGTCGGCAGCCTCCATTCGGTCGCTCCAATAGTTCCTCGTTTCTCGTTCACGGACTGTCTCAGTGATGGGCGGAAAGTGTTTTTCGGGCAAGTCCACACCTGATGGCCTGTGGCTCAAGGACAGAGCTCGAGGACGTTTTGGTGTCGTCCCTTTCGTATCCAACGCGACATTCTGCGACGACCAGGTCATATCGCACAACGCAGTAGACGCTCGGTTCAAATTACGCGAGATGTCGCCGAGGCTGACCGACGATGAAGTCGGTTCCATGCCAGGATGATAGGCAACAAGTGAATCTGCGGATGAAACCCGGTTTAGAAATGGGAACCGCGATGGGGCCATATGCGCAAAGCTAGTAACATGGTGCTGGATAGTATGTACAGGCTGCGCGCCATAGTATGGCATTGACTGACGTGGGTGAGCTGGATGGTGAGCCCATGTCACGGTCAGGTGAGGGACTCGACGCAGAGTCTAGCAGCTGCGTGTCAGCATATATGACTATAATTGAGTAGCCCCGTAAACTCACCATCAGAGCGCCAACGGAGTCATCGCGATGGCGCCATTTGATCTCCCAGCACCCCGTCTCCATTTCTACAGAGCGGGGTGCATCGTGGGGAGCTTGCTGAACACCTGACTCGACTTCGTGAGGGACAAAATGTTCGATGCCCCCGAAAATAGCTGATATCTTCCTCAGAGTCTAGGGCAAAGTTAGAACCCACGGTCCCAATCACAAGCTAGGCTAAGAGTACTTCGGCGTTGTAAAGCAGGGGGTAAAAATACGCTCCAGATTCATCTGCTTCCCGATCGTCGAGAGGCAGAAGGCCTTCATGCTCCGCTGCCGCACGCGCATCCGAGTTGTACAAGATCGACAGGTGCCTGGTGATATACTTTCGTCAAAGAGAATGATGGCCACCGAAGAATAAAATTTACCGGGAACCGGGAACCCTAGAAATTTTCATCGCCCAAGGCAAGTCAAGATCAATAGGCTTACTGTCTCGAAGGTCGCCAAAGCCCGATTTGGTGTCTGACGAAGGCGCAAACTGTCGTGGAGTACTAGAAACCGTGTCAGAAGTAGGAATACTGACCATAAGTGCATGTATGCGCATATTTAAGCGCATATATGCACCTGTGGGAACGCGTCTCCGTTAAAACTCACCGGTAGGATATGAGTAGCGTTCTCAAGGCTCGCGCGGGCTCATAGCGTAAGTAACGCCCCATAAACTGTTTAGGGACCGACGAATGCAAATTTGTAATTAGCATCGCTGCTGTCTCGGCATCCTGGTGAGAGTGCAGCATCGGAAAATATTCAGAACATTGATCAGCGAAGACGGACCTGACACTGGATGAATGCGCAGGTACCACCCTTTGAGTCACGAACGACCTTGATGGTCTGTGCCTCTGGATGATCAGAAAGGTGCTCAGAGAGCATACGAGTTAGCTCCAAATGGTCAATATTAGTTGGTAGACTTAAAAAAATGTATGATGAGCATGAGAGAAATATTGTGTCTAAATAACGTACCTTCCGATGAAAATGCTAGCATCTTGAACGATCCTGTCTGCAGACTTCTTAGAGTCGTCACATGCCTCATTTGTGGTCAGGGGACCGTCTTGAGGGGTGACATTAGCGTCTTCTGTGGGGGAGAGAGGAGCGGAGAGTAATGAGTCAAAACGAGTACCCCAAGATCGCGCCTGGGTATGCTGTGGCATGTCTATAGAATGGAATAAATAGTACTTGTTAGTGATGGTAGAGGTTATAGGTTAAGAAATATTGACGAGGTCCAAAACATAGACACAAACAACGGCTCGCGTGGGCAGTCTACCTAAACCGCTCTATGATGTCAAAACACCAACGTTTTGTCAGAACGTTGACCAAATTTCGCGGCTCCACGGAGAGTGAATAACAAAAAAATAATTGAGAATTAGGTCTTCCTTTCCACCCCGCGGCCGCTGTGCATGGAACCTAGGTGAGTAACGAGATGGAACCAAGGATCCTTTCTGATTGGCTTACATTGAATTTTGAATCTACAGAAGCATGCCTAGAAGGAACGAAAATCAAACTACATCTAGACTCAATCTAGACTTGCGTGAAAGACGAGTCCAAGCTCGGACAAGGCATATGTGACGCCTACTTAAGATGAAGCAAGCTCCATCTCAGGGGACGCGATAATCATCCATCGATCAGATCAGCGACCGGAACAGTGCGAGGACAAGATCTGTCATATTCGTACACAAATGAGAGTTCGTGGACTATCTGGGAAGCTTACCCCAGGGGACTCAAGACTGCCGCGAAACTTGGATTTTGTATCATTGGAGTACCTGTCAATGTGATGTATTGCACCGATGACTATTTTATCGCAAGCAGAGACTGCACTCTGCGACTGCGACAGGCAAAACATAGTATTAATGGATGTCGGACCGTCAGTAACAGGGAAGCTGGAAACTCATTTATCAGAATCGCGCCATAGAACCAATCAAGATAAGCGCACCATTCCAAGTTCAAGAAGAAATGGTGATAAGAGACGAGCGAAGCGCCCGGTGTTCATTGATTGACGCCAGATAGTGTATTCGAAGCAATCATCACTGTGACTATGGAGACATATATGTGGCTCTCGTAGCGGAAAACTCAATGAAAATGAAAGCTGAAGTGCTGCGCAACCTCCTGGGTATGGACACTAAGCCTGCAGATAATGATCGTAAGGAGACGTCTGAAAAACCTACTGTGAGACTCAGTAGTACAAGTGATCGATCACACGTGCACGAAGAATTCAATCAAAATCCAGGTTCCTCGAACCTCCGAAACATGTCACTCTCGCAGGTGGCCAGAAGGTAAAATGACGTTTAACAAAGTTTCGACGACCAACGAAGTTTGGAAGAAAGAAGGCATCGATTATGTAAGCCTGTCCTGCTTCTGCATGACTTCGTCCAGAAATTTGTGTCCTTCACCTTAGGTGTATCTCTACCGACCTGCTTCGTTCACCACCTTAGACTTAGTTCAGGATGTCCGACGATGGCTATGGCGGAGGTGGCGGTGGCGATGATTACGACTACGACGGTCCCGGGTATGTTTTGATTCCAAAGTCATGGACAAGGAACTTCTGACTTGTCATTCTAGTTTCAACGATGGTGCCTTCGTGCGTACCTGGCGAATCATATCATGCGATCAAACTTTTGACACTGTGATATTTAGGATGAAGGTTATGATCTACTCGCACAAGAACAGGAAGGTGAACAGGTGGAAGGGGAAGAAGCCAATGGTGAAGTCTCGCACGTCAATGGGATCAATGGGGCAGACCATGATCAGGAGATGGTAAACGGAGAGGAAAGCGTGCAACCTCAGCAAGCGCCACCAAATGTAGGCATGCAAGGCGAGAGGCAGCCTAACAAAGTCAGAGTAACGACACCTTACTTGACCAAGTACGAACGAGCACGAATATTGGGGACGAGAGCGCTTCAGATCAGGTGAGAGGTCTTGTGCATCTTGCATGCATTTCATCTTATGCAAGCATTCCATCGCAAGCATGAACGCCCCAGTACTTGTCCCCTTGGATGGCGAGACAGATGCTCTGCAAATCGCAATCAAGGAGCTCTCGCAACGAAAAATTCCTCTCATTATCCGACGCTATCTACCCGACGGAAGTTTTGAGGATTGGAGTGTCTCCGAGCTGATTAGCGAATGACACATTGCCTTGTTGAATCCTCTTGCATTTTTACCGGGCTTTCGCCCCGGTTGTTGTCTTGTCTTGTTTTACTATCATCTACCTCAATACTTACACGACCTTTGCAACATGCAAAGTACCACCGGAAGTATATCAACAATGCAGAGGTATATCATACACTAATGTACAGCCGGCTGTGTAATACTACGGTTTCTTCACGATCTCCACCCACACATCCACCCTTGGTTTGGCAATGCTTCGAGACTGGGGCTTGGAGACGACCGATGTGCTTGCCCGTCGTACCTTTACTTTCGAAGGTTCGAGTTCACCCATCACCAGGTCGTCTCCTCCCGCATTCTTGGTCACATTTGTCGCGTCTGCAAATAACTTGCACTTGTCCGACATATCCAACCTATCCATACCATCCGCGATTTTGGCAATGTCGCGTCTCTTTCGCGGGCTCGACTCCACGTCTGAATAATGTGACGTAGACTGTCGCCGCTTGCTTGGCGATGACGGAGCGCTGACGGGTTTTTTTGATGGCGAAGTTAGTTGTGAGAATAATGGATCTTCTAGCGGCACATTCTCGACGTTCGGATTGCGCTTTGGTGCAGCTATCGAATTAAAATCAGCGCTGCATCGAAAGCGGAAGTCGAGTCTACTCTTACCTTTGCCCTTCATTTTGGTAGCGGCGTTTTTGACGACTTTGAACCCACTGCACTCGTCAGTTTTATCAAGCGTCTGTTGTATCTCCCAGTCTGATGGCCGCATCTTCTTCCAGTCTTCTAAGACCTTCTCGACCCATTCATCAGTCTCCCCTGCGACATGGTAATCGATAACGTCAGACCACTCGCTGCCAGGTGGAGTCTTATTCACGAAAACGACTTTTCCCTGCCATATCTTTTGTTTTTTGGGAGTACCATTAGGTGTTGTTCCAGTCCCAGTGGCGTGCACGACCTTGGCAAAGTCCTTAACGAGCTTTTTGAGACCGTGAACCTTGAGTGAAGTGCCCATGATAATGAGCATATCGGGCTTGCGGGCGATGTCTGACGTTTGGATTGTGCCTATATCGTCCCCAAGAGGATGTGGTTCGTCGTAAAGTACGATGGCTGGACGAAGAGTTCCGATTTTGAGAGCACGTGCAGAACGAGCAACTCGTGCTTCCGCTACCAGAGACTCAGCTCAGCGCAAAATGGACCTGAGAGCTGACTTACATCGCGAGGTGCATTCTGGGCAATCTGGAGCTTTACCGTTCTCGAATGCGTACAGATGTTCTTCGGTGCAAGACATTTCGGCAGAGCAGAAAGTGCACCGCACGCGGTGGATGTCACCGTGCAGCTGGACGTTCCGTACTTCCTTGACTTTCAGCTTCGACTTCTTCTTCCCACTTGTCTTCACCTGTTGACTGGAACTCCCACGCAGCCCCACCCGCTCTTCTAGACCATCGATGTTCTGCGTGTACGACCGTACTAGTTTTTGCTTCGCGTCCAGGGTTTGAATGAATCGGTGTGTGGCAGCAGGAGTGGCGGCGTCGATGGAGCGTTTGAGCTGTGATATAAAAGTATAGAAGACAGATATTGACGTGGAGTCACGGAACAGAGACGCGTCGAATAGATCACGCCCTTTGAGGACGACTGTCGGGGTACCGCTGCTTGACCAGTGCATAAAGACCATCCGAAGACCGAAAGTCCTAGGCAGAGAGATCGATGAGCCACCCATCTGCTACGCGTGCAAAGGACTCACCGGAATGCCACATGAACATGAAATGCCTGCTCCGGTGACAACGACTATCTTTTTGGATTTGGCTACTGCCAAAGAAATGTCAGAGAAGGGCCCTGCGTGTGCTAGGCTCTCCGGACACGTTATCAAGTCGTAGCGAAATCGTCATTAATGGGTGTGGTAAAGGGTTGGCGGTGGTCGGAAGTCAGGATTAAATAATATTGCCAATGGGATGGACCGACAACCTTCCGTGAACTCAACTGAAAATTCAGGGTCAACACCATTTTGGGCTAATATTTGTTGTCATATATTTGTTAACGTGTCGCGTCGCGTCTGTCACGTGACAACGCGTCCTTAACGCCATCGAGGTATCACTATACCATAGAGTAGACATAGCATCACGGGAGACTCTCATCCCAGGTTTGAATTCTACGTACAGTACTCTACATTTACTTAATACGAAACAACCCGCTCGGACGTCGGAGTCCGCTCATAATACCAGATACCAATTTCTGCGCAACTCGACGGAGTGGTGGAATTTAGGGTTTTGAAATGCCCGTATTGCTCCTATGTCAGGGTTAAATAAATCAGGGCACGATCATTATCAACACAACGTACTGTGCCCAGGACATGGTGGAAGTACCAGACCTCGTCCAAGATAGTGCCATTGCTATAACAGCCAAGATAAGGAACAGCGCCAGTCTGGGAGTAAAGGGCATTCGTGATCTGGGAGAGGGTGTATGTCGTTGTATTGGAAGGAAGAATTCCTGCACTATTGTCGCCAAAGCTCGTCAGTAGTACTTGACGGACTACAATGAATAAACTTACGCGGCGAGTATATTGTAGGTAGGATACATCTGGAAGACCTTTGTGACGGTCTCATAAAAGTTGACTACTTCCTGATATTCCTTGTAGCCAGGCTCATAACAAGCAACGTCAAATGTGGATGTGCAAGTGGCATGCTTTGAGAACTGGTCGCAGCTCGTCAAGAGGCCCTCCAGATAAGTGGTATTGGCTCACCTCGTGAGCCCAAAAGTCCTCGTTAGGCGAGCCCTGGTTCACCCAAAATGTATCCACTGCAAAGAATGTTGGACTTGACATATTGTCATGCAGTTTTCGTTCACATACTGTACTCCAGCAAGTCGAACCGACCGAACTCCTCGATAAATGTTCTAACGGTCGGTCCTTCGTAAGGAGGGACAGGCGTCCCATCTGGCAAGGTTGACGGTGACGGTTGAGGATCATACTGCCTGCTAAGGTCGCAGTACTGATCGTACGAGCTGTGCAGGGGGAAAGGGATTGGTCAGTAATCATAAAATTTACAAAAAAAAACGTCCTACCCGTCGCAATTATCTGGCCACAAGCCGTGAATTCCCCAGCTGCCTTGTGGAAGCAGCTGGCCCTGATGCTCAAGACCCGTATATGTGTCCCAGTACTGCGTCTGTAGCACGAGCCCGCCCTGTACGACATTGCAGCATGAATCCGTCAAGACAGTTGTGTTCTCGCATGAATACTGCACTGGGAGGCCGACACATGCCGTGATGTTCGGATATGTGGACGGCAGGGAGAGGAATTCGGCCTGAACTATAGCTACAATGGCTGTAAGACTGACAAGGAACAACTTCATATTGAAGAGAATGCGTTCGAGAGAGGTGCCATCTTGCTGGCATTTATACCTGTGACCTCTGCCTGCTCACCAAAATACCGACACGAACGTGCTTATCAAGAAGTTGGACCACATGCAACTGTCGCAGGAGTGCATGGATGTGGCAAACGTGCAGCATTGTGGGGATCACACGGCTTCTACAAGGCCCGGAAGTACGTTAACCAACATTCAAAGCTGTGCTCGGAGTTGCAAACAACGAATACCTATGAGCGAGGTTTCCTCCACTTGTTGTCTGCATATCGGTTGGCACTTGAGCGAAAATAAATTGAGCGTCGACTGTACTTGTGTCCTGACGACTAGCAACCTAGTGCTTGCGGCGACCTAACGAAAAGTTCAAATTTGGTTTGAATATTGGATTCTAGCAGGTTATCTGCAGCAACACATGCAATATGAGAGTACAAAGCAGATCAAAACATCGTTCATCTGAGGATCGACTAATAGGTCCAGAGTCGAGCAAAAGTCCAAGAGCAGCTAGTGAGCGCGAAGAAACATCACACCGATTCACACATCGGTCCATCCGCCTTCGTCCAGCTTGTATGAGGCCTCGCTTTCAGGGCGGTCGGGACTATCCACCAGCTTCGCGACACGTTCTTCAGCCCGTCCTGGAAGTTAGGTGAACAGTATTAGTACGCGGTATTCGTTTTCGGCCTCAGACCCTCTCCGGATAACACCGTAACCTGCGGGAAGTGTCAATCACTTGCCTTTGCGAAGGAACATCCGAGTAGCTGAGGAGTGCGATAAAATATGTCCGCCGATGGGCTTGAGAGCTCCGCCAGCCACGAACGTCATCGTTGCTCCAGGGTCAGCTGCGCCAAGACGATGAACTTCTATACCGAAGTGCAACCAGTAGAATAAATACATTGCACTTGGTTGGTGATCAAAACGGCAATCTGCAAGAGACGTTGGTCTGGTAAAATAGTTTGACAAGGAGCATCTAACATTGAATTCTTCAGAAAGCTTAGTGAGCTTCGACAACACCTAATGCGAAAGGATCGCGTCAAACAAATATGAACGGAAGACATTGTGCCCACTTGTGCGAGCTACACTGCAGTAAGCCTTAACACCCGACGACGCAAGCTTAAAGACCTGCCTTCTGTTGCCTTTCACTGAGTTCGCCACGACCAGAAAAATCTACGCGAAAGAGGGCCATAATGGAGTCCACGATCTAATTACTGAGTGAGCAACTTTTCCGTGATGGACATTGCAAGACCTACTAAAAGACGGAAGTCCTTGTCCTCCGCAAAACGCATGGAACACTCGCTGATGAGCTCCATCTGTAACACTTATTAGTGATGGGATTACGACAATAGAGAAGGGGAGCAACCTGGTGTTCACTATTGAAGGCACGCGCTGCGAGTGCGGTGTCTCGATAATGGGTCGTATACACAAGTCAAAAAAATACCGTAAAGAATATTCTCGAGCGCCATATTCCCATCTACACCAAATCGCTCAGCGATGGATCTGATGCGGTCCGGCCGGAATGTTCCTGATAAGACAAGAGAACGTTGGTGATAAGTAAGTTGTCACTCATAAAACAACACAACCACCGCACCCTCGGTATCGATATATGCGACCTGTTGTTCTTAGTCGACTTGATTGCAGAAGCAAAACTTACTCACCTTGCCGGAAGCTCCACCCATCTCTTGAGGGAGTTGAGTGACAACAGACATCGTGTGGGCCAGTTGTGTTTTCCCAGTGCGAAATTCGCCATAAACTAGTTTTAAATAATGAATGCTGAAGACGAAAATTTGGCGGGGGTAACTACCTTCAGAAATCGATTGTGACATTATCCCGCCTACAAACCATAGTAAGCATATTCTCTGCCGTGACGTATCAAATACTCACCACCCAAAATCGTGTCTACTGACTTGCTTCCAGTACTGATGGTAAGGACGCGTTTTCGTCGATCCTGGACTTCAATACCAGTTGCAAAGGAAGACCCCTTTGGAAAAATTGTCAGCATTACATGGCAATAATGACGGTTGATGACCACCGTGATCTTCTGTGCTGCCTCCTGTTTAATATCTCGGGTTAAGAGCCGAGAACTGTCACTAATATGAATATATGCGCACCTTAATCTTCTCAACCTTCGCTTCCGACATACCCTACATAAGAAAAAATCAAATTCGCTGAGCCCCTGAAAATATTATAGTAGAATTATGCGAACCTTGATTTTCAGTAGCTGACGACGCGTGGTCATCACTACACCAGACACAGTATTGATGGAGGCACTCTAGAGCCTCCATAAGCCCAGTAAAATGCGCATATACTGGGTGATTACCTTGAGTTTTAAGATGTCTTGTACGTTTATGCCCTACAGAGGTTGATCACGAACATACATTATTCGCGTGGAAAATACCTACGTGTTGCTGCAATTCATCTACATTATCAAAGAACGACGTCTAACGTGCCACGTCGCGTCGCGTACGCGTGAGCCCACATGGACATTATTGGCAGCAGGAAATCTCACCTCTTCGATTTCTTCACCACCTGGACTGCACGGTCGGCTGGGAGGAGGCATGCTTCCTTCCGGTGCAGCTTGTCGACGAGGGGGCATGGCTGTAGGATGGTAGAATGAAGGATGCTTGCGAGCGAAGACTGCGTGTCGGTCGGGTAACAAGTAGAAATTCGAAGGGAGGAGCCAAAACGTTTATAGGCAACTGGTTGGCACAGCCACCACTATTAAACGATGCCACAGCTACAGGACATCTTAGGGCTGTGGGCTATGTGTACATATAGATCTACAGCGTTGGAATTCGTAGTCGTCGAGAAATTGTCACGAAGATACAATGTTCCATCGACCACTGGTTGGCTTGCTATATATGATAAGTAGTTCTCGGTTGTGTTAAGGCTCGTGTATTATCGATACACGAGCAAGCCCCAAGAAGTGTATTCATCTTGCGCAGAGCACTTCCTGCATATGAACTCTTCATTAAAGTCAGATTATAATTCAACAAGCAAGATAAGTCAAACATACTCCAAACAGGACGGTGTGGTTTAGATAATGGTACAGCTCGTAAAGGTCCGCTCTGAGCTCGTACTGATCCACAGGTTTGGTCTTGGGCAGATGTTCATGGTACTTTTCAAAAAAGCTACGTGGAAATCCGCCAAAGATACGAGCAATAGCTAGACTAATATATGTTAAGATAAAACTGCGGTTACTCTGGCTTTGCTGAGGTACTCACTCAGCTTCATTGTGGCCGTAGTAAGATGATGGATCAAAGATAACAGGTTGACCTGATGAATCATCTATGCCTACATTACCGCTCTGCTATTATCAGCAAAGAAATGAATGCTCAACAAAATGCTCACCCATAGGTCGCCATGCAATAGCACCGGCTCAATCTCGAGGGGTCGAAGTAAGTATGGGATCACTCTGGACAGCTGCAGTAGCTGACTCTCGTCACAAGTTATCATACACTTACTTGGACCTCACATGTTCCCCTTTGGTGCAAAGTTCTGAAAACCTGCCTTTATCGTGGAGCTTGACGAGGAGGCCCCCAATCATGGCGCTGTAGCATCCTTCCCAGGTTTGATGCCAGCCGTTGTCTTGTCGCGTTGCTCCACAGAAGGTGGGCACATGAAATCCAAACCCCATGGTGCTCTTGTACACGTGCAGCTCCGTAGCCAGCCTCGTCCCAAGCTTCTCCCCTGCTTCAAAGTTTGAAGCGAGACTCGTGATATTCCGATATTCCGACAGGAAATAGGGCCGTTCATATTGCGCAGCAGAATAATCTGGACTGGCTGCGGCGAACACCCGAGGAGCCAGTCCTGGTGCAGCATTGTGTATGGCTCCGAGTGACTCTGCCTCTCCCACGAACTGCTCTCGTTCACTGAGCGAGCCTACTTTGGCAAAGTACTTCGTCCCCAGTGACGACTCTATTATCGGAAGATTGAATGTAAACTGGGCATGTGGTTCAATTTGTTGAAGGTAAGGGAGAAATATCTTGTCCATTATGTGGTATCGAAACCACAATGCATTAATGACGAGTGCCTGGTTGGCGCTTGATACTCGGATACTTCCGAATCAATGACACACGAGGTTCAGAAGACCACAAAGTTATTTCCACTTTTCGACGTCCCACTATATCGACGTACACTTTTCAATGAGCATTCCGGAATTTCGTACTAGTAGCTGCGGCAACTCGGTGAGGGACAGCGACGGGACCTTCAAAAACTTGCACTCCAAGGCAACTCCAAGGTGGCATTCTATTTGTTGGAGCCGTCGCCTTATCACGAACCCGAAGCATACTTATATATAGGACAGGAAAATAAATATCGCATCGCCTCCCTGTGAGCTCCTGATAAAACTTCATTGACCCCTGACTGCGTTGCGAGCACGTCGGACCAGCGACCAGTACTCTCGAGTCTCCAGACTCCAGTACTTATGAACGTTCTGGCCTGGCGATCGAGATGCCGGCATCGAAATAGGTGGCAATCAATCAATCATTTCCCAACACTCATTTTGCACTACCGAAATATAGATGAGAATAATTTTGACTCTGGATTTCTAAGAGTGTGACGACTTGAGCATTTGCTCGGCTTCTTTGTACCTTTTTCGAGTTCCTTCGATGACGGTATCGTCAATTGCCCAACCCTCACCGTTTCCGTTTGGTCCACTCTCTAATCCTTTTCTATATCCAGCGGCAGTCAATGCATTTCTGACATACTGCTTGTCAAAGCTTGGCTGGCCTTTGCCAGGTTCATATTGGTCTCGGGGCCAGTATCGTGACGAGTCAGGCGTAAGGACTTCGTCCACAAGGATGAGCTCGTCTTGCCCACCAGAAGCAGAGGGAACAAGACCGAATTCAAACTTCGTGTCAGCGAGGATGAGTCCACATGATTCTGCGTATTCAGTAGCGGCCGTGTAGAGCTGCAAAGAGGCAGTTTGGATACGGTCGAATAGATCTTGTCCAATGAGTTGAGCAGCTGATATAGTGGGCATGAGTGACTTTAAAGAAGCTTTCCCAACAACGGTACCTTTTTCAGGCGAGATATTCTCGTCATGAGCGCCTTGCTCAGCCTTTGTGGATGGAGTGAAGATCGGTGTGGGGAACTTCTGGGATTCTTCCATCTTCGCTGGTATAGGAATACTGCATACCGTTTGCGACTTCTGGTACTCTGCCCAGGCGGATCCTGTTCACGAAGTCATCCCAAGGGCTCCAGAAAGTTGTGCAAAGGATGAATCAGCTAACCAGTGATGTACCCCCTGACGATTGCTTCCATTGGCACTATTCTCGCCTTTCTTACAAGCATAGTGCGGCCCTCGAGTTGCTCGCGGTATTGCCGGACTTCTTCCGGCATCTCATCGATGTTGACGGTGACCAGATGGTTAGGAATGATATCCTTCAGCTTCTCGAACCAAAATAGCGAGATGCTTGTGAGGAGTTTACCCTTGTCTGGGATACCCTAGAAACATAAGGACAGAGCCACATGAGATTAGGCAGGAGTAACTTCAGAGATCCACGGACACTGTTCAGGATAACATCGTACACCGATATCCGGTCGGTTGCGACAAACAATAGATGATCAGGCGACGAAGTTGCATAGACATCGCGGACCTTTCCTCTTGAAAGTAGATGGAGGTCTGGCAAATCCGTTTGCAGTAACGCTGTCATCGCGGGAGGAAGAGGAAGAGATTAGCTCTGATTAGATCGGATTCCAACCCACTGAAGTGAATGGTTACAGGCGTAATATTCGAAGTAATCTATGTAAGCCTAGGTGAGTTGACACTGAGATTTTATTCCTATCATCTATGGTTGCTATTATTCCCGCTACCTTTGGTGTTTCTGGGTTTTTAATCGGGTCCATCTCTGCATGGCAGTCACAATGAAAGGAGCAATTACCTGGTGAGACAATCGAATGAGTCTACCATTTCAAATTCAACCTTCGGGTCCGAAACATAGGAGAGGACCAACAGTACTTACGGTCAGAGAATTAGCTCGAGAAAACACAAAATCCGATTGCGCACTATGTCTGACGAGAGAACCGTCATCGTCTGTCTCTGCTCAAATGATGAACCCAACGGCTTCCTCGACATCAAAATCAAAGATGTCGAGACCGGCGGATGTCAAGTCTTAACATCAAACTACTACTTCAGAGATGTTGCTGACCTCACCGAACGCAGAGTGACGGTCGGTGGAGAGGGAGCTCAGCCACCAACCCAGATTCTCCTACTATTCGATAAGAAAATGCATCGAAATGGGACAGAAGAATGCCCATACCTGGCACTGAAATTGATCCATGACGAGAACATAGATGGTGAGAAAGTGACAGATCTGCGGACAGCAGAATTTATGGATGTGGTGAGAGCCATAGATCAGTGAGGAAGCTTCACATGGCCATCATCATACACTAACAAAGTAACAGAGTCATGCGAGAGGTTCCCCGGTATATCGAACCCATCGGAGAGGAGTAAGCGGGTAGTTGTCTAGCAGAAGCGGCTATACATAAATCACTAGAACTTGAGTGGGCGAAGCGTACGGAAATAGTGTAGGATATGTTAAGGGAAGAGGGTTGGATTAGCAGACTCGTTCACCGGTCGATTGCTATGTGGTACTGCTGCGATCACATCGAATCCAACACCCGGAAACAATGTCACCTTTTGAATTCAATCTCTCATCCGGTGGCATGAGAAGATCACGATCAAAATCGGCAATGGTGCTCACGAAAAACGACCCGTTCCACAAGAAGCCCATACAAAAGTTTGTAGAGTCCTGCTGGATGTTGCTTCCCCAAAGAACAGATGATATCAACTTTGGTCTGACTCGAAATCAGCTGCGGCCATGACGATCGTAATATTTGAAGTGATCGTGTATTCTATGTGAGCCTGAGTGAGTTGTGTCTATTCCTATGATTGCTATTATGCTACAGGGGTCCGCGGAAATATCTTTTGTAGACTCCACGTCATACAGTCGGGACAAGCCTATGATCATCATCAGTACTTGTACGCACTGCCAAGGATCAGGACACCAACCAGTCATATTTGACCAAGTCATCAACGTCAAGGAATGCCACAGAGGCCATTTGCCGAGCCTCTACCCACATCCATACCTGTCTCGAGGATAAGAATTTGTAAAGAAACGACAACATTCAGGGTGTACCTTCAATAGCGCTCCAAAGTTTCCTGAGGGTAATTGTGTCATCGACTCTTGAGTTGTCATCTGCCGTCCTAGCTGTCGCAGAATCGGCAACGCGCTCTTGAAAAGATCTAAACTGGGATCCAGCTGTCGCCCAATGCCTTCCAAGAGTAGTATTGAGATAACCGTATTGATGAAATCCGCCTCCATCTTGACATGGTGCTGCCGCACAGCCGTTAGAACATCGGTCAAAATGTCTGAAATCTTGATCTGCCCAAGTGAGAACGTTTTGCGCTTGATGCTCAGAACGATGTGTTGCATCTTCAGCGCAAACGTCTCAGTGTCGATCGCAAGCTCGGGAGTCCGGCAACGTTCGACCATCAACTGACCGGCTCGGTAGCCATCAAACTCAGCAACAGCCCTGAAAAGATCCAGGAAGTTCTTGCGGTTTGTCGCGATAAGCGTTGTCACGAGACCAGCATCGATGAAGACGATTTCAGGGATATAACCCTGCTCCGATGAAATCTTGAGTTCCTTTTGCCACTCCTCAGGGGAATGTCTGAGGGAGCGCAGTCGAGCTACTATTTCATCAGATTCCAGCGGGCGCTCGACGAGAGGTTTAGGAGCGCCCTTTTGCGGGAAAAATGAGGAGTACAAGCTCATAAGGAGGTCACGGGTGGTCGGAGGCTTTGTAAATTTGATCATGATGTTGCCCGGGTGCAGATCAGAGTGCACGAAGTTGTCCAGCAGTAGCATGTTCTGCAGGACAATGAGCAACTGAAAGCTACTGGAGAGAGTTCACGGACCAAGAAAGCATCCAATCCGACGGTGGCCAGCTGATCATCAAATGGCCCACCTCCGTTTTTCAGAAAGTATTCCATGCGCAGAGCATTCTCGTATTCCTCGACAAGTAAGTCGGCAGTCGAAAACGTCTTCAAAGGACGGGGAAAGGACACAGGTACATTTCTCGGAGCAAAGTTGTTCTCAAATGTCAGGAGGTTCTCCGCCTCAATTCTGAGGTCGAGTTGCTGACGCATCATTTCGCCAAAGATGTTAACCTCCTCTGGGAGGGATAACCACTGCATGCCAGGGAAAAGGGTAATGACGCGCGCGAAGAATGACATGATGGATAGGTCATGTGCAATGTCCTTTGCGACACGAGGATGCAGGACTTTGATGGCGACAGATGCAGTAGGTACTGAAGGTGGAGGGTCTTGCAAGATAACGGGGGCAAGTGAACCTGCTGGTGATTTGGTTTGCCGTTTGGGGCCAAGGTAAGAGGGAGGTATAAGGTCATGCTTTAGAGTTGCACGGTAGACCTATGGGCAACGAGTCTGTTAGTAGCCCACAGAAGCCCACGCCGGACCCACCTGTGCGATGGCGCCGACTCCTATCGGATTCTCATCAAAGACTTCGAACACCTCATCGAATGGCCGTTCGAGAGCTCTTTCAATAACCTCCTTGGTATGCTTCAGAGAATGAGGCTTGCCGCGTGAGTGCAAGGCGCCCATTTTCTCGCAAAGTAATGACGGGAAGAGGTCAGCACGCGATGCCGCCCATTGAGCAAGCTAAATAGTCAGATAGTTGAATGGAAAAGACGGTATAAGATAGGTACCTTGATGAACGTTGGCCCAGCGGTCTGCATTCTCCTGACAAGAAATCCATACCACCAAACGGCACCCCACTTGTCACCCCTATATATACGCTCAGGCTTGCCCACCAAAAGCATAGGCATGGTAATGATAACAGGTATGAACAAATAGAAGAGATGTACGAATCTCCGCGCCGTCAACAGAGGTTCCCAGAAGTGTTCCCGTAACAGAGATAATATCCGCGAAGAAATAGGCATATGAGGTTCCGCTGGTGATCCTATTATATGGTCTCTTGCTGGTACCGGTAAGTTGTGTTCTGTGCACGGAATAAGGGTCGGCGAGGAAAAGATGGAAGGTAGGTGGAGCTGTTGGCTAGGGTAGAGGTAAAGTGCGACACCACCAGTTACAGGAATGAGCCATGCAAAATTGTGCCACAGACGTGTGGATGATCTGTTGCTTTTGAAAGATTGTAAATTAGAAGGAGCAGTATGCTGTGATCGCTGGAAAGCATGGCGGACGGTCAACCCAGAATCACGGCCGATACTTGGGCGGTAAGATAGCACCAGCAGCCGTAGTTGCACAGGAAGTGCGTGTATACGCTGAGACTGCATTTCCTGTGGTGAGACCTAGTACTAGTGTACTCCTACACGTGTGTTAGAGTCGCCGAGTCGCCGACACTGTTCTGCAGAGCAAATTGGTAACTCGGTGATATTATCGGAGTGAACGCGAACAAACTTACCGTCGACTGGAAGATTAAGTCACACAAACCAGATATTAGTGCTATGCACTCAAGGAATGTACAGATGCTGACGGTTCTAGATGACCTGCGTAATGGCCTAGTCTTGGCCAGGTCGAACGGCCCCGCCATTCGACGTCGCGGCTGCCGACTCCCACCCGAATTGGAAAACATTCGATCACACGTGATTGGCATGTCTTTTGAGTATGGTCACCACAATATTGATAGTAAGTACTGGGTCTTGTTCACAGAGTACAAACCCAAGATAAAGCGCTATACGTTTGTACGATCATAGTTGTGAATTTTCTTTAGAGTCTCGATTAATTGTTGTGTTGAGCCAATGCCAATCGGATCATTCCTTTGTGACATCGCCCACGTGACCGGGAATGTGATGGTGATCTGAGTCTTTGCCGGGCCACTAGCACCCCCTCCATGCTACTATAAGATTAAGTACTACCTGCACTGGTACTGCACTTGCCAGTGCACCGAATCACCCCCTTCGAAATTTGTACTCAAACACCATTAAGGGTTCTAAACCTTTCTACGAGATTAGCACGGAACCTGGACCTGTACGCAGTAACCCCAATTCGCCTGCTCAGTGCTCACAGAATTGCTTCATTCCTGTAGCCAGGCACGCGCTCCAAGCTACTTCTAGGTTCAGGTTCTTAGTTATTTATTAGTTTGCTCACTCATTTTCATCTGGTTGTGAGTCGACTTGTTCTCTCCCAACTAACACTCGAATTACTAATTTCATTTCTCAAGCGACAATATTATTATATCGCGTCTTCTCCTTCATATACGAAGTAATAAGGTTCCCCAACCTTCGCGTTGCTTTACTCATACATAATTCGAAGGAGCGGGATTTACCATGGTCAAACCAACGAAAACACCCAAAGGTCAACCGGCGCGCAAGCACAAGAAGCGGCGTCTCTCCGACAAAGCCCACTTCGCTCGTCTCATGAAGGAAGCAACGGATGTTGCCCCTGAAGAAGTTACCTCTACATCATCCTCGTCTGCCGCATCTACTTCAACCGCCCCAACTGCTCCCGCCCCCAACTACTCTAATATCCTCCTCATTGAGAAATTCCAGGATGCCCTCGACACACGGACCGCTGTATGCCGCCGCCTCGAGGTCCTCGTGCGGAGTTCAACTTTGTATACTCCCTCAGCACAAGCTCGCTTGATCAAGTGCTTACGAGACGACTACATCCGGGGGGACAGAACGAGGAAAGTCATTGACAATCTGCGACATTCCGATTTCATCAGTGCTGCAACCACAAGTCAGGAGGCAGAGTTTATCACGAAAGAGGTTGTAGAGAGCACGAGACTGTTTTTTGAGGGAAGTAAGGAATTGCAGGAAATAGGTGATCAAATTGCAGCACAGTTTTCGTAGTAGATTTCCGTCTCAAGCGCTACGTCCTTGGGTTTGTGCGCTATCTTTCTTAGCAGCTGACGCGTTCTGTATGTTTCATGCTCGTTTGATGTCACTTTGCACCGAAGTATTGTAGCATATATTCTACTTGCACTTGCCCGTAACCTCCTTTCTGTATGCACCAGACATGATAATCAAACTGCAGGATTACGGGCCCGTCGCTTGGCACGACAGTGTGGACCAATCCAAATGGCAAGCCAGATCATCGGAGAACACGCGAGGCATACCCCTGCAAGCAGTACGTAGGTCCAACCAGGACCTATCGCGTTGACAATCAGGTCTATGACCGAGACCATCAAAGCACCCAAGGAACACCGCACCAAATTATTCTGAAACGAAGTGATCAAGAACGTGATAAAATAAAGCGACAATGTAACTTACACACGCGGTAATGGAAGAACTCTGCGATGGCAGTAGATCAATGAGTAGCGTCTGCACAGCGTTCATCATGGCGACGACTGTATAACCAACTGTTGACATGAGTAAGGATGTAAGGAGAAGTAAAGTCGTAGACGTACAAATAATCTGCAGGATCAGTGGGATTGCGATATTCACCTCTCGCTGAAGCGACCACCCATAACCAGCGCATGTCAAGATAAAAATGCCGGTAAATATTGGTACCGTCCTCAGCCTGGCTCTTTCTATCGGGAAATTCTCCTCCTTCGTCACGTCCTCTGTTCGTATATTCTTCTCAGGATCCCCTTCAGCCTTCTTCGCGAGCCTCGTCTTAAATCTTTGATAATCGGCGTCTAGCATTTTGCCGGAGAAGACAGTGCTAGAGATCATTCCCCCACCAATCGCGAGGAAGCATAATCCTATATCTATTTCGTTCAGGAACGGGTACTTGATTGCGAATAACGTGGATATCGTGGTATTCACCGCGTAGAAGACGGCGTATATAATTGCATTGAATATCAGGAGGTTCAGAACGTCCAGGTAGAAGAAGAGGCGTAGCGGATTGTTCAGGGGAGGCTTGGGAGGCTTTGGGGCATCACGGTCCACACGCCCTTTCCCAACAAGTGGCACAAGGGGACGGTAGAGAGGGGACGGTATCACACTACCATCACCCACCAGTCGGCGGAGTGTTTCAGGTAGGAACCTGACATGATACGAATAAAATCGAAGAGACGTTCTAGAATATAGGATGGCGTACGCGAGCATGAAAGCGAAACATACGGCGGTCATAATGCATAGGAACCAGAAGATAGACCTGCACTAACGCATTCAGCTGCATTGAAAGCAACTGCGTAAGAACTCACCTCCACCCGAGCGTATCAGCAAGGACACCGCCGATAATAGGTCCCACAGTAGGTCCAGCCTGCTTGGGGTATTAGAGTGCATAGCGCGACAAAAACGGTGGGTCAAGTACTTGCGGTCCCAGGGTAAATAAGCCAAAAAAGCCTCCACGTTCTGCGGGAGTGGCTATATCTCCAATCACCCCAGCACCTATAGCTACGGTAAGATGAAAAAGTATGGCGACACAAGATCATGCATACCAAGCGCAACTGTACTGGCAGAACCAGCGGCCTGAATGCATCGTAAGAGCATCAATAACCAATACGCTGAGGTCGGGACAAAAGCCAAGCCGATGCAAGATAGACATAGGACAATGATACATGCAAGAAAAATAGGACGTCGCCCAATGCGATCAGCCATGGTTCCCCAGAACATAGGAGCTATACACGGTACAGAGTGAGCTTACTATCGACTGAAGGTGGGTAGTCCGCTTACAAACGCCTTGAAGGACCATGTAAACGGTCACGCTCAAATTAATCGATTCTATAGACTTATGGAAAGCCGATGCAATTGTCGGTATTGCAGGAAAGTATACGTTTGCGGTCAGCGGGCTGAAGAGGTGTTCAAATCATCCTTAGGTCCAGACCAGGAAGTACTTCACCTAAATAGCGCAGCCAAAGAGGCCATGACTACAATGAACCATTTTTCCCGGCGGGTGTATATGCTATATGGCCGCGACTTCTCTGTAACCTGTTCGTCCTTCTGTCCCTCAGGTGTTTCATGTGTTGCGACCTGTCCAATCTTGGGGGAAGTTACTAAGTTATGGTGAATTTGACCTGCGTGGGCCATGATCCCTACACCAACCGTGTCACTCGATGGCGAGCTTAGAAGGAACGATTATCTTCCTTCTATAGGCTGACTAGGGAGACTGTCACAAGCTCAAAGCCATGAGGTCAGGATGACAAAGAGACATCGGACCACGGTGGCGTTCACTATTTATAGTGCATGATAATCATGAAGGGTCACTGATGATAAGCGAGCACTGACGATGACCAGTTGGTTACTGTAAGCCCGTTGGCTTACCTGAGTTCCCATAATCAGCATAAATACTGTCCGAGATAATGAAGCGTGAGCTTTCATTATCACTGCCTTTTGGCGTGACGGTTAAGGGATGACAGTCTTGACTACTTACAGTTACTAAGTTTTGGTCAATTCGACTTGGGTGGGCCATGATGCCAAACGCATTAACTCCGCTCCGCCTTGAGGCCAGGGGGCTGATGCAAGCGCTGATGGGCCATGATGTATATTCCAATCGACAGGCCTGCTGGTCGGCAACTTGTGGGAGCGGCTGGCGGGAACGGAGGACCGATGGGGTACGCCTCACATCGGGTCATTCGCGACTACAGAGATGCGTTGAGACACGGGTGTCCCTAGACTAGCACGTATTGTCCTACATAAAGTTATCTCTCAATGGACATAAATGTAATCAAAAAAAAAAAAAAAACTTGTGGGAGATGCTGACACTCCGTCAAATCTTGGTTGGTTCGAGATCACGAGTGTCTTGGTTGCACATACATCATGGGCGATTTTCAACTACAAACCTATGCGAATTCACGAACCAATGGTGCATTGCAGCATATTGCAGTGGCCAACCGCAAAGTAAAGCGACAAAATCTATGTGATGGATTAATATTGGTACAGTTTCAACAAAGTTGGTATGTTTCGCACATTCTCTTCTTCGAGTAGCACATCTCACACACCCAATTCGCATTCAAAATGCCCCAAAGTCACGGAAATGCGACTGCCGCCAGCACGAGTACCAGCTCCCTAAGAACTGTAGATCAACTTATCAGCATTCGGAACGATCCAGGCTCATGTGACACCTGAGCCCTGTATAGGGTCGTCCTAACTGGATTGAATTGGGGATTGTTGATAATTTCGGCGGATTCAATATACATCGCCGTTGTTGAACTCTAGTCCGAGGACAAGGGCCTGCGGTTGCTATCATCAGTGTTAACGAGCGCTCGACAAGCGAATGTGCATGTGTATTCGCAGATGAAGGGACTTTAATGTCCTGTTGCGCCTGGTGAAGCGGCTAAAAGTGAAGCTATCGAGAACATAGTTAAGAGTAAAAGCACAATGATTTAGCGTATCATTTACAAGACATAAGTACATACACCAACCGCGAAATCTCAGTCTGCATCGGCAACCAGGCCGCCTCTTCCCCGCCTGATCCTGTCTTCCAAACCACCCACGCCGCCAAAGACCTTCTTCTGTTCTTGGCCCAAGAAGCCACCCATGCCCTTCGACTTTGCTCGGGCTTGTTCCTCCGCTTCCAGGTCTGCCTTTTCTTTCTCTAGCAGTGCCATCAGCCGCTGTTGCCGTTCCACTTCCATGGTTGCGGCACCTGACTGCATAGCAGCCAGTTTTGCGGCACGATCTTCCGCGGCATTAGGTGGCTGCTTCTGGGTGGAAGGGCCCGGACGGGAATCAGATCTTGGAGGAGGACTGTAGCGCGAGCGTTTCGGATATGGATTGCGATGCGGGGGAGTAGGACTGCGTCTCCGTTTCCTATCATCGTCTGTGCGCTTTCCACTACGCTCGACACTTCTGCGCCCCCCATAGCCATTGTCGTCAGATTCGTCCGAGCGGGGCCATGTTCGAACGTTGTCGTCGCGAAAGTCGCGACTTCTGCGGTAACCAGGAGAGCGACTTCTGCTTCGTCTCCGATAGTGGCGGTCATCTTCAGCATCATACCGGCGATCATTTCGCTTGTAATCATCTACAGGACTCCTTGACCTTGTTCGGTCTTCTCGTCCTCTGGCTAGCCGTTCTTTCTTTTCCTTCTTCTCTCGCTTCTTCTCTTTCTTCTCTTTCTTCGGTTTTATACCGTTGCGTTCCTGCATCTCACGAAGACGGAGGGGATTGGACATCAGTGCCTGGTATGCAGCCTGTTCTTGCTGCTTGATAGCGAGCAAGGGATCTTCACGAATCTTGGAGGCAATGTCTCGAACACTGTTAGCGTTCTGAATGGCAATGAAGTTCTTGTGAGCGGCGCCAAGCTACAAAAACCACTTATTAATTCGCAAACGAAAGCTACAACAATATTACAACACACCTGCGCGTTCTCATCGGCCGTCAAGATCTTGTCAACCCGCTTTTTACCCAGCAGGTAGTCCTCTAAATCGTTTGCGTTCTGATTAATCCCCGTCGCAGGTGTCGTATACATCCATTCCAGCTTCTCAGTCCTCTTCTTTCCTGTCTGCTCTTCTTGTAGACGTTGGAGCTCCTGCAGCTGCCTTTCCTCCTCCTTCTCTTTGCGCAGCTGGTCAAGTTTCTTCTTTTCCTCGAGCTATGATGCAAAATCCGTCAATGACGATCCCACAAGCACTTACGGGTACTCACAGCCTTCTTCTCCTCGAGCCAGACCCGCTCCTGGTTTTTAAGCAGGAGCGGGTGCCAAGACTTCTTCATGTTCAAGTCTCCACCACCCATCTTGGATAGCTTTTCTTAAAACAAGCTTGAAGGAAAGGGTTTTCGGTGGCGATGAGCAAAGGACGCGAATGAATCACGCCGACGTTGGTCAATGGTTAGCCTAAGCCTAAGGTTCTAAGAGTATTGACCTCGCTTACATCATCTCTATTTGCAGTTATTTGGTACACTGCCTATTCTTCCCATCTATTGCTGGCTACAGGACGCAGCAATGAGCCGAATCATACCACAACCATAAATACTGCTCTAGTGCCAACCATGCCAGACGTGTACGAGGCGGCGGAAGAGGATGCTTTAAACGACAGCTCGAATGGTGCAGCGCAACCCGTGTATGTATACCAGAGCTACGTGTGTGCTAGTCTTGCGAAGCTCATGTATTGCTGGACACCCGCAGCCCCACGCGATCCATTTATGCGTTGACCCGGAAAGAAATAACACAAGGAATTGCGAATCGCTTTGTGCACTCGCACACGTACATATTTCTCTACCTGTCCATGGCGGCACTGTCTGTGACAACCGTCGTGCTCAGTCTGTCCGACGGATGTCCAGGGCTGGCGTTTTATATCTTGGAGATAATAATTAACACGAGCATGATCCTGGAGGTCGGTGTGCGTTTCGTTGCGTTTGGTCGGGTGCGTAATTGTTCATCGCCGAATATTTGGTCGCCGAAGTGACCTTGACATGAACAGCAATTCTGGAGGTCCCCGTTTAATGTGTTGGATCTTATACTCACCTTGTTTTGTGTCATCACTTTGTTGGTGATAACATTTGCAGGATGCGGAGCGGGAAGTAAGGAAGAAGAGTTATTGGACACCCTACTGCTCATTGCACGTAACGTGCTACAATTTGGTCGCCTAGCAGCGGTCATGCGACAGTGTGTTTTACATCTTCAGTTATGCCTCGTAATAATAACCTCAACAACAGGTCCGGCCAGTCCATCTTTTCCAGGCCAAAGCCAATCGATATTTCTGCAGTCAGGAGAGCAGGCTATACCAGCCTCGACTTTGATCTGGAGGATGAGGAAGAGAATGATCCAGAACTGGGTCGACCGCTCGTGCAAGATGCAGTAATCTTTGATGCACCAGACGAAGAAGAACCCGCTCGCATGTCGGATATGCCGCGCGCTGTACAGGCTGTGCACGACCGTGATGACGAGGATGTCTGGGCAGAGTTGGGTTGAGGCGAGGAGTGATCTACGGCCCGTGTCCTTATACATTCCATCCCTTTTCTGCGACGCACTCTACTCGGACAACCTTGCCGCTAATTCTATTCTCGCAAGTTGCTTTTCCGAAATGGGATCTTCACGAGATGAAGCCGAATTACATTACGACCGGCACCGGTTGATGCTATGTAGCGATGTCAGGCAGGAACAATTCGTCTTACGATATGGCAGGTCCCGACCTATATTCGCGTCACTGTCGCTATGCTGTAAACTTCCATCCGTGACTTAACACGGTTATGTATCATGGTTGACGACGCCTCAGACGAATACTCATGCCTCATTCTTCTCAGGTAGGCGCGCTCCTTGGTGCTTCATATGTTCACCCTTTGAACATTCTAACGCCCATTAGATGGCTATCGGCACCGCGGTAAGTTGCTCGAAGGATTAGCATGTGACGCGATTGAAGAGTTGAAACCCGGCGGCCGACGTTCGACAGCCTGTGACCGACCGACGACCATGAATGAACTTGGTTACCACGTTCTCACAGATCCAGCATACCCACTCCAAGTCAAATTTGAGGTTATGCATTTGTGGACCAACCACGTCATTCGCTAAATCGATTCCGGTGCGGCACATCTGTACTAGAAATTAAATGAACCCTATGACCTTCGAGTTTTCTCAGAGGCCCTGCACGTGGAGACCAATCATCGAAGTCCTTGCAAAGGCTTCCTTCCGTGTTTCGGCCAGCCTAGGCCCTAGTACGTGCTACCATCGCCCACCAGAATCTCCTGAGTATTTCCTTCTGATGGCCTGAAACGGAACGTGCCATCTCTGAGACTCTTATCACAACGTGTCCAAAGAAACTGATTTCCTGAGACACTTTGTGCACTTTGCTAGAGACGAATATGACGACCGTGTGACATTTTTGTGACATGATGTTACGGAAGAGTGTTACGTATCAAAGTCAAAGTGTCCGTCTGCCTCCGCTTGTGCGCAAATAAGACACGGGTATCTTGTCGGAAATCAAACTGTTTAATTGCTAGTTTGCTTCACTGCTTGTTTCCCTCTCCTTCAATCATCTGCTTTTGCAGGCACTTCAAAGCAACATTGTATCACTGGGACTAATGTCCTCCGTCCTTGTCAAGTCTGCTTGTATTCTAACAATCAAGATTATTACCCCTCAGGACAGACCCACTGTATAATAATATTATACGCTAGGGCATAAGCTCTTCACGTTCGTTTACTTCTAGACGACCTCCAACTTCGTCATGTCCACTAGACATTGGTTCTCAAAACGTGTCCATCCTTCAGCTTCCAAATCTCCCAATGACTTCGGCCGCTCAGTATCAGCTGAAAAACTCCCGGTGCATATCGAAAATTCAAAGAACTCTGATAGTTTCAAATTCAGTCCCTTTGCGTCTGTCATGGGCAGAAAGTCCAAAAAGTCGCGTCCAACTTTAGCTATTCCTGATTCCCCAGTACCACCGCTCGTTTCCGCCTCTGCAGTCCATCCCTCTCCTCTCCACTATACTAATAGACCTCCTGCCAAATCTATTTCATCAACCGTCCGCTCCGGAGACGATTCCCTTGGTCCTTGGACCCCATCTGATGTCTATAGAGATCGGGTTTCATTTCCTCGCTCGGTTTTGACACTGTCGGACCCTGATCCTTTCGCGGCAGGCGTTATCTCTGTTCCCCAAAGCATCTTGGACCGGGGTAGACTGTCAGTCTACTCCGGCACTTCGGCATATGATTCATGTTTAAACAAGGACGAAGTTGATTTTCTGCAGCATCCATCGTATGGCTCGATGTCTTCACAGTCTCATGGTTGCGGCAACGGGACACCATCGCTGGAATCTATTGGGTCCCATTTGTCTCCTATAGCAGATGACCGTGGCACATCGCCTAGGTAGGGACGTTTTTTCCTGCAATTTGTTCTGTCCTCAACTTGTCCAGTAGAGAAATGTCTAAGGGAAGCGAGATAATACACGAGCAGACAATCCTAGAAAGCCCTGTGCATTACAACTCTCTGGACAAAACCTCTAAATCTTCGCTGTCAAAGCATGGCTCTGCGGCGACCTTGACTGGTTCCCCAGATTCTCCTGCTGCTGCCGTACGATCCACAATTCATCCAAGTGGCTATACGGCGGCCAGCCCGCTCCAGGGTGCGAGCATCATTTCTCGGCCTCGAGAAGGATCTACCCCTCCGTTCGTCCAAATATCTATTCGCTCTCGTACCCTCAGCCGCCAGCAATCCACTTCTCGTCCCCCTCCAACTCGGGAACCTCCCCCACCTCCTGCAACATCACATGTTACTGCCTAGCGGCGGTGCCGAAGACAGATTTTCCTCGTCGGCTGGGGATGGGAGCTCATCTTCCGGCATATCGTTCACGACAGGCAACCGGCGAATACAAGACCTACATATAGAAGAAAATCATAATCAACGTTACCGACCATATAAAGATACCAGTTTAGGCTTTGATCGCGACTTCGAGACTCTGCGCCAACCGGTGAAGGAGTCAGGTCGCATTCATGTCAGGGATGTCATAGAATCACACCCACCGCCAGCATTCCATCAGCTGAAAAAGTCTCTGTCACATTCAACCCTGCAGAAGGCTAAATTAGGTTCTAGCGGTATGCAAGATCTCTTTAGAGGAGATAAGGGATTGAAGAAGCAACACTCCTTCCATCGTTCACGTGTCCACACACCACCTACGTCTACGCCAGCCTCTCCTTCTACGCCACTTGATCACGATTCATTATCAGTCGAAAGCCATAAACCATCGTTCCCACGTCCTCAGCCTGCCATGCGAAAACGTATGTTTTCGGGTTCGAGTAGGAGACCGTCAACGGCAATAACAGATGAAGATTTGCGCTCTGTGTTCAGTCTTCCAAGCTCCCACTTAGCGTCACCCAAAACTGTTGCGTCCCTACTTGATGAACCTTCTTCAGAACCGCTTGCATCTGGTATGGTCACATACCCAGTCACGGAGTTTACGCCGCAATATATCATGTCCCCCGCGGAAATGTTGAAGGTGGAGGCAATTGTGCAGGGTGAATTTGACGCAAAATACGGAGAGGCTCTACGAAATCCTCAGCGCAGCACATTTGCACCGACCCCTATGTATGGTACTTCGTATACGAAAGCAGGCCTGAGGATGGCTCCGACGTCTTTTCCACGTTTAGCCCCCACTCGCAGCACATCAAATTTCAAAGGACCTACCCCTAGATCATCGGCACGTCCCTCCACTGCACAACCAACTTCATATTCGACGCCGACGTTCCTGTCATCCACCTTGCCCAAAGTTGGTTTGTCGCCCCCGCCACGTCTACGAGCTCGTCCACGTACCGCCGAGACGATGTACCATGAAGATTTGTTCAGCAGGCAATCAAGTAATATGCCATTCATTTCGTTATCGCCGCCGCCTCCGCGCCCGAAGTGTCCAACTCGAGCACCATCACTCACGGGCGATACAACGGTACCGCAGCGATCCGTAATTCGGAAGCCCTCCTTCCTGGAGATTGCAGATGATACCAGTGGTTATGAAGGCAGCTTCCTCGACTTTGACAGTGGCAAAGAGTCTCTTGATCTCTCTCGGGACCTCGACTGTGATGATGACGATAGGGATTCTATCCCTATTTGACGCAGCTTTTTTCGATAGACACGCTCTTTTAAATTGATTATTCTGTCCATTATTCGTATGCTACTTACCTTACTGCTCTTATATTAATATACTGACACCTTCAAGTTGCCTTCACTTATGGCATTGTTTTATTAGTTTAAGCCGTACTACATATTTACTGCTCTCCCGTTACTTCTCCCCAACCAATCATTTCAAAGGCCCCTTTGGTGTTCCCGTTGTCTGCTAGGGTTTTGCTTCTTGGAACAGGAGTGTTCAACCAAGGACCCTTGAGGAGAATATTATGTGGTTGCATGAGTAGTTTGATCTGCCTAACAATTCCACAAGTAAGTAAATTAGAAGGGGACTGTCTACCTACTTAGTGTTACATCAAATCCAATCGTCCATCAGTCCGTTTCATTAGTGTGGTAACCTGCACGCCTCATCGCACCCAGACGATGTCTCGCTGCGCCAAGCTCCTTTTCCAGTTTCAAAATATCGACCTGCTGCTCCATCTCGCGCCTCTTAAACTCCAGTACGGCCATGTTTTTGTAGTCCCACTCCTCGTCGACTACCTGCTTCGCGGACACTGCCTTCACCTGTCTGACAAGCGCTTTGCAGGCTTCCGTCACCGCTTTCGCAGCGAGTTCGAGGCGCTCCTGGGTCTTGGACATCAAGTTGGCCTTGACACGAGAGGCTGCTACGAGTTGGGCGGTGGCTGCTGCGACCTCATTCGAGGACACAATCAGCTGTTCAAGGGAATGTGTGCCTGATAGGACACCGTCCGCGCTCTCTATTAGAAGACTGGTGGCAAATGCCACAGCTTTAGCAGCTGAGATAAGACCCTCCGTCCATCTGTTGTTCCGCTTGTAGAACTGCTGGACTGAGCTTGAGCCCTTGCCTTGTGCAACAATTTCTTGCTGAGATTCGGTGGCAGCTTTGATAAGTCTTGCGATGGCGCTTGTGATTGCCATAGCGGCGGACAGGATAGAGTCATGGACTTGCAGATCGACGGCGCTGAACCGTGCAGAGTCGCGCGGCCGAGACATGAGCTCCTGCAAACGCTGAGTAGCAGCTTCGATGGCTGCGGCGGCGCTCTGCATCTCGTGCTCGACGATGTCGCCGATGTCACCATTAGCCCGTGCCAACGCACCACCCTTGGCGCCTTTAGGTATGAGCGTGTCGACAACTTCTGAGAGACGGGTGAGGGCTGTTCGCGCTTCGTTGTTGTTGCGCATTGAAACCTCCTTCCGCTGTGTGGGTTGCAGGAGATCAAGCTTGTAGGACTGCAGGTTCAAGAAGAAGCGCAGGCCAACGTCACCGGCGCCCTTAGCTACTGCGACAATCTTGTCCGAGGCGTCATCGTCATTAGCGAGACGTGTGACGCCTTTACAGTTGATGAGAACGTCTGATAGGACCTGTGCAAACTCATTGGCGCCCTTGATGACGTCAACGTAGTCCCCTCCGACATCGCCACTGAGGTGGAGGTTAAAGATGGTCGCGAAATCCGTGGCGTTATTTATGGCCTTCTCGATCATTGACAACGTGTACTCGGGCGTAGAATTGAGGTTGCCAGCTTGACTGGGTGACTCAAGCTCGTAAATCGCGTCATCAACTTTCTGCACGCAGGCCTGTAGGATTGAATCTGGGACACGAGTGAGCTTGTTACGAGATACACTAAGTACTCGAATGGGACGAACCGATGACCTGGTTGAGCTTCTTTCGGTTGTCGAGAATAAGAGTGTCGATTTGGGCATTCGTTGCTTCTTCGCTGAGACCTTGATTCTGTAAGGATTCCGTCAGTACGAATCAGGAATATGACCCTGGAACGTCATCGAACCTGCTGTGCATCGGAAAGCTGTTGAATAGTGCTATCCATACCCTCTTGAAGAATCAAAATTTCTTGATCCTTCTCATCTCTCAGACGTTCCATATCACCGCTAGCGTTATTCAGTTTAACGAGCAGATCATCGATCTGCATTTGCTTGGCCTACAGCGAAACATCAGATAAGTCGTAAAAGATGAAAATAACTTACCCGTAACGAGTCCTCAAGCTCTGTGAGCTGACGGTTATACTTGCTCAACACCCCCGATACCTCCGAACTCTTGGAGCGTGTTGCATCCTCAGCGCGCTCATTGGCGAAATTGATCTCGCGGCGCAGGCGGTCAAGTTCGTCCTTGTGCGAGGATTTCTGGCGGTCAACATCAAACCGAGCCCTGTCGCGTTCGCGAATCATATCAGCCAATTCTAGGTTCTTAGCCTTGAGGTCGCGCTCCATACGCTCCATGCGGTCTACGGCTTCCTGCGCTGAGTTAGCCTTGAGTTGCAATTGCTTGAACTTTGAAAGCATGTCGAGGTGTTCAGTCCGTAGCTGGCTGTAGAGTTTTGCGAGTGCTTCGTATTTGTTCCGCCAAAGAGTCACTTGGTCCTGAAGCTGCTTGATCAATTCGTCCTTCGATGCCATTTGTGCGTGAACATTGGACGTTACTCCGCCGAGCTCGCCCTCAAGTGCTTTTACCCGCTGTCGAACTCATGAGCTTGTGGGACCTAGGTCACACGCATTACTTACTCGATCGTATTGTTCCAAAAGCAGCTGGTCGCGCTCGTACTGCCCCCTCATAGCCTAGCAGCTCGCGCTCATAATCACTGACCTGCTGAGCAGCTTGGTTATTGTACTGCATCATCTGTTGTTGCATAAGCTGCTCTTGTGCAAGGCGCTCCCGCTCTGCCTGTTCCCGTTGCCGTTGCTCAAAATCACGCTGCTGCTGTGCCTCGAGCTCCAGCCTCTGACGTTCCCCAGTTTCACGTTGTGCGCGTAAAGCAGCCTGCTGGTCTTCATATTGCTTGAGCATACGGGCTTGCTCACTGACAGCGGCTGCATCGGGCGAAGGTGCAGCTGGGGGAGGGGTTGGGGAAGCAACAGCAGTTCTAGGTCTCGCAGGGAGGTCGGGAGCACTTCCGGAATCCAATAGGTTCGGAGGTTCCTATCCGAATTATATCAATTTGAGAGTATGACGGAGGTCGTCGTAGCATACCTGGCCTAACTTCGGAACGTTGATCAAGCCGGTCAAATATTTCAGATTTGAACACTCGTAGTAGAACTTTCTTAAATTATAGTGTTGCGAGTTGAATCGCTCACGAAGGGGCTCCAGCGCGTCGTGGTCATTCGTTCCTAGAAAGTCGATCAGCTTCACTTAAACACAACTGCGAAGTCCTTACTTCGGTGCATGGCGCGAAGCATGCTTGTAATGAATCGGTAAATACCCCAGCTTTCCTTGACCAGGGGGACTAGCGCAGAGATACGACATTCGTTGTTGGCGGAATGCCTAAAGTGAGCAAACACCATCCGCTGGAACGATTCGATTTGGTCCTGAAGGCCCATAAGGTCGGATATAGTTTCATAACTATTATAGTTGATCAATATGCATTGTCGTCTGGTGATGAGTGAATTACTCACCCTTCATTGGGGTCATCGATGCCTTTCAACGAGATATATTCCTCGTATTCAAACAACCCATTGAACTCTGGTCTCAGGCGGTGGAAACGTAATTTGGCCAGAATGAACTGGACGTAGGTTCTAATCAACGGCCCATAACCTACGGACAAGGTCACATGAAATATGTGACTCAAAAACAGATGCCTTACCACGTTGACCCTCTGCGGCAACAGTCCTGGCGCAAGTCTCCAACCATCCCGCTTGCCCATGAGCCTCTTTGATTGTCTAAGGCAGAAACAATAGTTATGTGATGGCAGCCACCGGTGAATAGATTACATACCACAGGATGGCCTTCTTGCAATACTTTGTGTACGGTGATGAGAGCCTTGAAAGTTTGGACTTCGTCGGACAAGATAGGTTGCACCCGCAAACCGCTCCAGAAAGATATTGAGCTATGGTAGTCCCAAGTGTATACGATACATTCTTTGGTGAGGTTGGCAAGACTGCTGGTTAAGAATAGGATGATGGACACGTACTTCGGACATGCTTCTGCTTCGGAGCTGTCTCCTCTGGGCTGGTCGCTTTCTTGATATTGATCACAAGCTCGTTCTCCGCCTTGTCCTTGTCGACCGGCCTGGTAGGGTAGTGGACCTCGTCACCATCGATATCAAAGTTCGGACGTCGCCTGGAAGACCTGCAGATCTATGTTAAGCGTCGTTTTAAAACCGTTGTTTGAACATACATGTATGCCCAATAATTAGATTGAAGAGAAGGGACCAAATGAACTTGGTGAGAGAAAGCGCAGCTGTACTAGTAGCAGCCGTGGGAATTGAAGGCATTGAACTTTCAAGAACTTTCAAGCTACTAGGTATAGGCTCAGCAACATCTCTCAAACATGCTGCAGCGTTTGGCAGCGTCAAGGTCAAGATGGCGGAATACTATCATGCAGACGCGTCGATGGATTCATAGCGAAGATTCGCAGGCAGCACAATCTTACACTGCGCGCAAGAATTCTTGGTTTAGCCCGACAATCTTCGTGCTAGGATTTATCCCGGTTTTCACCTTCGCATTGGGAACTTGGCAATTGCAACGTTTACAATGGAAAATTGCCTTGATTGATGAGCTCCAAGAAAAACTCCATCGAGAGCCGATCCTTCTGCCCAAGCGAGTAAAGTGCGTACATCGAAGTATCACTACAGAGTCAAGGCTGAGTACATCACTGGGTAAGTCTCTCTGTCGTGCCAGACTTCGTCTATCGTCGAGTGTTACTCCGTGGTAAATGGGACCATAAACACTCGATGCTGCTGGGTCCTCGCGTCCGGGAGGGTTCGCATGGATACCATGTTATCACACCGCTGGTCAGGTCTGACGGAACAACCGTCCTCGTTGACCGTGGTTTCATTGCAAAAGAGTTCGCCGATAACGATAACTTCGTACGAGGAGAAGCAGGCGAGGTCGAAATATTGGGGATGCTAAGGACATCGCATACCCGAAACAGCTTTACCCCAGACAACCAACCAAGTGAACGAACGTGGTACTGGGCTGACGTTGATGCTATGGCAGACTACGCTGGTGGCGAAGCCGACCATGTGCAGCCAGTGTTCATAGAACATATTTATGGTGCGCACTCAAGTGTCCGCTTTGTGCACCCTATCAATACGGATTTTCAGAGGGCTCCACTCAGGACGCTGCTTCGCGCCTGAGTAAGGGTATACCACTTGGGCGCGCAGCCACCGTCGACGTTCGCAATGCCCATCTTTCATACGTTATCACCTGGTTTGTATCGGTTCGAAACTGCGTATACTATCGGCATACTGATGAACCATGACAGGTTTTCCCTCTCTGCCTTCACTACAGCTATGTTGGCGCGACTTGTCCTGAAGCGAAGAGCTCAAAACCGTGCCCGGCCAATGCCAAGGTGATGAACATTGTGCAGACGACCACTGCAAGGTGGTTCTCACGAGCTGTAGTTTACCATTTCCCTCCACCAGCAACCCACCACACCTCGTTCATGAGATAATCAAAATAGAGTTGCGTATGCATTGAAGTGAAGATCGGTGGAATGACGACAGGAACTGTGGCCACTGATACCCGCTACAAGCGAGTGCCTTACAAGCATCTTTGCAGGTCTGACAATTTACATGCCTTTGTGGCACTAAAGTGTAGCACGTGTTCTCCACCTAATGAATTCACTGTCCAAAGTCGTGGATGAATGCCACTCGCGTAAGCGCTCGCCATTGCTGCTCGACTATTTAGGTTCCCTGTTTCTCTGTCATCCTATCCTGTCATACTGATACCCTCCGATTCCTCATACCCATCTTTCTGTTATCTCAATATTTCATCTCACTGCTGTGATGTACACTGCTGCTTTATATGGCTTTCCTGAGGTTCTCCCACCCCTACACCCGGCGCCCCATGAGCCACTTCCCCCGCGTCGGCCGCGCGGTACTACGGCGATACAGGGCACAGATGCTCAATGGCGTCCGTGATGCACAGAATACGTCACGATTGGATGCGACAAGCAACTTCCGACCACCTTCGTTCAGGGGAGAAGACTTTATGTGGCATGATGTAGAGGTTCAGAATGATTGGGCTATGGCAGCCCGAGAGCCAGGTACACCAATTTTTTTTGCATGTCAATAACGTTTGCTTAATCCGGTGGCGGAATGACAGAGTGGGCATGTCAGCTGCCAGTCGAGCGTCCCCCGTATGACGAGCAACGGCCTCCTGAGCGCAAGGAACACAAACGTGTTTCTTTTGATACCGAACGAGTATGTCGCCCATCTGTTGACAGAGAGCGAGAACGGCGTGCATCTGTCGATCGCGAACGAGCACGTCACGTGTCATTTGACATACAGCCAAAACACCGTGGATCTGTTGATTGCGAACGAGGGTGCCGTGTGTCTCCTGACAGACAGCGAGAACCCCGTGCATCTGTTGACCGAGAACGAGAGCATCGTGTATCCATGGACCGGAAACAGGATCTTCGCTTTTCAGTCGATCGCGAGCGCTGTTGCTGCATGTCGATTGGGCAACATTATACACGCGAACCTGTGTCTAGGTCGTTCCCCCGTCCACCGGTATCTGCTGTCTCCTTCAAGCCTCCTACCACAGGCCCTCGAGTGTCTCTTGACAGACAGCGAGAACACCGTGCATCTATTGACCGGCGACCCGATCTCCGCGTTCCAGCCGACCGCGAGCACTGTCGCTGCATACCGACGGGGCAACATTACGCACACGAATCTGTGTATAGGACGTTTCCCCGTCCACCGGTATCTGCTGTCTCCTTCAAGCCTCCTACCACAAGCCCTCGAGTGTCTCCTGACAGACGGCAAGAACGCCGTGCATCTGTTAACCGCAAGCAAGAGCGTTGTGCATCCATTGACCGGACACACGATCTTCGTGTTTCAGTCGATCGCAAGCACCGTCGCTGCATATCGATTGGGCAACATTACACACTCGAATCTGTGTCTAGGATGTTTCCCCGTCCACCGGTATCTGCTGTCTCCTTCAAGCCTCCTACCACCGGCCCTCGAAGTCGTCATTTTCGTCGACCTTCGTTCGACTACGCGACTGTTCGTGACTACTCTCATGATCCCGTTCATGTTTTGCCTCCACCTGGTGCGTTTCATGGCTCGCTGCATAAGTTTTTCTAACGTTGCTATCTTTGACGTCTAGCTCCGGCTCCCCGGATACATTTCCCTCCACGACAACGTGACCGCACCTCGATGGAGGCGGTTCGTCGCCTCCCTTTCCCCACTACCGAAGACCCTCGGTTTGAGAAGTCTACCAAGCCGTTGGGGCTAGCCCGCTTCAATCCCTTTAAGAGGCTGCGTACTACGTCGATGTCTAATTCACAGAAGAAGCGGCCGATGCTCGAACCGTCAACGGTCCACTCCAATCGTCTGCGCCGCAAAACTGCTGGCAGAGCATGATGTGTTCCACTCTATTCCACATTGTGGAAACCCTATACCATAGACTTGCAAAGTTCATAGACCGTTTCTTTGACATTTTACATCCCTCAGCGCTCGATTGACCATAGAGCATAGAGCATACATAGAAAATTCTGTACATAGATTTAGAGTGTACCTGACCCCTGACCTCGTTGTAATCACACGGAAAATTCTTGGCATGTGTATGTACCTTGTTTCCATACAAAGCAATTCGCGCTCTGATTCATCCAACCGCATGAATTCCGTTTCTCTACTAGTAGCTTCTACTTACCCTTTCGTAGCGTTAGCTTCACGTTACTTTCAACTCTCCGCCACTGAATGGCAGAACCAGAACCAGCTTCTGCTGCATCAACAAGCTTCAGTCAACCCACAGCCCCTGCTCTAGCTAACCACACGACTTCCCCGCTTCCGACTCGCATCCGCTTTCCAGACCAGTTCCTTGTTGCAACACCTCATGGAGGGTCGTCGCGTTCATCCATGGGTTCTTCTGTTCTTCCTATCACACCAACGAAGGCAGACCCAACAGAACTAGGGGACGGAAAAGGTCGTCCTCTTTCCATGGGGGTCACTACTCCAGTCTTCCCTGAGATCTCTCCTTCGAAGAGATTTTCATCTCGCAGCGCTGAATCGCGACGCAGGTCCAATAGAATGAGTCAGAGCAAAGGCTTGTCTACTCTCAAGGACCCCTTAGTCGCTGAGTTCGAACCCTCAGCTTTCTCGGACGAATATGACTTGTGTGAGTCCGATGCTTCTACTCGTGTTTCAACACTAACAATTCTAATGTAGCTCATGAGGGCAAGTGGAACAATTGTCAGCTGTGTGACTACTCATGAACATCTTAGTCTAGACCCCAAGATCCTTCAAGACGTCCAACGAGCTCTAGAATTGCAATCTCGAAGGCGAGATCGCATGTCATTCACCCCATCGCAGCCAACTGTTCCTGAAGTTCAAACTCCTCTCGAGCTGGGGCAGGGTGCATCTTTCCAACAACCTCCTCCAGTTTCCGCATCTCCGCCAACTTTCATTCGTCGTTCAGGTATTCCTTTGGACATTGATTTTAGCCCATCTGTTCAGGCAGCTCCCCTTCACCCTGTTCCCCTTTCTTCGAATGGAGGGGCCACTTTGGACTGGAGTGGGTCCCAGTCTGAGGAAGAAAGACTCGAAAGACGTTGGTCATTGGGTAAACGTAAAGGCAAAGAAAGACCATCGTCTTCGAACAAAGCCATATTTGAGAAGCAAGACACTCTTTTTGCAGGTTAGCTCTTGGAGTCGGGGCATCAATCACATGCTCATTCTGCCGCACAGATAGGATTTCTAGGATTAGATCCAAAGCGAAACAGCCAACATTCCGCAAGGCAGCTATTGTTAGCAACCAATTGGGACGGAGGTACAACCTAGTTTATAATTCCGTTTCGAACGAGGACCCCATCAACCTGGCAAAGGCCGCACGGTGGTACGCTGACTCTGATCCGGGCGCGCAAGCCTGGCTAGATAGCGCTGAGCCACTCACTTGGCTCAAACACCTATTAGACAAACATGGCGGGAAACGATCGAAATGGCATCTGTCGGCTTTGATCGTGGAAGAATGTAATAAATCCAACAGGATAAATTCTAGTTCACCTGTCATTCGTGACGATTCTACCTCTGCTCGGGGAGGATCACTTCTCTCAGACGCGTCACTAAGTCTTCCTTCATATCCTTTTCATCCGATCAGATCTTCCCCCTCGCTACATCGTTCTTTCGGAGATTCACTCAGAAGAATACGCTCCTCAGATGGCCAAATATCATTCGAGCCCAGAATTGACTCCGCTCGCAGCTCGATAGACGGCGACTACAGGAGCGTTGACGACAAGAGTCGAGGATTGCGCAACGTCATCCCGGCTCTGGTTGATGCCGCCCATAGTATCGCATCTACATCATCCCCTTACCGTCGTGGGAGCTCTCCAGGCGGACTTTCACCAACTAGCAGTCGACGCCTTCCATTTGTTCAACGGATACGGCGTCGGCAGGTGGAGAGCGATGAAGGATCTTCCTCTGTCATTCACTCGCAGTCAGAAGACTACAGTGGATCGCCAATTGGTGTCACTGGTCGTCGTCGCAAGAGGGGCAACCGGAGACAGCCTCATGCGCCTTCATCACATCTACAGTCGCCCCGTGAATCAGAAATAGAGATAAATGCTCTTGGCGAGACGTTAGATGTACACGAGGAGACTCCTGCACCTGCGGACGATGCGTCGCCCTCTGAGCTGGCGTCAGACCGTGGGATCGAGCCGCCTCCTGACAAGCCTGAATCAGAGGTTCTCGCTACTGCACCGCGAGTAGTTCCACGTCAGAGACTGATACATCGGATGTCCCTCCCTGTCACCGACGTAGCTGGGAAAGCGGAACGAAAGCGTCGCGAGGAAGCCGAGGAAGAGGAGCTAGAGCATGAGTATGAGATGAAGTCGCAGTATGTGTTTCTTTTCGCATCGAGAGAGGTCTATAACTTAAAGGGTCGATAAGGATGCTAGATGACATGAAGGCGCAGAACTATCGGATGCGCCAGAAATTACAAAAGATCGCTTCAGAGGTGCGGGAATATGACACGCTACGTACAAGGGTTGCCAACACGCATGGAATCCCGCATCGAGGCCTACCTCAAGAGCTTTTAGAAGCTTTTAGCATCGACCCTTCCTCGGTAACTGGCGGGACTCGGGAAGAGAGTGGTTGGAGGGCCGTCGAGGACATACATACTCGTGTTCTTCGGCAACGACAGGTGTTCCGGATCTACCTTTCTGTCGTTAAGAAAGATGTCATGTCGGTGCCGGATAGCTTACTTGATGGATCCATATCGTCGCTTATGGGCGCGCTGGGTGAAATAGGACATCAGAGGGAGACTCTGGCGCACAAGGAGTTGGAAGTGGCTAGCGCTCTGTCCAAAGTCAAGAGTCTGCACACCCAAGTCAAGAAGGAGTACAACAATGCCCTCGCGCACACGTCAGTTGTTTACCCAGAGGTAAGATCAATTGCCAATTGCTTCGTTATACGTACTGAGCATCACCTAGCTCTCTCAAATCATCGCACTAGAGGAGAGCTACAAGGATCAATACCAACATGTCTGGGAATTCGGAATGGACGCTTTGACATTCATCCTCGATACCGTTGCACCATTTTGGAGAAATTACGGGAGGACCATCGGCGAAGATATCAAAGATTTCCTCATCATACCCTGGTACCGGAACGAGTTCACGGGAGAGTTGAAGCGGTATGATATCTCGTCGTTTCCTAGTCGGTCCGTCGGCCACTGGTTCGCGCTCTTCTTCCTCTTCTGGTTCACAGTGGGCATCACCTTTCTGCAAACGCGCGCGGCCATTTTTTGTACATTCATCTACAAGCATCCTTGGATCGACAATTCGGGTTTTCGATGGTTGATCATGCCGTTCATTTGGATCTCACTCATTATCCTATGGTTTGCTGTTTTCTTCGAGACTTGCATTGTTATTCTACAGCTTCGAGTCGTTGCTTGGTGGTTGGGTTGGTTAGTGGGCCTCCTCACCTGAGCTTCTCTTCTGCTATCATGTATCCGCTGGTATTTCGGACTATGTATATTTCCATCACTGTAATTCCATATCACACACAAGTATTCGATGTAAACGTAATTATCTTGCTAATGACATCTAGGTCTGCTTCGCATCGGGCGTCGGTACGTTATTTGTTTGCTCTGTTGCTGAGGCTTTGGGGTACGGAACAAAAACCGAATGGGCGTTTGAAGCAGTAGTGGGGTGGTGTCGGCTATCTGGAGTACGTGAAACGCTGTGTTGCCTCGATACTTGTGCGGAGGATTGGTAGGTGTAACGGCTACCACCTACTTGTGGTATGTCATCTATTGCGCAGCCAGCTTCAACACACGGTCGACAATATCCTACGTGTCGAGGTCAATGTTGAGAACAGCCTCATGACAAGAGTGTGGAAACCTACTGCCGCCCATAATTAGAGGGACATCTGTTTGACCGCACGCAAAGCAAGCGATCTTTGGCAATGAAGGCGTGGGTTTTGGTTGCGATTGGCGCTTTTTCTTTGGTGGAGGTGGAGCTGGCTCGCCGCTTTGCTGCGCAGGGCTTGCGTCTTGAAGTGGAGGTGGGGGCCGGGACTGAGGCTGGGGCTGGGGCTGGGGTTGAGGAGGTTTACGAGGCGCCGCTTTGCGTTTTGGTTTATTGCTGCTCTCAGCGGTTGACCTCAGGAGCTTCGTAGAGAATGAAGGAACCGCAACCTGTGGGTCGTTAGAATCAAAGAAGAACCAATAATTTCAGAGCGCTGACGTTTTGGATGTGCGCTAGCAGGGGGCTCTCTGCTAATCTATGTGCTAAATACACTCGTTCGGGTGTTTTCTTAGTGCAACAGTTACCAAAAAGACTTTATGTCGCAAGGACGGAACACTCACAATGGATTCGAGGATCTTGCGGTTTTCCTCTACCTTGTCTTCGGAGCCGATCCAGCGTGATATTGAATCCCATACGGGAGCACCGGCTCCAGTGAAAAGAAAAGTCACCACTTCTTGAGCTTCTGGTGTCTCTTGTCCATCAGGTTGAGCCTCCAAAGCTACTTTAGGCCGTTGTTCAAACGGAACGCGCGTAGACAGAGTTACTTCGCCATATGATCCCATCGACCCCGGCACGGGTGTGAAATTGCCTACTGCCGGTCCACGAGGGAAAATCCAACGGTCCGTAGGACACTCACGGAATTCGATCACGATATCAAAATCCTTGGTTTGGTAGACTGGCTGGTTATACGACGCAGTGCCAGTTGCCACAGCTGTAGCTGTGTTCTGCGCCTGTGTGGACTGCATGGAAGAAGCATCCAAGCTCACTCCGGATGAAGATGCGAGTTGCTGTATCGTTACGCCAAGGTTTTTCAGTTGGTCCATAGATGCGTTTCCTGAGGCGGCCAATTGTAATAAATTTGCCAATGTTGGATTTGAGAGGGCTGCTACATTCACTTGGTTGATAAGTGTCGGTGGGATACTAGGAGTATTTGGTAATGACGAAAGGACGGGAGTTGTATATGATCCTTGTGGCGCAGCCGAAATCGAGATAGTTGATTGCTGGGCATAAGTAGGTGTCGTGTGTGCAAGGACTGGATGATAGTGGACTTCAAATATGGTCGTTTCCGTGAATATATGTGGACCAATCTCCAGAGTGCACCTGCCGCGATTGTACATTGTATGCGGTGGAGGGATGGCATCGGCGGGCTTTCCGCCCCTTGAACGGCTGGAGAACTTTGGAAATGTAGAGCGCAGCCATTTCTCTCTTGCTGTAGATAGTAGTCAGTCTTCTGTAGATCGAAATATTAGGCGAACTTACATTGCTTGAGGGACTGTAAGATGACAAAACTACAAGGAAGTTAGATGGTTGTACATCTGAGAGCAAATAAAGGTGACCTGTCTGCTGTACTTTTGAGTTTTGATGGATCTTGCTCAGCATTGTCTATCTCCCAGTCAGGCTCTTGACCTACAGGCAATATTATGATGTTTTGGCTACGATTCATGAGGAGTTATTTGTATATGTTTGGCAAAACCTTCTGAATCAAATGATCTTCTTTGCGGAGCTTCTCAAGTCCTGAGGCCTGATTAGCATCTAATAACATCTAATAGGATCTCGACAATGAGCACACGAGTTCGTAAGTACTTTCCTACACACTTATCTGACCGTTCATCCTATTTTACGTAGAAAAGGGAAATACGGTCTTTAGGCCGGTCGCCAAAGCGCGACCTCGCGCCCCCGAGGCCAATGCACCAAGGCAACCCTCCGCAATCCCTGACGCCCGTCCTCCAATCCAGCCTTCAGTAGAAGAGCATGCTCCAATTACAATACCTGCTATGACCCTTACTCCTCCCGTTGCATTCTCCTCCATGCCGCCGCCATCCTTGATTCCTGTCAGAGTCCCTATCACCACCGTGCACGATCCTCAGATAATCAGGGTCCCTACCATCGCCGTGCACGATCCTCAGAGAAGTTCTGCGATGCCTATCAACACCCCAATACCTCTTCCAACTGTCCGAGATCCTCAAGTACAGATTTCTCAGCCTCTGCCTACGCTCCCTGTCATTCAAGAACATCCGGTTGTAGCCATCCCCCAGACCGCTGAACCCGAGGCGCAGGCGTCCAGCTCCCGAAAACGTAAGTCCCAATCTCGGGCGCCTTCCGAAGGTCCGGGGAAATCTCGCAAAACGCGCGCTCCTTCCTTGCCCTATGATGCTAGCGCAGACCCCGGAGAAGATTTAGATCCGACCGCCGTGACCATGGCTACATTATGTGAAGATAACGGGTGGGGTCGTGTCAGTAGCAAAGCTGCTCAAATTGTCGATAATCACTTGGCCTGGAAAAAAACGAATCGAGAAAAGAGAGCGCGAATGAGAGCTACTATGGAGGCGAAAAAGTACGGTCGAAATGAGGACGACACTGCGCGACCCAGTCAAAGCAGCTCTACACCTGAACAAAGCACTGTAACAAGTGAGGTTGCAGAACCCAGTTCTGTACCCATGAACGGTGGCCAGCGCGAAGGCGCGGTCAGAGATGCGAGTGGTAGCGGATTTGACTATTCAGAAGACGTTGCTACTAGTCGATACAACGTCCAAATCCGTATTGGGCCCAATGGTGAAACCATTATCGACGAAGAGTCCCTGTTTGTGGATAGGAATACTGGCGATGATACAGCTGATTACACTCATGTCGAGGAGTCGGACGTCACCAAATTTGTGAATTCTGGGACGTATGGGAGGCGTTTCCGAGGCACGCGGTGGAGTGCAGAAGAGACAGAGTTATTCTACGATGTAAGTGACGAGTTAAATGTAGGGGAAGATTATGCTTATGGCACCTGCAGGCGCTATCGCAATTTGGGGAGAACTACGAGTTAATATCGTATGTGTTACCTGGTCGCGACCGCAAGTCATGCAAGAACAAGTTCAAAGCGGAGGACAAGAAGAACCCAGCACGAATCAATTACTGCCTGAACAATCGTCAGCCTTATGGTAAGTCCCCAATGATTCATGGCGTAGGAAGCAAATCACGAAGATCCTTGCGCTGTGCCTAGATATGCAAACTTTGTCGCGAATGACGGGAAGGGACTTTAGTGGCCCAACCCCTGAGATCCGACCACCACCTGTTCTTACGCTCGCTGAAACGGAGGGGGATCCAGCAGCGGGAGGCGCGATTTCAAAGAAACGGAGCAAGACCCCTGTTCTAGAAGATGAGGAAGAGGAAGTTCTTGGTGATATATCCAGTGCTGATTTTGCAGAGTAGAACTATCAATGTCCTCGATGTCCCTACACCTGTTGTTGTTCGATGAAATAACTGCCTCGCAAGCCGGGATAGCTCAGCTGGGAGAGCAACAGACTGAAGCAAATCATCGGTTTCTGGAGGTCCCGTGTTCAATCCACGGTCCTGGCATTGTTTTGTTTTGTTTTTGATCATTTACACTCCGTGACGCGTGACTCCGTGGTGCCAGCTGGCACAACTTGCATACGCCCAATAACCCTGTACGCAAGTACTCAGGATGACTCGGTCAGTTCAGACTCTGATACCTTCAAGCCGAACTTGCTTTGTGAATTTAGGCCAATTACCTTCAACCAAGCCTGGTGATGCTTGGTCCTAGATCATTGGATCAAGCCACATTGCTGCAGGTGTGTGCTTAAGCCTTCCAATTTATAAATAATGACGACTTCATTCTGCATTGTCTGCCCAGGAACGACAAAGCCAAGGTCCTGCAGTGCGTTCCAGCTGGTCCATCATAACTGCATCGTGGATCCTTGAAGTGGCTCATTCAAACCTTTATGATGGTTTGGGCGTTCGGAAGGGCTGTTTCCTACATGCCTGGGATCCCAAGCCTCTCACGTCGAGTTTTCTGTTCACTTATCGTTTACCTGGTGCAGATTTCGTCTCGCCTCGTGCTCGCATTGCAGAATGACGACGGTCGAACGCTTCCAGGGACGCGTCCACAGCACCGTTAACCCACAGGCCACTTTCGATTGTGTGTGCTTTGCCACAATCATTTATAAAGTCCACCACCCAAAGCAAGCCAGGTTGCGATGGTTATAAAGGTCTTACATTTGGCGTGGTCATAAATCACTGCTCCTCGGTACTTCATCTTCATCCAGCACCCATACAATATGAAGCCTCGCAATTACGCCGATCCTTTTGCACCAGCCCATATGGGTGTCAAGCGATGCTTCTGCGGAAACCAGACGGTGGAAGATCACGACTTCTGCTTTTGCTCTCCGGAGTGCGCTCGTGCGGATGCCTTGCGCGCTCTGGGGGGAGACGACTGCCACTACCGGAAAGTCGTGCGGAAGGCGTATGTCAGCTCCGGCGCTCCCGAGCCTGCCATATACAGGCGCAAGTCAGAAAACCACCTTCGTCGACTTCCATTCGCGAAGCAGGCCATCCTTCCTAGTATCCCTCGTCTTCCCAAACCAGCGCATCAACACAACCAACCAACTATGGGCGGTCAGGATGACAGATGTGTCCGAAATGAAATGGTGTTCCCTACACTGGCTGAAGTGACGAGTGCCATTCTTGCTCGAAAGGCAAAACAAACAGGCGATCCCTCGACGAAACCTCCCCCAGTTACTGCTCAGATATCCCTTGATGCTCTTCCACTCACCCCTTCCCAGCAAACCAGACCAAGTTTTGGTCAGGGCGCTCGTAAACCACCTTTGGCGCAGTTACACAGTGCGCCACCGCAAACTATGCCACTCAATGTAAATAACAAGACTGTTACCCGCCGTAGGAGACAGGAATCAATCTTTCAGTCAATGGCCGAAGAATCGGGAACGGTGAATCATCGCACAAAAGAAAGTTCGATGTCTCCACGTCCTCAGCGTCAAGCCCTTCCGAATACGATCGTTGCAACCCCTCGTTCGGGGAACATTCACCGCTCGGCTTCGTTCGCAGATTGTCATAGCCCAGCGGAACGTAGCCGTCGTGCCCTAGAGGGGGGCGAATCTCTCATGCAATTATTCAATCAGCTGGAGGACGTCCGAGACTGGATCGAGAACTTCGATGGAACACCGGACTCGGATGCATAGTAGCATGATGCATGGTTGGATTAGATGTTGCCAGGGAATTTGGAGGATCTGACAGGCTGAGTCCTGATATGTGATTATGATACTGTATTTTTCAAGACTGTATTTGCTTCGGGCCCATTAGGCCACTTTAAATACATAAATCTCATCAGGTACACATCGAAGTAGCAAGTTAGCAATTATTTGTTCAGACGTCCACCTCTCATCGTATAACTGTCAACACAAGTCAACAAAGCTCGCTAACGCGTCTTGCTCGTCGACGTCGACGTCCAATTCAACGTTTTCCATCTCTCACTTGTTCTTCTGGTCTTGTAATTTACACACTGCACTAAAAGTTGATTTACCATTGGCTCCGACTCGTACGACCTGCGTCCGAAGTTCAGTAGTTCTCATTGCACACTCGTTTCTCTGTCTGAATCATGAGCCAAGGTATATTCACTTTTCCTTCATATCCTTGTCTTGGATGACATATACTCTCCAGAAATTGAGCCCTCAGAACTGCCGCATAATTATGACGACCCAAACTACGGCATAGAGGAAGATGAGGAAGAATTCGAAGAGATAACACAGGAAGATTGCTGGACCGTCATTTCCAGCTTTTTCGAGCAAAAAGGTCTTGTCAGGCAGCAATTGGACTCTTTCGATGAGTTCGTACAAAACACCATGCAAGAGCTCGTGGATGAGAATGCGGATCTTATCCTTGACCAGGCCGATCAACACACTGGCCATGACACGGACATGACGCGACGCTACGAGATCAAATTTGGCCAGATTTACCTGTCGAGACCTACTGTCACGGAAGCGGATGGATCTGTGGTTCCCGTGTTTCCCCAGGAGGCCCGTTTGCGGAACTTGACGTATTCAGCTCCGTTGTACATTGAGATGAAGAAGAGGGTCCTTCTTGGGCGCGAAGATCCTGATGGAGCACCAGGAGAGATTCTCTGGGAGGCAGAGCGACACGAGGCACCTGAGGATACCACGAAGGTCTGGATTGGCAAGGTGTGTTACATGTCAACGAAGGGTGTTTCATGACTTAGCCTGATGTGCAGGTTCCTATCATGCTCCGCTCGACGTTCTGTATACTTCGAGACTTGCAAGATCAGGACTTGTACGACTTGAACGAGTGTCCGTATGATTCGGGAGGTTACTTCATCATCAACGGCTCGGAGAAAGTCCTCATTGCCCAGGAGCGTATGGCGACCAACCACGTCTATGTCTTTGCCAAGGCACAGCCATCACCTATAAACTTTTTGGCGGAGATTCGAAGTGCCGTAGAGAAAGGTGGTAAGACTATCAGTCAATTCCAGGTCAAAATGTTCCACAGAAATCAGGAGCGATCGGTAAGCACAGTTCCATGCTACTGGGGTTCTGTATTCATTTCAGTTTCACAGTTGGGAAACGTCATGAAAGCCACTATCCCTTACATCCGAGTAGACATTCCAATCTGGGTCGTCTTCCGCGCTCTCGGTGTCATCTCCGACCGAGACATCCTCGAGCACATCTGCTATGACATGCAGGATGCCCAGATGCTTGAAATGCTCAAGCCATGTATCGATGACGGTTTTGTCATCCAAGATCGCGAGGTTGCTCTAGATTTCATCGGAAACCGTGGAACCACTACTGGTTTGTCACGAGAGCGGCGTATTCGCTACGCGCAGGAGATCTTGCAGAAGGAGATGCTTCCTCATGTCTCCATGTCGGAAGGCTCAGAATCAAAGAAGGCCTACTTCTTCGGATACATGATCCACAGACTACTGCTCGCCGCCCTTGAGCGGAGAGAGCTGGATGACCGTGATCATTTCGGGAAGAAACGTCTTGATTTGGCTGGTCCTCTGCTTGCTGGTCTATTCCGCATGTTGTTCAAGAAATTGACGAGGGATGTTTACCGTTATCTTCAGAAGGTACGTTATCTTGTGCGTTGCACGTTCGCCCTTGCTACACTATTTTGTAGTGTGTGGAGACACACAAGGAATTCAATCTCTCGCTAGCCGTCAAGCACCAGACGATTACCAATGGTCTCAAATATTCACTTGCTACCGGCAACTGGGGCGACCAAAAGAAGGCTATGTCGTCAAAGGCTGGTGTGTCTCAGGTGTTGAACAGGTACACTTACGCATCCACTCTCTCCCACTTGCGTCGGACCAATACCCCTCTCGGTCGTGAGGGCAAGATCGCCAAACCTCGTCAGCTACATAATTCGCACTGGGGAATGGTATGTCCTGCCGAAACACCAGAAGGGCAGGCTTGTGGTCTCGTCAAGAACCTGGCGCTCATGGCATGTATCTCCGTCGGTTCCTATTCTGCACCGGTCATCGAGTTCTTGGAAGAATGGGGTCTCGAGTCGCTGGAGGAGAATGCGCATTCATCAACGCCTTGTACGAAGGTGTTCGTCAATGGTGTCTGGATGGGTGTGCACCGTGATCCTGCTAATCTCGTGAAGACGATTAAGAAGCTGCGAAGAAAAGATGATATCAGTCCTGAAGTGTCCGTTGTTCGCGACATTCGTGAGCGGGAGCTGCGGTTGTACACGGACGCTGGTCGTGTCTGTCGACCACTGTTCATCGTCGAGAACCAGCAGCTCGCCCTCCAAAAGAAGCATATCAAGTGGTTGAACCAGGGTTACCGCGATGAGGACGGAGAGGAGTTTAAGTGGGAGCAGCTGGTGAAGAATGGAATTATTGAGTTGTTGGATGCCGAGGAGGAGGAGACCGTTATGATCTGTATGACTCCGGAAGACCTCGAGAACTCCAGGTTACAGTCTGCGGGTATCGATCCTCACCAGAATGATGCTGAATACGACCCGGCTGCACGGTTGAAGGCAGGGATCAACACGCATACTTGGACTCACTGTGAGATTCATCCAAGCATGATTCTTGGTGTCTGCGCCAGTATCATTCCTTTCCCTGACCACAACCAGGTGAGTGGTATGTTTTTTCTCTATATGAAAATTGACCGTGTGTAGTCTCCTCGTAATACCTATCAATCCGCTATGGGTAAACAAGCCATGGGCATCTACCTCACCAATTTCTTGGTTCGCATGGACACTATGGCCAATATCCTGTATTACCCTCAGAAGCCTCTCGCCACCACGCGGTCCATGGAGTATCTGAAATTCAGAGAGCTTCCTGCTGGTCAAAACGCCATTGTGGCCATTCTCTGTTACAGTGGCTACAACCAAGAAGATTCCGTCATCATGAACCAGAGTTCCGTCGACCGAGGTCTCTTCCGGAGTATATACTACCGCAGTTACATGGACCTGGAGAAGAAGAGTGGTGTACAGCAGCTGGAGGAGTTCGAGAAACCTACTCGTGATACAACGTTGCGGATGAAACATGGCACGTACGATAAAATCGAAGACGATGGCCTGATTGCTCCTGGTACTGGTGTCTCTGGGGAAGATATCATCATCGGCAAAACTGCCCCCATCCCCCCTGACAGTGAGGAACTTGGACAACGTACTCGGACACATACTAGACGAGACGTCTCAACTCCGCTGAAAAGCACAGAAAATGGTATCGTTGATCAAGTGTTGATCACGACCAATTCGGAGGGCCAGAAGTTCGTCAAAGTTCGTGTTCGGTCGACGCGTATTCCCCAGATTGGCGACAAGTTTGCGTCTCGCCACGGTCAGAAGGGAACTATCGGTATCACTTACCGACAGGAAGACATGCCCTTCACTGCCGAGGGGATTGTTCCTGATATTGTCATCAATCCTCATGCCATCCCATCGCGTATGACCATTGGTCACTTGGTCGAGTGTTTGCTCTCCAAGGTGGCGACGTTGATTGGTAATGAGGGTGACGCAACTCCCTTCACCGATCTCACGGTCGAGTCAGTATCGACCTTCCTGCGCCAGAAGGGCTACCAGTCCCGTGGTCTTGAAGTTATGTACCATGGCCATACAGGCAGGAAGCTCCAAGCGCAGGTTTACCTCGGCCCCACGTACTACCAGCGTCTCAAACACATGGTAGACGATAAGATCCATTCGCGCGCAAGAGGTCCCGTGCAGATCTTGACGCGACAGCCGGTGGAGGGTCGTAGTCGTGATGGTGGTCTCCGTTTCGGAGAGATGGAACGTGATTGTATGATTTCGCATGGTGTCGCTGGATTCTTGAAGGAGCGTTTGTTTGAGGCTAGTGATGCCTACCGTTTGCATGTTTGCGATATGTGAGTCGTTTGATTCGTTTGATTGTGTTATTTGGACTCACTTTGAATCTTCAGATGCGGTCTCACTGCAATCGCCAACCTCGTGAGTGCCTGCCATGTCATGAATTATCATCTACTAATATCGGTGACAGAAAAAACAAAGCTTCGAGTGTCGTGCATGCAAAAACAAGACGGCGTGTTCACAGTTGTACATTCCTTATGCTGCGAAACTGTTGTTCCAGGTTCGCTTTCACTCTGATTTGACGTTAGAATTGCGCTGATATCACTTTGATCCAGGAATTGCAAAGCATGAACATCGCAGCTCGCTTGTATACTGTCTCCACTGGTCGTGTCAGGGATGGAACATAATTAGCTATCGATCCCTGCATCACGAGAGAGCATTGTAGTCTTTACATTAATTGTTTGTTGGACAATGAAGCCGGAGTGTGAACCATGATTAGAACTTGAGTCATAACTCACTTTTCGTCAGGTCACTTAGGTGGTAGGTACGGAACACTGTGGTACGCGATCCACGTGATCGGTGGAAATGTGGTCGCGCGGGGCCGCGCGTACTTAACGCCGCGCTTGACTAACTACTTGCAACCAACCCCTGTATCCTCCAACACGAATCACAGTGTTCGCGTTCTAAGGATAGCATCAAGCTGATATATCAGGCCTTCGTGTTCCAAGACGCATCGTCAAAGTCTGGTCTCAAACACACGCCATGTCGGAGACGCCTCTCACCTGGAATCGTGAGTGTGAACCTCCGCGTTCCTCAGAAGTCCCTCACGAGATAGACTAGAAGCGGTGAAGGGGATAACGGAGTTTCGTGAGTTTGTTTGACCACGACTCCCATGACCGTCATCTAACCAGCGTTAACATTCAGTCGAAGTTGCCATCCATACTATCCTCTACGTCAGACAAATATACCCAGCAGACCTGTTTGTGCGACGGAAGAAGTACGACACCCCCGTCTTCCAGTCGCGTCATCCCGCATTAAATGAGTATATATCCGGCACCGTCAAGGCTGTTTCCGATGAACTTGTACTCGTGAGTTATTAACATGACCTTCACGTCTTCTCCTGCAGTAAAGTATCCGATAAATATAGGGTAATGTGGACAAGGTGGTAGTCGTTATCAAGGACAGGAACCAAGTCGCCCTCGAGCGCTTCGTCTTTTCAATCCAAAACATGATTGAGATCGAGTCCTACAACAAAGACACGAGGTGCGCTGCATCCTTCACTTGCGAAGGCAGGCAATGACGTCCGCCTACTAGTGTGCAGGACGCGATGTCCCCTGCGAAACTCGGCCAGTATTTTCGCTCATTTCTCATCAAACTGAATATGATCGAGTCCCAACTGGGGCTGCTCGAGCTTCCCAGCGGCGGTAAGCCTATCTCTTCGTCTCTGGTGATAGACTTCTTACCTGAGCTGGGGTAGAGGAGGCCTCATTTGCAATAGTTCTTGAACTTAAGGAAAATACAGTACCCTCAGCATCCAAGGATAACGTGAGGAATCCTAGTCAGATACTTATAACAGACTGTGGAGCTTTAGAAAAGGAACCCCCACCATGGGTACCTGCAGACCGTCAGCACACAACCTCCGGGGCATCTGAAGAAGCACAGTTGCACCTCCTTCGGGCAGTGGACACGGGCATCATCAGCGTGCGGAAGTTCCGTTGATGAAACTCGTGATCATCATTCACATTATGTACCACAGATCTCCCTTGCAGTCCAAGAATCCGAAGAAAAGCTTCAACGCACCAAGGACCCAGATGATTCCGCGTACGATATCAAAGGAAAAGGAAAGGCCAAAGCTATTTAACACTAGCTTCGCAGTTCACGTGCTTAATCATAATCTACTTTGAATTACTAGTAATACATTGTGAACGAAGTCCTTGCATGCGTGCGAGATGACAGCAAAATAGAAGATGAAAACATTAGATCAAATTAGTGCTGAACGCTAAACGTCCACCCGTATCCGTTGGATGATAGGTATAATCCGCTCCCATTCCTCCATTGCCTGGATAACTTATGAAACTCGAGGAATAGACTTATTGAAAGAACAACGTACCGATTGATAAAATTCAATTTCACCTTCCGCAAGGTTGCCCAGCATTTCTTTCATCTCCGCTTCCTTCGTATATTGGAATATAGTCTGCTCTCGTAAAGTCTCGTCACTGAACGCATCTGATGTCTCGTGCGCTGTTGTCACAGCGTCTTGCAGCTAACCCCAAGGTTGGAAAAACCGACAAGTAGGCACCACGACAAAGCCACGCACCTCCTTAATCTTAACATCCAACTTCCTCATCTTCTCCACTCGACTCCGATCATCGTCAGCACCCCTGAGTGCTTCCACTTTGTCCTTCAGGTACGCACTCAACCCTAGCCCGGTACTCCCTGCGTGCCCTGAAATAACGGCAGACAGCCGATCACGTTCCTGTGTTACACCAGAGAGGTAATCTGATAATTCCTCAAAATCAAGTTGCTTCTGGTCGCGAAGTTTCAGGACTGCACGATTGGCGTGGGAGTAGGTGAGCAGTGAATGGAGATGAACAAGGAAAGGGTCGGTGGTCGTTTGAGTCTGGAAAGAGGCGGTGAGTAGGTAACTTGGATACCATCGAAACATCATACCTTGTGCCTGAGCAATGCAGAGAATTCGAGTAGGGTATTTGAGAAGTGGTTCAATGGGTCTGTGATCCCTGACTCCAGAAAACCAAGTCCCTGCACGGCGACCGCTAGATCGTGATAGTCCGCTGTGAGATCTTCACCAGGGGCGAGATGGCCACCTCGTTCAGTCTCAGATACCCCCTTACACTGGGATAAATTAGGCTCACCATTTGTACGACCACGGGTGCGGTTCCAGAGGCGCTCGCAGATGACCAGCCCATCCTCGAATTTGTCGACAGACTCACGCATGTCGAGAAAGCGTTCGTCGGGCTTGCGGACGCGTGCAAACGCGTTGAGGAGGGTGTCTGAGATGTTATCGATGATTCCTGGTGTAGGTTCTGGCCCTGGAGGATGTGCGAGATGTTGGTGCATATGAACGTGCTGCAAGGTGTTAGGGGTGTTTGGACTGCGATGAAGAGACGTACCCATTCCGTGGACTCGAAGAACGCACGGACTAGGGTGCTGCGTTGTAGGGTTGGGTGTCGGGATATCCGTTCAAGGAAACGGTGGAGGCTGTCAAGGATGAGTCGCTGACGAGTCCGCACGCTGCATATACGTACTCTAGTCTGCGGCGCTCCATGAACTCCGGGCTGAAGCGATCGCCCGTAAGGTATTCTATGAATGGTCAGACCATAAACGAAATCCAAGGGAAACGCATACCTAGCCTGTGCTTGTCGGGGAGAGCAGGTACCACACATGCTGGGAAATCCTTTACGAGGTGGTCTCGCAGAAATACAAAGTCCTGGAATCGTCGACGAGAGGAAGGAGTAGGAATAGAAAATATTCGAAGGTTGGTCTGCAAATGCTTCAGAGACGGACACAAGAGTAGAGCTACATTACGACGCACCTTTGCCGAGACTAGGTAGGAGACGTATGCGTCCTTCGTTTCTGCGAGCTCCTTTACAGGATCCTTGACGGTAACAATGAGAAATCCCTCCCACTTTGGATCGTGCGGGCCCCGTTCATCCTCTGTCCCTGCCGTACTCTGCTTGAAGCCTGGGCCAGACGGTTGGACGGTGTGATCGGCGTCATAGGGTGCCGAAGGGGACTCCCAAGTGACACTGTCAAAGACGTCCTCGTCGTCACCGAGCATGATGAGATCAGTGATGAGCAGTGTTAACTTTCGACTTCGCCGCTGGTTGTATAGACCAGTGCTTCCCGGTTACCTACTAAGTTAGAGCGCAGTAATTGGAATTGGCGTGGACAAGACGAGAAGCCTTTGCAAAATAAACCAAAACAAACGCTTTCTGGTATGCGCCAAAATTCGAAGCTGCAGGCGATCGCGCTGGGTGTCCTGGCGGCTTGCTCCCTTGCAGCAGGATATGAGGTTCCGTTCTCAGACTCGGATTATTCCCGGCAAGTATGTTCGGGAATGTGGGCTAGCCAGTCCACTTTCATCAACGGTGCGCAGCACCTTTACAAGCATTCGCCAATTTACTTACACGACTAACGTGTCATAGTCACGTTTGACGAAAGTTCTTCACAAGGTCAGGTAGCAATGGTTATTTATGAATGGAAGGATGTCGAGTATCTTGGTGTCACTACCTCCACAACGGATGATTCCTTACCCGTGAGTAACCCCTTACAACACGGTTTGCCGCCTCAGCAATAGTACTCTCAGCAGAAGACCTATGTGTGTACAACAGACGCAGTCAGAATCGGCCTCTGCGCATATGAAGATGTCGGAAAATTTATCTTCTCGTCTGATGACGGGACCTACCATTCCCCAAACAACATTCTGGACTGCCAGTGTTGCGCTTAACCAGACCAGCACCGCATCCTCTGATTCATCAGGGTTATGGGAAAGTCCTGAGGGTAACCCTACTCTAGCCTGCTGATAATTATACTTCGCCGTGGAGTTCACGAGAGCTTCACAGTCCTCGACAATCGAATGACACCCTAAACCCGAGCCCATACGGGACCATTGCGTATACACAACCCTATACAATATCAAGTCCGCAAGAAGGGCTATTATTGCGTAGGCAAGTCCGAGTTACCCTGTATCTCCTCCCTTGGCTTATTTCTATTACAGCCATCGTGCCTGTCACGGTAATGAATCCAACTGCCCGCCAGGCCCCTACAGATGTCCCGTCTCATCCAACATACAACGGCGTCGTTCTTTTCCAGAACACTTTTGATGGAAAACTTCCAGCTACCGACTATCCCAAAGTTAACGTGAGTTGAAAACGTAGTCCGTCATCATGTCTCTAATCACGACGACTAGTTTTACCTTGCCATGTTCTTTGCATATGCCATCGTAGGCTCTGTGTGGGCATGGCTCTGCTACAAACATGTTACGGAGCTATTGCCCATCCAGGTTCGTCATGTTCTATACATGTTGGTTGATCTAACGTGTATTTCAGTACTATCTCTCGAGCTTGATTGCGTTCCTTGTCATCGAAATGGTCGCAAACTGGGGTAGGACGTTTCGTCATGACATGACATCAGTGCTGACCATGCCTAGTATACTACCGATACCTTAACGCACATGGGAAGACCACGGCGTCCGTTGTCTTCCTCTTTGTTGGTACGGGCAATCAATGGAATGACTCTTCAGCTGCTCACCCTCTGTAGTTGCCATCCTGGACGCGGGACGCAATGCTCTTTCCTTCTTTATGCTCCTCGTCGTGTCCCTCGGGCTCAGTGTCGTCTGTGAATCTCTAGGGCCCACGATGCTCAAGTGTCAGATTCTTGCAGGGCTGCACTTTATCTTTGGAGGTATACTCAACTTTTTGTGGTATCAGAGGTGAAATGACCATTGTTATCAGTTCTCTATGCCGTGGGTATAGTCGAACTCGAACTCGAGTCGACGTCAGCATTGATACTCCTGATGTTCGTCATACCGCTGGCGTTCACGCTGAGTGGGTTTCTTATGTGGATCTTGTACTCGTTGAGCAGTTTGTCCGATCATTTCTTATCTTGGATGCCTTGTCATAAGTTTGTTTTAGGTACAATGACACATCTAAGTGTGCGCAAGCAAAGATACAAACTCAGGATGTTCAAACGCCTGCATTATATCCTCCTTGCCACGGTGGCTATTGTCGCCATATTTTTCGTTATCTCTTCGATGTCGTTCTCTGATAGGCTAGCTGAAGGTGCGTCATGATTCATGAACAAATTTACAATTCGTGTCAACATATCTGGTTTGTAGATTACGCAGCAAAATCATGGAGATACCGCTGGTGGCTGCTCGATGGTTACCTCGCACTCCTCTACTTTGTCTCCTTCTGGAGCATCGCGTACCTCTGGCGGCCATCAGAGCACAACCGCCGCCTCGCTATGTCCGACGAAATCGCACAAGAAGATGAAGATGCTGAGGATTATGACCTCGAGGCACTCCAACAACGTATCGTTGCCCGAGAGGATGACGAGATCACGCTCGTCAACTCACGGCGAGAACCTGAAGCCCTTGCGGAGGATCACGTCGTGTTTGAGATCGGCGATGAGGATATGGGAAGCGAGGATGAAGGTGAGACGACCGCAAAGAAGCGGCATGGGGAGCCCAGAGCATCCGGCGATAAACAGGACGGTGCGGACGAGGAGCGTCAGGGTCTTATGTACAAGGACCGAGACGAATAAACTCTCATAGAGCTTATTTTGCCGTGGACGCCTTACTTTCTCCTTGGTTTACTGTAGAATCCACAGTTCTTTGTTTTGCGTTGTAAACCCCCCGATCTATAAATAAATAGTTCTATTATGTAAGGTGGAGGCAAATTTGAAATTGAGGCGAGCTTGACAAACTACTGCACGATAACTAAATATTGGTATCTTTGTTTCTCTCCTCTAGTTCCACTAAGTTATACGTCTGGACGCGTCATTTGACGCGTTCGAAACGTTTAATTTCGCCATGTACACTCATTTTGCTTTCGTGACTCTGGTAACTTCAGATTCCTATCTACCAGGCGCACTCGTCATTTCAGGTGCTTTGAAGGATGTGCATCAGACTCAACCTTATGAGGTGGAGTATGACACGGTGTGCATGGTCACACCAGAAACACTTGACATCACTACCATCAAGTTGCTTAGGAAGGCGTACGATATTGTCATTGGTGTTGAGGTCATAGACCAATCTGATCCTGCGGGACTATCTCTACTGGGTGAGTCGTTGCTGCGTTGACTGGGTTGCTTCTGAATGCACCCGCTGAGAGCACGAAAGCTTCTCTCTGTCGGAATATCCTAATAGTTCCCAGGCCAGTTCCGGCATGGTGCCCCATATGTGGGGTATGAATGCATCGTGTCCAAGCTTATCATCCGCAACCCAGCTTCTCTGTGCACAGTGGAAATAGCTAGGCTAATAGCATGTTCATTTGATTACAGGACGCCCTGACCTTGATACGGTCTTAACAAAACTACACGTATTCCGCCTCACGCAGTACTCCAAGGTAATATTCCTTGATGCGGATGTTCTCCCATTACGCCCCTTGTCCCAACTGTTCCAACTTGACCACGAGTTTTCTGCGGTACCTGACGTAGGATGGCCCGATATATTCAACTCGGGTGTCATGGTACTTTCCCCTGGTGAAGATAAGTTCAAGGAGCTTCAAGACCTTCTAAAGACGAATGGAAGTTGGGATGGCGGTGATCAAGGTCTTTTGAATGAGTGGAGAGGAGGCAACTGGAATAGGCTTAGCTTCACTTACAACACGACTCCTACGGCTGCATATACGTTAGTAATATCATTCTTCTTTCGCTCGCATGGTTAATCACATACTTATTACGCGTTAGATATGCCCCTGCATACGAACGTTTCGGTTCCCAAATATCCGCGGTGCATTTCATCGGACCTAATAAGCCCTGGCATTCCATTCCTTATCGCGCCCCAGGATCCTCATCAGCTCAAGCATCATCTTCTCAGATGGAGCAACACTCTCAAGAATCAGAGTCAGCTATCAAGCAACCTCAGCAGGCTTACGACTATGGCTCGCTCGTCGATCGGTGGTACAGCGTTTATGACAAGCACTATCGGTCAAAACCCACCTCACCGGATCTCGCTGTTCCTGTCAGCAAATATGTCTCAGCATGGGAAGATGAGACGAATACTCGTGCAACGGTAGAGTCTGCGGGCGCATCAGGTGGAGCTCCACTTGGTCTCGACGTCTTACGTCGTTTGGCCCTTCAAGGCATGGGCGCAATGGGTTTCCTTTCAAGTGATCGATCAAGTGGAGAGGGCGAGTACAAGAGTATGCCCCTTGAGGGGCGCTTTCGACCTCATGAGACCGCGCCCCGCGAAGCAGAAGAAACCTGAGGAGCATGATCCTCCCCAGTCTGCAACTGAGCCTGCTGATTCAAACATCGGCGACACGGTCGCTGAACCCACCACTCCTGTTCAACAGATAGCGTCACTGTCATTGGATTCACCTATGAGATGGACTACATTGCCAACTCCAAACAGCGACGAGGTGCCTTCTGCACCGCAAGTGCGTCTGTTATCTCTCCCTCCGACACCACTCCATTATGTCACCCCACCCTTCAATGTCGTGCGCGGAAATCAACCAAAGTCACCCCTTTCGTTGCAAGAACGAAGGATCGGGCTATCACGCCCTACTTCCCCACCCCTTCTCTCATGGAATGCCGCGGTCGAAGCGCCACCCAAAACCATTTCTACTCCCTCCCCACTCCCGAGTAACTATTTCCCAAATATCTGGAATGATTCTCCCAGCAGAAGCAGAAATTCTGCAATATCGCCATCAAGGTCGTCCTCGAGTATGTCCTCTGAGACAGATGCAACGAGCACGGAGATTAGCCCGGTCCAGGCAGACCCTTCACCTCAAACACTCTTCAGTCCACCACCTGTACCGGAGATTCCTCAGATGCTTCTCCAGCTGGGGCACTACCGCAATGTCACTGGGCCTGCCGCTGAGGGTGGCACTGCGCCACCCACTCCTGATCGCGCCAAGGTCAAGCGCGTCTTCCCTTGGGAGGAACGCCCTCGTGCTACTCCTGCACGTGTGTTCCCAGAAGGCGAAACCCGTCCACCAGGGTCAATATTCTTGCAGTCCCCGCCTCGTTCTGCTGCGCTTCCATCGACTCCTGAGCGCAAGATGAGCAGGGAGTTTGGGGCACACCAGCCGATGCCTTCGCCGTTAGCGGGTTTCCCATCATTGACATCTGGGAACATGTGGGATGCTGTTCCTGGCATCCAAAAGTTTGGTTCGAAGTTTGCGCGCCCTCCAGGGCCTACTCCCCTAGCATCCGCATTCGAGAACCCAAAGAAACCCTGGGAGGAGAAGTCAGAAGCCAGCAGTCACGATGGTGACGTAGAGGATGAGGTGGACTCCGATAGAGACGAAGGCAGACAGACAGTGACAAAGGTACGATCTCGCAGTTCTAGCATCGCAACCGCGAGGAAGAAATACCAATCATTTGGAGTGCAGACGGATGCGAGGGAAATGCGCAGCCAGAGTGTGCAGGTTACCACGGAGGATGCCGTTGCAAGGCGGCCATTGAGGGTGCGCACGGCAGAGCGGATCGATGAAGAAGCAGTGGCACCCTTCAGCAAGTCTCAGGGTGCTGCCGCCCGTGATGGATGTTGCCGCGGGTGCTGAGTCGAGCGGCTTGTTGTCCCCTGTTATTCCGCAGGTGTCAACGCCGCGATCCCCCACTCCTCCTCCAGCGGAGGTCATGGTTGGAATAATTCCTTCAGCTATGATAGGTTCTCCGGAGACCCTTTCGCCTCCCCAGACGGGACACCCTGGCGAAACAACCCCGAGAGCAGGAAGGGGTAGAACGCCGAGTCCACCATCAGTCCCCCTCTCCACTGCTTTCCAGTGAATCTCCAACTTCATCTTCTCTAGGTCCTGTATCACCAGACGAAGGGCGGTCTCCTAGTACTCCACCCCGAGCATCCCGTGTTTGGGATCCTGCACGAGGCGTGGAACTCTTCAAACGTGGCTCGGAAGAGGTCCTTGCTCGATTCCTGAAGATCAGCTCACGAGAGGAGTCTTCACGCCGGATTTAACGAGTTTCAAGTATTACGTATCTGTTATGAGCTTCTCTTTCCATGCGTTGTTGATGACGGACAGATCTCTTTCTTTTTTTCTCCTCCTTGTGTACGATCATATGAAGTCTGCATACCCCGCAGCCAATATCGCAACGAACTTGATTTTCCATTATTCATCGTTCTCTAACCGCACTCTGTTCATACTCAGCATTCGCAACCCAAGGACCGCTTGGTCCCTATGACACAGTTTTCAAACTTCATACATTGCTCTAGACAGACTTATGATAGCTGCAAAATCTCGAGTCACACGAGCCCAGTAGCAAGAACCATTTTTTGATTGGTTGTTTCGTGACCTCCAGACCCTATGCCTCTACATTGCCGATGAGCCAACTGTCGAGAAGGATTTCAAAAAACATGGGTGCGTGCACCCATCTAGTCTCCATAGTAAGCGCCCTACGAAACATTATGCTGATGCTAGATCCGATGTGCTACACCCTTACACTCCGAAACAAAAATGCGCTTCCTGGCCATGGACAAATAAGATTACAGCAACGCTCCAGTCCGTGGCTTTTGTAACCAACACCAGTGGCGATGGGAGCAAAAGTTTGTACACCCACAAGCCTACCAAGAAAAGTGCACACTGTGAAGAACAGTGCAACCGGATGGTCGAACATGCCAAATCCAAGGTTTGTGGAGTCGGTTGGAGTTATTTTGATATCTGATCATCATGCAAAAAGCTTCTGAAGTCACCCAAGGTTGAGCCTTGCCTTTGTGATGTGATGGACTTTCGAGGAGGAAATGACTGAGTCAGCTGCTATCAACATCGCACCATCCTTGACTGATGCCTTACGCTCAGCCAAAAACATGTCGGGGTACACTGTCGCTAGCGCTACCCCTATTCAGGATCATTCCTCAGTGATGAATGTCCAACGATGATGGCGATAAGTACGCACCTAAGGACAGTCATTCCAAACAACGAGTGGCTGAATGGATAATCTGTAGCGTAGGGAAAAAATCCGTGACTCATTAGCCCCTCGTCGACACCGAAACTCGAGCTTCAGACCCAGGACGATTCAAAACGAAAAATGTCGCATCCGGTAGGTGCCCTTGCAAATGCGAGTAACCACGGTCAGAAGCAGAGCAAGGTGTAGTTCGGGGAATGGGTGTAATGGAGTGTCCACTGGAGCCGAACGTCATCACCAGCGCATCACCTTGTACTTGACGCGTGACGTCACCGCTATGGCCAGCTATGACGTCATGGAGGGTGCAGGTGTATAAGACAAGTGCGACAGCGACAGTTCAACAAGTTATCATAAGCAACCATGTCGAACATAGTCAAGACAGGATCCACGTTTAATGTCGAGGAGGCTCAGGGCGTCGAGTGAGCATTTGTTATACAGATTCCCAGCTGAGACATTGACAGTAGACTGGTAGGAGAGTTCAGGCATGAGACAACTGCCGCTTACGCGCAGGCCGAAGCACCTGACTCCCGTGTTGCACACGAAGTGGAGGAGAACGCAGAGCACGTTCAACAAGCAGCAAAGAAAGCAGCTCAGGTTGCGCAGGTAAGCATTCATGCATGCATTCCGGCGACAAATGGTTCTAGTAACTCAAATTTAGGGAATGGGGCCTGAACTGACAGGAGGGAATCATACTGCCTTTGATGTCCTCAAAAGTGAATTGTCTCAGAAGACGAACGCTGCAGCCTCAGAAGGGCAGAGGGATCTTCGTATGGCCAAGGATACTAGCGCGAGTTATCTAGATCAAGCAAAGACAATGGTGGAGAGTGTTGTCACTTCTGCTCAGGTGAGACCACTGGTTACATTGCCCCTATACCGGAATGAATGTCCGTTTCGTAGGAGTATCTTCACGGCAGCACAGATCCGCAAGCCACGGCTAACCAGCTCATAGGTTCTTCAACTGGAATAGCCACACCAGCACCCAGCAAGGCAGAAGGTGGAGTCATATCATCATTGCAGACGTCGGCATCATCTGCTGTTGGCACCGCTCAGCAATATCTTGCATCTGCACAAGCCGCCGCACAACCGCATATCGACCGCGCACAAACGAGTTTACAACCACAGGTCGATAAAGCACGTGAGACAGTAGAGGGTTACTTCGGGACGCACTCTAGCACCTTGCCTTCTGACGCGGTCACCCCGCCGATGGAATCGACGGCACGCCCCACCACTGACATGCCCTTGAATGGCGAAGATGTTGCAGGCACGCCATACGTATCTGCGACAACCACCCCTGGTGCAGATGAGAAAAAGCTGGAGTCAAATGTTGCGTAATAGTGTTCATGACTCACCTGAGGAACTGCGTATCCGTGGGCCTTTCTTTATTCCTATCAATGATTTTACCATCTATCGTCTTGAACACCAGTCCACTTTGTGACGAACACATGATTTGAAAGCCAGAAATAAGTCACTATTGGAAGATGAACGCGAACGTCTGGCAACCAAGCAAGCATTAATGCTCGAAATGCTATCCGAATTGCTGATTCATTTTCTCTGATATGATGAGTTTTACATGCGACAGGTGGCAGTCCCATTCGCAACGGAAGATGTCGTCTATGCTTTTATTCTCGGTGAAAATGTTGGATGGGCGACGTCGTCACACTGAGGACCACAGGACAAATGGTGAAAAATAGTAGGTGAATCAAAAGGACGACCAAGTGAACATCTGCAACTCGCCCAGCCCCTCTCCTGCAGGCAAAACATTTACAGGTCCAAAAAATACGCAATGGTTGGGACCTCGCTGGAAGTGTGAGGGGCGGGATTGCCGCCACCGCGCTAAGGAGACTCGTATAAAACGAGAGATGCATGGCGTTACCCTCGAATTCATCCAGAGTTGCCTTGATAACTACGCTGTGCACCATCGTAATGTCAGGATTCAACACTGGAGCCAACTCCTCATGGGACGACATCAAGGAGGACACCAACAGAGCAGCTGAAGAGCATGCAAAGTGCCGGCAATGCGGAGTGGAAGAAGTAGGAAGTGAGGATGGTGAAGGGCACCGATGCCACGTGCAACTTGGTAAACAGGTGCGTTGACATAGGCTATGGTGGCTGAAATAGGCAGCAGGACAAAGGATTCGATCTCAACACTGGTATTGATTCATGTGCGAGTCGTACTTCAATCCAAAGACATTCAACCCATTGAACCATGGGGGCAGGTTTCGTCATGAGCCACGCATCTACGTACAGCATGTGCTGCGATGAAAGGGAGATGAACGAACCAGGGGTTGGTTTGAGAAAACATCAGTAGCTAGTACGTTCCGGCAATTCAAAATTGAGTCCGGTGAGGGAGGGAATTCCTCTGACATTTGAATATTGAGGGGTCCTACCACCGCGTGAAACTGCATGCTTAGCTCTGCGAATAGTAAGTTCATTGCGTGGACATCATCCGAGTTTGTGCTGACGACCAACAGTCAAAGAGCCAAATAATTGCCGGAACCGAGTGACATCGATAGTTGAATTTCTGAGACCAATCGAAGGAAGATAGAGACAGACAATTACTTGAGTGGACTCAGCCACTGAGTTAGCGGAGCACATCGGAGGTGCCTTTTTGTGACATGAGCGCTTACACGCAGCTACAGCAGGTTATGGCGCTGCTAAGGTACAACCTGATCACTAATATTGCACCGAGCTACTTATGTGAAAGGCGAATGTCACTTTCTCTGGGGCACAGCCAAGCGACACTGGATCACACAGCTACCAATCAATCTCCATCGTCAGAAAACGACATTGGAAGGGGAAATTCTGCATGTACTTAGGTTCGGCCTGCGGCTCGGCGAAAAAAACTGTCTACCGCGCACAGCACCACGACATCGTAGTTGCCGCTAGTGAATCTGATTCTTACATTCGTGTATGAACCAGACAACACCCTGGCACCCTCGGCTAAGCCCCTAGCCAGGAGGTATATATATGGCGGCATGTATGTCTGCTTTCCAGGACACGATCGCGATGTCTCTTCTAATTCCACCCCTTCATGAAAGCACTCAGTATGCTATGCCCCACAGATTCAAAGTTGGCGCAAAAAAAACCAAGCCCCTTGTGCTGCCGGCTCAACTTATGGGACATCTCAAACTTCTAAATGCGTTCTTTGCGATGAGGCAAAGGGTAGAAGAAGGAGACGTCCACTTTCCAGATCTTGCGAGGCAAATGAGTCCAGAGAAACGCTGGGCATGGTTTGTGACATTGGCTGTCGAACGGTAGGTGATATACACGACTGTCCCCCCATACGAGTTTGACAACTTGACCCTCTAGTTTCGAACGCTGGTGTGGGGCCTATAACACCTATGAACGTCAAATCATATCACCTTCCACCAGTCGATGTTATCATGGTTTGGCACGCTTATCTTCTGAACCCTGGGTATGCAATTCTTGTCACCGTCTTGCTTCGACAAGACTAACCATCACAGTTGGTATGCCGAAGATACACATCGCATCCCACAATTGATGAAACTTTCTGTCCTTTAATGTATATATGGCAATGGATATCGTGCGTGAATAATTTGTTTTCATGAATTTGGTTTATTCTCCCTTTCAGTCAACCGTGGACATATTGGTATCAAATGATCCTGTTCTACAGCGCACCAGCTACTGGGAGACGAGCACATCGACACCGTATGATCCTTTCGACTCTGCCCAGGCCCTCACCCACAGAACGGTCGTGTGCCCTGGGTGTTCGGTGCCTCTCTCTGCCCGTGGGTTTTACACATTCATATTCAGCCACTTGGATGACTCAAAGGTATTTTAGCCTTTCTCGATGAAAGTGGGAGTGGCTACGCACAAATGAATTTCAAATTGGCCTGTACCTGCGGACACTCGATTACCAAAGACACTCTTGGCATTTACAAGTTTGCCAGGAATCTCCTCAGTTCTTCACCAAGAGAAAATTCTTCGCGTAAACTTGATTTATTTGTTCCAGATTCCTCGCAGCTAACATCTACATGATACAGAGGCAGCCTTTATCATGCAGAGGATACCTTCGACACAGTTCGTGCGGCTACAATTCGCATTCGTATTCTTAATATAGCACACTTTACGACCAACGTTGCGACTGAGATCTTGATCAAAGTGAAGGATAATGATCGCCTCCGGCAGTATCTCGCAACCCAGATGAAATCGCGCTTGTCAGTCGTGAACTTTCATCGCCCTGATGCATGCTGACGGCGAAGACCTTACAGAGCAAACAGGATCGCAACTGCATATACAGATGACCGATTGTTCTCAATCGATCTCGTTGGTGCTGTAGGGGAATTTCTTCATCTTCCTCACTGGCAGTAACAAACTTCATTTAGGTTCTTCGACAAGCCTCTTTCGTAAAGAAGATGGTGGACCTCGGATGGACTTCGCCAACATATTTCAGCTCGGACGCTCGCTCACAATTGCTCGTGAATTCAATTATGAAATATCATGGGTGAGCTGAACGGTAAAACACTTGAACCACATTACTCATTTTTTTTTACTCGCTAGGTTCATTGGACTAATGGCGTCTTCACCCCGTGAATTCTTCGTCCCCACGCTCGATATTGATCTTGTCTGGCACACACATCAGTTGAAGGGTACGAAATACCTGACTCACTGCCGCCGTTTGGTGGGACGTTATGTTGACCAGTAAGCTCATGTCAGACGGGCTGTCAAATTTTGAACAGCAACGATAAAGTTGAAGAGGGCAGGCTGTCTGATGCATTCGATTCGACTTCACGTGCATGGATCGTTAGTCTAACTTGCTGGCGTTTGCTGCGTGCCGCCTGACACAATTTCTCTACTTCAGGCTCGATATGGAGTCCCATATATGCAATGTGGATGCCCGCCACCCGAAGACACGATTGGCCAGAAACTGCGACGTATCTTCAGTACAACAGCTCTGCGAAAGAATGCGCGAGGTTCGAAAACAGCAGGTCGACTTGGATGGAAGAGCGGTAACACATCCCAGCGACCATAATGCTGTGCATGTAATGGGCAATGGTGCTTCACCGGCAGCATGCCCAAAAGCAAGACGAAGCCAAATAATTCGACTCACGAACAAGCCTTTCACCCTGTTGCACTGACAGGTGGCGTGAGCGCCTCCAACACTGGGTGGATGTGTTTCTGATTTACACCACACCGTCGACAAGTCGCACGGAGCCACTTGCGCAGTGGTATGTATCATCTCTTAGTTGCATGATGCACAGATAATGATCATATTTAAAAGGGAGCTGGGGTCTGTTCCACAACGAGCGCTGCTTGTGGATGGGTGTCTGAACCTTCGCCGTCATCTCTGCCCAAACCCGTCACACGACCTCGCCCTGCCAAAAAGACACTCCCACCTCGACCTAGACCTGTTACACAACCTCGCCCAGCCCCCAAAGTACCCGCCAAAAGACCCATCAAAACACACCGAGGTGCCAGTAGGGTTGATGGTGTCGGAGCCGGAAACTTTCCATTTGTTGTAATGATGATGGGTGCTGGTGTCACCGCCAGCACATGCGGAGCTCCTTCAGGCGGTGGTCCTAGCTGCAGTGGAGGCTGTGGTGGTGGAGGTGGAGGTGGCGGCGGCGGCGGCGGAGGCTGTGGTGGTGGTGGTGGCGGGGGAGGTTGTGGTGGAGGTGGTGGATGTTGAGAGTTCCACGGATACGCAGAAGGATACTATATGCTATCGTCCGACGGTTTAGGCTTGAAACGTTGGACATCCTAATATCAGCTGACAGGAGTAACTCACCAAAGACGCATATAGCTATGTGTATTGCTGTTTAAGTTATCGATTGAATAAGATGCTCAGTTCCAGGATTATTCAAATTTGCTACTTGGTGTCTTCGTTCAACGCAGAGAACTAACAGGCAGGCATATCAAGAGCTCAACATGCAAACGTACTGGACAAAATAGTAGGCTCTCACCCCAACGAGTCAAGTCGCAGAAGAACTTTCAAAGGCGGACGAGCGCGTAGGACTTCATTTTGGCACATCTGATGAGATGCATGAGCCTGTCACAACAAATAGGTCCCGGAACGGCATCGGAACGCCGCGTACCGGGTGAGTTGTGGTGATACACTCGTTCTGACGCAGTATAAAAGTAAAGTTTCGGAAGAAATGCTTCAAGTTTTCAGGAAAGACAGCCTCAAGGCTCCGGAAGATGCAGTTCGCCGGGAACGTTGATAGAACATTTTAACCCTATATGAGTAGATGCAGCCGAACATGAATCACAGCCTAGCGCACGGGTTTACTTGTCGAGGTGACACCATCGCGACTCGTCCAATCCTGTAGCGTTAACGTCACGGAGACTAGTATAACATACCCATCATCTGTTAATCCTTCGCAGTAGGCATCATGATATGGATCGTTTGTTGATACGTATCCTTCGCAAAAATACCGACGTAACATCTTGTAACGTTTGAGAGAAATAACCTTATGGTGTATCGACGCGGAGGACGTCCATCAGACCGGGGATGAAGGTCCCCTTTCCAAGCTGTATACACCTCATTGAACTGTTCAATGCAATCACCATGATGGAGCAGTTCCGTGAGGTGAATACTATAAGATTGGCATCCAATCCACATTGCAGGCCGAGTGACAGCATGGTAGCCTATACACAGGACTCACCTGGGCACCGAGGTAGTCGAATTAGCATCTACTGGCATCTACTGGCATCTACTGAGCCTATCTGTAGGGTTCCCAGTCAGTACATACTAGCTAGAGGCTAGTTCGAGACTAGCAAGTGCTGGCACGGGGTCAAGGTAGGAACCGAATTGGCTGATTATAGAAGGACCGGCGCCGGCTAACTGCGATTGCAGGAGCCGGGTGATAACGATGGACTGATCAATGCACCGGATCTCTCAGATAGATTCTGCCTATATCTACCTGCAATCAAGCTCTCATTAAGCCCCCATCATCATGGTAAGTTGCTTTGCGCAGTGAATGCTGATTATCAATTCATTACATTCCATGTAGGATAGCTTTCATTAATCTCGCTAAGGAGGGTTACGAGACGTACTCCAAGTCTCAGTCTCAGTCTCAGTCTCAGTGTAAGTGGACACCCACCGTTTCATACTGAAGCAATATTTAAACACAACGACAGCCAACGTACACAAGACTGGAGGCCGAGAGTACAACTCTCCCGATAACCGGGGACCCTCCCAGTCTTTCAGAACTTCGTGTATGTACATTTACTTGATCATCGCTCCCGTCGTGCTCACAAGTACACAGACAACTCGGAGGAAGTGAGCCAGCACGTAGACTCTGACAACCATGGCTTCTTAGACAAGGCGCTGTCTCATGCTCACAGGGTTTGTCGTTTCCCTTCGAGTGACGTCTTTAGATCTCGCCTCATCGCTGCGGATTATAGACCGTCCAGCAGCAAGGTGACATCGATGAGGATGGTGTCCAAAACCTCAAGAATGCTCATCACCAGGCATTCAGCTCCGAGGGTCAGGGCCCAGGGGGCATGGCGCCCGATGCGTTGGGTGGAGCTGCAGCTTTCAAAGTGAGCCTCTTTCAAGGACGATTGATATTACGTTCACGACTGTTTATATTATTTCAGGTATTCACCGATATGATGAAGGGCGGTGGCAGCAGCGGCGGAGGCGGCGGAGACATGCAGAGCAAGCTTATTGGCATGGCCATGCAGCATGCCTCCAAGCTCTTTGATCAGTCCGGTGGCGGATCTGGCGAGGAGAAACAAAGCGCCATGAACAGCGCTGCTACATATGTCATGCAGCTTATGATGAAGAAGGAGATGAACAACTTCATCGGTGGCGGCAACAGTGGAGGCTTAGGGTGGTCTCATGGGCATGGTACATCAATTCCTGATTTAATCTTTCATAGCATCTGACCTCTGTCTTCTAGGCAAGCAAGTTCATGTAGATGTGTCAAGGGGAAAGAAGTTGTCAATAAATTTTGTATCTTGGGTGTGGTGCCTGCCCGTGTGTGGATTTTCTTTTGTAAAATTACTAAGTGCCCGTCCATACGAAGTTTTGTAAACCCATGGACTATACCCAATTTTAAAGAGAATATGCTCAGTTCTAGTCGCGTTTCAGATACACCCAGCAATCAGTTCCAATTGCTCACAGCATACAGCCAGCAGGTACAAATCAATACAGCAAAATAGCAACGAAAATTAGCAAAAGCGGGGATAACACGAAAGGGAATAAAAATGAGAAAAGCAAGAGCAGTGTTAAGACAACAATGAGATACAGCATATGTCAAGATGCGCTATCATAGACATGGGATTGCACAGGCTGCATATGGTCCGCTTCAGGGTATTAGATGAAGGGACGCGATAGGGCGCCGCCGTAGCTCTTCGTCATTACTGGATGTTCCGCAGCAATGAGGCCAGGCGTGCCAAAGGTAGAAAGCAAGCTCTATCCGGAGCATGCGAAAATAGAGTCCGCGGATTCCCATCAGAGGTTATGATGGTGTGCGAATGAGACTTGCTGCGGGGGGCGCACTGAAGGCGAAGTCAAACGCCGGTGACTTCAGGATATGTGCATTCCCGAAGATGCTTGAATTGAAGTCCAGCTGCAGTCCCTCGGCCGGCGAGGGAGTGCCTGCCAAGGCATCGCCAAACAGATCGACCATATTTGAAGAGAAATTGAATAACGATGCTGGGGGAGACACAAGTTGCATGGGAGGTGATGGGGATGATGGAGGCGGTGTCATGAGGCTAGAGGAGCTTGACGTGGAGCTCGCGCTTGAGAACAGGCGGCTGTGCGAGGAACTCTCAGACCCGAATGAAGATGAACGCAAAGGCGACGATGGCGAAGGTGAGGCGACAGATGCATCTGAAACAGCTGGCGTGATATCCCGGTGAGACGTGGGATTCCCATGAGGAATACGCCTCGGCAACGGCGCCATTTTCCGGCGGCGGGCCTTCTGCCCTATCGGGGTCTCGGAGGCCCCGGGTACCAATGTGATAGGTCTTGATTGCGGACTGGGAGTGTTGAAGACATGTCGACGAGATGCGGTTGCGGGAACGGAAAGTAAGGGAGGACAGACAGGCACGACATGCGGAACTATCCCCCGAATGAGGGCAGGGAGAGGTGCAGAGAAGGGTATAACCGTAATGGCAGCTACAGCTGCAAATGAATCGACGTTGCCGCGTGAATGGGCACCGGGATCATCTAGAATATTTATCCTCGAGAAGCAGTCTACGAGCCCATCAATGTCGGATGGAGGACGTTGAACAACTGTGTTCATTGGGCGCCGGAACCATTTCGGCACACCAAAATTCGTCACGCCATTCCTGGACGGGAAAGGATCATACGAGCACGAAGGGGGATACGACGATGGAAATGCGTGCAAAGGTGCCAGGGACTCGAGTGGGTTGCGTTGGCTGTCCGTGACAATAAACTATGCAAAACCTCATGAATAAAATGAAGACCACGGAAAATACTACACTCACCACCTCGTCGTCGAGGTTGGTAATTGAATCAGGAGGACTGGAATGCGATGTGTGCGCTTTCTTTTCCTCTGGTACAATGAATTTCTCCATACGCTGGTACAGGTTATCCAACGGAAGAGTGGCACCCTCAGCCACTGGCTTCTTCCTCAAGACTTGACCTTCTTTCTTCATTCTGTTGCGCCTGTTTTGAAACTTGCGATTTTCAGTACCAGAACCTAATGTAACCCAATAACTATTCGTACCCAAACATGAATCTGACGATATGTCATTGCCGATTTCTTTGCAAGAAAAGCCTTGTCTGCATGCGTTGGGAACGGGTTCTCAGCGAAGAAGTATTCCAACAAGGGAACATATTCCTGGTACGATGAAATGCCAAAGACTTTACGAAGGGTTCAACGGGCAAAGGCAGGACACAAGACGTACATGGTTAAACTTTGGTGCACAACTTGAAGTTCCAGCCCTGTCGCTTGTTGATGAATGTTTGAGATATAATATGACACATTGTTCTCTCCAAGAGACGAGTTGTTTGAGATATATATCGGTGAATACGGATAGGACCTTGTGATCGGGGGCATAGCCAAAATTGGACGAATACTGATTTGAACATATCTGCATTACAGCCGAGTGGCAGAGAGCCCGCAAGTCAGCAGCTCGCTTCTGATATGCTTGATCTATTGCTAGTGAGATTTTGGGACAGGCTCCAGCAGCCATAAGAGCATGTTGTATTGGTGGTGCGTCAGGAAAGGATAACTTAGCAATAGGAAGTTGTCGTGGTGATTGAGACGCGAGCGAGCACGACGATGTCGAGATAGAGGAAAGAGCGAGGTATTCATGCGCACGCTGCATGATCTGCTTTAAAGTCGAGCTCCAGTCGACAGAAGTCATTCGAGTCGTCGAAAATGTTGGATTCGAGGTATATGCTCGACCCAAGACTGGCCAGGTTGAAGTATATCTGGTGAACAATGAAATGATGTGTTTGTAAATATTTGATAAATTGCTTGAGCAAAGCAAATTGAAGTCCCGCATTGTCTGGGATTCCAAACAAATATACATACATATGTATGTGTGAAAACTCCGCCACGATCTCATCTCTTTCACTCAAACTACGATGGACGAAGACATACGACAACGTTTCCAACAAGCAGAGGACACCCTCATTGATGCAATCTCGCTTGGCGAAAACTCCTTGATGTCGTTTGAGTCATCCTGGAGTTTGTTGCACGCAGATTTTTCCCGTTGTGTAGAGGCAGGAGAACTATCCGACGACACTATATCAGTTGTCAGCATGGTGTCCTCCAGGGTTGCTATCATCGCGAACTGCTTCTCTGATTTACACAAAACACATGAAGAATTAAGGAAACAAAATCTCGATAGTCTAGGGAGCATTCTAGACCGCCTCAATCGTGTCACCATTTCACCTCCATCAATGCTCACAGAACAAAATCCACAATCACCGGAATCTTCCTTACCCCCATTCATCGAACCAGCATACAAATGGCTGCTCGCTAACATTCATAACCCTTATCCATCTTCTGATACGAAAGCAAGTATTGCTAGGAGCTCTGGATGTTCCTTGAACTCCGTTTCTGTTTGGTTCGTCAGCGCTCGCCGTCGCATCCACTGGACGACCATTTGCCGCAAACATTTCAACAACTGCCGAGCTGATGCCATCGACGCTGCTTCTCGTGCCCTGGTCAAAGAAGACCCTTCCCGTGTCCTTCCACACACAATCTGCCACGACTTCCTGCAGATGAAGGTTGACGCACAGAACCTTTATGCGTCTACTTTCACCAAGAGCGCGCTTGCAGGTGAACTTGACGCAGTGGTCAAGGATATGACGGAAGAGGACAGGTTGCGATTGGAGCGGGAGAAGAAGGAGCACGCAAAAGAAGAAAAGAATCGACGCGAGGAAGAGAAGGAGATGCGGAGAACGCAAAGAGCGCTTGATAGGCAGGCCCAAAAGACGCTTCCAGCTTTTGCTTCATACCCATCTCCCAGTTATTCACGTTCTCCATCTCCAGTTCCCACTCTCGAGGAATCGTGGACAGACGAGAGTGAAGACGAGGAAGATGATATCAATCCACCCATTCTCGCTGGTCGGAAACGGCGTGCCTCTGTGTCGTTTGAATCAAATGATTCGATAGAGCCTCTATGTGTGGATCGACCGATGAAACGCCTCCGGTAAGCTGTCATTTTTTCTCGCAGCATGTAACACTTATCAACATCTTTTAGGTCTAGTGCGAAAGTCCCGACCCCCTTTGCGGAGACTCCTGCCTTGCCGTCTCCGCCATCAAGTAGCAATGGTTTGGACGGCAACGATGAATTCGAAATTATGGCACTTTCTCGACCGTCTTCAGAGCCTTCACGAAAGCGAAGGTTATCAGATGCCGATGCCGATGCTCACGCTGGGCCCAAGCGTCCGAGAGGTCTCCTCGTGGGACCTCGTGTTCATGCTGTATCTGATCCTCTTCCGAGATCTTCCGCTCCTCTCGAGTCAGGCATCGATGACTGGTTCCACACGAACTTCTTCGAGATTCCTGGTCCAGTCGAGAACGTTGGTTTCGATCAACTTGCGCCCCTCGACATTGAAGTCTTTAGCGGATACACATTCCCTGAAACGCAATCTATTTCATTCCAACAGCCCACTCAGCAAGATTTCGTTCAGCCCACCCTGGTAGACCGTACGTGTCCTGTATACCTTACTCTGAAATCCTTGCTTATTGTCGCACAGTTCCATTGTTCGACGGACAGGTCGCTAATTTGGAAGTTCCTTCCCACGCCTCCCTTTCCCCTTCTCTCGATCACCTGGACAATTTGCTTGACGTGTTATCTACATTTGCCCCTGAGAATTCCGGCGAGGCAGTTCCAGCTTCCACCGGATTCGACACCATATCTCAACCCTCTATCAACCTTATGAACCCCGTGCCTTCTGATGATTTTATCTGGACAAATCTCTTGAATCCTGACCAACCCTTCCCGTCCGACATGGATCAATTCTCACTGCCATCGTCTTGCGATCCCTTCCCACAAATATTACCAGAGATTGATCTCTCTGCGCTCCAGCTCCCCCCGTTGTTATTTACTACGCCACAACCTGTGATTTCCTCACCTGTTGATTGTGCTCGCTTGGCGAAGCTGGAGCAACTCCAGCTTCTAAGAGAGCACGCACGGCTACTGGAGCAGGAACTAGCGGTGTCTGTGTAAGTGTTCTCGTTCTTTGTTCGCTGCTTTGTTTGCTGATTCCGGAGTTAGATGATCGTCAATATGCTCTCTTTGTTCGTGCTGTCCATATGCTTTATGCGGTCTACATATTATTATTCATATCATATCATATCTCATCATCGTGCACATCGCACATTGCATAACATACCCTACATCATGTCTCAGACAATCACGCATTTGCATATGTTGTTCTTTTGTTGTAGTTTGTTCTCCTTCGCTTTTCATTGCTCTGTATGTACCGGAATCAATCGAAACAAATTTTCGTTGTAATTGATTGTGCTCTAGGATCTAGTTTGAGAGAAATAATGGAGTGGTGAACAAATTAATGTAGTATGAATCCTAATGTCTTTCCGGAACGATACCATCTTCCATCCTCCATCTACCAACTTCCCGCATCGCCTCTGCGTCACCCACCTCGAGCTCAGGTGCATCAAGCAGCGCACTGAGCATTAACCACGGGTCCTTCCCACCACCATACCTCAGCACCTCTTGCTTATATTTGTCTCCCAGCTCGCGGTTGAGCGGGTCGGCAGAGAATATCTTCCGCCACACATGGGATGCAATAACGCGATCGAATAGATACGAGTAATACGTTGCACCATAACCAAAGAGATGCCCAAACTGCGTCTGGAACGACGTCCCAGGTGCATGCGGGATCAAACCACGAGTATTATACAAGTTTGCAAGGGCCGCCGTCGAGTCGAAGCCTGACTCTAGCACGGCGGGGGAGTGGTATATCTGGTCAAGCACAGAAAGTAAGATGTTGTTATGGGTATCGATGTACCGGCAAGGATCTTCGTGGTGATTTCCTGTTTGGTTGATGATAGAAGAGCCGTCGGTGTCGAAGAGGGAGAGAACTTTGGGGGAGTTGAGGAAGTGCTCCATGAGGATTGAAGGCAGCTCGACAAAGTCGGTCGCACAGCGCGTCCCAGCGACATTGTGGTACTCGGTCCGACCGATCATGGCTTGAAATTTGGTATACTGTCAGTGATCGTGATATAAACGAAAATGAGGAACTCTCACAATGCATGGCATGTCCCATTTCATGGAACAAAGTCTGAACTTCATGCCATTCAAGAACGGTAGGGCCCCGAGCAACAGACGGCGGTGCAAAATCGCAAAGCAGGACTACGAGTGGTAGCTGGAACTCACCATGCTCACCGCGTAGTCTGTGCCGCTTAGTGGCTTCAAATTCGACAGACGGGCGAACAAATTCATCTGTTCCTGGTATTCGCAGGTCGCCAGCTTCGTCGTCATCGTCCGTTCGTCTTGAGCATCTGACAGTGTAATGTGCGGCTCCGCATGACTTCCCTCTACGGGCGAAGAGATCGGCATATATCCAACCAACGACGCCTCTATCTTCGTCAACCACTTCTAATTTGTGCACGTCAGAGTGCCATACTTCACCGGAGGCAACATCAACGGGTCGTAAGGTTATTCCATAAAGGTGTTTAAATAGTCGTGAAAGGCCCATAAATACCCGGCCAAGTGAAAGAGGGGGGAGAGGAACTGGTGGTGCTGGTGCTTCGGGTGGGCAATAATAATCTCTATCCCATGCCTGGATAATAGGAAGGTTTGTCGATTTAAGATGCCCTTGCTTCCGCAGACTTAATGTGTGCAATGCATTGCGAGCAACGAGCGTCGTGTGATCCAAGAAGGTACCCAAAAAATGATTGACATTTTCTACATAACTCGGATATCAGGACGGACGGACATACCACCACACGGAATCGCTCACCCGGAGTTTTCGCCATCTTGTCGCTGAGCGTCATGCCAGCATAACTGTCCCAGCCTACCAGGCGACTCAGTTTTGCACGCGCGTGTAGCAACCGCTCAAGGCGTTCAATTTGCTCTGTACTGCTCGCGTGACCCGCTAGGTACACCTTTCTTCGTGGTTCTTCGTCAGGCGCCGCACGCATGATCATATGAGCTTGATGAGAGCCCGGATAAACCAGCAAATCCTTCTGCGTAAAAAAAGCTTGTCTTTGAAGACGAGCACCCATTCCTCGGTCCTTCAAACCTTCTAGCTCGGATGGCTTGATCTTCACTGGCGGTCGTGGGGCAGAAGCTTCCGTGACAAACTCATGACCCACAGAAAGAATCTCGGATGAAAGGGATACAAACCTCTCCCTTTGTTCTGGGGGAAGTTTGATAGCAGACTTCTCGAAATCACGCCAGAATATAAGTGCAGTTTGAAGTGCCTCCTGACTGAGGGACTTGACGATCTCTGGGTCGTGTAGTACAGTGTGCAGCACCTAGCAAAGGAGGTGACATCTTGAAAATATGTGACAGTGCATGACTCACTTCATATAACCCAACATGAGTATTCAATACGTTCATAAACTCGCACAACTTCTCATAGCTCTCCGTAGCGCAATCTACCCACCGAGGATCAGGATGTGCATTCCGCAAGAGCTCTGCCAGGTCTATAACCCCACATAGAAGATCGCTGAGTCTGTCCAGATTCTTGATCACCTTGAAGAGCTCGGACCGGGATTCCCTAGCCCGCAGTATTCGCTCTGTCAGGAGTTGCGCGCGTACGAGAGTTGAATCAGCGAGCGCGCTAAACGCAGCTGGCGTTGTCAGCTGAGGGTGCTGAAAAATACCAGAAACGAATAACGGTGAAGCTTTCTGCCCTGTCTGAGGTCTGTCGAAGAGAGAGACCAGTTCTGCATCGTCCGAGGACGGAGGTCTCACCAGAGTTGATGCTGTTCGGCGAGCCAGACGAAGTTCATGAGCGCGAAGATAACCACGAAAGCTCGGTACGGGTCGAGATATCTTCTGGAGAGCATTCTCCGCGATTCGTGCAATCATCTATCGAGGGCGCTTGACGTAGACTGGAAGCAAAGTCCGCCAAAAGCTTTCACGGTTAGACTGGTCCGGTACTAATTGCACCCGCACAATTACCTAAAAATACTAGTCGAATCACACAGTTGGTCTTGCACTCGCCTCGAAAAATAAATTCCTCGACTATTGGTTGGATGGTGGTCAAACTCACAAAAAATCAGTGTCATAATCGCTACGAGAAACCAATGGGGGTACAAAATGAAGTGATAAGTTTGCCGTGTCTTGGAAAAAAAAATGAATAGATACATAGTACAGATATGGAGGATCAAACGTCCCCGCTTTATCATCACTGCAAGACCTGCATAGGTCGGACGTGTATGGGGAGTAATAAAATGAACGATTAGACTAGGCTGATCAGTGGGTGAGGCTTTGTTGGTATGTGGAATATTATGGAGTGCGAGTAAAATGGTGAAGACAAGAAAAAATGCCAAGAGTCGAATGAAGCGATGAGATAGAAAATCATACACTCCGCAGTCCTTCCAATGCAACTGGCGATAAGCTACTCTCTTTGTGGTCGTCGATGTCCATCACATCTCCACTGCCATGTGTGGGGACCGAAGCGTTACTACTGGTGCCGGAGGGGCCGGTATCTCCGTTGTGTCCATGACCGTTCACGGAGGTCGAACCACTGCCACCAGGTGGGAGGACGTCAGAAGGCGCAGGGATCGGTTCCACGGCATAGAACCAAAATTTGCTCTTCTTTTTCCCTCCAAGCTGTTCAACTGCAATCTCAGTTGGTTTGACAGCTGCTGCGCCGTTCGCTTTGGTCTTCGAGACGCCGTTTGAATTCTCGGCTGGTAAGGCTGGGGGCAACCCTGCAGACGTAGAACTCATCGTGCTTTCCTCCGTTCGCGCACGTTTTGATGGGCGGTCTATGGGTGTCTCTTCAGTAGTGCCAAGACGAGTCGACCTCCTTTCGCCTCTCCATTCAAAAGCAGACAAATCAGGGGAGGATCGTTTGGATTTTGTGGCACGAGTGGATCTCCGCTGTGCAGTCACCTCCAACTGTCGACGGCCATGTGATCGGGAGCTACCAAAGTTATCCTCCGCAAATGGCTCGTCATCATAGTCGTTGTCCTCTTCAAATTGATATTCATCAGCGTCATCCTGTTCGTAAAATATATGAGCCATCGAAATTAAATGATCGCGCCAACCACTTGCCTCTCCACTCTCAGCGTCATGGTACACGTAGTCGGGCCGACGGGTTTGCCGTCGCGTGCGGGTCTGTCGAATTTCAGCTTGCGCCAACAGTATCTGGCGCTGTTCTATCTTCTTGCGGGCCCTTTGTACACGCTGAATAATCGGTAAGCAAGCAATAGTAGGATCTATCTGTTATTTACTACCGATCAGAAGGACAAATACTCACCGCTAATTCTGCGTCAACAATGTCTATCCGACTTTCAAGTGCCTTGACGAGTGCAGTATGGGCTTGTTCTAGCTTGTTTTTACGATCGCCTTGCGGGGAAGATGCTTTCAGCTTCTCAATCACAGCAAGGTACTCTTCACGCGTTGAAGAGACCGTCTGGAAGGTTGCGGTTATTTTCCAGGGGTTAGTTGAAACGTATATCCGCGGGGAATCTAAGATAGATTAGAACGGGAGTCAGCCGGAAATCCTTACAGACGGCTAACGCCGGATAACATGGGGCCAAAAAAATGCGGCCTCGCACCAAATACACGCAAATAGGAAACAGGGCGAGGAGTATGAAATGAAAGACGCACGAACCATCTGCAACCCAATAGCGCTTGCGTTGTGCGTCCTGACCCAATGGAACAAGTTGCAGATTCTGCTGGCTCTTGGAATCATTGGATTCAGGTGGGGCAGTTTCGGGGTCTTTCTTCTTGTGCTTGTTCTGCATCACGCCCCACGCGCGATCGACAGTATTCTTTATGTCAATGGAGTGCGTAAGTTGCAATTCCACCAGCTGGCGAAGAACTTGGAGCTGTATGGGATATAACGTGACGCGCTCTCAGGGGTAAATTTTACAGCATGGCAAGACAATGACTAACTTTAAGATCCCAATCGGCTGCGAAAAAGCCGCCTTCCAAATCGGCAAAAGGGTTCACATTTGCCCTCAGTTCATCGTCCCAGAAAACAGTTCGCTCCGATGTCTTGAATGTGTCCGCAAGGACAGCATTCAAAGTTGCAGAGATATGATCAAGACTGACATAAGTACAAAGACGGTCAAACGTTCCTCATGCGTGAACGGGTTATTACAAACAGTGCTCACCTCAAATTACGCGTCTGCGGGCGCAAATTCAGTATGAACTGCTGTAAAATCTTTTGTAGTATGGGATCTGGGCCATGCGTCAAGAGGGCATTCTCAAAGCTATCATCGGGGGAAATCGCGTGTTCAGTTGACGCGAGTGAGGTGCATGTAGTGCGGGTGTGTGCTCACTCCATCGGTGTTTCCAATCCCTCCACCTTCGACCTCAGATTCGTGAACTTGCATATGAACGAATACACAAAAGTGACTCCCATCTATCGGAAGGGTGTTTGGCGTTTGAGGGAGGGCAGATGTGCCCTTTCTTTTCTGCCTGCGGTGCAGCAGACATGATGCAGGGAATGAACGTGAAGGAAAGGGTCAAGAGTGGTCACGGATTTATGACCCGCATCATCCGTGGCTACTTATATCAACCCAACCTAACAAATATGTGGCAATAGTGGAACCCCAGGCACTTCGCGTGTAAAATACATGAATTTCAAGCTGTATACAAGGACATGATGGTATGAAGATAGCTGTTGTTCGCCACTGAAATTCTGCACCGCGAGTCCGCACAAAACCACGGTCTTGGACACGAACGCGGTGCTGAACGCGATTTTTTTGCAAATATTATCCTGGACCAACCTATTGAATGCCGTGAGAGTTTGCACGGACCATCTGAAATTGTACTACACACCTTGGGAATGTCGTGGTGCTCACTGAGTGACTCGAGTTTAGTATTCAACTCGTTGACGCGATCCTTGTGCGTCTTGCGTGCCAATCGAGAAACTTTATTGGCAAGCTGAGCTTTGGCGTCAATAATCTGAACAGTTGTCTCAACCGGAACACTCACCCTGCGTCGTTGCGCTTCCTCAAAACGTCGCTCCGCATCCGTTTTTCTGTCATTATTCCCAGGTAGAGCAGGAGAATCACGGTTGCTCCCCGAAGGAGAACCATTAGCAAGTTCTGCGTCCTCTTTGAATAACAATTCCTTCACTCGTTCACGCTCGCGGTCCTTCCCATTATCGGATTGCGAGTTAGATTTGGATTTGGATTTCTTCTTCCTGCGTATCTGTCAGGTGCGCTGAATGGTAAGGACAAATAGCACATACTTCTTGACAATTCCTCCCTCAGCAACGCCGCCCTTGAATTTGAGTGAGCCTCCTGGGCGAAAATCGTAGTCCGCCATCGGAGGCTGCCTCAGCAGATGACGAGGAGAAGCAAGGAGGTTCTGCTGACGTAAGGAAGCCATCGTGCTTTGAAGTAAACAGCCACAAATTCGCAGTAGTTTGCCCTGCGACATTGGGCTCATTCAGTGCAACAGGTTCAAGGACGCTCTCGACAACGGCCGCGGTCTCTAGCACACTCTCGTGAGCTTTGATTATAACTGGGATCTTTATTAGCCATACCCGACGATCTTCCCTGATTTTGATTTAACGTGTCGCAATGGCTATCCTTTCGACACCGCTGCAATACATCAATTCTGTACCACCAGTGACGCGTTTTTTCACCGTGGCCACCTTAGCTTCCTCGGCATTGTATCTTTGGATAAAATGGACAACAGATGCTCCCTTGGTTCCCTACCTGACAATGGTACCTGGAACAAGCCTATTCTTTCCTTGGACACTTGCAACCTCAGCCCTGGTCGAAATAAGCGTCATCGAGGCAAGTATTATTCTATTGACGAATATATTGATGCTGAACATGGCCGAAAGCTCATCATCTCACTTCTTGTCATTCCTGCTTCGTTAAGTTATTTTGAGCGCCTGTGGGGGACTGTCGAAACTTTGAAGTTTATTGTCGTATGCGTGACCGGACCGAATATCATCGCGTTCGCCTTCAACTGGATTGAATTCGCTGTGTTGCGCAATGCCGAGTTGTTCTTGTAAGTTTCACTCATATCTTTCAACGGCAGTGCCTCACCCTTGGACTATGCAGGTATGGCATGGAGTATCACGGTCACATGGCACTATTTATCAGCCTGCTCGTTGCATTTACTCAAGTTATCCCCGAGCACCAAGTTCAAATTTTAGGCTTTATCAAAGCTCGCGTCAAGGTCTTTTTTTTTTGTCCATCACTATCGGCGATCTGACCCTGTCTGTAGACGCTTCCTATGGCATACTTGACTTTTTCGACCATTATGACAATAATTGGCTTCCAAAGCCCATATATTCTCATTCAGTTTGGCTGGTTTGTGTCGTGGATATACCTCCGCTTCTACAAGCGCAATGTCGGCGACTCCTTAGGAGGGGCAGTGACATATGGAGATCGGAGCGAAACATTTGCTCTGACGAGCTGGTTCCCTCCATTCCTCCAGTGAGTATCTTATTTATTTATTTTCTGCAGATACCAATTTATTTTCTAGCACGCCGTTATCAGTGCTCGGAAACACTGTATTCAAAATCGCAACGCGTTTCCACCTTATTCCTACTTCTGTGCCTCATGACATTGAGTCCGGAGGATATAGCCAGGTGCCAGGTGGAGCTCGAGCCGAAGCTGAAAGGCGACGGTCCGTATTCGCTTCTATTTTCCATCCAATCGCGCTAACCCTTGCATACAGGGCACTTGCACTGAAGGCACTTGACCAACGGCTGGCCAACTCCTCCAGTGGTTCGCCAACCCAGAGTGGAGCATCTCAAGCCCAGTCTTCTCGACCCTCACCCGTTGTGCCTGCTCCGGCACAAAATGAAAGAAAACCTAGTCCTGTAGAGATGGACGTGGCCGACACGTCAGGCTCCGACGATGAGAGACGATAGTGTCCGGCCTAATGACCAGCTTTAGCAGCTAATATCCATGGAGCACATCTCACCTCGTCGTTTCTATTCACACTTTGTGAATTACATAAGTTGCAATATATGATTACGTAATATACCAATGCTGTTTGACCACGACTGCTTCCGCTGAAACATCTCGGACATAACAACCTTGCAAGCTGTCTGTATGGCTCGGCGACCGTCCACCGTATCGGTCGCATCCTTTGCTTCGATCCAGAGTCTTGCAGAGTCGTCTCACTCAACTCCAGCAGCAACATTTGTACCGTCTCCTTCAGTACTGAAGTTTCCTCGTTCAGTCTCGTTCACCCATTCCTCGAGCCCGCAATCGATCAGGGTGCAAGATGAGACTGTGAACATTGACCCAGATGATCTGTTTGCGAAATTTACTATTCCCGAAGTGAGGGGGAAACAAGTTCAGCTAAGGTGTGTTTAATGGCCCACCTGTGTCAGTCGCCTTGGCTCAAACAGAGACCTCAGATCCGATGCCGAGGCCAAGCAAGAGGAGCTTCGTGTTATGGTTGGGTGCGTGCTCTTACGTGAATGTATTTCGCGTTTTAACTGTACCTTGAAAGCGCAGGGAACGGTATCGCGATCTCCTACAAGCCTCAACGTCCATAATTTCCATGTCCAAGTCCGCAAAACTTGTACAAGAGGCATTCCAGGAGACTAAAGTTGCCATTGTGTCTCAGCAACAGCCATGCAGGGAAAATCGTACATCGAATGTCGGCAAGGAAGGTGAGTACCGGTCTGCCCCATGACATTGCATGACTTCATATTCATATTCCAGACTCGCATTTGCAAATATTACAAGCGCTCTCCGCCCACATAAAGTTGCTTCTTGATGCACCAGAGCATCTCTGGCGACTTATTGAACGAGAAAAGTATTTCCATGCCGCCTGGTTATTCATGCTGGCACGAGTTGTGCATCGAGCACTTTCTCATGATGATGACCAAGATGAGGAGAGTTGGCAAAATAAAGGCATCAATGTCATGGTACATTCGGCACTAAATTTCTTTTTTTGCCTTCTAACGTTTCGCATTCAGGAGCAGTTTCCGCTCATCCAACGACAGTGGGAAACCATATCTCATTTTCGCTCGCAAATTGTCCATAGAGCCACATTATCTCTGAGGGCGTATGAGAAATCACCCGAGGTTCGCTTTTTTGTGTTTGTTGTCTTCTCATGATCTTATGTGGTCTAGGACACCTGCGCAATTATTCTGACTCTGCATATTCTTGAGTCGAGACCTTTGACGGACACTCTGACCACATATCTCTCCCAAAGGACGCGGTCCATGCATATGCTGGTGTCCAAAAATCCAATTATCGCGACACCTCCAATCCCCCATGGCATCCCTACGACACAGAGAAATGGACATCCTGCAGGGGCTTCAAAGCCTAAAGGCATGCCTCTGAAAGACAGACTTCAAGAGGTGAAGTCCTCCGTGCTAATCGCTGTGGAGGTTATATCAAGGACCGTCAATTGCGCTCGGGATGTATTCCAAAGTCAGAGACCCACGCAGCCAGCTCTGGCAGTTCGCGCGCTGGAACAGATGCATACTGAGTCGCCCATCGTGTCTGAGCCAGAGACTTCCCTTTCTCCCGATCTAGCTTTGAGCACCCAGACAATTCTTTCTGGACTTCCGTCGTCATCATACTTCGTCCTCCTTCCAGCTGGTATCAGGTCATACAAACCGTATGTTGAATTATCTTCCGCTTCGTCTTCCGTCCCAGGATACTTTCTGGAGGATAAACTACGAACTTGGTTTGACCAGTCTTGCTCTACACTTCGGGATGCTTTGCATCGCTGGCTACTGGAGTTAGACAGCGTGAAGAGTGTTTGGAATGTTAGGTCCTCCTTGCGAAAATGGCTGCTGAAATCGGGAATGGTGACAACGGAGCAGACGGCACTCGATACTCTATTCGAAGAAGCTGTCAGAAAACGAATCACCGCTATCTGGGCCGATACCATTTACCGGGCGAAGGAGCTGTTCTCGAAGGCATTGGCTTCACTTCCTTCGAGTAGTGGAGTCGTTGTTGAAGGTATGTATCTAATTGCTCTTTGCAGAACGTGATTCCAAAGGACTGCTCGATGATTAGAGTTTTCTCCTCTAAACAGCATATATGTATCCCACTCTGTTCCACCCTCACCCCTAGCAGGAAGTGGATCTTCAGCGTATGAACCCCCATACCAAAAATATAGAGCGGCTGTACAATCACAACTTCGTGGTCGGACACCTCGCCTGCAGACATTTTTAAGTATTCTGGAGGAGTCTGCGGCTTCATTGCAAAAAGACTACGCCCGTATTAGTTCGGATGAGAGCGGCAAGTATGTTCATATATTTGCTTCACTCGACGTCCTTAATCAAGCTACGGCAACTAGGGGGTTGGTTTGCAACCTGGTTGAGGCATATCTCCCGGAGGCGAAGGCTTTCTGTTCTATGATCACCGACGCTCTTGTTTCAACTGCTGATGAGCTGATGAACGAACCAGGTAAGACGACACTGCATCTGAATGCTCTCCCAACTCACCGGTAGCAAAAAGACACCACCAGGGCGATGAAAAGCATGATCTTGCTTAGTCGAGTGGCGATCGAAATATCATTAGCATCGCCCTTCCTTGAAAATATAGGATGTGATGAGGTTGTCGCACTGGGTACGTTGATCGCACTAAGCATACCTCATTGTTAACACCGAACCGTGGTCAGAATTTCGAGACAAAACCGGTTTATTATTTGACCGAATTATCAGCCGGTGGAAGGAGCACACTATTTCTTCTGCTATCTCAATATACGACGATGATGCAAGATTCTTACATCTACCACTTTCTGGTTCGTTTTCTGTTTGCCTTGCATGGCAATTTACTGACACCGTGCAGCATCCCCTGTCACAGGGCCGTCACCAGCCCTGATGGAAAGCTTATATACTTTATCAACCTCCTTGCATAGCTTGGGTCTCACGCACCATCCATCACAACTCATCAGCATAGTGCCATCGCTCCTTGCCCTGTTTATCGATACATTCACCCGCGCTATGCCGAACGGTGATACAGGTCGGAGCCTGCAAATATTAAATGATGCAACGTTCCTGCGATGCCTTGCATCAGCATGGCCTCCTGAGGCACTCGAGACGTCATCGCTTGACAAACTGATCGCCGTCCTGCAGTCAACAGTATGTATCCGTCACCATTGCGATGCAACATCTTAACAATTGAATTTACAGGTGCGATCTTCAAGGGACCCTCCACACCCCGTTCCAGAACAAGCTGCCAAGGAATGTTTGATGAGGACCCAAATGTTACTTTCAGCGCTTGTCCCGCCTTCCTCTTCCATGCAACTCGCCAAAGAAGGTTCAGATAAGATGAGTGCACTGCTGACGTATGGTGTGCCTGTGGCAGATACCACATTTTTACCAGCCATTGAGCTTGCCAAAGTCTCTACTCGGTTTCCTTTACTACTGGTGGAGACTCGATAGGAGCTGGGTGGATGCATGTGGTGTTCGCGGCTATTTCTACGAAGACGTACTTGTTTTTGATTAACACATTGATATTGTGCTCTCAGGATGTCATTCGGCGATTGTCTGCATTTGCTCGTGTTTGGAAACGCTCCTCAAGGTTCGACGCGTTCTGTGAATTTCTTGCACTCCAAGCGACGTTGTACCATCAACCGGGTATAATGTTAGAACGTACGTAAATAACACAGAGTTTGGTCCAACAGGGGACCGATTGCTAGATCCGCACGATATCAACAGCTGCACTGGCTTGATGATCGGATCGCAGTTCCCAGGCTATATACTACGTGGTCAATCATTAGCGGAGCGTCACTGGTCAACCCATTGGTTGTGTGCCGTTCACAAGTCCATTTCATTCTGTGCTCTATGTCTCGTAAGTGGTCAGTTTAGTGGTGAGTCTTCACTGCTAAGAGTCCTGCAAAGACCCCCCACCAGACCTTGACCTTCTCATCTCTGCGTATCTCTTCCTTTTAATAACTGGGGGTCATGTTCTATTGCCGGTCATCATCACCACTGCCCTACTTCATAAGAAGTTGTCCTGGCATCCAACCTTGATCAACCTTTGCATTACTTGGGTGATCCACTCTGTAATACATTGTCTCTAGTAAGCGGTTTCACTTTCGAGATTCCGTTACATGATTACAGCGTTATATATATGCCAGTCTATACGCAAGAGAAGACATGCGTCATCGCTACCGAACGGTTTGTTTGGTGCAAGCAGCTATGGTATATGGAACCGCCCCGATGTGAGTTGGCATTTTATGAGGAAGCCTGGTATATGTCTTACTGTCAGCCAGGGTCGCAGTAGCTGGTCTCGGTGTTGTTATTCATGTAGGCCCTTGTGGTAGCTCTCCTTTGCTTCGATGTCTGACGCAACTAATTGACAGACGTGGACGACCATTCAACATTTTGAGCGCACCTTTGCTGAGAAGTTCCCTCGGTGGCTTTGCAGGTTCCTGGTGAGTACAGGTACAGGGCAAGATTGCATAAATTCGAAAAGAGACTCACTAAACCCATGCAGATAATATCAATCACCGTATATTGTGTTCGCAGGGTTTTCAACCAGTGCATGGATTGTCTGTGGTTTAGCTTATGACAGGAAATCACGTTTTGATGAGATGTTTGCAGTTGATAAAACTACACAACCGCTCCGCAAAGCCGTCGAATGGTCTTTTCTGTACGACTTATATACAACCCCTGTGAGTATACATACGCGTGTCTCGACTAGGGTTTTCAAGAAATAATTGACCGAACTTTTTAGAGCCTTGGCAGCTTCCTGCCTTCTGCGTTGTGATGATGACATTGGTATTGTGCTTTGAAGGTAATCATCACGATACTCGCAATGACAGAGACTGATGATGTATTCTTTGGCAGTGGCTATCACCATCCAATACTACCGTACATGGAAACGAATCAAGAATTCATTCCCGCTCCTAGCACCTAGGCGACCTTCAACCTCACTGATTTTCAGAGCTAGTCTGTTTTGCCTATATACGTGGGTAGCTCTGATGTGCGTAGAAGATGACTTGTGGGACTTGCGATGTACTCATGGCCCACTAGAGCCGCCATCATGTTTTTAACTGAGCAGCCCATGGACGTGAGCTATCATATGGCTCCTGCAGCTCGTGAGGAAATTTCAGTTTCTTTGTGGGAATGCGGCTTTAAGATATCTTTGTTGTACAGTCCCTTTGGCTTCAGCACTCGTGTTTGGACTACAAAAGGTAAGAGAATGATTTGGCACGGACGAGGTCTGATGGATATGACAGGACATGATCTACGCATGGTTCCCTTGTCTGCGTAAGCGTAAGCTGCCTGTTGGATCAACACCAGAGATACCGAATGCTCGTCCTGCTCCTTTAAATCCACTATCACAAGCCACTACAGTTGAACCATAGCAGGCGGAACTCGCGCATGTGTCTCAAGCGCACGCTCGTCATTGAGCGCTACTCCGCAAAGCGATTGATCACACAAAAGTACGGGGTTCGCGTCTCAGCATTTTGCGGACAGATATGCGGCACGATGAAATCCTATCATCAAGCAAGTGACTGCATGGGGTGCATGGATGGAAAAAAAGGGGGATACGATATAGAGTGCCTGTCCAACTAAGCCCGTGGTATACGACACGCAAGAATGGGACACGTATTAACGAGAGATATAGGTTATGCTCCTCCGCTGTCCAGACATAAGCACAGCGAAGCACTTTAAAAGAGAGTAGCACGTACACGAGAATGTTATTTCTAGAATAACGATATGAGTATGCGAAATATGAGGGGCAAGGTGTAAGACGCACATTGGGATGTGGATGAGTTTTACGAAGTATCCAATGAAACCCATGACAGCAAAACCAACAGCGACTGCCCTGCAGATCTGAATGAACTCTGTAATGGCACTTTCAGCACCATGTGTTATAAGTAGATGCGAACCCAGAAAACACCTTTTTGCGAAGGCTTCGTGCAACGTGTAAGAAACTGACAGGCAGGACAAGTCAGTAAGTTTCAAGTTCAAGCATAAGCTTGGCAACACTAACCTGGTTGCCGTCGCGAATGAATTGTTGAGGAATGTCGATGAACTCCTTGAATTGCTCAGACATGGTGGTTTGTAAGTGAGTAATGTCAAAGTCGCTCGACCACGTCTTCCAAATAACTTTCCCACGACACTTTACTATCTTCCAATATTGCAACTTGGTACGGCTGGGCTAAAAACACCAACGGAATCAGACACTGACCGTCCAGATTTTATTTGACAGGCAAAATACAAGTACAGGTACTTGAGCGCGCATGAATGTCCCTTAGCCGCGTTGTTGCTTGGATAGGATATCCTGCATGCTTTTTCGCTCGTTCTGTCTCGAGACCGCCCACCTTACGTCGTGCAGCACCCGCCTTTCGCGTCAAGGAGGACCAGAGACGATTTTTAACTACCAAACACGACCCCTCTCTTTCCTATGTCCCTGATGTCAGCGTCATCGTTGACAAAATCCGGCGGTACATCCCGACAGCAAATGTTGGCGCTTTGCACCAGCAGTTTCACGGCCTATTTCGCGTGTTGAGCGAGGAAGGGAAGGATAAACCCACGGCTCCTCCACTTAAGGAAGAGGATATCCATGACGCGCTATCAATACTAGCTATGTCGGGCAGGCACCATGATTTAGATATGGTGGTGAAAATCCTCACCGACTTGCCCATGCTTTGCGGCGTTGAAGTGGGGGCAAGAGTATACAATGTCATCCTTCGTGGCCTGATTACGAACGGAAATCCACAAACTGTCTTCAACTGGCTGATGAACATGCCCCAAAAGCCGAAAAACATGACGCCTAGCCTTCTACAATGGCACATGTTCCTCGAATGGTGTGCTGACTCTGGCCTGGTGAAGGTTCTCCACCACAGCGTCTCAAAGATGCATCGCTCTGGACGTCGTCCCACCATCAAAACCTTTGAAATTCTATTCAACGCTCTCTTTGACGCTGGTGCTCCAATCAAGAAATTCTACGATGCTCTAGATGTCATGGAACACACCTCATTGACATACGATGAGAACTTCGCGAAACTGCTCTACGATGGTTTTGTCAAACTTGGTCTTGCGGATCGAGCTCAGGAGATGAAAGACGTATATTGGAAACGTTTTAGCGAAAGATCGAGGACGACGGATCCCAAAATGATCGAATGGACAGAGAGCATAGAGAGTGAAGCCGAGAACCGGGGTATCATTGCAGCCGTATCCCTATGCAGGTCGTTGCAGCGAGACGGTTTTAGACCTGCTCCGCACACCCTCACACTTCTCATCCGGCATACACACCGCCTCGACCACCTTCGATACGCGGAAGCCGAACTAAACCTGAAAGCAACCATAATTCAGTGGGCTATCTTGATCAGCAATACCGTGCGTGTCGGCGACCTGACGGGTGCTCTGTCGATCTACGAGGAGTCCAAGGCTGCTGGGATTACTCCCGGTACGCCCTTGATACACCCGCTAGTCAATGCCCTCTGCACCACTTCGAGTACTCTTGATGACGCTGCAATTGACCGAGCATTAGAACTCTACAAGGACCTTGCTGAGGCCGCTCCCATTCCCCAATCAAAGCAAGCACCCAAACTACCAGGGCGCCGACATTCCTCAGGCCCAGATGCCAATCTCTACAACATCTTGTTCCGCGCATTTGGCGCTTCCAAGAACGTCGAAAAGTACTTTCCTATTGCGCTTTCACTCCTCGAAGACATGGAGGCCAGGAATGTTGAACTCGACAGTCCGATGGCCGTTTCTGCCCTGGCCATCGTTGTCATGCGGTGTAGTTCCAGCTTCGATGACGCGTTGAAGGCCTATAAACGAATATCCAAACGTCCCAATGCACCTCGCCTCGACGCAAAAGGCTATCAAGCCATCCTTCACACCCTGACCCGGCTCTCATTCGGAGCCCACGAAACATTACCGTCCGTATGGCACTATTTCGAAGTAGTGAAAGACATGCGGATGGCAGGGGTTGAGATCACGGCGCCCGTGTACACTATCCTCCTCCGGCATCTCGCGCTACTCTCAGCGGAACTGCCACTCGAGGAGCGTGATGCCCTTGCAGCGGCCGTGCGGAGGGTGCATGATCACCTCACACTCGATCCCTCCTTCACGCCCGACACAGTGCTCTGGAACCAGCTGATGGACAGCTACCAGCGCGTTGGGCTTTTCGCGGAGGCGTACCGCGTCTGGGATATGCTCTTTATCACGGGACGCTTCAATCACGCAAGCGTCGCGATCATCATTGATGCATGTGGGTTCGCGTATGCCTGGCCTATGGCTGCACAGGTGTGCCTGAAGCTGACCAAGCTCGGGTTCAAATTCAACCAGCGGACGTGGAATGCGTGGATAGAGTGCATGTGTCGTGTTGGGAAGCTTGATGATGCGCTCAAGGTTGTGTGTTTGGAGATGGGGAAAGACCAGCCAGATGTCGCGCCTGATGTTAATACGGTCAAGGTACTTCTTTCGTTCGCTGCACGGACAAACCAGCAAGATGAGGTGATGGACCGCATCAAACGGTATCTCCCTCAGCTATGGTATACGTTACCAAACGAACTCGACGGATACTTCATCAGACAGCACACAACAGTAGTAGACTCATAAAATGATCGTCGTAGCCTTGTCTATTCATGATGGTAAATACAATAATAATGGTATAACAGAGCGTGTGGTTGAGCATTACGCGTGACAAGTGAGTGTTCTAGAGGAGTAGAATGGCAGCCCCAGACCGAGAAAAAATCTAGTGATGGTAAGAAGCAGCTTATGAGGATGCAGTTTCCTCAACTGTCGGGCAGTCGCACTGAAGACAGGAACGGTAAGCTGGGAAGAGCAACTAGATTGTTTGCTTACAATAAGGTTAAGGTCGCCGTAGGCTGGATGATGCAGATAAACAAATGCCTTAGATGATGCTTGCGAGACAACTTACCATCGTCTATGCGAGAAACAGTTGGCCAGAACTTCTTCTCGCGGAGCCACGGCATAGGATATGCGGCTTCTTCGCGCGTATAAGGACTATGACCTATGCGTCAGTGATACTACGACACCCAACCTTGGGGTAACACAGACCGGTTCCATTCCTTGTCGGACACAACCATGAGGGAAAGCGGATGTGGCGCGTTCTTGAGGAGGTTGTTATCCTTGGGTTGCTTGCCAGTAATGATGTCTTCCGCTTCATTCCGGATCTGGATCATAGCATCGCAGAATCTATCGATCTCTTCGAGTGTTTCGGACTCAGTGGGCTCGATCAGCATGCAAGTGGAGATAGGCCAAGAACACGTAGGCGGGTGGAAGCCGTAGTCCTTAGTGCGCCAGTCAGCAATAGCAACACCCACCTAATTCTACGGACACATACCTGCAACCGCTTCGCGAAATCCGTCACCTTTAGCCCCGCAGCCTTATCAAATTCTGCAAGATCGATGAGCAGCTCGTGCGCAACGCGCCCGTTCTTGTTCTTGAACCGGAGGCTGTAGTGTCCTGCAAGCCGGTGTGCCATATAGTTAGCATTGAGGAGCGCGACATTGGTGGACTCTGAGAGGCCGTTGCCGCCGAGCATCTTGATGTAAGCCCAGGAAATGAGGAGGATGGAGGCACTGCCGAAGGGGGCGGCGGAGACGGCATCGATGGCAGCACTACCGCCGGTCTTGACCAGGGGATGCGACGGAAGGAAGGGCGCGAGGTGCTTAGCGACACAGATAGGGCCAACTCCAGGCCCTCCGCCTCCGTGGGGGCTGTAAAGGGTATATAAGCTGAAGATCAACGCAACTCACCGACTGCACTTACATAGCGAAGGTCTTGTGCAGGTTGAGATGGCAAACATCGCCTCCGCAAACCGCAGGGTTCGTCAGTCCGACCTGTGCGTTGAGATTTGCACCGTCCAAGTATACTTGTCCACCACAATCATGAATAATCTTGCAGGCCTGTCATGCACAATTGAACACTCCAAATTGGCATGGGAGACAAGGATACGTACATCAGCCACGCCATCTTCAAAGACACCGAACGTCGAGGGGTATGTAATCTGCCCTGAAATGAATTTCAATCCTAATTAATATAAAAAAAAATTCACCATGAAAACTGCGAGATTATCTTTGTATTTCTCGGCCTTTGCCTTCAAGTCTTCGAGATCCAAGTTCCCATCAGCATGTGTCTTGACCGGAACGACTTTCAAGCCCGCCATCACCTGCCGACTGTCACCTGTATCAGTTTTGCCACGAGACAGATGGACAGTACGAGACACACCGCGGGATTCGTGCCGTGTGCACTAACAGGTATCAAGCACACATCACGGTGTCCCTCCCCACGGGATTCCTGGTATGCACGGATGACAGTCAATCCAGCATACTCGCCTGCAGCACCCGAGTTCGGCTGTACGGAGCATGCATGGAACCCGGTGATCTTGCAAAGGTCGTCTTCCAATTCCTATCGATAGTGATCAGTGCCCTCATCCCAAGCATATCTTCGACATCACAAACCTTGATGATCTTCCGGTATCCCTCAACCTGCTCGTGCGGCGCAAATGGATGAATGCCGCCGAACTCGGGCCACGTGAGCGGGATCATGCTGCTCGTGCTGTTTAGCTTCATCGTGCAGCTGCCCAGCGGAATCATCGCATGCACAAGACCGAGGTCCTTGCTAGCAAGGTGGAAAATGTACCGGAGCATCTCGGTCTCGCTGTGGTGCTTGTTGAACACAGGGTGTTGGAGGAACTCGGACTCGCGGATGAGCTGATGAGGGAACGCAGGCTCCTTTGGGGTGGGCAGGTCAGCGAAATTGGGCTCTGGGTGCGATGCTGCGATGTGGAATGCGCGCATGATGGATAGGAGGTCTTCTTGGCTCACTGACTCATCGAGGGTAACGCCGACGGTATTGTTGTCGACCCTTCGGAGGTTGATGCCCTGCAGTGCAGCAGCAGCGTGCATGACTTCGGCATTTGCGCAGTGCTTTGAGATATCGATGGTGAGTGTGTCAAAGTAGGAGGACGCGTTGATTACGCGGAATCCGAGGCGCTCGACTGAGAACTTGAGGATCTGTGTGAGGAAGTGCACTTTCTTCGCGATACGTTCGAGTCCAACGGGGCCATGGTATACTGCATACATAGCAGCCATGTTGGCGAGAAGGGCTTGCGAGGTGCAAATATTGCTAGTGGCCTTTTCACGGCGAATGTGCTGCTCTCGAGCTGCATGTGATTTTAGAGAACGCGAAATGAAAGGCAGCGGGGAGGACTTACTCTGCAACGCCAGCCTATATGCAGGGTTACCCATGGTATCTTTGCTCCGGCCAATCAAACGTCCAGGCATTTTGCGCTTAAGCTTTTCTGTGACAGCAAAGAATGCGCCATGAGGACCACCATAACCGGCAGGAACACCGAATCGCGCAGAGTTGCCAAGAACGATATCAGCACCCCATTCACCCGGAGGCCTGCAGAAGTGTCAAAGCAAGAATATCTGTCGCCACAATGACCAGTGCACCTGCTTCATGCACTTGCTTCGTGAAATTGCTATAGTCTGTAACGAAGCCATTCACGTCAGGGTATTGAACAAGGACACCAGCGAGATCGGCGCGCAACGCGTCGTGTTTAAGTACATCAACCGCGTCGCCGACGACGAGATGGATCCCAAAGCCCTTGGCACGTGTCTTGAGAACAGAGATGGTCTGGGGGAGCACTGCCTTGTCGACGAAGAATGTCTTCTTCTTCTGGTTGGACTGCACGTATGCCATGACCATAGCTTCTGCGGCAGCAGTTGCCTCATCGAGGAGGGACGCGTTTGATATGTCCATCGATGTAAGGGACATGATCATCGTTTGGAAGTTGACCAATGACTCAAGACGACCTGGCAGCACCGTTAACCGGAAAAAAAAATGTTGGAATAATTGACAACAAACCCTGGGCGATCTCGGGCTGGTACGGAGTGTAAGGTGTATACCACGCAGGGTTCTCCATGACCTATGGAGATGATCAACACAAGATTGGGGTAGATAAGAGCGTGTAACATACATTCCGTAGAATAACGGGGGGTACGACGGCATTGTGGTACCCCATGCCAATGAAGCTTTTGAACTGCTCGTTCTTCTGTCCGAGCCTTTTCGCGCTTGCATGAAGCTCTGTCTCACTGAGTGCTGGGATGGACGCATTGCTGACAGTGGAGTTAGCAATGCGAATTTTCGGCGGCACGGTCGCGGTGAGAAAAGACTCCATGGAGTCAAAGCCCAGCTGTGAGAGCATGAACTCGGTCTCATTGTCGTCTGGTCCAATATGCCTGTCAGTGAAAGTGTCCAGCGACTCGAAGAGATTTACTGGAGATTTGGCAGTCGCGAGCCCACGAATTGGAAGAACAGAGATGGGTCGAGCTGCAGACTGCCTTAGAAGGGTCGAGGCAATGCGCAGAGTGGCCATGATAAGCCAGATAATGGCTGTTTGAGAGGATGAGTCGGGTGAGTACGGATAAGTGACACTGACCTTGTTCACCGAGCCAGATTTTCTTTCACCGAGTAGGATCATTACTCTTTTGCAGCATCTTATCGGTCTCTGGGAAAATCCTGATAAAGAGTGACGGAATACACGAAAAGCCTACAATTTTCGTACGAGGCATCCCGGCGTTCCTTCAGCGGCCAAGTACCATGTTAGTAGCTGCCAACAGCTTGTCCTATTCATTGATCATCGACCTCTATTTCAATTCCTTTCGATGCTGCTCGGAGACCGCCCTATCCCATTTATGGTCATTTGAAAAAAGTTTTTTCACCTTCGCACGTGGTTATCTAGACGCTCAAGGCTGATAGAGTTGTGCTCATATCCAGTGAAAACCTTCCACAACGGAGGTCGAGGCGGCGGAGTCTGTTGGAGGTGTTGGCCACCACGGAACACACCGTAAATACAGGTACCGAGTCAACCCAACTACGTGTCGTGATCGCACATCTCTAACCTCATAAGAGTCTAGCAAACAATCACAACGGAAGCGGAACCCCGCTGAATCGCCAGCCGGCCCCATTGCATAAAATATGTATTTGACATGCACGACATTTCTTGCGCTCATGACATCAGCGCCAGGCCATCTGTACATGCAACCCGGATAAAACTGACGACATCCTCCGCGTGTTTCCTGTTGTTGATTAATTATTAGGGTCAGCATTCGCCGGGGAACGAGATGCAGGGCAGGCGTACGGTGGGTCTGTGTCATCCGCATCGTGTGCGTTGTGCAATCCATTTTGCTCGATGTCTTTCGAGACAATTCGGAATGCGTCTTTGGCACTGCGTATACCAGCAGAAGAAAGTTTTCCCTCGTAGTAGGCAACTGTGGAAAGAACACGAGCCAGCGCTTTGGACGCGCTATCAGAACGCAGTGATGCCCCACGGTCTGCGGATGTAGGCTGTCCTAGCGATTGTAAAAGCAGCGTTTGCTTCCGAATGACCGCGGAAGAGCGGACAACTTCATACTATACAACCGCTATGAATTCATGACGTACAATTATTTTTATCAACGTACGATGAACTCATGAAGGGCGGTGGGTGTGGGCAAAAATAGGTCCGCTCTGCGCAACGCGAGGTCAAGTAGTCGGATAGTCTGTCGAGGACAGTCAACTTCACTTATGTACAATGAAAATTTTATACCTCTTGAACCAGTCGCTCGATGCCTCCGGTAGTTGCCAGACTCTCTAGCTTGCCCGAAATAAACCCAAGTAAGCCAACGACAGCTTTCCACAATTCGAGCCAGTCATAATCTGAGTAAGAATGCAGTGTCAAAAATTAGGCATAAGCGATGAGGTAAAATGAGCTCACCTAAGCGAATTCTCTCCTTCTGCAAATACCATATGACGCGATGGCACGTCCAGATACATGTTCTATCTCACCATCAATAATTGATCTTGCGAAGGGTCAGGAAAAAAAGGAAACGCACGTAAACGTGTAAACCTCGAGCCGCTTATGCAGATTATGACGCAGCCATAATATACAACAATCTAGAAGTGCGCACACTGGTGCACGCGTGGGTGATGGTACCGGGAGGAGCGGAAGTCTCTATAATCATCTCAGTATCAGTCATAAAATTGGACGTGTACTAACCTGCCGACAGAGCCTGATTGCCTCCTTTGAAGAGGCAGGCTTACAAAAGACCGATATTATACACGTGTTCTCAGATATCACAAGAAGGGTATTCAGTGCAAGGCTTGCATATGCCAAGGTGCGTGTTGACGCCGAAGATGAGGCATGTGTTAACACATAGGATGATAGTGAGAGGATGTTATATGCTAGCGGAGATACCCGTGCGCTGTGTTTGCTGTCGGATGGCTTGGTGTCAGGTGAAGGTACCGTGTCCAATAGCACCTGCGCAAAAAGTGTATTGAAGAAAAGGAACTCGAAAACGGGTAGGAGAGAAACAGTAGCCTCGATAGGTCTGTTTACTCAGTAAGAAGAAGGCTACATGAAGCATTTTAGTTTCACGCACTGATTCTTGAAGAGCTCTCGAGGTGGGTCGAATGACTGCCCTACTAACGCGCGGTCGGGTCGGAGCGAAGTGAGCAAAGCTCCGATACTCTTTGTGAATGTGGGTATCGAATCGTCTGAAATTTCTTGGTATGCCCTACCGCCAAGTCAGTTCAATATCTTCATCGACCACTGTTTACAGAGGCGTACTTCACAGCAGCATCGAGAGCAAACCCCGCTGCCCAGCAAATCTTGCGCATAAGTTCTGTATCTTGCGTATCGCGTATGCGTTGGAGGTATGGATTAAGCCTCGCTGCATCGGATTTGTGAAAATTCGCAAGGATGGAGAGGAGGAGCGAGGCTTCAAAAGTAAAGCGTTGAGTATCTGGAGATGTAATGACCTATTAAAAGCAACATCATTCGCTGCACCGAAGACAAAACCATGAAGCAGTCATTCGTACCTTGACGATGCAAGGAAAGAGATCCCGGCGCAGGAGATACGCGCCCGGGCTTAACTGGCTGATGCTACACGTAAAGACAACAGTTAGTTGGAGAACCTGGTGTCGAAGAGTCTCTAAATCATAGTCAGATAAATATGACCGCAACCGATGACCATCGTTCTCAGAGCGTACCAGGAGCATCATCATCTCCAAGTACATCTGCAATCATCCCTACAAACTCCTATATATCCGCCGGTGAGCCTGCAGTAGAGCTGACGATGCCACGTCGACCGTACCATGAACACCGGTGTCGGCTTCGTTCACTCTAATGGCAAAGATTTCCATCACTTCCCATCCTGCTAGGTTCTTGGCGAGCACAGTACGGAGTATGATAGAGAGCGTGTCGACGGCATGTGAGCGAGTCTCCTTGCCCTTGCGGTCGGCTGCAAACGAGAGGCAGACTTTAAAGAGAGTATGGAACAGGAGCTACTGGCCGAGATTGACCCGTCAAGAGGATGTTGGAGGAGGAAGGACCAGGTGAACCACAGACCTTGTGTGTACTGAGGCACTCGTCCTTGGGAAGTGTGGATAGAAGACGCGTTAGAAAGGCATGGTCGGGCTCTATGAACAGCAGCTCTTGCCAGAAGTGCTGTTCATCGTGTCCAGGAGAGATTTGTGCAGGACCGAGACCCTGTAGATCAATGATGTCAGGACGGACGGTATTACGTGTCAGCGTCGAGTCGCGCCTTGCCTGGAATAGTTTATTGACTGATAGGTCACATATCTCGAGCTGACGGTCCAAGAGCTTCGCGATGCGTTCATGAATTACCTGTACAATAGCGAAAATACAGCTTGAAGTCTCTTGCGTTATGATACACCGTAGTGGTGGTACTTCCGGATGTGGGGTGATGCGCAGCTAGTGATGAACGCTCATGATATTTTACACAAAACAGTTACGGACAACTTCCATACGCTACGACCTAAGTAGGCCATCATACGCCGCATAAACCATTTCCACTATCCAACCCATCAGCGTCTCATCTTTCATCCTCACGTCCTCCATCATCCTCCTAACACCCACAAATGCCCGTCGCCCCCTCCGCTCGCCTTCTAGTTCGCCCCCGATATCCTCTACCACATCGTCGCCATCGTCATCTTCCACAACACCAGGAAACCCGAAGTGCTCGCCATCCGCACGGGGGGCGGTGTCCGTGGTAGCGACGAACGACGAGCGGAAGAGGATGCGGATGATGAGCAGCGCCGTCAGTGCCGCCGAGGGAGGATCGGCGACGGGCTGGGTGTAGGAGATGCTCGTATGCCGTGGAGGAGGGGGCCGCCGTTTCGTGGGGTCTGTGAAGGGGTAAGATTCCCCGTCGGCGGTGACGGTAATGGTATCGTCTTGGGTGGGATGTTTTGCGGGGGGCTGGGAGCTTGAGAGGTGGGTGAGGATATGAGGTCGCAGTCGCAGTTTTGATGTCGGTAGCAAGGGACATGTCGCCCACAGACACGACAGCTCCGGGTTCTCGGACGACTCCAAATGTTGAAGGAGGTGATCGTACAACTCTCCGGGGGCCTCGAATGGCGGAGCTGGACATGTAGAGCGCTCCCACAAGCACTTAAAACGAGGAGCAGCTTCCGTATCTTTTCGCCTGTCTACTCCACGCACGACAAAGCGCTGTGGCGGCCCAGGAAGGACCATCGCCTGCGCCTGGGGAAAAACAACATTGACGTTTTTGATCACGTCTGATGCAACCAGGACGGGGTGGCGATCTGCAAAGGGTGTGAAGACATCCTTGTAGAGAGTCCAAAAATCGACTTGAGTAAGCTCTCCGTCTGGTGTAGCGACGAACATGATTTTCATCCTACGAGCAATGAATGTATGGTATAATACAGCCTGCATGACGTGTACTCACCACTCGTAACAGCGTTGTGGTTCAGGCATGGGAATCAGAGTCTCAAGCTCTTCTTTAGTGAGGTCATGGACTGGTATCACTGTCGATGCTGCCGGGATGGCGCGAGTGACTGCACTGATATCCAGTTTCACCGTCTCTTCTACCTGTTCAGATAGAATAAAACTAACAAGCACGCGGAGGGTGCTTGGCATGAGAGGATGGTGCAAAAAGGCCTTGACCATTGGCGGGTGTGAAAGATGGGCATACAGGTAGTTCAATGAAGCGTCCACTAGCGCTCGGTCGACAAATAAAGGCAGGTAACGTATGGAGGCTGCGAGTGCCGGTGAGTTTGAGTCCAGGCGAAATGTGTTTTGTATATTAGAAAATAGTTGAGCCAAAAGGCTCAAGGCTGAGACGATAAGGGAGCGATTCGACGAGGAACCTGCAATTTGCAGCAGAGTAGGGAAGGGGGCTTTTCATTTTTGAAGTGGGATTTGGCAGAATAATGCTCTGGGATATGGCTTGCAGAAGTTCTATGGCGTTAAGAACAAATTCAGCGTTCATGTCCGTGTCTGGAGCAAGGTTGCTGAGGGCGTTGAAGAGCAAGGGAAGTGTTCGGGGATGATTAGCCAACTCGTATGCATTAGGTTCATTCGTGGCTGAATTGCGGAGGATGAATATGGATTCTAGGGCATGCCGTCGTTTTCTGTCTTCTGTGTCGGGCATAGCAAATAGTTGATACTTCTCTGCCATTAGGTATCCTTCTGACGCATACCATTCCGGCCATTCAAATAGTGCATCTGTTAAACCAGGAATGGTTTTCAAGATGAATTGATCGTTTGCACATAATCGGTATAGCCTATCAAGTGCCCATGCAACCTCGGAGTGTATGCCGGAGCGTATCGACAAGACCATACGATTGCTAGGGTTTGCCTCAGTATACCACCCTAAAGACACAGATAAATCAGTGTAATTTCCACACAAACAAATACCCACTTTCATAGTCATCTGTGACATTTGGTCCTACGCGCTGCACAGCCTGCTGTTGGCCATATTGCCTGTAGACGCCAGGCGTCGTTGTCCGGGCTGGGACGGCCATGGAGGAAAGCTTTGAAGTTTGGCGCACTGATTGGAACGCGCGCAGTCACGCGTCGGTCACGCGTGACGCACTTTCGGTCGTCACACAATCTGTGACAACTCACCATCCCATCGCAAGTACTACTATGCCTTTGATTGAGGTTTGTCCTGCAGTTTTACACGAGAATCACAAACACTTATTCAACTGCAGGTGATTGCAAATGATCGTCTAGGTCGGAAAGGTGAATAATACATCATTCCATGATTAGAATACTCACTCGAACAACCTACTAGTCCGAGTCAAGTGCAGCCCGGATGATACTGTGGGCGATCTGAAGAAGCTCATTGCCGCTCAAACAGGCACAGACTATAAGAAGATTCAGTTGAAGAAATGGTGAGCATTCGGTCTCTTCTCATTTGCTACAATGTTCTCCCTTCGACTGCGCCAACAAATCATCACATATATTCCTTCTTTTTGGAACAAATACTCATCGCATTTTTATTCTTGTCAGGTATACGATCTACAAGGACCATATCATGCTCTCAGATTATGAGATCCACGATGGTATGAGCTTGGAGATGTATTAGGGGTCAATCTATCCTCAAGAGAGGAGAGAAGGATCGCGCAGAAGCAGACTCAGGGCTACGCACTGGTTCTTGTTGAGTCTACTTTCTAGTGTTATCGTCTACAATCGTATCATGTATCGCTCAACACTCCTTGTCAGCATTATTGACATGTATTAGCAGCTTTGTGCCAATTAATCACTTCTTGGAGAGTTATATCATTATTTGGCAAGTCTTCGAACTCTGCTACACTATATCCTTTCTGCACGTAACCCCTAACGGCTCACGGCTCACAACAAGTCATCTTCCATCACACATGCCGACTACCCGGCAGCAACGCTGATGGCGGACGGCGCATAGCAGTCTCATCAATCATCGCGGGTGGTCTGGGAAGGATTGTCGATGAGCTCCCAAAGTTGGAGATACGCGACGTCTGCGCCTTGGTTACATCTGATTTATGTTCGATAAACGGGTTGACGATCACCCAACTTGTACCTGGACTCTGCAATTTCTCCTGAATGCGACGAGCAATAAACGTCGTGTTGGGCGTGCTTTCGGCCTGTGGAGGTTGGAGCTGACTCAGTGTACCTGAACGGGGTCCTCGGGGACGCGCAAGGATATGAGGTTCTATCGCACTGCTCGAAGTTGTCATACATCCTCTGGCGAAGCTCGCGGTGTCACTGAGTGTCCCCAGGACTTGACCGATCTCCTCCTCAGATACGGAGCGGAGGAGGTTCTCGCGGTGTGCGATGGTGCTCTCAGACTGAGAAGGTGGGTAAACAGACGCTGAATCTGCGCTCACGTCCGGGTCTTGATGTTGTTCACCACTGAAGACAGGCCCATCATCGGTATTCTCTGGGTGTGTCGCAACTGTCATATCCCTGGTATATTTCATACCAGGGACTGTCTCGTCGGTCTCTACAATATTTCCGATTCGCGACTTCCGATACCACGGTTCGCGCTTCGCACATTCTGGTAGGGGGCGTTGCTTGCTTTGAGTGCGGAGTGGTGGCGTAGGTGGAGGATCGAGCGAAAGAAAGTTGACGATTCGAATGGGCAGGATGACGTGTATGTCCGAGGAGCACCTTCCGATGCCCACACTTATGCGAAGTGTGTACTCAACCTCGAGCAGTCGCGTCCGGGCGATAGAATGAACGTCGGGCTACAAGGATAATGATGGTTCAACTACTACGCGGTAGTCAGAAAGATGTTCCAGCTTACGGGTATTATCACAGAGTGATCGAACTCGCTCGTCTGACCGGGAGCGACACCTGTCCACCATCCTTTTGCGCTCGCGTGTCCCTTAGCGCACCGCTGTCCCAACTCAAGGACGCTTTCCGTCACCCACTTTGCTTTCGTCGAGGTTTGACAAGCATCCGGATCAGCATCTCCAGCGTCCAAGTACGGTTGGGGCTTGAACACGGTTAGTGTTCGTATCAGCGCGATGGCAGCGCCTTTTACCAATTTCTTGCAGTCGTTGGTTACTCGGAAATGAACGGTGCATCTTTGGCCGGCAACCCAGTGGAATCGGTGGATACGCGCCGACAGCCTGATTTTTCCTGGACCACCCATGAACACCCTGGTGGCCACTTCTGCAACCAGAGGACGAGAGTTTGTAGCAAGCGTGGATATGACGTCTAGACGTGGCCATACCTCGCAGTCGCGGTAGAAGTGAGCGATGGATTGTTTGGATGTTACCGCGTCCTTGACTTTGATCTCTCTGAACGATTATCAGCTGATGGCTGATATAATGCAGAAACTCCAGCACTTACGCCATAGCGACGTACTTAATAGCCACTCCAGAGTGCATGCTCAGAACACCTTTCGCCATGCCGCAGCCACCGTCTGGAGGAAGGAGCATCGCAAATGGAAAGACGTGGACGCCCTCTTGTGCTTCGGCCCAACCATCGTCATCGGGTGGTGATTTGAAGAGACCCTTCCACGATGGAGCAATTTCCGATAGAAGAGCTGAGCATTTGTAAAACGTGCACTTGCTATCTTTCTGCGGTATGCACTCAAATCCGACGACCCTGACTTTCCCCTGTGAAAGAAGGAGTGGCGCATCTTTCTTGGAGCCTTTCTTGATGTGAATTTTGACTGTCCCCTTGAGGTATCCCCCTTGCACGCAAGCCTGGTTCTCGAGTATGATGTCGACTTCCACACGCGTTCTCCACTTTGCCTTTTCTAGCGCAATGGGCTTGAAATCTGTACCAAGATCTCCGCTGCTATCAGCATTGCGTAATCCCGGGCGTGGAGGGACGATTGCCCTGGGTTTCAGTTTGGAATTCGAGTTTCCAAGCAGGGCCTTGATTTCTGGGCTGCTCTTGGCAGGCGTGGCATTGACGTCGAAGAAAGTCGCGCTGTTAGGTAGATTTCCGGTGCCTCCGACAACAATGTCTGGGGCCGAAAGGACCTTTCGGGGTGATGGAGCAAATTTCGAGCTTCCCTCAGGCACAAGACACCCCGGTGCTATGCGTTGGCCAACGCGGTATCCGGATTCCCCTGGTTTGCCGTACACGTCGAATTCCACCATCGAGTCCCCTACTTCCGCTAGGAGGAGACCTCTCATGGCGCTCATTGAGCGCAGTATCGGAACGGTCATCTGGCTATCAGCATCAGCGTTGGTAGGCGGCACAGATTCCTGTTGGAAGGAGCCTTTCAAAGTCGAGCAGGTGTCTGGTCTAGGCTTGAGAGACGAAGTCCGCGACCGAAGGACGATATCAGCGCCTTGAGGTTCGTGCTTGCTTGACATTGTACTTGCAGAGATACAGAGTCGCATATCCCTATGATTCACGATGCCGACGGCTCAGCTTTGAAACCATTTTGGTTCTGACCAGTTTGATTTAAAATTAAGGGCAGAATTTCAGACGCAGTTTCTTCATGAAGACTTGAATTGGAAGTACCATAAATGGAGCAGTGAGCCATCCTGCTCCGAATACTTATGTGAAGTAATAAAAATAAATCCGCCGAAGTGCGTATCTTCCACCTGGGTCTGAAATCACAGCGATTGACCTGGTCACAGATAAGTGTTTGTATGATGGAATATGTGACATACGCATCAATCGTTAGCCACCTGTGGAGCTCTAGTTTCTCATATACAACCTCCAGGACCTCCTATCCAGGGCCTCCCAGTTGCGACTGGTCCATTCCTACTACTACCCCATACCCCATATCCATGATAAAGAAGGAACGACTGTGTTTCTTATCTGCCTACGAGGGGGACTACCCCAGATCCGCATTTGAAAAGTGTTTCTGCTGAGAAAAGGTTAGGTTCGCACCACGAATACAGCTTCCAGCTTCTTGCGGGAATGCCGTCGATATCTCAGCGCCTTTGCCTCGAGGCTTATCGTTAAAAGTGATGGCGTACAGCCGTGTAATACTCCATGTCATATGATGTTTGTGACGGATAGGGCTGGTTGATGCTCCGTTGGTTGATGCTCCGTCATGCTGTGATTAAATGCCACAGTGCTGCGCTTCCGAGTTGCGCTAATCTAATCGACAATAAATTTGCGCTTGGTTCGTACACATGTTGGCAACCAGCAAGCTCCATGTTTTGCTGTGAAGGTTCACTTTCGAATGAATGGGGAAGTCATTAGACGCTCATCCTGCCAAACAAGGACAGGAATTGACGTCAGTAATACACGATGGTGTTCCGAATCCCGACTTGAACGGTTTTGTGGCATAGCTACTAGCTTTTGCCTTTTGTAACACAACTTTGCTGTAAACAGCTCAACTTTGCGTTTTGTCCTCGTTGCAGGCGCGAGGCCTCATCTAAGTACAAATAACTTGCTTGGGCGTCCGTTACTGGTATAAAAACCCTTGTAGATCGTCCAACGCAGTACTCAACTAATCGTCCACCGCAGTCACTCACAACTTCAGCTTGAAATCTCTCCCTTTATTAGTAGTCATCATGTCCTTTGGACTACCACCAGTATCGATAGGTCTCAAGTCCATAGCGCCATACCTCCAACGCGCTGAAGAACTGGTCAATAAAGAACCAGTTGTGGCATACTGGTGTAAGGGTAATTTTGACGTCCGAGTGCATCACATGGCTCACGGAAGTATGTAGGCGCGTACTATGCAGCCCAGCTTGGTATCAATTTGAAAGCGAAGGATACTGCATCGCGCACGCTGCTCCTAAATCTCCTGAACGCACTTGAGCGCCTGAAAGCTCAGATTGGCCCTAACGACGCTATACATATCGAGGCTGCAAGTGCAGCATACGTCGAGAACTTTGCCCTAAGGGTCTTCAGCATGGCCGACGATGAAGACCGCGAAGGTCATGCAACAAGGTAGCTATCATCATATTAATTTCCGGCAGATTAACTCACATTCGATCAGATCAACTGCGAAAAAATTTCTCGCTGCAGCAAATTTCTTCGAGGTCTTGAAAGTGTTTCCAAAGACAGAGATCTCCGATGCTGTAAGCCGTCGTGGCGACATGTAGTCGAATGGCATTTGTCTAACGTACATTCACAGATAGATGACAAGATCAAATATTCTAAGTGGAAGGCAGCTGATATCGCAAAGGCATATCGTGAGGGTAGGAAGCCCACACCAGGTCCTGCTGGGTCGCAGTTTGACCTAGAACCCCTCCCTGCTACCTCCGGCGCTTCTGAGCTACCCTCGGGAGCTGAAGAATCCCAAACCTCCCCTCCAGTGACGAGCCAATCCCCCATATCACCTCAAACTTCGCATAAGCGGCAGTCTCCGAAGATGAGTCCCGATGATATCGCTCGTGCCAATCTCTCCCTTCGTCATGATGATGATATGCTGAGCCCTGGCCGGTGGAGTACAACAGCGACTCCAGGATTCGACCTTGCTCAGGATAGCAGCAGTGTCAGTTTAGATCAGGCAAACAACTGGCATGAAGCCCCTCTCGAGGGCAGAGGGAGTCAACTCCATCAGGCTTGGGTTAGCACCGACATGGAGGGTGCAACTAGCGATGAAGAGCCAGTCCGAGATCCAGTCCTTAACGATTCATCACTCAGTCAGGTTCTATTCTCTCCATCTGCTGATAAGTCCCGGTCGACCCTATCCTCATCTCCACCCAAGGAACGGCCTCTTATATACACACCGATAACCAGAGAGCATGTGCCACCCATTCCTCCGCATCCCGCCATCCCCCCGTCATCCTCTCCACCGAGAGACTCAAAATCGCAAGCCCGTGCTCGCGGTCCTTCTGTTTCGTCTCAAGAACGCATTGAACTTCCACCTGGATTTGTACCATCTAGTCCTGCACCTATGATCCCTATCATTCCTCCTCCACCAATGGCCACCATATTTGTACCTCATTCCCCTCGCATGGCGCCATCGCCTCCAGGTCCCGCTCCAGTCGCTGCCTCTTCGCCACCGAGAGATTTCGAGCTTACGCCCACCATCATTGCCAAAGCGCAGAAGCACTGTCGTTTTGCTATTTCCTCGCTCGATTACGAGGATGCTGAGCAAGCGAGAAAGGAGCTTAAGGCTGCGCTGGCTCTCCTCGGAGATTGAAAATGGTGCGAGGGGTGATCATATTATCCAGTCTAGTATCTGTTTCCTAGGGAAACAGGCCTTTCTCCCTGTAATGCTCATGTTCTTCTTCATCTACTTGTGATTTAATGTAATATAGTAGCTAGTGTGTCAACTATAGGGACGTATCGTAAACATGTTCCCAAACTATGTGATATATCCAGATAGGTAGGAAAGCTTACTTCTTCCCAAGATTGCGATCGATGATGGACTGCGTGGGATGCATGTCCAATGGGTTATCTACATGTTGCGAGTCATCTATAATCGTCGTTACTAGCGGTTTTGCTGAACGAGGGGGAGCTGATGTGGTCGAGGTAACCCCAGGGGTCACACCAGTACCGCGATCGGCAGTTAGTGGGGTATTGAAAGATGTGGTGTTGGTGCGAGAGGATGCAAGATCGAGTACTGGAGTAGGTAGCGCATGAAAGGCCTTGAGTGCGCTCGAAAGGTCGTCTAACTGGCCATCCGATAGTACGATCAGAAAAACGTAGTGAATAGCCAACAAAGTATGTACCTTATCCATAACGGAGTCAATGGCCACCTTTCTCTCTGAAAACCGCTCCGCTAGCCTTGTGAATTCTTCTTCTCGCTTCCTCTTCCCAAACACCTCGTCGTTGCCATCCGATTCTTCTCCTTCGGTCACCTCATCACTCTCCTCGTCATCTTCCTCTTCTCCGAGTGTCCCATTTCTCCTCCTATGCTGCCCTGTTTCGTTCCTGGTGATGTCTGCCTTTCCTCCGCGCTCAGAGACAACCGGTCCATGACCTCGCGCAGTCCGCAAACCGACATTCTCCATGTCGACATGCATCTTTGCAATTTCGCTCTGGAGCTCCAAAATATGTGATAGATGAGACCATAGTTCATCATCAGCACCCGACCGCGCCGGCATTGGTACACAGTCGTGTAATCTCTGACCGGTGGACGGTTCGTACATAATCTCCTTGGCCGGTTCATGATCGGGCAAAGATTCGGAGGTGAACGATGAGGTCTGAACGGCGGTTGAGGCAATATTGAGGGAAGATCCTGCGAGAGCATCTGGACGTAGAGACTGCTGTTCTGGAAGAGTACTTGAGGGCAAGTGTCCCTGGAGGTCGGCGAGAATGTCATCATGCGGTGTCAGAAACCTTGCAGGCTCAGTTGAACGTTCCAGCGACTTCAGGTCGCCTGATGTAGCTGGCAGATTCGGGTTGAGCGCGTCCTGTTCAATTAGGGCAGCATATGTGCTGGGATCACCAATGTGTTTGTGGACATCGGTGTGACCGTCGTCTGTGATGAGAATTGCAGACTCGGATGAATGTTCAGCTTCTTCTGCTGTTGAATGGGAGTCTTTAGAAACGCCGTCTGGTTGGTTGAGAGCCTGCGGATTGCTAGATTTTTTGCTCAGCCATGAGGGGAGCATGGTGCTGCTCTACTAGTAGTAAACTCTTGGTGGCCACACTCAGCTTGACGGCGACTGTTACACTTCAAATTGTGTTACACCGTATTCCCCTAGGACAGACCAAGGTCAGAACTATCTTCCTTCTATTGGGTCTACCTAGGGAAGACTAGTGCAGTGTTCGATTTGCGCTACGACTCCGAATGAGCGTAAAGTGACCGAAATTTGGCAAGCGTGACGTGGTGGCGTCTAATCATTATATCGTACATGATCTCTGCGGTCTACACTGGTCTACGGTCATCGGTATTCAATATTAATATTGAGCTGTCAGATATCTGAGACAGAACATAGTTGTTGATCATTATGCACAGCGTTGTCGTTGCAGGGCTTGGCAGGATAATTTAATTTCCTCACAAGTGATTCACTGATAGTACCGTATTAACAAAACCGACCATCAACCATCTGTCGCTAGTACACCGAAGCGGCCAAAAGGGATTGACTTAACGTCTGCATCCTGGTACTCGGCATCTTCGTCGGGCAGGGTTCCTTCTTCATTGTTTTCTTCATCACTGGCAGAACTTTCGATTCCATCAACATCTGTTTCATCGCCTGATCCCACCTCATCATCTTCATCCAGTGTTTGGCCGTGCTCAACTGCACCGCGTGTGAGCCAGATCCCATTTCCCCCACTGGATCTAACAGCCGTCAAATCGGTACCCGGAGGCCAGAATGCCCACGATATCTTGCCCTCCGCGACCAGCCTCAGAACTACCAATTAGAATTAAAGATTTAGAAACAAATAACATTCATTCAAAAGATACTCACTAGCGTTGCCTGCACGGTGTATATCTGGCCGCCCTGCCTTTGCGGTAACCCAGCCTTTCTTGTTCGCGTATGCGATCATGATCTCTGTCGCTGTCCAGCGCACACCGTTGTCCTTCGCTGTAGGCTGCTTACCATCACGCCAGGTGCGTTTATCCTCAACAAGTGCGGTGTTCGCTGAAGGATATGTGAGACCGAGGATAGTCTCGAGCGGAAGAAGTTGTGCGATTTGGTGGATACAAAATGGTATAGCAGAGACACGGGAGATAGGTAAAGTTCCGCAGAGGACCTGAGTGTCCATTGGTGTGAAGGCGGGCATCACGAGCCCAGGACAATCAACGAGACGGACATCGGGGGTCCAGAAAAGAGTTTGAAAATGCTTCGTCTGATGAAGGAAGAAGCAATTTGAGGTTTCCGTGTTTTATCCACGAAGACTAAATGTTTACCTTCCCTGGAGTCCGCGATGCTCGAACTTTATGGATTCCGAACAGCGCGTTGAGAAGGGATGACTTTCCAACGTTCGGTTGACCTGAAATGAGCCGTCAGCTTTTCAAATGTGTGGAAGCACAAGAATAATGTACCAATCAAACCGACAGTCAAAAATTCTGGCTCCTGCCATTCAAATTGCCCCTCTTTATCGCTGCCTTCCTGGTCTGGTTCTTGGGCATCATCTGCGGTCTCCTCCTCTTTGCCCTTTCCCTTTGGCACAGCTGCACCTCCGATGATACTCCCCACTTTCTTGCCATGGGCATGCAGCAAGCCATCCCAATCAATGTCGCGCTTTACCGGAGGATTCCAGCGCTTTAGCTTGGCCTCATCCGAGCGCACTCGCTCGGGAGGAATTAGCATTTCTTCGTGCACTTGTCGCATCGCGTTAACCAAGTGTTCTCTGAAAGGAAGGGGGAGGTGCGATTCATAGACTGGACGACCTTGTTCGCCCACTTTCTGTTGGTATGCCTCGACTTGCACGATGGGTAGGCCTGGGTGCCGCTTCCGAAGATATGCAGTCCATGCTTCAGCTCGTTCTGGACCTGCAATATCGACTTTTGTGAGAACGAGAATGATCTTTGCTTTTCGAGTGACCAAATAGGACTCGAGCGAAGGTGGGAAGTGGAGCGGTGGACATCTGGAGTCCAGAAGACAAAGAAGGATTTGAGATATTTCTGTCACTCGCCAGCTGCGCACTAACTTGTAAGCCCGAACTCAGATGCGTAGAAATTTGGTATTTACAGTTGTCTCCAAACCTCGAGGTTGCGCTCAAAATGGGTCGGAGGACATGGCATTTTGCTTTGTAGAGTGGTATCAGGCACACCTTGGGCAGTCGACCCTGCACCATTGCACGATGCTACTGGATGATTATTTTGATTATGATGCCAACGTTCCACGATGGCATCTGTTTGAGTTATCCACTTGCGAAAGTGACCTTGTTCGTTGGCATCTACGTCATCTTTTGACATGGTGTACTTCCACTTGGGTCTCCTCGGGACACTGAGCTGATCGATCTCGAGATCGCTGCCTGGTTGATAATCTGCATCTAATATGCCGAGAAGGCATACGTCAGCAGAGATTGGCCGGGTCAAGGGCAAGGTGGCAGCCAAATGCTTCGTGGTCTCCAGGAAGTCGTTATCGAGCTTCACAAACTGTGATTGAAGCTTCCTCGCGGCCCTCGAGGCGTCATCTGCTAATTCCCTGGCATCAAGTGAATGGCCAAGCTTCGGAGGTCTCCTGAAGTTCTTCTTGCGCGGTTGTTTCTCAGGCTGGGGTGCATCACCGCGTTTGACTGCACGCTTATGTTGCAGCTCAGCCTTGCGTTGTTTTCCAGACCTGCGCATTCGTAAAGTTTCAGTGTAGATCGTTTCAAATCTACAAACTCAGGCTTGGCCCACAGGAACATGCCGTTTCTGGGGACAGCCGAAAACCTCTCAACCAATGAGGCTATCCCGAGTCTCACGCTTGAAAGATGGAAAAACGTTTCAAGGCACTGTAGTCCTCCGCGGTTTCGCAAATTAACTTCACAAGTTGACCTTGCATCCTGGACCTGGCTGCAATTTCCGAATGCCTGGAGAATGCACGAGATAGGATCAGCCCATTAACTCAGAAAGGAAGGCTTTGTCAGCTTTTCGCGCAGATGAGTAACCGAGGCTGACGTGAGCGCGAGAACGCAACTGCCTCATTCAAGTCTTATTTGGCACATAAGTATATCTTCCTTTGTCAGCTCGAGCATCTTTGATGTCGAACGCTACCGAAGCGATGAAGTATAAAGACGCATTGAAATCGTGTCGGTAGTGAATCAAAATACCGTTACCCGCACTTCTTCAGCCCTAGACGACCTTATATCCCTATTTTACCATCACCACCCACTACATATCTTTAGAAAATGACTGGGAAGGCAGAACAGAACGTCGTTATCGTAGGCGGTGGATTCGCTGGATTCCAGGTCGCCAAGCAGCTCAGCAAGAAATTGGACGCGAAAAGATACAATCTCATTCTTGTCAACTCCCGTTCTTACGCCATTTCCCTCCCTGCAACCGTCCGTCTTGTCGTTGACGCAGAGTCGAAGTTCGAAGAAACCTCATTCGTCAAGCTTGACAGAATTTACGCGAATGGAAACGGCGAGACGAAGGTCGGTGTCGTGACCAGCATTGAGGCAACACCAGGTGTCCCTGGTGGTGCCGTGGTACTTGCTAGCGGGGAGCGCATATCATATGCAGTGCTCGTTTTGGCTACTGGCTCGAAATGGACTGGTCCCTCTGCCATCCCAGAGAACGAGGCTGATGTCCTGCCATTTGTCAATGGATGGCGCCAGAAGTTTGCCAAAGCGAACCACGTTTTGATCGTTGGCGGAGGTGCTGTTGGTATCGGTGAGTGGGCGTGTGGTATCATTGTGTTGTCACTAATGCAATACTTCGTAGAGTTGGCTGGTGAAGTGAAGGATCTTTACCCGGTAAATCATTCGTTACTTATGTCAAGCCACTGCAGTTCTGACGAATGACGCAACACTAGACCAAGAAGGTCACCATTGTTCACGGTGGTGCCCAGCTTCTCAATGCTACTTATGGCAACTCGCTCCGTAAGGGAATGGAAAAACGCCTTCGCGCTCGTGGCGTTCAGTTTATGTTCGGTGATCACATCGATGACATTCCAGAAGCGGGTGTTGTTGGTGTCACTACTCGCAGTGGAAAAGTCATTTCGGATGCCGACTTAGTGGTACGCGTACTGTTGCATGTAGCGCGTCAATCAACTCACCAGCATATGTAGGTATCCGCTCGTGGCGGACGCCCCAACACCGATTACGTGACTTCCCTTGGTGAAGACGCTTTGAATGGAAGCGGCTTCGTCAAGATCCATCCGACGATGCAACTACTCGCTCACCCATCCATTTTTGCTGTGGGCGATATCATCGACCGGGTGGAGCAAAAGCAGGCCGCCAAACTCGGTTGGCATGTTCCCGTTGCCGTCGCGAACATCATAAGCTTCCTGAACGGAGTCACCCCGACGAAGCAGTATGCAGGTGCCCCTGAGATGATTGTGATCACGAATGGAAAGGTGAGTAAGAAGTCGGGGGAGTTATTGTGGCTTGACGCTGATGTGGTTGTTATAGAATGGCGGCATGGGCTATTTCGGATTCTTCGGAGGGTTTACGCTGGGTGACTGGTTTGCCTGGCTGGTCAAGTCGAGAGATTTCATGGTTTCAAACTTCAGGAAGGATCTGGGTTACTAAGGAGTCGTTGAACTTTTACATAGCTGAAAATCTTCTAACTTGACTGTTGTATCTTACCTCGCTTATGTTTTTATAATTGTAGAATCTAGATTACGAGCCCAAGCTGGCTGTGAAAAAACTGCAGGGTTATCTGATGCATCCATGACGATCAAGATAGTCAACAAAGATGGCCCATCAACTAGTTGATATTATGATGGGATGATTTGATGTTTCAAAACGGCCTGTAAGGTTACTTGTGTGACCGCGGACGTAAATCGCGCGCAGAGTAACAGCTGGCGGCCACCTGTAGACCTAAAATGCAGATAGGCGATCAAGTTCAAAGTTGCTAGGAGGGTATATCAGATATGATATGGTTTGCCAGGTTGAGCACCGGTTGAAAGCTTTTAACGACCATAAAGAGGAAGGTGCGTCGGTGTCGTTCCCTGCCTAACGTCAGTTTTACACTCTGTCCCACGCCGAGTCGCTCTATCCCTCGCGCAATAATATTATAGCCCTTCTTGAACACACGATATCGATCCGTGTCAGGATTTATTTCAAGAAACAAAATCATGACTTCCCTCTTTGTTGCTCCGTCTTTCATGCCCCCACCACGTCTAAGCACCGCCACAACAATGACCATTGACTCTGCCAGTGGCAGGCGTGTACCTCGAAATAAAGACTTTCTCAACAAGCATGGTCATCGTCATCACTCCTTTGACCAAGAGAAAGCACCATATCCTCTCAGTTATGATAGACAGGTCCTCGAGCTGTGAGTTGGTTTCTGCTAGCGCGCGTGCCTGACTAGTTTCTAAGTCTATTAAAGGGAGAGTATAGACCACAGCTTCGTCATGCACGTCAAGAAATCTGTTTCAGTCGTCGGGTTTCCAGATCATAGCTCTCCAAAACGCTCTCTCGATCTTGGTTGCGGAGTGAGTCACATCTTACATCACCTTCTTCTAGTTACGTGACAGCTCTTCACCTTGCGTGTTTCATAGGGGGGGACCTGGATAGTTGAAGCTGCCAAGGAATGGCCTGACTGTCAATTCGTACGCGCTTCCATTTTTCAAATTCGAATCTGGTATTCATAAACGCCACAAAGGTTGGATTCGACCTCGTGGATGTACAAGTCCCGTTGTCATTACTGGAGCCTGACGTTGCGAACCGCGTTATGTGGGTACACGGGAACTTGTGAGTAAATCTATCTGAAACCACATCTAAATGGGTCTAACGGAATGCCTCGACGAGTCTGACGACGAAACTCCCGTTCGACGATGACGAGTTCGATCATGTTCACATGCACGGCTTAGGCCGGGGGATCCCTGAGAACAAGGCATGTCAACATTTCTTATCGTATTATGTGTACATACTGAATGCGCTGGTTAGTGGGGTGTTCTCTTTGAGGTGAGGCAGTTCCCCTCTTGCTGCCACTTTATGCTGACCGTCTCCCAAGGAAGTGAACCGTATATTACGACCAGGTGGGGTTATTGAAGTCCTTGAACATGGTATATCCTTGTACTGTCGTCATGTCTCCCTGTTGACTCTCCTTAGATATCCTATTCCCCACGCTGCCTACCTGGTTCACAGCACCTTTACGAGCGCGTAATAAACGTTCAGATTCTGTCCACTATCCCAACGGCTCGCACCACCGCATTGACAAACTACCCTCGTCACAACCAGACGTTGCACCCTTACCTCATGACCATGCACTACTCGAAAGCTTGTATTACGCTGTATTTGAGAACCGATTTATCAACTTACGACCAACCGGTGGGTTATATATGAGGGTAATATCAACTGCATCTGACGCATACCAGCTATTCTGCCAATACATTTCACCTCGACTTTCCGTCGAGTAATATCTGCACCTATCGTCCATTTCCGCATGCCTGCACTACCCCCTTTACAAGCATTACCACAACCGTTACCGCCAAATGCGCTTCTCATGGAAGCTTCATTATCCTCGGACAGATCTGAGACCACCTCACAACCTCAAGTGCCTCTCACACCTCGTCCACTCGCCGTTTCGTTCTCGTCTACTCACTCCTCTGCTACGAGCAAATCAGCATCATCAGGAGAATCATCGTTATTCAGCAGTATGGATGGCTCTACCGTCTCGCACCCGACAACGAGCCCTGCAGATTGCTCACCGGATTCACCGGCACTTTCGTGCAATACAACTAACACCTTGGGCTCTGAAACAGCTCATGTGGTGAAAAAACCACTTTATATTGTTGATAGTTCGGCGGCAGAGAGTACATCCATGGGCGTTGGACCTTCACACTCTCTGATTCCTCTCGATGAGATTGACAAGCTTAACGAACGCTCGCTCGCTATGCAATTATACTGGTCGTATCAGAGCGTACTGGCCTGCCAGGAGTCCATGTACGAGGAGCTCGTGGATCGCACGAGGAATCGGACAGGGGAATTAGCAGAGTTTGGATGGGACACCGATCAGGACCTGTCCGAACTCGAGAGTCGAACAAAATTCGAGATACTGGTAGACCGGTATAAGCGGTTAGTACCACTTTTTCTACGCTCTTATACTTGCTGAACCAGTTGTGCAGCGATATGCAGGCGCGAATATCCCTGTGGTGTTCACTTGCCGAGCTGGGGTGGTCCGTCCCTCCGCGGGAGGCCATGTCGAAAGCAGAGCTTGTGGAGGAGGAGAGACTCTACCGGGCTATGCTTGAAGCGCGACGGCTTGCCTCTGAGGAGGACCTGCACACACCTTGTCGGTCTGTGCGGATATTCGTGGGTTATAAGGATGTATTGTAATTTCACTGCTTCCTGCTAGACTGATTGTTGTACGATTCTCATTCGTGTTTATTGCGTATGTGCCTCTTGGAGCATTAAGGGTTATCTACTGCACACACCAGCTTAAAAGGACGTTCTTGTAGCGATACGTATACGATGTTTACAATTGTAGTGGCATCAGGTGTTCTGCTATAATGACAGTGGTTTCTACTTGAAAGCGACGTTCGGTTTGATTTTCCTTTCTGGGGAATGCACCGGCAAACGCCGGGGAAGTGGCGGTGACATTTTTTGCAGAGGTCCTGCGAAGGCTTCGCGATCGCTCGAAATCTCAGAACGCTCATGGCCGCGGTCAAGGTCATAAATCACACTCCTTTCGTTCCCCGTCTACCAAAGGATGTCCCCCTCCCACCAAGCCCCGCAGAATCGACCAGTCCGCCACCACCAATGAAGAAAAAAACGAGAAAGAGCAAGACGAAAGAGAAGGAGAAGGAAAAGGAGAAAGTAAAGGAAGGCATGCAGCAGACGAAGAGGCATGGGGAGCAAAAGAGGGAGAACGAGAATGAACAACACCAAAGCGTGGTACCACAGCCAGAGCCACTGAAACCTCTGACATGGACATCCCTGACTGATTCGAACTCCAATTCACATCCACCAATATTCACGAAAGACGGGAGGTGCGTAGAGTTAATCAGTATATCGTATCTGCTATCTAATCAGTCTTTTCACTTTGATCAGTCACTTCTTTTCCATCGTCGGGGAGAGAATCAAGATACATTCTACATCATCTGGCAAGGTCGTTTCTACATTACCGGGACCACAGGATGATGGTCACCAGGATATCATCACATCTGCTATCCTCAATGCACACAATGCATTTCAGCTTATCACCGCATCTCTGGACGGCACTCTCAAAGTCTGGGATTTTCTCGAGGGGATATTGTTGCTCACGATCAATCTCGACCAGCCTATCCATCACGTGTGCGCTCATGAAAAAATAAAAGATTACGTTTTTGTTGCCACTGCAAAAGCAAAGAAGGGCAGCGGTGATGCTGATGGTGAGTGTTATGATCTCTAACGTATGACTAGTTTTTCATTCGCCGTACAGAGCAGCCAAAACCAACCCGGTCTGCAAAAGCTCCTGCAGAAGAGAGCTGCATTATTTTACGTGTCTCTCTCAAGCCTCAAAATCCCGCTTCAGGCGCGAAATGGCACAAGTCATCTCAGGTGACGCCAGTTGGCAAGACCAGGTATACAGCGGGGCTTGCAGTGTCTGCAAGTGGTGAATGGCTGATTGCGGTCGCTGGTCACAAGGCCTACGTCGCGCAAGTGTCTGCATTGAAGTCTGGATTTACAAAATATGTTTCACCCGATACATTGACGTGTTTGGCGGTCCATCCGTTAGAGGATTACTTCGCAACGGGCGACGCAAAGGGTGTCGTGCGCCTGTGGTACTGCCTGAACCAGGGCAAGCCAGCAGTTGCTAATGTAGAAAAGCGATCGCAAACGTCTGAGCTTCATTGGCATGCCCACGCGGTTTCATCTGTTGCGTTCACCACGAACGGGGCATATTTACTATCCGGTGGTGAAGAAGCTGTTCTTGTCATTTGGCAGCTGCACTCCGGAAAGAAGGAGTTCGTGCCCCGAGTTGGCTCACCCATCAAAAGTGTTGTGGTCTCGCGCGGTTCTACTGCTGAGGAAGAGTACCTTCTCGGGCTGGCGGATGCAAGTTTTGCGTTTATCAGTTCTGCCACGCTCAAGTTATCGCGAGTTTTCTCTCGCATAAAATTAGGTGTGTTCTCTTCATATTTTATGCGAACCTGCTGAGTTACCTCATGAACTCAGACTCTGTCACCTCAAGTGCCTGGGCATCCTCATCCTCCATGACACCACTTGCAGTTCACTCGTTGTCATCGACACTCGTTCTCCCTTCTTCCCATCCTTCTTCGCTACAGACCTACTCTCCTTCGTCATCCATGCTCATTGCAGAATTAGAGGTGTCGCCTTCGAATCGAGTGTCAAGACAGGAAGAAAAGATGCTAGAACCCTCGCGAGTAGAGCGCGTGGTAATCTCGTCGTGTGGAGAGTGGATGGCAACTATCGACCGGCGAGAAGGAGACGAGTCATTCCGTGGCGAGATATATCTCAAGATATGGTGGTGGGACAAGAAGACTGCTTTTTGGATATTGAATACCAGAGTAGACCGGCCGCATGGCCTGAACAAGGTCACATCTATGTCTTTCAATCCTTCAGATGACATCCAGCTGGTGACTACTGGTGAAGATAGAAACATCAAAACTTGGAGAATACGGAGCACAAAGGATAAGAAGGGCAACGTAGAAGGTATGTAGATGTTCCGTGCAAGACTGCAGTTCCGTGACCTGCTTCTAGTTTCCTGGACGTCAAGATCGTCTTTTGGTTTCCGGTCTGAAATCCCCAGAGACTCGGCTTGGTCACCAGATGGTTCTCTTCTGGCTGTTGCGCTTGACTCATCTGTGGCGTTGTACGATTCAATATCAAACACATTGCACTTCACCATAATGTGTTCAGAATGCCCAAAAATATCGTCCATACACTTCATTGGGCATCATGGCCAGTATATCGCTGTTCTCAGCGGCGCCAACCTTATTGTCTGCGATATTATTAAGCGTTCTGGTGCGTCTTTCTGCTTACTTGACGATCAACATCAAATTGAACATAATACAGTACGTTGGCATCGTCGGCATTACCACCCATATGTCACTCTTGTACCCCATCCTTATCAAGATACCTTCGCAACGATTCATCATTCACCATCAGATACAAATCATGGGCTCATGGTCTACTCCGTCTCGTCGTCGACTCCCCTGCTTTCACAAACGTTACCGTTTGGGATACGGAATTTAGTTTGGTATCCCACTTCAAGCCGTTCGCCTCGCAGTCGGACGTTCTCCTTAGTAGGAATTACACATGCTTTTGGCGTCGTGCTTCTAGGGCACGACATCAGCATAGGCGATGAGGCAAATTCGTCAACTAAGGCCCTCCAGAAAGGGCCGGCGGTGCCCAAGCGATCTCTTTTCGAGGAGATGTTTGGTGTACCGGCTCTTACCGACGTCTCTCACAACACTGTCTCGTTGTCAATCGATACCTCCCTCCCCTGGAAAAGCAGTGAGACGGGAAGTGTCTTTGATGCCCCCGCTTACCTCATGCCGCCGATGGAGAGTCTGTTCGAGCCGTTGATTAACGGCTTCCTCAAGTTGCGCATGAAGGAAGATGTGGATGAAGAACATCAGTGTGGCGGCCAGGACGTTGATGTTGAAATGCCCGCTGAACCTGTGGACACCGAAGAGCCCGCTTTTATAGAGATGGGGAAAGTTTCGAACGACGAAATCCTCGACACCTTCATACCATTCTTTAAGGATATCGCAGGTAAATGGCTCTCACTTAGTCGTCTCTGGTGTACGGTTACTCAGCAGATGTATTCGCAGGTTTACCTGATTATCCGTTCCATACTGACAACCGCCCGGTCCCATTGACACTCCCAAAGACTCAACCTTCCCAGCATGCGAAACCCTCACCCCGATCAGTTGCCTCCCAAAAGGCGACCCCTAATGCCTCATCCAAAAAGCAACCTTCTACGCCGTCCGTGCCCGCCAAAGCTGGCAAAAAAAGAAGTAGACAGTCTCTAGGTTGAATATCAAACATCTATTATTGGGCACAAGGTGTAATTCATTCAGCCCCGTGTGGATTTATCATTGAAATTGTTATTTCAGCCCCTCGCATTTTTAAAGTCATTGTTGCATTTTAACACTCCTTCGCATCGCCAGTACCCTCGCGCTTTGCATGTTACCGATGTAGCCAATTTTCCATCATATTGTGTCATCTAACGGAATGGTTTATCGATATAAGGGATGTTGTGTTGTGCGTCATTTTATGCTCTTGTGTGATGAAGAATCCACTCTATAGTACTACACCTGCTTATTCCCAGCGTCGCATCCTCTCAAGGAATGCTTGAAGCTCAACAGAAGGGAAGCTCCGTGTATCACGTCCTGTGAAGGGGTGGGCCCGGCGGGCAAAGACGTGCTGATCCTCCCTGTGGCCAATGAGAGTAATGACAGCGCTGAACCTGTGCGTCGACTAGATGACCCAAACCAGAGCCTGCTCGAACCGTCGGTGTCGCTACTATTGTCTATTCCTCCTCGTCTTCGTTTCGTCTGTCTGTCGCAAGCCCACTCGAGTGTCAGGCCTCTCTTGCTACATGGTGTGTCATTTTCATCGCGGGCAGTACTACAAGCTTCGCCTCCTCTGTCGGATACTGAACTTGGAGCTGTTGGCGATGAAGGGAGGTGCTGCCATAGTTCCTTGGCGCTGGTCTTACTTGCCACCGTTGGTTGTACTTGGTCTTTCCCGTGCGAAGCCTTGGGCGGTTTCGAAGAAATGAATGAACCCAAGGAAGTTAGGAGAGGCTTGACCTGCAGTGACTTCTTCAGCGGTGATTTGTCGACATCTTTTCCTTGTTTTCTCGGGGATGATATTGTGCGTAACTTCTCCGAACAAACCGATGGCAGAATCACGGGCTGTAGAGTGGCGTTCACCGATGGCTGAAGAGACACGCCTGAGTACTGAAGGAGATTGCAAAGCATGTTGGTGATCCGGGGTTTGGGAAACACCATTCCGTATCTGGAGCGGTATGGAAGACACGCCCGGTGGGCTACGTTTTGCGACTTGACGCTTGTTTTGGAACCAAATTGTGATAGTCTTGTAGTCCCTATGGACTAAGAGTAAGTGGTTTGTCTGGCGAGACAGTTTGCTGATAGCATCCTACAAGCCAAGCTCGTCTACAAGTTGGGTTTTCCTCTGCCTTGACGGATGCGTGTCTCTTTGATATATCGATTCCAGACGCATTAACTGTGTGGATGACATGCGATGCCTCTTCTTCGATGCCTCTGGCGATGGCTGACTGACATTGATATGGGGCTGCGGGGTCACGGTGGGCATTGTGTTTTCTTTTATGTCTTGATTACGAGTTGGGGTTGTGGGTCGTCGCATAGAACGAGTAGTACGGGCGGTAGATGTCATAGTGATGTGCTTTGGAAGTAAGATAGGCTGTGAGGGTGAGAAGAAGGATGGTCCAAAGAAAGAAACAAGTGCACGATGTGGCAGTGGCTGACAAGCCTAACGCGTCGTGGTCACGTGATTAAAATCAATCAACGAAGTCGACCGAACCAAACCGGCTGCTCGGCGCCCAAGGCCTGAAAGGATTTCATGACACGGTCAATGAACTTATTACAGCCCGCACAACGCTATGGCTGGCCCTGATGCATATGACCCCACAGAAATATCAGCGCAACAACAAATAAGTCCGGGTCATTCTACATGGTATGGATGCAAAAGGTATGGTATGGTAAAGCAAACATCTCGTAGGTATCGAATAAAAACTGAATAACTGAATGGAATACAACAACAGGTTCCTTGGTATTGCACACGAAGAGAAAGGAATAGAATTACTAATAGCGAAATGCTTCTAGGTTAATGGCGCGCCATAAAACCAAGGAGCGTCATGGCAGCTTCGACATCCTCTGACTGACAAGGTTTGCTCGAGCCAGAGAACAAGCCCTTGTTGTTGTCATCTTCTCGCGAAGAAGAATTGCTCTGAGGAGAGAGGTTGATGTTGACGCTAGAATCAGGAGTGAGGGCCTCACAGGACCCATCATCTGAGCCACCACCGTGACTTAAAGAGGGTAAACAAGGGAGGTCGTCTTCCTCCTCTCCACCATCAACCCGCCTGTCTCTCCTCGCCTTGAGACAGGCCCATTCTAACGAACGCCAGGTCTTTGATTGCGAGGGAAGGCCAACCAGCCTAGCTTCTTCAGCACCCGGGGAAGACTGTGGAACAGCTGGCGACGAAGGAATATGTTTCCATAACTCCGAAGGACTCGGGGACGATCGTGCGCGCATGTTAGGGGTTCGTGGAGTAAGAGGTGCTTGATTGGTGGTAAGAAGTGACGACGGCGATGAGGGTCTCTCAGCCAACTGAGCGATTTTATCGAGTGAGACAGAGAAAGAGGAGAATGTTTTGTTGGGATAGCGATGTATCAGACGACGCGATTGAGGTGCGTGAATTTTAGGAGGGTTGTTTTCGTTGCAGACGAGGGATTTTCTCTTCTCTACCTGGCGTCTGTTTTGGAACCAGTTGGTCACGGACTTGAGCTCCCTGGTGTACAAGTTAGATCGAGGTGTACCAATACTCATATCGCGTTAACATACATGCTGAGCTCCATAGCCAAAGCGAGGCGCTGCTCCCGAGTGGGATGGGCAGTCAGTTCGAATAACTGCTGGAGAGCCTTGAGTTGCTGTGGGGTATTGCGTCGTCTGATATAGGGTACATGTCGAACAGGAGTGTTTGATTCCGATATTGACGTATCAATAATCGACGCGTCTGAATGAGTTACAGTCGAGATTGTTGAGGAGGAGGCGAAGCGCTGAAGGGGGGGCATGATAATACAGAGAATGGCAATGTACGTTGTGCAACTATGTACTTAGCACATACGTTTGCTGTGTGCTGGTGGTGGTATGAAGGTACCTATGACATAAAGTCCCAATTCAACCACATCAAACGCGTTACGCGACACGTGCGGTTCAAACAAAGTACAAATAACGCGTTACGACACAGACACGTGACCTGAAAACTCAAGTCACGTGTGACCCAAACAATTCAAAGTGCACGGTGCATGCATGAGATTACAATAGGATAGAATAGTATGCGGTAATTGGTAAACTATATAAATGTTTCCTACGCATGAATGTATCTTTCCAATATGTATTACTCCCTCTAGATTTCCTCGCCGGTCGCCAACTCTCTCTCCTCGGGAGTAGTGGACCCCAGAGGCGCGATGAATAGACCCACGACCTTTTGGATCATGTCCGCTTCTGGCGGTGTTATCTCGCGGATATATGGAGAATTCACATAAGCCCTCCCCAGCGGGGCGCCTAGCTCCTTCCTCGTGGTTGCCCACTCCGCTACCTTAGATCCAGACATATGCTGGAATTCGATCGTCTGAAGCTTCGGACACAGAACTAGACGATTCTCTGGGAGTGTCTGAGTGACTGTTTCTCTTCCCAGGCCATATGCTCGAGGATCTTCGTTAAATGTCTGGATGACATGCCAATCCATGGAGGCGAACCGTAGATAGCGTAGATGAGGCATCGCGTAAAGAAACTTCACCATCGCCTTCGTGCCCCCTTGCGTGGGACTAATGTTGACCGAGTAGAGCGTCAGGAGTCGTAGCTCCCTGTACCGATTGGTGATCCCAACGATCACCGGCGTATAATCTTCGCCTGTCAGGTTCATTAACGTCAGGTCCCGTACGTTAGGAGCGTTGAACTGGGAGAAAATGTAGCACGAGTACACCATGCTGAAGCCGCCTATAATGAGAACCTTCAGGTGAGGGAGATTAATTGGAACGTGCTCGGGCTTTCTAGTGGTGGGTTGCGGGCCTGCGCCGTCCAAAGACAGCTTCTGCAGGCGAGGGCAAGCAAGGAGGACCTCGCGAAAGCGAGTCAAGGTTGGCGCAACATTCATCGCGATTTTCCTGAGGTCAATGGTAGACAGGTTGCTAAGTGGAGTCGCGTTCCAGTCAATGTGAACGCCGGCGAGGCAGAGATATTTCAAGGCCCGCGTTTGGCCACCGAAAAGCACAGCTGGTGAACTTCGACCGTTTACTTCAAAACCTGACCCGAGCCATACGAAAGGTTGTCCCATCCTATGAATTTCCAAACGCTCCATGTTGATGGAGCGTCCAGCCTCAGCCGCTTCCTGCAGCTTATGCAAGACTAAGAGTGCGGGGGGCCAGTTGTCGACAACAAGCACAAGCATGCGGATCTGAGAGACTTTGACAAAGATTTTGTCGATGAGCTCTTCCATCTGATCGGCAGTAAACCGATGATCATCCTCCTTGTATCTCCAATCATCATCTTTGGACTTCCAGTTGGCATCGTGTTCGTTGATGCGAATGTCCAACGATGCACCACCTGCCCTCTTAAACCACTCCAGCGATCGTGCATACGGAGGAGGGTCGCGGAACCAGATAGCACTCCAAAGGGTGCAGTCTTCGATCATCGACTTGCGCCATTTGGCACACACCGAAGTGAGTGACAGGCGAATGTGGGTGCCTTCAGCTGGGGTACTGGTTGACCAAGTAGCGATGCGGAAGATGTGCGTAATAATTTCGGAAGGCAGATCATTCATTCGGAAATTCCGCCAGTAAAAGATGTTGCGCTTAAAACGCATGTCGTCATAGAGGTAAATGTAACGGGGATCATTCTTTGCGGTAGAACCCTGAGATTCTATGACGTGCTGGATGTGCGCCATCCTGTGCATGAACATTGCGGACAGGGACAAATCCCTAGCAGACGTGTCTACCGTTCCCGGAGGAGGAAAATTCTTCAGATGGTCTGTCAGAAGAAATTCATGGCGTCTCTTGTAATCTGCTGTGCCCATGATGGCATATTTGGGCCACTCGCCCATGGGCTTGTCCATATGGATTTCGACGGCATCAAGCACAGGATGCTGTTTGCACATCTCGTGAGCAATTCAAAGACCGATATGATGAAATTACCCACTAGTGGTAAAACGAAGGGAGGCGCGGCAGATGAAGCCGGTCGACTGAGGCCTGACATAAAGGCGCCAACGTCAGATGACACGATGAAGCGCGGGCAGAGATATTTGAGATGCTATAAAAGATTGAGAGAGTAATGATTGAAGATGTAGCTGTTGATGAATGACGAGGAGACGCAGACGGTGTGGTTTTATCCTTTCCACAGTGGCGCGTTGATTTTCTGGTATCATTGGCAATCGATGTGTGCCAGGTAGGGATGCCTGTTTCGCAGGCAAAGCGTGTTGTTTGTCCTTGTGGGCGCCCAAAAACGTTTTATTTGTTGCTGGGAAAGCAGTGGATTACGCCTTTCAGTCCACAGTTCACTACTAAGAGAAAGAGCGCTACTTACCTGGCAAAGACGGCCATGTAACGCGTTTCAAAGAGCTTAATGCTTGTGGACGCCAGGAAGACGCGACCTAAATTCGTTGAAAGTACCACAATGATAAAGGGACGGACCGTACGTTCGCAAGTTTCCACTGGGCGTCTCCATAACATAGCAGGTTGATGCAGGTTAGCACCTACGGTAGCAAAAGGCTTTGCCCGTAAACGCAGAAAGGGGAAAAGACTTGTGCTCGTCACGGAACGTTCCACGACGGTGCGTGCATCCGATAGTACTATCGATAAATCTATCCCAGTTAGTGAAGATTTTCAGCCCATATACGCTCACATTCAATGCATTTTCCTTCGGAAAGTGACGAACAGTACAAAGCAAACTTGTGAAGGCTCGTCGGCAATTTGCTTCCGTCGCCGGCCACCGAACTTGGCAAAATTTGCTTCCGCGAAACAATTCACAACCGCCATATCAGGGCACTCCTCTCGTCGGGCACCATACTCTTGTCGTGCTCCTAATTTTTATGCGATATTTTTGAAAATACAAGCTTGCTTCAGTTTTAACTGCTCGGGGATCGGTATGCTGAATTCCGACGCTCTGCGTATTTGCCTTTGCAACGTTCAACGGCGCTCACTGGCCACTTCGCAAGACCCCGAAGTTAATGGTTTGTTCAGCCTTCAAGCTTCAAGTTGTCGCGGTCTTTCAACATGATACACGAGTTGTGGCTTGGAATTCCTCTGTTCACGGACGCAGCATGCGTTGTCCATGAATGCTTCAGCAACCATGATTAGCCGCTGGAACGCTGTGAATTGTCTTGTTTCTTTTATCCGACCAAGAAGCATTTCATTGAGCAACAACACAACAATATTTATGTTTGATTGGATATAGTCACAAACAAATGGATTTACGGTACCAACGAAAACATAACTCATCAGAATACAAACACTTAATACAAGTTAGAAAGTCAAACAAAAAGCCCAGAACACACTCAAACGTCTGCATCGTACTAATCATACAACACCACTGCTTTCAATTAGGCCCAAGCGCCAGGGATGGGTTCCCTGGAGCTGCCAGCCCGAGGTGCGGAACTGGAAGGAATAAGCTCCTCGATCAAGTTAGTGACAATGTCATCCTCGACGTCTTTGGTAGTCGGTGGGTTAGCAAGCATCTGCTCCGTCACCTTGACGTTTAGTTTCGGATATGTGCCCTCTGTGAAACCCATCTACAAATCCTCATCGTGAGATACTAAAGAGACAGAATAAGAGGATTAGCATACCTCAGACAATTTCCTCATGATGCGTTGCATGGAACGGTCCTCGTGATGTCCGAGCCCACGTCGTTGGGTGTGTCCAATGGCGTGGCTGCGCCTAGGGACGCTGAACATCTCGAGCTGGGGGTACGGGCCCCTAGCATTGCTTACGATATGGACCTGAGGTGTAGCAGGTGTCGCAGGCTGAGAGGGCGCTGGCGCGACTGCGGGAGCAGGGGATGGAGGTACTGGTACCTGCTCAAGGACGGGGGTCACAGCAGGAGGCCCTTGAGACGCAGATGTATCTGCGCCACTCGTAGTGGGCTCATTCATATTAAGTTGTCCGGAAACCTCAATGCTACAGAAGCTTGTCAATATCCTCTTGATCACCACGAAGGACAGTGACATACCTTCCACTGGATTCCTGTCCTTGTTCGCGTTGCTCTGCCATTTTCCTAATGGATTTAGCGTGACGATACCTCTCCTTGCGCATCTTATAGTCGGCCTTAGCGCGTTCAACATCAGCCCTTAGCTCCTCTTGAGTGGGTGGAGTGCTTGTGAACAGGGGGCAGTTTGAAAAGCCACCCTGGAGCACGGGAGGTGGTGGTACGACGGGTGCAGGTGGTGCAGCAGGTGCGTTAGGAACAGGAGGCGGAACATTGGTGGGCGTGGCTAGCCCTAAGTTTCCCAAACGTCGGTTGCGTGCCTCTGCCAACGTGGTTCGGATGTCACTCGTCCTCGTACGGATCACATTGCCGTGATGGTCCACATGTGGCGCAACTTCCTCCTGGCGTTCGGCTGCCAGAGGGGCACCCCAAAAGGGTGGAGGTGGGCGGGGCCACCCATGGCGGCGACCAAACGGCGGCGGAGGGGGAGGGCCCCAACGATGATGAGGATGAGGTGGGAAATGGCCTGGGGGTGGGGGACCAGGATATGTGAAAAATTCACGAGGACGGAAGGAACAGGGCGGCTCTGGAACAAGTTCCGGAGCTGTCGGCGCATCTTCAGCGGGTGGCTGGAACGACTCAGTCGCTGTCCTGGCAGTTTGGACAGCTTCCCCGAAGACACGGAAAATTCCACCAAGGGCGTCTGCAACCCTGGCGCCGGCCTCTTCCTCTGCATGCCGGATCTCTTCCACGGTCCTGCCAGTCTCCTGTTGAATATTCTCCGCAGCGCGAGAAAGTGCATCACGATGCGCAGCCCAGTATGTACCGTTTGTCGCATTTGCGACTATGTTACGAACGCCCTCTGATAGTTCCGGATGGGAGGAAATGATACCAGAAAGCGTCTTCAAGAAGGCTGCTACGTCATGAGTGAGAGATGATGCGCCAGTGTCGCTGGTGGTAGAGTTGTCCACCGTGGGGAGGGCCGGATCAACTGCATTGGAATCTTCGGTGATATTCCGCACAGCCTCAGGAAGAACCTGCCCGGAAATGACAGGAGTGCTCTGAGCCTGCGCGGGAGTTGCTGTCCCACTGACTGAGACAGCAGACTTCACTTTGACACCGAAAATGGAGGCTTCCTCTGAGTCAGAAACACGGACTTGTGGCTGCGGTGAGGCATCGTCACCAAAGACTGAATCAGTGGACGAAACATCGTCCTCAACTGTAGGCTGCATCTTGACGCGCGACTTGCCCTTATCCAAGCGGAAAGGAGGCAAAGTGAACGTCACATCTGAGTGTGTAACGTCTCCAACGGAGGATTCTTCATCTGCGTTAAATTTCTTGGAGACGCTCACGTCACTCTCGAGATCCTCCACGAATGCGTGTGGGCTCTCCGGAGAGTTACTGGCCCAGAAAAGACTGCCTAGGTTGCCGGGGAGACGCTGCCATTCATCATCGACCTCGAAATCGAAATCGTGTTCTCCGAATGTGTTCCGGAAGTGAGATTGTTGTGGGTGAGTGGTATGGGTGCGGGAAGGCGCTATATTAGTGGACCTCAGGGAGCTAAGGTCCTGTACCACGAGTTTAATAACATTGTCTTTAGCACCCTTAGTATCGAGGGTGCTATAGTAGGCCTGCAGCTCCTCTTCAGAGCTGAAAACTATTTCATCCCCATCCTGGTCAACGTAGGACGCTCCGACATTATCGGTTGGAATTCCGAACAACGCACTGATCTTGGAGGATAGAACGTCCCAAGTAGGGTGGCCAGTGAATTCTAGGCGACGGGTGAGCGCGCCTTGTTTCGACAGCTTGAACTGTACAGTGCTCATGGCTGATGAAAGGATGGCGCTAAGGTTAAACAAGTATCAGGAGATAAAGCCACTTTAAAACTCCGACATGCTGCGGCTGCTGCCTGCGCCCGCACTGCGATTACTAAATGACGCGTCATCTCAGTTTAGGTCGTGCAGTCAATTGTACTTGTATGCATTCATCGTACACTAGTTCTACACTCATAACGTTACTGCGTGTTACGCCTCTATGCGAAGATGGCCAAGCGACCGTCGATGTCAGCGGGGTCATTCAACTGTAGGCCAAGTTCAAATCAGTCATCATACAAATGTCATGCGTGCGCGCGCGTACCCTGAGGTTAATGTTCAGTGCACCCAGGGCTGCGAGCTCAGATTCCGAGAGATCGAAAGAGTTGCAGTCCAAGTTTGCTGCCAATCTACCAAGATCATTGGACTTGGGAATGACAGCAACGCCCCGTTGCGTAGCCCAACGCAGTAGAACCTGAGCTTCGGCTGTGAATAATCCTGCGTTAAATATCGTTACAGATGAGTGCCGTTGTACACCCACTCCTTCCATGTGCCTTGGCCATAGCAGAAGTCACGTTGTGCTTGAGGAGCGAAGGAGTGCCCTTGTCGACACCAAGTTCGACGTAGGATTGGGGTCCAAATGACGAGTAGGCAGTCACAGCAATACTGAACGTCTTGCAAAGTTTGACAAGGGCTTCTTGGGTAAGGTATGGGTGCAGCTCGACCTGCAACACCTGGGGCTCATACTTGGCATACCGGAGAACGTCGAGGATTAAAGATCCCTGGCAGTTACTGGAGAGTGTCTATATAAATGCACTGTACAACTTAATTCGCAATACATACCTCAGGCCAATGTTTTTCGCCAGTCCCTCATCGACGAGCTCCTCCATTGCACCCCAAGTCTCGTGCATAGGGGTGTTTTCTGGGGTATGTGGTCAATCCGTGATACGTCCATCATAACTCATGACTTACGAAGGTAGACCTTGCCATCATCACCGAACCACTCAGGGGGGTAGCGGTGGCTGGGATCGACATATCGCAGTGCGACGGGGAAGTGGACGAGGAACAGGTCAAAGTAGTCAATTCCCCAGAGACCAAGCTGCATCTTGGTAATTTGTTTGACCTGATTCGTCGTTCAGAAATCAGGTGCATTTCAGGTAACTCAGGATGACTGACATGGTCATGCGCATGGAAAGTATTCCATAGCTAAAACAATCCATTGAGCTATATTCTAACTCGCGTGCAAAGGTGTCTCACCTTGGAAGTAATGACTGATTTGTGAAAAAGAAAATCAACTCGCGAGCTAGGTCAAGGGTGAGAGATACTCACATAGGTCCTCCCGCTTGACAAGGCCGTCCGCAATAGCGCGGCGGACACCCTCACCTGCCTCTTTCTCATTTCCGTAGTCACCGGCACCATCAAGCAGACGGTACCCAGCCTTAATTGCAGCGTATACGGTCTAGAAAACAAGATAAAAACGCCTGATCACTTTCACGGATCCGGGACTCACGTCAGCGCAAGTGGACTTGGTCACCTGAGCAGGAGGTCAGCTCATGTCCTCGGATCAATTTCACTACTTGCCTTCCAGAGACCGAAGCTGAATGGAAATTGGAGTCAATGCGTTCTGTTGCATGCCAACGAAAATCAATACGTACCCAACCAAGGGCATCTGTAGAGCTCATTGAGTATATGATCTGCACTTTGATCTGCACAAATCGTGTATCACCGACCTTCTGTTGGGTTCTCTTCAAAACAATCGAGGCCATGACTCGGACTTGAAATGCACTGGAGTGGGAGTAACGATGGGATCGATGAGCTCGATGGACTTTTTAAATCTCTACTGAACGGTCCGAAACTTCCCCTCGTGATGGGAGATAGTGCTTATTCAGGAGACGCATCGTTCTCGTGACTACAAAAGATGCTAGATTATAATAATTTAGGGTGCCGTGCTCACTGCACCTGTCATTTTCCGATCAATTGAGAGCGTAGGTTTGAGGTGCGAGCGCCGAACATCACGTGGACTCGCGGGAACGCCGCTTGCTGGTTTCCCTGGGATTTCCCCGACATTTTGCCTGTTGGTGTAGAATTCAAGACGACAAACGACGACTGTCGTGTCAATAGTAGTTTTCCAACGTTGCGCGGTGACTTGGCTGCATCTCTCGTGGTGTGTAGTCGCTCACATCTCGTTTCTCCTTGCGTCCAGTGCGTCCTCCGATCTCCGTCATTTTACAAATGTCATATAAACTTTTTACCGCCAGCGTGAATGTCTATCGCCAGCCTGGCACCTGTGGAATTGAGTGTTGATATCAGTGACATGCGTTTCTACGTGCTCGGGCTCGGGCCCATTGGCTGTCTCCTCTCACACAACTTACGATCCGTTCTTCCGCGCACTCATCCCAATTACCCTCATCCAAAAAACTGCCAAGCAGGCGTGGACGCCGCAGAATGCAGCCGCAAAAATTACAATTGAAAACCAGGGTATCCGACAGTCCACAGACAAATTCGATATCGAGGTGTTCGACAGGTATAGCGGGTCTGGCGGTGGAGTACGCTTCAACCCACAGCTTTCAAGGGAGCAGAGTGCTGGTTTCGCCCCCAGCGATGAAGATTTACGGTCAGAGCCCATCGAAGCATTATTCATAGCGACCAAAGCGCACAGCACTGTGCCTGCACTGTCACACCTAGCTCCACGCCTCACCTCTCGCAGTACCATCGTACTTTTACAGAACGGCATGGGAGTATACGAAGACCTCGTCCAACGAATATTCCGCAACCCTGAAAGCAGACCACACTTTATTCTGGCGTCAAACACCCATGGCGCGTGGCTCAAGTCTGCGTTCCATGTGGTTCATGCGGGGATTGGGGACATCGCATTTGGGATTGTTCCAGATAGCCGCAAGCGAGACTTCGAGGCGTCCATGGCGGATGAAAGCAAGCCACTTTACGAGAGGTCACTCGTTCTGGACGACATCACGCGCCCTGATGACCCTTCATTCGATCAGTACCGCAGCCTACGTCACACGGTAGCCGTCTTACAATCTCTCGATGCTCTTGGATGCAAATGGAGTCCTATTGCGGACGTCCAACTTGCGATGCGCAAGAAACTCGTCGTGAACGCTATTGTGAATCCGCTCACAGCCGTTCTAGGCTGTCGGAATGGTGGCCTGTTCAAGGACGAGTCATCACATAATATGATGCGCAGCGTCTGCGAAGAAGCTGCAGCGGCTTTCCGTGCACAGATTGAAGCGGACACGCAAGCATGGCTGGATTCTCTAGATCTCAGCGTAGATAAGAGCCAGGTGCCGGTGGGGCGTGTGCCAAAAGAACTGGGAGCAGATGCTCTTGAACGCGAGGTCCTGCGCGTAACACACGTAACACGAGGCAATATGTCATCTATGCTCTCGGACGTAAGGAAGAACAACCCAACAGAAATCGACTTCCTAAACGGCTACTTGGTTAGACTAGGGGAGCAATACGATGTCCCTATGCCTGTCAATAGGGCCCTCGTTCAATTAGTCAAGATGCGGTGCGCCATACCCATTGATCAGACGTTTTAGTTAGCAGGTGGAGTATCTTAAGTAAGCCATATTACCTTCTCATCTATTTGTAATTCTGTTCGCTTATTTTTGCACGATTAGGCTGGCATCTGTATATACTCCGTCGGCCGCCTTGAATGAACGATGATTTTTTGATATGCTATCAAGTTGGTACAAGAAATGGGGCACGCTGCATCGTCAGGCAGCTCAACGGCGCTCCAACCTGCCATGGTATCCGAGGGTAGAAGTCCCTACATTTGATATCTTTGCATCAACGGCTGATTTATGCCAAGCCCGTTATCAAACCCGTTATAAGTATTAAATTAATGGTTGGTAAATGAGGTGTGTCCTGGTGTGTCCATATGAGCGACTTAGATATACTAGTCTAAAAATGCAACGATAAAGATCATTTCAGCCAATGGTATGCGGGACGCTATGTCATTTCTGATCATCTTCGTTCCACCGTTCCGATCACGAAATTAGTGGTCATCAGCTCCCGGCCACCCCCATCTAACAGTCCGAGTTGGTCCGCCACGCCACGACTCCACTCTGCGGCGAGCTACGGTGGTCATTGTGGAGCCGTGTGTGCCGACAAACCCGGCTCCGTTCGACTGAATCACAGCGTCAATGAACACCGGATACCTGGCAACAGCATCAGTTTCCATCAGATGCAAAAATATGGAATCTGATCGGCTTACCACTTTCCATAGATCTCCTCTGTGCGCTCCATGGCAAAATCTACCCATGTCCAGCCCAACGCCCTTACCTGAGACCACCATTCCGGGTCACGTTCATCACTCGTCATAATAACCTGTGTAACCTCGATGCCTTTTTGTGTGCGAAGCTCCTCTTGCACCTCGGATACCCTGCGCGCAATGGCAGACAATGGGGCGAAACACTGATCCAAAGGGATGTCATTACAGTGATTGCGGAAGTCGCCGTGCCGTATGTGGATGGCTATATACTATCAAAAATCAAATCCGTGTAGCAAACTGGTCCGAAAACTCTCACTCACGGGTGGTGTTGGTTCATCTACTGGAACGTTCATGGCACGTCGGGCATGCGCATCGGCGAGCCTTTCGAGACTTGTATTCCAGTGCATGTGTTGACCTACATATCTCCATGCAGGAGAATAGTCCGATTCCCATTCCCAGGCATTTTGGGCGCCTATGTAGTAAAGGTAATCGAAGCATAGAACCTGATCGTCCGGGGGAAGTGAAACCTGATGCTGAGGAGAGGGACGGTTCGTTAGACCCAGGCTATTCGAACGGGCCTCCGGGAACCCAAGCGTTGCAAGGGACCAAAAGGAAGCATGCTTGTCTTGGATGCCAGGAGGTGTCAGTTTGACCCAATCTGGAGTTCGCGTCCACGAGATATCTGTGATGACCATGCAGTTTATCACCAGCTATAGATGTTCGAATTTTCCTCACCGAGCTTGAGCCAGTTCAAGGAGGGACTTCCTCGTGGATGGGGATCCTCGTTTTGTACGGTTTCCCAAACACTCCAACAACCAAGATCATCGAGAACCTGACTTTCCGAGTCCTTTACTTCGTGCCATTCAAGTAAGGGAATCCCTATAGCTTGGGTAAGCCGAGGGACGTCGATCACTTCGCCAAAAGCAAATGGAGGTGCGCTGTTGTCGACGTGAGAAGGGGTGAACTTCCCGATTATGGGTATGCGCTCTGTTATGAGTGCGAGGTAAATCAAATTTCCCTAGTAGTTTCTGTGAGGAATTGGGACACCGGAAGTGATGATCGACTTACATAGGTCATCACGTCATTCGCTAACAAGTAACTGGTCAGTGAATAAACTGGTGATTGGGTGTCGTTGACGTACTCCATCCTGCAGAAATCCACGACGTAACGTACTTCGTGTCGTTACGAAGGTTGTCTGACAGCAGTATTATAAGATTGGAAGGACATCATTAACTGAATAACTGACCTCGGAAGCGTTGGGTGGGTGGGCCTTGGACATATGACTGCGAGTTAACGATACCAGAGTACGCAGGCGCATCCTGTATGTCCAGATAGCTCGAAGGCTTGAACAGGAGAGTTCCAAAGCCGAGCAAGGAGACGCCCGCCAGAAATATGAAGATCGTCCTCAGAGATCGCTGACTGTCTTTAGCTGATGGTTTGGCACGGAACATCGGGATAAATGGGCTCTCGAAGTCGTCGTATTCGTCCAGTCTTTGGTTCTTTGCTAGCAGGTACTCATCTGGGCGTCTGTTCATGACACGAGACAACGGTGGGAGCTTCAAGGAGGTTCAGATTAATATTCAATTTGTATGCTAGGGGCACCCGATATGATCATGATCAGCGGTTGGCCAGGCCCAGCCAAGCCCGTGGCATGGGTTTGCCGTGGATATATCCGGTTGGTTGCCGAAAGCGGTGACGGTGACGCCACCCCGTACTGATCTTACAGCCGATCTGCAATTGCTATTTTGATGTTCGCTCGAACCAGCTCGCTTCGTTAGATTGAATATGAAGTATTACATATGGGTTAGGCCTGATCTTTCCGCGTTACATAAAACCCAGTCTACCTCGAGATCAGTGCTTCCATTAGCCCCCGTTTACTTGGAGAGGATGAATAACCGGTACTTCGACGCGAACACACCAAGGGTAGCGGCGGTCGTATGTTTTTACATGTCCGCCGCACTGGTGGTGAGTACCATGTGTGTGCATCAAATCGTGACTCTAACCCCTAACGAACACACTGGTAGATGGTTTTTGTGTAAGATGGTCTATCACGAGTAATGACGTTCACTCAACCTCAGCGCAGGAATAAAGCTGTTTTGAATAGCTCACCAGACTTGCCGCTGCTGTTTCTCCTGTTGCAGCTGCTTATCGCAGTCTTGCTCCTCCATGTGGCATCTATGTTCATCGCACGTGTCGAGATACCCAAAATCGAGCTTGAGACCGCCAAGAAGCTTACACCTGTAGTCCTTGTCAACATCATCGGACTTGTTTTCAACACATTATGCCTTCGTGACGTCGAGGCCTCTTTCTTTCAGGTGTGTGATCTTCTAGAAATACAAAGACTGCCGTTTAACATCACAGATTGCGCGTGGCCTTGTCCTACCTCTGACGATTCTTGTATTCTCCGTGCACACTCGCTCTGTGCCTTCTGTTCGAGTTGGAATTGCTGCTGTGATAGTTGCCGTAGGTTTCTTGCTCGGCGTGGCACCATCCGCCACGGTGCCGGCCAATGCTGCACCTTCAAGTCTTTCTCTCTTCTACGGCTTCCTTTCCTCGCTTTTCATTGCTTTCCATGCTGTTCTTATCAAGTCTTCCCTCCCTTATTGTCACAACTCAACTATTCAACTTGCATACTGGACCAACTTAGGCTCTGCAATATTCCTTTTCCCTTTTGTCTTGCTTCACAGAGAACTTTCTACCTTTGAGGACCTTATTCACGATTCAAACTGGGACGGAAATATGTTCCTGTGGGGGAGTATCGTGACTGGCGTGTTCGGCTTCTTACTTTGCGTTGCCGGCCTGTTGAGTATCAAGGTTACAAGTCCTATCACACACATGTTCTCCAGCGTAAGTCATTCCCACTGTACACAAAGAATCAATGGGTCCCATTCCATCGCCACAGGCCACAAGATCTGTTATTCAAACCATGTTGGGTGTCTGGCTATTCAATGACATTATGACAGTGTACGTACCTCACTCCTGATCCGTGAATTCTCCGGGATGAACTTTACCTTTGCGCAGTAATCGTGCAGGATCTATTCTCGTTATCATAACAGGAACCATGTACGTGCCTGTGCTGTTGACGTCTCGATTCTGCAGGAGCACTGATCGCACTTTCAATCCTGTAATTAGTTATTACACCTGGGTCAAATCATTCGAAGCCGCACCTCCGCCGCGCAAGGATGTTGACCTCGAAGCTATAGGAAATAGGAAACATGAGGAAGATTCTGATGATGGCGAACTTACGGTGGTTTTCGAAGGGCCGGAGGAGGAGAAGGTGTAAGAAGCCCGTCCCTGGACACATGTCTCCATTTAATGGACACGGGGATTCTGATCATCATCACGACGGGCAGGTCATTACTGAGACAATAATAGCAGAGTACCACACTTATTTACCATCAACACGCACCTATGCTCATACACAAGTTATTAGCTATATTTACTTTGTTTGCGTGCGGCGTGCCTATAATGAGGTCCTACCAGGGATGAAGAGAACATCAGATCAGTTCCTCATAACGTGAAATCGGACTTAGTTAGAACGGATTGCGCATGTAGCTAGTGTAGGCTGTGTCCCGAGTCGGATACTACTTTGACTAACGGCCGCAGTCATCACTGGTCAGGGACAGATTGACCTCGACGTCTCGGTCAGTCTCGGCCAATAACTTGTAATTTATGTTCCCATCGTCGATGTTGTCGTTCGATTGGTAAACTGACATGAAAAATTTGGCCTGCAGCTGACGTGGCCAAGGAAGGCCCCTGGAATTAGTTCCTGGCGGACAAAAGGCTGGGACCAGCCAGGACCCTCCTGGGGACCGACGTGCAGCAGCTTGACGGCCTAGGCCTCGGCGAAGCCCCATGAATGAATAATTATAATGTTGAGATCTGTTGACAATAATGACATGTAATAATTCGTCACAGCCTTCGAACGGCCGCTTATTGCCACCCAATCGGCGTGGCGGATTTTTGCCAATCATGCACGCTCAGTACGTAGTACTCAGTCTCGACCACGCTGGACCTCGAAAATTCGTTTCCGGTGATAGTGACAAATGATCATGATGAAGTTAACGTTGGTTCTTTTGCCCTGTGTCCCTGACGCGTGACCAGTGAACCAGTCGAAGTGAGCCGAACTTCAATGAACCAGGTGGAGAATCTGGAGATCAAATCTGATCGGCAGTCCAGGTCAAGAGCGCTCACTTAAAGCACAATGAAATGGCATAAGATGCCCTAGCATTTTTACCCTGCGGCCAAAAGGATATGGATATGGACCCCTCGTCTCCGGTGTTGTTAGTAGATGCTTCTTGCAGCGTCTCTGACGAGGATTCAGAAGTGAAATCTCAGGGGAACTATTGCTCATCTCAGACAGATACATGGAGAGTGGAACGCCCACTGGGCAACAGTGAATTATCTTACTTTCTTCCGTCTCGCGCGAGTGGTGTAAATGACATGTGAGCTTTTCCGAATCGTCTCTTCAATGAAGATCTTATGAAGGGTTGTGCCACCCCGCATTGGCAGGTACCTTCACTTGGGCTTCGTTGCTCCAGAGTACGTTGTTCGTCGGGCCCGTGTTCGCATGGTCTGGGCAATCCTTCGTATTCGTCACCCTCTCTTGGCTTCGAAGGTCGTCATGCACGATTATGACGACGTCAGATTTGTGTAAGTTGCAACTCCCAACTTGCCGTTTACAACTACACGGCTTTACCTCCAGGTTTACCCCTCCGCAATCTCCGGAAGATGCTTTGGTTGATGCGGACCGCAATTTGGAATACAGAATTTCGACCAAGGATGGTAGCGCCCATGTTAATGTACTGATTTTGTGATATTTATGTAAGTTCTAGAACTCATTGATTCATATTTGAACGGAGAACGAACATTGTCGAACGACCGAGTGTCCTATCTTGTCGTGTCTCAAGGAGGCACATCTTTACCTAGCCCTCCTCTGACGCCCCGCTCTACGTCATCGTTCGACGAACACGAATCTCCGTCGTACAATCATGACCTCATGATTTGTGCCGCTCACTTTTTGGGGGATGGTATGGCACTGCACCAATTTGCAAACGACCTTTTTGGACTGCTCGGCAGTGACAAGACTATTTCTGACCTCGAAGCTCAGCTGAAGGAAGAGCTCGGGTCTCGATGGGGCGGCGACCCTACCTCAGTATGCATTTCTGCTGTGTGGTTTCAAATTTGGCTGAGCGACCACTTCAGACTGCCGCGTTACCGAATGCCTTGGAAGACAACTTCACCGTTAACCACAGTAAACTGCGCCACGCGGTTGAAAAGGTTGATTTCCAATTGAGTCAACAAAAACTTGTGGTGAATGTCGTGCCTTTTCTTGACTAGTAACTTGTTTGACAACTTGATAGGGCGGACATACATTCCGTCGACAGGCAAAGCAACCCAGACATACCATTGTCCCTACCGTTTCTTATGATCCTGAGCGAACAACAAGCATTCTGAAAAAATGCAAAGCGCATGGTGTTTCCATCTCCGCAGCTCTATTTGCCATTTGTAACATTGCTTGGGCAAAGATGTGCTCTGAGAAACCAGACTTGTCAATGTAAGTTAGGATAATTTGATTACGTCTTTTATATTCAACCCTCCGTGCAGGATGATGTACTCTGCCTTAAACCTGCGTCCATATTTTACGGCTAAACCAGCAAACGATTCGTACTGGTTTCTTGCGGTCGGCTATTTCAACGTGATCCTTCCAACATTCATACCTCGGTCGATCGACATATCCTCGCTATTCTGGCATCGGGCTCGGGTTGCAAAGGAGCAGAGCACCCGGGCTGCCAGGAACCGGATGATCGTGTCGCGTAGTCTCTTGATGGCTGAAGAGAGGGGGCAACGGGCTCGTCTTTGGGCCAAAGAAGACGATGAAAGGGAACGTGGCACTTTTGTCCCTGCTCCTGCTCCTGTTCCAACCGCAGACACCGCACTACGCACTCCATCTGCTGCATTGATTGGCCTATCGCTTCTAGGAAACCTCGATGGAATATATAAACATGGAACATTTCCTGCTATCAAGCTCCACACGCTGACGACAGGTTCACGACAGCGATCTGGAGGCATGCTGCTATTTGGGTATACGTTCGCCGGCAAGTTGTGGATCAGCCTCGGATATGATGTTAATGGCTTCGAGAAGGTAATGGTGGAGCAATTCTGGGAGAACGTGCTACAGACAATGGACGAATTACTTATGAAGTGACACCAACAGTCGCATCATGGTAGAGGCGAAGGCGAACCGAACTGTGAGAACCAAGTACGTACCCCAAGAACTACATACCAGATATTTTCTCTTTAAAAAATGTGTCGTGATAGTTATTTTCATACTGACAATTATCTTGTATCTATATGTGATATATACTTCATTATCTTATCTTATCCTTTATTGTAAATGAGTGAACTTCCGGGACGTGTACATACCTTATCATAGAGGTATACCACGATGACGACACGGGAACTTCCCTTCGACCTCTACGTACACATTCTCGAGCAGTTGACACCCTTGGCAGATTCTGACGAGAGCATTACTGCGCTTGTTTCTTGCTTGAAGGCGAGCACTTCCTTTAGGGCAGCTGCATCTGTTACAGGACTATGGGAGCCACATTACCGTGTCCGATACACGATATGTGACCCTGCGAAAGAGCAATCGAGGAAGCAGTCTACAGGCGGCGACTGGCGACTGATGTATCTCGAGAGGCGGCGCATAGACCTCGAAACATTGAACATGTTGTCAAAGATTGTCGCGGAACGGGGTGATGGAAGACTGGAAAGAGCGCGAGAGGTCAATACCATGTTCTCGTTTGACGCATGGAATGCCCTGGAGATTGCTGCAAGCCATCCGCTTCCGGAGACATTCCGCGAGCCAGGCGCTCCAGAGCGGAGACCTGTTCCCTCTCACGCAGTTCCCATTCGCTTTTGGGCTCAAATGCTTCTTGGTGCTATTGCTAGAAGTCATGCTGTTCGCACCTGGGGGACGCTTATATCTAATGACACAGCCCAAACGTTGGAGCTTTCATTCGCTTGTGTGTCCAGCTTTTTCGTATACCCCCCCATGAAGGTACGTAGCCTCGATTGGCTCACTCCTGAATATCGTTGAGTTCCTTCGAGGTCTTGTCTCAGCTTGAGGAACTTGTGGCTCTCTGCAAAGCCTACTTTGTTGAACACAGGGTTCCCCTCGACCCGGCTGAATTTACCAGTGACGCTGAAAAGCTCAGACTCGTCTGTTTGTCCATCTGCGATTTCTTGTGGAGCTGCGGTTTTGAGGCTGCGGATGGTGAGCTCTCCTTGAATATCACATTCTATTTTCCAACGAGCAACGATTCAGGACAGCAGTTTCACGTGTTGCAAAACCGGTTTCCTCACCTCTTCTTGACTACGCACAAGGCAACTATTCCTATATCGCTTGTGTACGTTTTCGTGTGCATTGCGCAAAAGATAGGTGTTACAGCAGCACCTGTCGACTTCCCTACCAGAGTTCTGGCCATCGTGTCCTCTCCCGACCCAGATGTTTCAGATATCTTCATCGACGTTTTTGGCTCACGAACACAGGCCATTCTAACACTCCGTGACGATATTCCGCACTTCCTTCTTCAAGCAGGAATCACTCCTACTTCGATGCTTCGTTATATTACCCCTGCTTCCTCCGAGTCTATGCTGGTTCGGGCGTCCCGTAATGTTTTAGCATCCTTCTCCAACTTCCCCGAAAATCCAGTTTCCGAAGATGTGCTGCACACAGCATTCTATGCCAGCCTCGTGGTCAATGTCATCTTTATGAATAACCACAGGTATCTCTCGAATATAATAAACCATATCAATCGGTTCCTCCTCGATCTATTGCCAGTCCTTGTCGATTCATTGACCCCTCTTTTAAACTCGCGCCTCCAAGAGCAGCTCACGACGCATTGCAAGGCTGTCATAGAGGAGGAGAAGGAAGCGGCCGCCACTTCTCACCCTCGCTCTGCACTGACGCGAGAGGTGAAATTCTTCGTTGGCATGGTTTTCAAGCATGCGGCCCACAGATACGTTGGATATATATACGGTTGGGATGTGGGTGTCGATTTGGCGTGCTGTTTTCACCACTCACTTTATTTACCCTTCTGCCAGGCCTCCTGTGTAGCGACCGAGGACTGGGTCCGTGAGATGGGTGTTGATTCGCTCCCTCGAGGACGCCATCAACCCTTTTATCACGCCCTTACACAGAATGGTTCTTCACGCTGTAAGTATATATCTTGCATTTTAATGCCAGTTGTAATGTCCCTGAATCGTCATGCGATGTCACAGATGTTGCAGAGGACAACATTAGACCGACATGTCTGGAATCAGTTGATGTACGCAGAATTTTTGTAGATGCACCAGAGGCAGGGAGGTACTTTGAGGACTTAACCCAAGTTGACGAGAGAGCAAGGTTTCTGTTGAGCCCAGAACTGAATGCAGCGTATCCTGACGACGAAGCCTTCGGTGACCAGTGGCTCAAACAAGGAGACCAATAATATCGGGCAGTCATTGATCGTCCAAGGGATCAAGATATCTATAGGAATATGTACGAATGCTAATGATACAACATGATATGGTGAAACGATATACTCTCGGACAGGTCTAGATGAAGGCACTATGCTATAGACAATATGGACATGGGGGAGACCATGCGGAGCGCCAGATATGCTAAAAATCTACCAGTGACCGAGCTCCACTTCGGCTTGATCAAAACCAATTTCAAGCCAGCGCTCCACTCCATCAGACCCATCATTAAGACCTCGAAAGCCCACACGGTCATATACTTTTGAAGCATTATTGTCAATGCCGACATATAAGACAACTTGCTTATACTTCTCCAGTAACCTGGTCAGAAAGAAGTTAGCGTCGTGATGCAATATCATAGTCGCGAGATCGTACTCTGTGGAGACATGACGAACCAACCTCTCGGCACAACGTCTGCCCCTCCACTGCTCTGGTGTATAGACCTTCGTGATGGCAGCAACACCTCCTGCCTTCCGCGTCACAGCAACAATAGTTGCAATGTTGGGTTCTGCATTGGGCTTCTGGACCTCGAGGACCCAGACTTGCTTGTTCGCAATCAAGAGACTAGCCTCTTCGCGGGCTTTTTCAATGCTGAGAGTGAATGGAGGCTACAGGGATGTAAGCGGTTGCCCCTCAGAAGAGTGCAAAAGACATACGGAAGTCGCAGCAAATTCGTGACACAAGACAGCAATCTGTTCGGCATCCTGTTCCACAGCGGAACGTGGCTCGAGAACCACATCCTCTGATGGAGGGGCAGCTCGATGTTGTCGGACTAAAGTGTCCTTGGTACACATCATGAAAAGTGCATGGTAGTATGGCACCACCTCGCGATCAATCCCTGTGAGTATCTTCCATGTGCGAGCGAAGGCTTCGGCGACTGGCTCAACGGAAAAGACAGAAAAGACTCTTGTCCTGAAGTTCGGTTCGTTCAGAAGCGTGTTACACAAAGCCTCAATGGAGCTTTGGAGGAGGGCGGGGGTTAAGTCAGCGATGGAGTCTGTGGGGACAATGAAAATGGGGTATTTGTCTTGTGGTCCCGTTGTGCAAGAGAGAATGAATTTGATTTCGGAGGTTCCAAGCTTTGAGTTAACCAGCCAAACCTGCTCAGTAGCAGTGATTCCGGGTATGAACTTTTGTCGTTCAAAAACCTTCTCAGCATGAGGAAGGATGATATTGGCACGAGCAGGATCGGCATGCAAGACGGTCCAGACATCCTTGGGGATGCCGGTAGAACGATCAAAGCGCTGAACAGTGGAATTCAAGCCAGGCATGTGTTATATAAGAATTCGGGGGTGAAAGGATAGGAACTGGGTATGCTGAGGATTCGGGGGCTGGAAGGATAGGAGCTGAGTATGAGGGAACTTGGATCCTCGAGCCAGTTTTATACCCATCCATCTCTGCAGATACAGCAGCTGCGGAACTACGTTGTGTTTCAAAAGAACGTCAGTCTAAACGTTCTGGTACTCATATAGAGCACAGGGTGGCTAAGGGAGCCAACATGGAGAACAACTATACGGGGACAGGCAAACATAATAAAAACGTTGCGCATAGAATGGAAGTCTCACCGTTTTCCATCCTGTGGTTGCACTAGAGAGGATCAATGTACTTGCCAGATGGATCGACCATGCAAGTATTCGGTGAATGATACTTACCGTCGCAGATCTGAGGCTCCGGTTATTATATTAACATACAGCAAAGTATTTTCTGTTGCAATACGATGGACGTTATTAGGGCCAAGCACAGGCCTCAGCCTGCCAGCCAGTGGTAGCTTGCCATGGCCATCCTGTGGCGGCAGCGCGGTGGCTAGCGAGTCACATGCGAAATACGTTGTGAATCATTCTGGCATGCAACGTATCGACGACGTTCTCCACGTATTCCAATCTGTGCAGACATAGATGTTGGGCGTTAAGCCCACGTTCAAGACTGTTAAACAGAAATGGGACGAGGTTAATTTAAACTTTTGTCCTTGAGTGACTTGGTCATAAAATGCCATAATACTATTTGATACACCTACTTGCAGTTGATGTTCCGTACTATTATAGTAGTAACGTTCAAACGCCGTGTTGGTGGTAATAGATTTCGTAGAAACATCCATTGTCAACCAGTAACATATTCTTTGGAATTGGGCATCTTACTACTAGGAACGAACTCCTTGTCTTGCGTTCTCTCGGAACGCTTCCTCCACCACATTTAGCATAGCCAACAACTTCTCCTCGTTGTGTCTCCGACCCACGAGCTGTAGACTTATGGGAGCATTATCATATGTAGCTGGGTTCCATTGACCATGAATAAAGTTTTCAACATCATTCCTTGACGGTAGAAGAGGTGGATAGGTGGCAGATGGTGTGGCTTTGAAGCGGCCAACAGGGAAGACGACACCTGGCAAGTCTAGTAGGTTCCAGTGAGAGGTATAACCCCACCAGCGAGTTGTGTCGTGAGGCGGAGCTAACGTAGGTGCAACTGGACAGAGGATAACGTCCACAGGACGTCCACTAACGGTATGTTGATGAGTGGCATTCCAGTGCGCCAATGCTTTTGAGCGGAACGCCTCCCGCTCTAAGTTGAGCTTGAATATCTTCGCGGGCGTATATGAATCTCGTCCCTGTGCATGTTTAAGTATCCATTCCGTTTGTGGTACCTCAAACTCTCCGCCTGCTCTGATAGTTTCGTGATACTCTGCTCCACCGTCTAGTAAATACAGCTTCGCCTACGTGAAGAATTGAACCATTAGATCAGATACCAAAAAATGGAAGCGTCTTACAATCAGGTCCCATCCATTCTGATGGTCCAGTGCATGCCACTCGATTACGTCGTGCCCCGCGCGTACTAAGGCGTCTTTATACTGGTCCAAAGCCTGCATGATTGGAGGATGCGGCGCGACGACGCCGTCGTCAAAAAGGATGGCAATTGCAAGTTTTTCTGGTAAACCTTCGCCGTTCGCCATAGCTCTTTTCCATGGCATTTCTAAGAGTGGGGGTTCATCGAGCCATGGCTTTGCATCGAGCATAACTCGACAGAATAACTCAAGATCCCTCGCAGATGTTGCCAACGGTCCGACACAACCTACAATTGCATCCATCCCGTCATGCGAGCCCAGAAGACCAGAATGTGGCAGACGTGCCACCGACCCTTTCAGTCCATACAAACCACAATGCGCTGCGGGGATCCGAATGCTCCCGCCGATATCAGTCCCGACACCCATAGGACTACCGTGACATGCTATAAGCGCACCCTCGCCACCACTGCTTCCTCCGGGAGTTAAGTTGCGATTGAATGGGTTAACAGTCCTGCCGAATACGTTGTTGTCCGTCTCGAGTGACTGAAAGCCAGGTAAGCCAATGCATGAAGAAATACACGGTATCACTGACAAGTAAAGTCTGCGGATTCTGTGTTTTGACGTATAGAATTGCCCCGGCGTTGCGCAGGATTTCCACCACCAGTCCATCACTGTCCGCAACAGTTTTGTATGCCCAACCTTAATATAAAAATGATAAATAACTGGTTTAGGGAGAAAACGCATTGCTCACCAAGATAGCCTGACGAAGTATCCAGACCTTTGATTTTGATGTGATCTTTTATCGAAACTGGTAAACCGTGCAGTGGCCCTATGACATTTCCAGTTGTCTCCAGATATTGGTCAAGCTCTTTGGCTCGTAGGAATGCTTCATCGAGGAAAACTTCTGAAAGACAGTTGGTGACATCTTGGGCGGCCACCGCTACTTTGACAAAGGACCGCAGAACGTCCTGCGCAGTATAGACTCGCTTGCGAACTAAATCTATGATCCCCGTCGCGTCACATTGAACGATAGCACGCTCCTGTTTCCGTGAGCTTGGTAAGGAGGTACTGTGAGAGGTCGACGACATCATTTGGAACATGAATACGGCCTTCGCGATATGCGAATAGCTTTGCCTCGCGCTCCTGTCGTTTTTGGGCGGCTACGTCGTGGATTTTGACTGAGACCATTGTAAAGAGAGGGAGCAACGGTCAAGGCGCGGGCGCTGCTGAGAAAATTTCAGCAACTGACTGGGCACACCTCTTTATACGTACAGTGCCCAGGGATGCGAAATATATATACATCCAAGAAGAAATTCCATGACACGAGGCTATGCGCATTGCGTGACAATGTGCCAGATGAACGCGCGGCGGATCTGTTCATAAAAATTATCGGTGTTCGAAGCCCACACAATGCAATAACCACAAGAAGGTAACGGATGCCGATCGACTGGATGTGGGGGTGAAGGGCGCTTCAAGGCGGTTTCGTTTCCTCAGTTATAGTATTAGTGGGTGACTTCTGGTGGGCAAAATAATGCAGAATAAGGTTTGAAAATGATTGACAATCACGGAAAATCCAATAATTTATTGGGCTTTCCATATAAACCGTAGATCACTAATTAAGTCCATTAAAAAACTTCAAGTGAAAATGAAAAATCTGGCCCGATAATATTCTGTTGCGAGCGCGGATTCATGCGCCGAAGTGTTTAACGCCAATTGAAACCTCTCAAACGAACTTGGGAAATGGGTTAGGGTTACGTTCAGGCACTGCAGGTGGTCAATCTCTGGTGACGTAGGTCGCTGCTGCCGTATCGAGCATTATGGAAGCACAAATGAAGCGATTACAATGGAGAACCAAGATAGCCAATGGGTACACCAGGGCATCAGACTGTGACGATCGTGTAACAGGTGTAGACTTGGTGAAACGTGTGCTTATGTCAGCATGAACTTGGAGAGGTTGAACCCCCCTTAGGGCAAAACAATATTTGTTGAATTGGAAAATGAGCGTAAACGAAACCCGGCATCGCGGTTGCCTTCCTAATTCCCATTTTCGTAAATTTGCGACAACCATGTCTTGGAACTTCATCAGCAAATGCGACTTTGTTCGAAAGCACTCACAAGACGCTCGTGTGTATATTCTTTTTGGTTTAGTTCAAGTTTGCGTTCGTAAGCACACATTTTTGGTTATATATTCAGCATCTCCACCAATCGCATGAGTGCGCTACTGAAGTCGTAAGCGTTGACTTCAGTAGTTTTGCAGATGAAGCGTGACACGCATAGCCACCTTGGAAAACGAGCAAGGCACTAGGAAAGCTCTACTCCGATTTTAAATTGGTAAGAGGGAAATCCTTTATCCAGAGTTCATGGAGGCTCAAAAACCTTTGCATTTCCGGAGTTCTTTGCCATCTCCGGTTGTTGGGCATTCCCAAACTCGATTACACTCAACTACCGCGTCTCAGCCACCGATATCTCTCCATTGCTATCTTCAATTCTCTGATCCGAGTACTAGTATTGGATCACAGCGTCCCCGTAGCAAAGCTACCCACCCCAGATCAGAAGGATCGGAGCCTGCGGCAGGCTCTTGGTCCGAGAAGAGCGGTTGTATGATAGCATATGATTAAAATGTGACGTACGACGTCGTACTATTCCACTAAGTCACGTGATGTTATGAACTAAGTGGAACGTTCCACCTTCTGTTCACTGGAATGTTCAGATTTGAATATCGACACCTTTATCTTTCGAAATTTGTGTATATCGTACCCCGATATCGATGTTTATCGCTATCATCGGTTCGCGTTTTTCAGGGAAATCAACTGTTGAAGAGTATCTGATTGCCAAAGGTTTCACGTCTGTCCACTTACGCGACAAGGATTTAGAGGCAGGTTCTGCTAAGCTCCCTGCTCCCTGGATTCAGAAGACCATTAATGGTCCCCTCAGATTACAGGAGGAGTCAAAAATCTGGACATCCAGCCCCTTCCGGCGGTACAAACCAATAATATTGGTGATGCGGACGGACTGGACTTGCACATATCGCCCTCTTCCTTCCCAATCTCAAACCTGCAAGCCCTTTCCTTCAGCTCCCCAGCTATGCTATTGGATCACGTCACACAACATTGGCGGTCGAATTTCGTTACGACCGACCTCGACTCAGACAGACTAGTGAACTACTTCATCAGGCGCCCTTTCTTCATGCTACTTAGCATAGACGCGCCCATCTTGCAACGTTATTATCGCTCTCACGGGTAGTTATCTGGTCAGCTGGTGTGAACTCTCAGCTGAAAATGAACCCAGTAGTCCGATGAACATAGCGGCTCTCGAAGACTTCGTACGAGGACATGACCGCGAAGTGTTCGGAGATAGATCAGGGCTAGATCCCCCCACCGGTTTTTCACTGCTCCGCCGCGCAAGCCTGCAGGTCAAGCTCAAAATCGGAAATCACTTCGATTCCATTGCAGAACTCCATTGTCACCTGGATTCTTTAGATATCACAAATACAAATCGACTCAGACCTCAATGGGATACCTATTTCATGGTATGAACGTTGTTCCGCAAGAATTCAGATGAGCTATATTCGTTCCAGACGCTCGCAGATCTTGCTTCGCAACGTTCCAACTGTATGAAGCGCCGCGTAGGCGCCATACTTGTCCGTGAACACCGTATTGTTTCCACAGGGTGCGTTTAAGGCGCACTTCGATCTCCTTCGGGCATTTAAGCTGTTATCTCGGTCTACAGTTATAACGGCACTCCTCGCGGCGTCAAAAACTGCAATGACGGTATTTGCCTTTCCTTCCCTCCGGTTATTTGTTAATTATAATGTAGGGGGGTGCGGACATTGCAATCGCACATCGGCGACTAATGGCACTGAATGTCTTTGCTTACATGCCGAAGAAAATGCGCTTTTAGAAGCAGGAAGAGATCGGGTTGGCGCGAATGCCACTATGTACTGCAATACGTGGGTACAACATTACTCTTTTACTTGCTTGAGTTATATTCTGGGCCTAGATGTCCATGTTTAAAATGCACCATCAAGATTATCCAAAGCGGTGTCAAGAGAGTAGTTTACAATTTGAGCTATAAGGTGTAAGCACGTCAACCTCTCATGCAGCATTCTCTAAAATTGTTCCAGAGATGAAGCTTCTGCACGATTGTTCCAAGAGGCTGGAGTGGAGATCTTCCGACACGTTCCACCCCCTGAACCATAAATTAGCGACGATAGCTCAGTAAGCAGGTTTGATATGGTACCAACCAGAAGTGCATTACTCGTTCAGGATCAAACACACATTATCTCGTATATCCCATTTGTATTCTCTCAAAATAGCTACCTCCCCAGTCAAACGCCCACACGTTGCCATAAGCGCCAGCCATACGGCGTCTCCATTACCTTTGGCGAGCGCCGCATACAACTCTCTTGCACAGGCCTGCAGTTCCTCGTGTGCCTGCTTGTGCAAGAAGCGCCTGAATGCAAGAATGACCTGCCAGCCGGACGTGTCCTGCATATGAACCCCAGCTACGGCAGCTGTCATCGTCCTCAAAGTTGAGCGGTATAAGCGGTGAGAGTGAGTGTATGCTGATTCCGTTCCTACCGCGCCATAACCTCGGCGTGTGAGGGCGTTCTGATGATCAGAAACATCTAGCTTCTTCAGAATACTGTCAAACCGGGGCCAAACATCGTCCCATACTCGGCGGCCCATGAAACTGCCGACGTGGGTCACGAGAGATTCCACAAGCCCAGCAGCCGCGCTGACTACAAATGGCTCGGCGTCATTGAGACGATTCAGGATGAATGGCCATGCTTGATGGATGGATGGTAACAGGGCCGACTCAGAGAGAACAGGGGTAGCTGAACTTAGCAGGTTTAAGATCCGAGCGCGGATCACGGGTGAAGCGTGTGTGAGGAAATAGATAGATCGTGAAACCATCTGCTTGGCCAAGGCTTGTCCCGGTGTAGGCGCAGGCTCGGCATCCTCGGCGACTTTCGGTTGATCTGACTGAGTTTTATCAGATGCCCCTTCTGTGTTGCCCCATGCCTTCCGCGGGGCAGGACCGTAGTCAGTGGTGTCTTCCTGAGGTGGGAGATCATTGCGATGAGTGAGCCATTCGAAGAGTGGCTCCAATGAATAGGTTATTGTCAGTGACTGCATGTCGTCCTGACCTTCCTTTGGGCGTGAGGCTCTTCAACCTCAATGACCTTAATCACTTCTCCTAATACTCCCACCAAGCCTTGAACGATGACATCGTACCCGTGATACTCGTCCAAACGGTCAAAACACTCTTCAACAACATCACCAGCTTTCTGCACTACATCGGCCCCTACGAGGCGCACGAGGACAGCCATCACTTTTGTTGCATCGACGTCAAGCCATCTGCGGCTAAGGCGGCGTGACACAGAGTCCAATGCGTAGTCAAAGTTTGACAGTAGGAGGTTGGCTGGGGAGGCGTATGACATGACAGCTGATACAAAATGCAACGTCGCAAGGCCGGTTAGGGAAAGATGGGGTGTGGGCGACACGATCGAATGTAAAATAGGATATAGGACCTGGATGAGAACGGAGGCGTAGCGAGCCTGCAAAATGCCCGCACTAATCGAAAGCAACTGCAAGCAGAATATCTTATGCAGTATGGGTTGATCGTCGGACAGATTGGGCACTGTGGCCCTTGGCTCCGCAACCTGCAGGGTGGCACGGATGGTTTTGAACCCCTTGGTGAATTCTGTGGTCAGCAATGAGTCGTCCGTATGGCGATCCGTGCGGGTAATATCGGACTGGCTGTTGAAGTCCGGCTCCTCGTCCCATAACTCAGCGAGGTCACGAGCCAAGCCTCTTGCAAACCGCTCTAGTTTCCTGCTCCGGGGTCCGCTCGAAATGGCCATGCCACCCTCATCCAGACTAAAGCCGCTGATCCCCTCAAGGAGGCGAGCAGCGCACCACAATGCCGCAACAGCATTGTTGGTTCGTGAATAACGTCCTGTACTGACGAACCATTCAACAGCATAGATGCAATTTTCGCCGCTGATTCTCCCCAAAGCACGTAGCATGCGAGCCAGAGCATCGCGTGTGGACCTTGCGAGGACATTTTTTAACATCGCCTCAGGGAAGTTAACCGTGTCTGGGTTGTCTGCATTGTCCTCTAGCAAGAGCTGAGCGACCGAATCCTGGCTGACATTCACTTGCGGACTAGTGAATTCCAAGACAGAAAGCAGAGTATAACCCCACTTTTCGATTCCGCCGGTTGGCCCTAATAGCGTGTCGATACCCAAAGAAATTGATGGTAGACCGAGGCCTGTAGAAGACGTGCTACTAGATGTAGCCAACAAGCAGATTGCCTCTATTTGGCCAGCAATGTGTTCCACCTTCGTGTCATCTTGGGAAACGATGGATCGAGGCAAAGAACTGAGGTTCTCTTTCGATATTTCTAAAAGTGCTTGGAGTAACGGTAGTCTCGCATCCGAAGCGGACGGCCAGCAGCTCAGATAAGGCGTGGTAGGCAGCTTGCGACACCTCCGGGAAAGAACTGTTTGATAGTGACAAGAGCCAAGACAACAGAAGAGGTCGGGATTGAGGAAGAGTTAGATGTGTGGAGGCAAGGATGGCCCTTGAGAAAGAGGACAGGGCAACCAAGGCGAGCGGGGTCGGATGATTCACGAGAGGTGTCAATGAATTTAGCGCAATGTGCAATTGGGATGCCGACGCACGTAACCAGCTCGAAGTACGTGGGGTCAGGTAGGGAGGCAAATCAGGTGGTTTGGGGTTCACTGTAGGATCATCTGCGAGGTTGATGAAGTCTTCAAGGTCCACGACACTCCGAACGACACCCTCTCGGATACATACTTCGTCTCCTAGCGACTTCACGATTACAGGCTCCAGGGCCTCAAGACTTAGAGCGACAATGTCTCCATTGACCCACCCCTTCTTGCTCGACACCCCAAGAACAATTTTGGCCATGCTGCTCACGACGCCGGGCAAGATGGAAGGTAGAAATTGCTCTGAAGCATACACACTGATGAGTGCATGTAGAATTTTCAGCGAAATGCGCTGCAGTGGGAGATGAGGAGATTTTGCGGTGAGGAGGAGGGTATTGATAGTCTGTCCAAGAACAGGCATGAATTGCTGGCTCTGAGAATGTGCTCGAAATTGCGAAACGCGGTCGCGCAACAGTCCTCCGGGAAGGTCTTGTGGTGCCTCCTCTAAGCGACGCTGCCGAACGATAGCCCACAGACATCGTGCGGCTGCTTCTTTGGTTTCGTCATCCCTGATTTTGCCTTTGCCCTTGCCTTCGACACCCCCGATGATGGAGCTGCATAGCTTGAATATCTGATCCCAGATCAGTGTATCACAGGACCACCACCACGTTTCGCATAAAATGGCAAGAACGCCAAATATCTTCTCCAGCACTTGGTCCGGAATAGCAGACAAGTCATTCCGGCGGAGAATCGTGGACAATGGGAAAAATATGTACGATACCAAGGACTGAGACAAGGTGAAACCAGTTTGACCCGCATCGAGCAGTGTGCTTTCAAGGCTGGATAGCAAAGGTAAGACAGCTGCTACGGTCCCCGCAGATAGCTGTGACTTCTCCAGCAGCGGTACGCATATGGATTTGAACTGAAATCAGGAGATCAATAGTCAATTCTTCAGGCCAGGATTTGGACTGTGATGCACCTTTGAAAACCATTGTTGTGATAGACTATCGTTGTTCATCAGTCTTGAAATGCGAACTGACACTAGTGTTGGCACTGACAAGTACTTGAGTACTAGTGTCCGCCACTGACTAGGCTATGAAGTAGTCTACAGCAGTGAAGAACCGGCACGCCAATCAGCTATTGACTCCGAAAGAGTGTTTCACTCAAGCACGACAGTGGATCATTCCGCTTTGAATATTTACTCATGACCATCCGTTCGATTTTCTCTTCTTATCATTTGTCCCTCTTATTATAAGTAGATTGGCCTCTTGCCATTCACTATTCTCCTGGTCTTTCTATTTATCCATCTTCAATGAGTCCGGAACCCTCGAGGATTCTGCTGGTCGACTCGTATGACTCTTTCACGTATAAGTCAGTCCCTTTACATCTTCTGAGGATTGTAACTCAATTTTTCAATAGCTTAGCAGCTTTGTGTCGAAAGGCTATCCCAAACTGCTACGTGCATATCATCAAGAATGACGATATAGAGCTTAATGATCTACTATCATATCTACCCTATTTCTCCGGTGTCATCGTCGGTCCCGGCCCAGGATCTCCAAATATCCCAGAGGACATTGGTCTCGTCAAAGACCTATGGAAGATTGACGACGCACATCTTTTGCCGATATTTGGCGTTTGCTTAGGTCTTCAGAGTTTAGCTCTTGAATACGGAGCTATCCTACGGAGGCTCTCCGTCGTCAAGCATGGTCATGTATCTGCTGTCGAGCACAGTGGCACAGATATATTCAAGGGCGTCGGGCCTGTGGGTGCCGTTCGTTACCACTCACTCCACGTCGAGTTGAGTGGTGCGAAGAACATTGAAGAACTCGCATCGACTCATGACGAGGAGAATGGGAGGGTAGTAATGGCCCTTAGACATCGCACTCGACCATTCTGGGCCGTTCAGTATCATCCTGAATCAGTTCTCACGCACGGTGGGGGTATTGAAGTCATGTTAAACTTCTGGCGTTTAGCGCGGACTTGGAGTTCTTCCCGTGGGCGTGTCACACGCCCATGGGATCAAAAGGCAGATGGAATCTTTGGCATTCCGTGGCCATATATTCGCCCATCACCGAGTACCCCTCGTATCAACACGCCACTAGCCGCCTCTACGATAAAATTGAGCATCCCAGGCCTATCTGCTCCTGATATATGCGAGGTCTTAGGCGTTGACGACGATTCGTCTCCCTTCGTTATGCTGGAATCTGCTGCACAGCCAGGCAGATTCACTATCATCGGCTGCTTGACTTCGACGTCCATGCGGATCACATACACCATTGGAGATAGTTTCGTTCATCTCGCAGATGGGGAATCATGCGATCAAATAGATCTAGGATCCCAGGACGTGTGGTCCTGGCTTACTTCTTTCATGAACAAGCGGAAGGTTACCGGCGGCTCACCAGAAATTCCCTTCTGGGGTGGCCTCATTGGCTACCTGAGCTACGAACTCGGCAGCGAATCTCTCAAAGTACCAGCCAGCAGGGTATCTAGCCAGTCACGACACCCCGATGTCAACCTCGCGTTTGTAGAGCGCAGCATAATTCTCGACTCGACTTCTGGACAGATTTATGTCCAATCTATCACGGAAGAAGACAACGAATGGCTGATGGCAATGGCTGCAGAGCTTCAATCTGCCGCCCGTAATTATTCAACATATTCTTCGTTTAATACTACGCCTTATTCAACAAAGGCGCGACCAAATACGTCTACTGTTATTTTACCAGACCGGGACCTCTATAGATCCCGCATCAATCTTGCGAAGGAGCACCTCTTCGCCGGAGAATCCTATGAGCTGTGTCTTACAGCTAACACTCGCATCACTTTGAACGATCCGCTAGCACCGAAAGCTTCATCAACCTACTCGCCTTCCTGGCAGCGTTATAAACACCTTCGCGAGCTCAACCCCGCTCCTCATGCTGCTTACCTTCGGTTGCATCCAACCACTTTACTGGCCTCATCACCAGAGCGTTTTCTCTCGTTCACTCGTCCACCTGGAACCACGTATCAACTACGTCCCATCAAAGGCACCATACGGACGGGCCCTAGTATCACCCGTGCTGTTGCTGAGCAAGCGCTCAGGGGCAGCCAGAAAGAGGTTGCCGAAAACCTCATGATTGTCGATCTTATTCGGCATGATCTGCATGGAGCTGTTGGGGAGAATGTAGAAGTCAAACAGTTCTGCACTGTGGAGGAATACAAGACAGTTTGGCAGCTTGTTAGCGTCATTGAAGGCAGATCGGCAGACGGCGCTGATCGAGCTGCTAGCTACTATGCTAATGGTGCACTGGGGTGGGAGGTTCTCAGACGCAGCTTACCCCCGGGTATGTCTTGTAGAGTTGTCCCTGGTTCAATTGTCACTAATATACCAACACAGGTAGCATGACTGGAGCCCCGAAAAAACGCAGTGTTGAGATCCTCCAATCATTGGAAGACGAAGAACGCAATGTTTATTCCGGTGTCTTTGGTTACTGGTGTGCTGGCGGTGGTGGTGACTGGTCTGTTACCATCCGAAGTTGCTTCAAATACGATGACCGGTACGAATGCGATGCTCATTCGTGGACGAAATTCAATACCTCTGATTTCTACCCTGGCGTCCACGAGCCGGAGTATTGGGTGATTGGTGCTGGAGGGGCAATCACTGCATTGTCCGATCCTGATGCAGAGTGGGACGAGATGCTGGCAAAGCTACAGTCGGTGCTCCGCGTTTTTGGCGCGGCTGTACCTCGTGGGCATTAGCGGGATTCATGTTCTCTTGACAGCTACCTGCTTCATCGCCGGTCTGCATTGTCTTACGCACTAAGTTTGCACTAGGTACTATCCACTGAATTCAACTTCACCGCCTCTCCCTGACCGCTGAAGAATTCTGAGTGACGATTGACTTCCGTGGGTAAGTCTACATCATCGTTCTCTATCTTCCTTTAGCATCAAGTGCCGTGTTCGTGGAGTCTAAAACATCGCCGAAAGAGCGAATCTCTAGCCCACGAGTAATCATTGATACGGTACTCTATCTTTAGTCGCAAGAGACTATCAATCTAGGCAACATGCTCACGCGTCTCAGTCAAACTGTTCACACGTCATGGTCAATGTCGAGCCTAAGCACCCTAACGTTCATTGCACCCTCAAGGTTAGCCCTATGTACTAACCGTGTGTTCTCATGCTGACTTTTATAGCTACGATATCGCAATACGGGGTTATGCATTAGTGTCTGATTATGATGATGAAACCATCCAGTCTGAGAATGAAGTGGACGCCTTAATGCCTTCCATTTCTGATGTGACAAGTGCACCGCGGTGCGTGCTATACATCTGGCTTGAACTCTTCTACAAGTGCAGCACGATTGGAAGTTGGATGATGGAGGCGTTCCCCTGAAATGGTAGCTGTAAGTTTCTATAAACTTGCAAGTCCACGACTCATGTCATTCTTCTCGGGACCACTACAGGTTCACTTAGAATACAAGCACCAGTGAACAGGGTATATACTCGACATTTTATCCACCAGGACTTCGAGTGCTTATTGTTATTATACCAACCCAGTGGGAGAACCGTTTACTTTTCTACCTTATTGTGGAGTATGACGACAAGATATGCATATAAAGCTGCTATGACATTATCGATCAGGTATGTCATAACGTTCTCATTATCTCGGCTTGTGGTTCATTGGGCACTTCCCACACTGAGTCATTTCCAGCTGCAGTCTGCAGGCCTGATTGCCGTATCCGTGGTTTATATATGCACGTTGGTATCATTCTTCCGTTCCTTGCCATACCAACACTACCATAGCCTTGCTGTAGCCTTGAATGTAGGTGGAAGCGCTTTTTGGATGATTATCTTGGGTCCTTTCCTGGATACACAGCTTTCATCATAAATAGAAACCAGTTGTCTCTGTCTGGGCACTGGTAGAGGCCGAACAAACAGCCCGCGCTTACGCAGGTTGTCGACCTCCACGTTACTTCGTTGCAAGACATGTCGGACGCCGTCTCCATCAGATCCATACGCAGTGCACCTCCAAGGTTTGTATCCTTTAATTCAGTCGATTCTTACTGCAACCCTGATTCCTGACTTCCAGTTACGACACCGCACTTCTTCAACGGTTGACTCTAGATGAAGAAGAAGTAGAAGAACCCCCCAGAGTTGTAACTGAAGCATCATTGGTGGTGTTAGCTCCACCGACCAATGTATCAACTGATACGCTCGTTGATCCCACGACAAGGTCATACTGAGCATCCCTAATCTCCAACTTTGTCTAACATCTCAATAGAAACATCTCAGCTGACGTCGAAGCAAGAGGACCATTCACATTCTCACCGTTCGGTCCGAACGCTATGCTGCTCTTGCCTCACACGCTCTCTTCGAATTCACGTCCTCTATATCATATCTCTGTCTCGAACGATTGCTTCAGACCTCAGGTATTCACCACCGTTATTCGCAGAGGAACAGAGCAAGGCCAGGTTATTGCGAGAATTCAGTTCAGTCTTCCGAATTTCCTTCAACGCTCTTCCGCTGATGCGCCACCCTAATAGACGGTCTATATTAGATGATGATGGATATCGCGGGACTGTTGACTATACCGGCTCAGGGCGGCCTAGGGTGGCTCATCTTGATAATATACATTTCAAACGTGAAAGGGTAAGTCGTTGCGTCATTCGATCAACATGGCGTTAACATGTTATACAGTTGCAATGGGAGTGGCATTTTGACAAGAGCATGCCTCTCGTGTGGCAATCAAATTGTCAGGGAAAAACAGTGAGACTTCTTGCTTTCGTGTGAATGAGCAATTTTCTCACAGATGTTCTTGGTGCATAGGTGATTTCCGTCCAGTGTGCTCAGTACGGGGTGAGGAACCCTCCGATTCTGGCTACCTTCGTTCCGAGCAACAAAAGGGGACAGCTTCAGACATTGGATATTACTTCGGCGGGGCGACCTTTTATGGACAATATCGTGATTTCATGCCTTGCAACAGAGGGGAGAAGAACTACCAAGCATGATAAGTGAAGTTAGAGATACCATCTTCAATGGTATGCAGACCCCGCTGTGATATCCCCATGCCCCATGCCCTACACATATGTAATAACCAACAGATGCTGCCATATTTATGCCATGAGAGCAATGTGTTTGAGCTCACTGCCAGACGTGAGTTAGATCTGGCTTCGGGGTAGTTTAACTTTTGGTACTCACTTCTGAACCTGTTGTCCAACTTTCATCGGTTCATAAACCGTATGCTGATAGGCTGTCTGATTCGAATTGAACGCATTTGCACGTTCAGATAGCTCAGGTAGCGCAACAAGGTCATAATCGGACGAGAGGTGCCAGAAAAATGTTGATGATATACGAATAAGCGGCCGGTCAGGATGGCTCTCTTTACGCCGCTCGACAGTCTAGAAAATATGGGGTCAGCTCTTCACTTGAACAACAGGTTTCGACAATGTATAACCTGTAGCGTAGTCTCGTTGACGACTACCTCGTGAAACCCAGCTTTGATAAGGCCCCCGGTTAGATGTTCAATCTGTTTCCCTGCTTGCACGAGAAGGTAACGTCCAGTGGGTGGGAATCTAACGGGGATGCGCTTTCCAGTATTACGTGCCCAGATGTGAAGTCCAGGATATCGTGAACGACCATGGATCGTTAAGCAGTTGAGGTCTGAATGAAACCCCGCAAGTATGGTATCATTTTGCCCATACTTCACCAAATCAGAAGCCGTTGGTCCAAGTAGATGTGGGCTATCCACGGCATCAATCAATCATTCGATAGAATGATATATTATAGAGTGCTGACCCATATTTCCCTGCGTCCTTGATAAACCCTCGAGGAAGTCCGAGACCGATTGCTGTCATTTCTGCAATATTCTCGACGCTGTTGGTTGTGTTAGCGACAGCCTCAGCTAGACATGTGTAGGACTCACGCATTCTTCATCGAATGTCCCCATCTCTCCATGGTGGATTCCCACTTCTCCCTGATGTTAGGTGCCTGCGGCACGACATTCGGAGCGTTAAGAGCTGGATAGTCGGTCTCATATGGAGGGGGAACTCCCATTTTCCAGAAGAATCTGCATTTAGGGTCAGGATGGTGCCCGGAGATATCTAATGGCCGTTCCGTTGGGTCCAAGTTGGCGATGATATCCAAGCACGGCTCATCCACGGCGCATTTGGGCTTCTCAGTATTCTCGAGGGTGACGCCAACCTGATAATGAATCTCTGGGCGCTCGTCCTTCTGTAAGGTCCTCAATAGGCTGCGCGAAATAGTTCTCGATGAGATCGAGGAAGGTGTCATTGTCTTCCTCTGATACGCGAGAATCGTGAACAAGGAGTGCTCCGTATGTGATCAGCGCGTCAGCAGCCTGTCAGCTAGATGGTCACCCGCTGGTCACCAAGATCGTAGGTGGAAAAAGGCTAACCTTGTTGCATTCCTCTTGCACTCTGACTGATTGTGCAGGTTGAGACAAGAAGACATCAAGGTCAATGACTGGCAGGGTTTCGGATAGCGTCGACATGATGGAAGTTACTGCTGAATTCGATGATCCGATCTTTATAATGACAAGTAGGCACTTCTAATCGTGGATAGCTGGGCTCCTGCTCTGGAGTAGAAACTTGGTAGGAACCATCAACGGATACCTTTATCCATCCAAGGCCATCCAATTCAAGTTGCTCCTGGGCGCTAGATTATGACATGTAGGACTTCTATGATAGGTAGTAAATAGTGACCAGTCATTGAGCGACCTGGAAAGTAAACCGTATCGACGTGTGTTTGGAAGCGAATCAGCCCACAAAATAAGCTATTCGGCCGCTGAAAGAACATCAAATCTGCCAACATGAGGCCGAGGAGGCCTCGAGGAGTCAAGCACTAGTCGAAGGCAGCTGCCATTTCGGCACATTCCGCGCTTTCACCCTGTTCCCCCATCCACCTCACCGTATAAGTACGCACCTTTCGCCACAACTACCACCTGTACACTCCCTTTTCACGAATCCCAGACTGTCATCATGATCAAGGTGTGTGGATCTTACCAGCGTTCCATACAGTAAGCCGAAGATTTTGATATGCATAGATATGGAGTATGAAGAAGAATGAAGACGCAGCAACGAAGAGAAGGCCCAAGACAAGTGCTGCACAGATACGAGTGCAGAAGGGTCCGTACCAACTTTCAATCTGTTTTCTGAATTCGTGAATTCAATATACGCAATGTCAGATCTGACCGAACTTGACCTCCCTTCCACCATGAAGACTGACTTCCCGGACCCTAACGACCTCCTGAACTTCACTCTCACCATCACCCCTGATGAAGGTGTGTCTGCGGAATGCTGAACATGCCTATTTTACTCACCAAACCGTCAGGCATGTACAAGGGTGGTGCTTTCAATTTCTCTTTCACCATCAATACCAACTACCCACACGAGCCACCCAAGGTCAAGTGCATGCAAACAGTATGTCCCCTTTACTCTACTCTGGGCTATTTTAACAGTCTTCAATACAGATATACCATCCGAACGTTGACCTCGAGGGAAACGTGTGTTTGAACATCCTCCGAGAAGATTGGAAACCTGTTCTAAATCTGAACTCCGTCATGGTCGGCCTACAATATCTTTTCTTGGAGCCTAATGCGGACGATCCATTGAACAAGGGTTTGCCACATTTACTTGCAGATTTATGAGCTTGTCTGACTGCATTTCACAGAGGCAGCAGAAGAACTACGGAAGAATCGCGAACAATTCCTGCACAATGTTAAGACATCCATGCGCGGTGGTAATATCAAGGGCGTGTCATATCACAAGGTCCTTGTATGATAATTAGATGCGCGTAGATGTTTTCTGTTCACCATGATCGTTGCTTTCCGCTGGCATTATTCTACATTCGAAGATTGTCGAGATATTTGGTCTTTACGGAGATCATTAAATCAAGGTAATGATATGATATATATCTGCCTGGATCGCATCGTTCCATTCCACTTGCACTCAACTGCCTCTGTAAGTGGTGAAGGAATACGGGGTAATCAAAAGCGGGATGTGGTAATGTTCTTCTGGATTTTCGATCTCAAAAGTAATCTGCACAGGAATCAGATGACATGGATCCGGAACAAGCACTGCCTGGCTAGCAAACCAATCTTACCTCTACCCAGGGATAGAAGCATTTTCTGCCTGTCTTTTCAAAATACTCCTTCGGCTTGAAGACAATTTTGTAAGTTCCAGCGTCCACTTGCTTATGCTGCAATCTAGCCTCCTCAGATCCTCGTGGTGGCAGCATATTCATGCATCGCCCGTCGGCATCTGTAACGCTGAAAGAGTATGGTGGTTAGTGGGCAAGTGGTTATTTAAAATTGGATAGTGATCGACGTACCCATGTGCAAACGGGCTGAAGATGTCGACATTTCTCTGTCCTTCATGATAAATCTGAATATTGACCTCCACTCCCTCTGCTGGTCTTCCAAGAGAGGTATCGAGGACTGTAGGGTGTCAGTGAACACCGACTGCCTTCCCTTGACACAAATGCTCACCATGACATGTGATGGGTCCCTTCGACATAATGATGTAGACTGGGAGAGTTTCCTGTTTGCAAGGCCCTTTATATCAGCCTTAATATCCAAGTGAGCTCAAAAACGCCGAGAGGTATTGTGTATGAGAGTATGATCGGTGACCTCTTTAAAGCTTTACCAATAAGGATCGATTGGTCCCCTGTCGCATCATGCTCCTCTTTGGCGCAAGATCACGTGCTCATTCAGGCAATCTGACTGTCAAGATTTTGACAAATTGAATTCATGTCTGCTGCGTCCGCTCCTGCTGCCCCGCCTCTAGGCAAATACCTTGCATCATCAGGTGTGTTTAAGAGAGGCATATTCCCTGTTCTTCGCTGACTTCACGCAGAAAAGAAAACACGGGACAAAGCTGTGAAAAGCCTTGCTGCTTTCTTATCCAATCATGACTCCGAAAATGTATTGCCAGATCTTGAAATGGCTAAGCTATGGAAGGGCATCTTCTATTGTACGCCCCCACATTCATATTCAATCGCCACTTCTGATGTCATACGTCAGGTTTCTGGATGTCAGACAAGCCACTTGTACAGCAGGCGCTGGCAGGGGAGCTAGCGGAGCTCATACTTACAATTACTGACGTACCTTCATCACTTAATTTTCTGCGGGGGTTTTGGATGATGACAGTTAGAGAATGGAATGGGATTGATCGTCTTCGGTGCGTGAGGTGATTTTACGCCATGGTGTTTCAGATACTAATATTGGCTTTCAGGATGGACAAGTATTATATGCTCGTCAGAAAGTTTGTGAATGCGAGCTTCAGACTTCTCGTGCGGACAAAATGGGACAGTGCTGCCGTCCAAGAGTACAACTCAATATTATCTGGCCCAAACGGACCGCTATGGTGAGGTGTCCTCGTAAAAATATCGGAAAGCAGACCTATAGCTATTCTTGCAGTCCCAACGATATACGTGTGCCAACCAGTCTCGCATTCCACTTATCGGAAATATACCTCGAGGAGCTCGATAAAGCATTAACGAGCTCAGAGTCGCCGCCTCCGGCGCCATTGTCCACCCTTCTGTCGCCTTTCATTACCCTGGCCGCACGAACGCCCACAAATACAACTTACAAACACATTCAATCGTCGTTATTCGAGCCTTTGGGCGATGTACTCAAATCGTCGTCGGGTCCTCCAAGCCGCAAGAAAGCGCGCACGTCATCCCCTGATTACTCACAGCTGCTGGTCAACACCTGCACCTCCAGCCCAGGCGGCGATGGAGCGATGGATGCGGGTGCTGTACGTAGCTCGATATTTCAAAAAATATTCGATGTAGCAAGCGAAACAGAAACCCGGGATGCGAATCGCCGGAGAATGTACGCTTTCTACAAGGATGCCGTCGAAGATGATGAGGATAGCGCTGGATGACTTCGTATAGCAATGCTTCTGCTTGCGTCGTCGTTTGTCACGAATGAACTACGTCTATGATGAAGCTACTTTCTGCTCGATAAAAGTAGACTACGCTTATAGTATCGCTACTTGTTCACGCTGGTGCGACCAAATGCTAAGAAATATTCAGTCCGACGACTGCAAGCTTCAAGGAAACGTGGAGGGAACGATCTGAGGTACTCAACCATATTCTGCAAGTGGAACTTGCGACTATTTCGTACTCATCAAGTCGTTGACCAACCACCGTCGAAGGATAGCATTCCTTCAAGTCTTCGGCTGGTAAAGGGGGTTCCTTAGGAGGCTCCTTTCTATCAAGGGTCTTCCGGTGGTAATTAATTGCTCCTAGTTGCGTGTGAGGCCAGAAAGACTGTGTTGCATGGGCAATACAATTGTGCATGGGCGAGACAAGAAAAATAGGGGCTTAAGCTCAAAGCGCCATGTGGTTTGTCTAGGTATTGAACAAAAAATCGCTACTGGACGCAAACTCAACACAAGCTACATAGACACGAACTCCTGTTAACGAGACAAGCCACGCGGTAGCAATTTGCTTTGTAAGATAGATCGAATTGCGTGTGCTGCAACTTCCCGGTGAACAATATCTTCATCATCCTTCAAAGCTCCAGCCATCTCCGGTATCAAAGACTCTTACATCTCCCATCTTCGACTTTCTTACCCCGGTCTGCACCATCATCTGTCCCGAAGTCGTGCCCTCTGGTACAGAAAGTGATGTCCTTGCGTCTGTGCTAAAGTCCTGCGTCATGACAACGCTCGAGAAGAGTCCAGGGGACTGATCGAGATCGAATATTTCCTTCGAGCACACGCGGTACATGAAGGTAACAATCACTAAGATGTTGCAGATGATGAGACTGAGAGCGGCCTAATCTCGATCGAATAGGGGGTTGGGTGCTGCAGAGGTGAGGAGGGTGGGGGTACGCTTACCTTTACGTGCGCCAAGATGAGCGTAGTTTGTGTGCCGGGCATGAAGAGGATTATAGAGTGGGGGATTGTGATGGCGGTTATTAGTAACGATGCACCGAATGCGGAGAGGACCAATATTCTTCTGCTACGTGAGAACCCGACATTTTTCCAAAGCTGCATCGGTGCAGCAATGAGAGAAACATCTGCGATAACATCCGCTGCATAAACCCATGAACTGAGGCCCATAGTACAGAAAATACAAGGGAATACTGACTGATCAGTTGTGAGAGTGCCACCAACTTGCCCATGTGGCAGGAATGGAAAATACACATGTGGATCTTCTGAACAAGCAGCGCGGCCCACATGCACGCGAAGGATACAGCTATGAGATATGTTATTAGTCGGTGAACCTTGCGGCCTGAGTGATTGGTGACTCGGATAATGGAGAAAATAATGCTCATGCGTGCAGTCCTGGACCAGCGAGTTAGGCATGTACCTGAGTGAAATATGGTGCGCACCACAGGACGGAGGTGAGAGCCACTGTGCGGGTCCACGTTGGGACTAATTTAGAGGTGGTCAATTTTGTAAGTAGTACGAAGTAAAGTACTCACAACTCATTGATCCCTGGAGCCAGATCCACGCCAGGCAAACAACTGGGTGATGTGGTTCATTGCTGAGAAAAGCAACGCACAAGGAAATTCTACCGTCTGATATCAGTGCAAATACCGCCCATAAATCTTCCCACCAGAATTGGCGCGTCCAGCCTCTGTAAACGAGCCTGAAGACAGTGCATAGTATAGCAATGCTATGCAATATCAACCCAGTGACTTTTCGAAAGATTATAAACAAAAGAGCGTAGCATACTAGCTATTTTCAACTCACCTGTCAGTCGAGAGGAATAGAAGGATGTCACCATCAGATACCCATTGGAGAGAAAGGAAGGGCGAACTTTAGGTGGTGAAGACCGGCCATATATGTGAATGACAGGACTCACATGTCTCTTCTCCATGGCGTTCCTAGGTAGGGACGACAACCTGCAGGGTTATGCAGTCCAACCGACTGGAAGGTCTCACAAAGCGTATGGAAAATGGGACTCACCGGACATATGTGACGGTCATGTCAGTTGATTGCGAAGTCTTAGATAAGTACTTTCTCCCACATGCTTCACACTCGGCAGAAAACTCTTCAGACAATAGCAGCCTTGAGCAATATTACACATAGTACGCAGAAGGATGACTGAGTAGATATGGATTTTGAGGTGTGTTATTACAGACGCAGATACATTGAATGGGAAAAGATGCTTACCGTATCATGATGCCCGGGAGTGAATTCACTCTGCGGAAAATAACAACTTGAAGCTACCCTGATTCCAGAACTGAGGTACAGTTTGAAGGGTCAAGTGACAAGAGTGCTGTAGTGCCACGCTGTGCCTGAACCTTTGAATTGCCAGGTCGCGGTTAGTAGGGAGCCATGTCACGTCGCAGGGGACGCGTATACGACAGATTACAGGCTTTGTCCACTACTTACTGGTGGAGGTCAGATCTCTTCTAGAGATGTCGGATGCCATCGTGCAAGTGCAGTACATTAATGTGGCGAGTACTTACCCCCGGTAGACATAGTCTATGAACGACCGGCAGAGAAACACACGCACTCCTGGACTCAAAGGCCGATTCAGAGGGGAGTGCTTATCGATTATTTCTTGAGAACCAGCGGGTACGCATGCCAACAGGTTGGGAGCGTTGCACAGCCACATTTATCGCCATCCCAATTGGCTTCCAAGAATCGTCTAGTCAATTTGTAGGCATCGATGCGGAAGCCACGGGTTTCTTCGCGAGCGACATTGTTTGTCACGAATGCATTACATTTTTCGATCTACAAATCTGGCAGTTCCCGCTGCGTCAGACGTCTCCATGTAGACTCCTTCCACCAGTCCTCCATACTATCAATCCGCTCCCAAAGGGTTTCCTCGTCTACGTCCGTAGATGTCATACTTTGCACCATCCAGTAAACGGCCCTCCCGTTTGGCTACTTCTAGCGCAGCCTTATTTTCACCTCTGTAATGGAAACGATGACTTTGAGCGGTGTAGCAATATAAATGAAGGAGTGGCCTACCGGAGGAGGTCTAGAAGCTCTTGTCGGTCGGGGAAGAACAATCGAGGCTCGAGTACTGCGAGAACAGCCAGAGCAGCGCGGAAAAGAAAAGAGTCCCCTTCTAGTAGAAGCACGTCCCATAAGCGTGCGCATGCCTCGAAGGGCAAATGGTCCAAGAATAGTGGGACTAGCCAGGCAGGGAGATAAGCATCAGGTGATATTTGGTGCTGCTTGAAATTAAAGTATACTGGAAAAAAGTGAATTAAGCCGAAGCAGCGAAAAAAGAGGATGTTTGAATCCTTACTTTTTGGCATGCAATCAGCTAAGAGCGTGTCGAATATCCTGAACAGAGCAGCATAAGCAAAAGATATATCTTATTATGCATCCTTCTGCTCTCACCGATAATAAGCTTCAACCTAAAACGCTATGATTCAGTCAGATTCTGATCCAAACCAGTCTGCAGCACTCACGTCATCATTGGCAGCAACACTGCCATATAATGACCTCATGCAATGCCTCTCCAGCAGGTTTCTCATCACTACGAAGCCTTGCTGTGGTTTCATGTTCAGCAAGATCATCCCAGCAATTTTGGCAGTCCCGTGTACGTATCCCAGACCCTCATCTGCACGAGAGACGACCCATGCGCATAGCATATCCCTGAGATCTTCGTAGAGCGGCCCAGTTTTGGGGTGGAATATGTGCAGTGAGGGAAGGGTGGACAATATGTCTTGTTCGATGGCTTCCAGTGTCTCGATAGGAAATGAGCCGGAGGAAAGCGCGCGATTAGCTCGACTGAGACAGTTCCTGTAATTATCTTGAAACACATCAAGGCTACCATATCATATGCGGAGAAGATGTGCGTATGCGATGCCTACCTTTGCTCAGAGCGAGTGCGTTACCAACAGCCTGCTGCCACATCGAAGCACGTAGTTTAGTAGGTATGCCGTTCCACCAAAGTCTGCGGAGATTTGGGTTCTTATGGACTGCTCGCCAACCAGGGAGTATCTCCTTCTCCCATCTGTAGATAGATTGTTCGATCTTGAGCTCGCGGGCTGAACGGCGTTCTTGTAGAGCTTTTCGCCGTTTTTCCTCTGGTATCGAATCAGCATATATGCATCCCTTATTAATGTAACTAGAAAATCACCTGCAGCACGACTTTGTTTCATCATGGCCTCCCAGTCCGCCATATGTTTCTGGTCTTCTTGGCGGCTCTTCGGAGGTAGGAAATGAGGGCGCGTCTTACTCATTACTTTCTGGAAGGTGCTTGGTCCCGCCGAGCATGTCTGTCTATGGCTTATGGTTGAGTTTGTTGGACTTCTAGGTAACGGGGAAGATGGGGATGAAGGTAGAGGTGGAAGATCCTGGCTAGGCGCAGAGAGGTGGGAAGACTCGGAAGACGCATTTGAAACCGGACGGGCCGCTCCATCTTCCTGATGATCCTTTCCATTGATTTCTGCGTCAACGTTCATGACTACCCGACTGGGCGGTGATCTACTGACATCGATGTGAATGGCAGGATATGGAGTATCCCGCAGAGAGGAGGGATCCTCGTCTTGGATATCTGCGTGGCTAGTCGGGTGTTCACTCGTACTCGTGTCTACTGAGAGTGTGATATCAGAGAAGTCCTGCGGAACCCCCTGCTCGTGCTCTTCCGCAGTCAACGGCGGGGGCGAAGGAGAAAACGATCTAGATTCTGAATATGAGTTGGAGCTCCCGTCGAGATAGAAAGTTGATATCGACGTGTCATTGTCACGCGCAGAGCTATAATCCGTCTCTCCGTCATCTTCTCCGTCGTCCTTTGGGATCCAACTTGGGTTCTCGGCGAGATGTTTCCTGATAACTGCGGAGGTGAACTCGAGGTTATAATCATCATCCTCACCATCCGAGAATGCATCGTCTAGGTTGAATTGGGCCTCAAAACCCTTGCCTGCTTGACGTTCTACGACTTCGTGCTCGTTGTCCGCCATGGTGGTAAACGTTTCAAATTATGACCCGCACTAATTTCTAAACACGTGTCTCTGGAATCACATCCAGAAATAGCAGCCACTAACACGTAACTCGAGCATATACTTCAAAGTCTTGCGAGATTTTAGGGTTCAAGTGAGTTTGCTTGCTTTCTGGTCTGATCTCTCCGCCAAACTGACGTCTAGAACTATCTTGACATGATTGCAGAGGTCCTTCTAGTCCTTGCAGGCCACTCCTCATCGCTGTTTCCAACAGATCACAATTTACACCCTGTTTTCAGACCATTGCTGCATCCAGGCGAAGAGCAATGTCTTGAAGCCCTCGGACAGATAGCTTTCAGATACCGCAACATAAAGAAGGCGTGTACAATCCTCTCCCGGTCCAAGTCGCGTTATGTCTGCGCACTCTGCGCGACATTAAACCAGATTCTGAAGGACGAATACGAAAGACTTGTGGTAGATACAGAGGCGAAGATCTTGAAACGCGATCCTGAGCTCGTTGCCCACGGGTCTTTTGTACCACTTTCAGCTGTACGGGCGACTTTTGCAGAATGGGACTCTCCGCTCACAGCGTTAGAGACCTTGATGAATCAGCTGCAAGCTCAGAAGCACTGGCAGCCTGGTCCCCTGATTGACATGTTGCTCGCTCGTTCAAAGACTGGCGTCTATAGGATTGCGGATATCATATCACGTCTTTCTGTCGCCGTCCAACGCGTGTGGCGGAGTCAATTGTCCGCATTCCTGGTACACGGATCCTTGGCTTCCTCTGATCCTCTAGCATCAGAAGATTTTACGCTTTTGGATGGCACTATGCCTTCTTGTATCTCTTCTGAAACGAGAGAATCCATCATTTATGTGGGTCGCGCCATCGCCACCGTCAAAGCCAAAAAGTGGCAGAATCAGCTGCCGCGCGAGCAAGCGCTTGAGTATGCCAATCTGCTGGAGACCGTCTTGCCCGAGGACCGATACAAATTCGACCTCGTGATCTCGCAGATCCGGACAAATGTCAGTGAATGGTTATGGCTCAACGTTCTGACGCGGAAGGATGTCGAAGACGCTGTCATATCGCTGTACGTGATCCTTCCGAGCCCATCATTTCTAATCTGGCAAGCTGACGATCGATCGGTAGGGCCAGTTACTTTCTTCTGCGCAATGGCGAATTCAGCTTAGCACTCATCCGCGAGATTGAGCGCTTGAAGGTATCACGGCTCACGACTCGATCAGGAGCAGCGTCAGTGATTCGAGAACAAGATTTAAATCTAGCGCTCCTCCGAGCGTCTCTTGGAACTACCGCTCAGCATGATCCGTCACTTTTACATCTCCGTTTCGAGCTCCCTTCCGGGCCCCTTAGGCCCCTGCTGCCCTCATTGGCAAATTCCAAAGCACTATCTTCGTCCGTTGCTAGTAATTCAGCCGAAGTCACATCCTTCGACGACCTCCTTTTAGGCACAAATCTCATCCTGTCGTACAATGTCACCTGGCCTCTGGATCTTTTTCTGCACCCCTCAGATCTTCAGATATATGCAGCTCTTTTCAACTACCTTTCTTCTTTACGCAAAACCCACACTCGGATCCACACGTGCTGGACCTCACTCTCCAACGCACAACGTGCGCGACGGCGATGGACGGGTCTTGGCGAAGGTGGCACTGCCGAAGACCTCGAAGTGCGTAGGGAACTGTTACGTTGCGGGTGGGGTGTTGTGAGGGATATGGGATGGTTCCTTGACACGGTCCTCGGTTATGTCATGGTCGATGTCGTAGACGTCGAGTTCAGAAGACTGAAGGATCTCTTGGGTAACCCAAGACACGGACATCCTGAGAGCGTGGGCAAACACCCCAGTTCACAGAACATTGGCGCCCAAGCCAATGCAGACCCCTCAACCTACCTTGATTTCACCACGCTGCGAAATATTCACACGACGTATCTCGAGCGCTTGCTGACGGGGTGTTTGCTGTCTAATCCCGCTCTTACTGCGATTCTTCGGCCAATTTTCGAGGTGTGCGAACGATTTGTTGCACAGGTGGAGAGATGGGGCGGAGATGTCCTGCCTGCGTTACTGTTTGAGGGGAGTTTAGCAGCCGGTGGGGATGATAAGGTGGGTACTATGGTACAGGAGCGGTTTCAAGTTGTGTCAGAGATAAATGAGGTACTATTATCTGTTCTCAGCTTTGGCCATTAATTCTTATCATTTATTCCACCAGAACCTTCATGTGCTGCTTAACTTGTTCTACGAGCAGCTTTCGCTGTCGACCTCTCAGCAACCCTTCACAGCCACTGGCGATGCCTCGAAGTCCATTCTAATGAACGCTAGCGTGGTCAATGCGTCGACATTACAGCGCACGTTCATCCGAGGAAAGAGCGCCAAGGGTTTCGAGGGAGAGGGAGAAGTTCGCCGACACGTTGAGAGGTTGTTACTTCGGCTGGACTTCAACGGAGCGTTATCGAAACCCAAAGGTGGTGCCAGCGAACAGATTGCGAGGGAAAATGTGAGTGCGTATCCTTTGTAGAGATTACATGTAATCTGGAAAGATAAAATTATGCATTGGATTACTTTGAGTGCTAGATCTGGCAGTTTTATTCTTATCTAGTCTTCATCTGTATCCTCGTCCTCCTGCTTCTTGAAGTTGCAGATCGTGTGCTAGCATTTTGGTCTCGTCAGCATTTGTAAATTGTTCTCGCTGTGCGGTGGATCGGGTCCCTACTGGACCCTACTCCCACGTTTGAAAGGTTACGGTGACATCTCTTCAATATTTCATAATTAATAACACAAGTGAAGATATATCTAAACTTTTATAAAGTACAAGTTAAGTGAACGGATATGACCGGAGGATCGATAGCAGCCCGTCGTCTATCCCAACAACTTAGACTTTTCTCTTCTTCACGTTCATCAATGGTCACTTCCCGTGCGTCCCTCGTCGTCCCAGCCTGCAATTTTCACTAAAACGTTTCCAGCATTCAGTACTCGCGTCATCGGCGCACCTAACACCCTCGGTGAGTTAAATCAGACCAAATCACCGCGGCATCTGATCAACTCGCGCACCATCAGATCACCGAGTGTTCATCGAGCAGAGTGGCTCCGTCTTGTCATCTTTCCATGACGTTCCCCTTTTTGCCGACCAGAGCAACGGCATCCTCAACATGATCGTTGAAGTCCCTCGTTGGACCAACGCGAAGATGGAGATCTCCAAGGAGGAACCCTTCAACCCAATCAAGCAGGACATCAAGAAGGGTCGCTTGCGTTTTGTCCGTAACTGCTTCCCCCACCATGGGTACATCTGGAACTACGGTGCTTTCCCTCAGGTGAACTCTTCCTCGTTTCCGCTCTTGTTCGGTTGAGCTGAATATAATTGATGATCGTAAGACCTGGGAGGACCCGGCTGCTCTCCATCCCGAGACCAAAGCCAAGGGTGACAACGACCCATTGGATGTCTGTGAGATCGGTGAACAGGTCGGCTACGTCGGTCAGGTTAAGCAGGTTAAGGTCCTCGGTATCATGGCACTGCTCGATGAAGGCGAAACCGACTGGAAAGTCATCGTTGTTGATGTGCACGACCCCCTTGCATCAAAGCTTAACGACATTGAGGACGTGGAGCGCCACCTTCCAGGCTTGATCAGGGCCACCAATGAGTGGTTCAGGTATGTCCTGCATCTTGCGAACCAACCAAGGAACTACAACTTTTGCTAGGATCTACAAGATTCCTGATGGCAAGGGCGAGAACGCCTTTGCTTTCTCTGGTGAGGCCAAGAACAAGAAGTACGCGACAGAGATCATCCACGAATGTAATGAGGCATGGCGCCGCCTGATTTCTGGCGAAAGCCCTGCTAGGACCCCCACCTACGATATCTCTATGTCCGTCGACTTTCCGTGATTTGTTCTAGTTGCCAAACTAAAAATTCTACAGCCGCACCCTCACCAACCCGAACTCGCCAAGCTCGGTCACTCGTAGCGACCCCTCGTACGTTAACATTCCTGCCGACTCCAGGCAACCTCCTGCACCCATCGATCCTTCCAGTAAGCACTTATTCCTCCATTTCGTCCTGCTATAACTTATAGCTTCTCTGTCCCAGTCTCAAAGTGGTTCTACATTTCGTCTGTCCAGGTTTAGAGGAAGGACAGATAAGTGAATGTAAAATCAGCCCTGTATTTACTCGGAACGACTACATATCCTTACAAGCACTACTTTGATGAGTGGTGGAAAAACTGTGTGAGACACTTCAGCCCTCGCCAAAATAAGGTGGCCGGTGACGAGACTAGCTATGTACACACACTACCAGAATGTTTGATGCTACTATTATCAGTCCAAAGTTTAAAGCTACATGTGATATATGCTAAAATCAGGCGGCGTTCACATCTCAGAGCCTAGTGTCGTGACTTTTCTGCTACACTATCTGGCTGTGTGGGGTATCGGCAGTAACGGTCAGAGATGGATGTTACTGTCCACGTTCCTGCAGCAACGCACAAGTTAGCTGTGTATTCGATCGTGCAACCAAGTAGAAACGGACCTTCAAGCGCAGAGAATATGGAGTATTCGTGCGTCGTGACACCGGACACGGTATGTGTTTCCAGAATTTTTCCTGGCTTGCCGCCTTTCTTGGGAATTGGCTCGGCTCGTTGGTAAGTGAACGTGAACGGTGGCTCTCCGATCAGTGTAAAGACGATTTCTGCTTGGTCACCTGAACGTATGTCAGCACATCAAACTCGACGTGTATTGGAACTGCAATAACCTTCATGAATATCCTGGTATATCCGCTTCCCGCGAGCGACTTGGGCAGATGGGAGAGGATGAACAGTAAATTGCAGGTCTGTAACTGTAGCCTGGCATAGCTTCTGCTGCTGCGAGACGGACGTAATCGTGAATTCCCCTGCTTGTTGTTGCACGAGAGAAAATGGGGACGTCTTTGCTTCTTGGGTGTAAGACTTGCCGTTGATGCGGTACCTATAACGTTGTCCCAGTTAGCAAATCAAAATATGACAAATAACCAAATCGCACCCGATCGACCAAGGTGGCTTGCCTTCGAGCTGGAATTGAGCCACTTCACCGGCACAGAAGTCTACTCTCTTGTCGATGGGAGTGATCGCAGCGGATTCTGCGACGTCAATCCATATAGAGCGACGCAAAGGATGCAGCTCCTTCTGTTCGCAGTGCGATGAGTCCTGGACGGACTCGATTGTGATTTGATGAGGACCAATGGATGTGAAGTGATAGGAAGGAAGATCAAGCCTCCAGGTCTTGTCGTTCACCTCGATCGTTTCCTTGTACACGTGGCTCGCGGCTAGGTTTCTGATGGACAGCGCGAGCTGGAAGGGCGGTGTCCCTTCAAGCTGAATAACACCACCATCATTTGAGAAAGCTTCGCGAGGGGTAAGTGCATCGTTCAAGCAGAAAGGCATTCTGTTGTCATTCTTGAACTTCGCCAACGGCCTTGGCATTACCTCCTGCTCGAAAAGAAGGCGGTCTGAACGAGGGATGACAGTGTTCTTGTGCTTCGCGAGAGGATATGCGCTGTCCCCGATTTGTTTGACTTCATAATACTTGCGCCCAACGATTGACGTGTGCAGCTGGAAACGCGTACGAGGCTGGATGCTACTGAACGTTGGTTGGTCGAGTACTATTGTGCCACCCGATTCGTCGTTGCGTGCAATGTTGTACATAATCTGGAAGGGGGGTCGACCTTGGAAACATTAGCCAGTGCAACAATAAGCTTCGTCTAGAGGACACACCTGTGAGCTCGAGATCGACGTGGGCGTCCTGGCCTCGGCAAATTGGAGGAAGTATGTGTGACCTATTATATGGCTCGAAGGTGGAAGGAGTTGAAGGATCCAGTCTAGCAGAAGGTCGCGGCACCCAGTCGACAGTGTAAATGTTCTCATTTTCGATCACAGATCCAGGGCATTGAGAGTCCATAACCTAGATTGGACATGTTGCGTGAACAAGATACGCCGTGACTATATGATGGACTATTACCTCCATAATTTCGTAGATACCCTTTTGCGTGACACGGATATGATCATTGGGCGACTTTAGCATAACAGTGTGCAGACGATCTGGGTTGCCCATGTGACGGTACTTGATTTTCCATGGCTGGGGTGGGTGGACATGAGTTTTACTCGGTAGAGGTCGGTGATCTGACTTACTCCGTCGCCTGTCAGCCGAAGTGGCAGGTCAGCACCATCATCTTCTAGAATAGTGATCTCCCGTTGGCCTTGCTTGCCATAGAACTTGACGGTTGGCTAAACACGCAGTCAAAACCCGACGCAAATATCATGGTCACAGCCACTGACCTTCACTCTCCTGACATTCACAGATACGCCAGGAACTGATATTGGTCGCTTGCATCCGTAGCTATCCACAACGCTCACTGAATGGACAGATTAGCTTCGCATCGTCGAATAACAACCGATCGAGCCTACCTAACTCGACATCGAATGTTCCGCCCTCCTTGTCGACAACGCTGGGTATAGGTACTAATATCCTTGTGGGTGACGTCTTTATGTCGGCGATTTTCAGTGCATCCGTACTGCGCGGACCCACAACCTGCAGCTCCAAGTTCCAAGGAGGTGTGCCCTGTGGATATGCATCAGCAGTAATCTATCAAACTCAACGAGACTGCCTACCCTCAAATCTACCTCAATGCCCACAGTCGCGCCCTCACAACTGCTGACGGCCGTCTTTCCGCGGCCGCCCACAAAGTCAGCTGCTGCTAGAGGATGCACAATTTGGTCAATGCTCGGGCCATCAAGCGCGACCTTTTTGTAGTAGGCGTCACTGAGTTGCACAAAGGTGTAATAATAGTGACCACTGTGCTCTGGCTGCAGAGTGAGTTCGCCACGAGATGACGTGAACGTCTTGAAAAGATCACGTGGGGGCTCTGCGTCACGCTGCGTGCGGTAGTAAACCTGGAATGGAGGTGTGCCGTGCATGACAAGAGACGCAGAGACCCCTGTGTCGCCGGAACTGAGTAGAAGTTAGAAAGGAAGGCTTGCCAGAACAAGGGCACATACCATTCATGAATCCTCTTCCACTCGATTTCTGCGGTGGGCATCGCTTTCTCGACAACCTTACATGTTTCAGGAGCAAGCACATCGCCATCGCAATACTATTACATGGTTAGGATCGTTATGAAAAAAAATGTGGAGTACCTACCTTGCCTTTGATGCCGGTGATAACATACTCTCCTGGAACGCCTGCCTTCAGCACAACGTCATTCTTGTTTTCCTGGGTCTGCAGTTTCTTGTCCCATGGTTTCATGCGCTTGTCATCCCCACTAGCGGGCTCGAACCTCACGTCGATGTTCCACGGCCCATCTAGGGGGTCTGAGTCGGATACTGTAAGTGCTACTGGAGCCTCTGAGCCAACAAGGAGCGAAGTCGGGTTGCCTGGACCGCATGATTTGAACGACACACTCGGACGGCGCAGAACAGAGAGTGACCGTGTGATCTTTGTGTCATGATGCTCGTCATCGAGGTGCACAGCATTTCCCATGCCATCAATAATATTCTCCAGGGTATATGTGTGCTTGCCGAGAGCATCCAAAGACAAAGACAACGGAACTTTGAGTTTCTGAGGTACACGAGCACGGGCGACCTCTTGTGCGGTATGCGAGTGGCTGCTATCCTCGATGCCTTCAACAAGAAAATATTCTTTCCTCCCACTAACATCCTTTGACCACCGTAGGCTCAGCGGAGGGACACCTCGTATATCGATGGTAAGGTCCACGCCAGATGTTTCACCCGCACAGTGAACATCTCGCACCTCATCATCAGTGTACTGTGCAGTCGGACAGGGTACAACGGTCACTTCGACCGGGTGAACAAGGCGTGCTGCAACGTTTGAACTGTCAAGCACCCGGTCAAGCTTTATGGTCCCTGGTTTGGAGAGACGAAGGTGTACCAAGCTTTGTGTCTTTTGCAGGCGCGTAGCAGAATCGGTTTCTTCATCATCCTCGTCATCGTACTCATCATACGCATCCACTTCCTTGCTTCGCACAACCTGTAGTCCCTCTACTCTAGCTTGTTCAATTGCTTTCAACTCCTTCGTGCCCAACTCGGTGTACTCCACGCGCCCCGAACCAAGTGGAGTAAAAGAATAGCGCACATTTGTCGGGATTGTGTTGTTCACAAGGATCGGAACGAGCACATGTGCAGACGAGACAGGCGGGAGGCAAAAAGTATGGTGGTGTGGATTGAAATGAGCAGTGCTGATGGGAGACATACGGACCGTGTGTTGGCCGAGCAGATGGGGATCTTTGAGGGTTGTGTCGAATGAAAAGAAACCGAACGTTAGCGGAGAAAGGATGTCAGAGAGCCGGAACGGTTCAGGAGTAGATGGAAGGTCTGGTCGATCTTGTGTATTGCCATGAGCTCAGTCGCAGGCATGAGTTTGTGGCAAACTTACTTGAGAAACCGGAGGGCACGCTAGTTGTTTCGGAGGATCCCATTAACCCAAGGTTTAAGCTAATTCCTCCAAAGAGCATGCCATCGAGGAACCAGATGGACATAATTTGGAGTAAGACGATAGCCTTGCTGTACTTTAAACGTGGTATTCGGAGCTGAGAGAGCGTCACGATGTAGAGAAAATCGGCTGTCAGCCATTTTCTGCCGTAGTATGTTGTCGCATCGGACATGAAGATGTTTTGGAGGACGTCGAACACCTTGATGGCCTGTCAAGAAGAAAAAACGCGTCAGACTCGTGATTTTTTTGGTAGCATGCACAAGGCATGTAACATAAAAGGTGACCTCGCGCAGATAAAACTTGTGAAACTGGAAGCCACTCACCTGCAGCAGCAAGCCCAAACTCAAGTAATACAAACGCTGAGAGGGTACATCGAGAAGCCGCTCTGGTATGAGTGGCTGGACGCCTGGAGGCGGCGCTGCTTCGCCAGCCATTCAAAACACTAGCTTCCTATGTTGCAGTTAGATATAAATGAGCTCCAGTAATAGTCCTAGAAAACAACGAAGTCCCGTTGAACCTATGAAGTCTGAAGAAATGTGAGTGCACGTGACCATCATCGATTGCTCGGTCAAAAAAGGCAACTGGATTTTAAAGGGTGAGGTGTCCCGGCTCCGAAACGCCTGTTCTCACCTTCTATGTACATGGTGAGTTGGAGCTGATCTCTCTTGCAGATACTTTGTTTTCGTAGGAAGCGCTCGTACAGCAGACAGACAGACACTTTATTAGGTGGACAGGTTTCCTTAGGTTGCGACCACTCATTACGAGCCCCGACGAAGGCTTTATAATCACACCTCGTCCTCGTGAGTACAGCGACGTGTCATACTAAGCGCCTGAACATACTGAAAGACACCGAGCGTAGTTGTCTGTGCACGCAGCAGGTCTATCAAGCGATCATAAGAAGCGTCCGATCTTTTCTTGCCTACACCACGATGGCCATGAACAAGCACTCACTGCCCCCGCTCCCTTCCATTCAAGGGGAGCTCATGCTCGACGTATATACACACCGGTCGATGCTGAGCAAAGACGTAGACGAGAGTACTGTGCATGGAAATACCGAGCGACTGGCTGAGCTAGGCAGCTCCGTGCTCAGTATGATCGTCGTGTACGTCCTGTACTCAGAGAAACCAATGCTTCCCGCCCATGATCTTAAAGTTCGTAACGCCAAGAAAAACATTATTTCTGTTCATTGCTGAGATGCACCATAGATGCGCCAAGCTGACATCCTAAGCGACAAGAACATCGCAGACTGGCTGTCTCTTTATGGACTAAAGGCCAAAATTCGTTGTACAGACAGAAGCGTACTTGACAGACCCGAAGAAGCTCGTTTTCTCTTTAATTCTTATGTCGGAGCAGTGTACACCCAGAAGGGCTTGCAAGAAGTCATGAACTGGGTTGGACGCCTGGTCAATCCTGCCTCGGAGCCTCCGGCAGTCCCAGGAGATACATCCAACAACCAGCCCGCTGCAACGCCGCCGCCGCCTCCACCACCTCCGACGTATTATTCCCAACCCCCACCTCCACCAAGCACTGCTCCACCTCCAATGCCATCGATGCCGCCGCCGCCGCCCTCTCAGGGTGTGCTTGCGATATTCAATCAAACTTGTATGCAAAGAGGACTCACAGTAGAGTGGAAACCGGAAATGACGGGACCACCACACAATCCGAGGTGGGAAGTGAAGTGTATCGGTGAGCCTTAACTGTGTTACGTGTGCTTGATTTTCTGATCAACTTGGAAGTGAGCGGACAACATCGTGGAACCGGCGCAGGTAGAAATCAGAAGCAGGCAAAGGAGCAAGCAGCCACAGAAGCATATCAGTATATGCAGGCTACAGGCTGGGGCCGTAAGTTAGCTGGGAATCTACCAGGGCGCACAATGTCTGACCTTTCTTCTAGTCCTCTAGCTACAAGAGAATCTTAAAGAGACAACGCGGACTTATATCAACGGAATGTATCAGTATATCATCTGAGTCTTCTGTATTCGTGTAATTATTTACCCACCTTCCGCCACTCTTCAACTGTGCTACTGCGTCTTCAAAGCTTCAAAGCTTCCTTTATGCCACGTTGTTTCCACTCGTTGAGCGATACCAGGGTCAGTAATGCTTAATATAGGAGATAAGCCTTTTTTCGAAGCTCCTATTACGCCCTGCGCCTTTGTGCGGGTGTTCCCATTGATCGATAATTCTACTGATCTTGAGCGTTTGAGCTCGTTGAACATCCTTTGACCCACTGACTTTGCGATATGGTTCCTCCACTCCCTTTGGTGCACGGAGATCTGATGCTTGATGTTTTCACGCATCGTTCTTTAAGCCAAGGTCTCCTCAATGACCAAACGCCACATGGCAATAGCGAGAGACTTGCGCAGCTCGGACAATCGGTATTGAATACCATCGTGACATATATACTCTTCGCGGAGAGACCTATGTTGTCCGGCGAAGACCTCAAGGTAAGCGCGATAAGGTAATACTTGTGTCACTCGTACTTACATTGCAGCGATGCGGCTAGACAAAACTTGCGGACATTCTGAGCGACCAAAATATGACTGCTTGGCTCACCGGATATGATAATGAACTGAAGAGACGCGTGAGAGGAGCGAGGGGCATTCTCGACGATCCCGAGGTAAGGAATATTATCCACGCATATAGAATGCACGCTGTATGGCTACCTTTCTTTAGGAAGCTCGCTTCCTTTTCAATAGTTACGTTGGAGCTGTGTGTGTGCAATACGGATTACAAGCCGCGACTGACTGGGTCAGTAAAGTTGTAAAGCCCGACGACCAACCGCCGGCTTTGGTGGGTGACTCTCAAAGCCGCCCATTCTCACCTGGGTCACCCCCGACACACCTTCAGTTGGGCACGCCGCACGCCGCTCCACCCCCATATTCTTCGGCCTCTCCGCCGCAAGCGTCAACACTGTCTTCAGGAGTTCCCCAGGGCGCACTTGCTCTGTTCAATCAAACTTGTCATCAAAAGGGTTTTAGCGTCGGGTGGGCTGCTTCTTCAAATGGTCCACAACATGATCCGAGATGGGAGGTTAGATGTAAAGGTAGGCATTCTGGGTTCTAGTCCTAGGTGTCCTCTTGCTGATTTCTGTAGTGAATGAAGTCGAGCGGGGTTTCGGTGTCGGCAGAAACCAGAAACAAGCAAAAGAAGTGGCGGCCCGTGCAGGCATACCAGTATATGGCAAAGTGTTGAGTGGAATTGTGAGTTGTTGACTACTGTCATTTCTGTGCTCTCCTCACAGTCAACACAAGTGGAAGAGCCGGAAAGCCCGGAACCGACTGCGTAAGACCTCATCCTTGTATTCATGCATGTATTACTTCCTTCTTAGTTGCATCATCTCCCCCTGTGTCGTAGTCGCGCAATTCACTCATATCAAAACTTCGTTAGGGTCTCGAGGGATCAAAGCTGTGAATTTCGTCTAACACTTACGGGCCCATATATATGGCGCTGGATCTGTTCAACTATTCTTCACATGCAAAACTCACACACGCACAGACGCCACACACACACAAACGAGACGCACACATAATCACTCCTTCGCATACACATTCTTGTATTGTAGGAAAATTAGTACTGCACTATGATCATTCATAAAATTCATTGATGCCCCAAGGTATCTAACTCTGCACGTGTCAACATTGGGCCAGGCTCCGTGATCAGAGCTGCCGACAACTGCTGAGCCGATCTTGAAACACCTCGCAAGGCTGCCGTGAGGTTGAAAGAGTCTAGTAGTGAGGCCTTACGAGACGAGTATGCGCACCTTGCATAATGACGAACAAATACATTCAAGCCTCGGAAGGCATCATGTGGCCGTGGGAGACTCTCCGGACCTTGCCGGACCTTGTTAGATTTGGGCACTTTTGCTGATAGCCCTTCTCATCGACACTTACATCAAGGATCCACCCAGCGCGAACATCTTTTTGACACCAATACTGGCAGCTTTCCGTCTTCTTTTCTCGCTCTCGTCCACCAGCCGAGGCTTTGCTGCCAATGCTGGCGGCTTCGGTGCGTTTTTTTTGCCCTTGGACTCGACTTGATTGGCGCTTATAGAACCCTTCATTAGCAGCCTTGTCTGCAATATAAATTGATCATCACTCCGAGACCTACTCACTTCTCATCACTCCGTCTCGTCCACTGGCCAGGCCTTAAAAAGATTCGAGGCTTTGCTGCCAATGCTGGCGACTCTCAGTGCATTTCACTCCTGAGACCTACTCACTTCTCATCGCTCCATCTCGTCTACCAGCCGGGCCTTAAAAAGATTCGTTTATAGAACCCTTCATCAGCAGCCTTGTCTGCAATATAAATTGATTATCGAATCATGTCAGATCTAATAGTGCAGTACTAATTTTTCTACGGTACGAGAGTGTGTATGCGACGGAGTGATTATGTGTGTGCGTCTCGTTTGTGTGTGTGTGGCGTCTGTGCGTGTGTGAGTTTTGCATGTGAAGAATAGTTGAACAGATCCAGCGCCATACATATATGCTTCATGCTGATCACTCATATAAACTTTCACACCCCATTCCAATCACAGTAGCTTCACTTCTGCTCAGAGCTCACATCCGCTCAATGAATAAGACCTTACTCTCGGAAAATACACTCCGTGTTCGTGAGAGTGCGACCAAACGTGTATGCACAAGCAAACTGAAGTGGAGGTCTCACGGGACGCGACATCCATAAAGAATGTGACTACTGCATATTACAAATGAAGGACTTGATGCAAAGAGCAAGTGGGTGACTATACGTCTTCCAAGCAATCGTCATTCAGGAGTTCAACCGCACTCGGACGCGAAGCGGGATCTAGGGCTAGACAACGACAGCGGATAGAGATCGTACATCGTCCATGAAACCAAGGTCATAGAGGATGTCTTCGAGGCTGTTTGGCGTAAAATCGATGACCCGGAGAAGTGAATCGCATCACCATCAAATGTTAGCCAGAAAGGAGAAACTAGTTATAGTCAAGATTCAGCGTTTTTATTGAAATGTTCATACCGACTGACTGCATGCCCCGACAAATTGTGGAGGGAACGATCCGAGGTACTCGACCATATTCTGTATGTGGAAATCAACAGAATAAGGCTGACCATGGTTGCCGAAAAGGTGAAAATTGGTGATGAGCTTGAAGACCTAGCAGAGGAGTGTGACTGGGAATATTATCAGGACCGCTGGGTGGAACTTACGGGGCATCCAATCGATCAGATGTCGACGGGAGCTGACCATGGGCAACCATGGAGAACCTCGGGCGCGCGGACAATAAGGGTTTGGCAGGAATGATCATCCGGTTTGTCAACAGAGGAGGCTATGTCAAATGAACCTGAGCATAAGGGTCGATTAAAGCCCCACTACGTCTTACCTGAGCCATAGTCAATGAGCCGAACACTGAAAATACGCAAGTCAATATTGTCGACATCCATAACTTAGAGTTCTGACTCTGTCTAAACATGATTTACTAGGTGACAAGGTCGGTGAAAATCAACAGAAATATTGTTTTGCCCCCTCTCATAAACCTTAATCTGTTCCAGCTTCGTCGCATGGAAATTGACATATCTCGACCTGATCTCGAAAGAGCGTGGCCGAGTCCCGACGGTGTGGGGCCTCGCGATGTACGGACCGGAGGTAAAGGCTCACGCGATACCGGATCTTGGATGCGAAGACTCCGCCACAGCCCCAACCCTCTCCACCCCAACCCGTGAACTGCCCTTGCGGCAGGTCATGAGCTCGCATCCCCTGGCCGGCCCTAAGGTGGCGGTTGCAGCGGACCATTTACTCCTGTCGCATATATAGGCTTACACACCGGCGGTTTGGGAATTTTTCAGCTATGCAAGATTTGTTTCAAAATGTCATCGATGAATTTAGCATTTTCACTATACATTTCGACATGATAAAAATAAGAAATTTAGATGAGTGGCAAAATCCTGGGCAAAATTGTACATTTTATGCACCATTTTGACACTGTAAAAGAAAGTCATTTACAGCTAGCGCTGTTCACATTACAGGTTATATTGTAATATAATATTATTATTAATCATTATCTTGATTATAATACAGGCTCGCGGAGGGACTCTGCATACACCATACAATCCAGTACATTATATTATTGTATGATTACATTATAATATGACCTGTGTATTTAATCATAATATTTTAACTTTGGATGCAGCAATCAGGCTGACGTGGTTAAGGTAAAAACTGTACAGCTGGAGCAGTAGTAGTTCCCATGCATCATGGTGGTCAGTGCTCACAGTCCAATTCAATTTGCTCAGTGCATATCTTTGTTATCAGGGCAGCACAACTACCATGGCTCAATTGAGCGAGCAGCAAAAACAGCTTGCCCAATTGCTTGCCGATCTTCATTCTGTTATAGCTGGACTCCCTAGTTCATTGCCAGAAGCAGCCGAAGATGGTCCAATTAGCCATCACTTACGTGATTTCAGCATTGATGAAGATGAAGGTCCATTTTACTCATTCAACCGTGCCTGGGAACGAGTGTTTCAGTGTTCCGAGAATGAACAGCAAAAACTGGTTATGTGTCACGAATCCCTAACACGAATCATTTTTCATTCCTTGGTTTTCCTTCGGCTATGTCCCATACCCGAACCGGTCACGTGACACCACTACCTTTCACATTATCACATCATCAACATGTCACAGCTTCACCCCTTCACATTTCACCAATCACATCTCCAATCGGATCCCCTACACCCCGGGTTAGAACCATATGTCTTCCTATCACTTAATCTCTGTCTATGACATCATCACTTATATATCACGACGTCATACTTCGTCATCCGCAGTATCGTACGATTCTTTCTCATTGGTTGATTACTTACAGACTCAGATATCTCCGACTCAATGTTATGTATATAGGCAGCATAGTTAGCGTAGTTTCTCTTTAGACTTAACCTCTTCGTTCCTACCCAGTGTAGACTCAGACGTTTACCTCTCAATCTATCTGATTCTCTCATCCTTGACGAGTCCTAGTGGTCGTGTGATACCTTTTGCCATTTGGTGAAACATTGATCATAACATTATGTGAAGAAAGCATGGTGTCATCCTTGCACACGATTTTGCTGTACACTTTTCTGCATTACCGAACATTGAGCAGCACAATGGACTCAACTTGATGAACGAGTGCATCAAAGCACTTATCAAACTGCTTCATGACGTGTATGTAATTTCCCATATGCTCTGTGTCGTGAAATGTGATGCTACTTAATGTTACAATGTCAGTGCTCCTACGGGTTCTTCGAAAAAGGCTGCCAGTGGCCTTATCCTCCGCATCAAACGAACATTGGCTAAAGGTAAAGGTTCTGTCATACTCATGTATGTCACTGACATAATTAAAAGATGCCGAGAGTGATTCGGATGATCATGACTACATTCCGCCATGCAAAGACCCTGTTTCTGACAATGGTAGTATGAGTGACAGTGAGGTGGTTCCAGCAGAGGTACAATGGCAACTTGGATTGATATGTCGACACTGACTCTTATGCAGGGGGCTTGTCAGCAGCCCAATATGTTGAAGGGCAAGAGTGGTAAGCCTAAGAAGAAGAAGCAGAAGACTCGGGTGACTTCACTCTTATGAATTTCTTGTCTCGCTGTGCTAACTCAGTCGTCAAGGCTCCTGCAGGAAGTGAGAAGTCTGAAAGTGAGATTGATGTAGAAGAGGTCGAGGTACATGCTGGATGGAATCCTTTGAAAGGACAATGGGCAATGCTACAGTTTGCTCCATCAGTTGCTACCAATAAAAAAGGAGACCCTGTGTGGAAATGGAAGTGTAACTGGTGCAAGTAAGTGGTCAATTACCTCACTGCAAGCACATTGCTATGCTGGTACAAACTCATATATCCTATCCAGCACATTTTGGATGTCGCCTCGCACACCACAATGCAGACTCCAAACCATCGGTGGTGTGTAGAGTCTCATACTAGTGCCACAGACCAAATACATACAACTATATTTCAAATCCCGCACCTTAATTCAAACACCGCAACTTTGGACTCTACACACCTAGCTGACTGGCACAACTTGTTGTGGCATCAAGTTTGCCGCTATTTGCTACCACTGAAAAATCCATCCAAACGTCTGACGAGCCGTCAGGTACACTGGGCAGCTTAGCGATATAACCACAAGTGTGACCCAAACCAGGTAATATTATATTCATATTATATAATACACATTTTGCCGTCAAGGAGATGAACACAGGAGAATGGGAGCAGAACTGTATGAAACCTTGTGTAAAACATGAGGCGAGATGTTGAAAATGAATGCAGCACCACTCTGTTGTGCTCTGCCCCAGAATGAGCCTTGAAGTTCGACTGACGAATGTCCTGCAGTGCCTGCAGCAAAATGGCCTGTCGGCAGCAGGATTCGTCAGTGGAGTTTTGGACAGCAGGCATACTGTTCATGCCAACAGCCAAGAGTCATTGACAATGAACGCGGCTCGTATTTGTGCACAGCTATACAATGACAAGAACTCACAACCATTGGTTTTTGCCTGGGCAGCAGGAACATTATGTGGAGAGCTGTGCAAGGAGGTCACTGAACTATCCCTCAAGAAACACTGGCCTCCATTTCAAGGCTGCCTCCGCAACTGTGGAGCAGTTGGAAACAACATTTATGAGTCAGCTCGCTGTGAAGATGCAAAGTGTTGCTCTGAACCTTTGGAACCTTGTTTTAGTCCTACTCAACAGCAGGGAAAACCGTCGTTGAAAGATGCCGTGCCCTACCAGTGGCCACAACCCAACACCTGAAGAAAATTTTGCATAGAATGAGATGGACTTGGGTGAATTGGGTGGAGATGAGGCAAACCTTCAATGAGATGAGGAGGATGAAGACAACAACGGGGCATTTGACAAGTGGCCGAAAAAGCGGCAGCGTCATGCGGCTGAAAGGAATGTTGCATTGCAAACCATTGTGAGTGGTCGTCAAGTCTTTGGCACCACCTATCCACTAACAGTAACCAGAAAGCTGTGGTGATGATCAGCATATGGCTGCAAAGCACAAATGAACAATGCAACTGCTTACAAGGCTGGATGGGCTTTTTTATGAAGTCGACCTGCATTCCAGAGAAGGTCATTGAAGTCATGGCGCATGCTGGGCTGTCCGTCAGCCTCTCAACCATATATAACATGGTGACATCTATTTCCAAGGAGATTAGCTGCAACATCAAAAAGGAAGTCCACACACTCCGTGCTGCATTTGCATATGACAATTTTGATATCACCTTCAATGTTGCCCAGCCAACACTCGAAACACGCTCATCCTTCATCAGCATGACATCTGCCACTGTAATTCCGTTGTATGGCATTGATGAGAGTAATGGGGAGGTATTGCGATGCTCAGCAAAGTTGTGGGCCTCCGATCCAAGGAACCCATTGCCGTCATCATTCCCGGTGATGAACGAGATTAGAAGCTTTTTATTGCTGCACAAAAAGGACACCTACAATTGGCAAACCAATCCAACACAGCCAAGCCCACGAGAGGAGGCCTTTGCATGGCATGTTCACGCCATTCTTGTCCAATATGGTCGAAGCTTCAAGCACTTTGTTGACAAACTCGGCGAACCTGAAACCGTTCAGAAGATACCTGTACACAAAACCAATCAGATTCCCTGCCGCTCAATGAATATCAAGCAGTCTACCACAGATGGAAATGTCGAAGTCTTGGTCAACTTATTTCGACAGGGTGGCATCGGGGACAAAAGCGAGAATGACTTTGATGCAGAACATGACGTTGACATGTCAGAACATGTGATTCTGGTTCACGGAGACCTTCTAACAAAGGAACAAGTAGATAGTGTGCAGAGCAGCCGAAAAATTGAACACACACCAAAAAATCGTCTCCAGTATGTAATTTTCCTCCCAGGACTTTTCCACTACAAGATGGCATGTGCAGACACATTGTGGCACACATACATTCAGCCAAAGGAGGGGTGTGAAGATGAGAATAGCCTGTATCAGCACATTGGCATCCTTCGACCTGATGAAACAGGAAAGATGGTCAGTAAACCAGGATTTCGGCGGGTCCATGATGTTGTTCATCATGACTTCTGGGCATCAATGCTCAACTGCTGGCGTCTTGAAGCAGAGAGCTGAAATCCCGAATGGTCGACACTGGAAGCATTTGCCACATCAAAGCCTGTCTGGGAAGACATCACGGTCATGTCTCACATCATCATGAAAAAGTTTGTTGCATCAACCCAAGATCTGGATGTGGCGCAGGGAAAGCCACCGTTACAGCGAGACAAGCACTTCGAGAACCAAACACTGTGAAACTGGGACGAACTCTTGTACATTGATCTTTGTCAAGCCATGAACACTGGGGACATTGGCCAAGTCGAAGCATCTTTTCTCCCTTGGATACATATATTCAAAGCAACTGGAAAGCATAAGTATGTGTCGCAGATCTCAAGATTCCTGACGAACCTTCAGTTCAATTATCCGGAAGTTTTGAGGTGAGGGCTGTGGTTCATCCGACTGAAAATCCAGTTTATCAATTTTGAGACAGCGATATAGTGCGGACAAACTTACTATGCAACCCAACTGGCAAGCCTCTTGCATTTCGGGCAGTTGACTGGGTCGTCAAGCGTAATAATCTGTACACAAAGGTGAGCAGACAACAATTGATGTCATGAAATCATAGTGTAAATTTGAACAGGTCATATTTCGTGGTGGTGGTCCAAACGGCACGCTCGATCACATCATTAAAGAATCACCTCTCATTGAAGTATATCGAAGCTGTCATGTAACAATGGAAAATGCCTTCCATCTTCAGCACCACACTATCCGCCATGCCCCACCTGATATGACCAAGACAATTCAGAAATTGACAGCACGAATCAAACAAAAGAACTCGCATACCAAGAAAGAGGGCCGAAGTGCTCTGCATTCAATCCCCGATCAAATTGCTGCAGGAATGGTGCTAATACAAGAGCAAAAGATAGTTAGTGAAGAGGACACTGGAGTGTTTGAACTGGAGGCGGATGATTTTATCGACTGACCTTACAGTATCACTAGGTCCTGCCACTGGCTCGTTCTTTTTGCGAGAGGACCTTGGCTTTGGGATGTACTTCGGACATAGTTTATTTGAAGCTATTGGTGTGTCAGTTGAGGCTGGTAAGTACTAGTAGTGTTAACAGCACGCACCTATGTGAAGGCTACTCCCACACGCCTGGCACTTTCATACTGCTCACTGCTTGCTGGTGGTGCTGCCATCAGCTGTGTTATTCATAGGCAGGGCAGCAGCACCTGGTATTGATATGGTGGAGTTTGGCTGGTTTATTGCAGCGGAGGGGCCAAGGACCACTAACAGGGTGAACACTGCAGGAATGGGAGGTGGCGGTGGTGGAGGAAAGTAAGACTGAATAATTTCAATGATTTGTACGCCATAATCCAGGGAATAGCACCAGCCAGTTTGCGCTAATAACAATGCGGAAGTTGATAGCTTTGCATAGTGAGCGAGGTCAACAATGCAGTTGAGAATTTTGTTCATCATGATAAGCTGTGGGCCAAAGAAGATGTCGCCATCAAGGTCCTCTTCAACCATTTTAAAATCCCTCCATTGAAGGAGTGCTGCACGTAAATCATGTTCTCTGCTGGTCATTTCGTATGGTTTAAACTTGAATTTTGGTTTTACTCATGTTGATGGAAATGTTTGCAGCGGAAGGAGGTGTGACGTGAGTAGCGCAGGAGTACATATGTCACAGCAGTCACCAGATGGTGCCTCACTGCATCATTCGCAACATGCTGCTTGGCTATTACCTTGATATAAAGTTATGAGTCATTCAATTTGAAGCTTGCATTTGAAAATCTGCTTACTCTTTGGATTATTGAAGTATTCATCAGCCACCCGACGTCGACAGAATCCACAATGTCTTGCATTGATGAAGGCATACATTGCAAAGCGCTCGCAGGCTGTGTTATCAAGATTCTCAGGAATGAGCTGCACATGCGCTGATGGGATGATGGTCATTTCTGACGGATGTGATGATGACGGCAAAGTGCCAATAGTGCGCAAATGATCCTGTACATCCTCTGCAATAACCATTTCATCCTGCGATTCAAAGCCATCATCACCTCCCTCAAACTCACTGTCAACCTCTTCCTCTCGATCCTTCTCTAAGCTTGCTCCATTAGTCCGCGACTCTGATCCTTTTTTCCTTTTCTTTCGTTGACTATCTTCCTCAACTGCAGGCCTTTTGCGCTTCCCTCTGTATGTATCAAAGTATATCGGCTCAACAAGGTAGATTCCCACCGCTGTTAGCGAAGGATCTCTGGCACTGTGTCCAAGCCTCTATAAGAGAGCACACAGTGAGGGAGTGTAACCCCATTGCACAATTATTTTAATATCACGCAGATCAAGTCCCTTAATGAATAGATGAGTATGAGAAAATTAAATGTAATTGTCACTAACCATTCCCACTGCATCGGTGCAGCAGATACCCCACAGTCCACCTTCTTGAAGCTTTGCCATCGCATTGATACGGAATTTCATTGTCATCCTGGAATGGAACCAGAAGATCTTCCCCCGCAAATGTCCAGGGAGATCCGAACACAAGCGGTTGCAAGTCATTTCTGCCGAAGTCCAAGAATTCGTGAAGATCATAAACTTCTGTGGTGGATTTATATCTCCAAGTCTCATATCCAGGACTCGGGTTAGATCATGCATGGTATTACGCGGAAACTTCATCTCTTCAACAATAAGGCTAATATTTGGACGGTTGTTAGACCAGGTGACCCTCGCAAGGTTATGTGACCAGATACGGAGCTTCGAAGTGACGTCGGCCAAAATATGTGGTGGCATTGTTGCTGATACAACATGGACTGTCACATGGTCAGGCAAATACCATCTAAGATTCCCCAGCTCGCTGTACTGTGGCCTGAAGTCCTCGCCCCATTCACTTATGCAGTGCCCTTCATCAAATGTGATATTGAATATCTTCTTGGTAAACTTCTTTGACTTCCACAATGCCTGAAAACGCGCGTCACTGAGTATCCGTTCTGGGCTGACTGCGATGACGCAATATTTAAGCCTCTCGATATCCTGCACAACATTAACGAAGAAAATGTAGAACAGAATCTCGTTACAGACCTTGAATACCTGATCTGTAGCCGTCTCCTTACACAAATTGATGGCAGGGAAACCATAAGCCTCTGCCTCCTTCTGGTTCTTCTCCCCTAATATATTCAGCAGCGTGACGATGATGATAATCCTACCTGCATTAAATAGGAGAGGAATCCAAAATGTAAGTGTTTTGCTGGAGCCAGTAGGGGAGATGGTGACAACGTCCTTTTTGTTGAGCTGATATCGAGCCGACTGAAGCTGCCAGGTGCAGGGAGACAAGCCAAACTTCTCTTGGACAGTCTGCTTCATGTTTATGAGGCTTGGGACATTGAAACGACAGGCAGACATCTGATGGGGTTACTGGGGTAGTTAGCTTAGCACCAAATGGGACATATGCAGTCACGTCACACTACTGAACTTACCATCTGCCTGGTGTACCTGATGGCTCATCAGACGTTCAGATGGATTTTTCGGTGGTAGCAAATAGCGGCAAACTTGATGCCACAACAAGTTGTGCCAGTCGGCTAGGTGTGTAGAGTCCAAAGTTGCGGTGTTTGAATTAAGGTGCGGGATTTGAAATATAGTTGTATGTATTTGGTCTGTGGCACTAGTATGAGACTCTACACACTGCCGATGGTTTGGAGTCTGACCATGATGCACATCCTATGATGCTGAAACTATTAAGGCACCCCCTTCAAGTAATTTCATCTCGCACCTACCAAAATGTTCTAGGTTGCCAACAGAACATTCCTTCGACTCGTGGTGTGCATGGAAATCAAATGGAGTGCAAGTCACCATGGAAACTCCAGGTCCTGGTCCTCAAAGGCAGATTATGTGAGATTTTGTGCAGTGAGGAATCAAACATCCTGCCAAGCAGCTTACGAGAAAGACTTGGCGTGAAACTCTGGTGAAGGGTATTGTTGAAGACGACCTTCCATACTCACTGGTTGAAAAACGAGGCATGAAGCGAACATTCATGTTGATTCTTCTGACAGGTGATTCATTACCTTCATGTCAAACTGTTTGTTGTGATATTGATAGGCTCTATGAGGGCATGAATAAAAAAGTCAATGCAGTCCTTCAGGTGAGATTTACCATTCTTGGATAGACATCAGTGTAAATTAACAAATTTTGTAGTCGAACACATCACAACTTGCCTTCTTGAGTGATATCTGGACCAGCAAAAACTCAGTTTATGCTTTTCTTGGTTCTGTGGTCTCCTGGATCAACGATGAGTGGGAGCTTATGGAATCTCCCCTTGAGCTTATTGCACTTGACGGAGATCACTCAGGGAAAGTGTCTGGCAAGCTACTGTTCAAGGTGCTGAAGCACCAGAAACTGACTAGCAAGATCAGTGGGTTCATGGTCAACTTCACGGAGATTTTTTTCACTCATCTCTCAATAGTTGCCCATGCTATGGACAACACAGCAAGTAACACGACAATGAATGAGGCACTGACGAAACAGATTGCTGACGAAGGCTCCCATTTGCATCATGCGAATATGCAAATCGGCTGCGCAGCTCATGTCATCAATCTCGTGGTGCAGTATGTAGCCTTACATTCATCTTTCACCAGACTAATGAAGTATGATACTGCCAGGGCAATATTGGACGGGCTTCACGCTGCTCCAAGTCCTGATGAGGAAGACCTCTATGAGAGTGCTCGACAGTTCCCACTTACATACTCACCCAAAGACGACCCCGAAGTCCAGCAAGAAATGGAAGAGATGCAAAAAGAGGCGAAGAAAAACAATGGGGATGACAACATGAACCAAGGTGATGAATCAGATGCTTATGTTTCCAGTGACGATGAAGGTGCTGTGACCATGAGTAAGAGTGGCAAAAAAGCGAAGAAGAATCAAAATCTCACTGCAGTTGAGAAGGCTAGTAGTTGTATTTTGCTACCCAAGTCAGTTCTGATGCCACTTTCAGCTTCACGCAATTGTAGTCGACATTCTCACTTCAGAAGTTCGTCGGAAACGGATGCGCCGACTTATCCGTCAACTATGTGACACGTGTTACAAGGGGCTTGTTCCCATTCACAGTATGCCCATTTGGTGGAACACGACACTTGCAGAAATTGACTGAGCTACAAAGCTCAAGCCAGTATGTAGTTTTGCCATGAGCTCACTTGACCAGGGCAGCTTACATTATACAGGCAATCAACCAATGGGTTGATCAACTGGACGCCCATCTCACTGGGAAAAAGAAGCACACTGCAATCCACAAGAAGAAGAAATTATCTTTGAGTGTTAGCGACTGGGAATTTCTCAAGCGCCTTTCCTCAATCCTTGTCGTGTGTTTTTAATTTTTTTTGCTCATTCATGACTCACCATGCTACTCCACAGCTTTTTTACACTTCAACACTCGACCTCTCATGCAAACACGTCCCTACCATATGTTACACACTCCCGCTGTACAAGCAGCTGGAGTTACACATGGACACTTTTTGCCATCAAGCCTCGGAGGAAACTGACGTTCACAGACTTGAAAATGCACTCACGGCTGGTCTTGACAAACTTTGGATTCACATGGAGAAGGCTCTGGTATCTGATTACCCTTTGTTGGGTGCTGGTGAGTGTTTTTTTATCACGTCAGAAGTATAATCATATTGATGTTTCTAGTTCTACATCCAAGAATGAGAGTCTCGTATTTTGATGACGAGAGCTTGTGGTCAAATACGAATCTCGCAGCTCATATGCAAATTCTTCTTGATCATATGTACCAGGTATACTCCGAGGATAGCATGGACAGTTCCCCCATCACTCCCGCTACTACTGCCGACCCCGTCTCACCTGTCAAACATTCTGCCTTCAAGTCAGCAGTCAAGATGCACATGCAGAAGACCGGCCCTAGCACATCTCAGAAAGAGGTTGACATTTACCTCAGTGGCCCTTTATCCATGCATGACAGAACAGGAAGACAATCCTTTAATCTGGTAGAAGGTTTGTATCTTTTAGCTGTTTATTCTTCAACAACTGATTGTATTCCACTTAGCAACACGAGACAATGTTTCTGGTGCTGTCCCGCATCGCCCAGTGACATTCTCGTGATCCCCACCATTAGCGTCTCCATCGAACATTTGTTCTCAAGCAGCAAACATACACTCCCCGATAGCTGGTTGTCTCTGAGTGCCGAGTCCGTGTCAACCACTATTATCACGAAGGAATGGTTAAAATGCGATTTTGGGAATGGTGTCAATTTTCTTGAGGGCATTGTAGGGAGTATCCCTACGCTAGGCTTGTATCCACCACTTTTCTGATGCATCAGGCGTCCATCCGACACCAATCCATTCCATCCGATACCCATCCGCTTTTCGGATGACAAGTGGATACCTTCGGATCTCCCCCTATAGCTCATGCATCCACCGCATCCGTCCTGTCCACGTCCATTCTACCTCATTAGTACGTACTCACATGCATTTCCTTGTTACTGACTGAACACAGACATATCCTCTCACACTCCACTATTTTCCAGATAGCTTATGGCACAGTCTAGACTCGCTACCTATACCAAGTGTTCCTTGAAAATACTGTACCCTATAAGCACAGAAGTTTTCGGAAAATACTTACTTGATGTAACTTCCTCCCACTTGTCTTGCACCTTACCAGAAAATCACTTTGACTTATACCCACTATCCATCCAACCTTTAATGAATTTCCTTCGACTTTGATTCGCATCCCATCTGATCCGCAAGTATCATCCGCTCCATCCGACAAATCTGTACGTTTCACATCCTGTCTGTTTCATCCGCTTTTGCAGATCCTTCATCCTATAGGGTCACTTTAGACAGAGACAAGTGTTTCCCCAGTAGCAATCCCCTTAAGGGTCGAATGTGCTTGTTATCAAGTGAGGCAGTAGGCAGCAAAGACCCAACTGTGTGGTAGATCGATTTCTCGCTACTGCACTTGTTGTTCACACAGCGTGAACATCCATTGGATACAATTAAGTATGGTTACATTACCATTACATTTCAATACAATACCTATATGATTAAATACTCTCACTCGCTGACCTGTAATATTATGAATACATTATATTATGGCCCTCAGAGTATTATAATCGTAATTGGACAGCACTATTTACAGCTGTGTGCAAAACTAATGTCAATCACAAAAATTTTGCAGTGCGTGTGACCAAAAAGGAAATTGATAGAACAATGCATCCTGGATGCCGGGGAGACTTCCTACAACTGGTACACATTTTTCAGATGTTGTCAGCCCTTCTCACTATCTTTACTACATGTTATAAACATATATATTCTATGGCACAAAGAAAAAAACCTGCCAAAAAGTCAACAATCAAAAGTCCAGCCAGACTGTCAAAGACTGCAGTCACAGTGCCCATTGATGAGAGCGAGGAACCACTAGAGTTCCCAGAATCACCTGCATCCTCCAATTATGACAGTAAGAGGGTAGGGCATCTCTCCGAGGCTCACTGGTCTGCCAAAAACCTGGTAGAACTTGATGACAAGGTGGAACTTGATGAATTGGAGCCCGAGCCTGAAGAGGAGAGTGACAACTCAGTAGATATTGTTGAAATGGATGGCATTGCCTCAGGTATATTGAATCATACCTTTCATTTGTGCTAGTAACACTGAAAAACACGTCATTCACAGGTCCTGCACTCATGTTCATCAATGTGGACCCTGTATCCTTGTTATGACTAACGTTCACCAAATGGTAAAGATCAGATCACAACCACTAGGACTTGGTCACAGTTGATGAGAACAAGATAGGATTGAGCGTGAATATCTAAGTCTACTACAAGTGTAGAAACTGAAGAGGTTAAGTCTAAGGAGTACTTACGCTAACTAACCTACTTATATACATAACATTGAATAGGAGATATCTGAGTATAAAAGAAATCAGCCAATGAGAAAAGAGTCGTATGATACTGCAGATGACTGAGCATGACATCATGATCTATAAGCGATGAGTCAGACAGTGACTAGATAGAAACCCAAGATCCGACCGGTTCTTCTTTGGGAAGCGAGATTGTTCTAGCCCTGTGGAGTAGGGGAGCCAATCGGAGAAGCAACGGGTGATATGTGAAGAGGTGAAGGTGTGACATGAAGTGAAGTCACAGTGACCGGTTCGGTTAACTGAAGTAGCCAGAGGAAAGCCGAGAAATGAAAAATGATTCGTGTTTGGAATTTGTGACAATCCTTCAAATCTTCTCAGTAAGTGGAAGCAAGAGCCATCCCCTGACCTTACCTCAGCTGCTGGCAGTGAGCTGTCTGTGAAGAAATACAAATACAACAAATTTGTACCACAGGGCAAGCTCACTGACGAAGCCATTGATTGGATACTTCTTGGCAAACAGAAGAAACCTTCTACTGGCAAAGGAAAGGCAAGGAAGTCTAGTGTTGGAGTGAATAATACTAGTGAAGATGATGAGGGCGACACATCAAGAAGGTTCACTGTTGTATATTGAAGTGTGGTCTGAGGTGCTGATGGAGAAAAAGTCAGGCAAGGGTGTCAAAGCTTCCATAACAATCGTTTCGTGAGGCCCATTCAAAATGGATACTTCACACACATTCCAATCATTCAAGCGAGAGATTTCAGAAATCTTACCCTGTTGACCCACATTGCTTCCAGTCGCAAAATTTGAATGGAAATTTGAAAACCAGGCCCAGGGTGCTCCACGCAAGAAGATAGCTGACGAGGCAGGTTATGAGGCACTTCTTGATGCTGTCAAGGTGAAGAAAGTGAGCAAGAACATTGTTGTATGGTTATACACCCTGAAGCCTGCTAAAGATGAACAAGTAAGCATTTTTGACATATTTTGACTTCATTGGGCTAACATCTATGTAACACAAGGATTGGGATACAGGAGATCCAGACTATGTTGAGCGTCCATTCAACTTTGACGAAGAAGCTGGTGCAACATGCACTACAAAGGCACTGATTGTATGTGATGACTCAGTTTAGCCGTTGCCCATGACAAATACTCCCCTATAGGATGACATGTCCACCAAACAAAGGATGGCAGTGACCGAACTTGAATCACTGTATCCAGTCAGCAGATATACATTGTTTCCAAATAAGCGTGTTTGGCATGACAAGAGGATGGACACATATTTCGAGCTGACTGAGTTACATATGAAGGTTTGGGCAAATTCAATTGTAAGTATCTTATTTTTCGTCAGGTGGGAAGCTAAAAAATATGATGGTTTAGGCCGCAGGAAGAGCTGACAAATCAGCGCCTCCAACAATGAGCCACTTCACCAACAAACTGAAGGTGCCACGTCCCCCACCAGAAGCACCTATTTCGACATTTGGCGACTTTTATCACCACCGTCAACGTGATCAAGCCTTCAAGGACCAGGAATCAGCTCCTCCTCTACCTCTGCATGGTCAATCCATTCCTCCACATCCACATGGTCAACCCATTCCTCCATTTCAAGGGGCCCATGTTCCAGGCCCTCCACATCAATTCTATCATCCAGCTCAATATATGCAGCCACCAATCTTTGGTGGATATCCTTACCCACCACCTTATTATCCAGTCATGCAGGGTCATGGCCAACCCCAAGCAACTGGGCAACCTATGGGCGAGATATCCTCAGCATCTTCATCACCCAGCATAACAACTTCTCACGATGTATCCCTGTCAGAGTTTTGTACCAAGTATTGTATTTCTGATAGCGATCAGGTGAAGCTCGCAGCTCTGGAATACCAACCTGGAAACAGAGTAGTTGAGACACTGGATGATAGAGAATGGTGAGGTATAGGTCAATTTACGAGACTTGGCTGGCATGCCTTTCTTGATGCACACAAAAAATTTGTAAAGCCATAAAGTCAGGCACATGGTGAAATGATTCTGTACTTTTCATGTCACCTTTCACAGACTTTCTTGGACATTTCAACAGCATTCATTCACACTTAGTTTTTATTGCATAGAAAACATTCAAATTTGTACAATTACGAGCATTCTTGATCACATGACAATGTACCCCGCATTCTTGAACCACCCGTATGCCTTCTCTGCTGTAATACAACTTGTTGCTTCAAGAATAGCCTCAACAGGATCTTCAAGTTGACGCAACTGATGGCCGTGACGTCGAATATAAGCTTTGACTAACAACCATAAATCAGATGCAGAGATAGCATGAATTATTTGTAACTTACAGGCACTGAATGACTCCTCAATTGAAGTTAGATCAGGTGAGTATGGAGGAAGGTAGAGTATTAGACCTCCTATCCGACATTAGCTTTATGAGAGGAGAAACAAGTACAAAAATGAACTGGCACTTTCAACAAGGTCTTCAAGGTCTTCATTATGATGGATTTGGCAATTATCAAGAACAATAATGGACCACTCTCTGGGGAAGGGAGTCATATGAGGAAGCTAGAAAAAAACCCGTATCTTCAACTCAGCTCAACAGACACAGAAAAGAGACATCATTAGTACCACATCTTTGGCAATGAAATCATAAAATTCCTGCGAGTTGAACGAGCCTTCAACCACTTGAGCAGCGATGTAGCCTTGCACAGTCATGGCAGCACACAATGAGTAACAATCACCTCAAACAAAGACATCTGTGAGGTGTGCACGATGTCCGCTTGGTGCTCATCCATAATGCCATGCATATGTCCAATCATTCTTGCTGGTCTCATCAATGACAACGAATTCTGAGCCATCCCCAACAAAGTCATTGCAAAGACTGGCTCTGAATTCCTTGCGTCAGGCCTCATCACGTTCAGAAGCAAGTTTTCAAAGGATCTTGCATGTGAGACCAGCATTTTTGAGATTGCGTGACAGGGAGGAAGTGCTGACAATGATATCGTACTCAACTGCAAGCCATGTGCAGACTTCGTCGAGGAAGAGATCAGAATCTGTAGCAAAGAGGTCTTCAACAGCCATCAGAAGTGCACGTGTGATTGTTCGAGTACGGCCAATGAGTGGAGAGGGAGGCTTCATAGGAGTACTGAACTCCTCAAATATCTGTCGCCAGCAATAGCAGCTCCTCCCAGAAATACCAAGCGCTTCAGATATATCCTTCAGTTCCCATCTGTGATCCCAGAGTTGAAGTGCACATTCTTTGAGATCGCTGCTGATTCTGCAGTTAACCATAGCCTTTAGGTACAGAAAGTCAAATCTGGAGTCTGCTGGCATTGCAAACATCATCTGCAAGGTATATAAAAGCTGTCCCAGCACCTACAATGCATTGTTCTATCAATTTCCTTTTTGGTCACACGCACTGTAAAATTTTTGCAATTGACATTAGTTTTGCACACAGCTGTAACCAACAGCAAGATTTGAAGAAAAATGTTCGATCATTCTGATTCAAATCCTGCATGGGGTGAAATGTGAGGAAAATTTGAAGTAAGTCGAATCACATTACATTTTACCTGTTTGGAAGGGATTTTACCCCATGCAAGATTTAAATCAAAATGATCAAACATTTTTCTTCAAATCTTGCTGTTGGTTAAATGACTTTCTTTTACAGTGTCAAAATGGTGCATAAAATGTACAATTTTGCCCAGGATTTTGCCACTTGTTTAAATTTCTTATTTTTATCATGTTAATTGAATGTATAGTGAAAATGCCTAATTCATCAATGTCATTTTGGAACAAATCTTGCATAGCGAAAAACTCCCAAACCGCCGGTGTGTTAGCAGTAGCATTCCTACACGATAACGAGAAGTACGAGCGGTTGGGGTAGTGGTAAGCCCCCTGACGAGAACTTTCGCGGGTTCGAAACCGCTCGTTTTCCCCCCGCTCTACTAGCCGCCCTCTAGTCTTGCTGACAGGCCCTTATCCTCGGAGACGGGCGTCTGCGGCGGGAACTAAGGCGGTGGTCAGTCTCGATGGCGCTCAGCTGGACGCTTCTGACTGGGGCTTCGCTTACCCAGTCAGTTCGCTAAAAGGGGGGCGGGGGTAGTACCCTCTCCAGATTTTGCAAACTTCTATTCAACATTTTCCCCAGTCACGTGATGTTCATAAACACGACCACACGCGTATAATTGACGGATCAATGAATGTTGACTGAAGTTTGAGCTAGCGCCTTTCTTCTTTCGCCACCACCGTCGACACCACAGGTCGTCCATCTTCTCTATAATTTGTCGAAACACTTAACTCTGTGCATTGAACATGTCTGGACGCGGAAAGGGCGGCAAGGTGATATTGGATTGGCGTCACCTCATCGTTTGTGCGACTCAACAGTACAATAGGGTCTCGGCAAGGGTGGTGCCAAACGTCACCGCAAGATTCTTCGCGACAACATTCAGGGTATTACCAAGCCAGTGAGTGAAAAGAATATTCGAGCACTCTCCCGCTCATATATATATATTAGGCTATCCGCCGTCTTGCCCGTCGTGGCGGTGTGAAGCGTATTTCAGGTCTCATCTACGAGGAGACCCGCGGTGTCCTCAAAATTTTCTTGGAAAATGTTATCCGCGACTCCGTCACTTACACCGAACACGCTAAGCGGTAAGCCCGACCATCAACTCGTTTTAGTACTTATTCATTCATCCGGACTATAGCAAAACGGTTACTGCTCTTGACGTCGTTTATGCCCTGAAGCGGTCAGGGCGCACTCTGTACGGCTTCGGCGCATGATTTATTGTTGACTTGTCACGCATATGTAGTATGTATCAGTAGTGCCTCAAATGTTTCTTTCATTCTCATCAGACTGGCCAATTTCTGTCTCGGTGTCCTCTTAGAGATACATGGTAGTGCGTAAACCGTAGTGCTGGTGTTCGGGCGAGCTTGAAGTGTCTCCGTTTCCGGGTGTGGTCATCTTCGGTAATTCGGCTGATGCGTGCTCGGCAATAGGGACTTGTGGGGGTGACACAAGTCCACATAAATGTGTTCTCCAGCAGATGAAGCTCTCCGTCTCCGAGTGTACTGCATCTGTCTGGTGCCTTCAAATATTCTTCCGCCCTTCGACGGTCCCAAAGGCGAGCTGCCAACCAGTGGGCCGCTTGCCAGTCTGAGAACGCCTTCGGCGTTCACATGCGCATCCGACCTGGACGGTCCGTGCCTGCTCATTCGCCTAAGATTTGCCATTACGTGTGCCTGGTTCAGCTGCCTGGGACGCTCAGGCGGCTCCAGCTTCTCCGCGGAGAGCTTCGGTACAACGCTCTTCTTCACGAGATGCATGAACCCGACCTTCTTGCCTTGCATTGGGTGCAGCAGGAATGGAGAACACGAAAACGTCAGTGGCGTAATGATCTTCTCCCCGGGGAGGACCCGCCTCGAACCGTCCGTGTAACGGTCGTCCACGAGGTAATCGAACTTCCACTGCGCCTTCACGTGCTCCTGCGAGCTTCCCAGCGCCATGCTCTCGCTCCCGAGGACGGTATATACCCCGTTTGTCTTGATGTTCAGCGCCGCGTGCCGGGAAAGATAGTCACGTGACTCGTCCCCGCCTACAGTGACGCGGCGCAGCATCGGCGGACCATCGAGGGTCGCATAGTGGAATGCGAAGCTCTCGCGCTTGACCGGCATGAACTCCGCCACGCCTCCACTCACGTCAGAGGAGACGCCACGCTCGCCGTATGGCAGCAGTGAACGGGAGCGTGGGGAATACCCCATCAGTCGCATCCTTGGCCGGATCGCGCGGAAGCCTTCCTGGTCGATCCAGAGTTCAACTTCGGTCCCTCCGAGCCAAGCGAGATCATGTGGAAGATAGGGATACTTGGACGGGACGCCTGAGTCGCCCGAGGAAGTACGTGGGGAAGGACACGAATGGATGGAGCTAGCTGAAGGGGAGTCGGTGAGCTGCCAGCGGGTTGTGCGTACAGGACCGATGACTGGGGACGGGGGCTCGTGGGGCTCACGGGCGTGTAGACGGAGCCGAGAGGTCCTGGGGATCGAGCGAGGCGTCTTCAAATGATGAATAGCTCCTGAGCGTTCCAGTGGTCTGCGATGTCTTCTGGAGTATGTCAGAGATATGGGAGAAATCACATCTACACTGGGCGATGGCGATGGGAGAGCAAAGGAAGGTGTTGGCAGTGTCGAGAATGTCGCTGACGTGCCAAGACATACAGTTTGCGCTTCATTCTCTTTGTCCCCTACAGGAACAGCCGTTGCTGAGTTGTAAGTCTTTCCCGAGTTGAAAATCCAGGCTTGTCGGTTTGTGCTTCCAAGAACAGTCCTGGCGCTGGGGCTTTCTGATAGTGATGTGCCGACCGAGTCTGACATAGCCAGGCTCCGAATATGTGCCGACTGGAACAGAGACTTGGAGAGGGGACTTGGGGAAGGAGAGGGTGTAGAAACCAGTGACTGGGACGACTGAGATGACTTCGGAGTGAAAAAGACTTCGTCCAGCGGTGATTCGCTGACACTGTAGTTGCTTGCAAGACTAGAGGCCAGTGATGCTGAGGAGGCTGCCATCAGGGACTTTGTAACTCTTCCCGTGCGGCTGTTACGTCGATTTCAAGTCCAATCGCTTTCGGCGGGGTGCATATTTCTGTGCCATATCCAAACCTGAGAGGCGAGTTCAAGGGTGTGGAAAATTTGTTAATCACGAAGTCGAGAATGAGCGGTATTTCACCAGACGTGCTCGGTGACAGTAGGTCATTAGGTGTGAGAATGGGTGATGGAGGGCAAAGCGCAGTGGCGAGCAAGCGCAAGTCAGAAGAGGTTCGAGTCAGGCTGACATGGCTTGAGGACAGCATGTTCGAATCCGGAGATGGATTATACTTTCTGCGAACGAGTGGGCCAACAGGGATGAAGATAGAATGACTTAAGCAGTACCGTCGTCATTTTGTTCTCTAGGTCGTCAGCCTCCGCATACTCAGATTCGACGTTCACGGTGGCTGACAGCATTCATTATAAATATCCACACGTACCACGCACAACATCTACAGACTTTCCTCCTGCACACGCGCCGCTACCTCGGCTTCTTTCTTGTGCACCTTTTCCCTATTTTTCAGCAGGCAGTAATCTCCGAACTCGTTCTTGTTCTGCCACCACGAACCAGGGAGCCAGAGTGTGCGTGTCAAAAGTGACGAATGCGATGCGTCGAGGAATGGAAGACATGACACCCGTTCCCAAGTCTCGTTGTCGATTGCGTATCGCGGTTCTAGAGGTGATGACACAGGGTGGTTAGGAAAGTCCAGGTCTACAAGGTAGTCGCAGGACTCGATGGGCACCTGAAAGAAAGTCAACGAAATGCCTCAGATGAGATTGTTTGTTTACTGACGTAGAATTCCAGTGCCTCCTTATTGAGGTCGTTCAAGCTCGCTGGGGTGATCTTCGAACCAGGCCTGTCCCACCATCCATTGAGCCTCAATTTTGCGCGACTCTCTTCAAAATGCGCGGGAAGCAGACCGTCAAACTCGCTCTTCACGAAGTCGACTTTCACACCGTTGGGAACAAGGTAATGTCCTGGGAAGCGATACCACTCTTTCCCTAGACAAAGTCTCAGATCAAATGACCTTATTGGTGCCAAGTCAATGGAAGGCCTGTCGATCTCGTCCGTCCCTGGTAGAAGAGGTGGGAGAAGCCCAGTAACATTCAGCAGCCGTGGAAGCTCAGAGGCCTCGAGGTCGTTGAACGTGGAAAGCGGTGCGTGATAGTAGTGCCACAAGGCAAGGGCGCGAGACAGAGAAATAAGCCCTGTCACGGCGATGACGGAGAATGTTATAGCACCAAATATGACGGATCTTGAAGCCTATCGGGACCGCAGAGCACACGTAAGCAAACGCATGTGTGGAACAAGAAGAGTAAATACCCTATATGTGGACTTAGTAGCGGAGATATATGTGGCTTCCATCCATCCGCGGATGAGGTATAGGGCAACGGCCGCATTAAAACAAATGAGGGGATATGCAGGGAACATAAAACGTTCCTCCTTGTGTGCTTGCGCTGTCAAGATAGCCGTCCAGACATATAGTGGTGCTAGGCGAAGTGCGAGCAGCGTGAAAGGCGAGCTCTGCTGTGGGCTAGGTTTCAACATCCCGAGGCGCTTGCGGTCGATCCTGTAGGTAACTGCGAGACCAGGCAAGGACACAAAAGCGAGAGGCACGAGGACATTAAAGTTCAGGAGAAGGTTGAGGATGTAGAAGTACCAAGGGGCTGTGCCGTACAGATCGGGACCACGGTCGGATCCGCCAAAGATATTGTAGCGGACAATGTTCCAAGGTACGATATTCCACCGACCATACGCAACACTATCAATTGCTATGACGGGGACCTGCGACAAAAGCAATTAGGTATGAGCAAATGATACATAGCGACCGCCTACAAATATCAGAGCGGATGCAAGACCGGCGGTGAAGAGGCGTTTCCAGCGAGAAATCATCCATGATTTGCGGGCGCTCGGCTCCAGCTGATCTCCACCAAAAACGAGTAATTCTTCGGACACAAAAGGCAGTGACAGAGCAAGTGCAAAAGGCCATCCAACAATAGCTCCTGTGGCGAAAAGCATTGTTGCAAACAAGGTTCTCCGGTTGTTCTTGAGGCTCGATGGCTCGAGCGAATACGTAAATGCCATCATGGTTGCGTACATCGCAAAAGAAGATGGCAAGAAGGCTGTGTGGGTACTCAACGAAGGTCGTGATAAAACGTAAAAAAAGAATCCTACCTGGAGCCGCGTTCCACATGCCTGCACTGAACAGCAACATAAAGAACAAGTAACGGCCAACGCGTTCGTTGACTTTTTCGACTACAGTGCGGCAAAATTTCGCTTCGCAAAGCGTGGATACAATGGCTAAAGTTATGCGGACTGCGAAGAACGCAGGGCGCTACGTCGATGAGTATGACACGAGTAAGTGTGATCCTATTACGAAGACTCACTTTTCCAAAGCTAAGTGCTACGGGGAGACGCGCAGGTATGAGGTGCAACAAGACATATGCCCAACTTCGAATGGCATACACTGGGGTAACTTCCCATGTCTGGAAGCCATGACCTTGGTCGATGTAGTGTAGTGGCTCCCAAAAATTGAACACTGATATGACATGTAGCTCAAGGAAGTAATACAAGTTGGGAAGTTTACTTACCCTCATCACAATCTTGTATATTTGAGTACATGGCGGATGCCACTCGGATGAGGAGTAGAATGCGCACTGCTGTTGAAAAATCTGGATTCCATGGTTTACGAGCAGACCTGGGAAATCCATCGATGAAAGGTCATAAATGAGTAAGACGAAGCACATTACCTGCGAAGCTGATCTTGCAGCATGCCAGTATGACGTGCAACGCGCGGGGCAGGTGGTTTGTCGTCCTGTTTACGCCTGAAGCGCAAAGTTTGAGTATTTGAGGCCATGACCTCGGTTTACTCTTGGTACAAGAGTTTTGTAGGTGAGGCTAGTTGACGTGAATACGCATTTCGCACCATGTGTGCGCGTATGATCGATGTGTCATAATAAAATAAGTCCGCGGCTGAGTTTTCTAATCACGTGACTTTTAAAGTACCTCGCGTGCATCCTACACTCGATTCGCGTATTCGAACCTCGGCGGGTCGACAACTCACTTGTCTTGTTTTCTGAAATTAGGAATCACATAGTCTGGAGAATCTGCTCCATTTAGCGGTGGTCGCTGTGGAATCTGGATGTAGCTCGGTTGCTGTACACCAGATCTGCGATATACGCCTGGTACTGGCAAGCTAAAAGCCTATCAGGGTATTAATGACCTAGTAAAGGCTGATTCGCAGTCTTTGTGTGTTCCAGCGCTCATGCTTCTGTGACGCTTCGCGAAGTGGAAGACTAGATTTGGTGCGCCCTTTGGCATGTCATGCTGCTCTATTCACCCTCAACATGGAAATTGCCGACCCAATAAATATTCTTGATATAGGCTTCCTTATGCCTTGCAGTGGCGTCTTCGCAATTGTCGCCCCCGTACTCTTACCCGCCCATTGTCTTGTGACTGTCTTCATCCGTCTTTTACTCAAAATTTTTCCTTCATTCTTTACTTTCGTCTCCTCCTCATTTCTTATTTCTCCCCTTTCTTCAACCTACGATGGGGGAACTGGAAACGGCTCAACATTTTATTTACATGTAGGCACCTTCTCTGACCAGAAACCGAATTCTGACGCGTTCTCTGCAGCACACAGGTCTACTTTTGCTGTAAGGACTCTGCTCATCGCAGAAAACGCTGTTTTTGCTGACCTCCCTCACCCCTGTCCTCCAGGCATGTGTATGTACTGAAAGAGATAGCCGCTCTTCATCGACAGTTACTCATCATTAATTTACAGATGCTGTAGTTGTCTGGGACTGGGCCATCAGCTTGCCTAGAGAGTGGCGTTTTGTACATTTTCATGATTGTCCATACCCCATTCCTGCTGACGAGCTCATCAAAGATCTGGAAGACTCACTGGACACCCGTTAAGACTGCGTATCTCTTCTGTCGGTAAGTCTGTATTTCCAGGCAATTTTTGAATACGAGTCACCGCTGCGCTCTTTAGTTACTGGGTTATGGCCGTCGTCCCGTATCTTTTATATGCTTTCGTCACCAATCACTCCGAAGCAGAGTGCCAGAAAATTTACAGGGTCAGTAAGGCGCATATATCCTACTTGTCGTCACTCACCCTTTACCATAAGATCCCTGTTGCATTGGCCATGTGGAACCAAGTCGGATCCGAGTGTCCGTCGTTTTTTTTACTGTTCTCTCACTTCCACATATTGATTTTCGGCCATATATGCTAGCTGTTCTGCTCATTCGTACTTACGCGTTTTTCAACCGTAATAACTACCTGCTGGCAACACTCCTATGTGCGCTAGCCGGTGTTGTTGGATATCAACTTTTTGTTGATACATCCGAAATGATGCGTATGTTCCTCAAATAAACTCGTCGTCGATTTCATTCTGACAAAGTTACCAGTTCTTCCGTTTGTCACTCCACCCTTTGTAGGTCACTCCTGTAACTCGAGAGAAAAATGTTAAAGCTGTTGATGTAGACGGAGGGACCATGTTTCCCCAGGTCTAAGCCTCATTCAGCTCACTTGCTTGGCGAGTTCTCATCCTCGGCTAACTTGTATGTCTCCTTACTAACTGAACATCCAGGTTTCTTCGTGAGTTTCGCTCTCGTCAACCTTGACTTGATCTACAACGTTTGCAGATTGCCCCACTTCTGTTCGACACGATCGTTACTGCCATTACTGTCTGGAAAGCATTTGCAATTCGCCGTCGCAGTGGCGGACCAAGTAGCAAACTCATTCAAACATTCCTTCGAGAAGGTCTGTCATATGTTTAACGCAATCAACCTGCTGACTCCAAAATCAGGTGTCTTCTACTATATTCTCATTTCTATCGCCAACTTGGTACAGTGGATTTTATTTCCAGATTTTCTCTCGTAAACTAATTCTTATTCTAGATCAATGGGATCTTCTACCTTCAGTCAGTAGCATGGTGATAGTGCGCACCATCGTTATTTATGTTTATTCACAGACCTCGTCAAGTAATATCTGCACTCAACATCCCCCTCAGCGTTATGATGGCGCCATTGTTGGCATGTCGTTTGGTACGCTGAATTGCCCATGTGTATTCAAAAGCATTCCTCATAAACATTTTTTAGATCCTCGATCTTCGCGAACGTGGCGCAGAGACCGTTTCCCATTCAGAAGGAACGGGCGTTAGCGCATTTGCAACAAAATCCGGTGTGACTAACTCCAACACTGGTCACCGCGGAAAGCCTGGCCGCGTTCGCCACCGCGGCCCGGGCTCGACGATCACTTCGAACGTTATGCTGAGTACGATAGGAAGCATTCAGCCCGATCTTGAGGCAGCGGAGGTGGAGCTTGACGAGATGCACTTTGAGCTCGGGATGTGCTATGCCGCTGGGGAGAGCACCCGCTCACTAGGTTCGGTGGAAAATGCTACACCAGCACCCGCCTACAACTCGATCGAGATGGGGTTTAACACTCGGCCAGGAAGTGCGACTGACGAAAGTGGAGCGGCTGGTATGTCGGGCGTCTCAGGGATAAGGATTGACATAGAGAAGACAACGTCCACCATCTGAGGACTATATCAAGATGAGCCGCACCAGCCGGCTCTGCACTTTTCCATTCCCCTTTCTGCACCGGATCACATTGTATTGATTCCAGTCTCATCGATATCCACGCAAAGGACGGTTCGTGCACTCTGCACTTGCATTCACTAGACTACGCCATGCTGTCGCTCGGAACCCGTGCAGCGCGTACATCGACGTTTAATTATGTACTTCTAGTTTCTCCCGGACTACAGGTTTTCAAGTACATAAAAACTCTTCGGGTTTCATACCTGCTTGTGCCGTCCCTGTTCTTTGATACTCTGTTCTGTCTATACCATGTATTTTTGTGAGCCACACGCGTCAGCTGGCGTAGGACTTTGTCTAAGCAACTTCAACCGGGCGGACCTGCAGTTAATTGCTGAGTCAGATTGCACCCGCTTTGCAGGTTCAAGCCCGTCGGGGCGGTCAAGAAAGCCTTAAATGCGTGTTATCCACCAGTTCTCCGCAGTTGTTGCTCCCATTCATGTATGACTTGTACAATGATGAGCAGGGTGCAATCATTCAATTTTCTTGACTTGCCTCAAGAGATAATCCTTCATATTCGTAAGTACTCAGCAATGTTGTCCTCGCTTAATATGTTAACAGGCACCTACATCGTCATGAATCGTAGTGTCGTTTCTGGATCTGCCTGACCTCGCAACTCTCTCTAAACTTCATGGATATCTCGCCCTTCTGTCATCTGACCCAGTGCTACATCTCATACGACTACGAGTAGTCGCGCCCTCACGCGTCAACCACTCCTTATTCGCGCGAAACCCTCACGGGATCCTACTCAGACCGACCATCATGGATCTTGTGCACAGGCATGTCATCCGCGGACATAATATCGAAAGGAGATTACGCATGGGCTTGTATATTTACACAGAACGTGTAAGAACATTCGCCAAGTGATAATAAACCGCTGACAATTATGCAGTCTGCGGATCAGTACGGCAGTGGCCTGCGGCTGCAACGCCAACGTACCGCTCTTATCATTTCGTCTCACCTTCGAAGACGCGCGCCTGCACCTGTTGTCCTCAAGTTGATGTATCACTCTCATATTCTGCCTGACGTCGAATCGTCCTTGCTCTCCGTTTCGCGGTCTTTGTTACCTGTGGTTAGACAGCTCAAGTGGTCCATTCAGCGCGATAAATTGGCCAATGAGGTGCGAGGCCTGAATGGTGGTGCCCTTGGATTGGGGAATGTAGCACTTCCTTTGACCGGAAGCTTGGGTAGTTGGATTGAGCTGAAAGGACAGAGTGTTGTAAGGGACTGTGAACGGGTACGCCTCGCGCTATGCCCGGATGTACGTAGGATGGTAAAGTTTTATGAAAGCTTGGGACACTGAATGTTGAACATCATCACTTACTTATCTCTGTCCCCTACATCTTTCATCCCATGTTTCCATACGGTCAACAGTATGTATTAGCAGTGACCGAACCTAATAGTATTGAATATGTATTCACAGCGCAGCAAAACTCTCATCTCAATATGCACTCCCGTCTAACCTTCACGTCCCTACGCCTGCGGTGCGTCTCCCGTCGTTGAATTCCACTCAGTCCCTGGCGGAACCTGCCAGTCTCCATGACATCCCCACGTCCAGTCTGTCTCCCGGATTATCTCCTGCTGAGCCTGGATGAATGCGGGGAGTGGGCACATTCCGTGCTTGTCATCATGCGGGCAAGTCCGAATCCCATGAAGGGGAACAACGCCATCATTGATGATGATCCGGATTTGAGGCGTCGGGGTAGATGCGCAGGAGAGGACTGGAAAACAGGTGTATGGGACGTGGAAATTTGTGGGAAGGGGAAAAAGTAGTTTAGCAACACTCCACGACATAAGAAATCAAAGATAGCTCACGTTGGAACTGCATGTTCGTCGCGAAGGGTGCGAGATCTGCGGAGCGGAACGAACGGTGTTTGGGAATATGGTCGGCAGGGAGAGGTCCGCTTGCTGCGAGCGTGCTCAGGTTGAGCGCTGCGATCACTACACGCCAGTAAACGATTAGTAATCATGTGTTGCGAGTACCATATCGCATGACATGATATGGAGGAACACGAACCATTGAGAACAACAACTTCATGCGTAGCGTCTACATATAGCGCATGGTCTAGCGGGAAAGTCTCTGGCGTGTGAAGCGTGGCGTTGGTGCTAGTGTTGTGAGTCGCGATTGGGGTATGGGTGAGTCGCGCGACGAGCTCTTGGATATATCCGACACCCTGGACGCGAGCAACAGGTGAGCCGAAAGCAGAGTCATACCTATGAGTGTTGAGGACATCGCGGTCCGAGCATACGGAGAGAAAATAAAGTACACGGTCAGCACACCTAGCCCGAACTATCACCCACAAACGCAAGCGCATGTACTCACCAGAAAGTCAAATCAAGCCTAATAATTACATATACCCGTCAGTCAGCGTATGGTCACCGCAAGATACAAAGGGAAGAAATAGGACGTACGCATAATTGAAGCCCTCCCACTCTTCTTCCGTGAAGAGATCGCAGAATTTGGAGTATCCGAGAGCAACAGTCTATCAATGATCCAGTCAGTTAAACAAACATCACGTTCTAGCATAAGTGGACGTACCTCATAGGCACACATCTGCATCATCTCATACACTTCCTCCCCGGTCCACTCGAACTCACCCTGCACACCGTCCTTTCCGATCATTGCCCTTGACAGTCTTTCCCGTGCTTCCGCGAGGTAGTGAGAAACCCATTCTCGGACGTAAGTCAGCGAGCGGTTCGCTTTGCCGTCAGCATTGGCATTCGGGCAAGTTTCGTAGGGTGCAAAGGTGTTGTTGAACTGGAAGATTGTGATCGGTGAGTAATGTGTTTCGGCGAAGGTGCAAGGAAGAAAACAACAAAGAATAGAACACAATGAGAAGTACCGGAAGAGGACAAGCGAATTGTTAACAGTATAAGGTAATGAGATAACGAAACCTCGTTGATATAAGTAAAACAATAACATCGAACAACTCACTCCTTTAGACTCGATCGTAATCAATTGTTGATACTGCCCTTCAAAAGGGTAGCCAAAGAACCCAATGGCAAAGTTAAGTGCCGAGGCGAGCATGCGGTCCCTGTGAATTTAATTGATTAGCTTACTAACGGAGAAGAGGGAAAAGACAACACAGGGCAAAGGAATCAACAGAATGGAGTATAATAAGTAGATAATGTTGCATTACTAAACCTGATAACAGTAAACCAGACCACTTACTGAGACTCTGTCCGGAACACAGGTATCGTATTCGTCTCCGTAAAGTTCTAGCATTTCCTCAATATTGTCACGTATTTTAGTACATGAGGAAAGCGGACAGACCTTGAGTAGGAACCCGTACTTGAGGCGCATAGATACGCCGAGGTCGTCTATATACGCACGATGAGAGCTTTTCAGGGGAGGAAACGATGGACGCACATAATTGTTGTCGGCCAAAGGGGGTGAGCACTTGAAATTGATGAGCAAATTGTTCCTGTACTTATTATGAAGCTCATACCTTCCTCGCCCAGTTTGTAGGTCCTATACGCACATATTCATGAGATACAAGGTCAAGGGGATGGAGCAGGACACCTTACCACTCATTCAAGAATGCTAGTTGCTCCGTTGCCTCCCATTGCGATGCACTCTGGTGTAGACGGGTAGCAAACTTGGCAGGACCTCCAAAATTCGCTGTTGACAGTAGTACATTACTATCAGTGTTGTGACGGAAGGAAGACACACACCCCAAGCGGTCGGATAACGGGCACCATGGCGGTGAAGGAGATGGAGCCCAGTAACAACACAGCCAGGAGGGGCCTCTGCGGTATCATCAACACCGAATGCTCCACGCGGGACGCTATACCATGGGGAGAGGTTGCCCCAGCTTCGGAAAAGGTTGAAAGGACGGTCGGATTTGTAGTGTTTGCGGGATTCTGTCTCTTCCTCTTCCACATCGTCGCCATGTGTAGAATGTAAGTGCTTGTGAATCTTTGGAGGTGCCACGAGCTGCGCTGCGCCGGTCTGGAGAGGGAGGGAGGGCGCGGTTGCAATGAGTGCGGGCTCGGCGCCAGTGGGAGTACCACCTGGATAACCAACGCTGCATGGTAGGTTAGTTCAGCCCAGGTGATTTAGAGGAAACGCACTTTGTTGGGAAGAGGTCAGGGAAAGCATTGGTGGGGGAAGCAGGCGGGAATTGGTGCACTTCCGTGGAACCAACGTACGGTGGAGCTTGCATCCTCACGTCGTCTCCCCGCGGAGGTGGTCCTGCGATGCCTGAGACATCGAGCAGGAAGCGTGCAGCAATGCACAAAGCTACACCCCCGACAAATGCACAGACAAGGTGCACAAGACTGTATCGCGTCGTGCTGGCAGTCGTGGGTGAGCCTGATTCTGAAGGCAGGAGTAATTCGCGTTCTGGCTCGAGCAACGCGTCGTCGTATGTGCCGTATTTTTCATTTGAGCCTGACTCGACGTCCTGCTTCGACCCCATCAATCTAGTACTACTCTGTTGGATAGTACTTAGTCTAGTAAGTAGTGAACGTCAGTGAACCGTGCGGAACCGTGAACCGAAAAGCAGCCGATAAAATCGCTTCTCGGCTAATATCTATCTGGCTAGGGGGAAACTATTTATCTGCTCAGGCTGCATATGCTGGTTTCACTATTTACCACACCATCCACTTTTTTATCCATGTCCTTAATTCTCGAAGTTTGCGTCGACTCTATCGAGTCTGCTTTGGCGTAAGTATGAATCTTTCCATTTAGATTGCAAGAGCAACTGGTTGCTGTTGGTCACTTAGAGCCGTTGAGGCTGGAGCAGATCGTCTTGAATTATGCGGCAATCTAGGTCTTGGAGGAGGAACCACCCCCAGCCTTGGGCTTTTGAAAGCTGTTCGAAAGGTGGCACCTACAATTCCGATCATGGTAGATCACCTTCCCGTGATTTGAGCTTGTACTTGCAACTGATGAATTTGCCCCATTAGATTATGATTAGACCTCGGACGGGTGACTTTGTATATACTGAGGCTGAATTCGAAGTGATGATCGAAGATATACGCTATTTTAGAGAGAATGGCGTCCAAGGCATCGTGTTCGGCGTTCTCACTCCCGAAGGAGATGTGGACATCACCCGTACTCAGCGGTAGACTTTCAATTTCGTTCCTGAAGCCCTAGAGCGCCAACGTTCATCCTAGTCTTGTCTTGGAAGCTTTGCCTTTGCAAGGTAATGTCAACCACTTATCATTCCATCGTTGTTTCAAAAACTCATTGACGTAGTCTGCTTCCATAGAGCATTTGATATGACTCGTGATGCGAGGAATGGTGAGGGAGTCCATCCGATCTTGGCTGCCCAGCGTACTGATCATCTATAGCATGGCACCAGTTGTCTAAAATTGATGGACTAACCCGGAATCCTGACGAGGCAAGCGTCACATTCAGGGTAGCAGCTAATTCTACGTTTCACACTTTTCCCCAAGTGGTCAGGGCATTGCCGTCACCTCGGCCAATTCTCTCGATGTCTTGAAGGATCTACTTGACCTTACGAATAACCAGGAGACACGCATCGAAATCCTTCCGGGATCTGGCATTAATTCATCTACTGTCGGTCCTTTATGCCAGGCATTGCTGCCCCATGGCCTGCGTGAAGTGCATATGAGCGGTGGACATTGGATCGATGGAGCTTCCATTTGGCGACGAGATGGAATGGGAATGGGCATCGGTGGAGTCGGTGAATGGGGAATTTGGAGGACAAACGCGAGCGCAGTCCGTGCAGTCAAAGACGTCATCAATTCCTTTAGCCACTCGGAAGCATGATCAATATGTTTCCCGAACAGCAATATTGTTTTGTGTTCTCTTCTACTCATTCGAGCTGATGCGGCGATCACGCAGGGTCAGACAGTCGCTTCTCCGCGGGATCCGCTGAGATTGCACGTGGGTTCAGGCGTGTTGCTCCAGCACATAGTACTGCCCATTAATATTGTCCTGTGACAATGATGTTATGTTTTGTTTTGTTTTATTCTCGTGCTGCAGTCGAAACGCTCACGAGTCAACGACAGTGTTGGTACAAAGCTTTGCGTGCTCAGCTATGAACGCTACTCTACTACTTCCTGGGCGTATAATGAGCGGGAAATCTGACCGGAAATGGGAATCTTCGTCCAGTCGACAACGTTTCTTCGGTGTAGTTTGCTCCGAGGTCAAGAAGGAGCCAACCCACCAGGCATATGATGAACTTATCTGGCAATTATAAGGTCCTTGAACCTTTGACTCGCTCCCGAAACCTCAACTACGTTCTCTAACAAGATGTCTCCATCACAACAACCTACTGTAAAAATATGGTGGAGTAACGCCACATTCTTTGTTTCTACTCACATTGCTGCAGTCATCTGCGTCTACCTGAGACCTCCTACGACAATTCCTCGAGAGACCTTGCTCATGGCATTCCTCCTCTGGCAACTGGCTGATTTTGGGTAAGCTTACTCCGTGCATCTGGCCTCGTAGAAACAAGCTCAGGATCGTCACCAAGAATCACCATTGGTTATCATAGGCTTTGGTCACATCGCACCTTCAGAGCCAATTTGTATGTGCGGGTAGTTTTGGCCGCTCTCGGGTCCAGTGCATTCCAAGGGTCAATCAAGGTGAGAGCCCGGCTCATTTTGGCAATGTGTTGATCATCTCAATCAACGAGCAGTGGTGGTGTGTCCATATAAAATTCGTAGTCATCATTTTGATGATATTAATGTATTTCAGGTGCCTCCGACATCGACTGCATCATGTGTGTCATTTCCTGAATTTATTGAACACCGGTCTGAATTCTATAGCGCTTCACGGATGATCTTCAGCACGACCCGTAAGTCGAATGTTCATGAGTTAACTTACGAGCAAGAGATTGATGATGCATTTGTAGATACGCAGCCACTCGTGGCTTGTTCTATTCTCACATGGGCTGGATCTTCTTCAAGCCTGTGTATGAGCGTGTCAAGTTAGTCGATCGCGAAGATCTAGACCGGGACCCTGGTAAGTTGTGCGTGCAAGTGTATCAGGTCAATCGATATACCATCCGCAGTTGTGAGGTTTCAGCACGAACACTATGGTCAAGTACTTCAGGCAGGAGATCGTGGATAACGTTTACTGAAATATGTCGCGTAGTTCCTCTCGCAATTGTTTTCGGGTACGCAGTTCCCGTAGGCCTTGGTTCTCTTTGGAGAGATCCAGTCGGTGCCTTCATATACGGTGGCCTAGTTACCAGGCTGGCTGGTAGGTAATGCACACTCAGTAGGAAAATAGTCTGATATCGTTGCAGTCTGGCACTGTACTTTCCTCGTGAACTCGTGCGACCTCTTTGTTTTCTTCGAGCGGGTTGACTGACCAGGGATTAGGCTAGCCCACTGGGATGGGCCACAACCATACTCAGACGAAGATACATCCAGGGGCAATATAGTGCGTGTGTCTCCTTGTTATATAAGTCCTTGTTGATTTTCTTAGGTTTTAGCTATTTTGACTGGCGGAGAGGGAAATCACAATTTCGTATGTACTCAAATACATAATCGCGTTTATGAAATGTTCTGATAGACCTTTAGCATGTATGCGCCCTGTCTTTATGGCCTAGCATATAACGTCCTAACAGTTGTCGATGCAGCACGCATTCCCTCATGACTATCGTTCTGGCCCTTCTCGACTGGATTGGGATCCTTCGAAATGGATCATTGCTGCTCTTCACTTTTTAGGACTCATACAGAGCGTTCGACGAGCCAGACCGGAAGACATCAACGAAGCTAGATTCTACATGCACCACAAGAATCATGGAATCATGGACAGTGGCAGTGACAACGACTGGTCTGGGGAGGAGTGGAATTGCGAGCAAGCCAGGACATACATCACTGGACGACCAGGCGCTTGCTTACTCGTCATCGATGGATTCCTCGTCGACGTGTCAGTATATCTTGGAGAACACGTGAGTGGTGAATCACGGTTTTATGAAGATGGATTGACATCAAACAACCTTGCAGCCAGGTGGAGCAGCGTTGCTTCGAGACTACTCAAGAATAAGCCTAGGTGACGACGGGAAGGAGACATGGAGAGATTCTTCGTGGGCTTTTGGAGGCGGGCTAAACAACCACGGACGCGCGGCGAAGCGCAAGATGGGCGAGTTACGAGTCGCAAAAATTAGCGACAACTTCTATTGTGCAATTAGAACTTAGTGTAATGGCGCATCACATCTATCCATGTGCACCGTAACCAATAGCTTGATTATTTGGCGTTTACATATGTCACTTCATCGCGATCCGCGACATGCCAGCAATCACGTGACCCCCAAAAGTCTGTTTTTGTCTTCGTTTGAGCATCCGGGACCGTACAGCAGAAATCTGCCGCAATTTCCTTCGGTATCCAGTATTTTTGGCCAGGACCAACGACAACGACTGTGAGACGATGATGAAGAGAGAGATTGGACATTTGTCGAATAATGACGCTGTGGATGGCTCTCGAACCAAGCGACAGAAACAAATTGCAGACCAAGCAGCAACAGACACCGCTACAGGAAATACGGAGAACGAAGACGCCCAGATGGATACTGGAGAAGGTAGCAGTTCCGGTGCAGCTGGATTGAAGGAGCAGGGAACAAAGTTGTGGCAGATGCTGAAGGACGTTGTCAATAAAGAGTGAGTAACAAACCCAACTTGAGCTCAGACACAATCACAGCCGCCTCAAACCATTTTCCTTTCTGATCTCGCTAACATTTATCACACAGAGGCTACATATGCTCTCCAGCGTTCATGCGCTTGCCCTCGAAGCGCCATTATCCAGATTATTATGTCTTCATTCAACAACCAATTTGCTTGGACGATATCAAGCAGAAAATAGATGATGGCTTATACAACTCTATCGATGACATCAGACAAGATTTCGACCTCTGCTTTTCAAACGCCAAGAAGTACAATCAGAAGAACAGTCGAATCTGGCTCGATGCCAAATTCATGCTGGTAAGGTCGCCCTTTGTCCTATGTTTCACTGGTGTTCACCCTTAGCAGAAATTCGTAAACAAGGAGTATACGAAGATGACGGGAAAGAAAGTCAAGAAGAATGGCGATGGAGACGACGACGAAGAGAAGCCTGGGGACGGTGCAGACGGCGAGAAGAAGAACAAACAGCCCAACTTAACTCGCCTCCTGAAAGCTAGATTGCAGAAGCTCGTCGACAAAGCTGACGATGAGACGTGAGTGCACCTTTCTTCTCGAATACAATTCGTTTTTGATCCAATTAATAGGCATCGTGTGCTCTCTAACGTTTTCATGGAGATGCCGTCGAAGAAGGACTATCCAATTTACTACAAGCAAATCAAACGTCCAATGTGCATAGAGACCATTTTTGTAAGCGCCACATGCTGTCACTTTGGAGCATGCGTTCACGATGTCACCAGAAACACCTGAAGCGCAAGGAATATCAAACCTCTCTAGAATTCGCAACTGATGTCGAGCTTGTATTCTCCAATGCTCTTGAGTTCAACCAAGACCACAGCCAGATTTGGGAGGATGCGATCATTCTCCGAGTAAGTGCCACGTACTCTGATCAGTATTCTTATCCATACATCAACAGGATTACTTCCGCCAACTCATGTCGGACCTACCAGAGCCGTACGCGCTATCACAGTACACAAAACCTTCAGCAAAGATCAAATTAAAAGTTCCGGGGGCAGCGGCAGCGGGTGCCCCCGCTGCAGGATCCTCTACGACTGTCACTTTTGTGTCAACCAAACCACAAGAGAAAGAGGGCGCTGGTGGAGGATCGCTGACGCTACGTCTTCCTGCAACTGGTGGAAATGCTAAGAGTCCAGCTCAATCCTCAATGTCTCAGCTGCCAGCCGGAGCTGGAGTGCCTGGTCTAACGCCTACGGCTGTTCAAGGCTCGAAACCTGTCACTGCACCTGCACCCAAACCCGCCACCACACCTCAACCGCTTGTTGCTGCAGCTTCTCCTGCTCAGCCCAGTACTCCTTTACCGACACCAGCGGTGCAAGCAGCACAAACAAAAGCCGCACCATCGCCACAAGTCACGACACAGCCATTGCAGTACCAACCAACGACCAATAAACCTCAGTATTATCCTAATGCCACCTATCACCAGTACACCCACCCAGCTCCAGCTCCTCCGACACCAGCTGCTGCAATACCATCTACGCAGCCAGCGCCTCAAGTAGCACTGACTCGAACATCTCAATCGGTTTCAAGATCGCCTGCACCTGCATTGGCTGGACATCGACCCCTCAAGGGTGTTTTCTTGATAACAAGGCCTCGTGGCAGACCCTTCTGGCTTGATCATCGGGATGGAGTCAAGTCCTGGGCAATGCGACTTGGTCAAGGCGAGAAATCGATATCTGTTGCAGAGATCAGATTCTTTGGAGATGATGATGAAACTGGAGATGAGGAAGGCGATGGGAACGATGAACACCCAGATGAGGAAGAGGAGGAGGAAGAGCCCAGTCCTAAGAAGCGTGGCCGTGGCCGTCCGCCCAAGAATCCGAAAGCGAAAGCCAAGGCAGCTGCACTAGCGAAGAAAGCTGAACAGAAGAAAGCTCAGAACGCGCCTACGCCTCAAGGGGAGAACATATTGATCAACCTTAACGGGACTGCTATGAACGAGAAGCTTGAAGAGGGCGTATGGAATATGGACCTTCAAGTTGGTGAGAATGTCTTGGAAGTTGGTGAGAAGAGTGGGCACATATGGAAAGTGTACTTGGAAAGAGTTTCCATCATATAGCGATTGTACTGGTCGACCTTCACTATAGATTCCAGGCTTTTTATTTACCTATATTCTATTAATCTCGCTTGTAATGCAATACACAGTCCGTTTCCCAAAGTCCTTAGTGAGCAGCATGATATAAAGTCCAATAGCCATCACCGTAATGCGAGAGGAACGTCATCGTCCGAGAATGTCCCAGCATCCCCGACCTCCGCAGATAGCTCATCTTTTTCTGTTTCGTTTTCTTCTTCCTCCTCGAAATCCTCCTCCTCAAAATCCTCGTCACCCTCTAGAGAGTGTTCAGGCTCATACACTTGGTATCGACCAGCCTCATTGATCTGGCTCTGCACGTATTCTTGAAACATCTGTTCCCGATTTACGGGGCGCGCCTCGTACCCCTCCGAGCCCCGACGCGTCTTGACGGCTCCAGAGTATCCATCTTCTGAATACCCCGCATCACTATCAGGAGAATATGGTCGTTCAGGATAGGCATCGACTCCAGGATCCTGGTAATCTGGGTGGTACGGTGGCAAAGCAGAAACAGGATCTTTATGCCGGTTGCCGTTGACAGCACGTAGCTTACCACTTGACGGTAGCAGATTGGGATTGACATCGCCGTTTTCGTATGTCCATGGACTATCGGGAAGCTTGAATAGGTTGCTGATTGGTCAAAGTGGGGTCTCGAGGAGGCCAACTATAATGTTCTATATCAACAGATCAGTCAGTGGAGCGCCATATCGAGCATGGTGAAGCAGCTGCGAAGAGCGTACTGACACGACAGAATGAGGACATGAGAGGGAAATGACAGCTATAAGATGCAGCAGTCATGGTTCCAACGCGTGCACTCTCCTTCGGCGACTCTGTGCTGCAGCGTGTTCATTCCACTCACCATCAGCAACTGAAAGCTGGTATCTAAGCCCAGTTCCAGGAGGGACGGTTGGAAAACACCACAAGAGTGGATTGTTTCCGAGGATTGAGGCAATATTACGCCTAACGCCGAGATTCTGCACTTACATCAGTAATTCGTTGGTTACCGTGAAGTAAATACTTGCATATGGGAACTTAACCTGTGGGTGACACAGTTAGTTACTTCGCCCTAACTTGCTTGGAGAACAGGTTTACCTCTTCGATCTTGCCGTGTCGTCGTAGCATCGCAGCTTTATCTTTCTCCCAGCCTTCAATAGTCGTGGTATTACCCAATAGACTAAGGAAAGTGATAAAGACTGTAAAGTCACTGAGCAAACGATAATTTTGCACGCAAAGTAGCATGTAATACCTGAAGGCTCCAACTACAAGGATCACGGGGACAACGAAAACATAGTTCAATATGATGAAGATCAGATCAGCGCCCGTTGGCTCGTCCTGATTTGCTTTATGTTCAGATACAGGTTCAATACCTTGGGAGACAACTCACATAGTACCGTCTTCCAGATGAGGCCATGACTCTGCATGAGACCATAGCCAGATGATACGAGCAAGTAACATCCACGTAAAAGAGAAAACGAATAAAGTGTCCATAATTGAAATGGCCGATGCAGTTATTCACCCAAGGACAGTGGTGGTCTGCGACAGTCAAAATGCGATAAAAATGATTTCTGAAGACGCATACCCATTCTCAGTACACAACTATCACACAGTCAGCATCGCAGTATTGTACTGACAACTCCTACTCACCGGTTACACTGTCGGCAATGATGAGACCTTGGAGGTTTGTACTTTTCGCAGGTACGGCAGTAGCGAGGGCGACCCGTCAGCCTTTTAACCTCGTACCCTTCGCCTGATTGCGTGTCCGGTTTCTGTGAGACAGTGTCATCAACTAGAGTGGCTGCAGCTGATTCAGAGCCTTAGACGTACCCAACCATCCGGAACATGCCCGGGATCGGTGAATATACACAGGTAGTAGTTCCAGAGTAGCATCCCAGCGAGACCACTATGCAAGCATAAATGGCAAATCTCTCCGGAATAAATGAAGCTCACTTGAATGGCACAAGGAGAGTTATAAGCTCTACGGATAGCTCACGGCCATACCAGGGCCATATAATGAAGATCTGGCAAGTTAAGATGGGGAAAAGGATGAGAAATAGCACGAAGCCAATGGTAATGCGCCCCAAGATGGGGTGCATGTCTAGGTCAAACGAGAACGGGGTGAGACGAAGTGTAGCCTATCACTGCCAGAAACTTGGTCGTGGGTTCTTCAAGGGCAGGGTGAATCCGAGAAAGGAAATTTACTGCAGTCGTTGCTTTCACTGAATTCACGAATTTTATTCTGCTATATCATGCAGCGCTCAAGGGCTCTTGTTGGGCTCTGGATTCCAGGGCGCTGCAACAAGCAGGGAACTCGGTTCTCTCTCCACGAAAAGTCCATTCGCGTCCTTTATCTCAGATGTTAAGGTTCCAGAGTCAGTTGCAACTTCCGTAGGAGAAACGCGTCGGAGTGCCCCAAGACTCAGTTCATTGGGAGACATTGAAATTCGTGCGTAACGTTACTCTGTTCGCGATATGTGGCCTTAAACCGCAGTTATAGCCTCTAGCATTCCCTCATCAACCACTTCTCTGTTTGCTGCACGTGCTGCTCAGAGGCAGAAGAGGCTACAGGCTGAACAGGCTGAAGCTGCGCCCAAACAGACGGAAACTAAAGTTGCAGACAAGCCGAAGCCGGCATCACCTGCTCCAGGCTCGCTGCTATCTAGAAGGTCTCAGAGACCCCCGCAAGACGAGGAGAAACGTTCCAATGATGGACCCTCGAACCCGCAGACCGCTGCGCACCCTCGTCCAAGACGGCCCCTTCCAACGGGTACTAAGTCAACACCAGCAGAAACTCGCACAGACCGACGGAGGGAAGTCTCAAGAGCTCCAAGGCCAAATCGTGTCGTTAAGCCCACCTCGCCCGTCGAGGATCTCAATCAGGCGGGCACAGCCATTTCGCCAGCATTGCATGTCAGCTTCAACAACACTGACTTGTCGGAATTGTTCAGTTCGCCGACCGCCATTCCTTATGTTGCTCAGCCATCAGTTGCCCAGTCACGCATTGACTCTCGGATGCAACTCTTGAAAGAACGCGCCGGCGATTACTCGCGATATCTTTCGGGCAAGATTGACTCTACAACACAGACGCCAGGGTCAGTGGATTATGCGAAGATGATTTTGGGTCGGAGGAGAGAAGTTGGATTGAAGCCGAGGCGTACCGCCTTGGAGCTCATGCAGCAAGCAGGAGTCGATTCCTCGTCAGGTATGCAAGACTTGACTACGCTCGCAGCAGAACCTAATCACAAATTGGCAGTTTCTGCAACTTCGTCATGACTTTGATCAGTCTGTTTGTCTTAATGAAATTTTGTTTCATCGAAGCGAGAAAATATGGCCACTACTAAATACATGCCGGGAACAAAAATAACCATAAGTTACACCAGAAAACAGTCAGTTATATATAACACCAGAGTGCATGAGGGTATAATTAAAAGGCGCTAAAGATCAAACAAGCGCAGCACTATTCATCTCAGGCTGTTCTTCAGCGACAACAGCAGTATCTGGTGTGTGAGCCACAGATTCCGTATACTCGGGTTCGGCAGGGAGTATCCACTCAGGAAGCTCGAAGTCCCTAAGTTCCTCTATTTCTTGTGGTACTTTTGCACCAAACGCAGTTACATGTCTATGCGTTTTACGAGCCGATGGCGCAGAGGAGGCGCGGATAGCAGCCTGCATGAGCACGCATGGTTCTGGTTTGGGTGCTGGTGCGGAGTGCGAAGGTCGGGGTGCATGTTCTGGAGTAGAGTGTGGAGAGTATGATTCATCGAGGCGTGACGCTTTAGCGCGCTTGCGCGGTCGTTCGGATTCGACGGACTCTGTATCCGAAGAGGCTCTGGATATTTGTTTCGCTGGAGACGCTCTGGATACCGATTTGGGTGGTGAAGAAGATAATGGACGAGTTGGGGGCTTGGGTGGTGCTGGAGTGCTGGATACTGATGGGGAAAAGCTTGACTGTTTTGGCACCTTGATTTTCAATACAAGTGATGTGTTGGCCTTGGTAGGTAAGGTGGTCGCAGAAGCCCAGCCATTAACGATTGGCTCCTCTTGCGGCCGGACGTCCGATGGAGGAGGGATATTGACACTGCTCTGCCTGCTCGCCTTCTTCTGATCAAAATAGCTCTTCTTGTCCGACGGTAGCAGGGTGCGATACCGGTCCTCCAAAATAGAAGCCACCTCAAGCATCTCCTGCCGTCGCCTCTCCCCCTCATTGCAAATGGTTGCACCGTCAAGGTGAGCTCCAGCAAGGTCCGCGTCTTCGTCGTCTTCAACCTGAACTTCCTCAGACGGCAAGGGGAAGGATGTGGCAGGCAATCCGAGGAACGCACTTCCATCCATCGCCTTCAGCTGTTCTATCCTCTCCTTGAGCTTATACTGCTCGTGCTTCAGCTTCTCCTTCTCACGGAGACGCTGACGCTTTTCAAACGTTTCGTACTTCCGATGACGCTTTTCATACACAGCGTCAGAGGTGTCTGCCGACTCAGGGAGCTACGTAGAGACAATTTCTGATATGAGCTTGTGCCAAAATTTAAGACCCGTTCAACGCACCTCCGCGGAAATTCTTGGTCTGAATCTAGCCCCAACGCTAGCATCTGCCGACAAACTAGTGAATTCTGGTGTTTGTATAATTTGTTGTTCTCGATAAGCTTGAATAACATCTGGCCTGTCGAAATACCGTTGGTTTGCATGACTATTGAGTCCGAAGTCGGTGGAGGACGAGGGTTGGGATATGAGGGTAGAATTTGTGGTCAATAAGAACTGTGTATTCGCCGGAATGAGCGGTTCATTTTCGACTGCGGTAAAGAGATCAGTATATGAACTACTTAGAGCCAAAAGTGCAACGAACATCGTCGTCTCTGCGCGTCCAATATCATGAGGTCAACATCACAGCTTCCTATTCCAGGACCACCACGACGAGAACGCGAGGGTAGTACACGTTTCTGTCTAGATTTTAGGCTTGAAAATTCGGATGAATCTGCCATAAGAAATCGTCCGACGTGTCCTAACTCCTAGAAGTCGCCAGTTCGAGAATGAGGAGGTAAGGACACGGTACAAGTGCTAGTGTTGACAGACTTCTAGACTGAGTCTGCCTACTAGTAATGTCGGTACCAAATGTTCCCTTGCAACTCTTACGGTAGATTTGTGAAGAAATTGACGAGAATGGACATCAACGGAACTTGACAGTACTTTTATTACGCGTTTCCTACAAGCTAATTGTCTCATTTTCCTACTACGCGTGCTTCAGACTTATATGTCGGAATTTCCAGCCATCCTCCATTAGTGCTGCTACGGCCTCGTCAACCTTCCCTCTGGGGATCAGAACGTAATCGGTATTCCTGTGATGGGATAAGCTTCACACAAGACCGTCTGCTGCAAGCGCTAACCATGTCGACATTGCGAATACCGGGACATTAGCATTTTTAAGCGGCGTCGTGAAACCACAGATTACACCAGTCATCCCTGTCAGAATGGAAGTTTAGTCTATTTTTTTATCACCAGCAAATTTAGAGAAGATACCAAATTCCATGGGACCTGCTATCTTGATGCATTTCCATTCCCCATCTTCGCCAATAGCTTCACCAACAATAGAAATCTCTTCTCTTGTTCTGGTGATCGAGAAGATGCTTGGATTGTCTTGTGCAGCATTGAGCCCGCTCACGATTGCTACTGGGACGCCTGCATCAACTGGAAGTTGCTTAACGAAGAAGGTCTGATCTAGCAACTCTAATTCTAGACATGGGTGATTGAGGGGTGGAGGCATGTTATCACTAGATACCAATACCGGGATGGAAGTTCTAATGATCAAGAAGCTATGTACAATTATAGACGTTGGTGCAAACGTCCCTATACTGTTAGTCGCTAGTGAACTCTTCCTTTATCGATATCATCCTTCTTTGGGAGGGTACTTGATACCGCTTGAGGGGCAGGAGGAATTCTTAGGGGTGTCTGGAAGTACGTTAATCATAATTTGCCACTGATACATGCAACGTACCAATCGCGATGAAATCGCCATCTATAACAGAGCCCTTGAGATTGAAGTACCAGCTGATCGAGTTCAGTGTGCTCCCGGAACAGCCCAAAGCCGGTGTGTACTAAAACAAAAAAAGTTACGAGGAAGCATTTTGGAACAAAGTGTACAACTTACCCCTCCGGAGGCAGCTTCGAGAGCCGATAGCAAGGACGAAAGCGTGTAAGTCTCGCTCGATGACGGAGTGATGCCCGCATCAGCAAGCCAGTCATACGTGGGCAGGGTCTGGAAGAGGTTCACAACAGTCTCGAAGAATGCCACGGCCTTGCGTAATAATAGCGTTCAGGGCAAATAACTTGTTCCATAGATAACCTACTTACCTCGGCACCCACAGGGCTGTTGCTGGAAAGGCAATCGACATCTAGTGTGCTTCAAAAAGGTCAACATGAATATGCATCAGAATTCTGGAACCTGTACCTGTAGCATGTGCCGTGCGTAGCCCACTCGTGCTACAGTGTCGATGAGTAATCGAATCGAACGGAAGCTCTGAGTCTTACGTACCTCCCAGAGTTCTTCATCATTTCCGTTATAGTTTAACCAATACTGTTGCATGTAGTCCAACGTAGAACTTGCACCCTGGGATTCGAGTAACTGTGTGGAGATCAGCTGGGCCGTCTTGGTATCGAAGGGAGCGAGCTGACCCCAGTGATATTCGTGTAATCACGAGAGGGATCACAGTTCTCAACGTAACTGCCATCGCAGCTAGGATGTATTAAAACCTTGTGCCCTATTAATATAGTCTGACTACTATGACTTACTTATCAGACCAAAGACCTAAATATCTCAAGTCAGAACAAGATCAGAATGCCCTCAATCCAAAATTGCACACCATGAATGGTCCAGCTATCCGCTGGACTGCCAGCGACATCTGTGTCCCAAAACTGAGAGACAAGTTATAATCGGTTCCACTCGCACAAACCAGCTGAACCGAACCTGCGTCTGGAGGATCAGGCCCTGGAGGTAGTTAGGGCAAATTGTTACTAACTGAGATGAGGAGACAGACGTACTCCAGGAGTCTCATAACAGCAGGTGTTAGTAGACGTACCCGTACTCTGGCACGATGCGGGACCGGAAGTCCCGCAGCCTGAACTGCTAGAGTACTTCGAGTTAACATAGGAAGACCCGAGGAGGGATGGCAGAACAAGCGATGACATGAACATTGCAGACAGGGAGGGAGAGGACTACAGCTGCCTGACAGATTTCGGCTTCAGGCTGTCTGTATTTATACGTCATGGAGGGGAGCTCCGGGAGCAGCTTTGACCGGTGCTATGCCTGACGTGTTTTACGAGACACTAGAATGGAAGACCTGGCTAGAACATCAATTCCTCGCGACAGATGAAACACGTTTTGAAAAATCATGAGGTTGCACAAAGCAAGCACAAGATTTAACAAAGTACACACATGGCTTGTGCCAAGAATGGAAAAACTATAGACAGATGAATCTGCCGAACACTCCAAACGACTTCGGAACCAAAAAGACGTACCTTCAAATATTTTCCGTAATATTCTATGTACACCAGGATCGGCGAACTCTTTGTTGTGGTCCGAAAGAAGTAGTAGCAAGCAAGCCCCAACAGTTCTCGGGAGTCGTGATTGCACCCGTGTGGTTTTAAAGGATATTAATCGGTCATTGACTACAGATCGTGCTTTACATTGACGTGACGGTGTAGTTGGCGCATTGATGCCGGTAACTAATGCCTGTTTACTGTACACCGACAGACTCGGTTGTTGCAACAGGTATGAATTTCGGTGAGAGTAGAACACCATGGACAAGTATTCAATTGAAGGAACCTGCCAAACAAGGTTGAACCTACTAGATAGGGGTGTACGTATCGCTCTCTGCGTTTTCAGACTCCTGTCCATGCACCAACCATTGATTCGTCCAGGGTTGAGAAGGCTGTGGCACCTGATAAGAGTTGAACTGAGCCTCCTGTTGGAATCCGAGACGACCGAAGAGCAGGCACAAGATGATGAGTAGAAGGTCCGAGCGCAACCAGTAGAAGGTCCGAGCACAGAGGCACGGACCAGGAACGAAGGATGAGTGACGTCGGCCCCGAACCTAGTGATAATCTTTGTTTCATTCTAATATTCCAGATAAGAGAATAACCTACAGTATAAAGTTTAGCGTACCCGCAGACGAGCGTCTCAGTTCTATTCCAGAGACTGAGACGTGAGTTTCTATACCTTACAGTTGTCTTAACCAAAGCTAACGAAACGTAGTAGTCTTACTTATTAGGTACACGTCTCGTCAATGCAGAGTTCTATTCCAGAGACTGAGACTAGTCTTACTTATTAGTTCTTGCTCCGCTCCCGCTCGCCTGTAATAACCACACCTCCTGACTCTCAAACCATGCAGGAGGACCGTGTGCGTGCGCGTTGAATCCAAATGCGGTCGCAAATCGAGGATTGATGTGTGGTTGCACGGATTGTGGTTGTTGTTGTCCAAAGGAGTGACCTTAAAAACCACCTGGCTGATAACCCCACGTTGGTGAAGGCGAGAAAGACTGTGAAGGAGAATATCCAGGGATTCCGCGAGCCCGCTCACGATTGTTGCTGGGACGCCTGCATCAACTGGAAGTTGCTTAACAAAGAAGGTCTGATCTAGCAGCTCTAATTCTAGACATGGGTGATTGAGAGGTGGAGGCATGTTATCACTAGATACCAATACTGGGATGGAAGTTCTAACGGTCAAGAAACTATGTACAATTATAGACGTTGGTGCAAACTATACTGTTAGTCGCTAGTGAACTCTTCCTTTATCGATATCATCCTTCTTTGGGAAGGTACTTGATACCCCTCGAGGGGCAGGAAGAACGCTTAGGGGTGTCTGGAAGTACGTTAATCACGATTTGCCAGTGATACATGCAACGTACCAATCGGGATGAAATCGCCATCGATGACAGAGCCCTTGAGATTGAAGTACCAGCTGATTGAGCTCAGTTTGTGCGAGGAACATCCCAAAGCTGGAGTGAACTTGAAAAAAAAACGTTACGAGGAAGTATATTGGAGCAAACTATACAACTTACTCCAGAGGCAGCTTTGAGAGCCGACTGCAAGGATGATAGTGTGTAAGTCTCGCTCGACGACGGAGTGATGCCTGCATCAGCAAGCCAGTCATACGTGGGTAGGGTCTTGAAGAGCTCCACAACAGTCCCGAAGAATGCCACAGCCTTGCATAATAATAGCGGTAAAGGCAAATACCCTGTTCCATAGACAACCTACTTACCTCGGCACCCACAGGGCTATTGCTGGGAAGGCAATCGACATTCAGTGTGCTAAAAAAAGGTCAAAATGAATATGCATCAAAATTCTGTAGCCTGTACCTGTAGCATGTGCCGTGCGTAGCCCACTCGTGCTATAGTGTCAATGAGCAATCAAATCCAATGAAAGCGCCGAGTCTCACGTACCTCCCAGAATTCTTCATCAGTTCCGTCATCGTTTAGCCAATACTGTTGCATATAGTCCAATGTAGAGGTTGCACCCTGGGAATTGAGTAGCTGTGCGGAGATCAGTTAGGACGTCTTGATATAGGGGGGAACGAGCTACCCCGGTGATATTCGTGTAATCACGAGAGGGATCACATTTTTCGATGTAACTGCCGTCGCAGCTAAGATGTATTAAAACCCCTGTGCCCTATTCGTGTGGCTGATATGACTTACTTATCAGGCCAAAGACCTGATTTTTTCGAGTCAGAGAACAGGGTCAGAACGCCATCGATCCAAAATTACACACCATGAATGGTCCAGCTGTCCGTTGGACTGCCAGCGACATCTGTATCCCAAACCTGAAAGAGAAGTTATTCTCAGCTCCACTTGCACAAACAAGTTGAATCAGACCTGCGTCTGGAGGATCAGGCCCTGGGATTGGTTAGGGAAAGTTGTCGCTAGCTAAGATTAGAAGACAGACGTACTCCAGGAGTCTCATAACAGCAGGTGTTGATTGGCGCATTCGTATTCTGGCACGATATGGGACCGGAAGTCCCGCAGCCCGAGCTGCCAAGGCTCTGGAAGAAGTACGTTGGGTTAACGTAGGATGAGCCGAGGAGGGATGACAGAACAAGTGATGACAACGACATCGCAAATAAGGAGGAAGAGGGCTACAGCCGCCTGAGAGGCTTCAACTCCAGACTGTCTGTATATTTATGCGTCATGAAGGGAAACTCCGGGAGCAGCATTAGCCAGTGTCAGGTCTGTCATGTTTTACAAGATACTAGAAGGGAAGGCCTAGAACATCAATTCCTCGTGACATGTGAAGCACGACGTGAGAAATCATGCTGTTGCACTGTGAGCCAGAAGGAAGCACAGACAAAGTACACATACGCCTTAGGCCGAGGATGGGAAAAATCGGCAGATGCGGCGTCATTTACTACAGATCGTGCGCATGTGCTTTACATTGATGTGACCGTGTGAGGTGGTTGACACGCATCGATCCTAGCAACTAATACCTGTACGATGATACCCCTCAGTTGTGACAAATTTACAGTAAACCGACAGAGTCGGTTCTTGCGACATGTACGAATTTCGTTGAGAGTGGAACACCATGGACAAGTATTCAATTGAAGGAACCTACTAGATAGGGGTGTACGTATCGCTCTCTGCGTTTTCAGACTCTTGTCCATGCACCAACCATTGATTCGTCCAGGGTTGAGAAGGGTGTGGCACCTGATACGAGTTGAACTGAGCCTCCTGGCTCCCAAACCATGCAGGAGGACCGTGTGCGTGCGCGTTGAATCCAAATGCGGTCGCAAATCGAGGATTGATGTGTGGTTGCACGGATTGTTGTTGTTGTCCAAAGGAGTGACCTTGAAAACCACCTGGCTGATAACCCCACGTCGGTGAAGGCGAGAAAGACTGTGAAGGAGAATATCCAGGGATTCCGACCGGTTGAATGGAGGCGTCAGATGTCGGTGATAAAGTGCTTGAATTGTACGGCTCCACTGAGGGAGCGGTAGGGCTTTGTTGAGACCACCTTGGAGGCTCTCCCCACGAACGTCGCCCTCGGTCTGGCCGCCCGCGCCCACGACCCCTTCCACGATCGCGAGCTCCTCCACCTCTATCATGGCCTCTTCCACGCCCCCGACCCCGTCCTCTGCTGTCTCCAAAGCTTCTCTCGGATTCCCTACCAGATGGGCGAGTCTCTGTGGAAGGGCCGTTCATGTCTTCTTCATACTTCACAACGTCCACTTTGACCTCATCGGCATACGGATCGTCGTATGGGATGGGCGCTGGACGCGACGGCCCGGCGACCCGGTACCCGTCGTCATACGGGCCGTGGGCGTCATATGGATTCGCCCCATAGAAAATTTTATCAATATCATCGTTGTTGTAGTGGGGCTGTGGCGGCACAGGTGTTGTCTGTCGAGACGATGACACAGATACGCCACGTCTGCAGAGAATGAATGAGAATGGGAATATTTCCGAGTGGATGCACATACTTTTTCTTGCGCGCCTGCTTGAACGCGGCTTCTTGTTCGTCATCCGAGAACTCCATTTCATCTTCACCGGGCTCCTCATCGTGAACGTTACTTGCGTCACTCCCCCGAAGCTTTTTAAGATATTCCATGAAGACGAAATTACTTTGTTGCGGTATATGGTAAACTTCGCGAGCGACGCGAATCTTCTCGGTGTCCAGCGGGTAGCTCTGGTTGAATTTTATCTGATACAAGGGCTGGGAAGTGGGCCCGAACGTTTCATATACCTGCATGAGGTCAGCAGAGGTATCCTGAGAACAGAAAATACGCACATGTCCGAGAACTTTTCGATCGTCGAAGACAAGTAATGTCTCGGTATCTAGCGCCTTTTCAGACGCAGCTCTGGAGGAGTCAGCAGGAAGGCCCTTCACAATTACTACATTCCCAACAATGTTCATCACCTCGCCAACCTTTTCCAGCACTTCTTCGGGTCCGACTTCTGATATGGAAGGGACAATAATGTCTGTTTCGACAACCTCATTTTTGGTCTGTACATATGATGTAGCAGCTGTAGCGCCTGATTCCTCGTCATCGTCCACATCAATCTGTGGTTTTCGAGGGTTCAGCGCATTTTTATCTCCTGCTTTTTCAGCAGGTTCATCCTCATCTGACTCAGAATCTGAGTCCGAGGATGAGTCTGAGCTTGAGTCTGACTCTGGTGATCCTGGCCTGACAATAGTCTCAAGATATCAGCTAACAAACAGTGTGAAAGGACTCACATAACAGGTGTAAGGTTGGAAGATTCCTCATCTGGAACCATTAAATCGGCTTCAACCTCATCCTCACTGTCAATTTCGCTGGACGAGCTTGCGATGGAATCATCGCTCGAGTCTGCGGACTCTTGGACATCCTTCGGGACATCTGCTTTTAGTGAAGGGATAGCTCCGACAATGTCTCGAATAAGGAGTAAATCCTGGGGGATGGTCTCGGGAACTTTGAACCGAAAATCCATGACGGCGCGAGAAAGAAACGGGTAGCAGTTTCTATCAATGCGCCGACGATATGACCCAAAAAAAGGAATTTTAGCGTCACGTGAGCGTTCCTAGTCGCGCGCGTCACACAAAAATTTGCTCGCTCATCCTTTCACGATGATAGCCCAATTGCTTCGCTCGTCGAAACGGCCTCATGCGCTGACGTTCTCGCGCTTTTGCCAGTCGCATTATTCTACAGCTCCATCCAAGCCCTCCCTGCAGCATGTCGCGCAGCTGCGCAAACTCACGGAGGTCTCAATCTCAAAAGCACGAGAAGCTCTTAGTCAAACCAACAACGACATACAAAACGCCCTTGAATGGCTGAAGAATGATCTTACAGCGTCAGGCATAAAAAAGGCGGCGAATGTCCAGGCTCGGGAGGCCCGGGAAGGGCTTGTTAGTATGTGTATACTCTCTGGGGGGAGCAGGGGGAAAACAGCCTTGGGTAGCGGTGGTATTCGGGCAGCCATGGTTGAATTGAACTGCGAAACAGATTTTGTTGGAAGAAACGCGCTGTTCTGCCAACTGGCAGCGGATATAGCTCATACCGCTGCATTTATCACGGATCCAACTGACTCTCCAACTCTCATCAGATCCTGTTCGCTGGACGTTCTGAACGATGCCCCCCTGTTGTCTCAAAACAACCTCCAATCTCATTCGTCATCTACGGTGTCGAGCTCTATTAGAGACCTCATTGCCAAAGTGGGCGAGAAGGTTTCCCTGAAGAGAGTTGTGACGATCGTGCAAAGCCCATTTTCGGGACAGTCTCCCAATCTTGGTCTGCGTCTCGCGTCCTATCTGCACGGATCTGTGGGCTCCGCTCCTCAAGGTCGCATCGGGTCCTTGGCTGTGCTCGCTCTGAAGTCTCCAGAGCTTGCACGCCGCCTTGAGAACGAGACCTTCGTCAAAGATCTTGAACGCCTCGAGCGTGCACTTGCACGACAAATCGCTGGCTTTGATACTCGCTCGATCAAGTCGTCGGACAGTGACGAGACGGCGCTGTACAACCAACCTTTCATGATGCCTGGAGGGGAGAGTGTAAATGAGCCAGTGCGGATTGCCCTAGAGAACTGGAGTAAACGACAAGGTCTTGTCAGGGATGGAGAGGAAGGAGGTATTGAAGTCCTGGAGTTCGCCAAGTGGAGTGTAGGTGATATCGTTGGATAGATTCATTTATCCTACTCGGACTGCCAGATACCAGCACATGAGTATGCACACATTGTCAATACTTGGTTCATTACTTTTTGCGTCCTATCACAAGACTCCATAGCTCAGTGGTAGAGCATACGATTGCAGATCGTGCGGTCCCGTGTTCGAACCACGGTGGGGTCTTCTTTTTGGTAGGTTGTCTTTTACGTAATTATGGTGGCTATATTCGCTTGTTGAGCATTCTCAGCTATTCTCAGCTCTTGACTTTACTCATCATGCGGAGAGCAACAACGTCGCTCGTCCGTCGTAGCCAACGACAATTTTCACAAGCAGTGCAACCTCCATTGCAGATCACTACTCTGCCAAATAAAATCAGAGTTGCTACTGAGTCAACCCCCGGTCATTTTTCATCTGTTGGACTCTATGTAGATGCAGGCTCCAGGTATGAAGACTCGTCGACCTCGGGCGTTAGCCACTTTCTGGACAGGATGGCCTTCAAGGTGCGTAGCTTTACGCGATATTAATACCAGGTTAACATTTCTCGGTATTGCTCAGACCACCAGCTCGCGCTCTACAGAAGATATGGCGACCGCAATAGACAAGCTAGGCGGCCAAATCATGTGCTCTTCATCACGCGAGTCCATCATGTACCAATCTTCCAACTTCGACCAAGCCACGCCTCTCGCCCTTTCACTCATATCAGACACCATCCTCAATTCGACATTCCTACCCGATGAACTCGACGCCCAGAGAGATGCCGCTCGTTATGAGATCCGAGAAATTAGTCAGAAGCCCGAGATGATTCTGCCAGAGGTCTTGCATGAGGTTGCATACGGTAGGAAAACACTTGGGAATCCCCTCCTATGCCCGGAAGAGCGAATAGACGCAATTACTGGAGACCTACTTCGGGACTGTATTACAAACTGGTACCGTCCGGAGAGGATGGTGATTGCTGGTGCTGGGATGCAGCACGAACGGCTAGTAGAGTTGGCTGATAAATATTTCTCATCCCTCAAGTTTACGCCAGTGCCATCGGTTTCATCACTTCAACCGTCAGCTACTCAAAATCTACCACCCCACTTACTTCCCTCGTCTTCTCCCTCGCTCTACAAATCATTAACTCGTGCTGCATCAACATATCTGTACCCTACGTCCCTTTCCACCGAGCCACCGCCTCCTCCACTGAACCCTCAATCCAATTACGTGGGTGGCGTTCGTCACATCCCGAGCACGACAGAGTTCGATCAACTCTACCTAGCCTTTGAGGGTGTGGGTATTCACGATGATGATATCTATGCCCTTGCCACAATGCAAGTACTCCTTGGAGGCGGTGGAAGTTTCTCAGCTGGTGAGTATCTACGGTTTTCCTATGTCGCACGCTTTACTTAACCTCTTGCAGGTGGTCCTGGCAAGGGCATGTACTCTCGACTATACACACACATCCTGAATCACTACACCCAAATCGACCACTGCGCTTCCTTCCATCACATTTATACGGATTCCTCGCTTTTCGGCCTTTTTGCCTCATTCGTCCCCAATGCTCCTGGCCAGAGAGGCAATACTCCTGCACAAATTCTGCCCCACCTAGTCAATCAGCTCAGCCTGCTTATATATCAGTCTGTACCCAAAGTTGAGCTTGAACGTGCCAAGAATCAGCTCAAATCGAGCCTGATGATGGCTCTCGAGAGTCGAGCAGTAGAAGTAGAGGATCTCGGCCGACAGGTATGACATGTTTTTTTTAATAAAAATGCCCCCACACTCACGTCTTGTCCCAGTTACTTGTTCACGGTCGGAAGATCCCCATCACTGATATGACTGAGGCTATAGACAAGGTAACTCCTGACTGTGTGCGGCGCGTCGCTACTAGACTATTTGCACCCTCGTCTGGAAACAAAGCCACAATTTTGACGATGGGTCGCGGGGACATGGGAGATTGGAAGGCGACACTTCGAAAATATGGTGTCACAGGAGCATGAACTTAGATCACTACATATTTTCGGTACATAATGTTAGTCAACAGTTATCGCAACGAATGGCCTCATACATACAACACGGTGACTACCATCAGAGTGTGCGATTCTTCGAAAACTGGATATACAACAGTTGGGTAATCATGCAAAACAATAACGAATACATAATGGTAATAATATACAAGGAAGGGGGAGATAGATAGGCTTCTATGTATTAAGATGTGTCTACCCGCAAATGGTGGGGTATAGGAGGTCAGTAGGAGACCAGGGTATCCAGCCGTTTTGTAATCCAGCTTGGTATGACCATTCGTCTGCACTCTCTGTCTTCCACGCCCACATCAACCACCCGTTTACTTTCTCATAAGAAATTACCTGCGCTTCCCAGAACTGACGAAGGAAAGTCTTGTAACTCGAGCTAAAAGTAGATGCGCTTCCGGTAAGCCCGCTGCAACTTCCGACATAAGTGGAACCGGGATAGGAACCATCGTATCGGGCTCCGGAGCCCCTGCCGTTGAGGTAGGTGGCGCAGTCGGTAATGGCGGGTGCCCATTCACCAACCATAAGCCAAAGGTCGAAACCAGGGAGAGAGGATTGAGTAGCACACGCAGTATTGATATGGCTCTGCCAAGACATTTGAACATCCTGCGAAAACATAGGAGCATGTCATTAGACTTGGAAGAGGTTCTCAATCACGGAGACATACCGCGTCGGAAAACACCTGGTAAATATGTGTATCCATCGCCACGCCCTGCCAGTTAGGTGTTGTCTCGAATCCGCTCCAATAACTCAAAGGCTGGAAAGCATCATGGAGTAGAACGACGATGTTGCTTTGTGTAGATGTGCCGTACGGATACCTGCGCGATACATTAGCGCTCTTCCATAAGTTGGCAATAATAATAAGTGCTTCCTACCTGATGTTTCCATAGGAATCGTAGTAGTATTGTTTCAGAGGTGTTAGAACGGTCGATCCATAATACCCGGCTGGCCTGTATAGAAGAAAAAAAGCACGTCACATTCGTTCCAGAATCCTTTCTTAGATGCACTCACTCGTTCAGAGGCGCAATGATAGGAACGACACTGGACTGACCAACAAACATGGAAACAATTTGTTTGATGATTGCATCTGTCCGGTCAATGTTCGTTTGATTCGACTGCCATGTAGGATATGAGATTCTGTGTCCAGAATTGTCGTACCTACAAATTTGCATGAGTTGTTAGGAGACACGGGGACACAATCAGTATGCACCCGTTTTGGCTTCCGGGAGCGCCGTGAAGATCGATGATCACCTTCAGTCCATATTGGCTGGCCCATTGTACGGCGTTCTGAAGATAAGGCAGTTGGCCCTGTATGTATGGCTCACCAGGGCCAACTTCAAAGGCCCAGTACCCGATAGGTATTCTCACATGGTTCAATCTGCAGCAAGCCGACGTGAGTCAACAATCATGGTGTGTACGCTTGCACATATACCCAGCAGCAGCGATATTCGAAAAATCGGTCTCTGTAATCCAGGTGTTCCAGTGGTTCTGTAGTACGCTTGTTGCTGTGGTGGGGTCATAGTATTCTCCAAGCGTCCATTCATCAACAATATTTGGATTTCCTGTGTTGTCGAATATGCTGGGGGTGATCCATGGCTACATTAATATAACTGTCAGTTAAGGAGTTTGACCATCGTCCACCATCATTGCACGTACCTCGAGTACGAGCCATCCTCCAAGGTTGACGCCTCGGACCTTCTCAGAACCATAGGGAAAACCAGGAGAAAATTGAGACAACGCAGAGTCAAACAGAGACAGCCCAATGAGGGCCGAAAGCAGATAACGGTGCATCAGAAACCTAGAGGATGTAAATCCATCGACCCAAGTCCGGCCGCATTTTATTGGCGTTTTGTGGGTGAACCATGAACTCCACGCAGAAAAGGCTGCAGATCAGCGAAAAGTGCTCTCACCCCTCCACACGTGTTCAGCACCATCATGGTATCATTAATGGTATGCACTCAGGCTGTTTTGCCACAGCTGCCGCCTCCCGGTGGTACCGATTTGGATCCTCAGGCCTCAGATCGGAGCACAGTGCGGAACACCTATGTAGGCCTACCTAGGCCTATCAGAAGCAAGTTATTATAATCGAATGGAGAACGTGTTCATGGGGACTGAGCCCCACGTGAAGGTGGAGGAGCTAAAACGTCGGCGGCCTAGGATAAGAAAGGCTACTGCCCTCCTGGGCGGCTTGATATGGTCGGGTCCTCCAGTTGCCAATTTGTCACATAGTAGAATCCGGAAGGAATGATTCTTGAGCTTTGCTTGAGCTTGTAATATAGCAATATAGTACCTCAAAGATGAGTACTGAGTCGAGATAACTGTCAATATGCATGGCGCCACGGAGGTACGCCACACCGCCGACCCGGGCCGTGATCTGTGCGCGTCAAGCGCGCGTGGTCATTTGACTGATACATAGTTACGAGAATATGCGCTGTCACTTCTGGATACCTGGGGTGTGGAGTTGTGTTCTAATTTGTTGAAGTTCAACGTTTATGGATGATAGAATATTACATACAAGTTGGGTATATGGGTATATAGAGTCTACCACGGTAAACAAGCCCAAGTCCAAGTCCAAGTCCAGCCTCGTATATATAGGCTGCTACTAAGCATCAGCCTGACTTCGTCGGTGGTTTTTGGCATTCGTGCTTCGAGGCTTCAATCTCTCAATCGCAGATGTTCGGGTACTCCAAATCAGTGGGGTCTTGCGGTATCCATCCATACTTCAACCCAGCCTGGTAACTCCAGTCATCTGCATTCTCAGCCTTCCAGGTCCATTGAATCCATCCATCACCTTTCTCGTAGGAGATGACCTGAGCTTCCCAGTACTGGCGCATGAAGGTCTTGTAATCTGAGCTGAATGACGTAGCGTTGCCCGATTTGCCTGTACAGCTGCCGACATAGGAGGAGCCTGACATGCTTCCATCATAGCGTGCTCCAGTGCCGCGACCATTCAACCATGTGGCGCAGTCCGTCGACGCGGGGGTCCATTCACCGACGATTACCCACAAGTCATAGCTGGCGAGGTTTGACCCTTGACTGCACGCCTCCTCGATGTGCTGGGAATAGTTGTAGGCGACCTGCTACTTACGTCGTTAATACATTGCGTCACGGAGGAAGGGGTGCATACCTCGTCTGAGAACATCTGGTAGATATGAGTGTCCATTGCGACGCCGTCGTATCCGTCGGTCATGAAGCCATCCCAGTAACTGCGAGATTGGAACGCATCATGAATGAGTTCAACAGTATTACTTTCCGTTGATGAACCGTAAGGGTATCTATAAGCTCCGGTTATTCTTGGCTAAAATTGAGATGAGGGTCAAGTCCTTGCCTGATGTTCCCGTACGAGTCATACCAATATTGTTTCACGACCTCGAGCACGTCATCACCGTCATATCCTGCAGGTCTATAACGCATTGACTTGGCGGAAAGTAAACCGGTAAAGAAGAGAACTTACTCATTCAATGGTCCAATGGTAGGCACTGTTTCGTACTCTGAGTCGACTATAGAAATAATCGTCTTGATAATTGAATCTGTCCTATCAACGTTGGTCTGGTTCGAATGCCATGTCGGATATGACATTCTTTGACCAGAATTATCATAACTGTGAGAGGAGACTTTAGCACAGAACATGATATCGAGATGATGTTACTATTGTATTCACCCGTTCTGGCTACCAGGGGCACCATGCAGGTCGATAACGAGCTTGAGGCCATAGTTCGACGCCCAGGTAATGGCACTCTTCATATAGTCTAGTTGGCCAGTTATGTATGGCTCTCCTGCACCAACTTCAAATGCCCAGTAACCGATTGGGAGACGGACATGGTTCAAGCTGTATAATACTTGAGAGGGATTTCGGTGAGCAATGATTTAAACTATACCCTGCTGCTGCAATGGCTTCAAAGTCAGATTCAGTAATCCAAGAATTCCAATGATCTTGTAAAACCGCCTTCGCGGTGTCGTAGTCCTGGTACTCGCCGAAGGTCCACTCATCGACGATATTATTATTGCCAGTATTTTCGAAAATACTTGGGGTGATCCAAGGCTAGATCCAAATGAAAAGAGGGCATCAGAAGCGACGATTAGATTCCTTACCTCCAGGACAAGCCAGCCGCCAAGACTAACACCTCGTACTTTTTCAGAACCGTAGCTAAAGCCGGGCTGGAAGGATAGCACAGGTGGAATTGCAGAGACCCCGAGCACAGCAAGATTGACGAGGCGATTGAGTAGGGGCATGTTGGCCTTGCAAGTGCTACTTGGGTGAGGGGAATAAAGTGGGGTACTACATGAGGCCCGTCTTTATATGAGGAATTACTTGCACTAGTGGATCAATTACCATCGTAGATTCGCTTGTGATCCGAATTTAAATCGGCTGCCTTCGAGGAAGATCGACGGAAATGGGTGAGTCTTGAAAATTTGAAAATTATTTCATTGATGCGCATCAACATAACGCGTTCAAACGACTCGTTGAACACACGCTAAGTAGAGGATGCAATTCAAGTCTGAAATCAGTAGTGTTTATAGTTTCGCTGATTGCGAGAACGTACTTATGCATCTCGTAACTGTTACAAATGCCTGTAATGACCTGCTAGAAGTTCAGACTTCTTTCGAACACGTGCAGCCAACGTTGATGCATTGACGTGCGATTGCCACCGCATCGATCAAAACGTCGTATCAGTTGACCTCAGTTGACCTGCTGAAACGACGTTGAAGCGGATAAAGAATGGAAATGCTGTCATCAATCTACCTTGTCAACTATTGGCTTCGTTCTAATTCTGTGCTAGACTTATGTAAGTAAACATAGGCGCCCGTGATCTTACATCGTCATATGAGAGGTCGAAACGCCAAAGAGTGAATCAGGTATTAGCTGCGGCCATCGTTGGACTTAGGGGAAGGCACGAGGGTTTAGAAGGGGCTATGTCGCCACTGGGGCTGTGGGCGTCACGATGAAAGGCAGTTGCGCCGTTCGCGACGGCTAGTACCGGAAATTCCTACTCATCCGCAATAAATAGAAAGTCTTCCAAGCTCTGCCACATCCTTCTCTTCATTCATCTTCAGAATCATTCCAAAAAGTTCATACTTTACTAAAGTCAGAATGCTCGTTGATAATATCCGCGACAGATACCAGGCTGCTGGTCACGATCACCTCCTCACTTTCTGGTCAACCCTTCCAGACTCAGAGCGCGAATCCCTCTCCCACCAACTCGAAAACCTTGACATCGACCGCGTGAACAGGATATACAAGAAGGCTATCGCTTCTGAGAAGGAAGCCGCCGACCCCGAGCCTATTGAACCCCTTCCCGTTGGGGCGTGTGAATCTGTAGTCAATGATCCTGCGAACGAGAAGAGATGGTGTAGCGAGGGCCTCGAGGCCATCGCACGTGGGGAGGTGGGTGTACTCCTCATGGCGGGCGGTCAAGGTACCCGTCTGGGCAGTTCAGCGCCCAAGGGTTGCTACGACATCGGCTTGCCTTCACACAAAAGCCTCTTCCAATACCAGGCTGAGCGTATCGCTCGCCTTCAAGTTGTTGCCGAAAAAGAATGCAACAAATCTGCAGGTTCAGTCGTCATTCCGTGGTATGTCATGACCAGCGGCCCAACGCGTCGCGAAACCGAGGCATACTTCGCGAAGAACAACTTCTTTGGGCTGAGTTCAAAGAACGTCGTTTTCTTCGAACAAGGTGACTATTTTGGTTCCTTGTAGCACTATTTATATTGATCCACGTCTTCAGGCACTCTCCCTTGCTTGACTGCAGAGGGCAAAATCATGCTCGAGAGCACATCACGTGTTGCAGTCGCCCCTGACGGCAATGGCGGGCTATATGCCGCTACCCGCGCACCTCTATCCAAGTCTAACAGTTCAACGGTTCTTTCTGACTTGACTGATCGAGGAGTCCTTTACGTTCATGCCTATTGCGTCGACAACTGCCTTGTCAAAGTCGCTGACCCAGTCTTCCTCGGCTACTGCATATCCAAGCAAGCTGACTGTGCTGCCAAAGTAGTCCCGAAGACCTCGCCCTCAGAGTCAGTTGGTGTTGTCGCCCGCAGAGGAGACAAGTTCAGTGTTCGTCGAGTACTCGGAAATCTCCAAGGAACAAGCCGAACTTCGTAACTCCAAGACTGGAGAGCTCGCTTTCAACGCCGCCAACATCGCCAACCACTTCTACACGACGAGCTATCTCAAATCCTGTTGAATCATTCGAAGATGACCTTGCATTCCACATCGCTCGCAAGAAGATTCCCACAATTGATCTGGAGACTGGAAAAGCAGTCAAGCCGACCAAGCCTAACGGCATGAAGCTCGAGCTGTTTGTGTTTGACGTCTTCCCCTTCACGAAGCGCTTTGCGGTGCTGGAAGTTGCACGTAATGAAGAGTTCAGTCCGCTCAAAAACGCGCCTGGAACTGGTGCAGATGACCCAGAGACTAGCCGCCGCGACCTGCTTTCGCAGCACAAGCGGTTCCTGGAGAGGGCTGGTGCCCAGGTTAAGGACGGTGTGGAGATTGAACTCTCGCCACGCGTCAGCTACGCTGGCGAGGGCCTGGAGTTTGTGAAGGGCAAGACCTTCACCAAGTCAGGTTACGTTGAAAATCCCGAGGAGCTCGACGCTCTTCTCTAGTCGCTGTAGCATATCTTCATGCACCTCTATCGAGTTTGGATGCCGTGGACTTTTTGTACGACTACTCTTCTGATATATCGGACATCCTCTTTCGGTTTTTTAATCAATACGCCTTACTTGTACACCCGATCATTTGATACCAGTATTGATTCGCTCCCCCTAGAAATCGAAAACGAGCTGAACAACAATAAACATAATGACGTTCAACCTCCTACAGGACCGTCATCTGCAAGTTTGGCTCCCCGCTTTTCCAACTCTTCTCGAAGAGAAGCGAATAAGCGTTGTGTCCGCTCGGCATTTGGCTGTATCAGTACGTCAAATCGAAGACGCACTGCTGCATGGCATAGATGCACACACCTCCTTGCAGCAGGTAATGAGCTTATCGATCAACATTGTTTGACCGTTCTGCGCATCTTCTAGCTCCTTTCGGATATGCTGATTCTGGGTTGTTACGAAAAGCTGAGGGGATATGCTGTAGACAGGAATGGAATTTCAATTACCTCGTCGTCCACTCTATCGGCACGGGTTTTCTCCCCCTCAGCCAGTTGCTTCTGCTCGGCTGCTCGAGCGCGAGATAGGAGAACTTCTAGCTCTTTTCGAACGGATGACGCATTCAAAATGTCGTTCGCGAAGCTCGTATTGTCGGAGAACTTCCTTCAGTCGTTCTCGTACGCTACAGACATAGCTTAGTGGACAGACATTCTCAATTAACGGAGGCACGTACACGCCATCGAATATGTCTTCCAATGATCGTCGGGCGCTAATCACACAGGGTTAGTTGAGTGAATCAAGCGAATATGGGAACGCACTCTTGCGGATCATCCGTCCAATTCTTCCTGAGCCGCTGACGACGAGACTCTGGCAAGTTCATCCTATATGGTATGAGCATTGCCATCAGCTTTCAATACCATTCATGTCCACCACTCACCCAGTCATCCAGCCCGGGTCCTTCGGTAAGGTCCATGAGCTCTACCGCAAGAATCTCATCTCCGTCTTCTACACCCTGCTCTTCTGGAGTCTGATCCGCATCTATTGTCCGTCCGTTATGGGAGAAGATGAACTGCATAGGAGGATGACGCAGTGGACCCAACGGTGTGCGTGCTGGCGGCTTCTGACTTGGCAGTGCCATTCATCTGCTTCCCGCTCACCGGTGTTTTTCCATCCTCCTTCTTCCCACCCGTCGCCTCCATTCTGTCCGTCCACGCATTGAACAGTCGGGAGAACTTGGTCTTGCGCGAGATTTTGAAGAAGAGCTCGGCTCGATATCGGCAGACGACCTTCACGACAATGTCAGGCATCTCGCGGTATTTGACGTCTTGCGTTTTGGCCTTGTCGACTCGTTTTGCCATGTCCGATTTCATCTGCATGATCTGAAGGGCAGCATTGGGTACACTATGTGCAAGCTACCGGCTGAGAAAGTGACGCGTACCTCTTCTTGTGCTTCTTCTATGCATTGTGCTAGACGTTTACTGTCCTCCTAGGCCGCTGTAAGCATAGTGGATGAACCTCGTTGCGCAGTAATGCGTACCCGTAGTCTCTTGTTGTCCTGTACAGAAGTCAGTTAAGAGAGTAAAATTAGGTTGGAAAAGTACTGACCTTTTGGAGCTCGCGCGCCAAATTCTCCATTTTAACTTTAGTCTGGTTAGCTTTCGTCAGTTGACCCTTTGCTATATGAATACAATGAGTATTGAATAACGGAGCGTGCCAATCGCCCGTACCGGCATCCTTGTCCTTGACCAATTTCTGTTTTTCCTTTGCATGGTCGCGTTCTAATCGTTTGAGTTCTGCGAACTGCGGTTCCGGGATTCAGAAATGTATATATCGGACGTGCAAATGATAACGCACAAGTTCGATGTACTTGGCATGAACCGCATTTTCCTCCATTCCCTTCACCGACTTTACAGCCTCCTCAGCTAATAGAGGCATGAGTGGTGTATGAATTGGAGAGTTAGCACACACGCACCAAATATCTTCTCCTCTTCTTCCTCTAGCACCTCCTCCTCTTCGAGAGCTGCGATCCTGCTCTTGAGAGACTCGTACATAGTAGCAGGATCGACAGGAACATCGTTCTTCTTCTTTCCTTTCTGATTGTGCGAGTAGGTTCCATTAACGACGGTGTTATTTGAATGGGGTGGTACTGTTCGATTTGGAGTGGGTGGATTCGGATGATTAGGAAGAAGAGGAGGCGCGACGGCAGGGGCAGAAGGAGCGAGACCAGTTGGAGGGGGTTTTGCTGGCCGCGAACCTATTGCATTCTGACTGGGAAGGATATTTGTACCGTTCATAGGTATTTGATCCCCAGACGTCGTGCTGGTGGACCTGCGCGGTCGGCGAGGGATACAAGGTATGAAGAAGTTTAGGAAAGTAATGTTTTGAGAACGTGGAGGTCAGTGTAAGACTTTTATTTGCTCGGACTGGGTAATTGCAGCAATTTTTCAAAGACGGAAGAGACAGAACGTCATGGACTCGGCGCTCAGAAGGCTGGTGTTAGTACTACTACTAGTAGTACTAGTTAGTAGTGGCTGATCTATTTACCAAGCCTTTACTATCACAGCGCTCTTTATACATTTAGCAGAAAAGTTCATGTGCTAGACTCGAGCCGAGGCCAATCGTAATGAAACATATGTTATTACAAGTTCCATGTAAACTAACGGAATATGATTCTAGGCCTGCATGACGAGAAAAAAACACAGCGAAACCATTATCCGGTATTAGAATTACATCGGATCGCAAGATTTGAACTGCAGTAGTGCCAGCGAGTCTGGACACCAAGTTAATCGTGAAGGCTTCCTTCTGGCCGATGTCAGCCTAGTCACCAAGAGGAACGGCTTCAACAACATTCCGCTTCGGCTGATGTAACCACACTACACGTGATCAAAGACGCGTCGCGTCCATAGATAGCATTTACATCATTGTCCCACAATTGCAGCATCCTTCCAACGATCCGTTTTATAAAACTCCCTTCAGTCTTGACCATAATACAGAAGAGCTTATAACTGTAATAAAGCATGGACTCTCCAGGTGAGACATTTCAAGACCTTTCTTCCAGCCTTGACATCCGTCAACGTCAACTTCACAGATTCTTCTCCAGCCAGGAAGAAGATGAGAATGTCATCTCCGACCTATGATGAACAAGTCGATGACATGAGTCAAGAAGATATAAGCGCTTTTGATGCCATCGAGGCACGCCTTTCTCAGCCAGCTCATCGACTTCACAAAGCACCCCTACCCCACTCCAGGCTCAGCTCGAATGGCTTTTATGAGAGTTTGGATGGAGACCGTAGCACTTCGTCCGATCAGGACCTCCTTTCCTCCCAAGATATACCTGTTCAAGGCGACGACAATCCGTTTACTTCGACAAGTGACCCATTTGCTGATTCCGATACCTCAAAACCAGTCGTATATGCATCTTTTACCAAAGCATCTGCCATTCTCGCACCAGTAGGCTTCAAGTCTGCATCATATTTGCCTACCGAGAATGTAGATGGAGCACACCGATCACCTTCGCCCGAGGCACCTCCAGAAGTTGATTACTCTTCATGGTTTACTTCGGTTCCACCTGCCTCTTTTGTTGACTTTCAATCTGCTGCATCTCGGCTTGAAAAAGCCAAAGAGAATATTTTCGACCCCAGTGCCAGCCAGAGTACAAGTATGGGTTTTACGTCAGTCGGGAAAGGGAATCTTATCGTGCCATCAACCGCTGCATTGCGCAAGGCCGAGGAAAAGATGAAGGTGTGGCATGATGAAGTCGGTGACACGAATTCCTCCCAGCATTCTGGAGGTTTTGCGCCCGCTTCTTCGGCACAACCGACCTCGCCTCGGCGCACCGTGCTCGGAGCAATGCACAATTCTTTTTCGCCTCAAGTACCAGATACGCCAACTCCTGCGATGGCTACCCGCAAGTCATTTGAAGCTGACGCACGATCGCCGCTTGGCCCACCGACGCTTGGTGTCAGCGACTTGAAGGGAAAGCAAAAACCATTCAAATCCCCGTTGATCGCCTCCGCACCGTCACGACAGCCTCCCGCGGGGACAGCCAGTTCTGCATATGTCAACTCTCCCCTCAACCCTAATCGTCAGGGATTTGCGTCTGCCTTTTCTCAGACATCTTCATCTACTTCTGACATACCAGCAACGCCTGTCCGTATATCAGCAATACCCAAACCACCCGGAAATTCATTTCGACCCCTGGGTCTGACGCCGCGAAATTTACGTGGTGGTTTGGTCAAGTCCAAATTCGTGACGCCGTTCAAACCAGGCATCAAGCCTCCAGAATTAAGCAGTGCCGCATCAGCTACGCCGTCGTTTGCTGCTCCAAGTCCCAGCTTACAGCGACCTCTATATCCACCGTCAGCAACCCAATCTCCTAGGCCAGTAAAGAAAGCTCCTGAAAAAGGTACAGGCAAAGTGTTCAACCTTGGTAGGTGTTTCGTCGCAGTGATCCGACTGTCAGTTTATCACCCTTGTTACAGTCCCTCCGGCAGGAAGGATGTCACTTTCTACTTCTGGTCTTACACCCCAGGCACACACCACCCAAGAACTTCAGGATCAGGGAATGTGAGTCAGTCTATTCCCCGCAATGCTAATCGCTAATTCATATCCGTAGAAATGTCACAGAGCTATCCCAGATAACACTAGCTACCGCTCTCTTTTACTCATTTTATACTCCGTCTGTTACGCCGACTGAAGGTTCCCACCCCTCCGATGCGAAGCCTCTCGGACCTGCCGCCGCTCTTGAAGAACTCCATGCAAGAGGATGCTCGTTGGCTACGCAGGAATGGATTAACAACCATTGGCCGCTTATCCTCTGGAAGCTCGCTGGAATGGTCGCACTTGAACCAGAAGCAGAGTCCAATCCCGATCGCAAACGGTGGTGCTGGCCTGAAGTGATTCGCCAGCTGCTGTACAGGTTCGCATTCCGCCTACCCTTTTCTTCCGCGACTGATCATCGACATAGATACGAACGAGACCTGAACGGGTCATCACGACCACCACTACGGCTAATTACTACAAGAGATGCGCCTGCTGCATCTCCAATGGTGCTCTGTGTGTCAAATGTGACTTGGTCGCCAGCTGGAGAAAGTGATGATGGGTTTCCCATTCCATCCCATCCCGAGTTGGAGGTGACAGACGGATGGTATAGACTGCGCGCGAGAGTCGATCAGCCGCTTGCGAGAGCGATCCGTAAGGGTCATATCAAGATTGGGAGGAAAATTGCTGTCGCTGGAGCAAGGGTAACTGGAATCACTTTATACCGTGGCATTGACTGAATTTTCGTACAGCTCTCTGCAGAGCGCAAAGATGGACAGGAAGTCCTCGAGGCATATGAATCTAATGTCCTGGTGCTAGCAGGCAACTCGTCCCATATGGCTCCCTGGCACGCAAAGCTTGGCTTCCAGCGAAGTCTGTTCATTGCGACATTCAATAGCCTCACGCCGGACGGTGGAAACGTAGCCGTTGCGGCCATCGAAATTATTAAGGTAGTGCTGAGCATGTAACAGCTAGGTATAGCTGACTCTCGCTTACAGTTCCATCCTGTCGCATATATCGAGTTTATTGAAGACGAAAACGGGAGGCGGGTAGAGGGTCCTCGCAGTGCCAAGGATGAAAATGTCTTAAGCGAACAGTGGAGGGTAAGATGACAAGCTCTTCACTAAGTCTGGTGCTCACGTTATATGTCAGAGGAAGCGCGAAGTCGCTGCATCAACGCTCTGGTCAGATATTGAAAGACGAGCATCGTTGATGACAGGGTATGCAGAGAAGCTTGAACAACGTGTGGGTTCCGACTTTAATGTCAAAAATGAAGGTAAGAATGCTACATCCAAAATTGTATGGTGCTCACGGCCTGTTGCAGAAATGCCGGACCACCTTGACGACCTATACGAATCCTTGGAGGAGAGTGACGCTTATCAAGCCCAGATGATACTTGCACGGCTCAGCCGTATTGAAGCAGGCAGCCTTGCCGCGCACATCAGAGAGAAGCTTCTCCAGGATCGTGAAGCTATCGCAGGGGACATCGAGCGAGAATTGCAGGTAAGTTTGACACATGCATCAAGTTTTTTTCCACTGACTGTCCCACAGAGCAAATGTCCCGCTCGGGAAGTACGGAATTTCCGTGTTCTCATAGTGAAGGATGCATATACACAAACACGAGGCGGCAACGATGGTCGCAAGGCCCAGTTAACCGTCTGGGATGTACTCAACTTGTTAATTGCTGAAGGATCTAAAGCAGGGGAGTTTAAAGTGGGTCAGAAGTTCCTAGTGAGTGGCGTGTTTTTCGAAGGAGTAGGAGTCTCACCTCACAATTCGCGCCAGGTCACAAACTTGATGCCCAAGCAAATATCTGCCTGGATGGATCGCGGTCCTGGATCTGAGGTGTACCTTTCCACCACAAAAAATACTAGGTGGAAAAAGTTGCCATGACTGCACGATTGTGGAGGGTAGTGTGAAAGCGAGGCTTGTTAGTAGGTGCAGCATGTGGTAGATTGGAGTGTAATGATATTATGTGCCTAAGGGTAGCTTCGTAAGTGACCTCCCTTTCGTCGGCAGGAACCAAGTACAACATTGAACAGTCCGATCTGCTCAATGTTCGATGTGCTGACATTAAACAACCTCGTAACACTGGACACACGACTCCGTCACTCGGATATGGTGTAAAGGTAACATATCCGCCTCTCATCGCAGGGCGCGCGGTTGCTCGGGGTTCGATTCCCCGTATCCGAATCATTTTTTCTCGATGACTGTCCAATCCCGTTATTGAGAAACAACTTGCTTCAGTTGATTGTTTTTTTGGTCTCTCTTAGGATTGTCGCTTATGAATTAACGTCGTGCCAGCAGCATTTGAACTTTTGCACTACTTACCTGAATTTAGGTAATATATAGTCCCCTACGAGGGTAAACACCATTGCGTCCTTCGACACTCACGACTTGCCGTCGAATGGTACATATGTACGTCGCTGGGAGCACAATAGGATGCATCTTAAGCTAAACCGATCTTATAAACCGCATGTAGTGAGGTATTTCAAGAACCCGTGGCGCAGTGGTAGCGCGTATGATTCCAGCTGAACATCGAGTCGCGGTATCCATAAGGTCATCCGTTCAATCCGGGTCGGGTTCACTTTTTTGTCGACATTACATGTTCATGGCAAATCTGCCGTGGGCTGTCGATTTTTGGTCCAGCACTCGTTACAGAATTATTATTTGAGGGCATGAAACCTAAGCTGATTATCTGTACGTATGTCCTAAGGATTCGGACCTAGGGCCAGGCCTATTGGTATGTCAAGGCTCAGAGCAGTCGGGGACCGTCCCGTGATCTTCGCTAATAATCCAATCACTATTCGCAATTTCGCACGGAATCGTGACAGTAAGCTTGCTCATCCGCATGCACTAAATGCTTTAGAACGCTACAGCATCACAGCTATTTTCATATCGATAGACCAGAATCTGGAAAACTCATTTAGCCGCTTTTGTTTGTTGTTGGAGCGACACCAAACAGAGGCGCGCACGCTAGCTACTCTTATGAATCTTTAACGTAACTTGGGGCTTGTGTGGCACTGCGGGGCAGTGACGAGACCCTGGAATCGTACCGCACGCACTGACCTGCGGCCAGCCGCACATGGTGCACCGTGGTTATTACCAACTGCAGGTGACCAGCCCTCGCCGTGAAAAACACTGTAATGTTGTCAAAGGTAAGTTTTGCTCATCATCAAATGGGCTCCACTTAGTTTCTGCAACCTTGGCATTCTAGCGAGATCGTCGTCTCTTCGTCTCCATCGAAAACAATGGTTTTTGGATCATCTGACAATGTTGATCCATTGCGCAAATATATTTTACATACATGCTTGTGAGTCAATCCATGCCTATGTAGTGTTCGTTCGATGGCAAGAGACGCCTCAATATCCCTCACCTCCCGTAGAGCACTTTGTAGTTCAGATAGAAATATGTTAGGAGTGCGCCCGACACATGAAATAAGGTACTGTCACGGTTAGGTATTAAATTCAAAAATACTTTGTGCCTTCCCTTACTGCAACGTCCTGTGCTGTAAGTAGACGAGGACGACCAATTTCCAGAGGTTTTCGAACGACAGAGCCTGTGAGTTGTGAGAGCCGAAGAACTTGATTGACTGTTCGATGGCTATATCCTGTCACTTGCACGATGGCCTTCGATGTCATGCCATGTGTGGACATAACAACCCACTGCTGCTTCGCAGCATCTGGTATATGTCGCCGGTTTCTGTGCATGATGATGATGGTCGGCAGTCGTTGTACTAATATTCCACAAGCAAGTTATAAAAGTAGCTAGCGTGCGCGCCTCTGTTTGGTGTCGCTCCAACAACAAACAAAAGCGGCTAAATGAGTTTTCCAAATTCTGGTCTATCGATATGAAAATAGCTGCAAGATGCAACTTGTGTCGACTCGGAGTCATGTCACCGCCGTGGCGGTTGTGCCGCTCGTCTCGCATAATCCCTCGTGATCAGCGCTCAGCGCTCAGCACTAGTGATCACAGCCCAATTGATGCTTGAAGTATGCAGCGTGTACTTTTACTAAGTCTCTTCTGTCCAAATTATATAGAATGACGAGAGTCGCATGTACTATCACTCCTGGGGTTCTGCAACATTTTCAATAAATCTTTTGTAACTCCTCAACCACATCATATTTTCTTCTACGGATTTGCACCATTATAGATTCGTAGCTGCTCTATATAAATCTGATTTTAAGGATTTTAAGGATTTTGTGGTGGAGTGTCGGATGAAGGCCGAGAAAATTCAGGGTCTGACTGGTATTCTGCAAAACATGGTCACGTCGTGTCACACATCGGCACAGTAGTAGCGGCACCGTCAACTTTCACTTAGAGGAGATTGAATTTCTTACACACTCTCCTATCTGCTGTCACGCTTTCATACATGTCGTCAATCCTCTGTCTATAGCATCTTAAAACAAGAGAATGGCCTCTATCGAAATTGTGTTCTGACACCCTGACGAGGTGTTTGATATGCTCCGGGTGTAACTTTTTGAATATCTCTCTAGGATCTATGGGATCTGGATCATTTATGATTATACAAGGTTGCAAATCACCACTATCCTGTCTCTCGCAGCTGCAACACTCAAGAAAATTTTATTCTACTTGGACAGTACATCATCTCTAAGTAGCCTACATACACATGAATTTTTTCGAGGTGATTCAAGCAGCGCATTGAGGTGTTTTGAACATTTTGCATATTACATGCCAGTTGCAGATTCCCAGGAGTGATAGTAGGCTAGTTCCATCACAGCACCAACTGCAGAGCATTGCTCCGGTTGGTTGGATTGAATTTGTTGGGTTGGGATATTCTTCCGATTAGCAGGCGAGTTATTACAGAAGTTTTTTTAAAAACGAGTGCTCAATTTACAGTAACAGTCCTGCTACGCTGCTGAGATAAGTATCAGACGAATACAGATAAGTAGTCAATATCAATGCCCGATTCATGCATACATACCACGGCTCCTACTTGCCTCACGGATCAGCAGCGTGTTAAACGAGACAGTGCTTCGGTGGTTGTTCATCTTAGCTTGACGCCACAATACTAACATGGACTAGTACCTATCAAATGCTTACGAACAACACAAGAGTGAACCAGACAACGCTGGGAATGGCTGGACAACGCATCTGAGATTGTGGGTAGTATATATTACGGCACTGATAAGATTCTTTGTATGCATTGCAGCACAGGTGCTGATAATGACTCCCCCCTGCGGACCTAACACAGCTTCTTATCACGAAGCATTTATGTTTTTCATCTTGTTCACAAGGCGTCTGCCTATGCTCGACCCTCTCAGGAACCTCATTGGTTGTCTCTCCCATCTGAATCTCGCTCAGCTGGTCCAGTGATACGATCGTAATCATGGGCATACCATTGGACAAAGCTGAGTTCTTAGCTTTATTTCTCGGAACTTTTTTCTATGGTGCGTTATCGGTCGGTGGAAAGGTCATGGTGTTGAATTTCCACATTTCAAACAGGCGTGTTCCTCACTTTGTACTGGTTCATGCTATTCGTCATACTCAAGAAATCCGGCATTCAACGTCAAATTCTTCTCCCAGTGGCAACCTTATTGCTCTGCATTTCAACGGCCGTAAGTCGCTGAGTACAATAAAACCTCTCGAGGGAATAGCTCAACGTGATCACCTTTAGCATCTAATCATCGATTTTGTTCGAGCGTTAGAGGCATTCGTATTCAAGGTGGATGCTCTTGGTGCAGATGCCTACTATTCCGACCTTACTTCACCGTTGTATATCGCATCAACGGCACTTTGCGTCACGCAAACTATTCTCGCCGATGGCGTAGTTGTGAGTCTCTCCACTCGACATGATCGATTTCCCTTCTGAGTAGCGCTGTAGGTTTGGCGATGTTATATGCTCTACAACAAAAGCCTCTTGGTTGCCATTCCTGGCTGTATTGTACTCTTAGCCAATGGGGGTGAGTATCTCGAAAGGTACAATTCAACCCAGTCTTATCCCAAGATTTTTGCAGCCACTGGATGCTACGTTATTTGGTCCCTAAGTCGTCCGCTGTCCCCCGTTGCTTCTGTTTGTATTGTTATATTCGATTCATTGACCCTATTTAACAGTGTTACCAGTACCAGTATGTCTATTTCCCCTGATCTGCAGGCTCCCAATGACCAGATCAATGCAGTTTTGATTTCGTGGCGCATCTATCGCACTCGCCGTTTCCTGCCAGAGGGCCTTGCTGCTTTTTTACCCGTTCTCGTCGTTGTCGTTGAGAGCGGCACTTTATATGCCACGAGTATGCTTATGCTCCTTCTAACATTCTTGATCGGATCCAACGGCCAATACGTCATGCTGGCCGTTATCACTCCTATTGTGGTGGGTTTACTTGGCTTAGACCCGAGCCATTAACCATAGGACTTGTATTCAGGGGATCACATTCTGCCTCATCATTCTGCAAGTGCACTTCCACGTGGGTGGCAATCCCCCGACCGAACAACGCACCGAAGCAAGGGGCATCACCAGCCTCATTATGCAAGAGACCTAGGCTTCAGCATGGAACCGATGACTGTGCACATCACCAAGGAGACGGCAATCGCCAAATCTGATATGATCGTTGATAGACGGAAAGAACTTCAGAAGTTCAAAGAACAGCCAACCAGTCCCAGGGATTCACCGATTGTAGGTAGGTCTGTCTTCTGATTTCCGGTACATAGATACTCTGAATGACAACTTGGCATGGGAGTATGGATGGTGGTCAGTTCATGGGTAGTCTAGTTCCTTCGATGTCCTTGACAGTGCAGAATGGATTTCTTATATTGTACGAATCAATTCAAATCGACATCCCCATGTGACTGTGACTTCTTAACATGATTCGACATTCCGACATTTGGGCTCGTGGCCTGTGACACACCAAAAAATTTCGACGTGTTGGATAACAATACAGTGCTCCTCAGTGTGTCGTGTCAGATACTAGCGCGCAAATCAGGTGTAAAATCGACCTACAGCCCACGGAAGCAAAAGAAATCCAAATTTCTGTTGTGATATTATATGATATTTCGACACCACCCAATGTTATGCGTGACAACTGCCTGTTTTCGACACCGACACCACCGCCTGTGACACGTGACAGTCGAATTGAATCGATTCTTATAATATATCTCAATACTGCGCTTGCCTAATCTTGTGAAACGAATACTTATCGACGTACAACGATCTGCCAGCACTATGGACCCAGGACTTCCCTTTCCCACTGAAGGTCACGCTTCTCACGGACAAGCTCCCCCTACGGTGCATCTTGCTGGCATAACGTATCTCCAACACTTCGGGACCATGATAGTAAGGTAAGTCTGACTGTCTTAACTTGAGTGATTTTGGAACTCCGAGTTGAGGTGCTACAGGTGGCCATGCATCATAGCGAGGCCCTGTTGATTCCAGGTGGGAGACTGGTGGAAGGACTGACTAGCTATGTAGTCATGTCGACCCGACAAACCGCCAGCACAAGTTTCCTACTACTTACATCATATTATGATACGGTATGTATCTATTATGTTCACGAGCTACTAAAAAATTCTTTTACCATTTTATAAAATTTCGTGCTTCTGAAAATGGCGAACACCTTGGTTAATAGCACATCAGCGTTACAACGCAGTGTGACTATATTTCAAGGGCTGACTACGGGAGACTAAGGACAGCCGCCCTCCTCAGTAACGCTTGTCTCATGAACCTGGCACTGACCTACTCCCTCCTACTCCAAGATGGAAACTGACATTAACGCGAGGTATTTACTCGTTCACGCGATCCATATGCAGTTCCATATGTCCTCGTGGATGCACTATAACTTCCTGTTTCTCGGGGTCAAAACCAAATTACTTGTCCAGATATATGAATTGAGATCAGGAGGTTGAATCCCCAACGGATCGATTCGGATCGCGATTATCTTGTCATCGTTTCGTCCAGATGAAGGGGCGCGTCCTGGTACGTCATATACTTGGATAAACATTGAGAGAATGACATAGAAGTATGCTCACATTTTGGCATTGTGCCCTATGCATTCACGTTCGCAAGCACATATATAATTAGGCCATCGAATTTGGTATTATTCTCACCTTCGAGCACCAGTCAATCAATTATGTTCCCGGTTGCATCTTTGTTGGCTACTCTCCTCCTGGCTTTGTCCATCGCGGGATCACCCGTTGAAATTCGCAACTCACCCATCACCATTCCCATAGTCAGGAGGCTAAACACCTCCGATGGTCCTATCAACCTCTTGCAGTGTGATAAAGCTCGCGTGGCCGCCGTCAAGGACGGCTCCGCCAGCACGCTCAATCGCCGTGCTGGTAGTATTCCTGTCATCAATGAGGTTCTCACCTACGTCGCACAAGTTGGCGTTGGCAGCCCTGCCACAACCTGTAAGTTTAATGTAGGAAAAAACACGTGCTGCTGCTAATGGACCGTTGTACAGACAACTTGGCTGTCGACACTGGTAGCTCGAACACTTGGGTTGGTGCCCTCACGCCGTACGCAAAGACCGCCACCAGCATAAATACTGGTCAGCCTGTGACGGTCGACTACGGTTCTGAATACTTCTTTGGTATGACATGCAAAGTTATCATAAGTTGAAAATATCAACGATCATTTATAGGAACTGAGTACACCGATACTGTCACTCTCGGTAGTGGGCTCACCATCACCGCACAATCAATAGGTGTTGCCTATGAGATAAACGGCTTCACTACCGTTGACGGCATCCTTGGCATCGGACCTCTCGGCTTGACAGCGGGTACCTTGACAAATGCACTGACGACGACGATCCCGACTGTCACTCAGAACCTGAACAGCCAGGGCCATATTTCTCAGATCGTCGTTGGTGTCTCATTCCAGCCCACCACGTCCGAGAAGGTCACCAATGGTGAGCTCACCTTTGGCGGAACTGACGCCACCAAGTACACCGACTCCATTGCATATACGTAAGTCGTGTAGCTTTGAGATCAATCCGGACCAATCGTTTCGTTTCAGTCCTCTCACCACCAAATCTCCTTCATCCGGGTACTGGGGTATCGACTGTAGCATCACGTACGGCTCCACGACGCTCTTCTCTGCGACTGCTGCTGGTATCGTCGATACTGGTACCTCACTCATTTACATAGCCACTGGTGCGTGTCTCGAGTACACCGAGCAATCTTGATCTAATCAGTGTTCGATAGACGCCTTCAACAAGTACAAGTCTGCAACCGGCGCCACTGTGGATTTATCTGTTGGTCTTCTCACCCTCACCCTTACTCAATATGGTGCCCTTAATGACTTGAATTTCCATATTGGCAATGTGCGTCTTTCCTCTTTTACGCGTTAGTGCTCTTGCACACCTTCTTTTGATTACAGACAGCCTACTCTTTCACTCGCAATGCTCAGATTTGGCCTCGTTCACTCAATACTTATATTCATGGTAACAGCAACTCCATCTACCTCGTTGTTTGGGACCTTGGCTTGCCCAGTGGCCAAGGTTACGACTTTATCCTCGGCATGACTTTCCTTGAGCGCTTCTACTCCGTGTTCGATACCACCAACTCCCGTATCGGTTTTGCTACAACCCCATACACTTATACTTTCACTAACTAACCTAGAATTGTGTTTTCATGTATTGGATGTTTGAACATGAGAAATGAAATATTTTTCACAACCTCTGCATGTCGACTGCAGCAACAGTTCATTCAAGACGGTAAAACTGAGGAAGAATATCACACAAACTTCTCGACCTACACGTTTGGAGTCCTTGGATGTTCCCCCTGCTCCGCATGAGTCGCCCGAATTTTGTGACCGGCACTTTGCTTCAATCATGTTTTGTTTTGAACAGGTACCGTAGTACCACGAGTCTTCTAACCATAATTCACATTGTATCCGCACGCCTGGCTACCATATGGCGGGCTCAGTCACCTGTAGGTTTTAACTTAGTACGAACCATTCATAAAAGTATCAGGTTGAGGTCATGATCTACGATTACGGATGTCCTTGTACAGGCTCAATATGATGTCGTTCATAGTGAGGGTAATAATGCTACGAATTGCAATCAGAAGAATGCACACCGTGCAAGCGGAAAATAACTCACGTATGGGGCGCAACACGAAGAAACTGTGCAGTTGAACCTAAAACGCGCGTTTTAAATAAAGGTTTGTCGCAGTATACGTGCTGCTACATACCCTTGTACCAGCCGAACACGCCTTCGGTTCTGAAAGTCTTCCAGAGACAGTCGATGGGATTCTTATACAGTGTTCCTACTAAACGACCATCGGGTGTGCGTGTTGTTGGTTGGTTGTACACTCGGGTAAGGGCCTGGACATGAGGTATAGATGAATCAAGATTCCCACGACAAGCAGGAAGTAGACTAACCGTGTCAGCAGGCTGCATGACAATGCACTACGAGGGTGTCAGACCACAATTTGTTGGCTACTTGAATTAAGAAAAAACACACCACGCAAACTCCGGACACTGAGGAACTAGCGAGGTAAGTCAATACGCTGTTTGAAGGAAGTAATCCATGCGAGCCAAGTTGGTTTTTAGTCCAATTGTATGTAGGAAGCTGGACCGAAGATCCCATAGCTGTTCGCAGAATGGCTGCATCCATACCACGTATTAGACCCCAAAATTTTTCTGTCTTAAAAATAGTGATCAATGCGTCAAACGAGCTCTTGTAGTAATGTTGTGCGCCAACTGGCAATACAGGAGAGTATGCCTGACAAAACTGACATCAATAGATTGAATAATACGAGGCATGTCACACATACCTGCATTCGTGCTTTTATCAGGAAGAGCGGGTTGCCAAGCGAAGCTATTGCAGGCGAATGAGAAAATAGTACATACTCGCGTCGTGACTTGATGCATACCTCCTATTAGGCCACTTGCGGCACCAGCTACAACAGAAGTCCATGGTATTTGGTCGGTGCTAGATCTACCTATTGTGCGGTTGATAGTTCGTCGGAATGGCTCGTAGAAACCTGTAGAGAAAGTTTGAATAGCAGCTCCAGGGCGGAATAAATCACGTACCCAGACGTGATCCATTCAAAAGTGTCTTTAAGGTAACAACATTAATATTGATATGTAACATCCTTGAAGCTTGAAGCTTATGATATCTAACCTGGTAAACGTACTAGAAGGCTATCAAACAGAGCAGAAAATAAGTATAGTGATTACACACCGCTGGTCCGAGTCCTCTTTGCAAGCCCCGAATGCCCTCGTTTCTCCAAGTCTTTGCCAGAACATCCAACGCGTCCTTATATATTTTCTTTTTTCCATCTTTGACCAGCTCACCTGCCCGCGTGCTTGTCAATAAATCATGTTTCATTGCTCACGCCATTGCAACATACCTTGGAGTTGCAAACGTGTCTTGGCTACTTCTGCAGGATTGCTGACAGTGACGGCTATGCATGCTGCCAGTCCGCCGCAAAGAAAACTCTCGAGCGTAGAGAGAGGTGGTGGTGTAGTAGAAGAAGACATACCCGAGTGCCAGCCCTTAAGTGCAGCTAGAGTTGTTACTGGAAAAAATTACTAGCAATTGCTTTTGTGCATGTAGCCCTTAGACTAAGAGCCGACGGTTATGTACAATCAGGATGCTTCTTCAAACACGCTTCTCACAACTTGTTCGTACACAAGACTTACACTGAGGTTTTAATTCTGCAAGTCGAGAGACTCGACAGCGTTCATCAAGGAGATCATTGAAAAGAAGTGACGCTGGATATGGCAAGCGTTGCTCAACAAGTACTCTGAGCCAACGGTCGGTTACCCCAATGGTATCTGGATGATGTACATGACTCTGACAACTATATTCTAGCCAAGAGCGATGTATCGACTTCGCCATGACATGCACTCACTTATAAGCGCCAGGTCTGCTTTGGCTGTCGCCTTTCTCGCCATTGTATTTCCTGTCGTCGCTCGTGCGTTCTCGTCTCCAATATACCTCATCCTCCTTTCTCCTTTGGTCATACTTTTCGTGGCGCTCTCGTGTTTCATCGCCAACATTCTTGTTGGAGTTGCCTTGGACAACCAGCCAACCCATAGGAACGCGCTTACATATGCAGCTAGGCCCCTTGCCTTCTCAACTCCCGCAGCATGGCAGGCTGTCCTTACTCGTTCTAACTGGTCTCAGAAAACTCCCCAATCATTGTCACCGTTGTGCCCTGACCTGCCTGTTGTGTCGTCTACCCTCAACGACCTCATGATTTTCGTCGTACGCGACTTCGTGCTCACCTGGTACAAAGACATATCATCATCCCCTTCCTTTCCTACGGCAGTTTCTTCGGTGCTTCACGATTCACTTGAGCGGTTTCTGCAGACAACCGCAACCATTGACCTTTCTGCTCTCCTAGTAAAACGAATTTTACCCAAAGTCACTGCGCACATCGAGCAGTTTCGTCAATCAGAGGTCACGCTTCGCGGTGCAGCTCTGGAACGCCGCCTTACGCAATCCGAGGAGTTGGATATGTTGTTAGCAAGCAGATACGCAGGCAGGGGCGGCAAACTGCATCCTGCAGTGGAGAATCTGTCTTCCACATTTACGAAACAGAACGAAGAAATACACCTCAGGACAATTGCGGATCGGTTACTCTCGCATATTCTTCCAGAACAAGAAGCTCACAGTAAGGCTACGAGAATAGTTGTCAGAGAAATCTTGGCATGTGCAGTGCTTTATCCGATCATGGATATGGTCAGCGATCCTGATTTCTGGAATCGGATGATTGAGCAAGTGGTATGTCCATAAGTTAAGCATGAGTGCAGTCATTAACCTTGAGATAGGCAGGTGCCGCAATACACCAGCAGTAAGTCGTCAAAGTGCTCAGACCTTTTGTTACACTTTTAATGGCGCATGTACAGGAAACTCATCTCTCAAGTAAGAAATGTCTTGGAAGCACAATCGCCCCGCCGGCACAGCCGTGTTCCTTCGACAATTTCACCTGGAGACACCATCACGATTAGAACTGACATGCGACAATTTGAGTCGTTCCTCCGGAGTATCAATCGCTGTTCGTCACTTCTGGATGCTCGTCGCCTGAAGAATGATATCATGGGAGAAATTCGGAGGACGAGGTTACTTCTTGGTTAGTTTATTTTAAATAAAAGGTTTACTCGTTTTATGTTAACGGTGCCCACAGCTAATCACGAAAAGGAGGATTGGATCAGTGGCGAGAAGACTGAAGACGTAGTGGCTTTCCTTGACAGACTTTATACTGCCAAGCGGACTGTCGAACAACGCATAGTAGTTCTGGGTGGCGAAGATTCAGTAAGCTGCTTTATGTGATTCGTAACTTGTGCTCATACCGAGAATCATAGAAATCTGCTGCCTCGCCAGAGTCTGGTTTGCGGACGCAAGTCGCTCTACGCGACGTCTTGAGCAACCCCACATCACTCTCTTACCTCATGGAGTTTATGGATCGCCGGCACCGCTCGCTCCTGGTCCAGTTTTGGCTAACAGTGGAAAGCTTCAAAAATCCATTGGAGTCAATAGACTCAAGCTCATCTGGGGATGATGATGAACCCCTACAGGGTTCTTCAAGCTCCTCAACACTCAACGAGGACATTTCAATGACTCATGATCTGTACTTCTCTGTCACCCCACCCCATCCTGCCTTATCATCCATCTCCAAGAAGTACATCGATAACATACGCTCCTACGCACAAAGTGAGATTATCCCGGGGCCTTTGGAGGATAAGAAAGTCCGTCGTAGCGTCATGTTGGCGCAGAGGCAGGTTCAACAGGCGATGGAACAAGACTTCGAGGACCTTCAGAGATCCGAGCTATGGTTCCGAATAGTGGAGGATATCAATCGGGCTAGTACTAAATCGCTGGAACCCCCTGCAGGTCGTACCTCGGTACGTTCGATGTCACCTCCGCCACTGCCAGTGTCACGTCCTCTTGGTATTGGATCTGTCCATATCTTCCGCTCCGAATCTTCTCCTTCCCTAAGCTCTGCAGTTCAGCGCGCAGAAAACTCACGGCCGGTCCCACCCGCTACCTCACGAACCAACATTGATGTGCTCATGTCCCCGGTTTCGGATACATCATCAGACACATCGAGAGCACCTCTCTTCGATGATCCAGAAGATGCACAGAGCGCAGACGAAGCAGAGAGGATGAAGGCCATCCAGGCTGCGCTCACGGATATCATTGCCACCGAGCAACTTCCCCACAGTCTCCTCCCTCGAAGCCAGGATAGAGGCGGGAATCTCCACCTCAGCACAGCTTCACTCGGAAACAAGAAGGGTATCTTTGGCGATGAGGAGGACGATATGATTGACGAAGAAGATGACGACAGGGCTGAAGGTTCCGTGGATACGGAACAAGGAACATTTCAGCTAGCTGGACCTGGAGATCTCCAGCTCTCATACGAGATTGCACGCCTTGGTGAAAAGATTGCCAAATTGGAGGCTCACGATGCCATGCTTGACACACTTATAAAGAAAGCAGAGCTAACAGGCGACACCCAAGAACTGCGTTTACTTCAGAGATCCAAGTCATCCATGACCCGCGAACTTCGAGAGTTGCGTTTCCAGAAAACCCAATATGAACAGCAAGAATCTGCAAACCGTCTCATCTCCCATCGAACGAAGGTTTCTATCGTTAGCTCGACAGTGGGAGAAGAGGAGGGAAAATCCGTGGTGCGGTACCTCATTGAGGTTCAGCAACTGGCATCTGACGGAACGTTTGCCTCTGGGTGGGTCGTTGCAAGGAGATACAACGAGTTTCTGAGGATGCATAACAAACTGCGCGATCGGTACGCGCTTGTCAAGGGTCTCGACTTTCCAGGCAAGCGTCTTGTTACTTCGCTATCCGGCAGTTTCGTAGACACAAGGAGACAATCCCTCGAGAAATATATGCAGGTGAAGAACTCGCCAGAGCTTGTTTCCTTCGCATACTCACAATAGCAGAATCTGATCGCCATACCTGTCGTCTGCGAAAGCAATGATCTTCGCGCCTTTCTCTCCCGCGACTCGCCTTTTATTGCGTCCGAAGTCCAAGAGGACGTCCGCAAAGGAATGGCCGGCTTTTCAGGGAAAAACCTTGTTCGATCAGTTTATCGCTCAGTCGCAGAGAGCATTGATGACATGTTCTTTGGCCCGTCAATGTTGGATGTTATGATCCAAAGGCTTACCCGACAAGCCGCAGAATTTGCTGGCATAGTCGGATCTGCGGTTCACGACGAGGACCTCGTTGCTCAAGCCCTGAAAGCCTTTGGGAAGTCTACGTCAGAGGACACGTTCATGCACATGTCTAGTGACCTTCGTCCTTTGGAAGGAGAAACTAGCACGTCGACATTCTCTGCTCCTATATGCGACCTTGTCCTTGCTATCTTTGAGCTCAACAAGAAGAACAACTGGCTCCGGCGGCAGGCAATTGTGATCATCCTCCAGCAAGTACTGGGTGGCACCATTGAACGGTGAGTCTTTTTCCCGGCCTAGTCTTTGCGCGCCCCTCAGATGATTCCAGGCAAATTCGACAGAGCATCAAGTCGTTGTTTGAAGAAAGTCGCATCATGCCTGTTTTAACGTTGTTCAAAGACTCCCTTTGGCCGGGTGGTAAGCTGAAACCGTCTGGTCAACCACGGTCAACGGAGGAAATAATGCGTAGTCGAGATGAAGCAAACCGCAAGCTCTCCGCTTTAGTGCCAGGTTTGCTGGAGTTCTCTCCCCTACAAATATGGAGCTGATACCGCGACCTGCAGACCTTGCTGCAAACATGATAGGGCGGTCTAACGCCCGGAGAGGAGCACGCCGAATATTTGCTGTCCTGCAAAACCGACGCTTAAACCAGCACATTGCTTACACCATCATGGATGAGGTACGTATTCGTTGAACTGCGGGCCCTGGCATTGCTCACGAACCTGTCCAGGTTGTCGCTGCCATATTTCCTGAGCCCCAATGAGATGGAGAGTTGACACTCATAGTTTTGTTTGATATTAGTTATGTGGTAGTGACTACTTGGTCACTTGTTATCACTGTTGTACCCCGTACCTTGTTGTAGCGTCAGTCAATCCAACACGGAAAGGCTAGTTTGGTCGTTCCATCTCGCTAGTTTGGCCTGTTTCATCAGCAACTGTTGTATCTTCTTCCTCTAGCTCGGTAGTATCATATGATTCTAGTGTCTGAGGCGTTGATGAATCTCCTTCGTTGGCTTCCTTCTTCCGTCGTTTTGATTGTCGATGAGATGACACTTTAGATGCATTTGGGTCGTCATATCTGAAAAACAATCGGTAATCGTTCGTTTGCGAGTCGACCTGTGATTAAACTTACACTTTGATTACATGCAATAAGAAACCCCCCGATCCCGAGGTATTCATCGTCGGGTGCGTACGACCTGGCAGAACTTGATAGCGTCGCAGCCATGATTCTGTGATTGATGGTGCAAGATAGCTTGGATTAAGGCGCAATTTCGATTGTAGTTCCGTGAGAGACTGATAATTTGGATATCCAGGTGAACTAGTTCATAGAATAGAAAGCGCAACATACCTGGCTAAATGGGCTCTGAATAACTATGGATCCTGATCCTGCTACATATGGGGCCAAATTCTCTAGGATCTCCAGTGGGTCGTAATCGCTAGCAATTAGAAGCCTAGCAGGCGTCGGAAGAGGTATCATATCGTTTAATGGCACTCACGCGTCATATTCACCAGCAAATAACTCCTCTCTTGCGTTTAGAAGAGTATCTGCAGCAAATTTTCGTTTATCAAGACGAACCCTATGTCGGTCTGATTTTCCCACTTCTGACGATGACTGTTGTGCTACAGCTGTCACTTGATGGGAGGTCTGGAGCATCCACAAAGAATTCAGTCGGGCTCACTAACCTGGTGCATAGTCTTCCTGGGCAGTTGCCCAGTTCAACGATGAGTGTATTTTTGTAACGACATCTTTGCGAAAATTCATCAGGGTCATGACGGGATATGCGGGTGGCGAATCAACGTCGCAAATTGAAATCAGTCGTCCCTCCCCTGCAGACATTAGATCCTCTACTCACGCAGAACTAGCAGCCCTCAGCCACTCACCTCCCAATCTCTCGAGGATTGCAGATACAAGAAGGCCAGACGCCTCGTCAACGGCAATGTACCTGCCCCCCGGGCGAACATTCGCCATATTCAATATTTGTGATAGTGTATCCGGTCTGATATCACGGATTCTGTTCTGGTCTTTTTTGAACCAATGGTCGCAAACATTGTAGATTGTCGGCTCAACCGTACTGAAGGTCTTCGAGTACCTGCTCGGTACATCAATTTGAGTGTCAAAGAATCAGGGATAGCATACTTGGCTTCCTTGCGTTGCTTATATTTTTCCTTGCTATATTCAGTTTTCATGGAATAATTGGCGTGTTGTTCGATCTGAGCCTTTATTATTTCCTGCAGAAATAGTTTATACTGCGCTTCTGCATGAAATATGGTCCTGGACGCACAGAAACATGCAGGCCAGACTTTTTCAACCCTTCAATCTCGTCGAGGGTAAGTGGCTGCACGAATTCGCCATCGTTGATGAGCTCATTCGTAGCATCCGTTTCCTCTTCATTATCATTAGTCCTACAATGAAATCTTGGGAGTGGTTTTCAATTAAATCCCTTACCTACTTCTTGCAGAGTACGAGGCGGCTGCACGGTGAGTTCCTTGCCATGAATCTCATACGTCAATCCGTATGGATGGCCTATCAGCTCGTTTGCGCGAAAGGAGCCGACTCTCCCTATAGAGACAGAGCTTCCCGACTCGGTTCAGTGATGGTAGGAAATGAAACAAGAAACCGCTCACCCATCCTTCTCCACCTTGAAGCCTTTGGTCTCACCATTAGGTAGTCTGAGCAGAACTGTATGTCCTGACTGGATGGTGGTCGCTTTGAATGAGTTCAGGGCACTTGTTGTATCTTCATTGTTAGGGATATCCATGGGCCTTTGCTGTCCCAACAGCCTACTGACGATTTTGGATGGTGGTGTTGCGAAAGAAATGATCCGTTGTGACACCGTGATTACTGATCAAACCGGCTCGATCCTCCTCCAGCAGTAGTGAACACCCATTTTCTCAAAGTCTACATTTCGTCAGTTAACGTGATGAATGCTCAGCATGGAAACCTCAGCTTAGATTCATTGATGGGGAAAGCTCAGGATGTTGCATTCCTTCCAGATGAACTCTCTTACCTCGTAGAAGCTTTCGCGCCTTCTCAGCCAGAATCGTCGCGCTCGAAAGCGTATCTTGTACTCTCTGCGTTCTGTCAAGGAACCCGGTCTCAAAACCCTCAGGAGTCTGGGTCTAATGACTCTGCCACGGACATACTAGAGAAAGTTTTCCAGCCTCTTATCATCTCCCGTCTTTCCAACCATCAGGCGCAGGATGCTATAGTTGTTGGACTCTCTTTCTTCTCTGCCTTATTTCACGTCGACTGGCAGTCCGCTTCTCATGTTTTCGCGCAAGATGGCATGGTCGAATACGTGACGGATGCCCTTGATTTATTTCCATTATCAGCTTCAGTTGCCTTAGAGGTCGCTCGCATGATTGGCCAGGCTAGTGGACACAAGGCATGCCGGGCTCTGATACCCGAGGAAATCATCGCCTGGCTTGGGAACAAGTCCCGTCAGGCTACAGACAAAAACTTGCGCGCAGCAGCAGCTATCGCCCTCGTGAAATTATCTCGAGGGGCAGCAACGGATGCCTCAGAAGGCACAGATGCGTCTCAGGCGGCGTCACCTACCTCCAAGGATATGGAGCTAGCCAACTTGCTGAAGCAAATGGTCATCAGTGACAAGGACTCTCTCTCCTCCCTCAACGACGTCATTGAAGGCCTTGCATACCTCAGTATCGAACCAGATGTCAAACAGACCCTGGCAAATGACCCCAAGTTTTTGCAGCAGCTCTTTACACTTGTTCCTAGACGTAAGCTTCTGCCCACATCCGCCAGCAATTCCAGCCTCCTCTTTGGCATTCTTCTCATCATATCCAACCTCTGTGCCTACCGGCCTCACCTCAGTCAAGAAGACGCTCAGGTCGCTAAGCTGAAGCGCATGGCAAAGGCTGGTAATGGATCCAAGACAACGGCCGAGGAACCACCAAATGCGCTGGAAGATGATGCTGCAGTCAGGTCCAGGTGCCGTCAAGTTCTTGCAAGTGGTGCTCTTGATGTCTTGTCTGTGGCTTCTGGTGTAGAGAGCCAAGGCATCAGACTTGCATTGGGTAAAATCTACCTAAGCATCGTGGAAGACAAAGATAATAGAGGGAAGGTCCTTCAGAGTGGAGGTGCACGGAGTCTCTCTCGTGTTATACAGTCGTCGTCGTCATCCACACCGATTGATGCCCCCTTCCTCCCTGCGATTCAAGCTTTGGCAAAATTGACCATCACATCTTCCCCCCTTCAAGTCTTCGGGCCCACTGATGGTGCTATGCTTGATGCAATACGGCCCTTGTCACAACTGCTTCTTCATTCATCCTCAAATCTCCTACAACAATTCGAAGCCTTAATGGCCTTAACAAATCTTGCTTCACAAAGCACAGGGTGTGCCGATCGCATGTCTAGTACTCCACACCTTCTCTACAAAGTTGAACTTCTCATGCTGGAGGACCATACGCTCATCCGTCGGGCAGCCACTGAGCTGATATGCAACCTTGTTGGGGGTGCGGAGACGGTCTTTTCCAGGTATGGCGGTTCTCCAGATGTTCATGCAACGAAGTCCAAGTTACAAGTACTTCTTGCGATGTCGGACATGGATGACTTGCCTACGAGACTCGCTGCGTCGGGTGCTTTGGCCATAGTGACCAGTGCGTCTACCGCTTGTCAGGCAGTATTTGAACTTCAGCTGGATCATCACCGAGCATTTTCGAATATTGCACGTCTTATTGACCCGTCTGTCACTCTGGAGGATGACAATCCTGAGGATGGCGAAACAGTCGGAGATCCAGGCCTTGTGCACCGCGGAGTCGTATGTCTTCGCAACATTCTCAATCCTCAGTACGCCCTCCCTCGCGTGCCGCTTGCAGAGGAAGTGGAAAAGGCAGGCTTGGTGAATGTCATGGCCAGATTGTTGAAAGGTGAACTTGGATCATTTGACACTACGGTCACTACTCCTGCTGCTGAGATTTTGAGGCGTCTTATTGAGCTTAAAACATCAGCGAACAACTAGTACACTGTCTGATAAACTGCGTAGGGACTGTATTGTTGTTGTGGAGTACTTTACGAGGGTAGTGCCTCGATGAGTCGATTGGTACTTTCAATACCACCGGGTTTGCCACGGGTATTGCCGTTCTTTGCCGTGCCTGCGGACTTCTCCCAGCCGTTACTACAACTTTACCACCTTCCCTCATTCAAGGTAAGGCGGGTCAGCCATGGTGAGATCCAAATTACCTTGAAACGTTCAGTACTTGACCTGCATGCACGTGTAGGCTATATCCAAGAAGGCGGGCAAAAAGACTGCTCCGAAGTCAGCTGGGGCGACTAAAGTTGCCAAGGTGCGCTCTCAGGCATCGATACACCTACGGGCAGCCGTGATTTCGGTACAAACAGGCAGACTGGAAAGAAGGATTCAAGAAGAAACAGGCCGGAGTATCCGATATGACTCTTCTGACAACTATCGACAACGATAGCATCAATGACAACCTTAAGAAACGTTGGACCGGCGGAGAGATCTACACTTACATCGGCAGTGTATTGATATCTGTTAATCCCTTTAAAGGTGAGGCCTCATCTATTCAAATATCATTTTCTGATGTCAGTGTGAAATGCTGCTCAGATCTAGGAATCTATACGGATGAAACCTTGCAGAAGTACAAGGGCAAGAATCGACTCGAAGTTCCTCCGCATGTATTCAGCATCGCAGAATCTGCATACTATAACATGAATGCATACCACGAAAACCAATGTGTTATTATATCTGGCGAGTCCGGTGCTGGAAAGACCGAGGCTGCGAAGCGCATCATGCAATATATTGCGGCCGTGTCCGGAGGGGAGGATAACAGTATACAGGAGATCAAAGAAATGGTGTTGGCTACGAATCCTCTATTGGAGAGCTTCGGTTGTGCAAAGACTCTTCGAAACAATAATTCAAGTCGTCATGTGCGTGAATCATTGTTTTACATATGCACATTGATGACAGTTTTACAGGGTAAATATCTAGAGATCATGTTCAACGACCACGGCGAGCCGAACGGGGCTCAAATTACGAATTATCTACTTGAGAAAGGCCGAGTGGTAGGGCAGATAGAGAACGAGCGCAATTTTCACATCTTCTATCAATTCACGAAGGCTGCTTCGGAGGAGCAGCGAGGTGCGTCTTACATGTCCGTCTATGCCGAGTTCTCATGAGAATTTGTAGAGCAATTCGGGTTGCAGGGCCCAGATGCGTATTCTTATACCAGCATGAGCAACTGCTTAGACGTTCAGGGTATCAACGATTCAAACGACTATGCGGACACGCTGGTGAGTATTTGCCTGTTGTCCTATAATAGTACTTAAACATGGTCAGAATGCCATGAGGATCATTGGCCTCAGTGATCAGGAGCAGAACGAAATTTTCCGGATGCTCGCAATTACTTTATGGCTCGGGAATGTGCAATTTCAGGAGATGGATGACGGAAATGCGACTATCTCTGACACCGGAGTGACGGATTTTATTGCATATCTCATGGAAGTAGACTCGGCGATGGTTCAGAAGGTGCTGACATCCAAAGTCGTCGAAACTCAACGAGGCGGACGACGAGGTTCGGTATATGACGTTCCCCTGAATCCCGCGCAAGCAACCGCTGGAAGGGACGCACTCGCAAAAGCGATTTACAACAATCTTTTCGAGTGGATTGTTGCGAGAATCAATGTGTCCATGAAGGCTCGAAGTGCCACAACACAAGTGATTGGTATCCTGGTATTTGACGTTGTTGTTATCGGTTTAACAATCATTGAGGCATTGACAGGATATCTTTGGTTTCGAAATTTTCGAGGTATGACAAGATTTTACGCCTAAAAGTCACCCCATTCACGGACTCTGCAGGATAACTCTTTTGAGCAATTATGCATCAACTATGTCAACGAGAAACTTCAGCAGATTTTCATCGAATTGACGCTTAAGACCGAACAGGAGGAGTACGTGAGGGAGCAGATCAAGTGGACTCCGATCAACTACTTTAACAACAAGATTGTTTGTGATCTCATTGAAGAGCGTAAACCCCCTGGAATTTTCGCCGCGTTGAACGACGCCTGCGCAACAGCCCACGCCGATCCAGCCGCGGCAGATAACAGTTTCGTGCAGCGGACGGCCATGCTATCTTCCAACGCCCATTTTGAAGCACGTGGATCGCAGTTTCTGGTTCGTCACTACGCCGGAGACGTCATGTACAACATCTCTGGTATGACAGACAAGAATAAGGACGCACTCGTGAAGGACCTCTTCGATTTGGTCGGTAGTAGCGGCAACCAGTTCCTCCAGACATTATTCTCCGACCGACCCGATCCCTCGAGCAAGAAGAGACCGCCCACTGCTGGTGATAGGATTAAGGTATTTTACATTGCAATTATCAGTCAGGATGGCTCATTCACACCCTGGAAAGGCGTCAGCAGGTGCCCTCGTGGATAATTTGATGAGAGCTCAGCCTTCTTATATTCGAACGATCAAACCAAACCAGAATCGTAGCGCAACTGAATATGATTCCAAGGCTATATTGCATCAAATCAAATACCTCGGATTACAAGAAAATATTCGTGTTCGTCGCGCAGGGTTTGCGTATAGGAACACCTTCGAAAAAATGGTAGAACGATTCTACCTTTTGTCGCCTTCAACATCGTACGCTGGTGAATATACGTGGCAGGGAGACACGAAATCGGGTTGCGAGCAAATTCTCAGGGACACGGGGATAGCCAAGGATGAATGGCAGATGGGGGTCACAAAGGCTTTTATCAAGAATCCCGAAACAGTGAGTACGCCATGCAATGACATCAAAATTTGAAATCGACGTTGTCAATATCAGCTGTTTGCCTTGGAGACTATGCGCGACCGTTATTGGCATAACATGGCAGCCCGTATTCAGCGAGCCTGGAGAAACTACTGGCGGTATAAGAATGAGTGCGCTAGACGCATTCAGAGGTTCTGGAAGAACAACAAAGAAGCCCTCGAATATGCCAAAGTCCGCGACTATGGTCATCAGGTGTTGGCAGGAAGGAAGGAACGCAGGCGTTACAGTCTCCTCAGTTATCGTCGTTTTCTGGGCGACTATCTTGATGTCAATGGTAAGAGCATCGTTGGCTCTGACCTGCGCTCCGCCTGCGGTCTTGGTGGTGAGATATCTAGTTTTTTGCTTGGTTTTGTTATCTCACATGTAGTACAGCGGAGCAGGCCACCTTCAGCTCGAAAGTACAGATATTAGTGTCCAGATTGGCTCGGTCCAGCAAACCCGGCCCACGTTTCCTTGTAGTGGTACGTATTAACGTACTTCACTGCCTTACCTCGTCTGACATGCGTCGTGGTAGACTGCAAAGGCTGTGTACATCGCGGTAACTTCTAATAAGGATGGTCAGATACACACCTCCCTTGAACGCAAGATTCCCTTGATTACTATCAAAAGTATATCAATGTCTAATTTAAGGGATGATTGGCTGGTTAGTCCCTTATCCTTTCTCCGGCATGTCGCTAACACTATCAGGCATTAAACTGCAATGCCTCTGAGGAGGGTGATCCCGTCCTTCATTGCCACTTCAAGACGGAGTTGACCGCGAATCTTCTTACGCTCACGCAAGCTGCTATCAACGTCGTGATTGGCCCGTCGTGCGTGTTTTATTGACCTCACTTTACAATTGTCTCACTTGCGGGAAAGGATCGAATATGCGAAAAAGAAGGACAAGAAGGCACAGATTCAGTTTGTCAGGGACGAGACGGTCACAAAAGATGATGTATACAAGAGCCACACTGTGCACGTCCCATCTGGCGAACCTTCATCCAGCACCTCTCGACCGGCTGCAAAGAGAAAACCTGGTATTGTTAGACCGATCACCCAAGGAAAGCTCCTTCGTGCTGGCGGTCCCTCGGATGTGAGTTTATATCGGATTGTGACTTCTGTCTTCTGACGATTGATCTTTTCCAGAAGTCAAAGACTTACAGGCCGAAGCCAGCCGGCCAGCCACTGCCAGGGAGATCTGCTCCACCTGCTGCCGTCAAGTCAACACCGGTGGCGCACCCTAAATCAGTCCCTGCGCGTCCTACTCGTAATTCAGTTCCACCGCCACCGCCACCGCCACCGAAAGAACCCGACGTAGAGTTATACAAGGCGAAGTTCGCGTTTGAGGGTCAAGAAGGCGAGATATCTTTGAAGAAGGATGATACCGTGGAACTAGTTGAGAAAGATGACAATGGCTGGTGGCTTGTCAGGAAGGACGGGCAACAGGGCTGGGCTCCAAACAATTACCTAGAACTTGTGCCGCCAAAAGCCAAAGCGGTACCTGCAGCACGCCCCCCTCCAGCTCGACCACCGCCACCAGCCCATGCTACCCCTACTCCAATTTCGAAACCAACTGTTTCGGCCATATCTGCGAAGTCATTGTCAGCAGATGCGTCAGCTAAACCTGTGGCTGTTTTCCCCGGTCTTGCGCCCTTAAACGGCTCCGCGGCGCCTTGGAAGAAGTCTGCCGGTACATCTGTTAATGGGTCATCAGGCAGTACACCTGCAAATTCCCGCCCTTCAAGCTCACTAGGCGCAAAACCCCCTCCCCCAGTGGCCACAAAACCTAAACCTGCGCCACCTCCTATCGCGTCGAAGCCAAGCGGTGGCAAGCCTCCTGCTAAGCCACCTATGCCCACTGCTCCACGACCAGGTGCTGGTGCTGCGCCTCCGAGAGCAGTTTCGAAGCCTAGTGCACCTGCTGGTCAGCTGGACTTGGCTGCTGCGGTAAGTAATAATAACTAAGCTGCCTTGAGGATATATCTAATGTAACCACCCAGCTCGCGAAACGTGCTCAGAAGATAGCCGATGACTGATCTATCAATTCATATATATGACCCTCATACAATACCCTTCGATGACTGTTACTTAGAAACGTGGAATTCAGTGTTCGTGTAAACATATTGGATAATGCGATGCGTGAATATGCTGGTGGGGTATCGAGGAATGATTCCGAGGTCTACATGATGAAGCATTGCAGGACGTAGAGCGTAATGAACGTAACACCATAAACTTATAAAGACTCGGAAGAAGGCGTAATTCTGATTGGAGGTAAATGAGTGGGTGGTGGTTCCAGGGTTAGTTCGTCGACCTCATCCTCCGAGAGGTCATCATCACTATCAGGTACAGCAACGTGTGACGGAGAGACGGGGATTATAACCTGATCCTCCCTACCGTCCCCTCTGTTGCGGCCATCAAGAATGGCGTCAGACTCCTGCCCTGAATCTCTCCATGTGCGGACTTCATCGGCATTCAAGACCTTCGTGGAGAGGCCCTGCCGGAAATCATCGGGAGTGCTTTCCAAAGCTTTCTTGCCTGATTCCAGAAGCCGGTCTAGGATATCCTTCACCCTTGCATAGACTTCATCGCCAGCCCCATCATCACCCTCCTCACTATCGTCATCAACCACTTCTTCTTCTTCGCGGTCATGGGACTCAACAGCCCTGAATGCTCTGGGGGGGAGAATGAGTCTGGATTCGCGAAGCTTCCGCTTCAGGTCCCGAATCTCTTTAGCTTGACGGTTCTTCGTAGTTTCAAGTGATGCATTGATAACGAGAAGGGATTTATTCGTTATTTCCAAGTCGGCAATCTGAATACAAGTCAGCTCGGTAATTAAACGTAGTCAATGGGATGACCTTTCGATTAGACTTGGCAGCAGTCCTCGCCTTGTGCTCCGAGTTTTCAGAGTCAAGATCGCTATCCCGATCTTGGCTAGATCGTCGGCCATTGGTTGTGGGCGAAACCGTGCCATCCTGATCGCTGTGACTAGAACGAAGATTGTTGAGTCGAGCAAATTCGGTATCCGAACGCTTGCTTATGTGAGAGTTAAGCGTCGACGCGCTCGCATTGCTCTTAGTAGAGGGATCCACAGACAACGACCTTCTAGACACGGACGACTTTGAAGATAATGATAATGCAGATATTGGTGGTGAATGTGGAGGGAGAGGAATGGAAGCGGGGTCGACCTTGGCTTTCAGTACCTGCCTGACTGCTTTCGAAGGTCCTTCAACTGGAGTGAATGTCTGATAAGCATATGATATGGGTGAGGGGGCGCGTCGCGGTGAGGGGTATCTATGCGGATTAGCAGCAGGAGCTCCGGTCGTGATGGGATAAAAAGATGACACAGTGGTCGAATTAGGCGGACTTGATGACGCGTTCAACGAGAAGCTAGAAGCCAGTGAAGGTATGGGTGGTCTTGTATGAGTAGGCCTGGTGGTAACCCATGGTGGGGATAGCGAGCGGGCAGGTTCTGTTTCGATACTATTAGATTTGGCTAGCCGTGAAATCTTGGATTTGATCTTGATGGGAGCAGACGGTGATGCACGGTCTTGGTCGACGCGTGCGGATGGTAGTTCTGAAGAGAGCGGAGTTCGGGGTGATGGAGAATTTCTCCGTAATGCTGAGGTGGACTGGGCGTGATGTAGGGCAACGCTGCCGCTACGGGGTCGGTCTTCCTGGGGTGGAAGTCGCAGCTTTGATGAAACAGTAGTGGACGATCGCTGACGCGACTCCAAAGGAGATGTACTAGACACAGGAGATGTGGCGGTAGACTTGGACGCGGGCCGCGCCGTAACGCGAGCTTTGACGGGATTGGTGACTATGGGAGGCCCGGGACTTCGAATCGGCTTCGAAGGCGAGCCAGGTCGAGAGAAAGTTGCTTTGTTGATGGCATTCAATGAAGCCGAACTTGACAATTTCCGGACAGTCACGTTGGAGCTGACCTTGACTGTCGGACGGAAGCCTGGGGGTGAGAGAGATGACTGAAGCGGTTGCTTAGTCGGTGACGCTGGTCTAGATGATGAATTAAAACGAGGAGATACATTTCCACCGTTGTAGTCGAGTTTCGCAGTGACCTGTTCGCCATGTAAGTTTCATGGACGTAGACAATGTCGTGACATGCTCGGAGCGCGCTCACTTTTCTCTTCAACGGTGGCTCCTTCATGAAACACGCGATGAAAATAAATCTAGTAGTTCGTCAATCGTTTCAGGTGTTGTTACCGCGCGTGCTGCAGCTTTGCAGTTGGTAGTTTACAGTAAAAGAATTGAACCACTAGCACTGTGTCCACAAAATGGTCAATATCGGACATCGACTGTCGGATGTATTTGCTTCAATAGCCGAGTAATACTTATCAATGAAACTAACGTGACTTTACTAGGGCAATGTATACTTGATCATTTGACGTTGAACAGGAGGATAATAGGAAGCTGTTGGTCTAGGCAGGAGGTAGAATTCCCTTGTTAACGAGCGTTTCCTCCACAATCTTCTGGACAAAGGTCCGCATGGCTTCCCCACCACCACCCTCCAGAGCAGCCAACACGCTCTTTTCTACATACTTGCCCACCATGTCAACCTCAATATTTACCCTTTCGCCATCGCCCTTTCTTCCCAAGGTAATCTTCTGCTGAGTGTGTTGGATAAGCATAATGCCGAACGTTCTCTCGGCATCATCGACAGAAGTAACGGTGAGGGATGCACCATCTATAGTGACATAACCCTTAGGAATGATGTAAGGAAGAAGAGAAGGTCTTTCTGCGGTTGGCTCGGGAAGTTGGAGCAAAAGACGCAACGAATCACCGTCAGGAGCTCTCCTGAGAATGATCGCAGTTGTATCAACATGAGCCTAGGATGAGAAATGACTTATAATTGGTTATCAGTGCGCCGCTAAAAGAGCGCACCTGCACGAAGTGACCACCGAATCGAACATGGGCACCCATAGCACGCTCCAGGTTCACCTGGTCACCAACCTTGCGATTACCTTAATTACATATGAGCGACTGTGCATTAGTTTGCCTCTGGTCACTTACCCAGATCAGTCCTGCTGAGGGTCTCGTTGGCTAGCCATATTTTGAAATACCCTCCATCACGCTCGACGTTGAATTCGACGACTGTCAAACAGGCTCCATTAACGGCTATCGAGTCACCAACGTGACAGTCGACTAAGATAGGTGCCGACTGTGATATGGTTAAAGCACAACCTCCATCGTCGCGGTGGATGGCAGACACTGTTCCAAGGTGTTCAATCTGGAGTAGTCAAGTCACAGGGAATCCATAGCGTAGAATTATAGAAATACTTGCCAGACCAGTAAACATGTCGGATCAAACATACAATCAGTGTCACGACGGTTATTACTAAACTCATCCAATTACGACCGTGTCAGCGGATTCAAATTTTACGCTGTTGTCTAGTAGAGTCTCTGTCTCTCCAGCCGAACTCACATGCCTTCCAAGAAATCTGCGGAGCCAGTGGTTGCTAGATCATTGTGGCAATCATACAAAGGTGTGTACACTAATTTTCTCAGATCTGGATCTGCTCAGACAACTTTCTCAAGCTCTCCCAGCCCGAACACGACTATACGTCTCCATGGCTGTATGCACGGTGGGCGCAGTAGGCATGCTTGTGTCTGACCACTTGGAAGAGAAGTATCCAGTGACGCTGCCAAGCACCGCGCCCACCTACTGCACGCCCCCGTCGTCCCGAGACGCGGCAGGTACAACATGAGCAGTAATACAAAGCGATTGGGTGGATAGTGAATGTGGTAGTCGTCGATCGTAATGCGAATTCGGCATGGTTGTGGGTAAAGAATGAACCGGAATATGGGGCAGGGTAGGTGTGGCATGAAGGAGCTACGGGAAAATACCACACTCTACGCGTCTCCGTGGCGGCCGCTACGCGCGGAGAGCTGGCGGTGCAGAGCGCACTGATGGAGATTGTCGGAATCCCAAGGAAGCTCTCGAGCGTCTGATGGAGAGATGTCTTTGATGAGTGATTGAGGTGGCAGGGTAGGGATAGCGTGGTCCGCGGAGTTTCTCATCTCTCCCTCCTTGATATGATCTGTTCCCGTATCAGAACGAACAGACACAAACGATGCTCGCTGTTTATAACCACATTCTTCTGGTCCCGGGTTGACTTCCCAGGTCTGCTTCTCCCAGTCAGGGACGAACTGTTCAACGCCATTTCTTCGGCCCTTGCAGCATAAGATTTCTTGTGCAATCTTCCACCAGCGATCGAAGAACATGCTGGATGTGATCGCTATTGCTATGATCAAAATTGCGATGAAGGCGATCCCAATGATTTTCCAGGTCTTATTGTCAGCGGACGTGTCTTCGGTCATGGCGCTCGATGGGGCTGTTGGGTAACCCGCCAAGCGTGTGGTTGACGTAGGTGCTATTTGTTCCGGAGAAGGCTTTGGAGAGCTTGCGGACGACGTAACACCGAGGCTTGTGGGAGTGATCGTATCGACCTTTCCCACTGAGGATGCCGTCGGGAGGACCGGATCTGTGAGCAAGCCACCCAGATCTTTCAAACCAGGATGGATAGGAGATGAAGGTGAGCTAAGAGGGAACATGTCCGATGTGACAGGAGGCGAGTCTGTGCCAGCAGTTCCCGCGAGTATACTGAGTAGGTCTCTTCCGGAATGCACGCCTAGCGCGTAATCCGCCACTGGGATCTCTGGCAGTGCAACTGCGACTGCGGCAGAGATCTGGATCAGAAGTAAAAGAGTGTGCTGGTACCTCATGGATATTCAGTATGGACAGCTAGACACGGACATAGATGAGCTTTTTACAAAACTCATGTTCGGAGATTTATGTAAACGTGTGCTCGCGACCTTGGTCACGTGGTCAAGAAATCAGTTGGTTGCACTGCACACAAAGCATAGTACACGAACAACCTGTAATATGGTGCGGGCGCATCAGGAAATTTAAATCACTTTTCTAGTCGGAACGGCCTTCATGCAGGAACGAGGCAGGCTTTTTTCATATGTCCAGCTTTCGTGAGAAATAACGTGATTGTTCACCTTCTAAAGCTTGAATTCCTTACACGATCGGCACTGACTTCTCTGAATCCGCGACTTTAAAGGCGTTCAGCCTTTGCTTCGTGGCCTCAAATTATGCATTCTACTCAGGTAGGCGTTTATCGTCCTGCGGGGACAGTGCTGACCGCTACGCAGGAACCGTGGTTCAGCGGGCAACTCAATGGAGTTCCGTTTGGAACGTGGTGTCCCGCTGTTATCATTATCCTAGTGATCGTTACCGACTTCCTAGCGCGCAGGCAGCTTCCAAAAATCATCCAAGCCGCTTGGAGAGCGCTGAGCGCACCTTTTCGCAACTTTATCACTTTGGACGATGTCGAGGGCCCCTTCGACGATGAATTTCCAAAACAGGCTTGGATATGTCGAATGCTTGTCTCTATCGCTCTGGCTAACTCGATTGGTTGGCTTGGATATTTCGGTTATGCCTTTGTCCTGCGAGAAGCCTGGACCGATGCCTTGGTCGCATCAATTGCATGGGTAGGACGTTCAACGTTTTGTTATACGCCAAATTCACGTTGTGATTTTGTTATGGCAGTTTTATACGACCCTGACACTCTTGTGGAGAGCACCGCTCACCCCTCCGTATTTGCTTATTCTATTCGCGCTTTCTCAAATCGCTGCTGCATGTGTTTACTACTTTTCATTGTCGGATCATGCTGCCGGTCCCATTGTCGTTGTATTAGTTCGCATATTAATTTCGGCATCCTTCGTCTACGTGGCTGGCCTTTTGCCACTGCAGGCTGTGCGACCCGCACTCAATGTCGCGAGTTCGACTGACGTCTGTTCGTCTAACTATGCTCTAGAGCTGTTTACTGACACCGGGGACTAGACTCCGTCATCCGGTCTCTCCTCTCCCGAAGATGACGCAAACCTTTGGTCGTGGTGCACTGTTTCATTTATAGAACCCATATTGGACCAGGCAGTGGAAGCGAACCCTGAATGATGACGATGTCTGGTGCTTGTCGCCGTTCTTTCGACACAAGAACTTGTTCAAAAAATGCCTGGATTACCGTTCACGGTAGGCAGCCACTGTCTCTTGTATAGGTCAGTCTCTTACATATAATCAGCCATCCAACGCACTCTCTACTGCGCTTTTTGCTGGTATCTAACTCCCTCGATCTTCTCTTGGATCTTGCATTGGAAATGTGGGGTGCCGTTGTCGGTGCGTGTATTGCGCAGATATAGATCAAGTCTGGGCGGAGTGATATTTTTGATCTGCAGGCTTTGTCCCGGCTTATGCACTCCGGATGATTCTATCATCATTGGATAATCCCACTGCGGACTCAGTTTCGACCGCAAAATACTGGGCTTTCAGTCACATTTGTAGCACATCTGTCTTTTGCGCAGGTCGATCTCTTCAAAAACTGGCACACCCGCCGATGTTATGAACGAACCCGCGGCCAACTCTTCTGTGCTTTACACTATAAAGCACTGCGCCGCAGGGATATTAGCGGCAAAATTTCTAGCGAAGACGAAGAAGCCGGCGCTGACCTTGGAAAAATTGTGAATCTCATGCAGTGCGTTTTGCCCAGGGTTGTGGTCTCCTGTGACTAATTCGCATCTCCCCGAAGAGGCGATGCGTACGCTGTGGCTCAGCGATTTTGGGATTTTGCTGCAATCTTCTCGTCTCCTGTACGGCTTGTGATAGCGCTGATATTCCTCTACAGGTAAGTCACGGATTCTCTGAGATATCGAGCTAAGTAATACATTAGAATATTGGGATGGAGCGCGATATCAGGCGTCGCTGTGATTCTTTTCGCCTATATTTTGAACTACCCGCTAGCGACATACAACATTAAGGTTTGGAGTCTCGGCTGTTTGATCTTCCTTGCTAATATGTATCAGATTACCCGAGCATCATGGAAGGCCAAGGACAAAAGGATGAATGTCGTGAACGAACTACTCCAAAATATCAGATTTTTAAAGTTTTATGGGTGGGGTACGTGAGCAGAAGCTGACGCATGATTCTACTTGACTAACATTTCATAGAGAACCAGTGGGCACGTTCTGCTCATCAGGCACGAGAAGAGGAACTCAACTGGCGGATTAAAGAGAATATCGTCGACACTGTCATCTCTTTTATATGGTGAGCTATTCGTTGTCCAGACTTCACAGGTACATATGGCGTTTGCTAGGACGTGGATACCCTCAGCAACAGCCCTGGCAACATTCTCTTGGTACACTTTGGGCGAACAAGAACAGCTCACGGTATCCAGGGCATTTACTGCAGTCGCCCTGTTCTCACAGCTACAGGAGCCTATGACTGCTCTCCCCGGGCAATTCTTTGCAATGCTTCATGGTTTGTCGTGTGATACTACAGTCGGGTATGCAATTCTTATCTTTTACAGCTTACGTATCGATGCAGCGTATTGAGGGTCTCCTTGCGGAGCAAGAGGTTCCTGAATGGGCTTCATCTCTGTCGACAGTGAATACCGATTCTGAAGCGGATTGTTCAGACATCGGCTTTAACGACGCAACCTTTGAATGGCATGGAGTTCGCAAAGAATCGATGACTGAATCTCGCTTCCAACTTGGACCTCTGGACATCAAGTTTCCGAAAAACAAGTTGAGTCTTATCAGCGGCGCGACTGGTGCTGGGAAAAGTGCCTTGCTCGCAGCGCTGCTTGGCGGTCAGTGCATCCTTGGCGGTCATAGCTCGGCCCTTAGATGCCTTCATTTCAGAAATGCACTGTTTATCCGGCGACGTGTTCATAAACAAGAGGAGACACCAGGTGGCTTACTGTGCCCAAACTCCTTGCAAGTGATGTCAATATAGCGTAGTCTAGTCGCTCACCCCAATGTGCAGGGCTTGAACATGCTACCATCAGGGACAACATCATTTTCGGCTCCAGGCTCGGTTTCGATGAGGAACGATACCATGCAGTCATCGAGGCGTGTACTCTTGAACGCGATCTTGTTGTATTCGAAGCGGGTGACATGACCGGTAGGAGCTCTTTTCCATTCATTATTGCGAAGGTGTTAATTTAAACCCAGAGATCGGCGAGAAAGGCATCACGCTATCTGGTGGACAGAGAGCTCGTATTGCCTTGGCACGCGCAATGTATTCGGAAGCTACTGTGAGTCATCCGCCAGTCCAGTCCTCCTTCTCTCGACTGACCACATCACTGGATAGTGCATTCTGCTTGATGATCCGTAGGCATTTTCCGTCAAGATAAAAAAATATTCCTGAATATTCCTTAGACTCGCCGCCGTCGATATGCATACTGCACAACATATTGTGCAGCACTGCTTGTCTGGGGAACTGGCTCGTGATCGGACAATTATCTTGGTGACACACCATATCAGTCTTTGTTTGCCGATAGCATCCTACGTGGTTGAGCTGTCTCGCGGCAATGTTGCTCGTGCTGGCGATAGAGAGAAATTCCAAGATATCAGAGAGCCCGATGTTCTTAATGAGGTCGACGATGAAGAAACAGAAGTCGCTACTTCTGGAACTCAAACGCCGGACAATGATACCGAGGACGTTCTTCCCAAACAACGGTCCAAGTCCCAGATTGTTAGAAAATTAGTGGAAGCGGAAGTTCGGGCGGAAGGCCGGGTACCTTTCAGAACATATTGGGTTTACATCAAGGCAGCGGGTTTGATGTCCTGGGCATTGACTCTCGTGTTGATGCTCATGATCCGCATGATTAACATTGGAAATCAGGTATGGTTACAGCTTCTTGGTTCCACGTGTTTTACAAACTGTTCTTCAAGGTGTTCTTGGCCAAATGGGGTGAAGCTTATGACGTCTCCGCTTCGTTCTTCCTCCCGAGTGTCAAATATCCTTGGGATGACTTACCTCCCCCCGATGTCCGACGTCAGACCGTGGCTTTTGATTTACCTCTATATCTCTATGGCAGGGGCATTCTCGGTACTGGCTTACATCTCGTTAGGTTACTATGCAAGTCTCCAGGCCTCCCGCTCCCTGTTTCTCAGGCTGCTCGAAAGGCTTACAAGAGCACCAGCCCGGTTCTTTGATACCACGCCTATTGGGAGGATTCTCAACCGTTTCACAACCGATATCAACACCATTGACGGCGCTCTGCAAGCTTCCGCGCGCGCCGCGTTATCAGGTGTCCTCAATTTCTTGGCTTCTTTCACTGTCATAATTGTGGTTATACCGACCCTCGCGCCCTTCGCATTGATAATAGCGTGGTTGTATATCCGCATCGCTCCTCGTTTTGTTCAAGCCCAACGAGATCTGCGTCGGCTTGAAAGCGTCTCTTTGTCGCCTGCGTTTGCCGGATTCGATGAGCTTCTACGTGGCTTGTCACATGTTCGTGCATTTGCAATGGAGTCGAGATACCAAGATAGATTCTACGAAAAAGTGGACAAATTCCAATCATTCGACCATGTATACGTAAGAGATGCATTCAACCTACAATATATCGCATTAACCCCTTTGCCAGTGGCTTGTCAACGGCTGGCTTCGCTGGCGATATGACTGTGCGTGATTTGTCTCTCCTCCATTGTGTTCGACTCGAACGCCTTCTAGGTCTCGGCTCAGTCGTAGTGTATCTCACCACTCTCTTCGCTCTTTCGCAAGGAATTTCCAATGGTTCGGCTGCGGTCGTTATCGTGCAAGCCGGCATCTTTGCAGAGGCATCCCGCCAACTAGTGCGGGTTCTTGCACAGCTCGAGCTTGACTTTAACGCGGTCGAACGCGTGGTTGAGTATCTTAGTGTGCCACAGGAGGCACCCGCCATTATCGAGAAGAACAGACCTCCAGCATACTGGCCATCAAGCAACGGTCAGTTGGTTGTCGACAACCTGGTTGTCAGGTACAACCCTGACCTACCAGACGTGCTCAAAAATATCTCATTTGTTGTCCAACCGTCTGAAAAAATTGGGGTGGTGTGTCGCAAATTCTTCGAACGTCTAGTGTCGTAATTTGTTCATCATTCTCGATAGGTGGGAAGGACAGGCTCTGGAAAATCAACCTTGGCTTTGTCCTTGCTGCGCATGATAGAAGCCAGCGCTGGAAGAATAATGTATGTCCCTATTGGTGTCACTCCTGGTTCTAGCGTCTTAATACTTTTACAGCATTGACGGAATAGATATCTCGACAATTGGCCTCGAAGATCTTCGGTCACGCATAGTGGGTCGATTAATCTGGTCCCTTAGGAAATTGCTAATATGTGCACAGACCATCGTTAGCCAGGACGTTTCATTATTTTCTGGCACTCTCAGAAGCAACCTGGACCCATTCGAGGAGCACACCGACCAGGAATGCTGGGATGTGCTCGAGCGATGTCACCTAACGAGGCTGCTCAATCGGGCGGTTGAAAAAGGTGGCTTCACCCTTGAGATGCCAATTAGCCAAGGTGGCTCGCTCAGCGCAGGAGAGAGGCAACTGGTTGCACTCGCTCGGGCAGTCCTGCGAAAAACTAATATCATCATCATGGATGAGGCAACGTCTCAGATAGATTCGCGTTTGGATGACCAGGTTGGTTGGCAAGTAATTTCAGTCCTGCGTCTTACCAGCGTACACATAGATCCAAACGACAATTCGTGAAGAACTTTCGAGTGCGCTTATTATTACTATCGCGCATCGTCTCAAGACGATCATCGATTATGACCGCATTTTAGTACTTGATGCTGGGGAGATTGTTGAGTTTGATGAGCCAAAAGTACTTTTGGCGAAGGCCGGGGGGTCTTTCCGGGAGTTGTGTAGAAAGAGTGCGGACTGGCCCCAGTTGTTTGCTTCCATCCATACACTATCACTAGTATAATCCTCGCTTCCATATTATGTGTTTCTTCAGGGTACGCAATCTTTATTCTGCGGGTTGACGGCAGCGTGGAGAACGACGTTAACCTGCGTAAACGATAAGGCTCGAGTCAGTCCCACGTTCAAGATTCAAATCATGACTGGAACGTTCAGGAAAACCAGGTATTAATCTCATGCCTCTCTTAAGAAGAGCATTCGTATAGAAGAGAACCAGTGTTCATCGTGATTTAAGAGAGCAATATCTTATACTTACCTTGAACTTCAAGTTGATCGAGTCGTGAGCGAGAGCCAGCGGAGTCTGCCGGACTTATAATACTTCAAAGCCGAGGATACTACATACTTGGCAAATTGGTGTACCAAAACGGATGGATTCCCGGTCGCGGTATGTAATGCTGGTTGTGGCGTCATTGCAACGCTGTGCCGAAACCTGTTCTCATTTCCACCACCATCCATCCCCTTGCTCAAGCTCAGGCCTTTGCTACAATGTCTTCCAGGGAGTCAATGTGGTATTGTCATGAAGTTCGTTCCTTTAGAAGAATTTGCATGTTTTTTATTAACATCTTTTAACAGTGTCATGCTGAGATGAGACCACTCATGGTTAGCAGATCGTCAGCTGAAGGCTTCTATTGATGTTAATGTATGACGATGTGATCTGATAGCAACCGGATCCAATCTGTGCATCATGTCATGGCTCATTCGTTGAGAAGGTGCGTACCCTGATCTTCGTACTCAATGACAACGTCGTATCATAATCTTGTGCAGATAGAGGATCCAAGCGATGATCCTCGGGAATATCAGCAACATGCTCCGAGAGGCTCCGACGACGAAATGCCCCCGAATTTAGGTGGCTTGCTAGGTTCGCGTCTCTTTATGTATGCAGTTCGTGATAAGTAAGACCTTACATATAAGAAAACGTACACAGCTGCATTGTCGGGAAATCGTCGACCTCGTTCACCTACCTTCCCTCGTAGCTCTGAGGGTGGAACGGTTGGCTATTTTCTATACGCGCTGCATGTCAGCTCATAATCTGAGCAGGGTGACATCCGCTTTGAGTTTCATAGTGGGCCCAGTGGTGCCACAAGAACCTTGTTTCTTGGAGGTCCCAACACCCTCAATCGTCCACACTCTCCGGAGCAGCGCGATCATGATGTCCCAACCATGTCTGAGTACGTCGACTACGATCGTCTCCAATCTTATACACATAATTTGGTGTAGGTTCCTGCGTCGTGAAAATCAAAGTGATCCACGACAGCCCGGTGACATCACTGGTCCAATGATGGCCCAATATCTACTGGCTTTACTTGGACACGGTCCCATCGGTAGAGGAATGGACCCTTTTACAGAACTGTTCACCCTTGGTCCTGAAGGAGGGGGACCGAGTGGACGATGGGGTGACTATGTTTTTAATCAAGAGGGTGTGTACCTCCCTCAAACGTTTTTACAAAGCCTGAGAGTGATCGGGTAGCATTGGATCAAGTGATAACACAGATAATGGAAAATTCGGCTGCACGGCCTGTTCCAGCAACAGAAGAAATCATCAACAATCTCCAACGAGAAATGCTTGTGGAACGATGTTGGTCATTATCCATCGCATCCATCACTTTCACTACTCACTTTCATATGTTTTCAGCCCCATTATTAGATAGAGATTGCGCCGTATGTAAGGAACAGTTTCAACTTGGAACTGAAGATCCGGAAGAGCAGGTTATCGTGACTCTTCCATGCAAGCACCCATTTCACCAGCCTTGTATATTGCCATGGTTGAAATCTAGTGGGACGTGTCCTGTTTGCCGGTGGGTCATTTTGTTATGTCTATCGTCATCATCGTCTTACGCTGGGGAAAAGGTATGCTCTTATAGAGCAAGCACAACCGGCGCGCTCACCAGGCAGCCCCCCGGGACCAGGAAGCGGCCCCAGTGTTCGCCCAACAAGTTCATCTTCAGTTCCATCACGTCCACGATCGCCCGGGAACTCAGGTCGTAGTGGGACTGGTGGAGGATTATTCCAGTCATTATTTGGGGGAAGCTCGGGCAGCTCGAGAGCGGCCGGCGGTTCTTCATTTCAGTTCAGGAATTCAAGTTCAAGAGGAGCGCGTCGCGCGGGAATGTCCAATGAGTCCCCGGACAGTACGCCGTCTTTCCCTGGGCGCTGGGACGAAGAAACAGACTAATAGTGCCTTGTCTTCGTTTGTCAGACCATGCGCGGAACACCTCCGTTGAATGGAATCGACTTTTTATGCATTCTGTTTCAAGAAGTCCTGGTAGCCTATCTAGATATGGACATTCTTCTTTTTCCTTCTTGCAAGTTGTAAATATAAGCATGTTATCACATCCATAGTACTAAGTAGGAGTTGATCACGGGGAAGTTGACGGTCCAGCATAGGATTACCTAAGCGTTGCCAGCGTCTGGGACGAGCTGCGGACGGAAAATTCTGGGGACGGTCGAAAATGTAGTTTCGTTGAGCTTCCTATGCGTTTCCTGGGGTGCGATCGCGCTGCGGAGAGCTTGCACGACGTTTCGCCACCGTGCGGAGTCCTGGTAAGCGTTGCCGAGCAGGATTCGAAAGGAACTGCAAATTTCTCACCTGAGTCTGCGGCTTCGAGTCGAGAAATTGACGGTCCCAACTCCGCTCGGGTTTGCAGTCCCAATGCCAGCAGTCACAAATTCACGGCAACCGTCCTGGCAGTGCGCTCGCCTCGCCGGCACTTACCAATACATTCTCAGGCACTTTCTCGTGCTCATCCCGACCTCCCAGACACATTTTATTGAGTGTAGATACTTCATGAACACATGACCGTCAATTTTTTATACGAAGTAGAGCTGATCACGAGCAAATTGACGGTCCAGCACTGGATTACCTAAGCGTTGCCAAAAGCGGAGGAGGCGCGTCTGGCGGAGGTGGTGGTTCGAAGGAGTCGCGTCTGGGACGAGCTGTGGACGGAAAATTCTGGGGACGGTCGGCGTAGGTAGAGCGGTCGAAAATGTAGTTTTGCTGAGCTTCCGAAGCGTCTCCTGCGGTGCGATCGCGCAGCAGAGAGCTTGCATGACATTTCGCCACCGTGCAGAGTCCTGGTAAGCGTTGCCGAGCGGGATTCGAAAGGACTGCAAATTTCTCACCTGAGGACCGTCAATTTTCCAGTCCGAACGTGCTGATCCCACGCACACAAAGCATGCGGTTCTCCGCGAAATTCTGACAGCTGCAGCTTCGGGTCGAGAAATTGACGGTCCCAACTCCGCTCGGGTTTACAGTCCCAATGCCAGCAGCCACAAATTCGCGGCAACCGTCCTGGCAGCGTGCTCGCCTCGCCGGCACTTGCCATACATTCTCAGGCATTTTCTCGTGCTCATCCTGACCTCCGAGACACATTCTATTGAGTCTAGATACTTCATGAATATATCTTTTCGCCCATCTCAGGACTGTACATCCAGGACTGCAAACCCCACCAAAAGGACCGTCAATTTTTCATACGAAGTGCGAATCACCTGGTATGGTAGTACCAATCAACTAGAGTAGGTTTCAATCACCCAAATCATTGCCGGATTCACCACCCTCCCGACGAGGATTTTACAAGGCATCCCGCATCGTGTTAGCTAGTAATTTACATCTTTTAAATAGTACCTGTTGTGTTGTGCTGCGGAGCAAGGAGAACACCCGAAAAGTCCAAACGTGCACGTCTGGGGGTTAATATAACATTTATTCTTCCCATCTAAGTAGTGTTACTGCAGACTGTGACAGTCAGTCATGTTTCCAGAAGTCGGCGTGCAGACGTTGTGGGAAATGATTTATTTCCACGTACAAATACTTGATATGAAAACCCAATTCTAGGTTAGTTGGTGGTAGCATCAGTGAACGAGGTTGTAGCAAAACCGACACGGGAGTTAGTGGTATCGAAAACGGAGTAGAAGCGCTCGAGGAAAGTCTGGCCATTGATGAAGTCAAGACCTTGACCACTGGGCGTGCCAATGTCAGCAACAACGAGGTAGATGGAGCCGCTGCTACCACCAAGATAAGTATTGAGTGAACGAGGCCAGATTTGAGCATTAGGAGTAAGAGAATAGGTTGTCTGTAATCAAAAGAAGGTGTGTAAGGGCATTAACGCGTGAAACAGGAAAGACGCACCTTTCCAATGTTGAAATTCAAGTTCTTGAGGGCATGGTACTGGGTAAGGCTGATGCTTAGAAGATCAGTGACCTGATCCAGAGTAGCGCCGGTTGCAGACTGGTACTTTGTGTAGGCGTCTATCGAACACTGATTAGATTGAGATTGCTCAATGTACTCGAGACACGCACCGGTGGCTATATAGATGAGTGTGGTGCCAGTATCGACGATACCAGCAGTCGTAGACAAGATCGTCGTGGAGCCGTACATGATGCTCTCGTTGATACCCCAGTAGTGGGATGCATCTTGGGTGGTGGTGAGAGGACTGGAACAAAACAATTGCTGTCAGTCTGGTTTGTTCTCGGAGCTACACAACTCACGTATATGCAATGGAGCCGCTGTACTTGGTGGCGTCAGTTCCACCAAAGGTGAGCTCACCGTTGGTGACCTTCTGCGACGTGGTGGGCTCGAAAGAGATACCAACGATGATATGAGAAATTTTGCCCTGGTTGTACAGGTTCTGAGTGACAGTCGGGATGGACGTCGTTTGTTCATTCGTCAAGGTACCCTCTGTCAAGCCGAGAGGCCCGATGCCAAGGATGCCGTCAACACCAGTGAAGCCGCTCGATTCAGAAGCAACACCAATCGATTGGTTGGTGATGGTGAGCCCACTGCCGAGAGTGAGAGTGTCGGTGTACTCAGTTCCTATAGATAATCATAGATATTTTCAACTTGTGATATCTTTGTATGTCATACCAGAAAAGTAACCAGAACCGTAGCCGACCGACACAGGCTGACTAGTATTGATGCTGGTGCCGGTCTTTACGTACGCAGAGCCGGAACCAAGCCAAGTATTCGAGCTACCAGTGTCAACAATCAAGTCGTCTGTACAACGATCCATTAGCAACCGCATGTTTTTTCTCTACCTTAAACTTACAAATTGTGGCAGGGCTGCCAATGCCAACTTGTGCGATGTAGGAGACAGCCTCATTTATGACAGGAATGTTACCAGCACGGCGGTTGAGCGTGCTGGCGGAGCGGTCCTTAATAGCGGCCACGCGAGCTTTATCGTGCTGTGAAAGGTTGATGGTACCACCGGAGGTGTTTAGCCTCCTAACGATGGGAATGGTGATGGGGGAGTTGCGAACTTCAACGGGTGATCCTGCGATGGACAAAGCCAGGAGGAGAATAGCCAACAAGGATGCAGCCGGGAACATAATTGACTGGTGCTCGAAGGTGAGGATAATACCAGATTCTATGGCCCAATTATATATGTGCTGGCGAACGTGAATGTATTTGGCAGTGCCTGAAAAGTGAGCATACGTTCAATGTCGTGCTCAGGACGTTTATGCCGTGCTAGGACATGCCCCTTCATGTGGAGAAAACGATGATAAGACAATCGCAATCCAATTCGATCCGTTTTGCGCACAACTTCGAGGATTCGACCTCCTGATCTCAATTAATATACGCGGACAAATACTTTGTTTTGGACCGCAAGCAACAAGAAGTTGTGGTGCACCCACGAGGACATATGGAACCACCTGTTTACACATGGATCACGTTGACAAGTGAATACCTCGCGTTAATTTCCATTGTGACGCTCGCCCATAACAAATACACCTTGGAGTGGGAGGGAGTAGAGTCAGTGCCAGGTTGATGAGACAAGCGTTGCTGAGGAGGGCAGTTATCCTTAGTCTCCCGTAGTCGGTCCCCGAAAGAAGGAAGATAAACACGTGGCGTTGTTACGTTCATGCTGTATTAAGCAAACGAAGATGTTCGCCATTTTCTGAGGCACGAGGAAATTTGATGGAATGGTAGAAGAAGTTTGTGGTGGCTCGTGGGCATAATAGATACATACCGTACTATCATAGTATGATGTAAGTGGGAAACTTTGCCGGCGGTTTGTCGGGTCGACATGACTACATAGCTAGTAGTCCTTCCACCAGTTTCTCGACTAAAGAGGAAATCAGCGCAGATGCCCATCTCGTAGCGGCGCACATCTCACCTGGAATCACTAGGGCCTCCCTATAATGCATGGGCCACCTGCAGCACCTCAACTTAGAGTCTTAAAATCAAGTGTTGCAGCATACCTCATATGCCAGCAAGGAGAAGCTTGTCCGTGAGAAGCATGACCTTCAATGGGAAAGGGAAGTCCACTGGCAGATCGTTGATATTCGTTTTTCAAGGACAGCGCACTGCGGTATCATCATCAAATCATCATGCATGAATGCGTCCAGTGCGGATGCCAAGTGTGTGCACCCGGCGACAATCAATATCAATGTTAGCACCGCGGTCTCCCGAACCAACTGTTCCTCTGATATATCACTTGTGTTTCTGCAGTGACCACATTCGAGCGTCCTTCCAGGATATCCACGTGCACAATTGGATATTCCAATATCAACTTCCGAGCATCCCTGACCCCGTCTTGTTTGATTCACTTCCCGTTTCGTGTAATCAGTCTGCCACTCGTCGAGGAACAAAAATGTATCCCCCTCCAGAGGCGGTCGAACTGGAGGCGGCGACATTGGAACTGGAGGTTATAAGTCGAAGTAATGTCAAGTGGTAGAGAGAAGAAATGTCATTAGGGGAGGAAACTTGTAACTGTGGCCACCGACACAAACATAGCCAAACGGACCGAGGGCCGGAGGAAAATAAATCCCATTTTGGGTCCAGGGATATCCTAGAGGTTAGGCATTCCCAGGTTCCTCCTCCTGCCTCCGAGTCACCATAGCATCCCCCCAGGCTCCTCCTCCTACCTCCGAATCACTACAGCATCCCCTTGCCACCTGGCTATTCTCTTGCATCTATGTAGTATCTTGGCATACCGCCTTTTCATGATATGGGAGCTTGTGTAGCCTCCACAGGGCTGATATGTGTACTACAGTAACCCTGGGCTAAAACAAATCCGCTTTTTTGCTCCTTCAGGAGGGGATCGATTCCATGATGGTATATGGCATGCATTACTAAGAGTGTAATGTACCACTTGCTTGAGCCTCTGAAGTGTCCTACATATGAGTTTTCATACCCCTGAAAGCAGCACTTCAACCAGACACTCAGTCAGTGGCCCTGGAGGAATGCTGGATACTCATCATAGAAAGTTCGCATCGATAACACTATCAGATTGAATCACGAGTGAAGCTTACAGCTGGTTTCCTAGTTCCTTAACTCCGAGTTACACAATCTGCCTCCCCAAGTGCCGTACCGTGACTCAGTACTCATTCACAACAACTTTTCGTAGACGGTGTGGTAATTATTAACATGTTCCATTTTCTAGCGATTCTCGTGCATTTCGGGGTTTCCACCACTCCGTTACCCTGTCCAGTCATTCTTATTTGACTGAATCATCTTGCTGGTTTGCACACACGAGAAAATCTCCCCTGGTTATATATCACGGAGGGGTCCAATGACAAGCTGTCTTTGATTTGAGGTCACGTCTCGACTTGAAGGCGCTTGCACATTCGTTCAACTCAACAAGCTGGCGACAACAATGAACCGAGTAATTTTCGTGTGATCTCAAGTGACAGGCCAAGGCACCCCCAAAGAATGCGAGAACCCGTCGACCGCATACAAGCGTACGAATCACATAATGATTAAGTAGTAGGTGCGCCGTGATATCTCCTTCTCGCTCCCCCTCAACTTGTCGATGTCACACAGTTGAAGACAATCTATGTTTGATCACACACGTATAGCTATGCATGGTCACAAGTCGCCGGTATTTATGCACACATATATTGCGGAAGGGCTTGATCATCACGATCAGTAAGTCATCGCTAGATTGATCATTAGACGCTTATTATCCGGATTAGAAAACTATTCGTCCTGCGTTATGGCCGTTCTGAATGCAGATGCTTAGAAACTTCCTTCAAACAGCACTCCGCGTGTTCGCACGATCCTCCGGTCAGCTACTCCTGTCACATACAGAGTTATTTCCAGAAGGCAACTTGGTCAGAGGTTGTGAAAAATATTATATTTGCTGAGATACAAACACCTAATACCCAACCAAAAAAAAAATCTAAATTAGTTGGTGGTGGCATCCGTGTACGAGGTTGTGGCAAAACCGACACGGGCGTTGGTGGTATCGAACACGGAGTAGAAGCGCTCGAGGAAAGTCTGACCGTTGATGAAGTCGAGACCTTCACCACTGGGTGTGCCAAGGTTGTTGACAATGAGATAGATGTAGCTGTTGCTACCACCAAGATAGGTGTTGAGGGCACGAGGCCAGATCTGGCCATTAGGGGTGAGAGCGTAGGTGTTCTGTGCTCAAGAACCGGTAAGCAAGTGGATTAACGATTGCAACAAAGATGACGTACACTGCCAACATTGAAGTTCAAGTTCTGGAGGGCGTCGTACTGGGTGAGAGTAACGCGGAGAAGACCAGTCGTCCGATCCAAAGTAGCACCAGTTGCAGACTGGTACTTTGTGTAGGCGTCTATCGAACACTTATTAGATTAAGATCAATCGCTGTACTTGAGATACGCACTGCTGGCAAGGAGGATGAGGGTAGTGCCAGTGTCAACGATACCAGCAGTCTCAGCCAAGATCGTCGTGGAGCCGTAAGTGATGCTCTCGTTGATACCCCAGTAGTAGGATGCAGGGTAGGTGGTGGTGAGAGGACTGAGACAAAACAATTGCCGTTAATCCGAATTGAAATGTTGATCTCAGAGCTACACAACTTACGTATACGCAAGGGTGCCGGTGTACTTGGTGGCGTCAGTTCCACCGAAGGTGAGCTCACCATTGGTGCTCAAAGTCGTAGAAGTGGGCTCGAAAGAGACACCGACGACCATCTCAGAAATAATACCCTGAGTGTACAGGTTATCAGTGACAGTCGGGATGGTCGTTGTTTGTTCGTTCGTCAGAGTACCCTCTGTCAAGTCGAGAGGCCCAATGCCAACGATACCGTCGACACCGGTGAAGCCGGTCGATGTAGAAGCAACACCAATTGATTGCGCGGTGATGGTGAGTCCACTGCCGAGAGTGACAGTGTCAGTGTACTCGGTTCCTATAGGTCAACATAGATATTTCAATTCATGGAATCTTCGTATGTTATGACATACCAGAGAAGGAGCCGGAACCGTAGTCGACCGTCACAGGCTGACCAGTGCTAACACTGGTGCTGGTCTTCACGTACGCAGTGTTGGCACCAACCCAGGTGTTCGAGCTACCGGTGTCGACAATCAACTGGTCTGTACGACGATCCATTAGCAGCCGCATGTGTTCTCAACATTAAACTTACAGGTTGTGGCAGGGCTGCCAACGCCAACTGCTGCGACGTAGGAGACAGCCTCAGTTGGTGACAGCAATGCTACCAGCACGGGGGGTGAGACTGCTGGTGCCAACATTCTTGAGGGATGCCGCACGAGCTTGGTCATGCTCCAAGAGATTGATGGTACCACTGGGGGTGTTTAGCCTCCTGGCGATAGGGAGCGTGATGGGGGAGTCGCGAACTTCAACGGGCGATGCCGCGATGGACATGGCCAAGAGGAGAGTCGTCAACAAGGATGCAGCGGGGAACATGATTGATCAGTGCTGGAAGGTAACGATCATACCAGATTTCGTAGCCCATTATATATGTGCTGGTAAACGTGAATACACTGCTGAAAAGTGAGCACATGGTTAATCTCATCCTCAGAAAGCTTAACCGTATGGAACGCGCCCCCGTGAAGAAACCGAAAACAGGAGTAACTAAACAATCGACCCGTTGACCCGTTGTGCACACAACCGACATAGCGGGACGAGTAGCCTGTTTTTAACCGTGAGTAAGCATCCATGAGGGCACACGGCTCCACTGTTTATTCATGGACCAAGGGTTAGTGAGTAATTTGCATGGTGGAGCCCGTTCACCACGAGCACACCTCCAAGTGGCAGTACGGGCCTATCTCACATTGAAAGATTTGTTACACTGACCGGATTACAAGAATACCTGCCGGCTCTACACAGAACGTGGAGTGTTGCTATGAAAAGAGATAAGACAGCATGTTCCCTGGAGCATATGCACAGCGACTGATTCCTGAGACATCAATTCGGGGCGATTTTTTGAAGAACGAAGAAATTTGATGGAATAGCAAGCAACGAACCAGACAGCACCGTTAAGTCAAAACTCGTCTATTCGATATGAATCGTGATGGCACCAATATTTTGCCATAATCACCGCCATAAGGAAGTGGGGAAATTTGTGCCGCGGCCGTATGGCTTTGTTATGCCAGGATCCATCGGTACTACTAGTACTATGTAGTCCTTCCCCGGTTGTTCCCCGGAACCCCGACCACTTCCGCTTAGTAAGCCCTGCAAGTAGTAATCCCTCGAGTGTCCTAGCTTCTAGTAGTAGTAAGTGGCTCAACAGCTCAACAAGCAGACGCCATCGAAACTTATTTGTGAGAGTCTATGTCCCTAACATCCATGTGTTTGCGAAGCAACGAGTCGCAGTCATACTACGTGATTTTTTCCTCATTATCACTTAGTAAATATTGACGATCATCGTGGCCGCCCTGGTAAGTATCAGACTCATGGTGACCACAAGATCACACTTGTCAGTTACTGCTTCTGATAAGCTCTCGCAGTTCCGGCCGACCACTGCTTAATCTGTGCGACCCTACTTTCCCTTTCATGGGAATCTGGATCAAAATCAACATATCACTGCCTATAGCTATGGTTAGTGTATCATAGCTTCAGGAATCTCCCAATTTACCGTGATGCAACACCAAAGAAAATTAGGGGCACATTAATGTGTTACACTGCTTCTTCAGAGTTCAATCGCAAGCGGTGGGACCACGTGAATACCAAGATGTTTTCTAAGAATATCGAGCACAAAATTTACACAAGATGCATGAGTACTTCTCGGGCCCGGCGAGGTCTACTTGGGGATAAAAGCACAATGCATATGATTAGGTCGGAGGAACGGAAAAATAGAAATAGGTATCGCAGTTCGAGTCTCCGACGACCTCATGGAGTTGACATCCTGTGTGGAATGGAGTTCAAGAGCTCATGCAAAGGTACCTTTATTCTCTTTTTAACGCGCTGGCGAGGTGGTTTGGGCATCAATTCACCATGGACGTGATATGCTATTTTCATCCGACTCATTTGCTGGTTGTAAAGATTGCGCTGCGCATACATGGAAACGACCTTACAGCGAGCCTTTGAGTTTTTGATTCAGTGAATTTCCCCCTTGTATCATTTCGCCGGCCGTGCAATAGCCTCGGGGAATGCGATAAGTGAGCCAGGGAAATGCTTGGTGTGTTTAACTACCTTGACCGGACCCCTTGACCGCCACTATCTAGGGTTACATAAATATGTATGAAGTGTTATAAATATTTTCGGCTTGTGACGCACATTAATATTCGACCTACCTCTCAAGGCGATGGAAGAAAAGGACTTGAAACGGCATGCAAAACAGTGATTGACAGCGTATATGTAAATGACTCATAAATGTATATAACAAAATAGCGACAGATAGTAGGAGCTCATACTTGTGCAGACAGCGGAGATCTCAGTACTTGATCGATCAGTACTCTACCGGCAGTGCTCTACAGTAACACGACATCGACGGATATGGTAAGCGGCGACAACGAAATCCCGGGACATACTATAAGCACCAGAGATGATGACGCCATTTTATCAATGGATCTCATTGTCAAGCGAACCGCACTTTCTCCCCCGGTCGACCTTCTGACAGGAGTACAACGGCCTGGATGAAGCAGACGCTCAGTGCATGAAGCCACGACTGCCGAAAATACGCACGTATTTCCCGCTGATCTTCCAGCCTGGCTCTTCCTTGTCTAACTTCTCTGCTATGACGTCCCCATCGTCTCCTAGCCCAACCACGACGTCGCTTTTGATTGTCCGCAAACTGCAAATTTTTGGAGCTCCAGCAGCGCTCGCCATCGGTCCAATCGAAATGTCGAATGGAATACTGGCTGGTGCAGCGCAATCATACGTCAACTTTCTGTGATTCAGATCACCTTTGAAGAAGACGAGATCTGAGCGAGACAGGTGGAGGAAGAGATCTGGTGCTTCGCTGTGAAGGTCCCAGAACGTGTATCCAGTGCACCAGAAGGGATGCTGCTCGTATTGCCATCTGCCATCTTTCTCGTATTGCTATAAAACGTATGAGTGAATCACCACACGCGCGACACTAATCCTACCTTCCACCGAGCCCCGAGCCTACGCAACGACTCTCGCTCAGCCTCGGAGGCTTTCGGGAACAAGTGCCCGTAAACCATTGTATTCAGTAACCACTCCCAATCTTTTCGCGTCACGTCAGACACGAACCATGGATAGCGCTTGCCATGGAATCGGATTTGCTTAGCCAGACCGCTCTGTATGAGGAAATCGGCTGGTAAAAAGCTGTCAATCTCTCCATCATGCTTCGGTTCTTGAACGCACCGTACACGAAATCGCAGTACAACTCAAACCCAGCATTATCCTAATACGAAGTCAATTCGTCCACCAGTCTTTTCACGGAGGACCTTGACAGTCTCCCAAAGCTGGTTTAGATGGTTGCCGAGAATATTCTTTTCAGTGGCAGCGAGATGATCTCCTCCAGTTGACTGAAGGGATTTAATCTGTTCTTCCGTCATGTTGATCAAGAGCGAAAGGTCGGTCGAATTGCCCCACAGACACACTTGCATAACATGTCAGCTGCGAACCTGAGAAATTGTTGTATCATCACCTTGAGTCAACTCTAAAAACATGAGTCTCTCGTTTTCTGCTTTCTCTTTGTCTGAAATATTGTCTGACTGTTTGAAAGGCTCAGCAAAGCGCATAGACAACTCGAAGACAGCATCTGTCGATCTTGAAAAAGTGTCACACTGGGAGCGGTATCAGACTTTACTGGGGAAAACTAATGAGATTTGATTCGTACCTTTTGACGATAGAAGACATCATAGTCTTTCCAGTACTTGCTTACACTGAAGCACTCATGTAGGCGACGGTACTTATAAGCCTCGGCAAACAACCAAGGCGCATTCATGAAATCCTTGCCTAAAAATGTGGATGATCAGGCAAGATGCATGGTGCATATGGCGAACATCATACCCTGGAAATACTTCGCAATTTCCTTATTCCATAGCGCAACGTCACCTTCACCGTCGTCAATAATTGGTCTTAGCTTAGCATTTCCGCTGAGATCGGCCATGAGGGTGTCCATCCTCTCCAAACATTCTACAAGATCTACTATCTTGTCTTCGGCGGACTGCTCGTTAAGAGTCCGCGAGGTGTCGTCTATAGCTTTGCCAAGGATGGTCGGTAAACGAACACCCATCGTTGCGTGTGCGAACGAGTACTCGTGGTAGCCACGGTACGCCGGCCATGGTGGGTTGTTGGGGTCAACCTAACATAAGACACACGTCAGATGGATGCCCTGGGTGACAACGTATGTGTATACCGACCCGTGAGGGCGTGCGCGGCCACGGTGCTTTGATGTCTTTCTTGCTTGGCAGATGTCCGAGATGAAGAGTGACGCGGGAGGGTGCACTGTATGTTGCAGGAGAACCTTTTGCTTGAGCAACCGCGCTGCAACCATTGACAATATTATGGGTGCCGTTGGTTACTGGTGCTGCCTCAGCCATAGATGTATGATTGATTGAAATAGGAGGGAAGTAATCAGCACTCATTTCGAAGAAGAATGAAAAGATCTTGAAGGGGATATGGGTTGTGAATGAAGAGAGAGCGAGGGGCCAGCCTTTATATGACCTCTAGTCCGAATAGTTATCTTTGAAGTGCCAAGACGTGCACGGTGGCGTACGGTTGAATTCGATGATAGAGCTCAGATTTTTTACTGCTTTTCCATAAAAGGAAAGTGCGCAACGACGTCATCGCACTGATCTGTACTGATGTCAGGTGATTTTCTCAAATTCGCCACTGGCCATCATAATCGGATATGCAGTGCCTTAGGAACATTCGAACGCCGCTACCATGTCGAAGTTACGCCACTGGTCGAAATGAAATTTTACCTTGAGAAGTAGCGGGCCAGGTAGTTGGCTCGAAAAGTATTGTATATCAATGTTCTCTCTTCTATTGGGATATGCGGTAGACCTATCATGAGCTCCATCGATATCACCCCTAACGGTGAAGTTAACTTTGGTCAGCTGTATGAACTGTCAACCTTGGGAACATAATTTACCTCGCCTGCCCCCCTTGTATATGGTACATTGCGCTCCACTTCCCAGCCCGGCATCGATAACTCAAAGCTCAAAGCAAGCTAGCGTCGAAGCCTAACATGACCACGAAGGAGCACATGAGAATCTGAGCAGTGAGCAAGGGCGAAAAGGGGCGATGGCGCCTAGTCATCATGATCGGAATATAACCAGGATATACCTTTTCAGTCGCCTCCGTTCAGGAGCTGGAATGCTGCGTTGGGATAGTACTACTTGATCCACAAAATGCGGACACATGAGTGAGAACAAGGTTCGCCGCCGTGCGACATCTTGAGAATACTCCATCGGTGCACGCACCTGGCATCGCTGACAGCCTATAACACATGGACACCTGTACCGCTCCAAGAACTCTCAAAATCACTCATGCCATCGTGTGGCACATACGTCATGTCCGGGCCGCGTCGTACCTGTCCCAAAGGTCACAGCACCAAAGATGTTTCTAAAAAGCGTCGTTCAGCTTGAATATCGCATGTCAATGAGCCAGAAAAGAGAACAAGAGTGGACGAAAAGTTCCCACACTCACAAAGTAGTCGGAGAAAGGGCGCCGCTGGCTAGGTAGCCTAAGTGAGTAAGTACTGGACAAGAAGGAACGAATTCGTCTGTGGGTCTGCATAGGGCAAGGCTAGCCTGGGTGACAATATAGTAAATGCTGAGTACCCAATACGTTGATGACCGGCTAACCTCATGAATCATGATACAGTGACTCGGTCAAGTATTGTCCTCACCTATCCCTCGCGTCAGACTGTACCTGCAGCATTTCTAAATTCAGTTCACAATCTTTAGAAGTTGCGTTCCAATTGACGCTCATTCTAAAACGCTGTGTCCAAAAATGACTTGTCAAGTGTTGTCTCGCAGAAGAATGCATGTCATAGACGTCCGGAATTGGTGACCTTTCGCAAACTTGGCGTTGGAACTTGGAAGTTAGCTTCGTCTCGCGATTCGTGACACTGACCAGCCATTTTACCAGTCGCAGGCCCTATAATCGCCCACCGACGTAATGCTGCTGCAACGTGTTTTCCATCAGGCTCGCATTACCCTACCTAGACATGTGTCTCCCTTGCTCCCAGTCAGCAGGTTAACAAGTTTGTTCCTCTCTTTATCACTGCTGAACGCCGCTACTGGCTTAGCGGCAACTATATCCGTCCAGCACTTCGAGTTCTCAGCTATCTTTGTATTGCCTTGAAAGGCTCATAAGGCATCTCAATATGTCCCAGCAAATCCATTGGACTTCGTTTGGTATCCCTTACGTGGTGGAGTTCAACAACGTATCGTTCGTGCCTCGTAGAACGTCTCCTTCACAAGATACCCTCACGAGCCTTCCTTCACCGGAAGGGTCTCCTTCTTTCTCGGAGCAATCTCTGACCTACTCGTGCCCATCTGCCGCAAGCTCGAGCTCTTCTTTTTGTCATATCTCGCATTGTATGCTAGATTCACAACTCAAGACCCGTTCATCCATTTCACGCATTGTATCCTTGTCTCGTTCCGCGACTGGTGTGCGGTCAGCATCTTCATTCTTCAAGCGCAAAAACCAAAAATCTCATGCGGACACACGCAAGCCTTGCTCGACAAGCCAAAAGGCATACGGCAACCCAATTGACACGTGGTGCTTTATACCTCCGCACGTCCCCAAACCCCTTCCCCCCGTACCTCAGCAAGAGGCTGAAGACGTACATGTGGACGGGCTCCACATACAATTTGCCACGCCCCCATATGATCCACATGCATCATCCCGGAGCCGACTGGTGCGTCTACAAAAGACCATCACTAGCGCTGTTGTCGAGGCAGGCATGGATACTCCCTCCGCACTTGAGGAGCATATGGATGACTGTGCTCCGTCGACGAAAGCTCCCGATTATTATAGCCGTGACACGCTGTTCCGGGGGACATATGGGCAAGTTATGGTCGCTCTTAAAGCAGCAGGCCTTGTTGCGACGCCATGTGTGGAGGGCGAGTTTGCAGGTGGTGCGCAATCACGTCAGATTCTTATTTTTCTTCTGTCTCATTTACCATTAGCCACGCGGTTGGGCGCGTTATTTGTTGCACATCGATCTTCAGAGGCAAGAAGCGTGCAGCTGAGAAAGCTGACACTATGGGGCTGACTACCGATCAAATGAATGCTGGCATTCGAACCCCTTCAAAAAAATGCGCTATTTATGCCGCCAGACGGTGCTAAATGTACTATTGAAGACTATCCTTATGTTGATATTCATGGCAAAACAAAGCTATTGCCCCAAACTCCCACACTTCACCCTTCAAGCCCATTCAAATCTTAGATTGTTCGTCCATCGCAGGTCCGCAGGACATAATCATTACTATTTATCGAGGGCGCTCATACTCCGAGTTTGGAAGCGCAACCTATTACTTCCGACCTTATCTCTACTATCAACTTCTGCGTTAAAGGAGCCATGTCTTCTGCTTCTAAGTCTCATGTGCCTCTAGTCATCCTCGGAGCGGGGGTGATTGGACTCACCATTGCCTACCTTGCTGCGTGTGACTCAGATGTGGTTTTTGATATAACGATCATCGCAAGAGATATGCCTGGGGATTGGGGTTCTCAAGCCTGGGCAAGTCCATTCGCTGTACGTTCCTTTCGAGCATTATTGAGGCACTTCCTTACATCAATGTTATCTAGGGTGCGAATTGGTCTCCAATGCCATTAGGTGCCACGGACGAACGTGTGCGAAGATGGGAGAAAACAACCTTGTGAGAAACACATCATTAATGTTGCGAGGTTTACGGAGAAGGCTTCTCAGTGATAGGTTATGGGAAATGGCACCATCGGGCTTAGTCAAAGTCAGTCTTGTTCGAGCGCCGGTCGAGCGGCGCATGGCTGACGAGGGTTCCAGAGATTACCCTCTAGGATGTTTAGTGAGACAGACGAGATTCTTTCCTCTCTTTGGTGGAAAGACCTTGTGCGCGATGTATGTCCGTTTTTTGCGTGCTGCGCTTAGGTACTAAAGGGGATGATAGTTCCGTTTGCTCTCGGATTCTGAAATCCCTACACCATATAAAGTTGGAATTACTTTCAACACAGTCTGCGTCAACCCGTGGGAGTATTTATCATGGTTTCGATCAGAGCTAGAGTCTCGTGGTGTTACATTCCGTCGCCAATACGTAACGAGTCTCGACGAAGTCAAGCACTTTGTCGGCAAAAATGGATTGTTGGTTAACGCAACGTCTCTCGGTGAGCACATGCCAACTGTCCTTTGGTAGTCGTTGACGGTCAGATTCAAAGGTTCGCGGTCCCTGATCGGAGTAGAAGATACCGCCCTGTTTCCAATCAGGGGACAATCTATTATAGTCGAAAGTAATAACTTACAGGAATTTATATCAGCACGGTCGGGTCAGTCAAATATACACTGTTACACTGTTGCTGTTATCCCTGATGTGTAGTGTGTAGGTGCCAATCTGTCGGAACATGTCACATCTATCATTCCTCGCCCTGGACTGATTCAAACGAACACTGCGCTTCTTAATGGAACATATCAAATAGGGAACTGGGACACCTCCTTGGATATGTTCGGCTGCGAAAGAGATATTTGAGCGATGCTCCGCACTGGAGCCATGCCTGAAAGAAGAGACAGTCACAAAGATCCTTGGGCACACCGTCGGTCTTAGACCCGACAGGAAGGGTGGTCCACGTGTGGAATTTGAGCGGATCTCGCTTCCTCTAATACGAAGTGACGGCTTAGCTCCATATATGATTGAGAATGCAGAAGAAGAGGAGGAGCTATCGGTTATTCATGCATATGGAATGGGGTGAGATAACTTTCCGAGGTTCGTGTGAGTACTAACTTTCAGTTTCAGAGCTGCAGGCTACCAAAGATCTTGGGGTGTAGCTATCGAGATTCTATCTCTACTCAAGGAGAACGTACAAACAGGTTATTGATCATAAATGAAATTTCGTTATGATGTCTGGTTCTACCTTTTCATTTGAGCCTGTCATTACTCATATAAAGACTAAGCGCAGTCGATAGCCTGGGTCGCGCCTAATACTTTTAATCCCTTAGGCCTCTGCTTCAGTGCTGAGCGTCCGTCCTCTACTTATAGATATCTATTTATGGAGATCACTCCAGGCGAGTCCGGCTTGCTATCATGTCATCCTCGAGACTTGAGTATTATTCCGTCTAACAGCCGCATATGTCAGCACCTCTCTATCGTTGAATTCCACCGCCGTAGTGAAGAAGCACTGACTTTAATGTCTAGGGCTGCGTGAGGGCGTAAACTTAATCAGGAACGAGTTTATGGCTTTTTCTACTATAGAACTTTCAAGAAGAACGACAGTCTGTCTTCCTGCTACAGGGGTCCGATAAGGTTTATGGGGAGACTAACGCAAACTGGGCACCAGCCCTGGCAGAGAAAGTCGAACGGCGAGAAAATGAACACGGGCTTCCAATGCAAATAATATCAATTCTGGATTATGATACCCATGGCCATTGTGTCATGTGTAGGTTCACAATCCCGAACGCGTGGAAAGTGTAGTTCATCGCAAGTTCATCGGTATTCCGATACCATATATATTAGAGCTGCCTGGTGCTAAGATCACCAGTGAGAATGCACCAGAAACCATGCGAAACATACGCTTCACGGGCGCTCTTGCCCATCTAACTTGCCGCACTTCGTTCGACACCCGATGATGATCGGATCTGACCCAACCAGCCAAAGGTGTGTTTTTGATTCGTATATCGAGCCTTAGTACACTTCAGGTGCGACAACGGCGATAATCCTAGAAAACGCACCTTCACTAAGGGAGCTGGCAGTTGGTACTTCAATGACTTGACTTCTGAAGCTTGCCGATGTCATCGACGTTGCGGTGGCAGTGCATGTTACTAGGAATCCAGGCCACCAAGCCGCTGCAGCTGACCTTCTCGCTTATGCAATGCTCCTTGCAACCTGGAGAATATGATCGTAATGTCAGGTACAGTTTGATCAAGCGGAAGCTCGGAATCGATACAGAGCAACCATTTCCATAGGCGGTGGCATATAAATATTAAAATGATCCTGCTAGTCGCCAATACTCAGCACCCCTACTGTCAGCGATGTCTACCACGAAAGCAGATCAATCTCTCGTTGTCCTTGGAGCAGGCGTCATCGGGCTAACAATTGCATACCTCGCTGCCTTGACCGAAGACGTCTCATTCAATATCAGGGTCGTCGCTAGAGAACTGCCCGCCGAAGACATGGATTCTCAAGGCTTGGGCTAGTCCATATGCTGTATGTTTTGTTCATAATGCTATAAGTCTGTCAACTTCTAGAGAACAATCAGGGCGCTAATTGGGCTCCCATGGAACTCGGAGGCAGGGATCAACGAGTTAGGGAGTGGGAACAGAAAACTTTGTACGTATAATGTTATCATTGAGAGATGTATGCCAACTGATCCTGCAACTACCAAGTAATAAGTTATGGGACATGATCCCAACTGGACTGGTTAAGGTTAGTTGAAGTCCTTTCACTTGTCATTGGTCGCGATTAAGAAGTCACGGCAATTCAGCTATTGCCTGCGAGGGCTTACGCCGCGCAAGAGGGAAACGCATCGGACTTGTGGTGGAAAGACCTTGCACAGAACGTATGTAGTCCATTTCGCTGCCGTGGATAGCGTATACATTCTGCGAGGACAGATAAGGATACTTCCGCCCTCTGATATCCCTGAGCCATTCAAGGCTGGAGTCGCATTCGATACAATTTCAGTCAATCCAGTTGAATATCTTCCGTGGCTCCAATCCGAACTGATCTCCCGCGGAGTTACTTTTGAACGCAGGAACGTGAGGAGCCTGGACGAGTTGAGGAACCTGGTGGGGCCTGATGGCATTCTGGTGAACGCATCTTCACTTGGTAAGTGGTTTCTTTCGGTTGTCGCTTTCGTGACATCAGTCCAAAGGTTCCAGGTCAATCATCGGAGTGGAAGACACGAAATTGTATCCCATTCGCGGACAAACAATCCTAGTACATGCGCCAGGTCTCCAGGAGTGTTTGATGGGCGAGTTAAGTGCGTATCCCAGTTGCGGTGGTATTCTGTTCCTCATTTGAGTGCCGCGATTCAGAGACCGAGGAAGTTACATATATCATTCCCCGCCCTGGAACAGGTCAACCTGGCACCGCAATCCTCGGTGGGACCTACCAGTCCAGGAGTTGGGACACCTCTTTGGACATGCAGATCGCGAAAAGAATATTTGATCGCTGCGCGGCATTGGCTCCTTGTTTGAAGAGTGCCGAGTCAAGGATCATGAAACATAACGTTGGTTTAAGACCCGCAAGAGAAGGAGGACCACGAGTCGAGCTAGAGCGAATCCCTCTGCCCTTGCAGAGCACGCATGGCCTTGTTCCGTGCAATGAGAGTCCCACAAATGACCGTGACCATGACCAAGGATCCATGCTCGTTGTACATGCTTATGGTTTTGGGTAAGCAATTCACAAAGCTTGAATGCAATGATTGCCTAATGATATTGCCTTCACAAGACCGGGAGGTTACCAGAGGTCTTGGGGCGCAGCAGAAGAGGTACTGGGGTTGATCAAGGCTCAAGTTGCTTTGAAACGAACGTGACATACGAACCTAAACGGAAGGGGGCACTACACTTGCAAGGGCTCGTCTGAAAACATGACAGAAATGGAAAAAATGTTGACTACAAATTACTGCTGGCAAACGCGTCCACGAGGTCCTGTGCAGTCATAGGGTTGATCACCGTACGACAGATATAGGCAAAGGACCTCCAAACTTTCGCCAAGAGATCATGGGTGACAAAGAGTCAAATTTGAGGTCTGCTGGCGACCTGCTGGTCTATCCCATCCTGTGCAATTGGCACCCCACGATTGTAACGAAAGATGTTTTCCCGCCAAAATGTGTAACCTGCTGACTTCTGCTGATTGCATCATGATCTGTTGGAACTGGGATAGGTTCTGCCTACACTCTCGCTGTAAAGTTCTGCCAGAACACTATTATTTTCAGGGCATAAAAGCAAACAGCCTTTCTACCATGCCCCTCCCCTCAGGTTCATTAGTTGCGACATCTATCGTCATCATACAAATAATGCGTCTCGCCTTCATTGCTATTTCATCTATTAGTATGATGTCTGTCAGTGCATGTCCCATCCATTGCGAGTCAATTGTAGATTGCTGCCTTGGCCGTGAATGCGTGTCGATATACATCCCTAGTAGTGTGAGTATGAATTCGCATACAAGATTTAACCTCTGACCAACTTGCTCCTAGGAACAAGTTATAAATGTTTGTCAAATAATAGAGTATGAGTAGTTTGCTTTGACATCTAGGATTTAACTATACTGACTTGCCTGGTAGGGTCATCTTGTAGAGGTTGTACAGGTCGAGCCTGAGCGGCACGTCGCGAAGTACTAGCTAGTAAGTCATGTTTCTGCTATTGGTTGATAGCACGATGCATAAATGGCTTACTTCTGGATAGTCCACTGCCGCTCGAACAATGGACCTTCGAAAAGAAGAATACCTCAAACTGAAGCACTTACAACGTATTTTGCGGTCTTGTAATAAGCTAACTTGAACATCGGAATTTGAAAGCCTTATGGGTTTGGACACTGAAACGCGCACCAGTCGAAAGAGTTGCTGTTGAATTAGTGCAACTACTTGCTTTGATCACCATCGATCACTTGTTGAATCGACAAGGCATGTAATGCATTGGAATCGATCTCGTCTGACACTGTCCTGCCTCATTCCGTTCGGTCTGTTGTTCACAGCCACGTCGCGTCTTCTCGATGAAGATGTGGCGCATGGTGCTTTGAAAATGACCTCGACGACGTAACGATTTTGGACAAGTGGCTGGTGTCACTAGGAGTCAGGACGATGGGATGAGGAAATTATTCAATGGTAAATTGAGGCATACTTAGCATTAATAGGCAGGTACTAAACTGAAGTTGTTGTAGAAGGAGAATAGATAATGGCTATATACTCATCAAATCTGCGTATACTCGGACACGATGTGTACAATGTACATGATCATAACACGTCGTGTCACAGGCCTGGAAGTTTGGGTGTGGAAGGTTATTAACATTAATATTAACGTCAATTTACTAAACACGATCACGTGACATGACGCGTCGATTTGTTGAACCGTATTTGGTTTCTGTGCTGACCTTTTCTCGAATCTCCTGCCACTAAGCTTCAAGTCACAGTATTCGACACAGCAGTCATGTCCCTCAAGGACATCGGAAAGTACGATGTGTCCGAAGAAGCGCAAGCTCTCAAAGACAAACTAGCAAGCCAAGGTACGCTTTTAGCGCGTAAACCTATAATCTTTTCTCACTTTCAGCTCAGACACCGAGAATGCGGGCCTGCGAAGCCGCCTAATGAAGAGAGAGGCAGAATTACATGAAATAAAGACATCCTTAAACGAAACATTGTACAAGGTCATTTTGACTTCTGGCTACTCGACTGTCCGCTCACTTCTTAGCTTAACAGCTCAGCGCAGAGGCCGATCGCGCTCTCAAGCTTGAAAGCGATCTGGCGTGTCGTTCAGATGAGCTTAAGATCGAGAAAGTGACCTCTAGGAATGCAGAGATTGCACTTGTTGCTGCACAGGACAGACTGAAAGCTGAGGAACGAGCAGCACGGCAGCTCGAGGCAACGCTTGACACCATGTCTTGTCAGTCCGATTCAGTTAGGGCTCAAACTTTGAAGCTGGAGGCAGAGAAGCGAACCATGGAGTCTCGCGTACGTGAACTAGAGAGGATGTTGCAGAACATGGAAATGCAACCGGCAGCTAATTCTCGATTACCGCAGCGAGGTGGGAGGCCTCGGTCTTCCTCTGTGGCTGGTTTCAGATCACCAGCATTGGAGCGAGAACTAAACGATACCAAGGCTCTCCTGGCAGAGAAAGAGAAGAGCTTACGTGACATAGAAATGAAACTTGCTCGAGCTCAGGAAGATCTTGTCAAGTCGCAAAATACACAATTTTCGGCGGAGAAGACTATGCAGGCCCGTATCGCGGAGCTCGCGGCAATAATAGAGGACAAGGATGAGGAGCTGGAGGTGTTAAAAGCAAGTCAGGACGCGGGGAAGCACAATGGAGAGGGAGGAAGAGCTGCTGAAGAGGATAGACGAAGACGAAGCGAAGATAGAGACATTGGAGAGTCTCCTGCGCGCGCAGCAAACAGGACCCACACAGGCGGCGTACGATAAGCTGCAGAGAAGGCTACGTGCGGAGTCGGACAAGCTTACCTGCTCGGAGAAAAGAGTGCGAGATCTCATGGAGGAGAAAAATGTAGCACAGGACGCATGCGCCACTATACGTCAGGAGCTTGACAGAGCGGAGCGGCTGTTCCAGGACAGTGAGAACCGCGTAAAAGCTCTGAAGGTCATCGAAAGGTGTGTAGTCCTTAGCTATCAGCCCAGCATATCGCTGAATTTTGAACCAGTGGATTGCAACAAGAGCTTATGGATCTCCGGTGCAATCTGGAGTCGACGGCCACTAACCAGGATCATATGGATATCGATGTTGAAGACATCCGATCTAACTTCGACAGCAGCTTCCTATCCCCAAATTGCTCTACCCCGGTGCCACCGACCAAGACCAACAGTTCTGCTCACCCTGATGAAGCGACGCTCGCCAATTACATTGAAACATTGCTCAGGGCTGTAGACAGAATCCGAGGCGAGCGGGATGACCTACGACGCGCCCTCGAATTTTCCGAGACAGAGGCTCGATTCACAATCCAGACGATGCAGAAGCGCATCCACACGTTGACCCAGGAGGCAGATGGGGCCTCGGCTTACAGTCGGCAGAACAAACGTCTTGTCCTTTTTATCACAGCCCTGGGCGTCGTTGTGAATCATCTACGCACTCGTTTGGATGCTGCTGAGCAAAGACATTCGGTCACTGACCACTCGCGGTCAGTCGCAGAACGAGATGCCACTTTAGACGACCTTCGAAGCAAGTTTGGGGTCTCGTGCCAACAGTTGGCTGCTTCAGAAGAATCACGTCACCACCTGCTCCTCCTGGTCACAGAGCTGGAAGCCAAAGTCCAATCTCTGACTGCCGAAGTGCAGGCTGTGGACTCATCTCACGAGGATACCCGCGATGCGCTTCAACAAGCAGAGGAACAACTAGCTGACCTTACAAGAGCGTACCAGAACATCGAATCAGAGCGCAACTCGCTTAACCTCCAAGTCACAAATCTCCAAACCGACTTCGAAGCTGCACAGGAAGATTTAACAGACGCTCAAAGCCGCTACAGCGCTCTGCAGGCGCAACAATTATCCACCATGTCTGCAACTGGGGTAGCTCAGGCACTTCGTCAACAGATACAAGAGCTTGAAGGTCGTGTTAATCGCCGCACGGAACAGATCGGCATTCACCAACATGACATTCGCCGCCTGGAGACCAACCTTAAACTCCAGGAGGAACGGGTCTCCGAGATGACATCGGAACTGGAGATGATGTCGGCGCAGAAGGAGGCAATGGTCGAAGACTGTGCAGAAGCTAGAGATGCTCGCGATCAAGCTGTTGGCAACCTCGAGGCAGCAGAGCTCGAGGTCGAAAGGTTGCAGGAGGAGATCGATAATCTCACGGCCACCCACGGTGACGAACTATCTTCTATGGTGTCCATTGTCGCCCAAGCGATGTCGAATGCTCGTCGCGCCCAATCCATGGTCGACCAGCACCTCGCCGAAGAAACGCAGACATTGTCCAAGATGGCTGTTCTTGCGGCCCACAACTCAAAGCTCTCCGAAGATATAGGAGTGCTTGCTAGCGAGAAAGAAGCACTTCTTCGAGACTTGGCAGAGAGCACCGCATCACTATGTTGTCTTAAAGCTCTCCGGACAGAACAACACGCCGAAATGGGTCAGCTAGTGGTCTCGCTTGCTATTTTGCGTCAGGCATTGAGCAACAACAATTGCACCTTGGAGAAGTCTCGGCAAGACATTGCAGTGTTGCAAGCTAAATTTTCATCTTCCCGCTGCGAACTCGAAGACAAGGCAGCCAGTTTACAAGTTAGCGACGCAAGGTTGGCCATACTGGAGCAAAAATTGACCGAGATATCCAAGGAGTTGGCCGATGCTTCAACTCGTCGCATCTCAGACTATCAAGGACAGCTGCAGTCAATGGAGGAGGAACTCGATGAGCTACGCACCCGCCATCAGATCACCTGCGAATCTTTGTCTAGAGCTCAGGAACGCATTCAGGCACCACAGGCTAGCGAGAGTGATGCTGAGCTTCAAGACCAGCGCGTTCAGCAGGCTGTCGAGGTCGGAGACCTGCGAGAGCGCCTCGAGCATACGAGCCAAGAGCTTTCACAAGTTACGCGGCTGTTGCAAGATGCTGAGCTCCGCTTTGCAGAAGGGCAGCAGCTCAATCAAGAATTGAGCAACCGTGTTGCAGCGCTCGCGGATGAGGTCCAGAGAAGAGCTGGGACGGATGATTCTCTACGTGTCAGACATGATGAAGAACTTGATATCCTACAGAAGACGCTGTCAAACACCCAGACCGAACTCGCTGCTGCTAAAGTGGAATGCCAGCGCCTCGCGAGTCTCGTGGAGCAGTCAACTGACGAACTTGAACAAGCAAAGCAAGCCCACAAGGACGCTCTGCGACAAGCAGAGCAACAAGTTCGCGATTTGGAGGACGATCAGCAGGAGAAATTTGCCGTTCTCGAAGCCAATGAAAGGGATCTTCAGGAGCTCCGTATTAGCCTTGGCGAACGATCCCGAGAGCAGGAGTTGCTACGCATACAGCTACAGGATGAAATTGCCTGCCGCAAGGAAGATCAAGCGGCCTTTGATGACCAGCTCTCTTCTCTCACAGATCGTCAAGTCAAATTTGATGCTCACCAAACAGAGCTTCAACAAGCTAATGAAGCCACGCGGTGGCAACTGGAGCAGGCTGAAGCCGAGTTATCAAGTCTCCAGGCAGAGAAACAATCGCTGCAAATAGAGACTACCAGCCTGGAGGCGGAGATTCAGCGCTCAATATCATTAACTAGATATCTCGAGGAACAAGTGCGGGAGAGGTAAGTTGGCTCTTCGTCTTCACAGGTAGAATCTTGACTAATATCGAACAGTGAATCATCCTAATTCCTCCCTCAAGGAGACCCTCGAACAGATACAGGTTCGTCTTGCTCAGTCTGAAAAGGCGGGCAAGGCAGCCGAGCTTAGCCTTGCACTTCAAACAACACAGCATGAGAAGGCAATGGCATCCCTCCAATGGGAATTGGACACAGTTCGTTCGGAACCAAAACTTGATGACGTCGTCGCTGAACTGGAAGAGAAAAATCGCGAGATGGATCAGCTATTGCAAAGCAAGTGTGCGGAAATTGAAGACTATGACGATCGCATATTGGAGTAAGCGAATTCTCTTCCAGTTCCCACATCTGGTCTAATATGATGGCAGAGCTTTGAAGGCGAACAAGAAGTTATCAACGAAAGTGGAAGCTCTGACACGCAAGGTACAGAGCCTCCAAGGCAAACTTGCTTCTATCAAAGAGTCTGCACCAACCCCACCGGCAATTCTCGCTGCACCGTCTGTGCAAGCAGCAGCGCCGCCCATTGTCCCCCCGGTTCCTCAGGTGCCCGTACTCACAGATACTGTGCCAATCCTGGGACGACATCGAACCATGTCAAACACCCCAGCAGCATTCCGATCACAGACGCCCGAGAGGAAACCCTTACAGCCAGGTGCGACGCAAAGCAGAACCCCTGAACTGGAGGTACCGACATCTGCTGGGAAGAAGAGACGAGCACCAGATCATGATGAAAGAGAAACTGTTCCACCCGAGGGCCGCTATACAAGCGACTCGGACATGCAGCCAGCCACTACACCGCGTCTTCGGAAAACATTCCATGCAACCCGATCTGGATTTACGCCAGTACGCTCTGCCAGAAACATACTTAGCCTGCCTTCACCAGGAAGAAGAATAACGACTACCATCTCAGACGTCACGAACAGTCCTCGGTCGACATCTGACCCTCAAACCTCTAGGAATTCATCTAAAAGGACCTGGTTGGGGAAGATCAGAGGTGGAGTGCCGCAATCCAATAATCCAGGTGGCAGAGTTGTAACCTCGCGGGGGAATGTGTTTGAGAAGATGCCGGAATCATGATGATGGGTGTGGTCTACTTTGTAGTCTGTTCAAGTAGCATCTAAGTGTTGTCATTTGTATTTTTAGTCACTCCGTATTTATAGTACTCGTCCGACGAAAGTGTGATCACGAACTGTACTTAGTGACTTCGTCCAATTTGGCCATCACCGCAGATCCGGGTCTCAGCTGTCCTCTGGCTAATCTCGGAGCAGGTTGATTGCGATATTCATAATTGTAGGACAAGCCCAGAAGACGCGGCAGTCATGTTCGGAGAGAGACACGTTCTTGCAGATCTTTCAACTGGTCAAAGAGAGCCTGATGATTTTGACGTTGGAAGGCTGCGAACGGTGGACTATCTTTTGGACACCAGAGTGTTGACTTACGAACCCATATTGAGCCTCTTGGCTGTCGGTGAGATCTCTCAACATAAGCTCATCTTTGAACTGAACTCATTCGGTACTCTCTTTTGCTTTAAGGCACGACAAGTGGTCTGATTTGTGTGGTGGGCGGTCCTGGTGTAGAGTGTTCAGTTCAGACGCCAGAAGGCACTCCTGTCAAGATTTTACAGCTTGCCGCATCCACGGACAAACTCCTCTCTGTCGGTGAGCTGTTCACCAATACGTCGCCCTCGCCTGAAGTTTCATACGACTAGATGACCGGGATCGACTTCACATCTGGGACTTGAAAGATTTGACTAAACCGCCGAAGTCGACGAGATTTGACCATGCTATCAAGTACGCAAGCGACTAGTCGTTTGTAACTGTGACATCTGCTGACCTCGCAGCGTCCGAACACAAGTGCTGTTGTGTTGTCACCTTCGCATACGCATGTGGGCACCGAAAATCGTGTCTTAGACCTTTCTAAGAATACCCTTTCCAGGTCTTCCTTGCCCTGCAATCCGGAGAGATCAGAACGTACGATCTTCTGTGTCTGAAGAAGTCACCATATGTCATCCCGAACTTGTGGGATATGTATCAGACAAAGATCGCGAGCAGTGTGGTAGGATCCATTGCAGGCATTACTTGGTTGGTCCGTGCAGCAACGCCAGGTGTGTTCGGGTTGAAGTTCGCTTACATCAGGACCTTAGCAACATACCCGTCGATATAGTTGTTCATCCACGAGACCTCAACTTGATGTTCATAGCCTTCGGTGGTCAGTCATTTCCACGATCAAATGCAAGTCCCTGAAACATTCTTTAGGGGGAATCACACTGTACGATCTGGTGTGTATCTGAATTCATTGTCGTCTTCGACAAGAGGAGCTGTTTATTCCCTGTTTCAGTCTTCACGCAACATTCTACGGGCATACGAACTTGTAATCCCTGCTGGTGCACCAGGAGGGGGGGGATATCACCAATCTGTGAGCTGGAGCTTTCCAACCATGATCTATCATAGACTCATAACCACCAAGGAAGTGCTCACACATCGGCGACCCTCTGTTACTTCTGTGGCCATTCACCCAGCTGGGCATTTCTTTGCTGTGGGTTATGCAGACGGCTGTGTTGCCTTTTGGGCGATGGAAGATGAAGATCAGCCTCTGCTGGTGCGAACAGCCACAGACCTAGACGTGAATGTCATAAACGGAGAGGAGCTTGAAAAATTCCTACAGAATGGGGGTTCATCCAATCAAGAGAAGGGAAGTAATTTCCCGGAACGTCAGCCAATCTACAGGGTTGCTTGGTGTGGCTTCCCGAACTCTTCAGATCCTCGAGGAGGAGCAACTGCTCTAGTCGTATTAGGAGGCGACAGAAGTGACGACCCTTGTCGGTTAACCGTACACATAATGCCCGCTTTCGACTCTACAGAACCTCCTGCTACATCTGGTTCCAAATCTGGGCTCCACCCTTCTATCCGAAAGGCAATGCGACTTTCAGTAATTCCGTTAGAAACGACTTATTATCTAGCATCAGGGCCTGTTTATGACTTCATCCTTTTCCCAAAGTCTAATCCGCATTTTTCTGGTTGCTGGGATTCTGTCGCCCTGCTTTTTCTCACTGTAACCTCTGGTTCACGGATGGTTGAGGCTCGACAGTTCCCGCCTCCGAAATCGATGTCTCCGCTTTCGGGAACAAATGCCCAAAGTAGCAGAAAAGAAGACGATGTCGCACATGACCTCCCCGCGACGCTCGAGGACATGACACTTAGTGGCGAACCTCGACCAATGCATGTTCCTTCAAATTTGTGCAGTGGGCTTGGCGGGGTATTTTATGTACAACTCTTGACTCTGCAGCGAGCTATGCACGATGTACTTGTGGGACAGCAACCCATGCCCTGTGACACCGATTTACCCATCGCTGGAGGGTCTGCATGGATGGACGACAAAAGACTCAGTGAGCTGAGGCTCTCCAGGGTAGTGATCAATTTTATGCGCTCACAATGATTGATTATTAACACTGTGCTTCAGAGCCACCCGCGCCGAATCCTTATCAGCTGTCATCACGACTCCACTGTTCGTTTTCATGACATCAGTCCTAACCTTCTCATCAGTTCCAGTGCATCTCCCCTTCAGAAGAATTGGCCTTGCCCAATCCATGATCTCACTATAAATCTTAGTTTTGTACCACTTTCCAGTCCCCCAGAAGTTGCCACTGTTCAGGTAGCCCCCGAATCCTTAGAGTGTGTTGTGCTGCTGAAATCAGGCGACCTCCTGGTATATCAATTGAACACCGTGCAAGCGAATCCTCCCACCGAAACAAACGACGACAAAGAGCTTGTCCTGCTGGGCAACGTCGATTCAGGACCAGGAACAAAATACCATCCTTTCGTGATGCTGCCCCATAGTAATGTTTCCCTGACATGTTACGCATTGTCGGACATAGGTGTGCACTCCTTCGGGTCCGGTATTACATGAGTTGCTTAACGAAAAATAGGGTTCATCGGTGTTGGTTATATCGATGGCTCTGTCGCAGTGATTGATCTGCGTGGACCATCTCTCCTTAGACCGCAGAGTCAGAAAAGACAGTCTAACCTTCTGGTTCGCCATCAGGATGCGGGTCCCGTAGTCTCTCTGACATGGACTGTATCCGCTATTAGCATCGGTACGGGCTCATGCAATACGATAAAATCTATCTGACCTAGTGATTAGACGCACAACTCGCTGTGCGACTAATAGCGATCCATGAGTCTGGCAACACACAAATCTTCAAGATCATCCGGGATCCAAAGTCCTCGCTATATAATTTTGCACAAGATGTCACCAAGGTCGAGGGCCTGCAGAATACCCTGCAAGGTGGTTCATTCGTGATCGACTCGCAGAAAGGTGCTCCTTGGCGTGCCGATCGATCACGTTTTGCCGCGTCTCTTCAAACTCAAGATAGCAATCATGATCACTGCTTCTGGGTAACAGCAAGTACTAAGGGTGCTCGTTGCATGCTTGATATCTCGGGGGAGAGGATTGCCAAAGTAGAATGGAATTGCAAGAAAAACAAAGTTGGACATGTCCAAGTGATCGAGAGGAACAGTGAGCTTAATGACTCTGAACCCAACCATCAAACCGGTACTAACAACAATGCAGATTCTCGTGTGCTCGTAGCATTCAATGACAAACCAGAAGCTATGGTTTACTCCTTGCCTTATCTAGAGCATCTGCATACTTTCTCTCTTGCAAAAGTATGCGACAAGTATGTCCTCTCTAATGGCGTTTTGGCTACGCTCTGAGTAATTGACCTGCCAGCGTGGTGTCTGTGGACGAAACGGGAGATTTCATTGGGACGAGGTGTCACGAGTCAGGCGTGCTTGAACAGATCGTATTTGGCACACTTTTCAAGACTCGTCGTGTTTATGATCATCCAATCGTTGATCTAACAAGTTTCCACCGCGAGATCCCCCCTCACCCGCAGCCAGTGTCCGCTGGTCCCCCTTCGCTCCTGGGCTCTTGGTTCCGGTATGGAACGCCCATTATGACTGGAGAACAGCTCGACGAACTGCGTACGTTAAGTCACTCAAACTAGCTTTCTTTGTGGCTTTGCCCTGAAGCGCGATACAGTTGCTGGCCCCGACAGACCTACACCACCACCGGTTCTTGTGCAAACGTCACAGAATACAACCGCCGGCGATGGATCCGGTGTCGTAAGGATAATGGAAAACGCTCGCAATGACGTGTTTAACCGTCTAAATAATGCTCTTGCTGAAAGGGGGTACGTAAATGATCGTTCGATCAGTTCTTTGATGTCAGCGCTGAATGAGACCAAAGGGAGATGTTGGGAAATCTTGAGCAACAGATTGATTCCCTCCAACAAGGCAGCAAAGATATGGTGGCGCAGGTGAATGCTCGGTTTCTAGCTGTCGTATCTATCCGGGTGGCTGATCTTGATTAGGCTAAGAGACTTGCGACTGAGCAGGGGGCCAGACGTTGGTTCGGCTTCTGAGTTGACCGATAAGAGACAAGTCTCACCCAAACACACTCAAAATCCCAAGTGCTCGATGTGTATCATTATGCTTGTCCGTGTACTATAGGAGCCATGTATTGATATGCGATGTAGGAAATGATGTGTGGTCTTCTAACAGTATGTCGTTCACTGCTGAATGTCCGGGGCGCGTAACGCCTTGATATACTCCCTTATTTTTGAGTTTGGGAATAAATTCTCGTCTGACCATCGGCCCTTGGCTGCCTCTATGGCAAAAAGCCCAAGGTCCTCAATTGGTGTATACATGGAGGGCAGGATGGTCCTCATAACGGGAGCTGCAAGACAATCTATAGCCCTTGCTGCCGGAGAACGAATGTTCTCTCGGTCTGACGGGTGATCTTTGGAGGGGAAGAAGTAAGCAGGTCGCATGGTTGAAGCTTTGATGTTTGAAGACGGAGGGAGATCCCAAAGAGCTTTTTCAGTCATGCCCTATGATGGGCTGTGAACACTTGCGATACCTGAAGTATCAAGCAACAGACTCATACCTTGATTCTCGCGAACTTGACGTTGCTCTTGCCAGACGGATCTGCGCCCTCTCCTGAAATGAAAACGAATCTGAACGGCTCTCCCGTCCTGTCCTTCGTCCCTGCTTCTTGCAGGGAGTTCACGAAATGCATAGTGTTGTCGTATGTGATTCGAGTGTACTCCTCATCTGATAGGCCGATTGAACTTTTCCCCAGTGCCCAAACGCACGCGTCATGCTCAGCCAGACGAGCAGGGAGATCTCCAGGGTAGTCCAAGAAGTCCTTCAGAACTACGACTTCTGTCTTGTCATTTTCTGGGATATCCATCCATGATGGGAGGGCTCGCCGAGAGAGTACCGTGATCTTTGTGATGGCTGCATCTAATACTGCTTGACGAAAGATCTGGATGCCAGCTAGCCGCAGATAAGGATGCGTTAGATTTGATTACGTGTCAGTTGAGTCTTCACCCATGACGGAAATGAAAACATACCAGCACCAGTTACACCTGTCAAGACAAGTTTCATGATTGGGAGTGATTAAAGGCTTGAGGTTTCTTGGATGATTCGCCTTCTGCTGGTGTACGAGGGTTTAAGTACCTCTTCAGGTCATCATGAGCGCTTGCGGATTTGCAGGACGACACATTGTGGGACTGACGCAGTCAGCCGGCTGGACAGCACATGCGGTAGTGACACGAGCTTGATATACTAATCAGTGACCATAATTAAGGGCGTACCATCAATCATATACACACGCCACAAGACAACTTGCCGTTAGGGCTTACGCGGGCGGACGGAATGTAGTAAGTAACTTCGAAACTTTGCCGGAGACTACGCAGCGGCGGCAACATTCAGTGATACCAGTACATATCTCACAATATGACGTATACGGCTCATCTCACTATTTGCCGAAGATGACCTCGGTTGCGGACGCAGAGAGCTTCTTCCTGTGCTCGTTGATCATCCCTAGGAATCCATCGTCAGAGATGGATGTCCTCTCATGATCCCACTCTTCTGTATGACGCCTCAGCTTTCCTTCATCATCGAGCTCAAGAGTCAAGAGAGAATTCATCGTCTGCAAAGAAGAGGCCCATGATTAGTGCGGCTTTGAATGTGGCTTCATTACTAACCTTGGTAGGGGATGAGAAAGCAGATCGGTAGTACGCTACATCCTGATCTACTAGAATGGTACTCCGGGGTACGAGAGGAGGGTTCTTGAGGACGCGGAACTTTGGAATATCCACCTTTTCGAAGAGCTAGACGTGGGTTATCAGCGCTGTCAGCCGGGAGCGACGATATATATATACAGCAAACAACGCACCTTTGCAAGACCATGGAACTGAGCCCGAATGGACTTTGGACCCGTTGCGATACCAACGGGATCGTGAAAGACAGCGTCCTCAGAATAGATGTCGAATGTGGTCTGTTCGGAAGAGAATTCAATGGGGAACCTTCCGGGCAAAGAAGGAAGCTACATCATTAGGATTGCAGGAGTACATCTGGAAAGGGGCTACGATCAGTGGCACTTGACTGAGGATACGCGTCGAACGGACCTCCTTGATGGCTACAAGAACCTTCTGTTCCCTGGTCTCGGGGTTCCTTTCCTCAAGAGATTTGGACTCTGATGGGGTCAACCCAGACGCGTTCTTAGAAGGAGACATGATGTAAAACGGTTGGAGATAGTTAAATGGCGGGCGGGAAGAAATGTGTATAAAGAAAGTCGAGGCGATAGGAAAGAAGCAGCAGCGCCGAGGGGGTGTATATACCCCTCAGACAGTACTAGTATTCCAATGACCGAAATCATGTTTGATGTCAGCCGCGGCGATGGCAGTACTTGGTTGACGTTCAGAATGCACTGTGACAGACAGTCGTGACAAAATGTCACAGTGAGTCACGCGTTGTTGGCCGACTTTGCCCACCTCCAGAGTCCACAGTAACGTTTCACCCCAGACTGGTTGCTGCGACATTTACATCGAAACTACCACTGATCACCGTCAACTCTTGAAAGTTATGGCAGATTATGAGTCTTTGCACCGGCACTGCCGCACTCTGGAGTCTTTATTCGACACAAAGCTTACGTCGTACTCTCGCCTAGCGTCAACAATAACAAGAAATCAGGACGACGTCGAGGCAGGAGGCTCGCGTGAGCGCTGGAAAGACGTGGAAGGTGAAATCGAAGACCTCCTGGAGAAGGTGGGACATACAGGCGCTCCAGAACGCATACCAGTAGCTTACAAGGACATATGTTTAGCTACGAGAAACCAATGATGAATTGCTCGCACTCTCGAATAACCCGGACACCCCAGCCCTCACAGTCCATGTCCCGTGCAATCCAGAGACATCATGAGGTTTATCAGGACTATGCCAAGGAGCTGCGCAGGACCAAGGTCTGTCCTCATTTCAATGTTCTGTGAGCCCAGCTCTCATGATACCCTGCAGACAAATGTCCAGCATGCACTTGATAAAGCAAACTTGCTTTCGGGCGTTCGAAATGACATTGAGTAAGTTCTGATCCACTCGTAGAACTTCCCATTGACGGCCCTCTCCTGCGACAGGGCGTATAAATCTTCCGCAGCAGATTCACTACTCGCAGAAAGAGGGAGAATTGACAGCTCCCATAGGATGACAGACCAGGTTCTCGAGTAAGTTTTCATCATCGCTCGTGATTCTTGGCTGAGTGTTCTGTCACAGCCAAGCATATGAAACTCGGACAGAATTTTCGCGTCAGAGCGCGTCTTTAGCTGGTATCAACACACGCATGACCGGTGTTATAAGTCAGTACTTCTGCTCACAGTCACAAATCTTATATGCTTACTATCAGCACAGGTACAATACCTGGTATCAACAATCTCCTTTCTATGATCAAGAGTCGGCGGCGGAGAGACTCTATTATTCTTGGAATTCTCATTGGAGCTGCTTACTTCTGCTCATAAGTTACATGTCGCGGTGAAACCATTTTTTCATTATTCATGGACTCATTCAATACATATTTTTGTTTAATACATTGGCAGTTATATCATGAACTCACACACCAGTCCACGCTGGACAAGTTCGACCGCATTGCTACTGTACCCGGTGCAAACTTTCTATCGCTACCCACTGGCCGCTCGTTTGCTGAGCTTCCTAGTCTGGACATGATTTCCTTGCACGAATTCCCTCCAATTGTTTTCCAACCGTCGGACGACTCCCTGCTGACTTTCGTCTACGACCTCTTCCCAAGATGATTCGACTGGCCATCCTTTGACTTCAGCAACTATCAGTACCATGTCCCAAGTACGCTGCATGGAGTCATCGATCTTGTGGCAATCCGATTCAACGAGGATACGGCGTGAAGAACATGCAGCGATCAGCGCTCGGTGATTCGGCGACCGACTGTTGATAGCTGTGGAAAGAGAGAAAAATACATTTGGATGATGCTTCTGCAACAGCCCGTTTAGCTTAACTGACCAGGCAGATGATGGAGGATGAAACGCATCTAGGTCAGGTCACAGGGATGCCGCCTACCTCGATGTACAGCCACGTTTGCGGGCTAAAGCCGCAGCTGTGAATATCAATGCTTATCTTCATCCAGCGCTCGCCATGCCTTTCAGTCATACGATCTAAAAGTTCCACAGTAGCCTGTTGCGATTTAACGCTGTGCATGCTGACGTTTCGACCTAGCTCTGTTGCTAGATCAAGCTGTGCCTCAAGAATAGCTAACTGGTGCTCCAAGGGTATGGTGAAGGGCGTCAAGTCTCCGGGAGAAGAGACGTAGTTGTAAGGCACTCGGGAAGCTCTGTCAATGCCAACCTCTCCAAGCATTGCGCTTGAGAAGGCCATTAGATTTTGACGGACGTCTTCCAGGACGGTTTGTAGGGTCACTGGCTCGGGTAGATGAAGAAGCAACTTCTGGAAGGCCTCCGGATGCTCATCTGCATCCTTGAATATGCACCGGTAGTGCTCTTCCTTTGATTCATATGGCACCAGTGCGATCCAGTGTGTGAACCACGGATGGTAACCTAGCATCATGATTAGCGGATCTTCAGTGCCATATGAATGATTAACCGATTCATAGCTAACCAAAGGAAGGCACGACTTTATCTGGGAATGCAGTAGCCAAGTCTCGCACTAATCCTTGGTCTGCCTGAAGGGTGGACATGGCACCGATGATGATTGGCAAGTTGTCCATTGACTGTACGGGAATTTCAGAGTCTGTGGGATGACAATGTATATCGACGACATGCCGCAGTACGGAAGGAGGAGGAAGTGTGTCCCGACTGAGATACAGTATCAGAAATGTCGTGCTCGGAGTCGTAGCACATATCGATCGCTTGCATGTACGCCGACTGTGACAAGCACAAACAACTTCCATGCTTGGACTCCAATCATGTCTGAATTTGAGAAAACTTCCTAGATTATCTTTCTTCTCCAAAATCATGGCATGCACACTAACACTCGATGTATCACCTCCAGTACATCGTTGGATGGACACCACACTTGAAAGAGATGTTTTCAAGAAGACCGTCCCTGTTCTTGCCGCCAGAGTTCCTGCTACCAAAACAGGATCCCTGTTGAAGTCTGATGTTATGAAGAAGTACGTGGCTTCAGCTGTCCAGAGACTTCATCTGATATGCTTCAAAGATCTCTCATGGATTTGCCAAAAGTACGCAGCGTTCTTCGGGACCCCCACGATGACCTCGCGAGGCTGGTGTTGTTAAATGTATCTGAGTATGGTACCGTATAGCATCTCCCAATCGAATACCACGCGCTTTTCTGATGCTCCATCCGTAAGCCAGCTGCTCTCTCACCAGAGGTTCGCAATTTCCTGCAGGAACAGTCTGCCTCGCTGGTTACGCACAACCTAGACTTAACTTACGACTACTGGACAGCCGGTACGAGCGGTGTAGTTCCTCATGCCGATGGCAATTAATTATGTCTAGATGAAATATTACATTCCGTGTTGCCCGAGGAGCTCTGCAAGGGCTCCCCATCAGGTTTCGCAATTACTGGCCACCTAGGTGAGCGTGGTGACAGACGCCTATAATCATCATTGACGACTCCTGCAGCCCACATGAATCTCAATAAAGAATATCTACCCTATAAGCATATCATAGGTCAAATTATTCTGGATGCATGTGTTGATTCCTCGAATTCTGAAACTCGACTGATACTATTTACCACAGAAAAATCCCATGATCAAGACAGTCGTCAATAAATTAGACAGCATTCATACAAAGTATCGGTTCTTCAACATGGAACTACTTGCCGGAGAACCTAATTATATCGTGGAACACGTAGGTTAAGTCTTTCTGTGATACAATATGTTGTTAAAGACATTCTAGCACGAGTCTAATTGCCGTTTCACCTTCGACTTCACTCAAGTCTATTGGAATTCACGGCTTCACACAGAGCATGACCGGCTTGTCCAGCTCTTCGAACCCACCGACGTCATTGCAGATGTATTTGCTGGTGTGGGTCCTTTCGCAATCCCTGCTGCCAAGAAGGGATGTGCAGTATTTGCGAATGATCTAAACCCTGAGAGTGCGAGATACTTGACCAAGAATATCGTTGACAATAAAGTGAGTTCTTCGAGTCAATATGTACCTCGTTCTGACGTTGTTCGGTAGGTCGCAAGCTTGGTCCGCGCTAGCTGCGAGGATGGTCGTGATTTCATGAAGAAGGTCATTGCCCGTGCAAGAGATCATCCGTTCCCCGCATACACAGGACCGAAACTCAGCAAGATGCAAGAAAAGGAAGAGAAACGCAGGTTGCAACTTGCAAAATCCTCTCCACCTACAGTACTTGCATCGGTTGATAAGTCCACTGTGAATAATCAGTCTCCCCGTCAAATCATCTCACATTTTGTGATGAATCTTCCGGACTCTGCGATCGACTTCCTCGACTCCTTCCGCGGGATTCTATCAGAAAGCACTAGTGAACGGGATTTAAGCGGCATTTACACCGAGATGCCGATGGTTCACTGTCATTGTTTCACACGCGAACTGGAGCCAGACAGGGCTCAGGCGGATATTAGACAGGTAAGATTTGTGACTCGTTGCAAAGGTCGTGCTGACTGTGATCGTTAGAGAGTTGAAAGTAAGCTCGGACATAAGCTGGGCGCGGAAGTGACGTTGCACATGGTTCGGTCTGTTGCTCCGAACAAAGACATGTACTGTATAAGCTTTAGATTGCCTCGTGACGTGGCCTTTGCACGGTAATCTGGATTATCTACGGCGCCGGAACACTTCTTGATTGATGGGCCGCGGTTTAAGCGGTGTGCAGCCAAACGCGTTGTCTTTGGTATCGCATGTAAGGCCCGGCAACGCGATTCGGTTATGTAATCACCCGAGTTGTCTATCCCCGCAATAGTACTGCATTGGCCCTGTTGGAGCAAATTTTAGTCTCTTCGTCCTTGTGCCATTATCTACATCGTTGCGGGCTACCCAGGTGGTCCTGCATAAGTATCCTTCCCCCTAGTCTTGCTTATTTGCTCTCTCTCTCTCGCCATATAGACGTACCTGATACCTCCTAGACACTAATTCGCCAGAGAGTCGTGAAAGTAGAACAATGACACCCCTTCCACGCGTTATCTCGACAGTTCACTGCGACGCCGACGTGGCATCCTCTTCTTTGACAGATTCCGCCTTGAAAAGCGTTCGTAGTGTTGTTGCGGTACCCGAGAACGAGATGAAGCGATGGAGGAGGATTTTTGAAGCCAACGCAAAGGTCGTAGTCGACGGCGAGAAGTATATTATAATTCATTTCAAGGCATTCCAACCTCTATCTGACTACTCGGACGACAGATATCTCGACTCCGACAGCTTTGTCAATGCTATTGCTCCGAAGGGCAATTCGACTAAAATAGGTCGTGCGCAATTCGCAATTCTTTTTCGCGTTGCCGACTCCTCGAAGCGGGGTTTGGTTTCATGGGATGATTTTACAGTCTTTGAGACACTTCTTAAACGTCCCGACGCGGACTATTGGATAGCCTTTCAGTATTTCGACGTGTGAGTCTTTCCTCCCGTCCTATTATGAGTAGCTCAGACTTGACACGGTCGCCTTTCAGGGACAACTCTGGCACCATAACTTTTGATGAGTTCAAAAATGTGTTCTTGGCCAACGTTGGGCCATCTGCCATTCCTTTTGACTTTGACTGGTATGTACCAGTGGAATTCCAATTTGCTGTATTTACCGTAGTCACAGTGATTGGGTTAAGTTATATCTTGGCCGAAGAAACGGCACACATGTTCTTGGGTGTCAGTACGGCTATAATTCTGATTCCAATTTTATTGACTTAGTTTTTGTAGACAATGAGTTTACTCAGCTGATGAAGGGGCTTCAGGGAGAGCGTCTGCGTCAGGCCTTTAAATATCTCGACAAGGATCAAGATGGATTCATTAGACCCGAGGAATTCAAACAAATTATTTTGGTTTGTAAACGACTTCATTCTTCACGATTTGCGCTTTACACGATTGTTTCGCAACAGGAGATTGCTGGGCATAAGCTATCGGATGCAGTCATTGAACGTCTACCTACATTATGCACCCTGACTCCTAGTGGGCGGATATCATACTCTGAGGTTATCGCATTTCAAAATGTTATTCGAGGTGAGCCTCATTATTCTGTGGCCTGGAAGCAACCTCAACTTTGTATCGCAGAGATGGACATGGTGGAGCGGTAAATCTGCTCGCCTTGCATAACTTTCGTCCACTGATAGGCTGTTAGTATATTACGTGAGGCCACCGCCAAGTCAAAGGATGGACGCATTGACCAGTCTGACTTCCTTAACCACTCGGCTGCGATTTCGCGCTACGCTCTTTTCACGCCCATGGAGGCATCTATCATTTTCCACTTTGCTGGTCGGGGTAGCCCCGAGAAGAGGCTTGCTCTGTTGGATTTTGCTCAACTCTTGGATCCCCAGTGGAAATCTCCTCACGATGTACTTGAAGCCAAGGAAGTCAGCTCGAAGCCATCCTTCTATCATGGCGTACTACGCTCTGCCTACAGCTTTGTTCAAGGAGGCACGCCACTCATTACACAATACTGTCACGATGCAACTCTAACATTAATATAGGAATTGCTGGGGCTTTCGGTGCCACTATCGTCTACCCTATTGACATGGGTAAGTGATTAAGCAACTAGTTAAGTTGGATCGATCTGATTTTGCTTATTTTTATAGTGAAGGTACGCTGTGCATTTCATCAATCATTCTTGTAGTCTACAACCTGTCTGATTAATCGACAGACTCGGTGCGTTCTTAACACAGCTTTTGCGACTTTTGTGTAGCTGAACAACTTTAAGGATGCAAAATCAGCGGAGTACGGTGGTCGGTCAGATGCTGTACAAGAATAGCATCGACTGCGCTCAGAAAATATTCCGCAACGAAGGTCTTATGGGTTTCTACCGCGGTCTTGGGCCACAGTTGATTGTGCGTCATCGTTGTACCTCTATGATTTTTTTTATCTCGCTTCACGTTTCAGTAGGGTGTTGCTCCGGAGAAAGCTATCAAGCTTACTGTGAACGACCTCGTTCGTGGTCGCGCCATGGATCCAGAGACAGGTCGCATCAAGCTTGGTTGGGAGTTGGTGGCCGGCGGAACGGCTGGTGGTTGTCAAGTGGTATGTCTGCTCTTTTAAGACTATTCACGTTGCCCACAACGATGGCAGATCTTTACCAATCCCCTGGAAATCGTGTAAGGTTAAGCACACTGGTCATAGCCTGATCCCTGACTCGAGTTTCAGTAAGATTCGACTCCAAATACAGGGAGAAGCCGCGAAGCTAGAAGGTGCAGTTCAAAAGGGTGCCGTCCACATTGTACGCCAACTGGGCGTACTTGGTTTGTATAAAGGGGCCAGTGCCTGCTTGCTTCGCGACATCCCATTCTCGGCCATCTATTTCACAGCATATTCGCATCTTAAAAAGGATGTCTTCCATGAAGGCTACAACGGCAAGCAGTTGTCATTCCTGGAGACCTTGGGTGCAGCAGCCATTGCGTAAGCTTTCTTGCTTTATAAGCTTGCTCACTGTACTGACAGAGCGGTTCGCTAGCGGCATGCCAGCAGCCTACCTAACAACTCCCGCCGGTTCGTATTCCCTTGATGCACTACCCGTGATGATGCCAATCTCATCGTTCCACAGATGTGGTAAAGACTCGCCTCCAGGTCGAGGCACGACAAGGTCAGACCCACTACAAAGGCCTCACCGACGCATTTGTCAAAATCAGTCAGTGCCAATTTCATTTAGCGAAGCTCGGGAATTCACGACTGCGGTACTACCTGTAGATAAGGAAGAAGGCTTCAAAGCATTATTCAAGGGGGGGCCGGCGCGTATCCTGAGAAGTAGCCCACAGTTTGGCTTCACCCTGCTTGCATATGAATACTTGCAAAAGGTACTTGACTGTTACTCCACGCCCTGAACATACTAACATCCAATTATCCTTGCAGCTTTTTCCTGTCAGTCCGTCCGTTTGGTCTATGGGATATGATACCTGATTATTTTCTACAGTATCCATGGCAAGATAACAAATCCGAAGTCAAGACTGCTCTGACAACATCGAAACGGGATGACATGTCTCAAATCCGTGCCCGGAACGCCCTCAAAATACTACTAGATGTTCATGGGGATTTCGGGAGGCGTGCGGCCAATTTCTCACATCCCCTCGTGAAGCCGGCACCACCGACAACCCCGCCGTCGAAAACGGCATGATGCACTTTACTTAATCCTCATCTATTGAACTTTGTATAGACGGAACAATGCAGGAATACAGCCTCCTGTTCTTTCCGAACTTCTGACTTGCTTTCGATCTATCGATGTCGCTCTCTCTCGACAATGCACCTTTGCTACTACATCTACATAGACTTAAATATTCTTCAAAGCAACCACTGACTACAGTATACCGTAATTGACACAATTGGATTATTTAAGATTGTTATGCATCCGCATGACAAACACGGAATACATGGACGTGTTTTACCGGTTTTCCTACTGCCCTTGGATAAATGCCGCTCCGTGAAGTCGAATTCCCTTCCGATCCTAAAGATCTGGAACACACGACAGAACAGTTTTTGATTTTCTACTCCTCGCGCATAAATGGGCAGCTATGGTGTCCCGTGAGTGCGAGTTTCATGTAGTACAGCGACCACACAAATTTCTGACTGGTTGGAACTTGGCCTGCCAGGACTGTGTAGAAGTAGATCGGACCATCCAAGATACCTTCGGCCCTGAGCATGGGCCATCCGCGGTGATCGTCTATGTTGGTCAAAAGCCTGAGTAGGCACATCTCGATTCCCGAGATCTGTGAACTGGCACTCAATTTCCATGACTGCGCCCAGATGGAAAACCCCATCCAATGTTTTCCGAGGCGAGCCCTGGCAAATTACCTCGGTGCCCACGGTTATCAAGGTGAAAGGCGTCAGTAGAACTACCTTACTACTACAAAGCAATTTCTGATAGCCTCATCGACAGTCTGAAGTAGCTGGTCGACTCGACTCAGAGATCAATGCACGACTCGCTGATTTCATCCGAGGATAAAGTGATCGGGCCCCATGAGTCATGACGTCGAGTTTCAAATACCAACTGGCCTTTGGATTCAATGTGTACATAGTAGAAGCAACCGAAGGTCAAAATTTTGAATAAACTGATGAAACTACTAATCAAGGTCTGGCTACAAGAGACTATGAAACTACTAGGATGCGTTCCCTGACTTCCGCTCTTCTTCAAGACCCATGCCGTCGGTACTATGTCATCTTTCCCCGATTCTGAATGAGCTCCAGTATTGCCATTGTCGAAACCAAGGACACGTCAGCCACATCGGAGAATATGTAACCCGACAGTAGACACATAGTATATTAATAATTAAGCGATTCCGGTGTGCCTCTTAAGTCTAATAATTTCGTATCTGCTTGCAAAGCAAACTACTGCTATCATATCGTAACCTTAAAAGTCATAGTCGGAGAGGTGGACTACTGGGCGATCGCAACTTGTCTCGAGATCCATGTTAACGTGCTGGCGCTCTGTTTTTTTTACAGTGTAGGTACGGCCAACCCTCGAAGATATCGATAACCATGCAACCCAGGGGAGACATCATTTTTCACGTCTAATCTTTTTGGTTTATTTTTGTCCAACACGGTCCCTCATAAATAACACTTTTTCTCTCGCGTCGAAAATCCTGCTCGGAATGATGTGTGGTCCTGGATGTTCAAAGGAATTTCTAGGGACCATGTTGTTTGTAAGGGGTCCTTGATGGGAACCCATACCTGTCGTCGTCTGCCCCTGGGCCTAAGCAGGCACAAACATTTGGCACAAGTAAAGAATATTCCATCAACGTTCCCCTGGTTGACGGTCACAGTCTCAGAGAACTTGTGCGATCACAAGACGTGCGCTGAACTTCAAGCAAATAGTTTGTACTTGGTCTTTTCACAGCTGCGCACTACCTTCGGTGACCTTCGACTATGATAACTCCTCAAGGATGTAATGATACACTGGTTGTTCAGAAGCATCAACGTGGCACATTATAAGGTGATGGGGCTTGAGACTCGGGGGATATTTTACTCCTCCCTCCTGTAGATCTCAACGAGTGGTACATTAGGATGGATTCTTATCAATTCATCAAAGGACTCTGAAAGCTAGTGGTGCATACTTCAGAAAATTCTAGTGTTTCAAACCGTATTTGTTGCGATACTGCAAATAGTTATGGAACTCGAGTAAAATCACCACTTTTGCCGCCTGTTTTATGCGTGACCATGATCTCCCCAATTTTCATTTCCTTGCCCGCCACGGCCTTTAGCATATCCCAAACCGTAAGGAGACCGACGGATACAGCCGTCAGTGCCTCCATTTCTACTCCAGTTTTCCCTTCGCATGCCACAGTAGCAGTACACTTTATGCCATAAACGAGGCTGCCTTGATCACCAAGCGGCGAAGCGGGACACATGCCACAGCTCAGGCGTTAATGTGACAGATATGTTGGATATCTGGAGAGGATGACATAGGGGAATGAGGTCGGAGGTTCGCTTAGAGCCCATGATCGCGGCTAGCTGAGCGACAGTCATCACATCCCCTTTGCCGCGAGCCTTCTGGATTGTCTTGTCATTGGAATCGGCGTCACCCGACCCTGTGACAAGGTCATACGCAGACTTTGGGATGTATATGCAACCGCTGGCGGTAGCGCTACGCTTCGTTGCGTCCTTACTGCCGACATCAACCATACGCGGCTGACCATCAGAGCTAATATGAGTCAAACGGAGGTCAGATCGGCTAGACGACGAGCTCCAGCGTCGATGGATATAAGGTAGCAACAGTGTACCATCGAGGGGGTAAGCATACGCAGGAAGGCGGGGTAACGATCGCACTCTAGACTTGCGAGGCTGCGTGTCTGGAAAAGTAGATTTACATCAGGACAACTGTATTACACCCATCGCACACTAGTAAACTATGCCTCAGAGGAAAGCACCTAACCTCCAATGAGAATCATGGGTCGATTGGTTATGACATCAATATCCTCCATCCCGGCGTGCTTCTCCTGTTTTCCTTGGACAGCGCGTCCGATGACGTCCAGGAGTTCTGCATCACTGGCGCCACATCGCATTTCATCCCTAAGGGATACTTCCTTGGCGTCAAAGAGACAAACCTGACTCAAGGGTGAGTATGTGGCACGCTCCGGTTATGATACACATACTTTAATCTGTCCGTCTGCCGTCAAGCGCAGGCGGTTGCAGGATGAGCAAAAATGATCAGACATGCTGCTGATGAAGCCTAAACTACCGACATGTCCCGGAATCTTCCAAGATCGCGCGGTGTCGTTGAGTTCATCGGGCGCTCGTGTTATAGAAGGGTATTCTCTTGAGATTTGGTCCAAAAGCTGGCTGGAAGGAATCATCTTTGCCTTGTCCCACTTGTTCCCTGTGCGGCGTGAGCAAATCCACATGACTATCGGAGACAAACTATACCTGTGAAGGGCATGAATTCAATAAATCGAACGGAGATATTTTTGTCCGTAGTCAATTTGACAAAATCCAGGACTTCTGAATCGTTGAGGCCCTTGACCACAACAACATTTAATTTCACTGATTGTAATCCTGGACTGTGGAGGGCGGCATCGAGTGAGCGAAGGACTGCATCGTGGCCGGGTCGCCGAGTCATAATCTCAAACTTAAATGGGTCTAGAGTATCAAGGCTGATTTATGTCACTGTTAGGTGTGCCGTATTGAATGCACGAAAAGAGAATGGTCACCTCAGATTCAGATGTGTTAGACCGTTTTCAACATAACCAGGCAGACGACGATGGAGGGCAAGTCCATTGGTGGTCATGCCGATAGACTGGAGGCCGAGTGGTCTGAGCTCGTTGAGGCGACCTGCACAATGTTTAACCAACAGTCAGAAGCATGACAATAATAACTTGCGAATTATGCCGTCCAAGCCTTTCCGTACAGTAGGCTCACCCCCAGTCAGTCGTATTTTAGTGACGCCGCTTCTCACGAAAAGATTTGCCAAACGGATGATTTCGTCATCAGTCAAGATGTGGTCGGCTGGTGATAACTCTACGCCTTCGCTAGGCATGCAATAGAAGCCTACATTACGAGCAGAATTGTTAGTGCTGGAGACCACGAGTCGAACGAGGGACAGACATCGAAGATTACATCTCTCTGTCAAGGGAGATGCGAAGGTAATCGTGTCTCCTCTGAAATGAGTCAACGAGTGCGGGTGAAAATGGTTTTTGTACATCGATGCGTGCAATTTTTGACTAGGACAAGATGAGTTGACCTCTAAGCCGGATGGGTGACCATACCTGAGCCCTTGTTCTTGCGGTTGCGGTTGTCCCTGTGCTCTGCGAATAGGACCGGAGAAAGGCAGGTCGATATTTGCGGGATACCGCTGGACCTAACCAGCTTGCCCGTTGATAATTCATATGTCGGAAGAAGGAGCTTGAGTAAACATAGTGCTCCTGAGAGGATAATTAGATCTCACGGGCCCCGCGTCCTTGTCAAAAGTTGGTTCCGAGAATCTCGATCGGAACGTTGACCTGATCACATGACATGACGCTAGCGGCGGCTAAAGCCTAAGGGTGACTTATATATTAGCTGGTTCGCCTCCCCCATGTTCCTTACATCTTGCTCCTTAACACACTACTTAGTCTATCCTACTACCCTATTAGCTCTCTCCTCTGAGCTGACTCAATTGATCCTATCTTTTCTTTCTCTTCTCTTCCTTATCTTTCCACCCTTTGGACATGGCGACGAACGCACCTTCCAATGGTAGTGTACAACATGCTCAGGAAAAGGCTGAAACTCATCTTCACAACATCATCAAACATGATGTATCCCAAGGTGCCATTGTTCACTCCTTTGACCCAAACGCTTCTCCCCAGCAGAAGGCTGCTGCTGCGGGGAAGCAGAGTGACCGACTGAAAAGTATCATTGTCCAGCAGGACGGAAGTGCGCAAGGCGAAAAGGGTACGCTTTTCTCTCTGCTACGTCTCCCCAACGTAACGTTTATATCAGACTCATCTATTGATGCCACTGGAGGAGGCACCCTTCCTACCATCACAGTGGAAGACGCGGACAACGCGACCAAGGAAGAACAGGAGAAAGCGGGCAGTGCCACTCCTTCTGCACCTACAGTACCTGGCGAATATCCCTCTGGTGTCACTCCAGCGATTCCGGATTGGTATAAAGTTGGCTGGCGTGCTGTCGCAAATATTGATGCACCTCCGCTTGAAGAAGGCGAGGAGAAAGATAAACACATACTTCAGCTTTTCTTGTCTGAGCAATATTATGGCCAGTGGTACCACAATGCTGCTCTTATCTTCTTTGTAAGTCTGGCACTCATGGCTTGGTCATCGCAGTACGCTCATTTACGTGACGTTGTATAGGCTGTATTCGCCTCTCACTTCTTGACCCGATTCAATTTCGGCTGGGGATGGCTGATCATCTTGCTGTCCATCTGCAGCACCTACTACATGACTTCAATGACTCGTGTCCGCCGGTGTGCCCGCGATGACATTCAGCGGGAATTGGTCAAGACACGCCTTGCGTCCGAGCACGAATCCGCTGAGTGGATGAACAATTTCTTGGACCGTTTCTGGCTCATTTACGAGCCTGTTCTCTCTGCTACGGTCGTCGCCTCTGTTGATCAGATCTTGAGTACCACCACTCCTGCCTTTTTGGACTCCTTGCGCCTCACAACCTTCACCCTTGGGACGAAGGCTCCCCATATAGACAAAGTCAGGACATTTCCAAGGACTCCTGACGATATTGTCATGATGGATTGGGGAATTTCCTTCACTCCTAGTGATACATCGGACATGACTCCCCGTCAAGCAGCGCAAAAAGTAAACCCCAAAATTGTACTATCTGTTCGCGTGGGCAAAGGTCTTGCCACAGCCTCTATGCCCGTCCTTCTCGAGAACATCTCCTTCAGCGGTTTGATGAGGATTAGGCTGAAGTTGATGGCGAATTTCCCTCATGTGCAGATCGTGGATATCAGCTTCCTTGAAAAGCCTGTTATCGACTACGTGCTTAAACCGGTGGGTGGCGAGTCGCTTGGATTTGACATAGCCCACGTAAGTAGCGGTACGCTGCAGCATCGTTGACTCGAGCTCACCTTATTATCAGATTCCTGGTCTACAGACTTTCATTCGGGATATGGTTCACGGCACGCTCGGTCCCATGATGTACGACCCGAATGTGTTCACTCTCAATCTTGAACAACTTCTTTCGGGTGCACCCCTTGATGCAGCTATCGGCGTTGTTCAAGTCACTATCGAGGCCGCTCGCGGACTCAAGGCCAACAAGATTGGTGGAGGCTCTCCTGATCCCTACGTCAGCATCAGCATTAATAACCGCGGGGAACTTGCGAGAACCAAGCATAAGCAGAGCACGTTAGCACTTTTCATGTTTTAACTTTCCTCGGCCTCACGCATACCTCCAGATACAACCCAACGTGGTTGGAGACAAAGTTTATTCTGGTAAACTCCCTTCAAGAGTCGTTGGTGCTTAGTCTCCTTGACTACAACGATCATCGCAAGGACACTCCTCTTGGCGCTGCCACCTTCGAGCTGCAGAAGCTACTAGAGGACGCAACACAGGAAGGTTTGGAACTACCCGTGTTAAAAGATGGAAAGGATAAAGGAATGGTTCGTTTCGACGTCAACTACTTCCCCGTTTTGAGGCCTCAATCCGTCGACGGCAAAGAAATTCTACCTCGAACAAGTGCGTTCGCGATTCGTCTACTAGTCAAGACTTATCATCCTTCGTAGATGTTGGAATTGTCCGCTTGACTATACATCAGGCTAAGGAACTCGATGCTACGAAATCACTTTCTGGCGATCTGAACCCCTTAGTCAAGGTCTTCCTTGGGAATAGCACTTCCCACACGCATAAATCTCAGATCATGAAGCACACGAACAATCCTATTTGGGAATCACCGACTGAGTTTATTTGCGCAGACAAGGCGTCTTCAGTCATCACTATCAAGGTGATCGACGAGCGAGACTTCCTTAGAGATCCTGTGGTCGGCTACATGTCTGTCCGACTGGTCGATCTTCTCCAGACGGACCCCACTCTTGTCAGGCAATGGTGGCCCCTGAATGGCTGCAAGAGCGGTAAGATCAGGCTCAGTTGCGAATGGAAGCCGCTACAAATGGCTGGCGCCCTGAGCGGCGCGGATGTGTATGTGCCTCCGATAGGTGTCGTTAGACTTTGGTTGCAGAAGGCGATTGATGTCAAGTAAGTTTCCTTCGGGGACTATGAGACAGCAGGTTTGACTGATCGATTCTTAGGAACGTGGAAGCGACTTTGGGCGGCAAAGTGATGCACATCTGTTGTTTTAGAAGGATTCAACTAACGACAGTCCGTTCCAGAGTGATCCTTATGTTCGAATATTGGTCAACAACGTCACTCTTGGGAGGACCGAAGTCATCAACAACAGTGCGTAGCAAACAATCGTGACTGAGCCGTAATCACCTTGTACTGCAGATCTGAATCCCGAGTGGGATCAGATAATCTATATCCCGGGTAGGTAGTTGCATGTCTTGCTGCTTTTCCTTACTCATCTGTGTCGTTAAGTTCATTCCTTGAGAGAGGCAAGTTTCTCAACCCCTCTTCGAATCTAGGCTAATTTGTGATCAGTCGATGTTCATGGAAGTTATGGATTACCAGCATTTAACCAAGGTTTGTCACTATCAATCGATTCACACGTCTTTCTGACTAGGATCGCAGGATCGCTCCCTTGGGTCGGTGGAATTGCATGTCAGTGATCTCGCACGCGAGTCACCAGCTGATCCACAGTACCGCTACGAATCAACCGGCGCTAAGGATATTGCTGAGCCCATTAAGATCGACAACAACTCGTACAAAGGGCACCTGCACTACAGAGCTGAATTTGTACCAGCTTTGAATTTGAAGCATGTGCATTTTGACGCAAGCGAGAACGAGATCCAGATCGCCGCCCATAAAGCCCAGCGCATTCATGATAAGGGTAGTTCAAGCAGCATCGGCAGTTCCTCAAGCGAAGAAGAGGAGCGATATGTCACCGTCAATGGTCCAATGACTGGGGCAGGGACGCATGGCCCACCCCAATCTGTGCGAGCCGATGGGGGTGAGGATGCAAAACCGGACGACGAAGCTCCATCACCGACGGACAAAGATTCTGCAAAAAAAGGCAAAGATTCTGCAAAAGAAGGCATCGAGCTCAGCAAGGAAGAGTTGTTTAAGCATCGTGAGTGACCTACGCCCATCAGGCCCATAGTCGTGCTCATTTGCGTATTAAGAGTCGGGTGTCATCATCTTTAACGTGATAGGTGGTCATTTGCAGAAGAAAGCTCGTCTTGATGTGCTCTTGGATGACGCGTATTGGCCTGCTTTCAGCACCTTGAAATCACAAGGTACTAATGCTCAGTGGTCGCACGTGGGTGAAGGCTTCCTTAAAGAGCTCGACTTTGGTCGTGTCTGGCTGCGCTTGAATGAGAGCAGTGATCTTGACAAGGATGACATTATAGCAGAATGGAAGGGTGATGCCAAGGCTTTCTTAGATGCCACCCTGGTGAGCCGTCTGCTCTTGATGTAGATGTAGTTACTTGATATTTTGCAGGATCGTCGGTCGTCATTCACACTCACAGATGCGGATGGCCGCTCGTCCACGGTTGAGATTGAAGCCCGCTATGTGCCTGTCCCAGTGAAGCTCTTGCCTAGAGAGAGTATTAACAGTAAGCATCGGTGAAGTACGCGGTGCATCATTTATACCTCCTTTGTTACAGACCAAGGCATGCTCCGAGTTGACCTTCTGTCTGGAAAGGACCTTCGCGCTGCCGACAGGACAGGTAAGCTATACCGCGTGCACATTGTGCTCGCGCTAACACATTTTTCTAGGCAAATCTGATCCGTTCGCCGTCTTCACTCTCAATGGCACGAAGGTGTTCACATCTCAAACCAAGAAGAAAACTCTCAACCCTGATTGGTCAGAAGATTGCATAGTTAATGTGGTATGCTCATCTGCCATTCATCGAGAATTTTCTTTCGCTAAACTGCATATTAGCCATCTCGAGAGGCAGCTGACTTTTCCGTCGAAGTTTTTGATTGGAATCAACTCGAGCAATCCAAGAGTCTTGGGCGTGGTACCATCAACCTGCGTGATCTTGAACCCTTCGTGGCCTCGGAACAGATGATCGAGCTCTCCTCAGAAAAGCACGGTGCAAAAGGACAGGTCGCAATTCGATTGCTCTTCCAACCGGAGATAATTGCCAAGAGCCGGAAGGCGACCTCGACCTTCTCTAGTGCGGGCCGCGCCATGACCCAGATTGGATCGTTGCCCTTCGGTGCTGGCAAGGGCGTCGTCCGTGGCATTGGTAATGTCTTCAAAAGGGACTTTGGGGGTAGTCATGAAAAGTTAGATGCCCTCCACGCTGAGCCAGAGATTGCCGCCGGTCAAGCATCGCAGCCGATAGGAGAGCAGACCGCAGGCGATGACACCACCTCTCATACTACCGCCACTAGTTTCCCCTCCTTGAGTCGTACTCCTTCAGCTTCGGGCCCACCATCAGAGCCTGGAACACTCAGAGTAACGATGATAAGTGCCAAAGATGTATCTATGGCGGAGGCGAAACCGTACGCAGTTATACGTGTCGGTGACAAGGAGTTCAAAACAAAGCATGGTAACAAGACATCATCACCAGAATGGTAAGACATTCCTCCCTGATTTATGGCCTCGCCTCTCATCTTTAACGCTAGGAACGAGTCTTTCAATTTCGCTGCCAGCGCACACACGCCAAAATTGCACCTCTGGATTCATGATCATAAGACGCTCGGAAAAGACAAGCAGTTAGCTCAGGGCGAGGTTGATGTACGTTGACATGTTTGGCTGTGGTATGATCTTCCTGAGAGACTTAATTAGATCTGGCGGCACATACAAGTTGGCCGGTCGACGGCTGCTGAGGTTACCGTCGAGCTTCAAGGTGGCGGGCAAGCCCGCATCCGTCTCGAATTTGATGCAGAGAATAATCCACTAGCGCGAGATGCGTCCTTGGCTTCCCCTGATCGTTCACAGCTGCAGGCGTCGCCATCGAGGTTCAGCATCAGGGGTCTTAGACCAGGATCGCATGAGGACAGTTGATTTATGGCGATTTATGGCGTACGCAACTCGCGATATCCCGCTTGGGTCCGGCATCATATTTAATTCCCGATCTATGGACTGCTAGTTTTATGATGCAAACTCACTGGTACCCTTTTCAAAGGTTTCATGACGTCTGATCATAATGCGTATGTAATTGAACTACTATCCACTGCAGGAATCAGGTAGGGGGATCCGTCCGAATCGAATAATTATTAAAAACTCTTTCCCCGCCCGTCGTTCGATAACAATCTAAAATCCGTAAGCGTATACTCACCTACAGGACAAGATAAGTTTACCTGACTGGTTAAACCAAAGTCTTCCAACATCCTGGACCGGATGCTTGGGACATCGTTTTGTTTCAAAGCAACCAAATAAAATCTACCTCGCGGTGATAGCAGACACTGAGAGGCATGGTTAATAGCGCTCCAGAGCACTAGGAAAGATGGTACCTCAACGTCTTGTAAGAAACGATTGGTAGTTTCCATTCCATCAGTTCCCCCTGCCCAGGACCCTGTAATATCAGCACTCCTCTGAGCACTCGATGCTTCATTTGTATCTGTCGGTACGTAAGGGGGGTTGAATAGCAGGACATCGACTGCGTGGTGCAATCTCGATAAGAAGGGTCGTGCTAGCGAGCACGTTACTGGATCCAGGATTATCTACTATGTAGTTGTCATTAGTGCAGTCAAAGCGTCGACGAGACTCAGGTTGTACCTTGTTCTGTTTCCCTGTTGCGAGGGTACAACGGGTGGCGTGATGATTTATGTCGGTGCAGAGGTAAACTAGTATATTGCCAATGAATTCCGCTCTGAGAATGATGAATGCGAACTCACGAGAAGGAGGTCGTCCCAGTATCGTTCCAAGAAATGCTGACACGCATCCTGATCCAGACCTGAAATACAGTCAGTAGTTTATAGCATGTAGAAGGTAAGTCTCACCCGACTTCGAGACAAATCAGAGGACGTTCCTTCCTGAGCTCTTCAGCCTCTTGTTCGAGGGCGTCCAGGAGTAAGAATGTGTCCTCTACTAGATAGCTTAGAGACTACAGTACAGTGTATATCTATGTATGCACCTGCTGGATCGTACACTTGCTGGAGGTCATGCCCAGTCAAATGAGAAAGATCTGGCGTCGGTATCATGAAGGCGGAGAGGACAATCGAAAGGATCACGTGGTGCGACGCGTCGTTGGCGCGCGTGTGGCACATCTGATTATTTATGTGTCAAAACTTCAACCCATTCCGCAACTTCGCAGAGGCCGTACTGAGCAGTGGTAAAATCGCAACAAAATGGCCACAAGATCAAAGATTGGTGCAACAACGACGAGGGCGTCGACCCGAACAAAGACACCAGTTCCACCTCCCAGCCCTCCACCAGGGGTCAAGGCGATTCGAGCAAGAGTTCCAAGCAAAACTACTACACAAACTGAGGTATCAAAAGCACGAACGACTGGTCGAAAACCTCTTATCAATCGAGCTAATTCACCTGATGCCAAGCTTCCTGCTGTCAAGAAGGTGACCGATACTAGGCAAGCACGGGCAGATCACGCATCAACTGCAGAGCGCGAACCCGTGATGGTAGATCATGAATACTGGTTTTTCTTCGTGTACTGAGACATTCTTTAGGCCTATTTGCGCATCCGCCCCCACCTTGGGGATGACGAACCCATGTCTATGCCATATCTTACCCCCTTGTCCGACACGTCTGTACGAATGACAGATCCCAGCCATGATGGTGCGGGCAGCTCCAGACCGCACCTTCGTGTCTCAACCGTTGCACCTTCATCAATCTACAAATTCTCACATGTTTTCCTGCCAGAAACACAGCAGGCGGAGTTCTTCGCAAAAACCACGCTTCCCCTTGTGCGCGATCTCCTGGATGGACAGAATGGCCTATTGTTTGCATATGGGGTTACAAATTCGGGCAAGACGTATACAATCCAAGGAGGCAATGGTCTAGATTCTGCAGGTATCCTACCGCGAACACTTGACGTGATTTTCAACAGCGTGGAAGGACTGCACAGCGATGGTCGAGTGAGTAATGATCAATAGACATAACCTCATGACTTTTCATGAAGTATTGTTAGTTCAGGCCCATCAGGCTGTATGGCGTAGAAGAAGCTAATCCTTCTGAGTTCCTGCCCCCCATGGACATCGATGTGCCAACTGATGAGCCACGACTCGCAGAAGTCCTTGCGGAACATCTCTCGAACACGGATGATATCGATACTGATCCAACAACAATAAAGCTCGACCGCAACTACGAGTACTCTATCTGGCTGTCTTACGCGGAAGTATACAATGAGAAGGTTTACGATCTTCTTGCGGAGGTGACAGAAGATACGTCGCGGTCACAGATCCCTCGCTCAAATGCCAACGCACAAGCTGCCCATCCGCTCTTGCTGACGCGTAAAGCTCTCACTGTTAAACCTTCACCTGCCTCTGACGCATTAGACGAGACTGGGCCGGGAAGCGCGGGGAAGTACATTGCAGGACTGAGATATTTCCGGGTAACTAGTGCTGCACAAGCAAAGGCACTTGTAAAGCTAGGACAACTGCACAGACGTGTATTCGGCACGCTGGCTAACAGCCAAAGTAGCCGGAGCCATGGTATGGTCACTGTCAAGGTCCTAAGAGGACACCGGGGTGACAGGGATGTAAGTACAGTACGGATCTCGGACACATAGTTTTGTTCATATAATTTTCGCAGGACCCAAGCTCTCTGCAGATATCGCGGTTGACCCTCGTGGATCTAGCAGGATCGGAGCGAACCAAACATACGCAGACAACTGGCGATCGTCTAAAGGAGGCCGGAAACATCAATAAGTCTCTCATGGTCCTTGGCCAATGCATGGAGGTAGGATGACTACTCTTTTGGTTAGTAAGTATATGCACATTTCATCTTCGGTAGGTCATGCGCTCCAACCAAAAGCGTCTCGCACAAAGCCTCGCAAATCCTGGGCGGACAGACACTCGTGATGTTAAGAGGGCATTGGCGGTTGTGCCATTCAGGCACAGCAAACTCACGGAGGTACTAATGGATTACTTTGTTGGCGACGGTCGAGTCGTAAGTCATCGATTCGGAACATTTTGCAAGCAGTTCATGCAGAGCTTAATGATAGGTGATGATCGTCAACATCAACCCTTACGATACGGGTTTTGAAGAGAACTCTCATGTAATGAAATTCTCTGCACTTGCGAGGGAAGTTTCAACGACCGTGAACAACGCACCCGTACCCCGCGTGCAGACCAATCCGGGCAAGCGTAGTACAGTCAACTCAGCTCCGCCCAGGGCGGTGACCAGGAAGGTAACAATATCAAGCCTTCTCCCTAATAAGAAGGTCAGCGAAGCACACCTTGAGGTTCTAGAAGGTGCGTCATTACATTCCAAAGCGCATCCTCCATCAATTCGCTCCATACAGAGGATGAGGAGGCGAGGGAAGATGGCGAGAGTGACGAGGAAGATGATGAACCCATCAATCCGCTAGTGGATGCCCTGTTTGATGAGATCGAAGACTTGCGTCTGCGGGTACGGTTCCATTATCAATAGTGACCGTATCTGTTCAACAATCCGTCGTTCGCAGCTTTACGAGGCAGAGATGCGATGCGTAATCGTCGAAGCGGAGACCCGCGAAGACGTTATGAAGGAGATGGAAGAAAGAATGCGCGAAATCGAGAAGACTTACAACCAGAGGCTTATGAGCGAGGTAAAGTCTAGACCTCAACGATAACACATCAACTTACAGCGCTTGTCAGGTTGAGCGCAATGAGCGCAAAATGGATGCCAAGATCGATATGCTACACCAAGCTGGACTGATTGGTTCCCCTCAAAAGCGTCGAGATATAGCGGAGAGCGAGGAGTCGGGCGAAATTGAAGATGAGGTTAGTTCAATCAGAACAAACGCCGTTGTTAATTCGGAATTGACTCTGGTTTAGGACGTAGAATCCATTGAAGATGATAATGTGGCGTCCGATTCAGAAGCAAGCCGATCTTCTTCGCCTCTTGACGGCAAGGGGAAGCCCTTAGAACGGTTAGAGCTTACCTCCAACCAAATAATGCGCACCGATCAGGAGGGGGCTGATGCGAGTGCTCCAAGCGAAATCGAGGAGATGACAGAGGAGGAAGAGAGCGTGGAGGACGATCCGATCAGTGAAGATGACGAGTCCGACGATTACGCCCCTCCAGCTACGGCCAAGCCTAGGCCGTTTAAAGGCGCCGTCAAGCCTTTGGCAAAAGGGAAAGCAGGGAGTTCAGCACCCCAAGCTAGTCGTCGATCGACTCGCACTGTGTCTTTGTTGGAGAAACAGATCAAAGATCTTTCTCTCTTAGAGGATGACACAGGTGGCGCTGATGACTCTATCACGATTCTACCCAATCGAAAGGCACGGGCAGCTTACGGCGGTCCTGATGTTGTATTCGTGCCAGGGAAAGGCGACATTGACACTACGAAGAAAAAGAAGAGGTGGGATCTGTGCTACGGATTTGAGAAAAGACTGACTCCTCATACAAGGCAACTGGGTAAGAAGGCTGTAGTGACCGAGGAAGAACTGGAACAAGTAGTTGGAGCCGTGGAGAAAAATGCGCAAAAGGGTGGAGGAAGCAAGAATATCAGGACGGATAACGCGTTTAAGTTGATGATCGATGATCTACTGATTTCTTCAAGCGTGATCTGTATACACTAAAGTATGAAATGATACTGTATCTGGGCATCTAAGCTCAGATGCCTAAGTATGTAGCTCGACGGCTCCAGGCTCAAGAACAATCGCGAAGAGATAATATCATGTGATGAAACGCGTCTACTCTGTATCACGTGAGCGTGTTCAGTACAATAGGTTGTTCCACATATCGTTTGGTGTCCCGGGCTCATTCACGATAACGATAACATTTCTTGGTTGATCTTGGCTTGTACCTACGTAACTTGGATATGTCCACTAATGGCGCTCGAGGGTCACCCAACAGACGCAAATCTATCGCGGTAGCCAACCAGAATCGACCTCTTCATCCAGGCAAGAAGCGGCGAGCACATTCAATTGCACCTGGCGACAAGATCAATCTTGCTTCGAAAGCGCGTCGCTCACTGGTAAGTCATATTATTGACTGCCATTCGTATTCCTTACAGTCCGAAAGGCTCCCCGGAAAAGTATCCTCAAAGCAGCAGTCAATATCCAGGAGGATGATGATGCCACACAATCCATGGATCTTACCCATGTTCACGAAAACACGCGAAAATCTCTTGCACGGCGCGTCAGCTTCGCAGACCGGGCACATGTTCGGCTATTTGAAACACAGGAACAGAATACGAATAGCACTGCTTCCCCGCAGTCCTCGCCTATGCAGGATGCAGTCGAACGAGGCCCTACGGATGAGAATGCGTATCCTGGGGCAAGTAACTTCCGTCGTCGAAGTTCAATTCGATCCATCGCTTTCAGTGACGGTGCAGGAGAGGAATCCATGGATATGGACTCCGATGATACAGCTTTTGGGCCAGCTGCATATCTACGGGCTCAAAATGAGGAGACAGGTGTTGACGATGACTTTGCGGATGATGACTTAAACTTTGATGACGACGACGACGACATGGAAGTCACTGAAGCCATCCAGGCCAATATCCAAAAGCGACGCTCCTTAGCACTTGCACCCTCTCGTCAACCCCTTGCAAATGTAACCTCGCCACCAAAGAATCATGACGAGGGCAGTCAGCAGCAGACTCCTGCCGATCAGTCATATACTGAAGAAGACTCCCGCCAATCTCAGTCATTCGTGTCTGAAGGCGACGTCTCTCAGCCAATGGAGTTCACAGTTCCCCTCATCCGTCCACCTGTCCCGCCAAGTGAAGCTTGGCTTGCTCTTCGATCAATAACCCACTCTGGTGATACGCCATATGTCCCCTCATCCGATGAAGAGGACGAACATGGGGGACAAGACATGGAGATTACCGACGCTCTCACGAGGCTCCAAGCAGCTCGCGAATCTCTCGGGTTCGGAAATGAAATAGATGTCGAAGAATCTGAACAACAGCAGAACCACAGTTTCACCAGCTCCGAAGATAGCTTTGCACATGATGATGTCGAGAACGACGGCAACCAGACTATCAACGTCACTCAGCTTATGCGTCGGGTGAGTCTTGGTACTGGTACCGGGGATTGGAATTCTACTATGGAGATCACGTCCACGTATGACAGTCAGGAGGAGCCAAGTGGGGACCAGCCTGACGCCGAAGGCTCGGCCCTTTCGTCCTCTTCAACAAAACCAACATCTGAGGCTCATGGGAGTGTCTCTCAGGCCGAACCACAGGAATATGTTCATGAGGAGCCAGTAGCTAGACCAGCCGTGTTCAAACCAGCCCTACCATCTGCAGAGATCATAAATGCATTGCCACCCGCTCCTGTTCCACGACCTGCCACGGTTCCCAAGCCATCCTCATTTTCCTTCACACCTCGCGGACAACTTCCAGTGTCACCAGTCCGCCCTCGTCCTCCTTCACCTACTAAATCCGTATCGCCGAGCAAAGCCAAATTTTCCGCAGCTTTTGCCCCTCCTGTTGCTCGCCCCTCGCCTAAAAAGAGGGCCCAGAGCGTCGTTGATGACTCAGAATCAGAAGACCGACCCAGTCCCGCCAAAAAACTAGCTGGCCCGGTAAAACTGACTGCTCCATCGAATGAATTCTCCAAGGGGCAATCCACGCAGTTCAGCAGAATGCCTGCAAGACTCTCCCCAAGCAAGAAGGTGCCGTTCCAAGTACATGCAAAGTCGGTTTCTGGCCCGACTAAACGTCCATCTATTGGATTCCGCCGTCCTTCAGGATATTTTGCCCAGAGGAAAAGCATGGGTGGAGCAGCGCCCGTTGCTTCTCCTGTATCGGCCTCCCCAGCCAAGAGAGCGGTCGTAGTTATGGGCAGGAAGAGCATTTCCTTTGCAGGCGGTGGCGTAGAGCCATGGACTAGGTTTGATGTTACTGGAGAGACGGCGGAGAACTTAGAGTCACAGGAGGTGGTGAGAGCTGAGACTAGCGCGGCACCGCCGCACGACTCTCCACCCGGAGAGTCTCCTGTTCGCGAGATAGGGAAGGCTTCGCTGCTTGTTGACCGGCTCAGGAAATCGCCCGCGCGAGAGTCCCCTGCACTTCCTTCCCTTCGAACTCACAGTCCTTCACGTAATTCGCCGCGACCACCAACACCAATACGCGCGTCCCCCCGACCACCGAGCCCTGGACAAGAACCAGAACCAGAACCTGACTATGAGGGGATGGAGATAACTTCAGACTTAACGCCATCAGCTACTATCCCCGAGGAGATTTCCAACCCCACTGAGCAATGGCGCGGAGATATTGCTGAAGGAGATTTCCCTCTTGAAGATGGCCCACAAATTTCCATAGATCAATTCTTTGAAATGACCGGGATACGATTCATGGACTGAAATTGCTGCCCCTCGTCGCTCTACCGTGCACCCGTCTGCCCTTCGTCCTTCCAGGCGGCAGTCCACGGAAAGTGAGATCCCTCTATCTGAATATGTGATCGCAATGGCGGTCGACGTGCCACAGCTGGAGTTATACACACACGTCAGTAAAGATCTGCAGGTCTGGATCGAGCGAATTAAAGGCATCTACAAAGAAGCAGAAGAGGAGGCTCTCAAAATGACTCCTGAGTTATTCCAAGAATTTGTGTTGGCGGACGAAGAAGGCCAGAATGAGCTCCTTCATCAGCTCAAGCTCATCAAGGTCAACAAGCATGCACAAGCCAAGTCAGAATGGTACGACTGGAAGATGCAGTGGGTTGAGCAACTGTACGAGAAGGCGGATCAAGGGTTTCGAGACCTTGAGGCGGTATGACTAGTATCCCTTCCAGTTTCTTTGTGTTGACGTTTATGATGACAGGATGCCAAAGTTCTGGAAAATATCATCCGTCAAACCCAGGAAGTTGTACCTGCTCTCAACGAAGAGTATGAGAATCTTCTCCGCGAGCTGGAGCAAGAACAGGCCGACGTCGCCGAACTCGAGAACTGCGACCAAGATTATCTCAATGAGCTGAAAACGACCATTCAAGAACAAAGGTGAATATTCTCAATTCTGATGGTCCTGGTTGACTGAGCGGATCCTTGTAGTGTGGCGCTCGAAGCCTTCCGAGCAGACGTCGACGAGGGTAAAGCCAAGCTGGATCGTCTACAGGAAAAACTGGAGGAAATTGAAGCTCAGAAGCTTGAAACCAGTAATGCTATACAGGTGGCTGAGCGGCAAGTTCAGGTGCAGAAGAACAGCACGCATGCCGAAGTGTTCAGATTGAAAGGTAGCAAATCGGTGTCTTCAAAGATCCAATACAATGCTGACGTGGTGGCTAGACGAGCTGGAAGCCCTCCAGAATCTTCACATGCTTCAAGTCACAAAAGTCCTGCCAGAGCTCTTTGAATTCAGATATGCATCGTCTTACGACGTTTCTGTCCCATGCGAGAGCTTTTGCCCAGTTGTCAAGGAAGTTACGATCAAGCGAGTCCAGAGTGCGAAGCTCAAGTACAAGGATGCATTCCCCGCTCTTAGCCCTTTGATACTAAAGACGGCGAGCTCGCTCATTACGAGATCCAAAGGAGGTCTCAGCATTCGACAGGTAGGAATTTTTCGGGGTATCAAGCAAACTCATACTGAAATCAAACAATTTTAGATCATTGAACGTCTAGGAGACTATTGGTCTGCTTGTTCTCAACTACTAGCCCAGTTAAAGTTGGTCGCAATCAAGTACCCAGTCGCCATCGCTCACAGAGCCGACGACGAATCCGGGTTCACTGCCACTGTAACAGTCATGTTCCCCAGCAAGAAGGCGAAGGCCTTAATATCTTTCATATTTGACACTCGGACGTTCTCTTCTTGGCCTATATCAATACAATCCATCCAATGCGACGTCAAAGTTGCATACGGCCCTATTCAGTGAGTGAATTGTTTATGTCTCAAAGGCTGTTGATGTTGATTATCGTGTATAGACGGGATATTCTTCATGAAGCCATCCTCGGCAGATTAAAACAGGCTACCGTAGCAGATAATTACGGTTGCCTCCTGGATGCTTGTACAGTCGCTTTGGACTGCTATGCATAACCTCGTCTTTTGGTTGGTTTAGCCCCTGCTGGTCAGATTATATCGCCCTATGTTTAATGTATCTTATGGTACTTGGTTCGCGTGTATCACCCAAATCTATACATAATATGTATCCCTTCCCCAAGGTTTGGTGCGACAGACAAATAGATATTGGTATGTTCATTACGACTATTCGTAGTAATGGCTAGACAATTGGTACTGTGTGCTATCGGTACACGAGTGTGCTGCTGATGCCTCACGGCGGTAATAATCTAGTCAACGGGCATAGTGAGGTCATCTATGTAGTACAAATTGATCCGAGGAATAGATGAAGGTCATAAGCATAAGTCTGTAACCCGACGTTCAGAAAACTTGCTGCCAAGTCAGATTCTGGTGGCACTCACGTCGCTCAAGCAAGCAGGCCCTGCATCTGCATCTGGCTTTGATCCAGCATAGCCAGGAATACATTCAGCGTCTCGCGGTTCGCACGCAGAAACTCTTGTTCTACCTCCGCCTGCCCTCTGACAGAAGCCCATTCCACTTTAATCTCACGAGCAAGGGAACATACTTCCCATTTTTGTTGCTTCTGATTGAGCAAATCAGCCCACGATGCAGCAGCCTCTTCTTGTCCGCGAGCAAAAGCAGCATCAGTTGCCTGCTCGCCGCGAGCTTCTGCGTGACGCAACTGGTCCTGCAGGGATGCGGTGAAGGCAGCGCGTCCCTCGTCCAGCCTCTCCCTCGCCTCAACGCTTATGCGAAGCTGTTTCTCCAGGAAGGAGACTTGCTTCGCGAGTTCTTCGGTCTCCTGAACACGAGATTGTGTAGCAGCATGCAGCTGCTCCTCCAGGTCCTGCAGACGGGTGAGGCGTTCCTGCGCTGTGTTCTCGGCGGATGCCACTTGTAAACGAAGTAGAGTGACGGTGCCCGAGTCCATAGGAGGGGGAAGCTCCGTGGACGTATCGAACACTTGGTTAAGGTGGTGCATTGCGGGCGATGGCGTAACGTCCGGCAATAAAACCTGGGATATAGACCCATAGCCACCCGGAGATGGCAGAGCAGAGAGACAGGGGCTTTCAGGAACTTCAAGTGCGAGGACACTGACGTTCGGTGAGGGGGTAATTGGCGTAAAGGGCGCCTGAATCTCTGACAGCATTTTCTCCACCTCTTCCTGTCCAATTATCTGTGATCCGTCATGTGCTAATTGTTCCCAAGACATTATTGAACCACGATTTGCGCCATTGGCTTGGGGAGGGCGGAGGCGAGGCGAGCTCTGTGACATCGAAGGTACAGGCGACAGGTAGGAAAGATTCGCCCGTGTAGGAAGGAGTTGTGAGGGGCGTGAGGGCGTTTGAAGTTCTGACTCATGGTTTTGAGGTCGAACAGCCCGAATCCTGGGGATCGCAGGTGTGGGTGCCCCAAGAGGGGCAGCAGGGGCAAGGAGAAGCTCTACATCATCAGCTTCAATGGAGTCTTCGCTGTCTTCCTCCGCAAGCTGCGACAGTGGGGTGGGTGTTGTATCTCTGCCAAGGGTCGCAGCAGAAAGCTGACGAGTGTGATGAGCAAGCGGAGACTCCGGAGCAGGACGACCGGTAGAACGCAGGGGACTGGATGCTTGATTATTTTTCGAGCGTCCGAACCCAAGGCCACTCTTGGAAGGTGTCTGAGGTGAACTCTGCGAGCAGACAGAGCTACGAGACGATGAAGACGATGGAGGCCGTGCAATGTTTGACCTAGACGTAGATGATGTAGCGGTCGTCTTTATGATTTTAGCTGGTCGTGCGGAATCTACCTTGGCAGGCGAGGCCTTCTTCGCTGGTGACGCTTTGTTGGTCTTGGAAGGCGTTGAAGGGGGGGTGAGGTTAGGCAAGTTAACCTTCACCGTAAGTGCTCTATGGGGTAGAGGACTGATCGGCCTCTTAGACTTCTTCTTCTCAAGGGAATGGTTGCCATCGGGAGAGTGGGCATGAGCCTTGTCCTCCTCCTCTGATGTGCTCAGCCGCTTGCGAGTGCCGGCGCGAGCGGGAGATACAGGTTTCTTTGGGAGAACAGACTCTATGAGAGTGGACTTTGGCCGATATTTCGGCAATGCAGAAGATGTGGGCGCAGGAGCGGTTCTTGGGCGTAGCGTAGACGAACGCTTCATGGTAGGACTGATACCAGCAGCATCTAGTACCTTTAGCCCCATATCGTCACAAACTGGAGCGGGTTTGAGGAGACCAGACTGTCTCCTGATACTACGAGTGACTGTCTTTGTGGATGGAGAAGTGTCCTCCTTGGCGTGCCCCGGAATTGGAGACTTTGACTTTGCTGATGCAGTGGCGTTATTAGCTTGGGGGATTGCGCTGGTATTCATAATAGCACTGAGGCGTCTTGAAGAGTCCTTTGACTTCTTCAGGGCTTTCTCATTAGGTTTTTCGCGGTCGCGGGACTCCTTGTTGATTACATCCGCCAAGGCTTTGCCTACTGACGTGAAATTGAGTGACTGTCGGATGGAACTTCGAGTGGTTGGTTTAGAAGGCCGTGATGGCTGGGTACTCGTTTCTGGTGACATTAGGGGAATTAGAGCTGCGTTATGATCTGCACTGTGACTTGTATCCGGGCCCGGGGGTATAGGTTGTTTGGAATGGCTTTTCTAAACTTTTGATTTCTTTCAACTGAACCGAACCAGTCGCGCGCGTGTGGTCTTGTTTGCATCAGTGGGTCCAAATGTATGACTCCTGTCCACTCAAATATATTAACACTACAAAATCGTATTGCCAGATCACCACATAAACCTCCCAACTTCCGCTCGTTCTTTGTACAAGAACACATACGTCGTTGCCATATTTATCATCGCGTACCACAGACCCTCGACAACAACACCATAGGGTTGCACATCCACAACCTGAGCCCTGAGTAGCAAATATGGTACCAGGAAGTATCGCGGTTCCAGTAGTGGTGTAGGCAGCAATGTAGGCAATATTAAAACGGGCAGGATTAAGGTCTGCAACAGCGACTGATCACGGGCTGATGAATGACGTCCAGGGTTAGTGCCATCGATGACTTCTGAATCTATATAACCACTCACCAACACGAACCCACCACGCCCAGGCGCACGCTTGGTACCCTGGAATGAATAGGTAAGGTACTGCCGCATGCAGCATGAATACTCGACGCCAGATATAGAAGGTATAATGGCGGTTATCGGAGAGGATGAATGGGTGATGGATACTGCGTCAAGGTTAGGTTTAGATATCAACCAGTGACAGGAAGCTCACGTGAAACGCTGAATAGTAATCCCCATGAAGATCGATATCATGATAGTCAGAAGCCTTCTCCTGCAGCATGCGATCCATATCAGCATCCACGCGTTCACTCATGATTAACTCCGCCACCTTTTACCCCCAAACATGCGTAAAATGACTTCTGTGGCAATCTTCGATGGTCCGCCTTCACCACAAAGCACAGCCGGCCACCCAATCATTGCTGCAAACGCAACGAAGTAGTACAGCTGCGGTACGTGAAATGAAGGAACGTGATTGGATTTGTCGCCTATACATAACACATTCATCGACGGTTATCTCGATCATTATCCCCGAGAAACACGCACCAAGCACGATGCCGCCATTCCAAATCACAAATCCACCGAAAAGTGCGAGAATCACCGCATAAGGAGTAAACGCGGGGAGTAACTCGGGCAATACTTTGGGGGCACTGGTGATCGATCGAAGAAAGTCACCTGAAAATCGCGATATGAACCCCATGAACATAGGCATCGCAATCATGGTATGACTGACCTGGCCCAGCGCCCAAGGCGGGGGGATCGTGCAGTCCACCATGTCCGCGTTTGAATCGTAGACGCATGAGCTGGCTCGCGGCATACGCGTACAGTACCCAAATGACGTTGTTTTGACGGAAGAAGCAGCTCACAATTCCTAGCTAGTAACACCCCTGTAATTGTAGGTATGCGTTCTAGAAAAACGTAGAGCAGATCAGATCACGTACCAAACCAGCAAACCAGTGCTTGTTCTGCGTTGCAGCCACTACGGTACACAAGACAGAAACAAGGCTTGGCACCTCTGTATAATATAAAAACCCAAAAAACCACGCTATTGGAAAGGTAGACAGAACAAGTGCCTCAATCGAGGGTGCTAATTTTGGTGGGAGGCGGCGTCGTTGATGGAACCCCAGCAATCGCGTGAGGACAAGCGGCAGCGCGAAGAGGGTAAGGGTCGTGGTAAGGCGCAGCAAAGCAAGATTGCATTTGAACATAAAAACCCGGTGCAGCAACACAGCTGAGCAGGTACCTGCGAGATAATTGAGTTGAAACGTGGAAGGGTAGGTGCTTGTGCTCGACGTACAGTCCCGGTGGTGTAGTAATTTTTGGGTCCCAAGTTGACCATTCACCCCTGCAGTAAGCCAATGCTTGCGGAACATGGAAAGGCTCGTCCTATATTATCATCAAGAAGGTGAGCCTGTAGGGTGGCCAACGATATGAAGTTGGACGTATTCACCATGTACGGCTCAGTAACCACGACATTGAACTCCTTCAAAACGGCCACTGCAACACCGCAGTACACCAGGTATAATATTCTCGTGTCCGAAGACATGATTTGCACAGGAAAGATCTAGCAGGCAAGCGTGTGGACAAAATACAGAAACAGGTACTCGCGCGGCGCGCATGCAGTACTAGTCCAATGTCATTTGTTTACTCTTACCAAGAAGTCGCATCATAGATTCATAGTCACGGTATGGTTTCAAATCGCAATATCACAGATCTAATGCATACAAATTAACATAGGCTGCACTCAAGCCTGCCAATCTTCATTCAATGGTCCATTAAGCACTACCGAGTTCAAGGCCTTCCAGAGCAGGAATCGGTCTCTCTGCCTGCGGGGTGATACGTGCTCCGTGACGGCGTTCATTGGACTTTCCATAGTCAACGATGGCAGACTGATGAATCGCGATTGATGTAAGTCCAGCAAGCCAAGATGCTCATATGTTCGACTCACATGTGCAGTGACACGGTTGTCCCAGAGAACGACGGTGCCAGGCTGCCATTTCACTCGGGCTTGAAGGTCCCCGCTCTTATCAACATGATCGTAAAGGAACTTCAAGATAGTCTCTGATCGCAGGCATCTGTCAGCGTCGAGTCGAGATTCCTCGCAGTGATCAAACGCACCAGATTCCTCGCGCTTCAGGCCAACGATACGCGTTGTGAATTGGCGATTGACATACAATGCTTCTTCTCCAGTGACCGGGTGACGCCGCACGAGTGGGTGGACATGCTCCACTGGCTCACGTCTCACGATACCGCCACGCTTGCCTGAGCGCGAGAATTGAGCCTGCTCGACCCCAGAGTGCACCGCGCTGAGTGTGCGCAGGAAGGCGACGAACGAGGGCGAGAGCTTCTTAAGAGTTGATACCTGGGACGTGAACAATGTGTCTCCACCTGTCGTTGGCTGCGAGAGAAGGAAAAACGTTGTGAGCCCGGGGGGCTGCAGCTCGTACGAGACATCGGAGTGCCAGACGGTCGATGTGATGCTATCCTCCCTTTCAAAGTTGAAAGACGAATTTGCATCCCTGAAGCCCACGTTTGGTGAGTTCTTCGGAATAGATACGCTTACACCACTCACCTGTAGACAAGGTGAATTTGCGGGTAATCCTTGGGGTGCCCAGACGTAGGGTGAATGTGCAGCCTGGACGACAAATTAGTCAGAGATCGTCCTCACACTAATTAAGATGCGATTAATCGTGAAGCAGGACCACTTGCCCAATCGAGCGGACAAAGGAGAAGCACGACCAACCTTCCAAAGTGTCGTCCCCACTCTAGGTACGAATTCCGATCCTTTATCTATAAACTCGTGCTGGCCCCTGAAAACCATAAGTCCCCTTCTCGCAACCTTGCAGACAATAAGCTACAATCGTCATATCACGGAAATTGGCATACTTCGAGCGCAAGTTGATCCCTCCCATCACTATCAAGGGTAGCGAGGTTCACACCGTTGACCTCTGTGCCTAGATTGGGTGTCAATTCGACCACGCTGATCGCATTCTTAAGGAATGCACGGGGATCTGCGTGTTTGAGTGCACGGAAGCCTGGATCTTCATGTTTGAAGGGTGCGAGCGGTGGGTACTTCTCAGGTGAGAAATAGGGAAGCAAGTGAGCATAGGAGTATGACTCTGTCTTCTGCTCTTTATCCCCTCCGCGGAGGTTGAGTATTGACGGGGTCTGCGAGACTTCAGTGACTGTTTCAACAGCGGACATACTTACGGCAGTGCACTTTAGACTCAGTGACAGTGAGGTGAGAACGATCTATAACACCGGAATTTCATTTTGTAGCCCCAGTCTTGTATTCGCAATACTGAGCACGAAAGTCGCAATTACCGCGCGTGACGTCTTATATTTTTGATCGAGGAACTAAGGAAGGCCTTTCTGTAGCTACGTGACCAAGTCACCAGACAGGGGATGATTTATTCATATCCAGGCGGGCTTAGACCAGAGTCAGGAAACGCACCGTAACAAATATCTTTCTTCTATCTAGTCTACCTACAGGGGAGACTGGAATGCATACCGGCAAATTATAGTTACATAGCTAATCAGAGAGAACGGCTGGCTTGATAATCTAACTACTATGGAGTTCGACTTGCAGGTGGGCTGCAATGTCTCGTGTATATGTATTCCGACCAAGCACCTTCCCTGTCTTTCGGCAATATCCGTAGTATAATGAAAGCAGCTACTTATCACCCATCCCCACCGCACCTAAGTAAGTACTCTTGTGTGTGATAGGGACAAGCCGACTTGCCAGTGCGCCCACATCACGTGACAGAAATCTCAAGAGATAAGATTAGATAACGCAAAGATAGCGTTTCGGCTAAAGGTTCGGAAGCAAAACGCCTTATTGTGTTTGACCATCGATGAAGTTCGTTCTCGGTCACAACAATAACAGGTCTCACAAGACAATAAGGATCCTTAGGCATCTCGACCTTTCCGGCAGAACGCTCGCATACTATGACCTAACTTAACTCCATGGGTTCCTGGCTCTAGCCACATGGTTTGCTTCATGGCTAGCAATCCATCGCGAGTGCCACTTTGTGGTGGGCTTTGGCTCTTTGCACGATAGATCTTAGCAGAGAACGCTGGTGGCACCTTTCTCCACACTTGTATGACCTAATCAATACAGTGCGTCTAGCTCATATGAGTCACGAACAATTGAATTTTGATGTGCCGATCACCACCCGGCCCTTCTCCCAGCTTTTTGTTTTGCAGTGGACCATGTCAAATTAGGCTTATTGTATGGTGCGCTTCCAGGGCGGAGCTGTGACCATAACTTCTAAAATAGGAGGCGCATCACGTCCACAGTGGAATGGTCGGCAAGCTGTGGACTTTCCGTCCGCGCTCAAAAGGCCAGCATATCTACTAGAATCGGCAGAAATTTATTCTCCCCCCATACTCGCACTGCCCGTTTGCTGAGTCCTCCTTGTCCTCTTTGCCAGCGCTTGCCCTCCCCCCTTGACAGCGCTGCCCCTCCCCTAAATCAGTTTCGACATGGAGCCTAGAGCTTACAGCAGCGCGACGAACATTGTCGCTCTTCAGAACCTTCGCGCCAGAGGCGTGCCCGATGTTCCCGAGGATGTTGACTTTCTCATGGAGCATCTCAACGACCCCAACTTTGACTACCATGCCGAACTTCCCTCTCCCACCTCCTCCACTACTGATGTGTTTGAGCTTGAGCAGAAAAAGGTACCAATGTCAGAGTACTCTGGCGGTGCCTCGGACTTTGATACAGAGTCCCGAGCTGAGTCTACAACGCGCTACTCAACTACTTCGAGAACCACCACGCCTTCGACGTTCGAATACGACGAGTGAGTGCTATGGTGCCTTGCTAGTACCCTTCTGACAGTCATATGATAGCGAATCACCTTACCCTGAAGTTCGAGCTGCTGTCTCCGGCATTGATGACCCAACCATGCACGTGAATACGTTCCGCATGTGGGTGTTGGGTATCTTTTATACCATCCTTATCTCGGCTCTTAATCAGTTTTTCTCTATGCGCTGTAAGTTGACAGTCTCCTCCATCTTGGTTCCGCTTGCTTAAGTCATTCGTAGACCCTTCTATCATTATCACTGGCATTGTCGCTCAGTTGACCGCCCTGCCCCTTGGCAAAGCGATGGAGCGTGTCCTCCCCACCACCCGCTTCAATACCATGGGATACACATGGTCATTCAACCCGGGACCCTTCAACATCAAGGAGCATGTACTCATCACTGTCATGGCGAATGTTGTAGTCAGCGGTGCCTATGCCACCGACATTATCGCGACCCAGAAGGTCTTCTACAACCAGACCCTCAGTATCTCCTATGAACTCTGCCTTGTTCTTTCAACTCAACTCATCGGTTTCTCCATGGGTGGCCTTCTTCGCCAATTCCTTGTCTGGCCAAGTAGCATGATCTGGCCCGGTGCACTTGTCAGCTCCGCCTTATTCAACACTCTACACAAGTCATATGGCAAGCCTGAGCGTCGCCACATCTCCCGGGAGAAATTCTTTTGCATTGCACTGGCATGCAGTTTCGTATGGTACTGGGTACCAGGATACTTGTGGACTGGCTTGAGCATGTTCAACTGGGTCTGCTGGATTGCACCTAACAACGTGGCCGTGAATGCGCTCTTTGGCACGTCCACAGGTCTTGGGATGGGCATTTTCACCTTCGACTGGTCCATGATCTCGTACATTGGAAGCCCCTTGGTGACTCCTTGGTGGTCTGAGGCCAACACCGTCGTTGCCCTTGTGATTTGTTTCTGGATCATTACGCCGATCATCTATTGTATGTCTTCTCCCCTTTTCATTGTGTGATGTGCTAAGGGTATCTCGCAGTCACAAACACGTGGTTCACCGCGTACTTGCCGATTTCGTCTTACTCGACTTTTGACAACACGGGAATGCCCTATAATCCCTCTCAGGTGGTGGCCAATGCCACTTTCAACGTTGCGCAGTACGAGGCTTACTCGCCCGTCTTCATGACGGCAACGATGGCTATTGCATATGGTGTTGCATTCGCCGCCTTCTCTTCAGTGGTTGTGCATACCTTCTGTAAGTTCTTTTCCGATGTGACTGCTGCCTCAGTCTGACAGTGTTGTCGCAGTGTGGTACCGCCGTGACATTGTCCGCCGCTTCAAGAGCAGCCTCAGGGATGAACGTGATGTTCATTCGCGGCTGATGCAGGCATACCCCGAAGTTCCCCAGTGGTGGTATGTCATCCTCGGCCTCGTGATGCTTCTCCTGCTCTTCGTCACGGTGGAGATTTTCCCTACGGAACTCCCCATCTGGGCTATTTGCGTTGCTCTCGGTCTCGCCGCACTGCTCGCGATTCCGGTTGGCATGCTCCAAGCTATTACCAATCAGCAGATTGCCTTGAATGTGATGTTCGAAATGATTGGTGCCTACTTACTCCCTGGAAAACCCGTCGCTGTCATGATCTTCAAAGCTAGCGCATACATGGGTACAAACCAGGCAGTTGGGTTTGCAGGCGACTTGAAGCTTGGTCATTATATGAAGGTGCCCCCTCGTCTCATGTTTACGGCACAAGTCCTCGCCGCCTTCGTCAGTTGCATCGTTGTCACTCTCGTGCAGAACTGGATGTTTGCCAACATTGTGGACATCTGCCAACCTACCCAGCCTCAGTTCTTCGTTTGCCCATCCACTGGCACTTTCGCGAGTGCGTCCCTCCTCTGGGGCAGCATCGGCCCCCACCGTCTCTTCAGCCCGGGTGCCATGTACAGCCCATTGTTGTGGTTCTTTGCCGTCGGTGCCCTTCTTCCAATCCCATTCTACTACCTCGCTCGCCGATTCCCCCTCTCTTACTGGAGATACATCAACATTCCCGTTTTCTTCGCAGGCATTGGCGCCATGCCTCCTGCCAGTGGCATCAACTTTGCGTCTTGGGCAATTGTCGGCTTCATCTTCCAGTGGTTTATGCGCCGCTACCACTTCAGGTGGTGGATGCGCTACAACTACATCCTCTCTGCTGGCCTCGACGCAGGCGTTGCGCTCAGCCTCATCGTCATCTTCTTCGTACTTCAGATGCCGAAAGGTGGAATTACCTTCAACTGGTGGGGTAACACTGTCTGGATGAAGACCGCAGACGCACTGGGCACGCCTCTCTATGTGATGCCTCCCGGACAAACATTTGGCCCTTCGACTTGGTCATGAAAATGTTACATCGGACGGATGACCTTTGTACCAGTATTTGTAAAATCCCCCCCTCCGCACTGCATGACTGAACACGAGATATTACCCACTTCTTTCGTATTACTTATCCGACCACAACACTGTCCTTCACTTCTTATTAGCCATCAATTGTTGCATTACTTTCGCATCTTCGCATTACCATTATTTTCTTCCGGTTCTGGTGACTGCATTAACTCACTTGTACTCATGTACCGATGACACAATGAAACTCTCAATAAGTGTATGGTAAAAACATCGGCTGATTTTTCTGTGGGTCTTGGAACACCAACCTCCCATGTCAGTATTAATCTTCACGTCATTCTCACCATAGTTTTATGTTGCAAACAAAAGCCAGTGCAACGACGCGATGAAATACAGCAGGGATAATATTGATGAGAACAAGAAAAGTCACACACTTATGCAGGCTGACCCCAGATCCTAACCTCCCGTCCGCTCGTAGCCCAGATCTCCTTGCCCTGCTCTCCAAACACCATATCCGACACATCACCCGCCTCCTCAAAACGTACAAGCTCATCCCACGACTTATGAGCAAACACGCGGATGCCTTCGTTGCCCGCCACTCCCAGGAACTGCGCGCTGTAATCGTATACCACCTTGTTGACCTTGAATCCATCCCCGAGCGGAATGGTGTGCGCAGTTTTCATCTTCCTCAGGTCCCAGATGGCAATGGAAGAGGGGCTGTCAGGAGCCAGGAGATGGTAGCCATTCTCTGAGAATGAAAGCGAATTGATGGTGAAAGGCGAGGCGTCTGGTGGTGTGATGTATGCAGCTACTGCACCGGAGCGGACGTCGCATATTTGGATCTTGGATGAAACAGTACCCAGTGCAAGTAGAGCACCATCGGGATGGATTGCAAGGGATGTGAAAGCATCTTCTGCAGGAGCTGACCGGTACACCTGAGCAAAGTTTGAGAGCTCATGGAGTGAATATGTCTTGTCAAGGGAAGACAATGCAACAATGGAGTTTGTAGGATGTACAACGAGGCCAGTGAGTTCTCCCTTGTGCGTCCGAATGGTTGCTTTTGGTATGTACTCGCCAGAAGCGCTATCATGCGCCCATATTTTGGCAATTTTGTCCGCGCCTGCGGACAAGAGCAAAGTGGATTCGCCCTCGTGTTCGCGGAAAGCGACGTGGTTGACCTTCTTCGTGTGACCTTTGAGGGAGACCAACACCTTGTCTGTACTTCTATCATACAGCTGGACGATCCTGTCATTGCCACCCGTAAGGAACTGAGATGAGTTTAGACGGGAAACGGCAAGAGAAGTCATGCCAGCAGGAGAAGCCGAGTGCAACGACGGGATGGTGTGTGTCGCAACGAATGTTTTCACTTCTGCGGCACTCGTATAACCAGCGGGAGCCTTGCGTTTTTTGCGGGTAGCAGAGAGGGTTTGCTGGGTCTCGTCAATCTGGTCTACAATCTCTTTGGGTAGAGCACCTTCCTGAGCACCATTTTCTTCAGCCATTTCCACGTCTTCAGTCGCGCCGTTTGCTGGAGTAATTCCCATAGTCGCCTGGACATTAGCCAGAGCTCTAAAATAGGGGCAGGACGCGTCAGCGTGGTGCAAGAAAGGTGATATTTGTAAAGCGCATACTCTCTGGCAGCATCACGTTCTCTTATGAGGCGGGCAATGACGCGACTGGCTGCATCTTGTGAGTATAGAGCATAACTCAACTCCTGGCGAGTGGAGTTGTACTGTTGCTTCAAGGCGAACAACTCCAATACTACCGCGTCCCACTCATTTTGAAGCATGTGCAGCAGAGCGGGGGTGGAAGTTGCGGCGGGAGGTCGTGGAGGGGCAGCTTTGGGGTCTGGAAACATGGGTTAGCATGTTTGAATTAAATTCTTCGGACTGCAAATAACGACGAAGTGGAAAAAACAACAGCACATACTGCGAGAAAAAAGTGATGAAAAAAAACTCACTGGCTTTGACAGTCAATAGGTCTGACTCCTCGAGTTTCTCCCCCGTCAACGGGTCGGTGCCATTGTCGTTGATATATTTAAGAATCAATCGACGTTCGTAAACATGGCCAGATTTTGCAGACACAACTGGGTCCTGAGGGGGTTCGCCAGAGATACCACAGAAAAACATGACTAGCTATGAACAAAGACGTAGTAGTCTCCGCTTAGCCTCAGCGTCTCGGTTGGAAATGTTTGTTGATCCTTATTTGCGACATAGATCTCCGGATACCACTAACATGGCAGACAAGAAGCAGCAGCTCGTTCTGTCCATAATCGACTTTCTAAACCAATCCATAGACGATGGCACAGTCAAGCAAGACGACAGGGAAGGACTTGAAGTCGCCAGTACGTTTTTGTGTCTTTGTTTGTCTACTTTTGCGTTCTGTGTGGCTCAAGTACACGTATTCACCCAGTTCAATGCATCGGCGAGGCATTTGGTGTCGATCCATCGGACGACAAGCAACGGGAACGTCTAAGCATTAAACCAGCGAAGCTGCAAACCATATTCGACGTGTTCTTGAAGACAAGAAGCAAAGTAGGACCCTCGTCAGCACCCACCACACCCTCTGCCCCTTCAACAGAAGACAAGGCTAAGGCTGAGAAACTCAAGCAGACGGGAAATACCCGCATGACAGCTAAGAAGTATGACGAAGCCATTGACGCGTACACTAAAGCCATCGCGCTCGACTCTACCAATCCTGTCTATTACTCTAACAGAGCAGCTGCATACGCTAGCAAAGGCGACCATGCATCTGCAATCCTCGATTCTGAAAAAGCCATTGAAGTCGATCCCACGTTCGTCAAGGCATACTCTCGTCTAGGGTAACTATCAACTACGCATTTCTATGTGATTCGATCTCATTCCAACGTTAGAAACGCGCACTACACCTTGGGAGACTACAAAGCTGCCGCTTCCGCATTCAAAAAGGGAGTTGAGCTCGACCCTACGAACGCCAACCTCAAATCTGGTTTACAAAATGCCACGGACCGTATTCCTTCTGAAGATGATGACGACGATGGTCCACCGCCACTCGTGCCTGAAGGTGACATCCCGATGTCAAATGTATCTTCAAACGCACGCGGTGATGCAGGTGCAGGTGGACTCGGTGGTATGGCAGACATATTCCGCAACATGGGTGGTGCAGGCGGCATGCCCGACCTCGCTGGCCTCATGAACAACCCTATGATGATGCAAATGGCGCAACAGATGATGGCGAATGGCGGAATGGAGAGGCTTATGTCGAATCCAAATGTCGCTAACATGGTGAGCGCCATCCCTCTCTTTAATATTCCCAAGTAGCCATTCTGATCGCATTTATCAGATGAATCGCATGCAATCTGGCGGGACCACGCCATCTATGGAAGAAATTATGGCAGATCCAGAGTTGAGGAATATGTACGTGGACCTCTAAACATGCCGTGTAAACTTAAGCTTACCTTACCGCAGCGCCAGCCAATTTGGAACTGGACGGTGATTGAAGTGGGTCCCGGGCATGTTTGGGTTTGGAACAAGTAGCTTACACCGAGCATTGGTATCAGAAGATCAATCACTTGTACGGAATGGATTCATTGTGACTTTACTACACCCTCGCGATTGTGCATGTCGTCAGCTCGACCAGAAAATACAATTAATGGTGGTGGTATCACCACCAAATTACATATAGCAATTATAAAAGTACGCGGTGAAATATCAGCGATGCAAACGAATGTATGTTTAAGCCGTAAAAACCGACAGCAAAGTGCAAAGATAAGGCAAATGAGAGCAATAAAGATACACTTAATAATTCAACAAACGAAAAAGACGATACCAATCCAATGAACAGGGCTAGAATAAGTTAGAGGAAGTGGCAATTATGAGATCAGTAGAATATTGATGCGATTCCGGTCCACGATGATTTTAATCAGGGACCCACGCATTATGCGGATACATGTCGAGGAGGGTAGCTCTGCGAGGAGTCGGAAGGGGGAAGAGGAGTATGGATTTGTGTCTCAGAAGGTTGAGAGCCGGAACCATCCTTCCGCATCTTCTCGGTCAATTTGCGGCTCAGGGCCGGAGGCACCAGATCCAACTGAACCGGGAGATCTGGAGGGTGTCCCTAACGAATCCGGATAAACTCAGGCTCGGCATTTCACGGAAAGATAAACTTACGTGAGTTAAATGATAACGAAGTCCGCTCAGTTGCTTGTACCGATTCGGACAACCATGATGCGGGCAAGAATATTGCTTTTTTGTCTTATCATCGCCTTCGCCAGTAGATGAGGATACCTCCACAGATGGCACGCTGAGACCATCGATGTAAGAGGTGACGAAAGTTGACACAATAGCGTGTTGGAAGTGTGCCTTCGATCTAGATTATAGTTAGAATTTCCGGCGAAGACAGCATACGTAGTTCCGTACATTTGCAAATGGTACTGCAATCCATTAATACTCTGTCGAACAACTGTCAACACTGGTTCCTACAACTTCGGGGCCGAAAAGACGCACCTTCCAAGTTTTGCCGCAACCTTCTAGACCACATCTGTACGGCCTCTCTCCACCGGCATCTTCTGGATGCGCGCTCTTGTTGTGATCCGAAAGGCCTCGCGAAGTAGTGTAGCAAGCAAGGGAATTTGCCGCGGTCGACGGCCAACAGCTTTCGTGACCACACGCATATGGTTTTATAGAGGGACTAACAAATGACACCGTGTTAGTCGATTGCGTCACCTTCATGAGAACATGACCTACTCATGCGTAGCGGGTAAGTCAGAGGATAGCCTCAGAGGAGTCTGAATATCAGCACGCTTTCGTATGATTGAAGGCCGTGGCCGTGCAGTCGGACGAGGATTGGGATCGTCAGGATTCGGTGACGAAGTATCCGGTGGTGGGCCGCGTTTGGCAACTGATCCGATGGCCTTGGGAATCACATTGGCGGTGCGTAGATGTGTGTACGTGGATGGAGTGAACGACACTGAAGGCTGGGCGGATGGTGCAGGATGGAAGTTGGGTGAGACTGTGGGTGGTGGACCTGTATCAACAACAGGCATAGGAGCCCGATGCACGCCAAGCTCGGGTTCGTTCGGTAGTGGATGAAATTGAGTCTGCAATTGTCCTTTGAGTCGAGGTTGATAATAGTCCCCACAAGCTTCAGGTGGTGTGGTGACGGGTTGTGACAATGAGCTGATGTCTTGGTGTGCTGGCACCACGTGTTCAGAGGGCGGATAGTACTGGTTGCAGGGTTTCTGGCCGATAGGCGAAATGGGGGAACACATGTCCGATGATGATGGAGATGGGTAATACTCGCGGTGAACACTGGAGACGGTGGGTGAATCGGGCGATGACATTACAAAGTGCTGGACATCGTGCTCGAGCTGTTGGCAATGATGGGCCGCATAGTAGTTGTCAGTTGCCTCGTGGATTGGGCCTAATCCTGAAGGCACTAGTGAGACGGAAGGACCCTGAGAAGTGGTTGGATGAGGATAACACGGGTCTCGGGAGAGTTGTGATGAAGAAGTCTCTCCATCACGGATCAATTGATTATGGCACTCGTGATGATGAGACGCAGGAGTATAATACTCTGATCCACGTTGAGCAGGAACGGGTGTGTGAGATGGTGTAGGTGTGGGAGCGACGCTTCGCTGGATATTGTCATACTGCCGTCGAGCATCGTGGCCTTCGTACACATGGTGATGTCCCGGTTGGGCGTAGTCCGTAGCTCGTGTGGTGTTGACGAGAGATGGATCGAGGACTACCCCATAGTCGAAAACCGCGGGCGTATTGTCGGCCGGCGGAACGGAGGCAATAGGAAGCGGGGCGGCGTGAGTTTCCCCATTCTGGTAAGAGCCGCTAGGGGCCGCGGTACTTTTTTCATACCTGGTTGCAAGAGAATGTGGACATGACAAGGCCGAACTTAAAGATGAAGACGAATAATGAAATGGGGGCGGAATATTGACAACGTGCTGTATCGACTGTGGATGGGAAACTGAAGAGGGTTCTATACTGCCCAGTAATCCCACGTCATTGTGAGACCTCACGTGGTTATGGTGTTGCCCAGATGCTGGGGAAGGTGCTCCTTCAAAACGAGATGAATTTCCGTCCCAATACTGTCTGGGGTCGAGCATGGGTGGAGTTGGCCAAGGTGGGAGATCAGGGTACGTTGATATTGGACTTGATGGTTCTGAAGACATAGTCAAAGACGGTTTTAAAACCACGACACTCCGAGGGTCGGGTAAAGGCAAGGCGGGCCTTTTACGCTCAAGAAGTCTCCACCTGGGGGAAAACGGGTATGAGCTACGTGAGAACAAAGTACGGGAGAAACAGCACCTGTTACGGCAAGCCAATCCGCTGCGCTGTAACTCCTGGCCGACTTGACCCCATCGCCCAGCCAAACGAGAGTACGCGTCGAAGAGTTTGTCGTCCTCTTCCTTGGACCATTCATCACGTCTGAGAGAAGGGTCGAGTGCCTCACGATAGCGTTTTGAACAGGCGTCGTCGGTACGACCAGGTATATGTCGGGCGATAACAGCCCACTTTATTGAATGAACTTTGTAGAGCTCCAAAAGTAGATGATCTTCCTCTGGTGTCCAGGGAGATTTCTTCACGTTCGGTGATAGGGAATGGAGCCATCGCTGTTTTTGAATGTATTGGGAGAACTGAATTGGGATTATGAGATCAATACTCGCCTTCCTGCAGGCTTTATTGGTCCTTTCCGGGACACAGTGGGCTACAGCTTTCCAGTTGTCGGACTCGCCATGAATTGCGACGGCGTTAGCGAGGAGACGGTCTTCTTCAGCAGACCATGGCCGACCGAGTATGCGCTCGGACATGATATAAAATTTAAGTAAGAAAGATAATAGGATGAAGTAAGAAAGAAAGTGCTCGAGGGGTTTACTGAAGGCCTCGAGGAAAGAAGGCCGGCATAACTTTGAATCAATTGGACAATCCAATAAAATTAAAAACTCCAATCATCCAAATGTCTCACTTCTTTTAGGAAGTTATTTACCACGCCCTTCTTCCTTTGCTTGTACACCAGTAGTACTACTACTGTCAACGTTTCATCATGTCTGCTTATTCTTCAGACGAGGACAATATCAATGATGTCTTTGGCTTATCCAAACTACCTGCCAATAAAAAACCGCGCACGTTTCAGGACAAGCTCGTGTCTGATGCTGCGCCTCATGTTCTCGCTGAAGTGAGTCCCTTGCACAGTTCATTTATTTAACATATCACTGACCACGCCGCCCGTAGGACCCTCTAAATCAAACCTCGCTGGTTACTCGGCCGACAGACACGCAGATGAACGTAAATATTCCATACAGCGACATGATGTTACCGCTCCAAGGTCCCGAGAATCCATTTGGTGATTCAAACCGGTTCATCAATCAGAATGCACTCGCGGGCCATGTGGAAGAACAATCTATGTCAGACCATGCATTCAACGCACAGCATCTCACGCACTCCATCCTTGGCTACTCGGTCAATCCCTCAATCGATCCAAACGCTCCCTCTATTCTCGGTTCAGTCGAGAAAGCCCGCGAAAATGGCTTTGCAACGATTGATACCCTGCGAGCGACCAGTTCCCAGAAAAAGGAGTTGAAAAGAAAGAGAAAGAACAAGGGAGATCTTGATGTGGTAGACGGCGAGGGCGCGTATGTTGGACCTTGGGCTGCCTGGGACGGGGAAGAGGAGATTGGGTTCTTGGATGGTGTTGAGGACATCGGTGATCAGCCACAGGAGGAGGAAGAGCCTGAGCCGACAGTTCTAAAGAAGAAGGCAAAACCAAAGCCCGGCGCCTATGGCCAAGAAACTTCTGTCTTCCATGGCAAGTCTATGACCGACTACCAGGGCCGAACGTATATGCATGCACCACTGTCGGAAGCGCCTCACATCTCCAATGAGGCAGGCTCCCAAGAGACATTTATTCCGAAGACATGTATCCATACCTGGACCGGCCACACGCAAGGCGTCTCGGTCATACGATTATTCCCTGAAACTGGCCATCTCCTTCTTAGCGGGTCTATGGACACAAAAATAAAGGTACGCTAAACATACTTTTCTTCGTTCGTAAATTGACTTGCTACCTCCAGCTGTGGGATGTGTATACTCATGGAAATTGCTTGAGGACTTTCCATGGTCACGTACAGGCTGTCAAGGATGTCACATTCTCCAATGACGGCAGGAAATTCCTGTCATGCGGATATGACCGCCAAATGAAACTATGGGATACCGAGACTGGTCAATGTCTCAAGCGGTTCAGTAATGGCAAGACTCCTTACGTTGTGCGTTTCCATCCGGACGAAGACAAACAACACATATTCCTCGCTGGTATGTCGGATAAAAAGATCATCCAGGTACGTTCTTCCGTCTGTCGCGGGCTAAATCTGACCATTGAATCTGACCGTGCAGTATGACATGAACTCTGGGGAGATTACCCAGGAGTATGACCAACACTTGGGTCCCGTCAACACTATCACTTTCGTCGACGAGAACCGACGCTTTGTCACGACCTCGGACGACAAGACCATTCGTGCTTGGGATTACGATATCCCAGTCGTGATCAAGTACATCGCGGAACCTCATATGCACTCGATGCCAGCAGTAACGCTTCACCCTTCAAGTACGTTTCATTTTCCCCTATGCCAACCACTGATCCAACATATCTTCCTTGTTGTATTTGTAGAGAAATACTTCGCCGCACAATCATTAGACAATCAAATTCTTATCTACAGTACGGATAATTTCCGCCAAAACAGGAAGAAAAGGTTCGCAGGACACTCCGTGGCTGGGTATGCTTGCCAAGTTGGGTTCTCCCCAGACGGCAAGTGGATAAGCAGTGGTGATGGTGAAGGGAACGTGGTCTTCTGGGACTGGAAGACCGGGCGTATCAAATCCAGGCTACAGGCACACTCCAAAGTTGTGATTGCACATGAGTGGCTACCACATGAGTCGGTAAGTTCCCGCGGTTTGCTTGCTTCGCTACCGATGTTGACCACTTATATATGTACGCAGTCCAAAGTTGTAACGGCCTCGTGGGATGGCCTGATAAAGCTATGGGTACGTTCATCTCCGATTCAGATCGACGTATTCTGACGCTCAGTTTAGGACTGAGTATTTTCGTACTCGCATTGATTGTATTCTGTACGCATAGTAGTCTCATGACATCATATTTTTTGCTTGAACGGTGGCGCCGTGTAAGTCACGCACTCGCGCATATACTTGGGCCGCGGCGCAATCTGGGGCTCATGCCATTACATCGGACCGGCAGATACTTAGCATGAATCTGGTGATTGCATACGACCAGGAACCTGTGGCTGACCGCTGTGCGTGCGACCGGAGCAAGACTGATGGAAAATTGCAGGTTTAGAAATTGGAAACATTGATAACAAGTTTTTTCGATTCTTGGAACCGACAGAACTGCTTCCACTGGTCTGGTGCAGTTCATCGACGTATGCGGATAATCGAGACTCCTATCACCGTCGTGGCCAGAGGTAAGGGAGACAGTCATTAGGGCCCGTTTGGCAACCCCCCGTTTTCGTATTGTATGGTTTGTGTTTATGTAGCTTCGCCTAAACCATAAGTGGCACACGTCAGAGTGGCCGTGATACTTCAAGCTTTACCATCAAAATGAAACGGACTCAGACGAACAAAAAAAGGACTGTTGCCGAATGACCGGGCTCTTAAAGGCCCTTAAGCTATGTGCTTCGTTATTGTGGTTGAGTGATTTGATGGAATATTGTGCGTTATCCGACAGGCTCTGTGACGAAGAGGAGTGGACTGGCCCTTCAACATGATGCTTGTGCATCCCAAGGGAAAGGGGGTTCTCCTATGAGCCCACGTATTCAACAAGTTTGCTATATCAAGTTCTCGCATGCGGGGCTTCGTGTGAAGGGGAGTAACTATCTTTATAGTTTGAATTTAAAGCTGAGCGTGTCGCGTCATGATTGCAGCGGGATATAGTTAGCTTCCATCCCAAGGGACTTGGCCCCCTGCATCATGATGCATCCCAGTCGGTGAGATTTAATAAACTAAAAACTCGTGTACTACGCCGCTCTCAGTTCCGCGTCGAGGCTGTACGTTACTCAACGTTGATTGGGACATTGCATACGCAATAGATTCCAACGAATTGGCGCAGATGCGGCTGATCCGAGATTCTGTTCGCCTTGCACAGTTATTTTATATGTAAGTGCTGAAAACCTTGCTTGATGTTCCTGAACCGAATGAATGAGCCTGGCGGCCGTAGAGGGACGGTTCCTGAGACCGGGAGAATGTTGACCGCGTGGATCATCTAACCTATATCTCGTCATATCCTTTTTTCTCATACCTCTGAGTTCTCCGCATCACATAAAAGCACCTCGTTTAAACTGTCATTCCTTTAAACAGGTATACCTCATGCTCTCTCCCAAGTGGTATATCGCTTTCATCCTGGCTTGTATTATACAAGTATCTTTTGCCCTACCAGTGCGTCATTTATTATCCTAATAGCATCTGGCGCCTAGAACTGATCCCTCTTGATAGATGGCAAAACTTGCGGCTAGGGACCCTATAGGTGTAAGAACAAATCTATATCATTCAATCTATGTTTCAAACTGACGATCTGGACCTACAGACTGGCCCTGTTGCAGATCAATTTGGTGGAGGGGGGGCCAATGGCGGTGGGGCCGACTGGTGAAACACTTCATTTTGTCACGTAAGTTTGTATATTCTGCACCGTAACTTCACCTTAAAATACTCTTTAGTATCCTTCTTCTCCATCTCTCCAGCGTTTTATGTGCTCAAAAACTTGGTGACACGTCCCATACCGCTCATCACCGCACCACACTGCCACACCACATCGCCTTTTTTCTGGCGGCGCACCATGTCTGATCTTATCCTTTCAACTTCTTTTGCGTTTACACCAGCGTCCCTATCGTAATCTCACACTCGTTTTTATACCTAACTTGCGTATTCCAATGGTGGAAGCCGCGAAGCTGCTTTGTATTCAAACATGTATTCCACCGGTTTTCCTCTTACGAAATAGCTACTTAGCTCGATTAGTTTGCTTTAGGCACATACGTGCTCGCCTTCTACTTTCACATAAAGGGTTTTGTCTTGATTGATGATTGTTTTTTTTCTTCTTCTCAACGAATACACGACTTGGCACCATCGATATTCATTGAATGAGCTCGTGCCTTGCAACTTGTGATCAACCAATACACCGTACAAGCTCCGTTTCCGTACTTCTTCAATTTCGAATTGTCATCTGATAGACTCTATGTAGTTCTCATCGGAGCAAAGCCGATAGGCTACTATGTCTCAAGGTTAAGGGCAGGCGTAGTCGCGTCAAAGAGCGTGTTTTGCACGCGTCAACTTTTAATTCTAATTCACGTCTACATCTCACTCGTTGGTCACCATGTCGATGCTCGACGAGCCTGTTCCTCAAGATGATCTTATGCGCGACAGAACGCGTATATTCGAGGAATTCCTCATTTCAGATTCCCCAATTTACAATTACAGAGACGATATCGCGCGCATGCTGCGTACAGATCAAACTCGTCTTATAGTCAACATCGATGATCTCCGCGACTATAACAGAGAATTCGCAGATGGCTTGCTCAAGCAGCCCATCGACTTTCTTCCCGCATTTGATGACGCCCTCGTCAATATCATCACTCAAGTCCATGACACCGAAAAACACGAACTCGAGGGAAAGAGCTATCGCGTCGGCTTCAGTGGATCCTTTGGTGACCATCATGTCAGCCCGCGCACCCTCAAATCAGAACATCTTGGCAAGATGATCTCCTTAGAGGGTATCATCACCCGTTGCTCACTCGTCCGCCCAAAAATGCTTAAATCCGTTCACTATTGCCCCGAAACCAAACTCTTTCACGCGCGCGAGTACCGTGACGCGACTACGTCAACATCAAATTTACCACCGACCTCCACTGTCACGCCTCAGCAGGATGATGATGGTCATCCCTCTCCAGATGGAGTATGGCCACTGTGTCTTCCGAGATCACCAGCGTATCAGCATCCAGGAGATGCCCGAACGTGCTCCGGCCGGCCAGCTACCTCGTAGTACGGATATTATACTTGATGATGATCTGGTAGACAAATGCAAAGCTGGTGATCGTGTTCAACTGGTTGGCTTCTATCGAAGCGTAGGAGGTGGCTCAAGTGGTGCCTTCAAGTACGTTTCCTTTTTTCCTTCAAAAATACCACTCATTTTTCGATTGTCCGACAGATCCCTAATTCTCGCAAACAACATCAATCTCCTTTCCTTCCAAGATCGGAGGCGGTATTGCACAAACACCGTTGACTGATACTGATATTCGGCAAATCAACCAGCTTTCTAAACGACGCGACATCTTCCGCCTTCTTTCGCAGTCTCTTGCCCCGTCCATTTATGGCCACGATAAAATCAAGGAAGCTATCCTTTTGCTCCTGCTGGGTGGTGCGGAAAAGAATCTACCTAATGGTACCCATATCCGTGGTGATATCAACATGCTCATGGTCGGCGACCCGTCGACCGCAAAGTCGCAACTACTTCGCTTTGTGTTGGGCACTGCCCCACTCGCTATTGCTACTACCGGACGTGGAAGCTCAGGGTGTCGGTTTAACGGCGGCCGTTACCACTGATCGCGATACCGGCGAGCGAAGGCTCGAAGCAGGCGCGATGGTTCTTGCAGATCGCGGCGTCGTTTGTATAGATGAATTTGACAAGATGTCAGATATCGATCGTGTGGCAATCCATGAAGTGATGGAACAACAGACTGTCACCATCGCGAAAGCCGGTATCCATACCAGTTTAAATGCGCGGTGCAGCGTTGTTGCCGCTGCAAACCCGATCTATGGCCAAGTGCGTCAACCTACGTGCAGTTTTTTAGATTTTGTAGTCTGACTACGTTATTTGCTAGTATGATATCCACAAGGATCCCCATAAGAATATTGCACTACCCGATTCCCTTCTTTCGCGTTTTGATCTTCTCTTCATTGTCACCGATGATGTTGATGAAGAACGAGACCGCAGAATTGCAGATCACGTACTGCGAATGCACCGCTACTTACCGCCCGGAATTGAAGATGGCACTCCTGTGCATGACAACTTATCACAGCCGCTTACAATTGACGGACCTGGTGTACAATCCACAGAGGTGGATGGTGGGGTGGAGACCAACCCTTTCGAGAAATACGATCCTCTGCTGCATGTTGGCTTGACGGCAGCGAAGTCACGAACACGAAGAGGCAAGCAGGTGAAGACAGAGGTGTTGAGTATCGCCTTCATCAAAAAATATATTCAGTATGCAAAGAGCAAGCCTGCACCAGTTCTCACGAAGGGTGCTGCCAACCACATTGTGAATGTCTACGCCAACCTTCGCAATGAGGATGAGGGTCAAACCAATAGAAAGAAGGTATTTTTCTTCTTCCGTCTCGACCCTGCCCCGTGTTTAATTGTCCATATCTAGACTGCACCTCTAACGGCACGTACACTGGAAACTCTCATTCGTCTATCTACGGCCCACGCCAAGGCACGTCTCTCTACCAAAGTCGAGTCCGAGGATGCTCGTGCGGCAGAGGAGATTATGCGGTATGCACTTTACAAGGAAGTTGCCAAGCGTCAGCGGCAAAAGAAGAAGAAACGCAAACTTAATCGCACGGGAGCAACCGTTGGGAGGGATGAAGAAGACTCACAGGATAGTTCCGATGACGACGACGAAGATGAGGGTGAAGATGAACAACCCGATGTCCCTAAACGCATGAGTATGCCTCCTCAAGAACCGACCTGACAAACAACCTGCGAATGATCACAGTAGTCAGGACACATTGTGGAATGACAGCAGCCAGGATCTTCTAATGGATACGGTACCAACGGCTGCTGCGGGGCCATCACAGGGGGGCGGTGTACGTCCAGAAAGGTGAGCGTCACATTCTCTTCGTGCTCCCACGTCCCGAGGTCATCAGGACCGTAACCTGAAGAGTATAATTCTGACTCGTTTTCTCGCACGCGCGTTTTTGTTTCGACAGGCTACAGCTCTTCCGTGCACGGCTAGCGAATATCTTCTCTACACGCCTCCAAGACGAGGAACAGGTTTTCTTGGCGGAACTTGTAGAAATGATCAACGAGGGTCTACCCACGGGTGCATTGTTTGGGACAGCCGAAGCCACCGCAGTGTGTCAGGTCATGTCGGATGCAGATGAGCTCATGATCAGTGAAGGGATCGTCTATAAGGTCTAATACCACTGCGGTGGCCCGACTGTGCGTTGTACTGCATGCGGCAGACTGCATTCTCCATCTTTTCGCTTTCCTTGCTTATCGTCTTATTGTTGTACCGTGTTCCCTCCTTGTACTGATAGCTGAGACTGGAGATATTAATAAAAAATCTCCACATGACTGAATCACCGATGCAATGCATTAGTACTGTGGCGTAACAGCATCGGGTGGTCAGAAGGTCTAATTCATCAACGTCAACGTTGGGACCTGTCACGATATTATTACATGTGTCCGCTTGAGTATAGCAATGGTTCGAAAGCTAAATACCATGTGTTGAGAGGGACAATATGCGGTACGAGAGCATATTATCGGACGACCCTCCCAGTCTCCTCCCACGCTGCTACACGAGTGCTCGGCCCTGGGATCTGCACCGCTGGCCACTCAACGCCTACAGATCATCCCGCAGCCGCAGCACTGTCTTGACCTCTTCTTTGCCCAATCCGCCTGATCCGAGGCTCGTCGCGGCCTCCAGAGCATCCTCCCATCCATCCCCTTGCCCGCTAAGGACTTCCTTCACGGCCCTGTCCACTTCTTGTCTACGTGCGCCAAGAAGTCTGCCTGCAACTAGTAGCCGTCCCCAAGGACCCTCAGCCCTGGCCCGCGAGGTCCTCAAGGCGGCCTGACAAGTTTCGGCCCACAGTTCGCATTCCGCTTGAACGGAACGGGCTTGCTCCCGTGAAAGTCCCGTGCGCAACTGTCCCCGGGTAAGTCCCGGGCGAAAAAGAACTTCGCGCTGAAGAATGTGTTCCGAAATGCGTGCTGCTATCCGCCTATATATGTGCGTTGTCACTGCAGTCGGAAGCGTATTGCGGAGAAAGGTGAGGTGAGCAGATAAGAGAGCAATAGATGGGAGGAGACTCGGGGGCACAGCAATGCCATCATCTGCATGTTGAGCGTCCCCGCCATCCTTCGGACTAATAGCAGTCACTATAACTAATGGTACAAGCCCGGTAGAAGAAGAGTGACTTACGATGTGATAGCCACGAAATGTGGTCTCAAAGCAATTTCAGTTTCACCACAAACTTGACCTACAAGTATATCTTCCGCCCTTGACGCGAGGTTTGTATACTGTGTAATTAGCTCCTCGAAAATAGTGTATTCCGGAGCATCGCTCTTGCTGGACCGGGAATTTGCAGAGTTCGGGAGCAAGGGATGCATTTCCGCCCGAGTACGTAGGGCTGCCCGATGGTTAATTTCTGTCCACAGTTCCAAAAAGAACTGTCCGCAACAGGATGATTTAGCATCAATAAGTTCCCGAAACATCAGCCTCACCTCTTCCTCTCCCCATCGTTGCATTGCAAACTCGACGTATCGCGCACTGAGCAGCGCCTTGCACAACCGTTGGCTACCCTCAATACCTCCAGTCAACTTACGCGAGTCTGTCTTTGGTCCTTCAACACCTAGTGCACCAGGGACCGCTCGAACCAAAGCAGACGAAAGTGTCTCGAAAGCATCCAGCGAGGAAGATACGCGAGAATAATACTGTTCAAGGATAGGAAGCTGGACATGAATGAGGAAACGTGTGCGTTGGGTGAAATAGGGAAGGGGAGAGTAGCGATCTGTTTCACCTTCAACAGCAAGCATATCAAAGGAGAGTCCTAACGTACCAGTAACTTGTTCGATGAGAGCTTTTATTCGACGAGCTGAGTTCGTAGCCTTCAATTCGGGCACTGAGCGGGAGAGCTTGTATTCATCAGAGTCATTTGAATCATCGTCAACAATAACCCATGCATCTGAAGCACTGATGATTTCATGGTACTGATCCTCAGCGACTGTTAACCAGTAGCTAGCTTAGTCTTCCCGACAAACAGACGAGTACAACAAGAAACTTACACTTTTTCTCGCCTTCTAACCAGGCGTCAAACCACTCCTTCTGGCCAAGGATGACGGAACTGACGCCCCCTTTCTCCTCACTCTTCTTTGCCTCTGCACTGACCACGAATTCGTAACCTAATTCACGCATATTAGAATCGAAAATCAATGTCTGATAAACTGTGTGCGCCAATAGGGCGGGGTGAGAGAGTAAAGTCGGAACCGTGCGCCGCAACTTGCGCTCCAGGATTGGGACAAGGAGAGTAATGTAATTTTGCTGATGTTATCGTCTGCCGTCAGGCTACAAGAGCATGTTCAGAAGTATCGGCTTACCCATGCATCAACACGCTGGTATTTTGTGCCTAGGAGCAAACGTTGTATGACATTTTCCATGAAGGGTCGATGATCATGAGCCACGTTCATTATATGTGAGAGATACCACTCTGGCTGTTACGATTGAATCAAGACAGGTTAGGGAAGACATCGAGAAACATACCTTGTCAAGGCGATTTGTCTCTCGTTCGGTTTCGAAATGGTATTTGAAGCGAAGCGATATTGCATGCGCGAGGGTTTCTAGCGGGTATAAGGCCTCAGAACCTCTTTCAAGTTGGTTTGTTGAGCCCTCGATATTCTCGCCACTGTGTAATATCAGTATAGCCCAGGGTGCACAATACGGCTTCACTGACATTTCTTGCAGCAGTATCAAGTCTTTGAATGCAGACTCGAAGGATTTGCGGTCATGCACGCTTGCAGCAGGGTAATCAACAGGCATTGGCCATTTAAGATTGTCCAGGGCACTAGCCAGCTTGCTTAATGAGAGAACGAAAAAATATCAGACTGTGTTACAGGGCGTAGATCCAGACTTACACAGAAAACATTCCTTTGATATCCGACCACGTCTTGTCACGAATACGCCGTACGAATGTAACAAGATGTAGAGACTGCTCTACGCTCCCGACATCTTGTACAGCGTCGCATGTTCGAACCACATTGTTAATAAAGGCGCTCAGCCTATTGTATTCCGACGTCGACGAGGTGGAAATTGGGGATGGTGCGCCACGTAACTGCGCCAATGCTCCTTCACTAAGAAAGACGTAGTTTGTATCCATAGAGGGCAGGTAGAATTAATAGATCGTGCACACCTCAGCGTCAGCGTACGTTCGATGACAGCTACGTATGCCCGTACACTCTCAAGTTCCTTCAGTACACGATGCATAGTCTCAATGTCCTCGAGGAGAGTGGGACTAGCACCCAATTTTGACGGAGAAAGAGATGAGACGAGCTCGTGTGAGAGGTAAGTCATCTCATTCTCTATCGATTCCCTGTCCTCCGCAAGCTCACGAGCAGTGTCAAGATTAGTGAGTGCTGCCACGCGAGTCTTCGTTACAAGTGAGTCAATTGACTGCTGGGATGCAGAAAGCTAGCTGACAACGAATCAACTACAATCAATTATTCGAATCAATCAACCCACCTGACGCTGAAGTTCTGAACTCCGTGCTTTTGTTCGTGACAGGACTTCGTCAATGCCATCAAGGTCGTCAATGTGAGCAAAGCTGGAGTCGAGGTACTCTAGTGCAAACTGATGCGCAGCAGATACATCAGGCAGTTCAAGCAAGCGCTGTATCTTTTGTGAGGACATTCCGATGGCCTAACTGCTAACTGAGGGAAGTAAGTCAGTGACCACGTTTTACAAGACTGCTAGGCTAACGTCAGTGACAACTTTCAAATCATGCCCACGTGGTTATCTAATCTACAACCCTCTCAGATTTGTCTCAGATGGCGTCAAAATGACACAGTATGAGTCGGAACCAAGATTAACTGTATGATACCCCACGCTCCCAGAAAAACAGAACCCCATCTCCTCCCTGAACTGCCATGGCCGAGGTTGACTTTAAGCAAGCAAATGAAAGATATGCTGCCAACTTTGGCGACAACGGCAAATTAAGTATTCCACCATCCAAGCACCTCGTTGTCGGTAAGTACTTGGCGCACCACATTAATGAGAGTGCTGAGCTAACTCACCGATAGTGACGTGTATGGATGCTCGCCTTAAGTAAGTTACAATTGCTAAAGAGGGCATGTACACAAATGACTGTTGAACAGGCCTGAGGAGCTCCTCGGCCTGAATCTTGGAGAAGCACACATTATTCGGAATGCTGGCGGTCTCGCGTATGTATTGCCTTACAACCCATGTACTCTGCTGAACGAGTTCCCATGATATTCAGCAAGGAATCTCTTCGCTCCATCATCATTTCACAAAGACTCCTCGGAACTAAGGATGTGCTTGTCATTCACCATTCCGATTGTGGAATGCTCACTTTTACCGATGAGCAACTTCGATCCAAGATCACCAACGCACATTCTGGAAATGCCACTGTGTCCGAGGCAGTAAACGACCTGCAGTTTGGACCCTTCCCTGATATAGATAGCAGTGTGAAAGACGACGTCGCATTCTTGAAGAATCATCCCCTTGTCTTGAAAGAAGGAAGTATCACTGGATGGGTGTACGAGGTTGAGACAGGAAAGATTAGAGAAGTCGTGTGATGAGCTGGCCGATCTGATAGAAGACAAGTTTGTCATAAGTACAATGACGGATACAGAGAATGGTTGTATGGTATATGTAACCCTAGTGCTCGGCGCCTGTCAAATGAGTAGATTCTCTGCCAGGGGTCTGTACGCTGTTAATAAGAAACGGGGTTAAAAACACTATACATGAATAGTCACCTGTGTCGTTGAAACTACAGACGGCCGCCCTTCACCTCCGTGACATATCGCACAACTTCACTCCAGTCTTTTACCCGGCGGACTGAAAGCATGGTGTTTGCTTCCTTCAGTGCTTCGTCCCCTAGTTTGACGTCCTCTTCCAGGAACTTCCCTCCATCTCTTTGGAAACGAACTTCGTAAACCATATCATTGCACTCATCAGAAGCCAGCGAAAGACGCTTATTCCACTCGTATGAGCCGAAAAGGAGTACGGGGGGAGGCTTTGTTGCCCCATCTAACGGGATATGATGGGCACAGGCCAGCGCGTTTTCCAACGAGTCGTCGATCAGTAATTTGGCTCCGATGTCGATACAGACCTCTGCTTTGCTCAATTGCGTGGCGATCTCACGGCCCATTCGTGCACTCGTCATGGCGCCTACGCCATCTGTCGCAGGCTTTCCAACATTTGCAAACTGACCAGTGCATATCATGCTGTCGAAGCATCCAGGGAACCAACGTTCGACCCAGCCCCAGCTATCAGCATGGGAATCTTTGCTTCGAGCAGTGACGATGATCAGGCGATAGCCCAGCACACGCAAGGCCTCGACGCCCTCGCGTGCACCAGGTACTGGCTGCGTCTGTGACATCCGACCGCTTGCATAGAACTCCTTGACCTTTGTGACTGTGGTCAAAGGTGTTCCCCAAAATGGATTCTAGGGGAATGGACGGCGGATTCGAGATGAACAACCACTGCATTAATAAAATACACTCTACTTACCTTCCAGTAAAAATAATCTGCACAACGTGACCGTGATGCACAGGGATATATCGACGCATGACTTACAGTAAAAATTATCGGTGGTCATTTGGGTACCATAAGTCTCGTTGTGCCCTTGAGACATTAAACAAGTTTGCACGCTGTGCTCATCATGCAGATCGGCAGAATACACGCACATTGCGCCACGACAGCGTTGGTACTACTTAACACGTCATCAAGGTCAATCGCGATAACAGGTCCAGAGGTGGGGGGTATGAGTTCCTTGAGCTCTGCGATTTGCTCAGCAGTAGTCTCTGCAGTGAGCACTGGTTCAACCTCTGGGCTGGACGCTCGGTAGGTATCGTTCACGGACATGGCGGTATCGATGACTGCTCTACGTGGTATCCAGTCAGAGTGGACGAAGACTCAGAGTTGCTGGCAGTTGCTGCTATTAGTATGATACAGTCGGTTCTTCGGATGAAGCCGATCATACTTGTTTGGTTTATCACATGCAACTACGTGCACTAGACCCTTGTTATTAGGCGCGCTCCAGGCTTACTTATCACTCTCGTCTAAAAATCGCAGGGGTGTAATCGCCTGCGGACCCAACATTCATCAGACTTGAGACAGAATGGCGACCTCGAAGCTTCGCCCTTTGGATCAGAGAATGAAGCAACTCGCGCAGGTGTATGCCGCGCATCGGCCTTTGGTACAGCGAGGGCTCACGGTTGGGTTCGTCCTGTACGTGCTAATAGCCGCATATCATGGACTTGCCGCCCGCCCAACCACAAAGAAGGACAAACTGAAGGACGCGGCTCGAAAGGACGGAAAGCCCGCCCGTGTCGCTGTACGCTCCTCTTACTTATTTCCAAACAATTGGCTCATATTAGCCGGCAAGGTCGATGCCATATTTTATCAAAGGCTGGGTATCATTTTGCGTATTGTCATACCAAACATACGCTCCAAGGAGGCACTGTTACTTTTCATGCATTCAAGTCTCCTCGTTTTCCGCACTGCCATCTCGTTGTATGTTGCTGCTTTAGATGGAAAGTGCGTTCCCCAGACAAATAAGCATATTTTGAGGTTTCATGTACGATTCTCATAGAATTGTTGCATCTCTCGTGCGCGGGCAGTCTCTACAATTTCTCCTCAATATAATCCGATGGTTACTGGTTGCAATACCGGCTACTTGGACGAATAGCTGGCTTAGCTACGTCCAGAACAAGCTCGCTCTCGCATATCGTACACGACTGACCAAGGAAGTGCTTAAGCTGTACCTTGGAGATGAGGCAGATGGCCCCGAGGGCAAAGTTTATTATAAACTTGGTCAGTGTTATTTACTCTCAGTGATTTTTTTTAGTGACTCTAGTCATCCAGCTAACCTTGACGACCGGATAAAGAACCCTGATCAGTGAGCGAATCATCGGAACAATAGTCATTTGTCTCAGGTTTTGAACAGGATGATAACTCACGATATACAGCGGTTCTCCACGCACCTTGCCGTAATTTACGGGAACCTTGCGAAGCCAGTCCTCGACGTGATACTTTACAACTACCAATTGTCACAGAATGTAGGGGCTGAGGGTCTTGTCCTTCTCACTATTTTAGTCCAGACATCTGCTGCGCTATGTAAGTCTTTCTATTGAGTGCATATACTCCGCTAATATGAATGCAGTGCGTGCTCTAACCCCTTCCTTTGGGACGTACACGGCTCAATCAGCTGCATTGGCAGGTTCACTTCGACATACACATTCTCGCCTCTCCGAGTTCGCAGAGGAAATTGCATTTTTTGGGGGCGAAGAAACGGAGAAACGATTGATCGAACGCGAGTATGCTGCACTCGTTCAGCATGAACAAGGAGTAATGAATAAGAGATGGTGGTACGGGTGCGCGGAGGAGGGCATTGTCAAGTGGCTGTGGGGTAGCTTTGGGGTACGTGCTCATCAATGAGTGAGTTGGAATAACATAACATTTACTATTTCAGCTCGTCGTCTGTGCAATTCCTGTTTTCTTTAAGTTGCCTGGACTATCGAATTTTGACCTAGGCAGCCGGACAGAAGGTGAATCTTCACACGGTTATCTCAATATCAAGTTGCTCGACGTTCTACAGGTTTTGTGACAAACCGAAGGCTCCTTCTTTCTTCATCAGGTGAAATTATTCGACGTTTCATATCTCACTACTGACGTGCATTCATAGATGCTATTGGTCGCGTGATGTACTCGTATAAAGACCTGGCAGAACTCGCGGGCTACACCTCACGAGTGTCCCTTTTACTTGACACTATGTCAGACATGCGAAAGGGCAAGTTCGAGAAAGGTCTTGTTAGTGGTGCGACTGATGGAGAGAATGGAAATAGTACGTGGAACGTTCAGCGCGTAACGCAAGCAATAAACGCAACACCCTTAGTTTTGCGAGGTCGCGGACAAGTTCTCCTTTCAGATGACATTCGATTTGAGAGCGTCCCAATCGTCACGCCAAATGGTGATATTCTTTTGAGAAATTTAACCTTCAATGTCAAACCTGGGGTGAGTTTATATACAATGCACAGACGAGTCGTATCTTATGCCAAACAAACTTGAAGGAACACCTATTGATCGTTGGTCCAAATGGTATGCATCGCTGCTTCTGTGACCGTTGTCGCTTCACCATGGCATGTAGGTGCTGGGAAGTCTTCGTTGTTCCGCATCCTGGGTGGTCTTTGGCCTGTTTATGGTGAGCTTGATGTACTCGGGCGATGCGTTATTTCATCATCACTGCAGGCGGCATTGTTCGGAAGCCCCCCGCGTCAGATTTCATGCTCATACCTCAACGACCCTATCTTTCACTTGGAACTCTCCGCGACCAGGTTATTTATCCGCACTCGCAGTTAGATATGGAGGCTCGTGAGTGAATGGCATGGCCTTTGTAAATTTCAATCTAAGACATATTCTAGGTGGAGTGACAGACGCGGACCTCCTCGCGGTACTTGAAAGGGTCCAGATGGGGAGCATCGTTGAACGAGAAGGGGGTTGGGACGTTTCACGTGAGTGGAGAGACGCGCTTAGTGGAGGCGATAAGCAGAAGATTGCTTGGGCACGGCTCTTCTACCATAAACCTAAGGTAATCACGGACCTCACTCTCGTCCCGCTGAACGTTGACCAGCTCGCCGCAGTATGCCATTCTAGATGAAGCAACCTCACTTGTCCCTCCTGACATGGAGGGTACGATGATGGAACAGGCAACTGCCCTCGGAATTACGCTACTCACTGTATCTCATCGTCCATCACTGTGGAAGTACCACTCGACGATCTTGCAGCTGGATGGCCAAGGTGGTTATATTTTGTATGCCCCGTTTTCATTTCTTCCTGTAAATGCATATTTGATTGTCCTGGTAGCACGAAACTGGACGCAGAAAAACGCTTGGCCCTCCAAGAAGAGAAGCAGGAGTTGGAGACGAAATTGCTTGAAATGTGAGTGCCCTGCTTAGCCGCCAGGTCGAGAAGCGTTTTCATATTATCCCGCAGACCGAAGATGAAGGCACGTCTCGCTGAACTGCGGCTGGTTGCGGATGCGAATAGAAGTCTGTAGTAATTTTGTAGAGACGTAGTTATTATCGACGATATAAGTCTTCAATGAAAGGAATCAGATAAACGAGGAAGAGACTCGGTTCGGATGCGGGCAGTGCCGAGATGCCACGGCGGCGTCCCGGAGCCAATCGCAAATTTATCACACTGGTCTACTGCCATTGGAGATTGGCACCGCCGGTGCATCGTCCTGTCTCTTCCGCACGACCACCTTCTCTCCCTCCCGCGCCGTCATGCACTTCTTCTCCCAGTCTTTCAAGTATGAGTAAGTATTTTCTGCCCATCGTCGTCTCCAGTGTGCTCAATATGCAACTTTCAGTCACTCATGGTCTCACGTCGTCATTGGAATGTGGCACAAATACCCCAACCCGCATTGTACTCATGTCGTTACCGTCGATGTCCTCGATCGTGCAGTTGATCCGACAACTGGAATAATACGGACGGAACGTGTTCTCGGGTGCAAGCAGAAGGCGCCTTCATGGATAGTCAAGGTCAGCCGCTGTAATGTCCGCACACGACATCGGTCTTACTCTCGTATTTGATATTAGCTTTTTGGCGGCTCAGAAGATGCTTTTGTTCGTGAAATATCCTTCATAGACCCCGCAACGCAAACCGCAACCATAACATCCGTCAACCTCTCGCTGTCTCAGTTCGCTACCTGCTACGAGCGAATACAGTACAAACCGATGTCCTCTACCCAAACGTCCTTTACGCAGACAGCAGAGATACAGGCGCGGATGGCTATGTGGAGAAGTATGACAGACAAGTTTGAGGGTTGGATGGTTCAGCGCTTCGAGCAGAACGCTATTTCGGGTAAAGCGGGATTCTCGGACGTGCTCAGGACAATGTGGGAGGCCAAGGAGCAGCAGACTGCACCATCATAGAACGGCAGCATATCCGGTCTGTTTCCTCCTTTTGCTTGCGCTTTTAGCATGTTAGATGCGTTCCCTAGATCCTCCCTAGATCACAGTCAAAACGTCCACCTTGACGACTTACGTTTTTATTTTATAATACAGACGCACATGTACTATTTGGATTCTTGCATACATATCTACGAAGACATCCAGATCCTCAATACTCTAGACAAAGGATACCGGTTAGACTTCTTGCTCGTACGCATCTTCCCATCCCACATCAGCGACATTATCATCACCCTTTTCACTCTCATCATCCTCTCCTTGCTCTTCGCGATGTAGTCGAGGTGCTGGTCGTTGACTTCCAATGCCTCCTCCGCCTTCTTCAAGAACTATCATACCTTCTCCGTCGCTCTTATCATCCATTGTATATAAATCGTCCTTGTCGTCGAGGGATGGAGCTTGCGGCCCATCAATGAAGAGGTCCTTGAGCGCATCGTAATTGATCCGTTTGCTGTACTTTGGATTTTTCTTGATGAGATTCCGCACCGACTCGGCCGCTGTATTTCCAGACGGCATTGACTCGTCGCGCGGTTTAGTGCTGGTCTTCCGACGCTGAAGATGAATCCATCAGTGTTGAAGTAACGAGAAAGGAAAATATTGCCAGAAAATTTTCGGCGATGGCAGGGGACGAACCTTGCGACTTTTGGGTTGATTCACATCAGCTGGTTCGCCTTTGGCTACAAACAAACCGCTCAGTCACAAGCATAAATCATCATGGAGAAACTATACCAGCTAATGCCTCCAAGTAATCTCGGTTTATCTCCACCCATACACGTTCCTTGATCTTCACCTCATCTTCGGCGAGGATGAATCTATCAAGCTCATCTTCGTCCAATCCTAGCAATTCATCAACTTCGGCAAACTGAGCCTGTCGGCGCTGATCAGCTTCGTCCAGAGCGTCACGAAGAAGTGAGCCCTGAGTATTTTGCAGGAAACTAGCAACTTCCTCAGCGAGGGCCTGATCAACAGTTTCTTCGATGGCAGCTGCGGTTGATGAGTCAAGATCGGGAGATATCATGTTTGACGCCGGTCGCAGAGCAGGATCAATATTGGCATAAACTTCTTCATTTTCGTCCGGGTAAAACAGTGGTACTGGTTCAGACGTCCCAGCAAGGATACCCTGATTGAACAGAGCAGGGTCGATTGTGGGTATCTGAGGCGGGCTTTCCTCTGGAGGTGGTGCAAATTCCACTCGTTCTTCTTCAGACTCACTACCTCTTCTTTTCCGTTTGCCTTTCCGCTTCTGTTTCTTAGGCTTGTTCTTCGGCCCATCAAGAGCCTCTTCGCGTTCTTTCTCTTCCTTCTCCTTTCCTTTTGTGAAGGCAGGAGGATCCATCTCTTCGTCTAACCACACCGTCCTGAAGTCGGCAAGCGTGAGGGCACCGCTAGGAGTCTTCTTGAATTCCTCTAATCGTTTTTTCAGCGTGGTATCAGCGATCTTCACCACTTGTACAATCTCCTCGACTGAACGCCGGAAGTTATTCATACGTGCGGCAAGGAGGAGCGCCGCACCGCAAATTCCTGCTGGGCGGCGGCCACGAGAAACCCAATCGCGATCGAAACGTTGTACAAGTCGGACAGCATCAGTGGCGACTTTATGAGTTTCTTCGCCAAACTCTAGCAATGCTGCAAAGCGAGAGATATAATGAGAAGGGTCGACGAGAGGGAGTTTTAGATTTAAAGTCTGGACGAGTTGCAGGTATATGTGGCCCAGCTCGAAGACATTGACCTGGAAAAGAGATCGTCAGATCTAGGATTTACAAACCCACAGCTCTGTACCTGTAGAAGATCTGAGAAGTCTATAAGCATATAGTTGCGTGTCTCTTTTTGTCGGCAGGCAACATATAGACAGACAGCAGCGACATTATTGCTTTTGCGACCCTTGGTAAACTTGTGTTCAACAGCAAGGGTGTAAAGACGCGTCGCCGCCAAGCACACAACTTCAGAGAGACGCAGAGCACCAGCGAAGTTCTGGATCTTTCTGCTAGCTAGTGAATCATAAGGTCTGTTATGGCTTTAACAAAAATAACGGCTTACCATTGGCGATGGTTTGCTCGCGAGACTCGTTACTTCCTCTGTTCCCGAATGGACCAGACATTCGCGCGTGCGCTAGCAGAGGTAGACTGAGGCTTCGTCCCCAGAACAGTGATAAAATGTACTCACTTGAACCCTGGCCGACGTATGACCCCTGAACCATTGCCGCACCAGCAGAAGTTTCTCCGAAAGTGACCTCTGATACTATAGCGTTCTCCTCCACCACTGTTCCACATTTGACACAGAAGCCGTTGCCAGCAGCTGCATCATACTCGATAACTGTTCCTCCGCAATCCGTGCATACAGTCTAAGCGCGGATTAATTTCATAGCTGGAATATAGTACAGGAACCTACCATGATGATGAATAGGGCTCGAAGCGCTCGGATAAAATGTTAAACGTTCTGAAGTTAGAATAGAACGATGTGGGAGGCTCGGATCTAGCTCTTCTCCTTCCAACGCCGATCCAGAGTTGATACAGTTCTCCTAATAAAAAAAGATAATGATAAGGGTGAAACCAGTTTATGATACAGATTGAACGGGTCGGTCGTCGATTACAATATTAGGCGCTCGATGATCATGGAAGTGAGCCGGACTCGAGCCGGACTTCCAAATTCGTCTCCTCTCCCGATTATACCATGATATTCGTCACGCATACTGAACTGTCAGGACAGCCTTCTAGTTCGTACCCTCTAGAAACTTGCGAGCGGCTACATGTAGGCAGTTTTATGGACTTATAAAAAGGCCCTGGTATGATACCAGTGCGGAGAGTTCCACTGTAAAAAAAAAGATCTTTGATGCTTAGCCTTTGAGATATACTTTACCAATTTAGATGAACTCGTCTGAGCTCGTGCCACTGATCATCATGTCTGGCAGGTGAACGGCCTTGGATCTTGACCGTGAGGGTTCTGTTCATATGCTGTTCATACACTAGCGCTGATTCGGAACAACATAAATGTGCAAGCAGAATACTTATTGGCATTAATTACTAGTGTACCGAGCTTGTGACCACCTCCCGCCGCCCAAGCTGGTTTCATCACTTCCTTGCGAATTTCTCGTTCTTGTCTAATAAAATGCTACGGATAAGCATCCCAGTCCTGTGACTACGTGGGAGGTTTCCTATGCATGTTATATTTATCCAGGTCATCATAGTGTTGCCAAGGTCCTAGTGACATCTAGTGACATTCATGAGAGCTATCATTGGCGCTTCAAGTTGTGGAGATGCTGTGTAACAAAGTCGTCCTGCCTCTTCGCAGTGGGACTCGAACTGATTGAAGTAGCTGCGAAAAGATATCCTAGCTTCCATTCCTCTTTCTGACTCCTTTCATTCTTCTCGACACTCTGCACTCCGGCAGGACCGTTGTAGCAGTTCGGTCGACCTTCTCCCGTTTGCTCTTCAAGTTCTGTCTTTTGCTTGAGTTCTTGAACGAATTCTTGTCATTTATATTGCCCTAGTGGCATTGTCGTTCATTTATCTGTGATATCGGTATGGATTTTCTAGGTGGGGAATCCAAGTATCTGATGGCAGTTTGGCTCTACAGCTGGTTGTCCATCATGCGCTTTAAGCAACTGTGGAATATTATCCCTCTCCCATCCAAGATCAAGTTACTGGTGAGTCTTTGCAGTGGCTTCATGCTCCAAACAATCAGAGAGACAACCTGCCACTGTGTGAGGTGTCCTGAACCGAGAGCATTCTAACAGCGATGTTCGGACAACTGAGCTGACTAACTTCGAAACAGTGGGATCGAATAACTCTTTCACGCACGACCACCTTTTACTTCATATTTTCTGTACTACATTGTGTTCTCCAGATCATCTTCCAAGTGCACGCCTTTCAAATCAATGTGGGGGCTGCTGAATTCTTGGCTTCGATCACAGAACAAGGAGCTGCCATAGATTCGAATGCATTTTACGTTCTGGGGAGTGATCTTCGCCTTTGCGACAGTCTCCCATCAGACTTCAGCACTAGCTCTTGCCAAATAGTCTGGAATGGTATCACAGTCGGGGAAAATTCGATGATAACTGCAAATACAGCGGACTCGACCCCCAAGACTACTTCACACTCAACGGGGACGTCAAGTTCCATGACCTCGACCCGTTTCGCCTCCTCGGGTTCGACGGTGTCCATGACTTCAACGAGTTCGAGCCATACTGCAACATCAGACTTCGTGACGTCTGCAAGTTCAACGATGTCTTCGGTGCACACCACTACCTCATCGAGTTCAAAAGCATCCACAACCCAGATGTCTTCGGCGCACACCACTACCTCATCGGCGGTGGCTTCAACCTCCACTGATAATGTGAAACGCGGAGACACTGCTGTTGAAATGGTCAGCAGGAGCCACTTTAGGTTAGCGGTCAGCTAATGCTCCTTCAACAGCCAAGCAAACGCAGTGTCGTCGGAAATATCGAAACTGCGGAGGTCAATGGCACTGTCCAAGTCATTGTGAACGGATTCGGCTGGAACAATCAGGCAGCCGTCTTAGATCGGCAGTGCCTTTGGGCTCTGAATTACCCAGTTCAGGTGTAAGAAGGATTTCTCTATACTCTATCACTATTTTTATAACTTCGTCGAAGACTTCAGCAGACCGAACGGGAAGATTTGACCTTCATCGCTTTTCAAGTCTGGGTTCTCGGAATGTCTATTGTCGCTGTAAGCAAGTTGTTTTCTTTCTTCATCCATTCGTTACAACGTTGTACCAGATCCTGAACGAATCCGTCCCTCACACGTGAGTATTGCGGATTTTTTTTGCCACGAGAGGTGCTTAGAGGACCATAGCATCGCATCTCTTTTGACACACATGCTGGCTACTGGATGGGCAGGTTATCAGATTTTCAATACTGCTCAATTTCGCGATGACTTTACGAGGTTGTCAACGAACGGAGCTTGCAATCCAATCAATCTCTTACCGTCGTATTGGCAAAGTCGCGTTGCTGCCGAAATCGCTAGCTTGGTGCTGAACATCGTTGCACTGTTGGTTTCTGCCTTTCTATCATGGAAACTTGCCAAGGTGATGCAGTCTCGATCTTGTTTCACAAGCTCACAGTACTCATTTTTGCTTCGATTACTTTCAGCTTTTCGGCTGGCAAACTTTCAAGCGCGTCGGGGCTTCGATCACTATCAGTCGTGTCTACAAACTTGTGCTCGTGCTCTCAATCGTCATCCAGCTGGCGCTCTTCTATATGGTGATCGCCATATCTCTTTGGCTCGATCAACTCTGCAATGGCAACATTGGGCGTCTTACCCCCGCTGCATACAAGCCGTTCCTGATCGTAACCCTCGTCGTGAGTGAAAAGTTCACGTGCTGTCAGAACTATTTACTGACTACGTATTTGTATAGCTCTTGCTTCCGTGGTTGGCGACAGTCAGACTTCGCTTTGTGGTCGTTTGTACAATAGCTGACATGCTTCGCAGGGCTGGTATGGTGTGCGCCGAGAACTCAAGATTCCTATGCTCGTATTTCTTGCGCTCAGTGTTGGGTACCTTGGGGGCTGGGCAGCCATGTTTGATTCCATCTCGTTCCGATGGGCGTATATGACCTGGACGTTCTTCGGGGTGATGACAACCGCTTCCTTCTTCCTGACTCTTGTTGCGTTCATCCTCGGTATCATATGCCGTATCAACTTCGGCAAGGGGCTTGTACGATATCGTGAGTTTGAACTCTTTGCTGCTTTTTCCCACGAGTTTATGCGGTTGGCCCAGTCAATGCAGAAGAGCCAATCCCAGATGACTTTTCCCCGGTCAACTATGGAGATGACCCGGAGAAGATCGCGTTCCCATCTGATGATGATGTGCCCACATTCTCCGTTGCTTTCGGCCCAGGACAAGAAGTTCTTCCTTCTCAGATGTTCGCACCTCCTATATGGCATACTTTCTCCACACACAATGATCCATTCTCGGCCCCGGGGGCCATTCAAGTGCCTTCGGCCACGCTGGCGAGGCAGCCATCCTCCCAATCCTACCACACCGTCGAGCGGCAACAGTCCAAGAGTAGCACCCATAGTTCAACCAGTACTTCAAGCAGAGGGAGTGACTCTGTGGCTCATTCTAAACGCTGGGTCATCGAGTAAATGGCACTTACGGTTTCCACGCTTACGACGTATTCGGATTGTCAATTCTTAGTACCACTGGGTGGTCGTCTTTATTTCATGCAATTCACACAAAACAGACGTGCACTCATTACTTCTGTGGGACAGTTCAACCGCTAAACTGCCGGAAATCTGCTATGTTGCTGTTACAGCTGCTGTTAAACACCGTTGATATTTGCCCTCCTTGTCCAGTTCCCAACAGCAAGTAATCACCGTGTGTTGATGCCGCAACAAATCATGATCATCCCATGGGAATGTTCACCCAGCTTGCAACCAACTCGCAAGGTTCCCAAGCGGTCCACATGCTGAGAAAGGTCAACTTGACTTCTGAAACTTTCTTGAGAAGGACATGGTCATGTCCGTCTGACTCGGTCGCTGCCTTGAAGTGGCAGTCTAAGAGTAGTGCTCCTCGTCTTCATTCGAATGTGCCAGTCCTGATGTGTTTAGCAACGCAAGAACAGGCTCAGGCCCATTACCGCGACATCGTTGCGGAAATAATACAAGGTGGCCTTGTCCTAGCGACCAATGGTGATGAAATCAGCAATTCAGGTCCGTATCATTCTTCCGGCTTTTCTCGTCCGTCACTATGGCCGGAGTATGTATTGCGTCTTACCGTTCATATTTGGAACGGCCGTGTACAATGATGATCTATCTCCCCGATAGTGACGCAACTTTTGATACTGAAACTAGCATCGGGCGCCAAGAAGAACTCATTTGCACCAGCAAATCCTCCACAATCTGTAGGCAGCGGAAGCAGAGTCCCGCAAAGCCGATCATGTAGACTGCACTAGTAAGTACTGGAATGGTTGACTGACTGACTGACTGACTGACTGAGAGGTTGTCGCCACTCGATTATTAGCTGCCCCAAACGACCGGATCCTGGAGCACCGATGTTCCATTCTGTGGTTCGTGTGTGGCTAGACAGATTACGAAAAACATTCGAATGAAGATGTCGTACAAATGTAAGTAAGGCTACATGTTTGCTAAGTGTGAACTGAAACATTACAGAAATCAAATGCACCGCAAGTATGCATAAGTCATTCGATGTCGGGCGTGGGTGTTCCCGCCGACGATAGGGTGGGCGAAGGAATCTGGATGGCCTCGACTTCTTTCTCTTGAATGATCGCGGCCTGTCTTGCAACTGTGGCCATCTCATAGGTTTCTTCTGTCGGCATCTCTACAGGCGGACTAGTCACCAACTCGGTCTCCTCATACCCAAGGAGCGTCTCGCCGAACTGGAGCATCCAAGGGTGGTCCAGTAGCTCGACGGCTGTTGGTCTTCTCATGGCATCAATAGTGAGACACTGCTTGATGAAATTGATTCCTAGATCGCTCAACTGTCCGGGTTCCGGGAGGGGTGGATGCTGCGTAGCCACTCCGATGTGGAACATGACAGCCCTGTTGTCCAAATTCCGTCAGATCAATCCTTACATCATGTGCGGATGATGGTCGTACCATTCATTATCTAGATTGCTCCATGGTTTCTTGCCGGTAGCAAACTCTAGAACCACACATCCGAGCGACCAGACATCCATTGCTCCGTGGCGACCTCTCATATCGTTTTTGATAACTTCCGGGGACATGTACATTGGTGTCCCGGTCAGGCTGTTCATGCCTAAACCTCCACCAAAGCCACCGGGTTTCCCGACATTCCCGCCAAAATCTCCTCTGCGTGAACGTTGCATGGTGCGGTTCTTCACCAGGATTTTGGATGCTCCGAAGTCGACGTATTTGATGACACCACGGTGATCAAGGAGAATGTCTGTGGAACGTTCGGTTTGATGTGCAACGCAGAATGCTAAGACTTACTGTCAGGTTTGATATCTCGATGGACTATTCCTCTCGAATGCAAGTATGCAAGTCCCTCCAGCATTTGCATGGTATAGAGCTGTATGATGCTCTCATCCTCGATTCGTCCATGTTCCAGAAGAGAAGCCAGGCTCCCGCCTTGGCAGTACTCTTCAAAGATGTATACCTTGTCGCGATGCACTTCGATTCCGTAATACTCTACAACGTTGGGATGATGAAGCATTTCCATGACGCTAAGCTCGTCCCTGATTTGCGAGTAGAGGTTTGGAAGCCCAGAAAGTTCTTGGAATTTGATCTCCTTGACCGCCATAAGGGAACCGGAGTCGAGGTTGACTGCGAGATAGACTGAACCGAATGCCCCAGCCCCAATGAACCTTCTTTGCTGCCAGCGAATGGAGATGTTGGAACTTGAAGAAGCGAGGAAAACGAGAGAGCGATCTTCAGGTTTCTCGTTGTCAAGAACGCGACCTACAACCCTTTGGTCGGTGCCAGTCTGTGCTCGACTGCTTTCAAGCGCATACAACGCTCTCACCGTCTTCTCCCAAAACAGACGCACGTTAGCATCTGTGTATCCGTGCGTATTGAGGCTATCATCGTTAGCAGGCGACGAAGACCTTAGAAGACCAGGCTCTTCATCGGCAGTGATCGAGGCTTGCTCGCGTATAAGTCCCTCTTGCCTCTCCTTCTCCTTCCGTGCCTCCAACGTGGACCGAGCACCAAGAATGTCAAAATGGCTGATGAGGAGCGTCATGCAGCTGGCAACTTTCTGCCGCAACATTTCAAATTGATCATCTGGCATTTGCAATATGTTGTTCCGTCGAGTGCGGTGTAGCGTAAATTCCAAAGCATTTACAGCCCATCGAAAGGTTTTCCGATCCGATGGATCGCAGTCATCGCAGATGAATGACACCCATGAGATGGCAAGGCGTATCAGCAGACGGTTGAACTTGGTGAGAGGTGAACGCTCCATGTGCTTCTGAGCATGCTGCCCGTGTTCGGAAGCAAATAGATACCAATTCTCCAGCAGCTCCTGATATCCAACTGCATTGCGCAGTGAATGCCGAACGTGGTGTACGGAATCTACTATTGATTCTGCCAACTTGTTGGTGGCGCGAGCTATCTTTCGCAGCTCACGGTTGACTGTGGGTAGATGCGCTTGTTGTTCGGCGATGCACTGCAGAGGACTATGCGTCATTTCCAGAGGCTCTTCGTCTTCATCAACGATGAAGATCTCCGAGAATTGTTCCTTGGCTAGCGCAAGCCGCCGCTCGGGTCCATCTGCAACGAGACGCAGACGGTTGTCCTTCATGTCAAGATCCATCCGTGGAAGTTCGAGCATGAACACCAGACCATTCCACAGGAATTGACTGAGAGGAGATAGGAGGAGAAGATATTCAGCCTCATCATCATCCTCACTATCCATGATCTCCAGGTTATCGACCACATGGACGCCTTCGTCATTCATGGTCTCGTTGACATGGAAAGACTCGAAAAGAATGCGTCGTATTGCTTCTGGGCGATCGCGCAAAGCACTGGATGCGATGATGTATACTCCTTCTTCTTCGAATGATTGCGTGTAGACCAAAAAATGATCTGTCGCCACGAGAGTAGCGATGACCTGCTCGATGGGGATGCCTTCCAGGTTATACTCGGCGGAATTGCTGAATCTCTGGGTCAAGACCCTACACATACCCAATACCATCAGTACAAATTCAGTTCCTTCACATTAAGGTTCAACGTACCGAGCAAAACGTTGGAGCTTTCGATAGCGCAACCGGACATTGTCCAATATTTTACCATACCAGTTAACCTTCTGCTCGTCAGTCATTTGACCTGACACATTACTGGCGATGCTATCCCCGTCGAAGATATTGGTCGACGCTCGACGTTGAGGTGCCTTTTTGTCTGAGGGCAGTCGGACTTGAGTATCAAAGTAGTTTGCTACCCGGACCATGAGCTTATTGGTCAATGAGCTACAAATATGCTGTTAGCCAGAGAGGACGCTGCAGGGATATACACTGACCAGACTTGTTCGGCAACCAGCTGCGAGCCACCAGCAACAGTCATGCTGACATCATTGAAAGTCGCCCACTGAGACTCGATAAAATCTGTCTCTTTGAAGTAGATTCCTTTGACCCCGCTCTTGAGCTTCCAATGTATGAGTCTGAAAAATATAGAGAGCGACTCAAGTATCGTCGAGTCATAGTCGTCGCTGATGCATTGGGGTAAATTCCATTTTCCACCTGGGTCAGGTGCGAGGAATGCCTCATATTGCCGCTTGAGTGTACAGGCAAGACCCACACTTATTTTCACATCTTCCGTCACTTGGTCGATGATGAGGACTTCCGGATCTTTGAGTTTCTGGACATAGTCCAGTCGAAGGCGGAGACATGCCTGCGCAAGTTTTGTTGGGAAGGAAATGAGTGGGACAAGTTCATTCTCGAAAGTGGGGAGGTTCATTTCTTGAAAAAGGGAGGATAAGTTGACTTGCGCATCTCTGGCGGCACCGATAAAGGCGTGTACAGTGGTGAGGAAGCCCTTCTCAAACGTTTTCTGGATAGAATCCTCTTTGAGAACTCGCTCTACGAAAGTGGTTCCGTCAGACACATCCGTAGGCCCGTTAGCGTTATTACGGGAGTACAGGTTGGCAATGGGAATGTCCGCGCTCGTGTTAGGCTTGGTTACGTCGAGTGTCTCACTTCCGGTCCACCGTTGGAGTAGTGCAATGTGACGCCTGAGAGACATAAGTACAGTCGACCAAGTGTTAAGCGTGTCACATCGAGCCTGGAAGGATGCCTCTGATGCAGCGACGTTATCAGCGTAGAAAGCTTTGAGGGTAGGATAAAGCGAGTGCGCTGCGTCCAATCGCAGCAGCACAGCGTTGACATGCTTGAGCGCAGCAATTGGATCGCGCTCGTCATCTCCAAGCTTGAAGTGATTGATTTCGTCAATGACAGGATCTGCCATGCGCAATCTCCTCTCCTCGAGATGCTTGCGTTCTTCGCCCTCAGAACGACCACTGAACTTGGCACGTAGTCCAAGCCATATGCTGAGATGAATGTTGTTCTGTTCCTCTGAGGAGGACTCGAGGGCTACAGCAATCCGAGTCTTCTCGGATTTGAGGACATCACCGTCCAAGACAGATGCCAGCATCGTCTGCCACTCTAATCGCTGTCTATCCTGGACAGTCGCTGGCTGGATTTGCTCCGATTCAAGCATCAAAGCCTTGAGACGGTCTACACCGTCACCTCCCATGAGTGAGGCGCGTCCCAAATCTTCATCATCGCTATCTCCTGCGTCTACAAGCTGCCCTAAACCTCTCTGAAAGTAGTTACTGTCTGGATCATTCCGAGGATCATCATCGAGGCCTGGTTCGGATCTGTAGCGCTTCACGAACTGGGAGTAGATATCCGAGTACTTAGCAGCGTGTGGCAGCATGTTGTGATTAGAAGTGGAAGATGCTGAGCTTGACGGAAATAAATTCCTTGGCCTGTTCTTTCCTCTGCTGCGCAGAGCCGCACTTGAGGAAAGCATGCTGACTGATGATGAAGGATGCCTGGATGACATTGGGGGCTGGGCCCAGTCCACGTCCTCGGCGTCGTTTGATTCTTGCTCTTGCAGGGAATGCAGCGCTGGTGTATGCCTCCTCATGACGGGACCCCGGTGGTCCGAAAGAAAGAAAGCCACTGCAGCAAGCCGATAGAGACCTATGTATCTTTACGACAATTGGAATTCAATTAATGAATAATGAATATAGCATTCACGTGACCCCCCGAGATCAAGGATCATCCGCATGAATACGTCGTAGAGAACCATCACCGTCTTCATACGGGCCCGGGCACTTTCTAGGTTGTCGTCAGAAAATTTCACTCATAATGGGTATCGTTGAGAAGGTAAGCTACCTAGCACGTTCTGAACGACGCTGACCAGCGACTGTCGCGGTACTTTATCTTGATATACTTATTCTCCAGATCAAGGAGATTGAGGGTGAGCAACAGAAACCGCCGATTGTTGGGTTCCCTAATTCTGACGATAACCGCAGAGGAAATGGCTAGGAGTGAGTATGAGTACTTCTTGGTTGTGTCTGCTGCACCGCATCTGAATGTCATGCCTCAGCCCAGAAGAACAAGGTACGTTTCGAATAGACAGCACACTTGTTGCGATTGGCAAACCCTTTGACATGTACCTCCCAAGTAGGCTACCGAATATCACCTTGGTCTTCTGAAGGCAAAGCTAGCTCGGTACCGGGCCCAGCTTCTCGAGCCTGCTTCAAAGTCTGGGCCAGCTGGTGTCGGTTTTGACGTGCAGAAATCAGGAGATGCCCGAGTTGCATTAATAGGATTTCCGTCGGTTGGGAAGGTGAGTTATTTTATAATATGGACGAATGTTAGTTGAATGGTAACTCTAGTCCACCCTCCTAAGTAAATGCACTCACACCGCGTCCGAAACAGCAGCATATGAATTCACAACCCTTACTGTCAGCAAATCTCTCCCAGTATATTCGCTACGTGATTGACTGGTCTGGAACACTTAGGCAATACCTGGAGTGATCGAATACCAAGGAGCACGTATACAATTGCTCGATCTTCCTGGAATTGTCGAGGGTGCTAGTCAAGGTTTGTTTCCCGTTTTGTTCCAAATGTAAGAGATCATTATTTTGTAGGCCGCGGTCGAGGACGACAAGTTGTTGCTAGTAAGTACCTTGAATTATTCAAATGAAAATTCTAACGCGTGGCGCAGCTGCGAAGACGGCTGATCTCATTCTCGTCATGCTCGATGCAACAAAGTCCGAGGAGCAGCGACGGCTTCTTGAGATTGAACTCGATGCAGTTGGCATCCGCCTTAACAAACGCAAACCCGACGTAGTGTTCAAACGGCGGACAACTGGTGGTGTAAGTAGCTAAGTCATGTCCCTTATCGCATTTTAATTATACTTGCAGATAACTGTATGCTGCAGTTGCGTTCATGCGCCAATCAAAATTTTAACGCATTATCCAGCTGAATACTACCGTAAAACTCACGAAGACAGATGAGAAGACTATTCGTACCATTCTGGCAGGATGTATGCGCCCTGGATATGGCTTCGATGCACTTTACTGACTGATCGCAGATAAACTCCACAACTGTGATGTGATGATCCGAGAAGATGTATGTCAATAACTTTGTCATTCGGTTCTCACTCACGATGTCGTTGGAGATTACAACCGACGAGTTCATAGATGTTCTCATTGGTATGACAGCTATATTATGACAGCTATATGTGCCGAGGTGGATTGCTCATTTGACTCGCAGGAACTCGAAAATATATACCTTGTCTATGTATGTCCTACTTGCACAGTGCTAGGCGTCGCTTATAATCGAATTCGGGCAGATGTCTACAACAAGATTGATGCGATCAGTCTGGAGATGGTCCGTACTAGCAGACGAACTTGACGTTGACATCCTGAAGGACTTGCGATGATCAGGTAGATAAACTTGCTAGAACAGAGAATACGGTCGTGATCAGTTGCGAGATGGACCTCAAGTGAGTTAATATTTTTATATGGACTTGTTATCGTGTCTCATCCGCAGCAACTAGTCTGGACTACCTTATCGAACGGATATGGGAAAGCTTAGGGCTTGTCAAGGTCTATACGAAGAAACGGGGTGCACGACCCGACTTGTCGGATCCTGTGTGTTTGAGAAAAGGTGCCACTATCGAAGTGCGTAATTTTCGCCATCATTCGCCACATTTTCTTGACATTGCCGTAGGACGTATGTTTGGGTATTCATAAATCGCTGGCCTCGAACTTCCGTTACGGGCTCGTTTGGTGAGTAAATCATATGTCGGTCCATACATATGCTAAGCTCTCGACAGGGTATATTTAATTTTGTTTACATGTCGGATGTGAACACTTACTGCTCGCATAGGGGCGTTCATCCAAGTTCTCGCCTCACGCACAGAAGGTCAGTCTGAACCATCAGCTACAAGACGAGGATGTTGTTTCAAGTATGTTTCCTTTCTTTTAAAAGTGTTGCCGTTATTGATCACATTTCGTCTTGCATAGTTTTCACGAAGTAGCCACTGGTCAGTTACGGCTATTGGCAGCATATGCTTACCAGTAGAAAACATTTTATGAAAAGAAGAAAACAAATATCTCGAGGGCCAGTTCTCGACCTCTATATGTTGTCGCGTGCCAAAAAAAATCAACGTCGGTGCATGCCCTCGCGAAGCTTCCTATCCACAGTTTGACCACACTTTGGTTACACATACGTGGATTACAAGCTTTTCCATATAACCAGCGACTGGAGCTTTCGTAGACCAGATATTACTAAGTACAACCCACTCGTGAAAGTTTTGGAAGGCGCTCCCAATTCAGGTTTTGCAAAATATATGTACTAGGACTTTGGCATACTTATGTTTATATGTTTGCCGTGGTCCATGGATCGCAGTGTCAATGTATTGTACGAATGTCATGAACTTCCCGGCGCACTCAGGAGGACGAACTCATCACCTGTCGCATACGACCTAGACTGTACCACCTTACCTCGGCGGAGGCCCATCCCGTGGACTTATCAGTGAGACCATGAGCTAGCCTAGATTCGGACTCTGAATTGTTTGTATTAAGGGCATTGGGTAATAAAAGCAATCAAGTGGCCGAAAGGCTGTGATCATGATGCTGCTTTAGCTTGCGTTGCTGACTTTTAGTAGCTTGAAAAGTATAATTTGCTTGAATGGCCAGCGCTCCTAGACCCGTTATTAATGCGTTTCATCGTTCAGTTCCAACAATCTAAGGTTCGTGCCAAGAGGGTATCTTATCACTAACCGCTGTCCGCACGTGCCGCCGCAAAGGACGCAAATTGGTGGCCGTCCATGATCGACGGCCGCATCGGAGAATTGAAGTTTCGGAAATTGGTACGGGTCGTGAAGTTGAAAAACGGCCTGCCTATAGCCTCTCCTTCCCACTTCCCTTAGGTCCTTTTTCTCGCTTCTGCAGTCCTACAATGAGTCCCAACAGCGTGAATGGCTCTCTTTCCGATACCCAATACACACCATCAATTGAGCTGTTGTTCCTTGGAACAGGCACTTCCTCCTCCATTCCTCACCTGGACTGCCTGACCGCCCCGCCCAATAGAATGCCCTGTTTGACATGCCTATCCACGCTGACTTCAGAAGGAAAGAAGAACATCAGGCGAAATACATCCGCGGCTCTTCGTATATTGGGAAAGGATGGCAAGAGAACGTAAGTCCACACAATTTCTACCTGACCTTTAAATCATAATCTTCTTGTATCTGAAACAGGACCGTGGTCATCGATGTAGGCAAAAACTTTCAAGCTGCCGCCGTGGAGTGGTTCCCGAAGTATGGATTGCGGGAGATTGACGCTGTTATCATTACACATGCACATGCTGATGGTTCGATTTGCTTGTTTGAGATGGACGATGGTGCTGATTGTCTTGATAGCCATGAATGGCTTAGATGATCTTCGAGGTAAGAATAGAAAATATAGCCTTACATCAGACGCTTGTTCACCATTATGCCGCACCAGGATGGACGCTTGGAGGTGCCATACAAACGCACATCGATGTCTATGTTTCTCAGTCCACGTTCGGCGAAGTTCAAAGATCATTCCCTTATTTGGTGTCAAAAGAATTTGCATCTGGGGGAGGCGATGTAAGTTTCGTGCGTTCACTCTATCAGCCTATTTGATATGCAATACCCCGGATAACAGGTACCTGATTTTGAATGGCATATCATAGAAGACAAGGTCCCATTTGAAATCAAGGATACGGGTGTCCGCATTACACCATTCTTAGGTTGGCTAATACTGTGATAGACACACATTCCTGATTGACCAAACTGTATAGTCCATCATGGCAGGTTGTTTACCACGAACCCTCCGCCAGCCTTTGCGCCGACACCATTCGCGACTCAGCCGACAACTCCCAATTTGTCGGGGAGGTCATCCCCAGCGAGACCTTTGTCGGATATATGCAGCAGCGCGACTCCCAAGATTCATCCTTATTTGTGCTTTGGATTTTTGATTCAGGACACTATCGTCTACATTTCTGACGTATCTTTGATACCCGATGATACTTGGGCATTACTAGAGTCGACAAAGAAACCGATGCCAGTGTTGGTGCTCGACTGCTTGCGGCTGAGGGCCCATACGTCGCATATGGGTGTTCGGGAAGCAGTGGCTACTGTGCGAAGGTTGAATCCCAGACGAACCTATATGACTGGGTTCAGCCATGACATCTCTCATGATGAATATGTAACTATCGGCAAGGCCGCGGGCGGAGACAGCCCTAGAGATACGACTAGTATGAGCGTCACGGAGCGTCGCGGGGTGGAGATGGATTCGCGAAGGGAAGCCCGTGTGGATTCGACCTTCTCATGATGGATTGAGGGTATTTGTGTCGAGCGATGATTCGGTCAAGGACGAGACGTACGACTGAAGGGGAAGTTTGGAGCCAGTTGTGGGGTATTACTTCCTTCTTTCCATGCATGTATCTAATCTTGAGTATTTTACATCACTTACTTTTACTGTTGTAAGTACATATCGGTTCAGGCGGCCTTTAACGGATTAGGCCGTTACTTACGTGATGGCAATGAATCATTTCTTACCCTTTGTGACGCTTACCCACATCCCTAGCCAGCTGTGACGTCCGCTCTCGAGTCGTTCTGTTCTTCAACCGTGACTTGAATTGAAAACTGAAGCGAAGCCGGGATCGTTGACAATGAGGTTCTTCTCCCAATCCTTCTTGTACGAGTGAGTAATTTTACTTTCATTTCTTCACCATCAGGCCTACAGCTCATTTACTAAAAAAAACCCAGCGATCCCTGGTCCATCGTCTCTCTTGCCTTCTTTCTTCGCTATCCTAATCCATACGCTGCACATGTAATCTCGTGTGATGTCGTTGATAGGCACCAGACGGAGTCGGGCTCCCTATTGACAACAAGACTCATCTTGAAACGAGGAGCCTTACCAAGATGGGCTCCTCAAGGAATTATCTCCAGGGCGGAGTCGTGGGTCATCGAGGAGAGCGAAGTGGATCCCTTTGGAAAGGTTGTTCGGTGCAGGACTAAAAACCTTGATCATGTCAAGGTTATGCAAGTTGAGGAGACCCAACTTTTCGAGCAAAATGAAGAGGGGTACGTATCACTTATCCTACACACCTGAGCTACACTAACAGTTGTCTCGAGCAGTCGCACTGTGCAGACAACGGAGGCATACATCACCTCCAAGCTTGGTTGGGGATTGACAAAACGAATTGAGAACCATGGTCTCGCTCGGTTCAAGGCGCATGTTCAAAGGGTGCGCTTGTTATGTTGTTTTTTTTGCTTCATCGTCGTCTGATCTCCTTTACAGTCTCGGCAGGGTGTATCCCTTATTCTTGACCTTATTCGCCAAGCTCGATTGCAGCCTATGGCATTAGGTTCCTATATATCTCATCTCCACTCAGAACGTTCTTTCGCTCCTACGGATACTCCGATCTCGTCTCACAGCTCAGACAATACTAGCCACGCGCCCGAGGAATATTCTTCACCCACGACTGAAAACACTTGGCTGGGCAAAATATGGGGCAGCGGGTGACTGGTGACCAGTTTGCAGTTTATTTAACCGCCTTCTCCTTCAAATATTACTTCGTTGGTTTTAGTTTTACAATTTTGGCACTCATTGTATCATTACTGGCATCTAGTACCCTCACAAATGTTTTCAAGGACATTAAAGCGCTGGATACGTGTGTGAGTACGACGTGTTCGGGACACATTGGTTCTCAAAGTCATTTCACATCGGCGGCTATGCATGAGACCTTCCGAATTCCATTTGACTCTTCGTCTGAATAGTTGATCCTCTTCGTGTTCTGAACGTTTGCTGTGCTGTTAGCCTCGCCAAGTCCAAATTCGCGTACGTTCAGTGATACCAGGAACTAATGTACTTTCCTACCTCGGCGGCTAGGCAGCTGTTGACCGTCCCTGCTTTACCTGATGTCATCCCGGAACCTGTCCTCTGCTTCGAAGCTAGCCCGCGCAAGTCACTCTTTTGCACCCTCACAAAGAGTTCTTTGACGGTTTGGCGCGTCCGAGTATGTAGATTTCAGTCTCATGACATTCTGCGACTCAGCGCTATCTATGTCTTGTAGCCTTCTGCCCCGCTGGCCCACATCTCCAGGTCAGAAACTTCTCTCGTGGAACATGGAGACAATACGGCGGTCACTTGGTCACCAGACGGGAGTAGGATTGTCATACAGGTTCGCCTTTACTGAGCAGTTAGCTATCCTGCAAACACATTCATCTTGTGGCCGTAGACTACAATGCCGTACTTGGTCCTGGTCACGGTTGATTATATTCCAGATGCATCGGTATACCAGCCATCACTCATGGGTCCGGGTGTGCAGCGCAACTTCCTGCCGGGTCCCGGAGAGGGCATACCTCTGCAGTCATTGAGTCTAGCACTCGAAGGTGTAATATGTACCGAGGGGCAGGTTCTCAGGTCGGCTAGTACACTTCATATTGGTGCATTTGACCGAAGGTCTCTTCAGCGTATCACCGCGCAAACACCATATCATCTTTTCAACTAGTTCACCACCTGCTGTACAACGCATACCATGGCCAGTATACGACGAGACAGAAGTTGGAGAGCAGACAGCGCGCAGGTCTTTCATGGGTCATGACACTTGGGTTTTGAACGACCATGAGCTGCCTTGGCTTGTAGATCCCGATGGTAAAATCCCTATTTCTGGTCTCCTTGACGTTGCTCACAAAAGTCGAAGTCACTGTCACGAAGATTCTTCATTCAATATCGGGAGTGGAAACCTGGATCATTTCTGACGGGAGAGCATATTTTGTCCGCTTGCAAGAAAGTAGGCATTCAGAAAGTATTCTAGCTGATTCCGAGCTTGGTGAGGAAGAAACCGACAGAGTGGGTTTTCTTGTTCTGTTACTTTTTATCTCCTTGACATGGTTTTCACGACAGAGTTCAACATCCAACCAAGCTAACGGAACATCCAGGCCGTCAACTGAAAGTTCTGGCTCGCAGTCGCACTATCATTGGGAAGGCACATGTATCCATAACTTTGAGGTACCGCGTTGGGTGCAAAAGCAGCGCAGTGTTGATGATGGTAGTGGGCAATCGTGCTCAACCTACATTGAACCTCGTCGGGCGGTGGCCATAGCTATCAACACGAGGTTCTCACTCGTTGCAGTTGGCACTCACAGGTATGAGATGTCCCCTTATTTGATTCTTCTAACCAATCCCTGAATATAGCGGTTCTGTTGAATTTACAAGCTTTCCCACTCAGGACGGGCCCACGCCCACCCCAAAAGTTGTCGACGTACCGAACCCGTACAACCGGTCCACTGGCTCCGTAACTGCAATGGAGTGGAGCTCAGATGGATACGTTCTGGCTGTTGGGTGGATACACGGCTGGGCAATATTCAGCGTTGGTGGACGATGTCTTGCATCCGGCTTTGGCGTCGATGATCACATTGATGGCGACAGGTGAGCTCGTGGCCTGACGGAATGCCAAGGCACTTACATTTCGCCACAGGTTTCAAGATACCTTCATGCACGCGGTCGAGGACCTTGTCAGTACGATCCGCCATCCGCTTTGGAGCACTCTGATTTGTAACTTCGACAGTTTTGGGCACCAGGAAACTTTGAGCTCCTTGTCCTAACTCCCTCCGGAATAAGTGAGTCAATTCTGCCTGTGATACCAAAGTCTCATGCAATGAATCATAGAACCGGACGGCCAGGTTTTCATTCTGCCATTTGCCAAAAGTGCAACGACGTGTCAGCATTCTCCAGTAAGCTCACGTTACTACTCAAGGATACAAGGTTTATCATATACTGGGTCAGGATAACACTCGTTACGCGTTTCTGCAAATGGATGATCGAGCACTAGTATACCGAGGCGCTGACCAGCCTGACATGAGCGTGATCAACCCAGAGTCAGATGTGTGGCAGCACATCAAAGTCAGTTTCCCACAATCATACACTTATCGTTGAACTTAGGTATGACAGATACCTCAATCCTACCTGACAACAAATTGGCCCATAAGGTACTCGGCACTCAGCAATGATGGGCGATTAATTGCTATTGCCGGGCGGCGAGGTCTGGTACATTACAGCTCGACCTCGGGCAGATGGAAAATATTCTCGAATATTACCCAGGAACAGGCATTTACAGTGAAAGGTGGACTTCTATGGTTCCACCATGTGCTGATTGCTGCAGTGGAAGTTTCCAAGTCGTACCAGGTTCGTGCAAGGCTTGCTTCCATGTGAACATTCAATTTATCATGCCTCATCAGATACGGCTCTACTCTAGAGACATGGAGCTCAGCAATCAAAATGTGCTTCACCGCGAAATATTAACGTCGCCAGTAATCATTCTGTCGTTGGTCGACAACTCGCTGCTTGTCTATACTGCCGACAACATGCTCAGCCACTATCTGATAATACCAACTGCTGATACAATCAAGCTACATCTATGCGGAAGTATTACGTTTGACGGAGTTATTGCCTCGCCTAGCGCAGTGAGGGCATTGAGCTGGATGATCCCGAATGCTCAGAAACGTGCGTTCATGCGCTTCCCAAGCACTACTTACTCATTTCGCATTCAGGACTCGGTGACCCTGTGGATGATCTTGCAGTCGCAATTGTATTGATGATGGTCGGCGGTCAGTTGGTGCTATTGCGTCCCAGAAAGGTGCGCTTGTATGGGATGTTGACGCAGCAGATGATTTACTTCACCTTCAAGTCTGGTAGCCAAGAAGTGAACTATGATATGCAAATCTTTGCAGAACGCATCGAATTTTGTTGGATACATCTCCGTGGTATTGGTGCGCTCGAGAATTCACTCTGGGGTTACGATGGACAGAACATACGAGTTTGGCTGAATGCACTCGCCATTGAGTCGTCCGGATCTGCCGATGGACCTTCAAACGTCAAGGAAAGTGTGAGTATACCATTGGACTTCTACCCTTTGTGTATGTGTATATTCTTCGTCTCTCAGGGTCCTGTGGATACTGATAGTCAAGCAGCTGTTCTCATGGACAAGGGAATCATCATTGGCGCGGAACACGAGGCCGCCACGAGAATGAACTTATCATTTGTAATGTTCAGACATGCCACGAGTGTGGGTTTCTTCTCTGACTACTCGTGCCTATGCTGACCCCTTTGCAAGTCCCATCTTTTCTTGCACCATGTCCTCCGGTATCATCTGGAATCTGGGCAGGTGAAGGAGGCAGTGACGCTTGCAAGACACTATCAGCATCTGGTCTTCTTCGCTCATGCATTAGAAATACTGCTACATACTGTGGTGGAGTCCGAGGCCACCATAGACTCAGAGAACACTGCGACAAACGCATCGCCTGAGTCCGGTGCACTTGCGGCAGTGATAGAATTTCTTGATCACTTCGACGCCGCCTTAGATGTCGTCGTCGGATGTGCTCGGAAAACTGAGATGACCAGATGGAAGCGTCTCTTTAGTATTGTTGGGAACCCGCACGCACTCTTTGAGGTGAGACACAACTAGGTTCCGTAGAACAAAAGCCCGCTCAAACTTATCGTGACAGACATGTTTAACATCCAAACGGCTAAAAACAGCGAGTTCATACCTGTTGGTGCTGCATAACCTTGAGCAGCTCGACGAAAACAATGGAGATGCCGTCCGCTTGCTGAACTGTGCCGTGAAAGCACAGGACTGGCAACTTTGTCGGGAACTCTTACGATTCCTGCATTCGATCGATGACACGGGGAAGGCACTCAGGCATGCCTTGTCAGAGACATCTTTGGTGGCCCAGAGAGGCGTCATGGTACCTTAGGTTCTGATTTCCAGTAGTCGTGGGAGGAGGTTGTAAGACCGCCAGAGTTTGCAATCTACATGTAACATACGCGATAGTTCTTGGGCTTGCTTCCTCATTATATAGGTCTCTATAGAGCGCTCCAAGTAAGCGCGTGTAAGTACAATCAGGTAATCATATGATACTTACTATCTACTGGCAGTACGGCACTTGAAGTTGCTCGATAAGGCCGCGAACACCGTCAGTGCTGTCTAAGCGTTCTTTCCCGTCGCTCATATTCCCGCATATTCTCGGAGAGTTTTATTACACGTCGATGGCGAGAAGGGTACTTCTTCCCTCCGTGACATCCCTAACTCGTGCCTTGCAGGGATCGCGTGCCATGTCCACAGGTGTCGTGTCGATATCCTACCAAACACTTGTATCTTCTCCCTCCTCCCTAGGGACATCCATTGGTGAGTTATGCACGACAGACATTGCGTGCTACACCAATACCGATCCTTTCTCTTACAAGAGGAGGCGTTTGGATCGCATCCTCAGGCCCTTGGGATTATATTGGTGAAAGATCTTCCGCCTGTCTACCCCATCTACAGAGAAAGGTTACTCAAGCTTGCATACAAATTTGCTCATCTGGACGGGGATGTGAGGGAGAAATATGCGGACCCTGGGAGTATATTCAGGTAGGTTATATCTAAGCTCGCCCAGGTAACAAGGTTTTGACTCCAACTTGAAGTTATGGATGGTCACATGGGAAAGTCAGTGTTGAGAAGGTTGAAAGGTGTTAATAGACTGGACTAACTATCGCTACACAGGAAATCATGAATGGACGACCAGGTACGAATGCTCATCCATACCGCTTTGGCGGGACGCCTGCTCACCTTTCGAACTAGACACGCTGAAAGGGTCTTACTATGCTAATCCCGTAGTAGATATTCCCAACGTTAATACTGCTGTGAAAGCTGAATATCGACCATTCTACGGCGATAACGTTTGTAAGTGTTGCTTTTCTGTATCTGATATCTAACGCTTACTTGTCATCAAAGGGCCGGACAAGAACGAAATCGGGATAGAAGGTTTCGAAGAAAGTTTCAAGAACCTGGGTAAATTTGTTTTCAATGTTGGGTGCCAGCTCGCGGTTGCCTGCCAGCCCTTCGGTGAGAATATGCAACAAGTTTTTGCCATGAACGCGCAATGATGAGCACTCCAGTCTCCAAATATTTGACAGACGCGTCTCTATCCCTCCCTGAACTCATCAGTACCTCACAAACCACTAAAGCGCGCCTTCTGCACTACTTCCCTCCTTCAGAAAGTAACCCTATCACTGAGGATGAACCGATCGATAGCTGGTGCGGGTTTCATAAAGACAATTCACTCCTGACAGGGTTGTGTTCGGTGAGTACATACCTGAGTGCATCAGCATTATCTGTGAACACTGCTTCTAGGCTATTTTCCTTCGTGAAGAAGTAGGCATGGAGCCTGTTGCTGTTCCTTCACCTTCTCCGACGTCCGGATTGTATATCAGAACTCGAGGCGGAGATCTGACGAAGGTCTCGATTCCTCCGGACTGCCTTGCCTTCCAAACAGGCGAGGCCCTGGAGCTGGTCACTGCTGGGAAGTTGCGGGCCACACCTCACTGCGTGCGGGTTGGGCAAACGCCAGGTGGTGCAAAGATATCACGCGAGACATTTGCTCTCTTCATGCAGCCCGATACCCACCAACGTATCTCTGAAAGCGATACGTTCGGGTCATTTAGCAAGAAGGTACTGGAGGAACACTATGAAGAAGCCAGGACGATGTGATACATATATTCTATTAACGCAAAAAGTCTAATAGCCAAAGTGATCGAAAGTGCGTGCTGTACAATGAGACAAGTGATAAGCCAATAGACATAATAAATTACAGTCAACTTATGATTGCGGCAATGTGGATTGGCGGTGATGGGTAGGGGTGAGTGCATCTGGTAGCACAGACATGACAGCGGCGGCAAGACTGTTACGTTTGAAAGTCGAGGACCGGTCAAGCTTGCCATCACTCAATCTACGTGAACTAGATAGACGCTTGTCGTCGCTATCAGAAATTAGGCTCCAGTCTTCGCTGCCTCGGCGTGAATCTCCTGAATTCCAAGAACCAGAACCGGAGCGCTCCAGAGTAGAATGTGATGATATGACATTCTGCTCGTCGCGGACAGCGGCTTCCACGTCATGAGTCGTTTCTGATTCATTGGGGGTTCGCTTGATCAATGAACGAGCATAGTCAAGATCGCGATAGATGGCCTCGATTGCGGTTGCAACACCATTCTCCTTTATCGACGTTAAACACGCCAGTACGTCTTAAGTAAACCGACTTACAGCGCGTATCCTTTCCCCAACTAGCTTTGCCCTCTCAATTTGTTTGGAATCTGTAGTCGCAGAGACAAGCGCCTCAGTCAGACTCTCCACGGTCAACTTGCGGACACCTGTTCCTATGCCAAGGGCTTCAACCCGATCGGCCGAGAAAAACTGATCTCCAAAGAAAGGTTTGACGATGGTTGGTATGCCAGCTGCAGAAATATATCAGATCAGCAAAAAACAAATACAGTGTACGAACCCCTCAAGCTTGCACCAGTAGTTCCAGCACCACCGTGATGGCATGCAGCATCAATGCGCTGGAACAACCAATCATGAGGGATGGAAGTAATCGGATAGATTTGCTTGGGTAATGGTTCCTCGGGTTCAGATGCTTCTAAAGACTTCGCGTGCAATCGATCAGACCAGCCCTTGGAGAGAATTGCATATACGCCGCTCCGCAATACCGCCTCTATTACGCAATGCGTCATTGCCACTGGGTCTGAGACGACAATGCTGCCAAAGCCGATATAAACGACTTTCTTGCCAGCTTCATGAGCCGAATCGATAAACGGTATGAGATCAGGTGGTGGAGTCCATTTCTTCGCGCCCACTTCTGCGTCGTCGAGGAACCAGTATCCTGACGATAACTTGAGATAACAGTCGTCGTTCTAAATAAAATTGAGCATACCAGTGACGCGGATCCACTCAGGCCAGTCTAAAGGAGGGGGAACAACCGTAGGGCTGAAATTGTACAAGAAAGGTATCTTGTGAGGCTGCATACGATCAAGGCTGGTATTGCCTAAATGCAGGACATTACGTCGCCAACGGTTTACTTGCCCTGAGATAGCACGCCAGAATACTTGGTCGAACATAACGTAAGTCTGGGATCGTTTTTGTTAGTTCAAGCAGTGAACAAAGACTGTTTCAACGCACCATATAGTTATACCCGCCACCCATCTGCAAGAATTATCATAAGCTCCCACCTAATACAGTGCCAAGTCTCACAAACCTTGTGTTCTGGGACAGCGAAGGCATGTGGGTATGCCCTAGTGCGTGTCCAAACCATCGTGAATGCTCTAAAGTAGGGTATCTTGAGTGCCTCTGCAATGTGATAGCCGCTCATGGCGCTGGGACTTTCAATCAGGACGTCTGTGCCCTGACATGCTTCCCATGAAGTCTTCAAAAGGTCATCAAGCCACCCGCGGAACTGGAAGAATGTAAGAACAACGAATACTCGTACATGATAACGGACCTTTGTCAAGCCCTCCTTGAGAAATGCCACAGTGAATGTGCCATTCTCAACACAGATGCGCATAAGCTCTGCTGGATCTCCGCCAACATAACCGAACTCAATTCCATACTGTCAGATGTGTCAATGACGTGCACTCAAAAAAGGTGAGCGACTAACGGCTTCTATCCATTCACGGAATTCGCCATGTGTTGCAATTCTGACCCGATGACCATCTTCCATGAGGCCCTTCGCCAGAGATATATAAGGTTGCACATCTCCTCTCGAACCAATCGTAAGGAAAGTGAAATGCAAAGATTCCTTGGGCTTGAACGTCAGGAAAGTCGACGAGGAAGAGGTGAACATCACTGCTGGGAGTGATTCAGACATGCTTTCGGAAGGAGGGGCGGGATCTGAGTCTGTAGAATTGTGAGGCTCGAACTCCTCCAAGATGAGTGCATCTTTTTTCCCCTGACTGAGGACCGGAAGATCTCCTGCACTTGCACGCTTCCTGACCTCTTCCATTTGCCGTTCCAGGATGCCGACGAATGCCTTTCGGCGGTCATCAAAGCCAAATTCAAAGAAGAGTTCTTCGTGTCCTTTAATAACGACTGTGAGACCGTAGTGGCCAAACCGAGTACCCTTGGTCTTCTCGACACTCAAGATATCTCGAATAGGAAGAATCATCTAGGAAGGTGTGTCATGAGGGGTAGACCCAGAGGGTTTAGGAATTCCATACCCGAGTCTTGGAAGTAAGAGGGCCACTTGTCTTGAAACAGAAATAGTTGGTCGAGACATACAGCCGGCCAGGTACCGGTAGAAGACGGAATAGGTATCCAGAAAAATCTAGAAAATGTTCAATGGCAAACCATGGGATAGGAAGGATATACATACAGCCCAATAGAACCTCCTTTTCGTCAAAGGCAAATGCAATCCTGAATTTCTCGGTAGCTTCCGGGTCCACAGCAGCTTCTGGTGTCTCAAGAACACTATATCCCAAGTCAACTTGAGTACTTCCCGAATTCTGTCGAGCTGCTAATTCTGCCGTTGATGGGACAGAATACACTTCACGTATGCCACTCCCACTGGCAGAGGCACTAAGCGCAGACGCGTTCGAGGTAGAAGTACTGACGCGGCTACGCTGGACCTTGAGCCATGAGGGTACCCCCACGTTCCATGGAACGCTTGATGTGATAGACTTCGCTGTTGGACTGGAAACTAGATCACTCACAGATGTGGAAGGAGGATAAGTGTGGTCTGTCGGAATGGCGATTGTGGATGCTCTGGGAAGAGCGTGAAGTGCCCTACTCGAATCTGGGGAAGATATTGTTTCAGGTGAAGATGCGGTAATGGGCACCAGGGAAGAACCCGATCTCTTAGATATGTGAGTGTACTCGTCAGGCCCTTCGGTAGAATCGGGAGCGCCCGATGCACTGTTAATGCGACCCAAGGAAGCGGGGAGTGAGTCCTGGAATGGTCGTAGAAGAGACGATAATCTGAAAGCGGAGCCGAAACGCGTGTCCGGTGCTGGGAGGCTCTTAGCGCGATCTATACCATGAGTGGCGGAAGGGAGGGGCGTGCGGGTGGAGGTGGTGTCCAATAATGCCAGAGGCGACCTGGGGACCAAGGAACGGTATGTGCGCACAGCATCACGAATATGTTCCAATGCGACCGGCAAGTCCTGGAAGTAAGCAAAGAAATACGAGTCCACTGAAAAGTGCTCCTTGTCAAAGGCTTTGACATCGATAGTCTCACTGAAGTCCATCGCTGATGACTTTTCGACATCAAGAATGGCCGAATAAGGAATTGCGATCTGTAAGAGGTAACATGTTATTATGCACACTTCTCAATATTATCAACCTGCCTTAACAGTGTCACCCATATTCTGTGCCTTGAAGATGACTTTTCGTATGGCCTTCACCCATTCCTCTCGACTAGGAATTGAATCGGCGGACATGAGAAGGTTCTTCTGGTTGGTTCGGAGACGTATCTCCTTCTCTCCAGATGGATCACAAGAGATCGCATAGCGAAGGTCCACTATACCATGTATGAAATATGGGTCCTAAAGAAGTATAAGATAGCGATGTCTCGCAATTTGTTTTACTCACTGAAGAAGACTGATACCAAGAGAGGGCGTCATTCTTGAGCACGAACCAGTGCTTTGTCCAGAGCTTAGTACGGTTAGCCCTCTTGCTGAGTGTGCCTGACTTGAGAATTTGATCCTGCACCGATCATAAGACCACCCCGAAGTGTCGGACAGAATTCTTACCTCTCGACTGGGCATATGCGCAAAGAAGCATAAATGAGAGTTAGTGAGGTACATATATCCCTGTAACACTATGCGTGGAGTTGGAACAGTATGTCAATGTGAAAAATAATTGCCTTACAAACAGAGCGAAGCAACCAGCAAGGCATTTCTGGGATTGGTTGAACATTGTGAGAGGCATTAATGAACGAGATACCCACCGGCTAGAACTTCATCAATGGCATCCAACTCGAAGATTTCCTTTAATTTCTCAGCTAGGCGTGCCCTCCGTGCGACTTTGACAGTTGTGATACTCGCAGCATGGCTAGAAGCCTTGCGTCTCATGAGTACCCCAGGTCGGTAAGCCGTCGGCAGCTCTGGTGCGGTGAGTTGTGGCTCCTGTACGTCTGCGGGGCGGGGCGTGGTAGCTTCAAAGTCCTCGGTATCAGCATCCTCTTCGGAGGTAGAAGTCACATCCAAATCTCCGTCCGATCCTTCGTGACCTTCCGCTTGCGATGGCAATGCAATGCGTGATGACAAGGATGCTTCCGTCCTTCTCGAACGCGCAACAGGACGATAAATGGCATGAATAGAGGAAGCCATGGGCACTGCTGAAATGGAATGTCAAATGCGGGAGTCGATGCAGAAAAATCACCAACCTCCAGAATCGTCGCTATCTTCATCTCCCTGTGGTGCTGTGACATTAGCAAGGTCGTCGTCCTGATCTGATATATTTGCCCATGGCATAGCTTGTAGAGCTTGAATGAGAGTTTGAGTTCCTGCGCGCATCTGAAACACGTGATTTGTTAGTTGATGCACGCGTCACAGGGGATAAACGCACAGAGCCAGTTCCTCGGAATGCCTGTAATGACGGCCTGCTACGGAGTGGAGAGGGTGAACGAGGTCTAATGAAGGGTGAGTCATCTTGAGCGAGATGATCTGACGACTGGGCGCCTGTGTCTGTGTTTCCATTGGAAAGTACCTGTCTAGGCATCTGCGAACAGGTACTAGGTCCAATGACTACTGTGTAGTGACTGTTAGTGTCGTTACGAGGATAGGACGCGCCAAATGTCACCTTCGGTGTGATCCGACGGCTCTCTGCCTTTGCCTTTGCGACTCAGACTAAACATACGCCTGTGCTCTCCGCTGGATTTAGGCGAACTTGGTGACTGAGCTCTAGCACCAATACTCTTGCCGAAATCCTTGGTTCTAAGCGCAAGCCGTTTCGCCCGACTTTGTGGAGATGACGAGGATTCCTCGTCTTGTTCGACCTGGTCTAGCAAACGCAAATCATCTTGGGGCGGGGTTTCACGTTCCTGATGAATTTCGACTGTTGTACTACGAGCCAGGGGATTCCAAGGGGACAACTTGGACATGCTGGCTTGTTCAGGCTGAGGCCAGATAGTGGTTCACGGGGCCGAAGGTAGATATCTGCGGCAGACTTGGCGGTTATTCCCTATTTGAATTAGCAGCTTTCAACGTTTCGTGGGAAAATTCAATGTAATTCCACTTGCAAAATGTCGCGTGGATTCAATGCAGCAAGTTCGCCTGCCACAGGCTGCGGCGTAAACCTCTTTTCTTTATACCTCTTTTCATCGCTCTCTATACCCTGTCAAAATGAGAGGAGAATACTGCGTTGGAGGAGCTTCCTTTCTTTCGTGAGCTTATTTTCTTGAACTTCCCCTTCCGACTTAACCTTCCTCACAGGTTCGTTGCACTTCTGCTATTAATCTTTGTCCATGTATGTCTTTTCCTTGTTTTTGCTATCATAATCTTATCAGTTTTTTTAGGTTGGACAAATCAATACCTCAGTTGTTCCTCATGGAATTGCAATGGTGATTCGCGCTCATATACTTGGGTTCGAAATATATCTGATTACACCGTTCAGGCAAAAGTCAACACTTCAGGGTTCGGGTCAGTGTCCTCAGATCTCGATGTGGCCAATATGCTGACAATGATCACAAGTCAAGCACTGAACGCATCCTTCGGTGATCCGATTCAGGGCCTATATACCGATAATTATACCTCGCCCCTCGGTGAGCGGAACGGGTTGAGACAACTCTATGAGTTCGGTCTCTATTCCTATTGCGCATTCGTTAACAGCTCTGCCGGAACATGCACCAATCACACCATTGCAGACAGCTTCGAGCCCTATATTGCGATGACGTCCGATATGTTCCAAAACTACACGCAATACTCTGACGCAATGTTTGTAAACACGACTTTGATGAACTCGAGCTACCTGGGTTACAATGCTCGCGTTGCATACTACTTTATCCTCTTGGGGACCATATTTGCAACCATCGCATTGTTCACGTAAGGTCCACACCTCGATTCTCATATGCACCACACTCAAGCGCTGCCTACAGCGGTGTAGCAAGAAGGGCACTCTTATTCTTTATTTCAACAGCTTCATCGATCACGGCTGCGCTGTTCATTCTCATCGGCGCTGCCATCTGGACATCAATCGTCAAAAAATGCGAGGCTGTCAATACCCTGCAGTTGCATGTCTCAAATGGCACCGTTCTATCAGGCATAGTGGTGTCTTATGGGAATGGAATATATCTTGCATGGGCAGCCTTTGCCTGTTTGGCCGCATCGACAGTGCCATACATGGTTAGGTATGGTTTTATTGTTCAATCGATTCATTCGAAACAAGTAGCTCATCGTTCGACCAGCTGCTGCACATTCCGAGGATGAGTGTTCGATGTTAGCCATCACCCTCACTTCAGTCATGGACTTTTATGATGAGCAATAACTATCACGATCAGCGATGCGACTCTCCGCATGAGACTGATCAACGAGGACATTTAGAAGTATACCACTATCTATCACGATTCATTTTATGGTGAAATGAAAATGCCGGAAGTTCTTCCTATGTTTCGAGTGATATCTATTCAAAACAAAAGCGAATCACTTCTAGATACATTTCACCTTCACTGGAGAAGTTGCCTATTCATACATGTTGCATACAAAATTTTGGCGATATTGGAACTTTTTGACCGAGGATCAATACCGGGTCAGGTAACTTAACTCTTGTCGTCGCTCAAGCACTCAAGATCCAGACTGAATTGCTTGCAAGGTCACATACCGGGTGGTATCCTTTGCAGATTTAATACACGACGAACGAGGATCGAATGTGAGGGTTCGCAGTGCATATTTCATTGGCCTGACTCGGATACGTGACCCTCTCGAGACACCAGTTTTCAGAAAATGACGACAATAGTGAAGACTTCGAAAAAAAGGCAATAAAAACATTAGCCCACCGCGAGGGTCGAACTCGCAGCCTTCAGATCGCCTAGTCTTAAGAGTCTGACGCTCTATCCGATTGAGCTAGGCGGGCGATGATGTCGTGTGCAAACCCCTGAAGTTACCCAGCCCGTGAGCCTCACCGACGGGAGACAATAATAGGGTCGGCGGGGATCATATTATTTGCGGATTTGATGAACGCGCCGGACTGAAATAAACTTTGATCAGTGGCTAGTAGGGGCAACTCTGAGCTGTGCACCATGCAGGACGCTGGGTAATTTTCCTAGAAATCCCAGGCAGCCTATGTCCGCAGTACATGTCGTGGAAGTCAACTCCCGAGATCTCGGTCACTGAGTGATATCTTCGGAACTTTTCAGGAGTGCACAGCTTGCGCCGACCAACATACCGTACCCCTCCTAAAGCTTAAGTGCCGCTTCTTCTATGAAGTAAGCGAAAACGCGCGAACGACTTCACATCGAAATGCTTTGTGGCCCGACGTGGCTACGATCGCTACATTGTCCGAACTTGCCCGGAGATCTTGTGAAGATCCAAAGGTGTGCGGTCCGTGAGGATTCTTTTGGTACCGGGCGCAAGACGCACATACAAAGACGACTAGACCGAGGAATTCACAAGAGGTTACCGGTTAATGCTAGGAAAGTAACTCTCAGGAATAGTGACAGACGTGTCAAGACAACGGGCATATTGCGCCCCCGACGGAATACAATAGGGTTTGTCAAAAGATATGATCAAAGTAGATGCCGAGGTAGTTGGCCGAATGATTGTACCCAACGGAAATATCCGAATTAGCTGTGAAGGGTGAGAATGAGGCTGATGTAATGATGGTTATAAGCCGTTGCTTGCGTGGTCCGCAGCAGAACCCGATTTCTAGCCCACACCCGGTAAATCCTGCTTAACTTTGGTTTAACAAGCTTCTGACTCGATTTCCAGTATCAGTTCATTGCACGCTCTACTTCGCAGTAAAAATTAAAGGAATCGCGCAGCAACAGCACTATGCCTGACTCGCAAACCGACGATTTTTATTCTTCCTTTGAGCCCTATGGCTCGGAATTCACAAAGCAAGGAGGTGGCCTTGACTTTGCTTCATTTCACTCGCCTTCAGACATCCTCGCGCCCCACCCCGATCTGTTCGAATTAGAACTGGATTCGAGCCTTGCGGCTTTCAACGAAGTCCAGCTGCAGCTCCTCACCGTAGATTCCAACGACGCTTACTCCTTTTTGAGATCCGATACTCCAACGTGTGGTCCTCCTTCCACGATCACCGTTTCCTCCGAGTCTACATACGACACTCTTTCCACTCACTCAGAGTCTCTCTATAACTACCAGGACTCTCCTTCCTTTTCTACCAATTGCTCCTTTCCTCTCGACCTCGAGATGGATTTCCAGCGAGTTCGTGTCGGTGGCAGCGCTTGCTCCGACTACGGTATTAATTCCGCTGCGCAGTCTACCAATAATTCTCTTCCCATGACTGTCGACCCCAGCACTTTTGGGGCCTTGCCCCTTAGTCCCCGCAGTCCTGTGACTGCGCCTGCTGCAGACATTTCCTATAAGCGCACAAGCTTCTCAGACTACGGTGGCGCAACTCGCATACCTGCGGTACCCAAGTCCTCAACTGCAGAATATTTTCTCAACTACATTGCCGGCGCTGACTCTACCGTCTCGCCGTCTAATATGTCGCAGTTATCTTCATCTTCCTCCCCCCCACCTCTTGCAAGGTCGCTCAGGGGTGTCGACGATCAGTCCAAAGAGGATCCTCGTAAGAGATACCAATGCCCCTCATGCCCCCGAGGTTGGTATTATTTGTACTGTCCTGGCTTATCACTGATCGCTTTTATCCATTAGCATTTGCTCGGGCTTACAACTTGAAGACGCACATGGCCACTCATGATCCCAACCGTCTCAAACCTCATGTGTGCCCTCACCGCTCGTGTGGGCGGTCCTTCAGCCGCAAGCATGATCTTGGCCGTCACTTGGTCAGCATTCATCGGGACGAGTCCGTGACTTCCACGCCGTCTGCGGTAGTCAAGTCTATAGGTGTCGATAGTGGTCACAGAAGTTGGTGTGACAACTGTGGCAAAGGAACAGTCGGTGCTTCGGGCCAGTGCCTGTGCGCCGATATCAAGTAGCTGCAGATTGCGTTGTCCTGTTTAAACACTATGCGTACGTTTTGTTGCCCATCACCTTGTCCCTGTATTGACACAGGTGCTATTCACAGTATGGGCGAGTATATTTCGCCACTCGCTTCGTCGTGGTCGATGGTCGATTCGTCTACTGCGCGCTTCTGCTGACGTATCATTCCTATCTACGCTATTTCCGCTCTCGACGTGTTGCGTATCGTACCGTTCAGCTGTTGTTGCTGGGCCCAGTGACGAACGTGATCTCGGGTTGCCAACCTCATTTATTCCTGCCTTCGTCTACGACGGGCTGGCAATATTTGTCCAACTCTATTTCGTTGGGATACTTTATCTGTGTTAACACTTATTCGACGATGCTTCAACTCTTTCGTAACGTAAAAGCTTAAATGTTCCTTTCACTTCTTGGATTCCAGGCGCGTTGGCGTTGTTCTGGTTCCACCTTCATTATGTATGTACCCACTGGAAATACCTCTATCTATGTATTCGTGAGCTGTTAGAATCACTTTTCAATGATCTCATGTCTGCTACAGTGTGGAAATTTGTGCTGAATAGGATGACCTGTCAATGAATTTCTTTTCTGGTCAAATGGTGCCCGCAGTGGACTTCAACTTCAGCGGATGAAATAAGGATGGTATGGATGTGAATGCTAATAGCTAAATTTTTGGCCATTTATTCGCTCGTAAAGGTGGCTACTAACTGCTAAGAGCTCTCTCAATAAGCGAGAGTGATAGCTGGCGCGAGGGAGGGCGGTGAGGACGGATGTTTCATTACCACGTCGGTTTGAAATTCAAATTTTCAACGCGGTCACGTGGTCAGATCATCTTGTCGTCACCGGTGATCTCATGGAAAGCTTGAAGGTCTGGAATTCGACTTGCCGCGTCGGCGGGAACATAAAAGGCCAAGAGATGTGACGCCTCCTTTCTCTTGTCCCTTCTGCTATGTCGTCTATCGGACAATCAGTTGAAAAAGCCTTCACTACTGCTATGACCTCCACAACTAAAGTGGGAGACCTACAACGAGACATACAGGAACCGCGAGCCAACCAGCCTCTGACAACAGATCATGGCGTCAAGGTGGCTGACACGGACAATTGGCGAGCCTGAGTGTATGCATCGAGTTCACGGTGTTGACCTTTCATATCTATCAGGCTCAAGATCACAGATGGCCGTCACAACGGTCCTATGCTCCTTGAGGATCAAATTGGACGAGAGAAGATACACCGCTTTGACCATGAGCGCATCCCAGAGCGTGTAGTGCATGCCCGCGGTGCCGGTGCTCATGGCTATTTCAAAGTATTTAACGATCGCGCTTCGAAATACACATTCGCCCCTGTCCTGACGGATTCCTCGAGGACGACTCCTGTCTTCCTCCGTTTCAGCACTGTACAGGGTTCGCGTGGCAGCGCTGTGCGTATATGCTTCTTTTTCTCGCATATAATCGGTTGAGGTCTCCTTCCGCGTGTAGGACACTGTCCGCGATGCCAGAGGGTTTGCGGTCAAGTTCTATACTGAAGAAGGCAACTGGGACATCGTCGGAAATGACATTCCCGTTTTCTTCATTCAAGACGCCATCAAATTCCCTGACTTTGTTCATGCTGTGAAGCCAGAGCCTCATGATGAAGTGCCTCAAGGCCAGAGCGCACATAACAACTTTTGGGACTTCGTGGGTCTGCAGCCGGAGTGTTCGTCAATTTAGGAAGTTCTAGATACCTGTTGACGCCCTTTTTACAGCGGCACATATGGTGATGTGGGTCATGTCTGATCGCGGTGTTCCACGATCCTTCCGCATGATGCAAGGATTCGGGGTGAACACCTTCACACTGCTGAATTCCTCAGGTGAACGCCACTTTGTCAAGTTTCACTTCATCCCGGAGCTGGGGGTACATAGCCTTGTATGGGATGAAGCCCTCAAGATCAACGGCCAAGATCCCGATTTCCATCGCAAGGACTTGAACGAGGCCATCGAGAGCGGTGCATACCCAAAGTGGAAGTTCGCCATCCAGACAATCCCTGAATCACAAGAGCACAACTTCGACTTTGACATCTTGGACGCTACCAAGATATGGCCGCAGGAACTTGTACCTCTCGAGGAGATTGGCGAACTAGTTCTCAATCGCGTTGTCGACGAGTTTTTCACAGAAACAGAACAAGTCGCATTTTGCACTAGTCACGTCGTTCCAGGAATAGGATTCAGCGACGATCCTCTTCTGCAAGGTCGGAACTTCTCGTACTTTGATACCCAGATCTCTCGTTTGGGCATCAACTGGGAGGAGGTGAATCTGATTCGTTCCCTACCTCTCGCCGAGATTCGGACTTATTGCTACGACTGCAGCTTCCCATTAATAGACCTGTATGTCCTGTGCTCAACCACAATCGCGATGGGAAGAGTAGGCATCGTATTGTTAAGAGCGAAGTCAACTACTGGCCGAACCGCAAGAATATCGGGCGTCCCGTTCCTGCGGAAGAAGGTGGATATATCGAGTAAGTCTACCTCATGTCTCTTTGGCCCTTCAGCTCAATAGTGCCTAGATATGCACAGCATCTCGAAGGTATCAAGAAAAGGGCGCGTGGGGAGAAGTTTCAGGAGCACTTCAACCATGCTCAACTTTTCTACAACTCGCTTGCCACGCATGAAAAGGCCCATCTCGTCAGTGCCATCAGCTTCGAACTTAGTCATTGCGAGGACCCGGTCGTTTACAAGTCCTATATCGACGTTCTGAACAACATTGACTTCGACCTGGCAAAGGCCGTCGCCGTTAAGGTGAATGGTGAGGTGCCGACCAAGCCCGGTCGTGCCAATCATGGGAAGAAGAGCAAGGGCCTTTCGCAACTCGACTTCTTGCCAAAGGAGCCTACCATCGTCTCAAGGCGCATCGCCATCTTGATCACGGACGGGTTCAACGCTGTTGAGATGCAAGCTGTGCGGGCTGCCCTGACGAGCGCAAAGGCCATTTGCTACGTTATCGGCCCTCGTCGGAACCACATTCGTCCAATGTCAGGTCAGGATTTCGGTCCGGGAGTGTTCGCCGATCACTACTTTGACGGCCAGCGTTCGACGCTCTTTGATGCTATCTATATCCCTTCCGGTGAAGAGCATATAAAGACACTTGCCAAGAATGGTCGCGTGGTTCACTGGGTAAGGGAGGCATTTGGTCACTGCAAGGCTATCGCTGCCGTTGGTGAAGGTGCGTCGAGTTCAAGCTGATTTTCACATGGTCGTTGACACTTGAAACATTTCAGGTGTTAATTTCCTCCGTGACGTTGTTAGACTGCCTGGTGTCGACCTCTTCGCCCCTTCGCGCGATCATGGCAATGATGAAGTTGTCGCATCTTACGGCGTCGTAACTACTGGGAAGTATAGCATCTCCTCCGCTGTCACAGACGCGCTCAGGATTGCACCTGACACGAGAGGCTTTGCTTCTAACTTCGCGTTCCAAATTAGTCAGCACAGATGCTATGAGCGAGAACTGGACGGATTGACGGAGCAGGTTGCGTTCTGAGAGTCACGGGTTATCGACGGATTTCTTATCGATAGGTTGGTTGGGGGTGATTGTACGATTGTATCATGTGTGTATCACGTGCACGAAAGAATTGGTCAATATAACTTATTGTAGCTTTCGCGTGAAGTGTCCGCAAGAATAGATTAGGCGCCGCAAGCATAATTATGCAAATTCTAATATCTACCTGAGGATGTATCCTATAACAAATTCTATTCGTATGTCATTCACTATCCCGTTTGTCCCATTCCAAGCATCGCAATCGCATAAATGTTGGCAATTAATACCACCACCCAGATGGTATATGCGAAGGCTGTAAAAATATATCCATTACTGTAGTCGACGACGACATGTTCCTGTGTCGACGAACGCTTGATCGGATCATCACTTTTGCGCTCGACAACGGTAACGCAAGTGTGCACAGGCAAGGGCGGCTGATATGTAGGCAGTGCGTCAGAAACAGATACCGGATGCGTGGAAGGTATCGGTGAGGCGTCCGTGAGTTTTTCTTGGCTCATTTTCGGCGTTCTAACAGACATCACCATTTTTGACGAGGTCAGGTAGATGAGGGGGAATGCGACAAAGGGGAGGACAACAGACAGGGCGACTTGTGATGCAATGAGAAGAGCGTTAATCCCTGACCCCCCAGATGAAATAGCCACGACCATGGAGGGTATCAGACTGATCAGGCGCGTGAGAAGACGGCGGACGAATGGCTATGAAGAACAGGTGTTAAGGCGAAGATGATGGCTTCAAACTGAATGACGCATACGGATACATTCCACGATATAAACCCTTCAGAGACAATTTGACCCGCAAGCGTTGCAGTAACACTGGCAGTTTGGCCTGCACAGACGAGGGCGAGTGCATAGAGTAAGGCTGCGGCTATTTGATGCTCTGAGTCTGGCATTGGCGCAAGACGATCATCTCCGCTTACCTGTACCAAGGCTTTGTAGCATCAATGTATGCATGTTGACCAGTCCGATCGAGGAGTCGTTCCCAGACGAATAAAACATAGTAGCGGCCAAAATCAATATCCTAGACCGTCTGGGTCAAACGATGAAAGCAATGGGAGAGGAGGGGCGCACGCTGAGTTGATTGGCACCGCAAGTCCCAGTAAACTTAGAATTACATCCACAGTTCCGTGGCCAAGATGAGCGCGAATGAATTCTACCGAGTTGTTCTGGCGAAATTCGTGTCGGGAGGTATAGTCTTTCAAGCCATTACGTTCTGATCGTGAAATGTATAAGATACTCTTCCAAAACCGCTGAAGTCTCTGGAGAAATGACACCTCTCTTGTGTCGGAAGGTGTCGGAAGTGGCTGGGGCGGTTGTGAAACACGATCTTGGGTTGCAAGATTCGAGCCCAGAAACAGCGCATGGGGCATGACCGTAGCACCAAGAATTCCGATAGCTATATTACTTTGTTGGAAATTTTGACATATATCAATTGTGGGTCATACCTGTGTAAACTGCGTTAGGCTGTGCCTGAAGAAGACCAGCCGACGGCACAAAGCCCAAAAATACTTGTTGCCAGTCTGGGTGAACCCTGACGAGTAGCAAGATGAAACATACAAAGACCATTGCAACCTGAATTTTGAATTAGCAACTGGACGTCGTCTGATAATGTTAGCACAAACCAATAGTATGATCACCAGCTCGAATAATCGCACCGGACGTCCTGTTCGTGAGGGGTCGCCTATGATGAGGAAGATGAAAACGTCGACACCAGTAAGAAGTACAGCAGACCACAGGGGGAGTTTTGGAAAAAGTAGGCAAAGACCGATTGCTGACCCAAGTAATTCTGCAAGGTCCGTGCTGATGATGGCTATTTCGCATAGTGCATAGAGAGGATACAGCACAAGTCGCCGGACCAACCGTGGGTGTCTTGGATGATCATGAAGAAGTAGTCTACAATGGTGAGCCAAATCTGGTAACATCGTATAAGAAGGCACAGTGATGAGGATGGCGAAAGTATTTACCCAGACCAGTGACGCAGCCGAGTCTAGCTGCCAACACCTGTTGATCACGTTAATAGTTGCATAAATAGCGCTAGATATATTGATGACATGCCTGCAGAACAATTGCAATAATTCCGGCTAGAAAAATGACGAATAGCATAGGTCGATAGCCAAAGCTAGCGCCAGCTTGAATGTCGACACTCCAATTACCGCTTGATGAATATCAGATAACGTATACGTTCAGATCACAGTAGTCATATAGCGTACGGATCGAAATAGCCTACGGCGCATATGACACCGACGCCTACATGTTTTTTGAAGTGGTGCAGCACAGTCTTCGACGCAGAAGCGACTACAGATATCTGGCTACGCGCTGGAGGTTGCGAAGTCGGTGAGGAGGAGTTGTCATGCGAGGAGGGCACGGGTGAAAGCATCCCAAAGCTGCCTCTAGCTACCTGGAAGATACCTGGGAGAAGATGACTGGTATAACATGATCTCGACACGATTAAAAGGACCAATGATAATGTCTTCCTTTAGATGTGGTGTGAACTGACCTGCTTGTTTTTGGAGATTCGACCCTTTACCCGGGTCTCAGAGTCCCAATCCATACTGGCGGTTCTTACCGGGTTTCATTTCTCACGCAACGTATACGTTACCAACATCAAGCGATACGCCCCTGGCCCGCCGGGACTGTCAGTCCTGAACGAGATCGAAGTTCTTTCTATCCGCATTCACAATTCGGCCGTGATGGACTTCAACGATCTTCATCCTTCTGACGATTACAGTCACAGGTTTTTTATCTGGCATGAATGGATCCAGGTATTCAATTCAAACGCCACAAGGGCGTCAGTCAGCTTCCCATGCTCACGAGTGAACAAATCAGGCGAACGGTCCTCTCACATCGGACAACGTTTTTGATTACTTTGCTACCTCAATGTTCTATGACAAGCAGAGCAACAATCAGGTCTTGCGCATGCAAACTATGCACACAGGCGTGCCCATCGTAAACGAATCAGAAGAACTCAAGTGAGTTCCATTGAAATTCCGAGCTCCCTTGACGTATTTCGTCGCGTGATATAGACGCTTCACCGGCATCGAGTTTGCCCTTGTGCATGCGCAACCACCTTCGTTATTTATTATTCATAAAAGAGAACGTTTATCCCCTGAGGAAGGTACGTTAGTCAGAAGCCGCTCAGTATGTCCCAAATTTGAGCATGGAACTAGTCCGTCCTCTTGCTGCTTATTTTATCATGAACAACCGGATATATCGTTCACCAGACGTCTACGGCGTTCTCTCCAATCGTCTGGTAGATTCCCACTCCTACCATGTATTCATTTCGACTTATTTGCTTGTAGCTTACTTCTCTATACGCTTTGCAGTCCTCTTTAGATATACTGCGCATCAACCGACCTGACTACACCCCTCGCACGGGATTTATCTGGCCAATCACGGACCAGACTATGTCTGATGATACTAGCAAGAAATGGGGTGCAGAAGATACCTCAACTGCTGCGGGCGAAACAGAGATTTCTACGTCCCAGCCGGAAAGTCAGAAACCCGCTTCAACGGCCAGTGGACCAAAAAAGCAACAGAACAACATGTTAATGTATAACGCAATGAGGTCTACTGCGTTTCACTCAAAAATTTCCTTCTCTTCCTCTGCTTCTGCCAGAGATGGAGAGAGTGTCCCCCCCGAGTCCCTAGGGATACGCTCCTCGGCTACACCTGCACCTGCGGTGACCAGAGCGGCAACCCCAGCCAGCGGTCCCACACCTCAAGACGCATTTCCAACGAAGAGTGCTCCTGGTGCGGGTAAAAAGAAGAAAAAGCGTACGTGTTGGTCAAATCGGTCCAGTTGCTCGCGCGTTTATAAGCGGATGTTGTGTGATCATTTAGGTACCCTGTTGGCTCCCGCAGTAAATTAAAGGTGTTCAACCTCTACAAACTCCGTCATAGCCCTGCCTCTACACCTAGGCAATGACTTTTTGTTGTATATAACGACGTCAAATGTCATCCATATCGCGAGCCTGTGGGCCTCATTACCACCCTGACGTCATCTTGTGCTGTTATACCATGGAATCTTTATTGCCAGCGCAAGAATAGGACAGATTGGGACCTGGAGCTACAACCGGCGTCGCAGTTATTTGGGTGGGAGTTGTGAAATCCTACTATCTTTAATTACCACTGTGAACCCGACATCGCGCCATTACACGTGAAACTGTTTCAAGCAGTTCACCGAGTAGCAACACCTGTCAGCCTGTCAGTCAACCATCCCAGTGGAGTCTGCAGAGATCCGCTTCGCGCCCCTCCGACTCCGCTGCCTAGAGCTAAAGGATTTGCTGATGCAAACGAGTTCTTTCTGGCCTTCGACGCTAGTTTCACTATCAAGAATTGCGTCAATATCAGAAAAGACGGATCATCCTGTACACGACCCATTCCAAATATGAACGGAAAGAATATGAATACATAATCCGACAATAGTGACGGATGAGGAGACCTGGAAAAAGATACGGACCTGAATTACTGATTTCATCACCATTGGTCTCCAAGACAAGGCCGCCTTGTATGATTTCCGCAAGGATGTGATGGGCCTGAGCACCAGCAATCATTGGTCGTCGGAGGACATTCGTATAAAATCCGTGTAACTCACCTCGTCGAAATGGAACACTAGGTCCAGTTCACAAACATTCTCAAAGTGCCGGTCGAGTGCTTCCACGAAAACCTAGAATAGTTCGTTACAATGTGGGCACGACTACAAGAGCAACATTCACTCACTTGTATCAAGTCCAGGATGCCCAGTTCGCTTTCTGCACCATCGACGACAAATACAAAGTATAGGGTCGCGTAATTTCGGTATACGACGCGCCATCTCTCGTCCGAGTCATCCTTGGGGCCGATAAACGCCTCAAGTTCCGGTGCATCTAGAAAGTTGCAGAGTCCCGCAGGTCGGATGGATATGAGAGAAAATATCTTTTGAATCAACGTCTGAGAAGATTGGTGGAGAGGCGTGTAAAACTTGGTCAGCCTTGGAATGCCGGATGTGTTGACTGCAGGGCATGTCAGGGCAAAGTGACGCAACTAGAGATAAGTACTCTGACATATGAGCACGGCATGGATCATCGTAACTCTTGCGTAGGTTCTCTGAGTATAGCGCGAAAGCAGCGACTGTTGGCTTTACTGATAGTCGACAAAGTTCGGTTCATTTACTATGGGAGTTCTAGATAAGATTAGATGTAACAATAACTGTCCGACTCGATCGGCAGCAATATTTACTTACACATGTAGTCACGAAGTACTAGGTGCTCACTACACAATACTGATTCACACAAAGTACACGATGAATAGTCTAACAGGTACTCATTACCTTCCAACCGCTATATCACCGCGTTAGACACCATTGACATATGTTCCCGACAGACCATGTATTGGTGGCGCAATCATGAATCATCCCTTGGGAAAGTCCACCCTGGCTGCAAGCGACTCGCAAGGTTTCCCACAGGTCCAGAAAGCCCCGCTTGGCCTTTGAAACTTTCCAGGAAATTCTTGATAAGGTTGTAGTCCATCGGCACCTCCTCTCCATCAGAGTCAAGTTCCTCCATATCTCCGCCTCCGTGTTCGAGCATGGCTTTGAGCTCAACCTCCATTTGAGCTTCAATATCTGGGTCCTCTTCACTGTCTTCTTCTATGGATGTCGATTTAGATTTGCCTTTGCCGGTGACTGCAGGGTCACCTGTGGGGACAGCTGGAGCCTTCCCCTTCCCCTTCACCGTCTGGCGAGACCGGTTGAGTTCGGCATCCATAGCTTGCATGACAGCTTCAAAGGAGTCCAAATTCGGATTGACATTTGGCCTCGGACCAGGGGCAGGTCGTCGGCCCTGTGCTTCCAAAGACTGCGTCGCGGGAGAATGAAATTTATTATTTGATGATATTGACGAGGTTGATGTTGTGTTCTCCGCCATGACGCTAGTGGGAACGAAGGCTATAAAACTGGACGTCAGCAAGATCTTACGCAGATCAATTTGTATTTACCTCCTCGTCCTTTCCTATCCTTAATGATGTCCCCCCACTGTTGATCAGATATACCCAAAGCTTGCCTTGAGAACTCCAGGAACTCTGCTTCCTCCTCATCCATGTCAACTTCAATATCGCCAACCACCTGCGGGCGGTCCTCTTCTGACTCGACATCTTCCTCATCTCCACCAGCGAGTGGATCGGAGCCAGATGATCATCATCAGAGTCTACACCCTCGTACCTGTCGCGCGACAGAATGGGTGGTCGTATAGATCGAGTACGAGCTGGTGATGTAACTTCTAAAGCGGGCTCGGTGGTCGAAGACTGTGCTATCGCTGGATCGGTCATATCGACTGTGTCAGTCTCGATAGTAACTTTGGAAACACGTTGAGTGTTGAACGAAGCGGGCATCTGCCCGTATTCGGCCTCCAAGAGGGCAGGCACAAGCTTCGCCATCGCTTCTTGGCGGGTAGCATTCGTCAGTAACTGGCTCGTCGTCATCTTCATCGTCGGAGTCCGAGAATTTCTCATCACTAAAATTCTCTTCATCCTCTTCATCCTCTTCGCCTGTGTCGTCCTCGTCGTCCGAGAAAGCTTCGCTAGAAGCAAAAGAGTTAGTCTCCTGAAAGGATTTAGTGTGTGGATGCTTACTCTTCAAACCTAGCACCCTCTACGTAACCCTCTCCTTCAACAAACTTCTGCACCTTGGCTGCAAGGTCATGCAGCTTGGTTGCTTGTTCTTTGGCCACCATTTCCTCTGCAGAATCACCTGCAGAATCAACATCCATCGCTTGAGATTGCGGCTGGGAACGGGTCCGCTCCAGCATGTCATCAAAGTTGGCTGCATCTACGTTCATCCAGTCATCCGAGTCTTCAGGCTCATCAGGCATCTCGGTAAGGTATTCAGGGGCGCTTGACGATGCCGAATTGAACAGCGTTGCGAATGAAGGACGAGTAGCATCGCTGGTACCACGTCAGCATCAGGGGATGGACAATAAAATTCCATAACTTACTCCTCTTGGCGAACCTGAATGAACGCATCAGCGGCCTTGTCCTCCAGTTCATTCCAAAGCTGCGATCCTTCGACTTCACCCCGGAAGTAGCCGGTTGACACTAGATTCGTGAGGTATGCTTTGTAGTCGGATGATCGACGAAGTGCTTCTTTACGGGCTTCCGCCTAAGGTCACGAGGTTAGTATAATGACGAAAGACTAAGATAGGCATACATACCGACGACTTGACTGCGTCAGTAGTCTTACTTGCGATGTCAGTACGACTCTTCGACTCTTGGTAGATCATTTCGAAACCGCAGGCCTGTTTATTTGTCAACGGACATCTTCCATAATGGCGATTTTGTTTACATACCAGCTTCATACCTATGTCTCTCCAGCGCCAGGCGTCGCTACCCTCGCGCTCCTTAAAATAACCGAATATTTTTGGAGGGAAGAATTTTTGCCCAACAAGTTGTGCATATGCTGGTTTTGTCATTTTGATCGTGGTAAGTACGGCAGAGTGAGGAGGGAACCGCGTCATGCGATGTGCAGCCTACAAAAGAATCATCAGAAACGATTTAGTAACAAGTTAGATATGCTGACTCGTAGTTGGATGGCATCACGAGTGTAGAATGTTTCGACAGGCTTTTGCACCAACGAAGGGTCAACAGATAAGGCGCGAGCGATGTCGAGCGGAAGGTAGGCTTTGGCGGTGTGTACATGGCTTTTTGCTGCTGCAGGATAACTTTCCTGAAGATCAATAATTCATAACGCACAACCAAAACATTTACATACCCTGAGATACGCTGCCATACGGTATTCTCAATTGTACGGGGTGCACGCGTATCGACAGTTACATCGCGGACCAGCTTCAGTGCGTCATCGATGGCCAAGTATTCTTCGAGATCATCACCAACAATGTCATCTTCGTCATCACTACCTTTGTACCCAGGGAATCTGCGTCTTCGTTTTGGTTTACTTGGAGGAGACGTATGTTTTAGAGGTATGAGATGCAGCATTCCACTGTGTATCCAGACCTGCAATGTAAGAGCACAAGGGACAATTCAGCAAAAAATCTTACCATCTAAAGCACGGGAAGAGGGCGCACCCTATTCTCGGAGTTGGACGGTTTGACCCATGAAGGCAGGGCTTCGGCTGCCTCGATGAGGAGGAACTCCCCATCAGAGTCCATTACGCTACGCGCTGTTAGTCCCTAGATAAGATTGCGAGATCCCGAAATCTGACCTAATAGCAAAATCCCACTTCTTGCTGATCTCCCTTAGGAGCCAGACGGCGCACCATTCGTCATCGATGGAGTCCCCGACGCGCATACGCCCCTCGAGCATCCACTTGTTATCATTGGCTGTAGCAGAATCGAGGTCTTTCACGACTTTTACTTCGAAGGAGTCTCTGTGCCAGAGAAAGTATGGCAAAAGCTCGGAGACATATGCTTGTACGCATGCTGCGAGTGTCGTTGCAGATGATTTTTCTGCCAGTGCTGGAGGAGGATAGAGGGTGTACTGAATTGTGTCCTCCGAGATCGAAGGCGGGCGATTGAAAATGTCCATTGCCATTATAGATTATTCAAAGACTCTTGCTTAGGATTTATTAGAATTCTTGACCAGGGGAGACTGAAGATCGTCAGGACTGTGTTTGTCAGCGAGGGGGTAACGACCCTCGGCCTCATTTCCTTTCCTGGTCCACCGAAGAGCACTAATGGCGTCGACCACGTCCTTCAAGGACAGAAATCTCATCGCTGTCATAGGAGATGAGGTGCGTTCGCCTGACCTGCTTGTCCCCAATTCCGCTCAGGAATCGATTCGCGACGACAGGACTCAATAACAGGTCTACTTCTTGCAGGCGTCGGCCATATCAACGAGCATCAGAGGAAGAACTTCCTCGTCGTCGACTCTAGTAAGGTCTTTGGCATATTCCACGTTATTGCGCGCTCACGGATATCTAGAAACACAAATATCATCGATCGAAGCTGCGTTCCAGGAGTTCACCCAACGGAAGGACATCGCAATCGTCCTCATTAACCAGCATGTGAGCTCAAACCTCCCACTGACTGTATTTTAATATGACGTGTGCCTTTAGATAGCAGAGAAGATACGACCGACGGTAGACCGCTATCAGGAAGCATTCCCTACGTTGCTCGAGATACCCTCCAAGGACCATCCATATGGTGAGCATCGGACACGCCTACATTCTCCAGGAAATTCGACGCTAAAACTGCAATTCCAGACCCTTCGAAAGATTCGGTATTGAAACGCGTTCAGAAGCTTTTCGGCGAGTAGACTGCATATCCTTTGTTACATCACTCGTATTGCTAGGGGTTCGTGCATAACCGCAGTTGAACGTCCCTTTGTACCATATAATACAGATGTGCATGGCAAGCAGTAGTCTACTATGCCTAGATAATGGATAGGCCTCCCATACCTTCGAATTAGGTATCGGGGTGGCAAGTTCAGTGTTTTATACCGAAGTGAACCGCATAATGGGCTCATTTTCCCGGACACCTGGTGCTCGTTCAACGAACACCCTCACTGGATGCCGGGTTTCTGAGTCTAAGGTTGAAACTTTGACATCAGTAGAAGATAATAGGATCCAACAAGTGGCGTACTTGGAATGTCAATCAGGAGATACCGGAAGACGAAATAACCCTCGTCGTTCTGCGATTCACATGAGGGTTGGTGAAATATTCTTTGGATAATTACATACCCGGACGAGATCAGCATGGACTTCTCCCTCTGTCCACAAAACGCCGAAGTCATTTACACCCTCAACTGCACTTCTCCGTCCCTTCAACCCTGAGAACAACCCAGCAAGGCTCCACAAGCCCTTCTCCTGATCTCTTTCTGTCTCTTGGTTTTCCTTGGCCGACAGGTGCGGGTAAGGTGCAGGCGATGGAGTGACATCGCCACTCAAGTATTTAAATGCACGTTTTCCAGATTCCCCAATCAACTCCAGCCTCTCCTTCGCGTACGCTATAGCTTCGTCTAGAGTCAGGGAGCTCAGAGACTCGATCAATGAAGGACCCGCTTCATCATCAGCTTGATGAGCCGATTTAGCTGGGGATGACCCTTGTACGTAGAAGTTGAGGAGCATATGTTCTCGCCCTGATGCGTCTACTGCAACCTGAGATGACACGTGCCTATGCCTATGCCTCGGCCGTGTGGAAGAGGGTGGGTTATTGTGGAATATTAGAGGTGCTCGCAGGTATTTTGCAACCTGTATCGATGAGTACAAAAACCGGACTCGCAATCTATATGATGACATACCCGAGGAGACGCATCGATGCGTTTGCAAGCATCATTGAAAAGGACGGTAGGCGAGTTCTTTGAGAACAACTCCGATGTAAGGGCATATATGAGCACAGCAGAAAGGCCGGCACCCAAAAGAATGACAGCAAGGTTCGAAGTGCGCTGAGTTGTTCGAATCACTAATGAATACAGTCCCTCAATATGAGAAGATGACTCTAAGAAAATGTTGCGTACCCTTCCCACCCGTGCTCAGCTCGGACCACTGTTTCACTTTCTTTCCTTGCTTGAGGGAGGCTTGAGATAATCCAAGCGTAAACGGTCCTACCGAGTCCTCTCGGTTCAAACGCGATGCGCGCTGTTTCTGGTCAAGTGCAGAAGAAAGTAATGAAGAAGATGCAGCGTCTTGGTGAGTAACGAATGTCCTGCGACAGACGCCCAATGCAGAGCTACGGTGACGGTGACTATGTGAGAATGAGAAGATGTAGGTCGATGGCCGCGAACGTGTGCAAAGCATATTGGCCTGACGTGCGAGCCTGGCCATGGAGGTCATGGTAAGGCTGTTGTGACTGCATCCGAAGCACCCTACCCAAATATGGCCAGCGATCGGTGACTGGTAAATTTGGCGGGTGAGTTGGCTGAGTCACTCCTTGATCCGTATGTTGCTGACGGGTGTCCGAGATAAAATTAAAATAAACTCGGAAGACAGAAGGTATCATTCGTACAGAACTCCATTAAAACACTAATACAACGCGCTATACTTATTACTCCAAGTGTTACTCAGTCAATAACTTATGATCGCTCTCCCCGGAGACGCCTAGCAAGCGCAAGGTCTTTAGGTTGGATAGTGACACGCTTGGCGTGGATAGCGGCGAGATTGGTATCTTCGAACAACGAGACGAGGTAAGCCTCAGCGGCTTCTTGAAGTGCCATGACGGCAGAGGATTGGAAGCGGAGGTCGGTCTAGATGGCTATGTCAACATATATAACGGTGTAGAAAGAGCGTCGTGCCGACCTTGAAATCCTGTGCAATCTCACGTACGAGACGTTGGAAGGGGAGCTTGCGGATAAGGAGCTCCGTGGACTTCTGGTAGCGACGGATTTCACGCAGGGCAACGGTACCAGGGCGGAAGCGATGAGGCTTCTTGACCCCTCCTGCGGGGACCTGCCAATGGATCGAACCGGTCAGTTAGGAATGGTGGAAAGGGGGAGACAGTCGACTCACAGCGGCGGTCTTGCGAGCTGCTTTGGATGCGAGCTGTTTACGGGGGGCTTTGCCTGTCCAACACGTTTAAGATGACGTATGGAGTACGATAACATAACATATGCTTACCTCCAGTGGACTTGCGGGCGGTCTGCTTGGTACGAGCCATTTGGAAAGTAAGTGAGGTTTGACAGGGAAGATGGGTGTTGTCCGTAAGTCCAGAAACTAAACGCGATCCCTACTTATATGTGTGCGCATAGATTGGCACGTGCTGGATCAATCAACAATGATTATGAGGATATTTTTAGCCATCTAGCGCGTCGCGTCCACCACGTGACTTTTGTGGATCATGACATCTATTAATGGCACATCATTTCGAGGCGGGACCGCGGGGAAGACCAGGATGAGCACAATGAGATTTGAATGACAATTAACGTCAAAAATGAACTACCAAGGTGCAAATAATTATAATCACATCAATCGTACAGAAGATACAATGACCATGGCGTCCAACGTGACATTAGATACCACCGCTGACTGTGTTCTCGCAGCGCGTCGCTAAGCAAACGGAATGCAAAGTCGGTGTGTCCAACCCTTTCAAAGAAATCACGTACCTGACCCCTCCCTTCACGAGACAATATATCACACCCTGTCTGCCCTTGCACTTGATACTCTTACTGGGACTTCCTCTTCTTTGGTAGGCTGTCGTCGTACCCATTTGCGGGGCGCTTCCCAGCTCGACTGACTTCTGCCACCCCAAAAGTAACGAGCTTTTCGGCATGGTTTCCGGCTCTTCGCGGCAGTCTCCAGAACTGCACTGCAGCGCTGATTGTGTGAGCAGCTTCTAGCGTATGTGTTTCAAAATAAGGCAATTATTGGCGGTGTACTCGTATCGGGCTTTCTGTCATATGCCGGGCTGTGAGGGGTGGCCGCCGGAACCGTCTCGGCAGGATCAGAGTTGTTCGTGGGAGGTGCTCGCCCATCGGATGGGCTCGCGGTGAGGGCAAGCAGGATGTGGGCGCCGGATCCTGAGGCTCTGAATCAGTGAGGGAGGGGCCTTATCCAGCCTGGCAGTTGTCGAAGTTATATTTGCTGCCGATAGGGCACTACGTCACAGTTGAAGGACCTACGTACTTCGCTGTTTGGTCCAAAATTGTACATAAACTCATTTTGATCATCCGATACAAAATTTCCCATTAGCCGACTTGAACGACTGACCTCGTCATTACTAGTGACGCGCTCTACCACTGAGCTAAACGGGATGCATTTTCGCGTCCAAGTATCATCCTTATAGCTGTATGCCTTTGGCCCGAGGGTATCAACTACACTAGCGGTGTTGTAGGCTACTTCCCCAGTGTTCGCACTCGTTCTGCGACAGTCTTCTTCAACTGTGCAAGAAGGTGTAAACCAGATAATCAAATACACGGCATAAACTTACCGGAGGGCTAATTCCATTACCCTCGAAATATGCCAAGACAAATTCCTCTGCCACCCAATCATTTTCGACTGAACCCATATCTCTGAAAATCAGACTTCGTGGACGAGATGGGCTACGTGATGGCGCGACGAGTACTACGTCAAGCGCTGTGCCCTTTGACAGTGCCGTAGTCGGGAAAAGTGATTTCAATTCCCTCAGGGGGGACTGGGCTGCGGCCTCTTCTGCTGGTGTGATCGTAGCACGTGCATGTGCAAGCTGCATGCGCGCAGTGAGGGCACGCATGAAGCCATCACGGAGATGTGAGTAAGATGTGCTGCGAGTGGGTACTGAGCAGGGTGAGGTCCAACGCCAGGACGGAAGGCGTTCGTGGAGACTTGCCTATTCGGAGGACACATGCGGTATTGCGGACGATGTGCTCGATTTTTTCATCCGGGGTTGCGGTCACGGGAATCTATCGAGTTGGAATGTACGTCAGAATAAAAGAAGACGAAGGAGCGGTGGTACATTCAAGTTTGGATTGGCAAGATCGGCATAGAAGCCAACGGAGTAAACCTTTATCCCAAGGAATGATACGGTCCTCACGCCAACGCCAACGAGTGAGAATTGAGGCAAGGGGAACTTTGATGGTATGCGAAGCGTTTTAGGGAAAGCAATTGATGTTGCGGGATCAGCTGTGCGGAGTTTTGAGTTGGTGGACTGACCCAGTCGTGCGGTGAAACGTACTCTCAAATTCGGAGTCGGGTAGAGATGGCTCGGCATCGAGATGGATGGTCGCGGTACTCTGTACTGCATAAGCAGCTGAAAATACGGAAACAGCACCCCATAGTAACGGTTTTATGCATGACCTAGACTGCTTGAGAGTTCTGGTTCTCCCAATTGTATATGAGCGAGACCATGATGCACTGAAAAGCGCGAGCGGTCGTAAAAACTGAGACATAGGAAGTTAAGGTTGTAAGCTGCAGTGCGGACCACGTGGGAGTATTATGAAGGCGTTTACGGAGACTGTGCCATTGGGGGGACGACGCAATCCTCCTAATCCGCAGATATAGCTAAGACGACGCGCGTCAGCTTGGAATTTCATTCCTTTATAAAACACGTACGTTCAAATTCCGTTCTCTTCAGTTCTCTCTCAACCATTCAAATCGTCTGACCGTGAACTGACCTGATATCGCCCATTTGCTATCATATATAACTGCTTTCTACATCATCGTCTCCTTTCATGTCACTTGATATCAATAGTCTCATCTCTGAGTTTGTAGAGGAGTTTACTTCAGGTGGCTTTTCCGTCTTCATGGACGAAGAAGATACGTCCGTGGACTTCCTCGAGTCTCCCTCCGATGACATTGCCGCGGCTCTCGTCTCTGATCGCTCTGCATATGAGAAGGAAAAGGCCACTCTGCAGACCTATCTTGATTCCCTCCCTTACGAGTGCGAGTCCATCGATGTCATGCAAGCCAAGCTTGAGCACATAGTTGGCAAGTTGATAATCTGCGCCGAATCCAAGAATTGGTTGGTCCTCACTACTTGGGATGCGATCCTGCAGTGGTATGTCATTGCCGCGCATGTAAACTCCAAGTAACTCACCCCTGCATACAGCTGGCTGCAGATGCGCTATCCCATGATGACCTCCATCCGCGCCAAACTAGTCCGCTTTTATTACGAACTATGCCTTCTGCCTGGCATAGAAGTGCGCATCATTCGTAGCTGGGCAGATATGTTGTACCGCCTCTTGGGATCCAAGACAGTTAAGCGCAAGCTTGAGGCCACGGACCTCCAACTCCCCTGGAAACCTTTATGGGATGTTTTGTACAAGGAATTATTCCCCAAGAACCGCCTTGCGGAATTTCAGTAAGTGTACTTCCACAGTCATGCATATAGCCGGTTTTTGATGCAGAGTGAACAGGGGCAATCGTAACCTGAACAATATCTTGTTGTATGTTGCGGAGAGCTGTAAGCGCTATTTCCCTGCCAGTGATATCTCCGGTATGCTCGAGACGTTCTTACCCATCCTCACGCCCGATGTAAGCCACAGATTTCTTATCATCTATAAATTTCCACTTAGATTGATTTCACTCAGACTACATTGACAATGATACCTGTGCTTACTTCGTTCCTTCCGCCAACCCACACACATATCTACCTTCCTGTTATATTCAGGATTTGGGAAGCTTTCAATTCACACTCTATGGACGATAGGTTTCTTGAAATGGCTGGAATCCTCGCGGAGGAACATGTCACTGGTAAGGAAGGACTTGCGGGAGAGGAAGGGGGTGCCGCACGGAAAGATATCGGCATCTGGACCCAGGAAGAGTGGTTGATGCTTGTTAGTAAAGGGATCGAGTCGCTGTGTATGTCATTTAGTACACCTGGTCAAAAATCGCTAACTTCTTGTTTCAACAGATGTCCCTGTGGGCAATTCGAATGTGAGCCATCTCTCTTTCTCTCTTAGCACAACAATCCTCAACTCAATTTTAGCAGAATCTACCGCCCACATCTGTTCAGGCTGATGCCAGCGCGGCACGCCAAGGCTCCAAAGTCAAGAAAACCATCAGTAGAATTAGTTGGTATCTTCATATCTTCTCCGTCATACAAGAACTTACTTGATTCCTGCAGGTTCCTTAGCTAAACTGTTTGTGTACTCAATGGCCCTCGATGGTCCAATACGCGGAGATTCCGCATCAACTCCTGGATCCCCTAATAGCCCACAGATGGGATACTTGGCCGGTTCGAAGGCGCTTGACTCGTTAGACAAACTGATTACAAGCACAGAGTCCTTCTTTCATCCATCAAACTCTGGTCACTGGACGTTTACGGTACGTTTTGCGCTGAAACGGATTGTCATGTGCCAATATTCCCTCTAGCTCACGAATCTCCTGCAACGTCTCACCGTCGAGTTTGCCGACAGATGGCTTGAAGAGCAGCAGCCTTCATGCAAAACTCCCTTAGTATGTATGTCACCAGAGCTCGATGCAGTGTACTTATGTGCATTATTTAGGCACATCGTCTCACCCCTTCTCTTCGCCGAGCGTTCGTCAATGTTTTGCGCACGCCCGCCCTTCTTGCCATGTTTTCCAAGGATTCATTTTCGATTAGCATGGCACAAGGTGCACTGCGCATTATGGCATTGCTTGAGCCGACCCTCATTATGCCTGAGCTCCTCGAGCGTGCCTACGGTGGTCTGGAAGTGGTAAATGAGACTCATCGCACTACCGCAGTGTTGAAGATGCTTTCCGGCATTTCACTTCCGCTTGTCTCGGAGATCATATGGAGGCCTGGACAAAAGCACCTACTTCCTCTTCTAGAACTTTGCCTTCCTGGCATTGATCTGGTAAGATCTCTTACATCGTCATGGCGTACGCTTCTTACTTATCAACACGATGCGTAGAATGACCCTAATAAGACTGTATGTGCTACCTTATTCATCGTCAGCGCCATACAGCATGTCAAGGTTGGAGATCTCTCCATGCATCATTCTGGTTTCGCTTTGTCTGGGGATGCGCCAGGCGAAGACCTCATGGAGGTTGATACCGGGGACGCCCATATCCCTGAAGGTGTCGAAATGAGCCCATTCGTTTCACTGGGCAGGCAAGAGGAGAGAACTCTTGTCCGGGAGAGCACGGCAGGTTTTGCAGGTGTGTTCGTTCCCCTATGAGTCAAGGAAAGCTACTTACTTCCCAGCAGACTGGGTAACATCTCTCTTCCGCCGAGTTCTAGCTCTATACGAGAATCTTCCTGAGGAAGGTGGGAAGAAGAAGACTACCGGCGGAAAATCGGAAGAGACGGTTCTGAAATCGATTAAGAGCATGCTCGACGTGGTCACCTTGCACCTCTCAGACCAGCTATTTGATCTCGTCTTGAATCTCGTCTTCGATTACGCTGCGACAAATGCGAAGTCCAACGCCATCCGAGCGTTCGGGCAGCTCATAGCATGCCTAGCACGCGCACAACCTCAGAAGACATTGGATAGGTTTCTGCCGTCGTGTATCTCACGCATACAAGATGAACTCAAGTATGGAGCTTCGAGCGTTAGAACGACATCGACACATGATCTTGTTCCATCTGACACAACATTGCACTGGAGTAAGGAGCTTGTCCTTTGTCTGGCATCGAACTGATCGTCTCCTACAGACATGTCTATATTGCGTGGATGTCTTGCGTATGGAGCACATGGTGTGAGTGTCACCTAGTTCCATAGCAATTTTAATTTTTGAATGCGTTGTCAATTTCAGCTCCTTAAGCATAAAGAAGATATCATCGACCTTTTATCCTTATTGTTGAATAAGACAAAGAGTGAGCGTGGCTACACAGGCACTGCCGCGATTGTCGCGAGGGTGATGCATGCACTGTCTGGTGTCTACCCCTCCGACAACCGCTTCGTGAACGATGACCTATGGAGTCAGCCTGGTAGGTCATGTTCACACCACCCCGTTTACGCAGCTAATTATTACTCAGAGTTCAGCGAGTCACACAACACCAAATGGGGTCGACTGTATGAAGCAAAGGATGTGAAGGTGGAATGGCACGGTGGGCACGATACCAATCCTCTCGACGCAACTACTAACCATGTGGCATCAAGTTCCAAGCTCCGAGGAAGTGCAATTCATTCTGGACATTTTGGATCGTGTAGCAGCTCCTGCACTCGATAAGATAGAAGCCTTAGCACGATCTACTGAGCATTGGGACGAAGTCGTCAGGAATGACTTCTGCCGGCAAGTTACAAAACAGCGAAGACAGCAATCCATTGACATAGTTCTCACAGGTACCTCCTGTTCGTGAGGTCTGTCTGGAGCGGCCTACCGTCATTCCTGAAAGAAGGACCCAAAGATGTAGTGCACCCATGCTTCGATCCAGAAGTAGAACTCGAAGGACTTCTTGTTGATCACCTTGACGTCAAAGCTGGATTTGTTCTCACTGATCCTAATGATCCTCGCTATCAACAAGCCTTCAAGCACCGCATCCGTTTCGGCAATGTTGCGCACTTGGCTGCGGTCGCCTTGCGCCAAATCCACGGAGGTGAAGATCATTTAGATGCTGTTGTCGCCGTCGTGAAGGCCATCGACACTTACTTCCTTGATTACGGGATGAGTCGACAAGATTTTATCACCTTGCAAAAGAACTTTGCTCAATCGAGAGAGTAAGTCGTGCAAACACAACATATTTTCTTGTCTGACGTAAACAGGGTAAACCGAATGTCGCCAAGGCAAAAAGAGAACTCGCGGATTGCGTGGGTAAAAAGAGCACAAGTATACCATTGCGGCCGACTCTATATCCACGCTTTGTATCGTCGAAGATCGTCCCTGGACGACACATTGCTGAAGGAAGACCTCGCGGAGCTCTGTTTGTCACCATACACGCGAGTGCGACGGTGAGTTGCTTGATGGCGTTACTTTTTCCCTGTAACAATCAAATATTTCAGCCTCGCTCAGAGTGTGCTGCACAGCACATGCGGTGTGAGTACATTTGTAATCTGTTTTGACCGTATTGTGACCTCAGTTTAGTCCTACGTGCGAGCGACAAGATACATAATGCCATCCATTTTCAATGCTCTGTCAAAAGGCAATGATCCAGATAGAATTAAGGGCGCCTTGTATGTCCTTGGTCACAAAGGCACTGGTATGTGGGTTTACCGCGTCTGTCAGCGTGATCTGATTTGATATCCCCACAAGCCGCGTTGACCATGTCTGGTATGTCTGAGCATTATAATGTGTAATTGACTCTAATCGCGCGCAGAGCCAACATTGCGACGGCAATACCTTGTTGCTCTGCTAGAAAGCCAACACGAGGAAAAAGTGAGCACAAGTCGCAATTCATAGCTCTGAACCCAGTCTGATATCATAACAGCCCTCGATACAGAAGCTCGTTACCACTTTCTCTACAGATTGTTTAATACATCTCAGTGAAGAAGTAATAAGGACTTCTGCATACACAGCCAGTACTCCTGGGGTTCAAGCCTCTATTCGCACTCTTGAAGCGGAGTTCTCGGCTGCTGTAGTAGAAAAAAGCCTGATGGCAGCGGCGGTCGAGTCTGTTGCTAAACGCGCAAGGAGATGCTTGGAAGAGACCGATAAGACTGTGTGTATGGCGTCGTCGATGCGTATATTGATGTTAATATTTGTCACAGGTTCACTCTATTCTTGAGATTGCCTCTCGGCCTACAACCCATGTATGTTGTCTTCTATTCTCTCGCAGTACAACTAAACAAGGCTTTAGTGGAGATACGTGCACATGGCCATAAAGTTCTTGATGGGCTTTCTCAGACGCGATGCAGTGGCTCCTCCGGAGTTGGTTCGTTTCTTCATGGAACAAACACTTAGCCCGCAAACAGGAATAAGGACTAGTGCTGAGCAGTATGATCCTTCTAGTCAAACATGCACCGCGTCGATTGATTTCTTACTTGTCTCTTTTGCAGGGCAATCGTGAAGACTGCCGTTCTCATGAAGATACGAGCGTACGCCAAAACTGATGACGAGCTCTGGCTCTGCACGTGGCAGAGTCCCTTTGCGAGGACTATTTCCATCAACAACCCGCCTGCTTTCCTTGCCCAACTAGACCAGCCCGTTAATGAAGTAAAGTAAGTCGGGTCTTCAATCGTTCAAAGTTTGCTGTTCATGCGCTTTAATAGCGGGTTTTACGTTGACCTGCTAGACACTGGCTTTTTGGCTTGGACGAAGACCATCAAATGCTATCCTGTCAATCTGACTAATTCAGTGCCATGGGACTCAGCGTCAAGGGAGTGCTTGCAGGCCATGCACGATTTCATTGGAAACGGGTATTATGCTCAGCTCGCGACATTGTGGAGCCAAGAGTCTACCAAGGCGTCTAGTTCACCACATCTCCATGCAGAGAATGTGATTTTTATGATTACACTAGGTTCCCATTGTCTCACTTTTACCTGCCTGGACTCATTGCTAACCCTGCTGCAGCGAAGTTGTTCAATGGCGAACACTTGCATCTAATTCTTCAAGCTGTCGAACCATTGATGACCGATGCGGATAAGTTTAAACAGGCGGCTGCAGCTGAAATGCTGACCGGGTTGTTGCGCGGTATCTTGCTATTCTATGCCGTTGTGTTCACGTCTGATGTGCTTTATCACAGGGTCGAAACATTGGCCCAGGCAAACACGAGAGGAACTATGGTCTTGGATCACGCCGCGCTTTGACGTGATTCTCACTCAGGCGAAACCAGATACGGTTGCATACTGGACCTCGTTCCTAGAGGTAAACTTGTTCCGCAGTAGTATCGAGCAACATCACTCATTAGCTGCCGGAAGCATACCCTGCTGAACGTCGACCCACGTCGCTTCCAGCCTTTGGTCGATTGGATATTATCCCTACATCTTGACTTCCAGGGCGACTCTGCGTTTTCCAGTAAGTCCCTTTCTTGTCATTAGCACTGTTATGCTCATTGTCTTGCAGTGACGAAGGCTCTCAATATTGTCGTTGTATTCATTGATTCTGTCGGTGTCCGGTTCAATAGCGTATCGGAGAGATATGCATCGATTTTCTTCAACAACGCGGACTCCAACTATGCAGAGGTATTTGCTTGATATAGCGATCTGCATCCGTGTGTCTCATATCTTTTGATTCAGATAAGGTCTTCGATAGCCAATGCCCTGTGCCTGATAGCCAAATATCGATGGAGACCGGCATACCCTTCTGTGGATGCCCTCCTCGCGGCGTGCACAGAGAGTTCCGATCCACTTCAAATCAGGTATGTGCCATTGAGTAGTGCTTCCGATATCGCACTTAGTAGTCATTTCCACTCAGACAAGGGTTTTTCTCTGATCATGTACAATCGATCATTGATAATTTCCCCAAATGGAGGGAGGAACGGTTCCCCCCACCTAGAGTTTCACAGTCACGGGTGGGTTAATGATACATTCTGGATTTCTTTTGTCTTATGTTCACACCTTCAGTATGACAAAGTCGGCTTGACCAGTAGGCTTCGCAATTCTTCACTTGTGGGTTCTAACTGACACTCGACAGTGCTGCTCTGGCTATGGGTGTCGCTTTATAGCCCTGAAGCTTGTCTCGTTCGTCCTCATGCCATGGCTCTGCTGTTTGTGACCCGTTCATTTTATATTGTGTTTTTGCTAAGTCATCATTAGCCCTGAACTCTTGAGCATGTCAGAGTTGAGCGACAATCCCGAACTTCAAAAGTACAGCAGCTCGGTGCTTCGTTTGCTATCCTCAAGTTATCTGCCGTCTTCGCTTACGCACATCGTCCTGGATAAGCTAGTCTCAGCCATTCAGTCATCTGAGGTATCTTCCCTTTACCACGACAAAATGAAAGTTTTGACGCGCAATTTTTCTAGTCGTGGCGAATTCGGTTGCATGCGTTGCCTGCCCTGGTTGTCTTCTTCTATAGGAATCTCTTGACCATTTCATCTAGCGGGATACTCAAAGTCATGGATGTATTACTCGATTGTTTATCAGATGAAAATGTCGAAGTCCGAGAAATGTCGTCCAAGACCCTGTCCGGAGTAGTACGATGCTCACAGCGGCAGAATATCATCCCATTGAAGGTGCGTGACGATATCCTCCGTTTTGACCATGCTTAAGCTCCATTGAACCTAGAATCGCTTCATATCATTGGCGCGCAGTGTAAAGCTCCCATCACGTACACACAATGGCTACGGAGAGTCTCTGAGAAAGTTACATTCGGCTATCCTTGGCCTGTGTGCCCTTATCGAGAGCTTCCCGTACTCTGTAGAGCCATGGATGCCGTCCCTCACAGAAGGTTAGTGGATGTCATGAGCAACTCTCGTCAAAAACTTATGTCCGCTCGCCATAATTCTTTTACTATTTTTGATCATCTTCATCAATAAAGTCCTGGCAAGACATGCAACAGATCCGCCGCCGATCTCGACGACAATTCGCCACTGCGCTTCTGAGTTCAAGAAAGTAAGGTTATTTCCCATTGTGTACTGATTTGACCTCACCGATGTTATTCTATCTAGACCCACCAGGTAGATTGCTCCTGTCATCAATGACAATCTTTGTCGCGCCTTACCGTCCATTTTACAGGATACCTGGCACAAGGATCAACTTGCCTTTGACGAAGATCAGTTACAGAGCCTTTCTTCTATGCTTGTTGGTACTTCATATTGTGGGTTACTTGTGTCTCTTAGTTGCCAAGGCTATGACTGATGAATGACGATATCTACAGATGCCTAGATAATGTTTCATAGATTGGCATCGATCCGCGCCTCCGTCAGGACTAACATCATGAGGACGTTCGTATTACATCGCCGTATCGACTATGTATAAATTAGGGCACATCCTTGATGTTCGTTTTTGAGCATCTGGTCTTCTTGAAAGAATGTGTGCTATCGATGATTAATTCCGCCGATGAGCCCACCAAGGTTCGACCTGTTCAATATCGGCAGTGTGTCCCGTACTCCCGCCTGGATACGTTGTGCTCCTACCGAACAGGAGCGAGACTTTGTGTTTTATTAACTGTGACTTCACCATTGCGGCTCACTGAGAAAAAAGAAGTTCCTTGACTTGTTGCCCCGCACGGTATCGGTTCGGAACCAGATAGCGCGGTATATGTAACACCTGGAGACGGCATCAGCGCGTGTACTGCGCGTGTTCCGGTCATTTGAATTGGAGCCCTGAAATGTATGTCAAGTCGGCTGACAGTACCATCGATGACCGAGTCAAAAGGTCTTGAAAAGTTTTTACTCTCGTCAAATCCTCGTGCTTTTTGCAGGGACATCATACACGTTCTCGTCCATATGGCGTTATCAGGTTGTACATTCTGAAACCCCCAAAATTGAATTTTCAAAGTTAGAAGCACAGACTACGCGACGCGTAAATCATACGGTCATAGGAAAGAACAGCAGAAAGTGCTTCCCGTAACTTCTGGATGTTAGCGGCGTCACATCATGATGAACCTATCTCGGACCCAAGTCATCGATGAAGCTGATTTGAAGAGATAAATTTGATAATGCCTCATATATTGGGCGCTTCGTGCGCATGCCTTCTGAGGCATCACGGTGATTATCTAGCCGGACTATAGCGCCGAGTCACTATCAGTAAGTCAGGCGAACAGTTCCTAGGCACGATAGGTAGCGCGTTTATTCATCGTTGAGTTCTCGTGACTCGTGTTCCAGAATTTCGTACTGATAAGCGGACACTGCTATCCAAGTTATCTAGACGATGGGGTAGATCTACGCACATTCGACGGTTACTTGGTAGAATCTTAGGTTAGCCCCTAGTGCTATGACTCTGAGCAATGAACACTACACCTGCCTTTTCGGTACAAAAGCTTCCGAAACACAATTAAACTCCCTGCTCCCTGGTTGCAGCCTGAGGGTATCCATGTCTTACTTTTGCATTCAGGCTCCCCGGATGTTCTTCGATAACGCCGTTTTTTTTTTGCGTTGGAACAGCGCTTGATGACTGCCCTCGAAACCATATAAAGCGATTAAAGTGGATTTAGCGGCACGCAAATGGCACCATATCAACTCACGTGAACTCACAAGGCCTCAAGGCTCCTCAAGGACGCTGGAGCTGACAAGAAAAGGAAGTTTTGCCTAATTCAAAGTGGTTCAACGTTGCGATAAGGGAGTGGCTGAACACTGATGCCGCACAAAGGTGATACTATGGGTGGGCGCAAAGACGCAATGCCTGGCGATCAGAGACAATGCTTCCCGTGAGCGTTCGGTGAATGCTAATGGCGGTCCTTGGGACTCTTTCACAGAGCGGCGAACCGGGGAGGTGCTGCGGCTAACATCATGGCACGCTCGTGGGACAGCATCAACACGTGTTGTGTAGCCTAGTGTTACTTTGGGGTTAGTATCCTGAAGTATTCTACAATAAAACTAGGTGTTCCCAGTAATGGGTTAAGTTGAATAAATTACTGGTACTTTGGCTTTTGTCGTCGTAGCGTAGGTTGATGGATGATTTTCGGGTTAACTTGGCATGGATGCACGTGGCTAGACGTCGGGTTTGATTACCCAAAATTAAATTTGAAATTTAAGTCAACGGAAGTAGGATAGAAAATACACGTATCACAAGGTGGTAAGAATAATGAACTACGGGGAGGGATGTATGATAATAACTGTGGTTATAGGAGGAGAATGTAGGGGATGGTTAGGCAGTGGTAATACGGTTATTTATTTTGTTGTCAAGCCTAGTTCGATATAGTTACGACATTAAACCAGTGCGCGCGAAGTACTCGCCGGTCTAGCCTTTTTCTCGGTTCCTTCTTCTAAGCTTTTGGTTTTGACCACGACCTTCCACGATCCAAGTCTCTGCTATAGGTTTTTCTTTTTTTTTCTTTTTCTTCTGTTATACTAAGATTCAACTGAAGTTGTACTTACAGTTATCGTTCCAAATTGAGAGGGAGCAGCGCCCACTCCATCTCCAACACACTGCACAGGGCTCATTATAATTATTGGCAATCGCCGCCTCAAGAAGGGCACGTTGCAATCAAAACCCCTTCACAAGGTCAGTCAGGGCTCCTCCCCTTTGCCTCGTTTCATTACCATAACCTCCAAGAAGATCTAAAACCCTCGACCACCCACCCACTTTGCCTTTGCAAACTCTTGACCTGGGTCCTGATCTTCAACACGCGACCCCGGTCCTCACGACCTGCTCACGCCTCGTTTCACTTCATCTCACTTTTTATACCTATCTTGTGCTTTCTCCTTAGATCTTTACTGCTTGTCTCCTTGCATTCCTCTAGCAAAACGTCGACGGTAGTCTCTATCTATCTACTCACTTAGCAAATCGTGCTCTCAACATCGCATCGCCTATTTCCTATACAATCATCGCATCTTTGATTATTCTCTCATACCGCAACGCACGACTCCTTTTTATCCAGCAATCATCGAACGCTCATCAGCTTGTTAATTAACTGGTGAGTAAATTCTTGCAGCGTGTTCTGCTTCGCTGACCACTCAATGATATAAATCAGATTTAAATGCAAAAGGCGGTCACCGCTACTACTGCACCCACACACAGTTTGTATTTTGCACGCGAATCAGGCTCAACAAAACCTATTCCAGCTCGAGCTCCATCAACGGGTGCACTTGGTTGGACCCAGAGTCCCCGTGAACACCAGAATTTGAACACAGACTCAACAGCAGATGTAAGCCATGCGCCACTTTTCTAGACAGCCTTCTTATGTTTCCTTATAGACTTGGAACGTTTCATCCACGCAAGGCTCATCACCGCCTCCTTCATCCTACGTACACCGCCCAGCATCGATCCAAAAACCTTCAGCAATGCCTGGTCGTAAGAACATCAGTGACATGGCAAAAACCGAAATGTCTAGTCATCCGTCGGAGCGTGTTCCCAACAACGCTCAACGATGGCGGCTCAATGGATCGGGCCAGCTTGTGGATCCAGAGGCAGCGTTCGAATGGGATCTCGCTCAGGATATTGCCAGGCTGAAGCTCGGCGTCGGCAAGCTTACGGACGACATGCAGGGTAGACTGGAGACTGCAACTGTAGCGCCATTCAATGATGCGAGTCCGCTGGAAACGGCCTCTGACGTCAGTCTTGATTCCTCCCCCAATACTTCTGATCATCAAATATCACCGTCCCATTCTCGCGTGTCGTCCACTGACACACTGGAATCCCATGAATCTGCTATGTCTTCGGCCAGTCATACCATGCGCGGGCCGCCGCAGCTGAAGATAGCGACGGGCAATGAGGCGAAGGAGCGCCCTCATTCCTTCAGTGGTGGACTATCCACTGCCGATTTGCGTCGTCTAAAGCATGCAGGGGAGGAGCATGTACATTCGGTGCCTGCTCACCCTTGGTCGTCTGTTGCTTACAGAGACCGCGTTGGTGGCGGAGAAAAGCCTTTTTCGCCTGAGCAGCCCACGTATCCGTCGCTGACCAATGGATCATTTGGTCGTGGACAACAGCAATTTGACTACCGTTCCGCGCAAAGTAATGGCGACTTGCAGGGTGATTATTCCGCTCAGCGCTATTTCCCCCAACCATCTGCTCCCGGTGTCGCCGCACCGCAGCACTTCCTTCAAGGTCGCCCCACGAATGGGATTCAGTCTACCTATCGCCAGCCTCAGCGAGGTTACCCCCCACAACCGTTAGTTCCAAGCCCAACGGGACTTGCCTATGCTCCAGCACATGTTCCTCACCTGTCTCTCGGTAACGCTCAGCAGCTTTATGATATGGTTCTCCCTACAGGAGACAGTCATCACCCGGCCGTTACTCGCGTGCAGCAACAGCACAACGTCTTCCGTGGTGCTCATCAGCACTCCGCCTCGGACCCTTCCGCTCTACGAGATGCTGCTACATTGGCGCTTCTGAGCAACCAAGCGGTTTTCGCACAAGCTACTCATGGCATGTATCCTCCCATCCATCCCGGCCTCTATAGCCAGTTCTACGGTACTCCAGAATCATACTCTGCGGATTTGGCTGTCGCAGCTATGGCTAACCGTCTGCAAACCCATTTCACCAGTCCGTATGGCGCTTTACCAGCTCAAGGCCTAGGCGTGGACCACCCCGTGCCTGAGAGTCCCCTACAAAACAACGGTGGACCGAGTGCTAACAACCGCAAACTTGGTCTGTACAAGACCGAGTTATGTAGGTCATGGGAAGAGAAGGGTTCATGTCGGTATGGGGCAAAATGCCAGTTTGCCCATGGAGAGGAGGAGCTTCGGAATGTCGCTCGTCACCCGAAGGTAAGTGCTCAGCGATACTTGAAGTACTGAGTAATGATCTCGTGCGCACCTCAGTACAAAACAGAAATCTGCAGGGTAAGTTTTCTTCCTGGTTCGGGAAGAGTTGCTGATGACCGCGAACAGACATTCTGGGTGTCAGGCGCATGCCCATATGGGAAACGCTGTTGCTTCATCCATACCGAACTCCCGGTCTCAGGCATCGCACCAGGAGCTGACGGTGTTCCTCCGCCTTCGTCCACTGCAAGCAATCGTGAGCGCTCCAACAGCGATCCCAACGAATCCTCCATCTCCCTTCTGCAACGCATCCAGCGTAAGGGTGACTCGACACCAGTGGATGCATCTCCGCCTTCCGGTAACTTCTTTAATACTCGACCTCCCATGGGCTCGCTGCGCGTCGACACGTCTGCTCTCAATAATATTACGAAGCAGAACAAGTCAGCATATCCCACCTTTGCCAGCAATGCCTTGATGCTTTCAAGCTCCGAGCAAACACCCATGAAGTCTCCAGTAGTTCCTCTGACAGCCGGTCCTGATCTGGGGCGGCACACCAATGCACGTCTGGATATCGTAGGATATAGCCAGGTGAGTATGTCTCGGGCGTGAAGAACTTAGTCTGATCTGGGAACCCTGTGCTAGCAACGTCTTAACAGGACGAGCGCCACGACACCCAATGCCAGACACTCTTTCAATGGAACAGATGTAGATCTTGATTTTTCCTCGCCGTCGACACCTTCTGCCGCAAACCCCGCATCGTCCTTTGCACTCTCGCAAACCGACAGGGTATCCAACAATAATGCTGTTCCACGTGCGCACGTTAGATCTGGGAGTGCTGGGAATTGGGGGAGTGTTACCCGTAGTAGCAATCTAGCTGGTGTGCCCTCATACCCGCAGGCCTCCGGGGCCGGAGGAGAATCTAATTCTCCATGGGCGTCTGGTGACCTCATGGTCGGAACCAGACTCGGAGAAAATTGGATGTAATGCATCAGTATTCTTGTTCGAGAACTTCGCCGCTTGGTCGGACGGTCGTCTGTGATGTTTGTTTTCATTCCTACCTCCAGTAGTCACAATGGAGCTTACGAGACATTCTCCCCTCTTTTACCTTACTTTGTACAAAAGGCTTTTGTATACCTCATCTTACGTCTTGTTTTCATGTGCCCTTGTCACGCTTCTGATGATATTTTCATGACTTCTCCGTGCAACGTACTCCATTAAATCTGCCTTGTCCTGCACCGCATCGTAAACTCAATTGCGTGTGAGCTAGAAGTTATCTCGTCTACCAATTACAAAGGTAGAAGTCATTTACACATCATTAATAGGCATGAGCTCATACTCTCGCGATTGGATATATCTAACAATTACAAAAATCTGAACTCTCTGGTCAATTTAAAATTCGATCTTGCGGTGCGACACTCCGCTTCGCTTTCCATATTACTTCATTCACTGGCAAGCTGTACCAGCAGTCGCTGGTCTTCGATAGGAGAGTATTCGGTAGGCTGATGACGGGTCGTCAGCAGCTTCTCATCAAATCGCGTAACAGAGTCCGTGCAAACATATCTTGATTGATGTTATCTCGTCCCACTTGTGTCCCCACGACACCGCACTGTACACGCTGAAAGGTGCAAGTTCTCCGCCGTTCAATATCAACTACATTATATTATTGACTCGGATGCATTTGGTCCGTAAAGGCGCAGGCTAGAGTTAGTGACAGTTGCGCGCCATTATCTCTTCACGGGCGCCCACGCAATGTGAAACGTGTATTGCAATGCTGTCAGTGGCACAATGTTCAGGCTGTTATATATCCAACCTTGAGAATGTGATATATGCTCCAGGATCCATGATGGTCTTTGTTGCAGAGACTCACCTCCATCCAACACATTCCTCATGCTCTGTAACATCGCCACATCATGATCTATTTCTGTCTTGAAGGACCTCCTGTTGACTGCAAGGGCAGTGATGATTGGGAGCGACGCGGTCTGTAGGCTCCGTAGCCACCGCAAATTTTCCTGCCTTCTGCTCTTGCACTGTCAATTTCTATCAAACGCTCTGGGCCTTTATCGTATTCAAATTCCAGTCACGCAATCCCGTCATCCTGTTGGTGGCACCACTCCATACACCAGTCGGCGACTCGTGATTACGAGTGAGATGCTTCGGCTACCACCTGCACCCCTTCGGCCTCGACAACGCCCACTAGGCGCCGGATCTCAGTGTACTATCTGAGGACCAGCTGTCTTCCTTCTATCGTTCTACCTAGGGGAGACTTCCACAATGACAGTACGACAAAGAAGACCATTCTGTTCGGCATCTGTGATATGCACTTGCTGTTCCAGATAAACGACAGTCGCGAACTGTTCGTAAGTCTTTCCACCCGATATCTAAAATTCTTCTGCTACATCTTTAGACAGATATCAACTAGTGATATCGCATCGTCTTTGATCCTCAAAATCATGCACAAAAGATTGACGTTCAACTATGGACAACTTGGATGCTCGTGGAGGCAAGTGAATATTTTGTCGTCGACTGGTTTAGAGTCAATGATTGAGCGTCATGGCTAAAAATACAATTTCCCAAGCAATTGGTGAACGGAATACTTATCTATCTGCACAGCTCGGCCAGATTTATGCTTAGTACTAAGTCTTAGTACAGAAGGAATGACTACCTTCATCTAATTGAAGGTCGGCCTAGGGGAGACTAGTACCAAGCATCATAAACCCAATACTGACGCTCATCAAAGGAGTGGCATTCGCATTGTGTTCCTAAGCTCCTTCTAGGCCTTACGGAGTGTCTCCAACAAGATCAGACCATTTTTATGGTAAGACTTTCTGATAGGTTGACGAGATCTCAGAGCTCATATCAAATCTGTGCCAGAACACCCAAAACTAAGCCAAGACCATCTTGCGGACATCCAGAACTGGGAGGACTGGGGAAATCCGAGGGCTTACAGAGATCATATCAAATGGATGCGCGGGAAAGCTTAAAGCGAGGAGGGGTCGAGGAACGCGGCCCATAAACATCGCCGCGACACGTTGTTGCCGCTTAGCAGTGAGGTGTCGATGTGCAAAAGTATCTCAAATTACAGGGCCTATGATAGCTGGGATAGGTAGGTGATAACGAGGAACTGATGGCCTACTGAACGCCAAGTTCTGATAGCTCTCTGATAAACCCTTCCATGCGACATATCGCGTAAGCTATGTAGTCAAACTCCGGTTCCGATTCTCCTCTTTCCAAATTGTCCTGTGCTTGTACGATACCCCACACAGTCCACATCGCGTGTGAGGCAGGACTCCAAATACGCACTTGACGTTCCAGCTGGGAAGCTTCTGCTTCTGAGTACAACGCCGGAACCGAGGAGGTGCATGTGTCAATGGGACGCGAATGCGCCAGATACGCCAAATAAAAATTTTGACGCTCTTCCATTGTCGGATATCGACTCGGATCCAGAAGATGCGGTGTTGATGAATGATAATCAGCCGTCCACTCGTGGAAATGATTAGCAATGTCGAACGCAATTGGGTTAGGCGATGCGTATTCAAAATCAACCACAACAATCTGCACCATAAGTTCAGTAAGGTCCCCTGCGCCCTAGAACAGCTATTGCTCACCTGGTGATGCTCGGGAGCATCTTGACGAAGTGGACCAGTTAACCTCAGTATATTGCCATACTGTGTATCATTGTGTGCAAAAACACGTCGACTTGCCCCTTCTATCTTCTCGACGTGAGAAACCCAGCGTAAGTAACGCATCCAACGTTCATAGAAGTGGTCCATGTTGAGAGTTTGACGGGTGGCCTCAGACACATGCTGGAGACCTAAAACATCTCGCGCGGCTGGCATCCACGCCTTAACATTTTTCTTGACCCCAATCTCCCAGCTCTTCCCCTCAAGAGCACTGAGTGTAAGTGGACCCTCTACGACACTAATGTCCACAGAATGAAGTTCAGCCATGCGTGAAGCTATCCATTGGCTGATCCTCTTGTCCCGAAGGTCTGATGGAACTAGCGTGACAGACTCGAAGTACTCTTCAATACGTCCGTTTGTAAATGTACCATATATACGAGGACCAAAATGGTATCGAGACGAGAGAATATGAAGCATGTGCAGTTCGTGAGTGCGAGAGATGAGAGAGCTGGATGATGTGCCATAGATGCGCAACAAGAGCGTAGGAACGCGAGTAATGGCGGGGCAAGAGACAAAATAGATAGCATTGGTGAGAGAGCCAGAGACCTTGTGGATGGAGAGTAACTCGGCGGTTACCTGTGTCTTGTGCCAACCGGGGACCCCCAGAGCCACCAAAATGGCAAGAAGGTCTCTTGCAAAGTTGACCGACTTGTAAGATCTATGAAAAGACGATACGTAAGTTCAAATGCAATAACAGATGCAGGCTGATGTCAGACCGAGGTTACAGGTCGCCGTAAAACTGCAAAAGGTGACAAAAGAAGCGCAGAAGAAAACAATCATACCTGGCATCTAATTTGGCCTTAGCATTTGTTAAACCATCGACAAACTCAACATCAACAGTGACCTTTGGTTGAGATAAGGACACACTTGAAGATTTGGAGGGACTGAGCACTAAACTGCGCAAAGATGAGGATGACGATAACCTGCTAAGTGGAGAAACTATCGGAGAAACGGTAGCGGGTGTGCTGTCTGCAATCATTGTGGTTGCCTGTCCCATATTATGCTAGGATAGGTCGTCTGTCGAGAGAAACGACTTCACGGGAACACAATTAAAGCGGGCACACGACCATTGTGTCGACTCTATGGACCCCGAAAATATCATTATATTTTATTGTGAGAATTTATACCCACTTAAGTAGACTAAGACTAGGGGGCCGCCCAAGGGTCGCCGATTATCTTGGTCCGCATGTTGAACTCTGTTCTTTGGCAATGCCATGAGTTGTATCACTGAAGTAATGGAGAGGAGCGAAGAATAGCATCGTAGTACCAATCCACTCACGCTTTGAACATATGCTCTAAGTCCTGGTATTCTATTTGTTCGCTATTTTAGAAAAGAAAGCCGCTGCCCGGCAACGGCCCGGACATAATTCACTGATCAAGTGAACCCATATTTTCGGGCACTGTTTTCGGAACAAGAACGTTTGGACCTGGAACAAGTAAGGAACAAGACGACATGTCTTCAATGAGACGTTAATTCAAATGCCTGGCGCCTAATCTTCAAGATCTGCTACGAGGTTCCGAGTCGACTTTCTTTCGACGCTCGCGGGGTAATCCGCGATCATCCTCTGCAGATAATAATTCCGCGGGGAAAGTCTACTTCAGGCCCATGATACTGAGCTATACGGACACCTCATATAATTAATGCCGCATCCTGCCATCTGGTCTAGAGGTCTCACCGCAGTATTATGGTTAAATAAACCAATATTAATGCTACCGATGAGTCTTGGTTTTTGCATTATGTACACGACCCTTCCCGGGGGTATCATGTATGGCGAGAAAAATTGTGGACTTGGTAACTTGAGCACAAGATGTATGTATCTGAATACTTCCTCCTTCTTGCCTACTCGCTCTATTTTTCCACCGCTGAATTCCCCGAGGAAAATCCTGGAGGCTGTGGTCATTGCTCTTCCTGTGTGAAGTGACTTTCAAGGTTCGTTGCTTGCGCTTTAATTTTCGAGGCAAGAGGCTCATCGGTCGATTTCTTTAGTGAACCAGTCATGCCGTCATCCCGCGGTTTAATACTCTCGTTTTGTCGAGGAAGTCTTTCATAACTCAGCTCATCGACATGAAATTAAATCAACCGTATCACTATATCACGCATCAGCAACCTGGGTCTGAAATGCACTGATGCTATTTCCCTTTCACATCAACGGACGACCCTGAAGTTGCTTCCGCGAACAAGGCCCAAATGGTTTGAGAGTCAACGTTCATATCAACGCCCTATCAATTAAGCTCTGACCATATCATAGAGTGCGGTTAGGCAATCCGAAACTCCGTTCTGGAGTCTACGAATTACGCCCCAATCCATCTTTCGTAACTATCGTCGAGTCCCGTTAATTAGGACGGAGGAAGTTCCTCAAAAGAATGAAGCGACTGGCGCACATTCTTTGGCCGCGGGTTTACACGCAGCCAACGTATCGCAGTTAGACGTTGGGGAACATGTGTCAATCCTGTAAGCCATGAGGCACACTGATGTCTTCCGACCGACCACTTTATCTTGTTGTAGATGAAAGAAGTTGCCGACATAACATAATCGTTCAGAGTCCGGACGTTCTTGCAACTTTTGTGTATTCGATTTCCAAGCTGTAAATTGTATGTTCAAGTTCACGCCTCGAGGTGACTTAACGGCCTTCCAGCTTAGATTCTTTTTCCAGATCAAATGGCACGGTGCTGCCTGTCCGGGTAACTTCTAATCGACATGGAGGAGTAATTCATGTGCGTGCTGCATGTTCGTTTGCTAACGTTGGGTGTGTTCTGCACTAAAAGGTTATCAAGATTTCACCCTAAACTCGACTCCGAATCTCCGACTATGAGCCCAGAATGTTAAGTTTGCATGTCATAAAAGTGTTCGAATAGGCTCTAATCTACTACGTCAAAAACGCGGAAGCGCTTGGCAAAGGCGTTAGTAATATGCGTATGATAGGATTTGCGCTACCAAGCGTTGACTGACATCTTTACCATATACACAAGGGATATTGTGATACGTTTTCGGGAGACATTCTAGTTCATCGAGAACAACAGAAAATTTGTCTAGCATGTCTATCTATGTACAATAAGAATAGCGACGGTAGACTCATCTAAACTTCATTGGGCGGCTGAGGTGAACCGACACGCGACTTTTGGTGTAAATCTTTTTCCTGGTTGGCATCATGGTGATTTGTAGCTTCTACCGAAAAGCACTTCATAAACAGCGAGATCTGAAATCATGCAGATTGATGAAGTCATATGATTACTTTTGAAGAAAACACGTACCACCATAGCCACGCCTAGTAGAGGAGCGGAAACGATCCAGACGCTCTGTGATATCATTATTTAAGAATGAGTAGCGCTGCGGGATCTAGATGCCCACCTGAATGGCCAGTGCCACAGCACTCAAGACCTCATTTCTCAACGAGAGCGGCTCGATAAGACTCAACAATCTCCAATTGATGGACGATGATCCCTGAATTTGGTATTCGATAGGTAAAGCGTGAGATAGTTGTTTATCGAATACCATCCCAGCAACCGCCTTAAAAAATTCAAGTTAGTGACGTACAAATGATAAGAAGCTGACGAACTTACTAGGCCAATGGTAGCTCCTGTAAATCTTACCAGGAAAAATGCACTAGTCCCTGTAGCAAGCTCTGACGGATGCAAAGCCTTCACAAAGACCTGATAAGGCGCGTGGAAAAGCAAACCGATCCCAATACCAGCAATAAGAGGGAAACAAATCTGCGTGACGTGCGGGGAGGTATCCTGGAGTGTTATCAAGAGACCTGTGACACAGCCTCAGTATCACCCTTAGTACATTCGTTTCGAACCTCACTGAAACCTAACGTGGATACCGCTAGTCCACTGACGATCGTCCATTTTTGTCCGCTGGTGTCGTTTTTCCGCTTTTGCCAGAATCCAATAAACCAGGCGGCTGGCATCGAAGCCAATGACGATCCCAGTGAATATGGCAACATCTGCACACCGGCTTGCAATGGGGTCATACCATTCACGGCCTACGCGAATCATGGAGTCAGATTCATCAATAGGGCACGGGACGGCCTTACTTGGAAGTAGAGTGCAAGATAAAATGTGCCTGCGTTGAACGCAAAGTTGTGAAGGAATGTGACGGCCAGAATGATCACTAATGATTCACGTGAAACGTCAAGAGGTCATCCACGCGAAGGAAGCTTCTTACCAACAGTCAGATTTTTAAATGTGGCAGGCGGAAACAATGCCTCGCGTGTGGTGTGCACTTCATAGAAGCCGCCACAAGCTAGAATCGTGGGGCCAAGACAGACCAGCAGGAGCGTCGATGGAGATGTCCCTGCATGATGGTGAGTAGATGTTGCATTGAATTTTGACAGGAGACATACAGCCAGTACTCATAGCGAAACTGAAACCAATAACCAAGCAGCTGGTACCCAGCATGAAGAGAAGACTGTAAAACATGACATGAGCATAGTAACAGACGACAAAAGCCATACCGTACAGTCCGAGAAAATCAAACTTTTTAATGAAGTTTTTCCATGATGCGTGCTGAGCGCGCGCGAGGGTTACATCTCGCAATGACACTGAGAGCAGCAAGAATGCGAAAAGGCATACGGGCAAGTTCATGTAAACTAGTAACCCAGACTTTGAGATTCAAGCATACGAAAGGATGAATGACATACAAGCCCATCTCCAGCTGATTGTCGTTGAGAAGCCATCTGTGTGGATGAAATGAGATTTGGATCTAAGATTCCTTATAGCACTCACTGCTGAATAATCCTCCGAGTATTGGGCCCGCAACCGCAGAACAGCTCCAAGTCACACTAAGAGCCTGAGACCACTTTGCTCTACTCTTTGGTTCGACGATCTCCGATGTGATGACCCAAACAGAACTGACGATACCACCGCCACCGAGACCGGCCAGACCACGGGAGATTAGCAGGGACATGATAGTCTGGGGAGAGAAAGATCAGTAATTAAATACAGAATAATACAAATTCGATCAACCTTTGCAGCCCCGCACAGCAAGGATCCGAGGGCGAAAATCATAATGCTGACATACAGAACGTTCTAGTAATAGAATAGCGAGATGTGCATCCACTCATACTTCAATCTTGAGAAAGAACGCACCTTTCGCCCTACCAAATCGGATAGCCTTCCGTACAGGGGTTGAAAAGCCGTTTGTGTCAGCATATACGCAACTCCAACCCAAGTATATTGAGTCTGGGTGGCGTGGAGTTCGCTAGCAATTGTTGGTAGAGATGTTGATACAATGGTCTATATTTGAGTTTAATGAAAAGTGCTTGAATTTAAGAACGGGGTACGCACAGAATCTGTTGTAGCAAGAAAAAGTGTCATTGCAGCCCTGAGGTTCGATCACACATTGATAAGCTACGAGCAATTCAAGCAGCGTGAAGCGTTACCCGATATGTACGAAAAGCAGTCGAGATACCGAGTAGTTCGGGGCTTTCTGGATCTCGTCATGATAATCAAGAGAGGCGCAATCGCTGGCGTGTACTTTCTCTGATGCAGACGCATCATCTGAGCAAGACGAGCATGAGGGTATATGAGTTGACATAGGAGGATGAGCCGTGCTGTCTAAAGACATATTGAACAGAGCACTGTAGGAAAGGCCGCTTGAGGTTTGACTTTCTGCTCGTCTTCGCTACCATTTTATACAAGGACCCTTTGGTGGTGGCTTCGATGAGATCTGGCACAACCAGACTTCGACAAAAAAAAGAGCTTCTTTGGCCTTGGAAATCCTCTTGTGACCCTTTGACCTGCGGTCCGCAAACAGGGCGGTCAATGTGCGCTGGCATTAGGCTTACCGATGCAATGATATTAAAATTGACCGCATTGTGAAGCCTTTGTAGTAAGAGCCCAGCCCATAACAAAGAAGAGAAGGGGTCTTTGACAGCATGCACTACTGCCGTCGATAGGGTTGAATTTGGCAAAAGATGAACATTTCCCGGTGCGAGGGAGTCTGTCAAGCATGCTCAGTAGAAACTAGCCGCCTCGTTGCATTGATGGCATCTAAACTTCGGAGACAGGAATCCCTTCCCTTGAAGAAGATCACTTTGAGAGATCGCCGCTAGGTTAATGATGAACTTCCTGCGCGAGGGACAGAAGGAGACGGATCGAGAAGTTACAATTAAGTACTTACATTAACTCAAAGCTTGAACGTTGAAATTTCGAAAGTTGGCACCGCGGCACCTGTACACTGCCACAAACACGTTGACAAATTACTATTAGGTACAAGCACAAGTTATCGTCACACATGCAGTTTCAGGGCACACACCAACTTGCTCTTCACAGAGCTTTCTTCACGCAAAGATCGTATCGTAGTCGCGCGGAAAATTCTCCTATTAAAAATGTATAGTTCACTATGCTTCTATGGATCTTCTCTAAGCCGTAGCCCTCTTCCTGTGCTCATCCTCCGCGCTCTCCGATGGCTCACTGCTTTTCGCCAGATCCCCGGCATCCAGTTCCTCTGATGATTGAATTGAGAAGCAACAGGGAGCAGACAACGAAACGTCGCCAAGACGAACCGATATATGGATAAATCAAGACCCAGTAAGCTCTCGTATCCTTTTCCATGTGCGAGACACCCAGCCACCCTCGGAAGATGGTGACGGATGAATAAATGAAGTCGTACCGTTGTTATCACTCATTGAACTGGTCTCCTTCACATCTCGTTTACTCGACTGGGTGCTACCCGAGGCGCCGCCCGGCGACATCGAGTCCTGTCTTGGACTGTCACTCCGACCTTCGACGTCGTCTGCATACTGCTGTAAAATCTCGCGCTGTCGCTTCGTTAAAGATCTATGGGATCGGGTTAAATAGGCGCTAACGAGCATCAATCTCGCTTACCTTGGAAGTTGCACGGAGAAAGAAATAAAAAGATCACCCTTATCACCACCGAAAACCGACGGGACGCCGTGGCTCCTTAGGACCATCTCCTCGCCATGCTGAGTACCACTGGGTACACGAACGTCCACGTTCCCGTCGAGTGTCGGCACACGTACACGGCCGCCCAAGACAGCAGTATGCAAGGGTATCCGCACTTCGTGGTGAAGGTTTGCGCCTTGCCTGCGGAAAACTTTGGATGGGGCAACATTGACCCTGACGAGCAAGTCCCCGTGACTACCCTTGCCAGATAATGGCACATCGCCTGCATTTGGGATGCGGATGGTCATTCCATCTTCCACCCCTGTATAATCCATCAGTCACCCGAACGAAAACGATGTCCAACTCCTGACCTGGTGGAATATCTACATTGATAGTTTTCTTCGTTCGCACATAACCCTGGCCGCTGCAATCCACACATTGGCTTCCGCGTGGAATTGTAGAACCAGAACCAAGGCATGTTCCACAAGTACTTGCCATCTGGAACCCACTGTCTATCACAAAAGTCTTTGTACCAGTACCGTTGCATGACCCGCAAGGTGCACGCTTGGCACCATGTCTCAGGCCTGTACCAGCACACGTTGAACACGTTGTCAGAGGATTGACATTTACACTACGAGTTGTTCCTTTGCAGGCGTCCAAGAATGAGACGTTGATGCGTGCCTCAATGTCTGCTCCTCTTGTACTCTGGCCAAACCCAGAGCGAGCTCGACCCCCGAAGGCACCACCGAACAACTGCGAGAATAAATCGCCTTGACTCGAACTTCCACCGAATGCCTCGCTGAAGTCTCTGAAATCGGAAAACCCGCTGGCACCTCCTGCAAATGGATTTCGGGCGAACGCATTAGGGTCAAAGCCTGGTTGCTGTGACGCAGCGCCATATTGGTCGTATGCAGCCTTCTTTTTCTCGTCTTTCAGAATCTTGCATTACAATGTAAGACACCAGCAGACATAGATTAACGAAAGGATGGTAAATGACGTACGTCATATGCTTCTTGTATCTCCACAAACTTTTCCTGCGCTCCTTTATCAGGATTCGTGTCCGGATGATACTTTCGAGCGAGCTATAACAAGTTAATTGATTAAAACGACCAGCATAAATTAAATAGCTCTGATACGCACAGAAAAATACGTTTTCTTGATTTCCGCCGGAGATGCATCTTTCTTGACGCCTAAAACCTGATATGGGTCCTTCGGAGGCGCAGACAGGGATGCAGACGCATGAAGGGCGCGCTAAGTGAAAAAAGTCAGTATGACATGACGACTGTTCATCAAACCTTGTCGCAAGATTGTGACGAACCCTTTGGCCTCGTGCAGTGTGGCCATGACGCCCAGCTCGGTAGGTCGAGAACGTCCGGGTGTTCGGTCTAGTTTGTTGTCGAGCACAACCGTAAAAAGTAATGAACGACGAAGCTCCAAGTGACCGCAAGTAAGGGATCATTTACAATTGTGCCTTTGACTAATAGCAGCGAAAGCAACACAGAGGTAAGTTAAAAAGATGGAAGCACAACAATATTTGCGTTGCGCCGACTACGACGAAACTGTGACGAATTTTGAATGTACAACTGTTTACCCTGCTGACTCAGCTAAATCGCGACGGTCAAATCTCGTATCAGACTTCCGAAAAGACAGCTCTTCATTAAGTTGCAATTATCGAAGATATCAACAGTCAGATCTTATAAGTATAAGACTAGCACGTTTGAGACGAGTGCGGCAAGGCCAAGCGTACCGATTCAATGTGTACATGGGTAGCAATGTAACAGCTGCCTCGAGCAGGTCCCCTATCAAGTGTTCATGATTCATATTAGGCCTACAAATGACATATGACTGGTCACATTCCAGAAGCACACGTAAAATGTTTGCAAGGTCATTTCCAACCAAGGTGGTCACGATTTGACTTTCAGATCTACCGTTCAAACTTCTAGCGATCTGGGTTCCCCTGGACGTATTACCACTGTTTAGTATCAGTGTTCGACTGGAGAAAAGGATATTACGGACCGTGGTTAGGAAGGTGATAAAGCTGGATGATGATCCTTTTGGTCAAGCAGAATGGGGTACAGTTGCGTCTGTTTGAGCTGTTCGGGTGCGCCACCAACATTTCCCGTAGGATACCAAGATCTCATCTCCCTTTTGTATCGAATCTTTGGAACTCCAAATGCTCATCTGTAGTTCGCCTCGCGACGTCCGGCTCTCAACAAAAACAGCATTGGGTTTACCTCGAATACCGCGGTAATCATTGACAAATCTAGCCTCGTTACCCATGATACTGGCATCCACACCTATATTATCCCCATCCTGGGATCGAAAAAGTGAAAGATCGTAGTCGGAGTCAGCTCTATCCTGGCAATGCACTTCTCCGATATAGTCGATGATATGTGACCTAGGGGGTATCTTTCGAACGGCAAAAAGGCCGTTCTGTCCTCGTGCAGGGTGAGAAGGTTCTGCAATAGATCTTATGCGAACTAGAGATGTCGAAGGAAATGAATTTGGTGTTTTCTGGAGGGCGGAACTAGTGCCACTGATGAGGAAAGAGCGCAAGGGGCCTGGCACAGAAGAATGATAACGAGGAGCGTTGATATACTGGATATGAGAAGGCCATGACGGAGGCTGACGAGAGGTGGAGGACATGAATAGCCTAGTGTTAGATATTGTACTTCAAGATTAGAACTGGCCAGATTTTATCAGGTATGACTAGCTGACAGAAGACAAGTCTACACCGTGGGTAAACGCGAAAAACATCAGCCTCGTCAAGTGCTGCTGGCTATCCGAACTCGTCTGTGACACATTGACCCGCTCACTCTCATTCCATGGTCCGACCTCCAACGAAATCTGTAGCACGCATCTATCGAGATGTCAATGCCAATTTTGGTCCTGCGTGGCATGAATATGGTCAAAAACTTTTCAAGTGACTCGGCCGTGGTTATGTACTAAAGATTCCCGCATCAGATAACCTTCAAGTACAGTGGGGAACACAGGATCACTACGAAATAGTGCGCAAAGTTGGCAGAGGGAAATATTCAGAAGTAAGATGGTCGTCTTCAGATCGATATAGAATGCTTGTTTGAACACCCATGCAGGTTTTCGAAGGTGTCAATGTGGTTAATGACGAGAAGTGCATCATCAAAGTGCTCAAGCCCGTAAAGAAGAAGAAAATAAAGAGAGAGATCAAGATCCTGCAAAACCTTGCAGGTGGTCCTAACGTTGTGGCCCTCCTCGATGTCGTCCGAGATCCTGCTTCGAAGATCCCCAGCCTAATAACGGAATACGTCGACAACGTCGACTTCAAGGTCTTATATCCTCGTTTCACTGATTACGATGTCCGCTTCTATATGTTTGAGCTACTCAAGGTATGCGCCAATTGAATTTTGGAAAAGCTTTGCGCTATAGTCTTCCAGGCTTTGGACTTCTGCCACTCAAGGGGAATAATGCACAGGGATGTGAAGCCTCATAATGTCATGATTGATCATGAACAACGCAAAGTATACATCCTTATGAACACATGTTATGGACTGAGCTGGACTTCATAGCGCAGCTGCGGCTGATAGACTGGGGCTTGGCGGAATTCTACCACCCGAAAGTTGAATACAATGTTCGCGTGGCTTCGCGCTACTTCAAAGGACCGGAGCTGTTGGTGGACTTTCAAGAGTATGACTACAGCTTGGATATGTGGAGCTACGGTTGCATGTTCGCGTCCATGGTATGATCTTCAGTCTTGGAAGGATCGTGATTCGAATTGACATGCTTTACCGGCAAGATTTTCCGCAAAGAACCGTTTTTCCATGGCCACGACAACTACGACCAGCTGGTCAAAATAGCAAAAGTTCTCGGCACAGACGAACTTTATGCATACATCGATAAGTATGGTATCCGGCTGGATCCCCAATACGATGAACTCCTTGGAAGGTGAGCTTTCCAAACACGACCGTTGATCATGCGTTAAGTCGCCGTTAGGTATCCTCGGAAGCCTTGGGCTCGGTTCATCACATCCGAAAACCAGCGTTATATATCGAATGAAGCGATCGACTTCTTGGATAAACTACTGCGGTACGATCACCAAGAGAGACTGACTGCTCGCGAAGCCCAAGCACACCCTTACTTCGGTCTGTGAAACTTCTTAACCAGTTGTTAATATTTACCAACCTCACGTATAGAACCTGTTCGCAACCCCGCGTCTGGCACTTCTGCCGACGGTGAGAGCGAAGACTCGGGAGCATCATCAGCCTGATCTATAATTCACTGCTCTTTATCTCTGATTGCGAAAGTTTTGTACTACGTCCTTTGCAACAATCCTATCAAAATAACCTTCCCGACCCGATAAGCGCGTTCTTTCAGCTCTTGTGCATATCGGAAAATTCTTTGTTTGGGACTGACCTCATGGAATTCCGAAATTCGCGCACTCGCCTCGGGTACGAACAAGCTGTGTGTCTTCGATAGATATCGCTTAGCTGAAGTCGAGCCGACATCATCACAGATACTGACTATCATGTCTCAGGTTCGTACTTCCTCGATCACTCATGATTTTGATCATTGATCCTTCGCATGCGCTCCGCAGTGCCCATCATACCTTAGTACTGTGATCGACGATCTCGGCTTTGATGTCATTTGTTCCATTGTACATTCCTATCTCATTTGTTTCAAGCGACGGTAGATGTGACAAGGATAAACCATCAGGAATAGGGATCTATGAGCGCGCCAGACAACCCGTCCCTAATGTACGTCAAATTCAAGCGAAAAGTAATCTTCAATCTCAAGAACCAATGGAGGTCAAGATTTACATCGGTCCCGTCCAGTACGACCGCGGGATCGGGATCGGGATACATCGCTAATCTGAGCGCTGTGGCCGTGCGTATGTACCAAAGCTTCCCGTCATTTGGTGGCGTGACGCTCTGGGGTGTATCTCAAGCATATGGTGAAGCCGATCCAGACTCTGTCTGATTCGAACTCCGTCTGACCGAGTGCAGCTAAAGTTTTTGACTTGGCCTATGAATGTACTGCCGCTAGTGGTTTCACATAACCTCCTGTGCTCTGTAAGTACCTGTTTATGTGACAAAGTTACCCTCGCCGGTATTTTAATATCTAGGTGATATCAGAAGCCTGTTTCTAAATGCTGACTATCGTCTAAGTCGACTGGTGTGCATATTCTGTCCCTAGCTGTGCGAGCCCCTAGCTGTGCAAGTAGCAGTAATTAATGCGAAAGGTAAGTTTATGGGGTGCTGTTGCCGTAGCGGGGTTTGACATGATTGGTCTTGAACTCTTTCACAGTCAGGGGAGAGTACGGCATCAGTCACCAAGTCGTGATACCACTGCCACTTCAATTTCCAGCACAGTTTCCAATACCGCGCCAGAGGTACCTGCAGCGGAGTAGGTGCTTTGCAAAGTGGTATAGCCTACATCGGAGCGATCAGTGAGTATGTAGTACATGCCATACTTACAATATCTCTAGACTGCCCTGCGGACGGAGGATGAGAATCCAGGAGGTAAGCACGCCTACTGCACGTGTGAAACTTGGTGCTTATGCTTCTTTTACTTAGGGTCATCCGGCTGCTGGACTGATGATGGCCTGTACACAAAGACCGCCGCGGCTCATATGAGATCACGATCTCACACGTTGTTGGCCATGCGGTGTGTGAAATTTATTTACAGTGCATCGGATGTACTGTAGATGGATAACTTGTTACTATACTCTCTTCAACAAAGACAATGAAACAATTAATTCATTGCACAAATATACGAGCGAAGAAAGGACGGCAAGTCGACGATGGGCGCCATTAGAGTTGGTATCAAGGTTCTCTATGACAGGGTCCCGTGCTGCCCATGATCTATTTGGTCTAACTACGGGAGATTATGTGCTGCCAACAGGCAAGGTCTCGCTGACCTGGTAGGTGTTTCAAATTTCAGTGCAGCGTTTTCGTTTCGTCTTACTTATTTGTATCAACGCGGCGTACCGTTTCTTGTGCTTCCTTCGTATTCATAGTTTACCAGGCGCAGTCTCGCATTTCACTGCTATCTTACTATCAACGTCCTCTGGGACACTCGACCCTCGATTCCCTCATTCTCTTTCCTAACTGCATTCCCGCCGTCGCGTCCGAGTCTGACAGTCTGACGTGAGGGACTTTGCGGATGCACCGTTGTAGTCATAGTATATGTTCGGTCGTGAGCAGAGTGGTTCCGCCTGCAAATGTAACATTCGGAAGGGCCAGAGCGTTCTACGACACCACCACTGCACCGCATGCAGATTTCGACCCGATGCTGCAGAAAGTTGGAAAATAGTGTTCCCTCTAGTACAAGACCCACTACACGGGCAGCGGGAAAAGTCATGTGAGATTTGTAAAAAGGATACTCACACAGCCAGATACCTGTTTAGCGTGTCAAAGGGCAAGTACCACGAGTATATAGTACTACAGTGAAAATAGATAATGTGGTGTGACAATTTCATTGACACAACACATGACCTTGCAAGCAAGGTGATGATAGAGTTAAGTAGACAGATATTTTCACGAGGATCGCTATCATCACATGTGGGACCAAAAGAACTGCTCGTTCAAGTTGCTCACACCCACTCAGTGCTATTTTGCACCGTTCGCAAAATTTCTATTCCCATGTCCAAGATGGAAGGGGTAGTTCATTTCCTGGTATTTTGGTATGGATCATGTTGTGCTCCTGCCTGGTGTCCTTGCTGCTGTGTGCGCAATAGTAGCAGATTGTTGTGCAGGGTCATGACTATGATTCTGAGGCTGTTTGGTGGAAGCACGGCGATTACGATAGCTTCTGTTTCGGTAGGATTTTCCAGCTAGTGAGTTCGCAGAAGCAGGAGGGACAAGCGGGGGACCCCGTCCGTCACGTGGAACAGTCTCGATCCTGACTCTGTCTTGTACTGTGAAATGGGATCCCGATGAAGCGGGAGTATGGCTAGCGGCACTCGTCGTTGGTTCTTCGGGTATTTTCTTTCTCTCTTTCGGTTCCTTAGGCGGAGGTGGTGGACCGGGATCGTAATGAGGGTTCTGAGCAAACCACTCAGAAACCCCAAGGTGATCTAGCAAGGAGCCATTTACGACGCTGAAGGAATAGTAATCTGGGGAAACTGTATTTGGCATATCTCGTGCCAAAGCGATCAACCGCGTATAGACAGTATATCCAGCACGTGCATCATTGGCTGCATCTGCATATTTGAGCAAAGATTTGAGAAGGCACAAGGTTCAAACATGTCGATACTCACAGTCTTGCTGCACAGGAGAAAGGCGAACCTCCCAATTGCTGCGTTGCACCTTTCCCTTCGCCAAAGAAAAATTCTCGTAGTTCTCAAGAAGGCGAGATAATCCAAGCGGATTGGTGTACTTGCCCTTCCATCGCGCGTTATCGACCGAACGTGCAAGAAGGGCTAGCTCTACACAGTTGCGTGTTGAAACGCCATGGTCCCGAAACAACTTTTGGCAATCGCCTGAAGACATCGTGAGATCTGTAGGTTTCCGAATCTTCCACTCGACGCACGTTGAATGCTAACACCAGCCTTGGGTCGCGATGGATCGTCGAGCAGTTCCCTCAATTTCGACGGAAATTCTGCGTGTAGAAATATTTTGAATTTAGCCATACGAGCTCACTGAAGTCTTGCTCATACCTGACATAGCGCTTACTTGTAGGAGTAAGATGCTGTCATGGCCAGCAAGCTGAACAAGCGCTACGCGGTTCTCCATCGCACCCTTCCTGTAGTTTGGGCGCCACTCTAGGTCAAAACCAAGAGGTCCTGGGGTCAACTGAGATAACGCGATGTCTGCGTCTCGGTGATCTCTGATGTATTGAAGTCTGGAAGTAGGGCTTTCCACCCGCCAGGAATAGCGTGGAAGCTCTGGACGTGGTACTCCACTTCCTACAGAGCCTTCTATATTACCAGGCATTATGATCTATTATGAGGTGTTGCTTGGGTGTCGCAGGGCTAAAGTTCGAACGTTCATCAGCTGCAAGTCTAAGCGCTAAACCCTTGAGCTTGATAAGCCTTATCAAGTGCAGTATTACCTAATTTATTTGTTCGTAATTACAGTGATCACACGGTCCTTTGTACACCACCACTCCTTTGTGCAGCGGTCATTCCTCACTCAAATTTGCATCGATTCATACAAATTTGACACCATTATATTCAGCTGATGTCCCTCCATAAGATGCACTCAAATTTTCAATAATTTCAACCAGTAGAAAATATATGAAGCAGTGAAAATTGTCCAAAATTGTGCATATGAAATCATTTCACCTCAAAATAAGTATAGCACCACAAAAGTTTCTCTAATACTTATCCTGCCGCGAAATCAATGTGACCGTGACCCCAATGAACATGTCTATGTCCATTCATTGTGGATAGTGCAAGCTGTAGTATGTTTTTCTTTGAAATTTGTCACGGCATAAGGCGGTGTGATAACTGTGACATAGTGTGACATATACGCCATATATAGTAATAATGTTCTGTCCAAACGAAGCGGGAATTTGCGTACAGTACACCCCCAGTTGTACAAATCAATGCTCACCAGCCACTTGACGAGAGCCAATAAAAATTCAGTGTAACAATGGCGAGATCATCTACTCTAGAATGTACCAGACAGAATTTATTGTAGTTCAATCCTTGAGTCGGAATTTCGGATTTCCTGACTTTATGTACAAAGGACCGGGTGATCACTGTATGTTCCTGTTTTTGCAGCAATTTTGCGGCTATTAAAAACCCCATCATTGCATGAGCCTATCAAGGTTCGGAGCCGTTTGGCGCTCAGAGATGCGAACAGCCGGACGTCAGACGTTGTTACGGAGGCGTTGTTTTTCGTGCCAGGGTGAGATCCCTTTGTGACTGACCACTAATCTCGTAAGTTTCAAGTTTTGCTTGGATTTTTGTGACGTACTGCTACACCGTGTGACAAATCATCACGTTTCCAAGTTGCAGTCCGTTCTGGAAGGGATAGCATAGGGTCATCGAGAATCAGTACTCAATACTCAGTCCCGCTGTTCGAACCAGAAACGACCTAGCATTGTGGTCGATTCAGTAGATCAGGCTGCGGAGGTCACGTTACGGGTGGCAGACTGGTAGATTGAAATTCTTGACGTGCGACAGCGCTAGGCAGCCAAGCTCGAGTTCAGGGTTCGCTGCTCCCAGTTATCAGATATGCCACACAGGATTTGCCAGACACACGTTGCTGTAATTCCCGTCGCCAGTTCTCACACAAGCGGGCGGGTCCTGAGGTGGTTCCATCATCCCGGTGCGTTCGGCACACCAGACCAAGATTGTACAGTCACACCAAAGTCCTCCGCAAAAAAAAACGGATGCATGTGGTGCCAGCAGTCACCAAAGTTATTTTGGCTTCCCCTCCCTGATCAATGGTGTTTATTGAAAGCCAAAAGCAAGGTCTCAAGAGCTGCGCTCCAAAGATAACTGTGCAGTTATGAATAGATTCTTGGCGTTGTCTGATCCATTATCTTGGTCATTAGTTCCGGCCATTTATCGGACGTGTCATTTCACTGCCATTTGTTGGTACTAGTTGCTGCCAAGCGTCACAGCGTGTCCCACAAGGGGTAGGAAAAGGTGAGAGATTACGAGAGCTTAATCTGACAAACAGTAATGCTAACCATACAGCACAATGAAAACAATAAGTAATGAAAAAAAAAACACAAAACAAGGGAGCTTGCGGAGTGGCTACAGTGCAACTCCAACAGAGCCAGAGGATGTGTGATGAGTGGTCTCTGAATGATTTTGGAGATCCTCTGGTACAGTATCTCTGCTAGGACCAGTGGAAAGCAATGACCCTATCGCCATCGATGCTCGGGATCGAGGCGAGTACTCTTCAGAATCACTCCGAGACGAGTACGGCGAAGGTGGTAAATCGCGAGAGGATGTGTGAGATGTACGTGATTCATAATGTGATGAAGGGGAATGAGATGAGCGTTGGCGCTTTCGAGGTGGTTGAGAGAGTTGAGGTGGTTCTCTCACCACAGGTAGTGGTTGAGGGGAGACACGTCCGTTGGACATGTCACTTGGATATAGCCCATGTTTTGAGTAAAGGGCTGGGGGTGGTAAAGAATGCGAGGGATGTGAAGGGCTTGCATGCTGGGCATCTGCTGCGGACATCTCAAGGAGGGTTCTGTGCAAGGAAGCAACAGATGCAAGTCGCTGTCAACGAAAAAGGGGTCAGCAACAGACAACCAGAAAACGAAGAAAGCCTTGCCTGGTCCTCAGCGCTCTTCGCATTCAACATGGCAATAAGCATATCTCGGTCACCGTCCCCTTTGGATTTGTATGCGCCGAGGATTTCTCTGAGGCTAGGAGGTGGTACCTGATTTACTGTGAGCATCTACCGGAGTATTACTCTGAGTTGCTCAAGGCTGACCTGCTCTAGTATTTGTGAACTCGACATGATGAGTCTCCTATAGTCTGCTTCAGCGGAATGGTAAGGTAAACGAGAGTAGTCTGATGTTGGGTAAGGAGGACTGGAGTTCATTTGGCGAGGGTGGGTTGTTAGGCGTCTTGCAGCGAGTGGGTTAGAACGGCGCCAACCGCAGACTTTTTGTAGGTGAGCCAAGTCCAAAATTCTATCTTTGACCAGACAAGCCAGGTATATTTAGAATGCCAAGCCAAGGTGAGGCTCGGACACCCGAAGAGTTGGTCAGTTCTATATTTGAACGCGAATCTGACGACGTGTTCCAACATGCAGGCCACGCTTGCTCCGGTTCTGATATTTTTCTAACCATAAAACGGGACAGTTAAACTACCTCCGAGGTCATCTTAAAGCTGAGAAGTTCGACCGTCCGACGCAAGAAGTAGAGACACCTTACTGACCTGTAGACACGTGGTGACGAAATAAACGGAGTACTAATTTTGTGGCTGTTACAAGAGAGTCTTGGCATCGTCTATTTATATAAGTCTAATTCCGTATATCGCAGGACCCCTGATAATATTTGCTTAAAAGGAGGGCCCCGGACTTGTGGTGCCAAAGGGGATAGGACTCAAAAACAATTTTTGTTCACATGATTCCACACGTACAATACTTGGCTACTAAGAGGGGCTAGCTAGTCCCCTTATAAACCCCTATCCAGCCTGGTCAGATTTACTCACTTGCAGAAATTATTTGCTGCTCCAATCAGCCAAGGTGTACCGTCTTGGGCAAGCTTGGAGGCACAGCATGGAGGCACAATATTTTGGGCGCTGTGAGTGACTATATTTGGTCATCGTTATCACGTGGTCGTGTATCACGTGATGTTTGTGAGCAAACTTGAAAGACTGCTTTATTGAAGTCAAGCTTAAGTTCGCTTCGAGGTCCTTTGGTTTCACCAATGCCACAACCTGATAGTGACGACGAATTTCCGGACGACATAGGCCAGCTGGACTTCAGCAATGTGCCAGGCCTCCAGGAACTTCCAAGCGCAACTTCGATCAGACCTCTGGATCATCCTCCACGCGTTGGTCCCGCCGTACCAGGGCCGCCATCGCAACCATCTCCATCATCCCTCCCTTCTGAGTACGACTGTGACGATGAGATTGACGAATATACCCTCGCTGCTTTGGATGCTCTTGAAGCCCAGTTCGCACATGATCGACCTCGACTCGGGGGTCAGTCAATCGTTAACTCTCGCAACCCCTATATTCAACTCGATACATACAGCTTCTCCTTCTACTACTCAGCCATTGAATGCTAGTAAGCGCAACGCCTTCCTTAGCTTTGAAAGATGTCATTAACAATCTTTGCTTTAACAACAGCTTGCTCTGGTATGTTTTGTTGGAAGCTGGTAACGTCTAAACTCTTACGTATCCTTTGTACCATCTACATGATATCTGAAAACCACTTCTTGTGAGTATATGCCGCAGATGTAATAGATCAACCTGAACTGACACAGTTCGTTCGCGTGTGCAGCGGTTCCTGATTTAGATGCCCGAAAGCGCGGACCACCATCACCGCAATCGTTACCTGCCAGTAAAAAAGGCAAAATAGTTGCTCAAGACAAGATCGAGACAACAACCAATATACTCGAGGGATTCGAAAGCGAGATTAATTGTCCAATGTGTGTACTGCTGCCCGCTCTACTTCCCTGCGAAACCGATATCTCAAAATACTCACATTTAGTTGCTTTGATATCATGCGAGTATTCCCATACTGCATCGCAATATTCGACGGTCATGATCTCATCTTCGATTTAGGGTCGCAGCGCACCTATGTAATCCTTGCGGCCACAGCTGCTGTGGAGAATGCGCTCAAGGGTGGGTCTCTCAGAATGTAAGATATTCCATCTTTTTGGGGGAGACGTTCAGTTTTTATGAGCCTTGCTGCAGAAAGCGTCTCCAACGTGTGCTGTATGCCGCGCTGTGTTGTCCACTTCCAAACCACTTCTTCCCAATTATACCCTTGATGCCGTAGTCCAGCAATATATACGTGCTCTTGCCGTCAGCGGACGGTCAGAATGGCAAGACAAGGGCGGCAAATTAGCAGAGTGGAGGAAGCGCTACGAGTAAGCTCATAGGGCCAATCGGCCAATCGCGTCGCTTCATTGACGCACTCGTCCTTTTCACAGAAAATGGAGGAGTATCGCCCAAGCAGCGGCAGCGAAGGCGAAAGAAAATCCTCGTCGTATACGACGCTATCAAGGCCCTGTCATTTCTTACATGCAACCTCTTGGAACGTATATGATTCGGGATGTTGATGTTGATGATGATGATGAAGATGAAGATGAAGACCCAACATATGAAGAAGATGAGCCTGTCGAGATTCTACCTCACCGAAGAGTACTGAGACGGCAGCGAACGTTCGTCTCATAGCCTATCAACATATCGTAAATCGGACCTCATTCAACATCCCTCATCGTAATTGCCACTTGTAGTATCCCAGCGTAGCTCATATTGTCTGTCATTCAATCGCAACATATACCAATTGGATGGCTTCTTCAGCCTTTGCTTGATGTTTTGCGGCTCTCGCATTGGTGTTCTCTGCATCCACATGCACCAGGTCACAACTTGCAGTTGGATCTTCGAGACAATCACGCAGGTGACTTATCTGCTTGAGTGCCTTATTTTACACATCGCATTAACGCCCAACACGTAAACTGACCTACAGTGCCCTGCAGTATTGATCGGCCCATCCGCGCAGTGCCAAGTGCCTCATTCACGAAGGCCGTCGGCATCTGCAACCTTGAAGCTCCTAGGATGCCTTGTTCACGCGCAGCCCTTCCTCAGGAGTCAGCACGTTCGGACAATTACAAATGAGCGGCTAAGCTTTAAAGCTCGCTCAATTTGTTGATGTGGCATCAACTTTCAAGTGATCGGAACTTTTCCAGGAATCCACAGGCGGTTAATAACCGACGGTTACCGATGGGCATGGTTTAGGTTGGGTTTAGGAGCTCGCATAACCACTAAGCGTATAGAGCCGTCTTCTCTGTGCTTCCGGTTATCATCAGTACTTGTGCAGTCATGTCCGATGCTCGAGTAGTCGCAACACGTCTTCAAACAATTAAGGTGAGTTTAGGAAAAATACTTCGACGGTCTGATTAAGCCCGATCTATGCTGCTCATGAGTCACATCAGGATTTTAAAGGTGGGCGCTCCAGCGACCAACAGTGACATGTGGCTAACTTAGGCTCAGTTGCTGGAGCTGCACTGCTGGTGGGTGTTCATTAATCATTGGGCGTGTATGTAAATCTTGCTGAGTTTCGCTCGCCAGGCATTTGACTATTGCATCAACACCGAGGCTGGGGTGATGATTCTGGTTCCGAGCTGATCCTGATGCAGGTCTCATTAACTTGGGGAAGGCCATGGGGATCTGTACGATGCTTGTTCATGCTGGCTCACTATCTCCCATTCATTGACGTCTCAATCGACATATACTGTTAGTTCACACAGCCTCAACGAGAGACTTCTCTGACACTACGTAGATTCATTCGTTCCGAAATCCCCTGCAAGGTGTGGGTACGCCCTCTGAGACTGAGCGTGCTTAATCCAGTGGAGCTGAACCCTCAGTGCTTGCCACTATGCCAAGCGGCATCGTGTTGGGCTGTCCTTGGCCCTCAGATAATTCACTCACTGCTATGACTTTGATTGCATCTTGCAGGGCTCAATGTATTTGGAACGATCGCTGCGGAAAGTACGTCGTATCGAGTCACTACTTGCACTGCTTTTGACAATGATGCAAGGTCTACTTTTAATACGCACATGGGTTCTTTTGGGGCGCGACAAGCGTGTTCTAGTAGGTCTCATCGGGCTTGCTGCAGTACATTCTAATGTTCTTCTGACATCCCCATTCTCATGAGTACTGTATCGGCGTGCACAGCAGGGTGTGGCGTTATCGGCGCCTTAGTTTTACGATCACTGAAATGTCCGCTGCAGTTCTTTGTTTCATCTACCACGCAAATTCCCTGATTCGGTTAACCTCACAGTCGCGCCACCCCCCTATCAACAACGAGATTCTATCAAGCAAGCAGCATTTCGCTTTACGCATGGGATTATATCATTCTTGCGGTATTTGAGATGGGTGAGCACTCATCTTCTGAACATGTGTGGACACTGCATGCTTATTACACGTTCCACGAAGCCATTCTGCTTCTGACCGGTTACTAAACATTCCATCACGGGCGAACCTCGTATGGTTCATTAATTACCAGGCTTCAGTGGGATGGTATCTTCTATGTCGTGTGCATATTAGGTGAGAACACTTTGTCCGCCACCTCCTACCTTCCACTCTTTCATTGATCGCGGAAACAATGTAGCTATGTTCACTTTGGACATCGTGGTGCTCAGTGCTCTTGTGGCAGGTGCTCCCCTCTGAAATTCCACGAATTTGCTGACTGGATTATTTGTTTTAGGTAGAGTATTCTGAACTCATTGATACGTGAGTCGCTGATCGAGAGGTTTTACCATGATTTACAACGCAACTCGAAGGCTGCAGGCCGTTGCACATAGCATTTTATCTTCACAACTGCTATTCAATCTAAGGAAGATCATAGATGAACGGGATGTCGTTATATTGACCCGGACCTCGCGGCCAGCATTGGCACCTGACTCGATACCAATCTTTGCAATAAGATCGGGCCAAACCACAGTAGTTAGTAGTGTTTGAGAGTCACGTTGGGAATTCAAGCTTCTTGTGAAGTAGGGATTTGTGTGACGAACTTTGCTGGTACACTAGAAGTACTGTAGATTATGGACCATGTGTTAATCAACCAAGCTCGAATTGGAATTGTCAAACTAAATATCAAATATCATCTTCGTATTCATCTCCGCTCCGGCCGTCTCTGTGACCAGGTCTCGATCTCGCACTGGTAGAGCAACTAAAGGTCGAGATCGACTGCGCAATGATGTCATCTAACATATCAGGGGGAATGTCGTACTCAGATCCTCGAACCACAATGGCATACACCGCTGAGGTAGCTTTCAGTACTTATTCGTCAGTGGGTAATAGAGGAGACGCTACCGTCCTCAATCTTTGCTAGAGATTGTGAGGTTACAGCCTGTTTCTTGGATAACTCCCTCACGTATGGAGTAAAGCGCTCGAAGTCTACTTATCCAAAATCACACCTTTGCACACTATTGTGAAGCTAATTGACTTGCCTGCCTTGCATTGCCTGACGAATGTACACACTTCTCTAGCTCGAGCGCGGCCGCCCTTCTGAGCTATTCCAGATATTGCAAAACGCATGAGTTCGCCAGTGACATCAGACAAGCCCAGTAAGTAATCTTCCCTCGGAAGAGTAAAATACTGAGGTTACGTCGTAGAGTGCAAAATTCAGTCATCTGAATATGATTCACGTGTAGCATACGCACAGATATGCCATTTTCATCAGAAAGGGAAAGCTGGACTTCTTCATATGACACCAGAGTGCCATGCTCGAGGTAGTGAGCAAAGCTCAATGCTTCAATATACCTGAAGTCAAAGGGATTCAATGTATATACCCAAATCATCATTTTGGATCCCACTCTTGGAGGCCGGGTGATATTGCTTTATGGTAGTGCCAGAACCGCTCAGCTTGTACCTCGTTCCTTATTTGTGCGTATAACGCTTGCACTTCCCGAAGCTTTTCACGACCGCGACGGACTATTCGTAGAGATGAATTATTGGATTCTTCTGATATTGTTCGGTGAAGTAGAAAGATGACTTTTTTTGAAAGGTTTGTCGCATCCCGGCTGATCTATGGAAGGGAGTCAAAATGTTCAGAAAGTTCCCAGTCGTTTCTTCCGAGAGCATGTAACCTTGATAAGTCGCTCTCTCCGGTCATGATGTTCGTCGAGTTCTTGTCGGAACTTATCGAATGCTTCGATAACACTTTCTCGATGGGTAGTTCCCATTTTAAAAGCGTGACAACGCGGGGAGGAGTCGCAACCAAGTTCAAGTTGTAGCCTACCGAAAGCCTGAATGTCACGTGTTGAGACAAAGCGGTGACTTGCATAAAAGTTCGTTAGTATAAGAGTTTTCATTGTCGTGCTCTTCACTGGCTCATCTTGATGGCTTTTGCACCGAAGCCTGGGTGTCCTATGTGTGGAATCGTGGCCACTGCAGCGGTTCATACCCCCGGTCAGTCCCCACGCTCACCCGGTGTCCCGGCTACCCCAGAAATACTTTGGAGAGATGAAAATTTTACCGCATACCGCGAGAAAGCGCATCCAGTATCTTCCAACGATCATATAATTATAGCGTTCAAGTACGTATTCTATCATATTGGATTCCTCAAGCGCTCCTCCTGATCCAATCCCCCACCCAGCCTGCATGTTCCATCGATATACACCCTGGTACGTAAAACTGTCAGACTTATCCGCGGCGAAGAATCTTACCAATTTTTTTTTGTAGTCTTCCAGTGACTTGCCTCTTCTTGTCAATGTCAGAAATATTGGCAAGAGACTTTTGAGCTCGTCATTACCACCCTCTTCCCCCCTCTTCTCATCCAGTAATAGTTCCGCACCCTCGCCACCTGTACAACGCACCGAATCTCAGTTCCGGATTGGCTTCATTACTCCGCCTTTCAAGGATAACAAGATTCCTATCACAGATCATCTTCATGCACACGCCTATCTGGCTCCTGCCGATCAGCTTGGTTGGTGGAGAGGTGTCGCCTACGGTCCTCTCGCGTGGTACGCTATCGATGATTTGATTGCTGAGATTCGGTTGGATTTCTTTTCGCGTAGTGTGCCTCTTTCAAACTGATTGTTTGCATCGTTAGGGAGTCAGTCTCGAATAATCGCGTTAAATCCGGATACGATAATCGGATAGACGCCCCGATAGACATGGTCCCCGAGGCTGGTGCGCGAACTGGTGCTGCCAATGGCGACGAACATACCACTTCCAGTCTAGCTGTCCCTGACATTGAAGATGGCCTCGCGTCCTTTAACCCTTCTAGCCCCAGAACTTCCTCTGCCTCTAGTTCCAGTGGCCACATACCCCATTTACACGTCTGACAAGAATATCACTTTCCTCTTTAAAGTGCCGGATATGCTTATCTCACATCCATATCAAGTCCTCGGACTAGACTTCCATCATGGACAAGTGGACCTTATGTATCGAGTATTGGAATTGCTTCTCTAGCCTACTTAAGTACATACGATTCAGTGTGTAAATATTCAACATCAATGAGATTTGCTTTGTCATGATCTGCAGTGATAGATCCGAAACCTTCAAATTTCAAAAATCAAGCATCTGGCGAAGCGTCATGATTGATGGGAATGGTCAGACTATAAATTGCCACTCACAATACGATGATCCGGTCAGTAACGTTGACAGAGCTGCCAGCTGATCATCGGTAAAGCGCCGCGAGTCTTCGTGCCAAGTGTCTTGATGCGTCTTCCTAAAATTGCTTGCGCACCTGTGTATAGTTGTCGAGATTGGAATCTGTAATGCAGGATATCAGAACAGCCCGGCAGGTAAATGACTTTGCTCACAGGATCGTGTGCATGCTCTAGCATCACTGTCGTCAAGAGCCCTGGCATCCATTTCTCGATAGTGTACGGGAAACTGTCGATGAGGGCACATATGCCGATGATAGCGGCGTGCCGCTGACGGATAGCAATATTGTAAACAGGCGAATCGCGATCAGGGAGCTGAATTTTTCCTGCCAATTTGACAAATCGATCCTAGACCAAGAGTTGATAAAATCGAAAAGGTCACATATGACAGCCAACCGCACCTTCAAAGACACAACGCTGCGCCTCGGAGATAGTCGAAGTATACCAGACAAGGTGCTGAACGAGAGTCAGGAACGTTTCGAATACAGATCCCGTGACTTACGTTCCAACCATCTCTCGCACTTCCACGACTTCGTCATCCAAACATTGACATAATATCTTGAATTAATCAGTGGAGGCGCAACATAAAGCAGCAGATTTAGTTACATCTAGAATGCCGTTGACTTCGCTTTCACTGATGAGAGGAAGTTGTCGGAAGTACAGAACTGGGTAATGCTATGTCGTCAAGCACCAGACCAAAGTATCAGCATTGAACTCACCCTGGAGAATGGGCAGGGCCTTCAAGCGAACCTTCCACGACTGCAACTTGGGGTGAGTCTGGCACAGTCACGGAAGACTAGTAAATGTCCTACAGGTGACTTCTGGATGGCGGAGAATATAGTGCTCAATAAAGGGCCGATCATTGATTGCGGAGGAACAACACCACACATGCGAACAAGGAGTACGTTAGCACGCCGTGCTAGCTCCTCATTATCATGCACTGAGGGAACGTTTTAACATCGACTTGCATATATCATCAGCAACGGTACCTTCAGTGAAACGGAACAATTCAGGCTGAAGGAACCGTATATCAGGAATCCCTGGGCAGCCGACGATAGACCACGCACCATAAGAGGCAAAATATAGTCGAATGCAGATATGGCATCAGTACTGTGGACTGACTGGAACAGCCATCGGCAAACGACGATCCCAACTCTGAAACTATTCAGCGGTCACTTAAGAAGTATGAAATAACATCTGTTACCTGTCGTAGGTTGACTGGTGGGCTATCACACCTGGTAGCCGCTGTTCTCTCCAAATTTTGAAGTTCTCCACAAGCTCGAGAACTCTGCTCGTGTGATAGGTACCAGATATACCCATTATGTCGACATCATCAGTCAGTTCTCGGCATTCCCGTACGAAAGATTCGACATCAAGAGACGAGGGTTTGGGTTGCCACTATTCATTAAAGTCAGCAATCTACTTAGCGGGATGCAGAAATTGCTTGCCTTGATACCATTGCAGAATGCCATCAACTCAGCGACATGGGACCTTACCTATTGATATTTATTAGTATCATCATCGCAAATCAAAACGTGAAAGCACTAACATCGTCGTGTTCACTGTGAACCTCGCGCCAAAACCGTTCCAAGGTGCTGTCCGACCAAGGTGTGAATTTCCACTCTAATTCAGTGTAAAAAGCCCGAAATAATGCCAGGACTTTGATAGATTCCAGAGATGATGGTCCATTGTAGTCCATGCTGTTGAACTGCTCAACAATGTGCTCAACAAGTGGTTGGAGTCGCCGAGGGTCTTTATGGTAGAACATGTACTGAGAGTCGTTTATCCAAATGTGCGAGATTATAAACTCTTAGTCACACACCTCGACAAACGAAGTCCAGATGGGCACAGTTTCTGTCGTCATGCTCTGACCTAGCGTCTTCTTGATGTAAGGCGTGAACCATTGCCAGATTCGATCTTGGGCCTCTTGTGGCCAATGTTTGGAACCTGCAAGAGTCAACATATAAAACATTTGCATTATTAAGTGGCTTACCATTCAGAACACCAGCCAATAGTTCTGCCGCAGCCCTTTGCTTGTTCTTCTCCTGATCGGCTAGTAATATCTCTAGTTCGGGCTTCAACAGGTCCCAGGGTTTGTCACCCAATACTTGGACTATCTCGAGATTACAGAGGCTGATCATGAACTAAGATTGGACTTACATATTGATTTAACACATGATATATGGTCTTGTACCACAACAGTCTCGTGGTTTTCTTCGGCAAAGTGCCCAGAAAGATTCTGCCAGAAGTCTGCATTCACTGTTACTTCACGTAGGCAAGATACAGCTTCTGCGCTTGACGACTCCCATTCGAAGGTGCTTTTCAACCCATGAGGTGGTTTGTGTGTTGTAAGCGTTCCACTCCAGGCGAGCCAGCCTTGAAGTAGTGTATCGCAATATATACTTCGGGGGAGTGAGTACTTCTTAGAGTCGCTTAAGAAGGACCCACCTATTGAGATCAAGAGTCTCCGAAGATCTAATGGGGACCTGCGACCTGAAGTTGGCGAGTATCTCAGCGGTTGGCGAGTATGACCCTTTGATGGGAATGTTGCATCGGAGTGGGTTGATTGGGGAGAAAAGAGCTAAAGCTGCTGGATCTCGACAGTATGATCGAAGCTTGATGTACCTGAGTGCTTTCATGATACCTCTTTGTGCATACTGATACGTACAGCAAGTCAGTTTGTGACTAAAATCAATGCCAGTCATGATCTCACGTAGCGCTAATATTCACGAAGATGTCAACGACATTACAGGGAGCGATCCACAGCAACGCACCATGGTAGGATTGCTATCACATGCTTGCTCTAAGAAAATACGAAGATGAGCAGGCGAAGTTGGTGCATCTCGACGCAGCAAAGTGCGGAGGATCCTGACTGCCACTATCGCATAGCGCCAATGTGTTGTGGTGTCATTGGCAACTTCAAGAACCGCTCGAGTCTGCTCAAATCCACAGTGGTGAGATATACCAATAAAAGATATTAACATTGCCCACCGTTCGACCATATTCTTCATTCATCAAACGCACACGTTCGATGCGCTTCTCCCGGGCCCGGAGAGTGATGGAATCTTCTGTCTTGTTAAACGACAAGCACCTTTTCAGAGCAAGTAGGGCTTCATTAAGGGCAGTATTCTCAATGTCATAAATGAGGTAGCAAGGCTCCGAAAAGCTTCCTAGACCTTGAAGCAGTTTTATGAATAAAAGGAACTAGAGGAGAAAGCAGTTCTCACATGTATCAGTTACCGCGGACACACAATTTTGGATAGAAGGCTGAAAAAAGTCGTCACCCAATTTGAAGAGGAGCAGAGATAAAAAAAAGTACCTTCTCATTATGGTGGCACCCAAGGAGCTGCTGAATCATCTCCGACACTAACGTTGGTTCTGAAGAAGGATGGGTCAAAGCTACTTCAAAAGTCATCCGTATTACTAACCAGATATTGCAAATCGCCCTGAGGAGATGGTTACGTGAAATCCACAACTATCAAGAGGCATGACTCACCAAAGGATGCTATATTCAATGTCCACAGTGCTCCTTTCATGCGATCGTCGTCAGTACCAGGCTGTAAGGCTTTGTATAGTGCCGGAAGAACTCGAAGACGAAGACCATCGTACACCTGCACATGTGACAATTATACGCCCGTGACACCCATATCATGTATAGACGCCTACTGAAGTTAGAGATTCAAGCAAAGACTGGCTTGATCTTAAACGAAAGGTTGAATTTTCAAGGAGGGAGATGGATTGGGGTTTACTCACTGCCGCACTGTGAGCACGTGAGATCAGTCAGACGTATTCATAAGAGTAGGAACGATTAATAACCTGACGGATAATGCCACATAGACCATTCAACGACATCGTCCAATAAGGAGTTCTCAAGCGGACCTCTAGCTCGCTCGATGGAGTTCCAGTATAGCCGAGAGGAATGATAGAATCTAGCACAGGTAGAATTAGGCGAGCGAATGACAGAAAGAAACATGGGTGGTGGTTCACCGAGCTCTTCGGACCAACACTGCGCGCGGCCAAACCTTCTGCCCTGAATATTGACGAGCGACATTGATCTCTGAGTTGTACTGATCGTAGTTTACACTGTAGCTGCGCAATGTTCAGTAACGTCCACAAAAGTAATATCACATTACAGACCTGTCCTTGCTGTCACCATACTCGAGCAAATAGGTGCGGATTGAACCGATCTTCAGAAGTGTGAAAGGTAGTTCGTGAGATACCAGGAGAGTACGTACAAGCATCTGTACTGCATCAACTGTGTTCTCCTCGCCTTGTTGTTGCAGCGATAGGGACGCAGCGTGCAAAAACTCTCCGAATCGACGCCGAAGTCCAGTAATGTACTTATACCGTGTATCTTGCGGGTCTGTGAGGCAAAACCCGGAAGCCAGAGGCTGGACCGATGCAATCATTTCAGGGATTTCATTACTGCGGACAGGTTAGACAAACACCTCAAGTCATTGCCGCGAACATGACGTACATAATGTCACTTGTGGTGAGCATGGATTGCATCACGTCTGGTGATATAGTTTCTTTAAAAAGTGTTGGAATTCCGGTGAACGCTTCTTGGACAAAACTAAGATAACTAATCCGAGGCATAAGATAACGTTGATCGATTAGTTGCTGTAAACGCACCGACAAAAGTCATTCCTCCAAATGGCATCTCGGGACGCTTTGCTTCTTGTCAGTATAGGGTTAAAAGACGCTGCATAAACCTACAAGTTTCAAGCAACAAGTCAAGGCGAGTCATTGCAGGTTCGACCAACTCGCGGAAAAGTTGGAGCGCGAAGTCAATCTCTTCGGCACTTGGGACATGCCATGTGATCTACGGTGCTGAGCATTTGAAACCTTTGCAACTGCCAAATACCACGCACCTTGACCTCATGGGGCTCAAATAACTTGCCCCAGTATAAATGATGGTTTCTCTGAAAATCTGCAGGTACTTAGTCGACGTATCTTCAAAAGACAAGCTGCAAACCTTCATCGTTCCATTGTTCGGGGTTGACGAACTTGTTGTCGATTGGGTAGGTATGAGTGAGTGTGATCAATGCGCTGGAGAGTAGCTTTCCGCTCCAAGTGTATCCCCGTTTCGAGAAAGTTTTGTCGCGTAGCAGAGTTAGCAATGACAAGAGTTCGCCCTTGTACTTGAGAAGCTAAAAATGACATTAACTTATGCCCGAATAGTTGAGATAGGATAACTAACTGCTGAGCCATCGCTGTTGAGGTGTTTGTTAGTGCATGTAAGGTACTTGGGGAGAGAACGCACTTATAGACACAACCACGAAGAATGGCGAGATCTATAATGTAAAAAGGACGTTAGCCCTCAACACTGGTACAGTTATGTTGAATACCTACTCCAGTGCAGAGTTGCATCTGACGGAAGCGGCAATGACGACGATGTTGTCCTCACTGAGCTAGCGCCATGTTCTATCTCTGTACGGATGTTTGCCGCACAGAAGGGTAAGAACTTGGCCAGAGTCTTTGCGGGGTGGGCGTTCGCAACACATTCTACTAACTGATGTATCGCACGGACAGCATTAGAACGAACATTTGTGCTTGCGTAATCGAAAATCATGTTGAGCACGAGGTCGAAAAGTGAATTGGATAAGTGAACGCAGATTTGACTGCATGCACCAGTCACGGCGTCCACCACTTGTACTGAGGAGAAACCGATCAGTTGATGGAAATATCCACGTGAAGTCAAGGTACCTTCCGTGGTCCCTCCGGCTGACCCATTCACTCCTTCTTCCGGGAGGTTCTCAAGTAGCTGGATAACGCGACGTATGAAGCTGGCTACCCAGCTCGCAAAGCTGGCAGTGCTATCTTTGAGAAGCGCGTCCTCCACTTCGTTGGGCAATTTTAATTCCATAGCGTCCTCCGGGCTATCATCTGGAGTGATTTGACCGGGAGATTTCCACGCCAGAAGCCTCTGAGCCGTCGGAGGATGTCACGTCTCCAAACATGATGTACTGTGATACTTCCGAAAGGAATGCCGTCGTGCAAAGCTTATAAATAGGATATTAGATAGGGACAACATTGAAAGAATATAAGCTACCGTTTTAGTTGGGTCATTCTATATTTAAGAAAAGTGAGAGGGTGGTGTCGAAGTGAGACTAGCTACTTACAAGATCAATACCAGGTATGAGCAATTGCAGGATGGTGATCAAATGCTTAGCACCTGGATAATAGATGTCTCGAGATACGATTGCGGGAACAATCGAGCTCAGAGCCTTGATCACGGATAGGGTACGCTGCGTCTGAGGAACTTTGAGGAACGAGCAATTCACAACGGGAATAACGGTACCTCAACAAGAGCCTCCAGTGAAGGGATAGCTCGTTCCAGGATTGGCTGGAACACTAGGTCGGGCTCCATACATGACATGGATTTCAGAGCGCTCTGAACATTTGAAACAGTGGAGTTATCTTGGGAGAAGATGGCAAGTAACACAACAGTCCGGAGGCATTTAACTAGCTCTCTTTTCATCTCTTGCGTGAGCCGTCGAGTCTGAACAGCATCTTCAATTCTTCGTTGGTTAAAAAGAAACAAATTGCGTACCATAGGCGTTTTGCAGTCGGGCAGTTGCTCTTCGTGCCAGCCTTCCAACTCATATGTTAACAATACGCTAATGAGCACAAAGGGAGCTCACGTTTGTTGAACTCATACACGATGTACTTGACGAAGGCAGTGAGCTATATGACATGGTCAGCAATCGTAGCGTCATCCAATAGCTTAGCGGAAATTCAAGTCCGATGGGAATGAACGACGAACATCGGATGTCCAACTTCCGGAGTTGGTGGGATGGAAGAAATGTTCCGTGGAGGCAATGAGACGTGCAAGCGAATCCAAAGCTTTAGAACCACCCAAATACAGCTTCGGTGGCTCCCACTGATGAAGCGGCACTGTAAGATAGTCGCCGGTGGAACCACTGACTTGAGGCGTGCTAACACCTGAAGGCACGGGCGTATACCACGGCGTAGGTGCAGTAGAAGCAGGTGCTTTTGCACCATCAGGAGCTATAGAGTACACGATAAGTTTGGCGAGAGATGCTAATACGAGATATTAGAGGGGGTTTGTACGGGGTGGAAACTGCTTACGGATACGCCAGTTTGCTTTGGGCAGTCTTCCGATTTCAAAACTTGAAGAAGTGTCGGCATGAGGTCCCGTGGTAAGTGACCCAGCATCCTTCAATTGGATTTCTACAAAAGGCACCGATAGTCAGTCAGCCTTGATTGAAGACGTAAATTATCAATGGCTGCCCACCCATTGAGGCAAGACATTTGCACATAATAAAATGCCACTCGTGCTCAGTGAATATTCCAACGTCCTTATAGAGGCCAGACCACGTCTGTCCTGCATGGTAGTCATCCTGTTTCCACTTTGGTCTGCCCTCATCTTCAGACTTCTCATCATCGGGAATATCATAAATGCGAGCAGGATCACTGATGGTTGGATCCACGTGCATCTCTGCGAGGCGTGATAGGAATTGCAACATCCTTTCATCGTACATGTAGGAGTTGACGGACTCCCACAAACGACATAACATAGGGAGATACGATTGTGGATGTGTCAATGGTAAGAATGTCAGAAGATAGTACTGTGACGAAAGAAGGCTCTGCAGAAAAAAATTAGGAACGTGTGGCTATCCTTGCTGGAAATAACGTACGTCTAAGTTGGTCCCATTGATCCCTGGCAGGAAAGTGCTCAGCATCTCTTCAATGGCCGCGGGGTGAAAGAATCTCCTGGACATATCAGCAATGTATCCCATACACCACGAGAGTTGGCTACGTCTACTGTTAGATAGCGTCATGATCGAAGAGCAAGGGTGACGTGCCTGTACTCGAACTGCCGTCGAGTTAAGAACAAGTCTTTCCGAAGGATGTCATAGATAGGCTTCCAGGGAAGTCGCATATCGTCAATGCTCAGCTTCTTTTTCGAACGAGTCAAATTTGACAAGCCGTCTGCGCAGATGGCCATGACTTGCGTGGGCATACCAGGGGTCGTAGCAACATGAAAATACAGCTTCGCAAGGCGAATGCGCTTCTCCTTTGGAAATGGGTACTTGAGCATATTCCAGCTACAGTGCCCGTAAGAAAAACTGCATTTATTGGACGGATTACTTGGTGTGCTCACTAGGTGACCATACTGTCCCACTGGACGAGACCCGGTTCAAAGTCCTTCGCCTCCACGCATTGCGTTATACGCCGTAGAATAATATCCAACATGTCCTGCATCTGTGCACTGGATTCAATTGCATATGGGATGGATTTAGCATAAAGCTCGAGCTTCTGCATATACCGGTCGGTCGTGTTGTTGATGTCGTCTGGAATTTCTGTCTGGTGCATCTCAGGATCTGGATCATCCAAGGCTAGGCGGGACACATCTGGAATGATAGTCATGATGTTGTTAACAATTTGTCACTGAAGGTAATCTGCAAGAGAAATAGTAGTAGTTGGTCCGTTCAGAAAGTTGAAAAGCAAGCGCGTGAGCTAAAATCACCCATGTCAGGGCTGGATCCACCATGTCTTACCACACCCTCCGAACTGCTCATTTGATAGTACTAGTACTTACGTGCGACCAGCTGCAGCTTGACGCTACAGCGTAATAAATGAATGTCATTATTACTGACGCTCCTTAAGGCACGTCCCTGGTAAAATGTAATATATGCAATGTGACCGCTCATCCGAGTCGATGCATTGATCACATTAGTCCATAGCAACGCTGAAGGCTGCATCTTGCAATTCCTTCACAGCCTTCTCCCGCACCATCTCCCAGATGGTATTCCGTTGTGCACGAGTATCTCCAAGGCCCTCCCTAATCTCCTGAAGCCGCTCGACATACTCCCTCCCATCGTCCTGTAGCTCCCGCAGAGTTGCTAGGGACTTCTCTAGACTGTCCTGTTGCATCTCTGGAGAAGTAAATTGTGATGGGTCAATCACAGGTGGACCATTGTTAGCATACGAAACCAGGAAAAGCTTATGAGATGTGGGGGTGAGATCTGGAGCGCGGGCTATCCTGCGTTCCTGTTCGTCTTCTTCGTCTCCAATATCTTCCTGCTCTTCTTGTTTTGGGATCACCCGCTCCTCGTCTAACTGTTTGTCTGGGTCTTCGCTGATGACCTGCCAGAGCCTTCCCAGCGCACGTCTCATGACCGCTTCTCCTTCAATAAGACTATTGGTGGCATTTTCCAGCTCGTCCAACAAACTTGACCGGAACGAATGTGTCACAGACTTATCCATAACGAATGAGGCGAAACTGAAATGCTGGCCAATAGGTGATGGATAGGGTGCGACGAGTGGTGGTGAAGGCGACCTCATGTGAGGGAGACAAGGCGGGGAGGTCGATCTTCTTTCGGGTAAGAGACGTTTAATGCGTTTACGGGCACGGTCCTCAGCCTGGTTGAAGGTTAAGAGTGTCTAGAGTAAATAACTTAGCTCACCTCCCAGTCGTCCATGCCAGGGCCCCATGCAGCCATTTTTCCTTCGCGAACCCATCTGCTGCCTTTCTTTGTCTTGTTTCCCCAGTTGCCACCCACTGTGCTGACTTCCAAGTCTTCGTCATCTGAATTGAAGCCTTGCGAGGGGTAATACCATGCGTTGTGATCATTGAGGACCAGCAGACTAAACGGGACGTGAGATCTCTGAAATACACGCGTATTCAGAGCTAACCTCATTTCTTCATGGGCTCTTTTTTGTGCACTTTGCATATTACCTGTTGAACGTCGAGGGTGTAGATACTAGAAATCCACAAGATGATCACTGAGAGACCGGCAATTTCCGGTCTCTCTTGAATCGAATTGAAGACTCAAAAAGGTTAAGTATGGATCGCAAAGGTCTAGACAAAGCCGCTACTTCAAATTGCGGGGGTGACTGGGATGTATACGCGAGGAATACCGTTCAGATGTTCAAGTTCACCATGCAGAAAGGGACATTTGCGAATATGCTGTTCAAGTTGCCACTCATCCTGAACATACGAGCTGCCACTGGAGCAGCGCCTAGCGCCAACAATGCGCACAATGAAGGTCCCAATAGCCGAGTACAAGTAAATACATCTGATCGACGATGACCTGTCCGCTGCGATCAGTTGCATTTGGAAATGGTGATGCCGCAGCCAAAATACCAGTGATTGCGAAGAAATGTCGATATGTAGATGCACGTACATATACAAATCGTCAGCCTACTTATTACATAGTGAAGGGATCTCCCTTGTTAACTAGTCTCCTGACGGCAGGATTCTAGGACAATTCTGCTTGCAACTCTGAGGCTGTCCTCCGAGTTTGTGGTAGTGCACTGCCTTCCTTTCTTGCGACGCTTGCTTGCTCAAAGCTTTGCATTCCCTCTAGACCCCACCTACCCATCATTGCCTTGTCCTGAAATATAGTTGTTCTCGTCAGTTGCATGCAATTCTGGAAGGAGGATGGATTACCTCGTCCCATGGAGAACCTTTGTTCATCATCATCAGTTGCCTGCTTTCACAGAGAAAAGACACGTACATGGAGTGGTCAACATCTGTTCTCCCGTGAATACAGCGTTGGCGCCTGCCATGAAACACATGGCCTGCTCAGATTCACTGAGCGTGTTTCTCCCCGCTGCAAGTCTAATTATTGTTCCTGGAAGGACAACACGCGCGGTGGCGATGGTCCGCAGTAAAGTATGATGGGGAACCCGCTTTGCATTCAATATATCAGCTAGAATATGAGTATGAATGAAATAAGCATACCTCATTTCCTTCAAGTGGAGTGCCTGGTATGGGTACGAGTGCATTGACAGGGAAGGATTCAGGATGTTCCGGCATGCTTGTGGAAAAAGGTCATGAGTAACACTCGAGCGGTCAAGCACAAACGTACTTAGCAACTTCCTTAATCAAGCCGACGCGATCTTCATCTGATTCTCCAAGACCTAATATACCGCCAGAGCAGACGCTAATTCCAGCATCTCGGACTGCGCTGATGGTGTCCAGGCGCTCATCGTATGACCGCGACGTGATAACCTGAGAGATAGATGCAGGACATAATTCCACAATATAACGCGTCACAAACCTGCGGGTAAAATTCACGCGACGTATCCAAATTGTGATTGTATGCAGTGAGGCCGCTGTGCCGAACATGAAATTAGTTGAATTCAAGAGGTCGGGGGATCGGGACATACGCCTCTTTCAACTGCTTTGCTTGTTCTGGAGTGAGCATGCCGAGAGTCGTGCACACTTCCATCCCCATGCCCCGGACCTCTCGGACCATTTGAAGAATTCTTTCGAACCCTCTCTTGCGTCCTGCGAGGTCTCTCCATGCTGCACCCATGCAAAACCTTGTGCTTCCATTCTCCTTGGCCTTTCGCGCTGCTTCGATGACAGGTTCAATATCAAGCAATCGCGAGGCCTTCGTCGGAGTGGAATATCTGGATGACTGAGAACAGTATGAGCCTGAGTAAACGTGTCAGATGAGTGCAGTATCGCTATTCGGCAGGCTCCCTACAGTCCTCAGAGCATCCACCAGCTATAGTGGAAGGATCAGGACAGTCTTTGAGGGGATAGAGCGGGACAAAGCGTACTCTTGATGTTCATAAGTGTGCATAGCTGGATCTTACTAGGGTCATGATTTTGACGATGGATGCTGCTGGCGCGGAAGACGAGGTCTAACAGAGGACTGTCGTAAATCTTTTGGATTTCTTGTCGCGTCCAGTCATGTCTTAGCAGTCCCGAGCTGCGGGGGGTATGCGCTACAGTTGCAAGTGATCTACTGAATCGAGGAGTAGTGAGTCGAAGAAAGCCAGCACTAATGTTCATGATGTCAAGGGAATGTTGTAGGCCTGAATATAAGGAGGCTGAACTACAATGTATGTAGATCTATATGTGTTGGTCGTTGTAATCGCGCGTATCGGTATTTAGAGTTTGCTATCACCGAGACCTCTTTGCGGAGAAAAGGTGCGGTGGTAATTGTCGGAATTCCGCGAAAATCTCGCGTGCGGCTCGAGGGCGGAACGACTTACGACTCTCTACTTTCATGCCACGGGATTTCTGCGATAACAACATATCAGTGCAATCTCTATATGCTACAGTAAGTTCATGCGCAACAGATATAAGTGGAATTACAAGGGATGCAGTTGTTTTATGTAGTGTCGTACCAAAAGTAGTATGTGCCAGGTAGGTATCAGTGAAAAACATCATATATGGAGCTGGTGTGGTTTTATTATTATCTGGGGCTAGGCTGGGAGCTGCTTGATTTTAGATACCATTGCGGTATGACGTTGAGCTCACCGGAAGAGTCATCCTCACCACTGAGGCCGACCGGCTGCAAGCGAAAAAATTCCAAACTTCTGAACACCTTGTCATGTTTTTTTGTTGCCCTGGCCGACTTTGTCCGTCGGCTGATCAGCAGCTCCAGCCGACGCACGTCTGATGTTCTTTTTCTCCCGCGCAGCTGATGGTCCAGGGGAAGCCAACGAGATGTCGCGCATGGCATTAGACAAGTACGCGTCCGACCCTTGCGCATCTATTGTCTTCCGTACCGCTGTCCACTGCCGGAGAGTGTACGCCGCTAATTCACGGGAATAGTGTAACTTCTGTTGTTCCAATGACTGAGTCGACATGGCTGAAAGATGGGACCAAATTAAATGATGAAGGAGCGATAATGAGAATTTGAGTGACTAGGAGAGAGATCGGCCTTATATATACCTCGCTGAACAATACTATCCCGCAATCGTCTTGACCGTCACTGACTCTGCAGGTTTTTATTTCACCGTCGGTGCACCATGACGTTTTTGGAGTTGGCATTGATGTCAGTATCCCGACACTTGATCGAAGAAACTCCGCCGACTTGACGCGATGACGCCATCAAGGACTTGGATTTTTAACTCAACGCCAAGTCACTTCCTAGCTTTCGACAACATGGATAGAGGACCATTGAAGCTTAGAATGCTACATGGGCGCCTAGCGCGATAAAATTACAAGAAAGCTATGGTACCTAAAATGCAACACTACATAGGGAAATCGATAGCTAATGAAAGTGCAATGATGAAAGCCATGTCTGAAAACGTTACACAATCGATCTGAATCAGGGATACGAAACAAAAGTAATAAATGTAGTGCAAATGGTATGGTATGAATTAAATGGTATGGTATGATAAAGGAATGTCCGGGTTATCGTTCGTGGGGTTTTCGGGGCATGAATGGGCGTACAGGTGATAGTGCGATCTCGTGAAGAACTTCGTCAGCAACGAGTAACTAAGGCAGGCAGGCAGCCGTTTATACACGACGCCAAGCAGAAGCAGACGGGCCGCTCTTGCCCTTGGAAGATGCTGCGCCAAGCATCACACCACCGGTGAGGACAGTGGTCTTGCCACCGTCGTAGGGGGTGACTTCAGTCTTGGAGGTGTCAACAAAGACACGAGCCTGCCTTGCCCTCTCGCGGCGGGAGAGTTGGGATGACTGTTTGTCACTGTTAGACGACAGGGTAGAGGCAGTGGTGGCAGAGAAACAGGAGCCAGAGTCGGACGAGCGATAGCTAGAGCATGAATCGGTAGAAATAGCAGAGAGCGGTGATTCAGAACGTGGAGGGGCAGGGAAGCGGTCAACGACAGGGGTCATCCAAGTGGGCGCACTGACTTCGTCAGCGATCATGGCAAAAAGTTCTTCGTCTTCTGTGCGGTCATTTTCCAAGAGCTGCTGGGCAAGTGACTTGGACATTGGGTAGTTGGATGGCACGCGGGTGGAATGTGTATGGTGCGCCACAGAAACGGCCTGAACCATCAGCTCTTCCGACCAGATGGTAATGAGCTTGGTGCCCTTCCCAAATCGGACAGAGATGCAACCTGGATCAACAAAGAAGTCGAACTCACGTCCGCCCAAGGCCGCAATCCAGTCGAACCACTGGACACCGGATGCAAGGCACGCGGCATATACGGCACGTGGAGGGAGGCAAGTAGGGGAGAGAGTGAGGCAGCGGCGGCCGGAACCACGGAGTGGTTCCTTGGGAGCCCATGTTGGGGCGAAGAGTGCAGTCAAGTTGGCTTCAAGCACAAGCTGAAGTCTGATGATGGTGGCAGCAGGGTGCGTAAGGATAAGAGGACGTGTGAGGTATGCAATAGCCTGAGCAAGAGTGACGGAAAGGCTGGATGCAGTCATGATAACAGTTAAGAAAGCGATTGGAAAGATTGGATAGATGGTAATAACAGAGATCGTCCTGCGATGATAGATGCGGGAGTAAAGCGCGCTAAAAGGGTACGTGAGAGTGTGATATAGTCTCAGCAGTACCAATGAGTTTTGATTCAGACTGAGAGATCGAATATGAGCAGGAGACAGAAACGTCTAAAATGATATTAATATCAAATAATGCTCTCATAAAGCAATAAAACTAGCTCACCTAACAGACTAAATTCCAAGAAGGGGGTCATAAAGCATGTCAGCAGAAGAGCAAACGGACTGAGACAGATCACGAACCTGGCTGTAAGGATCAGAAAGTGAAAGTGAAAGTGACTGGATTGTCAAAACCCGGATGGAGGGCATGAGATGTAATAGACCTTAGCTTTATATGCATGCCAAGGTGCAGGCGTAAACAAAGGGCCATGATGCCAGCGAAGCGCCCTCCATAATGGTCACCAGGCGAGAACAAAAGGACCATGAATACTTGCCTTTTTTGAAAACAATAGCGGGACGCGCTTAACCAGGTTTAACCACGTGGTGACGTAAACTTCCGCCCCCAAAGCGACTTCACATCTCAGTATCCTTATTGTTTTCATCTTCGCATCATTTTCCTTGGTCCGGATCAGGGATGTCGACGTCAAGTCAGCGCACTTATTGTTCGTTTTCTATTACTGTTCACTGTCTTTTCGCATGTCCAATCAGCCATGCATCAACTTCCTGCAAGTGGTAAAGCAAGACTGACCGAAGGTATGGCATCGAGGTTTGATGTTTGTCACTAACCTCGCTTTTGCAGGTTGCTTGTTCCGCCGGAAGAACCACATACAGCCCTCTTCATCTATTGTATACGTGCTCACGCCGGCACGTCACCCTTCACGCTCCTGTTCAAAGGTCATATTTGACTAATTTAGCGTGCTCCTGGGTTAATATGATCTCGATATTTCCTCTCGAAAATTTGACTCGTCTTACATGCATGATGTACTTTCTCATTTGAAGACGCACATGATCCGCGCGAATGATCGTGTTCCCGCGGGTACGTACTCGACCCTATTGCTTGTTACCCTCCAATGCACGACTGAGCAAGCGAAGCACTGCACTATGCGCCTGCCCAAACAGACATTGTGACACCATCCATCGGACGTTTGACGGCCAATTACGAGGGATGATCGATGATCTTTGACCGTCGAGTTCGAAGTAGTTTCATCTTTGGCTTTCCGCGTGGCGGTCCTTTCACAGAAAACCCCTATCCTGCTCAGAGCATCGAGAATTCTGGTGAGCCTCAACATTTGTTATCGTGATGGAATTAATTCCATGCTATCAGATGTCAACTGCCAAGTATGGTGCAGTATGCTGTCACTCCTGATTGTAGGATATCAGAATGTTCGCCCCAAGTTGGGGAAGGTGGGGCGTCTCGTCTGCATTCAACCTCGATCGTTCAGGCTAGCACTCGCGAGTCTAGTGTTCTTGCCAGCGTATTTGATTCCGAATACAGCCTGTTGCCTCAGAAGTGTGTTCTTCAGGGGATGATATCTCCGCAGTCATCTCGCCTCGCACAATTGTGCACTAAGTCCTGAAGTGTACCATTTTGTTTCTATGGCTGGGTGGACGGTGACGAATACATCGATCGTAGTGTGTGTAAGGAAATCTCTGTTCATGTCAGTTGGTTAGTAAATGATGTTAATGCAGCCTGCCGATGCACGAAACGAAGGATATTGTTGAAGAATCCTAACTGTACCGACAAGACGGAGAATATCCACAAAGAAAGAGCTTCACGTTCTAACCGCTCGCCCTACTCGATGGCGTGCTCGTCATGCACGAGCCCCGTCTGCAGGTAACGTAGTCCTCGAGATGCTGTACAAGATCCCAGAATTCATGCTATGTGTAAAGCTGGTATCGAGTACACAGCGAGAATACGAGTTCGACGGGGGAATGAGTAGATCACGAGAGATGAGTGAGTGAACGCAGGTCAAATCACTACTGGTACGGAAAGTACAGACATGCTTTTATATGTAAGGGAGTGGCTCGTCAAAGCGGTACAAAGGGGATTCCATCAGAGAAGTGGCTCCTTACACACGAACATTCTGCTGCCTTTGTCCTATAAAGTATAGAATCATTGAAGATGATTCGTACCGCCGAATACACATCTAAAAATCGTAAATACGCATATCCACCAGCTTGGCAATTATGTCCATCGTTTCATATACAGGTAGCGGGCTTATGCCACATACTTGAGTGACTGGCCCTACATCTTACGTGCAGGGTCTATAACAAATTCCGGATGTATGTACTCTAAAGCTTAGCCGCGGGACCCCGTATGTCAGCTCGCACCACGCCCTCTTGACAGGTGACCGCAACAAGGATGCCAGCACGCGAGTATAACTTAATTTACACAGCGTCAGAGATTCCAGAAAGCCTGTGAAAACATGAACACTACACACCCTGCCATGAACCACTGCTCTACCGGATGCGGCTCGAGGACAAACGACCTACGTGAGGGGGAAAATGAACAAGAATGACTTCTCAATGAATTAAAAGACACCTACCACGTAGAGCAAACCATCTTCACAACAAAATTTGTCGCTGACAGCAGCTGAGAACACTATGGGTCAAGTGATCGAGAGGAAACTTACCTATAGTACCATATGGAATGATCTAATGTAGACTAGGCGAAAGCTATAAGTAGATTGCGAGGAACAAATGGCACTGTACTCACGATCATGGTACGAGCATCAGGATGGTCTGCCCTCTGCTTGAGCTTAAGAGCATCGGATGCAACGCCAATACTAGACGCAAAACATGAGAATGTCTGCTGTGAGTCAACGGCTGCTTACAATTTTAGGTCCTGAAAGGTATGCGAGGATGCACTGATGATGTAGATTAGACAAGGATTAGCTAACCACTGGGCAAAATTCTACCTTCTGGTAAGGCGTTCCATAATTTGACGCTTGACCAGTTCGGGCATGCATCCAACACATTGCTGTGAGTGTACCATGTTCGTCGACAGCCAAACCAGCCCTTCTAATTGAAATAGGTCCCTCCTCCCTTTCCTGAAGGGAAGATGAGTATTGTGGACCTGCGTGGCTATGGAGACATCACCTGCGCATAGGACAAATATATCTTCCGAACCTCGGGAGAAAGGTCCTCCCTCGTAGCTTGGCGGTTGAAAAGCACCTCCTCAAGCTCGCACTCCTCGATTGGGGGCACCTCAGGCATGGGCCATTGGTGTGTAGGTTGCCACGGTTCCGGCTTGTGGAAGGAGCACATCAGCTGAAATATCACCTTTCCATTCTGAACTGCTTTGACGCTTCGGGTAGTATACGACCGTCCCTCCCGCAGTCGTTCGACAAAATATATGATAGGAATAGCGGGAGATGCGCTCAAAAGAAAGTAACACTAGATGCAATTGACTCTTGAGTATGGTCGCCCAAAAAGTCCGAGCGTACGCAGCTCACATGTAAAGACTAGTGGGTAACGGTTCCGTTAGCATCTCAGCACCGGATAAGGAGAGGTATGCTCTTACATGCAACCCGAACACGGGATCAACACAGTTGGTGGCAGCGACTATTGCTTGTGAGATGACCTGCCCTCCGAAAACGCCTCGGCCATATATGGGTTGGTATAAAGTCTTTGACCGAAAGAGATTTACTTCGATCTGCTCAACCTCCAAAGAAGTAGAAATATTGAAGGTTTCAGCTTGGTTTGTGTCATCCATAATAAATGCCGGAGACTGCAGGTCAGCTTATTCGTGTGGGGAGGAAAGGTCTGGTCACAACTACTGCACTAATCAACGAGTAGCATTTGAAATAGATCAGAGCGGTCCGGCGAGGTGGATAAGCATGATAGCCGTGCAATAGCCGGGTGGGTAGAAAACTTGTGTTTCGCCCATGTCTCGCTGTCATTTCTTGGCACTTTCTTTTCTGCCTCTCAGGCATGAAGATGCCTGAGATGTAACTAGGGTAGATGGCCAAGTGTACATATAGCACATCTGATCTCTGCAGAGTTCGCCGATTCCCGAAGGAGAGATTAGTAAAAGATGCGTGTTTGTGAAGTTTCAATATATAGTATTGGCTTGATCAATACTTATCATCATATGGTTAGACATCCAAGTCCTGTACCAAGTTCAATCCGTTACTCACTGACAATTACGGATCCGCATAGCGCTTGAAAATATCAAAAGACCTCAACGTCAATGGTAAATCCACATTCATGGCAAACTTGCCGACCCATGCCATCCCCGAGGTCTTCTATTATTCCGAAGACATGCTTGTGCTCCTGGTCTTTCCGTCTTTGCCACACACCTTCTCTAGTCCTTCTGCGCAAGTCCCGAAGCCCCTCTTCGAACTTCTTGTTCTTCTTTTTCTTTTTCTCTTCCGTTCGACGCTCCCATTCAGCATCTAGAGCCTCTGGTGATCCCCATTTCTTCCACGCAAAATCCTCGACTTGACACCGCAAAAAGAGCATCATATTTGCAAATGTTGAAGCATGAGGATTAGCCTTGAGTAGATGGGGTAGCAGCTCTCGATCCCGAAGCTCGGCTGGACCTATCAGTATATGCACTGCGACCAAGTCAACAACTCACGGTCAGTTAAGAGGTAATCCTGATCGCCTGTTAGCAAGGACGAAAGTCCAGGAGAGGTAAAGACTTACTTCTTTGCATTCAGTCTTTGTCAACAAACCGTACTTCTCTGGGTATTCATCCTTGCATTTGTTACACACAAGGCATCCAAATATCTTCTTGAATGTGAAATCAATGTCGATAGACTGGCATTCTCTGCACTTCGGATTCAGATTCGGATCCAAGTACATTGCTGTGATATTACTATCATTAAGACCTCCGGAGAGAGGAAGATGTAAGGCTTACGCGGTTCCAAGTTTTGCTTAGCTCGTTGCCTTTCTCGTTCCCGCTCCTTCACCCTTGAGTCTTCGTCCACCTCCTTCCCATCTTCGACCAAAAATCCACCTTTCGAATTGACCATTTTAGACAGGTCATAGTCAAAGTACTTGCCGAGGCGTGAATCGCGCTTCAATGGCTTAGGAGCTGTGGGTGACGCGGACAAAGCTGGGACCACTTCGAGAGGACGTTTCTGGTTCGCATTTGGCGTAGATGACGAGCCTGCCTCTTGTTCGCGCTGTCTCTGCCTTGCTTTTGCTACGGTAGAACTGCGTTAGCTAAAAACATGGATTGAAACACGGACACCCTCGCGTGACATCACTGTCGTGTACCTTTGAGGCGGTTTAGCTCGATGCGCTTGATTTGCTCAGGCGTCAGAAGCGACTTCTCGGCAGTTGAAGGAGGAGCATTATGTCTGTCCATGATTCTTCGAGTAACCTCCAGCTCAAGAAAGAGTTCAAGACTGCAGTACTGATGTTTGTGAGTCAGTAACAAGTAACAAAGACCATCGTACGGATTAGGAAGTCGGGTATTTTACCACGCACGACTGCGTCAGGCTGGACAGAACCACTGAGTATCTGGCCACACGCGATCTCTTTCCGGGTGTTCGATTAATATTTTGGTAGCGTAAGGACAGCAACGACAGCAAGCAATATAAATGGTGAGACGAAATAAGTCATCAATTTTCTACACTTGTTCCCTGAGCGTCGTCAACAACCACCGTACCATTCGTTTTTGGCGACTTATCACCTGAGAGATGATCAGTCGTGCCATTAACAGCGGCTGGTTCGATAGGGGTAGGTCCGCTTTCCGTAGTTGTCGGAGTATCGACTTCCATCGGCAAATGCCCGCTCAACACGGGGCGAACCATCGTGGTGTGTCCGCTGGGACCAGCGCCATGGGTCGAGCCTGCGGCACCCGAACTCAAAATGCCCACATTGATACCAAACCTCCTTCCCCCAGCGATTTCGGCCTCGCTTGAGCGACTTCTGGTTTCGCTGTCACGATCCCGATGCTGAGCATGGTCTCTACGATCTCCTTCTCCCTCATCATCAGAGTCAGACAGTTCTCCATCCGCTTGAATACGAGAGTCCAATAGTCGCCGATGTCTCCTGGCATCAGAAGGAATCAAGTCTTCGTCCTGAAGAGGGTCATCCATGTCTTCGTCTATCGGCATTTTTGGGATATCTGACGGAATGATTATCATTCCAACACCTTCCGCATAGTTTCGAAATCCATACCTGACATCTGAATACTGGGAGGTCCTCCCAAATGTCGCAGGTTGTCGAGTACGATGTTCTTCACACGTTCCAAGTACTCCGGTGTGTTCATATCTTCTGTATTCGACGACCTCACGTCTAATTCGTAGTCCGGTCCAAAGTACTCGTAGTATTCATTCACGGGTATTTCTAAACCATATCAGTAAGAGGCGAGAGAACTATACTGAATGCCAACCTGGTGCCAGTTCAACGCCAGCTGCGAGACCTGTCTCATATGCCCATGCCCGACTGACATTGCGCATCGTATACCCCCCGCCTCCAAGCAGTAGCAGAGGCTTGTTGAAGGACTTCACGAATTTAACACAGTTAGCATGCCCTGGATAAAAGTTCAGATAAGACATGAGTGACACCTTCGGTCATACCTCGCATAGATAAGTTCAGGCAGCCCAGCTTATCACCCGATAAGGAGTCTGTTCCACATTGAAGGACGATGGCCGATGGGTCATACGACTCCATAACTTGACGGATCACCTGTACCGAAAGCTTGTAAACGCCAGTTGGAAAAGAATACTTCACCCACAGGTTCAAACACCGATTTATAGTTTTCGTCCGAGATTCCATCACGCAATGGAAAGTTCAACGAGTAATATTTTCCTTTGCCTATTCCTATGTCCTACTTGGCGTCAAAAACATCCCAACAACAGGACACGATCAGGACACGTACCCGCAATTCTCCAGTTCCTGGAAAGTACTCGCCATATTTGTGGAAACTAACTGTCATGACGCGATCTGTAGTATAGAACGCTTCCTCCACCCCGTCGCCGTGATGAACATCGATGTCGATGTATAGGACTCTGGTATGATATCTATTAGGTTTCAATCATCATCAGGACCACGACAAAATTAGACTTCTCCGTAATGCTCACCGAAGCAACTCGAGAATGCCCAGCACGATGTCTGTAACGCGTAATTAGCGTTGAAACAGCTGTTGCACAGTAAATCTGTATAACCATTAACGTAACAAAAGCCGCTTGCTTCACTTTTCTTGGCGTGATGAAGGCCGCCGGCCCAGTTTACAGCTATATCACACTTGTCTCGACTGAGACGGGCAGCACCCTCTGCAGGACGCGTAAGCATGGAATTATCATACACGGTGGAACAGAAATACCCATGGAGCCCCCTGCTGAGATAGAACAATAGTCGAACAGGCCATCGAACACGGGACAATCATCACCAACATTGTCTGCAAAAGAAAGTCAGGAGAGTCAGTGGGCGACGCGAGAAGATACGAGGCGTTTTCGCTTGCATTTATGCTGTTCTTTTATGTACGTATTCATATTGCTGGGGGTGATGCGGCTGAGGAAGTCCACATACTCGTCAGAGTGAAACTGTGTCATTTCGCGTTTTGTCGCAGGCTTAGCCCGCTGCAGGAAATGAAAACTTAGGTCAAGGGCAATGTCCATGCATTCGCGGATGTACTCACGAATATCTCCATTTTCTTGTATAAGCCATAGTTCATGACCAAGGAATGGCACATTCGTATACGAGTTGGTTTCATCCTGATAATCATGTCAAAACCCTGAGTTTAGCGAAGAGTCATGACTCACGGATGCCCGGGACCATAGTGGAAACCCCCGATGTCCGAGTCGAAGAAGTAACACTGACGAGAAGGTGAGTATGTTCTAATAGAGGGATCTCTGGCTGCAAATAAAACGACATACTACTCTCTTCTTCTGACTTTCGCCATCAAGGGGGATCATGTTTTCCGACATGTCGTAGGATAGTGAATATTTACCCGCCGAGGAGCCTTCAGTGAGTTAACGATGACTTTTGAGCTAAGTTGAGACACCCTGTGCACACGTGACGATAACGTTTAACGTTTGTGGATTCAGCACGGCTGCTGCAGCATGCGGCATGACTGTACGACGGTACTACAAGTAGTGAGGTATGCTACACGACACACTCGAACATCAAATCTTTGCCTTTCCCAGTAGTGCTTCACTACCCTTATAGACAAGAGTGGACGGGGCAAAACCAAAATCATCGTTAAGTTTGATGTCCTGCAGAAGGACTTAATGAAGCGCCCGTGCGCAGATGAAAACTCACTGACAAGCTCTCCAGCGATAACCCGAACCTGCAAATTAAGCATGTGAGCACCTCATTTGCGTCATGAAGCACTTGAACAGACCATGGACCAGTGATGAACTGCATGTAATCCTGCAAACCAAAGCTGGAAGAAAACAGGATGAGAAGATCATTCATCGCCGTTCTCAATTCTCACCTCTCGGCCGAACGTTGTCTCAAATGTCTGCATGAAAGGCGTTACAGCGTTCAAAGTTAGAGGAAGATCGAGGCTCTTCGCGGGCACTACTTCCTCAATGCGTGAGATAGCTTGCTTGAAGGCCTCTCGAGCGTCTGAGAGATTGTTTTCCATTGGTGTATTAGCTGCGGGTGTCATACGAAAAGACATGTGGGGTGGGCCCTGATACGCAATCGATGAGGAGCATGAAGTGATCTCGCGCGTGCCGCAAATGTTTTCCTGCGGGCAGTCTCTCAGTAACAAGCTCGAATTCTTATTGATCATATGAAGTTTAGTATCACCAATAGTTGACCCTGGAAGGAATTTGGACTGAACAGTAAGCTGCTCATCGGAAGTCAGGATATTTTCCACAAGATCAAGGGCCTGTTGGAGAACAGTGGTTGACACGAATTGGAGCTGAGTGAGAGGAGAAAGGCTAGCGATGTCACTACCGTTGGGTTGCGACTCAGATTGGTGTACTTCAACCATGGTGGAATCTGACATGAGGGAAGGCGTCAGAAAGACGGTGCTCCACTACATACCATGCAAACATCTTTTTATCTGTCACATTCGCAACGAGGCTGGCCTCGAGGACGGCTCATTATTGAAACATCGAGGTTGGAATAGAAAGTCCTACTACAGGATAGGTCATGTTCCTTCAGCCAAATTTCGGACAACCCACGGTACAAAGATAGGTTGTCCGAACTCAAGGCAAGGTCACTAATAGTACGTTCTTTCTGCCGGAGCCACTCCATGAAAAGGCGGATCGGAGACAGGAAGACTCTGCTGATGAAAGTCTACCGTCGTCGTCACTCCGGTTGAAGAACCCTAACATGTGTTTCCTTCGCCTTTTATCTCCACTACGTAAAGTTCCGCTGATATATAAGCGACGGCCGCTTTTCCCGAAGCTGAGAACTATCTCAAGTCAAGTCAAAGTCAAGCACATTTCTTCCTCAATGCTTGCCTCCTTCAGAACAGCAGGCTCGTTGGCTCGAGTGGGTAATGTTTCGTTCAGTATTGTTTTGGCATCTGATCAGTATTACAGCAAGCAGCATCTGTCGGGCAAAGGCGTTGCCTATCTATTCACGAATACCAGTCAGTGAACCTACTTAACTCGGTGAGATTGCTCGGAATTTGTGAGCATTTTCATAGAGTGACGACTGCTACTTTGATCCCTAGTATGGTATACCGACACCAAAGAGCGTTGTTGCAAGATCTCCCGAAGAGGCCTACAACGTTGCCCAGAATTTTGGTAAGCTTTTGAGGTCTTCATCATGGCGTGTATTCGTCTCGCTAAGGCTGGGATGTTTAGGCACGGACAAGCTAGTGATTAAGGCACAGGTGCTTGCCGGTGGTCGTGGCAAAGGAAAGTTCGACAATGGCTTCCAGGGAGGTGTACATACCGTCGACAAGTAGGTACCTTCTCCTAGAGAAGCCTCTGCTCGCATCTCATCTGGTCCAAAGCCCACAGCAAGCCTGGGACTATGCTGGCAAGATGATTGGTTCGAAACTCATCACGAAGCAAACCGGTGTTGCTGGTAGAATCTGCAATTCTGTCCGTGCTTTCTTCATGAGTTGTTCCCCATCTCTGACTGCAGGACAGGTTATGCTTGCGGAGCGTCGGGATCCCTCCCACGAATACTATGTTGCTGTACTCAACGACCGCGTTACCCAAGGCATTGTTCTTGTCGCGTCCAACCAGGGAGGCATGAACATCGAGGAAGTTGCTGCAACTAATCCTGACGCCATCATCACGACTCCCATTGACTTCGAGAAGGGTCTGAGCAAGTCCACGGCCCTTGAACTTGCTAGAACTCTTGGAATCAAGGAAGGTGGACAAGAAGCAGCAGCAGACATTTTCATCAATTTGTGCAAGATATTCAAGGACAAGGATGCTACTCAAATTGAAATCAACCCTATGGCCGAAACTGTTGATGGCCATGTACTTTGGTGAGCATAAATCTCACATCCTACGTCGTCCCTCTCAATGTGTATCAGCATGGACGCTAAATTCGGCTTTGATGACAATGCCGAGTTCCGTCATAAGGATGTCTTCGCGCTCCGCGACATTTCTCAGGAGGAGCCATCGGAAGTTGAAGCTCAGAAGGCCGGTCTGAACTTCATCAAGCTCGATGGCAGCATTGGTTGTTTGGTCAACGGTGCAGGACTGGCCATGGCAACCATGGACGTCCTGGCTCTGCATGGCGGCAATCCCGCCAACTTCTTGGATTGCGGAGGGTACGTAGGACGTTATCTTGCTGGGTTCTGTACCTGATACCATCCTTCAGAGGTGCCACTCCCGAGACGGTCAAAAAAGCCTTCGAGATTCTCCTCTCTGACCCTAAGGTCAAGAGTATCTTTATCAACATCTTCGGTGGTATCATGCGATGCGATTACATTGCCGAGGGTGTCATCAGGGCAACCAAGGAGCTTGGTGTCAACGTTCCATTAATCGTCAGATTGAAGGGAACAATGGAAGCGGAAGCGAAGGCGTAGGTTTTCTCTCTGGATTATTGGCGCGAGTCTGACTTACAATCCTATAGGATGATCAAGGAGTCTGGTCTGAAGATAGTCGCATTGGACAGCCTTGACGAAGCTGCCGAGGCTGCTGTGCAGCTGGCAGTTTAGAGGCCCGTAGAATCAATATTTAGAATATATACCTTGTGCATAATTGTGATTGGATTCGGGCTTACCAGTCTTGTATGATTCACCTGGTTCGTGCAAGGATACACACACGGTTCCATGCACCATTCTCCCCAAGGGGCCAGCCTGAGACGAGAGCATTTAGTCACTTGTATATATCGGATGTCTTACATGTTTGCACAAGACAGGTACAGTGTGCAAGGTCTCGTGTTCATGGCCAGGTAAGAGCGTAGAGTATGTCAGAGATCTTAGACTGTCGGAAAAATCCCTCAGGCCTTGCAGAACTTGGTGAGGCGCCTGTGAAAGACGTGCGCGGAAGAATCGAGTCGTGAAAGGTCGTGACTCGTGACAGGAATCATATCAGGACCTAGGCTTAAGTAGTAGGCAGTACCTACCAAATATTGTGTATCGCTGCCCGTATATCAACTAAGTCTAGATAATCATATGCACATGCATATGAAGCTTCGGAGAATGTAGGGACTGTTAGTAAGGTACGAAGGTAGACAGTAATGACCGAATAACGCCGGTCGTAGACGTAGACATCGATCAGGTCAAGGAGCATGTGATAAGAATGGAATGACAGAAGTAACTGATGGTATATCGAACGCGCTTTAGGGGGCGTGGCCGTTACATGCAGACTGGAGGGCAGGGCTGTGGGGTTTAGGAGATGTGGGAGGAGGTGCAAGGGTGACACGCCTCTAGCACATCGAGGGAACTCGGAAGGACGACTCGGAGAGATTGGGAATAAACAGGTCTTGACATGCATAAAAGAAATACCACTGTCGCGTCCGGCCCTGTGTCTGCAACGCGCCGTCTGCTCCTCATCGTCGTCGCTGTTCACCCACTATGAGGGTGATCAGATTCGCGGTATCTGGTGGTCCATGTCCAGCACCACTAACACCGTGACCGCGTCCAGAACGCTCACCAGAACCATCTGCGGCCCGTGACGCTACCAGGGGCTGATTTCGAGGCAGATAATTTGACGACGAACCCGAAATTCTACCTATCACAAGCTCAAAAAGTTGCTACCCAAGACACCCGGGCCATTAACAGAAATGACCACCGCTCTCAGAGTGCATGCGGTCTACATCATGATGGCGGATCACGTTCGTATGCCTGTTTAGGGAAGCCGAGCCTCAGTTTGAGTTTTAAGTATCGTGGTCAATTGTTGAAGGTAGGCGCCTCGGACCCGGGATCCAGGGAAGTACTCTCAGGACGCTACCGATGGACATGAGATATGTACTACAGGCTTCCGATGCGCACCATAGGATGGGTGATTTCAAGGGCTTGGCCGCCGCAACTGGACAGCATAGGGAGCAGCCGGGGTCCTACCTGACCATATATGTATAGGTGCTGTCTCGTTGAACCCGCTTTTCCCGACTCAATCTTTCTCAATGCTTGCCTCCTTCAGAACAGCGGGCTCGTTGGCTCGAGTAAGTAATCTTTCATTCAAGATTTTTACATCTGATTGGTGTGACAGAAAGCAGCATCTACCGGTCAAAGGCGTCTACTCTCTATTCACGAATACCAGTCGGTGAACCTACTTAACTCGGTGAGTTATCTCGTAATTCGCGAGCGTTTTCATAGAGTGACGGCTACCACTTCGATCCCTAGTATGGTATACCGACACCAAAGAGCATCGTTGCAAAGTCTCCCGAAGAGGCCTACAATGTTGCCCAGAATTTTGGTGAGCTTCTTCATGACGTGTATTCGTCTCGCCAAGACTCGTATTTTTAGGTACAGACAAACTTGTGATCAAGGCACAAGTACTTGCCGGTGGCCGGGGAAAAGGAAAGTTCGACAATGGCTTCCAGGGAGGTGTGCATACCGTCGACAAGTAGGTGCCAGTTTCTAGAGAAGCCTCTGCTCACCATCTTATCTGGTTCAAAGCCCACAACAAGCCAGGGACTATGCTGGCAAGATGATTGGTTCGAAACTCGTCACGAAGCAGACTGGTGCAGGTGGTAGAATTTGCAATGCCGTTCGTACATTCTTCATCCGCTGTTTGACATCTCTGACTGCCGGACAGGTTATGCTTGCTGAGCGTCGGGACCCCTCCCACGAATATTATGTTGCTGTACTCAACGACCGCGTCACCCAAGGCATTGTTCTTGTCGCGTCCAACCAGGGAGGCATGAACATCGAAGAAGTCGCTGCGACTAACCCTGACGCCATCATCACGACTCCCATTGACTTCGAGAAGGGTCTGAGCAAGTCCACGGCCCTTGAACTTGCCAAAACCCTTGGGATCAAAGAAGGCGGACGAGAGGAAGCAGCAAGCATTTTCATCAATCTTTGTAAGATATTCAAGGACAAGGATGCCACTCAAATCGAAATCAACCCTATGGCAGAGACCATTGATGGCCATGTACTTTGGTGAGCAGTAATCTCACATCCTACGTCGCCCTGCTCAACATGTATCAGCATGGACGCTAAATTCGGCTTCGACGACAACGCCGAGTTCCGCCATAAGGATATCTTCGCGCTCCGTGATCTTACTCAGGAGGAACCATCAGAGATTGCAGCTCAAGAGGCCGGTCTGAACTTCATCAAGCTCGATGGTAGCATTGGTTGTTTAGTCAACGGTGCGGGACTGGCCATGGCAACCATGGATGTTCTGGCTCTACATGGTGGCAATCCTGCCAACTTCTTGGACGTTGGGGGGTACGTGGGACGTTATGCTGTTTAGTATTGTACCTGATACTTGTCCTTCAGAGGTGCCAACCCCGAGTCGGTTAAAAAAGCTTTCGAACTTCTCCTCTCTGACCCTAAGGTCAAGAGTATCTTTATCAACATCTTCGGTGGTATCATGCGATGTGATTACATCGCGGAGGGTGTCATCAAGGCAGCCAAGGAGCTTGATGTCAATGTTCCATTAATCGTCAGACTGAAGGGAAATATGGAGGTGGAAGCGAAGGCGTAGGTTTTCTTTCTGCAACATTGACGCTAGTCTGACTTTTAATTCTGTAGGATGATCAAGGAGTCTGGTCTGAAGATAGTCGCATTCGATGACCTTGACGAAGCTGCTGAGTCTGCTGTGCAGCTGGCAGTCTAGAGGCCCGTAAAATTAACGTAAACCATATACCTTGTGTACTTAAGTTATGCTTTGGGCTTCATCCTTGTGCATTGCTAGCAGCGATGTGCATTGAGAGGATAGGAAAATAACGAACAACATATAATAACATGTCAAAGAAGCATCAATATATCGTGAAGTAACAAGGACACCTATCACCATGATGGTCGTCCGTATGGTAGAGGTTGTGCAGGACTATACATAGCAGCGTGTGAAGGCTGAGGAGCAGAATGGTGCTGCATCGGTGACATCCCAGGCATACCATCAGGACGCCCTTGTCCACGGCCAGCAGCAACAGCCATGTAGGGTTGAGGGCCATGAGCCATCATGGGAAGTGCGTGCATCATCACAGGACTTCCGGCATACATTGAATGAGTTCCATGCGAAGGAGTCGCTGGATGTAATATAGGACTCATCACTGGCATATTGCGAGGACGGGCAGCTCCGTTCACCTGTGGCGACTGTGTGCCGTGTGGCATAGGAGGTCCATACATCGACGGAACCCCATTTGGTGAAGGGTATGCCATCAGCTGCGTAGGGTATGGCGAAGATACAGGCCTCACTGCACCAGAGTGGCTTTGGGATGGCTGGAGGGGCACCCATATCGGCTGGCCGCCACTAAACATGGGTGAATGTCCGTTGACAGGTACACGCGGAGCGGGACTTGGCACTACAGGTGGATACACGAGTGTGGGACTAGGCGAGTGGGCCATCATCGGCGAGTAGGGATATGGCGGCCGGACCCCTATGCTTGGTGGGTGAACAGCACCATACGGATAATTTGAAGGACGACTGATGGGTCCGGCTGCGGATGAAGACGGCAACGTACTACTGCTCCTCGTGGCGGTATTCGATGAAGTAGGTACCTGCTGGAATGCGCGAGTGACGTCATGAAGCGACATTTTGGATGGAACGTTTGCTGCTGAAGTAGGAGGGGGAGTTTCTCCATCTTCAGATTTGACGTCTTGCAAGGTGAACGGTAGAGCAGTGAGATCATCCGCGATACCCTCGAGGGAGTTTATTGCATGCGCTGGAGCCTTGTCAGAGGGCTGCGACCATACAGCTTTTAGATGCTCGGGGTCCGGTGCTCTCGCCGGAGATTCCTTTGCAGACGAAAAGCTTAAAGGAGATTTCGTCCATGGCGTGCTGTACGACGCAGACCCTGGGGTGGTGAGGTTTCTGTCAACCTGTATACCCATAAGCCACGAAAGAAAAGTTGAAAGATACAGCGAAAAAACCGACCGGTTCATCTGAGCTCTTAGAATCAAGCTGCGTCGAAACAACAAGCCTCGGTGAGCCCGTGTCTTTTCCAAGGCCATTCATGACGCGACTGATTGGTACCGCTTCCATGGTAGGGAAACTTTTGTCAGGTGAGTCTACAGCCGAAGAGAACAGAGCGCTTGGCGGATCATTTTCTGGAGACGGTGGCACTTCATCCAGTTCACTGAAGACGGTGAAGGTCACCGAGCTCTTCAACTCTTGAGCTGCTTCAGACGGGGGCGGGCGATAGAATGCAACCGCAGAACCCACTGGCATCTTTGGTTGTGCTCTAGGACGTTGTGTAACGGCTTCCGCTTTGGTGACACATGGCAATACGCTTTGGGCAGCAGGGACAACTTCTGGTGGGTCAGGAGCAGGCGAGCAACTGATCGTGTCCAGAGCACTATCGTTGACGGCATTTGGGCTGGCTTCCGGAATAGATGGATAGACAACAACCTTTCTCCAGGACGGAAGGTCATCGACCTTCGACCGCCCGAGTGACGAACCTGGCCTTGTCGATCCGGAAGGGATGTTGACCTTGGGCCCCAACGGATTTGCGAAAGAATACGAACGGTAGTGCCGTGCTTGAGGAAGGAGCACGCGAAACCTAGGTTTGCTCTTGGGAAACTGAAAGTCCCTGAAGAGTATATCATTCAAGGAAAAGTCTCTCTTCATGCCTTCAACTGGTGGATCCCAGGACATTATATCCCATCGAACCTGCGAACCGGTCTTCAAGAAACGAGCTTGCCGCTTAGGAAGAGGATCCAAAGGACGCGACTGGCTGGGTAGGTGCACCACCAAGTTTAGTTGAGGTGAACAAGGTGGGTCGCAGCCTGTGACATCGAAGACTTCGCGTTCTTCCCCAAATTCGACGCGACGCTGCCTGAGTGCAGGAGGCAGCCATTTAGGCCCACTTGAATAAGCCCGACCATTAGCATTGCCCTGGGATTGGGTGACATCTGTGTCAGGCGATGTATCCGCAGTCTCCTTGCTGGGTTGTTTTACAGATTCCGTCGCTTGCATATCATCCAGAGCCCCTTTGATGCGAGAAATCACATCGTTGAGAGCAGACATCGGCGCCTCGCGGTAAAACGGGCGAGTTAGGCGTTGTGGAGATGTGGGCAACGTTGTTTGGTTAGACGAATATGTGGTTGAGCCATCCGCAATAGAGGAACACTTCGAAGGAGATATATGTGCCATCGCCTCGCGTAACGATTCCGGACTCGCAGGGTTCACCGGAGCATCCCGCAGTGGTTTGTCCGCAGTCTCCTTTGCAACTTCTTGGTTCGTCAACGCAGATGGAACTAAAACCTCGCGGAAATGCTGAAGGGGGGCTTTGCGGCGCCAAGCACCTGGAGACTGTGGGCGAGGGGGAAGCGTCTGAAGCTGCGAATCTTCAAAGAAGTCACTTGCGACTGGCCGAGGCGGGTGGGACGACCTTTCAGTACTTTTGTGTTGTACCTCAGATTGCGAAGCCGCTGGGGCACCAACTAATTTACCCAGATCACAAAAGTCCACCACTTCAAGATCCTCATCTGCAGAGACGGAGATAAACTCTTCTATTCCCTGGAGTAACGGCGCAGGCACACTGGGTTGTACATGTGTCTCTTGAGGCGCTGGCGGTGATGATGGAGGTGGAGCTTTGCTTCTCCATGAATCCGTTTTTGAGGGATCATGGGGTTGCTCAGCACCAGAAGCCACAATCGACCTCGGAATCAGCGGCTGTCTGGCAGATGCTCTCAAAGATGGCGGTCGCCCCATTGGCCTGACAAACGTTGGACGTTGTGCCGTGGCATCAAGCTGCAGTGTTTTCTGGGAAGGAGATTTAACTGCTTCAACAGCCTCCTGGATCAGTTTCACGGCCTCCGCTTCCTATAGGTGAAGTGAGCTATGTGGATGTCAAGTACGTGACAAAGTCTCACTTGAGCATTCTTCTTGTCCTCGTTTGCCTTGAGTTTCTCCTCCATTGCAGCTGCCTTCTGTCGAGCACGTTCTTTCTCTTTCTCCCGCTCCTCTTCTTCCACTTGTCGTCGCTGTTTTGCACGCTCAGCTGAGATGTGCATGGCGGTCTTGTGAACATCTTCGATGCTCAGCGAAGGAGCCGCGAATGGGGTAGGAAGTTCCGATGTGACAGACACGATCGACAATAAGGGTGATTGAGCAACTACGCTACCCCCTTGAGTTGTTGAGGTGGTGGGCGACTCAAAATGTTGTTGAGAAGCGGACTGAGGTTGATGCGGATCTCTCGAAAAAAGCCTGCCAGGCGGGCCAGTCGAAATATGTGGTGGCAACTGACGAATGGTATCATGCTTCAACGATGACGGCAATGGTGGAGGGCCCATGTTCGACAAGCGACGAACTCTGCCATCAAGCCCCATTTCACGCTTCTCGACAGGAGAAATGGACGGAAGCCCTTCCCAATTTGGCGGCCCATTCATTAAGGGAGAGGGTAAACCATCCCGATCACGAGGTCTGCCGTAAGGTGCATGGGAAGCGGGACCGTTTCTCATTGTGCGCGAAGGTAGTGAGCGATCATAACCACCACCAGGTTTTTGGAGCAATTGCACAGGCGACCGCAAAGGTCCATCCCGTCCGATTCGCGTGTCCACTGGAGGTGGAATATGCTCCATATGAGAACCTCTCCTGGGCGCTGAACCACTAGGGAAATGACGAGTAAGTGGGTGAGAACTGTATGGCTCGAGTCTGTTTGAACGTTCATTGAAGAGAACCCTTGAACCTTCCGAAGGTGAGAAGCTAGGATGCGAAGACGCCGGGGACATTGACGGATGTCGAGGAGCACGGGGTAGTTCCTTGTGCGCAAAGGATGGAGAAGGCCTTGATCGTGGCCATCTCCGGTCATAGTCGTCTGCGAAACGATCTGCTTTGCTAACATGGGTTCTGCCGTCGTCGACTGGCTCTGGGTGGGGCTCGAGAGTATCCGTAGCAGGAGGAGACGGTGCATTTTGAGCACCGGCTTCAGCTGGTGATATCTTATACTGTCTTCCGTCGCCAAATTCAATGACTCCATCCAGAAAATTATCGTCATCTTCCTCCATCTGCAAAATGTCAGATAATGCATAGAAATAGTGAATTGATGCGGACCTCGTCCCAGTGATGGGTGTTCGGATCAAGATGAACACCTCGGAATGCATCCGCCTCTTCTAGCGTTACGGTTTTTGAATGAGGAGCATCAGAGAGCTTCTGTGATTCAGGGATTTTGGGTGAAGGTCGGCCTAAAGAAGGCAGATCAATCTACGAACTGGACCTGCAAAATGGATGACATACCTTGAGCAACTTCGGCAGCAGTAGGAAAGTCTGAGGGACCTGCACTATCCGGGAAGAGGGCTGGTGCAACAACCTTCGGATGTCCCCAAGCGGGTTTAGACGCGGCGTCCTTCTTTGCCGTGGCGGACGAAGTCGATGCGATAGCTCGTGGTTGTGGCTGAATGACTTTGCCAGCGACGGGGAGCTGTGGGGCAGCTGGAATTGGAACCGAGGCTGGTGCAGCGGTAGCAGCAGGCGGAAGGGGGTGCGGAGGGGGTGCATTTGATGAAGTTGACGGTGTTGAAGATACTGGGGGTGTTGCGGATGATGGGCGCGACCAACCTGAACCTGTGGTGGTCGATAAAACAGGCGCTGCTGTGAGTTTGGTGGTCACGAGTCGCGAATGCGAGCTTGATGGTGGAGCGACGGGTCGGGCAGCTACAAAACGTTAAAATTGTTATAAAGATACAGCATTGAACGTACGAGCAGGACTACCAGACTTGACGACAGGTGCGTGGCTCGATGACGTGGTAGCAGACCCTGAGGAAGACGAGTTCTTCTGTAAGAACTTCTTGTTGATATTTGAAGCAACAAATTTCTTAGGATGAGGAGCAGCAAAGGATGAATCTGGAGCTAGAGGAGTACGAGAAGTTGCAGATGAGTTTGTAGGTGAAATCAAGGGAGGTGAACTTGAAGTCTTGACTTGTACTTGTACTGAAAGTTCCTCAGAGGAACTCAATACATTAACAAGTTCTTCTCCTGCATGATTCTGAGTAAACCCCGAGTTTGAGTTGTCGATATTGGCCATATACGCGTCCCCAGACGCCCGATAGTTAGTTGAGATTGTGGCAAGAGCCGAGAAGCAAGTACAAGCAAAAATAAACGACAAGAGACTAGAGTGTTGTCGCAAGCGGGAAGGCGGTGCAACGTTGGGCGGAGGTAGCCTATTCGGGTTTATAATAATAATACAGCAACGTTCAACTACATGCTAGCAAGCTCAGCCTCCTTTTTATTCAATCGGTCTACTTCTGCATCAAGTGCGACATTCGCCATCTCAATCTGAAGGATACTCGATATCAACTCTGTCCACTTTTTCTCCAATGATGTCAACTGGTTTCCAATTCGAGTCTAGAAGCAAGTATGAATTAATTGCTCTACTGATCAACACGAAACATACCTGAGAGTTCTTGCGTTCTCGGTTAATGTCTGTCGTACGCTGCTTCAATTCCTCGAGCACCCCTTCTGCCTGCTTGGCTGTCGCTTCTAATAAGTAATTATGAACTCGCCAAGCATTAGGTCCATATGTCTGCAACAGAGCGAGATTCGTGTGCCTTTGAGAGAATGTTAATAATCTCGTGCTCAAGATAGCTAAAAACCTACCGAATACGCTGGTGCTCTAGCTGAGCTTGAGCATTCTTCAAAGCTTGCTGCCATTCATCATCGGTGCCTGGAGTGGACGTCGGTGCCGGAAGTTGATATCTTATGGTGTCCAAAGGTTTTAAAGGCTGATGAGACTCGACCCGCGCAAGCTCATCAGCAAGCCAAGGTTTATCCTACGCAATATCTGCATCGTGTCCATGAACCATTAAACTTGACATACCTTGAAAAGCTCTAGTGGAGGGGGAACGCGAGGGTGCAGAGTCTGCGGTGGTTTTGGTTCGCGTGCTAGCTCCCGTTCGACTTTTTCCTTCAAAAAAGGGTCTCGCTCGAGATCATTGTCGTAATAAGGTAACGAGTCGAATATTTCTGTTCTATGAGGAGCGTCGTCGATGAGTGAAGCCATGGTCAATCGATGTCGGCGTCGGCGCATGCATTCGGATCGGAGTGTGAATTTATCGTTGCTCTACTCGTCTGAACCCGCTGAACAGCAGCCAGCGGCAATCATGTCCTTCCGTGCGGGTCTGAGGGTCACAAATTTACTTAAAAGCTCGTCTGCAAGACCAGCGAGGACCGTTGGCGTCTCTTTGACGCGTAATATCCAGTCCTCGCCGTCGCAGAGAGGTAAGTTAGGCATGTCCTAATCGCCGATGACTGTCCTGACAACCCTCTAGCTTCCGTGTCCCCATTCACTGAGCCTACCTCGCCAAATCCCACCGCGACCAAGTATGCTGAGACAACCGAGTCGCTGCACACATACGGGTCATACCTTATGCAATGTCTCCCCAAATTCGTGCAGCAGTTCTCCGTGTTAAAGGATGAGCTCACTTTGCACATCTCTCCGTCTGGCGTCGTCCCAGTCTTGACTTTCCTTCGAGATCATTCCCAGTGTCAGTTCAAGAGCGTCGTGGACATCACTGCTGTCGACTTTCCAGAACGAGAGAAACGCTTCGAGGTTGTCTACAACTTGTTGAGCATCAAGCATGCAGGAAGGATCCGTGTCAAGACCTACGCTAACGAAGCGGACCCTGTGCCCAGCAGTGTTCCTGTCTTCAGTGGAGCAGACTGGTATGAACGGGAGACGTGGGACATGTTTGGCGTCTTCTTCACCGGTCACCCCGACCTGTAAGTCGCGTTCTATATCCCTACGGATCTTCATATTGACCTTTGTTTTCAGGCGTCGCATACTGACGGACTATGGTAAGTCTTCTTAAATGTGATAGCTCGTGCTTGTCATAGATTTTGTTTAGGTTTCGAGGGCCATCCCCTCCGAAAGGACTTCCCGTTGTCGGTGCGTAGCTACACTACAGACCACTAATCGCAGCCATTGAAATAGCGTTTAGGGCTACACCGAGGTACGCTACGACGAAGAGAGGAAACGCGTCGTCTACGAGCCTCTGCAATTGACGCAGGCATTCCGGTCAGCCAAGAATCGTATTTTGACCTCCGTGCGTTTTACTAACCAAAATGCAGCAACTTCGAGTCTCTGTCTCCCTGGGAACAAGTAGGGCAAGGGACAGAGCCCATCAGGCCCGCAGAGCTCAAGCCCGTTCCTCCACCTCAATCTGAGCAGCCTCCAAAGAAGTAGATGTTAATACGTTATTGATTGGTATACATATACAACATTCCTATCCTCTGAGTGCAATCATGGTGAGTTGTAAGGCAATACAAGATCAGGTGCGGCGACAGCGTGAGTGGCGAAGCACATCAAGGGGAAGATTCAGAGGGCATATCTTCAGGCGCTGTGGGTTCGGCTGCCTTCTTGCCCCATCCCATCCGTGCGACGATGTAGTCCTGCCCAATCACTTCGATGCCCACCCGCAGAGATTCAGCTACAAGATCTTCCACCCAGTCGTAATCATCCCAGATCTGCAACCAACTACCAGGCACGGCCTGTGTTATAGTTGTGTGCACCAACTTATGTCCAGGATCAGACAGATGTAACAGGAACTGGAGGTTTGATTGCTCGGGCGCTTCTGTAGAATCCTCTGAAGCGTTGGCGGGCTGAGGAAGGGTGAAGGAAGTGAGGAATGGCTGAATGCGGAGGTAGACAGAGGAGTAGGTGACAGGGTTCTGAGCAGATGACTCTTTGGGTGGTACCTTGGAATTGTTCTTGATGAATTCATCTAGGTTTGCCTTCGCGAAAATGTCAACCGCACGTGCGCATGTCTTGGCTTTGGATACTTACCTGAGCGAGCTTGAGAGCAGCGTCGTATCCGTCCACTGAATTGAAATCCCGAACTGTGTTTGCTCCAGATTCCTTGGGTTTTGACTCGTCGCCTCGGTTGATGATTAAATCACCACCCTCGACTTGCTCCATGACCTACGCAATATCATATAAGACTTCAGCACGGTGATATACAATATATTCATACCCTAGCGAGTGACCGATAGACAAGCGATTCGACACCGTCATATCCTTTCATATCATGACTGAGCCATACTTGAATGACTTCGTGCTCAGATATCGGAGGAGCAACGACATTCAAAATGTCCGTCAACGTAGACAGTCCGACTCTCTTGAAATCTTGTCCTAGAGGACACGAATTAACTTTGAGATCAACTCGTCACGCACGGACGAACCAAGTTTGTCGAGCTGCGCTGTCTTTGCATACTCTAGTACTCCTTCCCCCAATTTACTAATGTGTTCATTCTTGGGAAGGTTCTTGACCTGCTCATCCACTACAGACCTGGCTTGTTGATAAGCGGTAGATGCACTGGTCCATACGCTGCTCCATCCCCAATTACTTGAAGAAGAAGCCGGTCCAGACTGAGCTTCAGCCTTGGCAGTAGGAACCGATCCACTCGACGATGGTTCTGGCTTTGCTACGAGCGAAGAGGTTGATGAGGATAGATGAGCGCCGACTTTAACTCGCTCGGTGCTCTTCCTGAGTGACGGGGTACCAGGGCGCGAAACGTGTCGTTCGATATGGGATGTCGTGGAGCGGGTTGGCTCTGAGCTCTTCTGCGTTATCTCGTCAATGAAAGCGAGAACATCCGCTGGATCTCCTGCGCTGCCAGTAGTAGAAACGGGTCCGCGCGTGGTTCCCGCGACTGGATTGAAGGAGTCTAGGTCATCGAGAAATTGAAGGGCCTCTTCCTGCTTTGATTTTGATTTTGAGGCCATGGTCGTTGGAGTGGGACCCCAGACTTGGAAGGCGTATTAGTATGCCACGGCGCTTACGTCGAATTCATCAAATCAACTTGTCCGCATTTGTTCACAATCCCTTTGTATGGGTCGCAAGAAGAAAGTCGAGCAGGAGGTATACCACGTCGGTGCGGATCATATCTATTCATCGTTACCACTATTGACGCGCCATAGAGGTCATCACCAAGGCTCGCGTCAGTGAAGAGGGCGACTGGGTAAGCACTATCATCGCACTTCAATAACCATCTGATGACCGTCGATCCAGGAATATTATGTCAAAGTAGGTTTCGACCCTCGTTTCTTTGCGTTCCCTAATGATTCATAGTGGGCAGGCTATGATTCCGATTCAGACACGTCAGATACATTTCCCTTTCATCGATCATAAGCTCATTCTCTAACGCGTTATGCAGCTGGGAGCCCCAACAGAACGTGAAGCAGTGTGACCGGCTACTGAACAGCTTTTGGAAACATATAGGTACTGACGATGATGATTACTCTGTAGGATACGAGATCGCGGCGAAGGACTCTTGGATACGTGAGATTCGCCTCACCTTGGCTTGTGGCTCATCTGACTTTTATAAAGAGCAAGAGAAGGATTTCTTTGCTGCACAGTTCTCAGAAGAAACAAAGCGCAAAGGTGAAAAGATCAAGAAGCCTACTATAACTATCAAGCAGGCGAGTTGGCCCTATCAAACTCGATATCGTCTAACACGTCATAATAGGAGAAAGCGAAGGCTCCAGAGCCAAAGAAAGTCGAGAGCGATGATGATAGCTCAGAAGAATCCGATATTCCTCTTAAGCAGGCTTCTCCGGTAGTGAAGTCATTCGCCTCGCGAGGTAAAAGGCGCAAAGCACTCGTCAGTTCAGATGTATGCCATCCTTTGTTTATTATCGTGATTTAAAGCTTATATGACACTAGTCGGACTCTGATTCATCAGATGGTCGCCCATTGAAACAACGGCGGAAACAGACTAGCTCTATCTTGCAGTCCCGGAGCAATACAGCAGACAAGGTTCCGTAATAATTCCTCTTTTCTTTTCTTTTCATTCCAACCCATTACTTTCCCCAGGAACCCTCGTCAACAGCTGCGCTCTCCAAGACATCGGCCGAGCAACCGTCTCGTGCCCTACCACCACCACCAAGGCCATCAACGGCTTCTTCCGTACCACCTCCGAATGTACCTCGCCCACCCAAAGTACAGCCCATCCGAACTCACCAAGATCAAAAGGCCAATCCTCTTGTAAAGCCGATGGGCCTTCCCTCGCAAGCGGTTCAATCCGGTAGTGCTCTAACGACGAAGCACCGTATAGCAGCGGGATCAGGTTCTTCTGCAGCAACCAAGCCAAAACCGCTGCAGACAAATCCGAAACTTCTAACCAATTTGTCATTCAAGAAAAAACCTCTTGAAGCAAAAGAGCCTTCGTCCGCAACTGACCTGTCCTTCAAGCAGAAGCCCTTTGAGACAGAGCCTTCATCAGCGAGTGATGTGCGAGCGTCCGGTACTTCCACAGCAACAGGTGTGGAGTCTGGTACTTCCACCACGACGGTTTTTGAGACTGGTCCTTCCACTACAATGGGTGTTGGGTCGGATCCTTCCACTACAATCGGTGTTGAATCTGGTCCATCCACCGCCAAGGGTGGTGGTCCTTCCACTACAATCGGTGGTCTTTCCACTACAATCGGTGTTGAGTCTGGTCCATCCACCGCCAAGGGTGGTCCTTCCACTACGATGGGTGTGGAGCCTGGTCGTTCCGTGGTACAAAAGCAGACAGTCGAGGAACCATCTGCCATTGCATCACCCCCCTGGGAAGACGATACAATTATGATTGAGGCAAATGACAACCCTCCCCCTCCACCCAAGCCCGTGTAAGTGCGCAAGTGCATTATCAAGTACATATTCATCTGATAGCCTTTTTAGTATTCAGCACCAGCTTGCGAAGCCAGTTCCCCCTAAGCGGGCCTCCGAAATCGCTGCAGAAGCGTTTCTTGGAAGTCTCAACATGCCAGGGTATGTATGCTACGCACATCGCTCACATTTGTTCGTACTCATGACATGCATTCTAGTCTCAATAGCCCTCTGTGCGTTCTATTTCTCCGCCTTTATTCATCAGATACTCATGTCAACATTCAGGGAGCCTTCGGTCAGTGATAGCCCCCAGGAACTTACTTCCTTCCGACCAAAACCTTTGAAAGCTTCTGCAATGCCAAAGTTCGTGGTGTCCCTACTCCTGAATGTGATGTTTTTTTTCTGACTTTGCGATAGGATTCCTAAGAAGTGGAAATGGGAGGGCGAATTATTTGTTGGCTTTGCTAAGAATCAAGCAGAAAAAATATGCGACGTGACGATCAAGGACGCAACTGATTCGCGCGACGGTGCTCGCATGAGCTTCATGATGACGCAAACCGATTCCATTCGCGTACAAAAATTCTACAATGTCACAGATCTCACACCGGTTCTTCGCTCCTGCGGAGAACCTCAGCAATTTGCCAGACTGGAAGCCTCCGAAAACCAAGATAGTGGAGCACTGCATGGACTGTTTCGTCGCATGTCACTTCAGCGACAGGTGGGTGCTTGTTCTTCTGATAATCGACCATGCTGACAGATGGCAAAGGTGGCCATTCTCCCGCTATCGCTGGATGGCGCAGAACTTGCTTTGCTCTTCATATTCAGCCCGACGCTAGATGCCCTTTGCAAGTTTTTCAGCGTACCAGACCATCTACGGCAGGATTCGAAGAACACCCATGCTTTGGTAGCCTTGTTGCCATGGCTCGTATCATCTGCAAAATACAGCAAAGGAACCACGCGTACTCCGGTGAATGAAACTATACAACAGCTATCAACCCCTAGCGGTTCACCGAAGGACGGCCGCCGTCGCATACCGAAAGAGTTTATGGCTATGGAACTGCTTGCCTTTCCACAAGAACTCTATGATTTCATGAAATTCCCGAACAGAACGTATTGTATCTGGTCCTTCCCGGCCGACGGAACAGCCTCGCACCCTGGCCTTGAGACTCGACAACTTAAACACGTACTAGACAAGACTCGTGCTGTGTCAGTGAGCCTTGACGCAGAAGCCCGTGTGATATTCATACATGTCGGTGCCCTCGAGACTTTTTACAAGCATTCTACGTTGGTCACCAAGCGCCGCGACACACCCGAAGTTCGCTTTTTCACCTATGGCACTCATGAGTCTGTTCCATCCACCAGGTGGGGCATTCGCGAGGTTCTCCCTTTGGGTGAGTACTTTCAAAACCTGGTGATAGTGTTACTGAGAATCTTCAAAGGCGGTATTGTCACCTTCACGCCTTTGGCTATCGCTGAAGATCCCTACGGATGTCACGGTTTGATGCGTCAAATCTCACAGCATCCTCTCTGGGAATGTTACCTGATGCCTTCCATCGTGGGTTTGAGCCATGCCTTAGCGTGCGGCAAGGACACGCCAGTGCCAGAAATTCTGAGGTCAGTATGGTGCCCCTGTACAGCGATCCGCCAACTGAGGTGGTTTCCACAGCATGGAGTCGTGCCTTCTTCCCATCCTAGACCTGGGGGATGCAGGCAGCGTCGCTGTCATGCAATCGCCTGGCAAAGACAGTGACGCCTGGATTGTAGACACCCTCGAGAAGCAAGGATTGGAAGTAGAGGAGATGCTCCGAGAGTGTATTCAAACCTCGATCGCGCGCTTCGCTCACTGCAGCGAATCTGACGTGCTGGTTGAAGCAGACCGAGAGATTTCTCAGGATCTCCTCAATATGGAGTTGCAACCTACTTTCATGGACAATTACAGGCGGTTCGTGATTATCAGAGCCGCATCGGAGGAAACTCGCCGCCTCCCTGAAGACGGATCGGGAGTATGTCTTGATTTTTTGATCATTGGTGTCTGCTGACTTGGCATGTAGCTCGAGTGGAGTTCAATATCGAAGTTCCAATTCTTGGATGATTTCTTCCCTGGATTTTAGTCATGTCGATACTAATGTACCATAGAATAGCTACTGTACATAGTCAGTGTGAAATGCGCTACAACAAGCGCCGGTTTACTAATACATGTGATTGTACATTCGGTCCGTAGGTGTTCCACCCAAGTTCCACCTTTTATTAAGAATACTCGTCAATGCCTCTCTAGCTGGAATACAACCATGTCCAGCATCAATCAATGGCTGTCAGACCCCCGCTTGCATGACTACCTTGCCATCGTAAAAGGTGCACGCAATGGCTTCGTGTACGGAGTCAAGGTCAGATTCCCTCATGCGCTGATTATGGCCATTCTTTTTGGTCGAGGAGAGTACGTCTTTCTATTCACTCAGAGTTGATTTCACTGCTAGACTGCTGTCCTGCAGTTGGAAATCTCGCCTTCTTGTGATATATAAGACAACGAAGCAGCACGCCTTCAACTTAGCAAAGTTTGTTTCGCTCTACAAGATACTGTTGCTACTTCAAAGGAAGGCCAACGGGGGGAAGGAGCGCAACGCAGATACATTTGTTGCAGGCTTGTTGGGAGGATACGTGGTCTTCGGCGATAGATCAGCTGTGAACGAGCAGGTACTTCGAATGCGTTCCTGCTCGTCCCTGTTCCCGCTTACATTGTTGCCTTCCGTTTAGATAGTTCTCTACGTGGTATCCCGAGTCATCGCTTCCTTCATGCCCCGCGCTGGTACTGCGTATTCGAAAGCACCTGCAGGCGCGTCTGGATCTGCGGTCAGACCTATCCCGCCGGACCCACGCTATTTCTCCGTCTTCGCGGCGCTATCATGGGGTGCTGTCATGTGGCTATTCCAGCACCGTGGGGAGGCTATTCAACCTGGCATGTTCAACTCGATGACATATCTTTATCGTGACTCCGAAGTGTGGAGAGACCTCAGGACATTGTTATGGCATAATACATAGTATAGAGAGGCTATAGATGTTAACGCGTTAATGGCGAGTGCATATCTCCTTGCACATGCGCATGGCCTCTTACAAACGACCACGTCATCTAGATATCCTGTTATTAGATTGCACCGAGCCAGTAATCTTGCGGTACATAATCTACCGTCATTGCAACCTTCCGACATTTATACTGCATTTAAAAGTCAAAATTGCCGCATGTGATAAGCTGTTCCTCTCGATCTTACCTGAAGCATTTCCACGGCGGCTGTCAAAGCTTTGCGACACGGAGGGCAAGACGAAAGCTGGCCAGCTAATTCATGCATCTCCCCTGCTATATCAGTAGCTGTATTCCATTCGTCAGTAAGTGAGATTAAGATGCGCACAGGCGCACACGTTTTGCACACCTGCTTCGATTTGGGTGGCCAGGTACACCCGCTTCTGTTCCCAGAGCTGAGTTGCGTACTGCGCGTGCGAAGGACAAGCGCCGTATCCGTGCGGGAAAATGTCCTCATTCAGCAGGATGTCTCGCAGTCTAAATTTCCGATATTCATGGAGCCTCAGAAGCTCGTGATATGCGGTGACAGTGGGAATAATTTGTATATCCTCTTTGGTGTATGATGATAATGGAGGATGGAGGAGGTGAGCGCTTGCTTCTGCCGCAATCTTCGGCAAATTATGTGCTGTGGCATATGCGTAAACCGGGAGCGGGTTTGTTGAAGCGTTGGCTTGCACGTGCAATTGCAGTGAATAGACAATTGTTTCCGGGAGTCCATACTTATCAGCAAGATGAAGCATGAATGGAAGAACGGGAAATGGGATCACTGAGTCCGTGTCCGGTCTGAAGCGAGGTCTCGTTCCTTCCGAGTTCTCCATCGCGGGAGGGGCAGGGGGGTGTTGAATAAGGCGGAACAAAGTTGCTAAAGCATGCTCTGTTTCATCCAAGTCGAGAACTGCCTCCTGGGACCCAAGCTGGTCCTTTTTATCACCCACCAATTCCAACCCTTGGTCACAGCATGCAAACATGTCCCCTTCAAGCTATAGATCAACTCCGAGTAAACGGTGAAAGATGGACTTCTACGTACGAAATACCTCACAGGTTTCAATGGCATGGCGGCTCACTTGAAACGCTATGCCATCGGGCAGTGAGCGCACGTGGAGCTTTGTGTCTAAACAGCTGGGGATTTTTTCGCTAAACATGAATATCCTTCACCCCTGACTCTGTCCTTTATTATAGTGCAGCGCGTATCAATGTAACGTTTGCACCATCGTGTCTGGTGACGTACGGACACGCGTATGAGTAGTATTACCTTGCGGCGCAGTGGGAATGTTTGGCTACCGCATTTCCGTAGTTCAGGAACGACAGTTCCTGTGAGTCTGTACCAGAAGATTGCCTGTGCATTGCAAAATACATCGCGGACTAGATCGCGTAAGTCACAGCGTGAGGAGTGAGACGTGTGATATCCTAGCTAGAAAGAAACCCATGAGAGCTCGAAAGCGAGCGAGAAGAACAAAGCAAAATGGTGGAGGTATCATCAAACAGAGGTAAAGGGAGTATGAAATCTAAGTCGCCAATAACCCGAGAAGATGTCCTTTACATAACCACGCATTTGACAGGTTTCTTGCCGTCCTTTGGTGGCCTGTCGCCCTGTTTCCCCCCTGGACCACCTGACTCTAACCGTTTCGTCTGCCGTAGGGCACGTACTAGGTTGGTGAATAGGAGCTCGACATTATATGCTGTTCTGGCTGAGGTTTCCATAAATTCACAGCCAAATGACCGGGCGAGTGCAATGCCTTCCTCACGCGAGACTTCACGCTCGTATGTCTTGTCGCATTTGTTGCCGACCAACATGAAGATAGGTTTTTGGCGCTTGACTTTGAGCATCGACTGTCTGAAAACATCCAGCCGTTCAAACGTTGACCGAGATGCGATCGAGTAGACCAAAATAAACCCCTGGCCTTCCCTAAAGTTGCGAGAGATTGAGTATAATTCGAAAGAGCGTGGACATTACGTACCGAACCCATTGATCACGCAAAGTGGCGTACTCCTCTGCATGGACTCATGAGAGAGATGTAAAGGTCTAATGATTATTACTCACCCTGGCCAGCAGTATCAATGACTTCGACGAAGCACATCTTGTTATCCACAATTAGCTGCTTCCTATAAGCGTCTTCTATTGTCGGGTCATAAGTCTGCAGGTAGCCATGAGTCAATGGAAGGGAGGCGGTGTATAAGAACACATACCTCTAGATAACGTCATGGGAGGGACGATTCAGATCATTAGATTACAATAGAAGGCTGACGCTAGTTGGACTTACCAACGAAACAGTTAAGGGTAAACTACGAGGAAACATGAGGTCGGGATGGTGAAGAATAATGAAGTCGGGACTCACCTGAACGGCCAAAGCAGTTTTACCTACACCACCATCACCAAGCACAGCAACCCTCCAGCTATCCATAGCTAAAATGATTTGATTAGGAACGATATTGGGATTGGAAGCAAGCGAAGAAGGATACCTTGAGTATGATGAAAAGAAGGGAGGGACAAGTCTGTTGTCAGAGTTAGTTACTGGTATCGAAAGAGGGCACAGGGGATGTATGTACCTTGAGAAGCCGAAAATGGAGTTGAAAGCCGGAGAAAGTGAGTATATAGGGATACCTTAAGAGATGATGAGGTTGCGAGTAAGACAGTTTAGAATTGAGATGATGCTAAGGGAAGAATTGGTCGTGCAGATCGTATAGGGTCGTAAAGAAAGGCACGGAAATGGCCTTGAGACTGAGAAGAAAGGAGTAGTAGCGCGGAAAGAAAGAAACGGCGTTGATTGAAAGCTGGTTTGGCGGGCTCCTTACAAGTATTTCAGTGTATTACAACCTTGGTCAACCCCTCCAATTATTTCCCTCAAAATATATATTTATTAAAATATAGTTATTAAAATTATATAAGTTTTGTCATCACCGCCCGTAATCTATCCACCTTTGTTTGCATCCACGGCTGTCCCCTTCCTCGGAAATCTCCACCATTGGACCTAATGTTCTTAATTCGAATGTCCCCTTAAAATCTCCAAGCAGTGTCCAAGAGGACAAGTCCTAATTAATCCCTGCGTCATTTTTGGCTAGTCATACAATGAATTAGGCATTTTATTCACCTCCTTATCTTCGGTTGGCTTGCACTCCTCCAAGTATGTTTTGTAATAAACTAACATTTCCCAATGTAGTATCGAGTTTGGCTGCGGTGACTGAGCATATAGATCAACTACTCAGATAAACAGTTTGGTGTGATCCGGTTCGCTGGTACATTAAGTCGTCCACTCTCAAAACCTCTTGGAGATAACCCAATATACTTCAGGGCGACACTTGTATCCTTCGGCCGCGGCTCCGAGATTCTCTCGTCCGGTCATCATCTGAGCTCCGGACACATCCAAGTCTGGAGGTATTGCAGTGGAGTTCAACCTATCCCTCAGGAAGTTCCTCTGACACGGCGAACTCCAGGTTTGGCATCGACGTGAGGTATCTCATTGAATCGATCGAAGCATGATCCATTATAATTCATCGCAGGATCAGCGCTTGGCACTCATCTCCCGTCATGATTTATGGGTTTCACACTGTTACATAGGCCATCTGGGCCTCAGACTTGCTTGACTTCTCTGAACCAAAAATATTGGGAGATCAATTCGGACTAGAATATTCAGGGCCATCTTTGTCCCATCGCTGTGCACTCAGATGTTCCAACTTGATCTGCGAGGCTCACAGCGTTAAGGGACGCCATCAGATAGCTATAAAACTGGACAACCCCTTGTAACTTCCCGCGACGATTAACAGACAAATCTAAGCCATGTCTGAAAAGTGACTTAACCGAACAGCCGAGCTCAATCGGGAAGGTAGGCGCTCGAGGGAGATTCCAAACTATACTCATTGACGATTTACATACATATATATATATTGCCTATAATCTACTGAGGTTGAAGTTCTTGTGCAGTATAATATACATCCACAGGAGATAAGCACTATCTGTAGTGATCCCGTTCTCAGTACAGAAGAGGCCGCCAGTCCACGAGTTGTTTATGCCGTCCTTAGCTCTTCCAAAGCCTCACGTTGCTACATCGTGGAGTTTACGAGAACAACGACGATCACGCCACCACCACGTTGTAATGTGACGTATCGACATTCCATCATATCCTCCACAGCGCATTTGCAGGTACGGGGCGCAGAGCAAGCTGTGCCCAGTATTTGTCTCCAAGTCTAAGTGACAGAGCCACGGGTGTATGGTAAGAGAGCACTGATTAATGAATGCCCTGGTCCGTTTTCCTTCCGTTGCAGAATCATTATCTGGTCGACGAACGCTTCCCACCTAAGCCACGTAACTCGGACGTGATTACAATGTTGTCACGACACGATACCCCGGGTCAACTGACTAGTGGTGACGGATCAAGTGCTAGTACTAAAGCATGTTCCTCCCGAGTCCCGAACAGTCACTTGCTTGAATTCGTCAAGGCATGAACTTTAAACACGAATATGTTTCGGGACCTCAAAATGAGTACGTATATCAGATAATCATAAGAAAGAGTAAGATACATTCGTCTTCATTCGTACATGAGAATACTTTAATTGACATTGACATTCACTGCATGCTCGAGCCACCAACGAGGATCGACACTGGGTTGTACAGATAAAGCCCGTTTTATAAAAAGTTCGACAGGTTGACATCGGCTAATTTGCGGAGATATTATTTGTATACAGGAGTGTACAATCTTCCACAGTCGTCCACTCCTGGAGCAGGCGACAGCCTGTTTCTGCATGGCCGCCATTCACTCCACGGAGTTCTTGAGTGAAGTCAACCCTAGTCAACCCCGTACCCCAATTCTCACTAGAAAGCGGCGAATCGTACGGGTCATCGATATTCTTATCCCAGCGCTTGAGTTGTGCTTCTGACGTGTGATTACCGGTCGAGGGTGAGGAACCGAGTCTGATTTGCTTTGATGTCGCATTGCTGATACCAGGTACTGCATATTCAGGAACAGCGAGGCTGAATGTATAGACTTGATATTGGCATGGCGCATTGGTCCTAGAGTGGTCCAACCTAACCTAGCCTGACTCGGAGGTGATTCCAAGTGGCTTTCTGCAAGGACTAACCGACGAATGTAATGTTACATCTGAAACAGTGAGTTAGCCGAATAGTCACACTGAATTTTTGGGGTACTGCAGTGGCACTCGTCAAAACCTCGCCGTCGTTACTTCGTAATCCAGCTCATCCGTTCTACAGATGCCGAATTCCATTCACACTGCACTAAATTGTGTCTGATTCGGAGTGACTCTGACCCCGGCTGCACAGGGTTGGGCACGTTAGGACTCAGCGCGGGGATTGAGGAGTTCCTCAACTTACGAGAGTTCCACACGTCTGTCTCCTCAACTTGTGAGCCAGGCTCGAGTGCCCAGAACCAAGATCCGCGCCTCGGCCAACAGGAACTGAGGGCTGGCCACTAATCACCACTCGACCTTGCCAGCAGCCAGCCTTCTAGATCGACATTCCCAAATCCAAATTCATTTGCGAGTGGGAAGTAAGAATAACAATGCTGCCCTCCTGTCCGATTGGATCGCGTTTTCCCCGAATTTTCTACTGATTATCAAAGTTAGGTTTTCAATTTTTTTTTGGTCGTAGTTTGTAAACCAAGGGTGGGAATTATTTGGATCTGTGGAAGAAAGAAGGTAATGATTGGCGCACAAACATACGCACTGTGGTTCGAAAGACGGGTGAGGAAACTAGCGCTTCGGAAGTTCTTTTCCGATCACTTCTTTGGAAGAAACTGTAACGACACGCCTTCTATGCGTGTCTATGGAGTAAAATGTGAAATGAGCACCGAAGTTGGTCAGATTCAGACTCGACTGGATCAACTTTCAAACTTGTTCAAATGGGGAACATCGTACCTTACTAGAGCTAGGCCTAGAGCGCCTGGCAAATAAGCTACTTACCATGAATCATGATGCGTGCCCTATGGTACCTGTGTATTTGTTCGGAGTACGACAACCAATTCTCGATATGATAAGATGTTGTTGTACTCATCCCTGCGAAAATGAAGAGCGTAAGTGAACATTCAGACGCAGTCAACTGGCCACTGCAGCACTGATAGGAAGATTGCAAAAGTGATTGCATAGGTGTGAACAAAGCCACAACTTCACCTCCAGGCGCTCCATTCATTACGTTGCGACAAACACCCGTCTCGGAACAATTGGCATCAACTCAGCACTTACTAGTCATGTGGATTGAGAGCGGGGAAATTTGGTAAGACAATTCAGTCGAAATTCGGGTCCTCTTCGGTTGAGTATATGGGCGGCGAAATTTTTAGCAGAACTAGAGCAGAACAATAAGCAGGACGGAATGGGTGAACATGAAACCTGATTCGTTCTTTCCGCCAGCAGTTATCTATCGAATTTTGATGGATGACGAATATAGCGTCAGCAGCACAAGATGTAGAGATTGCCAATGGCTGCACACTCGTAGTTCGGAGGTAGGACAATTTCCGAGGTCGAACAGAACCTAGTCTCCCCTAGCCAGACCAATCGAAGGAAGATTAAGCAGTACGTTAGGACGGAATTGGCGGGCGTGAATCCCGATTCGCTCTCCCCGCCTGGGAGCAGCGTCCATTCGAAATCTGATATGGCGTCAGCAGGGCAAGATATAGAAGTCGACAATAGCTGTGTACTCGTAGTTCAGAGGTAACCAGTATGCCGAACCATGTCATAGGTGAGGCGTACGTACTCCAGTAAGGTGCTGGATGGCCGCAGATCGGGTCGGCGCTGGTAAGCAAAAGCCACTTAGCAACATCTGTATCGCCGACTACTTACCGTAGCCATTCTTTCTCCCCGAGCAGCCATCTTTGGTACGTTGTCTAGCCAAACGGGTGCACTGGGAATGTGGGGGCCCGTCAAACGATGCCCAAATCTCCTTCTGGTCGCCGAAGAGCGCTGGTCTCGTTCACGAAAGTCGACGAACCTTGTGGTGGACTGGCGTCTGGAAGAAGGGGGTTTCGTAATATCCGGACTGATATGATACAATAACGACCTTCATTTCCGTACACGAGCTTTCTTGCAAAGTCCATGTATGCCTCGGAGTGGTATCTTCATGAGGGGCTCCTTGCATAATGTGTGTTGGTTCTTCCGAGGATTGAAGGCATAATCAAGGACTTCCTTCTATTATGGTCTGGCTAGGGGAGACTAGATTGAACGGTCAGCTCGCATCACGTGTCAAAAGAAGGAAAAGTTACTTACCGCTTTACCAACGAGACGCTTCCTTACGGTAAGCCATGGCAGAGCAGAAGTCAGATATATATGCACAGATGACGAAGAGAATTTTTTTCTTCAAAAAATGCCTTCTTAAGAAGCTACTGCAGTTCGCCTGATGGCTGGGAAAGAGCTGAAGTACTGCAGCCTTTGCAAAGATATGACAAACAACTAATTTCCCGTTGTGACAAGGTACGTGTAGGTGAACAGGCTGAAGTACGTGTGGAATGTAGCAAAGTACGCGTCGTGATGAAGCCGAGTGGCTGAATGAAAATAATGCGTGAAAGCAGCCAATGTATGCTAGTGGGCAGTATGGAATGAGTTATATACCCAGATAAAAACCGTCGAATAAAGAGAAGTCACCGATCATACAACACTGGGGAAGAGGGTTTGGGGTTATATGCCGAACGGCGGTTAATCTATGCCTCCGGTGTACTCCCATGGGTCTACTGTAAGAGTAGCGGGTGTATCCTGCCAGCTCAATCCTGTCTGCTGAGCTCTCCTTGCGTCAAGTCAAGTACAAAAACGGTCTTGGAATTCTTTGGTGGCTCTATGAACTTGACAGGTTTTTTTGATGAGCGGGACGCGTTGTTTTGTGATATTGAACCAAATGGTCGTAGAGGGCGAGAGTGGGGGAATGATGGTCTCATGGGCAATGCTCTCGACGGGCCGGGGGAGGAGTTCAGTGACGATGCAACGAGGGGTGAAGAAACGTAAGGCATTGGAGATGATGTTCTAAGGGCAGGGTGCACTGCAGACATGGTCATTTTAGCTGAGACACACTTATATGAGTTTACAGCTATGTATAGTGGTCGTGGCTTGAACATACCCATTATGTTGGAGAGCGCGGGTGAAAATTGACCGAGAACCTTAGGATAGGCGAGTGGGGGTAGTCGTAAAGGTAGTCGATGTCGAAACGGTATTATAGGAGTTGGTGAATGGTGAAAGACCGTTAAGACGTCGCGTCGTAGACGTGGCTATCGTTTGCTAGTATTTATATATACGTGGTTACAATCCTCTGGGGTGGATGCAAGAAATCTAGTGCTAGCCGATGACATACGTTGGGGTTGCCTAAATCCGTTCGATTACTAAATCTGGCCCCTTACACGCGTGACGTAGTTACACGAATACAACTCATGCTTTTTAGGCTGCTTGTATACATGCTACAGCGCATGAATGCGTTGTATGTTGCCTCTATAGTCACGACGATCTACAAGATACTCGACAGTACGGTGTAGTCTGACCCCAAAGGCGCTAAGACATCTCAAACGCCCATCTATCGCCGTGACAGCTTTTCATTGGTGGGTAAGGCTTAGTTCATTCACATGCAGCCTCCCGGCGGCACAATCGTTTTTACACTCGTGGCTAGCTTCCTACAGGAAACATGCCTGTATGTTTTTCCCTTACTAGCGTAGCATGAAGGATTTGCTCACTTTCCGCATTACCGCTGTAAGGAGTAGCCTGAGCCTCAATGACGTTCCCAGTCATTACGCACCTTCAAGTTGGAGCCAAAGTTGATGTCCGCATTTTCATGTCCGCGTAATGTGTATGACATCAGGCCGATGCTTGCATGTCAGCCATTATTAATATTGTTGGCCCTACACCCTTACCCTATAACTAGTGACACATGTGCACTGGTTGATACTGGTCTGCAAACGATACGCTATCGGGTGCTACTTGCCTAATCCTTGCCGCTCGATTCCTGAATGTACCGCCTGGAACTCCGTTATTAATTATTTCATGACGCCGCATTTACGGAACACTGGGGAATGTTCGCTAGTACCAAGTATTAGGAGGTAGAATCCCAAAGCCGGCCAATCATTCAGCTGGTAGAAGTGCCCCTGGTACGAGGACTCGCACGCGTGCTTTAGCTAGGAAACGACTGTAATTCTGCCATTATCGATCTATGTATTGATATTAATGTGAAATATATTTTAGCGATATCGGACACACTCCTGATAACGAGTGATGCGGGATTGGAAAATTTGTGTCGTGAACAGAGTATGCCCTGTTCACATTGAAAAAAATTAAGGGCGAGACTAAATAAAGATGCAATGAGATAGTAAGTACAGAATAAATTTGGGAGGAGATTGAAGGAGACAAAGCGGCGCAGAATACATATGTCGGAGTCCTGTGACTGCGGATATCATGGGATGGGACATAATGCCAAGACATAAGATGGCACTGTAGGAGATACACAGTGGGAGTTGCGTGGCGCGTGCCTCGTGCAGAAGAAGATCGGAATGTGATGGCTGAAGCAAGATGATGACTGATGGTGCAAATGCCTCCGCCAACGCTTCTACATCTGCCGCATCTGCATCTGCAAAGTCCCCTTCTTACATATGTAACGGTTAAAGTAACAAATGACAGTCATGAATGAGTTTCGAAGATGGAAATGCTGTTGACAAGTGATATGACCCGGACGATCAACGAGCGGCCAAGAAATGATGATGTGGTGCGCTGTGTGGTCGTTGTAATCGTGAGTCGCGTCAAGTCGTGTGGTAACCCTGGTTGATAGGGAACACGAGGCATTTCGGGCTACTGGACATCGACGAGGAGGTTTCGTTCGAGTATATATTTGCCCTCCTTGTATTGCTGCGATGTTTCATAGGCACGGTCCTTGAATAACAAAAGAAAGAAATGAGGCGAATTATGCATTGAAATTTCTACAGATCATGACGTACGTATTTCCAGCCAAGAACAGTGGCACATTTGACGCAGTAGATGTCTCGAACAGTGTGGTTTCCAGTGGTCATTTGGCGGTCATTGGGTTCGCCTTCTACGACATTAACACTGGGATCGGATCAGTGAGATGAGCATGGACATTAGTACCAACTCAGGGCTCACACGCCGTCGAAGAGATATGCACGGCCATGCTGGCCATTGAATGCCTAACAAAGCCCGTATTAGCACTAGAGTTGGAGACTCAGAATGAGAGTCGTAACGTACTCGTGAGATCATAGAATGGATCGTTGCAAGATGTGTCTTGCACTTGGAGCAGCCATAAATGCGCTCGCCGGCGAGATAGCGACGGTACTTCATCCCCATTTCGTCTGGTGTTTTAGCTTATAAGTGAAACAAACTAGTATGAAATTGGAGACGAGTATCACTTGGATATCGAAAACGAATAGAAATATGACTGTCCTTTATACTAAGGACGTGTGAAGAGAAGTTAGAGGAAAGTGCAGGAAAGACTCGGAGTGATGGTGACATTAGACATACTGGTTGCGCCCAGTTGATCCCCTTTACGCACCTAATCGAGCTGATACCTTTCCCACCGGCCCCTCAGTGGCCTAGCCCCCCAATATATGTAGTTTCCCTTTCCAGTTTCCCTTCGTCAGCCTGCTATGCTGGTTTTTTATACAATAAATACTCTGAAACGCGGCCATCTCTAGTAAGTCACTACTCTACTGAACACTTGCAGGGCAAATCTTGAAACTTGAAGATTAGATCCGTTTCGGCGCACCTGTGCACGGCCGTGCGCGACCCACGGATTTCTGTTATCGAACGATTACTGTGAGTCTGTGTAAGAACGACTTATCATTGTCTCTAAATGCGCATTAACGCCAAGGATGCCTATCACCACCAGGTATCATAATTTAGCGTGCGCCTCGGAGAGCTTGCTTGTGACGTGGCATGTCATATTTATGAGGTCGCATGCCTTGTGTTATCCATGGACATACCCATGGTTGTCGATACTCTGCAATGCGACAAGGACCATTGGCTCTAATCGCCTCAACGCCAAGCTCGTGGAGTCGTGGTTGATGTGTCGCGGAATTACTTCTGTAATTCGGAACGTTGTCTGGTTGATATCCGCTGATATCCGCTGGCAAATATAATTTAGCTCTCTAAGCTTATCTGATCACACCTGACTCTGTCTAACTCTTCAAGGAGATCTAATGTTACTATAGATTGCTGTAGTACTAATTATGAGCGCTTGGTTGTTGTATACTAAGTATAAGAATCTCGATTGATTTTTTGGAGAACAGGGTGGCAGATGTCTTGGTCTTCCATTGGAGTGACGGGTGTCCTTTTCCGGCATTGTCGGTTGCTCTAACTCTAGTTGAGTGCATGAAGTTGCGTTTTGACTACAGTTTCGTGGACGACTTGTAAAGTATTGTAACGAAATGACGCAGGGTATGAACCTGCAGTCAAATAATACTTCTTACTTACACACCAACTTTCACAGAAAAATCGGACGCGGTAGTGCGTTTGTTGTCGTGTGCCCTTCACCGAATCCGCACGACGCCTCCACGTATAATCGCTTCGCCAGCAACTCGTGAGTAATTTGATTATCTTTGGGCGATCTGTATTTTCTGACATGTCGTCCTAAAGAGCCTCGTCGGGCCGCTGTAGCCATCATTATCCGTGTTGTACCTCCCCCCAATGCCGTCCCAGTGCCAGACGACGCCCATTTACCCACCTTAGGTCAATTTTTTGAACTAGACTGGGTCAATGACCCTCTCGCACGTCCAGAAGTTCTTCTTTTGAAACGCGACGGTGCGGGCCCCTCTGCAGTTCCAGGGCATGCTTCTGCATTCCAGAATTTCACTGGCGATGGGACTTCGAAAAGCAACGGCAAGGCTGAGGCCCACGTCGCTTTCCCCGGTGGACGTACTGAAGAGGGAGATGAAGGAAGTCTTTATACGGGTATATTCGTTCCCCTCGCTACCTTGACTTCATCTTACTCCTGATCTCATGACAGCCATGCGTCAAACATGGGAGGAGATTGGCTTGGACCTTGCAGAGCGTGATTTCATTTGCATAGGTCAACTGGATGACAGAGAGATCACTACATCGCTGGGCAAGCGACTCCTCATGATTCTTTCTCCTTTCGTCTTCCTGCAGCTCACTCCGAAACCGCTCCCAACAGACCCAACAGACGGGACCGCCATCCACTGGGTACCACTCGAGACTCTTGTTAGCGCAGTTTTGCCAGGAAGTATAGGCAATAAGATAAACGCAAAGAGCAGATGGTCCAGTGTGACCGTGGATGCTGCATCCAGGCTTACACCTCGACGTGCCGCTATCTTGCATATATTGGTTCGAGTTCTCATAGGCAGCATGCAATTCCCTGCCATTCTGCTCGACCTTCCAGAGTCCGAAGCGATACCGGTCTCGTCCAAAAGCTCAATCAGCTCCGCCGCACTCCCTGGTAGCGCATCATATCCTGCGCTGACGCAGGATAAGCTCGAACAAGGATTTACCGCTGCCAAGCCGCTTTCTGGGAAGAACCGAAACAAGTCGCAACAACAACTCAAGTTATGGGGTCTTTCCCTTGGCATGACTCTCGACTTAATGGCGACTATGATACCGCCGCCGACGCTTTCCTCTTCTACCCTCAACCAACAGCCGACATCTAAAAATTTGGACAAAGTTTCCTTGCCTAGTCTGCACCTACCCTTCCATCCAGTAGGGGGCGAAGGAATGCGCATCGACGCTGTCGCACCCAGCCTGGCTAGTGTTTTTCCTCGTTTCTCTTATCCAGATGTCAACTTCTGGATCTGGTAGGTCCATTTTCAATATCGATTATGGATACTGAACCCCTATTTTACTTTTCAGGGTTTTTGGAAAGCGTTATCGTGAAGTTGTGCGTGGGTGGGAAGCCAGTGTGCGCGGCGGCGGCTCCAATGTTAGACGGTACTTGCGATCTTTATTGAAATATGGGACACTTTGATAAAACAAATTTCAGGATCAACTGGTCGGGCACAACACTGAACACATTCTACGCTGCGGTTCGCAAGGCTTTGATCGTAGTCTTGGTCCTTCGTGCCATTGGTGTGCTGGTTGGTCTTGCATTCGCTGCATGGTGGGCGTTCGCATGAGGAACCTTCTCTAAGCAGTGCCTTCTGGACACTTGCTATTATGGATTTTGGCTTCTTATTTGGATACTATTTTTTTTCCATTACGATACTTTGACGACACTTCACTAATGTGGTCCCAGATCGGCATCTCACTCGTGGTCTCAGTTCGTTTCTACCACATTTTTAGACCTACAACATTGGCTTCTCTGCGTTTCCTCTGTCCATTATTCCCGTTGTTACACTTGTGCAATCTAGGCAATGACGTCTCTTCTTCCTTCTTGGCAATGCTTTCGATCTGTTGTCAACCATTAGCCCAAGGGCAATCCGCACACCTCGCAGTCTGTCTCTCCCTTCGGGTTTTCAAATGTGCAGTGTGGACAAATCTTGATGCCTGAGCTCACTCCGCTAGGACCTTCCCTTCGAGCAGCTTCCTCAGCGGCAATTTGATCGAATACATCTTGTGGTATGTCTTCGTCGATGTGTGACGATGACGGACCAGGTGCAGATGCGGATGGTAACGATGCTATTGAAAGATGCAGATAAGAAACAGCATTCAGTGATTGACTATTACACTTACGAGCACTCTCCCGGGTAAAGGTCATGAGTGTTTGCCAGCTTTCTGTCTTGAAAAGTGCGTCCAGTGCCGATGGGTCCCCCAACAAGGATGGTGAAGTCACTGTGCTGACGAGAACTTTCATATCGTCCTTCAAGATGTTAGAGAATTGCTTTGGGAACTATCGCAGCTCATGCCATACCTTCGACACAAGTTGTGTTGTCTCAAGGAATGCGATTAAATGCCAGTCGCTGAGCCATTTGGCGAGCTCCAGACGTTTTGATGCATCGCCCGTGAACGTATTGTCTGATATCTGAGGAGCGCCGAGCTTGGCAAAAGTCTTGAGCACATCTTCTATGTGTTGGTCATCAAGTCCTGGGCGATTCTCAATGGAGAACTGGTTCGAACGAAACAGTGGTGATGGACTCTGGGGGAAACCATGCGTGACCTGTGAAATAAACCATGCTCAGCGATTTACAACCCAATCCCGTTGCTAAGCCTCACGTTAATGAGGAGGTATTCAACCGGGAAGCAGGGTTTGGCACTCTTCTTGACTTCGAGGTTGTATTCATTCTTATACCTGAAAAATACGTCGGGCACGTAACGTGCCGCATCCTGACTGCGGTCTTCCTCTTTAACGCGAACAATTCCAGGTTCCACGCTGGCTTCAATCATATCAGCGTCCACCATGGCACACGCTTGCTCGGAAACTTGATATGCAGATATGTCCACTTTTCCATCTTCCGTAGCTGTAAGAATTGCAGTGACCATTCGTGATCCGAATACGCCACTAGGAGATGAGCGTGAAGGGGTGGGATTGGCCTTCTGTATAGTGGCAGCAAAGATGGCCTCCAGGGAGGATACAAAGAAGGAATGAGGGTGGCGTTTATATATGCTTTTAGTCCTATCTTCTGGATCTGGGTTCAAGTCCGTGAAAATGTAACCGACAATGGACAATGGAGTCGAAGCCATCTTGGCTAGCTCTCGAATGCGAGGCTCGTCCTCCCATGGGATACCAAGAGTCAATCCATCAAGTTCGCCTTCTTGAGGTGGCTCATATAGGGCTTCGACCACAGCTTTGATACCCATAGGAACCTTTTCATATGGCTCGTACCGTCCAATGAGCCAGCCGAACCTTTGCAGCCCTGTAGATCTCCAAGCTTGGAGGAAGCGTTCTATAATTTCCGGTGAAGCGATCTCCAGGTGATCGACCATACGGAATGGCTGAGACTGTAGCGTAATCGCAGAGGGTTGACATGCCGTACATATTCCGGCTGGCCAAGGTGGGTGCCCGCCGCTGGGACACAGATCTTTAACCTTGTACGAGAATGGGGATAGGGGAGGAATAGCAGAGACGGCAGCGGATGACGTCTTTGGCGATATCTTGTGAAGATAAGCGTGATATGACAGATGCTTTATGCTATGTTCGGCCTGATAAGCAGTATCGTATGGCTCAAGTGGCATGCAATAGTCACACATCCCGTTGGCGCCATGTTTGCAAAACCGCGCATCACGACCTCGTGGAATTTTTCCGTCTTTCGAGCGCCAATAGACGTCGACCGCATCCTCTTGTATAGTTTCCCATATATTTGACTGAAGTCGCGTCGAGCTCGGTGTGTCAATAGACGTCGATGCTGTGGGTGCTGTGGGTGCTTGTGGGGCTTTGGTATGATATCCCACAAATATCATATCACCATGTCTGCCCTGGTCAAGTCCGAACAACACAGGTAATATAGGAATCTACTTACTTCAGTCCGAGTGTTTGCAGATTTCGCCCCTTCAGAGTGGACACTGAGGTTTCATTGCCCCGGGGTTGATTCGAGACAGTAAGAGACGCAGGATCGGCATCCACAGTAGTCTCTAAGATCTGAGATTCGGAAGTGTAGGTATGAGAGTGCTCAAAAGTGACTGGTATCGCTGACCTTGTTCACAAGCACTGAAATGTCAGCGGTTGAAGGGAGTTCGAAACGAAAGTTTCCATCCTTCGACCTAATTCGTAACAGCTACACGGATAGTAAGATCCTGCGAGACAGGAAGAGCCTAGTACTGACCATCTCAGCTCTCAAAGTCAATGAAGGTATGTAGGAGGTCGGTAGAAGGAACGCGTAATCCACTGATCCAGTACGTGACTACTAATTACTAGTGGCCACTGACTTAAGCAGATCACCGATCGCTGACTAAGCTCTACGTATGTTTTCCTCAGTTTTTCAAGCTTAAGCTTTTGTTCACAAGTACCGTCACCTTGAATTCTAGGCTACGATAAAGATGGATCAACTATAGAATTCTTACTCAGAGTAATGTCAGTTTTCGCGTCAAGAGACTAAACTTCACATCAGACTCACATGCCACGTCCTTCTTCAAGTTTACGTAATCCAACTCGGTTCTTGGTTGAAAAGCCACTTGTCCGTAGTGTCGCAATCATGAGAAGGGATTGCGAATTACACCGCGACATCAACTTCCTAGTGTATTTGAGTTCGGAATCGATGGATCCTTGGCCTTATCGTTGGGTTGGCGCTTCTTCTCGCTATGTTGTCTTCCCAAGACAATTCTATCACCTTCGAACAGCTTAATTCACCCAGGTTCGAATACATCCAAGCAGAACTCAACAATTGGGAACGTATCATATTCCAAGGCGATATGGATGGCTCACGCAAACAGGGGGAGGTATCTCCGAATACTGGCGACCATACATCAACGCCAGTCAACGCGTCCACCGACAATACAGGGGTACCTCATAATTTTTTTTCTAACTCTGAGTTGGACTGACAGTTTTACAAGACATATTTGCCAGGAAATCACGTTAACGGAGCTGCACTACCTCAGGTCCCTCCTGAGGCATATAACTACCTCATACATGCATTGCTTTCGATGCAAGGAGCTATTCCACCCCCAGCAGCATATAATCAATCGTTACCATACCCTCCAGGACAATTCTCAGGTCCTTCCACATCTTCAATTATCCACCATGTGCCCCACCAAGCCATGCACTCCAATCCACCCATCGCAATGCCGTCTACAGGATCCCTTTCACAATTCTACTCGAATACCCCAGGTATGGTGACCCCACATTCAGCGAGCTCCCACAATTCTAGAGGCACGGTCAATGGACCTGCAGCGTCTGTACCATCAAATACAACACCTTCAGACCCAGGTGACATTACGGATGAAGTTGCTGCTATTGCTGAAGATAAGCGCAGAAGAAATACTTCTGCTTCAGGTTTGTGTTTCTCGGACTGCCGAGTCACATTAGCCTGAATGTGGACCCTCCATTTAGCCAGATTTCGGATCAAAAGGAAGCAGAAGACACTCAACCTCGAGCGAACTGTTGCCGACTTGACTGGCAGGACCGAGGAATTAGAGCGAGAGGCATCGGAGCTGCGACGAGAGAATAGCTGGTTGAAGGAAATTGTGGTATTAAAAAGCAGAAAAAGAGGTGCATTCGGTGGCATGCAATCCGGCAGTTCCCAACAAGCAAGTACTTCGTCCGCACAGGGAGATGGTCGCAACAATAGTCTTAGCAGTGACGAAGAAGAAGGTCGCGGGAAAGAGAAATGAAACGACGCGTGAGTCAGGCTATTCGCACCCTAGCTTACTACCATGTATTCAAGATCGTAGATGTCACGAAGCTGTGTGTTTCATCAGCCCGGGCTCTTATAAGATCAGCATAACAACCAAAGAACTTTGATTTGTAGCACGTTCTTGAGCACGTTCGCACATTAGTACCACGTAACGCCACTATGTCAACGCCTAGTTTTGCACATAGCGTTTTTACAAGTTTTTCGCTGTAGCTCATTGGTTATTGTGTCCCAGTTCTCACGCCCATGTCTTTTGGACGCCCACCGTCAATCAACGTTGGATTCAAGACTTCCCCTCCAGATCGCGGTTCCTTTCCTCTAGACCATGATGGTTTGCTTCGCTGCCTGCATAATCGCATAATTGACTTAGGATAATCTTCAGGCGAGTGCAAGGAACAGATGATGCAATACATGAATTGCTTGCGCAAGAATTCTAGTGAATCCACTCCGTGCAGAGTCATGAGCAAGCAGTACCTGGACTGTCGAATGAACAAGTGCGCCTACGTCTGTTTGTGTGCTCCCAATAGCTCACATTTGTTGCAGAGGACTGATGGAGCATGATGACTGGAAGAATCTTGGACTAGCCAACCTGGAGGGAGATTCTACCGAATCAACGTGCGCTTCAGCCTGAATATATCCGCACTCGCTTGATAAAACCTTTCAGCAAATCCGCAGAAGATGGTAGATAATATCATGGCTCTAATGAACATATGCCTGATTATGGGGCATGAGTGACCCGAGCTGAGGTACAACACCTTTGTCGCGCTTATTATGCCATCGGAACTTTGCATAAACAACGCGTTAATATGAGTACTACATCTAAGCGCACAACTGTATCTTCTAACCATGGACTCTGGAGCGCTCGAGGTGTGAAACTAGTCTTTCCCGAGGACATCCAGGAAATGGGAAGTCTGTGTCAGGTGGCAATGCCATGGCCGTTGACGGAGATGAGGAGGGAGGTTCGAAGAAAAAGAAGAAAAAGAGGGGCCTGGTGTAACGGCGAGGAATATGTCTGAAGATGTGCGGAAAAAGTTGTCGAACGCTGTCGCAAGTCAGGCTGCTGGACTTGGTGGGAAGTACGCATAGCTGAATGCTGCAAATTCCTCTGCGACAAGTGCTAAACTGAAGGCTGGGGCATCTTCTGCTGCTGCAACAAGTCCAGCCACCACCACGACCCCCGCGACTACCACAGCTCCTGCAGCATCAACGACCGCAACAACATCCTGGGCGCGGCCGTATGTAGGTAAGAAAGGCAGTCCGACATCACCGCGGACGGGAGAGGATGATGATCGGATGCCAGTCACAATGCGTGAAGCGATGTTCGCCATAGAGAAGGAAAGAGGTCATGGAGGAGGTCGCGGATCCGCCCGCGGATGGTCGTAGCTGGTTGCGCTTTCTAACGTTGTTGTTTCGATCGATATCGTCTGCATGGCTAGTCGTTTATTTTCTCTGTTTCATACTTCACTTCTAAATAACCTGCCGCTGGCGAAAGTTTCAACTGAGACACTGAATGCAAATTAGCAGGGCCCGCTACAGATTATCAAACTATAGTACATATACCACGAGCATCTAAGTAAGTACCACCCTCTACTTGAACTTACATGTTACGGCTTCAATATGACGAGGGGGTTGGGGACCAGCTGGATGAAGGAATGATTGCAAGGACATCAGGTAATTGGAGGAGCTCGGGGAAGAATCTGAAAAATCGACATCGCGCATGCTAATAGCAAAGAAATTAGTTGGAGGCAGAGATGCGAAGCAGCTGACACTTACCCTGGCCATAGGCTTCCTTGCGTTGCCATTCTAGTCACTCTGGCATATCGTAAGTGCGACAGCGCTACCACAGCCAGTGCAGTCAACAGCCAGACCAATGGTCGTCATGCGCCACAGTATGCCGGGAATATTGGGCAATCAAAGGGCGGGACTGAATGATGTGGCGCCCACGGTTCAAGTATAGGTGGCTGGCAACGAGGGAGGCGGCGGGCAAACAAGAGAGGGTGGCGGGAGGGACTGCAGGCAATGAGAAGGTGACGCACAAACGAGAGAGACAGCGCGCAACGAGAGAGGTGGCGCGCAACGAAGGAGACGGCGCGCAACGAGGGAGGCTGCGGGCAAACGAGAGAGGGCGGCGGGATAAAATGATCAGTGGTTATGTAAGACGGTGGGCAGACAGACCTTTGGCGACTGACAGACCTCCCCCGGTAACTCTCGGGTAACGCTGACAAAGACTTGACACAGACCTAGACACAGACGTCTGCGCAGACACAGACTTCCCAATACCCTGACTTTCTGACGGCATGAAGCTATGTCGCGGTGCTGGACTTGGACCGTTCCTCACGCACGTTCCTCCTCCCCCTAACCAGTTAGCGATCCTTTGACTACTTTGGTACCGTGGTCGCCTGCTTGCATTCGAATGGCACGTTAGCTATGAGTTACGGAATGTTGAGTATTTCTCCAACAAGACAACTGCAAGAGCAACAGGGAATAGTGTTGTACTCGCCAAACTTGCCTTGCCAAAACGTGAACGTGCGGACTTGCCGTTGGACAACGGGCAGTGCCACCTGCTCAAATCGCCGGACACTATCGGAATGTTTTGCTTGAACGTTCGTCTCGACACTGGTCATTTATTGATTACCCGTGTTCTGCGGAACGCCTGGGTGAGCAATCCATATATGAATTATGAACTGACTGAAGTCGAAAAATAGACCCGCCTCCCTGCATTCCCTTCATTATGTGCATTCTGTTTGTCTATGCCTTCATAATCACAGAGATCGTTCTGGTTTACGGATCACAATCTCAGGGTCCCTTCCGAACTGTGTCGAACAACCATAGGTTCTACGATGTACAGGTGTGTAGTGGACTCAAGGTAATGGCTTGTACAGACCTCATCTTAGGCTCATCGCGGAGGAAGAGGAAATGTTGTCGAGAGCACTCTGCCGAGCTTTGCATGGTATAGTGGATACGGTCGACGTTTGCTTCACCTCAAGCGAATTCCCGTCACAGGGGCCTCATCGACGGCGCCACCACGCTTGAACTAGATAATGGCATTACTCAGGCAAGCTCTCGCTTCCCAGGGTCATCCGTTCTTCTGAACTGGCTTACAGGACGGCGAAGTCGTTGTATGGCACGACGAAAGCATAACAGCAGAAAAGTGCTCTGACACAGCGCCAGTGGTAAGTAGCATCGTAACTTGATTTGTGACGGTTGATGTAACTAGTACATATATAGGTTCCAGATGATCCCGCATACCCTTATGTTGGAAAGTATATAACCAATCTCACTTTGGCTCAGGTCAAGACCCTCGATTGCGGATCAAAGCGCCAAACAAATTACCGTACGTGCTTCCTTTTTCAAACTCTAGCCATTGTCATAAGATTTTTTTACAGCTCACCAACTTGTATATCCTGGAGCACGGATATCCACTCTTCGGGAGGTCTTCGATTTCGCGGCCTGCGCAGATCTTTCGCACCAGATCCTTTGGAACATCGAGTCAAAAATCAATGCTCAATATCCAAATCGAACTGCTGGCGTAGATGATTTTGTCCAGAAGCAACACGAGATCTTTGTCTCTAGCCCATATTACCAATCTATTACCGTGAGCTTGCTTCTGTTACTATTGCTTGGTACTCTAACTGCCTTGCCAGTATCAAAGTTTTGACTGGCGAACTCTAGTGGCCATGAAGGTCTGTTTCTCATGTCCGTTTACTGGGCTTTTTTTAATCGTTGGCTGAAGAATTTGGACAATAAAATTGTAACTTCTGCTCTTATCGATGAGTGAGTTAATCTCGAACCAAAGTGTTTCACGCCAATGGTCACCATTCAGGGACACTGCTTTTACGCCAGGTAATTCGACTTCCCCATGGTTGGCTGGCCTAAGCCTGGAATCATTCCCCGGTCCATCACTGTCCGAACAGATGGCACAAGCTGCTCACGCTGTACAGGCGGACATTTTATCTCCTACTGGAACATTTCTCATGCCCTTTTCATCCTATGAGGAATCCTCTCACTTCACAACTCCTGAAATGATTAGCGAAGCTCACAGGCTCGGCATGAAAGTTATACCTTGGACTGTGAGCATTGGTCCACTTGTTCACAATAGACAGTGTTTACACACCAGCCACTGCAGGTGAATCGCTTGGACAGGGTTGAAGAGCTCATCAAGGATGGCGTGGATGGTATTATTACGGATTGTGAGTTTGTTTGAAGTCACAAAATATTAATTGCTCACGGAATGCATATCAGACCCAAATGTTGTTAGGCGGTGGGCTAAACAACAAGGACATCTGGTGGCACCTAAATATCCTAAACAACGCGTCTTCTCCTGCTTACACCAGCATATGCATTAGTCTTCTTGCGATGTACCGAAGGATAGATCGTCATCACCTCCAGGTCTATATCACAATCACTAGAGAATTTGCGAATTAGCAGGCAATTTTACACTCACCGTCCAACAACATAAAAATCAGGAAACATCACCATCATGTAAATAAGACACGAATCTACGGTCTATGATAATTTCTGAAACTTACCGCGAAGAAACAAAAATCCAGGACGAAACACGGAATGCACCTCTGGCAGGGCTTATCCCCACATCCGGCACGCAGCGCCGAGAACGCACATGCTCCTAAGTGCGCGTTCGATCGGCGAGAATATTACTGTCTACCGCAGCCAAGTGCCCACAGTCTCAGGTTCCTCGACGACCACGGTAAACAAATATCGCGTCAACTCGATATTATCGTCGCTGGAGGAGGCATCAGTGGAGCAAGTGGTTTATCATTTGTATATCGTTGGTACAAGATCACTGACGTAGAGTTCAGGCCACAGCAGCCCTTTTCTTGTCTCACTTGAATGCACATATTGTAGTACTCGAGAGTTGCCCAGGTCGTATGTCTATCGAAGGCGGAATTGTGATGCTCGAGCCGAATGGAATGCATGTTTTTCAAGGGCTTGGATTAGCGGAAGCCCTTCATCACCGGCCCAATGGCACCCAGGTTCCATGGTTTTATATGTGCGAGTCGTCCGGTGGTGTATCGGGTAAAGTCCCTCAAGGTTCTGCGAAGCGTTACGGTTTTGCGTCGACAAGGGTCACGCGATGGGACATCCAGGAAGTGTTGCTGGATGTCACGAAGAGGAAGAGATTGACTATCGCATGGAACGCTAAGATTGAAGATGCTGAAGAGCTTTCTGACGGAGTCGTTGCTCGCTGGCGAGAAGGGAGCGCGGATAAAGAAAGGAAGGTGAACCTTCTACTAGTAGTCGGTGCTAATGTATCTGGAGTATCGTCAGGCCGAAGTGCGCAAAGTGTTATTTTATTTTGGAGTACAATTGACTGACCAATACGGAGGATGTATGTCAGCTTGAATCTACCTGCGCCAAAGCCCAGGTACAGCGGTCTGGTGGGGGTCGGAGGAGTGATCGATATATGCATCTGTGCATGGTCTTGTACAATATCTCACATGTGCACACTCGAAGGGCCTGTCGTAATGGTTCACGGCTGTCTCGGTTTCTTCGGAATGGCTCTGTTTGACAGGCAGCAAAAACATGTCGGGTGGTGAGCAAACTACACTGATCAAGGCATGTTATCATTTTTTACTGCAGTGCAAGTGAAGAAGCTAGCGATCATTCCAAGGTATCAAAGGACCAAACTTATGGGGAGGTCAATTACGTTACACAGATCAACATTCACTGGGGAAACGACTTTTTAGTCGTATACGAAAAGAGTAGGATTAGGGCATGTACACGGACACAAACTGTACTCTAGAAATAGACTCAAAATGTATCAGACAAAGTATAGAAAGGTCTCCCAATCCGCACCAAACGAGCATATGGATTTCAGCGTGATACGGAGTATGATTAGGCTACAGACATGCTATTACTTAGTCGGGTTTGAAGCTGATTAGATATGTTATCATGTCCGTTTAGAATATCGAAAATGGTGAAAACCCGCTCTGTTTAGGTTAGGATTACATGCTTCTATGGATCCGCCATACATCCCCCACATGCTAGGTCCTCCTTCTCGCTCTTCTGCCTGCTCTCCTCCCCTCCCATAGCGATGTGTGGTGTGCCCCAGAACGTGCAGAGAAGGCCCAGCGATCCTGGCAGCCAGTTAGGTCAGGAAACTCAAAGGCAGCAGCAACGACACGAACCATTTATGGGGCCACTTGTACTACCACCCAGTATGCAACCCCAGCTCTCCCCTCTCGAAAATAGTGGTGGGCTGCTGCGGATGGATCCGTTCTTTAGTGCGGGACAACAGGGTGCAAGTTGTGAACCACAAGTCATGGTAAGTCCATTTGGATGCTCTAGTAGGGAACACCGAATACTCACCTAGATAGAACAACAACGGCCTGTATTTGTTCGGGCGTCAGGCACATGTGGGGTCAGCGTCGTCATCATCTGGCCAAGGAACACCATATCAAGGGACATCATCAGCACAAGGGACACCGTACAACAGTGGGACTCACATGTTTCCATACAGCGAATCACCCTCACTCGCACCCCAGCCTCATCAAAGGGGTCCAACACCTGATTATCAGCCTTTGTTTAGCGTTGCTGGAGGTTCTTACATGAATCAACCCTCACCTGATCCATCCGCGAATCTACATTCCACAGTTGCGCAAGTCCTCTGAACTACTAGGCTGTGACCTCGATCGCTTGAGAGGCTTGCGCATTGAAATTTCAACAGTCTAGATAGAAATTAGTTGGGAGTAGTCTAGTTGTACAAATAACTTACTACGGGTCCTGGTCTTCTGCACTCAAAAGTAAATTTGAAAGTTTTCAGTTGCGCAGGTAGCTTGAGCTTGATCATGTTGCATTCTGCCATCATGATAGCATGAAACGAGGACTTAGAGGAATTTTCAAAAATACTCACCTTCGCCCAAGTCTACCGTAAAAAGAGGTCGAAAGGATGGATTTACGGATCTGGTTAGTGGTGGGATAAGGAGTGTTTGAAGAGAATAAACGACGGTCGGGAAAGATGTGTTCGCGAAGTCTGAAAAGACTCTATTTACATTTGTCGCTTCACCAAAACCATCGACACGTCTGCTTTGCGTTCGGTTAGTGTCTAAGTACGTTTTGAGTCTGTTTAGACCTGGTTTCTTCCTCCGTTTAGTGTCCGACTAAAAAGTCGTTTCCGCAGTGATTATGTCTATACACGCATGCTAGGTTCTTCGCCGTTACTTCGACTGGGCGTTCTCAGTTCCCCAGATAATCAATGCAGCCGAGGTTTTTGACGCAGCGCCATTTGTCTGGCCGGTCTACGAGGTCAAGAACATACAGAACTGGTGCAGCAAGTCCATTGTGTTAGTTGGAGACGCTGCTCATGGTATGTTGTCTCATTCGTCAGGGCCATCTTTGCATCTGACCAGACTGCCACGCACAGCCATGCCGCCACACTCATGTCAAGGAGCATCTCAGGGCCTCGAGTACGCTGCTTACCTAGCATATCTTCTCCGACAACACCAGTTAAACCCATCCTCGGATTTGAAGGATGTACTCACGCAATTACAAAGGGATCGGCAGCCTCGAGTTAACGATATCGCTGCTGAGGCTAACTGTCGTGGAGACCAAAAATGGGAAATAAGTGCTTTCGGGATGTTCGTGAAAAAATGGGGAATGAGAGTCGTTCTACTTCGTGAAGGAGAGCTGGATGGATGGATGGTTTGGGTACAAAGTGCCTGGAATCGAAGACTTGGTCAGGATTATACGCGAGAGCGAGTAGATCCAGTTGATCTCACGTCTGATTCGCCCTATGTACATGGGGGTGTCTGTGTGTGTATAGCTTTGAATGCTAGATCCTACCACTGGGCCATTCAAGTTCAGATCCAGAGATTAACTCAGTAGTTCTGAACTAGACACGGAACCCAACGACGAGGGAGATTGTCTTAATACCGTGAACTAATAAAACGAACACGATAAGTTGACGATAAGTAAGTACTTATAACTTAGAGATTGCTTAGAGCAAGCTTAGAAGTTAGAATTGACTGGTACCATTCGGGATGTACCGGGAGTAACCGGACTTGAAGAAGCGCTTGAACTCCGCTGAACAGCAAATTCGTTACTCGCCGCTACCGCCAGCATCGTCGGACGGAGAGATTCAATTCTCAACATACCATGGCTTCCTACCATGCGGTCAAAAAATCCTTAAATCTCGCCCCTACCGTGCGCGCGCTCCCAAGTGGAATTCCGAGCGCGCCGCGTCTCAACTTCGCGGCACGAGCACCTTCGGATGGCCATGGCCATGGTCATGGTGCGGCAGGCCCCCGTGCTGATGTCCCCACCCGCTTCACCGGAACCGTCACGAGTCCTGCAATTGGTCTAGTTTCCAAGACTTTCGTTGGTAAGTAATATTTTCACCTTGCTTCGACTTACCTTCTTAATACTAACGCCGACCGAAACGCGTCTCTTGCCTTAGCTCCTCCTCCCACGACTCACCTTCACCAGCGCCTGATTCACACCTCCGCTGCAGTGAAAGATGCTCCTCAAGTGCCTGATTTCAGCCCCTACCAACCGAAAGACGAGAATGCCAACCGCGCCATGTCGTACTTCATGGTCGGCTCTCTCGGTGTCCTCTCCGCTTCTGTTGCCCAGTCTACTATTACTGGCTTCTTGGAGACCATGGCTGCGTCGGCTGACGTCCTCGCTCTCGCGAAGACCGAGGTCGAACTTGCCAGCATCCCGGAGGGCAAGAATGTCATTATCAAATGGCGTGGTAAACCTGTGTTTATCCGTCACAGGACCCCTGATGAGATAGAAGAGGCACGGAGTGTTGACTTGAAGGCACTCAGAGACCCTCAAAGGGACGAAGATCGGGTGAAGAAGCCTGAGTGGTTGGTTATGCTTGGCGTTTGCACTCACCTGGGTTGTGTTCCGATTGGCGAGTCAGGCGACTACGGAGGATGGTGTGTGATTTTTCTTCTTCATTGAAACCATTCTGACTGCCTCCTCATCTAGGTTCTGTCCATGTCATGGTTCTCACTATGATATTTGTACGCAGCTATGATTCCTTCACTGAGTGCATCACCAACTAACTTCAATTTTTAGCTGGCCGTGCCCGCAAGGGACCTGCTCCGGTATGAATTTTCTCTCAGGTCTACCGAGGCCATACTGACTATCTTACAAGCTTAATCTAGAAATTCCTCCTTACGACTTCAACGAGGTCGACGGAAAGCTCGTTGTTGGCTGAGATTGATCGTATACTGTTGTTATTTTCGTGTAATGGAAGCATAGACATTACTAGAAGTCAGCTTGCAGTTGCGTCCATCAAGATTTGTGGGAGATAACCCTTGCTGAGGAGTTCTGAGTATAGCACGGTGGTAACAAGTAGACTTATATACATTGCAACGCGTACGGTACAGTAACGACTAAACGGTGGATAGATAGATACCAGACTAGGGCTGACGAGATAGGGTGTAAACTGATGACAAATTTAATATCTGAAAGCTCGCTATCCATAGCGAGCTTACACTGGAAACGAGTCGTGAGACGAGTGAAATAGACAAGGCTTTCTATTAGATAAGGGTAAGGTAGAGATGATGCTGAAAAGAGACGCGAAGTTCGAAAGTCATGTGAGACGTCATATGTTAGATGGAGAAGAAAAGCGTCTCGTAAGCCAGCGGGCTTACAGTATCATGCGTGATAGTGTAGCTTTGATGAGTGGTGAATGTTATGAGGCAATAGGGCGTTGGGACAAGGAAGTGGAACTGCGTTTGCTGAACATACCCGATAACTCACCCATTTTCTTCCCTTTGACAACCGACTCCTCGGTTGCGTTGCGAGTAATGACATGAGTAACGCGCTGCCAAAGCCCCAGAGAAATCAGTGGTGGGAAAGAGGTAGGCGCAGGGGTCGTGCCATCTGTGGAAGACGAGAAGGACGATTTGCGAAAGTAAGATGATGCTCGCTTGGGAATGGGGATGGGAATAGGTACGGGACGTGGCGCGAGCTTGGCTTGTATGCAGGTGGCGATGGAGGAAATGATGAATCCAAAGATTGGGACACGCCATATCCAGCATGGGGTAGGGAGGACTCTGATGAAGGAAGTGGAGGATCCGAAAATTCATCCTCTCCTTCAGGATCAGCACCCTGGAGGTTGGTGGGATTTGAGTATGAAGTGCTGCTATCTAGGGGCTGCATGATTGGCGCTGTCTCTTCTTTGATACCGTGGGTAAGCTCGAATCTCGGATGTATGTCAAGGCGAGCTAACTGCTGGTGATCGTCTGATCCGACGTCAAGACTTCCCCTTCGAGACACATCCCTTGATCCCCCTCTGTCCGAACACAACGGGATCAAGGGTGTAATCTCCGTGGAGTCGAAGTCCCATGAATCCATCGTTCCATGAGTAACCATGCTTGGCTGATATCTACGGCGGTCTTGTCGCATTGTAAGAGGCGGCAGACCGTCCAAAATCGTGCCGATAAGATAGGACTTCTTTTTCGCGGACCTGAAAAATGGGGTTTGGAGCAACTGTGCCGCTGTTGGACTGAAGGGATATTTACAAAATCAGAGACAATAACGGGGCGAAGAAGAAACCCACCGTTTGGAGGGATCTTTTACCAGACATGCGTCGACAATGTCCTTGAAGGCGCGTGAATAGTGGTGAATACCCCCTACCGAATCAAGCGTCGGTGGTTTGCCCTGAACACTGGAAAGGGGTGAAGAGTGGGAATAGGCTCTAGGGCATATGCACATACGTTTGTAGATAGACACTATGAGCGCTTTCTCTTGATCTTGGAGGACGACCTTGGGTGAGCTCAATAGCAGTTATCGCGAATGACCAGATATCAGCCTTTGAATCGTAATAATGACCCTGAATAAGCTCTGGCGCCATCCAACAGGGCTAAATTTAATAAGAAACCTCCATGTTAGATCGGTCAAGGAGCCTATGACAACCCATGACACACACTGTTCCGACAAATGATTTTCGCTTCCCCATACTGTGGTGCTCAAGTGGGGGGAGTGCCGAATAGGAGCTCTTGGCAGTGGACACTGGGGCAAAGCTGATGACGCGGTTTCCAGCGCCATTGCAAGCTCTACTTGACATATCAGCGTCGTCTGTGAGGGACGCGGCTACCCCAAGATCGCCTAGCAAAACCGTGCCATCGTCGTCGATAAGAAGATTAGCAGCTTTTACGTCACGATGGATGAATCCGTTAATATGCAAGTGGCTGCGCAAAGATGTTCATTTTATGAGAAAGGCAAGATGACGAGATAGACCGACTTTAGGCCTTCAAGGGCTTGTTTAAGGATGCATTTAACAACCTCTTCTTTCATTCCACCAGGCCAACCATAATGCATTACGTCGGCAGCGCTACCCTTGTTCATGAGGCGGAGAGCAATGTATATCTTGTGACCATCCACCCAACTGCCACGGACACGTAGCACGTTTGGGTGCTTTAACAGGGACATAAGCTGTGTCTCCCGCTTTAATAAAGATAGTGAATGAGGCGGTAGAACGTCCAGGTCAAGAACTTTCAACGCGCATGGCATAGGACGTTGTGGTTCTGGCGGACGAGGGTTGTAGATGGCGGCATAGACGACAGATGATGCTCCGAACCCAATAGAAGATCCAATGGTGTAGTCGATGGAGCGGTCACTAGATGCGAATGCGTATTACATTATTTGTGGATGATGAACATGACTCGTAATTACCTGTACAACTGCCACTCGTCTTTGACGGAACCGAAAAATTTCTTGGGCAAGTTTACAACCATTGGGTGATCCCTAGAAGATACCCTGAAAGCGTGTCAGAGTGGCGTCAGACATATATGTACGAGTGAAATAAATAGTGATGCTGCGTAGCCAGTCTGCACCGCCAAATATCGTCGCAGCTCCAGCCTCCAAGCAGTTCCAAATCGGATTCGGTGTGATCCGGTACCTGCGGGTACGTCCCCTTTAGGATTAGGGTTTATCGTTATCGTGTGACATAGTACTGTCACACTTTATTTAGTCCCGCTGTCCTCCGGGTATTCCGATCCAACGTCTCTTGACGCAGTACATGGCACCGAATCAGTCATGCGCTAAATACCAGTACGTCGTTACATCCTCCATCCCAAAGATAGTACCGGTTCCCGACCAGGAACCCAAGGATGAAGAGTCACCAGCTGACTACAACGCTGGCGGGTATTTGGTCATTCAAATCAATGATACATTCAAAGACGGTCGATATATCGTAGCACGTAAACTAGGGTAAGTCATCGTCCCCTCTTCCATACAACCGTTGTTCATTCGATAAAGCTGGGGCCATTTTTCAACTGTCTGGCTTGTCAAGGATAATCAGTACGTATTCCAAATACATATTTGTACTCAATAGTAATTTTTTCTAGCGAGAACTGCTACTCCGCTCTCAAAGTAGTCAAGTCTGCTACACGTTATACTGAGACCGCACACGATGAAATCAAACTCCTGTCCCAGGTAGCTGCTGCAAATCCGCACCATCCTGGTCGACCGCACGTTGTTTCGTTCCTCGACTCGTTTCATCATCGCGCCCCCCAGGATACTCACGTGTGCATTGTATTTGAGCCCCTCGGAGAGACTCTTCTCGCGTTGATTCAACGTAACAAGAAGAAGGGCGTTCCCAAACCCCTCGTCAAGGTCATCGCAAAGCAAGTGCTTCTCGGCCTTCAATATCTTCATGATGAATGCGATCTCGTTCATACTGATATTAAACCTGAGAACATTCGTACGCATTTAATCCTCTCTGAACTCATGTTCGCCCCGCTGACGGGTTGCTCTATTAGTCATTTCCATACCGGATATCGAAGCTTTCATCCATGCCGAATTGTCTACTTCGCTAAAGCCAACGTCGTATAATGTAGGAGTTCCTCAACCCACCAAGTCCCGTTCTGGAATGACCATTCCCTATCGACATGCACCTGCACACGAGAGACACGTGCAAATATTCGATTCACAGCCATTATCAAGTCCATCGTCGAGATGCGGAAGTATCAGTGCGAGTGCGAGTAGCCACAATTTCCATAAGCATTTTTCTGGGACCACTCCGGTCAGCGGTGCACCCATCAACCAGCTGCTTAGGAAGTCTGCTAGAGCGGAACCTGCTCCCATCCCTCACGATCCGCCACCAATACCTTCCAGTAGCCCTTTCACTCCGTCTACCATCTCGTCTACATTATCCATGCCAGCGGTTTCTACTAGTGCTGTCAGCACGCCCTCTACCTCGGTGGGAAGTGCAGATATACCCATTCTGACAAAAATGGCGTCTATTGCACTCGTGAGCGGCTCGCCGGATTCCAAGTTCATATTGCATCTCGATACGGAAAGTGTGATGGCCTCCGAGGAAAAGCAGGTATCCACTTCTCCCCTCATTCAGTCGCACACTTCTTTGGAGATACACCACATTACATCCGTGCCATCGCTTTTGACACAAACTGCTCCTCGTCAATCTTCCTCCCCGTCTCTCGACGGAGTGTCGTCGTCCCCTTCTTCACGGGCACCCGTTTCAGGACCGCCATCCACGCTACTTTCCACGCCGATCTTTATCAAGATTGCCGATTTAGGCAACGCAACCCCTTCTAAGCAGCATTTTACAGAGGATATTCAGACACGACAATATCGCGCTCCGGAGGCTATTCTTGGACGCCGTGACTGGGGCACAAGAGCCGACGTTTGGAGCGTTGCTTGTGTCGTTTTTGAGTTGTTGACCGCGGAATATCTGTTTGACCCTCATGGACAAGGAGAGATGTTCTCCAAGGACGACGACCACATGGCGCAGATCATTGAATTAATGGGTGATTTCCCACTAGACGCGAAAATTGGAGGAAGGTATAGTCGTGAAATATTTGATCACACAGGCGAGTCAAACTGGAAATAGCAATTCGAGCCCTGACTCATGATACCTTCAGGGGCACTTCGTTACATCAAAACACTGAAGCCGTGGCCTTTAAACCGTGTCATGACAGAAAAATACCTTTTCTCTACTTCGGAAGCAGACGATTTATGTGCCTTTCTTGAACCCATGCTTGCGGTCGATCAACGGGAACGCAAGGAGGTCCGTGATATGGTTGACCATCAATGGTTAGATGTGAAGGACGAAGAGTGGGCAGGCGTCGACGGATGGTAACGAACCTCATATTTTGCATGTCTTCCCGACGCTGCCATTTTTATGGGCTTTCTGTGTCTGGACTTTGGGCTGTCTGCAGCATCTTATTTTTTCGCCCTTCCTTAACAGTGTTTATCCCTCGTGGCTACACGATAGACATATACAATGACCTCTCACGATTTAGATTTTGACACCTTTATTGTAATTAAACTTCGCGGTCCATACAACGGTACATGTATTGCATATTCTCAAGTCATTATAGAGACACGTTTTTTTGAGTCGCCAGTAGTGTATGCCTATTATCCTCCTTGAGTTGAGACTGCAACGAAGGCCCCCGCCTAGTACTTCGAAACGCCTCATACTATGGTTCAAATTCCGTCCCAGAACCTTATGATCGGTTTGATCACTGTGGACTCGAACGAAATACAATTTACACATTTTGAGGACATGAAACAAGGTGCAAATATTGCTTGGTTGCCGCTTTCCGAAATCTTAATCAGGGGTTATGGAGACGGTCGATACCAGTCTGGCGCCTCAACTGGAACTTCAAGACGAGGACAACAACTTGCAGTTGGCTTGGAGCAATAAAAACAACATGTACTGGAGCTTCCGCAACTTGAGAACAATGCTGCCGTAGCGACGACGTTGTGGAAAGCAGATCATCATACAGTAACCGTGAGCCAGATTTGTGCTATTCCCAAAAAGGATGTTCGTTTGATGTTGCTGCTTAGAGCGCCTAGGACCTAAGGCAAGCCTAAGCGCCATGCAATCGTATAAACATACATAACGTCTCTTCTTTCCCGCAAGAGCATCCATCGGCTTGGTTATCTTCTTAGACGAAGTTCAAGCCCGACCCAACCATCATGCTCATCCCCGTTGTGTCCACTCTCGCGTTCAACTTGCTGAAAGCATGTAGCGTTGTCCTCTTGATTTTTGTAGCAAGAGGACTGGTGTGGTTGATTAACATGACGATAGTAGCACCTATGTTTGACCCGCTCAAGAACATGCAGGGACCCGACGGTTCTCCGCTACAGAACCATTTTCGTGAGGTCATGGAGTGCGTGCATCTACTCTCCGAGAGGAGTTGTAAGACTAATTCGCTGTCATCTCAGTCCCAGCGTATCTCCAGATACACATGAGAACTGGGTCAAGTCATTTGGAAAGACATTCAGGTTTCACGGTTTCGGCAGGGTGAGTAGTCGGTTGTATGTGATCCATGACTCGTCCTAATGACTCATTAGCACGACTTCCGACTCTTCTCCGTCGATTTTTGTGTTTTGTCGCATATCCTCAATTCGCCGATTTACGAGAAGCCATGGCAAACGAGAACCTTGCTGTCGAACCTTTTCGGGCACGGTAAGCTGATGCAATTCTTTCTGGAGACGTGAATGTTCTAAGCGGTTGAATACAGGGATTTTTGCAATGGAAGGCACCGAGCATAAAACCTTGGTGAAAATTGTAATTAATCTCGGAAGAAACACTATTAATATGTTTTCTCACAGAGGAGTTTGATTGCACCGGCCTTCTCAACACAATCGATCAAAGCCATGACTCCCATATTCTTCCAAAAAGCCGAAGAATTACGGGATAAATGGGAGAATCTTGCGTCTTCTCCTACACTGGCCGACGATGCGAAATTCCCTCCCCCTCCTGCACCACCCTACTCTCCTTCTCCTTCTTTTGCTGAGGCAATGATCGACGTCGCTCACTGGTTCTCCCGTGCAACATTCGACGTGATGGGTTTGACAGGGTTTGACTACCACTTCCATGCTCTCCAGTGTGAATCAGAAGAAGTCTACTTGGCATACAGAAACATGTTCAGGCTCGCTGACAAGGGTCCCGGATTGCGAGGACTCGTCCAGCTTTATTTCCCGATCATTGAGAAGATATTTGTCAGTGATTTCATCAATTTGGGAGTAACGCAACTGATACCTGTCCTCGTTACAGCCCAATGAAGCCACGCGCATCACAAATGAAAGTCAGCGCGTAATCAATGAAGCAGGCCAGCAGCTCATTCAGAGTAAGAAATCTGCCATTCTTGCTGAGAAAGCAAGTGCGAGCGAGATCAAAGAAAAGGACATTCTTAGCTTACTCAGTCAGTGCTCGCGCCACTGTTTGTTGGCTGACGCTGACGTTCGCCGGCAGTCAAATCAAACCTTTCGGCGGATATTTCTGGGCGACTTTCTGACGCAGACCTTCTGGCCCAACTTTCGACATTCCTTTTCGCCGGCTCCGACTCTACAGCTCTTACCATGTCCTGGTGCATCCACCTCCTTTCTCTCCACCCTAATGTCCAAGGTCGTCTACGCAATGAATTAGGCTCTCTGTCTCCTTGTGCATCCAATTCTGCTTCGATGTCAGGATATTCTGTACAGTCACACGCAGAAGCCATTGACGGGCTTCCTTTCCTCGACGCAGTGGTCCGAGAAACACTGCGCTTGTGCCCTCCTGTGCACGGTACAATGCGGGTTGCCACCCGCGATGATAACGTCCCGATATCTGCGCCCATAGTTCTCCGCAATGGTACAATTATACAAGCGGGCGAGACCATCCCTCTTCGCAAAGGCTCTTACGTACACATTCCCATCGAGGCTTTGAACTTTAGCACTGACATCTGGGGCGATGATGCAAGAATATTCAAGTAAGTACATCTTCCATCGACATGCCGCCTTTCTGAAAACTGCGCAGCCCTGATCGCTGGTTTTCTCTTCCTCACACCACACGAGCGCCCTCTAATCCAGGAATCGCGAATCTAATGACGTTCTCATTCGGTCCACATGCTTGTCCAGGCTGGAAGTTCTCGATGTTGCAAACTAAAATATTCCTTGCGACTCTCGTGCCTCATTTTGTTTTTGAGCCTGCTACAGATATACAAAAGTTCAACGCAATTCTGACGCGGCCATACGTATATGATCAATTTGAATTTGGCACGCGGCTACCTGTAAAGATCGGACGAGTACATCTCTAATATTTGTAGATGGGTACATTTTCAAGATACTGTTGTAGCAAATTGGTTGTGTATTTTACTCTATCCTTATTGTCGCTAAAACATTCATCTGGTCACCAGTCCGACAAATCGATCTTCGAGCTACATCATGAGAATTCATGGCCAAATGATGACCAGATGTGTCATGGTAGAGTTTCGCGTTCGTGGAGGGTCACATTTTTGATCGCTCCAACTAATATATCTACCTCATCCTCCGATGATATGCTATACACCGAGCCGTTGGTCGGCACCCGTAGTGTTTCCTCAAGAGCCGCAATAGGACGAGGGGAACCTACAGGAACTCCATGAATTCAACAATAACCATTGCTAAGACAGATCTCACCTTGAGGCAGAGCAGTTGCCATCCTACTGACCTTTGGGGTCTTGGGTGCTCTTTGCACGAAGAGGGGGATGAGTTTTCCAACCTTACAAATGCCACACACTAGGTTAATAGATCTCATTAATCTACGTGTTGTCGAAAGTGCATTTATGAGTGGCTCACCGCATTCATCTGGTCTGATGGATTTGCTATACCGGCCATATCTGGTACCAGACTATCAGAATGGATGCTGACGCTGGACCGAAACAAGACCGAAACTTAACAACTTACACTTTTGAACATTTTTCGCATTCTTCGTAAAAATTAACGAAGCGGCGCTTGGTTAAAGCAGAATCTCGCACTTACTCCATTCAAATGGGTATGAAATTTCATAGTTATGCCTTGTCTGGGGTTACGGCCGTCAGAAACCAGTCACTTGCGTTCGTCATGGCTGCCTACCGTGATTTCGATCTCTGGACGCTTGATCATCACTTTGTTGGCCCTAGCAAAATATCAGACGAATCGTAAGTGAAAGATGGTGCGGGCACAGACCAGGCTTTGAAGGCTGGGCCATGTCCTTCTTTCGGGTTGCCATTAATGATCCAGCATGCTAGATGACACATTTCATGCGACAAAGTGTTTCGTATCCGTTCTAAGAGCACGCAGATCAGGGGCATGGTAGAGCAGAAACAAAGACCTTTCCACCATCACGGTCCAAAATCTTGGCGGCCAGCTCGATCTCCGTCGTCTGAACACCATCCCTAGATCTGCCATCAAGATGAGCATGGTAGAAGATGTAGCATAATGACTGGATACCTGTGCCACCTGGCCCTTCCCGCTGTGGTTAATAAGCGCTTGTTCCAATTCAATTTTGTCTCCCTGGGAAGACCGTCATTGAATATTGTACTGTTGAGCTCTTCAAAAAGCATTTCAGCATATTTCTCGCGGCGTGCTTGCTCTTCCGCTTTTCCCCGCGCAGAGATTCTGGGGGCCGGTCCATTTTTCCGTGCCGTTATGCCGCCCAAGACTGCTCGAGGAGTGCCAGCCTGCCTCGTGTCCTCTCCAGAGGAATATGGGTAAGATGACCCATGATCATGGCGAGTAATTGGGAAGGAGGGAATGGTTTCTTTCATAGTGGATATCTGAGCGCGGCGAATGGGTTTGCGTGTACTTCGAGGCTCGTTCCTATCCAGTGAATAATATTGAGCCCTAGAAATCACCACCGATGAGCATATCCTTACAGAACGAGAATGGAACCATCGTCTGCGTCGCTTTCATCAGCATAAAGTGACAGGAAGTCTTTCGGGCGCTGAGCCACAGGTTTCCTCATAATGCCTGGTGGTGCCTTCGCAGGACTCTTGACGAGATCAGTTAATTTGTCTGGAAAGTCGGAGGATGTGTCGTAGTTATCGCTATCTGTCAACTCGATGATTTCGAGGGAGCCTGTATTAGCATGAGTATTCTGAGCCCGTCGAGCACTGTATCTTCATTAAGCGTCTGAAGTCATGGTAAACCGCGTAAGACATTACTTACCCATTTTTTGTGAGCCTGGATATTCATTTGAAAATAAGAACACGTCAATGAGTTTGGACATATATCTACGTGATAGTCTTACGAGTCACGGTCGTCCTCATCGCCCGAGGAGATTTCAATGACTTCAAGTGAGACGCGTTGAAAATTTCTAGGTGCAAGTCGACGTCAAAGGGCGGTTTTTGCAAGATGGTCACGCACTTGAGTCTCTCTTCTTCACTATCTGATATTAACTCTGTACTGAGCCTCCCAGTCATCGATCCTAAGCACCGAGTGGCAACAAATAACAGGTATGATCTGTCAATAATATATGCGTACTAGGTTCACGATAAAATATTCGCAACTCACAACGAGTGGGCAAAATGTTGACTTCAATCAGCGCCTCACAATGTAAGACTTAAGCGCAAGTCGCGACGCGCTTGTTCCCGTGACCATGTCAACTTCGTCACGTGTGTGTAAACGATATTCCTTGACCCACCTTACTCACTTATGATATCTCCTTCGTCCCTGATCATAAGGCCCGCCTAGCTCAATCGGATAGAGCGTCAGACTTTTACGGATTGTACGAGTTTGTGCAAGGCGGTGATCTGAAGGCTGCGAGTTCGACCCTCGCGGTGGGCTAATATTTTAACTGATTTTTTGGCGCGACGATATTGGGGTCACTCATCCTCGAACATTTTTATCCCCAAAAATCTCAAGCCTGAAGTGGTCTTCAGGCAATAGAAGGGCAGTTATGATCATTTCTCCTCCCATTTCCTTGTAAAGCGCAAGCAAGCATTATACTGTTGTCAAGGTATGTGGCTTGTCATAACTATTATATCCGCCTGCAAGTATCCAAGTACTTACTACCAGCTGACATTCTCATTTGACAAGGTGTAGAGTGCTAAATCACTACTTTAAGGGGAGGAATGAGGGCAATGTATTCCTCTCGCTGTTCATCTGTCGTCTCCATTGCACGGGTGAAAACCAAGGTTTCCAGGGAATATTTTGACCTTGAACTCATCATGAAGTTTGTTGAGCCAACAGAAAGCACGCGTAAATTTGAGAATATGAGTGCATTGAACGGGACCGAGTCGTAAGGGATGGTATGGCGTGGTATTACGGCGGGCAATCTCTGATGTGCAAAGATTGAATGTTCGTGTGGGTCGATGACTTCAACGGCTATGTGACTCGGACTCGCAGATCCAAGGTGATCGCGAAGGAGGAGAGGTTGAGACATAGCTGCAAGAAGGAAAGGAATTTTCGTGGTCGAAACACAGAGATTTTGACTCGGACTCAGCTGTCAGGTGAGCCCATACATTGGAAGAGGAGATGTCTGAGACGAACGGGCCAAACTGGAAACCAAATAACCTGAGGTTGCGCAAGAATAGCTATGATGGTGAAAAGTGCTTTGTCTGAATCTGAATCGGGTCTGTCAATAAGTATTATTAGCTCACGGGATTGGACGCAATAGATGACAAGGGTTCCTGTACGCTCACTGTATCGATGCTATAGCGCTACATGGCGAGAATTAGAAGTTCGAGACATGCAAAAACATTAGCCCACCGCGAGGGTCGAACTCGCAGCCTTCAGATCGCCTAGTCATAAGAGTCTGACGCTCTATCCGATTGAGCTAGGCGGGCGGTATTAGTAGGTCCAACGGTGCCTCTATCAAGCACTGCATGTATGGGCCCTAGAGCAATTGATATTATCTACAGATGTCGAATACATTCAAAGCAAGCGAAGGGATAGCAATACAATACATCGAATCAAACACCGACCCTATGAAGATTTTCAAGTCAAGCACTGACATGAAAAAATGATAACCTACCGATGTACAACCTTTTTCTGCAATACAAAGGGGTTATCATCTGATTTTCGAGATCCAACATAGAATGATCACCTGTCCAGAGAAGCGTATCACCTCCCTCTTCTCAAGAATGAAGAGCGTCCGCTCCAGTGCGTGATTCGAGTAGCCCTGCTGTGTTACAAATTCCCTTACTAGACTTTGATAGCTCGTACTCCAGCCCACGGGAAGACGTCTGCGCAATTCCTTCTCTATGCGCGTCATCTCATCATTCAGCTCGCCGCGAGACATACCGTCAACAGAACCTGCTGAGACAGCGTCCATGGTTGAGAATTTGAAAAGCCGGATGGCTTCCTCGACATGGTGATTCTGGACAGTAGGTGATAAGGTCATTTTGGCAAGCGATTCTGATATCCGGATGATTGCTTCTAGTTGACTGTAGCAAAGTGTTAATCTCGACGGCGGTCAATCAGGCGATGGATACCCACCGAACTGTTATCGGAATTGAGCTCCGTTCGTCATTATCGCGTTCCACTTGCTGAACCTGCTTCCGAAGACTGACAAAGTGACTGCTAAGCATTTCTTGAGCGTCTGGAGATAGCCGGGGCGCGCATTTGCTGAAGACCACAAATCAGCTCGAATGTCTTGCAGCAATAAGGATACATCAAACCTCTTGCAATACGAGATATACCGCTTCATTTTGTCTATGTCAATTTCGCCGACAGTTTCTCCATTATCGTCTGTACTCTGATTTGGCCGGTTCATGTGGATGTTCATGACGTGCTTGGCAATCATCTAGATATTCGGTCGTTGGTAAAGGTCTATGATGAAGGAACTGGATACGGACACGATCTCGCTGTTCGTTGTGCTCGTCTTTGACGATGAAAATCATATCAAAACGTGACAAGATGGTTGTTTGAAAGTCGATGTTCTAGCCACGATGTAGATTTCAGCAAGCTGGAAAACGTTATTGTCCAGTAGAGTACCTCGCCAGGGCTCCGGCCCTCGTCATATCGTCCCCAAACTGGATTTGCTGCTGCAAGGACACTTGTTCGGGAGTTGAGTACTGTCGTGATACCAGCCTTCGCTATCGAAATGGTTTGCTGCTCCATAGCCTCATGAATGGCAACCCGATCTTCATCGCGCATTTTGTCAAATTCATCAATACAGACAACCCCAGTATCTGCGAGAACCATGGCACCTCCCTCGAGATAGAATTCACGCTATGATGCAGGAAGCTAAGATAAGAGCAAGAGTTACTGTGAGGAAACCGACACCTACAGAGACTGCATCCCGCTGGACAACAGCTGTTAAACCAGCTGCGCTAGAACCCTTTCCAGAGGTGTATACGGCGATTGGTGCAACCTATAGGATGCAATGAGAAGAGCGCATACGGCGCGGGACCAGTGCCTTTGCATACCTTCTCGACAAACTTGAGCAATTGACTCTTTGCTGTACCCGGATCTCCGAGTAAAAGAACGTTGATATCGCCTCTCAACCGCATACCATCTGGTAAGACCTTCTTAGAACCGCCAAAGAGCAGACAAGTAATCGCCTTCTTGATGTCTGCAAAGGCAATGAGCGTAAATTTGAAAAGCCAGTTGACAGTTCGGGACGTACCGAGGCTGCCATAAATACTTGGACCAACACTCTTAGCAAATCGTTCATAGAAACCTTCGCTGCGTGCCATTTCGCCAAACTCTTCCTCCTCCTCGGGGGTAAATTGCACTCCAAAAGGATTGGAGGCGCCACCACCAGCAGTCGGGGAAGACATTTCGATATGAACAAGGCGGAGATAAGGTTGTCGAAGTGCAGCAGGACCAGCAGATTTCTATGATAGAATTACATGCGCAGCAAAGGGAGATTGAGATAATGCTCACGTTCTTTGCCGAATTGAAAGTAGAATAAATTCCAGTCGCAACTATTCGTGAGCCAGGTACAACCTTACCAGTTAGGTATCGGTCTGCAGAGAGGAGCATGTGCCGTGGAAGTTCACCGACTGGAACCATGTCTGGTGCCTCTTGCAGTTTCAGAGTCTGCTGGTCAACAAATGCTGATTTCGAGTGAACAATGATGTAGGGGTCCATTGGACAATCTTTCTTCTGGTTCTCCAGCTCTGGCGCGTCACAGACTCTTGGTAGGCCTCGGTCCGATCCGTTGCCCAGTCCTCCAAGGCCGCCGGGAGGGTACATAATTTTTGTGGACCGGCAAGCACGACATTGAAGATGAAGCTTCGTCGCTCGCGAGGAAAGAACAGAGGCAGAGATGACGATTCCTGGTATACGGACCAACCTGTTCATCGTGTTTGCTGTCAAGTCGCGAACACGTTGCATCTGGAGGCCAGATTTGATGGTGATTTGGACTCTGGGGATTGATTGGAGTGCAGCCTCTGCGCGCTCATCAGAGCCACCAGCTAGAGGGAATAGGATAGTACGAGCTGCTTTGGTAGCCGCATTCTCAAACTGTGCATGTTATGAGCCTCGAGTGCAAGCACACGCGAATTGTACTTACCAGTGGCAAGATATCTGCCGGTCTGTCCTGAATTGCATGCGCCAGCTCATCATTATACAATCCAACATGTCGAAGATCGACTTCAAGTTGATACTGCTTGAGGAGCAGGTTTGCACGAAGTTGATCTCTGCGAGCTAATTCAGTAACTTTCAGACACCGAGTAGATGATAGAACTGACCTGTAGATGAATTCGCCTCCGACGCGATATTGCAACAAAAACTCTAGCAGAAGTTTCTCTGCTTGGGATGGAGAGTCAGGAGATGCAGCGGCTGGTGGATCGTGCACCGAAACGGTAAACACATGATTTCCATCAAAACCTGACATTTGTGAGCGAAAGAGAAAGGAGTATTCTTCAATAAATCAGCATGGTGGACGCGAGGCATATCATCATTTAGGGCAGACAGATACGCGACAGCTTCATTCCTGATGAACATGAAATAATTATAATTGTAACTACTGTATCCCGTTTAGCTCAGTTGGTAGAGCGCGTCACTAGTAATGACGAGGTCAGTCGTTCAAGTCGGCTAATGGGAATATTTTTGCTCTCCTATTATTTTGCTTGATCTACTGATCCAAAACTGTAGTACTCTTCAATCTCACCGTCTACCATGACTTCACATATGGATACAGATGAGCAATCTGTCGTCCTTCCCTCTAGCACAACCTCTGGATTATCTTTGTCTCTGTTAGTCTACTTTCTTACTGACACTGTTAATATCATTGACGTTGTCGTTCAGGCATCCCCTACCGATCCTGAACATCTCAGAACACTTGACGAGACTCAAGCTTCAGACTCGGTCCAATTCACCTTTCGGCGTGTTCCTTTCTCCCGTGTGCTCATAACTATCACTAACGGTAGAATGATCAGTGCTCGGCGCACTGCTAGGCACGCAGAATGGCCGAGAAGTCGAGATTGTAAACACATTCGAACTTGCCACAGAAGAGGGTCGCGATGACCTTGTAGATCATGGATTTTTGGTGTCTAGACGAGATCAGTGTAAGAAATTTCGTGTTATCCACGTCCTCGCTGGCCGAACCATTTCCTTGTCGAAGATAAACAGGTGTTCCCCTCTTTAGAGTTTATTGGGTGGTACACGGTAGCTCCTGTGCCGACTTCTCGCCACATCGCGTTTCATGAGCAGGCATGTTCATTCTTTCAGACTTCTCATTGGTGAAGTTCATAGCTCGCAGTTCACAGGGTACTGCTCGACGCCACTCCTGCTTGTCCTACAACCCTCTACGATAGCTCCACCATCATCTGATATCACTGGGCAGACACTACCTTTCAAAGCTTATGAACCTACCATTGAAATAAGGGATAAGAAGACACGTTCTGTGTTCATAGAGGCACCATACAAGGTAGAGACAGGTGAAGCTGAGCGTATTGCTGTCGACTGGACAGCCAAGGGTGGCGGGGGAAGTACCAGTTGTAGGTAAATTGGTCCTTCTACTATCGCGGAACCTCATCATCGTTTGGCTTCTTCTCTCTAGTGGAATCTCATCTTCAGGCTCAGCGGGCAGCAGTCAAAATGTTACATGAGCGAATCTTGGTCCTTGTGCAGTATGTGACGAACGTGATCGCAGGTGTGTTGTATGCGCCTGCTGCTTCAAGGCCGATAACATGGATGATTCCTTCTCGTTGTACGTAGGTCAAGTTCCGACAGATCATACAACTCTTCGATCCTTGTCAGCATTAATTGCCTCGTTACCGGCTAGTGAAAACAAGAGCTTCCGCGAGGAATTCAACACTGTGGGCGCCTTGTCTCCTTGACGTCCTCGACTGATTCGCTCATCTACTCCCTTCCTTACTGATACGTCATGCAGGAGTATGAAGACGTCCAGCTCACTGCATTTCTCTCGTCGCTTACGAAATCGACAAACATATTGAATGACGTGAGTGGTCTCTTGTCAGTTTCCCGATTCAGTTTTGATCAATATGGGCGCTTGTCATGTAGCTTGTTGACAAGCACCTTGTGCTTACAGTAGGGTCGCGGGAGGATCGCGCTATACCTGGCCCAAGGAGGAGGGGGATGGGCAGGCAAGGGATGGTGTCAGGGGATTGGGCGATGCACTCTTAATGACTACCGTTACATGGAGAATATTGTGCCACGTATCGCAATTGTTATTGTATTTACCCTAGGGTAAACACCCACCCAGCAAGTGCCAGCACACACTCATCATATAAGAACTGTGTTGATGAATCGGCACTCCAACTCGGTACCACTCCTACCCTCTCTCATACCAGTTCTCTCCCCTAGCTAACCTAGGCATTCATTGAAATCTTATCACCAGCCTCCCGGGCCCCCATTGGCATGTTGTCGTATGAAAGCGTTTGCCTTCTAGCCTATGTCTGGTTCTATGCGTTGTGTAAGTGCGATTGTTTCTAACATACATGATCTCCGTTTGTGCTGAGACGAATTTAAATCCAGCCGTGTGGGTGTCATTCTATGGAGGTATGAGCCTCTATATCGTTGCATCTGCCTCTCTGACTGACGTGTGTGCAGGATTCATTGCTTTGCGGACGCTGCGTTCGTCTTTCCAGTTGACACGTACATCGTGCCGTCAATAACCAGACTACTTGGTTGAAACAGCTCGACAGCAGTTCGGCGCTCTTCAACACAAGTACTTTACTTTCTCGACTATATTCGCCTCGGCTTTGTTGGGGGTTTGGACATGGGCCCATCCCGCACTTCTTTCCCACCTCGCCAGTCCTTTTAAACGGCCTGACGTCGCGCAGGCGTATGTGCTCGCAAGTGTCGTAGCGCTACAGGTCTGCAACCAATTTGTTGTTGGGCCAATGACTAGTAGGCAGGTGCAATGCACTTACAAGAGCGTCAGCTACTGAATCCTCATGTGCACAACAGGACCATGTCCCAGCAACATAAATTGGAGAAAGAAGAAGGCGAAAACTGCAACGATACCGAAGTAAGCTCTTGCTGTCCTTTTGATCATAATAAAGCACTGATGAAGATGTAGGTTTCTGACCGAATGAAGGCCTTGCATGCGAAGTTTAGAATGTTACGTCGCATTAGCTCGCTGGCCAACGTGGGTGCATTCATTGCCTTGACCTTTCACGGCCTGTGGATCGGAAGCTATTTGGTTGCGATTCGAAATCTATACTAGATATGGGCATCCGTGGGGCTCTCAACAGCACCTTTCACGGCCTGTGGATCGGAAGCTACGGGTTGCGAAGTCTTCGTGAATCATAGATATGTCCTAGGAGGCATTCGTGTGGCTCTCAACAGCCAAAGTAGATATTATGCAAAAATACAGTTCTAAGTACAGTCATGCACCTACAGACTCCATGGAGGGCATGTATCCCTCTCTCAAACTTCTCTCCAACCTCCTGATTTCCTCGATAGAGGTTGCCTTTGCAATGGCCTGTTTGACCTTCTCGGCGTCTTCTTTTGACATCAACCGACCCGCCTTCCCTGACAGCGCCGCTGGCTTGGGCTCGTCAAGAGTGACAGCTGCTTTTGAACCCTGCTTCGATACAGTGGTCGATATCGTCGTTGCAAGGGCAGTGGGTAAGCCTTCCGCCGTGAGGAATAAAGACTTTCCCGCCTCCCGCTCCTGAAAGGTGCGAATGTGCTGAGCTATTGACCGCGCGGAGTTTCGAACGTCGTGGGCGCACCTTATCGCGGATCCTCTGAAAATCCAGAACTCTCAGCGATGGTATTCTCCACGCAAGCCACTCGCGATACCATTTCTTTTCCCTCACAGGGTTGCCCAACAGGGCAAGATACTTCAATCCTTTGATCTCCCTGAGAGGCTCTAGATCGCCAAGCTCAGCGACACTGTTACCAGTAAGAACGAGAGTTGTTAAATTAGGAACTGAAAGGTGAATCGAAGGTGAAATTGAGGCGATTCGATTGTTGGCGAGAAGGAGCGTTCGTAGTCGTTTGAGCAAGGGCAGATTGCCCAACACGGTGATCGAATTATCTGTGAAATCTATAGCATCGTGTTGGTCCTATTCGAAATGCACGTTATAATATCACTGCCAGGATGACCATGAGGCCGATGCTCTTACCTTGGTCACACCAAGGTTTTCGATGGTAGGAATTTTGTAACCTTCAGAATGATATGAACACAATTTGAGATGCAACGGATTTTTACGAGCTTACCTCGTAGATCGAGCTGCCGCTCTTTTACGGGGTTGAGTGCAGACGGGGCCTGCGCGAGCAGCTCGGGGGTGAGCTTGACCATGGCGACTCTAGTCAAGCGTTGAGTGCACGCTGCGTTTCAGACTCAGCCACGAGGAAACAGCACACCGCGACGCGCTCCACTCAACATTTCCTTCCACACCGCTACTCAACGCGCGACTACCATGAAGCCCATATACCAGAGACTTAATCTGTGCGATTTGTTCTCCACTAAATTTCTTCCCTTCTGCTAACCTTTTTTTCGCAGATTTATTGACGGCCAGGATGCCTACACCTTTGTCCCTGTGGAACCCATTGGAGCGCAGTCTCTCACCATACACAGGGCCACCGGCGATATAGTTCTCAACGGTGAGCTGGCTGATATCTTTGGTATTACAACTAAATATGACTCTGCGCAGCCCCGAACACACCTGTCCCTCCGACCGCCTCGAGATATGGCAAGACAATATACGGGATACTGGGGATGATTTCACTGGCTCTTTGTATGTGCTGCTACTTCCAGAGCCCACTTTGCATATATCGATCCATATTACAGCGGAGTATGTTATTGTAATGACAGGTCGCGAACACCGTGCGCGCCTCATGGGCCACGACATATACCGCGCGGTTGACTTTGACATTCTGCCTCTAAATCCGAATGTCTCTGTCCAGAATCCACCCCACCCCGTAGAGGGACACTTGTTGGCGTTGGTTCGGTCGCATCTCCTCGGTGGTTACTTCTTATTCAGCTATGGTTGGGACTTGTCGAGGACACTCCAGGTACAATGGCAAGAACGGGACAACGAAGAGAGAAAGGCCTTATGGGAGGTGGTGAGTGCCAAGATATGACCTTGAAGTCATGGAGCTGACCGACTGTTAGACTGACGACAGGTTTTTCTGGAACAAGTTGGTCATTCATCCAGTCTTGCGGAATATGCATATTAATGCACGACTCCTCACAGATTTTTACAGTCTAGACTCACAGACACAGACATCGCACATGATGTGAGTCGCTTGTCTCGAGTTCTAGTACACATCTCATAATTTATGCAGCTCAGTCCTTACATTCTTCCAATTATCTATGGCAGTAAGTCTGCGCCTCGACTTTTCTGCTGCAATTCTGATAGTTGATGACCTCCAGCGTTCGACATGCGTACTGTATATATCCACGGACACCGCATTCAACTTTGCCTCATCAGTCGACGGTCACGCTATCGCGCCGGCACGAGGTACTTCCGTCGTGGCATCGACCATGAAGGCCACGTTGCCAATTTCAACGAGACCGAACAAATTCTCCTGGTCGACGAGCAAGCCGCGGGTCGCTTATCACTTGCCGAGAACTTGACTCACAAACTGAGCTTCACTCAGATTAGAGGCAGCGCGCCGGTTTTCTGGGCTGAGATCAATACGCTCAGATATAAGCCTGATTTGCAGGTCATGGACCTTGAGGAGACGGTAATTCATCTTTCGTTTTTGACGGGCGTCGTTGCTTGACCCCTTACAGGTTGACATGGCTAAGCGTCACTTTCGGGAGCAAGTTTCACAATATGGCAGCCAAAGTCTTATCAATCTGGTGAATCAAAAAGGCCACGAGCAACCGGTAAAGGAGGCCTACGAACGCGCCGTCTCACAAGTATGTTGCCGTTGCACTTCGTCCGCATCTCATTGACGTGTTTTAGGTTGAAATTCCAGAAGTGAAGTATCAATACTTTGACTTTCACAACGAGTGCAAACACATGCGATGGGATCGCATCAGTGTTCTCATCGAGAAGATGCAGGAGGACCTCGTTCAGCAAGGGTACGAACGAGCAATCCTCAACAGTCTGTTTACTCATGCGAAAGCAGATACTTCCACCTCGACACGGCACAGGATAAGGCCGTACGAATACAGACAGGCGTGATGAGGACAAATTGTATGGACTAATTTGGATCGGACGAACGTAGTCCAAGCAGCTCTGGCGAAATGGACGCTTAATCGACAAATGAAAGCCATCGGAGTGCTATCCGATAACGAAGAACTGGACGACTTTGAAGCCTTGACCAGAGGTTTCCGTGAGAGTAAGACCGTCGCTGCAGTCTCATTTTCTATGACATACTCATTACGTTGTTCAGTGTGGGCCGACCATGCAGACTTAATCTCGAAGGCTTATGCAGGCTCTGGGGCACTTAAGACAGATTTCACTCGTACAAACAGGCGAACGAAAATCGGTGCTCTTCAAGATGGGTACAAGAGTGTCATGCGATACATTAAGAACAATCACTTTGACGGCGCTAGACAAGTTCGTGCCTCCCATCAGAGTTAACTTCGTTACCCTGACGTGTCACAGGATGGATTTGACCTTGTTACTGGAGCTTGGACTCCCCAGAAGAATCCAGTCACTGCTGCATCCTTGATCGCTGACACGCGACCACTAATAATTCGATCGGTACGTTTGTACGACACTTGTGACAGTCACCGTTAAATTTGCTCCTTCAGGTTCCTTACATCTTGGCGTTCTCGCTTTTCATGATCTGCGCCGGACTCACTCTGCCACGGACGTCAGGTGAGCTACAATCTCTACAACACTCAGCGCAAATCGCTGACTGTAGCGCAGATTATTCCCTATTGTATTATTTCATGCTGTGGTTCGTTATCGCCTCGTTGGCTGTCATGTTCATGATGGTGCATGGCATCGAGTATGTCTCGTGGCCTCGGCTTATTCCTCCCACGGATGTCATCCATTACGAAGGACCAGGCTTTCGCTCAGCCCACAACGGGAAGGGTCTCACTGGCCCTCTAGCTCAGAAGTTGGACCTTTCTGGCCAATCGGATGGCTTTGGAGCCAAGCTACTCTTGAACGGGCGAAAGAGAGCTTTGACGGTCAATGGGATGGAGGAGGGGACGAAGAAGAGAGTGGATTGAGACCCGAGTTGTTGAGCTATATACCGCCTACATTTCTTGCTATTCCGACACTATTCCTGTCGAATATATGCCCTCTTCAATTCTTCTTCATGTACAAATCTGCTTTTGAGGTGCTGATTGGCTGACTAAGTCTAGAAAATTTCCCATTTTGGCGCCGCCTGACAGAATCCAAACTCCGCTGTGGCGCGTCGCGTAGCATATGTGTGGAGTTGGTCTGGACTCTGAAGCTTAATCCTCCTGTGTACTTTCCTCATCATGTCTGGCAAAAAACGCGCTTCCCCCGGTACAGACGTCGAGAAAAATCCTCTGGCACATGTCGAACTCAACGATGAAGATGCTCTAAAACTCCAGGACATCCAAAAAGACATCCAACGCGTCGAACTTGTCATAGGTGAGTTTCCCAGTGTATGGCTCAGAAAAAGTAGTAACGCAAATTGATAATCTTCAAGAGCGCCAGGCTATGCAAAAATTGACCCCAGTCTATGAAAAACGCCGTGCTGTCGTTAAATCGATAGAGAAATTTTGGCCTGTGGCTCTCATGAACAACACCATGATCTCTTTCCATGCACAACACAATATTGATCAACTTGCGCTGAGCTACCTTGAAGATTTGTGGATCGTTCGTGATCCTAAGGAACCACGATGCTACGCTATTGAATTCGTACGTTATTATTGATATGCACCAATCAACAAACTAAATTGTCATGACAGTATTTCAAGGCAAACCCATACTTTACTGACTCCGTCTTGAAAAAGGAGTACAAATACGTACCTCCACCCGCCGCTTCAGACGACAAGCCTGATGCGGATGGCATCACTGACTCCATGCTCGACTTTTCTTGGGCCCGTGATGTCCAGCCTTCCGTAAGTTAGTGCGTCCTCACAGAATCACACTGTTAACCTTCTGGTAGGCCATTACAATTCATTGGAAGGATCCTGAGAATGCCCTGACCAAACTCCACCCCCGTGTGGCTGAGGTGGATGGGGACGACGATATGCCCGCAGAAGCTGGCAGCTTCTTCAACTTCTTTGAGATTGCAGATGACCCCTTTGAAGTAAGCGTCGCCACTCAGTCGCCGCAAACGCTTAACTTGACATATTTTCTAGATTGGCACACAGATTGCCAATGAGATTTTCTCCGAGGCCACAGATTACTTCATGGGTAATGTCGCTGGTGACGAGCTTGATTCTGAGGAAGAGGACAGTGAAGATGACGACGACGACGCTGAAGAAATTGATTTGGAGAAACCAAGGGCGAAAAAGCAAAAGAAGGAATAGGTGGTATCACCACCATTCACTCGTATTTATGGTCTTGTCAGCTGCCGAGCTTGACTGTCTTATTGGGTTATTCCACACTCGTGGATGTTGTTACAGTAGCGCACCCATTGTCGCCTGGTTCTCTTGAGTGAACTCGAGATATCGGTGTAAGTGAATAAATGTGATGGTCAGGAGGCTAGCTACCGTCGGAATGAACCATCACCACGAGACGAGAGATGTAGGAAGCAAAGTCGTAGATTAGACCCTCTATGCTACGCTGGATGAAACTGTTGAGAACTGGTTTCAGGGTGACTGAAACACTAAAATCCTCGCTTGCAAATGAGCGAAAGCGTCCGTCATGAAACAAAAATTCAAGTTCTAGAAGTGCGTTGCAAAATGTGAGTTGTTATAGTGTTCTGCGAACCATAAGTGGTAGCGAGCTCGAGCCTTCTCCCTTTACTCGGGGACGAATGACAAAACTTTGAAAAGCCTCAATCTCATGTGGACAGGAGAAGGCAAAGTGGCGGAGTAGAGTCACTGTCAGAACCTTCGCCACATCATGGTCAGGTGGGGTGTCCAAGGACGTACATCATCAGCACCAACCTTTATTTCGGCAGCTGCAAAGTTTCGCCCGAGGCAGCCCCGGGGGCTGTCAGGGGTCAGCGAAAGAAATCTAGCACCAAAAGGGTGTACGCTTACCCAACACTAAAAGCCAACAGCTCGCGGCTGGTCCTGGCACCGCGGTGGAGCCAGCGTTCTGGTCGGAAGGCGTCCGCGTCGAATCCCCAGATTAACGTGTCCTTTTGAATTACATTGACAGGCAATGAAATAATAGTGCCCTTCGGAATGACGAGGTGAAGATCACCAGATCCTGTTACTGGTTCCGAAAGAGGTACGCTGATGGTTTCAGCAGCCTACGCAAACAAATTTTGGTAAATCTTTCAGCCAGCTGCATTTGACCTTACCTCGTGATGATTCTCGAGAACAGGTGGATGAATGCGAAGCGTCTCCAGGAAAAATGCGTCGAGAAGTGGGTAGCAATTGTTGAGTTCGTCAAATGTGGGATCTCCAGCAGTGGAAACTTCATCGCGGATTGCTTGCTGCCATTCCTCATTTGTAGCAAGCTCAAAAAACAACCACTGGAAGACACTGTCAGTTAGACTTTGAAACTAGTTAAGCGAACGTACAGCGATCGTGGCAGAAACTGGTTCATAACCAGCGGAAATGATAGTTCGCATCTGCGCTGCAACTTGCTCGTCATCCATACGTACATTGGCAGTGGCTTTATCAGCTCGGACTGTGGTGTGAATGGTGTCAGTGAAGCAATGATCCTCGAATAATTGAAAACCATACGCATCAGCGACATCAGCGTCTTACTGTTCGGATCACTGACAGCTTCCGCATCCTTCAAGATATTCGTAGCAAGATCCCCAAGTTCTTTTCGAGTTTTTCTGATCATCTGTCCTTTCTTGCCGAGGTGCAAGATAGATGGAAATAGCCAAAAGAGAGCTTTCATGTAAAACGAGGTGAGCGATTTTTCGTGGTTCGTCAAGCCGTCTAGGGTTTCCGCCAAAGCGTGTGGCTGGCCTCGAAGGCAGTCAAAGTCGTACGAAAACGTTGCTCGACCAACTGTGTCCAACCTGAGGATTCAAATGAGTACACACGCGATACGCTTGAGGGTAATACACACGCAAAACGCCCAGCCCAATTGGTCATCTCAATCATGATTTCATCGCTATGTTGGGCATCGAAAAGCCTATGCCATTGAGAAACCATCTGGAAGAAGTTCAAAACGCATCCAACACGACATATGCACCTTACTTTGGTAGCATTTTCGTAGAATACTGGCGTCAAATTGCGCGCAGACTGCGGACTGAAGCTGTGTCAAGGTAGAGATACCACCGAGGTAATATGCTCGTTACCTTAATGCTGGCCCAACGGTACGCCGTTGCTTCTCATGAGCTTCTTTGCCTTGCCACATACATCAGTGAGTGAGTTTAAAAAATAATCTACATTGAAGAATTACCTTCCACCCAGAGAATACCCTCTCCAAGCAATGTACGAAACCAGGCACGCACGCCTTTTGGCTTGGGAAACTGATATGCGCCCTCTCCCAGAATAAACGATATGGCGTGCGGATCCGTGATGGAAAGTAGCTGATGCTTATGAGAGCAGTCAGCGAGGCAATAAAGTTCGAATGAAATGTACTTACACCAAACGCCCCTGTAAACTTTACAACCTTGCCGTATGAACGGTGCCAGTCCAGATATAAGGCACCGGGTGTATTATAATATAACACCTTTTCTTCACCCCACACCCAGGACGAAATCTTCGGACCCGGGACGTGGCGCAGCAAGAACAGAGACGAGAGTCGCTGTTGAAAGAAGCGTAATATGTATACAAAAGCGAAGGCAACGGAGAAATGATAGATGTACAACATGGAACTGCGCAACCGTTTGGAAGAGTCTTGGAGGTGATATGTCGTCTGAGTCGCAGAGGCACAATTGGGATGAAATTAGAGATACCTTTTTATGCGTCCTACTACAGTAGTGTTTTGAGCAAACATTATAGATCGATCAGATTATGATTGTTCGCCGTGACGTTGTGATTGAGTCGGTGCTTGCACCGACGTAAGCAAATTTGATCAGTCATAGTTGGTAAGTCCTGGTACCCGATTGAGGCTTTGCCTGATTGGATGACTTAGATCTAGGTCCTGGACATTGCATGAGCTGCGAGAGAACTCGAAGAAGGCAATGATGCATTCGATCGAGTTACGATTGAAAAGGCACCGTACTGAGCTCAGAGGGTCGCTGCGGTACCTGTCCGCGAGTTTGCTGAATCGCACTTGATCCTAATACGGAATGATGGTTAGCAGAGCGATGGATGCGAAGAAGATAGGACGAATTTGCATTTCGTAATCTGTATTGAGTATATCTGCAAACAGAACAGCTGCCTTGCGATGTGTCTAATCATCATATTAGCAACGGACTGGGAATCAAAGCCGTGCCACCGCATCACAGTTAGCCCAATGCATAGGGATGATCGCTTTCCGAGGGAAAACTATTTATTTGCATTGAGTATGAGCCTTGCTAAGTTGCTTGACCGACTCGGAAGGTACAAAGCAGTCGTTTAAGATCTGACAATCATAAGTCAGTTACACTGCAGATAATGGAATGAGCTGACCGCCTTACGGCAATGATTCTGGAGTGCCTTCAGCTGAGGACAGCTGGAGCCGAGACAGAAGTGAACTATAACGTACTCTATATCTGCATCAGTATTAATGACCATCGATTGATCGCTAGTAAGAATGCCCTACATAGGCATCTTCCACTCGTTCCTGCCGGCAAACCGAGATCGCGGACGGTGTCCTTCAATTACGAGCCCGACTGTGGTATCACACATGATGCCGCTGTTTTGCGACCGATGGCCCAGTCCAGCTGTTGAATCCTAAGCGAGAGCGTGGACTTCGCGCGGGCAGATCAGTCATAGAAGACCAGGACAGGTTATCAATAATAAGACACGCGAAAGACCGCCGGGCCGTGTAGAGAATGGTAAAGCGGGGGTGAGCAGCTCAGCGATTGCGTTCCGTTGTTGAGTCGCTGTGGCGAGAACCAAAAAGACATGGATTCCACCGAAAATGTCAACTGCAGTCAAAAAGTAGTGAAACATGATAGAGTATGAGAACATAAATACTTGATAAAGCTCTGGACTACTTTGAAAAAATACTAGTTAGAAGCGTTTAACGAACAGCAATAGTGATCTCAGGTTTTGAACTTGGCAACAGTGGAAGCTAATGGGAACATACCTAATATAGTAATCGAGACCGGCGTTGCTGTCAACGCGATCGTGTCACTTGCTTGCACCTGTAACAAACGGATCAGCTTTCTATCACCTACCCTCGAGCAAATACGGTCGAACTCGCGTCGACTTTGTTTCGCATGTCTGCTCTCCGGAACAAATCTCCTTCAGAGGATCCTCCGAACTTGCGCCACAGGTCCAGCAACGCTAACGTGGAGGTCTACACCGGTCAAGCTGACATGTCCCCGCTAGCGTCTTTCCACAAAAAAGTCGTATCTTCCTCTTTCGACAGCATTCGAATATCACCTCGCGTGCCTACAGGGTCATCTTCAGAAATTGAACTCAGTTTATTGTCTGAGGAGGAACGAACGAGTGCTGGGCGAGACCTCCAAGATGGTGACACGCAATTTCTTGCAGACGCAACAAAAAAGACGGTTATGTCCTCTAGAGACAGAAAGGCAATGACGCTTTTGATCATCCTCTGTCGGTCGCTTTCCTTTCTCCGAGCTTTCAATCCAGTTGACATGACCTCATGATCCCATTAGATTTAATCCAAGGAATTCCTGTGAGTTATTTCTCTCCCTCGGATGTTACGCCGGGAGAGATGCTCACTATTCTATGAACAGCTGGGTCTTGCCCTTGGTATGATACACTGCTTTTTTTTTGTCTACTCACTAATATTCCACAGGTTCCGTTCCGTTCATTCTCCGAGAACACCTATCATATTCACAACTTGGCGTGTTTGCATTATCTAACTACCCATATTCGCTCAAGCTATTATGGTCCCCTATCGTTGATTCAACATTTCTTCCTTCCATTGGTCGCCGAAAATCGTGGATAATTCCCATGCAACTCATAATTGGCTCCTTAATGCTCTACATAGCAGCAAACGTGGGGAGATTGATGGAAAATGTATGTGGTAACTGCTAGACTTTGAGGCGCCCACAATGACATGCAATCAGCCTGCGGATAACATATACGAACTTACTTTTGTGTTCACGTCACTAGTACTCTTTTCTGCAACGCAAGGTGCGTGCGTTTGTAGCTCCCTTTTGTTTATGCTAATCCATGCTTTGCAGATATCGCTGTTGATGGCTCGTACTTAAATTGTTTTGACGCATCGTCACTGCTGATATCAGTTCAGGATGGGCTTTGACGCTTCTCTCTCAGGAGAATCTTTCCTACGCGTCTACCTGCCAGACAATTGGGTTGAACACAGGCTTCTTCGCTTCTTTTACCGTTTTCTTGGCGCTGAACAGCGAAGCATTTGCGTAAGCAGTTCGAGTTCAACGTCCTGAGTTATTCAAAGACGATTTGCAGTGAGAGATGGGGTATTCCGCGCCTCACGTTAAGCACATATCTACGTTTATGCAGCCTCTTGTGCTTTGGAGTAACTTTTTGGCTGACCTTCTTTGAAAAAGAGGTGACTATTCATCGAGAATTATCTTACAACAAATTTCTGACAAAATGAATTTCATAGGGCAAGGAGTCATTAGATGAATCAGAAATGACTGTCACATCCGTTTACAAGACTATATGGAACATCTGCAAGCTCAAGCGTAACCAGATCTACTTTCGTATCCTTTAGCAATTGACCGTATCTTTCAGACGTCCAGGCGCTCATCATCATGCACTTCTTCGCAAAAATCGGATTTCAGGCCAATGAGGCAGTCACCAGTTTGAAAATGATTGAGAAGGGTTTAGGTCGCGAAGACCTTGCTATTGTTGTCCTCATAGATTTTCCTTTCCAAATATTGGGAGGTTGGTTTGCGGCGAAGTGGTCTAGCGGCGACAAGCCACTCCGTCCTTGGATATGGGCATTTTGGCCCCGACTAGCATTTGCCTTCGTGTCGACGCTCATTGTTTACTGGTTCCCGACGCCCCCGCTTTCATACGGGTTTTTCATCTACCTTATCATCCACACAGTGCTACAGGGACTTGCATCGTATGCCCAATCAATGACGTGCTGACAAAGGCTGATTTCTTTCATAGGACAATTCAGTTCGTTGGAATTTCAGCATTCCACACCAGAATATCTGATCCTCTCATTGGAGGGACCTACATGACGGTATGAGATCTGCAGGGTTCCCTACTTGTTGATCGACAGACTCATGCCCATTTAGTTACTCAACACGTTTACTAATCTAGGAGGAACGTGGCCGAAGTATTTTGTATTGAAAGGTGCGAGTGAATGTTAGTCATGTTCGTCGAGCGCTACTAATACTCCGATAAAGGCGTCGATTTCTTTAGCGAGGCGTACTGTGAAGTGAAGGACGCGAACAGCGACGTTCTGGTAAGAGGTAGGCATGAGTGGTTTTTTTTGGCTTGGGTGCTGCCTGATACTCCAAACCAGCTGCTGAATGCGTCTCTGATCACGGTAAGGAGGTCTGCACGGATATTAATGGGGAATGCATCACGGAGCGTGATGGATACTACTACGTTTCGGCTATATGCATGACATTTGGCGTGCTGTTCCTAGGGTTTTATATCATTCCCACTGCACGCAAACTACAAGGTGGGTAAAACACTTTATGTCACTTCGATTCTAACTCAGGTGCCTGTCTAGCCCTCCCTGTGTACAAATGGCGAATCAATCCAGAGTGAGAGTGAATGGGGAAGTTGGCTGTTGTTCGTTACTTATTCTAATATTACTGGATGGTAGATAGCTCGTGCTTCGTTTCACAAGTTGATCTATGTACCACTGGTTGTTGTTGAGGTGGCTGTCGCCTGCCCTAAATTCAGATCGCGTCCATATCCTATTTTCCACGGAAACGTGCAAACCATACCGCTAAGATTTTTCAATAGTCACTCTTGCACTACGCAATAGCCATTAGAATCAATCGTTCTGCACTAACTACCACAAAAATGGCTACTACAACTATGCATTTTGGCCCCGAATGGATGCGCGCAAAGCCACCACAAACGCCTGCTCGGCCCCAAGCACCTCCCTCTCCACCCCCTCCGGCAACATCTAATACACAGCAAACTAACGCGTCAACTTATTCTGCACTCGTTACACCTGCCGCTGCACCAGAGCCTGAGAGACGCGACGAATTCCGTCCGTTCAGATATTCCAAGGAAGCAATGCTCAGAATCTACAAAGAGGGTGGTGGGAGAGGTGGTTTGGGATTAGAGGTGGAGAGGTGGGAGGGCATTGTGCATGAAGTCAGCAGTGAACCCACAGCGTTGCGCGAAATGGGTGACGCGGAAAAGAAGGTCAGGCAATTTGGACTTATAGTTTATGTCTTCGGCCTCATTGGCTCACACGAGGCATGCAGCTCTTTGCTGGGCCACTTAATTCCGAACTTCGACGGCGCCAGTCTACCGATCTCATAAGCACGCTTTCATCACCATCTGACAGACCCAGGTTGAACCATTCCAACACCGTAGGAGGGAGTTCTATCAGAGGGTTCAGTCTCATGGGAAGGAGAAGAGATAGCACAGCAGGTGAACACTGGAAAGTCCCTGACCCATATTGTGACACTGATCGAGGTTTACTAAGATCAACCACCGCTTGCACTGCCTCGTAAATTGTCTGTGTCTAATACCCAAGGTAACTCGCCGCGCGACGGAGCACTTCCTTCCCCTCGCACCCGAATAGGCGGCTTTGCTTCAGGTTTTGACGGTGTGCTTAACGGTGGAGATTCTTGGATGGCTAGACGTCGAACATCGGAAAGCATGCTGAAAGCTGGGGGAGCTTCCGCGGGGACCCGTCCGGAGGGCAGAGAAGAGGATGTAAAAGGACTTAACATCAAAGAAGTGGAGGAGGACACAAGTGTCGCACAAAACACTGCGCTCCAACCTGACCTTTCTGGTACTTCTCAACAATCATCTCCAATCGCCGATGCCCTGCCTCGCGACACAACTACTGACAGTCCAAACCAGCGATCTACTCTAAATGCAGATTCTGTAGCCCGTCGTATGGCTGGGATGAATCTTGGCGAAAATGAGCGGACCAACGCGAACTTCCATCCCAACCCTGTGGCCGACAGTCTGACGGCTGGTCCACCACCGGGTCTGGATCCAGGTAGCATTGAGTGGTCATATCTGGATCCTCAAGGTCATGTGCAAGGTAAGTTCCTCATATTGCTATCACGAGCTCCAGAGGTGATATCCCTTCCTAGGTCCTTTCAAAGCTGATGTAATGCAGAAATGGTTTGATGAGGGCTATTTCACTCCCGACCTTAGGATGAAGCGTACTCACATTGATCGGGATTGGACTGCGGTTGGGATTCTTGACCGCCAGGCTGCCGGCGGGAAAATATTTCTTTCACAATTCCCGATGTCCACCAGCCCTCCTGGTCTCAGTATTCGCACCGATTCCTCCCAGAATTACTCCCCTGCTCATGAACATAATACATTCAGTGGATACCAGCCTGTGCCAACCCGAACTCTCCGTAGTGCAACGTTGGACCCATATCATAATAGTGCTTCTCCTTCAGATTCTCCCCCCTCATCCTTTGGTGGTGGCAGGTTTGGCAACGGCTCCCCCGATACTTCTGCATTGGGCGGTAGAATCGGAGGCCTTTACACTAGTGACTCGGGGTTCGGCTCTCATAGTTTCACCGGCAATGTAGGTCCGTTCGGTCCAGTCGGGGACCCCCGCTCGTCGTTCAACAACCTAGCACCCGGCAGAACCTCATCCCTGGACACATTCAGCACCTATAAGAACAACGGTAACTCACAATGGCCACCTTCTATGACGCAGAATGTCCAGCATTTTAGCGGCAGCGAGCACTCCCTTGCTACTGGTTTCAACAATGGCATCGGCTCGGGCATCATGTCTGCGCCAATGCCAGTTACGCAGAGCCACTCTTTCACACAGGAGCCCTCGTACGGCGATGGCACGTACAACACCATGGGCAGTCTCGGCACCTCGCACGACTCGCCCATCGCACGGCTACCCGTCGAGGCGAACGGGCTAGGCTTCAACAACGTCGGGATTAATGGCTCACATTATGTGCAACACTACCCCCAGTCCCCTGCCTTGCCACAGCAGCGCTCCTCTACATCGCCGTTCGTTGAAGTTCTCACGAAGGTCGCTGAATCGCCTGACGTGCGGACACCGGTGTCTGCCGTGCAGCCTGAGAACGTGTCATCACCGTGGGGCGCGCCCGAACTTACTGTTGTACGTCGCCCGGTGGTTGAGATCCCTACTGCCTCCCCAGTTGCCCAGGCACCTCCAGCAGCCTGGAGTCAACCCCCGCAACCCGCTCGTCCCGCCCCAAAGTCAAAAGAGCCTTCGCCATGGCTGACGGCCTCCCTAGGCGTCGTGGATGATGGGTGGCGCGAAATCCCTGGCCCAAACAGCCTCACTGTGAGCAACCTCGGGCAGCACAATAAGATGTACGAGAAGGTGGACGAGGACGACATTGCTGTGTCAGCCATTGGGGAAGAGGAAGAGGAAATTACTGCTGCTACTGCGCCCGTACCCGTGCCAGAGACATCTCAGCCAGCGCCTTTGGCCCCCGCAACAGCCGCTCCACACATCGAGTCCCCGGCACTTGCGGTGTCCAAGGCCAAACTTAAATCCAATGCTCGTGAGGCCCACGCACCTGCCCCAGCCTCTGCACCGAAGCCTGCACCTCCCGCACCCATACCTGCCCTAAAGAGCCCATCTCCTGTCCCGAAGCCTGCATGGGCGACTGAGGACGATGCGACAAAAGGCACGCGTTCACTCGGTCTGCGCGAGATTCAGGAAGCAGAGGCAAAGAAGGCAGAGGCACGTAAGGCGGCTGAGCGCGAGCGGCTTGCACGAGCCAATGCGCCACCACCTGCCGTTGTTGAGGATGCGCAACTGTTCACCGCATCGTGGGGACTTCCGACGTCTCAAGCTGGTTCACGAGCCGCTGTGTCGCCAAGAGGTGGAGAAGCTGTGGGCACGCCTGCAGCGAGTGCTCCAGTGTGGACCTCAGCGAGTACGACGCCCGCCAAGAAGACGATGAAGGAGATCCAGGAGGAAGAGGAGCGCCGGAAGAAGATAGGTCTCAAGGATTCGATGGCGGCGACGGCTGCAAGGCGCGCATATGCGGAGACTACTTTCAAGGTGTGTACGCCTCTGAAATGCAAGACTATTTGTTGATCCCCTTTGAACGCTGTGCAGGTGGTTCCAAGTGCTCAGATTGGTGGTGGGGCATGGACAACGGTTGGCGCAAACGGCAAGACAAATGCACCTGTACCTGCGTCTGCGCCTCCTCGCCCAACTGTCACTCCATCGGTATCTACACAAGCGGCGCCTACACCACGCCCCAATGGTACAGCGGTGCGCCCAACTGTGCAGATCGTTACAAAGGCTGCTGCTGCCACACCACCACGCATGGATGACACTCCCGCTATGTCTTCACACGATTTCCTCAAGTGGCTAAGTGACACGCTGAAAGGGCTCAATCATTCCGTGAACCGTGCGTAACTCTCCTTCGTTTCATTGCCTTTTTCTGATATACAATTTTGTGGGACCAGTGGAAGACATAACGCAGATGCTCCTCTCTTTTCCTCTCGACCCAGACCCAACGACATCAGAGATCATTTCAGACCTGATTTATGCGAACAGCACGACGCTCGATGGACGACGGTTCGCAGCAGAGTTCGTTAAGCGCCGTCGGGCCAGTGGTATGGCTGGGCCAGGAACGAATGGGAATGGAAAAGTGTCGATCGCGGACGTGGTGAAGACGACGCCACGGGCTGCTCAGCCAGAATGGGGCTTCAAGGTTGTGAACAAGAAGAAGAAGGGGAAGGCGTGAGTGGGAGTGGGAGTGGGAGTGGAGTGGAGTGTTTTACCCGTTGTCCGCCTACGCACATGCATACTCATAAGCATACACTCATTCAATTGTTTTATCTCATCTCATGAATAATTTTGTGTGGTCGAGTCCTAGTACTTAGCTGTGCAAGTCTGTGCATTCCGTGAATATACAATACCTCGAGCCCGAGTATCGCTGCTAGGGGGTCACTCAAGCTCATCCAATAAGAATGTATGAAATACATGTATTTGCGTGTTTATTGTTACATAGTACCCATTAACGCATTATACATGCTGCGAGTACACTGATCAAGTAACTACCCATTAATGCATTATACATGCTTCGAGTACAGTGATCGAATAATGACGAACGAATACGAAGCACAACATATCAGCCATGAAGCCATAAGTCAAAACATAAAGAAAACAAAATCCAATCATGCGGCGACATCAGACCACTCTCCATCCTCCTCATTCTCATAGTCCACAACCACCTCTCCCTCATCCTCAGACGCAGAGTGGCGAGGCACCAACCGTGGCGAAGCAGGGCGCGAGGCAGGAAGCAGGAACGTATCCACCTCCGCATCACTGACGGGAGACGAAGATGCGGGTGATTCCATAGTCGAATAAGAATCTGAATCGGAGTCTGGCATGTTCACCTGAGAAGGCGTCTGCTCCGAGGTCAATAAAGAAGACGCCGCCGGGGGATAGGATGCCGGCATGTTCGTGGAGTTCGTCACCTCCGCGGGGGAATCAGCGTCCGCATGGGTTAAAGTCAAAGAATCGGGGATAACTGAAGAAGAGACGGAGAGAGACACGCCGATGGTGTTTTTGGAAAGTGAATCAGGTGTATCAATGGTAGGTGGCGTTGGGCGCGTAGCGTATGATGATGGCCCGAGTTCCACATGGATGACGTCCTCGCTCGCTGTGGATTCAGTGAAGGTAGAGACTTCATAGACAAGAGGCTCCTCGGACTCCTTTGACAGGTCTTCCTGCGGGACCGAAACCTGAGCTGTCGAAGTCTCGGACACTTCAGAGGTTGTGGGAAGAGAAGTAATGCTCGGCTCCGCCACCGATGTAGTCGGGATCTCGATGGAAATGGGGATGGAAGTGGCGGGTGCTTCGATGCTAGTCTCAGATGGCCCTGCATGGTCTACAATTGCTTCGATAGGGGAAGAGGCGGCGGGTGCGAGTGCTTCGACTTGGACCGAAACACCGGCAGGAATAAAATCCTCTTCTACAACGGGGCCCTCAAGGTGCGGAAGATCCTCAGGGGTAACATTCCCCGGCTCCGAGGGCGAGTCCATATGGACATCCGATTGACTGGACAGGCACACTCACAGGGTCTTCCTTCCTAGCGCGCGCACGTCCCCTTCGCTCCTCCACACCTTTCTCAAGTTCTTCAAGCGCTTGCTCCACGCGCGCCACAACTGCACGTCTCGCGTCTCTCACTGCGTGTGACCCGTAGCTAGGAACATTGTCCAAGTCTCCGAGGAGCGACGAAAGAGCATGCTCCTGTGCGCGGAGGGGCGCATTGGACGGGGCGTATGTCAACGCAAATACATCGGTGGTGTCGAGGGCTGAGTAAACTGGGGAAGGCGAGCGCGAAGGAGAGAAATCGAGCTCGGCAGGGAACTGGAAGGTAGCGAGGAGTGTCTCGAGACGGGAGGCGATGGAAGTGATCTGGGAGAGGGAAGCAGCGACCTGGGCGGGAGATGCAGAAGGTTCTTCCTCGGTGTCGGAGTCAGGGATCTCCTTGGCTTTGCCTTTACCCTTGTCCTGGGCTGGGGTTACCTCTTCGTTGACCTTGGCCTGTGAAGGCTCGGCGACAACTGGAACGCGTGCAACAGGCACTTCGGTCGAAGTGCCTTTAGAAAGAGAGGACAGGAGAGACTGGAACGCATCGCGCACGTCAGACTCGTACTCTGCCATAAGGCGGTCCTCAAGCCTGTCCTTGAGCGAAGGGTCATCCTGTACAGGGGCCTTGGAAGTGGAAGCTATGGGCTGAGCGGGGATTTCCTGGAACTGCAGTAAGTCACCTGAAGCAGAGTTACTGGACAAGAATGAACATACAGCATTGGCAGGCGCGTTCTGAGTTCGACGTAAGAAAGCACTGAGGAACCTCTCAGTATCTGCACGGCGATGGGCAAGGAGTTCTTGCTCGTTGCGGTGAGCCTGAAGAGCAGCAAGACGTCTGGCTTCTTGGAGACGCGCCTCGCGCTGACGAGTGGCCTGCTTCTCGATAGCCTGACGGCGTGCCCGCTGTAATGGATCCTCGTAATCGACCGCAAGACGACGGGTACGGGGTTCTGGCTCCTTGCGGTAAGCCTGAAGAGCGGCAAGATGACTGGCTTCTTGGAGACGCGCCTCGCGTTGACGAACGGCCTGTTCTAGGACAGCCTGGCGGCGTGCCTGCTGAATTGCAGCCTCGTAATCGAACGCAGCGTGGCGTTTGGGAGGGTATGGTTCGAGGTAGCCGTAGTCTGGGACGTAGGATGGAAATTGGCTCTGAGGATACTGATCGTACTCTTGAGCACGGAGAGCATTTAGGATGAGCTGCTTCCTAAGCAGCTCCTGGCGGTGCCTGTGAACGCGAGCCTCTGCACGAGCATTGAACTCTGCGCGCTGCTGGGCAACGTATGGGTCGAGGAGATGGTATTCGGGATGGGAGACGGGATTGATAACAAACATTGTTGTATGATTAGATGCGATTGCAATTGTGAGATGGGGAGAGACGACATGTTTGGCGCTGAATTTATATGTCTCTGGTTGTGGACGCTGACGAATTGCTTTGTGAGCGTACGCGTCAGATTCATCCACAGAGTTCCACAACGCGCGTCGCGATGCCAAAGCACTTTCCACTGAATTCTCGAATATCCCAAATTAGGAAATGTCACACAATAGTCACAAAGCCATTTACAAGTCGTGGAATGTGCATATAATATTATACATATTCATTCCACGAGAATATCAGTCCTAATAGTATTAATGTTTCTCCAAAGAGTTCTGGTAGATGTCACAATATACGTAGTGACGCATGTACCAACTCAAAACTAACGCGCGGCTCGGCAAAAACTGCCGTGTATGAGACGCGTTGTTTGCATACTGTTTGGTTCACATTCCTTCTCTCCTCCATGGCACTTTCACAAGCTGCAAGTCGTTTCCTGGGTAAGAAACTATACTCTTTGATCAGGCAGTTTTCTGACATGGTACTAAAGTGCCCCTTGGCGTGGCTTTTGTCGCCGTCCAAGCCAGTATCTATGATGTGCCAGGCGGTTTCCGAGCAGTCATGTTTGACCGCTTTTCTGGTGTAAAAGACAAGGTGTGCGCTTGTGTATTGTGAATCCAGGTCCAGTTTATAGACCATTCAATACAGCCTACTGGTGAGGGCACCCACTTCCTCGTCCCATGGCTACAGAGAGCAATCTTGTATGACTGCAGGATTAAACCCAGAGTACGTCATTTCTCATTCCAATATGCCATTATAGTGCTCAACAAATCTCTAGAATATCTCAACAACTACCGGCTCAAAAGACTTGCAAATGGTCTCCATCACCCTTCGTGTATTGTCCCGACCGGACGTAGAGCATCTACCCCGCATTTACCAAAGCCTCGGCATGGACTATGACGAACGTGTTCTACCTTCCATTGGAAATGAAGTTCTCAAGAGTATCGTGGCACAGTTTGATGCTGCTGAATTGATTACGCAACGTGAGGTGGTGAGTGCGATCTGCTCCTCGACGTCGGACCGGAGTTCACAGAGCCTGCGCAGGTCTCGTCAAGAATACGTGCAGACTTGCTACAACGTGCCGGCGAGTTTAACATCAAGCTGGAGGATGTATCCATCACCCATCTGACATTCGGGAAGGTGAGTAGTCCTTTACTGGTATTCATTTCTATGCAGCTGACACCCCGTGTAGGAATTCACCCAGGTTCGTACGAGGCTACAAGATATCCTTTTCATACTGATGAACTTTACAGGCTGTTGAAGCCAAGCAAATAGCCCAGCAAGGTAAGGTTGTTGTTGTTCCTGTGCTGCGGTCACATGCTGACACATTGTAGATGCCGAGCGAGCCAAGTTCATTGTCGAAAAGGTGAGTGCCAAGGAGTGCACATGATCAAGTTGCTTACGGTATGCAGGCCGAGCAAGAGCGTCAGGCTGCAGTCATCCGTGCTGAAGGTGAGGCTGAAGCAGCAGCGACTATTTCAAAAGCGATGGATAAGGCTGGGGACGCATTCATTGCGCTTCGTAAAATAGAGGCAAGCAAGGCGATCGTGCAGAGCTTGGCTGGGAATGCGAACGTGACATATATTCCAAGCAGTGGAGTTCTTTTGAACGTACCTACAAAGTAGTTTACTATGTAGTAGTCATTGACAATGTTCTTTGAATCGGCGATGACCGTGGGATTGATTCCCATGGTAGATGTGTTGTGGCGGTGAAAAATGGGAGGTCGTTAGTTCTTGATCTTAGTCGACGACGGAGAAGGCCCAAAGTCGTTTCTCGCAGTCTCCTGTTCTCTTTTTTCTTTGTCTCTTTTCCTCTCTTCTCGTTGTTTTCTATTCTCGACGGACAATCATTCTCTGATTTCAGTAATCAATTCTCCTGTGAGTCTTTTCATTTCCTCATCTCATCCCAACTAACTCCAAAATCATAGCCTGTCATTCTCATTCACTATCCATATTAAATCATGAATCAAATGGGTGGTATGGGCAGTATTGCCGAGGCACCAGTACGTCTTTTCCAGTGCCTCATAGATTAGTCTTCTTATTCTTTACAGCGAAGGGCTCATCTCTACGTCGGAAACCTTAGCCCCAGGGTTACCGAGTACATGCTTACAGAGATCTTTGCTGTTGCCGGTGCAGTTCAGCACGTCAAAATAATCCCTGACCGCAACTATCAGCATGGTGGTCTCAACTACGGTTTCGTCGAGTACATCGACATGCGCGCAGCTGAGACTGCCCTTCAAACCCTTAATGGACGCAAGATCTTCGACACCGAGATTCGCGTTAACTGGGCATATCAGGGTCAGCAAAATAAGGAGGACACAACCGGTCATTATCACGTCTTCGTCGGTGACCTCAGCCCAGAAGTCAATGATGAAGTCCTTGGCAAGGCTTTCAACGCGTTCTGCACAATGTCCGACGCTCGTGTTATGTGGGACATGAACTCGGGCAAGTCTCGTGGTTATGGTTTCCTCGCGTTCAGGGATAAGACCGACGCAGAGCAGGCCATCGCGACCATGAACGGTGAATGGCTTGGCTCACGTGCTATCCGTGTAAACTGGGCAAATCAGAAGACTCAAGGTGGTCTGCCTGCTCCTCCACGCCCTGGAGCCAGCGTTGGAACCGCTCCCGCCCCCATTAATTTCCAGGGCGGTCCCCTTTCCTACGAATCTGTCGTCCAGCAGACTCCTTCGTACAACTCCACCGTCTACGTTGGAAACCTCGTTCCATATTGCACCCAGGCAGATCTCATCCCACTCTTCCAGTCCATTGGGTACCTCTCAGAGATTCGCATGCAGGCGGATCGTGGTTTCGCGTTCGTTAAGCTCGACACGCACGAGCACGCCGCCATGGCTATCGTGCAGCTGCAGGGGCAGATGGTCCATGGACGTCCCATCAAGTGCAGCTGGGGCAAAGACCGGGCAGATGGAACTCCTGCCCAGCCCGGAGCCCCGCTCAGCCCGACGACTCCTGCGGCTCCCTATGGCAACATGGTGAGTAATTTTCACTTAAATAAGTATTCCTCAGTAGGCTCACTAGCCCTCTTAAAGCCCATGTATGGAATACCACAACCTAATACTTACGGCCAGTACGGATTCGGCGCCTACGGTGGATTCCCTAACCAAGGTGCCGCTGGTGGGTCGCCAACGCCTGGAATGCCTCAGGCCGCTCCTGGCGCTGTCGGTACTGGTCTTGGCGCTGCAGGAGCGGGTGGTGCGGACCCCTCTGCTGGTGCTGGTGCTGCTGGAGGCGCTGGCGGCCAATGGCCTTCTGGAGATGCTGCTGCTAGTTACTATGCTAACTACTGGGGTGGTGCGTATTTTCCTTGACACTTGACAACTATCTTTTGCTCAACGAATTTCAGGATATTACGGCCAGCAAGGCCAAGGCGAGGGCCAGGGTGCTTAAAGAACATTGTTTCCACCATGTTTAATTCTCCCCATTCATCATCGATATCGTGCTCCTGTCCCGTCTCGAATGTAGCCTGCGCCATCCAAGCTAAAGTGTTTTTCCTCGCCTCACCACTCGAATGAAAAATTGTGAAAGATGTGCTTTTGTATGGTGTCTTCATCCAAGAACAAACAATCTTCTCCTTGTTTTCTGCCACGTTATTTTGTTATTGACTCCCCGACCTGGTTCCAATTATTTTTTCCCCTCCTGCGTGTGTTGCTAATCAAATATTTCATCAGTCTCGTGATCTTTTTCTTCCTCGTTTCTGTCTGTGTTTGCTTGTCCTTTGTGTATATATCCTCGGTAGATGCGCGTTTTCTGATCAAACTACGTCTACTCGTCGGTGCAATAGCCTTTTTGATAGCGAGGTCCAATTACCTCAAGAGTTCGATTGCGATCGATCATTTCTTCATCCTAATATTTCGTGAGGCAGAGCAAGGGTATGTGATTATAAGGGGGTAGTATGTGCATCAAGTAGGGTCTACTCATCGTCCAGAATCAACCATTCGGAGTCTGATCCGAGCTCGTCTCCCCCTGCAACCTCGTGCCATCCGTCAGAGTCTCCCCCGCTGCCTCCCCCTCCCTCACCCCATTTCCCGACACTGAAGCGTTACCTGATGCTGGTTTTCCCTCTCCACCATCACGCCAGTTGAGCACAGCCTGATGCCGCGAACGCATATCCTCATAGAAATCATTCGCCTCGTTCATCTTGTTCGCTTGTGCCTGCTTATCATCAAGCCAGCGTTGGAGGAGTTTAGCATTATCCTTTGTTAGTATCTGATTCCGCTCCTCGATCTGGCCGAGTTCAAGTTGGAGCGTGTTGATCTCGTCATGAAGAACCTGAGCACGAGATCAGGCATGGTCAATCAAAGAGCAGATACAAACGCACCTGAGCAGTGCGATCTTTCTCAGCCATGAGCTCTGAGTGCTGATCAACCTTCCTGCGCAGATGGGCGACTTCTTCGCGCGCTTTGCGAAGGTTCTCAGACTCGATACGCGAGGCTTCTTCCTTCTCGCGAAGAGTCTCGTTCATGGCTAGTAGGCGTTGAGCGTTCTGACCCTGGGTCTTGTAGACGGTCGCAAGCTCATCGCGGAGAGAGGAAATCTGGGATTCGAGCGAGGCCATGTACGCTGCGCGTACAGGGTTGCTGATTCCAGAAAGCATGAAATTGACGCGCGTAAATGCATGAGCTGTATAACTCACTCTTCGTTCGTTGCTGTCCCTGGTACATGAACTGTCGAGCTACTTGGGTTTGCGCGAACAGAGCCGACGGCTTTGAGGAGAGATGCATTACGCTCTTTGAGGAGCTTGGTCTGTTGAGCGAGTCTGCGGTCTTGAATTGGGGGGTCAGTGCAGAGTACAGATGGTTGATTGTATGAGGCGTACATTGCTCGATTATGGATGCGAAAGCGTTTTGTTTAGCATTTCGCTCTGATAGTCTGAGGCGGAGGAGCTCCTGCCAGGATGGCTCGGCCATGGAAAGATATCTACAACTACACGCTATGTCCGCTGCATGAAATTCGGTATAAAGCGTGACAGCTACATCACTGTCACGTAACAGTCTCGAAAAGGAAAGTATAGTCTTTGAATCAATTGTGCTACGTCCCCTGAGGAATACACTTATATTCGCGTGTGTACATGCATGACAAAGTACGGGGTATACGGTGGATCGTGCACGCGACTGCACATTTTCTAGGGGTGGAAACGCACGGCATCCGTGGCGTCATTAAATATGAAAGTTTGTAGCGTGTACTTATATTTTGATGTCACCAAGACTGGTCGCAATATCTGACAAGGAGAATGGCGTGAATAGATGACGGGATTCACCCCGACAGTGAGATTGACGGCGGCGCACTTGTTGAAACAACGAGAACAATCCTCCATAAATTTATCCCGAGAAACTTGCTATTTGAGGATGAGGTTCTCGACCGAAGGCGTGACAACTGGACACCTTCTCATCGAGCCACTCTTCATGAGATGAAATATGTCTGAGCTCCCCTCCGCGCGTTTCATGGTTACACTGGTTCTTGGGACTATGGCAATGAAAAAACCTCCGTGCCTCAGTCAGTTGAGGTAAGATTACTTACCATTGAGGAATGGCAACGCGAAAATTCATTGGCGAGCGCCTCTATGACTTCATGAGTCAAAGCCCACATAATAAGTATGTGACGCTTTCTAACTGATATCATCATGGCAATGGACTCACATATAGAAATGAGTGTGCCTTGATGGTCAGCCGTAGACTCGACCCGTACGGAGTGGTCCTCGGGAGTATATATGTCTGTCATTATGCATGTCCCTCAACATTCAGATTTCGGAAGTCAAACCTGACCGACACAGCCGCATAGATAACGGTATTTTATCCTGTGTGTGCAGTCGGCTGAAATATTGCGGGTTAGCTATAGGCGGGCGATCGTTCCCGACACGAATTATAAGACAGCTGGAGAAGACAGTTTGACGGCTCCATAGCACCGTCTTGCTAGTAGATGGATAACCATTTATGACTGTGACAAGAGTGTGACATTTACCGGGCGGCGATTACCGGATATGAGCTATTCGCTGGTCTCCCACGAGATGTTCGAAACGCAGACATCCTTGCCGTCGCTGGCATACAAACCTTTAATTTTCCTTTATACAACTTTTCCTATCCTCTTCTCTTCCGTTCTCTAGTCTTTCTTTACCTCTTTGTATACTTTCTGCTCGTCCATAGTCATGGGCGCCGTCACCAGTTGTTGTGAATCTTGTTGTAAGCTTTGCAAACTCTAATATACACTTTTATTCCCTCATATGCTTTTCCTCAAGTTCGCTCGAGGAGATCTCAACAGTACGAGCCTCTCCTTCTCGAGAACGAACGAGAAGCCGTCGCAGACCTCCTCCAATATCTCGAGAGTATGTATCCAATACAACCAAACTCAACCTCTCCTCACACGAGCACGTAGACCGCACAACCACCAATTTCTTTCAAGGCTCGCCTCTTACTGCATTAACTACCCTCTCTTTTTCCGACAATGTCGACCTTCAGCGTAGTGCTGCACTCGCATTCGCAGAAATCACCGAGAAGGAGGTGCGCCCTGTGGGTCGAGATACGCTCGACCCCATTCTTTTCCTCCTGAGCAGCCAGGACACGGAGGTGCAGCGTGCTGCTAGCGCCGCGCTTGGAAACCTGGCCGTTAACAGTGCGTTCCACCACACTTATGCGTGTTGCCTCTCGTGCGCCGCTTATTGATGCCATGCGTGCAGCTGACAACAAGCTCCTCATCGTAAAACTTGGAGGCCTAGAGCCGCTCATTCGCCAGATGTTGAGCCCAAATGTCGAAGTGCAGTGCAATGCAGTTGGCTGTGTCACAAACCTCGCGACACACGGTAGGTTTAGCGCATATCGATGGCGATTATCGATTACTGACTGCTTCTAAATTTTGTTTCTGCTTTTGATTTGCTTCTTTCTTTGATCCTGTTTGCGCCCTGAAGATGATAACAAGACGAAGATCGCTAAGTCAGGCGCACTTGTGCCGCTTACTCGGTTAGCAAGGTCCAAGGATATGCGCGTTCAGAGAAACGCTACCGGCGCCCTGCTAAATATGACCCACTCAGGTACGTGACCTTCTATATGGACCTGAGAACTGACTTAGATCAAACGAACGATTGCAGATGAGAATCGACAACAACTCGTAAACGCGGGTGCCATCCCTGTCCTTGTGAGTTTGTTGAATTCGATGGACACAGATGTGCAATACTACTGCACGACTGCGTTGAGTAATATCGCCGTCGATGGAGCAAATAGAAAGAAACTAGCACAGAGCGAACCAAAGCTCGTAACGAGCTTGGTGGCCCTTATGGATAGCCCAAGTTTAAAGGTTCAATGTCAAGCTGCGCTTGCTCTGCGGAACTTGGCTAGTGACGGTATTTGTTCTTCTGTTTGTCGTTTCTTCTGTTTAACATTGGTTTCGCAGAGAAATACCAACTAGAAATCGTCAAAGCTGACGGTCTTACTTCGCTTCTCCGACTGCTCCAGTCTACTTACCTCCCACTCATACTATCTTCCGCTGCCTGTGTCCGTAACGTCTCCATTCACCCACAGAACGAGTCCCCTATCATCGAGTCCGGATTCCTACAACCATTGATTAACCTTCTGTCATTTAAAGACAATGAAGAGGTTCAATGCCACGCCATTTCGACACTGCGTAATCTTGCTGCAAGCTCAGAGAAGAACAAGACCGCGATCGTGAAAGCAGGCGCGGTGCAGAGCATCAAGGAGCTCGTACTGGAGGTGCCTATGAATGTGCAGAGCGAAATGACTGCTTGTGTCGCTGTTTTAGCCCTTAGCGGTCAGTTATTTGTATTCCATGATGCTTTCTGCTGACGGGTTTGACAGATGAGCTCAAGGGCCAACTGCTTGAGATGGGTATTTGCGAAGTGCTGATTCCATTGACGAATTCGCCTAGTTCAGAAGTTCAAGGCAATAGTGCTGCGGCCCTAGGTAATTTATCCTCCAAAGGTAGGTTTAGCGGCAGGGTCAGGACTTCTCAAGAATTGAACTTTTTTTTCTTCCAGATGGCCGTACTGCATCTGACGACTACTCTGCATTTAATGACGTCTGGGAGAAGCCCGATGGTGGCATGCACCGATATCTTTACAATTTCTTGACGAGCGTAGACGCAACCTTCCAGCACATCGCTGTTTGGACGATCGTGCAGCTGCTTGAATCGGGAGATCCTCAATTGATCAGCAATATCCGCACCTCTGGCCTTTTGAACCCATCTATCCGGCAGCTCGCATTGTCCCGTACACCATCCGCGACGTCGTCCGTTGGTACACCTCACTCGCATCGGTCACAGTCACAATCATATGCAGATACGGACACGGGTGAGGGTCAGGGGGAGATTCAGCTACTTGCACGGCGAATTCTGGAGTTCGTTGATGGGGATATCGATGGGGGAGCTCCGCGAAGTGTCACCGCGTCTCATATGGCCGGGTCTTCTGTTAGTAGTGCCAGGGATGAGGAACTCAGAAGGAGCGTGCGGGAGGCGTTCTCGTCTGGTTCCCACCACTAGCTAGGGCAGCCAGTAAGATCGGTATATATCCATGGTTCACGTTCTGCATCTTGCCTTTCTACTGTTGTACATCGTTCATCTGTGCGTCGTCTATTCTTCATCGTATACTTATGTCTTTAGTTTTTTTTGTTTCCCTGACGAATTTTCTTTAACGGTTCTCGATGCCCTTTTTGTTCAGTGATGATTACGACTGAATGTCTGTGCATAGCTAGTACCTGACGAATAGACCTTTCTATACTGCCAACTCCGTACTGCCGGCGTCCACACGAGGGCCTGAACTCGGTGTTGTGAACCTCGAGGTGGCCCGGTGTCCTAATAAGGAATAACCGCAGCAGTGCGGCTAAATTTAGATCTGATGAACTTATTGTCCCGTGGAATTGTGATTAAGCTCGTGTATCTACAAAACTACAATGACAATGACTGCTCTGACCTTCCTGCCTTCAAACTCCCGCTATTCTGTTTTTCGTCTGTTACTTTTGACTTCTCTTCATTTTAGACTTGCACCGGACGGTTGATCCGTTCTACGACTACGCCTGACCTGCCTCGTGTTTTAGGTCCATCAATTCAAGCCCCTTCCAAGTGAAGTAGGCCTGAAGTTTTCATTTTCCAAATCGAATAAGAACGGACTATCGCGTGCTTTCCTGCCTTGATAAGGTGAGCCATCTCTCCACACTCTGACACTTTCTATTTCTCTCTTAGAGTTGCTTATTATTGGCCCACCAATTTTCAGTAATTTTTCTTCCCCGTTCACGCATTGGATCGTGGCCCGGTGCTTCGATCATTCGTGAACTCTTTTATTCGCAGACAACGTCAAGTTCGCTAGAGCTCCACACCCCCATCTAATTACCGTCCTCACGACTTGCCATGTACACTTTCTTTCCGCTCCTTGCACTAGCACTCGCCCCCGCGTCCCTGGTCGAAGGGAAGGCATCATTCCTATCCCATGCGCACAAGGTCGCCGTCAAGCATAGCGGTGGCCTCGCGCGCGACCTCCGCGTGGCGTTCGGTGGCGTCTTGGTGACACAGCCTACCACATCGAATCAGAATGTCTACTGCGTTAGCTCAGATGGCGTAGGCGTCAGCGTGCCTTCCTCTGGAAATTCCACTTCATCTACTTCAACCGCGAAAGGAAACGCGACTGCAACGGGAACGGGAACGGGAACGGCTGCGCCGTCAAGCACAAGCGTTGCATCGTCACCTTGGAAAGTCGTACAGAACTACAGCGGGCAAACGTTTTTTAATGGCTGGAGCTTTTTTACCACGGCGGACCCGACAAACGGGAATGTCCAGTACGTGGATCAAGGCACAGCTCAGAGCGCAGGCCTTATCGAGATAAACTCGAATGGGAACGCTGTAATGCGCGTTGAAACAACGCCACAAGTACAGACCAATCGGCAGAGCGTGCGGATCACCACTGAAGCCACTTTCGATGGTGGCTTGGTTGTAATGGATGCAGTGCATATGCCTACTGGATGTGGAACATGGCCTGGTATGTGATAATGTGATTTCACATTTTGTTCCATTTTGCTGACATTGGTGTTTAGCCTTTTGGACAAATGGCCCTAATTGGCCAGCGGGAGGCGAGATTGATATCGTGGAGGGCGTGAACAACTACACGAATAATCAGGCGACGATTCACACTAACCCAGGATGCACATTACCCTCCACCAGCAGCACCCAGCTAAACATGTCTGGCACATTGGTTGCATCCACCGATTGCTCAGCATCTCAGACTGGTAACCAGGGGTGCGGAATTCGTTCTACCCTGAGCAATTCGTTTGGGTCTGGGTTCAATGGAATTGGTGGCGGTGTCTATGCTAGTAAGTATCCTTGGCATGATCTTCCTTGAATACACTGATGGTTGGATACAGTGCTCTGGGATATCACCGGCATCAAAGTATACTTCTTCCCTCGTGGATCGATACCAGCAGATATCACTGCAGGAGCACCTCAGCCTCAGAATTGGCCGGCTCCTATGGCCGACTGGCCCTCAACGGATTGCAATCCATACCAGTTCTTCAATACCCATTCCGCTATTTTCGATACCACGCTTTGGTAAGTTCATTCATGTACAACTGAGTATCTTGATGGTAATTGGCATGCAGCGGTGACTGGGCCGGCGGCGTATGGAGCGGCACAGGTGTGCCTGGCCAAAGTGTGAGCTGCGCACAAGAGACTGGTTTCTCGACGTGCTCGGCTTTCGTCCAGGCTAGTGGTGCCTCGTTCAGCGAAGCTTGTACGTTTCATGTATTGTTCATTTTTATATCCATCATCGCTCATTGTGGCTACAGACTGGGAAGTATCCAGCGTTCATATCTACCAAGACTCGTCATGAAATATTCACGAAACTGGAGGAAACACATTTGGATCTATCGATGTATTTACTAGGGGTATTTTGCTGTATTGTAGCTCCACGTATGATGCGATATACACGGTCGCACACGCTAGCCATAGTTCATGTTATTTATAGTGTGATCTTAATGGGAAATAGACATCCATGTGTAACTTTATCTTCATATACGTCGCCATAGACGGCGCTATTGCTCTGAGACAGCCCTGATCGTAAGATCCCCTCTCCGCTCTCCCTCACCACCCTCCATGCGAGCAGAATGGCTTCCAAATTGCATCGCTCGTTTCTTCCTCGCGCTCGCCTCGAGTAGCCCCACCTTTCGCGCGGCAAGCCGCAGCAGCATTTTATCGCCGAGCCCCAGCTCAAGCCGTGGGTCAAGCTTGAGGTGCACGGGCAGTCCCGCAAGGAAAGAGACAACTGTGAGCGAAAGGAATGGGTGGCGCGTCTCCTTGCCGTGAGAGGAAATGACACGGTCATCTCGTCCGAGGTTGCGAGTCGGTATGCGGTCGAGTTCGAGTTGGAGCTGGATATTAGCATGAGAAAATTATTGTAATCTATGAGGGAAACGCTGGCATACCTCGTCGATTACGCCTTGCCAGCCTCGAGTTGCATACACAGTACGATGGCGGCCATATCCACCCAGTAGCTCATCGGACCCGAGACCATTGAGTAGGACTCGTGCTGTGCTAGCGTATGGCTGATAATCATCAGACACCGCGGAAATTCGGACTCGGCCCACCCCTTTGGAGGCGAAGTAAAGCGCCATAGCAAGGCTCTGATGGACAAGTTTGTCAGAACATTATTCTAGCTTAGGTAGACAAATTTACAAGATCCATTACAGTTCGCCCAGGGAACATAATGGCTTCGACGGCTGCCCGCGCAGATTGGGACTCCTATTTGGTTTTTATTACAGATCAGAAGCCTCATCTATGTAGGATAAGCACACGGACCTCGTATGGAACATCTACTTCGACCTAATGGAATGAACAATGTTCTTGCCGAAGAATTAATATACTCACGAAATTCCATGTCCGGCCCTGACATAACTGCCTCAACTCTTCGACCTCCTGCAAGCCTGTCACACGGTCTGGAACCATGTACGGGGTGGATTCCTTCATTGATCCATTTTGCTCTGTTGCTTTGAGTCGCCGCTTCTTCTCGCGCTTGGGAATAGCCCCCATATTACCATCAGTTTGAACCTGTATCTTCCTCGGGTTCTCGAAAGCCACATTGAGCAGGTCTATGGGTTCATCTAGTGGTACATGTCTAGAGAACCCGAAAATTAGAAGAAGCGTCAGCAATAGGAGATGGTGTCAAGGTACCTATGTGCAAGGAAGGCTAGCATCGTTGAATCGATGCCGCCACTGAAGAGGAACTGCGACCTGTGCCTTCCCCTTCTCAGACGACGATCTTCGTGGTATGTTCTGAACGCGAAGCATGACACTTTTGTCCAGGTGGTCGATAAGGTGATCGACAGGCGATGGCCAGTTCGTGCGGTAGTATTGCAGAGTCCAACGAGAGCACAAACGGTGGTGCATCTGGAGGAAACGCGGTGTTCACGCGACTAAGCTTTGCCTACACAAAGTCTTCGAATCATGAAAAGCACATGCCATCTCAAAAGCACTCACGAATGGAAGACTTTGCTGGTCCGTATGCCGTGGAATATATGACAAGCTGCTGTCGAAGTTTCGCGCAACCTACATAGATTAGTAACTAGAGTGTGTCCTGACGTACGGGGGCTGACTCACCTCGTTGGATTCACACATTTTTCCTACATCGAGGCAGAATATTCCCTCAGTAGATAATTCTTCCAGTGATGTATCCCTGATCATCTCCAATGGAGACGGATGCAAGTAAGAAATAGGGATTAGAGGCAGAAGGCTTGTGGATAAGCAGAGATCGGCGTCCAAGGGGGTCTCGAGCAAAGTACAGTTTTCGAGATTCGGCCTATGCACACATATGTCAGAAGATCCAATGAAATATTGCCAACGCGGCCTACATGATAATAGACAAATGCATATCTATCGCGCACTACACTTTAGCGGGGAGAAGATGCGCGTACGATGCAAAGAACTCACGGTCCCTCGATCTTTCCCAACAGGAGAGGAAGATCATCCATTGCGGAGAGGGAGCGTATGCTTTGAAATAGCTTCGTACCATCATTTTCATCTACATTGACCTACGTCAGAATACCGTTAGCCTTGGTCACACTGGCAAATCCTTCTAACTCACACTCAAGCCTTCGAATACCTCGCCATTCCAGCAAAAGACGTCCCCATCCTGTTGATGAGGTTGCACTATAGGTGCGTCTCCTCGAAGCCGGAGCTCAGAAGCAAAGAACTCGAGATCGAGCCCTCGTGTCTTAATCGGAGATGACATCTGTGCCTCACCGGAGTCGCATTGACATGCTCCTTGGACGCGGACGCGATGGGATTCTTGTACGTCGGGACCTGTGCAACTCGATCGGTCAAGCAGTCGAACAAGAACTTGACAACATCAAACACACCACGAGCGGCATTGGCGACTTTCAGTCGCTCGAGCAAATCACGAAAAGCATCATCTGGTCCTGTGGTATTATCTGTGTCGCAGCGACATCCTGCGCGAAGCGAGCAGATGATGCCACACATGAAGAGTCTGAGGGTTTCTGCTATTGATCGGATCAGTCAACCATTTGAAACTTTCGGCTCAAATTCAAGTCGCCCTCGATGTCACCCATCGTGCCAAAATCATGAAGGGTCAGTCATTGATTTATTTTGCTACTCCCACAACACGTTACGTATCATACTAATAGTGCACCCGAAATACAGTTGCATACAAAAAGCAATGCAGAATAAAATCTATTAAGACAGGGCAAGGTTGGTGTTTCATGTACACCTTTAAGCAGAGTACGAGCTGGCAGAGACATTGCCTCCACGGCCAGTCCAGTTAATGTCTAAAGGTAACGTGATTAAAAACGTGCAAAAAGATAAGAGACGTAACACGTACGGATGTCCTGGCCTTGGGGTAGGCGGGGGTTCTCCTTCCCGGACACCACACGGAAGGTGTGTGCACCAAAGTAATCACGCTGGACAGTTTGTGAGCATCTAATCCGGTCAGGATGTAATGTTTTCATACCTGAGCCTGGAGGAGGTTGGCGGGGACAACTTCGCTCCTGTAACCATCGAAGAAGGCAAGGGCAGTCGAGAAAGCGGGGGTGGGAATGCCCCAAAGGACGGCCTGAGCGATGACACGCCTCCAGCCAGGTTGTGCTTTGTGGACAGCTGCGCGTAATGTCATTAGACGAGTCACCAATCAATAACTATTTATACGAACCCTTGTTGAAGAAGTCATCGAAGAGCAGAGACTCGAGGTCCTCTTTCTTCTCGTAAGCGGAAGTGATGTCACCAAGGAACACACTCTGTGACAAAGATATAAGCCTGGAGAGTAGAAGATTCGGATTCACATACCTTGATGATGCATCCACCTCGCCACATACGGGCGATACCAGCGTAGTTCAAGTTCCAGCTCAACTGGATTCCTCGTTTGAGTATAAACTTCGGTAATCAGAAGGTTACTAACCTCCTTAGCAGTCTCCCTCATGAGCATGAAGCCCTGAGTGTAAGAAATGATCTTGGAGGCATACAACGCCTGTTCAAGGTCATCAATGAACTGTTGCTTGTCGCCGCGGAAGGGTTCCTTTTGGGGGCCATTGATGACTTTGCTGGCGCGCACGCGCTCATCCTTGATAGCAGACAAGCAACGTGCGAACACAGCCTCACCGATGAGCGTAACTGTTAATTTCCAGACAGTCAGAGATTGCACTTAGTTCGGATGAGTAGTGTCATACCGGCAGTGCCAGCGTCAAGGGCGGCAATGGCTGTCCATTTTCCGGTACCCTTCTGACCAGCCTTGTCAAGGATTTTGGTAACGAGGGGAACACCGTCGTCGTCATTGAATTTGAGAATGTTGGCAGTAATCTCGATGAGGAAGGAGTCAAGGACACCCTTGTTCCAGGTGGTGAAGATATCAGCAATCTCGCTCTCGTGGATACCAAGGCCACGTTTGAGGATGTCATAGGCCTCAGCGATCAGCTGCATGTCACCGTATTCGATACCTATGATGATCTTCTTAACCCCACACACTACAGGGGAGTAAATAGGAATAATCACCATTGTGAACCATCTTGACGTAGTGACCAGAACCAGTCTCGCCTACCCAGTCACAGCAGGGTTCACCGTTGACCTGAGCAGCGGTTTTCTGGAAGATCTGCTTAATGGCGGGCCAGGCAGCGGTTGAACCACCAGGCATGAGTGAGGGACCATGACGGGCACCCTCCTCACCGCCAGAGACACCAGAGCCGACGAAAAGGAGGCCCTTGGCTTCAAGCTCCTGTGTGCGGCGGATGGAATCAGGGTAGTGGGAGTTACCACCATCGATGATGATATCGCCCTTCTCTAAGTAGGGCTCGAGTTGCTGAATGAAGCTGTCGACGGCAGGACCGGCCTTTACAAGAAGGATGATCTTGCGAGGGCGCTTGAGTTTGGCGCAGAGCTCCTGAATGGAGTGCGCGCCCTGGACATTGGTGCCTAAATAGACGGTTCGAGTCAGAGATAGGGATGGGGGTATGAGGTCATAGGTAACCTTTTGCCTCGTTGGCGAGGAAATCATCGACTTTGCTGGTAGTACGGTTGTAAGCAACAACGGTAAAGCCTTTGTCGTTCATGTTGAGGATCAGATTTTGACCCTTTGCAAAGTTCACATCGTACGATAGTTGATATGCATAGATATCTTACCATGACGGCGAGACCGATGAGGCCGATATCACCTCTACGGGAGAGAGGGGGTTAGCATATTATGGCATTATGACGACAAGGATCGGGTAGGACGTACGTAGGAGCGGACATATTGATTGTATATGAGTGATGTGGTTAAGGAAGAAGAGAGGAAGATGGAATTATGAAGGAAAGATGGGTTGCAAACCCGACAGATTACATATAGATTAAGAGGGCTGGCGGAGCGCAATGGCGTGAGATACCGCATAACTGTTTCCTCCCAGGGATCTGAGTCAGCCAGAAGACTGATGGTGATCCTGATCAGAACAGATCACAGCTAATTCACTTATCGACTCGGTCTATCAAGTTGGCGTGATTATCGCCAACTAGCCTACGCCAAAAGCATAGCTTAGCCAGCGTAGAACCCTATTCAGTTTAGCTGGGGCGTATGCCTCGAAACGCTTCATAGCCAAGCTCATACAAGTTACAAACCCCTCTGTCGTGGGCAATATTACCGACAGCGAGAGAAAAATAATTCAAAAATGCATGTTGGACTGCGAAATGAATGTTTGAGACTCACTGTCGATCTCACACAACGAGCACAGGCTGCCGCCAGCAAGTGAAAGACTCGTTACTCGAACCAATCGCAATCTGGTCTTCACCGGACAGTTTTACCTGTCCTTATGCTACGTTTCCCAGTCTTGCAGCGCCTAATGAACGGGTGCGCCGGAACCGTGTAAGCTTAAAGCAACCATTACCACGGAACACGTTCCTCATCTTATTTACTTCATTCATCCTGGGATAGAAGATATAGCTTAGAGCTTCTATAGATACAACTGCTTACTGTACCTACAAAATATCGGCACCCGGCGTACAAGCATCAGTGACACATGTCATCCAATACCCGACATTCTTTCCCTCTCTCCATCGATACCAGGCAGAAATCAGGCGTAGTGTGCGAAGGATGGGTGCTCAAGAAGAGAAGGAAAAAGATGCAAGGTATGTTCCTTGACCCTGACCGTATCTCCCGGCTAATGTATGTAACTCCCGTCGTCATGTAGGTTTTGCACGGAGGTACTTTGTCCTCGATCAATCAGGATCCTTGTCCTACTCCATCGATCCAAAACGTCCCATACGCGATCAGATATTCCTCCCTCATGCTGCGCTGTCCACTGCTGTTGGTCGTAAAGATATACACGTAGATTCGAGTAATGCCACGTTTCATATCAAGTGTTTGACCGCAGATGACTTCAATACATGGTTGACTGCAATAAGGTGAAGTCAGGGTTATGGAATTCTGACGTGTTTGATACTAAGAGTACGCGTAGACAGTTTGTCCTTCCCGATGGACGACGGTCCCTTGCAGGAAAGACCACTCCTCGGCTAAGCCAATCCCAGTTCAATAGATCTGGGACCATCGCTGAAGACATTGGCTCTGTATGTACTCACGCCATTGCCCAGCACGAATGCACGTCGCTGACGCGCTCAATAGACAATATCTGAGTTGGAAGCTGCTTTCGCCGCCCTCCAATCCGAAAATACGTACGAGAAGAACAACCCTTCACTGAAGTCCAAGTCGGAAAAGGATAAGCATCATCATCCGAAAGATGTCTTTAACATGTTCAAAAAATGTACTTCTCTATCCTTCTTTTGGTTCTTCGCATTCGTTGAACTCAAGTCCTTTCAGCCCACCATATTAACGAGGATGGCACGCTACCAAAGAGCAAGCTTGATTCTCCGTCGTACATTCGCCTTAACACAGCCCTTACATCTCTCAAGTCACAACATGCTGCCCTACTCAAGTCCTTGCAGGCGCATGATGGTACAGTGCCACCAACGGCTCGCTGCTCTCCTCTTCCTCCTACCACAGAAGAGAAGGAAGAGGAACATTTCTCGACTTCGCGCTTCAATACTGCACTCACCCGTAGATCAAGAATGGCAACCTCCGTGTCGAGTCTGAGCGATATTGCACCTATCGAATGGTTTGATGCCGAAGATGATCCAGGCCAGGAGTTTTTCCTGGATGCGACTACCCCAGAGGAGGAGAAGGAGCTCTCAGTTCCTCAGTCCGAAACTAGCAGCTTAAATCAAACCGAATCTAGCGAGGAGGAGGAGCCTTCCCCAACTCCAGTCAACGATACAGATCCCTCCGTGAACGCTCGTCAAGTGGTGCGACGGACGCGCTTACCTTCGGGACCGGTTGGTGACGAGGGCAGTTTGTTCGCCATTCTCAAGAACAATGTCGGAAAGGTGACTTTCCTTGCTCAGGATTTCAGACTCGTGACTAATGAACATGTCCAAGGACTTGTCTACGATTGCCTTTCCTGTATCATTCAATGAGCCCCTGACTTTGTTGCAACGCACAGCAGAAGAACTGGAATATTATAACTTGCTACAACAAGCAGCTGAGGCTAAGGATCCCATCCAGCGCTTATGCTTCATTGCCGCCTTTGCTGTGTCGGGGTACGCACACACGAGATATCGGTCCGGTCGCAAAGGCTTGTAGGTACACTATAATTTACTTCTTCCGATAGTCCTAACAACTCGGTTAGCAATCCCATGCTTGCGGAAACCTTCGAAGACGTGCGAATGAAGTTCTTGGCTGAGAAGGTGTCCCACAATCCTGTCATAATTGCATACCACGCAGAAGGCCAAGGCTGGGAATTGAACGCAACCTCGGCCGGGAAGACCAAGTTCTGGGGTGAGGATCACGTCCGACAGTAGTGCCGGTGGTTAACGTGCTCGATTTATATATAGGCAAGAGCTTGGAAATCATACCCCTTGGGACAACGCGGCTGAAGATCGGGAATGAAGAGTATGAATGGTGAGTCACGTTCCATCATGCCCTTGGTGTGGGCTGGTGTGGGTTGCTCTGACAAATGACAGGAACAAACCTTCGTCATTTATGCGAAATTTGATGATGGGTACAAAGTACCTGGAGCACTGTGGCAAGATGACGATTGAAAATACGACGAGTGGTGCGACTTGCGTCCTTGATTTCAAGCAAAGCGGGTATTGGGGTGCATCGAACGAGGTTTCCGGCATGATTCTTTCTCCATCCCGTGAAGTAAGTGCTCGCATAGAAGGTAAATGGGACGAACAAATCGCGCAAGCACTTGACTCTTCCTACTTGCACATCCTCTGGCGCATCGCTCCATTCCCGAAGGAGTCCCCCCAATATTATGGCTTCACGGCGTTCGGCATCACCTTGAATGAGATCACAAGCGACCTCGAGGGTCGTCTACCTCCTACGGACTCACGGTTCCGGCCCGATGTGCGTGCACTGGAACATGGGGACGATGATGAGGCCGAGGTTCAGAAGACGCGCCTTGAGGGAATGCAGAGGGATAGGCGGAAACGGGGCGCAGACCGAGCTCCAAGGTGGTTCGAGCAGGACGGGGAGGACTGGACATATGTCGGAGGGTATTGGGAGGCCAGGGCAAGAGGATGGAAGGACGCTCTGGTCGAACCACTTTGGTGATGCCAGGATTCATTGAATTTCCATTTATACGAGGGCATATTAGCCCCTTCAAATTTATATCATGATGTAGCATACTGTGTTAGAAATTAGAATGCACGAAAGGATATGTCGAGCGCGTCCGACATATCTAAAAATGGATGTGCTATAGAAATGATCGAAATTTTGTAACCGAACCGAACACGAACACGATTACCCTCTACACACTTACCGTGAAGAGGCAGGCGAGGAGGGCAGCAGAGGACGAAGATGTTTTCAACAACCCTGCGGAGCAGTTCTCTCGCTGCAGGACCCACACTTCGGCGATGTCTGGCAACACACGCGCCGTCTTATGAAAAGGACTGTTCTTCGATCACCCCACCATATACTCAGCTTATTGAAAAATTGGAACGCGTTCGCGAGCTGCTTAACAACCGACCATTGACGTTGGCTGAAAAGATCTTGTACAGTCATCTCAATGACCCGGAGAAGAGCTTGTCTGGAGGAGGGAAGATCAGGGGTGAAAGCTACCTACAGCTCACGCCTCAGCGAGTCGCAATGCAGGACGCTTCCGCCCAGTATGTTATTAATGCACGTTATTCCGAACTGGTTTTGATCATATACTCGTTTATAGAATGGCCTTGTACGCATTATATACACTGTTGGTGTAAATAGTGTGATTTGACCTTCCTGGCAGGCTTCAGTTCATGAGTGCCGGGCTCTCTCGTTGTGCTGTTTCAACTAGCATACACTGTGACCATCTCATCCAAGCTGTTGATGGTGCGGAATCTGACCTGAAGGTATGACTCGGTCCTCAGAATAGCACGTGTTGCTCATGAGACGGACAAAAGAGGTCGATTGCCTCCAATCAAGAGGTGTTCGATTTCCTTGAAAGTGCCGCTCGCAAGTACGGCATCGAATTCTGGAAACCAGGCTCTGGCATCATTCACCAAATCGTACTTGAGAATTATGCCGCTCCAGGAATGCTCATGTGAGTAAATTGTTGTATGCGCCTTTACATGTCTGGAAAGATGAAAATACACAGGCTAGGCACAGGTGAGTAACCTTGCGAGGAGTTTAATCGTAAAGATGAACTGGTGGTAGATTCGCACACGCCTAATGCCGGAGGGCTCGGTCTACTGGCCATTGGTGTTGGGGGTGCTGATGCAGTCGACGCCATGACTGGAACTCCCTGGGAACTGAAGGCCCCCCAAGTTGTTGGTGAGTTAAGTTAGATCACAGTTATACCGTGCTTTCTGAAGGCTTGATGTCAGGCATACACTTGACCGGGAAACTCAGTGGTTGGGCAACACCCAAGGACTTGATTCTTCATCTTGCTGGCAAGTTGACAGTCCGGGTGAGTAAACTACCAATTCGCAAAAATGAGTTACTAACACATATCCAGGGAGGCACTGGACGCATTTTGGAGTACTTCGGTCCTGGTGTGGCTAGCCAGTCATGCACAGGTGAAATGAACCCACGAATGCAGGTTGACTCGCGCTGATCGTGATTCAATGATAAGGTCTCGCTACGGTTGCTAACATGGGAGCTGAAGTCGGCGCTACGACCTCGACTTTCCCTTACACGGAGAATATGCATGCGTACTTGAATGCAACAGGACGTGCGCCTGTCGCTCGTGCTGCTGATATGGCTGCATCGACGGGCTTCCTGAGCGCCGATGAGGGTGCAGAATATGATGAAGTCATTGAAATCGTACGGTTGTACTCTATTCAGTGGATGGGTCATCTTATTTACATCTGCAGAACTTGTCCGAGCTTGAACCAACTATCAACGGCCCTTTCACCCCTGACCTGGCAACACCTTTGTCGAAGTTCGGGTCCTTTGTGAAAGAACAAGGTTGGAAGGACGAGCTTTCCGCTGGCCTTATTGGTTCGTGCACCAACAGCTCATACGAGGACATGGTAAGCACAATATTTCAAGGTTATGCTTTCATTACTGACCCGAATAGACGCGAGTGGCAGAGCTGGCGAAACAGGCAAAAGCTGCTGGCTTGGTTACCAAGGTTCCTTTCCTTTGCACTCCTGGTTCGGAACAGATTCGTGCGACCATGGAGCGTGACGGAGTTACAAACACTTTGCAAGACGTCGGCGCTGTTGTTTTGGCAAATGCGTGCGGTCCTTGTATTGGTCAAGTACGTATCATATTCATGCTCAATCACAGCCTTTTGACTTCTTTGCTTAGTGGAAACGAGATGATATGAAGGGTGAAGAAAATGGTAAATGAGTCTAGTAATTATCAACTGTGTGCGAGCTAAACATCCCTCCAAAGCTATTTTGACATCTTTCAACCGGTAAGAGCATGCTAAACACTTTCGATATGCAACGTTACTTATTTTCAATGATGCAGGAACTTCAAGTCTCGCAATGATGGAAACCAGCTAACTATGAACTTCCTCGCGTCGCCTACGATTGTGACAGCTATGGCATTCTCTGGCTCACTGTCGTTCAACCCCATGACGGACACCCTGACTCTGCCCTCTGGCAAACCGTTCAAGTTCGCTCCGCCCGCTGGGCAGGATTTACCAACGGAAGGTTTCACTCAAGGCAACACTGACTACTACCCTTCTCCCACACCAGAGCCACAACCTGAAACTGAGGTGATCATTAGTGCAGACTCTCAGCGTCTCGAACTGTTGGAGCCTTTCCAAAGTCATTTCGGCAAAGAAACCGGCAACGAAAGGGGTCTGGAACTCCCGCCCTTGAAAGTGCTCATGCGCGTAAGAGGGAAGTGCACTACTGACCACATTTCTGCGGCTGTAAGTGAGATCTATTTTTACTCAGTCGTCCAGCTAATCCACTTACAGGGCCCTTGGTTGAAATACAAGGGACATCTCACTAACATCTCTGAAAATCTTCGTATGTCTATGCGTACTCTTAGCACGTTTTGTGCTGACTATCTTTTACAGTTATTACGGTGCGTCGCGCAAACTGCCATCCTGTAGATATGTTATTAAACTTGACAAGGCTGTGAACGACGAAGGGGGCGATGTGAATGTTGCGTTCGACCATGATCGTGACGCTGGCGAGACTGAGAGCGACACCATTCCGGGAGTCGCAAAACGGTTCAAAGCTCGCGGTCAGCCTTGGACCCTGGTCGTTGATGACAATTACGGCGAAGGTAGTGCCCGTGAGCATGCTGCACTTCAGCCTAGATTCTATGGTACGTTGAAGTATCTCAGTGTGTTGCACTCGAGTAGTTTCTCATGTTGTGTCAGGGTGTGCAATGATCGTCGCAAGGTCTTTTGCTCGAATCCACGAGACTAACCTAAAGGTGCGGTGTGCTCGAACAGGGTAGAATTACTGATTTAATTGTGATGCAGAAACAAGGAGTCCTCCCCCTTTGGTTCGCCGACAAGGCTGACTACTCTCGCATCGGATCAGGCGACATGGTCGAGACTATAGGCCTGGCAGATCTTATCGAGGGACGACAAAACGCCGCAGTTAAGCTCAAGGTCACCAAGCGCACCGGCGAGGTATTTGAGATACCCACAAAACACACCATGTCGGAGGATCAGTTGAAGTGGTTCCTCGCTGGCTCTGCCCTCAACTTTATTCGCTCACAGATGTCATGATGAGCCGGTCATTACATTTCTAAATCGTAATGTACAAAAATTGCGAGTGGATATCATTAGGGGAATATATACTACCATTAGCTCGTTAAAGATTGTCCTAGGGCAAAAAGTTGTTGAGAACCGATGTGATCCTGCCCTTTGAGTGCATCCAAAGCTTGCTTGGCAAGAAGGACAGCGGATTCTGGCATGCCTGCCAGTTGAGCAACCTTGAGGCCATGACTATCTCGATTCACGCCTGGCCGCAGACGGTGGGAGTAGGCAAAATGGTTGTCCTGATAGTCCTCATCTGAGCAGACAGAAAACACAAGTTCAATTCGGTCACTTACGTCTGTCTCATCAACATCTGTACAAAAGAACCCGACTTCCTGGAAGACGCCGCCGCCACGGTGATTGTCAGAGTAACCGAGCATATCTGCAAGTTCATGAAAATGAGTAGCAAATAAGGCTCGACACTGATTCTGGGTCACGAGATGATGGACGGCAGCAAATGCTATTGCTAGACCATCTTTGACTGTGGTTCCACGACCCACTTCATCCATGATGACCTGCAGAGTTTTCAGCTTTCAAATACACTGGAATGAGTAAACCAACAACCTACCAAGCTCTTCGAAGTCGCCCGACGCAGAATTTCAGCCGTTTCGAGCATCTCCACCATGAAAGTACTTCTGTCACGAAAGAGATCATCCTTGGCCCCTACTCTGGAAAATAGTTTGTCTACAACTCCGATGATAGCGTGGTCCGCGGGTACAAAGGAACCAGTCTGAGCAAGTATAGCAATCAAAGCTGCTTGCCGCAGGAATGTTGATTTCCCTGCCATGTTTGGGCCTGTGATTATGTGAAGCCGGGAGGCACTTTCCAGTGCCACGGAGTTCGGGGTAAAGACCCGGCCTGAAGTGAGCAGGCCAAGTTCTACAGTTGGATGTCGTCCATTGGTCACCTCGTATGTCGTACTGATATGACGTTATTAAGGGCCAGGAGGATGTGCGACGGGTAACGTACTCATCAGTGATAACGGGCCTCGTGAACCGCATTTCAGCTGCAAGGCTCGCAAATCCGAGGGTAACGTCCAATTCGTCCATTATCCGCGCATTTCTTCGAAGATCGATCGCAAAAGCTTTGACCTGACGTATACAATGAATCTATGACAACATGTTTTGGAAGGGAACAACTGACCTCATTGCGTAGCAGGCTGAAAGCTTCCTTTTCAGCGTTCGTGATCGCCGTCACAGTTTCAACCAACTGATTGCCTAGAGACGACCATGGCTAACAGCCGATCGTTTGAAATGAGGCATTTTTCATGAAAGTGGAAGGAGGACGAACAGACCTGGTAAAAATAGGAGCTTGTCGAACCACTCTCCGATATATTAATGAACAGCGGAGATGCCTTCACATTAGTCTGGTCTCTTCGTAAGCGACCGATGTGGACATGCATTCCTTGTGCAGGAGAAGTACGCAAGGTCAGAGAAGGTGCTTCTATTCAACTAAATCAGTAGCAGCCCGAAGGGCAATATGTACCTTACCATAGTCTACTTGAAGTTGACGTTCCATTTTCCTTCTTTGCTCTAGTAAATCGACGAGGATGGTGTGCAGAGATGCCAGTTGCGCAGAAAATCTGGACCAATACACGTAAGTGATGCGGTCTGGAACGATAACGATAACGCTGCGTACTCTGGCCGAATGGAGCACTTAGAGAGCATATCGAACTTGGAATCAATTTTGCTGGGCTCCTCTGCATCTGCAGGCGCAGAGCTATCTGCGTCCTCTTCATCTTTCGACTCGTCTGCAGTTTCAATGCTTTGCAAGGCCAAATTGATTCGACTCTCAAGGTCTTGCAGATCTGCCATTCTAGTTAAAAGAGCATCGACACTTGACCAGTCTTCCGAAAGCAGAAAGCCTTGTTCCAAGCTTTCCATTTGCTTCTCGAGTTCCAGGCGCTTGCGAATTGCACTCCAAACGTTAATCGTTCTGCTGATCGAAACCAAATCGCCAGGATCACCTCGCCCAAGAAGGAACCTCTGAACGATCCGAGTCGTGTCTTCGACTTCATCCAAGAACTGCCTGACGTCGCAGAGTAAATGTGGCCTGGCGTGAAAGAAGGCCACTAATGACTGTCGAGCTTGTATTTGTTTGACCGAGGTGCTTGGTGAACCTGAATGTATCTCAGGGGCCTTGAGATTATATCAAATAACAAAAACTTACACAACCATCGCGCCAGCAGACGCGTTCCGCTGCGTGTTACAGTCCTTTTGACGACACTAAGCAAGCTACCTGTCGTACCACCTTCTCGCGTGCTTTCCCTGAGTTCAAGTGCCTTGATAGTGTGAGAGTCGATTTGCATGCGCTCAACGTTGCCTTCGCGGCTTGGCATTGAAAGGCGTGGCATATGCTCCAGTAAATTAGCGTGCAGAAAGTTGGTAAGAATTTTGATAGCAGATGTCTCCTCAGGAGAATACGCAGAAGGGACAGATGTCAAGTCTCCCTCCAGTTTGTTGAGGTCATCTGGAGTCACAGCCATCTCGGGCGAATCTTTCACCAAGTTTTCTTGAGAGGGCGTAGCGTACGACACAAAGCAGCCTTCATCCACAAGCAGCTGTTGAATGGGATGTGAAAAGTTTCCTTGGAGTGTATCTTCTAGGACAACTTCTCGCGGGCTTATCCTCGCCAGGTCGTCCTTTAAAGCCTCCTGAGATGACGTCTTTGCAAAGAATTCACCCGTAGAAACGTCGATCCAAGCTAATCCCACGGGAGAGGTTCCGTCCATTTCTTCCATTGCACCATCGGCGCTGATGGACAAGAGATAGTTGTTCTCGTACTGGTTAATGAACGGCTCATCAATGAGTGTCCCAGGGGTAATCACGCGCACCACTCGTCTGTCGAATTCGGGTTTCTGGCCGGACACAGAATACCGAGGAAACTCTTCGCACATCGCGACGAACCGTTTATTTTGTTGGACGAGAACCTTGATATACTTGTCCAGATGCATCAGTGGGAAACCGCACATGGCGATAGATTGTTTGTCCCAAACACGAGAGGTCAGCTTGATGTTCAAAAGACGAGCGACTTCGATTGCTTGGTCGAAGTAGGACTGCAGCAGAAACAGTTGGGCAAAGTTTGTCAAAGTAGATAGGAGCGCACCGTACCTCATAAAACTGACCGACACGGGTCAGGAGGATGCAATGCGGGAATTTAGCAAGGTTGTTTAGGATCTCAGTGGCAAGCATGTTGCGCGGCTGTTTTGGAGGTGCTGTATTGTCCGCGGAGTCGTCCACCTTGGCCTTTCGTCGCCGCCGTGTTCTCTTTGGAGTTGCGGAGATCCCAGCCCCTGTGAGAATGGCATGACGGTCTGTGGTTAATAGCTAGGGAATCTGCGTACCTGCGGCGGTAGCGGGAGTACCATCGGATATCAGTGATTTTGGCCGTCCTCTGCGTTTTTTGGGCTGTTCTTCCTCGAGTTGCAACGATGAAGTGTCCAAACCTTGCGGATTTCTTACGCCCCTTTCAGATTCCTCGGTGATGTTCAAGTGAGATGCTGAATGAATCGCATGCGCATGTACTTTTCATAAGAAAGAAATTCCAAAAATACATCTGAACTGCGCACAAGAAGGAATTACAAGATCGTTAGGGACACTCGCGTCACTTGAGCTCTGCACCTTGGTAGGAGGCAGAAGTAAATGCTCCTCCACCGCGACGCGTCGCTTGGGAAGCTCTGAAAACTTCTTTTTCGTGATGGTCACTTCGGGGCGTGAAGCCTTGATAGTGACCGCGTCGTCGACACATGTCACAAACCCTGAATGGAAAGTGCGCGTCCGAATGTCAAGCAGCAGTTGACGTCTACCACAACAAGACATGCGGCAACATGCTGCAATAAAAACGACCATGCAAAAACGCGTCAGTTAATTTTTTCAACGCAAAGCGACGGCAAACTGGAGATGGATAGAGTGCTACTTCAGAGTCTAGTATTCGGACCCGTCGCGACGGTGGCGCGGCTGGGCGGAGTTTGAATAGGCGAGGTCAACTTTCCCCTTCGTCTCTGTTTTGCTCTGCACGCAAGTGAAGCAACCCAAAAGTCAAACCTTCCACAAAATGTCTTTCGCCGGCAGACGCAGAGGAAACAAGGTCAAGAAGGGTGTCCAGTTCACCCTCATGGTCGTCGGTCAGTTATTCTCTCCAGTTATTATTTCGACTTGTATTCGGTGATTGTTGACCGGTCGATTTTCTCAACGTGTTTCAGGTGCCTCTGGTACTGGCCGTACGACCTTTGTGAACACTCTTTGCGAGTCCGAAGTCCTGGCGCACAAGGTCTCTGACAACCCAGACACCGCGCATATCGAGGAGGGTATCAGAATCAAGCCTGCCAACGTCGGTCAGTTGCACCGACTATGTAGTGTTTGCATTGTATTCAACCATATCATTCATTGTCACAGAGTTGGAGGAGGATGGTGTTCGCATTGCGCTTACCATTGTTGACACCCCAGGTTTCGGGGACAACATCGACAACGAGTTTGCGTTCGTATATAACCATCCTTTCATATCCCACTGAATAACGTTTGGTTTTAGATTCCAAGAAATTGTTGGCTACCTCGAGCGTCAATATGACGACATTTTGGCTGAGGAGTCTCGTATCAAGCGTAATCCTCGGTTCAGGGATAACCGAGTGCACGCGCTTTTGTACTTCATCCCCCCTACAGGTCACTCGTACGTATACTTTTACACATCACGTTGATATAGTGCGTTAACTGGCTGTGTTATAGCTTGAGGGAAATGGACATCGAGCTGATGCGCCGTCTCTCACCTCGTGTTAACGTGATTCCTGTTATTGGAAAGGCAGATTCCTTGACACCCAGCGAGCTTCGGGGATTCAAGAAGCGGGTTCGTACTCCGAGGCTTATTCATTTTAACCGAAGTTGACGTGTCACAGATCATGGAGGATATCGAACACTATGACATCCCTGTCTACAACTTCCCTTACGATGTGGAGGAGGATGACGAGGAAACCATCCAGGACAACAGTGAATTACGGGTATGTGACGTAATTTGAGCTCGTGTCAAGCATTTACGTAAATGATATATAGGCATTGCTTCCTTTTGCCATCATCGGTTCGGAGGAAGAAATCGAGATGGACGGACAACCGGTACGCGCGAGGATATACCCTTGGGGTATTGCCGAAGTGGACAACCCAAAACACTCGGACTTCAGCAGACTGCGGAGTGCATTGTTGAAGTAAGCGTTGATCTAGCCGTTTCTGGGAAATGCTAAGGAAATATGTTTGGTACAGCTCTCACCTTGGCGACTTGAAGTCACTTACGCATGACGTTCTTTACGAGACTTATCGTACTGAGAAGCTTTCTCGGACAGTGCACGCGGATACACAGTGAGAATATTAAAGATGACACGATGTTGATATTTCAAGCTAACGAATAATTTGTGTAGCGATTCTTCTATCCTTCCAGAAGAGCTTGCTACACAGAGCGTGCGTCTCAAGGAAGAGCAACTTCGTAGGGAAGAGGAGAAAGTAGGTGACAATACGCAGTTTTGTTTTGATTGTGCTGATCAACTATTCTTGCGGACGAATAGCTTCGTGAGATTGAACTCAAAGTGCAAAGGGAGATCAACGAAAAGCGACAGGAACTGCTGGCAAAAGAGGAGTCTCTCAGGTAAGGTTTCTATGGAAATGTGATGAGAGCAAAGTTTGCTGATATGATGAAATAGAAATTTGGAGAGTCGCCTAGTTGCTCAAGGGTCTCAGGCAGAATTCCGAGACTGAAAGTAGGTGGATAGCTAGCTGTTGTTGGGCACTGTGGTCGACAATTATACCCTCCGTGTGTGTAAATCCTTCCTCACTTGACCGTCCGCTCGTTTCTGTCTACTCTGCGATTTTATATATACCGGATAATCCATTGCCATTCTTTACGGGAAATTTACCCAGCTTTCAAGGCTTCTTGACAGGTCGTAATCGTTTTTTAGTGGAAATGCATTTTGAAGAGACACTTGCTGCTACAAGTTTTTTTGATACAGTGCTCTGGTGTGAATTCGATACATGCAGTCAACTCGTAGAGGGGGGGGGGGAGCCGAGATGAATATTAATAGTTGAGACTACCAAACTCGGTCTGAACATTATTATTGTTGAAAGAGAGGGTTTCGACTGTGAACTAGTCGTGTACTGTCCTTTCCTTGGAGATAGCATAGAAGACGTGGTTTCAGGTTTACTCCGATTTAGGTTTTCTGAAACTCATCAACTCATAATTTTCAGTGTCTCTCGAGGAACCTCCTTGACTTGACCCCGTCATGGACCCGGAGTTCAATACTCGCCCACCATCAATCATTCATCGTCCTCGTCAATCCCATGATAACGCGTTCCCTTTAACTTCACCAGTACATCCTCCTTCATCTTTCGTTCTTACTTCTCGTCGCCGTTCATCTGCTGCCAACTTTCCTCCTGCAGGTCCACCACCCAGTCAACCAATTCCAAGTCTACCTTTAGTATCAGCATCAGTACCTTATCATCCTGATGACGACCCTCCTTCACATATTACAGAGGAACTTCCCTATACTACCAGACATAGGTCAAGCACCAGTGGTAGTCAGTCCAATTTTGGCAGACCTTCTGCCTCTGCAAATCTCGCTGCAATAGCCGCGTTTCAGACAAGGCAAGCATCTACTTCCGCCTCAAACAGTCCACAGCCATCTTCAAGCACCGTTGCCCATGAATTCAATATCCTATCAGACCCTTCGCCTAGATCTGTCCTTCAACCCACGTCATCTTCACACCACCAGGATATCGTCCCCGACCGTCTGTTGTTGTCACCAACTCAGTCCCGTACACCCTCTCAGTCTCGTCCATCTTCTCGACGCGCTCTCACAAGAGCTTTGGAACTCGCCCGTGAAGCTGTTCAGTTGGACTCTACCAATGATGACCCTCATGCTGCCGTCATGGCATACGGTCGAAGTGTCGCTCTCCTCAGTGAAGTTATGGAGCGTGTAAGAAGAGGCGAAGATAGCACAGAACGTCCAAGACGAAACGGTAGACGGAGAAGCGTAGTTGCCCAAGAAGAAGAAGTTAGACGTCTCAAATCAATAGTAAGAAATTCACCCATTCTAGTCGCGAATTCGACCTAATTCCATTTCAGCACGACACGTATGCTGACCGTATGAACATTCTCAGCTTGATATACAGCATACCTCCCATACCTCATTCCCCATCCTCTGTCTACGCCCCATCCACATCCACAGAGTCCACACAACCCCCATCCCCGTCTTCCCTTTCACCCACTTCCGATTCTCACAGAACATCCTCCTATCACACAGAACACACCCAAGACGACCCTCAGCACCTCGGCGTACATAACCATGACCATGATGACGATAATGATGGCCATGAAGGTATTGGAGCTGCCCTTCTCAATGCTAGTTATCTGTCCACCGAATTCGGTCAAAGAACCAATGGCATATCACCACAACATCCTTATGCTGCACCTGTCTCACCTCTTCCATTATCCCCCCTGGATAATTCCAATACCCCCCTCAACCGCACCGCAACCCTTCCAGCGAACCGAACCCAGTATACCCCCTCAGTCACTGGTCGACCTCGAGCCGCTTCTGTTTTTCCTCCCGCTGCACCACCTCCAGCCTTATCCCCGCCTCCACCACCACTACCACCACCACCACCCCCAGACTCTGCCGTACTAGCTGTTTCCGCAACGATGCCCTCGCAGACCAGCAGGTTCCTAGAAACCACCCGTCCGCGCGGAAATTCAATTGGACACAGACGAACGGGGTCAGGAGCTAGACTGACCTCTGTTACTGAAGAGGGGATGAGGCTCGACGGTCCCCCCAGCCAGGAGAGCATTGACGACGACGACGACGTTACGGCTTCGTTGCCCCGACGGCCTGACACGCCGCGTACTGCAATCCGAGACTCTCATCCACTGCCTCCACTTCCGTCACCCACAGCCACATCATACTCTTTACGATCACCTGATTCGCCAGCACAACCCATTACTCCACGAGTTCGGGGAGAGTCGATGAGCGTGACAAGTGGTCAACAGCTGATCAACACCTCCCTAGCGATGGGTACGATTCATCAGAGGCGCGCCAAGATGTCTGCTCCCCCTTCAACTGGTAGTTCTTCGCCTACTGATTCACCATCACCGTCGACGTTCTCTCTTCCTGCTCCAAAGCCTACAGGATCACCGGTACCCCCTAGCGCAATGCCTGCCGTGGTTGGGCGAAGTCGCGCTTCGTCACAGCCAGGACGTAGGCCTTCTGTTGCCAATGGTCGTATCTCACCACTCGATTCTCAGCGACCCCCATTGCCACACACAGCCGGACTTAACGGACTAATACCTCGTAAAATGTCCAACCCTTCGAAATTGCAGCAGAACATCAGCATCAACATCCCGCAACTGCCCCAATTGACGTTGCAAACGGAATTGTTGTCGCCACCCCCGGCACTGGCGCTGGTGCCTCCACCAGCACTGATATCTAATTTACCGACTACGCCTATTTCTCCACTTCCCCCTGCTCCACCCGCTGACAGTCAAAGGAAGCCGTATCATATGATGACTCTCCTGGCGAACACTATGACCTCAAGGTCCGGTGGTTATATCACGAGACGATTGCATGTACCGCAAGAGGTCTGGTCACAAGGAGGGGCTAAGCTCACAAACATACCAGAAAAAGTCCGCGTTGTAGAAGTGCTTTGCTCAGCCCTCGAGGAGATGCAGCAATGCAGTGGGGAGTGCTTCGGCGCGAGCGTTTGCAGTGGACTTGCCTTGGGCATCGGCAGTGTAACTCGCAAGGAAGCTGAAACGTGGGTAGGCAAGTTGGAGGAATTTTCCTCGATATGCGACAGCGTCGTTGCGAACTTTGGCAAGAAGCTTGGCGTGGGTGAAGGTTTTGTGGTTAAGAAAAGCGGCGGGGTAAGGAATTTCCAGATGGTTCGCTCGTTCTTGTGGCTTGACGCTTTATTTGTTCGTTCAGGTAACATCATGGGGAGGCAAGCTTACGCGACAAATCGACAAGTTTACCAATGGAAAAAAGTTCGTCTCTTGTTTTTATTGCGTCTGTCTTTTATTGACGTGTGAAATAGCCTTGATTCGCCCGCTGCTTATGTGTCTGGCTTGAATAGGCTGTTTACGCAAGCCCAGCTCATCGACGAGCATACGAAGGCGCTGTTGTCGCATCCCGTCGCACCGACATACGCCGCGTTCCCTATAGACCTCCGGGCTGCCGCAGAAGTCAAGCTAAAACGGGCCTCCGAGTTCTTCGCGAGTGTCGTGCTGACATTCGTCATCCGCGACCTGGCGCAGCTACTCGACAAGTACGCCAAGAAATGCGAAAAGTGGCTCGCAGAATAGTGAGGCAATACCTGGTTCCTCGGTCTGTGAAGCTGTATTGCTGTTATGATGCAGTATGTATTTTAATCCGGGACTAGATGGTTTACCAGAATCTGTTTTATCTGACATTTTTAGTGTGTTTATTCTACTTTTTCCCCTTCTTTTTTTGCGTGTTACTTTTGCGCCCTCTTTCCCTCTTCGTTCGGTCACTCGGTGCACCCTTACGTCCCCTCCCTTGCATACTATACATTACACACTTTGGAATTTTGTGCATATTGAATGTAGGCTACCAATCAATTGCTCAAACCACGGAATGCTTCGATGTGCAGTCGCTCAGATGTAGTTCATACAAGTCAGTACATACAACAAACTAGAACAACAAAGAGGTAGATAGTATGGTACATGTAGTCCGTAACAATTCCGAGTGTTCAGAATACAGAGGGGAGACGCCCTGCGTGAGCCTCAAAGTGTGATGGCCGCCCGGTCATTGGAGTTGCATATGCAGGTTCTTCTCCTTCTGGAGTTGGTGGCCTGCCTCTTAGGCGAGAAATGACTTGCATCCTCTTGACTGCGACCGTCTCAGCCAAGGTCCCTTGTTATGAAAAGCGAATGGACGCACCATAGTCTGTTCGAACGTGACTATCATGACATTCCTCATCCGAGTCAACGAGGGGATCGGTGGTCATGACAGTATGCCACGCATCTGATGTTCAACGGGTACATGAGCTGCGTCGCATAGGAACCTGAAGAGAAGCTCACGCTGTAGCATGTTGCGCTCTGGACCTGGCATGCTTGATCGCCGGGATCGCGGTGGTCGTGGGGCGATGTTCGATACGCTAGGTTTTCGCGTCGAGCGTAAGTCAGCGGGCGTACGACGAAATGGGGGATCTGATGGATGGAAGGAATGTGCACGGCGAGAGCGCTGACGTTCGAGGATATGAGGTACTGGTACGACTGGGTTGTAGTACTTATATATGAGCAACGGACTCGGACTCGGGCAATCTAGATCTCACGCACGTTCTGACCGTCGTTCTTCTCTAGCTGCGTTTAGGTCTTGCATGTGAGTGACGGGTGCTAGCAGCTCCCTTGGTAGAGGATTGACAGCTTTTCTTTTCCGAGAGCTAGTACTAGCACTTGTAGTCGGTTGTGGTAAACCTGGCGAGTCGTCTCCGCCTTCTTCAGCTTTGACTGTAGCCCTGCTTCTCCGTTTTGTTGGGGCTTTCTTTTCAGACATGGTCGGACTCTGGAGAGTCAGGAAGACTCAGACTTGTGGTTGATAATTGGACGGATGAGGCTGAACTGATATAGCGAGCGTCTTCCGAAGCACCTTGGGATTTGATTCTCAATGATCGGCTGGTTTGATGCCGCGACTTGCCAAGGCATATCTCCTGGAATGTTAAATGAATCTCGCGCACGCTCCATCCCCGCTCCATCGTGGATTTTTGTTTCCGTTGCTATGCTATGGTGTAGGTCTGTTTTAACTATCCGAAGTTGATGCCAGTGTCTTCTTATGTAGCATCTTCATCATTAACTTTGCTGTGCGGAGAAAAACAGGTATGTGCATATGGTATTTTGGGCTGGTCCGACCTCATGATCACAGGCATGCTGCGCCCTGTCAGCTAGCGTCTATCTTCAAGTCAGCCGTACAAACTCCTGCAGGGTCATCATGTCACGGACCGTGGTTTGACCATGACCAGGTCCTGTCAGGTTGCACGGGACCGTTGCAAAACACAGTAAGAGTGTGCATCGTAGCGGGTCGAGCTACAGCTAACTCTGGAGGATCGCGCAACGCCTCACGTTCTTGTTATGTTCTCTGGGCTGTGGCCTTTCATCAACTCTGTGCTGCCTTAGCCTCCCAAGGAAGCTGTGTGACACCACAAATAAGTGAACGCTATGCTAAAATCAAGACGAGTTCTTGATTCCCTCAATCCATTGTGGGGGAAACCCTTCCCGCTTCTTGTTATTTCTTTCATCTTCAATTCTGGAGCTCTGGAGCTCGGCGTCGGCAGATGCTGCGCACCTTTGTTTCCCTTTTCAACTTCAACTTCGTATCTTATACTATTTATTTCATTTACTTGTTTAATATTCTTTCCTGGTCTTTACACGGTGTCCAAGCTGCTCCCGTGCGCATTTCCGTTGGCCCAGAAGAACGAGAACTTGGTGTATCGTCAAGGCTGCCTGGATTGAGCACGGGTACTGTTGTTGACCAAGTTGATGGTATGTATCCTTCGAAATGACCAACAAACAAGAACGATTTCACTATATCTGCAGCTTTTGCCGACCATGCAGCCAGACACTCAAGACTTGTCGCAAGTAGCGTCCCCTCAGACGGTAAGTGCATATTATCCGTTGGTATGATTTCATGAGCTTATGATGATTTTCACAGCAACAACATCAGCGATGACAACTCCATCTAATTCATGGCCATCGACTTTAGCTTCGAGCACGATATTGATTTCAATGTCTTCTGCGTCTTCCGTGACCACACCCTGCACGAGCTCAAGTATAATGAGCACTACTTCGCCAGTGGTGACCTCAAGCTCCTCTCAGGTGGAGGTTGGAGGATCTTCTGCAGGAGGGACCGATATTCCTGCATCATCTCCTGTCCCCGTATGGACGTCTTCAGTGATGCCCCCTGCATCATCAGAAGCACCTTGTACCACTTCTTCTTTACCTCCTACTTCAGTGACAACAGTGGAAACTTCCTCATCCTCACCTACAATTGGAGGGCCATCTCCGGTGATGCCCTCTGCGTCATCAGAAACACCTTCAGTTCCCGCTCCATCTTTACCCCCTGCTGTGCCACAATCAGTGACAACAGTGGAAACTAGTTCCCCCGTCCTCACCTACACCCCGGGGACCGTCTCCGGTGACGCCCCCTGCATCATCAGAAACATCTATAGGTACTCCATCTCGTGTTTTCCCGGCACCGTCAGTTGCAACAACTTCAGAAAGTACTGCTAGCCCGGCGACCGTGACACCACCGGCAGGTAGTCCCACGAATGTGCCTGTAGTGTCCGGTACATCTGTCCAATCCGTTACGCCGGACCCATCCCCTGAGACCATATCTGCCTCGTCAGCGCATAGTGTGCAGTCAGGTCCAAGTTCGCAAACGACGTCGCCACCGACATCGTCGCCACAAAGCGGCGCTGTGTCGACCCAGCTCGCAGGTTCTCTAATTGCTATCATCACAGTATTTTCATTCCTAGGTCTGCTTTCGTTGACTCTCGGAGTCATTTTCTTCCTGCGCGCTAGGCGTCGTCGTATTGCTCAGATGCGGCGCCTTGAGAACCGACCCTCGCCACCGAACTTGTCTTCGAGGTTTTCTGTCTCCACCGTAGCATCAGTGATGACGCAGCCCAGGCGCATGACGCTTTTTTCATTGAGGACAAGGGATTTACCTTCTCATCCCCGCATTCCGGATGATATGACCCCAACGACACCTCTGGTGTCGCTCCAGACACCCCCTGATGAAAGCGTTGAGAGTATAACACAGTTATGAGGGCTCTGGGCACAAGGGAAGGGACTTCACGGCCTTATATATATCAACAGACATTGCTTGACACTTTCTTACATTCCTCCTTGTTGGCGTTTACAACACGTATTAATAATGAGGCTTAAACAACAAATTATACCGAAGGTATCAAGTGCAAGGAAGGGCGAAAGTACAGTGAGATCCTTCCGATGCTGCGAACGTGGGTATGTACAAGAAACGGGAATGTAATCGCAAGGAGAATCGTGTTATGGAAGCTTGTATTAGCGTAGATGTAAGCTGAAGAAGAGAGACGTTGCGCGAAAAGCTGTCCCTCCAAAGCAAGTAAAAAGCAAAACAAGATGCAAAGCGAAAAACAACTTCACCAGAACTCTCTAACTCGCTCCAGAACCTCCACAACAACCGAGCTCTTATACATGAGTGCATGGTCAGCACCTTTCACGACTTTGACGTGACAACGATCTTCGCCCATCGCCTTTTCCATCCACCTCACTGCATTTTCAGCAATCTTCTCGTCCCTGTCTCCGTACCAAACCTGGACTTTGTGAGGGAAGTCACTGTAGGAGAAGCCCCAGGGACGGTTGTCATGATTGAGGATCTGCAGAAGGTCGCTGTGCGTCCCCTTCGATGCTTCGGCGTGAGACGCCGCAATGAGTGCATTGCCAAGAGCAGCTTGATACGCAGTGGATGCAGTTTGAGCGCTCACATGCGGAGATGATAAAGTGCTCGCAGGAGGAGATGACGGGACGCTCGGCGGGCTTGATCTTGGTGCACTTGCGCTGGACACACTGAAGGATATGGAACGCCGGCCGGTTTGCCGGGGAAGAAGTTTGAGGGACGCACAATCAGCGGACGATCCGACGGATTTGGTTGGTTTGATAAGGAGTGGAGGAGGTAGAGGGGTTGGCGTAGGACTAGGTGAAGATCGAGCCTTCGTGGTACTCCAATCGATTTCACCAAGTCCTAAACCCATGTCTAACGACAATGGTTGAGGCAGCTGTGGACTTGAAGCATCGACCTTCTTGATTGTATTGGGAGCGGAAGATGATTTGCCCTTGAGGGAGCCCATGGATCTGAGAGTCTTGAGCGTTTTCACGACGGTTGAGGTGGGAGGAGTCTCAGTAGCAGGCGAAGGAGGTTGGGAAATTGCTTTGGACGATTTAAGCCTGCCTAGAATTCCTCGAGAAGGCTTTCCTCTGCTCGACTGTGTCATCGAACGTGCGCCAAGTGTGCTTTGGCTCCCAAAGCGACCATCGAAATCTCGTAGATCATCATAATCACTGGACAGAACAGAGCCCAAACTCATCCGTCTCTTTGTAATATCCGATGGATAAACGCTGTGTCGGCCAGGGCTCTGAGGCCGCGACAGAGTCTCGACTCCATTGCCAGACGGCGATTTTCCATTCTGAAATCTGGGAGATGGTGGTGCAGTGTAACCAATTCCTCGGTAAGCAACAGTTGGCGGCTTTCCTAGCATCCATGCCTGGATCTTCCATTCCGCTGCCTGTGCAGTCTTCAAAATGCCATTTGGAACGTACTTGAGCCACCGGTACCCTCCTGTGTACCAGCTGAGTAAAGGAAGCACAATCACAAGTTCCTCCAGAACTCACCGCTTTCGGAGCCGCCTATCCATGGCGCTAGCAGACAAAGGTCACCCCGAATACGAGTAGGAACACGGTTCGCAAAAGCCAAAGCGTAGGGTGCGCCAGCTGAGTGAGCAACGACGCTGCATTCATTGATTTTCAGCTGGTCAAGCACCTCCTCGACAGCTGCCGCCCATTCCATGATGCCTCTAGCAGATTTGGAATGGGGAGTCTCGGTACGGCCTAGACCCCATCTGCACATGTGTCAGAAAAATTATTGCTTGTCGATGGTCAGTAACTTACCTGTCAATGGCGATCAGGCGGAGGCCAAGACAGTCTGCCATTTCATCATACAAACCCATGACATGTCTGACACAGCCCAGACCAAGAAATACAATGAGAGGAAAACCATTTGGATCACCCATATCGGCAAGACTAACAGTCAGAGGGTGATCAAGTGAGGCGTGAGGGAATCGCGTGAGTTTCAGCAAAGTCGTCAATCTAGCGGAGTGAAGATATTCTGCTATGGCTTGTGGCACGGATGTAGGAGAAGTGGAAATGGGTATAGGGTCCAATGATTGCAGTGAATCGCGTGCTGATGCAGTGGATGAATTGGTATAAACGTCCGAGGCTGCCCCGTGAAGGCACACACTTGAGCTGTCCGACGTGTTTGAGGGTGTGGCGGTGAGTGGGGGAGCATGAGGTGATCCAAACGGGGCCACAACATGTGAGTTCTTCTGGTTATGGAACGTGCGGCGGACTTCGTCTGCAATACTATCAATGGAGGATCTGCCCACCGGTTCAGCTTCTTTATCAGTCATGAGTGGCTCAAGCTCGGATTCCTCGTTCTCGACCCCATTGTTGCGGCCATCGCTGTGAGTACAACTGGACCCGTGTTTTGAAGGCTCTCTAGAAAGGTTCCGAGCAGAAGCTGGAGCATGGTTCCGGATGATTTCCGATATAGAAGGAACCACAGTCCTTGGACGCTCTGGTGGTTGCACAAGAGCGACTGGAAGGTCATCAACGGGGTTATCAACTAGCGTGACCTCATACAACCCCGAGTCAACTGTGATTGTAGACGAAGAACCCTTGCGTGCAGAACCAGGTCGTGCATGAGTGCGGCGAGCACGACGAGCGGGATGCGATGGTCTTGGTTCGTCGTCATCTTCATCTGAAGGCACGATTTTCTCCTTTCGTCGACTTTTCCCTTTGCCAAGGACTACGCCGGGTGGAGGAGTGGGTAGAGGTGGTAGGTATAAAGGGTGGTACCTTGCATTACCAAACCTTGAGCGACTAGAGGAGCTTTTTCCGAAGAAATCTTCCATCGTAAACCCATTCATTCCATCAACCAACGCGTCCATGGCCTCCACCCCGGCAACCGGAGCTGAAACGACTACCGGAAAATGGCCGAGCGAGTAGTTCCTGATGGAAGATGAATCTATTGGTGTTTGCGGAGGAGATTCGGCGAGACTCGAGGTTTCAGAGAGCCGAAGTGATGGAATGGGGGTCTCTTTCCACTTTGGCTTGGCGGATGATGGACCTGTGCGTGTCCGGTGACGCAGGACCTTTGGAGTGATATCAGCTCCCGACAAGAAGTCGGGCACCTCGAGAGCAAGATCCACAGTTGGGAATGCGTAGGAAAGCTCGTTCGCTTTCTCTTTCTCTTTGCCTTTGTCGTGATCAATCTTCCTGGAAAGGTTCCGGGGAAGATCGTGAGCATGAAAAGTACGACCAGGACTCAATTGGGACCGTGAATGGATGTCAAAGTAATCGGACGGAATGCGAATGGGAGCGGGGGAAGGATGTCTGGCGTCTGAGGATATGATGGACCCGTGGACGTCACGTCTGGACAAGAAATGGGTGTTGGATTTCCGGAGAGGACGGTCAGTTCCCATACTAGAGTTTGAGTTCGACATCACGTAGGCAAAAAATGCAATGCAAGGCTCAAGGCCCTGAATTTTACGCAAGTACTCCTCCGAGGCCGCACGGGTAACGTTCAGAAAACGCTTCGAAAACCTGTTTGGCAGTGCCCAATGCTTTTTATTGACACGGCGTACCTCCTCCACCAATCTCGTTACCGTTAACGTTGTCGGCTGTAATGACAAGAACAGGTTGTAGCGCCAAGTTCAACGCGTCCCCGAGCAGAATAGGGATCCGTTACTGAGCGTTAGTCTCCTTCCAAAGAAGACAAAAGACCTGTGCGCACAGAGATGGAGAATGTCTAATGCTTACTGTCGAGTACTTGGTCTAAGACTAGTGCCTATTTTCGTTGCTGGCCAACAACACTGCCACCCAGTTTCGGGTCCCTTTGTCGCTTTATTGTCGTGGGGCAAAATGATTAGGCAAGGACTAGAATGATCCAGGAACGGCATGGCTTAATTTTACAATTGACCAATGACTTGCAGATTAACATTATCACCCACAACCGTCTCATACTCCCTTGCCTTGAACTCCCTTGGCGTGCATATACTAATAAAACTTCTTGTTCGACAGCGGTTACGAGACCAAGTAGCATAGTCCTCCAGGGTCGTCGCGACTTGTACAACTCACTATGTACAAGCTGTGACAGCTCATCAGGCGAGCTCGCGTCCAAGAGACCCTCTGCCGCTGACCCTGCAAGTTGGGGATGAGAATTATCAATCACGATACAAGATATACTAGGTAGGACTCCCTTCGCATTGTCGATCTTGCAAAGGATTGACATGTTTTCAGCGTTCATTACTGGAACGATTTCTCTTGAGAGTCCTTGAAACACGACCGGGACCAGCCGACCCTGCAGTGACATGATTAGGGTCGTGCCTGCTTGGTATCGGGCCCCGTGGTATTTTTAGCGTCATGCTACAAAGATGCTTACTAGGACTCCAAGTTGAACCATCCTATGGAACAGTTGAGCGCGAACGTACACACCATCTTATGCATGAGTAAGCTCGTCCGCGTTTTGCGTTCCAAGGGCCGATATCAAGCAACACCGGCTAGGCCCGTAACTTTCGATATCGTTTATAGCACCGTGACGGCTGTCTTCCAAGCGAATGACGTCCACCTCCTGGACTTTCGCGGTGCCGAATCGATGATTTCTATCCCAACAGGCACTGCCCCTACACTTGCAAATAACGGAACGTGCACGTGTAACGCATATTTGGCAGTTCATACGCGCTTCTGGTCAGATCCTAGCAGATGCCCATCCACAGTTTGCATCTTATCACTTGACTGTGACAGGTGTGCTATCAATGGCAACTGCAACCGTTTCTCAACGGGAATGCACTTGTTCTCTGCGCGGAGCCTGAAGCCTTGACGCTCAACGTCTGCTTATCGAGTAGGTAAGCATCAGGTCCTTATCATATGGCCTTCCGCATTACTTATATGTAGACCGTGAGTGCTCTCATAATCCTGAATCTTACTGCCCTTGTTGAATGGCATCCCACTCAATGTATGAAGTGCATGGGCAACCCGATGCAGACGAGGAAGCGTCCGCGTCTGCCGAGAAACAAGATTCAGGAGAATCTAGAGATGTTTTTGTTGAAGATGAAGTCCATCAAATCCAGTACAAGACACTCAGTTGGCAGGTGCGTCTATCCGAGATCGCACGCAATCAAATATTGATCAGTGTAGTCTGTGAGCCTCCTCATGATAGCAGAAATCGTCAGCAATGGTATGCTGTCTCTCCCGAGCGCACTAGCAGTTGTTGGTGAGCCCACTACACTGTGATTCTCACAACAGGCAGTGTTTACAAAACCTTCAGGCATCGTGCCTGCTGTCATTCTGATTGTGTTTCTCGGTATTTTTGGCCTCTATACTGCGAAGTTGCTCATCGACTTCAAGCTGAACCATTCCAACGTGCACACCATGGGTAGTCAATTCTACCGCCAATGGTTTTCAAACACCTGATATACTCTAGGTGACGCTGGATACATTATGTTCGGACCTGTTGCTCGGGAGCTGCTTGCCTTTGGAACTGTCGCTTTCGCTATATGTGGCTCCGTGCGTCATCAAGTCAAATCGAATATCTCGCGACTGACTCGTACCAAACAGGGTTCTGAACTACTTTCCAGCCAGCAGGCGCTGTCAACACTTTCGAATCAGGGCATATGTAGCATGTATCTGGTTATTATCACCGGCGCCGTTGCGTTTATGATTTCTCTACCGCGGACACTGGGTCGCTTGGCATGGATGGGCCTTCTCAGTGCAGGGGTCATTGCCCTGGCTGGTTTCGTTGCAATGATTGGAGCAGGAGCGAACCCAGTTCCTGGACGGTCTCTGACTATAACTGCCTCCAGTAACTTTTACGATGCCTTCTTGGCTGTCACAAACCCTGTGCGTACCTTCCTATGTGTTCGAGTTCAGCGTCACTCATCTGCTCAGTAGGTTTTTGCATATGCTGGTATGAATTTTGTGATGTTAACCAACACTCCTGAACACTCTACTAGGGCACTTCATGTACGACTTTGTGCATGATATTTCTGCTGAAGCTGATTTCCGATAGGTTCTTTATTCTAATATCTGAGATGCGTAGACCCCAGGATGCTATGAAGGTCAGAACACTCCTGTATTTGATATTGTAACTGAAGACGACTCTCAGGCAGCCTGGTGCCTGCAGGTTTTCGCCACAATATTTTATGCTATTTTCAGCATAGTCCTGTATGTCTACATTGGAAACACGGTGCAGTCCCCGGCCCTCTTTTCTCTTCCTCCGACATGGTCAAAGGCGACATTTGGCATTGCTATCGCCAATTTCCTGTTGTCAGTGATGATTTGCCGATTAGCTAGTCCTTACTGAATCTTTCGGGAAGCTCTGCCGGACTATACACTCATACAGCTGCAAAGCTGGTGTTTGTCCGTATATTTCGTCATTCAAAGCACATCTATTCACACACGTTACTCGGATGGACGGTCTGGACTCTGCTATGTTTCGCAGGCGTGGCTATCGCCGCGATTCTCGCCATTGCTGTTCCGATATTCTCCTACCTAATCGGGATTGCGGCAGCCCTCTTTGCCGCGTGGTACACGTACGGTCTGGCCGGATTTTTCTGGTTACATGACGTATACCATCTCAAGGGTGGCGTGGACGGGATCAAACGGCGACCCATCGGAACTACATTAGCAGTGCTGACCATTCTTGCTGGGGCTTTCATCTGTGTTGCCGGAGCTTATGTGTCGATAAAGGTCAGTGTTCGTGTCTTTGCATCCGATATTCATCTCAGTAATCAATGATAGCTCATCGTCGAGGCATATCTGAATGGTCAAGTCGGGAAACCTTTTGTTTGCTAGTGAGAAATACGTTGTGGCGTAATCCGTAGTTGTATCAAGTCTGCTAAACATGAGACCTTTCTTCCGAGGGCAATCAAACTATTATAAGTGTCTGACAATCTTTTGAACTTTAATAATGTGACCAAGACCAAGTACTATTCCATGCACACAGTCTATTCAAAGGATGCGAGCCTTACTTATTAGGAGTACTTCAAGAGGGTACTTGATATGGCGCTCATTGCCGAACTTGGTCTGGATGCAGTAACTTAGTGACATCAGATAGGTAATAATAGGTAGCGAGGCCCCGGCCGCAGCTGACGAGCGCTGACGCATCAATCGAGGTCGAGTTTAAAGCAGAGTTTGTTTTCCTAGATAGTCCTGGATGCCCTCAGAGGCCTTGTTAGCGTCAGCGATGACGATAAATGTGTAATACGGGGCCTCGGTTCGTGTCGTAACTACCTAGTAATGTACGCGTACGTGCGTGTGATGGCTAGAAACATACTACTTGGCCTAATAATGAGGCGCGCAGCCGCACTTTGAAAACATGTTTCGACAGTTGAAACTTGACTGTTCCCAGCTGCGACTGCCCACGCCTCCTTTCTCTTCTGCTATGACCGTCGTTACTAGACAGCATGAGCTCCCCATATTTGCACGTCCTCCAAGGACGTGGACCCAGACACTCAATGGGCTCCTCTTCTTCGTGTTATTTATTCCAGGATGTCTAATGGTCCATGCATTTCAACTTTTATTTCTACTGCCCTTGAAGCTTTTCTCTTCAAGTCCACGGGCTCGGAAATTATATGACGAGGGGATACGGTATACGAAGGGCGCATTTGCGACACTTATGAGTGAGTAACACTTCTGATACCGGCGATACTACACGATGACATGTCGTGCCAGATTTGATGAACCAATGGTTCGCCCCGACACGTCTTTCTATCACATTCGAACGGGAAGGACAAGGGAAGTTCACAGAGGAGGAAATTAGGCACGTTGTCGAACGCGATGCGTCTGGCAGAGTAATGGCGTTACACCTACCCTCTAAAGCCGTTGTTATCGCGAACCATCAGGTGTGTGATCACCCTGGTCGCCCGTCGTGTGGCAAGTGCTGACTCAGTTTCAGGTCTACTCTGACTGGTGGTATGTCTGGTGCCTCACTTACTTTATGGGAACGCATAAGGATGTCTTCATTGTACTGAAGAGCAGCCTGAAATGGGTTCCCCTGGTCGGACCAGTACGTGGCTGTCGTCAATTTAGAGTTCTTTCGCTAAAATCAGTCAAGGCAATGCAAATATACAGATTCATATTTCTTGCACGTTCATGGGCCTCTGACAGACTTCAATTGTCATCGAAACTTGCGAAACTCGGCCGAAAAGCGGAACAAGAAGACAAACCATTCACCTTTATCCTGTTTCCAGAGGGCACTCTTGTGAGTAAAGATACACGCCCTATCAGCAGGAAATACGCGGACAAGCTTGGCATTGTGCGTTTCTACCACCATATTGAGTGAGGTATCAATGATGACCATGTTTTCTACAGCCTGATCCACTAAACATACTGTTGCCTCGATCGACAGGGCTTCATTATAGTCTCCGCTCCCTTGCGCCGCGTATGTCATCCTTGAAATTGATCGACATTACGATGATATATCCAGGTGCGTTCATGGAAGCTGAAATACTATGTCAATAATCGCTACATACTGCTGTTAGGCATACCGCCAAAGGGATATGGACAGTCTTTCTACACACTCCGCTCGATATTCTGCGACCGCGTGCCTCCACCTGTAGTGCACATGCATCTACGAATATTTGACGTTGCAAAGGATGTTCCCATTGGAGACATATCCGGGACGAATCCCGCGGTGACTCCCAACAGATCTATCCACGAGTCTCTTGAAGTGGACTTCCAGATCAGGAGAAGGTCGCCTTTGATGAATGGCTTAGAAAGTTGTGGATGGACAAGGATGATTTTATCACGAAGTTCCTTAACTCAGATTACTTTCCCCGCTGGTCATCATGGTGCTATCGAAATTCCACTGGAACTACGGAGTCACCGCGAGATACCAGATGCTTTCTGTTTTCTTACTCCCGCGGCAGTAGGTGTATTGTGGTCGAGGTTGGTAAAGGCTATTTTATGACGGATTGTTGTATACTCAAGGCTATTTTGTAATGCTGGATATCCCTCGTACTCTTTCGTGTATTAGTATGTTCTGAGGTGAGATGATGTTAACAATTAAGCGTACGACGTGGATCGGTATGTATGTATTACATGGCAGCTCATGATTGCATTTGCGAGCGTTGTCCCTCTATGGTCTTAATGATGAATAAACTTGTATCCATGAAGCGGTCTACGCAGTTCAAGAGACAGCTCTCCTCCTTGCGGGCGAAGCTAGACCCTGGAGTGCCAGTGACACATCTGCATGAAGGAATTTGTCAATGAAAGTTGACGGATACGGCAAGACGGAGACTCACTTATCCCAACACATGCTTGTGAGTGAATGCACGGTGGAGTTGATGCGAGCTTGGGCTTGTTCGCGCTCTAAGAACGTGGCAAGCTCTTTCTGCGAGGGATATCTGAGAGGAAATGGGAGCCGTTAAGTGAATACACGTACTTGTGTAGCCTCATCGAACTTGACGTTGTCCATGGTTAGTTGTAGGGTACGGTAGGTGAGAGCTGGCTATAGAACAAAAAAGTAAGTAAGAGTAAATTTGGAAATGCTTTCTCACATTTGGTTCCGCGAAGGTTAATCGATCGGCAAAAACCAACGAATTCAATGGTCGTCCCAGCTGGTTGGCTAGAGGATGGTTGGGTTCATATATCGCTGGCAACCGCTCAGGGTAATTGAACATTGTTCAGGGCGATGAATCAAATTTCTAGCAGTCAGTAAGCAATTTTACACCTATCTGTCAGGAGAGAGGCGCTGATCGACCTAGCTTGGCCCCGTGGCACTACACGTGAGATTCTGTCAATTAAGCATACCTGCAATACTTATACAAATGGTCATGAACAGGAAAGGTTGCCGCCTCATGTTTCCTTTCATTAACTAGTCCATCCATCCTCTGAGTCCCTCATGGCTTCAACTTCCGACATCCCCAAACTGCAGCCCGCGAACTGGTCAAGCGAACCAGCTCCTCTGTATGTTTCCATTCTGCTCAGCCACCTACTGACGTAGCTCATTTTCCATCTTCTTTGCATTCGCAGCGTGGGATATCTAAGTCGTAAAGCTCTCCCAATAAAGCGCAACGACGCAGAACCTCTCACTCGAGAGGACGTCCAGTTCGATCTCCTTTATCATATATTCAATGACAGACACAAAGTTTTCACCCCACAAGCCCCCAGCGAAGACTCTAAGGTTCACTTCTGCGATCTCTATGTCAATGCTTTGTATACGTCCCATAAGTGCTCCAAAGTCCTCAAAGACAAGATGGCCGAGACACCCGCCTTTGCCGTCGAGCTTGGCAAAATTTCTCTCCTGACCAATGTGGGGCGCATCAATACCACTATGGCATGTAAGTCTGCATCGCGTTTTGTTCCTTCAATATGCTCACAAAGAGGTCAGTCTTTCCAGAAATGAAGACAGCTTTACGGACTTATCACCCGGTACCCTCGCTCCAGAAGACTGATGGTAATGCCCAGGATGCCCCGCGGATCAAGAATTGTCTCAAGGCTGCTTTACTGCCTTCTGAGCTTAAGAACATGCCTCCGTCTACCCCGGAAGAAATATTGCACAAGAGCGTACGCGAATTCATCCCCATGGTTTTTCGTACAGCAGCTCATCTCCATGCCGCCAGAGGGCCCGTCAACTTCCGTCCACAAGTATCGTGAATTTAATATTCGTTCTCGCAAACCACGCGGCCGTGAGGTCCCTGTTCGTGCTTATTCTTCTTGTACTGACTGCTCATTAGCCCCTTGCAAGTACTCACTTCGATCCGCCCGTGAACTTCCTAGATCTCTTTTTGCCTGTCAACATAGCCTCAGCTGACCGCGCCCGCGCATTTCTATGGCTCGTATTTCACTATTTGGAGGGCCCTGATCAACCAAACCCGTACGACGACGACTACTCCCGCCAAAATCCTGGCAAGGTTCCTTGGCTGCGCCGTCTCACAGACGAAGAGATGGCGCATGAAAATGTGGACACACCCGATGAAATCGAATGGGGAAGGGCGATGTCAGCACAAAGAAATCTCTTCCTGCAAAAACTCGTCAACTCTATCGAAAAAGAGAAAAAAACCAAGGCCGCTGCGTCTGTGTCTAGATGTGCGACCATTTGTCAATCGTTGATTTAGTTGTATGTTAATCATGTGTTCAGTGACTGAGCCCACTTCTGGTCGTCCAAGACCTTTCAGGACACAGCAAGAAGGTACCAGGGACAAACCCTACATCCATTATCTGCCGCCTGCACCGCAGATTACCCATTCTGGTGTGCCGTTTTTCGTGCTTCTGGGTACTTCGACCTCATATCCCTGCAGTTAGCGACGACCAGAGACTTAGCTACAGTAGCTCTCGTGCACCTCACAGAAATATGCTGCAACGTGGGTCACGAGTAGTATTCCATGCACGCTGATGTGAACGGGCGCCACCAGATGCATGGGAGGTCGTTACTTCTACCGATCCCCTCGCATGACTCGGATGAAGAACTACACGATGAACATGTTAGACTTGACTACAGTAAGCTGATGCTTGGTCATGACATCAGCCATAGTCTCAATATATTAATGCGTTGCTTAGGCCGGCGTGTCGATGTCATTGCTCGATTGCGTGGGCGACCCCCATCGCCACCTGCAGATCAAGTGCCACCAGACAGCAGCACTAGTTCATACCCACCACCCAGTAGTATCTCTGATACCCGTGAACACCGGTGGCGAACGGTGGAGTCGTGGAAGTAGTTCACAGTCACAGGTTCTACATGGACAAAAGGAGGTAATCAAGTACCAACAGCCCTTGCGTGCATACCCAAAGTTGTATTCGTACTACATAAACAACTACTAATGGCAACACGTAAATGACAAAGCGTGAGCGTAAGCAGTTATGTCAAAGGAGTGCACGTGTATCAGGCCGGTTCGCAATCGTGCGCCAAGAAGTAAAAGAAGCAGCGAATTCGTGTCCAAACGGCTCCAGACACGTAAAATCTGTGTCATCAAGACATATGCGGGAGCGTGTCTACACTAAGGAAAAGACTAGGTCCAAGAAGCTGTCCATGAAAGCAACTGCACGGCAGTACCACAAAGAAGTCCAAAATGTCCAAGTGTTCAGAAAGCCCCAGGCAATGACAAGTTTGGATGCTTCAAAGCCAGAGCGTTCCCTGAGTTGCATCTCCGCAGGTGCACTATGCCTCTTTGGCCTAAGTTGATTATCTGCAAGATCTAGGGGAGGAGGGGACGTGCGACGTTTGATGGTGGTCATCATTTCACGAGCAGTGTTGGCTCGGCCAAGGGCATGTACATTGTACTCAGTGAACGCGTACTTCGCATTACTGCGAGTACGAGGAGGAGCGGTGGTGGTTATCTCGATGTTGGGGCAACATGGAGAGCGGGGCGTTACGTTCAGCAGCATATCGGGAAGAGAGTCGCTGCTCTGACGACGCCTGACGGGCATATGTAATCTGCCGATGTTGATATGGGGGTTCGTATCTGAGACGGACCGTGTGGATGATGCGTTCTTGCCGCTCCTTAGGAACATGGAAGGACGGGGTGTAGCGAATATAGGATCGTTGGCCATTGATGGGGGAGGAAGAACTGGTCTAACGCGGGCGATGATATCTTCCAACGATGGAAGTTTGCGACTACCCAACTTCAGGTCTGTCTTGGGTTTGCTGATAGGCAGACGACAATCCACCTGTTCGAACCACGTGCGGCGCCTGGCGAGGTCTTTTCCAGTCTGACCATTAAGCCCCCCAGCTAATGAGTTGAAGAACGCCAATGGTGACTCGAGGCCGCCAGGTGGGAGTGTGCAATGGTTAACGGCAGAGAACTCAACAGGGATTTTGGGTGTCGGAACTGCAGTGGACGACGGAGGTTCCTGAATTCTGGACAGGAAGAGTGCACGACGCTCGACTTATAACGCATAGCGGAATGAGATCATGATTCATGACACCGATCTATTTGACTCACGTTGCTTATTCCTCTGGTTCTTGATGGCAAGTTCCTTGCGGAGATCAGGAACCTTTCTAGAACTGAGCGCAGCTCTCTTGTCACGCGACACTTTGAGAAGCAGATCAAACTGATCACGATGAAGCCCCTTGGGAGGAGGACAGTCTGCAGGACGAAGAGGAGACGGATGCCTGGGGAACATGTTTGGAAAGTGACACTGGGGACTCAACAACTTCTGCCGGTACCCGCTATCATCCTGATCTGGGTCTGCGGAGAGAAACAGACAGTACGGCTCTGGAGATACCTTCTCTGGCGAAGCAGGCGAGATGCATATGTGAGGGATGGATGTACCGATGGGGGATAACATGATTTGGGAGGGCGACCAGCGCTAATGAAAAGAATGAAAGAATGAAAAGAATGGAAGCGTCGTTATACGTGGATGAAATAAAAGGAGCAAGGAAGGTGGCAAACACGAGGAGTTTGACCACGCTCCAGTCCGCGCAGCGGCGGCTAGTAAAGTGGAGTTTACAGAAAAGTTACTTACTCAAGCTTGTGAGACACGAGACTTCTGATTCATAGTCGTATCATCCAGATCTTAGTATCAGTACATACTGACAATAGTCACCGAGTACACAACACACGGTACTAGGTATCCTGCCGCAGTCTCAAGTTCCAACAAAAATAGCACCGCTTTGCTGGCTCAATTGAATGGGCCAAGCACTTCCTAGTAAGTAATAACCAAGTCAATTGATCCTCATCGAGTCTACACTGGTACAATGTGTGGTATCTTCAACTACTGATCTTTCGGTCTTAATCAATACTGCAACGACAAGTGGGCGAGGTCATGTTTCATCAGCCTGAATCTCAATTTTAAACGCAACGATTCACAGGCCTTCCGCCTCAACTGCCTCTCTTTGCTTCTCATTGAACAACTTCTCTGCGTCAGTCCAGACCTTCGCGGTCATTCGTCGAGGAAGCTCCAAGAGTGATGGTAACAAATCGTTACTGAACTGTTCAGAAGCCTCACGGGGCAACAGGGTTGGTAGGTGATCGATGGAGATCACCGACAGCGATGGAAAGTCATGTCTGGTACGCAAGCCAAGGCGTTAGCTGGTTCATGCGACGTGCTAATGATACGCACCCGAGATCCAAAGGAACAGTTGGTTCGGAGAAAGTTGTATTTATACTGTAAATTGGGATGGGATTGAACGGGTTCGTGGTGTCGCAACTGACATCCACAACTACAGATAGCCGTCTACCTTGGCCGGCAGCGATGATTTGGTCCTTCGTTAAAAAGGGCGGGATCGAAGATGACAGGTAGATGCAGTTGACGAAGATATCCACGTCAATGATTTCCTGGAATGGGCCCCCTTTGGCAGTCTCAGCCATATCCCACTTGACTATGTTATCTCTGCGATGGCTGGGTCAAGACGTATAATCCCTAGCTTTGCGTAATGACTCACTCAGCCAGACCAATCTTGCGGAAAAGATCCACAGCTCCGCGTCCGCATCGTCCGAGGGCGCCAATTACGAGAGCTTTGACGCCATTGACGTTGCCGCCGAGCATGTTCTTGACATCATCGATCATGGCAGTCTCATTCTCATAAGGTTCCAAGCGGCCTAACTTCTTTCCTGACCGTTGCGCGGCCACAGCAAGTGCACCAGCGGCAGCACCAGCAAAGCCAGCGTGGTAGCCGAAAGCAGCAACACGCCGACCCGTAGCATCGGTGAGGAACTCCAGATCATAGAGTGTACCTCCTCCCTTGTAGAAACGAGCCAGCACGGATGACCATCCTGCTTGCTGCTTGTAACAGTGGGCAAACTGAATGTGTGTATGGGGCAGGGGATCTTGGGATTCTGGAAGCTCCTTCAATCCGATGATGGGGACATCTGTAGGGGCGTTGGGCCATGAGTTGTTTTCCTACAAGCGTACAGCCGACACTGTGACGCGTATTTAGCGGATGAGCACGGCTATATTATCTGTACATACGCCTCGAACTCAGCGTCATCGAAAATCCGTTGTGCATCGCGTTCGACACTGATTTGGAAGCCAGCATCAATCAGTTTCTTCGCGGTGGTAGGTGTGAGGGCTGAGCGACGCTCAAACTCTTTCTTTTCGCAGCGAAGCCAGAGGCGTTGGGTAGACATGATTGTTGAGATCAAGTACTTGGTTGATGTTTGCTTTTAATAACTAGTTGCCTAGTCAAAGCTAGTCAAAGAGAGTCAAAGAGAGTCAAAGTGACTCGGGAAAGAAGCTTCAAGATAAGATTTAGATTTTACGGTCACATGACCTTACGACGCGTCTTTTAACGCGCCTAGTAGTAGTTAGACAGCCTGTGAGGGAAGACTTAAGGAGGACAGTTGTTCCTTCTCCTTCTCAATGACGGCAAAGATATATTTCATATACGTGGTGTGCACTCTGGAGGTACACGATCTCCAGCTTCGTGACGTCGAATCAACTGACATGTTGCAATCCGCTCCGAAACATGGTTCATGACGCGTGCGATGTGCATGACACACTGACACAGCGAAACATTCGACCTCCCAATTTGATCCAATATTCAAGGAGAAAATCAACGGTCGATATCATACATTACTTCCGAGTTCAACTACCGAAGAAAAACCTGTGCCAATTTGTTCTCTACGCCTGGGTCATTGTCTTGAATTGCCCATACATCTGCGTTGCAGCCTCCAACTTTCCTTCCTCGAACTTTTTGTACTCTTCGATAACCCCCCCAGCTGGAACACACGGGTCGCCTCGAACAAGGCCCTCCATCGTCACTTTCGTATATTCTTCGAGCGAAAGCCAGAAATTGGACAGCCGTTGCGTTGTGCCTTGGACTAATGCGCAGGTTAAGTAACAGAAGAGGCGGAAAGCTGGAAGGAGTGAACTCACAGTCATGCAACTCCGACTCGACGAGTCTTTTGCAGGGTAATGAGATGAAGAACAAGGAAACAAAGATGTCACTCACGGAGGAAGAATCTCGACCACGTGAACATTCTTCTCCTTGAGCTGAACAGCGAGTGAGATACTCAAGCTGTGGATGGCAGCTTTCGTCGCGCAGTAACCAGCAACCCCAGCAGCGGGAACAATAGACAATCCTGAGGAAACTGCGTACAGGAATGTCGGACGGCCTTGCTCCTGCACAGGGGTCAGAGAAATGAAATGGAACATAAAAGGGCTCATACCCCAAGCTTGATCAGGTGAGGGAGGACGAAAGTGATCATCCTGACAATTGAAGTATAATTGGTGGCGAGTTCACACTCGAGAGCTGGACGAAATAAAAACAGAATGAGAATATCACAGATGTACAGGGGAGAGACCTACAGTCGAGATCAACGGTTTCTGGCTTTGTGAAGTCGAAAGCACGTTGAATGCCGTTCGAGAACAAGACAGCGTCAAGCTGCACAGCCGGTCAACGCTAGTCTGCGGGGAATAGTGCTAGGGACACATACATCTGGGTAAGTGTTGACGATCTCCTCGATGGAAGACTTGAGAGCGTTGCGCTCTGCAAGAACGTCGAGAGTAACACTCTTGAGGCGTCCGGTGGCATTATGGGAAGCAACCAGTTCGTCGAGCCTTTCCTTGCGGCGACCGCAGACGATGACGGTGGGCTTAGAGGGGAGATCCAAGATCGCAAGGGCAAGGGCACGACCTATTCCTGCAGTGGATCCAATGACGAGGATGCACTTAGAATCGCTGACACTGGGCATGATGGAAGAGTGAGTTTGTGGCAGTAGTTGGGGAAGGGGGATGAAGGCGCTGACCTTTATACCTACAATCGTCTATCGTAGCCACGATACACTGCGTGTTGTCTAAAATTTCCGCTGGAGGAAACGTGACGGAAAACTAATCCGGACCTTATGTTTCCGCCAAATTTCCGCCACTGTTTTCCTCCGGTGGAGAGATGGCTGTTTTTCTGCTTTTCCGCCAGCTCGCCGACACCTTCTGGACCATTGGTATCTGACGGCGGATATCTTGGGTCTGGAAGGCCTGGTCGACCACATGTAAGTAGTCAAGACTGTCGTCCCTTAACCGTTACGCCAAAAGGCAGTGATAATGAAAGCTCATGCTTCATTATCTCGGACAGTATTTATGCTGATTATGGGAACTCAGGTAAGCCACCGGGCTTACACCACAGCTGCAATTATTAATATTATATCGTACTGCTCGACTTAAAATGGCAATTGAACTTGCAATATATGAATATATTATTAAATATTAAGTAATACAATTCGCCCATGTATACGTGTACGCCCTGCGCTGCGCTGTTGCCAGCTCATTTGGTACAGAAAATCAAGATGTGACGAACGTGTGAGTATATTGTGCCACTTCAAACTCACCATCGTTCGAAGCTGCTCTTCTCTCGCTGTATTCACGATTTCAAATGAGCACCAGAAGGGTTTCGGGTGACTTGGGAATTGGGAATTGGGGTCAGCTGCAGGTTGCTTGTATACATTCTAGGACACTTACATCGTCATGTCAGTGGTAAATTACGGCTTCAGGACAGATGCGCCTGCACGAGTCAGTGAACAACTTGAAAATGATAGTAAGTGAGGTATTCACCTGCCAAAACCAAAGGCAGTAGTATGGTTGACGAAATGATCCTTCAGTTGCCCATCAGCTGTCAGATGGCAACTGGGATCGAAGCGCGATGCGTCGGGAGCCGTCTCTTCGTCCCGAGACAGTGCCCTGAATCATGCTCAGCTCAAAGCAATTGCACGCACTGCATCGTAGCATACCATTGATTAACAATTATTGTCGCACCTAATCGAACTACGGATCAGTCAACGGCAACCTCGACTCATACAACTTCGAACCTTTGGGTATGAAATACCCGCCGTAAACATTGTCGCTTAATGTTGCATACGCCATTCCTGTGCAAGGGGTCAGCATGCAAAGACAAAGTTAGATTACTGTAGACCGACCTGGGGGTGCGGGAGGATACCATCTCAGGACCTCACGGAGAATAACTGCACGTACTGGATGAATCAGTGGTCCTGTCAACACGTATGGGTGAGGCCATACACGGTGGTAAGCCAGATAATCGACATGCAAGCACTAGTGATACTAGAACTAAGAATATTGCCTTCGAAGTTCGAACGATGTGTAAGACTCTTCACTTAATCTTTGTGTAACAAGGAATGGCATTTAATGATGGTTGATACGATGGACCGCATCTACTTTGCTGCCTAGAACGCGTACTTGACTCACGAGTGTAATACGCACAGACCACTTTATCATATCATGTTGGTCCCTCTGAATCTGTATTAAACTTTCAACGGCACGGTTTGGCATCAGCTGCAATGTACATGAAATAACGCACTTCTAAGCAGCCGTCAACGTTAACTTCGCACTATCGTAAAGACCGCGTTGGACACAGTGTGTAATAGATTCATAGGTTCCAGAGCGCCACGACCACTAGCCTCAAGTTGGCAACTTGGATCCAATCATCGTGATGGCGGATGACCAGCACCCATCTTCGAAAGCGTCCACCCCATCTGAGTCCGCCGATGAACAAGAAATCAAGGTGAGAACTACTTCAGGGTCAACGTCTGATTATCTGATCAATTTCAACGGTGGCAGAAGTGCATCACTGAGGCAGATGAATTAAAGCAGGAGGGCAATGAGTCGTTTCGAGCTAGTGCATGGAGTGAAGCTCTCGTGTCATACAGAACAGCTCTGAGTCGACTACCCACACGAAAGAAGCAGCCTCCTTCACCGGACAGCTTACAGGACGATGCGTCAAATGGTGGTGCCCAATCGAGTTCAAGCAAGGTGCCAACACGAGAGGAGGGCCCAGAGCCTGCCAACACGCCTTCTGAGCTCGAGGCAGAATGTGCCAAGGCTCGAGCGGTGTTGAACGCCAACATCGGTGCATGTCTTGTAAAACTTGTATGGAAATCAATGTTCGATGTTCCAAAGATCTCACTGCCTTTATTCATTTAGGGCGATTACAGTGGTGCAGTCGAATCATGTACCCAGTGTAAGTAGTTTGCCAAAACAGAGGAGACCATATACCCATACATGTTTCGCTGCAGCATTACTCAACGATCCTCACTATGTCAAGGCCCTGCAGCGGCGAGCGGCTTCTAACGAACAACTCGATACATGGTCGTCTTTGACACAGGCACAAGAAGGTATGTCCTATCACTAGAGGGATCTCGACGTTCCTCAAATTACATCATTTAGACTACAAGTCACTTCTGGAATTGCTACCCCCTACGTCTCCTCAGGTGGCACAGACCAAACGAAGCCTGCAGCTTCTTGAACCTCGACAACAAGCGGCCCAGAAGAAAGAAATGGCAGAAATGGCGGGCAAGCTGAAGAACCTCGGTAATACCATACTAGGTTCGTTGCCTTTTCCCTCTGCAGACTGAGCCTGAAGTCACACCGTCAGGCAACTTTGGATTGTCTACTGACAACTTTAAGTTTGAACCAAATGGGCAAGGTGGTTACTCTATGAACTTTGTTCGATAGTATTGATCCTGAATTCTTCGATCTGCTGTTGCATCATACCGCACTGTATTAGAAAGCACATTATCAATGTATCATGCCTGTAGACTATGTTGTCCCGCGTGTCACTGTTCGATATAAGTTGCGTCCCGGGAGAAGACAGTAAACCGGTTGAACGGGTAAATCTATGCAATGTAAGCGCTGCCGTCATGGGATCTGTTGCACGACAAATTTGGTGCACTTACCCTGGCAGCAATTCTGCCCCTTACCAGGGCCATGGACACAGGTCCATAATCGCGCGAGTCTGTCGACCAGGCGGCGTTGTCACCAGCAACCCAAATGTGCCCCTTGGGAACGATGACATGCTCGGTCGAAGGAGCTTTAAGCCCAGTCGGATCGACACAAACTACATCGCCCGGAAGGCCAATTACTCTTTTGCAAATGATGCGCGAGCGATTAACGGGTGATATCAAAGTTATGAGCTCCCCTCTTCCAAGGTGATTGGGAAATAACCGATGAGGTAGAATGCTTTCGATGACCATTTCACCGCTGTTGTCGAGCGTTGGAAGCATGGAAGGACCAGCCATCTATGTTTTATCAGAAGCGTTGACACAGCTGGTTGGATTCACAAACGAAGCATGGGCCGCCGACATTTTCCTTGAAAAGGTGGAAGGCAAAACCAAAGTTAATGAGCTGGATGGCATCAATGTATTTTTCACAGAACTGATTGTTAAATACGAACATGAAGGCAAGTAAGACCGACTCTCTTGATGGCTGGTTCCAGCCATAATGGAGGTATCATTGAAGCATGCTACAGACTTGACAAGTTGATGACATCGCAGAGATGTATTTCTTTTCCCACGGTGGGGTGCTTCACTCAACCATGCAGCTGTGCAGGCGCACCTCAGTGAAAGCACCTGAAGCAGTCAGATCTCGCGTTGCCTGCCGCGTGGAACCGTCCAGTAACATGCAGGAACATCGCGTTAAGAACTTGGGAGTGTACCAAGACGATCAACTGTTCGGATCTCCAATTACTTAAATGTTGCAGCGAGGATCAGTTATCGATGTAATCTGTCGCGTGGGCCTCATGAGGCTACCTCATAAAAGCTATCGATCTACGTCCACTATCCCTCGAATCCACCCTCTGATTTTAGCATCCCCACACGCATAATGTTCGACAAAATACCCATGCCCACTGCCGCAGACCTCATTCGCATTACTTACAAAGGGGCAGAGCAGCTCCGTCGTGAGCAGCGTCCAGGAGGTGACCCGAGTAAACTGGACTTTTCGATAGCATCGACCTGCTATAATTGCGATGCACTTATCATGGGTCGCAAAGTACGTCCAAATGATCGCGTTCTAGCCCATCATTGACTTCAAGTCACTAGCCCTTGGTCTGCTCTGGTTGTAGATCCTTTGTATTCTGCTCAAAGAATGTCAATTCGCGTCTTTATTGTAAAAACTACGCGTTCCCTTACCCTCGACTTTTCAGTGCCATACCACAAACTGGAAAGCAGGGAGGTTTGGAAGCCCAGGTCACAAAGTCTTCTGTGCAAAGAATAAGGTACGAATGCTCCGTACTTGCCCGTTCTTCCTGAAGTGCAGTTTCTTCATGTGGTTTGACGCAATTCCATTTCAGGTGCATATGGAGAGGGTCCCGCAAGTGCAAGCCCTTCTAAAGCAATTCCCTTGGGGTCGTGTCGAGGCGGATGGCACCTTTGCCGCGGATCTCGTGCGCGCTTGTTACAATGTTTTAGGTGCTGAGGGTTTCGGGTACTGGAGCACTCCTGGAGGCTCCAACCCGCACCTCAAACATCCAAGTCAACCTCCCGCTTCTTCTAAAGCGATTCGCGTCGACGACGTACAAGGATACGAACACGGCTACATGCTACTTTCTGATAGACCGTTGACGGACGAGACCGGCTGGAAGCTGGAGAAGCGGTTCATCCCCCAATTGGATTTTGAGCCTGGCACGGAGCCTGAGATTGCTTGCAAAGCAGATATCGTGGACTGGGATTCGTGGTACAGGTGGCGAAATCTTACCAAGGAGTCACCAGCTGCACTGTTGTTGCATTACCCTCTTACCGTATACCAGCTTTTGGTGCATGTGCTCCACGTCACAGGGCCAAAGAGAAATTCTCCTGGAGAATCGTCAAGCTCTCAACGTGCATTATATTGGAGTCCGAAGTTGAATTAAATATGCTTCCTCTGTATGTCGGAACCTCCACGGCTAATCTTTTGATGCTGATGATTATCGCGATAGATTCTCTGAATTAGCCTTGCTGCTTCCTTACACAGACATCAAGATGACTTTCTTCGGCATCGCAGTCCACTCGATCGTCAATAAGGCAAAGAAGAATAGCATTGCTATGAAGGCGAAACGGAAGGAACCAGTCTACACATACACCAGCCCTGAATCTTGCGGAGCCAGCACATTGTCCATTTTTCTACACGGAGATCATGAAAATTGGGATCCGCGACTTCCCTTCCTCCTAAACAGCAGGCCCGATGCCGTCGTCGCCCCAAATGCTGGGCTCACCAGTTACCCGGCATGGCAGTTCGTGATCCTGCATTGCCTCGCTGAAAATACGCCTTTTGCCGCCACCGAATACGCAGAGCAATCCGCAGAAATGCAAAGAGATGCATTTCCTCAGATCGTTGCCCATGCCCTGCCTAGCTTACAAGCGGCAGGTATGCATGGCTTGGCTTTTCACAACCTCACACGGCCAAGAGAATACCCCATCGCCTTTAATCCTTTCCAGCGTCCTGGTCAGAGAGATATGAGCGCGACGCGTTTACCGAGCGTTCCGAACGGGTTTACGATAAGAGTGGTTGGTGAGGAACAGCAGGAGGTGGACCGCCATGTCTCTGCTGGCATTCCTGCACCGGCTTCGGACTTGGATGAGCTAATCCAGAAGTCGGAGAAGTTGTCTCTGAACTCTTTGGACTGAGTATCTTGGCACTCGTGCATGTCTCCGTACTCGAGAGCTTCCTCGATGGACGAACGTTGTGGTGAGTAGGCGCTTCTAGGTATGGTTCATCGTGCATCCTGCCCAAAAATATGTAGCGTCCTCGACTACGTGTATAATAGTTGATGTACTAGTAGTGTCGTCATAGATCCTGCAACACTTGTCCACCTACCAAAGGGGGGTTAATAGTTCATCCTATCGATCAATTTGAAGTGACTTTACTTTAACTCTGCAGGGAAGACCGACAATTGTGATGTCGTCTTTCAAACGTAAAACTCCATCAGGTCGGGCTACTCTGCCCCAAGGCACTCGCCTTTCCCCGTTTTCCACGTCTACCGTAATAACTTCAACCGGAATACCTTCACTAGATGATATTCTTGGTGGCGGACTACCCTTGTCTTGCTCTCTCGCTGTGCTTGCTCCCGATCATCACTCGGCATATGGAGAACTAGTGCAAAAATACTTCGTAGCGCAAGGTCTTGCGTCTGGTCAGAAAGTCTGTATTATCCATGATGAACCCCTGAGATTTGCGAGGGAGTGCATCTGGATGCCAGGGAGTACGCCGTCGACACCTGCACAATCTAGTACAGCTGAGGACGCGGACGATGAGCGGGCGAGTCAGCATGATGACAAAATCAAGATTGCCTGGCGTTATGAGCAGATGAAGAAGTTCCAGACCACAGTCTCATCCAATTCGTATGTAAGTCCTCTACTTGAGCTAAATGATACTGAAGGTGTTCAACCGATTGTAGTCTCAATGACGATCTTTGCATGACATTTGATTTGACTTGCAGGATCCCCAATGCGGTCCTTGATGCTGTACGGCAGTCTGCCCAGCTGAATTTGATTGATGTCGATGCTTCTAGAGGAAAGCAGGGGGGTAATCAAACAGATCGAGGAGCTACTATCGAATAGCACAAACTCACAGGCTGTTCGTATATGTATCCCTGCTTTGGGATCGCCTCACTGGGGCGACATACAACCATCAGTGAGATACAGCCGCCTGAAAGGAGATTGTGACTGATGCCATCATAGACAGTGTTGACCTTGCTACACGGACTTCGAAGGATTCTCCATCGGTATCCAAACGCTTGCGCCTCGCTGACTCTTGCACCTCATATATGTACGGATACTTGGGGAGGACCGGGGTGGATTCAAAAGGTTGGCTGGCTAACCGATGCAGCGATCTCCATGTCGGCATTTGGCGGTGAGCATTCGCCGTTGATGTGTGTGCCCAACATAGACTGATGAAGGTCATGTGGACAGCCAATCCCTCGCTGGCTTCTCTTTTCCCTTCCCATCACGGCATTCTTCAAATTCTTACGCTCCCAGCGCCTCATACCATTCTCCCAGCCAGTGACAAATATTCCACTCTCCGCGGGCTGTCATCGGCTGCAGGGACAATGGGCGGAAGCGGAGAAAATAACCTTGCTTTCAAGTGCATGCGCAAACGTCTTATCTTTGAGACGCTACATCTTGACTTGGAAGGTGGTGTGACTGAGCGTCGAACGACACCTTCGTCCAACGCTATCGCTTTGGATACCGGCATGATGCATGAAACAACATCTGCTGCTATCCTCGCTACGGAAGGCAGAAAGGGCTCCCTTGCAACTGTGGAAGTTGAATTGGAATATGCTAAGGAGTTGATGATTGATGCATCTGCGCGGGCTGTGGCCGATGCTGCGGCCGACCGGTCCCCTGGCGCTGCGAAGTCGAAGAAGTCAAAGAAAAAAGTAGCTTTTCATTCAGAGCGTCCTGATTTGTATGATTTCTGAGCGATCTTATCTCCCTTACCCCTGCTGAGGAAGTCGTTCTGAAGGCGAGAAGGACATTCAGCTAGGTCTATATATGTTAGAACTTTATCAAGATGAAGATTAAGCGTTGGAAGCGCCCGAGTTCCTTCGTACCTGCGATCAAAAAGAACGCATGCGTTAAACCTGTTCCATGAGCTCCTCACCCATGCGTGTTTCCATCATCAAACCACTGATGTGATGTAGTGGCGATGTCTACCAGAGTTTTGGTTTTCCTTGCGGAACGGGTTACAACTCCTAAAACTGCACTTTGTTCACGAATAGACATGACATATACTGTTAACGGGAAAAAAAAATGAGTGTTACTATATGATGACACTTAATATTGGACATAACGTTGTCACGATCGACTTCCGTGGCACAAAATTTCAAGAATTCAAATGAGCACTTACCTCCTCGAGCGGAGTGTGCAACAAAGCAACCGAGGATCCTGAAACGTTCGGATTGTGGCCTTGGCCCTCGTTACGTTTGTAAGACGAGTGTGCAGAGTAGGTGTCTCAGCCGATACCTGCTATATTATACACTCCTGGTAGATAAGAAGGAGATAGTATGTAGAGGCTTCGTGCTTACTAGCAGTTGGCATAATTAAATAGCCATTGACACTACGTGTGAGCATTACACTGTGGGATATAGGATAGAGGGTAACCATGTCGTGTTGATGGGGATCGTGATTCGGGACGAAGGTCGCAGTCGTGCACCTGATCAAATTTAAATCAGTTTTTATGTAACATCAACTAGTAAAATGGTGGGAGTACTATACATAATGTACTAGAAAAATCGGACGAAGTTCTTAACGACTAAAACGTAGAACTGCTCGTCGTCGTCTTCGTCGTCTTCGTCGTCGTGGAGGTGAGCGAGCAAGCAAGTAATCATCGTATCAACTATTGTTGCAATGGTCATGTAAGTCGTAACTTAGTTTCCATGCTCATTGTTAGCTGACTTGTCACGCGACGACGATAGGAACGTCGACCATCCCAACGTACTTTTACCTTCTTCTTCGACACGATCAGCACCAGCTTCACCGACAAGATTATACACCTTTTACGAAAAACCATTACCCCCAATGCCAAACGCCGCACATAGACCACCTAGCTGGATAGACCCGGAGGGAGATTCAAGTCCTGGTGAGATACTCCGAATTCAATGCCGAAGCTAGTACTAGCATATTACTTTCATTGCGACTTTAGCGGTATAGTTGTTCTTGTTTGCTAAAATGATCAGTCTTCAGCGCTTAGCAGTACTTAATTTCTTCCCTTTGTTTTTCATACTTCGACGTTCCTTACCTTCTTTGCTGACCACCTTCAAAGATCTGGACTTTCTCACTACCAATCCATCTGCCGCCTTACCCCCTTCATCATATTCGCCCAATCCCCCTGGATCCCGTCCACGTCCATCGACATCATCTGTACCTGGTGAAACTCGGACCTGGTCCCAACATTACGGTACCCACAATTTCACCGATATCCAAGCTGCGGAGACTTCTAGTCTCGAAGAGCCTTCTATGTCTGCTGGCAATCCCCTACTATTACCCCACCCAGCCCACTCGTTTTTACAAGCGCCTCTTGTAAGGTCTGTCTCCGAGGGCGAATCATCTTTTCGTTTCGATTCATCTCCCACACGCTCATTTGCGCGCCCCCCAAAGGTCCCGCCACTGCCAGATCCCTCTCAGTTCCCAGACCCGTATCCCCAACGTTCCCCATACTCTCGTATGTCTGATCAACTGTCTTCCACCCTTCCTGCTCTCTCTTCTGAAGGCTCGTCTTCCGCATCCACACGTTCATCTGCATACACAAGCTCCGGAAGTGCATTAGCTTCCAGTGACTATGGCCATGTTCATGTTGCGACCGGGGAGGACGAGGAGATTGGTGTGGCAGTAGGAATCACATCTGATGATGTTGTCCAGGTGCTCCAGACCAAGACTAGCATTCCAACGTCCGCAGGAAGGACACCGATAGATCAGACCAGGTGGTCAGAATACTCTGCCAGCATTCGTTCGAGGTCATCTTCGATTGGGCTCAATAATACTAACAGCATACATGAAAGTGGCACGCCACGTCTTCGGGAGAACCCTAGCTTTGATATGGGATGGCAAACAGTCGATGAGAGAGATGAAGTTGGTTTAACAAGCGACGAAGAAACGGACGACCTAGGCGACGAAGATGACGAGGTTGACGACAAGGAGGAGGAGAGAACGTCTGCGGCGGTAGTAGCTGAAGAGGGGCGCGGACTCATCGTCAAAGGCGAGGGCATCCCAATTGTCCAGCTAAGTGTTGAACCAGGTGAGCACGGGGATCATTTATGGCGAGAATTTACCCAACTTATAACCTTTCCCCGTTGTGCCACTTTCATCAGGAACTACGCATCTACTTCTCGGATCGTCTAGCACGCCCAATACAGTACCAGCATTCCTGACGGGCGCCTTGCCGCAGATATGCAACACTTTACTTGCACTTGACATTTCTGCCAACTTCTTGGTCGCGCTTCCTCCTGCCCTTGCTTCATGTGAGAACTTAGAAGAGCTCAATGTCGCGTCCAATCCTCTTCGAGTCTTACCCGTGTTCTTGACCCATCTTACGTCCCTGCGTGTGCTTATCGCGGATTCTACTGGCATTGGGAGCCTTCCCGATTCACTGTGCTTGCTCGACAAGCTTCACACGCTTAGCATTCGGAGGAACAAAATGTATTCCCTGCCCAGCTGGCTATGCCTCTTGCCTTCATTGCAGGAGCTTTATCTCGATGGCAATCCGTTCCAGGGTCCTTGGCAAGCTTTGGTTGAGCCGTTGCTTGCTAAAACTTCGGTGTCACCGCCTTATCCACCCTCGACACCTATTCCTCCTTCTCCCGCTAGCCTTCCTGACTCATCTGTTGAGCACGAGACCGACACCGAGTCGGAGCCTACTAGTGCGGATCGGGACGGGCCATCCTTCTCTCGGCTCGATGACGACACTATTACCCCAGCCCGCGCTCCATTCCTTGGTCGCTCCGCAACCTCCCCGTCAATTCCACCCGTCCCCCAGACTGTTCCACGGGGCTTAACACGCACCAAGACTGCTCCCAACGGATCATTTTTCAGTTCAAAATCGCGCCCCAGAACTGAAGCGACCGATGGACCGACGATATCGAAGCGCGTTGAAGACTCAGGTTACTACACAGATCATGATTTACGGAGAATGAAGAGCGCAGGAGAACTACGTTCATATTTCGATCGACCTGACTCTCAGTTCTCTCCGCAGGACTCACCCGTCGATGCCCCTGCGCCCCCCGCGCTCCCGAACTATTCGACTTCGGCGTCTAGCTCGAATCTGCTTAGTGTGGCGGGTGGCTCTCCGGAATCCGATCGCTTGATCGTACCTAAGCGGTACGCTAGTCTCGGCGTTGCGTCATCTTTGACCCCCACGCGCAATCTGCGGCCATCGTTACCTCAGACACAGTTCGAAGCGCCCTCGGCCACTCCAGAACCGACAGTTCCTGAGTCTTCACGTATCTCTGCCGTTGAGACCATCTCGCCGGCCACTTCTCCGCGTCGACCCCTTTCACGTGATCCGACTCGATCCACGTCAGGTAATGGAGATAGGAACAGCGCTGCAAGGCAGTCTCAGTCTCACTCCAAGGACAGAGAAAAGACTGGGCGATGGGGTTTCTTAAAGAAAATGTCGATGGGAAAGATGCGACCTGGACCTGATTCTCCTGTTCCACTTCGCCCGAACACTACGTACAGTCGCATGCCTTTGCCCGAGCCGATGACTGCGCCAGCCTCTACTCCCGCCACTCTATTCTCAAGCACGCCTCAGATTGACGTTCGCTTCTCCACTACGGAATTTTTTGGGCCTCTCACGGGTAGCACTCCTTCAGTTGCCTTGTCCCCTCCAGTGCAAGAGGATGACACTCCGACCTCTGAAAAGGCTTCCCCGATTCCGCCCCCTGCTTCACCTGGCAATTTCCTTACCCCATCCTCGTCTCCAGTTCCACGATCATCCAGAAGAAGGAGCTTCTTACCAGTCGACGATGCAGTAACCATTCCTTCGCCGTCGCCTGTGTCCTTTATAGAACGCCTGTCAGTCTCAGGTGAGGATGACGCGGACGAACCAAGGCCAAGCATAACGTCAAGTCCGGTTCCAGATATGGATAGCGTCGATTTTGCTACTCGAAGGGAGGAGGAACGATTACGAGAGGCGTACACGCGGGCTTTGCGCTCCGTGATGGCGTACTTGAAGGATATGAATGATCTCGGTCTGTCTCAGGGTAATACCATCAGCATGTATAACGGAGGAGAGGAGAGTTCACCGAGCGGAATGCGCTCGCGCAGGCCGACAATTGTGGAGAGGACGAATTCCGACGCGTCCTCGATGTCTATATCCCGAGCAGGATCTGTGTCTGGTCAACTAAGGTCTCCCGAAGTCATGTCCAGCTTGCGCAGTGGAACAGCTTCGCAGACTGTCAGCATTGCCGCTTCAGACAGTTCTATAGAGGAGCGGAAGTATAAGGACGATAAGTGCAAGCGTGCACTCGGTGGTTCGAGAAATTGTCGAGTAAGGATTTTCCATTGTCAGGCCGTGGCGGAGGTTGCTAATTTTGAGATTTTAAGGACGGAGAAGACATATGTGAAAGGCCTCCAAGAACTTGTTGATATATACGTCAAGCCTAGCGCCGCTCCCGTCAACCTGATCAGTGGCGTCGGTTCTGGCAAAGAAACAGTTATCCCTTCAGCAGAGAGGAGGATCGTTTTCGGCGGCATTGAAGCCCTGTTTTCATTCCACAAGGAAAGCTTCCTTCCATCGTTGGAAAAAGCAGCGGCTCCACTGCTGCAAAAGCCTCCTGCAGGAGAAGAGTTGGATCCTGATGGTCAATTGTCTGTGCAGGTGGCGACGGCTGTGGCGGGATGTTTCTTGAGATACGCTGCCTTCATGAGGATGTACTCGACTTATATCAAGTAGTGCTTCAACTATCTCGTGCTTCGTTTTTTGCTGACAGAGTACGCGCAGCAACTTCGACAATTCTGTACAGCGCATCAGATTTTGGTCGACGGATCGGCCCGTCGCAGGCAACGCTAGTCCAGGCTCTAGCGTAACGCCCTCCTCTAGCACGGCCCAACTCGGGCTTGGGATCGCTATCTCCTCTCCTTCGGTCCCAGGCGTGATGTCTGATCCATCCTCTCCGAGTAATACAGCAAATTTAACGTCTGGACAACGGAGACGAATAAAGCATTTTCTGAAACGCTGCCGCATGAATCCTCGCCATTCACAACTCAATATGGAAGGCTATCTACTTTTACCAGTTCAACGAATACCACGATACCGGTTACTAGTAAGCGTCTGCACTGGTCTGTATACGACTTGACTGATCGTCTGTCTAGTTGGAAGAGCTTTTGCGAAGCACTCCACCATCATATACCTTTTTGGACGATTCGTTGGACAGAGCTCTGACAGAAATATCCTCTTTGGCCAACAACATGAATGAAGGAAAACGAGAGTCTGAATCTCGACGAAAGCTTGTTCAATGGCAGTCAAGAATACGAGGCAAATTTCCCAGTCCTCTGGTGCAGCCGCATCGGTGAGTTATGAACACAAGTACCAGTTTACAATTCTCTGACGCTTCGATCAGACGACTCATCATGGACGGACCTCTATTACTTACTAGGGTGGTGCGAAAGACGGTTGTCTCTTTTGAGACGTTCACCCCTCAGGGGGACGCCTCTCCTGTTCAAGTTGATTGCCTGGCGCCAGAACTCAATCCGCGCCCTCTCGTCGGAATCCTGTGCAATGATCTTCTCGTCCTTTGTCGGGATCCTAGCGACGGGAAGGATCCGATGTCTGCGGTCGACCTATGGGCGGTACTGCGGATGCAGACTTTGCCGCAGCCAGCCAGCATTGTCCATGGAAATGGTAAGTTCAACGGACACGGCAAAGTTTTCCCTATCTTATCAATTTCCGTAGCTTTGCGTCTGGTTGACAACAAGGCCATCTTGTATTTCGATGCTCCGTCGCCTTCTGATGCTTTGAATTGGTTTAGAGGTAAATATAACCACACGTCTCCCCTCGTATTTGCACTGACTGCGGACCATAGCCATTAATCTGCATATACCGTCTTCAAAACCATAGACGTCATCCTCTTGCCCAAAACCTAGCATCCACCTTCGTGGGTTTGCTTTTGTCGTTTTAGCTCGCTGGATGGGCACTCTCCGATACGTATATATACTGTCATTAAGTTTCCTGCATGTTGCATTCGGTTTTCGTCCTCAACATTATCTTCCCACTGTATTTCACTCATTACGCTTTCAACTCTAGTATGGCTAGGTAAAATAGACAACGCTTAACTGAAATCAATACACGTCACGGAACTCATTTTTGCGCCGTGACATGTAAATGAAACACTTGTTTGCCTGCGGGGTTAGTGAACGCTGGGTGACTTCCCGTAAGAATTTATAGAAACAAGCTTGTCTGTAAAAGTTTGATCGCTCGACATCGGCTAATTTACGGACAGAATCTGTAAACCGTAAGAACTCAGCAAGACGATGGACTGGGAACAACATCAATGATCCGGACGACAATTCCGGGAGCGAGCCATCTAGAAAATTGCCCGAATCAGACATTTAGTGCACTCCGACAATTTACAGAAATCTACAGAGGGGTAGCTACCCCTCCACAGATTGGCAGATTTACAGACCAGTGCGAGAGCAACCGTTTGACAGGCATTGACAGCTACCTTCCAAATCCAGCGCGGCTATTCGGCTAAGGCATGAGAAATTTGTCTGTAAAACCTTACGGGAAGTCACCTACTAGCTAGGCGTTGTATTCTAGGTTTGCGCGCAATGGACGGGCTCGCATTTCAATGGCTAGCTAGATATTATTATATTGGTAGTGACATACAATAGACAAGGTATGTTGCACAATTGAGGGGTTTACAAACAATAAATGACATAGACGATAATGCTCGAGGTATAATTAGACTCTGAGGTATAATCACATCTGAGTGAGGTGACGTTAGTAGTGTCAAAAATTGCCAAGTACAACAGTATGCTCACCAGCCAGCGCCAGAATGCCTCCATCTTGTTCTGTGGTGGGGGTTCGTCATATGTATCCGCCTCGATCTGAGCGAGATCGCTCTTGAAATCCATGTCCTCTGCAGCAACGGGTCCGGTGCGATAGTAGAAGCGAGCGCCGACGTACAGGATTGGCCAGGCAATTAGAAGGATGTAGTTAGTAACGAAGGTCGCAGTGTTCCAATTTCCTTTGAGGAAGACGCTCCATCCGCTGAACTAGAGAGTGAGACAATGGTCAGTCTAAATTGTATTATCGAGTATGAAAAGTTGACGTACGATGCAGATAGTGAGTGTTGAAATCACTCCATACCACGCTGCATACGGCTGGAGATTCGTCCAGTAAGGGAGGGTCTTGCGGTCGATGCCTTGGACCTTCATGCCCTTGTAGAAGCGGAGGTATGTCACCGAAATACCAAACCATGTCATAAGTCCAGCGACAGATGTCATGTTGGACAACCAGTCGAACACCTTGCCCGCACCCTGGGACACAGCCATAAAGGCGAGAAGCGAGAAGGAGGCGCAGAAGATGACAGCGACGTAAGGCAAACCCTGGCGCGTGGTTCTAAGGAAAATCTTAGGGGCATTTCCTGAAGCTGCAAGACCGTCTATAAAGTGCATTAGTATTGATGAGTTGGCTGCTAGATGCTTGTACGTACAAATCGCGCGAGACGAAGTATACAAGTCACTGGATGAGGCGGACCATGCTGAGGTCAGCAGACAAGCATTGATAATCTGTTTTAAAGAGCGATCAGCCATTTCTACGCAAAAGGGAAAAGTCATGTGGGTCTTACTGAAGGTAGGGATTTAATTCCCGCTGCTTCGATAGCAATGACGAAGGGAGACTTGGCGGTTCCACTTTTCAATTGGAGGGACGTGTTGTTGGATGGTACAAGAAGACCGATGACGAATGTTCCACCGATGTAGAAAAGCAAGATACGGATGTATACTCGACGGATGGCCTTGGGCAAGGTACGACGCGGGTTCTTTGCTTCTCCAGCAGCAATCTAGACGACACTCATGAGCGATCAATTCATTTCAGATCAAGCCAATGGAATCTAACTTACAGCGACAATCTCGGTTCCAATAAACGAGAAAGCAGCCTGCGTCATCACAGCCCACCAGCCAAGGAATCGGCCTTTGGAACCTTGAATGCCGTTATACTGAACAAATGGTCCAGGGTTCTTCCAGTAGCGGAATCCAAGGCGGTCATGGTTCGGGCCACCTCCCAAATCAATGATTATACCGAGAATAATAAGACCGGTGATCGTGACAACCTTGATGGATCTATAGTAATCTCAGAACACGAGGTCAGGATATTAGTAGTCGATACGCACGCAAATATGAATTCGGCCTCGCCATAAGCGCCAGCACCGAGCATATTAATGGTGACAACGACGACAAGGCACATGATAACCCATACTGAATCATTGACAGTGTTATTCCAAAAATTCATCAATAATGCGGCGGCGGAAAGCTCGGCTACACGGTGGCAAAGGTCAGCAGGTGCATTCCGTAAATGAATTAAACTCAGGTACCAGGTGCTAAAAAGCAAGAGGTGAGTAATCGTGAGAATGGAACGGGGAAGAATGGGACGTACAGACAATCGTCCAGTTATACCAGTAATTCCAACCCATGGCAAAAGAGAATGCAGGATCAACGAAACGCTCGGCCAGCTTGATGTGACCACCAGGTATGGGGAGGAAAGCAACCTGGGGAATAAAGATGAGACATACGAACTCTGGCTGGAAGGTGCAGCAAGCAAACCATTTCTCCCAAAGTGACCATAACACAATATACAATGGAGCCCATGACCATGTAGCCAAGCAACAGACCGACTGGACCTCCCCATGCCAGAGAGTTTGCTGTTCCGACGAAAAGACCAGTACCGATGACACCACCAATACTTGACAGAAGTGAGAATTCGCCCAAAGAAAAGAAAAGAAAGAAAGAAAAACAGACCTGATCATGGCGATGTGACGATTCTTGAGTTTACGTTGCAAAGTGTGAGGCTGGGGGCCCCGGATAGACTCTGCATCACGGTCTGAGACGTCAGAAAATTCGCCTTTCTGATAGGCAGTAGCGTCTGTTTTTTCGGCGCCCATTGTAGGGAACGCTCTTGAGCAAGAAAGTAGGGAGAAAGAGATAAGAGATCTCCTGCTCCCCTGGGGCTCATAAATATACGAGCGTCTGGAGCCGTGGCAGTGACTTCCTAACGGACGAATTGCTGTATCAATAGATGCCACGTCTAATGAACCTACCCGATTAGCCAAGCGGGATTAGGAAGGTAAGGTACCGCATGGTAGTTGTCAAGGGATTGCTGTCGAGTAGTACCTCCATGTACCTCTTTGTTCAGGCGGATCTGAGTGCTGTATACTGCAAGGGTATACGGATTAACTGAGTTCAGTTGTCGAACCAAACATGATATTTCTAGGCGGAAGTTGTGTTTCCCATCTCCTTCTATTTTTCTAGTTGCCGTTCAACTTTCTTGGCATGTACGTTAGCATTCGAGAGCATGTGATAATATATATTTAAGCCCCCCCCCCCCGCGTTTTCAGAATGCGAGGCGCCGCACCGAAAACGTCGCTCCATATGATAGAAGATACTGGCAATCACTAACCGATGCCAATGTGAAGGTTGAACAACTCAAGACTGAGATCAATGATGTTGTCAGCTTGGCCGGTGCCAACTTCGATCACGAAGGTGAAAACGACGGTGACAATCTGACAGCTCCTCTATAAAATATTGACGTAGCCTAACAACTCATATCTTACTTGTACTTCGTTACATACTCGTAATACGGTGAGAGCCTGTACTCCTCCTTTTAGGCGGTGTACACTCAAAGAGTAATCCGTAAACCACTCAGAACATGACAGACACACTTCCTTCCGTTCGGCCCGTAGAAGCAGTATGGTATGTATCTCCATCAGAAGCAGATCAGTGATTGTTGCTGCGCGTCTCGGTCCTTGAACAGTGTACATCCCCAGATCTGAGGCCTGCCATGGGGACCGTCAATAATCAAATTCACTCAAAAAATTTTGCTCATATTCTACTTTATCGATTGACTGTCATATCAAAATTAGCTATTGGAGACTATGGCACAGCTAAGACTTGGCAAACCCCTCGCACCACTGAGATAGATGTATTAGGTTGGTATGATAAGAAGGGGTGTGGAGACCATGATCCAGGGTGCGTCGGATCTTGCAAGCCTGGGCCTACCCCCGACCGTCCGCTCAAAGCCGGCAATGAACTTAAATGTACTGGTGGTGCCTTGCGGAAGAAAAGGCTATTTCTACTATACAGCAGCCTACAGGAGCCACAGCCTGCTACAGCACATCCGGTGGTACAAACTTGCCGGAGATTTGACCCTGACGCGGAACGCCAGTGTGCCTGGAAATGTATTATAGGGCTACATGTATACAGCATCATAGGAAAGGTACTTGGTCTTCGTGACATAGCACATGTTATCATAGGGGGGTCGCAGTCTTCGGTCTCTCGGACTTAAAGTTCCGCAATATTAATGAACGGCCGTCATATGCTAGTACCTACTCAAATTTTTAATCCCGGCAGCGGCGCGCTTGACCAACGATAGCCCACATACATGTAGGAGTCAACGTGTAGTCAACGTTCAACTTTAACTCGCAGGATCCACGGAAGTGGCATACATTCAATCTTGCGTCCGGGAATAATCGGGCTTGTTCGTAGGTTCCTATGTCCAAGAAGTTGGCGAGGTTACCATATGTAGTACCTGAGTTACATTTGTAACGCAGTAATTCGTTCAGCAGGTAGGAGGACGTTGTATTTTTAACCCATTCTTAAGGGGATTGACAGGGATCGACTCGTCATACTATCATCGCACGAAAAGTCATATTAATTTGACAGCTGTTGAAAATTGATTCCGACAAGCATGCCAAGGAGGAATGCTACTATCAACAGATACACAGAAGTCGAAAACCGAAAGTGGGTATGGATAAGGCAAACGCCAGGAAATGTTCCAACATAATTCAATGCGACCAACTCATCAAAGACCCCATCCAAAGGGACAGGCCGCGCCACGATGGTGGAGTGAAATCGATACCCGATGGAGGACATATATGCGAGCAATGCCCAGCCAGATGATGGCCGTGCGAAGGGCCGACGTTCGTCACTTGATTACTGGTATTTGATGACCCGGGATCTGATGCCTGGAACAGGGGTAGAAGAGCGGGTGTAGGTTTGATCAATCGACCCTTGGTGCGGGCCTTCTTGCGAGGTGGAGGAATAGTGCTTCGTGAATCAGCGACCGGCACCGCAGGATTAGGGGAGTTTGTCGGAGGCAGGAAGCTCTGAGCGAGATCATCGACTCTTCTTCTCTTCAGTACTGCTCTTTGGGGCAAGAGTACAACAACCTGTTTGCGGGCATTCTGGATGTGCTCGTATTCTGCCCGCTGCAAGATCCTGGGTCCTTCTGGTATATCTTTCTGCTCGTTCATGTGGAGCAACGCAGAAAATGTGCGATCTCCTGCCGCCATTGGGATACCTGACAAGTTTGGGGCATTTGCACAGGTCGCGATGTACGCGTTCTTGAGGTCCTTCAGGCTGAGATAGCGCTCGCGCTGATGTGACTTCTCTATGTGGTGGACGTATGGTGAGTACCCGTCCCGCTCCCGCTCTCTAACTAGATTGCCTCGTGCTATGCCTCTGCGTTTCTTGACTAGAAGAAGATGACGGATCGCATTTGCGGGTGAAACCTCGCCCTTCTCGACCAGTTCAGCATGGGGAAGCCCAGCCTCACGACAAAGTGCAATGTTTTCTTGCCGAATACGCGCGGCAGTCTGGGAGAGGGGTCTGACACGGACGGGAGGTACAGGAACTTCAACATTCTCCGGGAGATCCGAATACCACATGTGTACATGGTCACGAGAATTGATCCAGGGCGTTGCTGGCATTGGATAGCTATTGGAGACACTAGCAGATGGTAAAGGTTCCGATTCATGACGAACGCGTTTTGAAGGTTGAGATCCGAACGAAGCATGAGAAGCGTGGAGAGAGGGGGAGGGGGAAGGTTCTCTAGAACGCTTGCGCCTCGGAGATGATGATGATGGTGATGATGATTCCTGTACTGCGCCTGAAGAGAGACCGACCGCGCTCTCCGGCGCGATAGATGATGCCGACGGTCCCGCTCTAGATCCTGCTGTGCACCCAACCGAAGGTGGTGTTTGGGAAAGAGCCTGGTCAGGACAGGAGTCTGCCAGAGACTCGAGGAATGTCCGAATAGCAACCTTCACATCTTCTTCGCTCTGTCCAGGAACAACGATGCGTGCTGGGGAAGCATCTGAACCCCTGATCCAGGTGTCCTGCAAGTCGTGAGGGTGGACAGGTGGTTCTATTTTTTCGTCCTCAGGCTCCTCCTCATAAGGCGGGATGTATCCCGTGCGAGTTCCTTGGGTTCGACGCTTCCATAGCTCATCTTTCCGTTTATTTCGCTTAGTACGCTGTACGAAATCTTCCGTCTTCTGGCATTCACGCGTACGAGCACCATTGAGGTCAAGCTTGAATGCGAGTAAGCGTTTCTCGAAACGGAACTCTTCCTCCTCCGCCTTCTCTAAGCCTATGGACTCGTCGGGATTAGTGCTTCGGCTGAGCTGGAAATCGATGAGTGTAACGGCACCATCCCCGCCGATAAGAACGTGACGAAGCTCGATATCTCCGTGGAGGATACCACGCGAATGCAGCATTTCAAGCCCCTCCATAGCACGCTCCTTGAGGACGTCGGGCATGGTTGGAGAGGCCTCCATCCAAAAACTCTGATGGGGTAATTCCATAGCAATGCTAATCGCGCCTGGGAGAATGTGGACACCGATGATGTGAGGAACAATGACGCCTTGTAGGGGCTTAAGGTATTGTTCTGAGCTGTAAAGAGCCATCTGAAAGATAGATAGATGATCAGTATGCGAATAACTCGCGTGGTACACACGCACCTCAGAACGAAAGCCGATCCAATCCGCTTGCTTGTCTAGATTCCATCTACGTATGCGAATATTTAGTAAACGATAACGTTTACATAGTAAAAATGCTTTCTTACCGTCGGCTGATAAAAGTGATCTTTCGTCCAGCCATAATACCGGTTTGTATGTAGGCTGAGCACATTGAGCCCTCTAAACCATTGTGAGTGAGGAAGCAAAAGAACTCTACGACAAACTCACGCCGTAGTGATAACAATATCTCTGTTTGTTGAATGTCCTCGCCAGCTGCCCATGCCCATGGACCATGTGGTATATATATCGGCACGTCCTTAGCAAAGTTTTCACGCGATGAAAACCCGCTCTGCAAAGTAGAAAACCCCTCTCGTGGCGGTGAGTCTGCAGAATCCTCGTCCGTATCGCCCCAGTCTACCATTGCTGCACACCTCTCCACATCTTCTTGCCGTGGCTGTGTACGCCGCCAAGGGGTCAGGCAAGCTGGAGAACGATAGGGCGCAGTAAGAATCTCGAAAAACTGTGAGGTGTGGTCGATGCATGATGGCACGTTGTAGTCGCGTGGAAAGATGGATGGTGCAGCATATGTAGGGAGTCCGTTTACTGACTTGTCATCATTGCAGCTTGGACTTATAGACGGTGTCCGAGAGTGTAGCAAGGTTGAGTCCGCCGCCGATTGTGATGTTTGCTGTCGTTCTGAGGTCATCATGGAAATGAAGCAAGTTGGTGAAGTTAAATGCAAGGAGGGGGGGAGGCGGAGCAATGATACTGGAGAGAGAAATAAGTAGTTCGCATTGTCCAGTTATGCTCCGGCCTTATAATATGCTGTTAAAGCGTGTTAGGGCCACAGCGTGAAGCGTGCCGACACGCTTCGATGACATTGTCCGTGGTTGGTCTGTGGCTTCGACCATCCTTAACACCTTCCTTTTCCGGACAAGGGGATTGTTCAACATAGTGACTGCCCTTGTTCTTCAGCGGACAAAATGAATTTATGGACAAAACTACAGTGACTATAGGTACAAAATATACAAAATACAGAATACATGCCTGTACAATAATATGTATGAGGTACAAACCCATAAAACAAGATTGCGTGCCATCCAGTACACTTGCGCATAAATACAGTGAGTTGCAATGCTAGGTTCTGTGACAGATACTCAGCCAACAGGGGAAGAGTCATGATGTGAACGCCCATCCACCAGGCATGCTTAGTTCACGGGATTTTTTGGACATCAGGAGACGTTCAACGCTCGGATCGACCAACGTGCTCAATTCCTTCCAGGACATGACAAGCGCCTGCGATGGCAGCCGCGGAAGAGAGTAAAATGGATGTGGTGTTGGGCTGAGGTCTATCGTGGATACAGGTGATGGCGTCGTCTTCGGCACAGGTGCTTTGACAGGTTTGTTATCGGTGGCGTCGGGAGGTACCACTGTACGGAAAATGCGCAGTTCATGGCAAAGCGCGTCAGGTGATCCATCTAGAATGTGAGCATCACTATCCGCCACACCGCAGACCCTTTCATCATCCCCGGGACGTAAGTCCAGCCAACTACCCATCGTCTCATATTCTTCCAGCGACATCCCAGGGAGCTCGCATGAATTGTCGGAGGTAGTCTGTCGTTCAGCTAGCCATGTAGCTAGGGTGACAGAATCCGATGATACAAGACTGCCCAACGAGACTCGTGAACCCAAAGTGTCCTCAGTCTGGCAGCTCGGGGAAATTGAGGATGGATTCTCCGCGAACACCATGTAGTCACCCGCAGATGGGTCCGGATCTTCACCTGCAATTCGTCGTATTTACGCCCGCACGCCGACGGGAGAGTTTAGGGACCTTTCCAATGCGCGAGACAACGCTTCTGACACTCCTTAGGCCACTTCTAACCGTTCGCTTGAAACTCTTCCACGAACTGGAACGCTTTTCCATATTCGTCTGCATTTCTGTGGTAGATTGCGAGTCCCATGGCTCTGGTGCGACAGCTCCACTACGTGAGCAAAGAGGTGAGATGGGCGATTCCGGTGTCGATCGATGAAGAATGCGATGTCGTATATTAGATGGCCATGGAACATAAGGACTATTCGGATGGTGAAAGGCAGGGGATCCAGTGTGGTCCTTCATAAACCTTCGTGTTCTTGGTTTTTCGAATGACCACTCGTCGAGTGGACGAGACGTGGCTAGATGAATAGCGGAACAAGATAGAGGCTGGGAGGGAATGAGAAGACTTGTTACGACACTGGTTTGCAGGCGAAGATGTTAACGAATGTGTGGTTGAAAAATTGAGGAAGGAAGGTAGCTGCAGTGTGGATGCAGATGGCAGAGGAGGAAGGGGGCGGAATGACTCAATATTGTGCTGTGAGCGGGTGACACGAGTAACGGGTTGGTCAGGAGGAATAAGATTCTGTTGCTCCTCGCGGGTCTTCTCAACAACGGCGGGCTTTTCCAAGGACTTGCACTGTATCCTTGAGGGAGCGTAGGGCACCTGGATTATCAGCTCAGTAAGATTCAAAGGCCAGCCTGCGGGCATGTTTTTTATTACATACAGCATTATTCACCAGCGTCTTGTCCGCGAGGGGTGGGCGACATGCTCGCTGTGCCTTGCGCTTTTTGACCTTCCTGACCTTAAGGTACGGCTCCCCATCGAGAGCACAATTTGATACTGCAGAAGCAACTTTAGAAGGAGCGCTGATCTTCAAGACCATGTCGTCGAGTCCAGCAAGACGTCCGGAATAGTGAAACATGAAGGAATGACGGGAGGTAACGAGCGTAGGGTCCGGAATCAGAATACTGAGAGAAGATTAGGAAAAAGAAAACGAAATGTATGGGGGCGCTAGTTGTTCATCACAGCATCCTGAACCGAATACTTAACAAAGAATACAAGGTCTAGCTAACCAAACAACGCGTACACAAAAGAACATAGGAGACAAAAGGATAAAAAACAATCTACACCATCTATGGAAATTAACAATCGCCTCCGTTGAACTATGTACACACGCAGCAGAAAAATTCGGAGACGAACCAATTTGAACTATGTTATCTTGCGAATGACAATGCAGTCCGCTAAAATCTGCTGTAACGTGATCGCGTGAGTGAGTGTATATATATACGACTTCGAGGACTCATGAGGCCTTCCTGTCGTGCTTCCACGCCTATGAGTGTTTTACGTCAATATCGCCAACTGCATGCAAGACTTGTTACAGCTATACATACCTCGAAAAAACGACGTCTATCAGTCACGCTTATGCTCCTGCAGCTTGTGAGGTTCAATGACCGTAGTTTAGAGCAGGTGTCGATAACAGAAAAGAGACCAGCACCTGCAGTACGTGAACCGCAAGTCAAACCGCAAGAAAACACGTCCCCTTACTATTTATTTTGGTACTCGCTAGTTCAAGTACCACAAGTTCTGAACAACATGCCAGATAAGGCGCGGCTTCGCCGTCCACACCAGTGTTGTTGAGAATGAGCTGTTCCAGCCTGGGTGGTCGATTTTCGGCGTCTTGCGGTAAGAGACCAATGAGATGAAGGGACCGTAGATAATGCACACCTGCCAAGTTGAGGTGCTGATGCAGACCTCAGACAGGACATAACTCAAAAACAAGCTGTGGAACCGACCTTGCATTTCCTTCCGACGCATCGAATGAAGTACTCGAGGGCTCCACCACCACGGGAATTAAATCCTAATTTTGTGTTACCGACCAAACTGATCTTTTCGAGTTGCTCGAGATCCTTCAACACGTCTGTCAATGACTCCAGCGTTTGGTCCGTCATCGTCATCGCAGAGGTATTCCCAATAGATACCGAAGAGCCTTGCCCACCGCCAAGGGCCCCGAGAGCAAGAGATTTGAGGTGAGGAAGACTAGAGATGAGCGCCACAACATCAACGCTGCAGATCGCAGTGGATGTCAAGGAAAGCTTTTCAATTCTCGCGTCTGCTAATGCAACCGGCAGAGGTCGGTGGATGTGCGTGAAGGAGAGGTCCAGCCGTGTGAGGTTCGGACAGCGGGCCAAAAAGGAATAAATCGAGCTTTCGGGAAGGCCCAATTGACGCAATTTCAACGTATGTATATTCCTTAGTATAAAAGTCTCGTCTTGGAATACTGCAGAAGATAATTTGGCATAGGTTGCATCCGTCTAGGCAGTGAATGCATGCAATTAATCAATTGTTTAGAAAAATTTAAGCTACTTACCCAGTTCGGTATCCCGGCAAGCTTCAGCACCTTAAGGTCAGGACAAGTTTTAAGGAGTGCCACGAGTGCCACAGGCGGGACAGCAGTATAATTGAAGTTCACTGTCGAAAGCAAGTGACAAGACCGCGCGGCAGCTTCCGCAGTGGCGGAGCCCACTTTGGCGCAACCACTGCAGAGAATCAGGCTTTTCGACCCGTAGTCGTGAATTGCACTCACCGAAGAACCAAGACTCGGAGGGACGGCATGGAAGGCAGTATGGTTGCGAAGACAGAATCAGCTAATTTGACGAATCCCGTAAGGTGCAGCTCATGCAGCGAATTGCCAGCTCCAGCAAGCGCCAAAATGGTGCTTTTGTTTATTGCTGGGACGTCACTGGTGAGTACGATTGACGGGCCTCGTAAAAAGTACTGACAGAACTTGATGAGCTAACATTTTATGGAGCAAGAGATATGCCTACAGAAGTTATCATTGCGTTGGTAAGTAATTGTGGACAGGAGGATCTCAGCATAGCGAACAGTTTGGGCACCAAATTGTCAGGCAATAGTTTTAGCCACTTGAACGTGTTTTCCCAATCATCACGAGTTTCGTGTAGTGCCTGCAAGTTTGCGACAAACGAGCGTGCACATAACGCGGAAAGGTTAGGTATCGTGCCAGTTGATGGCAAAGAGCGAGTGGAAAAGCCAGATGCTGTTGAGATGCTAGATGCTAGATTGACTCGATCATCCTCGGTTTCTGCGCCAAAGGCAGGGACTCCTCCCTTTCGTCGTTTCGCCAGTCGTTGGGAGGGTTCCGCCTTCCGTTTCGACATGAGACGAACAAATCAAAGACTCGAAAACGTCGCATCCGTTTTAAGTAATTATCCCATATAAGTGGTACACCCGTAGAGTTGAGACACTAAAACTTCATATGGAGATTGTCTGGGGATGCTTAATACTATCCAAATACCAGTACCCAACACGCTCGTCAACAAGTACTGATTACGCCAGACCCCAAAGCCAGAAACTAGAAATCACAGCTCCAATTAATCCTACACTGATTCTCCATAGCACCCTCTCCACTGACTTCATGTACGATGTTACTGGATGCCCGAGCCCAGAAAGGACCACGCAAGGCACTCGCACAAGAAGTTGGATCATGTTGAAGGGAACTGGAAAGTAATAATGTTCATACTGGACGAGAGCTTGCACAAATGACCTGCGTGCGTGTAACCCGATTTCTCGCGAGTAACAATCCCATCTGCTTTTTGAAGCGGTTGATGATGCCAAGGTCGGGAACATCGCAAAAGTCATGCCAAGTCCACCCAGTAGTAAAACAATGACAGTGATGAAAAGGACGAAGAATGAGAATCGGCTGTCCATCGGAGTTACTTCTAGAAAATTTGGTAACACTGACAGGGAAGTGTCAACGAGCGAGGCGGATACGAGGAATGCCGCGAGCAATAGGACCGGAAAGAAAAATAGGGTGACCGGCATGAAGATGCGAGTTGCTCCGTGCCAAAGCAACGTAGAGAGAGGTATGACATTCTCGGGCTTCACTGCGACGGGTAAGCTGGGAGAGTAAGGCAGATGAAGGAGAAGCAGCTGGAGTAGCAGGGCAATGTGAAGTACAGAGAACGAGACATCTCCAGGTATAGGGACGGATGGAAGAGTCGAAATGAATGCAGGGAATACAAGCATCGCTGGCAGAGTATGTATTGACCACCGTCGAGCGAGGGATGCAGCAGACACGAAAGTGAGAAATATCTCTCGAGTGCCCTGCTCATTATGTCCCAGAGTTATGTGGAAGTGTGGTGGATATAGCAAATAGTGGATAAGTGAACCCATAAAGGCCAGTCGGCCCAAGATATCAATGAAATGCAGAACCCTGTGAATGGTATGAGGATTGTACATCGCGATTCGTATCTGCAACCACACACCTGGGTGTCGAAAGTGCGTCGAAGTGCCCAATTACGCTCAAGCCGTGATGCTGAGCGGATTCAGCTTTCGTGCCGTACTTCCAGGACTTAATGACCACGGCTTCGACGATGGGGTGTGTGAGAAGCTCCGGAGGAGTGTATTCCTTCGTCAATATATCAATTACTACTCAAAGATAAGTTGCGAATCGATCGTTCGATAAATTGCGCTCGCCTCTGGTAGTTGCATTCCCCGTATCTTCTAGCGGAAAAGCTGTCCAGAATACAGTTTGGATAGCAGAAGAACTGCTGTGGTTCATGAGGAACTGATCCAACATCTCACTAGCACGTCGTCCAGTGTGCTCAGCAGCAGCCGAGGCGGCTCTGGCATGCTGCCAGTTTTCCCAGATGTCTGACGATGTGTTCAGAGCATCGTACTGTGATTCATTGTAATGTAGTTGGACGAGCAACAGAAATCCAATCCGCTCTGCATCAGATGAAAACGCATATTGCGAATCCAGAGTATCACCGTCAGTCGAGCCTCCCAACCGGTACTGACGCACCGCAGGAAGAACAGTGGGACGATCCTCCGAGAAACTTGTATGTGACGCTGATAGCAAAGGGGTAGCTTCGTCGACCTGCAATGTTCCGTTCATGGCCACGGCGTATCACGTATCAAGTTGTTGTTCACAACAAACACAACCATACGTTGACCATACGTGCCCTATAGCTACAGAGTCCAGACTCCTCTCGAGCTTCACCCACAATGAGCACGAATACACCATTGCTGCAGACCATTGAACCTGATGATCCTTCAACAGCGCAGGCTTCATCTAGAAACACTACATCCAATGTCCGACCTGCGGTAGTCTTGACACCTAATAATATGGCCTCCACTCCAGCCGATGCAGAATCAGGTTCGCATGTCTGTAGAATCTTCTTGCCCTGTCTTTAACAATGGCTTGCAGGCATTGCTGGGATATTGAGACAGGTCTGAATCCACAGCACCATGTTGACTCCTCCGACTGATCTTCCAGTGCAATTAGTCTGCACATCCTGCGGTCTTATTTTGCCTCTATTTCTTTAGGATATCCGCCATCGCTGTGTATATCTTATGTGGATTGTTAACAAGCAGCTATGTTCTTTCCGTGAGTGGTAGATCTTTTGACTGTCTCTTTGGTTTCTTACCGGCTGCGCGCAGACGGTGGCGGTTGTTGTCCTACTTGCAATGGACTTCTGGAATTGTAGAGTAAGCTTTTGCAAGGGTCATTCTTTAACAACCGACTAAGGTGTGCAAAGAACGTTGCTGGGCGCACTCTTGTTGGCCTGCGTTTCTGGAACCAGGTAGACGACGATGGAGAGAGCTATTGGGTGTTTGAGAGCAGAGACGTGCGATATAATTTAGATATTCTGCTGCTAATGTCTCATTCCTTGCTGTCAGCCATCAAGACCAGCAAACCCAGTGGATGCTAAGTGCGTCTCACTTCATTAGCAAAGTTTAAGTCTAGCCTGACCATGACGTGGATAGGATGTTCTGGGTAAGTCAGAACTTCTAATATGCAAGCTTGTCACCTGCACACGCGACTTTTTGCAGATAGCTCTTTACGCGTTTCCAGCACTCTGGCTACTGCTCTTCATAGCCTCCATCATCCGTTTCAACTCGTGAGTTGAAAGAAATGCTTCACTCAGCTTGTTGCTTACCTGGCCAGATTTATACCCATCGTGATTCTAGCGCTTGTATTCAATGTTACTAATGCCGTTGGATTCACTTATGCGTCAGTGTTATTCTTTTTGTGTGTTGCATTTGTTGATACTCACAAACCTCACTTTCAGAGATAGGGATGCAAAACAAAGATGGGCCAATAGTATTGCATCTTCTGGATGGAATATGGGAATGGGGGGCATAGGGGGGCAGATTCTGGGTGGCGCCATGAAGAACAGTATCGGGAGATTGTTTGGATGAATGGGCGATTGAAGGATCATTCATCATACTTGATTCGGAGGTTGCGAGACTAATGTTACAAAAGTGCGAAAAGTTGCAATAATAAATGCTGACAGTCCAAAATGAAAGCAATGAACACGAAGATGAAAACAAGGACGAAGACGAAGACGAAATGCGAATAACGGCCTACGTAACAGAACAAGATGGATGGTTGATATAACATGTGTCACTTATGACCCATTCATACATAGCTGATGCTAGGTCACAGACCTGTCGTTTACTCCAATCCGACCCAACCTCGTGCATCGACACGGGAATAAGCAGTTGTCGGTGCCACCGAAGTCCCGACGCCAATGAAAGATCTCATGCGACCATGAGAGCGGGAGGTGGATACTCGAGGGGTGGGTTGCGATGGGAATGGGTAGGCAATGTTCTGTACATTGGATGTTACAGTCATAGTGGACGGCGTGCGCGATGTGGTCGTGAGATGCGTGGGTGAAGGTGGGAAGACAAACAGAGTCTGAGAGGGTGTCGCAGTGATGGTCTGTCGTGACGGCGTGATTTTGGGAGGGAATGCAAATTGACTGGTATTTCCGCGGAGTTTGAGCGGGGGTGGCGCTGGTTTGCGAGCTGGCGTCCGGCGGCGAGTACGAGGTGTTTCTTGATTGTCTTGTACAGCAATAGGTGTGATGGGGGAGGGGGGAACCGGAGGTAGTAGGCCTAACGGTGGCGGTCGCCGCTTGCCCTTGCCCGCAGGGATGATGAAAGTCGATTGCACCGCCGTAGCTGGAGGTGGATGAATATTGAATGCAAGTTTCGTTGCAGGTGCGGAAGGCACGGCATCAAGCGATTTGCATCGTAGTGGTGGGCGATGGGGTGGAGCTTTACAAGACGAAGGTTGAGTACTAGGTTCGCTTGCGCCAGGTGATTCGCTGGACAATGACAAACACGGACTTCTTCGGGGTTCTGTAGCTTCATCGAAGCCTCCACCAATCCCTAAGAGCTCTTGCTCCTCGTCCGCTTCAACTAGATCCTCACTCAGCACGCTGCCAGTGGTATGGATGCTGGCGACTGAACCAGTTCGCTTGCGCCCGTATCGGCTGCGCCATGCCGGACCCATGCCGACCCCCGATGACGAGGCGACGGAGGACACAGAAGGTTTCCTTGCTATTATGCGTTCTTCCATAGCCCGGTCGAGGTCTTTAGCCTCCTGTTGGATAATATCGTCTCGGTCATCCATTTCATCATTACCGTACGCGTTACGGCGGCGACCCCACTCCTTTTCTTCTTCACTCATGAAAGAAGACTTGTCTGATTCAGCGGGCGAGGGACCGCCGCCTTTCAGGGCCTTTTCATATTCCAATAATTGGTAAATGAGACTAGAATTAAAACCGCATTGAAATCGAAGATGATGTGGCGAGAATCGAGGCTTGCTTACGACATATTTGGGCCAACATGCTTACTTTTCTCTTTTACAAATGAGTATGCGGCTTGCATGCCTTTCAGCTGCCACACCTCAGGGGGTACGTTAGGTAAACACATGGCCGCGGCACGCATCACAAGGGCGATGACCAGCGTAGCTGAGCGAGAGATGCCACATTGGCAACTACACATGACATGAGGGCCATCGATCCAACAGGACTACGAAACTACGCACTGAATGAGTATGCCTTCATGGCGATCGAGGGCAGCATCTACGAAAGCCATAGCTGTCGGAAACCCTTCCTGAACAAGATCTGCCTGTCCATGAGACCAAGGCAACTTCAAGTAATGCATGCCTGGACGCCCAGAGGGAATATGAGGAGGGTAATATGTCGAACTCAATTGCATTGCCTTAGAAGAAGTAAGATTGGGAGTAGATGCGAAGGGTCGAAGGGGTTGCGCAGCAGAAGAATCAAAGGGTGATGTGACTTCCTTTGCAACATTGAGGATCGCTCTGATCCGGCGCTCCAGGAGGCCTGACCAATCTCGTGCGTTGTCCTCAGAACCAAGCCAGATCCCGGGAAGAATTTGGATGGGACCATTCACATATGGAGCGGTGGGAGACCCATCCTCATCTGTTCGGTGGAGGACAGTCGTGATAGCAGTACTTGGCAAGGAGAGAACAGAGGGCCGTCTCGGGCGAATAGCCTGGTAAATGTCTTGCTGTGGGTCAACCGCACTCGAGGGATCAGAAAGCGGTGAGACGAGAGAATTTGTGGAAGATTGGGCCGATGGAAGATTAATTGAGAGATTTTTCATGTTTCTGAGTGACCTTGGTTTTTTAGGTGTAGTAAGCTGAGGGCTTGATGCGGAATCGGAAGCGGAAGAAGAGGAGGTAGATGGGGAGCTAGGCTCGTCCGTTGCGAGGACTATAAGGGGACTGTGTTCAGCAGGAGTGTCAATGCGGAGGGCTGTGAGGGGACATCTTTTGCGTGACATGGATGGCGCCTGGACCAACTGCGGTAAATATTGATTTTCGGGGGATTGCATAACAGGAGTTGAAGATATGAATTACACGACCAGCGTGTCACCTTGCCTGCAGGCGATAAGATTGATCAAGAAGTACAGGAAGATCTCCGTGATTCCTGAAAACTAGCTCAACCTATAATGAAAAGAAAAAATATAATTTTCAGTAAATCAGAACGAAACGTTGATAAATCACAGAAGAAGAAAAGAAAATAAGAAAACCCTCGGTGAAAGACGGAGGGGGGGGGGAGGGAGAAGCTTGCAAGGGTAAGTGGTGTGTAACTTTTGGAGTATCACCATCTACTTACATAATCATAATCAACTCTTTGTACTTGTTGGGTTTCCGGTTCTTCGCAGCGTGTGGTCGCAGTATCCACAGCCCGTCACCATAATATTAAAATATTCTTGGGAACGTGGTGTACGCCCTTCCGATCGCTTATGTTCTTGCTCCGGGTCCGCTCCATTTAATTTTACAAGATAACGTCGTTCATGCATTCAGTTCCGAACTTCTTCTACTGACCGGGATCAGGTCTTGTATGCAAAGGTGACTCAGCTCCCCGAAGCTCAATACACTTTGTAAAGTCCGTCAGCGCTACTCTAGTTCTGACTACGCATCGATCCGATCCTATTGGCAATACCCAAGACGCGTTATCACCCAATCTGTTTTCGCTTTGGAGCGCTTTCAGTTAAGACGAGGCTCCCCGATAAACACCTAAAATGGGAAGCCCAAAGGTCAACATCGCCTCAGTCTCTTTGGCACTGCTCGAAGTACCCTTCACTTCTGTCTCAATCAATAATCCGATTCATTGCAGTCGAATGCATCGGAATTGATGGAGAAATGAGTTGAGGCTGTCTGTCAACTTGTCTGTCACCTGCCGTAGCCTGAGTTTCAAGTCTGCCACACTACGGTCAATAACCTGTTATCGTCATGGCGCTTTGGGCAGCAGCGCAGGGTGATTCATGATTATCAATCACATGCTACGAACATCTTCGATGCTCCACTTCTCCTCGTGCAAGTTCCCTGAGGGACAAATTTCCCATCGCCCAGACTCTCGAACTCGCCGCAAGGAAATTTAACTAGGACACCATCGCAACTCTTACGATCAAGATCAAGAACATGCATTTTTTTTAAGGCGGAAGACGTCGCACGCACTTCGAAACTTCCTCCGTCATCATTGAAGTCAACTTTCGCTCCCGGCATTCTCTGACCTCACCGTGACTTGCCGCCAGGCACGCGTCCTCATAGTCCCGCCGCTACCCGCAGGATGCTCCTGGTTTCCACTCCAAGTTCATATCAGCATCGACATTATTAAGTTATCATCCTATGCCTCGTGTGTTCTCGTCCTACGCCGCCCTACTTTTTCTCATGTTCAAGTTCATTCGGACCGCACTCGAGTCACAGCGTTTAACCAACAATCTAAGAATCGCTATTCCTACTAAGTAAGTTTATATTGGAAGATAATGCACAGACGTGACAAGTGTTATGAACATTTAGGGCCTTCAGGGTTGCTTCTCATTAGTCCTTCGTGTCACTAGTACCCTTCGACACAGGCTGCAAACTTTCTCTTGGTACATGGTTTCTTCGGCGCACAAGCTACTTATTAATCATATTTAGTGGCAACCACCACGTCGGGTTCCGAGGCTCGGGACGAGTCTAGTTTAGTTTGCAGACAGAGTGACAAGGCTGAGACAGGCTGAGCCTTTCAGCTTAGCCATGTTACCATACATACGTGTCGATGCGGCTTTTGCCTTTTATGTAACAATATCTGCGTTTTACTCAAATTCGAACGCGAAACTTTAAAATGAACTGCCAGCAAGCGCTATTCGTTATCACTTTCCTTTCGACGTTGTCTGTCCTTATATTCGGCTTTCATTGGCTGCGAGCAAAGCTAAGGGAAGCTGGTTACGACGTCTCACGACTGATACTCATTGGATTGGAACCAAAAATCAATACCTCTCAGTTCTCTGACGATACCAGCAGGACTCGGATGGCGTTCGGAATCGACAGTTCGTACACACAATTGGTCGCTTTGGCACTGGCCTTGGCCAGCACCGCGTTCATTTTCGTCAAGTTTGGGTCTTCGTCGAGTACGTTCTCGGTCTGAATGACTGTTTCATATTCTCTGGCACGTCTTTCTGCTAACCCGTCGCTACTGTAGAACGGAAGCCAGTACTGAACCCCCAAGTCTGGCAAGAGTTCTCACTCAAAGAAAAGATCGTGATATCGCCCAATACCGCCATGTGCGTTCAATTTCGATTGCGTGTCTTTCATGCTAACCATGAATAATCGCTGCGGCCGCATAGCTACCGATTTGCCCTGCCTCACCCGCAGGATGTCCTCGGCCTGCCCATTGGCCAGCACATTTCGGTTTCTGCAGAAATCAACGGAAAGGACATCATGCGTAGCTATACTCCGACTAGCAGTGATGACGACCTCGGCCACTTCGACCTTCTCATCAAGGTAAGTCGCCGTTTTCGCTGGGAACTCTTGCTTGACGACCAATTGTTATTCGCGGCTGCAGGCTTATGAAAAGGGCAACATTTCCCGCTATGTCTCTCTTCTTAAGATCGGCGACAAGGTCCGCATTCGTGGCCCGAAGGGTGCCTTCAAGTATACCCCCACTCTGTCTCGCGAGATCGGTATGATTGCGGGTGGTACCGGCATTACGCCCATGCTACAGATCATCCGTGCTGCCTTGAAGAACCCCGAAGACAAGACGAAGCTCAGTCTCATCTACGCGAATGTTAACGTTGAGGACATTCTTCTCAAGAAGGAGCTTGATGCTCTTGCTGCGTCTCATCCCAAGCGTTTCAAGGTTTACTATCTGCTCAACAATGCTCCGCAAGGTTGGACCGGTGGCGTGGGTTTCGTATCCAAGGATCAGATCGAAACACACCTGCCTTCGTCAAGTCATGATATCAAAGTTCTTATGTGCGGTCAGTCTGGCCTTCGTTCTTACATGTTACCAGTAGCTGATGATTATTACGCAGGCCCACCGCCGATGATAACTGCCATGAAGTGAGAGGAATTGATGTTTGAATGTGACCAACGTATTGACAGACACTTGCCAGAAAACATCTTGCGGAGCTCAACTACCCTGCTCCTCGGACAATCAGCAAACTAGAGGATCAGGTAATTTAGCGCCATTCGATCAACAACATTCCATCCGCTGACCGTCACTTCGCAGGTCTTCGCGTTCTAGATAGAATTCAGTTTGCCGTAGATTTGCGTACTCAGTCTCATAGACTTAGCCTTCCGGTTTGACATGTTGCAATAGACACCCTTGACGTTCAATTTAGAAGCAAACACCTAGTGGATTTGCGGTCGATCTCCAAGTCACGGACGCTCAATCACTGCATAACCAGACAGGACGTCAACACGAATCTGAACTTTATATGCATTCACAAACTAAGGTGGCTCAAGATGAGAGTTAGTACCACGATAATGGTTGGTGGTGGGAAGTGGGCTGCCTCTAAACGCCACCCCTCCCTACCGAAGCCCGGTTTGGCTGCCCTGCCCCGGGCCAAGTAACTTAGCGGAGTATCACCTTCCCCTTCCCCCACATCCATGCACTGCCAACGTCTCACAAGTTTGACTGCTCACCGCTCTTCACAGCTCTTCTTCAATGCCAACGCTACCAGCTGTGGGCGCCTGCAGCAGTACCCCAGTACCCCAGTACCCCAGTACCGCCCCCACTCCCCAGCAACCACTGGACTTCCCAACGCCCTCTTTGTTGTCCGCACCAGTGCTGCCAGATCAGGATGAGGTTTTGTCCGTAGCTCTCTTCAAGATGAAGTAAACTACTGAGTTGTACTTGGGGTACCATGAACAACCCTGCCATCGCCGCCTCCACTTACTTCAATAATTCGCAATGCCAGGCTACCCAAGGACACAGGCACTATCTCGGGAATGAAGGTCTTCCACGTCATCAGCGAGCGCACGGCCGCTGCTGTCGCCGCCTACAGTCTCGACAGGCTACCCAAGGACAATGAAAGCCCTCCATATTATCAGCGAGCTCACGGCTGCTGCCATCACCTACAGTCTTGAAAAGAAAGTCGTTGGCAAGCCAGTAAGTGGATTCCCTCTAACCACCTCCCCTGCATACCCAGCTCGTCCTGCCCCGAGCTGCGTAGCGGAGTACTAATCTCCCATTCCCCAACTCCACAAATTTTGACCTGCGTTTGATAGGGACTAATACTTCTTTTGCAGCTTTTAGCCCCCTGGCCCCTCTAGTGGCCCTGTGCCGGTGTGCCTGTGTACTTCAATGGTTTACAACACGCTACCAAGGAAGCTGATAAACCGGGCATTGGAAATGTTGTGGGAGAGGGGGATCCAGAGTCGGACGATGATCAAGATGATGATCAGGACCTTATAGGTAGTAGCCAATGAAGGCGAAGAACTTGACAACGATGTGCCAGCTGAGGAAGGTTGAAAACTCAAGTCTGTATTTCGGTGAGTTAGGGCTGTTTACTTCTAATTAGACATTTGGTTTGCCTTGGGCACAGAATGTAATGACACGACATCACTTCTCAAGAAGCTGGTGTTTTATTTCAGTATTAATGGCAAAATCAGGGCGGGACAAGCACTGCCAGAACGTAACAGAATGAGAGCAGTGATCACGCATGATTCTGCATGTTACAATGTGTATTAGTTACCTGCTCTAAGCAACATAAACTCATGCCCTTCGTTTGTATGTGCATGCCTCGAAAAAGATATTTTACCATTACGAATTCGCACTTTTTCGCCCGCTCAAATACCTGCATGCCCTCCCTAACAGTCCTTGGTTTTCCATGATATGTTTGTACGTGGTGATGAAACGTTGAGTAAATCAGCGAGGCGTGGATTGTGAGGTGGACTGGTTTGCAAGAGAATGTTAAAGTACGAATGGATAGATATATGCGGGGGAATGTGTACATTAATAAGGCTGCGCTCCTTGTGCAGGCCAAGGGTAGCAAAGATGTCGGCTGGAGTGTCGCATATATGATCTTGCAGTTCCAGGTGATATTAGCCAGTTGGCGTGAGTCGGGTGAGAGAATACTAATGCGATAGGGGTTTCGAACGTCGTCGAATGAAGCGAGGAGCTGGCGGTAATCAAAGGCCCAGAGCTTGATGGCGGAGTCTTCGGAAGTGCTAGACCAAATATGAAATCGGTGCGTCGAACTCGCATAAGGGGGAGTCATTTATTTGGAAAACTGAATGCATAGTATGCGATACATAGGTGATAAGATCTCCCTACTGTGATAACCAATTTCTGTGTGTGCTCAAGGCACTTCCCCACATTCGACATGACCGCGAGCTTCTTCGGGCGGGTTTAGGGACAATCGAACTGCGCCAATCAGCCACGAGTTTGCCAGTCAACGGCGTCTAAGTTCCATATCCACGCGAAGTGATCATTTACCCGCTCGCCAATAGTACTTGCGGATAGATGCAGTTGATCCCATCTGAGTAACCCTCTGACTCTCAGAATTGTTCTTGCGATCCCCGTCTCAGCCTTATTCTGCCCTCAGATGTGGTTATCCTGACTTTGATGGCTGCAGTTATTTCTGGCGATGACGAGAGAAACAATACTTCTTCTTCAAGCCTATTGGTTGTTAAGTCCAGCGCAACTGCCCCTATTCGCAAGCAGAAGAAGACGACTTTGCGTTTGTTCCTCTGCTTGCAGCAGTCTCCGGTGCTACAATCTCGAAGGTCCGGAATCGATGCTGAGGTTGCTCGACTGGAAGACATTGGCAATGCGGAAAAAATCAGAGTTACGAAGATGCGGATTTGGAATATCGACTCGATGTTACTACCTAGTGGTAGATCTTAGATCTTACATCCATGTCCATCCAAGTTTCCCCCGATTCTGCCTTCTGCCGCACTGGCAGAACATATATGATTCTGCCAGGCCAGTTCTGCCCACAACACTAGGAGACTAAAAATAAGCTGATCAGTCCTTCAAGTTGGCAATATTGATCTTGCTTCGGGCCGCAAGATGATACTTTGTTCCACACCAAATTACCAATAGAGCTTCACATGGTAGATCTTTCTGGCAGATATCATCTGTTCGAAGGGGAATGTCAATTTGTAGATGGTTGTTTCCTACATCGCCATGAAGACAATATTCAGCATATAAAAGCAAGGCGACTTCCTACTATCCCCTTCAGATTTATCTTATCCCATATCGCATCCTCTCAAGCAATGCGTTTCCACTTTATCCTCCCCGTTCTTGCTGCTCTGACAGCATCAATATCTGCAGCAGTAATACTTAGGGGTGTCCCGGCTGGGACATGCCCAAGTACTTGCTACCATAATCACGACTGCATACACTGCCATAAGATGCATAAATGCGTGAGTACAAGTAGTCTGCGTCCTGTATTTGATCACATGACTCACCGGCATGGTAGATCGCCTTTGAATGCGAGTAAGTCGTGTTTCTGCTTTCACATCGGCGCAGTATAGTTGATGGCACGACACGTTACTAGTAGGGGAAATGTTTAACGTTGTGCGTTGTGACGGTTGCCTTGACCGAGTGGCAAAGGAACCGATCACAATCGACGACGAAGAGTCCAGGCCTAAGGTTATGAGTCTTGGCTATTTCAGAAGTGTCTTTTATCAAGGGCTCTTGCACTCACTAGCTATATAGACTCGCTATGAACTGTACAGACCCAAGTATGCTCCCAAATGACACCAGGCTGGTGTCTAGCGACTTTGCACGAGTCTCTGTTTTGTTGTGCCGTCATCCAAATTCTAACAAACTTCTACTTGCCGTGGCGCCATAAATAAATGCATGTTGTTGAAAGTTGGTTTTATTGACTGATTTTACCAAACGCCCGTAAAACATGACGGCACGTGACCTCGCTGACGAATCAGCAACCCGACGCGTCCTACGCGTCCTTGGTTCGCGCAGATCTGCAGCTCCCGTTCCGTCGCCTTCGCATTGCGGGGCGCACTGCACCAATACCTGCGCTCGACGACCGCTCGTCAGCACCGAAACCACTCACCGACGGAGCTCGCCGGGCTCACTTGTGTCGCCGTTTTGCGTTCAACCACCTCGCGCTGTTGCAAGGCAATTCCGTCGAACTTCGGCGTGATTAGTGTTTTTTTTCTGCCCGTATGTACAGCTGTAGATACGTGCACCCCTGCAACAGAAGTGTTAGAATTTGCTTCATTAGTCTGGTGAAAATGATCGAGTGTGCCCGCCCGCCCCGTCCATGTAAAATTCCGCCGCCGGAGCTCTCAGCCACCCGTAAAATCTTGGGATTTTACGGTAAAATAAAGTGCGGCGGACACTTTACCACCACTTTTCCGTTCTTTTCTTGTAAAATGCGGCGCGCAGCGCGACAAAAAATCGCATTTCTGGTTCCCTTTGTGGTGATCACAGGCGAGCGGGAGCGGAGTAAGAGCTAATAAGTGAGACTAGTCTCAGTCTCTGGAATAGAACTCTGCATTGACGAAATGTGTACCTAATAAGTAAGACTACTACATTTCGTTAGCTTTGGTTAAGACAACTGTAAGGTATAGAAACTCACGTCTCAGTCTCTGGAATAGAACTGAGACGATCATCTGACGGTCTGCGGGTACGCTAAACTTTATACTGTAGTTTATTCTCTTATCTGGAATATTAGAATGAAACAAAAATTATCACTAGGTTTGGGGCCGACGTCACTCATCCTTCGTTCCTGGTCCGTGCCTCTGTGCTCGGACCTTCTACTCGTTGCGCTCGGACCTTCTACTCGTCATCCTGTGCCTGCTCTTCGGTCGTCTCGGATTCCAACACTCCCCCTCGAGTGCAAGCTAGTCCCATTTGGGTTCTAAGCTTTTGGAGATGCGGGCGTGCTAGAGCCTTGGTAAAAGTGTCGGCTACGTTCTCCTCAGTGGGGCAGTAGAGCAACTTGAAAGTTCTGTCTCTAACGTGCGAACGAACGAAATGGTAATGTAAATCGATGTGTTTCGTATGCGACTGAAACTTGGCGTTGGATGCTAGTGTGATAGCAGCCTGGTTATCGCAGAAGATTGGGATGGGCAGAGTGGGCGCTTCGTAGAGTTTGCTGATGAGGAGCTTTAAGTAGAGCAGTTCGTGTATCACACTGGTAAGTGCAATATATTCTGCTTCCGCGGTGGATAGTGTGATTAACGGCTGCTTGCGGGCACTCCAGGCGATCGGTCCTCCATTCAGCATCACAATGTACCCAGACATTGAATGTCTATGGGACTGTGGTGCCCAATCTGCGTCGATGAACACTTCTAGCCTGCCATCTGTTGGACCTAAGGTGAGCTCAAGCGAATCTGTGCCTTTCAGATAATGCAGGGTGCATTTAGCTGCCTCCCAGTGTGCTCTGCCTGGGCTTCGCATAAACTGCGATAGAGTCGCGACAGAAATGGCGATATCTGGCCTAGTACTTATTGCCGCATACATCAGTGACCCAATAGCACGCTGGTATGGTACGTCCTTCATAGCTGTGATCTCGGAGTGAGTGGTGGGGGATTGATCAATTGATAGGCTAAGTCCCGGTTCCATGGGAGTCTGTGCTGCTTTGGCATTGCCTAGACGGAAACGTTCGACTATGGTGGCGACATACACCTTCTGTGAGAGTGTTAAGGTACGTGCTGCTCTATCGCATGTTACCTTTAACCCCGACAACCATTTTAACTTGCCTAGATCAGATATCTCGAAGAACTGTTGGAGTTGGGACTTGAAATGGTGGATATGGGATGTATGGTTCGTGGTTACGGCCATGTCGTCGACGGAGACAGTGATGACCATCTGTTCGCTCAAGGTACGTTTGAAGTACACCACTTGATCAACCCTCAACCTACTGAATCCCAGCTTCTTAAACACTCCTGCTAGCTCCTCCGCCCACTCAAAACCTGCCTGTTTAAGGCCCGGTAAGCTCCTTATCAACCTCAACACCTTTCCGCTCTGATCCTCTCTCAAATATCCCGGTGGCGCTCGCATATAGATCTCTTCTTGGATGCTGGCATACAGGTAAGCACTCTTGATGTCAATTTGATGAATTTCCCAGTCTTGCTGAGCAGCCATTGCTAGAACCGTATGGATTGTGCTCATATTGGTGGTAGGTGCAAAAGTATTGAAATAGTCCACTCCATATTTCTGCCGCTGGCCATTTGTGATGAGATGAGCGCGAAGCTTCAGCTTCTCGCCGTCGGGTCCTCTCTTGGTCGCCAGAACATAGTGGCATGGTATGATGTTTGCGCCTTGCGGTAAGTCAACAACCTCCCATGTACCTAACTTTTCGAGTTGGCTAATCTCGTAATCCAGGGCTTCTTTCCATTCAATGGCATCAGGGTCGTTAAGCGCCTGCTGTAAGGTAGGCTCTGGTTCTGCGGCTGCTAATGCTAGGCGAATGTGAGCTTCTTCGTCCAGAAGATCCAGTGCTGACGCTTCTAACAGGGAATCTAGCGCTAGGGATGCGGTCTCCCCCTCATTGAGGGACGCGTAATATCCTGGAGGTGGCCTGGTATGAGTCGTCCTCGGGGCTGGTGGGGTTGTGGGATGATGGGGTTGGAGTCTGGCTGGGGTTGCTGGTGGCGGGATGGGCTGAACGACAGGTACGTTGTTGTCTTCATTGTTGCGCATGACGCTGGACTCCCCCTCGTTCAGCATATCCTCCACCACTATCACGTCTCCAGACGCGAAGGTAACATTCCGTTCAATGGAAACCCGTCGCTTACCCAGCCAGTAGACTCTATAGGCCTTGCTCACTACATCCACTCCCACAAATATCGCCTCCTCCGCCCTCGGTTTGAGCTTCCCTGCATCCTGCAGGTGCACAAATGCTCTTGCACCGAATTTGTGTGCTTGTAGCAGGCTCGGCTTCTCGTTTCGGACAAGTTCGAACGGCGTGGTATCTGGGGTAGCCCTTGACGGTAAATGGTTTTTCAACCAGGTCGCATAATTGACTGCCTCAGCCCACAGATACTTCGGCAAATCCTTCGTGATGAGCATTGCCCTAGCGTGCTCCACGAGCATGCGGTTTAGTCGCTCCATGACGCCATTCTGCTGCGGTGAGTCATGGACCGTCAATTGACGCTCTATCCCCTGCTGGCGCAGATGCTGATCGAACTCGGCAGACATATATTCACCACCGCGGTCCGAACAGACTTTCTTCAGTTGAGTCCCTGGCACTTGACAGCTCACCCAGGCTTCATCAGCCTTAAAAGCGGTAAGTGCTTCACTTTTGGCCTTCAGGAAGTGCAGTACGGTCTGGCGACTGTAGTCGTCAGTAAAACTGATATAGTACAGACTCCCACTGATGCTGGCCGTTTGAGCCAGTCCCCACAAGTCGGTATGGACTAGCGCGCCATAGGTGCGTGCCCGGGTCGTACTCTTGTCGGGAAAAGGCTTCCACACTGACTTTGCCTTCGTGCAGGTGTCGCAGAATTTGGGCTTCGAGCTGGGGTCCAATTCAACACCCGTGATAAGGCCCTTGCGGACAGCGTCGGCCGCTGCGGTCTGGGATATATGCCCCAGGACTCTATGCAACTTGTTAACGGTGAGTTTGGACTGGGCGACATTCGCATGATGCTGATTGGTCTTTCCCGCTGCTATGCTATAGAGGCCTTCCACCTGCGGTATTTCCACTATGACTTGACACTTTGGTCCGCAGGACAATACTTTGCACATACGGCCTTCAAACAACATGGCCATCCTGGCCTCCGCGATTCAATTGGTGGATATCAGGGTGAACACCATAGCAGGTGTGTACAGCGCATTCTTGAGTGTGACCTTCGTGCGCTTGTCACCGAGGGGTAGCTCTAGATTGACGTCTCCTTGCCCAACAGCACTTAGACTTGAGCCGTCTGCTGTGTGGATCTCCTGGGGGCTTATGCTGATGAAGTTGGTGAACTTTGCCCTGTCCAGGCAGAAGTGGGAGGTAGCGCCTGAGTCGACGATCGCACCACATCTATCGGCGGGTACTTTGATGGCCTTGGCAATGGTTGCCAAGTCCGATGTCATGAACACGTACTGGTCCTGGGATGGAGCATCTGCGGCTGAGTTTGCCATCTCACTCTGTCCCTTTTCACCCTTCTTCTGTTGCTGACCTGGGCCTTGGCCCTCTTTCCCTCCGCCAGGCCTCCAGCAATCTGACTTGTAGTGACCCTTTCAGTCACAGTTATAACAAGTCACGTCTGCATTAGCCTTACTTGACGGACCCGACTGCCTGCCTTTGCCTTTCGTCTCTTTTGCGCTAAGTGCGCTACCCCCACCACCTTTCTTACCAGGTCGCTTCTCAGTAAGTTGACGGTGTTCATATTCCTCGGTAACGATAGTGATTAATTCGTCAGAGGATAAGGGGGTCTTGGTGATTTTGGCGGTCGCGTTAATGGACGAGAGGAGCGGGCAGGTATGACTTGGGGAGCGACCTGAGAATAATGGCGTGGAAGTCCGTATCGAGGATTGCCGTGCCCATACCTGTGAGTAACTTGCGCAAGCGTAGTAGTTTGCCGAAGTGAGCTTTAACGTCTCCTCCTTTGTCGCATCTTGTCTCATGTATCCGCCTGCACAGATCGATTTGTACAAGCTTGGTCTTGCCTTCATGCATCAGGCAGATCTCCTCCCAGACTTCAGAGGTGGTCTCGTATTTCTGCATGTGCAGCAACAGTCGGTCCGTAATGGTACTGAAAATCTGTTGCTTGACCAGTGAGTTCTTTTGGTCATACTCGTCCATTTTCTTATCGCGCTCCTTGATCTCCTTCTGTGTAGGAGTCGTGTCTTTCGGGAAGGGTAACGGCTCGGTTGCACGACCATCTGCATACCACATTAAACCTCTGGCACCTGATCGCCGTCAATGTTCGTTCCTTGTAGGTAATCCAATTCGTGCCATCTTCGGCAAGTTTCGGGACGTTGAAGAGCAAGGCGGTTGTGCCAGGGAGCGTATTATTGACAGCCATGTCAGGGCTCATAACCTGTGGTGATCACAGGTGAGCGGGAGTGGAGTAAGAACTAATAAGTAAGACTAGTCTCAGTCTCTGGAATAGAACTCTGTATTGACGAAACATGTACCTAATAAGTAAGACTACTACATTTCGTTAGCTTTGGTTAAGACAACTGTAAGGTATAAAAACTCATGTCTCAGTCTCTGGAATAGAACTGAGACGATCATCTGACAGTCTGCGGGTACACTAAACTTTATACTGTAGGTTATTCTCTTATCTGGAATATTAGAATGAAACAAAGATTATCACTAGGTTTGGGGCTGACATTACTCATCCTTCGTTCCTGGTCCATGCCTCTGTGCTCGGACCTTCTACTCGTTGCGCTCGGACCTTCTACTCGTCATCCTGTGCCTGCTCTTCGGTCATCTCGGATTCCAACACCCTTCCCTCAAAATTTTGCTCTAGCTGTGGCCTTACATCCACACTATAATATTTGCTGCTCTTGTCAATCCTAGAGGTATGTACAACCAACCGTTTTACTATTTACAGTGTATCTCATGCGCTCAGACCCAGGGGTGCTCCCTAAGAAGGCAATGTGACTGTTGGTCACAATCACACTGCTCTCTGTCGTCAGGTTCACCTGGGTTGCCCAATAAGTCAGGTTTATTATACTGGGCGATCAAGTGCCTTGCCAAGTATTATTAGCCTTAGTTACCTAAATACCCAACACCAGCAATAAACATTGCCTCAAATAATGTCCAAGTACTCAAGCCTCGAAGGCATTACTATTATATAAGCTATATATGTATAATATTATTTTATCGCCCAAAAGCGGCAATTGCGGAGTACTACCGCCCAAAACATAACCTAATTTGGAAGTTCTACAATATCAATGTTTTCCTAGCCTCCCCAAGCCTCACCCTGCTCTTCCCTGTGTAGTAGGCTTGTATATACCATGTATTTTAGCTATGATACACCTCATAGAACATACTGGGCCACTGTATTTACTACCAGTCACCAGAGGGAGTGTATAGTAGCCATAGTACTTTATACCTCATATACAACAGAAAAAGCGAAAATATACATGCCTCTAGGGTGTATCCTTCAGTCTATTATGATTTATAATATGTAATAGAGAGTATTTGAAAGACTTTGACCGCTTATATAGCTCATGGGCATCAATTTGTGACAAAATATAGTAAAATAGTGAGAAAACATTGAAAAATGCGAACATATGGTAGCCAGGGACATACAAAGCTCCAGAGACTATGTGTATAATGTTTCTGCAATATATGTGAGTATACACAACTGCTATTGCAGGGGTTTTATATGTTTTACAACAGTCTCTCAGAAAAACAATCATGACCGCTTTTCTTTTGTTTTTATGTATCTTAACACATAGTATATAGTCCCTTTTGCTTATATATTGTTTCTGAACGCAGTCCTGCAGCTGTAGAACACCATATATTTGATGTAATGTGAACAGGGGTGATATGAGGAGAACTGTGTTCTGGGAGGTAAATATGTCATATATCAAAGATCTGAAACTTGGAGCACATATAATACAATGATATAATACTAGAACTACAAGCTCAAGCTGCCAGACCTTGGGCTAAGTGCTGTGGAAGCAAAGTACATGATGGAGATGTGTGGGAAAGTATGTGAAACATATGGTTGAAACATAAAAACATACCATAGCACACCACACAAGACTTTCTGGGGTCTAATATATGTACGGTGTGATAGAGGGACATCATAATGACTATCCAGCATGGTTTTGAAGTGTTGCAGGTCACACTTCCTCACAATCTTACATGAAGTGGTGTAGGTTCTGGTCAACAGCTATGACAAGATGACCCTATGGCATTGAAGGACATTGTAACCCTAGCACAGTCTCGGGTGGCCAGACATGCTGATGCTATGAGGTACCACCGCTCTCATGTTATTTACCATCCTCTTCTCACTGCAAAACACAGCTCACGCACACATTTCATGATTGAGACCCTGAACAACCTCAAGAATAACAAGATCAAGAAGACTGCCGCAACACAGCATCAGGGGGGCGATGCTGTGGAGTGGATGAAGAAGTTCCTATCAAGTCTGGGGAAAAAGAAGCACGGTATGTGGTTCTTCCATCAGGTCATCTGAGATGATGCCGATGCGCAGGTAGTCCTTGCCCATGAACCATTGCGGGTGACATTGGAGGATCTCCATTTGGTGGAGAGCAAAGGAACACTATAACAGCAGGTTCAAGAATGAGACCATCATTCCTTTGTACTTCCCAGACTCACCTATCTACTGCTATGGTACGTACGTGCGAGAGTGACAGATTGAACAATGCGCTAATATCTTGTCTAGGCTGTCTTCCCTGCGTTTTTCTCCCTCTATGTCTCTAGAGAGCAAAGGTCAGCCATACAAGCCATGCAGCTGTTGAACGGACTTTCAGATCCCATTGGGCTTTGGATTGGCCATCTCCCATGGGACTCGATATTCTCGGTGATACTAGCTATAATAATTATCATCATCTTCGCAATTACCATGAATCAATTCAATGGCCTTGGTTTCTTTGTATGTTTTCCTTTGCTTTTCTGAATGTTGGATTTCGCTGATGTATTCTCGTAGTGGGTCATCCTTGTTTTGTATGGCATTGTTGGTGTGTTATTCGCGTACTGTGTATCATTGTTCATGTCGTCACCACCATCCTCTTTTGCAGCAGTGGCAGGATACCAGATTGTCATGGATATTGTAAGTTCTTGCAGTTTTTTGGGCACACCACCACTAACACAGACTAGCTGTACCTGGCTGGTTATCTCCTTACACTGACTTACACAATGACGTCTCAGTCCAGTACCATCATCACGATCATCTGTAAGGCTTTGTTATCCATATGTGACCCTGCATTTTAAATGATCTTTCTAGACTTCACGCTTTCAGTGTTATCACCGGTGGCTAGTGTTGTATAAACGAACCACAGACAAGACATTACTGCTGAAGTGCATGCAGTGGGACACTCCAGTGACATTGCCTCTTCTTGGACACAGCGTAGTTGTTCGAATTGGCTGGTGGCGCACTCAAAATACCACCTGTTACAAAAGGAATGCTGTAGTGTAGTCCTTCTGCTTGCAATCCAACTATTCCTCCTCATCTTTAACACTGTCCTTGTCCTCATCCTCTTCCTCTTCCATCTTGCTTAAGATCTCGGCGACAGCACACTCCTCAGCTACCTCCCTCATCACCTCTATGGTCTCCACTGTTTGCTTGTAACTCTTGACGTACCCATAAACTGTCCTGATGACATCTGCTTGAAATCCTTGCTGGATTGCAAGCAATTGAACCCACACCTCGAAGCTGGCCTGAGCAAAGTGTGTGACATCACCCTTGTGTATGCTGGTGTGAGCGGTAGATCTATCTGAAGTTTTGCTGGTGTGGTCTTTGAAGAATGTCAGCTGGAGCATCGTGGCTGTAGAGGTGTGTGTCAGTGCGACGTAGTCCATACACTGCGACAAGTACAAACCAGCGTTATTGTTTGATGCTTTGGAAAAAGGCAAAGATGCGGGATGGTGTGTGGAGGAACTGCCAGTGGCCCCTTAAGTGTTCAAAGCTGTACATACTGACCCCTATAATTCATATCCGGAGTGTGACACCCCACTCATACAACACCTCCTTCTCATCCACTTGATCATATTTATCCTAATTAGACATATACTCTATGGTACTTTAAACACATGGCACGGGGCATAACAAAGAAAATTGCCGCAGCGGTAAATAAACCAGGACGGAAGGCAACTACCACCTTGGCCTCAGCTCTTCAGGAACAGCATGAAGAAGCACAACAAACACTGCTGAAGGCAAAAGGGACTCAATCACAGTATGATGGCCATCTTGAACGGGGCTGACGGTTTCTTGCAGATGTTGTTGAACAGAAGAAAACTGCCCAAGCAGAGGGCACTCACTCTCAGGCTGATGGCGAGTCTGATATTGATGCGTACAGTCACGCATTCAACATCATCCCCAACAAAAACTCTGCGTCAGTGCTCGAGCTGTTCCTTGTCCAGAAGGGGTTAACGGAGGGATGGAGTTTGAGCACAACTTGGGGCATCTTCTCAGGATTCAAAGATATGTGGAAGAATGCGTGCATCTTGTCTATGTCTGGTTGTGCATTTGAGGCTTTGGGACTCAACATAATTATGTGCTACAGCAAGGGTGAGACTTACTGTGGTCCCTATCACTGCGACAAGGGCACTGGGGTGGTCGCAGGAAACCCGGCCTTGTCAGCGGCTGCACAGGATATGATGGAAGTCCTCAAGAACAATGAGGGTGCTGAAGGTGGAAGCAGAAATCATGCATCAGCCATGACCATCAAGGACATGCGGAAACTCATGGCCTGGTCCTACAGCCAGTATCCGGACGAAGTTGTCAGCCACATTTGCCAGTCTGTTGAAGGCAGGTCAACCCTTGACGTGGCTGACATGATTCTGGCCCAGCAGCATCTCATGGTGCGCGCATTCTCAACAATAGGCATCATGATCTGGACACGGTATGCTAGCTTTTGAATTCAGGCCGCTTTGCCATCATTACCTCAGGGACTCTGACTGACTGGACTGATGCATCCACACATTTCCCACAGGAATTTTGAACTGACAAAGATCAAGCGGAAAGACATCATTTGGAACTGCCAGGGACGCCCGCCCTATGGCATCCCCTTTGACCTGGTGAGCCTCATGAACCGTAAATGCTGGCAGTGGAAGGGGGAAATCGATGGCGCACTTGAAGGTATCTGTTTCTGGAGTGTTTCCAGCCTGAGATGAGGGTGCTGACTGTGACTACCAGGTCACGAGTATGAGGTCTATGCTCAGCTGAAGACTCCCGAAATCTGTATGTTCATGCACCTGCGAGCTTGGATGAGTTTCCTGGAGGAGGTACTTCTCCAATGGCCCTTGCAACCCGAAGAATATGTCTTTCCACGCATTGGCACAAATGGTGTTGTCTACCCTTCTGACGAGCTGTCCTATGATGCTGTCATGAAGACACTGACTTGGATTTGCACTGAGGCAGGGCTGACGGCCAGGTACACCAGCCACTGCTTCCGCCGAGGTGGTGTGAGGTATTGGTTTATGTTTGCACCCCTTGGAGAGTGCTGGTTGCTTGCTATGATACATTGGTGGGGTGCGTGGGCTGAAGGCGAAAGTGTGAGTGGCCTGCTAATCTATATTGTGAACCGACCAATCTGTCCCCAACTTGGACAGATCAATACACTGATACTGGTACCTTCTGGACGAGCTTACCCAATATGAGAAAAATCACTGGGATGCACTGTGCCCAATTCCTCGGGAAGGTGACAAGAGCTTCAATGGCGATCACATTTTGACAGCACCCATTACTGCAGCGGAAACTCGGGAACTCAAGATGTCATTCGATCGTGAGCTGAACCATCTGTCTGGCAAAGTTGAGGAAGTCCTAGACAAACTAACCCTTGCTCCAGCCTCTTCCCCTTATTCCTCGCCATTGACAGCACCCTCACAACTTCTGATCTTGGTCTCTTCCACCCAGTCTCTACAACCAACCCCGTGCCATCAGGCCATCCATTCACCCTCTCCGCAGAGTACCACTGCTCCTTCTATGATACCCGTCCCAGTTCCCATGGACTCGACTTCTTCTCCCTCACCTCCTGTCATTCCTACAACACAGGCACTTCCCTCCAACAGCCGCCAGCACGGCACCACAACAAAAAAGGTAGCTCCCATACCCAGTGTCGGGATCCCGGACCTCCCACGTGAACCAGAGGCATGGCGCACTGCTGTGAAGCAGTGGGAAGACCCTGCTGCATCTATCGGCGGTAAGGCACTGAAGGATTGGCCGGAGGAGTGGTATACCAGACCTATGTGCACGATCACTGGCGTGAAGTGGAACATCTGGAAGGTGATCGCTATGGAATTCTATTGGTGAGTTACCTTCACGCTGATCATGGGTTCGGCAACTGCAACTTAGACCACATCACTGCTTCCACAGGCTGCAGCAGGATGAGGCAACATTTGTGGAAGCATACCCTGAGGCAACCTGCGGTGTCAAGCCACTTTTTGATGCAATCCAACGCCAACGCGAGGGACAGGGTGAAATCACTGGACGAGCAAGCAAGAACAGCCGCCCAGAAGTCCAAGTATCCTCCCACTGAGCATCCAGCTACCACAGCCTGTGAATCGCGTTTCGCGCTTGCTTTTTCTTCGAGTTATTCTCCCCATTATCGCGTCCTTTGGGCAGGCTTCAATTTGATGTTTCTCACTCTTGCAACCCTGCTGTGATGCAGAGTCTGATCTGCATTCCCATCAACGTTCATCTACACTCTATGTATCACCCACGTCCACGCACACATTTTGTAGCATATCACCCCCGCCCGTTGCTGGCACGATGTTCCCGCATGCGCTCTCGCACCACTGTCTCAGTTCCAAACTGGACCTGTATTTTTGTCTTCACACTTTTCTGTTGTTGTTAGCGCCCACTTTGTAGCTGTAGAGTTTTTGTCGTTACATTCACACCACATTTTTTGGGGGACTCCGCAATTCGATTTGTTTGCAAACATCAGCCGCTGTTGTCATCATTGATGTTGGAATGAACGAACAAAAATTTCAACCAAAGGGCACAATTCAATCGAGGGGGCTCTGCAATTTGATTTGTTTGCAAACATCAGCCGTTGCTGTTGTTGTCGACGTCGGAAACAAACAAACAAAAATTTCAACCAAAGGGAAGGGAAATCTGGCGGAACCTGAAGGTCACGTGAATGCATCATGTGGCCGTAAATCGGTGTAAAACGCTCAACATAAGTAAACTTGTCAACGTTTGTTTTCATCTATTATTATCTCGAATTCCTTTCTCTACTATATTATGTTGCTGTCTATGTTTGTTTATACCTCAGCGGTTCTTTCACCAATGCTGAGGTATATATCTCAACTGTCTGCACGCTTGCTCTCTCTTATGATTAATTGTCTCTAGACTCGTCTATTAGCTTCACTTTCCAACAGGTTATGAGCCCTGACTCAAACTGAGTCAAGAACCGAAGCTTAGAAAGTCATTATCCCCTCTCATTGTATCATCCCGCCGCTCATCTTAACTCATCAGTCCTCTGTCGATGTTGTCATGGGGAAATATGATCATATCCCCGAGTTGTTGGGGTCAGAAAATTATGTTGGTTGGTCCACCAAAATGCAGTATGCACTCGCACGCGAAGACCTGTGGTGCCATGTCAACAACAAGTCTGATCCCTCTGATCTTCTCGGTCAACCTTCTCATATGCCTACTGCCACTGATCCACTCAAAATCACCACCACCGAAAAGGCGTCAATGTGCTTGTGGCTATTGGATGACATGAAGGCTAAGGATCTCATCACTCGCTGGCTCAGTACAAGTGTCAATGTGCTTGTATCCTGCTCTCACACTGTTACTGTGCAAAAGGCCTGGGACACACTCAAGGAGGACTATAATTGCAACAATATTAGCTCCCAGTACCAGATCCATCAGCAGTTGCAAGTGCTGCACATGAAGGACTCTGCGGACACATCAAACTTTGTTGGACAGCATGCCACATTATGAGAGTGACTAGTAGATTTGGGCACACCCTATGGTGATGCAGACATGATATTTAACCTACTCATGGGTCTTCCCTCCACACCAATATGGCAGCAATACAAGTCACAACTCAAGCAATGCATGTACAATGACCTAACCACGGTGTCATCTACATCAACCCTTCCTACATTCACCTTTGAGACCTGCATGTCGCACATCACTGCAGAAGCCACACATCACGTCAATGTGCAGCTGATACAATCTGCACGCCCTGGATCTGAGTATGCCAATGCTATCACTGGACCATCTTCCACCACACCTACCAGCGTCAATCCAATCACTGGCCTATGCAAACACAAGCATAACCCGCAAGGTGTCTTCTGCACCACAGCAGGCTGTAACAAGGGCGATCATGATCATGTGCACTAAGAAGGGCAGCGGTATGGAGGGTCAAGCACCCTGGCAAAAGAAGAAGAGTGAAACAGAGACAGCAGCAGCAGCTGTTGTGGCACCTGCACCTGCCGTCATGCCTCCCACTCCCTCACCTCAAGTTGCTGCTGTGGCTGCTTCTCTTGCTAGTCTCTATGAGGATGTCTCATTCACGTCTATTACCGAGCTTCCCACCCATGAGGTCACATGTGCTCTTCCTCTTCCTTTTGATGTCATCCTTGACTCAGGGACAATGGTCACACTTGTCAAGGATCCCAATCTCTTTCACACCTACTCCACAGAGGATCCTATCAGCGTTAAGACCACCAATCATGGAATCCTTCAGACCGTGGGATACAGTACCTGTGTGGCTTGGCTTATGATCGGGGGGCGATGGATGTGTCTTCGCATGTCCAATTGCCTTCATGCTCCAGATGCACTGCTCAACCTCATCTCCATCAGCAACATGAATATGAAGGGGTGGGACATCAACTTCCACACAAACATGACATGCAAACTCACCTATCGCAACATCTTACTTGGTGCTATCCCCACTACAGGCAAGCTTTATGTGCCTGACCTTGAGTTCATCCACTTCATGCAGCCCACTCCTTCCCTCCCCAAGGAGCCAGAGCTTGCGGCATTCACACACGTACCACTCACCCTGGATCTTTGGCACACATGAGTGGGACACATTGGCAGGACTGCTGTCACGTGACTCACACAAGTAGCCAAAGGAGTGACTGTCGACTCCTCAGCACCTCTCTCTCACTGCGAGTTGTGTATACTCGTCAAGCATCCTCACCAGCCCTTCCACTCCTCCGAGACTGGACGTGCTGCCCACTTCCTTGATCTCATTCACTCGGATTTATGCAGACCCATCCCTGTTGTCTCTGCTCATGGGAAGCGCTATTTCATAGTTTTTCTTGATGATCACACCCATGCCCTTAACCTTCAACTCCTTGCTTCGAAGGATCAGGTGCTTGATGCATGGCGGGTCATTTGTGCACAGTGGGAGAACATGTCTGGTCTGTGGGTCAAGATTTTTCGTTCTGACAACGGGGGGGGGGGGAATTCATGAGCAACACATTTAGTGAGGCTCTCGAGGAGGCAGGGATAGAATGCCAATGCTCAGTGCCCCAAGCCCACCAACAAAATGGAAAGGCCGAATGTGTCATGTGCACAATTGAAGGATGCATGTATGCTATGCTTGATCATCCTTGTCTCCCTCGCAATCTATGGGGCGAAGCTGCACTCACTGCAGCCTATCTCTTCAACAGATCGGAATCCCAAGCCCTACCTCCCAGGAAGATGCCCTACAAGATGCTTCATAATGCCAAGCCCACCTTTGCTCATCTCCAAGTCTTCAGTGCACGGTGCTTCGCTCGCATCCCTCCAGAAATGCAGGAGAAACTTGGGCCTCGATTGCATGAAGCTCTGTTCATGGGGTACCCCCCAGGTGTCAAAGGCTGGTGTTGTTGGGATGTTGTCACTGGTGCCTTCTTCAATTCTTGTGATGTCATTTTCAATGAGAACTTCACTCACCAACCCTTCCCTTCCCCAACAGCAATGATGATGATGACGATGTTGCTGTGGTCCCAGCACCCAGTCCCCCTGCCATTGCACCTATTGCACGTGTTCCTCCTCATTCTGATGTCATCTGTCGGTCTGGCTGCATCCCAGTTCACACTGAAAAGGGTTCTCTCTTTCAAGTCCAAATCATCGCCAATAAACAACAGCTAGACCATCAACGTGTCATTTGCGTCAGTACAAGCTGGTGCCCTTACCTGTCAATCGCTGCGCTATTGGAAGCCGCTGGGTTCTCAAGTTTAAGGAAGATCTCAAAGGTGGTCCAGTGTTTAAGGCACGCTTAGTTGCTCAAGGGTTCTCGCAAATCCCTGGCATCGACTTCAGCAAGACGTTCGCACCAGTAGCTAAGTCTGCATCCATTCGCATACTCACCACACACGCAGCCGCACATGACTGGGAGCTGGACTGCTTTGACGTGAAGTGTGCTTTCCTATGGGGCAAACTGCAGGAAGACATGTACATGCGTCAACCACCAGGCTTCGAACACTTTGGGCCAAGTGGACAACAACTTGTTTGTCACCTTCTATCCTCGCTATATGGCCTCAAGCAAGCTGTGTATGACTGGTATAAACTGCTACACAATGTTCTCACTCGTCTTGGCTTCCTATGCTGTGATGCTGACTATGCTGTCTTCATATTTGATCATGTCAACAGCGAGGGGGTGTGTTATGACTAGCGTTCACCGAATGGCAAAGACTAACACACAACCACTAGGACTCGGTCAAGATAGATGATAATGAACAAAGGATAGATTGAGCATGAATGTCTAAGTCTACTACAAGTGTAGAAACGAAGAGGTTAAGTCTAAGGAGTACTTACACTAACTAGCCTACTTATATACATAACATTGAAGAGGAGATATCTGAGTATGAAAGAAATCAGCCAATGAGAAAAGAGTCATATGATACTGTGAATGACTGATCATGATGTTGTGATATATAAATGATGAGTAAGACAGTGACTAAAGAGAAACCCAAGATCCGACCAGTACTTCTTCTGGAAGCGAGATTGTTCTAGCCTGTGGAGTTGGGGAACCAATCAGAGAAACAATGGGTGATATGTGAAGAGGTGAAGATGTGACAGGAAGTGAAGTCATGCGACTGGTTCAGTAACTAGAAGTAGCTGGAGGGAAGCCAAGGAATGAAAAATGATTCATGTTTGGAATTCGTGACAATCTGAGAGATCATGGCATCAGTGGAGAACTAATGGTGCATGACTCACCTCAACAGAACAGAGTGGCGGAGAGACTTAACTGCACTCTGGTTGAGCATGCACGTGCAATGCTCATAGTGCATAATCTGCCAAAGTTCCTTTGGGTGGAGGTGGTCAATTATGCTGTCTGGCTAAAAATTTGCTTACCATCTAGGTCTGTCCTTGGCCACACTCCCTATGACCTTGTCCATAATGTGCGCCCTAATCTCTCCTATGGCTATGAGTTTGGATGTACCATCCTTGTACACATGGAGCAGGCTGGTAAGCTTGAGTCAAAAGCTGAGGATGCCTTCTTTGTGGGTGTTGACACTGAAAGTAAGGGCTACATTGTCTACTGGCTGGCAAAGAGGTGCATGTTGGTAGAATGCAACATGATGTTTG